AATCCTCAATTTATTTTGAAAAATATATATATTTATGCATATGTAGAGAAAGACACAATACTTATAATTTGTCCTAGATTTCTTGGAGAACAAAAAAAATAAAAACTTGGAATAAAGTTGAATTAAAGTTGTGAGAAATGTAGTTCGAAACAATAAGGTAAAATTTTTAAATAACACTTTAGATAATTTAGAAAAAACACTTTAACTATGTCATAATTTTCAGAATTTGTAAATCAGGACACGGCAACTACTTATTCCCCTCAATGGAAAATTCTAAAAGAAACAAATCATAAAGTTTTGAACAGAAAGTCAAAATCGAGTCAGTTTTCTGGAATGGTTTAAGGATGAGTTATTCGAAATTTCAAACTCCTAGAAACCATGTCCAGAATAATCGGAATACTCACGATTTCTCAGGTCGGATTCAAAAGTTAACTAATTTTTCAGGAAAAACATTTTTTGAAACTAAAGGGTTCAATTTTTCGAGAGCCAATTTTTAAAGTGGACTTTTCATGGCACAGGTCCCATTCAAATTGTTTTCTAAAGAATTATTCAAAACTGATCTCCTCAAAATGGCACACTACTTCCCCGAAGTCAAAATTTTCCACATATTTTTTATATGATAATTATCAACCCGTAGTCTATTTTTCAACCTCCATCTGGGAAGAGTTGTTGTCATGACCTCACATAATTTGTCAAACTCGTTAAAATAACGTCGTTATTTATTACATTTTCTTCTCAAAAAAAAATTGAAGAGAGAAAAAATTTCGGAAAAATTCGTGTTTATAACTAATTAATTTCATTTATCAAATGGCTCAGATGGACTAACTTAATTCTATTTCGAAAAAAAATGAAATAGTTTTTTATTTCAAAAAATTGTGCGAAAAATCTTGAGGGTCGAAAATAAAGTGATGTGAACTTCGAAAAAGTGTCATTTGTTGATTTTGAAAAAATGCAAGTCTGCGTCTCTTTTTTTCAAAAAGTGTTTTGTTGATGAGTTCAATTTTTGATGAATGAGAAATTCTGTTTTTTCAACTTCAACAGATAAATTTTCTATGTAGGAACTCTATCTAGGATTCTTGTTCATTTTCTTTTTTTTCCTCTCCCAAACGTAATTTTCAAAAGTTTTGTGAAGCATATAAAATTGTTTCTTTTTCTTCGTCCTCTTCTGTCAAAATGAGTTTGTCTTCTTCTTGAAATATAAGTTTTTTTTTTGCTTTTTCGGCCTAATGGAATCTTTTTTGTTTTCAAGTGAAAAATCAAGTGAATTGAGGCAACGAAAATTCGGAAGTCGGAAGAAAAAAAAAGAAAATGGACGGGGATTTTTCTTGGATTGAATGAACAAAAAATGATGAAAGATTGAGAAATGCAAAACAGAAAATTGTTGACCCCGTCAAAATAAAACCAAAACGCAAATAAATAAAATCATTTTTTTTTCAAATTGAATGAGAAGTTTTTTCATTAAAAAGTTGACAAAACAAAATTTTGGAACAAGCAGTTTTTAATTTTGCGCCAAAAGAAAACAAAAAATGATGGTTTTCAGCGAAAATAAAAATAGCGTGAAAAAATTTGAAAATGAAAAAGCTTGAAATTTTAATATGTGAGGACGACAGCGAATTTCGAAAATTAAATTGAATTTTTTGCGCAAAAAAACAACAACAATTCAAAAAAGCCGGAAATAGCAAACATTTCAACAATTTTTTCGAAAAGAAAAAAGATTGAATTGAAAATAAAAATAAATATTTTGAAGGTAAAATTGCAATTTTTATAGTTGCAAAGCCAAAATTCAAAATTTTCTAATTTTTCAAATACAAATTCCCAGACATTCAGATTTTCTGAATTTTGTGAAGACAACAAAAAATAAAATTATTCTTGTTCGACGAAAAAAATATGAAATTTTCCAACAAAGAAGCGGTACTTGAAAATGAAGAAGAAGAATGCTCAAGATTTTCGAAATTTTTTTGAAATTTTTTTCGACGCTCTCGAGCATCTTTTGCTAGTTTACGATAAACATGTTATGAAAAAAATTGAAGTAGGAACGGATTGAAAAAAATAATATTTTGCAAGTAGAAGAAAAGTAGAAATTGACTTATTTCACAAAAACGTCTAGAAATAATGAAAAAAAAACGTTGGCTCATAAAGAATTCTTTGCTTGGCTTGAGAGTGCGAAGAGATAATATTAAATTAAAAAGTTGAAAAAAAACTTTTTTCTCTGTGCCACGAAAAAAACGAGCTTCTCAATGAGCAAAAATTGCGGACGTTTTTTGAAGGAAGAAACAAAATTATTTTTGTCAAACTGAAAATATTTAATTTCCAAAAAAGGAATCCGGAAAAGCTCAAGTTTCTCGAAAACAATTTCCGATTTTAGTTTTTTTTTTCGAACAGAAAAATAACAAAATATTTTGGAACTCGTTCATTTAATATGAAATCAAATGAAATGATTTCGGAAATGAATCAAAAAATCTAAACTAAACTAGGTTTCAAATTTCAAAAAAACAATTCAAATGTTTTTTTCGTCTAGAGAAAAAAATGAAAAAAAAACAGTTTGTATCAAAATAAAATAGAATTGTTTGCCCGATTTTTCATACAAATATCAAATTTCTTCTGGAATGAACGAAAAAAAGTGAAAAAATAATAATATTCTGAAATTTTTCCTAGAATCTACCGTATTCTTTTGATAACTCACATGTTTACCCAGTTTTTTACTGAAAAACAACAAAAAAATCAAAAATGCAAGGTTTTCAAAAAATTTTGACACATCTTTATACACTTGTTTTATATGCATTTTTAATATTTTTCGGAAACATCCCAAAAAAGTTCTGCGAAGAGTAAAAACAAAAAATGGACGAAAAAAAAGGTATACTGTAGTTCTCTAAATTTGAGTCTCAATCGGAAGCTATTATTGACTTCCTTTAACATATGTCAAAAAATATTCTGATGGCGCCAGATGGAGAAATAGTATAGAAAATGAGGAGAGTCGAGAGAAATTAGACATGAAATTATTAGAGAACTATTATATTTATATTTTTTTTGGATTGGATTGGAAAAATGAAAAGAAATAGGAAATCGTTGTTAAATTGCTATTTTTGTTGAAAATTCGAAGGGGTTGGTTTGAAAATCCTACAAGTTGAGTGAAAAGTCGAAAAAAATTCATATTCCTATTCAAAAGTGAGCGTGGTCAGCATGAAACTGCCGGAAAGAGACTTTCAAAAATGAACCTATCTCTAATAAAAATGTTTTTTTAAGGAAACCTTTGGGCATTGTGGATGGCTTAAGCTTAAAAAATTCGCAAAAATATCTCCCTAAATCTTTCCTCCCTAATCTAACTCACATTGAACATTTTTATTTTTCCTGCCATTTTCGAACTCCAACTTTTGAGAAATGATTTGATTTGAAATGCAAAAAAATCAACGTCAAATTAGGTCACGGCAAAAATGTTCACGTTTAAACTGTTTTTATTTGGAAAATGTTTTGGTTTTTTTTTTCTCATTCCATTTTCTTATTCCGAGTTAATATTCAATCTTGAATTTCTCAGTACCTACAGTAATCCTCTCAATTTTTCTTGAAAACAAAAACTCAATTTCCGTTTGGTTTTCTTTCAAAGGATGTAATAAATTCTTTTTGCCTTCGCAAATTTCTCAAATCTTTTTTGTTCTTTTTTTGGTGCTACGCGAAAAAAACTGCTAATCTACTTAACATATGTAAATTAGATTTGTAAATTCATTTGAGTATTTTATGTCAGATATTTCTGGGGGATTTCTACAAAAAATGTGATGAGAAACTGAGCGGACAGAACATTCAAAAAGTTCTTTTACTCAGAGCCCATTATTAGAAACTTTATAACAAACTTCTCAATTAAGTAAAAAAGAAATACATTTTTGAAATGAATGTTCATTTAGAATGTGAAAATAATTCAATGCAACTGTGAAAATTTTTGAATCATTTTTGTTTTCAAAAAACCCTTCACCATTCGTTTTGTTTTTTTGCAAAATCAGCAAATTCATTTTTAATTCCTAGAAATATTGCAAAAATGGTATGTTTTTATCTTTTTCGATACTTATTTTCTTTGAAAATTTATTGATGTATGATTCTAAAAAGATTGTAAAGCTACAATATAATAATTTCAGTTTCTAATTACTTGATAATTTCTAGCTTGATTGAACATTGTCCTCAATATCAAAATATAATGTGAAATTGAGAGGCAACGCTACATTTTTCGATCAAAAACTTTTCGAAAAAATATATGGTGATAACATTTATCAGTAAACTTGGTTAACAACATATAGTTAACATGCAAATTTGGAGTTCCCTAATAATTTGATTCATTCTCCCAAATAAATACGGGGTTAAATAATCGAATTTTTCAGAATCCCAAACAATTTTCTCTTTTTTCTATCTGAAAAAAACTAGTTTTTTTTCATAATTTTCATATTAATCTCTTCTTGTTATTATGTATTGTATATACATTTTTACTTGAAAAATAATTGACTTTTCCCGATTTTTGCAGGTCAGATTAATATGGAGAGGAAAAGTAAAAGCAAACTACGATTTCTTATTATTAGGTGGGTGGAGCGAGGAAAATCTCGGAACTACAAAAATCATTTATTTTTTTGAAAAGTGCGAGAAATAAACCGGTCCGTATAATTTACTATTAAATGTTATGTAAACATTATGAAACGTTTTTATTTTTCACTTTCGATTTATTTTTTTCAAAAAAATCTTGATGTTTTTATCGTGGCTTATTTGAAAAAAATCCCTATTCATCAAAAATTATTCGGTTCCATTTTCTCTTTCAACTTGTAAAATTACTTTTTTTTATAACTTAAACAAAGAAACAATGACCTCTCTTGTTTTAAATAAATGACAAAAACAAGCATCTTTTCTTCGTTTTTCTTGTTAAATAATTTTCGCTTTTTTATAGTTCAATTCAACTTTTGGGGGCGTGGCTGTTTTCTACTTGGCTACTTCAACAATTTGCCATTTTCGATTTTTCCACTTTCAATATGTCTTCTTCAAGTATCTTGGATAACCTTGTAGGAAATGTGGCACCCGGTTATGAAAAAGTTGAGAAAGTTTTTCGGTTAGTTGTTTTCGTTATTTCATAGTTTTCAAAAAAAAATCTTCTAAAAATTAGATTTCTCATTTTTTTGGTATCAATGTCAAATAAGAAAATTTAGTGTAACATAAATATACAATTTTGTTTATTTTATTCAGCCTTTCACTTATCTGAATCGTATCTTTTGTGAAACTGTCACTTGGCAATTTTCCAAAGTGACATTGAACACAAAACATGTGGAATTTTAAATTAGAAATTCTTTTCAACAAAAAAAAACTACTCACCTTACCAGTTTTGTTGATTCATTTCGATCAGGAATATACAATATATAGTCTTCTTTCTAGATAAATAGTTAGGGCGAGCTTTGGGAAAAAATGAAAATAAAAAATTTGTTTGAATACAGTATGTGTGATGAGAGACGCAGCACAAACATTGTTTTGGTCTCGACACGATCTCGAAAAATTTTGAATTTTTTTATTAATTTTTTCAAAAAAAAACTGAAAAAATTTTCAGACGAAATTTTGCTGATGGTTGGGAACGAGAAGGCGCATCAATAACAGTTTATCATAAAGGAGTTGCTATAATTGATCTTCAAGGAGGTTATGCTGATAAATCATCAGGAAGAAAATGGACTGATGAAACAAGAACTGTTGTATTTAGTACAACAAAAGCAGTTGGAGCAATTTGTGTTGCAATGTTGGTTGATCGAGGATATGTTAAGTATTCTGATAAAGTTGTTGATTTTTGGCCAGAATTTGGGAAAAATGGAAAAGAAAATATAACTGTTGATTGGATAATGTCACATAGAGCTGGATTAGCTGCATTTGATGAAATGATTCGATTTGAAGATGCACAAGATTTCGAAAAAATGAGTCGAGTTATTGAAAATCAGAAACCAAATTGGGAACCGGGAACAAGAAGTGGATATCATGCAATAACTTATGGATGGTTAGTTGATCAAATTATTAGAAGAAATGATCCGAAAAAACGATCAGTCGGTGTTTTCTTTCGAGAAGAAGTTGCCGAAAAATATAATATTGATTTTCACATTGGATTACCATCAAGTGAAGAACATACTGTATCAAGACTTTCAATGCCTTCAACTCTTCATTTATTCAGAGAAATTCTTCATGATCCAAGGTAATTTAAATTGTTTTTATTGATAAGCTTTTTCATATTGTTTTCAGAGTTCTTATCGTTTTGGCAGTTTTCGGACTTCGACCTCCAAATTCCATTGCTCGAAAAATCACAACAAATCCTGAATGGTTTAAATTGGAGCAAGATGTGAATACATTCAATAATCCAAATTTGCATGCAATCGAACAAGTTGCTGCACTTGGAATTACTAAATCTCGAGATTTAGCAAGATTATTTTCATTGGTTCAAGAAGGAAAATTATTCTCAAAAGAATTATTGGATAGATTTAGAGTTCCACAAGTTAATGAAATTGATGAAGTTGTAATGACGCCACTTCCAAAAGGACATGGATTTTTATATGAAAGACACCCAAATGGAGGGGTTTGTAAATTAAAAAATTTGAATTCAATGAGTAAATAAAACAATTTCAGAATAAATGGTTGGTAGGACATCCTGGATATGGCGGTAGTACTGTAATGATGGATCTTGATGAAGAGGTAATTGAACTTTGGTTTTAAACTCTTTGAATTGTTTTTATTTTTCAGATAACCATAGCTTATGTTTCTAATGGATTGAAGACTGGAATGGGTGAATTAACAAGAACCTATAGACATTTGAGAAACGCTGTATTTGAATGTTTGGAGAAAAATCGAAAGAAAATAATTGCATAGTTCTTCATGTTTTTCTTTTTTTTTTTGTATTCACGGGTATTCAGGAATGAAGAATTTCCTTATTATAAGAATAAAGGTTTTCATTCGGGGATAAAATAAAATTTAAAACCGGTTTAAATTAAAATTAAGAAAAATAGAGAAGTGCGAGAAAAGTTGTGAATGTTTCCAATAGAAATTCAAGAAGTCGCAGGTTTTCTCATTTTTCAAAATTTTGGAGACAAATAGAAAACAATAAATTAAAGGGAAAAAAATCACCGAAACAATAATTACGTAATCAATTCAATCTTCCATATCATCTTCGTCGAGTTTGGCATTTGCCCATTCTTCGGCGGCTGCTACAACATCTTCTGGAACTGTTTCATATTTACCATTTGTTTGTTCTCCAACCCATCCCATTTCAATTTGAACATTCTTGTCTTTGTTCTCATCACGGATTGAAATGATGATTCGAGCGGCTTCTTTCACTAAATCTTGAATGTCGAGTGTGTCAATTTTGAGTTTTTCGATTTCTGCTTTTGCTGCTTGTCGATGTTTTCCGATAGCCCATGCTTTGTATTCGTAGTTTAATCCGGATGGTTCAACAAGGAACAATCTTCCTCCTTCTTGTTTATTCCATGATCCGAAGAAAGCTGATGTTCCGTATGGTCTCGAGATTCCTAATGTGAAAATGTGAACGTATTCAGCAACCGAGTTCGAAACTTTGTTAACTGGCATTGGCTCACGATAATCTTTCAACCATTTCATCGCTTCTCCGTAGGCATAATTCTTAAGATTGAATCCATCTGGGTAGTTTCCAGCAATTCCCATACCAACACTGTCATTAATGTTGAAGATTCGTGGGTTGGCGTTCTAAAATTCCGAAATTTTATTTCATATTTTCCAATACCAAATGATTTTCGCGCGTTGAACTTCTTGCAAAAGAAAGTTGGCAATCCAACTAGGTTATAACTTACATCAGTATAAAGTTTCGAAGTGATAACTTTATCAACAGCCATTACAACACCATTCTTTCCTCGAATAGCAATCATTGTTCCGGCATTGTCAACAGCCTTTTGAGCGTATTCAACTAAAACAAATTCAATAATTATTTTTCTGAAACTTTTGGGACTACCTTGGAAGATTCTACCATCTGGTGAAAATGTGGAGGCGGCAAGATCGTATCCGGTACCAATTGAACTCATCCTGAAACAACAAAAATATTCTGAAAGTCAATCGCGAAGAGCTTAAAACTGGAGAATGCGAAAAAATAAAATTCAAAATGATGATTTTGTTGTCGAAATACGAGGAGACAAAAAGGTTAGGTCTCGGAGCGCGTGAATGAGAGAGTGTGTGAATTGAGAGACGTGCGCCTTTACCCGATTTTTTTTTCATTTTTCGTATTTTCTTTTTTGTTTTTGTGCTCTAACTCTAACTCTGAACTGACAATTCATATTTAATTACAGGGTTAAAATGGTGAAAATAGACAACAAGAAGCAGTTCAAAGGAAAGAAGAAGGTTAAGAATGTGTTAGAGAAAAAGGCGAAAGGATTAAAGCTTAATAAAGTAGATAGAAAACGGATTGTTAAGATCGAAGAGAAAGCAGCATTGAAGACAAAAGTTGATAAAGCAGTCAAAGAAGAATTGGAACGACTTAAGAAATCATCTACATCTGTTTTCGACAACGATGGAACTCGTGAATCTTTATGTTCAGAATCAAGCTTCGGGAGCCAACCAGCGCCTAAAAGACAGTCTAAAAAAGTTTCGTTTTCTGGTAAATTGGAACACACAAAAGTTTTCGATAAACGTGTCAAAGATTTGCAAATCAAACCTTCAGAAGCATCACCTGGAAGAGGTATTCTCCGAACACCAAACTCTGCCAAGAAAGTTGTGAAGGTTTGTTTCGTAATATTTGAACTTTAAATTAATTTATGCTTTTTCAGAGAACCGTGAAACACGTAGCAACTGATGATGTCGAAGAAACTCAAAACAACTCCACTCCAGTTGCTCCACCAAAAAAGAAGGTTAAGGCAGTTTTCAAAGAGCCTAAACAGCCAGAAAACAACGAAGAAGAACAGAATGAAGATGCAGAAAATGTGGAAGAAAACGTTGGAGAAGAAGAAGTTGCTCCTGTTTTCAAAAAAAGAGCACCGATAAAAGTGACAAAATCTGTCAAAGAAAAACTTTTGACAATGGATCGCAAGGAACGAAAAGCATTCTTGAGAGAATTAAAACTCAAAAGAAAACCAGAAGGAGAAAGAGCTCAAAAATGCAAGGAACTTTGGGAAAAAATCAGAAGCTCAAAAACTCCAATTGCTGAAAAAGATGAAGCTGTTCACAAATTGTATGGATTGGTGAAAGGACACGCGGCTAAATTGATTTATGCTCACGATACAAGTCGGGTTATTGAATGTTTGGTTGGAACTGAAAGAGAGGGAATTATCAATAATTGTAAGTTTGAATACATTTATTAGTTGAATTTCTCATAATTTCAGTATTCAACGAGTTGACACCAGAAATCGTTCGTATGTCTAAAAATGTTTATTCAAAGTTTTTCGTCAAGAAAATGCTCAAAAATGGAAGTAAAGAACAAAGAGAAATCATTATCAACGCTTTCAGAGGACATGCTCCAACACTTTTGAGAATTACTCATGCTGCTGAAGTTCTCGAATATGCATATAATGATTTCGCGAACGCTCATCAACGTTTCAATATCATTTCAGAATTTTACGGCAAAGAATTTATTTTGTTCAGAGTAAGTTGATTTCAAGTTTTTGAGAATAATTTATAAATTGTCATCTTTCAGTCTGATAAAATTAAAAGTTTGACTGAAATCCTCAAAGAAGAACCAGGAAAGAAAAATGTTATCCTTCAACACTTGGAAGAAATTATTGAAGCCGTCAATGGAAAGTGAGTTTTCCTAAATAAAACAAAACAGTTTTCATAATTATTTCTAGAGAAACATTGCGTCTTTCAATTTTGCATAAACTTATGCTCGATTTCTTCGAGAATTGTGACGAAGAGAAGAAAACCAACCTGTTGGATTCATTGAAAGATAAAATTCCGGAGTTCATTCACACACCAGATGGAGCTAAATTGGCTGTAAAACTTATCTGGTTCGCTCCAGCTAAAGAAAGAAAGGTGATAACTGAAAGTAGAAAAAATCCAAACAAAATATATTTTACAGTTGATTGTGAAAAACTTCAAAGATTTATCAGTGAAAGCTGCGATGGAGCATTTCGGACACAGAGTTCTTCTTGCTATTTTCGATTCAGTTGATGACACCGTTTTGGTTAATAAATTTATTGTATCGGTAAGAAAGTTTTAATTTATTCATCATTATCAAACATAACATTTTTCTAGGAATTATCAAATGAAATCAAAAAGCTTGTTGAAGATGAATGGGGAGAAAAAGTAGTCCATTATTTGGTTCATCCAAGAGATGGTCGAGGAATTGACAAAGGAGAAATTGATTTGTTGAAAGAAGGAGATTCAAATGAACATTCCAAAAAACCAAAAGAAGATAGATATGCACAATTGTATGCCGCATTGACTGAATCATTATATTGTTATTTGGCTGCAAATATTGCTGAATTGATTCTTGAGGCTAATAAGAGTAGATTTGTTGCTGCTTGTTTGGAAACCACTTGTAAGTCATGTCATTAACAATTTATAAAATATATTTTTTTGCAGCTCAATACGATTTATTCGACCGAAAAGTTCCATCCGACGCCAGAAAATCATGCAATAAAGCAATTGCTGAAATTGCAAGCAAAGATTTCGTTCCAATGGATCAAGAAGGGTTCCATATCATTGAGCACCAATCGGGTAATTTTGTTTTGAATGCAATCATGAGATGTGATCCAAATCTACCGGAAGATGAGCGTTTATCAACAGAAATAGTTCAAGCTGTCTCAAAACAACAACTTGGAACATGGATTACTTGTAATAAGGTAGTTTTTGAATGAAAAAAACGAATTTTTCTGAAATAATAATAATTTCAGGGTTGCCATGTTCTTTTGAAAATCCTTCAAGTTGGCTCAAAATCAACAATCGAAAAAGTGAGACAAGCAATCAATCGAAAACATCTCGATGGTTATTCATCAAAAGGCGCCAATCTCCTCAAACAACATCTCGATTCATTGCCAAAATCCAAGTAACGTCGATTATTTTCTCTTTTTTTTGTTGTCCTTCACGTCAATTTTTATTCATTTTTTGTTGTTGATTTTTTTGTTATCTGTTTTTTTATCTAATGAAAGAATTATTTCTTAAAAATGGAGTCCAATCAAATGCCGTCGCCGGAAACATTGACAGCAAAAGAAAAAATAATTCGTATTACTGTAAATAGTGTTATGCAAGGAGTGAAACAAACAATTATTGCGATTCCTGAAGGAGTTACTGTATTGAGCTTGAAAATCGCAATTGAACAAACTACAGATGTTACTGTAGATAAACAAGTTTTGCTGTTCAAAGGAAAAGAATTGAAGTTGGTTTGAACTAAAAATGATACATTTTTAGCTTCGAAAAATGTTGTGAAGTTTCTTTTAAAAATCTAACATTTTAGAAATGACGATGAACCAATATCAACTTATGGAATTGTTGATAACTCAATAATTACAATGAATGTTAAAATGAGCACTGGATTAGTTATGTAAGTTTTATGCGGAATCGAAAAATAAATTTTTTTTAATAGTTATGCATTTTTCTGAAAAAATAACTCAAAATTAGTGAATTTCTGAACAGTCAACTCACAATCAGAATTTAGAAAAAAAATTACAGTATTCAGAAATAAAAATTGTCTTTTTTATTTGCCACGTCATAACTATTTTGAGGAAATAGTTACGAGTACTGTAGATTATTCACAATTATATTATTTTTCAGAAAGCCAACCGCAACTGATTTCATATTTCTGGCTCCAACAATTCTACCCGAAAATCAAGATCAATTGCGAAAAACAATTCGAGGAATGAATTCGGTCACCAAAAAGCCGAAGAAAATGAGCGACGTTGATGAAACTGCAAAAGTTTGGACACCTGAAAAACAATTAGAAGCTGAATTGACAAGAAATCGAATGAAAACATTGTTGAGAAGAAAAAAACAGAATCCGATTTTATCAAATGGCGGAACACCTGTTGATTCTGAACCAACTTCTGTTCAATCGTCAGTTTCCAAGTTTTTGAAATCCAAAATTACTCAAACATTTTCAGATATTCTCCGATTGCAACTCCTCCATCTGAACTCGCTTCACCAGTTCCATTGGGAAGTTCACAAAAAATGGCTGAAATTGAGGATGCTCCGATAACTGAAAAAGAAATGAAATTGTATTTCGAACCATCTGAAACAATTGAAGAATATCGGAGAAATCGAAGAAATTTATATCTTCCTCCAAGTAATTTGAACGAACTTCAAAAATATTTGGATAAGTTTGCAATTGATCGAAAAACAAAGTGTAACGTAAGAAATGTTTCGAAAAAAATTTTTTTCCTGAAAAACTATGTTTAGCTTTGCCTCAAAAAACTATCGGCTGCTCAACAAACAATGCACTGTAAATGCAAGAAGTTGTATTGTGATCGACATCGGAATCCAGATCAACATCTTTGTGTAATTGATTATAAACAAGATGGAAGAATTAAACTCAAAAAGGTTTTTTCTTGCTGGAAATCAGATAAAAAATATAATTTAAATTTTCAGGAAAACTCGAAATGCGGTGAAAAAGGAGAAAGAAAGGCGAAATTTGTTGAACCCGAGGAGAAATCTAAGAGCAAATAAATCTATTATGGGTGAAAATTTTCGAAACTATCATCAGAATCAGCTTCATCATCAGTTTCTTCGATTGTAATTTTTTCATCTTCATAATCATTTTCTTCGGTAATTTCATTTTGGATTGCTTCTTTTCTGATTTTCGATATTTTTTCAGCATTTCGTTTGAAATATATTGAATTCGCCTGAAATGTTGTTTTTAATGTGAAATTCTAATTTGGGTTTGACTAACATAATTATCGATTTGAATATGAAGAGAATCTCTTCCAGATTTCCAACTCATATTCATTGGTCTAGAAAGATATGATGTGATTTGATTTGAGTCCAAAATTCCCGATATCATTGTGGAATATGGACTTGTTCTGAAAAATATAATATTTTTAAGTCTAAAAATTAAAAACGTACAGAGTAGTAAATTGAGAATCTCCAATCATTGAAAGACGTCGAAGTTCAGTCACCGAATCTCTGATTTCTCTATTCAGATCAGATAAAAGTGGACCATGTAATGAACACCATTGAGGAGGCTCTAAATTCATTTATTGTGAAACAATTATTCAAAAAATTCAACTCACTACATTCAAAATTAAACCACATGACATTTCGAGCACTAATTTGTGCATTATATTCATCCGGAAGTCTTTGTTTTGTAATCCAATCACTGTATAAAGTATCACACAATGAGAATTTGTCCGAAATATTTCGAAGATTTCGCAACTTATCGCAGAATTTCAATTCATTTTCATGAAGAAAATCGAGGATCTAAACATTTTTATGAATTTTTTGAGGTTCAAAAATGAAAAGGTAAACTCACTTTTTCACCCGACATACTTGACATTTGAATAATATCCGAAACATCATATTCTAATGGATGTCGAATTCCATCAGATTTTGGTTGTTCTTTTGGTTTTATCAGTTTTCGTTTTTGAGATGAAGACATCAATGTATTTGTTCCATTTGTTCGTTTTGCATGTAAAATACGACCTAACATATGAAATGTTTCTTCTCGATTTGATTTTGCTGAACACGTTGAAGAAGATGGTCGACCAACTGAATTCATTTGTAGCATATTTAAAGCTAGACGAAGATCGCCATTCGATTCTTCACAAATTGCATCTATTCGAGTTCCTGATGTCTGAAATTTCAATATAATCTGAAATATTTTCAGATAGCGAATTACTTACCGTCAATCGTAAAATACTTGCTGCTCGATTAACCGCCTTTTTCAAATATGTAATAGCAACAGCATTGAATTTGATTCTATCAATTCCATTTTTCTGAAGAAATGTTGCTGTGAATAATCGATTTGGATTTAGATGCCAACTTGAATCTACATCACTCAAACAGAAAATAACTGGAAGTTTTAGATCGAAAAATGCATTATGAAGACGATCTCGGAAATCAAAAATATTGCTGAAATTTGAATAGTTGAATGGATAAATCATAAGATCACATACTTATATGCGGCATCTGGCAACGATGTTACAAAAATTATAGATTTTTTCGGTTTTCCAGGTAAAAGTCTTGCAGCAGATTGTGTTAAATATCGTTCCAATTCGAGATTTCCATTTATTTCATCATCAAGCAAACATTCTTCATCATATTCGAGTAAATTGATACCTTTTTCTTTACATAATAACTCAACAGTTGTTGATTTTCCACTCCCAGTAGGTCCCGTCAATAAAAGAACTCGTGGAAAGTTATCAAAACATGTGTCCAGCCAACTTCTAACTTCCTGCACTTTTTTGTTATGAACAGCAAGATCGGATGCAACTTTCGGATGTGTAGATTCAGTGTATAACGCACCTTTATTCTGCATAATCTGAAATTTAAATATTGCTAGCTTTTTTGTTGAAAAAATATAAAATTAAAATTAAAGGCGCACGGAATTTCCAAAAAAAATTATTGACACGTTTCTCTACAAGTTTTCAAAGACGCACTATAAAATCTCAAAATATCTCGTAACGATTGCACGTACTTTTGTTTTTTCATTTTGTTTTTTGAACTTTTCATTTTTCCACTTTTCAAAATATCTTTTCCCTCGTCTCGTTAAACATAGTTCAGTGTTGTCCGAAGCGTTGTAAAAATGCGCAACATTTTCTATTTGTTTGCTTGTTTATTTTCTCAATTTCAAGTAGGAAATTTCGATTTTCAGGTAATGACAGAGGTACCTGCAGCCCACGACCATGCAGAGAGTAAACCAGAAGCGCCAAAGCACCATGATGTTGTGGTAAACGAGGGAAGTGTTACGAAATTTGTTGACCCAATTGATAAATATACCGCATTGGCTGTTAGGGTGAGTGAATTCAAACCATGACAGTTTAATAAAACTTTTTAATTTAGGGAACTATCGTTGGTATCGGTTTGGCTGGAGTCGTAATTTATCTCAGAAATTCTCGACTTTTCCACAAATTCCAACATGTAAATCAAATTCCGAAAGATTTTGTGAGAAAAGAATTGGAATTGAAAGGCAGAGTTCGGGAAGTTTTGCCAAGTGGAGAATTGCGTGTCGAACATGAACCTATTATGAGAATTCCATTTATTCCCAAAAGAAAGAATGCGAATCCACAAGGATTATTGAATTTACGTTTGGCTGGTGTTGATTTGTCGAAATCTGGACAACAATTTTTGGCAAAGGATTTGAGATTGACAAATAAACCAGTTACATTTACTGTTATCAAAGGAACTGAAGGTGAACCTGATACAGTTGATGCAGATGTTACTGTCAAGAAGGTAATTTAGAATGGTTTTTCATTAATTGATTTGATTTTTATTCGTTTTGTAGAATGCTTTGTCACGAACAAATTTGAATCTTGAAGTTGTTCGTCGTGGATATGCACGTGTTCCAGCTCCAGATCAACCAAAACATTTGAAAGCACTTCAAACAATTCCAGCGTATTCAAGACTTATTAGCCGGCTTTTGATGAGTGAAAAGGTTTGCATTTTTTTGTTAAATTATTGTTCTTCAATTCATTCATTTTAAAGATTGCTGATAGACGTGGTGTTGGAGTTTGGGAAAGAGATACTTGGGTTGAATCAGTCCAATCTTATCCATCACAAGTATCTGGAATTGTTCGATCAGCTGCTATCACAAAAGCTGTCGTAAGTAAAAGGCGCTAAAAGCTTAATCCTGCCGCAGTTTTCCCGAAATTATTTTAAAAAAACTATATATTTTTGCAGGTTCTACTCTACAATGTTACAAAAGATGTAGTTTTGTATGGCGTCAAATTAACTCAACAAACCTATTATGTAGTCTTGTCAATCATTGCTCATATTACAAACGGATATCGAAAATTTTCAGTTGGAGTCGATAAATTGACTGATAAATATAATCGAGTTCGTCAAAAAATCGGCAAGTAAATTCAAATTTCTTTTAAATCTACCAAACAAAAAAATACAATCCAAATTCGTTGTAAATATGAACACATGTTTATCTTTTGTGTTTTCCTCAATTTAGAAATGAGCTATTTTTGTTTTAGAATTTATAGAAAATCTGCTAATTTTTCGATTGTTTATGAATTAATTATCCTTTTTTCATTGTTAAATAGACGGTGAGATGATCTTTTGAAAGACTCTAAGAAGTCTCAATCCATGTTTTCCCCGTGAATATTTATTTTTTTAATTGTGTGTGCTCTCAATCGAATAAATTTTGGCAACCAATTTTTTTAAAATTTTTTTAGCAAGAGAAATGATAAACTTCTGTTTATCAAATTATATAATTGTTTATTATAATAATTTTTTTATAAGAACACATATCAATTTACCCGTTCGGGTCTTGTACCGATCAACATTTTTGTTGTGTTCAATATTTTTGTTATCGATATATTTTATTTTTTTGAAAGTAATTTTTTTTGAGTTCTTATCATTTTCCCTCAATATTTTTTAGATTGTTTGGTAGTGACAGGCACATTTTGAGGGTCATCACACAGTTTGTTTTCACCTGTTTTTTATTTAAAAACTTTTTTTTTAGAATTATTGGCGCCTAAAATTGAAAAATAAATAAGGTTCAAGGTAAGGAAAATTCATTCAACCACAGTAATTTTGAATTTTTCAAAATAAAATTCAAAATTTCAATTTTACCGTGGTGTCGAATAAAAAAAAATAAACAGTGAATGGTTTTGAAAAATTAAGTTAGGGAAAATATTTGAAAATTTCGAAAATTTACTAATATAGCTTTCTCAATCAATTTTTTTTGAAAATTCCGAAAAAATATTTAAGAAAATTGTTAGAATGATGATTTATCAAAAAAACTTTCGATCATTTTCCAAAAAAATTCCGCGTTCCAAACGCATTTATTTTTGGTTCCGAAACTCGCCCATATTTTATCTGCAAACTTTTCTAACAAAAAATTCGGAAACTTTCTTTTTCGAAGTTTTTTTCGTACACGCTTTTTAGAAAATTAGTATATTTCTGTAGTTTTCTTTCTTTATTCAGAATTTAAAAAAGATCATTCATTTTTCACAATTTTTGTTCCCATATTTATCAATTCTTTACAAATAATAACAATACTTCACACATTTCGATGCATATTTCGAAATAACTTCCAAAAGTTGACCATCTGACAGTTTCTCTCTAAACTGCTTACTATACAACACATCTGTTCTTTTCTTCTTTTTTTTGCGCGCCAAACTGAGAAATTTGAAAAAAAGTGCTAAATGGGAGGAGTGAGACACACCATTTGTCACCCGTGGGCCGCCTTTTCTCTCTGTTCATTTCTGTTACATTTTTTCGTTGTGTTTGTATCTATTTTTTTTTGTTTTGTTCTGATTCTCGAAATAATTTCACCTCAATTAGCTATTTAATTTTTATGCCAAATTACGATGCAAATTAAGCTGCTGCCAAAAAATCGGGTATCTTCTTTTTTATTTTCTTCCTTATATTCTCTCCTTATTCTTCTTCTTTTTCTTCCAAAAGCGTGTCTGATTTTCAAATCTAAAAATGACCGGTTTTTTGGAAGGGGTGCGCAAAAAAAGAGAGAAGAAGCATGGATATGCTTAGCCGCTTTTCCTTCGTTTTTCTCCTTCTTCTCAATTGATCATTTCGAGTTTTCTCATATCATTTTTTGAACGGGTTTATAGACATTTAGATACATCCAGCCGTTTTTTGCATATCCTTGATCGATTGATTCAGAAAATGTTTGTTGTTGTTTATTTTTTCCGGAAAATTTTGAATGATTTGGAGAGTTTTTGAAGATTTTTTAATCAGGCTATGTTTTTTTTCTCCAAAAATTGTTTTTGAATCACATTCCTGGCAACTTTTTTGATACCTGAAATATTTGAGTGTCCAAATCGGACCAATTTTTGATTATTCCTGATTGACTCAAAACTTTTATAAAAATATTAAATTTGGTTCGAATCTTTTGAAAAACCAAATTATAGATCTCTGAACCAATTTGAAAATTCTGAAAATTTTGCCCAATTTGAATTATAAGATTCAAATATTTGTTCACTCTTTAATTCAAAATAACTTTTGATTTTTCCGTTCAAACATATTAGCTGAAAATCATAATCAGAGATTGATTTCTAAATTAAAAAAAACTGTGTGCGAATTTTTTGTTTCGTATTTTTCATCAATTATTTTGAACTCTACCTGTTGATCATTCCAAATTTAAAGACACATAGAAAACTAGAAATTTGTGTTGGAAATCGTAAAAATTTGAACGCGCGCCTTTTTTCAAAGTTGTGTGTTGTTCGTTTGAAAAAAGAAAAAACGAATAAAAAGTGGTGGTACGGTATGCTAAGAATGCACACATGTGCGGCAAATCACGAACATTTGTGCAAACACCAAAATTTGCGTCGGCTGAGCGATTTCAAAAAAGGCAATTTCTTTTTTTGACTTTCGCTAAACTCAATATTTTTCAATTTTGTTTATGTACTTCCACTATTTGAAGGATGATAAAAAACATGCAAATAATGCTTTTCAAACGATTTCTAGTTTTCTACGTGTCTTTAATATTTTTCATTTTCCTGAAATTTTTCGGGTTCCAGAATCTACTATTATTCGAAAAGTTTTGGTTAGGAAATGTTGAGAGAGTTTCTGAATTTCAAAAAAAATTGGTAAATTTTCATTTATTTTTTTGAAAGAGGTTCTTTTCAAAGTTCTCAATCTGATGAACATTTTCGATCTACGATTTGTTTGCAACATTTGTTCTTCTTCAAAAAAACTCTCATACTTTTTCTGATTTTTCAAGTTTTCCCTAATAAAATCTACATAATCTGCCTAATATATCTATCTATCTTTTTTCCTATTCAAACCTTTTTCCTATTCAATTCATAAGCATTTTTTACGTAACCAGAATTCCTGTTCCGCTTTCACATCTTCGTTTTTTGTCGTTATTCTCGTTTTTTTGAGACGCAGACATTTATACAAGTGCAAGCGCTACTATCTAGATTTAGAAATTGAAAGAATAATAATAAAAAGAAGATGAAAATGGCAGAAAATTTCGAAGAAAGTGGATTTTCAAGTGTTCCTGTGTCTTTAATACCTTTTCACTTTGGTTTTTTGAAATAAGCTGTAAAAAATTGGGAAAAAAGAAACTGTGATTTATTTGAAAAAAAAGAAGTGATATCTGAATGAAGTCGTTTTCGAACGCGCAAAAAACTTGATATTTTGTCAAAATATTGTGATTTGGAATTGGAATATTATTTTGTACTTTTGAAAAGGATAACAAATATTTATCAGAATTTTTTGATCCACAGAAATCATCACAATTTATATATGTAATACGTCAGATTGTCAGATATTCATCAAAAAGTAGAAATGAAAAAGTTAACAGAAATCATTATGCTTATAATAACGTGAACTTCTGGATGAAATCATTTTTTCATTGCACTATAGTTCTGGATTTTTGATTTCTGAAAGAATTTCTCTTTCAAAATTTTTCCTAGAAAATCATTTGTGAATGTTGACTAATTTCGTCAGAATTTTTAATTCGAAATAAATTTAAAATATAACTTTTCTCAATTCACAGTACCCAGAGATTCTGAATCAATTTTTTTTGAAAAATTTAATTTTCCCTGATTTCTGGAATTTTCATTCCCAAAAATCTTTCTTTGGTTTTGAACATTCAGAATTGACAGATAATTTTTTGTTAGTTACTGTAGTTTTTTTTCTACAGTACTCAGAAGTTTTATTTTTTTAATCCATTAGCTTCCAGTATTAGGTCTGAAAATATTTTTTCCCAATTTTTTGATGTCTTGAAAAACGAACTTCTAATACTTGGCATTTTCAACATAACGTTTTCTAGAAAATCAGCAACATTTTTAGTCAAAAAACTTTCTCCACTTTCTCCAATTTTCTTCCCTTTTTTATTCTAAACTGTTCCATTATTTTTCCACATTTTTATGAAAGTGACAAAATTGATGATTACGTAGACATTTACTCACCTGAATGAATAATCGCAAAAACGAGAAAATGAAGAAAAAAGAAGCTTGAATCATAACTGGTTCGCCTCCTGGCAATCTTGAGGCTAATTGGAGAAAAAAGAGAAGGACTTGCCTTTCGATATTATTAGTATTGTTAGAAGAATACAGATATATTATAATATTGTATTATATTGTTATGTGATGATTTATTGAATGGCTAGATATACAATTTAGTTGAAAAAAACACCGAGATTATTATTATTTTGAAAAATTATTTCCAATTTGTTTTTTATATATTTTGTTCTGTTCAAATAAAAAATTGAAAAAAAAACGTTCTCAGTTTTTTGCGATCTCTGATTCTTCTATGTAGTTCTGAAAATGAACGATTGATTAGACAGCACTTTTCTTCTTCCCTATGCCTTCAAAACATTTTTTTGTATTTTTTGCTACATTCCATTTTTTTTCGAATTTTCCTCATTCCCTCTTTTTTGTATCTCTGTGTCTCTTATTCTAACCTGCTTTTCGGCACTGCGCAATTCGTTCTCTCTTTTTTTTTCGCCCCACCCCAATTGCATAACCGATATATCTTGATTTGCTTAAATCATCAGAAGACTGGATTTTCTCTTTTTTTTCTATGTATTTTTATATTTGTGTTCATCTCTTTTCAACTAATTTAAAAGTAAACATGAAGGTTTCTGAAATACGAAGTTTTGATTACTGTAGATTTGTTTTTCTTTAATTTTTACTGAAAATTTTTGGCTATAATTTTTATCCGAATTTCTCCGTGATTTCGTAGCGCAGTAGGCAGCGCGTCAGTCTCATAATCTGAAGGTCGTGAGTTCGAGCCTCACCGGGAGCATTCTTTTCCTGTTTCATTTCTCCTCGGAATCTGCATTTTTCTCTTTGCCATTAGGAATTCATCCAGAACCGGTATGATTTTCCAGTCGGTAAAATTTTTACAACATTCGTTTATTCTTTTTCGCTTCAAAAACTGTATATGCTTGATCATCTCTTTTCTTGTATGAATATTATCCAAATAAACTTGCCCATTGACAAGTTTTCTATTTAGATTCAAGGACAAAACACCAGCTGAAAATCAGCTGTTAAGTGCTTGACCGACTGGGGCCCAGCGAGTCGTGTGAGTAGTGTAATAGTTAGTTTAGCATTCTCATCATCATCATGTGATTTTTCAGATGTCGCCAATTTTTCGTGTACTCTGATTAGCAAGTTTTTTTGGTTTCGTTTTTTTGTTTGTAAAAAATAGATGATATCACTCACGAAACAAACCTATACTTAACTCAATTTGTTTAATCATCAGTATATTTATGAAAAAAATGGCATTAGATTTTTTCGTAGAGAATAGAATATTGTGCAGAAAAAACTTTGGATTCTCGACTTTTTTTTTGAAAATAGTTTGAAAAACAAAAAAAAATAGTGATCTTTTCGAAAAAAAGATTATACTCTCTGTTTTTTTGTTAATCCTTGGTTTCAAAATCGGTCACTAATTATGGGAACATGAAAAGTGTTCGTGATTATTTTTATTTTTCAGACACACAACTTTTATGAAAAAAATATTTTTGATCTACGCGCGAATACTTGATTTTTTTTTGAGTTTCAGTCGACCCAATCGAAAAAATGACCAATCTCGTCAGTTTTTTCAGTTGTGTTCTAGTTTTTCTTTCTTCTTCATCCTCGTGTTTAATTATATAAAAAAACAACTAATTTCTTTCAGCTCGCCAAAATTTGGCGCTTCACTTGCCAACCATAATATCTACTCACCCTTTTTAAGTCACATATTTATTCAACTCTTTATTCAACTTCAATACTCACAAAAAAAACAAAAAATGGATGTAAAAATAAATAGAAATGAGTAAGTTTTATTGTTTCGAAGGCACACTCAAAAATTTGTGTTGCGGGTCTCGCAACGAAGTACAAGCAAACATCTCGTTTTGTTTTTCGTTTGGAAAAAAATGAAAAAAATTTAGTTTTTGCGATGAAAATTCTGGCTTTCAGAGCTTGTAAGCAACAATTAGACAAACGTCCACCGTCTTCATTGTCAACTGGTAGTTCTGATAGTGGTGTATTTGCCTCAGGTGTTCATGCTTCGTCACAACCAACAGAACCATCGTCAGCTGCACAAACTGGACCACCAAGTCCTACTCAACAACAAAATCAAATTCATCATCAAAACGAGGAATCTAATGATGTAATTTCAATCAAAATATTTTTTGAAAATTACAGTCTCAATTTTTCAGCTCACTTCATTGATTTATCATGCGGCCAATTTGATTGCAGTCAACGAACAATTCCGAAATGGAAATGTTACTCAAAGTAACAATCTTTTGAATCGAACAGCAGAAATTGAAAATATCTCACCACATCAACAACATTTCGATGCGATGAAACCAGAACTTTTGATGGATCATTCTCCACGTTCCTTGATGCCTGGACCACCGTAAGTTTTTATTTCAAAAATATTTTGAAGTCAATAAATCCATTTGAAAATTTCAGACGTGTTCGTGCTGGTGGCGCAGAACGTCGTATGCAAAAACCGGAATCGTTCAAGACAGTTATTTGTCAAGCTTGGCTTGAATCAAAAACTTGCGCGTTTGCTGAAAATTGCCGTTTTGCTCACGGAGAAGAAGAATTGAGACCATCAAAGTTGGTTTGAAATTTGTTTCATTTTAATCATCACACATAACAAAAAATATTCAGGGTTGAACCGCGTCAAAACAATAAGTACAAAACAAAATTGTGCGATAAATACACCACAACTGGTCTTTGTCCATACGGTAAAAGATGTCTTTTCATTCATCCAGATCACGGACCAAATGCATATATTCGTGCTGACAAATTATTTGAAGTAAGTCAATATCAAAAATTTCCCAATAAATAATAATTATTGCTTCAGGTCTCACAACGTCATGCAATGGCTGATTTGCGTGATAAAATGGAATCGCAAATTATGACTGGTACAGTAACACGTCGTCCACCGGTTATCACACCATCACCAATTCTTCGACCATCAACACCAGTCGAAAATATGCCACCTCAAAAAATGGCTCAACCATTGGGACCAACTCCATTGCGTGTTCCACGTTATTTGGGTAGAAATCAGCCAACACCACCACAATTTGATGAATTGTCTGCTCTTCGTCCACATCCAAGTTGGCCACTCGAACCAAATTCATTTTTCACTAATGATACCAACAAGATTGGCGCAATCAGTAGACCAGTTAGTCCATTTGAATCGATGTTGATTGCTGCTTCAGTTGGTCCATATACTTCGATGTTGGGTAAGAATTTCACAAAAAGTTCCCGAATTTAAAATATCAAAATGTTGATTTTTTCAGGAGCAACAAACTCAACTCCAGGCGGTGTTTCTGGTTATGCTTCAGGTGGATCAACTCCATATCAAGATCTTGAAGCATCTCCATATTCTCCAAATATCGCGGCTCTTACTCAACAATTTTTGTCATCTGCTGCAATTCAACCATCTTCAACCGCTCCACTTTCTTCTCGTTGTTTTGAGGATGATTCATTCTCGATGGTCCCCGGTGGTTTTGATCATTTGGCTGAAGATATGGCGAAACATTTGGATTTGTGGTGAAAATCGATTCCAATTATTTATTGCGACGTCTTTCTGTCTGTATTTATTTGCTCAATTCCTTCCCTTACTTCCTTCTTACTATTTTCTTCCTTCACAGTTCTTCATAGCCAAGTAACTATTTCTCAATTTATTTCCGGTTTTTCTTTTTTTCGAAATTTATTTGAGAAATAGTCTAATAATAATGTATAGAAGACATTGCCACCAGTCGGAATAATAACCCGTTGTGTTAAATGAGTCCCCATCTTTATCCCTCTCATATTGATTTGTGACTTATAATATATTTGAAAAAAATCAAAACTAACCCAATTAAATTGCGCCAAATTGTGCCTCCCTTTTTCCCACCCTCTTTTTTCGCCTTTTTGTCCCCAATCTAACATTATTTTGATAAAATTTATTGAATGTGATATGTATTGTATTTTTCATCTACAAAATGCCCATTGAAATTCTCGATGTTTTCTGCGATTTATTATACAAGAACGAAGTTTCAAATCGCATCGGCATGGCTCCGGAACTCTTGAAAAAATATCCATTAAAGATCATTTTTTTTTTTGGGGAAAAGTCTAAAAATATTGTAGTCGATGTCTAGACAGACTACAACTAACCTATATCCTTCGGCTTTTGAATAATACCATTCTCGTGGAGCTGCTTTATAATAGCAATCATTTTCGGAAAAACATTCGTAATATCTGACAAAAATATTGGTAATTAAAAAATGCAGAAAACCGTGGCTAGAAACACGTTTCTGATATTTCTTGTGAATTTCAGAAAAGACGTTTTTTTTTTTGGATTACTGTAGTTTCAAAATTGATTTTACCTTGCAGAAGTTTTCACAAAATATGCTCCGTAACAATCAAAAAATGGATTATTGACATTTACACCTTGAGCACATCTTGAATCAATTGTAATTCGACCAGTTCGAGGTGGATAAAAAAGTGATGAATCTGGAATGAAAATGTTTTTTTCAGAAAGAAATTATGCTTTCAAAATTTCTCAATCCACTATTTCAAGTTCAAAATTGAAAATAATCTAGTCTTTCAGAATTTTTGGGGCTGAAACTCATTAAAAAATTAAAATTAAAAGTTTTTGTCTGAAAATAATTTATTTATCACAGAAGTTCACCTCTAGAATAATCACCAAGAGAGTTCTTCCCGAGAAAAAACATATTCCATAAACTTGGGCCACGAGTTCAGAGAATATTTTTCTGATGCAGCTTTTCGTGAAAGATTAAAAATTTCAGATTAAAACTGAACAGTAAAACGAAATGATTCACACGTCATGAAACTAAATATTTTGAATCAAATTTCGGAAGTTTTTTCTAGTCCCGTTTTTTTTTCTGAAAAGTTCTACTGTAGTTGATTCTTGAAAAACTTTGCATCTCAAATTATACCCTTTGATTTCTTTGAATTCTCACCTTCTTCATATCCCATAATTATAATTATCAGAAAAGAGAAGAAAAAGAAAAAAGTTCGAGAATTCATTATTGATGTCACAAAATAATCGACATTCCATTTCACCACTTTTTATATATGTTTTCCTCATTCATGATTCATCACAAAAAAATTCAACATTTCATTATTACACAGTCTTTTTTTCTTAATTTTTTCAGTGCTTTTACAAAACTTACAAAAATAAATAATTTGAAAAAATGTGGGGAGACCAGTAAAAAGACTGAAAAATTGAGGAAACAAAATAAATATAAATATCAGAGAGGAATAGATTCCTATTATCGAATAATTGGGAGTTTTCCAAATAAGTTATCCAAAAAAAGATATTTCCAGTTGAAAAAAGTTTTCTAGATAATTTTAAATAATGTTGGAAAATGTAAACTTTGGATAACTTATTTGTTTGGGTCAAAAATATTTAAAAAAAAATGAAATATAAATGAATCACAGTTTCGCTTTGATGAGAGGGGAATATTTTAGAAAAAAAACAAAACATGTGATAAATAAAAACTGGGATAATGGGACAATTCACGATTTAAACAGTTTTCTGAATTTCAAAAAAACATTTGAAGAAATGAAAGATCATGTAGAGAAATCCGTTTCTCCGTGAATTGTCCCATAATTAAATTTAGGTCCAAGCTGAGCGTTTCATTTTGAGTTGGACTGAATGAGCCGAGTCGTAGGAGTATTCTGGCTCGATTCCAAGATTATGTTGGAATCTAGAAAATAAATATACAGTATTATTCAATGGTTTTCCAATTCTCGATTTTATTACCTCATAAGTTGTCTTTGCATATAATCGGAAATATTAACTGGTGGTCTCATACTTCTCATTGCATCCATCACTTTTCCAACAGCTTTACATCTTGAAACTCGTTCGTGTGCCATCAAATAAGCAGCACAAAATGTTGGAGCTCTAAAAAACTATGAACAGGTGGAAAATGAGGGGAAAATCCAAACCGATTTCTTCCGCGTGAACTGCAAACCAAAACATTTTTTCCGACTTTTCGACCGCGTTCGACAAGTTCGAGAAATTGTTCGAATAATGTGATCATGTTGAATTTTGAGGAAAAACATTTTTCTTCCGATTCGGGAACATTCATGTTAACAAAATATCTAAAATGATTCAACTGACGTTGACACAAACAAGGACAGTCAAAACCCCGATTTTGACGACTGAAAGATTATTTTTAGAAGAAGAAATGAAAAAAAAGAAACTAGAGGAAATACCGATTTTGTTGAATATGTTCAGTTGTTTCGTCGACAATTTCACAAACAAATTCGATATTAAATCGACAGAGCAGTGACATATTTGTAGCAGCATCAATTCCAGCAGCATAAACAATATCATCAATCTGAAAAATATTTAAATCATACTATAGTTTAGTTATAATATGTACCTTCCAAACAATTTCATCCAAATAAAGTGCTTTGGATGGTGTATCAGTTCTAGTTCTCTTATCTTTATCATCATTTCTTGGTGAAACTTCGACTGCAGAATCATGTGAACTGATACTTGTCGAATCTTTTGCTGGTGTAACTCGAATAAAACGAGTTCCAGATGAATTTGTATCAATGGAACTTGGTGAAACTACAGATGATACAGAAATAACTGACATACTTCGAGTTGGCGGAGTGGAAGATTCACTTTCAGAATAATCAGCTGAAAACAATTGAAAGACATTTGTGTTTTCAGATTTTGGGTGCTGAAAGAACACTCAAAGAGGTTATTATTAGTTATAGGCTTCAGCACTCGCCTATGACGTGGCAATAGTACGGTAAATTTTGAAAAGACACAAAAAAGGTACAGTACTCTCAAAGTCTTCTCGAGCGACTTGTAAACTAGAATTTTTCTCTTTGGGTGTTTTTTGAGTTTCCGATATTTTGGGGAAAGGTTACTCTCAGAATTGGTAACTTTTCAGACAACTGATTTTTTCAAACTCACCAACACTATCATTGTTTTTACACAAAAGGCTAGCAAATGAATTTTTCTTATTCAACAACGAATGAATCTGAGAATTGTCTAAACCTGGAGAACTTCCAGCACGTGAACGAACTGTTTGTCTGAAAAACACACATATTTTTCAGAGAAATCAAATTTTCTATTTTCTTACGGTCTTGAACTCTTTTTCGATGGCGGCGGTGAGATTTTTCGTCGATTCATCATTACCTAAAAATTTTGAAAAAAAATATTTTCTGCTGGTGACGTATTATGAAGAAATTCACACTTGATCAACTTTAATTATAGAATTTTGAAAAACAATAGCCCACATTTTTCAATTATCTAAAAGTGCTGGGATAAACGTAAATATTATCGAGACAAAAAGTGACGTACAATCAAAGATAATTGAGAATCTAAATATAACCTTGATTATTTTTCTCTTTTTTTTTGAATATATTCTAATTGGACTCTAAAATATTCAATGATAGTATTTTTTCAGATGAGATGAAGAAAATGAAAAAGAAAAAGCGCTGATCAATAATTTGATGTTGATTTAATAATAGGGAAAGGCTTTATGATAGAGAAGAAAAAAGAAGTGGTTTGAGTTTTGTTAAATCAAAATTCCCAACAGAATTCATTACGTAAGACATGTTTTCGAGTTATTCTGAAAAATTGACATTTAGATAATTCGGAAAAGTCATCAAATGATGATTCTGAATCACCGAAATTATATTTTTTTCCAAGTTAGAAAGATAATTGAAAGTACATACATATGAAATGCTTTCAGTGATCTATCAAAAAATTCCGGAAATTAGAAAATCATAGAGCGAAAAATTTGAGAAAAACAACTACAGTAATTTAGACTTCCCGAACAATCTGCTGACTACAATTGTAGAATTGTTCGACTCTTGATTAGTTTATTATTCAAAGAAAAAGGTAAACAATTTTTCTTGGAAAATATTGGCGAAATTCAATTATTTACTGAATGATCATTTGCACTTTAAGGAAATTTCAGAAAAAAAAACGAAAGCAATTATTTTTCAGAAAATGTTATTATAAGTTCAGTAGGATCAAATCAACATCAAAGTTCGCAATAAACATCTCAAATTATTTTGAGGAACTAAGAAGATCTACAATGAATCTTAAAAAATCTTATGTATTTCGGAAAAAGGAAGAAATTAAATAAAAGAAGTGTATTTAGTATGGGTTATGGGACTGATGTTGACTCCACCCACCGATTCGATTCCTTCTTTCTTTTTTCTTTCTGGTTCGTTGCCTGGACAACACTGATTTCTTTTCTTTTTCTTCTTCTACTCATTTTCAGACACACAAACACACATAACTTTTGGATATTTCGAGAAGGGGAAAATTGATTTCACAAAAAAACAGAAGCTGATAATTGGGTTATTTATACGAAAAATGGAATTATTCATGAAAAACAAACAATTGGATATTCTGAACAAATTTAACACAGAAAGTAATTTATAAATGCTTTCGATAACTTCAAAATACAAAAGAAAACAAGTAGAAATAGGACAATTAACAGAGCGTTATGAATGCGAAAAAAGTATGAAATTATTAAAGCCAAGAAATTAACAAGCACGTGAATGCTCAATGATGTGGCAAATCAAAAATCATTTCCTCTTTGAATTTTCTATAGTTCCTTATTTTTGGAAATTTAACAAAAAAACCCATTTTTTTCGAAAAGTAGCAGAAAGTCGGGAAATTTTTCAAAAAATCTAATAGCAAATTTAGCTCTGTCGGAAAAATCCGGACGATTTCTCTTGCTTATTGTTAACATAAAAACTGAATTTCAGAACCATTTTGAACAACACGATTCCTGAAGGTAAAAATGGCGTGGTCAAAAAAATTTAGGAAAAATAACCAAATTTTTCTCAACTCCTCCAAAAACATTGAATTTAATTTTTGTCAAAATTTTGTATTATTCTTTCAAAAATCCTATTAACAATTTATGCAAAAATATATACAAAACCTTCCTGTTATTATCCTAAAACGAATAGTTGTTTTTTGTCGAATTTCGTTTGTGCTTCATCCAAAGCAGCCGAATGTTGATTAATCGATTTTTCAACAAAATCTTGTTTGGCCATTTCACCAGATTTCATCCATTTTGCAAGATCAGAATACATTTCCAATCGTTTCTAGAATTTAACCAGATTTATTATTTTAATTTAGTTTTCAGAAAAAAAATACCTGTGGTGTTTTTTGAATATCATACCATCTGGACATCCAAAATCCTCTCAATGAAATATCTTTGAAAATAAGTGGCCCAGTTGGTGATTGAACTGGTTGTTTACTCATTCCTCCATATGTTACCATACTTCCTCCATGATCAAGAACACTGGCCAAGAATAAACTACTTCTACCACCAACACAATTCAACGCCAATTTTACTCCTTTGAACTTTTTCTTTCTTCTAAAATTCTTAAAATTTTACCATTTTCAATTTTCGAAATTTCACTAACCCATAAAGATCTTCTTCTGTTATGACATCGGTGGCACCAAGTTTTGTGAGTTCAGCAACCAAATCACTCAAATTTTCACGATTTCTCACAACATTCACAGTTTTCACTCCTAATATTCTACAAATTTGAATAACTTGTTTACCAACTGCTGAGTTTGCACCATTTTGAATAACTGTGTCGCCAGGTTTGAGATCAATGAAATCTTTGAGCATACGATAAGCAGTTGGAGGATTTACCTTCAAAAACATAGTGTAAAAAGAGAAAAACTAAGAGAAAAATAATTACTTGAAAAACGGCAGCATATTCGAGAGGAAGCTCGTTGTCGATAGGAAAAACATCATTTTCTCCATGAACTCCAAGTTCTCTCCATGTTCCCAATCCTGATTTATTTGGAATCACAAAATCGCCAACTTTCAATCCTTTCACACCTGATCCTATTTGTTCGACTCTTCCAAAACCCTCATTTCCACCAACGGCTGGCAATTTTGGTTTTACAGGATATACACCTTGTATTTGATTCAGATCAGCTGGATTAATTGGTGCTGCAATCCATTTCACCAACACTTGTTCTGAATTCAATTTATCAGGAATTTCGATAGTTTTCAATTGAATTGCCTGAAAAACTATTGGAATTTATGTCTACCTATGAAAACTCTTACTTCTGGCGGATTCCCGTATCCTTCATAAACCAATTGACGAGCTGAAATGCATCTTCGAGCGATGGTTACTGTTGAAAATGATTTAAACATTCTGTAAACAAATAGCTTAATTTCACATATGAAGCTGAAAAATAATGAAGCGGAGAAAGATATTCAAGAATTATATAAGAAGCCTCAATCTAAAACAATTCTTTGAACTTGATTCGCGAAACCAGTGAACAATTTGCTTGTCAAAAACGTTTAAACCAAACTCGAAAAAATGAAAATATTTTTTTATCTGTTGGCCGAACTTTTGCATGGCCGGATGTTTGTTTCTCTAGGCCATATTTCTGTTTTCTTTTTTTTGCACTCGTTTTTTGTTGTTGTTTTTTCAAGTTTAAACGGGTTTCTCTGATTCCGTATATTTTATAAGCTTTGCGTAACACAAGACAGGCGGTTGGCAGATATTTTTCGTATTGTTTCACTCCTAAAAATCGATTGGTAAGCTTATAATCGAGCATAAATGATTTTCTCATTGCAAGAATAGATACGTGAACCGGGTTAAGTACTACTGTTTTTTGATAATTCTAGAGATAAGTATAAGCAGAGAAATTGTTTCCCATTTCTAGAAAAGATAGATACGTAAACCGGGCTGTATATTTACTTATGTAAAAAAATTATTGATATACAAACTTCAATGCATCAAAGTGAGTCAAACTAAAAAAAAACTCCAACATTCCGTTATTAGCATATAATAATACAAACGTATTCCAACAAAAATTTACCAGTCTTCTCAACCAATTCTAGACCTTATTGATTTGATGTTGAGCTTGTGCATGTTTTTTCCAGTGTTTTTTCAATGTTTCAAACGGCAACACGAGCATTTTCCCAACCCCTTCTGCAAAGTTCAGAAATTCAAACTTTCTATTTTTCCACTCTCTGTGTCTCTTTTCTTTTTACGATGATTTGTTGTTGTTGTTGCCCTTTGGTTGCCCCTTGAAAATGTTTCATCATTCGGGCGCTCGCGCGACGCACGACCTTCAACCAATCTTTTTTCTGGGTGTAAGTATCATTTGTGTAAAAATTTGTTTTTTTCTCCCTCTATTTAGGTGTTTCGATTCGTTCAGACCGCGCAAGTTTCAGCCCAGGTGTCTGATGAAAACCAGATGTTTTTTATTCTCATTTTTTTCGCCAGCACTCGAAAAAAATGTGCTGTTCTCAAAGTGAGAGTGAGAGCGCGCCCAATGGCATTCTCAGCGATAAACAAGTCGTCTGCTTCTTTTCCCTCTCTTTTTGCCCTTCTTTCAACTAAACACTCTTGCCGCCCATCGGACACCGAGATGCCATTTCGAAAGAGTTTTTTGTTTGTGTTGTGCCTGTTCAATCTCCACATAGTGTTACCCTTTCGTTTTCAATGCCCTGTTTATAGTTCAATCAATCCATCATTTTTTCCACTTGCGGTCTTTTCATCTATCTCTAAAAGTTTCATTCAAAAATATTTTCTTAGAGGCAATTTTCTTGAAATGACTCATAAAAACGTTCTGGAACTGATCAAAAAACAACTGTTTTGAAACACATTTCTCAAAAACACTATAGTTATCTATAGATAATTTCGCAATTCGAGACTAATTCTTATGCTGTATCAGATTTCCATTTTATTTTTTTCCTTCCTGGAAAAAAGGAAAAAACTCCGCCTACAAATCGTATCATTTCCACCTTGTTTACACATACATTCTTTTCACATCATATTCATAATCATTTATTTGATAAAAATCATTCTCTTTTCATTTTTCCATTTTCCTGGAAGCATTTTTTGCGATAAGTTTCAATTTCTCCGGGCCAACGAAAGACTGCAAAATTTAATTAGTAAAATCAAACAATAGAAAAAGTACGGATGTTAGTATTCATCATCGCGTTTGTTTTTTTTGTCAAAAGATTGAGAAAACTCCGCCTTTTTGTTGGGGGTTTCGTTTGTCTGCCCTCTTACATCTAAATCATTTTACAAAAAAACGTCGACACGATGTCAGTGAACGTTTTTGTGTGGTTTTTTCTCTCAAGTGTTGGTTTTTAACAAAACGCACTTTTTTTCTAAATTTAATTGGATTAAAATGTTTATTTCTTTATTTCTCTCATGTTTCATAGAAGTTCAAAAATCTCATAGAACTCTCGATCGAAAAACAAAACAATTATTGGATTTGTTAGTTCACCTATTTTATACGGTTTCGATTTCAAGGCCTTCTTTCTCTATTTCTATTTTATGAGATTTTTCACTGTTATTGTTTGATGTTTCAAAACTCTCATAAATATCAAATTTCTCCCACATTTTCAAAAAAAAAGTTCTCTTTTTGTTCCAGGTAACCTTCAACGACCAAAAAAGCAATCAATATGTCCGGAGAAGAGGGAAAGTCTTACGTGAGTTTCAAACAAAAAGCTAGGTTTTACCAAAAAAAATGAAATGCTGATGAAATTTTGAAGGACGGATAGGTGAGAAGAAAAGGAAAAAACGAAAGGAAAACATATTTTTCCCAATGTTTTTGTTATTTAAATGGACCTTTTGTATTTTTGAGAAAAACAACGAGAAAAACAATATTTGTTACAAAAGTATTTAAAAATAGAATGAAAGAATGGTCAAAACTAAAAAATAAAGCATGTCCTATTTTTTTCTTGAAAGTAAGGTCAGAAGAATTTCAGTCTTCAATTGATGAAAAAACTTTTTTTTTCAAAAATTTTACTTTTAATTTTGCAACGAACTTTTCAGCGGAAAGTTTCAACTTCTATATGTTTTCTCTTTCTCTTTATTTTGGCATTTGATAAAAATTGAAAATTCTAAGCGACACTTTTTTTCTCAACTGTTATGACGTGTCTACAGTACTCCAAAAGTTCTTTCTGACAAATTACCTTGTCATACCTTTTGTTGTTCGGCACAAAAGGTAATTCAAAAAAGGATTGCTTTAAGTTTTCTTTCTATTGTGAGTTATTTTTCATCATATTTCCAAACTTTTGTTTGAAAAAACACCCCACATTTTCATCACTAAAAACTTCAATGTCAAATAAAAAATTTTCAGTCAAAATGTTTCGTCTAGAACTTTAATCTTTCGGTAAAACAGAAATAGTGCAGTAAAACAGAAATAGTTCTCTTTCTTTGGAAGAATATTTGGAAAACATTTTCTGAAGAATTCTTTAATTTCATCCTCAGATTTTATATTCATGACGTGACCTTTGCTTTACTCACCCATTTATTTTTTTTAGCATTAATCATTTTCTGTTTTTTTCAAAATAAACATGTTGATAGGTCTTCCCCTCTGGAAAGCATATCTTATTCAAACAACTTTGTCGAATATAACTAATTATAGTTCACAAGATTTGGTATGTGTGTTTTCTGAATTCTTCAAAATATGAAGCTCCTTGGAAAATAATTGGCTAATAAAAGTTTCTTCCGTTTATTTTGATTATTCATTCATTCGATTGCCCTTCTTATGATTTATAATGGAAAATTAATAATAACATATAATCGTTGTTGTGCTTTCTGGTGACACCCTTCTTATTTTTTCTCGCTCCTTCGAATGATTCATCCATCCCTCTCACTTTATTATTATTATGGTTTTTCCCTTCGTTCGTTCGTTTATCGATAAGAATGTGTCAAAACATTGTGCCTCGTTCAAAAACGAAACTACTTGCCCTTTTTTCTTTCTATTTCCTGGGGCGGAGCCAATACACCATAGCATATTTCTCTGTGTCTCAGTTTTGTTGCCTGGTTTCTCGTTTTTTTCTGCCTGCGCGCATATATGTTTCACACATACTGTTTGTGTTTCATTTTTCGAAACTCTTTCTTTTTGAACTTCAAGTTCTTCTACTTTTTGAATATATAATAATAATATAAGTAAGTAGTTTAGAATGAGCCATATTCCTCAATCGACTCCACCAGCTTTCATCCGTTGGTATGAAAATGAAAAGGTAAGGAAACATGAGAATCAGTGAAGTGGAAAATTGAAAAATAGGGATTTTCTATAAGTTGAATGTTAGATCTTCCTGTTGGATAAAAGTCGTAATTTTTTGTAGTGATACTTTCTTAGCGCACCTATAGTCCAAATTTTATTGCTCACCTTTTTTGAATGACGTTCTTATCAAGAAATTTTGCTTTACAACTTTGAACTTTATTTATCATCTTTTTAATCAAAGTTGAGTACAAACAATCCTGGAATTTGATGGTTGATCTCTTCTAACTTTTAATCTAAAACTGGATCAATTATATTCGCACTTTCAAAGAGATTACCCCTATCGAATTTCCAGTTTTTTGTGTTGTTTGTTTTTTTTCTTCCCAAAATTGGTGGCGGATGCACACACCATCCAGATTCAATCATTTCGCTCTCTGTTTTGGCGCCTTTTTAGTCGTTCATAGATCATCACGCGATTTGGAAGCTTGAAAAAAGTTTGTGTGCCTCACTTTTTCGTCGTCTTCTTTTCCATCTTTTTATTTTTATGCTAACCTTTTTGAGTATTGTGAAATGGCATATGGATGAAAAAGAACTATGGGTTGGTAAGAATATTGGAGAAAAAAGTTTATTTCTCAAACACTTATTTATTTTTGCCTATCTGTCAATATATAAAAACTTTCAAACTATACAAACAAAATGATTCAGCATTTTATTATATATCAATTTTAGTTTTGATAAAAAAGAAAAAAATCAGAGCAATGAAAATCATAAAAAAATGACATTTTTCAGCCAGTCCCATACCGTAGCGTTCTTCAAGAGAAGTTCGAACCAGGACAAACTTTGATTGTCAAGGGATCAACAATTGATGAATCTCAAAGATTCACCATCAATCTTCACGCGAAATCTGCTGATTTCTCTGGAAACGATGTCCCAATTCACGTTTCTGTTCGTTTCGATGAGGGAAAGATTGTTTTGAACTCTTTCTCGAATGGAGAATGGGGAAAAGAAGAGAGAAAATCAAACCCAATCAAAAAGGGAGATTCATTCGATATCAGAATCCGCGCTCACGATGATAGATTCCAAATTATTGTTGATCACAAAGAATTCAAGGACTACGAACATCGTCTTCCACTTTCATCAATCTCTCATTTCTCAATTGATGGAGATTTGTATTTGAACCATGTTCATTGGGGAGGAAAATACTACGTTAGTTTATCAATTTTATAAACTTTTGAAAACAAATAAACGTTTTATTTTTCAGCCAGTCCCATACGAAAGTGGACTTGCCAACGGACTTCCAGTTGGAAAGACTCTTTTGGTCTTCGGAACTGTCGAGAAGAAGGCCAAGAAGTTCCACTTGAACTTGCTCCGCAAAAATGGAGACATTGCTCTTCACTTCAATCCAAGATTCGATGAGAAGGTAATTTTCATAAAGAATAACAAAAGGTTATTTACAAAATAAATTTATTTTAGGCTGTCATTCGCAACTCATTGGCTGCCAATGAATGGGGAAATGAGGAACGCGAAGGAAAGATTCCATTCGAGAAAGGAGTTGGATTCGATTTGGCCATCCAAAACGAAGCCTACGCTTTCCAAGTAAGATACTTTGATTTTGAAATATTCCATCAATCCAATATTTGCAGATCTTCGTCAATGGCGAACGTTTCGCTTCATTCGCTCACCGCGCTGATCCAAATGACATCGCTGGACTCCAAATCTCTGGAGATATCGAATTGACTGGAATTCAAATCCAATAAATCAACTCGTTTTATTTATAACTTCTAAACAACATCACGCTGCCCCTTTCATGTAACTTTTTCCCAAAACGTAATTTTTCTCTTTACATTTATTGACTGTGTTTTTCTTTTCAACTTTTTCTAATAAATATTCTGTCCAGATTTTGTTTCGAATCAAGAAATTCTAGTGTAAATAATATCCACGAAAATATATAAAACGGTTTTTTGGCTTTGGAGAACATTAGAAACGTTTGGCACCTGGGTAAAAGGGTGGCCGAATTTTATATGGCCTAGTAAACCAATAATAATAATTATTATTTTTTTACGGCCGCTCCCGTGTGTGTTCCTTTTTTGTTGGTTTTCAGAGCAATCGGTTAGCGCCATAGGAAAATGTCTCGAAAATGTTTTATTCAAAATATACCATAATCAATAAATTCAAATAACTTTTGTCCTAAGTCGTTTTTTTCTCCGACAAGTGAAACATAAAACTCAGAAATCAAAGAATGTTCACACATCGCTCGTTTACTATTTATTTTGTTTGTATAGCTATAAAATGCGAGAATCGATTTATCCAAAAATTACACCTGTCAAATTTATAGATTTTGAATGAGTGCAGACACTTCGACTCGATTACTGCAACTTGATGGATTATTAGAGTCGAAAAATCGAGCTATTCGAACAGAAGCAGCTGCCGCTTTTGGAAAATTTTCGATTTTCGATGATAATGTTGTTAAGGTGACTAACTCTCATTTTTCATTCTTTTTAAATAAAAAAAAACATTTTTCATAGATTCTCAAGAAACATTTATCATCACAATCATGGGATGCACGTGTAACTGCTGGCAAAGCACTTTTCGCCGTTCTCCAAAATCTACAAAATATTGAAAATTTATCAAGTGTAAAAAAAGAGAAATGTGAAATATCGGAGACATTCGAGCAACTTCAAAATATCAATGTTCAACGAGTTCTAAAAACATATCGACCACTTCTAGGCGATGCTGAAAATAGTGTAAAAAGTGCAAAAGGAGGAGAATCACAGAATAATAATCGAAGGCAAAGAGAATTAATTGATCAACATTTGGAATATAATCAATTGACTGGAATTACTTCGGTTAGTTTGTTTTTTTCTATTAATTTGAAATAATAAGTTTTTTTTTAGAAAAAATTCTTGAGCGATGATGAATTGATGGGAACTTGTTCAACAAGTACTTCAGAGCCCACCAATTTCTCACAAGAATTATCGCAAGTTGTTCAAAGTGTGAAAAAAGAAGAGATTGTTGATAATGACAATAGTGTTGAAGAGATTAATGAGAGAAATCGAAAATTCTGGGGAATTTTGAAGGATTTGGTGAATCAAGTAACTGATCAAAGGTGGATTGCGAGGCACGGAAGTGCAATCGCTGTTTGTCAAATTGCGATGAGCTCATTTCATAGGTAAGGTTGTTTTTTTTTAAGTTTTTGACACACTGGTTTTTTTGTCAGGTTATCAAATGATTTAATCGATTCATGCTTGTATCTATTTATCCACGTTTTAATATTAGACAAATTCAATGATTTCATTTCGGGTAGAAATGCAACGGCGCCAGTAAGAGAGCAATGTGCTCAAGCAGTTGTTCATATGTTAAGAAATTTGGATGATATCCGACGAGAAACAGTTCTTCAAATTATTGTTCAAATGATGAATACACCTGGCGAACAAAATTGGAATGTGAGACAAAGTGGTTTATTGGTTATGAAATATTATTTTGCAATTGCAACAAATGATGGACAACGAGATACTTTTGATAGATGTTTTGATCTTGTTATACAATCATTGAATGATACAGTTGATGATGTAGGTTTCGAATACTTTTATTACAATTTCAAAAATAAACAATACATTTATTCTCATAGGTTACGGGATGTGCAGTAAAAACTTTATCTTCAATATTGGCAAATGAATCAATACCTCGTGAGGAAATGAATGGTTTAGTTGAAAAAGTAATGGTTCACGTTTGGCGATTGTTGAAAATCGAAGCTGGAAAAGAGCAACTTCGTTCTGGCCTCGATGCTCTTTGTATCGATTTAATTGAAATTGTTGAACTTTGGTTGAATTGGAATCAAGATTCGAATATTACTAGGTTAGTATTCTTTCTGAAATTTTTTAAATTTATTTTTCTTTTTCCAGAGATAATTTATTAATTATTTGTTCAATGCTTGATGTTTCATTTCCGCAAAGATGTGAAAGAATTGTGAAACTGATTGATTTGGATTTAGATCGAATACATAATAACAAATTGAATTCGCAAGATGTTTTTGATATAATCAAACAATTTTATCGCATTTTATTGTTCACTCCACCCGTCGATTCTCTTCAATTTTTGGAGAAAACTTTTCTCACATTTCAAAAATTATATAAATCATATTTGTAAGTTTTTTAAAGATATTTTTTTTTCGAAAATTTCTAATGTTGCTCATTTAGATCTGTTTTGATTGAAAATGGTGAAATCAGTAAGAAGATTGGTATTTGGACTGGCTGTCTTCTTTTTGATCATCGAAATCCAATGATAAATGTCTTTGATCATTGTGTTGATGGAATATCAAGTGAACTTTCATCGCCAACAGAAAGAATGTGCTCTGAAGAAATGCGATTTTTATCGGAAAAGTGAGTTTTTTTTTTTTTTTTATATTTCAATTTTTTTATATTTCAAAATTTTGCAGAGAGAAAGATCATAGCTATCTTACCCGTAAAATATTATGCGCAAAATTTCTTGCCACAATATTTCAAAGTTTATATGAATGTGATGGTGAGATGAGTGGCGGACAGAAAGTATCAATGGCGATTCAGTTGATTTTTGTGCCATTTTTTCAATCGAATAGTGTTATGCATAATTTGGGAGCATCGATTGTTGTTAATGAATGGGCTGCACTTTATAGATCTGCTATTAATTGGTAACAATTTATTCAAATTAAACTAATTTTAATCTTTTCGAAATTTCAGCAAACAAACTGAAAAAGATCCACCAATGACAATTGTACAATTAGCTGATAGTGTTCTACGTGGTTCAAATGGACAAACAAAACAATATGATGAAATGACAAGTAGTGTGAATATGTTGACAAAAGATTGTAATGAATTTATTGAATATTGTTCGATTCGAGGTTTTGATAAAACACAAATCGATTTATCTGTTGCTGAATCAATTGAACAAATTAGCAAGTTAGTTTTTTTTTTTTGAAAAATTATTCTATTGTTCTAAACTTCTGGATTTTTCCCAGAATTGCATACAACACTTCGAGAGATACACTCAAAACTGAAAAGCAGAGAGAATCTATGGATTCGAGATATAATGTGTTGAAAAGAACAATCGAAAGTTTGAAAATGAATATAAGAACGAATGCTATACGGATAAATTCACTATTATCATCAACATTATTTTATTTCGGAAGTGCTCCAGAAAAGTTGACCCCACAAATAAGGCCACTTGTTGAAACGATGCAATTTGAAGAAAATGATGCGATTTCAGCTGAAATATTTCGAGGTTCAATTCCTCTACTTGTAATGTATAGTTGGCCAAGAACACCGAGACCTTATGTAAAAGTATTAGCAAAAGCATTTGAATCATTTGCAAGTTGTTCATTTAGAATACCAAAACCTGGAACTATGATAGATTCAACTGAATCAATTATTAGTTTTAATAGAATATGTGGAATTAATTTAAATGGAGACGAAGAAGATAATTCAACTGGAAATGATTCTACTGTTAACAAAATATCATCGCAAAGTAAAAATGCTGAACTTGTTATGCTAGTTAGTTTTAGTTTTTTTGTATATTTCAGAATGTTTTTGAATTCCAGATTTTATGTCAATTTTCATCTGTTCAGTTGCCGGAATTTTATGAACATTTCGATTTAAACGAACAAATTGATGAAACGGTAAGATTTGGAGAAAAACCTTTTCCATTTGTTTTTTCAACCCAAATATTTGCAGACACTTCTACAACGATTAGAACTTCACGAATGTTTTTGGAATCGAGTTGGATCTCGTTTATCGGATGTTTCTACTCAAAAATTGTTCGATTTATTATCATCATCAGATGCAACTCTTCGTTTTGCTGCCTCAAAAGCCATCGAAACATTCTGCAAATCACAATGCGGTGATTCAATTTCGAGATGTTTTCCGAAAATTTTGAAAATGTCAGAAAATTTGACAAATGTAAATGAAAGACTTGGAGCAGTAGAAGCATTACTTCGATTATCAACTTGTGATTTGACTGGATTAGCAACATTATTATGTCCAATTGTATTTCGATTATTAACTGATAAATGTGAAATAATTCGAGATGCAGCTGGAGAAACATTTCGAAGATTAGTTCCGATGGTTACTGTTGAAGATCCAAATTATCAAATTATTGATTTATCTGAAGAATTAATCAAGAGAAAAAATGATAATAAGAATTTTATAAATGTTCTTGGATCACCAAATAGTTTGCCGCGAATTCAAACAGATCAAATAAAAGGAGGATTTGATGGAAACATGTTACGAGAATATCAATTAGAAGGTATTACTTGGTTGAGATTTCTTCGACATTATGGTTTAAATGGAATTCTTGCTGATGATATGGGACTCGGAAAAACACTTCAAACAATGTGTGCAATATCACTTTCTTTGGATAATGATGAAATTGATAAAAAAGAAAGATGTTCATTAATTGTTTGTCCACGAACATTAGTTGATCATTGGTGTTTGGAATGGAAAAGATATTTTCCAAAACGAGATAAAGCCTTGAAATCAGTACAAAAATGTACGGGAGCTGATATTTGTGTGATTGCTTATGAAGATCTCAAATCGAATCCACTTGTTTTGTAAGTGTTTTTTTCCATAACTTGATCACATCTAATTTTTTTAGAAAGAAAGTTTGGAATTATGTGGTTCTTGATGAAGGTCATGTAATGCGAAATACAAAAACTCAAGTCTTCAAATGTGCCACTCAATTAGTATGTAGAAGTCGTCTAATTTTATCAGGAACACCAGTTCAAAATTCACCAGCTGATTTATGGGCTCTTTTTACTTGGTTGATGCCTGGATATCTTGGAACTGAAAAACAATTTAGAGCACAATTTTTGAAACGAATTTTGAAGTGTCGGAATCCGAAAGCAACAGAAGCTGATCTGAAATCTGGAACTGCTGCACTTCAACATTTGCACAAATTAATTCTTCCATTTGTTTTGAGAAGATTGAAATGTGATGTAAGTTTTTTAAAGAGAGAAATCATTCAAAATGTTTTACAATTTCAGGTTCTCAAAGAATTACCCGACAAAAATGTGCAAGATTACGAATGTGATTTGAGTACTGATCAAAAAGAAGTTTATCGATTTATTGTTGATCGATGTAGTTCTGATCCTTCGGAAATCAAATCTGGAGTTGGAATAAGTGCATTGCACACACTTATTGCTTTACGGAAATTGGTTGATCATCCTTGTTTAACAATTGATACATTACAACGATTAAATGCACCAAAAGATATTATGAAAAAGGTAATTGAACATTTTTGCTGGACAATATGATAATTGGGAGATTTTGAGTCTTATCGATTTTCTGCTTCAAACATATTCCAATTTTTCTAGGCTGAAACAGCACGATCTGGAAAACTTGAAGCTCTTGGCCAACTTCTCGTCGAATGTGGTATTTGTGAAAGTGAAGATGCTGAACATGAAATCGACGATGATCCGTTAACAACATCAACTGCAACAACTTCAAATGATTCAAATCATCGAGCATTGATTTTCTGCCAATGGAAAGTTTCTGCTAAATTGGTTTCTGCGAAATTGTCAAGCGGAGAATTTGGAAGTGTTGTATCACATTTAGTATTAGATGGTGATGTTGCACCAAATGATCGAATGAAAATGGTCAATCGATTTAATGAAGATCCAACTATTGATGTTCTTGTTCTCACAACACATGTTAGTTTTGTCTCTTTTTAAATTGTTAGACTCAATAGAGGTTTTTTTTCAGATTGGTGGAGTTGGACTAAATCTAACTGGAGCTGATACAGTTATATTTTTAGATCATGATTGGAATCCGATGAAAGATTTACAAGCTATCGATAGGTATACAATTTTTTAAAAATTATAAAATAATTGTTATTTTTCAGAGCTCATCGATTAGGTCAAACGAAAAAAGTGAATGTTTATCGACTTATAACACAAGGAACAATTGAAGAAAAAGTGATGAGTTTGGCGAAATTCAAATTGAATACAGCACAGGCACTGATTAGTGATGATAATACTTCTTTACAATCAATGCAAACTGGAGAATTAATGGAAATGTTTACATTGGATGGAGATGAAAAGAAAAAGAAAAATTATGGAAATGGTGAACCGAGTGCGAAAAGAGCTAAAAAAGTTGGTTTTTATTGTCGAAAATTCTGAAAAAAACTTAATTTCTCGCAGAAATTATTCGAGTTCGTCTACATTATCAACGGGTGGAGCCGGAGAAGAATGGAATTTGGCCGAAATGTGGGATGAAAGCCAATATGAAGATTTTCAAGTTTCAAGTTTTCTCAAAGGACAATAGAGATTTTATCAAATTTTTATTATATGAAAAATTCAAAATCAAGTTGTTCTTTCTTTTTTTTAATTTCACGAGGTTCGAAATCTTTATCAATATTTTCTTCATCTCACAAACTTTTTGGAAAAACATTTTGTTTTTAATTTCAGACTTGAATTCAGAGATCTCAATGGAATCTACTTCACCGAAAATAGGTAAACAATGAAGACGGGGGAAACAGACACCGATTTCAAAATTTTCAGAAAAACTTCGACCTCTCATGGATTTTGTAGATCACACAGATCAATTGGCAGAACAAACATTGGAATCAGTTGATTGGAAACAAGTTGAAAAAATGATGCCAAGGATCTTAAAAGTGAGGAATTTAATTCATTTTAAAATGAATGGTAGTGGGAATGAACTAGTTGATTCTATACAAAAAATAAACGAAATTTTGACCGAGAATCTTGGAATTCGATTAAAATTTTGCAATTTCTCCTGACAAAGCTCTCTTTTAAAATATTCCTATTTTTAGGGAAAATCTCGAGATGATATAAAACAATTGCTATTAGCTGAACTCGATGGAATGTCGAAAAAGCGAATTATTGCTGTTCTTTCTGGACATGATTTTGAAGAATCATCGAGTTCTGAAGAAGAAGAAGAAGAGATGGAAATTGAGGAGCAAAAAAGAAATTGAAGAAAATGGACAAAAAACAGTTGAGAATAAAACAACAATATCAGAGAAAGAAGAAGAAGATGTGACACAGGCTTCAGAATCAGATATATCAGAAGATGGAGAAATAAAATCAGATGATGGAAAGAAAGAAGAGAAACAGAAAGAAGTTGAAGAGAAATCGGATGAAACTGAAAATGTTGAAAAAGGAGAAGAAATCGAGGAAGAAGATGAAGAAGAACGGGTAAATCGAGAAATTCAAGAAGAAGTTGATTCTTTCTTTGATTGATATGTATATCATATACGTGTCCTGTATAATAATAAAATTTAACTTATTACGGTGGGAAATTTTCAATATTCAAGTTCAACAAAGTTGCTACTGAAAGAATTCGCTAATTTTTGATTTAGGAATATTTTTCAGCTTACTCGAATTAGTTTTTTCATCAAATTTTATGAACTTGTGAAAAATATATAACAAAACATGTTTAATTATTGGAATTTTCACGTGAACGTGCAAATTTATCAACTTAATAATTACAGTGACTCAGACAAACAAAATAGCATTTTCTTAGTTCTCAAATTTTTCAATCCCCCTGAAATTTCATCTACAGTATCCCAGACAAACTTTGTTCTAATTGTTTGTTCTGAAATTACCAAAAGGTTTCTAGTTACACTCTTAAAAATGGAAAGAAATTTGAGATTTGAATGTTTACACACATTTTTACATACATGGAACTTTGTTACTTTATTCAATCCCGATTTTTCAAAATGATTTTTGTTTTCCGAATCATTTTTCAGTTTCTTCCTTTTTCTCCCCCAAATTCTTTACCATTTTCTGATGAAATTAAGTAGACAATAGCGAGTTTGTGCAAAATACCCTAATCCAATCACTTTTTTCTCGTTTTTTTTCGACGCAAACATTTTTTGTTCGAATATTTATGTTCATCAAAACACAAGGAAATGTCAAAAAAGTGTGATCCCATTAAAATATTGAATTTCAGCAGGTTTTCACTCTTCGTAAAATGTCGAAAAAATATCGAATTTCCGCTAGAAAATTCTTTAACACTTGGTCGATGTTAATCTTTTCTAAGATCAAACTTGCAAAAAAATTATATTCTGTTCCTTTTTTGATGAATACAAATTTACATAATCCAGGCTATTTTCAGAATTATTAACTTTCGATCTCAAAGAATTTCGACGATTTCTGAAAACGCGTTTTCAGAAGAAAAAATGAGAAAGTGTTAATTATTTTTGTTGAATTATTCACGATTTTTCCGAGTTTTTCCTCGTCTCACATTTTTCTACGTCAAATAACAAATTACATACTCTTTGCAGCGAAAAAACATGATTTCATTGATTTTCAAAAAATCCATTTACAAGTAGTTTTTTTCCAAATTGTAAATATCTGCCACCTGTGAAAAAAAAGTAGAAAAAACTAATCGGTGCAATTTTTGTTGCCAGCAATTATGTGCAACTTTTTGAGTCATTTTTTCGAGTGTGTTCTGATCATTTCAACTAAACATTTTAATTACCAAAAGATTAATTTTCAATTAAAAATAGATGTTTCCCTCGTTTTTTCTCAACCGCTTACTTCCTTTTGATTTTTCATCGGCTTTTTTCAAACATTCCTCCACCTCATTACCATAATCTGAGTAAGTATCTAATTACAGTACCATTCTTGGGATAATCTTTTTTCAAAATTGAATCGAAGCCCAATAAATTCGAGTTTACGACTTTGTTTTCTTTTTTCCCAAAAATTTTTTTCCGACAAAAAAGTTTATTTTCGGACCAGTTTTTCGTCAGTCCCTCCCTAAATTTGTAGTATTGTTCGTCTGTTTTTTGAGGAAAGAGATTAGGGTTAAAAAAAGAGGATGGAATCCGGAGGACAAAAGATTATTTATTTTTGACATTTTTTTCTGGAAATATTTAGTTGATGTAAATAATATTATAAAACTATAGTTGGAAATGGAAGATTATCGATGGAATTTTTTGAGAAAATTACTTTTGTTTATAGAATTGAGTTGGTTGAACTCAATATTGTCTGAACTCGTTCAAAGAAAAAATGATGAAAAGCCTCCAACGAAAAGATACCTAGAATATTGTAAAACCAGGATTACTTTGTATTCGAACTTCAAAAACCGACAAACCTGATTCAAAAAAGAATTTAAATTTTGGAATCCCCAGATTTGTTCCAGTTTCGAACCCTGCTTTTCAGGAAGGTACAAAATGTTTGTTTTCAAAAACAACAATCCAAAAAATTCTTGATTTACCCAAAGCACATAAAATGATAATGTGGTTTTTTTGGTGTTACAATAAATTTTCTGGATTTTTTCTAAAACCCCTTCCTGTTTTTGTTCCGCTGGATTTCCGTGACGCAAAAACTTTTTCACACGAGTTCCGAATTTGCAATTTGTTCAGTCTAGCCATTTTCGTGCACTTTCTATCTACCAGCTTCTGTTCTGTACTTTCGTGAAGCCAAAATGTTTTCAACAATGAAAATAATAATATTTTTGTTTTAGTTGTGAACAATTCGCACGTAAACCGGACTTGTTTATAGCACAGTTTTCCAGCAAATGGAGTGTGAATAATCTGTACTATGTAAATTTGAAATAACTATTTGCACTAACTCAAAATAGTTTTTTTTGAGATAAAAAGTTAGAATACAAAACTCAATAGGGAAGTTGTACATTAAGTTTAAAAAAGTAATGTTTTCCGGAAGAGCAAATGAAGCTTTTTGATTTTATATTTCCGTTCTAAATTTTTGTGGTTTGATTACGTCACGGATTCAATTTAAAATTTCAACAAAAGCCAATTTTTCATTTTTTTTTTTCTCCACAAAACCAAGAGAAAATCCAATTCTGTCTCCAGACAACCTTCAAACAATTTATCATATTTTTTAATAGAAGATTTTTGTCGCCTTCTTCCTTTTCTTATTTTTCTTTCATCTCAAAGGAATGAGAATATATGAATGTCGATTTATTTTAAAATGCATGTCGTTTTTAGACCCATGTTTTTATTTCGTAATTTTTCTTTACTTTTTAGAATTATGATGTGTAAATTATTCATTTTGATGTGATGTTTGGTGAGGAAAAACAGCAAAAATTGACATTTCTTTCTCAAAAAAGTTTTCTTTTTTTGTTTTATTGAACTTAACTTTTGAAATAAAAAATAAAAAGTTCACAAAGTGCATACCGTAATCCATTTATTATTTCTCACTTCCCCCTTTTTATTTTCGAATCTATCTAATATATATTTTTCGTGTGTGCACATAAGGGTAGAACAATAAAATCGACACATAAAATGCGCGTATTTTCTGCGAAAAACAAATTCATGAGTTTTTTGGTGTCAAGTTTTCAGCCAACTCTTTTTTTTTGACTGGTCGAAAGCTGACGGCTAAGTAATCTTGTTAAAAGTTTATTATTTTCTCACAAATCTAATTATAAGTTCCAACTTTTTCATTTTCAATTTTTCGGCTGATACATTTTGTTTCCAAGAATATTGGTTTCTATTCATGCGATCACAAATCGTGCAGATGCAAAAAATGTTGATTTTCGATTTTTCTCAAATTTTTCTCACCTGAACGAAGTTTGGAAATTGTTTCCACGAGGAACATTTTTTGCAAAAGAAAACCTACATGACTCAAAACGGAAGAAAAATTGTAAAATTCCGGAAATTCTTTTGTTGAAAAAACTGAAAAGTGCAATTTTGGCAAAAAGAAACGAATAATAATAAAAAAATAATTCAGAATTTCAATTTTCCAATTTATTATTCTATCAACAAAAAAATATAGATTGGGAACTTTTTGCTTGACTGATTTGTTTTTGTACTCTGATAGATATAAAATCAAGGAAAAAGTGCATTTTTTTCAGTTTTCTTATTTTTTTGGACTATAATCTTGTGATTATACGGAGAAAATTTTCTTCAAAATTTTTTTTGGGATTTGATATTTTTGTCACTTTTTGAATCGATCCAAATCTTTTTGATAGTTGAAAAAGTTCCGCGCAGTATTTTTATTTCTTGAGTATCAAGTACTGTAAATAAGACGAAAAAAAAAAACAATAAAATTGAATCAAACCAATCGGAAATATGGGCGGAGTTAATCAAAATAATTCAAATATCCACCTTCGCATAATCATATTCCATAATTTTCCACATAGATATCCTTCCTTCCTTCCGCTTTTTTCTACTCTTTTTCCATAATTCATTTTTGTTGCAATTTGTGTCATTTACATATTTATCTTTCTCTTTTCTATTTTCAATTTTTAATTCAAAAGATCGAATATTTATGTCGTTTTTCTTCCGTGCTGAAAAAAACGAGGATATATAGAGGATAACGGCTAAAAAGTTTCTCATCAGATGTACATCGAAGGCGAAGAAAAAATTAATTGCTTTTTTCGTCGCCGCCTCGATCTTTGTGCGTGAATCATTTTTTTTCTCAACTTTAAGAACATCTTGTTTGACAGAGTTTATTTGGAACTTCAGTTTTATTATTGTTTTATTGCCACAAAATTATTGTATACTTTGAAGTTTCAGAAGTTCAAACTTCAAGAAATATGTTCGACAGGTGAAATTCATAGCAATTTTCAATCTTCAAAATACAGCTGATTTTGATTCAGAATTTTCAGTTTTGAAAATTTTAAATACATATTACTAATAAAAAATGTCATCGTATTTTCTTTGCAAAAAAATAATTTTTTGGTTTCTGAAATTTCAAAATAAGGTTTCAATAATACGAGAACATTATGTCTGATCTGAAAAATATGACTTGTCCCTCGTCAAAAAACAATCTAGTCAGTCTTTTTTAAAACATAAAAACAATTAATTCATTTCCTGAATATGAAGTGTTTGGGAAGAAGATTAGAGAATACACCTACGCGTGACAAATTTTTTATTCCAGTGAGCCACTCAAAAATATCTCAAAGTCAGGTGAAATGAGTATTTGAGAGAACAAGTGAAGTAGGCGTGAAGAAATTGAAATTTATTTAAAGCGTTTCCACTAAAAATAGATACAATTTTACTACTTATTTCACTACTTACGCCCTCCTAGAAATTTAATTGCTTTCACTCTTTTGACTGACATTCACTTAGACTTTCTGAAAAAAAAAAGAATTTCAGATTTACCGATACTATTTTAAGAACCAAGAATTTTCTCGAAAAAAAGGCAAATTAATTAACTAAAATGATGCGAGTTTAGCGAAAAGTCAACCATCCGATAATATAATTTCTACTTTTTTCTCTCATTTTTTTGAGTTCTTCGAAGTTATGAAAAGAAATATAATTAGAATTTTTTCATTCTATTTTATTGTTCGTTTTTCTTTGAATTGAAAAGAATTTGAGTTGACTTGGTTGTACTTTATTCCGAATAAAGAGCATAAATCGGAGAATATATTCGAAGTGAAATTTAATTCCGATTGCTTAAAGATTTACTTAATAATAGGAGTTTTGATTGATTTTGAGCTGGATTATTTTTGAGCTACAGTAACCAACAGATTTGTTTTAGTTCCTCTAACTTCTCGAAATAAAACATACTCATTGGTCATTTCATTTCATTTCGTATCCTATCCATTGGTCCCTTGTTTTTGAGAATTTAAATGACGTTTTTCTTTTTTTTTATTTTCGAATTCATTTCAACCAAAATCTCATTTTATGTGTGACAAGAAATTATTATTCAAAAACATTCCTCCTCCTCTTCCAAGATCTGTGTATATTATTTTTACTTTTTTGAATACATTTCCTCATTTCTATTCCACATAGCAAAGCTCAAAATAAAAACAGGATACGAGAAAAATTGGTATCTCATGAGAAGAAGCGGGAAAATGACGAATTGCTGGAAATAACTTGAAGTTGCATAAAAAACTTCAAAAAACCACCTGAACTTCTCAAATTACTCCAACCTTTTTTGAAACATTATTATGATTTTGATTCCACCCACCAATGTGTTGATCTACGTCATATTTGTGTGTGTCCCTCTCTTCCACCCCTTTTTTCAGCTCGAAGCTGGCCTAAGCTCCGCCCACTTTCTCGCCTTCTTTTTTTCCCATGGAAACTTTAGTTTGTTTTGTGCGTGAGAGAGCCCATCTTCCAATATTCTTTTGTCTTTTTTTCTATTTTTCTTACGGCGCCCTTTTCAGACTAGATTACTGTACTTTTCCAACAAGATTGTTTACAGGTAACACAAATAAATTGAAAAATGCAATTTTCAATTGAAATTTCGTCGATCATTGCTGTCATTTTGCTTATTGTTCAATTGTCTTCGGCTGCCGTATTACCAGTTGGTCAGTTTATTTCATTTCCTGAATTTTGATCAATAAACTTATTTTTATTTTTTTTTTTAGATTATTCATATGGCGTTGAAGAATACGGTGGTTTACCAGAAGGAAATGCACTTTTCGCAGGTTTGTATCCACTTTGAAAAAAAATCACAAAAAACTAATCATAAATATTGTATTGTTTTTCAGAAAAACCACAAAAACGTGCTCAAACATTTGTGAGATTCGGTAAAAGAGCACAAACTTTTGTCCGATTTGGAAAACGAGCTCAACCATTTGTCAGGTTTGTTTTTAATTGCATGCATGAAAAATTGTGTTGTTTCAGACTTGGATAAGAATAATACCCGGATCTAATTCTAATTTGTTCTTTCTGTATAAATTTGCCATTTTGAATTGAGCTTTATCCACTTTCAAAATGCCGACAGCTGAAAATAAAACATTTCAATTTTACAACGTTGTTTTTGGTCGAAAATAGGTTTTTTGTTTCGTAAGAAGTGTGAAGTATTTTCAACAAACCACTTGGAACTTTTTCATATCTTTTGAAAGAATTTTCAATTAATCGTTCTAAATAAATCTAGGTGTTCTCGGAATTTGCAAAAACTCCAGATTATCCTGGATTAAATATTAGTACGAATCATGATTTATTTCAAAACAGTCCATTTTTTTGCTAACGTCACTTCATCAAATTATTTTAATTATTAACCAATACGTAATTATAGAGTTGCAGTAGAAAATGTAATTTTTGAATTTTAAAAAAGCTGTAAAAGTTAGTCGTTGCTCTTGATACAGAGGTGTGAGAAACTAAAAAAATACAATTTTTTCTTTCAGATTCGGAAGAAGTTCACCAAGCGAAGATGAGCAATAATTGATAAAATCATCAACAACTACATACATCTTTTCGAAAACACACACACCCTCATATTACACCAAATAATCACACCAATCAATGATTATTATTATTCTTCTTCTTATTATAAGATCAGAATGACATAGCCTTCACCATTTTCGCCCATTTCTTTAGTTATTTTTCTATATGTTATGCACCATTTTTTGTCGATTTTGGTGTATTATTTTTTCGTGAATTTTGATATTCAGCGAATAATTACTTCTTATAATAAATTGAACTGACGTGATTTGTTAAAATTGTCTTGTTTAATGTTTTTTTTTGAATTCTAGAAAGATCATCGAGTGACCTGTTTATTTACAAAATTATTAAAAAACTAACCTAACTCGATTATTTATACTCATAATTTTTATACTTCAAAGTTTCAATTTCTCTTTCCAATTCCAAAATTCGTTCGCATCGTTTTTGAACTTCTTTGACATCTTTCGAAGATTGCGATTCAATTGAAAAATTTGCTTGGATCGCCATATTGAAGGAAAATTTGGGCAACAAACTGAAAACTCGAAATAAAATGTTTAAACGTGAACAGGTTACGGGTAAACATTTTTGTTCTCATTTTGATTTTCAAAAAAATTCACAAACCTTTTTAGTTTTGTTAAACCTGCACGAAGAAGCATATTTGGAGAATGTGCCATCCAGCAAGATGATGGTTTATCCTTCAAAATATTTACTTCATTAGTTATATTCATCAATTCATCAAGAAAATCACCTTTTCTGACATGTGTATGGTTTGAAAATTGAAAATGAAAAAATTATTTTTGACCTCTTCATTTTCGCGGTCCTACAAATGTGTGCATTTGTGCGTCGTGGTGTACTGCACACCATTTGAATTTTTCTTTTTTTTTTCGCGTGAAGAAAAGTCATTTTCACTCATTTATACTTGAAACATGGAAAATCTCAATGATTCTGGAGTAAGTTTTTGTAGTAAAGACTATATAGAATAGTTTATATGTTTCAGTTTGATGGCCGAAGCTCACCGCCGATGACAAACAATCGACCAAAACGACAAGCAGTTGAGAGTGTTGCAGAACTTGATGAACTTCTTAGATCGAATTTGAGCCTTACTAAACGACGCCCCGAAGATACTTTCGATGACACTACGAGTCCTGTATCTTCAAAAAATCCAGATCGCCCGAAAAGCAGAAGGTATTTAACTAATTTCTGCTCATTTTTTCTTATTTTTCTTTTTTTTCAGATCGAACTCGTATGACAATTCACCAAGTCAATTGTTGGAACAAAGAAGATCTTTGAGAGTAAGCGAATTTCTCATATGTCAGCGGAGAAAATTAAATTAATATTTAGGTGTGTGGAAATAATTTGAAGAATATTCGCCACATTTCTGCATTATCAACTGACTCGATTTCTCCAAGATCTATTCAACAAATGTGTTCACCAAGAAGAAAATTCCCAATGTAATTCTAGTTTTTCTACTAAAATTCTGTTTGTTTTTGTTTTTCAGAGAATCATCAAATCCTTATACAAAACATCGTCTTGGTCAAACATTTTCCCCAATGCTCACAGGTGCCAAAAAGCGCACTTCAATTCTCAAAGGAACCCAACTTCCATCAAAATCAACACCATCTCCATCTTATGACACATCTCCTATCAAAAGTTTGAGAAATGTTGGCGAATTGAGAACTCGATCAACACTGGTTAGTTTATTTTTTTTTTGGAAGTTGAACGTCGTGATTATTCATTTTAGATGAGTCGTCTTCAAAATTCACAACTTGAATAATATTTTCAAAAGTTGTTTTGTTTTCTGTTATAATTTGTTTCACAGGGTTAATAACGTGTTCTATTGAATGATTTACTAAGTTTTTTGTAGATAAACGTCTTCTAGAATAAAACCTAATTGATTTTCAATTTTTTATTCATAAATTAATATACATTTCTGGCGATTAATCACATTGAGAGAGAGACACAATAACAAGTTGAGATTATTAACGTTTAAAACTTGATGGATCATCAATTTGGAATAAATGCGAATCAGAAGATGGTGGAGAATCATTTAAATCATCAATTGGTTTATCATCAGATCGAATTGGCAAAAATTTGTTATCATCGATTTGTTCGAGATCAGCATCTGGAGATGTGACAATTTCAGTTGGACTATCATCGTGTGGTTGAATCCAAGACTTTTCTCCTTTCATCTCTTGTTGTGGTCCCAAATTATCACCAGAGATTACGGTAGATTTTGGTGGGTTGACATCCTAAAATTTGCAAGAATTAATCTAATTTCAAGTGAATTTATAAAAATGTGTTAGTACCGAAGCTTGTTGAGCTGTTTGATCTACCCATGTTTGTTGTGGTTGTTGAAAAGTTGAAGCGATTGGATTTGGTTGAAATGGACTTGGAGCTTGTTGTTCTTGATGTTTTTGAATCATCCAATCATCATTTTGTGGTCCAAACCAAGCTGGTTGTTGTTGTTGAAATTTCGATTGTTGTTCTGGCATATACCAAGGTCTTACTTGAGCTTGTTGCTGTTGTTGAGGCCAATTCCATTGATTTGTTTGAATTGGATCATTTTGTTGTTGTTGTGGCCACCAATAATGTTGAGATTGTTGTTGTGGTTGAAAGAAAGCTTGTTGCTGTTGTTGTTGTTGAGGCTGTTGCCACTGGAAATTATTTAGAATAGAAATCAAGAAGAGTTCCCCCTTTTCACTTGTAAACTAACAAAAAATGGTTGTGGTTGAAAGAAGAATTGGTTAGGAAGAGGAGGAGGTTGGAATAATTCAGATTGAGATGGGAAAAATAATCGAGATGGAATCTGAAAAGGTTAGTATTTATTGTTAGATATATCAACACTGTATTATCACACAATATTTTCTTGAGGAAATATTTCTTACCCCATCGAAAATACGTGGTTGCTGTTGTTGTTGTTGATCTTCGTAATCGTTGAATTCCCATCTGAAATCAAAATATTGAATCAGTTTTATTCTGAAACTTCAAATAAACCTGTTAAAAGGCCCGAAGAATGGTCGTTTCATGCTATGACGATCGAAAGTTCGTCGACTGAAAAAGAAGAAGAAAACAATTAGAACCCAAATATTATTCGAAAAGTCAACTCACCCATCTAATTCGGTTTCACCGTCATCGCTGAAATCTTGATGTGGAGCAGCGAATTCACCGAAACCATCAGCAATTGCTTGATCAAACTAGAACAAAATTATATTGATTAGTTACTATATTTCCAAACTAACCGGTGTGTTTTCTTCTCCGCTAATTTCTTTTCTTTCTTCTCCATCTTCTTGTCCTCCAATTGGTTTTACTTCAACAACATGAACTTGCATATCTCCACTTAATCCCATACTTTCAGCATGTTTTCGGATTTTATCCATCAAATCTCTCAAAAATCCAAGTTTGCCATTTTGATCAATGCTGTAATTTGTTTCAGTTGGAATATTGATTTGTTCTTGATTGTCTTCTTTTTTGATCGCATCATTTTCCGGTTGAATAATATCGATTATTTGTGGTTTTATTGGATCTTTTGATAGGCGAAGTGGAAGAGTTTCAACTCTGCAAAACATTTAAGATTATCAATTTTGTAAGGTTTTTTCAAAAATGAATCTCTTTTTGAACACACAATTTTGAACATTTTGAAAATTCAAGTTACTATAGTTTTTTCAGGATTTGCCACATTTAATTCGAAAATTTAATAGAAAAAGTTCCAATTCAAAAAACTACTTTGAAATACTTTTTCACTCAAGAATAGAGTTGAATATAATTTTGGTGATCAGTGGGAAAATAGTACTCATTGTTTTCAAAAATTTGGGCTCAAATTGATTTATTTTTGCTCGATTTGGCTACAGTAATTCTCAAAAAAAAAACTAACTGTGCTTGCTGTTTTTCCATCGACATTCTGTCAATTTCTTGTTGTTGTGATAACAATTCATATCCAAGCATTCTTTGTCGAAGTTCAGCCCATTTCAAACGAAGAAATGCTTGATCTCTTTGACGATGATAAGCCACTTCAGAAATTGCCAAACAAAGTAAAACAAGACAAAATGCGCCGATAAACCAGGAAAGTACTGAAAAATAAACAGATTTAAAATAGTTTTCTAACAATGAAACTTAGGCTAACTTACATCCACATCCAAAACCAGCTACAACTTTTGGCCTTTTTGCAATTACAATTGCTGGTGTTTGTTGTTGTGGTGGAATCGGAGAATCAATTGGAATCTTTGTTTCAAGAGCTGCTGCTTGTTTTTCTTCAGCAGCAGCTGCTTTTTGATTCTCATCCAAACCCAACGCAAAAACTTTCATTCGTGGTTGATGAACCTGAATTTGAAAAAAAAATTATATTTAATAAAAAACTACAGTAATCGTCATTTGAAACTAACAAATCAAATAAGTAGAAAGTATTTAAAAGAACATTGTTTTTTGAAGTGGTTTAATATCGACTTCGCCAACTAACTAACCAAAAAAATAAGAAAATTATCAAGGAAAACTAGTTTTTTTTCTTATTTTTATTTTTCTGCCAAGATCCTCTATGCAAATACAGTTCTTATTTGAGTGTTTGTTTTTGTTTCGAGAAAATTGACAAAAATTGAGAGAACAATTAAAAAATGTTTGAGAAAAGGAAAAAACGAGAATAATTATGGAACATTTCTAGGAAAAGAGGTTAAAGTTCTTTTTTATTATTATTATTGTGAAGAGAAATTCGAGGAAAATGTCAGAAGAAGCTTTTAAATATAACATATTTTAAAGACAAGTTTTCTTTCTGTTTCGTCACACGTCATTTACGTGTTTGCGTTGTTGTCTTAGGGAGTGTGATATGTTTATCTTTTCATGATTCATCATCTCACAAGAAGACTGGATTAGAAATTGAAATCGAGAATATAACTTCATCAATATTAAAAAAAATCAAATAAAAATTATATTCTGGCTTAGAAATCAGCGATTGAATTTCGAAGTTCAGAAACAGTTGAAAATGAAACACAAACTGAAAATCGTTAAATCCGAAAACTGTCCGCTTGTGTTTTTTTTCTGTATGTGTATATTTGTCCATCCGCGCAATCCGGACAGAACTCCTCCCTTTTCCCTTTTCTTTTTCTCTTTTTTCTCTCTCCGGAATTACATTGAATTTACTCACCGCAACACAAAAAAACATGGAAAAAGAAAAAAGAAGAGGAACTGTCGGTCGCGCATGAAAGAATTGAATAATGACAATATCTATCGAAAAAGAGAATCAGAATTATGATGAGGTTGTTGAAAAATGATTGGTAACAAATTTTTGGATTTTTTGTGGAATAGTGTCTGAAAAGTTTGGAATGTGTTTAGTGCAATATTTTGATGAATAATTTCAGATAATAAATTGTTCAAGACTGGATGATCAAAAATTTGAAAATCAGTATCCCGAACTTTAAATATTATTTAAAACTCTTAATTTATCATCATAAAAACTGTTTCAGGATTTTTCTGAATTCAACTTGTGGAAATATGAAATCACGATTATGAGGCCTCCATTTCAATACTGTGAAATTGTCATCAATTGCTTACTCATGTTAAAAAATAGAAAAGCTTAGAATTCTCTACAGTAACCCTAGATTTTCAAAGTTATTGACCAGCCATCAATTATAATAGAAGTAGTACTATTTCAGTGGTTACAATTTCAATAACACCAAAAAAAACCGCGAGAAAAAGAAAAAACAGTAAACCAGCCGAACAACAAAACAACAACATCAACCACCACGACAAATATTATTGTGAAGAATTGTTTTTGAAGTGGCCGAGGTGTTGCGCAGAACAGCATGAAAAGAAGAAGAAAAAAAGATGGAGGAAAATACATCCGACAATTCAGGCGGAACGAATATCGATCGATTTTAAACGAAATTATTGGCTGGAATTTTGAATACCCAAAAGTTAACAACAAAGTTTAAGTAAACTGGGGTATTTTTAGAATTTCATAAAAACTGTCATTTGGAATTTTTGGTAAATAGAAAAAAAAAAAGAAACTGGATTTATAACGAGACCGATTAACTCAAAATGTGCGTTTTTTCTATGAAAAAACATCGAATGAAAACTGGTCTACAGTAACCCAGAAAATTTATTTGAAAAATCGAAAAAACACTGATAACATTTGTTCTCACGACGGTTTCTAATTTGCATCAAAATTTAAATTTTCTTTCTTATTTTTCACACATCATAGATATTTCAAGAACTCTTTTTTCTTTATTGTTATTGTTGTTTTTTTTTGTTTTCTTTGCGCATTTCTCCGAATACAGAAAAAACCGGAAAACAAACATGGAAAGTGGATGGCTGATTATCTATACATATACATATACAGTAATCTTTTCAAGGACAAAAACCATTTTGAAAGATGAAAAAAATTGGAAAACTGGAAGAGTTAAGAGGGTCAGGAAAAAGATGAAACTTTTAATTGTTCAAGGATTTTTCAAGTTGTTATTTTTGATGATGATTTGTGAATTTTATTTTGTGAACAGGTGAAAAGAACACATTTTCTGAAACAAACGTTTAAAAAGGGAACTTTTTTCGAGAACGCCTGAAACATTTGAGAATAAAGATACCCAAAAAAATTTATTTGGATAAACGTTTAGATTAATAAAAGGAATATGTCAAAAAGGTAGGAACTGAATAAAAAATTACTTATTTCTTTTTTGTTTCAGAAAATAAACTTTTTTGACCACACAACTTATGTTATTTTTTATAATTTCTAGTTTATAACGATGACTATTTCGAGTTTTAGGATTATTATTTTCACATGAGATATTCCGGTAACATTTACAAAAACGTTTCAAAACTCATTTCCTGTGACTGGCCAAAAATAAAATAACGGAATATTAATCCGGTTCACCTATGCGATCTAATTTCCCGCCAAACATCAAAAAACAAACAAAATGAAATGAAATCTGTCAATGGCACAAATGTCAACAGATTTTTCACTAAATTTTTTTTTGAAAAAAAAGGTATTCAACGAAAAACAACTCACCGGCTCATAATGATGTCGAAATGTATTACAAACTTTCATTATTTAATAACAAAAATAGTTTTGGCTTTGTAAAAAAATGGGGCAAAAGGATTATAATAAAAATAAAAATATAACGAAAGCCGGTTGGATCAAGCTGTTTAATAATTTTTGAATGGTTTAGTTAGGTTTTATTGTTATTTTTACCGAAAAGTGAAAATATTTTGATAAAAATAACTTACCGTGACCATTTGAAGAAATGTTTGGAATAAATGGAAAAAATGAAAGTTTGATAGTAACGAGCAAATATTTATAGGATCCACCACTCGAAAAATTGCCGATTCATGTTTGTATTGGTATTCTGTATACCAAATAGATTGACGTGTTCATTTGAAAGCTAAAAATAAAACTTGAGATATTTGAAGATCAAACGAAATTGTTTGTCATTTCAGAAAAAAAGTTCAAATTGTTCAACTGTTTGATTTTTGGAATAACGAAGTTGGCGAAAATTTGAAAATTGGACAGAAAAATATCAATTAAAAAAATCTCAAATACATTCTCAAAAATGTACTTCATCATATTTTTGCGTAAATTTTCCATAGCAAATATTTTTATTCAACATTTTCGTGATTTTTTTAATGACTTGTGAACGTGAACCTTTTTTGTAAAATCAGAAACGCTGGCATTGCTAAAAATTTTCGCATTCATTACAGTTAATGACGATGCGACATTTTTTGTGAATTTTCGAATTTCCGTGGGATTCCACGGTTTTGCTCCGGAGCTCCGCGCGAGGAGCTATTAAGTAGAAGTGAACATACACACTCATGGCCTAGGACACACAATTTATTTGCAAAAGTTCGGCCATCTATTTTTTTCATTTTTTTACCAACAGTCGATGTTCCATAGGGTTTTTATCAATTAACTTGTGAATTTTAGCTTTCGTAACAAAAAAATTTGCTGAATTAGCTTCCATATTTTATCCTATCAAGTTCACACTATACTAATGAATTTTCTCGGTCGTTTCTCGACTTCGCGACCATCGAATGTTTTTTATTGATAAATGTTTATTTATTTTTAGAATCGATGGATGATTCTGGAAGAGGTGGTCCACCAACAGTGACTGGTTTGTCACCAACTGAAGGTGTGCCTGGAACGCAAGTCACAATTCGGGGCGAAAATTTGGGAACAGATCAGAATGATGTTGTTATGCTATTCATTTGTGGTGTTGATTGTTTGGCAACAATGAAATGGAAATCACCATCAAAAATAATTGCTAGATTAGGACAAGCAGGAAGAGGACCGGGCGATGTTAGAATTGTTACGAAATCTGGCGGTCGTGGAGTTTCGCATGTTAAATTCCGTGTTTTTATCACACAAATCGGACCACTTGAAGAATCAGCTGTATGGGTTGATGAAACAAGAACTGTGCCAGGTAGAGAAGTTATTCGAAGTGTTGCTCAAATTCAAGATGTTCGGGATGCTCTTGGATTAGTTCCGAGTCAAAAACGAATTGATCAATCTATGCTTTCTCGTGATTTTCCGGATAATTCCGGAAATTTGAGAATGGAAAATTTTTCTCCTCAATGGTATCTTCTTGAGAATCACGCTGATGCAACGTTAGTTTTGAAAGTGATTTTTCATTTTGAAAATGTGTATTTTTTATAGAATAGAAGAACTTCGAACTGCTATCAAAAATATGGAATTGGCTAAACAAAATGATGTAAAAAGAAGTGAAGAAATGCACAAAGCAAATTTATATTCATTGATTAATTGTGTTGATACTTTGGCTAATTTACATCAAGCACTCGAAAATGGAAAAAATGCAGATCATTTTTCGGCACTTTCAAATATCAAGAAACTTGTGAGTTTGACAAAAATCTATGGAGAAAAATTGTATTTTTCAGATAACCGTATCAAAAACTCAAGCTGAAAGTGTTTTCGCTGATGTTCTAAAAAGAAAAGATGATGCAGATGCGACTAGAAATGCTCTCGGTGTAATTGTTCGTTTCAAATTTATATTCTTTTTATCCTCAAAAATCGAGGAAAATATGAAAAAAAGGAGAATATATAACTATTTTGAATGATTATACGAGAGCTAAATCACTTTATCAAGATACAGATGTTCCAATTTTCAAAGAATGTAAGTTGAATATTTCGATTTTTGATGTAAAATTTTTAGGGTTGGAAAAAAATACACGAATACACGCGCTCGATACACGGTACACGAATACACGCAGTACACGAATACACGGTACACGAATACACGCAATACACGAATACACGGATACACGAATACACGGATACACGAATACACGAATACACGAATACACGCTTTTTTCTGAATTGCTTGAGAAGAGAAGAAAACCGTGTATTCGTGTACAGTGTATTCGTGTATTGCGTGTATTCGTGTATCCGTGTATTCGTGTATCGCGTGTATTCGTGTACCGTGTATTCGTGTATTTGGCTGCGCGTGTATCCGTGTACGCAAATACACTGTTTTTCCAACCCTAAAAATTTTCCATTTTTAGTGTTGAATGAAATCGACAAGAAAATGGATGTTTTCAAAGAAGAAATGAAGAGAAAATTGATAGATACACCAGTTTCGTATGAAGAACAAAGTAAACTTATCAAGTAAGACTACAATTGTTAAATTGTTATTATTCATATGGTTTCTTCAGGTATTTGAAAATTCTGGATCCAGAATCTGATCCAACTTGGGATTGTATAACATCGTATTATGTTTGGCTTGAGAAAAGTTTATGGGATATGCAGGCTGAATTTTTGGAAAAAGCAAAAATCGAAATGCAATCACAACAAACTACAATTCTCGGAAAAACAAATGAACTCCAAAATTTTGTATCAACTTTGGTTGGATTACTTTTGGGTAAATTGCCTTCATTCTGGAAACTTGCAAATACTTATCATAATTCAACACATTCACCAGATGCTATACAAAGATTAGAAGATATTAATGTAAGAAATAATTTTGGAATTGAATTTGAAATCATTCAAATTTTCAGCAAATGTTAACAAATATAATCAATGTGTCTTCTTGGTTGATTTTAAATGCATTAGTTCCAAAAGCATTGCCTGATTTGGTCGCAAAACAATACGGAGATCAATTCGCTAAATGGCCTGCAATTTCAGCTGATATCGGAAGATTAAATTTGAATCAGAGCTTAAAAACTACCAGGTTTTTTTTCATAATTTTTGAGAATTTGAATTTTTTATTCAAAGTTTTCAGAAGTTTAATTTCATCTTTGTTGGAACATCAATTCACATTAGCCCATACACAACCATTAGTTGAATTATGCATGACAGTAAGACTTAAACTTGTATCAGATTTCGTTGATAACGGAGTTGAAAGTAAGGTTTTCCATCCATTAAAAACCACTGTGTTCTACATAATCAATATTTAGGAGTTGCTCTTCTTGCTCATAAAATCAATTGGAAACAAGATATTTTGGATCGAGCTCAACAAACCAAAACAACACTTCCTGATTTCTACGAAAATGAAATATGTGAATGTATAAATCGAACAAAAGAAGCACTTTCAACTACTGGATATCCGGGAGAAACTTGTTTATTTTCGAGAGAACGATTTAGAGAAACTATCATTGATCTTTTTGTGCATCTTATTACTTCGATCAAAATTTGTTTTGATAGGTTGGTTTTTTTTCTCAAATTTTTATTTCAAAACATCTCTGTGGGAATTTCTGAAGCCTCTTCTTCAAATTAATTTTATTTCAGATTATTTACTCGGCAACGTCCTCAACAGTTAGAAGCTCAGGATGGCAAAAAGTCTAAAAACGAAATAACCACGAAAAAATTGTTGATAGCTGTCGGAGACGTTGAATTTATTATTGCAAAAAGTTTGAATAATATTGGAAAGAAAATGCAAGAAAGTTGTGTTCGATATGTTGATCAAATTCAGGAGGTTTTTATTGATTATAATAAATATATTTTGAATAGAAATTTTTCAGAAATCGCGCGGTAAACTTTCTGCATTCCGAACAAAAATGATAAATGATTGTATTTCAATGATGAGCAGCGCTTTTGATCCTTTGATTGCCTCGGCGACTTATGAATATTTGCCAGATGAAGATGGTGAGTTTTTAAAAGATTTATTTGGTAATAAATTTGAAATTTTTGAAGATATATCGGATTATGCGAAAGAAATGATTTTGTGTTGTGTTCTTCAACAAGCCGAACTTGAATTGTATTCACCACAATTGGCTGTTGAATGTTTACAGGTAAACTTTTACCTAAATGATTCAGATAGAAAACAAAAAAGAAGAAACAAAATAATCGAAAGATCTTGTATTTCCAATTTAAATGTTTTATTGGATCAAAGTCTCATAAATTTTCCAATTTTTCTTTTTTCCAGCAAACAGTTACAAATGCACTCGATCGACTTTTGGAACATTTTTCAAAATTGAATTCCAACACAAGTCCTTTAATTGTAACTCAAATAGTCATTGATCTAACCGGACTTGAAGAAGCATTATCAACATTCACAACGTTTACAATTCGTGCTCAAATAAATGCATATCGAGCAAGTTTAGTTGGAAGATTTGATAACTTGTAAGTCAATATTTTTCAGAAAGATTGAATCGGGATAAAAATATTTGAAGTTTTAGAATTTAAAATTTTAATAATTTCGGAATTTCTAATTTTCTGTCATAAATATTTTACCAAATGAATAGTAAAGCTTTAAAATTCAGTAATCCAAAAATTAAGACGAATTTTTTTCCAAATCATGACTTTTAATCGAAAAAAAAAACATTTTTAGAAATTTTCACGAAAAACCAGCGAAATTCCAGAAACAAATTCTCTTTCGCGTTTATCTTATTCAAAAAAAATATTTTTCTGCAGAAGACTTCAAAAATGCTTGAAAAATATGCGAACAACAATGCGAATGGCTTTGCAAAGTTTAGAACAACATTCCGAGGGAATTGAAGATGATAGTTTGAATACTTCGAATATTTAAATGGTGCTTTACTTATTTTTTCTTCGCTTAAATCGCTGTGATTTTTATTTTCGTGTCATGTAAATAATTAGATATTTCTTCATTTATTTAAATAAATTATTTCATTGTTGTTCTTAAAAGTTCATATTGTTCAAAATCTGGTTTACGACCGAAATCAATTATTTTTTGTAGTTTTTTCGGCGATAAAATCAAATTTCAATTCATCGAAGATTTTTCCATGAGGAAATAAGACAAAATAAGTATGTGGAATATAAAACGTGGGTTATTGATTTCATGTGCTACCTTTTGGGTATTACTAACTTATTGCAGTGATTTTTGGGTAAGTTATAAAAATATTTAAAGACACATCAGCCACTGGAAAAAACAGATTTCCCGCATTTATTTTCAAATGACAAAAACAGCATGTGCGCTCTATTGCTTCGTTGTGTGCAAACTCTTTCGAAAATCCCGTCGGCTGAGCGATTTCAAAAACAATTATTTTGTTTTTTTCACTTTTGCCAGACTCAAAATTTTTTCTTGATTTTTATGAATTCCGATTACTTGAAAGGTGTTATGAAAGAATAACAAACTCATTTTCTGTTCATTTCTAGTGGATTGTGTGTCTTTAAATTTCATTCAAAATTTTCTCAAAGGTAAAACAAGGTGAAGGATATGTGATAGGAAATCGACGACGAATAATTGCAACTCTACGAATCGAATGTATTTTAACTAGTTTGAATGTTTTTGCATACGGCCAATTGATGCAATGGTTTGGAGAAGATAAGGATAAACATAGACGATTACAGGTAAATAATATTAAAGAATTGTATTTATCTGGAATATGTGCAAAGTTCAAAATCAAAAGAGTAAGGCAACATTTGAGGGCATAGTAATAAAAATGCAAAAAGTTTTAAAGCGTAATATGCTTATTATTTTAATTCCATTATAATTATAATTATTATTGGAAATTCAAATCATGCGATGAATCTCTTCCCATCAATTGATCATCTGTCATATCATAAAAATCATCGAATTGTACATCTTCCTGGAAAAATTAGTTTCGAATCTTCAAGTATTTTCGATTGATAACTAACCTGTTGTTGCTGTTGTTGCAACATATCAGATTGTTGAGAACTCATTGGTTCATGTTGTTGTTGCTGTTGAATTTGATGATATTGTTGAGTTTGATAATGATTTTGATGCTGTTGAGATTGTTGATGAAGTACCATATGATTTTGTTGTGGTTGATGAACAACTCTTTGATAGATTTGTGGTTGGTGCTGATGTTGAGTAACAACACGTTGTTGAACAACATTACCTATAAAAATACAAAATTGGGAATTTTTTCAAATAAACGGGCACAAATTTCTACCAAAATTGAACAGTAAATAATTTAATTACAATACTCAAAACGAATAAACCTAAATTAACAATGAGCGTGAACTTTTTAGCGTGAAAAATTTCATTTGAAATTCTGGAATCTTTCCGAAAAATGATATTTCTCTATAAATAACTATCAAATATTCTCTGTCCCTGCAAAAGCTCACCTTGAGAATCAATTTTCCGTACAATATGCGGAGCACCTTGAATTCCACCTTTACTTGGCACCACAATACGTTTAACAATTTTTCGAACTGTCGGTGAACTTCCAGGTTGACCTGGAGGACCCGTGTAAACACGCTGGATCTGTAAAAAAAACACGTTCATACATTTCACCGTCAACGAAAAATTACAATTCGTTGTCCTGATTGAACTGGCTGTTGTGAAGTATAAACAACTCTTTGCTGTGTTTGTCCTCCCATTCCAGATACAACTGGACCGCCGCCGCCAGCTGCGCGAACAGTTGTAACTTTGTGAGGAACAGTTACATATTTATAACCTTGTTGTTGTCCAGTATTCGAAGCAACATAGTATTTGACTGGTTGTCCAGCGGCATTTGTTCCAGTAACAAGACGACGTTCACCAATTTGTTGTTGACTTGGATATGGACGAGAAATCTGTCTAACTTGTTGAGTTGGTTGAATTTGTCGAACATGGTGTGGAGCAGATGACGATGGATTATTTTCAGTCTTTAAAAAAAAGGTTGGACATCACTTTGAAATTTTCGAGCTGAAAAACGTACCTTCACAACTTGTTGAAGCATTCCACCTGGTTTTTGAACGTAATAGCGTTGTCTTTGAATAACATTTCCATTATGTTGAGTGTTTTGTTGATGTCCAACAATTTGTCGAACAACTTGAGTTGTTTGTGGACGTATTTGTGGAACTGTCGGACGTGTATTTCTTCTCATGACAGCTTGTTCATGTTGTCTTTCCACGTGATATTCAGCCATTGGATCGCCTAAAACATTTTATTTGGAAAAATATCAATAATAATTGGGAAACGTACTCATTTGTGCTCTTTGCAAGTACATTGCTCCGTTTTTCTCCATGATTTCTCTGAAAACAAATAACGATGATCGAAAACACTATTTTTGAAATCTTACTCTCTATGACGTTTTCGTTGCTCTTCTAATTCTCGTTGTTCTTTTTCCAGTTCCGCTTTTTTATATCCTAAATCAAGATTTTTTTAGTTGGAGTTTTCATTATTCCGACTTACTTTCGATAATATCATCTACATATGGTCGAATCAAAGGAGGAAGATGACTTTTTGCAAGTGTAAGCTGTTCTGGAGTTGATGTTCCATTATCGAGACCGCAAGCCAAATCCAATTCTAAATAAATAAATGAAAACTATGATTTCAATATTCCATTGTGAACTAACTTTTGAGAATTTCGATATCGTCATGAATTTCAAATGGTTTATCGAATGAGAAGAGATACTCTGATTTGTCACTCGAAACACTACAATCGACCAATGCGCTGAAAAATGTAATGGTTTAATTTGTTGTAAATGAATACAAAACTAACTCTTTGTTTGTATTGACAATGAGGAATGGAAGATAAAGAAGTGAGTTTTGATCTGGTCGACCCTGAACTTTTTCAATATCTCGATTTTTTGCAACCAAGTTTTTGTATGTGACAAGTTGAACAATCATTTCTTGCAATGTTTCCAGCTTTGACTTGATACTTTGCTCTCTTCGTTTTTTCTCTTCTTCCAACCTCGTGATTTCTTGCGCAGATGAGGCTGGCAATCCGAGCCATCTGATATCTTTCTTATTTTTTGTGATGATGTTCATAGCTAATAAAACATTCAAAGCATCGTAAACTCGTCGACGAATGTTCTTCATATCAAACTCTTGTTTGACGACATCTACTTGATGAATCATGTTGTTTTCGAAATATTCAGCTACTAATTCATCGGCTACTTCATTATAATTTGTCAATCCTTTTTGTTTAACTTTTTCACAAACTTTTGTTGAAAAATGGCGCAACCCTGTTGGTCTATCTTGATGTGTCATTGGTCGAGGCATTGGTTCCGAGCTTGGAAGAAGATTTTGTGGTTTGCGATCGGCCCATGAATAATAACGAACATTTTGGCTGAAATATTAAATATAGAATAACATAAGTGGAAAGATTAATTCAAACCTTGACGATTCGTTTTGAACGTTTTCTTGATGAAAAATATTTTGCATCGATGAAGAAGAGGGATGATTTTGATCATAAGGTTTTTGATAAGACATCAATGGATCGCCATAATCTTGTTTAGGTTCACCATTGGATGGCAACATTGATCTAATTTGTTGGGGAGAGTCATAATTTGTCTAAACCAAAAATGAATTATTATACTTCAAATAACTGAAATAACTTACATTCTGATCGTCGTTTGAATCGACAGCAGAATACATCATGACTTGCAAGTTTCTAAAAATAACAAAAATAGATCAAAACGATGATTTTTCGCCGCTATAAAAGTTTACAAACGGACAAACAAACAAAAATAAAATTCACAAATTTGAAGACGCGCCGATCGTTGTGAGACCACTCACACTAAACAACAGGCAGTACGGAGTGTCGTTGTTTTACTTTCATTTTCAATTTTCAAGGAAAAAGTCACAATTTTCTGTTGTCAGGGCTTGGCTAAACAATGTTCAATTGCATTGATTGTGTTTCAAATTCTAGGCCAAGCTGTCTATTTTGTATATTATGCAAATGACTTCATTCAGGTAAAATTACGATGAAAAACATTAAATTAGGATGACGTTTCAGCTATTATTTTTTGATTTAACTTCAATCTCGGCTGGAATATGGACAAATTTGATTGCTTTCGTTTGTGGATTTTGGCTGGTTAATTTATTGGCACCGAGAATGATGGTAACTTTTTCTTTCAAACATATTTGTTTCTATAATGGTTTTTTGCAGATGTTCCCTCCTACTGAAAAGTTTCTGAATATCATTGCAAAAATACCATTCTTTTCACAATTATTATGGAATAGAAAATCACAAATCAAATTTACATTATGGATTACTGCTATTCTTTCAATTGCTATGTTTATTTCAAGAGATTGGGTTGTTGTCAAACACAAAACAATAGAAATCGAAAAACTGACTGTTGATAAAGATTATATTCGTTTTGCTGTTATATCAGATATTCATGCGGGTGCCAGTGTATATAAATCACAAGTTGCAAGTGTTGTTGATAAAATTGCTGAACAACAAGTCGATGCTATTCTTATAATTGGAGATGTTGTTGATGCTCCTGTTGATGAAATTATTGATAGAGTTTCTCCAATTTTGTAAGTTTCATTTTTTTCATCTATTTATTTTTAAATTTTGTTTTTTTTTTCAGCCAACTTCCGAATCAAGCACCAACATTTTTTGTGACTGGAAATCACGAATATTATTACGGGAATATGCAAGAATGGTTAGATGTATATGGAAAATATCATATTCAAGTTCTAGATAACAAATCAAGAATGTTGCACGGCATTTGTCTCGCTGGTGTCAATGATTTAGCTAGTTCAAAAGCTGGAATTAAAAATCATGACATGGATTTGAGAAAAGCTATTTCTGATTGTCCTGATAATTCATCAAAAGTTTTAATGGCTCACAATCCAGCAAGTATTAAAATATTCCAAGTTGATGAACCAAAAGAACTCCGAATGATTGATCTCATTTTATCTGGACATACTCATGGTGGACAATTTTATGTTGTTGTTCCAATTGTTTATTGGCTGCTTCCTTATTTCTATGGACATTATCAAATATCAGATGTTACACAATTATTTGTGATGGCTGGCAGTTTATATCAGGTTAGTTTTCATTTATTTCAATTATTTTGCAGTTTTTCCATATATATTTTTTTCAGGGGCCACCGATGAAGATGGTTGGAATGTCTGAAGTATGGGTAATCGACTTGGTCTCCGCCTAAAACAAAATTTTTCGATGTGATTTCATTTTATTAATTAATTTATAAATTTTAATTTATTTTTATTATTTGAAACTTTGAATCAAATTATGTGTTTTAGTCACGTAATTATTTATAGAATCATTCGAAATTCGTAATTTTATCAAATTCACAAGGTTTCAGGGTTCAATGTCGATTTTAGCTGAGCCGAGAAGAAAACAAAGAATCAGTATCGATCCACAAAATTTGACATGGAAAAATGATGATCAAAAGTATGTTAAGTAGCTGAAAATTAAAAAGAATTGAATGTTTTTAGATTCTCAAAAAAATTAATGGAAAAAATGGGTTGGAGCGAGGGAGATGGTTTAGGAAGAAATCGACAAGGAAATCAAGATGCAATCAAATTGAAAGCAAATACATCTGGAAGAGGTTTAGGAGCTGATAAAATGAATGATTATGATTCGACATGGATTTCACATCATGATGATTTTGCTGATCTTTTGGCTGCTTTGAATAAAAATAAAGAGGCAGAACCGGAACAAACTGAAGAAGAGAAAAATGCGGCAGCTGAAAAAATATCGATTGAATTGAAAAGTAAATCAGTTAAACGGAGAATTCAGTAAGTTTCAGATAATATTTTTGAAAGAAAACAAATTAGTTTTTTTCAGCTATCAGAAGTTTACACGTGCGAAAGATACAAGCAATTATAGTGAAAATGATAAAACTGCAATTCTTGGATTCGGAAAATTGAAAAAGGATAAAAATGTAGTAGCTGAAGAAGAAAAAGAAATAAAAAAAGAAGATGAAGATGAGGTTTGTTATTTTCAGAAGTTATTATTCTCATTTCATTTTTAATTTTTCTCAGAAATCAGACGATAAAAAAGAGGGAATTCACACAGTCAGCACTATGTCAGTTGGCGATTATTTTGCTGCTAAAATGGCTGCACTGAAAGCTAAACGAGAATCTACGGTTGCAGTGAAAACTGAGATCAAAGAAGAGATTGTAGAAGGAGAAGAAGAGACTGATGAGGCAAGAGAAGCGAGAAAGGCAGAGAAACGAGAGAGAAAGAGATTGAGAAGAGAGCAAAGAGCTAGAGAACAAGAGGAAACGATTGAAATTAAAACTGAAATTAAAGAAGAAGTTATTGATGAGGAAATTGATGAAGCAGAAAGAAAACGATTGAAAAAGGTTAAAAAAATTTTAGATAAAAACTCAATCGAAAGTTGTACTTTCAGGAAAAGAAACGGTTGAAACGTCTTCATGAAGAACAACAACAAAATGAAGAAAATGTCGAAGAAGAAGAAGATGTTCCAAAGAAAAGAAAGAAGTATACCGAAGCAGATGAGTAAACCTTATTTTTGTTGTTATTTTTATTCTGTTTCCATATTGTTTTTTTTTGTTTTGTTGAGCTTTGTTTGATCATGAAATTTATAGTTTATTCTTCTTCTGACGAAAATGAAATATTATATTGAGAACAATAAAATCTGCTCGAACATACTCGCAATTATCATTTCTTCATTTTTTTGATGATTGCTAGAATTTCAAGCTGATTCTAATATTCATTGAAAATAAATAGAACTAGGAATAGAAATATATAAATAATAAGAAGAACTATTCGAACATACTCGCAATTATCAGATTTCGAGAATTTCAGATGATTGGTAGTTGTTCGAATTGTTCTTCTTATTATTTTCAACATATGTGTTATGATTTATGGATGACTCCGGTTCCAGTTTTATACTGCAAGAAATGGGCGTGGCTTCCAAATTTCTTCCCATGAGCAAAATGTCGGAAACAACAAAAAACAAAAACGTGTCCGGAAAGAGTACTTCACACTTCAAATTCCTACATTCAATCTACCGATATTTACCGCTTATCAAATTAATAAGCTGGAAATTGAATGTTACGTGACTTTTTGAAATCCCACGAAAATTGAACTTTTGATTTTGGTGGGCTGCTAATTTTTGAAATGTATCGTGAGTTTACTTAAAGAAAGGTATGAATATTGGAAAACTCTGAAGATAATAGACCTAAGATTGTAGTGAGATGATTACACCGCGAAATTATTATTTTTTTGTTGAATTAAAAAAAGATTCCTAACCTAGTCCCGCAAGTTTTTAAATCACTGTAGAATATCTACAGTGTAGATCACGCGCGATTTCACTATCTTTTTGTCTCTTCTCTCTCGTATGGACGCCAATTTTTTGAAATAGCGTTTTGAATCAATAAAAAAGTTTTTTTTTAAACAACCAAAAGTTTCATTAAATTTTTTGAATTTTGAATTTCATTTTGAAAATCTGAAACTGTTAACGTTTTTTTTTTCAAAAAATTGTTTTCCAGGTGTCGAAATGGACGAGGAAGGAAATTTGGTCAAAAAATTCGAAGACGATGATGGTCCAAGTGATGACGAAGAAGGTGGCAATGGTGAATCATTTTTTACTGATTAATTTATTATCTAGTTAGGAGAAGAGGAACATCAAGAAGTAAAATTGAAAATATTTTTCAGATTAGTCGTGGATAAAAATATTCAAGATGATTTTGTTGGGAAACATGAAGCAATAAATCAATTTTGAGCGATGAGATGATCGAGGAATGGTCGAAATGTCAAAGGTTAGTTCTTTTTTGGGGTTCGATTGAGTAGTGAAGTTTTAGTAGAAGGGAGTTCTGTAGAGTTCGATATTTTTTCAACTGATTTGCATTTGAATCGAGGTTGCTTTTGTAAGGAAGTTTTAGATTTTTTTAAACTATGAGGTCGGGAGAAATAATATTTCTTTTTTTTTTTAAATATGAATTAGGCATGTGTTGTTTCTAAAAGTTGTTAGAACTTTGAGAAAAGAAGGGGAATATATTGGATGTTTTGTGGATATGGACAAGTATCTTCGTGAAAAAATGATTTAAAAATGAAAAAAAAGTTATTTCATCAAAAAGTGAGTAGCTCGATGATAGTAATAATAAAGCCAAAATTATGTTTTATATTTTTATTTTTTTGAAGTTTGTTTTTGTTTTTTGATTTTTTGTGACTTGATTTTTTTCTTAAATGGTGTAAAATACAAATCGATTTGAATCTTGCACTGGATGAGGTCATCACCCAAATTTTCGAAATAATTTACAGAATCTCTAGTTTTTGTGATAATTATACTCAAACTATGTTAATTACAAGATATATTTGATAAACTTTCAATTTTTTCTCAAAAAAATGACCCGGTGTAAAATTGAAAAAGACACTTTTCTCGTAGAAGAATCACAGAAAAGTTCTGAAATTCCACGTTTTGAATGGTACTGTAGAGGTTACTGTAATTGGTTTATCCCCTCCCTCGGGTTTCTCTCTGAGACAAAGCCCAAGTCAAGCGCAGTCCTGAAGTCTGCGTCTAAAAATGTTTCCCGAAAACTAACTTTTTTAGCCAAATGATTTATTTGAAGTAATAAAATGCGTTGAATCTTTGAGAAATGCAAAAATAGAATAATCTTTTTGTTTTTTTTTCCAAAATTTTCCCTGATTGGATATTGATTGATTCAAAACGGAATTGCGTGTTCTTTGAAGTTGGCAATTGAAATCGAAGGGTATACGAGAAATTGTAAGTCTTCTCCTGAAAATATAAATTCATATTGAAAATGAATTTAAAAAAACAAACATACTGTTCATAGCCTTTTTAGTTGTGAATTCAATTGGATCATAATCAATTGCAGTATCAAGACCAGTGTGTTTTGATTCAAAACTATCCGCAGAAACAGCTGATATTGTTGATTTTGGATCGTATTCTGATTTTGTTGTTTGATCTTTATTGGGTACCAAATTCAAATTAATATCTCGATTTGTTTTTGTTTCGGGCGACGATTCTTGTTGAATTTCTCCAACTTTTTTCTTTTCAGCTTCAACTTCTTTCGGTGCTTCTTTCACATCTTTTTTCGCTTCTTCCTCTTTCAATTTTTTCTCTTTTTCCATTTTCAAATCCTTTTCAATTTCTTCATCTTCCCATTCATAAGCATCAAGAAAATTAATTTTGAGTCGTTTGATAGCAGTCATTAACAAATTATAAATCTTGAGATAATTTGGCCGATCACTATAAGAAAGTGGTTTGAGATATTCAAAGATTTGTTTCAGTTCTTCTGGCAATTCTTCAAATAAATCACTATCTTTTGTTGATTTTTTCATTGCTAAAACTTCTTTTTCATCTGTTAAATGATGCCACGGAACACCAAGTGTTACTTCAATTAACATATAAATCATCGCAATTAAATCATCACATCTTCCTTGTTCTAATCTATCATGAACATTTAATGAACAATAACGAACAGTTCCTCTTAAAGGTATTCTTCTTCTCATAATTCGAATTTGCTTTTTACCATCTTTATCAGATGTTATAAAAGATCTTGCCATTCCAAAATCAATCAATAACAAACATCGAGAATCTCTACCATTTGAAGAAGCTGTTATTATATTTCCTGGTTTAACATCTCGATGAACATATCCTAATTCATGAGTTTGTTTCAAGCCATACAATGTAAAAACAGCTATTCGTAAAGCAGAACTATCGTTGAAGCCACGTTTGATTTTACATCGAAGAGCCATCAGATCTTTTCCACATAAATTTGTTACCATATATCTGAAATACACTTTTTTTCGACAAACGATGTGAATATATTCGAAAAATTTACTAGTTCAAATAAATGTTTTCTGAACTTCTGAAACGATCTTTTTCAAATGTTCGGTTTCAGAAATTCAAAAAGTTTATATTCTGCTTCAAATTTCCAGATTCTCCCACACTCACGTGAATGTTTTTCTTCTTCCATAATCTAACAGTTTTAACATATCTGTATGCTTTTTCATTTTGTTCAAAACTCCAATTTCCAATCTCAATGTTTGATCGAAATCTTCGGAAATATATTCGATTTTCATTGCAGCCATCCATCCTTTTCTTTTCTTATCCTCAACTTTATAAACAACTCCACATGCTCCTTTTCCCAAAAGTGCCTTGATTTTCCATTTTCCATCGATTATTTGACCAGGATTGAAAACTCGAGGTTTGACTTGTTCGGTTTCCGGCTCCGCTGCCATTTATAAGAATTGAAATCATTTCAACAATGCTTCATCTTTTAAAGGCTCTTATCTGATTCACGTTAGAATTCTGAAATGTCACGTAAAATTAATTTTCAGCTCATTATTTCATTATCAAAATATTGTCGGAACTTGAAAGGTGTAAAATTGAAGTGTGAAGTACTCTTTCCGGACACATTTTTGTTTTTTGTTGTTTCCGACATTTTGCTCATGGGAAGAAATTCGGAAGCCACGCCCATTTCTTGCAGTATAAAACTGGAACCGGAGTCCATAAATCATAACATTTTCTTGAAAATAATAAGAAGAACAATTCGAACAACTACCAATCATCAGAAATTCTAAAAATCTGATAATTGCGAGTATGTTCGAATAGTTCTTCTTATTATTTATATATTTCTATTCCTAGTTCTATTCACTTTCAATGAATATTAGAATCAGCTTGAAATTCTAGCAATCATCAAAAATTAAGAAGAATAAATGATAATTGCGAGTATGTTCGAGCAGATTTTATTACTCTGATCGATTTTCGTCAGAAAAACAACGAAAATAGTTTGGTTTTTGAGAAAAAACTATTAATTCACGGAAATTAGATGTTTTCCTATTCCAAAAAAACAGAGCTGAAATTTGTTCTCGATTTTTATTCAGATAATTCATGGGAGCAGTACAATCCCAACAGATAATGAAAATATTAAAAAGTTAAACAACACAAATTTATAATATTAAAACAAAAAAAAGAGAATGAATTGGAAAAAAAAATAATACAATTATTCACAACGAAATACTTAAAAAAAACAAAATTAAAAATTATTCGGATTTGATGATGGTGATGTCACATGAGACGCTGCTTGATGCTGTTGCCACATTAGCATTATTGTCAATTGGCTGAAAATTAGAATCATAAATATGAATTGTAAGAGAAATACCTACAAAGAGTTTTTCGTTGTTTTTCTTTGCAAATTTCTTAAACATGTTCAACATCTCATTTCCTTTGACATATTCCGAAGTTGCCAAAATAAGTCCTCGCCATTCCAAAACATGAGGATTCGGGAAGTGTGGAACAATGAAGGACACGTATTTCTGGGATGTGTCGACTTCCGAGACGAATTGTTTATCATTGATGAAACAGTGGATTTCCAAACTTGCAGACCAAAATTTATATATTTTGTCATTACTGGAGTCGAATTGGAGATCATTCACATATACCACTTGATTTGGGAATCCAGTCTCTTGATGAGAAGTGTCGGTGTGGTATACGATGTTGCTGATCTGGAGCTGGTTTTTTGTTACATAATCTCCTGTGATTTTAACAATTTCCATATTTGGATTCGTGATGCTATGTTTTCGTTTGGAAATTCGCGATGATCCAATTCTTACTTTCATTAAACCACAGAAATCATTCCAGACAATCCAATCTTTCTCATCTTCACTTCTGCTGAACCCCAATAATCCGAAACTTGTAATGGAAAATCCATTATTTTTCATAAATTTCACAGTTGGCCGAAAATTTCCCAAATTTGATTTATTTGACCAACACTTTACACCACGGCGACCGTTTTCCTCTTCCAACCAATATGCGAGCTCATCTCCGGATTTTTTGTTTCCTTTTACTTCAACTTTTCCAACTCGTCGAGAAAAAACTTCGATTCCACGTTCACCATTGCTTGAAACAATAATTCCTTCGGTGTAAAATGGATAATCCGGTTTATGCAAAAGCTTGGCACTTCCATAACTTAAAAAATTATGAAAATATATTTAGTTAGTAGATTAGAAAAATTATAATTTAAAACTCACTAGTACTGATCGATCAATCGTTTAACGTCAGAGTCCGATAATTCTGAAGGGAAGAGTGGAGCAATTGATGTCGATGGTGACGACACAATTGATTGTGATGCATCATTATCTGCTTCAATCTCACCAGTTGTTGTTATGGTTGTGGTAGTTGTGGTGTCGCTATCAAAAGTCATATTTCTCGCCACGCCTTTTTGAACTTCGAGCCAAATTCTCGCAAATCTCGCGTCTTCGTCACACGCTCTTTGTATTTCTTCTCGAGCCGACATTTTTCGTACTGAAAACTTTATTTCAAATTTATCAAAAACACAATGGGCAAGAATGCTGCAGCACAAAAAAGCGAAACAAAATCAAAAAACTGAAATCTAAAATGACGTGTATAATGCAAATGTGGACTAGCGCACACCCGCGTATTTGAAATATTTGAAATCGAGTTTTTCTTTTTTTTTTCTTTTTCTTTTTTTTTTGTACATTTCAAGTTTAGAAAAATCTGTCAAAACTTAGATTATAATTCAATCGTGGAATTATTGTCGGAAAAGCTTGTTGGCAAGACGATATCCGTCTGCGTCTCCTGCTTCTAATAATGCTATTTCTCCAACCTCTGCCAAAAAATAAAAATCTTATTTCAGGAGATTTTTTCAAACGTGTTCCTAATTCACGTGATCTAATTTCATAAAATATAAAAAATCAGACAAAATGAAAAATCAGTCATTTAGGATTGAAACTCTTTCAGTAAACTGTTTTTCAAGATCTGAACAAGGTGAGAAAAAAATAGCCAAGAATTATAAATGAGAGTTGTTTGATTTTCAGATGCCGTTACCAAATAAGGCCGGAGAACCTGAATTCAAATTGAAACTTGAACCAAATGATAAAATCAGCTTGAAATTTAAAGCTGGCGAAGAAACAACTGTTGATTTGAAAATAACAAATCCATTGAAAGATAGACAAAGTTTCAAGGTATTACTGTAGATTTCGAAAAACTACGTGACAAAATATTTGATGTTTATTCCAGGTAAAATGCACAGACAATGAAATTTTCCGTGTTCGTCCTCCACTTGGATTCGTTAAACCAAATGAATCTACAACAGTCAAAATAACATTGAAAGCAAAAAGTTTGCCAGATCCACAACGTCATTTCTTTGCTATTTATCATGTTGCTGATTCTAAGACAACAACTGCAAGAGCTGTTAGTTTTTACTGATTTTGATAATATTTTCTAATGTTTTGCAGTGTTGGACATCTGAAACAAAACCAGAAGGTGTTATTCGTCTTCAAGCTGCAATTGAAGACACTGAAAAGAAAGAAGATGGAGAAAAGAAGGAAGATAAAAAAGAAGATGAAAAGAAAGAAGATGAGAAAAAAGATGAGAAAAAGGATGAAAAGAAAGAAGAGGAAAAGAAAGAAGAAAAGAAGGAAGATGAGAAAAAATGAGTATCAGATATTTTAAATACTCCCAATCTATAAACATATTTTGGAATTCATTTTTTTTAAACAACTCAGAGCGTTACTGTAATTTATTAGGTGGCCACAATCTTTACATTTTTCTCCATTTTCAGAACTTCTGGGGTTACTGTATTTTTGGACTCTTTACGTGGCAAGTTTCCAAATAGTTCATGTTGTGTGATACACAATTTTAGCTTTTTCTAATTTTGATTGTTCTTCAATTTGAAACTGAATCCTCTCATGAGGTAACAAAACTACACACGGGTTACTGTATCTCGAGTTACTTTGTCAAAAAATTTGTTTTTGTTCGGATCAGAAACTTTATTTATCTCTCAATTCGATCAATTCTCTGTTGATTTCCATGATTTTCATAATTTCCTTGATAATATTTTTCTGAACATCCGATTTCTCTGATAATAACTTGTTCTCAGAAATAAAGAAATCGATTGAACTTTTATTTGTGTCAGAATAACTGAATATTGTATCATCAAACACATCCGACAAACAAGAAGTACACGTTGAACATTCTGTAGATTGAATTGTGAAACATCGAAATTTCCAACAATCGTAACATTTACACCAAACACCGTGTTTCTCAAATTCAATTAAACTACCAAGTGTTGATTGAATTGTTTCCTCTTTTTGACTGAAATATTGATTGAAATTCTCGAAAAATGATATTTGAGTTGGTGATTTTCTGAAAATTTGAGAGAATAAAATACAATTAGAAAAAAAGTGAGAACCTCTCAATCGGCATAATTTTTGCTATTAGTTTTTCGTTGAATTTTCCTTTGAATTTCTCCGATATTTTGTCTTGTTTTCTTGGTTTTCGAGTTGTCACATTTATTTTCCAAAATGATATCATATGTTCTGTTGCTTTATTCATTCTTTCATCTTCTTCATTATTTATTGGAATAATATCAAATTTTGGAGAAATTGATCTACCTTTTCTATTTGTTCCAATTTCAGATTTACCCGTTTCTTCTTCTTTTGAATCGTTTAGTTGTTGCTCAATTAAGTATAAATTAGTTTCTTCGATCTTTCTTCTCATTTCCTCAATAAATGATTCTGTTTTTGAAATTTGGATAATTCTACTGTAAATGTTAGTTTCCTGTAATTTTTTTGAGATCAAATTACCTCGCTACCTACAGTACAACAATTCTCTCACCTCTGTCATTTTCGAGTTGGTTAGTAGATATAAAAATGTCGTTAGTAAGTACTGGTAAATACTAAAAGAGCTCCACTTATATACGAAACAGATACACGTAATTAGAACACGTATCAATATTTTTGCATGGAAGAAATTTTCGGTTTAAAAATAGCGGAACATGAAAGGTATAAAATTAAAGTGTGAAGTACTCTTTCCTGTATGACACAGTTTTTTTTTGTTTTTTCCGAAATTTTGCTCATGGGAAGAAATTTGGAAGCCACGCCCATTTTTTGCAGTATAAAACTGGAACCGGAGTCATCCATAAATCATAACATTTTCTTGAAAATAATAAGAAGAACAATTCGAACAACTACCAATCATCTGAAATTCTCGAAATCTGATAATTGCGAGTATGTTCGAATAGTTCTTCTTATTATTTATATATTTCTATTTCTAGTTCTATTCATTTTCAATGAATTTTAGAATCAGCTTGAAATTCTAGCAATCATCAAAAAATAAAGAAATGCTAATTGCGAGTATGTTCGAGCAGATTTTATTACTCTGATCGATTACCATTGAAAAAATCAGTTTTCTTTTGAAAATATTGAATTTTGGTCTTAATACTTTTTCAATTTATTTTTTTCATACCCAGAAAATAGTTTTTTCCATGCAAAAAAAATTGCGAAAAATAAAAAGAAAACAACGAGACTCCGGCGTTGACGGCAGCCCGCGTGGTTTGAATTTGTGTTTTTTTTCAGTTTTTAAATGGGATTCCATATTTCGGCGACTACTTATTGAAATGTTTAGAATTTTTCTCTGACCTAGACAACAGTAAAACTAAGCTAAATCTAAGATCTGATAACAATTGGACTTTTTTCAAGAAAGTGCCTATCACAGGCATAAATTCTTGGCTTTTTTAATTCAGAAATGCCTGTCGCAGAAAAAAAAAATTCTCGCGTGAATCGGGAGGCGGGATTTATTTGGCAAGGTGCGGCACGTTTTTTTTTCAAGCAAAAATTATTTCTGATTTTTTGCATTTCGAAATTTAGTGAAGAAAAAAAGATGAAAACGAAAAAATTATTCAAAAAACGTGAAACGTGTAATCGTGGAAGGGGGCGGAGCCAGCAGGAAAAAAAGTCAGAAATTTATGCCTGTGCCTATTATACAAGGGTGTCGCTTTAAAAATCATCGCACAGCGAAAAAAATTTTTTTTTCTTTTTTTCCTTTGTGTGTGCAAACACTTTCTGTTTTGCGCACCGTACCACACGGAAAAAAAAACAAAAAACTGTGCGGCAACAAAAAACACACGCGCCGCACAATCAACATATGGGCACCGCCTACTTTTTTCTTTTTTTTTCTGGAAATAAGGGGGGAGTCCGTAACTAAAGTGTTTAATGTATTTTCTCCTTTTTTTAGCTGTGAAACCCGGTGATCGTGTGAAAGCTTTTGGTGGAAGATTTGATGGTCAAACTGGACTAGTTCTCCGAGTCACTGATAACACAGCATTTGTGTGGTCAGATTTGGGAGCGGAAGAGGTGAGTTATTTTTTGGGGGGAAATAAGGGAAAATTCATGAAAATCCAAGTTTTCGAGAACAAAAACATTGGAGCAAAAATGTTTTTTACAAAGTTGAAACAATTTGGCACCAAGAATTAGATTTCAAAAATATCCTCTCAACCAACATTTTTTCAGTTAGAAGTTCGTGTCGATGATCTCCAAATTTACACCGATACAAAAGGAAAACAAGAAGATCGACAACTCTCCGTAGCTCAAAATGTTGATCGGGGTGAAGAAGAGAACATAAAATTGGTAGAAGAAGATGTTGGAGAATGTGTTGGGGAGGAATATGAATCACCGAGAAATGATGGCGCCGTTGATTTCATTGATGGCGATGGTTTTATTGATGGCGATGGTTTTATTGATGGCGATGATTTCATTGATGACGATTCAGATATTGATGATATTCCGAGGTAAGAAAGAGCACAAAAAGCGTTTTACAGTTAATTGTTTAGAAATGATACACTTCCGTCAACAAACCAATCAAGTTTATGGCTTGTCAAATGTCGAGGCGGAAAAGAAAAAATCGTTGCATATGAATTGTTAAGAAAGTGGTTTGCTCGTGAAAGGGAACCGATGCAAATTACGAGTGTTGTGGCCAAAGAGAGAATTAGAGGATGGATATATGTCGAAGCCTATGAAAAGTCACATGTTGTGTCAGCTATTGAAGGATTTGCGGCGTTGGATCAGTCAACGATTACGGTAAGAAGAGGATTTGGGTGAATATGGGGGAATTTCTAGGGGTTTCTCATTAAAAATCTCAAAATTTGTGAAATCTTCTCTAAGAATTGTTCTGAAACCTTTAGATTTTATCTAAAAGTTTTTAAAATTTTCTGAAAAATCACGAAATAATCCACATCGAACGCTGTTTTTTTGCAGATGGTGCCAATCAATGCTATGAAAGATGTTCTTCGCGTGGCCCCGGATATTCAAAAGCTGAAGATTGGCCAATTTGCTCGATTCAAACGGACATTTTATAAATACGATTTGGCGCAAATTGTTGACATTGATATTCAACAGAATCTTGTTAAATTGAAGATGGTTCCGAGAATCGATTATGAGGAGATACGCGGTGAAATGAGAACAGAAGCTGATCAAAAATATATAATGGAGAGGAGACCGAAGAAAAGGATGTTTGATGCGGATGCGGTGAGGTTGGTGGAAGTTTCGGCCATTTTTGATGAGAAAAATTCTTGAAAATCGAATTTTCACAGGATTCTAAAAACCTCACGAAATGTATCTTCTTTTGAAAGCCAACATCAGAAATTCTCCTAAGTCTCCCTTTTTTCCAGACAACATGGTGGAGAAGTGTTGGTAAACGGCGATTGGTGCAAATTCGATACCGCCATGGGTTTCTCTACAAATACTTCCCAATTGACAAAATCGTAAGCCTTTTCCAAGAAATTCTGTCAGAAATTTCAAAATTCTAATATTTTCAGCTTGCTGATGATGTCAATCCAACACCTGACGAACTCGAAATTTTCGAAGGTGTTATGATGCCGGATCAAGAGGAAGTAAGTTTTTTGAGGAAAATGTGAAAAGTAGTCGAAAAATTGAACATTTGAATTATTTGGCCAGAAATTTGTCAAAACTGTAGTAGAATAACAATGATGGAGAATAAATAACTGTTTTCAGATGGTCGACTACAGGGAAATGGCAATCAAAAATGGGTTGTATAACACAATGATCAATTTCAATAATAAATCCAAGGTATGTTTTTCTTGAAGTTCAGTGTTTTATAAACGTGCCCAGTACAGGGAAATCTGAAAAAAAATACTGAATGGTTGGATCCCAGACAAATAGTAGCCATACATTGAACATAATACACATTTAATATTACAAAATCGATCCATTTTTTTGATTTTTGGAAAAAAATTTCGCTCTGAATTTTGGCTTGTGGAAAAAATTTCGACCTGCAATTTCAGGTTCTGAATGTGGTATGCTTCTACCAAGGGAATGAATTAATCAGAAAAAAGTAAGCAGTTTGCTTTTTTTGATTCAAGAATTCAACATTTTTTCTTGAAACTACAGTACCCCAAAAAAAAACAAAAATGTTGCAAAAAATATTGAACTCGCATAGCGTGACTGAAAAAGACTCATTACAAATGTGGCCCACAATATCATTTTTTTTTCAGCAATTGCAAAATCCGTTGTCAGATGTATTGATGTTATTCGATTCGAAAAAGTAGGAGTCTACACGTTCATTAGTAAGAAATCATAAAGTTTCAAATTAACATTTGAAAAATGCAATGTTTTTTTTTAGATCGATCTACTTATCAGAATTTATGAAACTTTGAACTTTAGCGATGATTTTTTCCAATCAATGAAAGATGACAAAGTTCGAGTATTTTTCGATAAATTTATATCTGTGAGTTTATTATTCGAATACATTTCACATGTTTCAAGAGGTTTACAAATCTGATTTGATAGCAAGCATTGCATTTTGAAAGAATTTTTAAACTCACGAAAAACGGTTTGTTTTGTTTTCAGGGTTTCTCCATCGATCTTCTTCTCATATCAAGAAAATTGGAAAATCTGAAGTTGCTGCGATTATTATGCGATGTTAAATTGCAACTTCCAGCATATGTTGTGAGATTGGGATTCGAATGGGACGAGGAGAAAACTCGAGAAATCATCCAACATTTTTTGGCGACAAGAAGTGTCAAATTTAATGATTTGAAAGACGTGAGTTCTTTTACTTCGTTTTTCGCGAAAAAAAAACTGGTAAATGTTTCTCTTTTCACCAAAATTCATAAAAAAAATTTAATGTCGTGACGAGAACACATTTCAAGAAGAAAACATGTATTTTTCACACTTGCTGTCTTGAAAGGAGTGTGGGTCTCGTCACGGTTAGCACGTACTTCGGAATAATTTGTGATTTTGGTGAACAGATTGTTAAAAAAAAACATTTTTCAGTGTTTCTTCGCACATAAATAGATGAAAAACAAATAGAATTTATTTCAGCTGTTGTTGACCGCAATTATGAAAAGCAAAAATGGATCTACAGGCGATTTTGAAAAAGCGATGGTCTCGATGTTTGGCTCCAATAGAGCAATTGCGTATTTTGCGGAAATACAATGGCAACACTGAGTTCATAAGATGGATTTCAGAGTATGTTTTTCTAATCCTAAAATTATTCTACATTTTTAATTTCAAGCATTATAAATTTCGTTTTCGACCATCTATTGTTTATCTACTGTTATTTACAGCTACAAGGTCAACAACCGAAGCATGAAAACTGCAAAATACATCAACAAAAATTCGCGGAAAGAAATAAAAGCTAGAAATCATTTTTAGGCATTAACCAATTTTCGTTTTTTTTGTGATTTGAACTTGTGTGAATTTTATTTATTTAAATATTGATTTTTAATACTTATAATAAATATGTATATTGCCTAACATAAATACATATTTTTAGGAATAAATAATTTCTGGGTGTCAATAAATAAAATGTTGTTTGTTTCACTCTTCCTTTTTTCATCCACCATCTGTCTTTCACCATGCCAATTACTTGTTCCTATTACGTTGTGTGCACATAAACAACTAAATAATTCCCTTTTCAAGCTTCTCATATATCGATTAATTTTTCCTTCAAATTCTTCGTTTTTTTCTTCTTTTTTTTACTATTTCTCATCATAACTAAATAAATAAATTAATATTATAGAATGAAATGAATCCTTCTGGCCCAATTTTCAGTTCAACAACTGGAAATGATCAAATAGATGAGTTGAATCGAATTTTAATGGTAACTGCCTTGTTTTTCTTGAACTCAATTTTTTTTATCGATTTTTGTTTTTCAGGTGGAGCGTGAATTAGTTATAAAAACTCAGGAAAATTATAGGAATTTGAAGAAACAATATCTTGATTTATCAAAAGAATATGATCAATTACGATTTTCGAATTCGCCGCGAGGACGAGAAAATATTCAACAACTTGAGGAAAAAAGTGAACAAATTTTAAGAAATATGCAAAAAGATTGTGAAGATAGAGAGGTTTGTTTCTTTTTGATAAATTTAAAATTGTTAACTTTTTTATAGATACGAAACGAGAGATTTAAAGTTGAAACTTTGGAAGAACTTCAGAATGTTTTTCGAAAAGAATTATTTGAACAAAATGGGCAAATTGAAAAATTGCGAAATGATAGAAATGATCTGGTAAAAGAAAATGATGAACTTTTGACTGAAATTATGGATTTGAAAACTGAAATTGATGATATGAAAAGAAGAGAAAAATCGAAAGAAGCAGAAATGCGGAAACACTTTGATGAAAAATTGAAAACTATTCTAGATGAAACTCAAAATAAAGTGTCACCCAGGTAACTCTTTTTCTGATGATTTTTCAAAAATAAAAATTAATTTCCAGACTTGAGCACTATAATAATGTCATAAGTCAACTTCAAGAACAAATCCATTCATTGGAATCAAAAATCCTAGAAAAAACACAAGAATTCGGAAAATGTATAGAAGATAAAAATTTGAAATTGGAGACAAATCGAAAAACTGAAAATGAATTGAAAACTCGCATTTATGATTTGGAATTTGAAATTGAAAGATTGAAAGCTGAAAAAATAGAGAGGAAGAATATTGAACAATCTGAAGATTCACAAAAGAAAATATTAAATCAGTAAGTTTTATTTTGTTTGTTCAAATAATCTGTCTAAATTGAAATTTAATCATCATTTTCCCCACCATCTCCATCTACTGACTGTTTGACGACCTCGACTCTGAAAATTTAAAATCAGAAAAATGTTCAAAATTGAGAACGAACCTTTCGAAAAACAATCTGTTTTCTTGCATCAGTTATTTCTGAAGCAATTAGTAAAACAACAATAAATAATAGAACATTAAAAAAGTTCATTTTTTTTCCAAAAACAGAACTAGTTATGAAAAATGAAGATATTCAGTGACCATTTTAAATGATCAGAAAATAGGGGTGGTACGTGATCAAAAGTCACATGATACCAATAAAAATTTTTTGATGATGTTTTCAAAAAAATATTTTCCAACACCTACCTTTTTATTATTTTTTGCACTGTAATTTGAAGGACATGATATCAGTTTGTGACTTGTTGTCTGAGTTTTTCATATCAATACCCTACCAAAAAAACAACCGGTTCCACTTAAAATGATCTGATTTTGATTTATTCGTTTGGTTTAGATAAACATTATTTTATAGAAAAATCGAGATATATTTGAATGATAAAATTGAAATGGAATCGAAATCGAGAAAAATGGAAAGAGAATATGAAAAACGATTGGAGAATAACGAAGAAAAATTTGCAAAACAAATTGTTGATTTTGAAAGAATTTGTAGGAAAAAAGATGAGGAAATTGAAGGTAAAATTTCAATTCTGAAGTTTTGAAAAATATACGGTTTTCAGGTCTTCATAATCAATTAGAAAGATTTGAAGGAATTCAAATCGCACTTGAACAATCGGAGAAAAATCAATTAATTGATCAAGAACATCGAGAAAGATTAGAAATCGAAGTAAAAATGTTATACAAGAAAATGGATGAATTAGGCGAAGAAAAAACACAATATTGTGCAAAATTGAAAAATGAAAGAGACAGTTTGGAACAATCTGTGACACATCTCAAGTAAGAATAATAAATGTGATAATTTAAAGAATTTAAGTATTTAGAAAACAGCTTGAAACAACTCCTGATTCTTTGGCAGAGGTTACAAAACTAAGGAAAACTCTAAAAGATATGGTAAGAATTTTTTTTGTTAAGTACTTGATATTTTTTTTTGCAGGAGCGGAAAAGTGCGAAAGAAAAAGAAAAATATCAAAGAGCTCTTTCGGAAATGAAAACAGCTTTGACAATAATCGAAAAACAACAAAGATCGACACAAAACAAAATTCGCGAGAACTTTGGAAATGTCACTTTTTAAACACGGGTTTTAATTTGAGAAATTTGAATGAATGAAGATTTATTATCTGAACTACAGTAATCAAATTGAATATATGCTTGAAATTATGCAGTTGTGGTATCAGTATCAGAAGCAGCAGTTGTATCAGATTCTGAACAAAGTGAACAAGTTTTTTGACAATATTGAGTTTTGATAGCAGTTGTATAGAATGAACTGGCACAGAAACCATTGTTATTCCATGCAGAACATCTGAAATCATTTCAAGTGTTTTGTCCCCCGACCTCAAAAAATTTTTTTGCGTCATTTCACTTTATTTTCCAACTCTATGGGCGTGGGGCATCATTTTACCAAAAATAGACCCAAATCGAAGATCATCACTTTTTTTTGTTCTTCGTATTTCGAGAAATTACAAATAACGTCTCTTAAATAAATCACAGTACAAAAAGGAGGTCAGAAAGTTTGAAAATGTATCAGAAATGGCTTTCTCAACTTTTTTCACAATTGCAGCTTTGATTGTTTTGGCTGAATCTTGCAGTGATTCAGGATCAAAGTAAGTTCTGAGCTAAATTCAAAAGTTTGATAATTTATCAAATATTTTAGCTGTGCAAATTGGGTTAAAAACGGATTCTGTAAATCCGCATATTATACTTATGCTCAAAAATATTCATATTGTGCAAGTTCATGTGGATATTGTTCATCAACAACAACATCATCATCTTCATCATCTTGTTCTAATTCTGCATCAGCGTAAGTTTGAGAATCCTTGATGTAGAGCAAACAATTTGGTATTTTGAAAGTATCATTTGGATCTCGCCAAATTCTCGAGTCAGATTGAAACATCGATAAAATTATAAAATAATTCAGATGTTCATCTTGGGCAGCAAATGGTTTTTGCACAAGTACATTCTATACAACAGCTCAAAAAGCAGCATATTGTGCAAGTTCATGTGGATTATGTTCATCAACAACAACTGCATCATCTTCAACTTGTTCAGATTCTGTAACAACGTAATCTACAAATTTTATTCTTTCTTCAAAACATAAAACGTTTATCCGGAATGGCCAAAACTTTGATCTTTTTTTTTGGATATTACTGATGTCTGTGGGTGTGTGCAAATATTCAAGTTTGATCGAGATGTTTTAGAAGGAAATATGTATAATTAGAACAAAATAATTATCAAGTTTTGGAGAAATAGTGATTATTTGAAAATGTCAATTGGATTGTTTTTGTTTTGTCTTTTTTTGGACTTTGATATACGAAACTATACATTTGAAATATTCATAATCTACTCCCTCTTTAAGAAATTCGATTCATTGTTGCTCTTTTTTTTTCTTAGAAGTAGCCTTGTTTTCCAAAAATTTTCTTCTCACATTTCGTGCACTATTTTCAAGTATACATGCTTTAGTAATAATAAAAATAATAATGAGGAGAAATAGATGGATGAAAACAGGAAATTTAAGTAACAACCCGAAAATAACACGAACCCAATTTTTTGAATTTCTGAATCTTCTCATTTTTATTTTTATTTTCTATACGATTTTTGTATCTATTGGTAACCCATTCTGAAGTGTAAATGATCCTTGAAGGATTACTGTATTTCAGTTTAAAAACTAATAAAAAGAAAAATAATGCTTAAAAATTTTCATTTTGGATTACTGTACTTTTTTTAACGAATAAAAAAAGCACTTCATTTTATCGTGGGTGTGTATTAGTCCGTCCATTTCCACCCTCAAAATCCTATAAAATTTATGGTTCCATTAACTCCTCCAAGAAGCAAGCTGCAGAAAAAAAAACAAAATCTAATTTTGTCTCTTCTGTTTTTGAATAATTCAACAATTCTCTAAAAAATTCCATTCAATTTCAGTTTTGATTTAATTTTGTGCCAGGAACTGAACATCATTTCTTTTGTGCTCTTGACTTTTGACTTTGTTTCCTATTTTTTTTGATTAATATGTCATTCAGAATACTTTTAGCCTAATAACTCAAAAATCCATTATAGTAGAGTTTGCTCGAAAAATATAATTATTTGTATTATCAAATTATTTGCTCATAAAATATATTATCGCAAAAACAATGTGACTCACTTTTGAAAAAAAAAACTAATATCCTGAATTGAGGGTGGATTTATTTCCGGATTTATTTCCGAACTTTTTTTTCTAGAATTTGAAACTTTAATTTTTGGTCTTCATGAAATTACTATGTCTGTGCAAAAATTCCCAGAGAAAAACATGATTGACGTAATCTTACTCACCCAAAAAACGAATTCTATTTTATTTATCCCTCAATGCGCATGTTCTTTTTTTTTCAAAAATTAATTTTTTATACCTTATTATTTCGACTCCACCCTCTTCTTTCAGATTTTTCTACATTTTAGCTATAATTTTTTGTCTATGCTAGCTTATGTTAATTTCAGGTTTTATAAAAATGTTGTCACTTTTTCAGAAATGTACACAATTTTATTTTTCTTGATGCTGCTTTCAATTCTATCCAATTCAGTGAATTGTTCCGAAGATTCACTCGGATTAGATGACAATGATGGAATTCTTTATGAATCGAGACCAATGCCACTAGAGAAATTTGTCGATGTTGAACAAAATGAAAATGACCAACAACAACAACAAAATGTGTAAGTCTAGACAAATCTAACGAGGAACAATGACAACTTCCAAAGCATATTTAATTTATCGAACACTTACAGTAATCATTTTCCAGTTAGAACATCTTATTAGCTAACATTTCAAAATTATAATCCCCAAACAAATTTTAATTATAGCATGTCATTTGTTCCACTTCGTCCAGATTATGCATTTTCTCGATTTATGAGCCTTGTCAATTCGATGTTTGATTCACCAGAAAAACGACGAACACGTGAAGCTGAACCAAGTTTGAATCATCCAATTCTTCGAGCACATCGACTTTTTGTCAATTTTGGAAGATTTCGAGGATAAGAAATTAAAATTAAAAGATAAAGAGAATGAGAATGACTGATTTTGCTCACTTTTAAAATTACTTATATTTGTTAAAAAAAGATTTTGAATGAATAAATATCTTGACAGTGTTTGAAAGTTTTTAGAATTTTTTAAAAATAGTTTTCAAGGCTTCAAAAATGAGTTTTCAAAATTGGATATCATTTTGAGAAGTAGACGTTTCACCGAGATTCAAAGTTATGTTTTGGACTATCGTACTGACCAATAACTTGCAAAATAATTATGGTTTCCCTGTTGGGAAAAATTCAAAATTGTTTTTTTGCTTTACAAAACCATCCATTTAACACGATTAACAATTTTCATAATGATATTATTCTTATTATTTTTAAAATAAAAAGTTTGTGTTTATTTGATTGATTCTTGGAGTCAAATTAGAATTCTTCGCATGGAATAAAAGTTGAAGATATTTGATGATAAAGTGAACACGAACCATCGACACATCGACAACGACCTGCAAAAAACATATTGTACTATTTATCTAATAATAGTATATCATTTAGCGTAAGTACGTCATTTTCGGAAAAATTCCGATGTTTGATATTTCAATTTCTGATGTCTTACCTCCTTTTCCAACTTTTGATCCAACGTCCAATCTTTTCATTCGATTTCCATCTAAACTTGCTGGTTCGCCAAATTTATTAACTGGTTCGGACCTCCAACAATGAAATGATGAGCTGCACGGTTTCCCCGGCTAAAAAATTGATTTTTAATTTTGATATTTGATTATTGTTTTGAAAATGATTTCATCTTGACCTTTGAGGTTTTAATTTTTTTCTTTTGAACTTATTCAAGTGAAATCTAAAATTAATTTGCAAGATCTAGATAACAGACTAGATTTTTCAGTGAATATTTTTCCAAAAAAAATCCTACCGTATCCGAGTCATACTGTGCAAATGCAAAGACAACAGCAAACAAAAATGTCAATAATGCTGATAGAATTTTCGCGTTTTTACCCATATCCTGAAAATAAAGAAGTTGATTGTGTCATAAAATTCATTGAAAGAATAAAAATGTCAAGATTTCGCCCACAACAGCTGAAATTATTTTTGATATTTTAATAGGTTAAAATAGAAATAAATGACTTTTGATCATAACACAATAATTTTTTTTGAAACCCGGAAATGATTTTTCAACGGATGAGATGAGAAACCAAAAATGTTTTATGTGATCACTTTTTCATGTATATCCAAGTTGTTTTTAATGATTCATTTTTGTCTCAAAAGCAAAACAATAGTGGTTTTTTGTTTTGTCTCCGAGATTTTGTGAACAATTTGTATATACGAAGACAGCGAAAATTTGGTCAATTTTTTTTCCCAAGCTATTTTTCCCAAATTTTTTTCCCAAGTTGATTTTTCATTTTCCCAAGTTTTATTTTTCCCAAATTTTTTTCCCAAGTTATTTTTTCATTTTCCCAAGTTTTTTTCCCAATTTTTAGTTTTTTTCCCAAATTTTCGGATCGCATGAAATTGGTTCGTTTTTTAAGAACATCAGGGATTTTGATTCTCTATATGAGGATCTCGAAATTTTATAAAATAGAAGGGTCCGTCAAAAATAGCTACTAGAAAAATGAGAGTTTTTCTTGTGTAAAGTGTGGTGTGTTTTTTTCAATTTTCGGCGAGTCTGTATGTTTCCAGGAGGGTTCACTAAGCCTAAGCCTAGAAAGAATAATAGAAAAATTAAAAAATCTTACTTTTGGCTTCTCAACTTCAGAATTAGGCTTAGGCTTAGTTAAACGCCCAGAAAACTGAATGTTGGTTTATTTTTTACAGTCGGCCTCTCAAAATATCAGTCTGAATCTGCTGTTTTCGTTCCGACAAACTTGTGAAAAATCACAATGTTCATTCCAAAAACAAAATTTTTTTTCGACTAATTTTAGCATTTTCGCATTTAGGAATTGCATAACTTCAGGTTATGACCGGGAGAAGCTGATATGTGGGATCAGTACTCAATTGGCTTTGAAAAATAGGGAATACCGGAAAAAAAACTTGAAGAATTGGGTAAAAAACGACAATTTGGGAAAAAAAGAAAAATTGGGAAAAAAACTTGGGAAAAACAAAAACTTACTTGTGAAAAAAATTTGGGAAAAATAAAACTTGGGAAAATGAAAAATCAACTTGGGAAAAAAATTTGGGAAAAATAGCTTGGGAAAAAAAATTGACCGAAAATTTTTGGAAAACGAAGGAACAAAATATTATTAAATATAAACATTTTCGGTTTGAAAGATGTCGTTTTCTTTTTTTTCTGAACTTTTTTTTTTGAATTTCTTAGTTTCTGCATGCCATTTTTATTAAAACAACTTAATTGAATTTCAACAAAAACTGCAAAATTTTGACATTTTTTTTGAAAAAAATTAATAATTGAACTTTCAAAAAAAAAAAAGAAATTCTGAGAAACACCATTCTTGAGAAAAAAGAAGGCAGCAATAATTATGTTGTCTCAAAAAACAATCAATCTTAAAAAATTACGAATTTTTTTTCGAGAAAAAGAAGCAAAAGCAGAAGAAGAATTCACGATCTTCGAAACAAAAACAATCAAAGTGACGCAAGAAGTATAAAAAACTCAAATTGAATTCAATTTCGTTTTTTCGTTTTTTCTCTGCTCAAAAAATTCCCATGGGATTGAATAATCGGAATATAATCTCACTTTACAGATGTCTCCGGGAAAAATGAAATTTTTCGTGATTTTCATATTGATTATTATTGGAGAAGTTCAAACAAGAAGATATCGAAAAATGAATGAGGTGCGGGGGAGAACAATTTGATTTTGGGAAAAAAATACATCAGAAAACAAGATGAAGAGAAAAAGGCCATGAAAACTTGAGCACAGAAATTGAACACTGAACTTTTTTCGAAACCGGTTGTAAATTGATAGAAATTTTTGAGATTTTTTATTGAGAGAAAACAAAAAATCAAATACGATGAACTTCTGATACCATGGATATACAGTATTTAATATAGAACCTCAAATATCCAAGCCTATATTTTTGAAACTTTCCGCAGTGGACCAAAAATGTTTTCTCGGAAACTTTTACTTCTTTTTCTAATTCCAGCTTTTTCAACGAGCAATAACAGTAAGTTAAAATTGTAGTAAATTTCTAAACTACAAAATAAAAAAAAATAATGCGTTTTAATTTTCAGATAACAATTCATAATCATGCAGAAGCAAATGTTAGAATAAGATGTCAATCTATTAAAACTGATTTATTAGACAGATTTCTTGGACCAATGTCAAGTTTTCGATTTCAATTTTATGATATTGATAGAGGTAGGGGATGGTTTTTTAATTTTTAAAAATTCTAGAGATCTATGTTTTGAGACAAAACAAGTAATAAAAAAAGATGCACTTGGAAAAAAAGTAGTAAACCTTGCAAATTAAAAAAATTGTCTGATCGGAATTTCAATTCCTAATTTCAACCAAGTCAGTCAGTTCAAAATAGCCATATTATTTACTATCCCAAGTTCAACAAAAATACGAATGAATAAATAATGATTTTCCGAAAAAAGAAGATTTTGTTATTATTCTTAGTGGGCAAATATGCATTGTTTAGCTGAAATTTATTAGTTGAACAAAATGAATGTGGAAGAAGTGTGGAGTTAATTTGTTGAGTCAGAAAAAGAAAAGACCAAATTAGTGAAGGGATTAGGAGTTAAGAGACGTTATTTGTAATTTCTCGAAATACGAAGAACAAAAAAAAGTGATGATCTTCGATTTGGGTCTATTTTTGGTAAAATGATGCCCCACGCCCATAGAGTTGGAAAATAAAGTGAAATGACGCAAAAAAATTTTTTGAGGTCGGGGGGATTTTTTTGAAAAAATTTGGCCGATCCGTAAAATGGTTCAAAATTCATATTTTTTGACGTTCAAAAAAGCATTCTGCTCGTAATTCAATGATCTTGCCAGTGGTAAAACGATCCATAATTCATTCTCTAATTTGAAATAATTATATTTTTAAAAAGTGAAAAAATGATGAAATTTCGGTTAAAATCATCATTTTCAACCTTAAGGAGTCAAAAGCGCACTTTTTAACTGCGTGCAATCGCTTCCTCTCGCAATTTTACCCCCGGGAGCGTATGTTAAAAAAAATAAACGGAGGACCATCATTTTCATCCAGGTCGATGAAAAGCGCCAACCAAAACATTTGTAGGTGCATTCCATGAAGAGTTCACTCGAAACGCTTGATTTTGCTAATCTAAGTGTCACGAGTTCAATCCCCAGTGGAGGCTCTTCTGAAAAATGGTTTTTTTTTTCGAAAACTCATTCAGGTCGGTACAAATTTCATGTCCTTAACACAATATTTTGGAGGTTGCAAGAGAGTAATACAATGCATTTCATAATGATTCACTTTTCGTAATTCCACTCTCCAAATGGATTAAATTGACTGAAAAATCAGTTATTAAGGCGAATTGAATAAAAAATTGACAAGTGCGACCACAATCAGGTACGTATGTAAACTCATTTTCATTTGAAAATAACGAAAACTACAAACATATCTGACCAATGTTTGAAAATTGTGTTCCAAGAGGATAGATTCACCTCAAAACGATTTTTGTTGGAAAAATACCAAAAAAGTAAGCAATGTATTTTTAGTCGACAGAAACATTATTTTCTTTCATTTCTGACATTGATATCTGAGGTTGATAAGTTCTAAATTTACACCGATGTATCCAGTAAGATCGTCTGGAAATTTGACGAAATCGTTTTGAATTAGGTGAATTTATCCTTCTGAAACACCAAATTTTTTTCAATTTTCAAACATTGGTCAGATATGTTTGTAATTTTTGTTATTTTCAAATGAAAATGAGTTTACATACGTACCTGATTGTGGTCGGACTTGTCAATTTTTTATTCAATTCGCCTTAATAACTGATTTTTCAGTCAATTTAATCCATTTGGAGAGTGGAATTACGAAAAGTGAATCATTATGAAATGCATTGTATTACTCTCTTGCAACCTCCAAAATATTGTGTTAAGGACATGAAATTTGTACCGACCTGAATGAGTTTTCGAAAAAAAAAACCATTTTTCAGAAGAGCCTCCACTGGGGATTGAACTCGTGACACTTAGATTAGCAAAATCAAGCGTTTCGAGTGAACTCTTCATGGAATGCACCTACAAATGTTTTGGTTGGCGCTTTTCATCGACCTGGATGAAAATGATGGTCCTCCGTTTATTTTTTTTAACATACGCTCCCGGGGGTAAAATTGCGAGAGGAAGCGATTGCACGCAGTTAAAAAGTGCGCTTTTGACTCCTTAAGGTTGAAAATGATGATTTTAACCGAAATTTCATCATTTTTTCACTTTTTAAAAATATAATTATTTCAAATTAGAGAATGAATTATGGATCGTTTTACCACTGGCAAGATCATTGAATTACGAGCAGAATGCTTTTTTGAACGTCAAAAAATATGAATTTTGAACCATTTTACGGATCGGCCAAATTTTTTCAAAAAAAAATCCCCGACCTCAAAAAATTTTTTTGCGTCATTTCACTTTATTTTCCAACTCTATGGGCGTGGGGCATCATTTTACCAAAAATAGACCCAAATCGAAGATCATCACTTTTTTTTTGTTCTTCGTATATCAAGAATTTTTGAGTTTTTACAAATAACGTCTCTTAATTAGAAAAAGTGAAAAAATGAGAAGAAAAAAAGTGATGTGGAATTGGAAGTGAAAGAAAGTAACATTGGAATTATGTATTCTCCGATGGAGCAAAAAATAAGGAAATTTTATTTTTAGGATGAGTACAAATAATCGAATAACAAAAAATAGAGTGAAAAAAATACTATTCTTCGAGTATTCAGAAAAAAGTGCGAAAAATCGCAGATCATGAAATTTGAAAGAAACAAAAACAATAACAGAAAAGCAATCAAAAACCATGTGAAAATAAATAAAAAACAATTCTGATTTTTTTCAGGAAACTTGCATTTTTGGTGTGATGCTTATGGACTTTTTGGATTTTTCGAATCATTTGATGTATTTGGAAGAAGTGCTTCAACTCAAAGAAATGTGACATGGTTAGTTTTTGTTATTATTTTTTAAAGGACCACTTTCTTATTCATTCAACAAAAAGGAAGCATATGAGTTTAACGGAAATGCAAAATGTTGTAGGTGTTTATGCACAATTGAGCAATGTATTTGTAAGAAAAATATTGAGAAAAAAAGTGAGATGTTCATTCATACTTTTGAAAATTAGCATGATTAGGAAAAGAAAATGAGAAATGAATTTGTATGTGTCTAGATGACGTTTTCTATCGAAAGAATCAAAACTCAAAACGAAAAGAGAGAAAGAGTGAACAATTGTTTGTCAAAGCAATTATGTATTCATTCAAATAAATTAGGATTGACATTTACCAAAATCAGATATGTCTGAACATGTTTTTTTCATCTCCAATTCGAATTCTGATTTTTAAAATAAATTTTGCAAAAGGTTTTTGGAATTAAGTGAATTCGATGTGCAAAAATGGGAAAAAACACCTCTACAAGATTTTGTGAATTACAGTAATTACTTCTCTTCTTAGAATTAGAAATGCATTTCCACTTTTCATTTTCTGTTTTCACAATCAATTTCCATCCGTTCACGTTATATTATAATCGAGAAAAAAATTATTGTTGATTTTTTCAGGTTTCTCAAAAACGATGGTCTTTATTTGGAAAATGTATCGAATCGAAAAATTGAATGGCAATGGGTTTATCCACCATTCGAAACCTATGCAATCGAATCAATTAATTCAATCGATATTTCTTCGTTGCCAGTTTGGGTTCCTTTTCAAGGATGAATCAAAGTCTGATTAAATATGTATCTACAACAATTTGATTCGTGAGATTTGCTATTTGATCAACACTTGAACTTGTCACATTTAGTCTATTTATTTACGCTCATTTTTTATAATCCAAAAAAACATGCTCTCAATTCAATAAATTAAGTTTTTCTGTTGGTTTTACAAGATTCTAATTATGTAGAAACTTTTCTGAAACTATAAATTATATTCAATTTTCTTTAAATAATTGAGCAGCAAAACTCAAAAAAAAACTTGAGCTCAAGTTGAACCTAATTTATTTAGCGCATCAAACTCAGATTTCGAAAAGATAAATAAACAAATACTAGACGCAGAGAAAATTGGAAAATGGATATTATAAGAAGATTCAATCAGTTTTAAAAGAAATGATCCGACAATTCATACTATTTATATTTATTATAATTAATTTCACGAATTCGACAATCGACAATAATGCTCAAAAACCAAAATGTAATTTGCCACCATTCACTAATTTATTACCACTAAATTCAAGAAGAGAACTACGAAAAATATGGGCTGGTTTTCATTCGACAAGTACAGCTAAAAAATGTGAAAGGTTTGTTTGTAAATTTGGCTAATAATTTATTATTAGATACTTTTATTAGGAATAATCCTTCAAAAACAGGAAAAATGAAACTGAAAATATTCCAAAATAGAACACTCGTTTTCGTTTTCTTCATTCACCAATAATAACAACTCGCCAAAATTGAATTTCACAAAAAAAGATCTAATTTCAAGCGGAAATAAAAATATTCTTCAGAAAATATTGTGTACTATTCGTCTTGGGAGTTCTGAAAATCACAAATAAATTTAGTATTATTCTCAAATCTCTGAAGATTTATTTATCTTTTTTTTTGGAAAATATACAGATAAGAAGGATTTTTCATCGGCTTCTTTTTCTTCAAGAACAAATCAAAAACTAAGAAAAAACAATAATTTTGCAGACAACTGGCTCAAACTCGCGAATTAATATCTGCTCTTCCGGAAGATGTCAAGTTGAGAATTCTGGATTTTGATCGACCAGAAAGTTCAACTCGCAAATCATCAAATGGAATGAATTTTCTGACAGGTCTTTCGGATATTGAAATTTCAAGGTTTTCAGAGGTAAAAATGATTGATAGACAACAAAATTGGTGTACTTATTTATTAGTATTTCTTATTCTCAACAAATATTCCATTATGAAAATGGGTTCCATTGAACTTATAAATATTTAAAGATCATATTAATATTTTTCAGATAATGATGAATAGATCAGTATCTCATGATCAGAGATATGATATGCTAAGAAATTGGGCTTCGGAAACACTTGATCTTGATGCAATTAATCAAGTTGAACAATTTATTGTTTTTCAAAAACGGAAAAACGCAAGCTTCAAAACAAAAATTGATCGACTTTCCTCAGAAGCCCGTATTGCTCATGATAAATTGGAATCTTTGAGAAGATTGAAACAAGAAGTTTATGTTGATTTAAGTGAAAAAGCGAAAAAGGAATTAGCTGGATTATATCGAACAAAATGTCCAAAAGGAAGTATTTATGAAGCAAGTGATTTAGATGCCGAAGAATTACAATTAGCATGTTCGATTGATGATAAAATACCAATTGGAAGAACAACAACAACTCCAATTTCAACAACAACTGAAATGATTACAACACCTTGTCCATCTCCACCAGAAGATATTCTTTCTACAACTTCTTCATCATCTGCACCTGTTCCAACTACTACTTTAGAACCAATAACATCAACACTTCCATTGATTTTCACATCTGGAGAACCGCTTTGGACAAAGTTAACATTCACAAATCCGCCAACAACAACTACACCAGATGATACACCAAAACAATTATCGTTTGAAATTCAAAAACAAATTGCAAAACCATCTGAAAAACCAAAAGGAGTTGCTTCGATGTTTGCGACTGATCAAGATAGACTTGAAGATTTATTGAAAAGAATATTCAATACTAAATCACTTAAACTTTTTTGATTTTTTTACAAAAATATAATTACCCAGGTGTCTTTCGCTTTAATTTATTGATTTTATTATTATTCAAAAATAAATATGTTTCGCTCTGATCTTGTTTTTGAAAAAACATGTCGAATTAATGAAGATTTATTATTTGAACTACAGTAATCAAATTGAATATATGCTTGAAATTATGCAGTTGTGGTATCAGTATCAGAAGCAGCAGTTGTATCAGATTCTGAACAAAGTGAACAAGTTTTTTGACAATATTGAGTTTTGATAGCAGTTGTATAGAATGAACTGGCACAGAAACCATTGTTATTCCATGCAGAACATCTGAAATAATTTTAGATATTTTGAAGAAAAAAAGAAAATTTGTAGATTACGTTGTTACAGAATCTGAACAAGTTGAAGATGATGCAGTTGTTGTTGATGAACATAATCCACATGAACTTGCACAATATGCTGCTTTTTGAGCTGTTGTATAGAATGTACTTGTGCAAAAACCATTTGCTGCCCAAGATGAACATCTGAATTATTTTGTTTCAATCTTACTCGAAAATTTGGCGAGATCCAAAGGACATTTTCAAAATGTCAATAAAATGCCAAAATTTTTTTGGTCCACATCAAGGATTCTCAAACTTACGCTGATGCTGAATTAGAACAAGAGGTTGAAGATGATGATGTTGTTGTTGATGAACAATATCCACACGAACTTGCACAATATGAATATTTTTGAGCATAAGTATAATATGCGGATTTACAGAATCCATTTTTAACCCAATTTGCACAGCTAAAATTTTTGATAAATTATTTCACACTTTTGAATTTACGATAGCTCAAAACTTACTTTGATCCTGAATCACTGCAAGATTCAGCCAAAACAATCAAAGCTGCAATTGTGAAAAAAGTTGAGAAAGCCATTTCTGATACATTTCCGAACTTTCTGACCTCCTTTTAAACATGTTTTTTGATATTTATTCAACTGCACATGTGCTCTGTGCAAACTTGTTCCATTTTTTGCTAACTTTAGACGAATCTGTTCTTGATTTTTGTGCGATCAAAAGTTACTTTTTATTGTCATGTTTTCTGCTTTCTGCTAAAATAATGATTAGAAAACAAAAAAACAACAACAACAACAACAAACATCATCACACAATTGTTAAATTCAAATGAAAAATCTGCAGATTGAAAAAAAAAATGAAAAGAAAAAAAGAGGAGAAGATGAAACGAGTGACCCTTCGGCAACAAATGCTTCTTCTTTTTTCCCCCGTTTTTTTTCTTGCGATTGTATGGTCCCAGTCTGCGGCACCGCCTTTTCTTTCTTCAAGGACATCGAACTTTCTCATCTCTTTTTCTTCTTATTTTTGCTTCTCACATTTTTTTGCGAGAGAGAGAGAAAATTGCTCCAAGATAATGGCTAATATCATCTTGTTTTATTTCGCATGTTTTGCTGTTTTACAGGTGGGTAAATGAGAAGTTATGATATCTAACTACTGTGCGAATTTCAACAGGATTGGGAAACATACAGTAACCCACCTGTATGCCTAAAAATTATAGAATCATAGGGAAATTTTTTAAGTGTCTAAATTGATGCGGTAGACTTGCCCGATTTTTTCATCTACGAACCAGAGTTTTCTCAAAAAAAAAATTAAAAGTAGTCCAATTTGATAGAAAAAATTAAAAGTAGTCCAATTTGATTCCCAAAATGTTTTATTGAAAAATGTAGGCACAATAACCCAAAACCCTTCAAGTATTGAAAATGTAAAACTTTCCTAAAATCGGCGACTTTATTTCAAAGGATTGATTGATGCGGAAATTGTCCAAAATTGTAATATTATCACAAACAGAACATTTCTCTTGTCCATAAACTTGAAGATTCGAAATCCCTGCATCTTGTCAAAACACAAAATTTCGCACTTTTTGATGTGTTTGGCACCGAGCCAGTTGTGTTTTTCTCTCGTTTCCAATATGTTTTGGACCCAAAAGATCCTCAATATTCGCCTGGGAAAAATATGAAATCTGAGCATTGACCACCCATTAATCCTTTCCGTCCAATAAAATTCCAAATAATATGCTTTTCGAGCCACATGTTTGCATCGAATTGTGTAATACTGATCATTTTGGACTTTACACAAAACATACTTGCTCAGCTGTTTTCGTAGAAAAATGGAGGAGATAATTTGAATTTCAGATTTCTGAATCGCAATATCGACAAAATCAGAATCACAATCAACAACAGCATTATCAACATCAACAGCAAATTCAACAAAGGCAGCAACAACAACAACAACAACAACAAGCCTATAATCAGAATCAGAATCAAAACAAAAACTATCATTATCAGCAACAACAACAAAAACCACCACAGCAACAGAATAAATATCACTATAATTCATATAACACTCCACAACCACCTCAAAATAGCAGTAAGTTGAAAACAAATGTAGATTTTGAGAAACACTAAATTTTTTGAGATTCAGTGAAAGCTTATCATGTGCAATATCCACCGGTTCAACATCCATCAGTAGCAAATATTCCACAACATTATACTTGTGATATTCCACCTGATTTGTGGTAAGTTCAAATTGATAGATTATCGAAATCTGAGTAGCTAAGAAAATGACGAAATTTTTGATCTTGGTGATTCTTGAAAACTTATTTCATCCAATTTCTTCTGAATATTATTTTCAAAATGTCACGTTTTTATTAGTCGAGTTCAAAATAACCAGACGGAAATGCTGACCGCGGAGTCGAATTTCAAAAAGAGCGAATATTGTTTTCAATACATTTTCGTTGTTTTTTTTAGGTGTGATAGTCAACAATCAGCTCAACAATGTGGAGTTCAAAGACAATGTGATGCTCTTCGACATCGTCGACAACCGATTAAAATCACATTGATTTATGAAGCATTATGCCCTTATTGTCAAAAGTTCGTGAAAATATTTCAATATTTTTCTAAAACTTCAGATTTTCAGATTTATTTCTAATCAACTTGGAAGCGTTTTCAATCAATTTCAAGGTCATCTCACATTGGAATTGATTCCATGGGGAAATTCGCGGATTTTGAGGGTATCATTTATCATTCATTTCTTCAAAAACCAACTGTTTCATCAATTTTTCAGGACGGATCATTTTCATGTAACCACGGACAAAAAGAATGTGATGCAAATCGATTACAATCTTGTGTTTTGGACATTTTGAAAGTAATTCTAATGAGCCGAAGTTTATTAATAATCAATTATATTTTAGGTGAAAGGTGCTTTACCATTCATCATTTGTTTTGAAAGAAACATTCAAAGCTATGGAGTTGAACATGCTATGCAATCTTGCAGTGCATTTATTCGAACTCAATATAGACAGATTAGGTAAATTCCATAAATTTTCTGAAATAATACCTATATTACAGGCAATGTTATGATGGTCAAAGAGGTGTTCAGCTTCAACGAGAAGCCGCCGAAAAAACAATGTCAACCCGTCCAAATCCTATTCTAGAAGTACCATATCTTCTAATTAATGATTATACACCATCTGTGGATAACAATAATCTGAATGTGATGTTACTACCTCAATTATTGAACAAATGGACAAAAATGACCAAAAAATAGTGCATGTTTATGACCAAAATGTATCAAAATTGTTTGTGGAATTGGGGGAAGGGTTAAAATTATCGAATAAATAAATAAATAAAACATCTGAAAACTTTTCAAATGATTGCCATTCAAATAAAATTTCGAAAAAGGTTTACTTGAGAGATGTTGTTGCCATCATACCAGCCAAACTTTGCACAATATTGTCATTCAACATTTTGGTAACTTCTTCAGCAATATGCCTCTTTGGATCTTGTTTACCAACATTCTTGATTGCCAATTCTTCTTCAGTCATTTTCTCCTCATCTTCGAGAGCTTTTTTGTAATTTTTGGCCAATTTCAACATTGCTTTGAGATGTTCCTTATTTTTCTCGCCGCATTTCGTGTAATTTTCAACATTGATGGCATCCATCCATGATAGTTTATTCAAATTCAACAACATTTTTTGTTCCAAATCGTGAGTTCTATAGGCAATTGGAATCGAATAGTAATGACGGTTCAATCCATGAATAAGAGCTTGAATACTTGGCTTTTGCAAATGTCCCAAATTACTTGTTGTTTGTCTTGGCTCTTGATTCAAAGCCATTGTTTGTGGATTGATTGTGCGAAACGCATCGATTACAACCTGAAACCAATCGATTTTAAAACTGCATTTGATTCAAACAACAACTTACTTTTCCTTTAACTGATTGAATTGGATCAACGACAACAGCAACAGCTCTATCGGAAAGAGCTTCGAACGATTGTTGAGTATTTATATCAACACCAGACAACCAACATCCGAAACCAGGGTGAGAATGGTACCATCCAACAACCATTTCTGGTCTACCGGTTTGTTTTAACATGTCCAACATTTTTGCTTGAAAGACTGGATCGACAGCTTCGACGGAAACACCCTAGAAATATGATTGGATTATAGATTTTTTTTCAAAAATGAAAATGTAAAAATAGAACATCACGTTCGTTTTTTCATCTAAAATGACCCAATTCGAATTAACGACGTGAGCTGTATTTCAGTATGAAAACATTATTGAATTGTTCTCACTACCAATCGGTGAGTTTCGTAACTCCAACAATAATATCACAACTTACAGTTCCAGATTGTGGCATGGCAAAAACGTCGATAACATTAACTGTATATTCATCAACGAATTCTCCAAGCATCAAACCCATAACTTCCATTGGAACTCCAGCTCTACCATGCTTCAACATTTTCAAAAGTGCCAACGAAGAAATATACACAGTTTCCGATGTATCGACTTGATTTGAGTCTTGTGGAGTAGTATTGAACTGTCCCAATGAACCACCGAGTCCTCCAAGACGCAAAAATCGCTCCATTTTCTAAAGTTGGTTGATTTTCAGTGAGTTTTTGGGGAGAAAAGGGTGAACAGTGAAAAAGAATGAGAAAAATTCAAAAATTTTTGATGACAAAAATTTGTGTGTCAACACGACGACGAACAATTGCGGCCGCTGTGCAATCGCGTTGTCCACCGTATTTTATTTTTTCTTTTTTTTTCCTTTTCTTTTGTCTTTCGGTGTTCCGAGTTTTTTTGTCTCTCATGAGATTCTTATTGCAAGCACTAATAATATTAACAGAGATGCCTATATAAAATGAAACACAGTTAAGTAGTTTCCTTTCAAGATTTGTTTCTCTAAAAACATTTATTTCTCTCTAATCCCACGATTTTTTCAATTGATTGAAGTATACATTTGTTTCGTCGATATTTGTTGATATGACACTAATTTGAGTATTTTTATAGTTTCGAAATCCTGGTATAAATTTCCAAAATTCGTTATGCCAAACTGGAGAACAATACATTATAACACATGTGAGAAACATTGGGTTTCTGAAAATGTGGTTTGTATCGAAAATCAAGGAAGGATCAACTTACAAGTAAATGATATTTTCGACCAAATGGCTCAATATTGAATTAAGAAAAGGTATGATTTTAAAAATTAAAAATATCAAAAATATTGCTGCAAAGAAAACAAAAAATGTAGCACCATAAACAATTTTCCGAATCATAATAATTGATCGAAGATTTTCTTTGATTTGGAATTTTTTTCCAAGTGAGAATATTTTCTTGGATTTTGAATTTTCCATTATTTTTCGTAGATCTGAATTCACTTTCCAAACAAACAAATATAACTGAAATAAGTGAAAGGTCGAAGATAAATGTTTTCAAACTCACTAGGATCGAAATTATCATAGCAAGAAATAATAAACCAAAAGCCACAGAAAATGATATTTTGTTATTAGTCATGAAATAAGAGAATGGAATTGATAAACAATGAGTAAATGAAATCAGTAACAACGGGATATATAAACGATCCTTTTTCTCATAGTCACTGAAAAATTAAACAATTTACAAGTATCAATAATTTAAAATGTAACTTACTGTATGAAAATAGTTGCAAAAACACGTTCAATCATAACAGAACCAACACCGATTAACATTGAATAAATATAATGCCACATAAGTAAAGACGATAAATAAAGTGGAAATATCGAATCAATGTTTTTAACCTTCACAATCTCGGTTTCATTCTCAGTCCACCATTGAATATATTCTTGTTTTGTGTTTGAATCTACAAAAAACAAAATAATTAGAAGCTATTATTTTAATTTTAATAACCATCGATGTATAATATTCCATATTGATATGGAATCACAATAAATTTAGCAATTGATGCTTCGAACCATTGCAACCAAAACCAACTTATAATATAACTCATATTTAAATGAACTAAACGAGTTGATACAAGAACAAGAACACATCTTATAACCATAAAGCCTGTTATTATATGAAGAATAAACTCGAAAATAACAAAGATCATAAAAGTTTTTGAAACATCATTTATTGAAAATATTGGAAACCAAAACGACTGATTATCAGTTTTTAATATCATATCTGTTGAAAATTACAAATTCCAAGTAATATTATTAACTTAAAATATCATATTCAAATGAGTTCTTATTTTTAATGAAAAGAGAAAAATAAGAAAAAACCTTGTGAGTAATTGGAAAAAGCAGGTGGATTGTAAAACCAGAATCAAGAAAAATGACGGGAATTAAGTTATTTATTTTTAATAATTAGAATGAGCGTTGAACTTTATATCCATGCATTCTTTAGTTGATTAAAGTATATATCAGTCTCGTTTATCTTTTCTTTCACCGCATTGTTTTTCTTTTTCAAAATATTATGAAGAATTGGGCAACATTTGTAGAATTGATTGACCCAAACTGAAGAACATGATATAAGAACAGGACATGTAAATAGAGGATTGCTGAAAATATTGTTATAAGTTTATTCTTCAATTCTGAAACATCTATATTTTTATAAGTTTCATTGTGAGTTGAAAAATCACCCGAATCAAAAATTTGTAAACTAAATTAGATTATACGTCAGTCGGAAAATTTATTATGAGAATACGTCTGTAGTAGATATTTTCCAGAAATTTAGAAAGCCCTTTTCTACAAGTTTTCAGTAAGAACACGAGCAAATATTTTTTTTAATTTTTAGTTGAATACTTACAAACTGATTGAGTTTTCCATCAAATGTATGAAAATCGCAGCATTGTTTCCAATGATTTTAAAGTTTACCAAAGTGAAACAAGTTGAAGTAATTGGAGCATAACATACAGCAAATATAAGAATTCTTTTCGCCATTAAAAGTGCTCGATAATTTTCTTTGATTTGAAATTTTTCACCAAGGGTGAAAATTCTGCTCGCCAAATTCTTCTCCATTTCATTTTTGAGTTTGAAATTTATTTTCCAGACTAATAAGAATACCTTTAAAAATAATGAATCAGGATTTGTATACAAATAGGTACTTACTGTCAGAGAAAGCGCCATGAGAAAAATTATAGTTCCAAAGCCAATATAATAAGGAAATATATTATAAGTCATACAATAAGCAAATGGAACAGTAATTATATGTGTGATTATAAACAATGAAATTGGAATATATCGCCTTGATTTACGTTCGTAGTCACTAAAAAAACATTCAAAAAATACTTTTAAAAAATTTTGTTTTGGTCCTACTGTATATAAAAGGTAGCGAATATTCTTTCGGTTCCTGTTGCAACAACACCAAACATAATTGAATAAATATAATGCCAAAGAAGATGAGAAGCAACTAAAAGTGGTATTATATTATCAGAATAATTTATTGGTATCATATCAGATTCTAAATCAGTCCACCAAGATGTATAAGCTTTTGTAGGATCTGAAACAGAACATGTGAATTTGATCAATATTTGATTTTCACCTCCAACTGTCAATAATCCATATTGATACGGTAGTATGATACATTTTGCTATAAATGCTTCAAACCATTGCAACCAGAAAATAGCTAACATAAATGTCATATTCTCATGAAAAACTCTAATTGAAAATAAGATATTAGCAGTTCTTATTGTGAAAAACGCGCAACACAACAAAAAATGACGCTTCGAAAATTGCAAAAGTAATATTTGGAATTGAATCAAGTCGAATATCATTTATTGTATAAATTGGAAACCAAAATGTTTTATTTGAAGATTTTACAACGAATATCATTTTACATCAAGAGTGAGAAAAATAACAGGTGAAATAAAGAAAGAACTTTGCTTTTTCAAACTATAGGTTTCTTCATTATAATTATCATGACTAATAATTATTAACGTTATAGTTTGGTCGAACTTTCAAATCCACGCATTTTTCAATTGACGAAAATAAACATCTGTTTCATTTATTGTCGGCTTCGATTTTTCTGAAGATGGCGAGAAGAAAATCATCGGAATAAAGTTCCAAAATTTTCTCTGCCAAACTTTTGAACAAGTCATCAAAATCGGGCAGATTGCTATCGGATTTCTGAAAATTCATAGTTATAAATAGATTTTCAATTTTTTCGAATAACTAACAAAAGAATAGAAACCATCAAAATATGATTGGCAAATAGTTGAATATTTGGAACCAATTCAAAAACTAATACAATTAAAAGTGCTCCTGATCCACCCATAAAAAATACAGCCGTTGCAACTAATCTCTTTGCTAGTTTCATTGATTTATAATTTTCTTTGATTTGAAATTGTTGACCTAATGAATAATTATACATTGTTCCAGAGCATTCCATTTTAAACTTCAGGTGAACATTGATTCGCCAAACAATAAGAAACATCTGCAAATATAACATTTTACTCGAATCGCTTATATTTTCTAGTTCTAACAGCATATTCATTTACATGTTCGAGAACATTAATTTTTGATTTTAGTTTGCTTATTTTTGATAAGCCAAACATCAGAAAAGCAGCTGGCATTGAAGACGAAACAAAACAACTTACAATTGAGACTGTGACTAAGGAAAACACTAAAATTCCGAAAGCAAAGAAAAATGAAATTCGATTATTTGCCATAAAAAATGAATATGGAATACTAAACATATGACATGATAAAACAAGAATAATTGGAATTTGTCTTCGAGATGTACTTTCATAATTACTGAAAAAAGGAAAAACATTAAAAAAACACAGTTACAAAACATACTGTATATAAATAGTTGCACATGTTCTCTCAATTCCAATTGCAATAACACATATAAGAATTGTATAAATATAATGCCAAAGTAGAACTGATGCAACATATAATGGAAGTAGTTCATCAAAATCATCAATATCAACCATTTGTTGTGGATTTGTTGTATACCAAGATGTTGTACTTTTCAAATCACCAATTAAAATATAGCCATATTCATAAGGAAGAAATATTAGTTTAGCAATTATTGCTTCGAACCATTGAAGTAGAAAGCATGCCATCATAAAATTCATATTTTCGTGAAAAACAGTTATAGATAAAAATATTTTGACACTTCGAATTGTTGCATAAACAGCAAAAATATGAGCAAATATTTCGAAAATTCCAATTATCAAATATTCAGTTGTCTGATAACTTGTATCATTTATACAAAACATTGGAAACCAAAAGGATCGATTTTGAGATTTTATCAAAAATATCATTTCAAATTCGAGTTCGTTTCTTTTCTTTTCTTAGAACAGGTGTTTAAATTGAACAGCAACGTAAGCTTGTTTATAAAACAGAAAAAAAAACCAAATTATAATGCCGCTATTTCCCGATAAATGAAAAAACCAAAACTTTCTAATTAATGCGCAAGTTTTTTCTTCTAAAATTTATAGTTAGTTTCTTTCAAAAAAATAAAGCAAATATTATTTGTTAACGCCGTGATGATTTCATTTATGAAATTTCAAATTTGAAATGAGTAATAAATAAAAGTGAATCAAAAATCTTTATAATTTAATTCCACGAGTTTTTTAAGTTTATAAAATATATTTCAGTTTCTTGTGGAGCCGTTGTTTTCAGCTGTTCGACTCTTTCATTGATATTACAGCAATATTGTAGTATTGAAATATTCTTCAAATGTCTACGAAATACTTTTGAATATGGTTTGACTGAGAATATCATAATAGGGCATATTATTAAAGGATTCCTAGAAAAGTTGAATTGAGAGAGTATAATAAATGGGTATACTCACAGATAAATACCACTTTCTAATGTGAAAATAAGTAGCATATTCAACGAAGGAAGTGTTTCGCAATAAAGAACAAATAAAACAATACAAAATATTAGAATATAACAACCAACCGAGACAATTACTCGTTTTGATAACTTAATCAAAGAAAATTCAATAAAAATACGCTAAAAATTAAATCAAACCTTCAAAGTTCGAATATTTTCTTTCATTTGAAATCTATAAGGAAGTGAATAAAATGTTGAAACAGTTTCTTTATTCATTTTTCGATTTATCGAATTGTTTATATGAGTGATTATTCCAAAAAGCTGTAACTAATTACTTGATTAATTAAAAAAAAAGAAACAGAAATACCATTAAGGAAAATATATTGATCAATCCATTGAAAATCATAAGAGGTGGAAATGTGAAAAAATCAGTGAACGCAGTTGTTGCTAGGAATAAACTTAAACAGTTTGACATAAATATAAGAAAAATGGAAACATAAACACGACGATTTGTCTCGTAACTTCTTCAATCACAAAAATTTGGAAAATCAAATTCAAAAATGCTACAAACCTTATAACATATGTTGCAATTGTTCTTTCTAAAGATATGAAAAATACCAAAGTTATAACAGAATATAAATAATGCCAAATTAGGAAACTTCCAATAATCATTGTAATTGCATCGTTTGCAGAATTAATTTGTGCAATATTTTCAATTCCTTCTGACCACCAACCTGTATATTTTTCATCAATTCCAGGAATTTTCAAAACACCGATTTGATATAAAATTATGGAATATTTTGCAAATATTGCTTCAAAATATAAACAAATGAAATAAAATGTTAAAACAGTGTAATTTATATGATAAACTCGAATTTTGATTATAATATAAGCAACATAAATTGTGAAACAAATACAAACAAGTGATAAAATAAATACAATAATATGCATAAAACCAAGATAAGATTCTTGATATTTGGGATCATTCAGGACATAGATCGGAAACCATAATGTATAACTTTTATTTATCAGAACGCGCATTTTTCCGAATCAAAAGCTAACAAAATGCTTCGGAATAGAAAAAAATTAGGCTAGCAGGTGTTTTAAGTATATATATTTTCATGATATTATCAAACAACTTGAGTGAAGCATAATATTATAGAGACAGAAATCAGTTCAAAAATTAAATGTTGGAAGTAAATTTTTGAAAATTTCGATGCAAAAAACTATTTTAAAATAAAATAATAGGGATTGAAGTCTAATAACTCCAAGATGAAATTATTTCAGAATAACATTCGAAAAAGCTGAAAGCGAATCTCCAATGGTTAATTGAAATCGATGAATGAAGATATTTTCGGAATCTGGATCAATGTGATGTTTCATAAATGTTGTGTTTTTTCCGAAGCAATTTGCTGTTTTAAAACACAGAAAAGTGAGTTTATGGGGTTTTAAAGAGGTTTTCATAGGAAAAATTCTTTTTTTTTAAATAATCAGAAAATTTTGAAAAAAATCAGAAAATTTTGTTTTGAGTTCACCGATCTCATATGAATTATTCTACTTCTTGGATGTTCACAAAATAGGATTTTCGTTTTTTTGCCAAGTTTTCCAATGATCAATTTATCTTTTCATATTCCATAATTTCTCTCAAAGCATCTGTTGCATCCAAACGTACAATTAGAGTATACAAATTTCAAAAAAACATATTTTGGAGCTTTTACTCTTCTTCTCTTCTTCTTTTTTGCTTTTAACGCAAAACTCGGAGCAAAAATTTTTAACGACCCATTTTCTACTCTTTGAAAAATAAAAAAAACCTCATGGACCATTAAATTTTTATGATCATTACTATTTTATTTTCAGAATTTCACATATTTCATTCATTTCGTATTCAATATATTATTTTGTTGTGTGTCGTCATAGGTGATCACATAGGTTTTTGGTGTGCTCACAGCAGAATAAAAATATGTAGGGTTTCGAAAATATGGATGAATAATTTTTGAATTTCGCTAGAGTACTCTTTAAATTTATTCAAACATTGTAAAAGTTATTTTTCGAAAATATTATTCGGAAAAAATCAAATTCGTCTCTTGATCAATTTTTGAGTTTCGGAAAATTCCAATTTTTTGAAAAATAGTTCCCAGAATTTAGAGTTCGAAAATATTTTCAGTAAACAAAATGACACATTTTCCACGTCATAACATTACTATTCTAGAATTTCTGAATTTCTCTGAAGTACTCTTCAAAGTAATTCTATTCAATAGTCTTCAAACTTTATCTTGAACTTTCGATCAAAAATAAAACAATGAATATTTTGTGCTTCAAAATATTCTTTATACTTTTTGTCATTTTTTCCTAAATATAAATGTCATTTCATCTCATCACTTCTTTTTTTGTTCCAACCAAAATGTTCCAAGCAACTTGTCTGAAATCGCATACATTTCGAATGTGCTTTTTGTTCTTCTGCCCCAAAAATCGTCCACTTCCCCCGATTATATTCGACTGAAAAATTGTGGGGTGGTTTTTGTTTCTCGTGTGAAAATTATAGGCTTTTTCTGGAGCGCTCTCAAAAAAATCATTCCGAATTTTTCTGAATAGATGAAAAGAACAGAATTGAAAAATGAACGAGTTCCTTGTTTTTTGTGTATCTTGATAGCTTTTATTAATAATATATTAGCGCTGAAAAAAAGTGACATTGAGTTTTGTGTTTTTTGTTGATTTTTTGTAATTTTTGTTTGATACTTTTCACTTTTTCACACGCTTAGCTAGGATTTTTCACATAATTTTTGGACTCTTTTAGTAAACTAGACTGAAAAAAGTTTTTTGAAGGTGGAAAACCTAACTTCATAGTTCTTCGACTGCGATGTGTATATCCAAATCTGAAGTTAATTAATTAGACTGTGGTTTAAGAAAATGTTCTGTTTTTGGTTAATTTCAGATCTTTGAAATTTGAAAAATGGACGTCATAAAGAAGAAGTCTCAAAAGTAGTAGTATAAATAATATTTCTCAAATTTTTTGGATACAATTTTGTTCAGAAGTTTTAAAATTTCGATCAGACATTTTAATGTTCTGACGATTACTTTTTCAAAATCTGAAGTTAGCTAGAAAATGAGAAACATCAAACTTTTTCGAAATCGTTACTGTAATCCTGTTCAATCCTTCTCAACTCTCCGGAGATCTTTTTTTTCTAGACATAATTCAATCATATGAGTAATATTGAAAATTCAAGCTTTTTTCTTCGTTTGTTTTTTTTTCAGAACATATTATTTTTATTACACATATGACAAATCTCATCTTAGATTATTGTTGTCAGAATGAGTTGTCGAAAAAATGATGATGATAGATTGTGAGTTGACCACTTTTATCGATTTCGAAAAATTGTCAAACCCAAGAATATTCGTCTTTTTTTTCGTATTCATAACCTGAAAAAATATGAACTGAATTTCAATTTGTCAAATTTTATGCACTTTTTCGTGTTTTTTTTTCGTTTTCCAATATTTTTCATTTGTTAAATGGGAGACAATGAATTAATTTTATTGAGCAATTTAATTTGTCGCAAATTTCGAATATTGAACATTTTTTTGGAAGTCGAACAACAACAAAAAATCATTTGGAACTAAGTAAAACCTTAACTCAGTTCCTCTGGCCAAGAAATTTATATACAGTTTTGGATCAGAAAAAAACTTTGGAAATCAAAAAATTTGCTTGAGAAAACATCATTAAAACTGACCAAAAGTATGGATTAATGTTCGGTGCCCAAAAAAATTACCAAAAAATAAATTAAAAGATATGCAAATGACAGTGATGTTTGAAACATTAATTCTATTCATAAGGTTTTTCCGGGTTTATATTTGACATGTCATTTTTGTTTCTTTCTTTTTCTTCTTTTTCTTTATTTATTCATTTCTCCATTCTCTTCATAAATTGCCATAATCGTAGGTATTTTGAGACGTGCTCGTGCGCATAAAAAATCAAGAAAACACTTGAATGTTTTGTTTTGTTTTTGTGTCTTTTTTCCTGCTTTTTTTGTTATTTTTTCTGCCACTTTTTGGCTTATTCTACTTCTTCATAGGTCTTTAAATTGTGGTTATTTGATTTTTTGCTTCATCGATTTTGTGGAGTAGAGATTGTTTTTATCTTGTCGAAAAAGAAAAAAGAAATAACCAAAAAGAAAAGATTTTGCTGGGGTTTTGGTGAGATAATTCAGTTTTGCACTTTACAACTGATCATTTCGCGTTCTTTTCCAAACTGACATTTTTCAACACTTTGTTTCGAAAATATTTTCTCGCCTTTTTTTCATGTGATCATCAAATTTTGAGCGATCATTTTTTGAACCTTGAGATTTGAAACATTTTGATAACTTCGTCATAATTTTGAAGCTCACCGAATTTTAGACGTGGCTAGAAAAGCCTAATTCTGTGAGCCAGGATACTGGAGCTCTAAAATATTCTGAACGTTTGAGGTTATGAAAAAATTGTTTTAATTTTAATAATTATCAGAAAGTATGACTGTATTCGAGTTGCGAAGGCGAAAATGCCCGTTCTCGTTTTTTTTCTCAAATATCCTAATTCTTGGAAATAATTATCACTTGTGTTTTCATCATTCTGAAGCAGACAAGGAAGAGATCTAGATCATTTTTTTTTTGATTTCAAAGATGATATTCAAAAACTCATAATTCAGTCATCATTTTTAAAAATTCAAAATGAAATAGTATAGCACATTTCTCTTCGGTTCGTCAATTTTTTCAAATAAATCTTCGATTTTTAATGTTTGCCATTAAAACGAAGACAAATTTTCCTGACGTTTTTTTCTCCCAAAAAGTAGTTTTCTACTTTTTCTTGGGCTTAGATCAAACCCTAAACCTATAACATTTTCCATTTTTCAAGCGTGTTTTGCTCTTTGAATGGTTTTGCACCTCAAAATGAATTAGATATAAATCGAGTCCTCCCTCCGCTTTTTCTTTTTGCAAATTACGTAAATTATTTTCTGTTTTATTTTTTTGTTTCTTCTTTGCGTGACCAATATCATTCAATTCTTTGCTCTTTTTTTAGGGTTCCAATAGGAAAATGTTGTCTAATTAGATTCTGAAAAATGTTGCACATATCTTCCTTTTTTCTGTTGGTGGTGCAAATTAATTTAGAAAGCCTTGTCTAGTTTCTTTTTTTATGACATGGTTTCATGCTTTTTTTTTTTGTTCGAAGCTCAAAATGAAATGGCTCAATTTTTCAAAATGGATTATTTTTCTGTCTTTTGTCAAAAAAATATTTGCAGAAAAGTCAACCTTTTTTTGACGAAATTTCCGTTTTGCGTGGGGTGCAAATCTTCATTTATTTTCTAATGACAGCCCGATACTATTTTTGGAGTATTTATTTTTCAAAGGTTTCTCGTCATTTTTGTGCTCCGCCTTTTTTTCAAAGCAAAATAAATAACAAATCAAATTTGATTCACATGTGTAATTCCTGATCGTCTAACTATTTTTTGGTTTTTTTCTTTTTTTGGAAAGTAGTAAACCAGCCTGATAAGGGAATATTTTTTGGATGTGTAGAAAAATAGATAATTTCAATGTGTCAGAATGAGAAAAAAGTCCCAAATGTTTCACTTCAATAATTTTCTAAATATTCAGTTTCATCTCCAAGCAACAAAAAAAGTTGGATATCGAATTCACTAATTTATATTCTGTTTCTAAATAGTTTTTTTTGTTTCGTTTCGTTTCGTTTTTGAAACACAGCTGAGCCAAAACCCAGAAACTTTGAATTGAATTATTCAATTTCGCATTTCACACTTTTAAATAGATTTTTCGAATATCTATCAAGTTTCCAGATAAATCCTCTCAATAATTGAAAGTTAGTTTGATTTTTGGACGTATTATCAATGTCTATTTAAAAGTGCGGTTTTTTTCAATTTCATCAAGGAAATAATGCAACACTGAGCCGAACACTTTTCTGATTTTGACACTCTTTTTTTGTGCTTCTTTTTTTCTTCCATTTCTTGTCAATTTCCCTTTTTTTCTACACGCTTACATTTTTTTTCAAAATGTTAATTTATTTTCTTCAGATTTAATAGTTTTCGCCATGTTTTCCCAAGGGACCTTTTTTCTCTTTTCTGTCTCTTTTTCTTACCTACTAGATCTGGAAAAAACTAGTATCTTTTCTCTCAATTATTTAGGTATTCACAAAATGACCTATTTCTATTGTTGTTTTTTTTTTCAATTTAGGTGTTCCATAAAATATGGCAATGTTCTAATGAAAAAGCAGAAAAAGGTCATTTTTCAACCCTCTTTTTGCCCCAAAAATGTCAAAACAAAAAAAAACACGAAGAAAACGAGCCTATTATTTTGCATTTTTTCAAAAAGAAAAAAGGCAAAAAGATTAAGAATCGTTTTTGAGATGTGTCCTGTCAATTTTATTTTTCACGGGGTTTTTCTATTTCTGAAAAAAACAAGATGTTGAATTTATTTTGACTCTTCTCTTTTCGAAAAAGCATTTTCTTCGAATTTTCAAAGGTGCGTAGATTAAAAATTGGATAAGATTCACGCATGACCTGAGTTAGGCGCTGAAATTTTTGTCTAGAAGATTTAGTTCAATTTTGTGCCGATTTCTACGTCAGAAATAAAAAGTTAATGAAAACTTTTCAGAAAAAAATGTAATTAAAAAATGATTTCAAGAAAATCACTCTGACAAATCCGAAGGAAGAACGGAAAAGTTCTAAAAAACTTCAGCAGAAGTCTATTCCAGAGTAAACAAGTCCTTCAGTTTTTCATACATTTATTTTCATTTCCTCAATAGATCATCATTTTTTTTTCCATTTTTAGGTAGTACAAACACACAACACACAGTGAAGTTTCCGTGTTTTTCCGGCAAAAAATGCTCATATTACTTTTCAGCAAATACACGTACTTTTATTTTTTTTCGAAAAATACTTGAATAGGTTTAAAATCAGCAAGGAAAAAGTACAGTACTAAATATAATTTAATTCATAAGTTCTTTTATTTCTCGTGAATCTTTGAAAAGGGCATTCTTCGGAACTTTTCAGAAGTTCATGTGAGTGAAGCAATAGACGATTTATTGAAAATTCAATTGTTTGAGAAGTCTGTCTTTTCAGTCATCTTTGAACATTCAATCAAATAAAAAACAGAACATCAAAACAACATGGTACTTATAAAAAATCGTTTTTTTTTCTTATTTTTGCTCCTTCATCTTTTTTCGCTGAAAATCCATTTTTTATGCTACTCTAAAAATGTTTTCCGAGTACACGAAATTTGAACCTTTTTTTCTTTTTTCTTTCCTCGTTCTTTATTTTTACATTGTTTTTTCTTTCCTTTTTCAGTCGGTCGCAAAAATTTTTGTTCCGAGTTTTGAAAAATAAGTAAATTAGTAAGTGTTGAACGTCATTCCTCGGGGACTTTTTCTGGTTAATTTTTTGGTGCCACTGAAAAACAGGTGATTCAACTCAGGCAAAAATTTGATACGCTTCTTTTCCGAAAATACTTTAGTTTTATATAAATATTATTTGTTTTCGTGTGGTTCGAATGAAAATATTATTTTATTTTTATTTTCTCCCAAATTCTCAATTGGTCTCAATTGAACTCAACAAAGAAAATTTCGAAAATGTTTTGATATTCTCAACAAATTTTTATTTAATTATAGAGATCTTTTTTTCGCGAAAATGTTAAACGAATTATCTGTTCGTTTATTTTTTTTTCCTTGTCTTGTCTTGTTTCAATTTCTCCTTTTTTTTTGCAGAGAATAAAATGATCCATGACGTGTTATATATTTTATTAGTTACAAGTGTAGCTCAATCAACATCTCAACAACAAATATCAAAACAACAAATAAAAGCAGTGGAGCCAGCTAATTGTGAATATAATTCAAATCATCGAAAAAGTATATTAAAGGTAGGCTTTTTCTTCAAAATTTATCAATATTTGAATCGAAACTTTTCGTTTTAAAAACATATTTCTGATTTTTTAGGATCTTCTCCATGATTATGATAAAACAATGGTTCCATCAAATCATTCAGTAAAAGTTAGTGTTGAATTAACAGTTCAAGACATTTCTTCAATATCTGAAATCACAAGTTCGTTTATTGCTGATGTTTGGTTCAGTCAAGTTTGGGAAGATCCACGATTAGAATATTGGTAAGATCTATTTTCTCTTTTTCTCAATGTTTTTTTTGATTTCAGGAATTTGTCTTGTAAGACAAATTTATCATTGGATAGTGATGTTAGCCAGAGATTATGGACTCCGAATGTATGTTTTGTGAATAGTAAATCGACACAGGTTCATAAATCACCAGCATCCAATATTTTGTTGATTATTTATCCGAATGGTTAGTTTCTCATTTTGAAGTTATGAGAATTCAGGGAAAAAAAGATTCGGGCCTGATTTTTTTTCAGAAAAAAAGTTTAGATCAATAAAATTTAACATATTACAAAAATAATCCAAAAACTATCTTGCTTATGTTTCAAACCACCCTATAATTTTTCAGGAACAGTTTGGTTAAATTATCGTGTTCAAGTATCGGCTCCTTGTAGTTTCGAACTTTCGAGATTCCCCATCGATGCACAAGAATGTCATTTGATTTTCGAATCATATTCGTATAATACAGCAGAAGTTCAATTAAATTGGCAACAATGGGCTCCTGTTACAATGCCGCCTCCTGAAGATTTTCGACTTCCCGATTTTCAATTCTATAATGTTTCATGGCAAAAATCATCAAATGAATATACAGCTGGAATGTGGGATCAATTAAAAGTAACATTTCGATTCAAAAGATTATATGGTTATTATGTTCTTCAAATGTATCTTCCAACATATTTATCTGTTTTTATATCATGGATTGCTTTTTGGATTGATACTCGAGCACTTCCAGCAAGAATTACACTTGGTGTTTCATCTTTAATGGCATTAACATTTCAATTTGGTAATATTGTCAAGAATTTGCCACGTGTCAGTTTTGTCAAAGCTATCGATTTATGGTTTTTCGTTTGTGTTGCATTCATTTTCTTTTCATTGGTTGAATTGGCTGTTGTTGGATTTGTTGATAAAATAACTGAAATCAAAAGGAGGTCAAGAAGAGTTAAATTTCAACGAGCTTTGGCGAATGGTTCAATGAAAAAGTGAGTTCTCAAAGTTTAGAGAGTTTTACTCTCGTAAAGAGTTTGTTTGAAAAATAAAAACAAAAATGGTCTCATCGGGATCTCTCTATTTCATTAAAAAATCTAATGATTTCAGTTCTAGAAAGTACTCATGCAATTCAACAAATAAATGTGCATCTGTTCGATACAGTATGAATAATAATGATGATGAAGATTTGTATAATATAAGTGGAGAAGCAAATGGATACAATCAAAGTTGGAAAAATAACAGTTCTCGTGAAGTATCAGCTGATATGGGAGCAAGAGTTGATTCATTCGCTGCAAAAGCATTTCCAGCAATGTTTGCTGCGTTTAATGGTGAGCGAAAAAAACACAAAAAATGAAATCATGCGGAAAATGAATATGAACTTTGAGTTTCGAGAGATTAGAACCCTCTTTTTTCTATTTTTGAATTTGATTTGAAAAAAAACAGGAAATGATGGAATTTCCTCGTATATTTATATCTATTCAAACAAAAAAAAAACAAAGTCCAAAAATCTTTATTTTTTTCAGTATTCTACTGGTGGTATTATTTATCAAGAGAACGAAATTAGTCAACATTCTAATTATTATTTCTCTCGCTCCAAAAGCATATCGAATCTCTCTACAGGGTGACAACAAATTATAGCGACAAATTCCACTAACTCTGGTGACTGTCGTACTTAACCGATCTCTATGAAAATTTTTTTGAGACTTTCCTGACTATCCAGGACTACGCAGAAAAAATATCAAGAGTTCTCGGAAGGTTCACAATATTTATTCTGACCTTTGAAGAGTTTTGAAAAATATTTCCGTACTCGCTAGATACTTTGTTCAACAAAAATTTTCCCTGGCTGATAAATTTTATATTTATTGCTCAAAATAGTTTTTCTAGATGATAATACACACTGTTTCATAGTTATAACAATTTCTGATGTTCAAATGAGTAATCCACCGGGGTTCAATTATCATGAATTTTCGGAATTTCGTGAATTTTCAAATCAAGTCAAAATTCAAAAATGTCCCAATAATTTTTTTTCAACGATGTTAATGTTTCAAATTGTTCCAAAGATGATTAGTGAATGTTTTTATATCACGAATATTATTTTCAAACATAAATTTTGAAATAAATGCAACTTTTTCAAAAATCATAATTTATCGAAATTCATCATTTGACTCTGATTATCCGTTAATAACTCTAATTAATGAAGAGGATTTATGCTCAAAATTTTTTTCGACAATTTTTGATAGTATTCAGACTATTTGCAATCATTCATACTTATAAATATTGGAATTGTTTCCCCAGATTTCAATTTTATCGAAAAATGAAATTTTGATACTCGCAAGTGGTGGTTCAATATAACCACATCTAAAAAAGTCTGAAAGTCGGGTAGCTGTAATAATATTTGTGCTGAACCTTCCCCAATACTTACTTTACCTAAACTAAAAATTATAGTTATGAAATATTACTTACAGACATGAAACAATTAGCCGATAAAATATCGAAAATTTAAAAAATCGTCAAAAAGCGAAATTTTGAAAACCATCGTTTTCCAACTTTGTGAAATTTGTTGTGTTCAAAATCAAAAACAAGTCAGTATACTAATTAGGAACTTCAAAATGATGGTTTTTGAGAAAATTTGAGCAATGAAACCATAAAAAATTGCTGCGTGATTACTGTCAGATCAGCATATACTTTTGTCGCTATAATTTGTTGTCACCCTGTATGTTATTTAGCCAAAACTTATTTGTATATAATTTTGAGTTTTTGTTCTCGCCAACCAACCAGATTATTTTATAATATTATTTTTTATTTATTCCATTTTTCCCTGAAAATGATATTTAATTTACGGGTAAACCCTAATTATTGATCTGTTTTGTGTCTTTTTTATGCTCCTGAACTTTTTATTTTAATTTTTAAATAAAATTCATCTGAAGTTTTTTTTCGAAGTACCGAAACTTGGCCCCACACCTATCTGTAAACGGAAAAAATAATTATTTTACTCGAACAATTTTCCCTGTTCTCTCACGGAAATTGAACTTAAGTTAATTTGCACTTTCTCAAATACAAAAAAAGAACTTCTATTTAAGCAAAGCAACAAAAATCAACCACACATGTTTTGTTTTTGTATCAAAAATTTTTTCCTCATCAATTGATGACGCAAAATATTATTTTGACTCAAAGAATCTCTGTCAAATTATTTTCTCTCATTAACTACAAAAACATTTTTTTTTCTCAATTTCCAGGTGAAAATTTGAAAAAAGTTTTGCGAAGCAGCTGAAAATGTGTTTACACTTAAAATGATTTTCGAATCTTATAAAATCGATTGAAAATATTTAAAATTTGAAAAGGTACCAATATTTTTATTGCATTAAAAGTGATTGAATAAAAATATAATATGACGTGAAATAGACTTTGAAAGTTCATTTCTACAAAATATAATCAGTGGAATTCTGCAGACTTTTGCGCTCCAAAATGAAGATTCTAAAATGGTTTCTTAAAGAGAATGAGAGTAAACATTCTAATTATAACTAGCAATTAGAGTTATCATTTTTTTTTCGGAGTATCGGCTTTGTAAGAGTAAAACAATTTTCTGATATTTTCTTTGAGTTTATTATTGGGATAATATTTCTCAAACTCAAAACTCAACTCGTAGTGTTATCCTGGACCTTTGAATTTTGTTGGCCCACTTTCTCTTCAAAACATTTCAACTGGTTTCCCTGTTCGATAAATCATAAAAATTCTGCTGATAATAGTTGATCAAAAATCATAAATTCTCCGAAAAAATTGGATAATTGAATTCTAGAACAACTAGTTTTTTCCAACCTTAAGCTCGACGCCTTTTTTTAAATGAAAATATTGCATGACCAAATAAGTATTTTTATTCTTAGCATAGTTTGATTTTACCAAATCATCGTCATTCCAATTTCGAAAAAAAATCCAAAAAAGGTTTTATCATTTTTTCATTCTTTTTTCATTGCAGCAGATCTTTTGTTGTTGCCTGGGAGATGATTGAATTCCTGCATTTTCTTTTTTTTTCAGTTGTGCTCTTGGTTTTTTTTATGTTTTCTTTCTCTTTTTCTCACGATTAAATTGAACCTCCACACCAATTTTCAGTTCTACCTCCGTTGTTCTATATTTTCATTTCATTTTATTTCTGCACCGCCTCAATTGCCCTTTTTTGTCTTGTTTTTCAATTCTAATTAGAACTCTTGGGACATGTATTTGTTATCAAAAAATATAGATATATCTTTCTCTCTCTCCTTTTACAATCAGATTCGCGGTTTGATCGAAAACCGCCAGGTGATTTTGATTATTTTCAGCTGCGCGACTAAGAAAATGTGCAGCCCATAAAATCGATGTTTTGTTCAAAAGTTTGCCATAATTGGTATATAGAATGATATTTCGCACGTTTATAATTTTCTCAGACACTTTTTTGACTTCCAGTTAGAAAAAATGATTTTCAGTCGAGAAATGACTGAAGTTTTTCGAAATTTGAGCCTGAATTTCCTGAGTTTGGATACCATTTTAATTATAAGAATTTCTGAATCGAGCCAGCTTAAACTTTTTTAAAATTCAAAAATTTAGAATGGTCCGAAATTATTATTTGAAAATAATGGAATAATTTTTTAGAAATTAAATATTCACAAAAATTATTCGAAAAATCTGAATCTCTGAATTTTTTAGAAAACTTTTGAAACAGCTCTCTATGTTTCTATTGTCATTCCGAAAAAAATAAGAACTTGGAAGAGAACCGAAATGGCCTAGGACACCAAGACTACAGTAGACTTCGCAAAATTTTGGAGTCTATTTTAAAAATAAAATGCGAAATTTACACGTTGGCTATTTGCCAACCAGTTTGATGTGCATGTGTCACGTCATTTTTAGTCTACTGTACGTGAGCGCCAATTCAAACGGGGGTTCTTTTATTTTCGGAATGACAATAAAGAATAATACAAAATTTCTGAGAATTGGATCCAAAGAGCCTTGACCGAATAATCTTATAAAGTTCTGCACCTTACTTCATTTTTTTCAGCTGGTGCAAAAATTTGTTATTTTTTCTGTGAAGTTATTCAACCTCCTACTCATTTTTTCTTCTTCTTACATATATACAAAAACTCTTGATGTGTACATAATCTGAATCATGACAACAACACTCTAAAATATTACTAATTTGTGTGTTTTTTTTCGATTTCAAAAAGAGAACATTTTTTGATTTTTGCACAGGTAATTCTAGTCGAGTTCTCAATGGAATTTTCGGAAAATCTCGAGTTATTCAAAGTTTTCAAATGTATTCATGTTAAATATACAACTGGTTTTTGTGGAATTCTCGGGATTATTGCGACAATTGCAGTTTTCGGGTTTGGAGTTGTGATTTTTCCATGGAATTTATACGAGACTGCAGTCAATGTGACAGGTTATTTGGTTACTGTAATATAAATAGAAAACTTTGAATATTTTCAGCGATGACTGCATTTGCCTGTTTTCTTGTCGGTGGTGTCACTGTTCATATTCTAATTCTTCACGGTCTTTATGAAATTCGTTTTCGTAGTATGATTCCAGCAATTCTTTATCAATCTTTCCTAATGTGCCTTAATGCAATAACAACATTAATTGCAATTGGAGAACTTGTATCTGAAAATGAATTATCACCAAGAGATGAAAAAATGGCTCGAATTGTGATTTGTGTTTGTCCAACAATTCTAGTTATTCAATCTCTAGTCTTGATTAGTATTGGAAAATGTCGACTTTATCTTCAATGTAAACGAAGACATATTAGAAACGGATTACCACCGGTGAACTATTAAATATATTTGAATCAAAACTATTATTGATTTAATTTTCAGCCAGTTCGAGAAGTGATTATAATTCCAACAAACAAGGTTTCACATATGGAATTATCTGTCGATGATTCGTATGCGGTTGCAGAAACAATGATGCCAAATTGAAGAAGTTTAGAAATGTATGCAAACAAATAAAAACAATTCCGGGGTTCAATCAGGTCAAAAAAATAAATGTTAGAATTTGCATTATCATCATATAATCAAGTTAAAATCAACCAAAAAATTATGTACTTATTGTTAATTCGAACATTGAATAAAACTTTCTCATCTCTTTTTTATGGTTTACATAACCTTGCAATTGGAACGTGTTTTTTGTTCGTTTTTGCCTTGTCTACTCACATCCTCCCCATTTTTACACATCTTCAGTTTATCCTTTCCCGACACCTTTTATTTCATGCTTTCTTTTTTCGTTGCTTTTATCTTATTATTTTTTGGTTCGAGTTTTCAAGCTTCTTTTCAGACTTCGAAAGATTTGAAGGTAAGATTTTAATTTTACACGTCTTTATAATTTTCATTTGGCTTTTTTTGTAGTTTTGTTTTATATGTGGCAAAAATGAGTGATCACAAAAATGTGAAACTCTGAAAAACATTTCTTCCAGAATATGGAAGATTAGAATTTAAAATTTCAAGAATTTAACTGATTTCGGTTTTTTCTTACTTATGAAGTAGTTTTCTGATTTTTCCAAACAAAAATCAAAAAAATCCAAAAGGTCACTTTCATTAATCTGTTCCACACTATAAATAAAACTTGATAGAAAATAATGATTGATTGGGCATTTTTCCAGTTATTTGATATCTTGAAACCATCCGATACGCATAGACTTTTTGATACTTTACAATATACAGTTGAAGAACAATATTCCAATTCACACTTATCTTTTGTAAGTTTAATTATTACAATTATCTCATTTCCGTTTTTTGTTCAGGATGTTTCAACATTTCACAATTATGCAGAAAAACCAATTTCGATACAAAAACTGAACTCGAAATATAGCGATGTTTTATATGAAGGAGATATGGCGATATCTTATAAGCAATTAGAAAAAATTGTAAATGGAACAGTTGATGATGATATCAAATTTAGATTGAGAAAGTTTTTGAAAATGCCAATTCGACCTCGTCGACAAGCATATCTTGATGATAATTATCCAGCTACAATTTGGAATTCTGGTGTTCCTTTTGTTTTTCATTCTTCATTAAGTTCATTAGCAAAAGATGCAATTCTTCGAGCAATTCATTTTTGGTATCGAGAAACTTGTATTGAATTCAAACCAAGAACATTTCAAGAAGAATATTTATTATTTGTTGGAAATGATGAAGGATGTTGGAGTACTGTAGGTAAAGATAAAGATTCTGGTAAACAAGTTGTTAGTATTGGAACTGGATGTGAACATGTGAGTCATCACAAAATATATAATTATTTAAACAAAAAATAAGTTTAGTTTGGTGTAACATCTCATGAATTAGCACATGCTTTGGGTTTATTTCATGAGCAATCAAGATATGATCGAGATGATTCAATAACTTTCAATCCACGTGTTGTTGACACCAAACTATTATTTAATTTCGCTAAAATTTCTTCAAAACAATTATCAACATATAATGCACCATATGATATTGGAAGTGTTATGCATTATACACCAACCGAATTTTCACAAATAAAAACGATTCCGAGTTTAACAGCAGTTGATTCAAATCTTCAACAAACAATGGGACAACTTGAAGGACCATCATTTATTGATATTCTTCTTGTTAATCAACATTATAAATGTCAAGAAAAATGTGCAAGATTAGCTGATTGTAAAAATGGAGGATTTACAAATTCGAGAAATTGTCGCATTTGTAAATGTCCGTCTGGTTTTGGTGGTGATCTATGTGAAAATGTTCAGAAATCTTTTTCGAAATCATGTGGTGGAATTATTCAAGCGGAAAAGGTTAGTCAAAATGACAATAAAATAATAAAGGTTTTTTTCTAATCGAAATGTTTTCAGGTTGTTCGAAGATTCGATATGACAATCAAACAAGAATTTCAGAAAAAGGATAAAATGTGTGCGTATCATTTACAGGTACATCAATTCAATCCAGAGACAGATTTTTTTTGTATTAAATAATTATTTTCTAAATTTTCATTTTTTCTAGTCTCCTCCAAACACCAAAATCGTTATCAAAATCTTGGAACTCGAATCACAATGTATTGAAGGTTGTTGGAAAGATGGATCAGAATTCAAAATGCGAAAAGATGTCAGACCTTTAGGATATCGATTTTGTTGCCCAGACACTTCAAAACGCGAAATGGTTTCAGATAATAACATTGTTCCATTTATGCTTTATTCAAGAGATCAAAAATTTAAAATTTCTTTTGAATATAGTTACAGTAAGTATTTATTCAAAGATCACAGTATTCATAATTATTTGTTTTTTTTTGCAGTTGACAATTTTGTGCAAAATGATGATATTATATCAACAACTCCTAGGACAATAATAACAAGTACAAATGATCTTTCAGATGGAATACATTCACAAATCTCAATTTGATCTCCACTCTTATTTTATTTAATAATATTTACTATTTATGAAACAGTACATTGTAGTCTTATCATACGAATAAAACATTGTCACTGTTCTCATTCTTTTTCTGTTCTCTAAAAAGTTATTTTTCTCAGCAAAAATGGCCGAATACAAATCGTTTAAAAATTTGAAAATTGACGATTTGGGTGACTTTGTTTTCAAAGTTTCACTTAATCGTCCTCGAAAATACAATGCATTGAATTTGGATATTTGGTTGTGAGTTGTTTTTGTTTTTGGTCATTTTTAATCTCAAAAATTATCCATTATCCAGTGAAATCGGCGATGTTTTCAAAAAATTGGACGCCGATTCAAATTGTCGATGTATTATTTTGGAAGGCGAAGGAAAACATTTTACAACTGGATTGGATTTGACAGGTTAGAATAAATAACATTAAAATTGTTCATAGAAAGCAAATTGAATATTATAAAAATTAAGGGAAATCAAGACAAAAAACCTTTAATCATATTTTTTGGTGTTTGGAGAAAAGTTTTTTAGGTTTTTCTTTTTGACATCTCTATTCTCAAGAATTTGCCAACTTTTGCAACAAAGATTGTGACATTTGGTTAAGTATGAACGATTTTAGCATTTTTTGTGAAAAAACGAAAAATGGTTTTGAGGTTGGAAAAAAATTCACAAACCGTCATGTTGTCTGGCGTCTCTCTTATGTGTTTCTATCTCTCATTTTCTCTCTTTCTCTCCTCGTCTCTTCTAGACGCAACACTCTCTCGTTTATTTTTTCAATTCGGTTTTTTGGTGAAATCAGAAAATTTCACGATTTTCACCGAGAACATGCAATTATGCTATAGAAATGGAGTAATTATTCGATAAAGAAAATTATGAAACCAAATTATTATTTTAAATTCAGATAAATCTTATATATAATTTATCCTCTCCAAAAGTTTGATAAAAGTATTTGAAATATTCTTTAGAAGCTTAGAAAAGTTTACCAAATTAAATGTTTCTAGAAGTAACTGGTGCTCATGGAGATGAAGATGTTGATCATGCGAGACGAGGAAGAAGATTATTCCCACTTATCAAGAAAATGCAACAATCGTTCACAGAAATTGAAAATTGTACAAAACCCGTACTTGTTGGAATTCATGGATATTGTCTTGGAGGAGGAATTGATATTATAACAGCTACAGATGTTCGAGTTGCTACTAAAGATTCGATATTTTCAGTCAAAGTGATTTGAATCATCACAGATTTTTCATTGAAAAACAACATTTTTCAGGAAGTTGATATTGGAATGGCAGCTGATGTTGGAACATTGAATCGTCTTCCAAAATGTGTTGGAAATCAAAGTTGGGTCAAAGATATTTCAATAACTGCCAGACATTTTGGTGCTGATGAAGCGTTGAATTTTGGTTTGATAAGTCGAGTTTTTTCAACTCGTGAAGAAATGCAAACCGAATTATTGAAAATGGCGAAATTGATATGCACAAAAAGTCCAGTTGGAGTTCAAGGAACTAAAGTTGTTTTGAATTATTCAAGAGATCATACAGTTCAAGACAGCTTGAATTATGTTGTGAGTTTGATTCGAGGGGAATTTTATATTTTTCAATACAAAAATATTCAAATAGCCTGACAGACCCAGAAATTAGCTGACAAAAATTTGATAATGTGGTCCAAAAATGCAACATTTATTTTCTTCTTTGGTCCCTTCAAAAAAAAACTGTGCACCCTTTCAGTGGTACCCATTCAGTTTTTCCCAACATTTTTCCCCCTTTCACAAAAAAACCGAATTAAAAAAATAAACGAGAGAGTGTTGTGTGTAGAAGAGAAGAGGAGAAAAGGAGAGAAAATGAGAGATAGAAACGCATAAGAGAGACGCCAGACAACATGAGGTTTTGTGAATTTTTCCAACCTCAAAACCATTTTTCGTTTTTTCACAAAAAATGCTAAAATCGTTCATACTTAACCAAATTTCAACATCTTTGCTGCAAAAGATGGGAAATTCTTGAGAATAGAAATGGCAAAAAGAAAACCTCAGAAACTATTCACCAGACAGCAAAAAAAGAAAAAATTGAGAATTAAAAGATTGATTTGAAGAGAAAATGAAGATAATTTCTAAAAATATTGTAATATTGCATTTTTTTAATTCAGGCAACATGGAACATGTCGCAATTATTTACTGAAGATATGATGAAAGCTGGAATGGCTATAATGACTAAAGAACCACTTCCACCATTTTCAAAATTATAAATTTAATTTTATCTTCATTTTTTCAAATAAAAATAAAATCAATTTATTTTTGTTTTTGTTTAATATCTTTCTCGCCATCTGTTGATCCAAATAAAATTAATCCAAGTGATTTGATAACTGCCAAAATGAATACATAATGCATTGTGAAGAATACATCATCGAAGTCGATTCGAAGGCGAGAAATAATTGTGAATTGAATGAAAAATATCGCGAAAAAACTGTATATTATTGAGAGGAAGAAATATCCGAATGACAAGTGTCCAAATGATAAACCAATCAATAATTGAGCAAGTACAGTTGTTCCAATTACAATTCCAAATACTTTTGGACGATCATTGAAGCGGGATAAAGTTAGTGGAACAACAAAGGAAGCTACCTGCAAAAATAAAACAGTTTGGTTTTCTTCTGAAAATAAACTCACAGCTTGAGTAATGAAGAGTAATGGAGAATTGAAGTTGTGTTGCCGATTAATAAATCCCAAAATAATTCCTTGTTCCAAAACAAAAGTAGCAGCGACAATTTGTCTTTTTGCAGATGAAAGTGATGTGAGACCACCTTCATTGAAATATTGTGTTGCAATCATTGGAATTACAATAATTGCCATGATAAAAGCACCAAAATCTAGAAATACAAATGAAAGAAATAATGGAGCAATTGTTGATCCAATAATTGTTCCAATCCAGGATACAAATATAAATATACAAGATATCATAAATAGTTCAATAAAATGCATTGCATTTATATTCGAAATTGGTGTCAAATCATTCATTGCTTCTAAAAATCCCATCAACCCTTGTTTTGTTTCTTCAATTTGAAAAGAATTTTTGAATTCTAAGAATTGCGCTTTCTTTTGTTCAGCGATACTGAAATATTCAGAAAACAAACTGCCAAGTGAACTCCATTTGTCAATAAATCCTTGAATAACATTTGTTACTGGTTGATCAGTTGAACTATTTGGTTGGGTTGATTTTGTAGATGACGACATTTTATAAACCCTCGCTCAAAAACAATGATTTATTTGGATAATATTTCATTGAACAACTCACATCTCTTATTTTAGATTTTGAATTGTTATTTTATAAGGCGAAATTTCTAAACAATGAGCACATTTTTGAATTTATTTAAATCTCATTTTCAGACCAGGTCACGTTTTTATTCGGGAATTTTTGAAAAATTTTTCTAAATTTTTCACGTCTGATTTCAAATTTTGAACAGTTTGTGCCAAAATGTCAATAAAAATGATGTGTGAAGAGAGTCATAAAATGAAGCATGCAATATTCCCAAAAAATCCGACAGACAAAAGTTGTAAAATTTATAATGTTCTTATTTGAGTTTTGGGAAATATTTGAATTTTTAATACTTATGAATCTTCTTTCAAAAATTAAGAAGCTTCCGTTTTCCCTGACTTCACCTAATTATCAACAAAGTGTTTTGTTTTGATTTTGCGAACATCAGATAAAAATATTTGACTGATAATAAGGTGTGAATTATTTAAAAAGAAACCGACCAAGGGAATATTATCTAGTCCTCATAGATTACTGTCTGGAACTTCGAAAATGTTCCAATGGTTTTCCGATGGAAAATTTCAGTTGTTATTCTCTGATTCTTTGTGAAATGAAATATGAGAAAATCTACAGTACTCTCTTAATTAGTCAAAAATTTGTCAGCTTGAGGCTTAAATTGCCAGGCTTAATTGTTTTTCTTTTTGGCACATTTTTCGCAATCACCTCAAAACAATCCCGAAACTCAGGCTTTTATACAATTTGTTTTCTTAATTCTTGTTGTTTCCACCAAAGTGTTTTAACACTTTGGTGTTTCTGAGAATATTTTGATATTCCCAGACCGACTATGAGAATTTTTTGACATACAACACGGGTTGATTTATTGAAAGTTATACTGTAAAATTTTGTAAATTCATTTAACAATTCAAAATTTAGAGCAATTTAGAGAAAAATTATGTAAAAACCAAATCTTACTGCTTGCTAGTCATTTTCTAGCAAGCAGTAAGATTTGTTTCAGAGTTAGACATAGCTCCGAATCTGACAGATATAAGGGATGTTCACCAAACAGGGACACGTGTCTGTTGTCGAAATATTCTCATAGTCGGGCTGGGAATATAAGAATGTTCCCATCAACACCAAAGTGTTGTTGATACAACAAAAAAGTGTGAGAAACCTCAAATTCCGGGAAGTCAATTGAATTCATGAAATATTTTTAGATATCGAAATCCACAACTCAAATTCTAAATTCTAACTCATCAAATCAGGTTGATTTTGGGTATTACAGTACTTCACACTTCATATTTCTCAACTGTGTCAATCAAATTCATTAAAGCTGACAAGTTATTGCAGGAGTACTGTGTAGACAACGTTTTGGGAAACACTTTTGAAAATATCTATAGAAGTGAAGATTACTGTACCAAATATGTTAAATAAGTTACAGTATCTCGAGTATACACTGTCACTATGTCCTTTAAAATGTCGGCATCTTTGATCTAAAAAATAAAGGTTTCCCAAAACCCTCAAAAATCTTCCTCAAAAGTTCAAATTTTCATCCTAGAGAACTCGGATAACTTCAATTAAAACTTTGAAAATCAGCAAGAGTATTCTGTCGGAATATTCTCATAATCGGCATGGGAATATAAGAATATTCTCATAAAGTAATCTATAAACAACTTTCCTTTAACATCAATAGACTACCGTACTCTTGCGGGTGCAAAAGTCCATCTTATATTCTAAATCACTAACCTCAAAAATCTTGGCATCTTAAATTTTCCAATCTCCTTCTTTTTATTTAAATATTTATTTTGGCTTAAAGATGTATTTTCTTCTCTCTCCCAATTTCTTGTAAATTTAAAACGTGATATGAATAAATAAAATAAATAAAAATAATAGTAATTATAAATAAAAAACTTTACCCAATATTTTTCAATGAAGTACAGTTTTGTTAGTTTTGTTCCCCCCTCCCAAACCTCAAAATAAACTAACTTGACTGGCCCGTTCCGTGAAAAAATGTTGACCTCTTCGAATTTCCTGTCCAAACCAAACATCTACTTGTTCTGAAGCCTGAAACTTCTACATTCTTTTTCTCAAAATTTTCGCCTATTCTTAAACTTACATCAGAAAATGACAATTATGGATTTTATGGGACCGCTGCATTCTGTGACTGTTGTCTCTAAAAAAAATAAGAAAATTAAAAAATGTACCAAACCACCCCATTAATAACTTTTTTCTGCGCTGAAAAAAACCACTAAAAACCAGAAAAAAAAACAAAAAATAAAAATGTCGTGCAAAAAAATAAAAACAACGATACTCCGCGTGCACATTGTTTAGTTTATTTTGTTGTTTTTTTATTTGAAAAGAAATTATTGATTGAACTTTTTTTTCGAAATGAATCATTTTTCTTTTTTTTCAGAGCAGAAAATGTTATTTATGGGGTGATTTGGTACATTTTTTAATTTTCTTATTTTTTTAGAGACATGTCGACAATAGTCTCAGAATGCAGAGGTCCTATCAAATCCACAATTTTCATTTTCTGATGTAAGTTTAAGAATAGGCGAAAATTTTGAGAAAAAGAATTTCGTAGTTTCAGGCTTCCCAACAAGAAGATGTTTCGTTTCGACAGGAAATTCGGAATGATCAACAACTTTTCACGGAACGGGCCAGTCAAGTTAGTTTATTTTGAGGTTCGGGGGGGGGGAGGAACAAAACTAACAAAACTGTGCTTTATTGAAAAATTATGGGTAAAGTTTTTTATTTATAATTACTATTGATGTTAAAGGAAAGTTGTTTATGAATTACTATGTTTAAATCATTAGATGAAGCTTCGAATTACACTTGATGGTAAAAAATCAGCTTCCAGATTTTCTGACTGTTTCGCCTAGTGACACCGCCCCTAGTCTATGAGAACTAGATAATATTCCCTTGGTCGGTTTCTTTTCAAATAATTCACACCTTATTATCAGTCAAATATTTCTATTTGATGTTCGCAAAATCAAAACAAAACACTTTGTTGATAATTAGGTGAAGTCAGGGAAAACGGAAGCTTCTGAAAATTTCATTGAGATGTTATCACAAATTTTGATAACTTTTGTTTTCTGAAGAAAAATATTTTTCAAATCTTTATTTATTTTTTAAAATTATTCACAATGAGAAGAACAATAAATAAAAACTTAAATTTAATTTGTACAGAACCGTAATCTAAGAAACTCAAAGAAAGCACAAAAGTTAAACCTACCGGTAAAATAAAATGATAAAGTATTTTCCCGAATTAATGAAGCTGACTAAAATTATTACAAGTAAAATAATAAAAACAAATGAATTATTCCCAAGGTCTCCAAATAGTTTGGGTTGAACAAGTTGTTGCTGATTCCATAGATGTATCTGACATTGGTGGAGGAGATTCGAGAGAATATGCTGGACTTGTTGGTTGAAATTGTTGATGAAAAATTGGAGCAGTATTATAAAATGGAATAAATGTTGGAAGTTGAATTGGAACAACTGTTGGAATACGATAATTCGACATGATATGTTGTTCTAAAGCAGCAGTTCGGACACAAAGATGACGATCACGCTGAAAATTATTGATTTCATGAAAGTTATTCATAGAAATATAATTCTTATAACTTACTCTGAAAAATTCGAGAGCAGTTCGTTTGGCAATTTCAAATCCACCAGTCCATGCGTGAGAATAAAGTGTTTGATCACGTGTAGATTTTACACCAAAACTCATCGATTTTTTGTTGCGAATATATTCAATGATATTTTCCAATGTGTTAAGTCTTTGCATTTTTTCTCTGGAAAACAAAACGATTTAAATTGTGATTCTTGAAAAATATATATTAATAAACTTACACTTGGCTTCTAAGTTTTCCTCCAGAAATTGAAATCAAAAATTGTTTAAGTGCCTCAATAGCTTCTCCTTGTCTATCTCTGCGATCTTGTTCCCGATTCTTTTTAATTTCTTTTCTATCCATTTTTAATGTATATGGCGATGGTGTACTTCTTGTTGATTCAGGTGACCATTTTGATCGAAAAGGTCCACATCCATTTGATTTTGGTGAAATATTATTGATCATTAATGAACTTCTTTCATGCTCAAAACATGCTTTAAGTTTTGCAAGATATTCTTGTTCAGTTTGAAAATCTAATCCAAGTTGTTTGATAAAATTCGAGACTTGACTTTCCACTGAATTGAATCCATCAACAAATCCTTTTCTTTCTGGGATAAATGAAGGACCTGGTTGTTCACTTTCCATTCGATGAACCAATTCAACAGTTCGAATCAAAACATCAGCTTGTTTCAACCTGCAAAAATATTATTTTATATTTTTCTTTCTTTCTTGCTGACCCTTTCCCATGCATGCTTATAAGTGTGAAAAGTACTCACGTTTTCCGCTCGATCTCATCTTCGCAAACAAATCCGCGCAATTCGTTGATCTTGTTGTTAATCTCGTCGCGTCGCTCTTTTTCACGAATCGATTTGTGACTCTGAAAAAATAACGAATTGGATGTTTTGCTGACAGGAAATAGAAACTGAATTAGAATTCAAAAAAACTAACCATTCTTGACAAAAATGGAGTTTCCTCTTTGTTCATAAGTAAAACCATTGTTTGCGCAATAAAATGAATCTGAAATTGAAAAACTGGTAATAACAATAATGATAAAAAAGAGATAAGTAAAAGAGTTATCAGTGTGAGAAACAACACAAAAATGAATAAAAAGGAATGATATGATGATGAGAAAAATATGGAGCGAAGAGCAAGAAATAAACCCTTTTCTTGATGAATTATGAGAAATTCCCATGACCCTTGACTTCAAGTAGGCGGACACCTTTTAGAGAATCCCTCCCATAATATTATTATTATGCTCAGGATTGATAACTACAGTAACCAAATCAAGAAAGATGGTAGATTGATGAGATGATTGAAATCGAAATGATTTGGTGGAAAATATTTGGTAGGGGCGGGGATGGAAAATATTGGAAAGGTGCGAAAAATGGGCGGAGTCTGAGATGAGAAAGGTGGAAATTGGGATGTTTTTGGATTTGATGAGCACAAGGCTGGAATAAAAAAAAACAAATTTTGAATTTGGAAAAAAATGAATTTCAGTTGGAAGAGGAAATCATTTTTAATGAAAAACGTGTTTTTAAATTTAACAATTCTGATTTGAAAAGTTTTTCATTTAAAAAAATCGAAAAAAGAAACATTTTTTGGCTCTTCAGATTTTCAGCTGGAAGAGTTTTTCATTTCGAATAAAAACAAACATTTTCTGGAAAAAAAGCATTTTCCACATTTTTCTTTGGCTTGGAAAGAATTTTGAAAATACCAAAAAATCTAAATCAGAATATTTACATCTCACAATCAAATTAGGTAATCAATACAAAATAGTGCAGAGTCACATTTTTACAAATGTAGATCAAAAAATTTTTTTTGAAAATTAAGCCGAGCAGAATTAATTTAAAGATTTTAGGCGGAAAAGCATGAAGTTGAAAAACTAGAAAACCTGATTGGTTTTGATTGAGCATATTAGAAAATAAGTTGGATATTCAAAAAAAAAGGTTGATTAAAGTTATTCGGAAATTCGACAAGTCGATTCGAAGTAAAAACAAATAATGATTGTGGTGATGGGTGAATCGGTGGGTGTGTCCACCTTTTTTCCCAATTGCCGACAACCGTATTCTATTTTTTAGACCACGCCTCTTTTTTGGTGATTTACGAGAGGCGAGGAGAAGAGGGGAGTACGGTAGATTGAGAAACAAAGATGAGATTCGAAATTTCGATTATTTTCCCTCACAATTTGTTGCGTTTTTAGGGTTTTTATTGGAAGAAAAAGGTTGTCGGAAAGAAGTTTGAGGTCAGTTGAAAACAAAAATGAACTATTGGTTGATCTTTTTTTGGAAAGTTTTTGGTGGCAGCTCCAATTCTCTAATTTTTTGGGTGAATCAAAAACGATGATTATACCAATTTTTATTTAGAAAAATTGCTTTGTTAATGTATGAAAACCTGCTGATGAAAAAATTGATCAAAAACCTAAAATATGAAGCCTGTTAACGAGTAGTCACGAGTTTTCAAAAACGAATGTAACAAAATCCAAACAAAATGTCTGTTTTTCTGATTCCTAATTTTCGAATTCAAGCTAAATTTTTAAATTAGTTTTAAACACTTCCATATTCTGTCAAAATGTCAATAAAAATGATGTGTGAAGAGAGTCATAAAATGAAGCATGCAATATTCCCAAAAAATCCGACAGGCAAAAGTTGTAAAATTAATAATGTTCTTATTTGAGTTTTGGGAAATATTTGAATTTTTAATACTAATGAATCTTCTTTCAAAAATTAAGAAGCTTCCGTTTTCCCTGACTTCACCTAATTATCAACAAAGTGTTTTGTTTTGATTTTGCGAACATCAAATAAAAATATTTGACTGATAATAAGGTGTGAATTATTTGAAAAGAAACCGACCAAGGGAATATTATCTAGTTCTCACAGATATTTTGAAATAAAAAAATTCGCTGGATAAATTTTTAGAACCATTATGGAGAGCAACTGAAACTCGAATTTGAAAATGAGTTTTTGAACAATTCAATTTATTGACACCTTGTTCATTTGTTGTATAAACAACACTTTGGTGTTTATGAGAATATTCTTATATTCCCATGCCGATTATGAGAATATTTCGACAGAATACTCGTGCTGATTTTCAAAGTTTTAATTGAAGTTGTTCAAGTTCTCAAGGATGGAAGTTTGAAGTTTTGAGGAAGTACAAAAAGCTCTAATTTTGGGAAACCATTATTTTTAAACATATGCTAATATTTATTGAAATTCCAGATCAAAGATACCGACATTTTAGAGAACATAGTGACAGTTTATACTCGAGATAATGTAGAATAGTTTTTAAAGAACTATTATCATGAAAAATATTGTTACAGTAATTTTCACTTCTATGTTTTCAAAAGTGTTTCCCAAAAAGTTGTCTACACAGTATTCCTACAATAACTTGTCAGCTTTAATAAATTTGATTGACAAAGTTGAGAAATATGAAGTGTGAAGTACTGTAATACCCAAATGCAACCTGATTTGATGAGTTAGAATTTAGAATTTGAGTTGATGGAAATTGATATCTAAAAATATTTCATGAATTCAATTGACTTCCCGGAATTTGAGGTTTCTTACACTTTTTTGTTGTATCAACAACACTTTGGTGTTGATGGGAACATTCTTATATTCCCAGCCCGACTATGAGAATATTTTGACAACGGACACGTGCTATATCAAAATTTACTTTCTATGGAATTGGATTAGAGAACCAAGATAATTTCCAAAAAATTTTAAGCTTAAAAAAATCAACACGATGTTTTTCGAGTTCACATAAGTGTCAATATTTCCGCAGAAAAAAATCGAAGATCAAAGAGACCGACATCTAAGAATATACCGACTCGACAAATTGCACAGTAATTTATAGACACTTGTTTTTTCGAAATAATTATTTAAACTTACAGTAACAGAAAGAAAACTGTTGTTTTTACAATAATTCCCAAAAATTTTGGTTCATCTTGATCAACATAATACTGTCACTCATGATATTTATATTGACTGACATGTGCGAAATTTAGTCACACTTCTCACCTAATTTGAAAATGGCCCAATTTGGGAATTTGTTTTGAAATTCAGAGAAATTATTTGAACGAAAGTGGTTTAACTCAAATCCTCAAACTCAACTAAAATACAAATATTCACACGGAAAAATCTTCTGTTCACACTTTTTTCATAAAAACACTAAAGTGTTTATGAGAATATATAAATATTGGATCAGATCAAAACCACAAAACAATACCATCCCAAAAAACTTACGATTTTTTCGGAGAAAAATTGCGAAATTATATTTTTCGTGCGGGAATATTAAATAGGCAATGAAAAGAGAAAATGAACGAATGAACACGTGCAAAAACGTGGAGGTCGACACTTGCCAGAATTTCCCATTATTTTTTTTTAAATCGCATATCTTATACAAACACGTGTCATAGATGGATTCCCAATAAAATTCAAATTTTCTTTTTTATGTAAACATTATTACACAATTAATTATTTGATACTAATTATGATAAGAATTTTGGCACCTTTTTTGAATATTTATTATATTTTTGAGAGAAAACCGAAAAAAAAAGAGAACTACAGTATACCTCGAGAAAAATTCAGGAAACAACAATTTGCTCGATTTGATTTTCCCATACTAATTTATCAATGTCCAATCGGTTGTCACAATTAGAAACAATAGAAATTGAAGAGAATTAGAGCAAAAGAACAATTGTGTAGTCGGTTTGGTTGTCATCGTCGCGCACTAGGCTTCTTCTTTTTTCTCTTTTCATCTTGCCGACAATTACTACCTACTAGTATATTTATATTTTAACCAAAACATTTTTTCTAAAAGGGGGTTTTTCCATGCATGCAAAGAAAAATGAACGTATTTCATCAGAAAAAAAGATGCAAACAAACGTACTCTCGTCGACCTTGTCTTGACTATAGCAACGAATGGCTAGGCATGCAGACATGTCCGAGTGGTTAAGGAGTTTGACTCGAAATCAAATGGGCTCTGCCCGCGTAGGTTCGAATCCTGCTGTCTGCGAATTTTTGCATTTTTTTCAACTTTTGTTAGTTTTTTTTATTTGTAAAATAAAAAACATGTGGAATGCCGACAAAGCCTGACCCAATTGCCAGCGCCTACAAATGATGTGTGCATAATTAATGAGAATAGTGGAAGAAGTATAAAAAAACCACTGGCGGATATACCTTCACCATATGAACACATTAATCCAAGGAAACGTGTTTCGGGTGGACACCTGGGAAAATGTAATACAATTTGTATAGTTATTATGTTTTTCCAGGGGTTAAGTTGTCTGCGAGGTAATCGAAATTCCACGTTTGTTAGTGTTTTTGTAATTATTATATTTTTGTTGGGAATAATAGATAAAATATAATCCGCCATGGGCGCAAGTCAATAAAATGATGTTTAATGACAGACCGACACGTTCGCGCGACGGATATCACATAATTTTTGAGGGTCGTCGGCACTTTTGACACAACTCTCTTACAGATAATCATCAAAGGTCGACAACAACAACAAACCGTTCGGTTTTTCTGATGAGATACTGTGACGGACATCCGGAGAGACCAAAACAGGGGAAAGAATATTTGAGGATGTCCCGCTGGGTTTTCAGTTTTGTGACAGTTTGAGAATATCTTGTTAACACTAAAGTGTTATGTCGGCGAAATGTTGTTTGTTCTTCGAAATTTCTCACCGGATATCCCGCAGAGAGTATACATGTGATAGTTTGAGAAAACCTTGTTAACACTAACGTGAGATTAGCGATGATTTTTTTTGAGAACCGATTTTGAGATATAAACAAAGCAAGGGATTCAAACTTCCTAAAATTCAAAACAGTTTCCTCGAATTCACAAACATTTCACTATTCTGAAAATTTCAAATTTCAGTTTTTCTTGACTTATTTTGTCGAAAATCTTCTACACAAAAAACAACTTTAAAATGTTGCATTTATTTAGTGTGTCGATTGAGATAACAATCAGCGCCAATAGTTTTCCTTCCGTCCGTCCGTCAATATTATTAATTAGAGAGTGTAAAGTTTCAAGTGAATAAAAGAGTACTGTATTAGGTTTGTCTAATTGCTCGATCTGATTAGATATTGGTGTCCTATTATTAAAAAACCATGGGAAAGGACAATTATTTTTGTTTTGATAAGCATGACAAATTCTATTTGAGATACCGAAAACAAAAACATTTTGAATTGAAAATTCCGGATATCCCGCTGACAATATGTTGTCAGTTTGATGTTAGATTGAAAAAATCTTGTAAACACTCATGTGCTATCTGAATTTAGTAATGGAACATTTTTTAGATTCCCACCGGATATCCCGCTGATTTTACAGTTTTGTGATAAATATGTTGTTAACACCAAAGTGTCGGGATTCAACATTGTGATATACACAGTGATGTTTTTGAGAAAAAAGAGTGAAATTAGAGTATATCATTAAAAACTGAAACACAAAAAAAACTGAAAAATCGCAACATTTTTGAAGGTCATCTTCAAATGAATCGAAATTAGATTTATGTATTTCTTTTCTGTTTCGCTCACGCTCTTCTATTTCGGCAACATCTAAAACAACACGTGTAACGATGATATTTATGAGGTTCGTTCCCAATTTGTTGCCAAAATTTTTATGATTCAGATTGAGATCTCGAAAAGAGAGAAAAATGGAGATACGGTATTTTTATGACGCCGCACACCTTCTCGAGAATTAAATTATTTCTGTATTGGAAAATATTAAAAATTGAAAAGGGTTTTACTGTAATCATTGAATTGAAGTCTAAAGTTTTTCATAACGCGTCAGGATTTTGACCAAAAAATATTTATTCATTTAATTTTATATACAATATCAAAATAAATAGTAAGTTTGTCTTGGAATATTTAACAGATAACACGTTGTATACATGAATCACGAAGACATTGAAGTGCGGCATCGGAAAATTTAGGACGACCAGAATAATCAGCATAAGATATCCATTCAAGATCAGGACAAAATTGTGCAAGAATATATATTGATTTATCTGTACAAGCAGTTCCACGAATTCGAACTTCTTGCAATGGACAACGTCTGAAAAAATTGAAAATAAATGCTCAGAAACTGTTTTCAAAAATAATTTACCTTGCAAGAACAGCCAATCCCTTATCGCTAACATATTTACATCCATTAATATTCAAACATCGAAGTTGTCGACAATTTCCACCCAAAAGACAAAGGAAACGATCATCAACTGAATACATGTGAGATGTTTCCAAATCAACAAGATTTCGAGCTCCGCGAGCAATTGCAAATAAAACACGATATGTCATACGCATTCGACAGATTTTCAAACTTCGAAGTTTCGAAGCATTCGATTTCGAACCTCCTGAAATTTTGAATTTTTTTCTTGATTTTTTTGTTTCTTTTTACCTGCAAAATATTTTTGTAGAATATTTGTGTTCAAATGATTGACTTCGAGAGATAAATGTGATAAATTAGGCAAACATTCAGTTACAAGACGAAGTGGTTCATCGAATAATCGTGGAACTGATATTTGAATTTTTGTGATTTTCTGACCGAGTAATGGAATAATTGTGCAGAGAAGAGAATTTGCATTATCAACGGCTTGCTGGAATTCAAGTTGTTGTTATTTTCCATTTTCAAATCTGTTCTCAAAATAAGAATTCAAAAAATATCCCCAATCGTTTGGATTACTGTGGTTTCAAATTTCTTATTTCTCATCCCTCTTAGTTTCAGTAACCTCTTTTTTAGCCCAATATTTTGATAACTTACAATATTTGCTTCTCTGACTGAAACAATCAAATTAATCGAACTCAAATATGGTTGTTCAAGAAGTGTTGCAACTAATTGTTCACCATCTTCATCACCAGAAACAGAAAGACGAATTGATTGAACAGTTGGAGGAAGTTGAGGAATTTGTAAGAAGTAGTTTCCATAAAGATCCACTTTTCTCAAATTTATTCCATCAATTATAAAGCGAGAATTCTCAACGCCATCTTCAATGCTCTGAAAAAATGAGAAATTTGTTTTGAAATTTTTTTCGAAAAAACATCAGGCGAAATACCTCGTGAAAGAATCGTGCAAGAGACAGCTGCGACACGTTAGGACATTGTGAGGACAAGTATTGTAATGCGGATGCTGGATCAGATAACGATGTTGGAAAATCTAACTCGAGAGTCTGCAAAACAAAATATACTTTGAGTTTTTGGAGCGGAATATATTTAGAAATATGAGTTTTTTCCCAAATTTTTGAGAGGATTTCAATATAAAGGATTTTATTTCGAAAACTTTTGATAATAGCTTTCAACACCCTGTTCCTTGCAGAATAATTTACAGAACTAACATGTAATCGTTTTCCAACAAAATGTGCAATATCATATAAAACTTGATCATCCAAACCCCGACAATGATTCAAATATAAACAACAAATCGATGGATTTCTCTCAAGCAAAACTCGTATTCCAGCACTGGTTATTTTCCCGCAACCCGAAAAATCGACTGAATATAAAAATGGGCTATAAATATGTTCAAGAGCTTCATCTGTCAATTGATGCATTGCTCGAAATTCTAATTGTCGCAAAAGAATTTGTCCAGATGTTACTGTTTTTGCACCCTGAATTCGTGGCTTTTTTCTAAATTTCAAGTATAAACTTACATGATCGGAAACATTTGGACAATCAACTAATGTGATTTTTTCAACAAGTTTATTATTACTTGTCAGAGATTTGAGCATTTCATCAGTGAGTTCTGTTGAGAGGTAGAATGTTAAAAATGGAATGTTTGAACTGAAATATTCAGATGATACAAGTGTTGAACAATCAGATGCGGAGAGCTGCAAAAAACGAGTTTTTAGAGTGGGTACTGTAGTTTTCGATTTTGTTTTTTGTTTTGTTTTGCTTGGGAGACATATAGTCAACAAATAAATACGAATTTTGGAAAGAAAACAAAAATAGGATGTCACGAATGTTCGAAAAAAACAAAATCAAAATTTGAACTTCAAATTTCTAGCAATTTTAGAACAGGACCCGAGAAAATAAGAAAGATTCAATTTTGTGAGAAAAAATTCTGAATTGGGCCACTTCAAAAATGGTCCGAGATTTAATTTTGTAAATGAATTCACAGCTTATCTCGTGTTTTTTCACAAAAACCGTTGAGAAAACTCACCTGATCATGACTCGAGAAAAATTCGAGTAATTTTTGTTTACATTCAACTGGAATAAATGAAATGTCATCATTCAATTCGTGTTGGCAAATTGCCGAAAGACATAAATTCAGCAACGATTTCACCATTTTCAGCAGCACATTTGACAACGGGAAAAGTAAAAGAAAGCAAAAAAACAATGATTTGAGGTAGAGAGAACGAGACGCAGATAATCAAAGGATTTTACACAAAAAACCGAGATGAGATGAGCTTTTTTCTTCTTCTTCTCGTGAGAAGGAATGAAAAGGAGCAAAGGTAAACTTTTGATTTGAGAGAATGAAAAGAGAGACGAAAAATATGAAAGATTGTTGAAATGACGTAAATATTTTGGATAGAAAAGAAAGAAAGTTATGATTGCTCTTTGTTTTTTGTGATGATGAGGTGAGAGACATTTCGAGGGTCAAGATTACTGTATTTTCACAGTTTACTTTATTATTGAACTATTTTTCGAAGTAGAAGGAAACCGAAAATTATATTTTAAAAAAGAAAGACGGAAAAGTGATCTGGAAATTCAAGATTTTTCATTCTGAAAAGAAAAAAAAACTTTTTGTAACACGTAATTTTTTAGGCTACAGTAACCCAAAAATGTATTGAATTCTATGTATATATTTTCGAAAAATTTCGTGGATTCAATTTCAGAAATTCATGAAACGTGAACTGTGACGTGGCAATTTAAAATTTTAATTTTTTTTAAATGACAAAGGCGAATTGAAAGCAATATTTAAGATTCTTTAAGCTACAGTAACCCTAGAACTTTCTAACGTTTATTTATCTACATTTTCACCATATTTTATTCATATGATTTACAACTGATATTCTTCTCTTTCCATCCTTTTTCTGCACTTTCAACTTTTCTTTGGTCTTCCTTCCAGATGTTCTGAGTTTTCGACACAAAAAATTTATGATGATCATATAATTCTTTTGTTCTGTTTCTGTTTTTTTTCACATTTTATATTCCAAGGTTTTTTCTCATGAAATCTTTATTTAAAAAATTTACAAGAAAAATCTAGAAAAAAACATCTACTTGAAAGACAAAATGGGAACATTGATTATTAAATTAAAAAATGACAAAATCAATCGATTATTTCGAGAAATTCAAAATTATCCAAATATCTTCAACAAAAACTAGCAAATTTCAATAACAATTAAGGACTTGGTGGGATTGGATTCAAAATGACACTGGGATCGGAAAAAATTGAAAGATGATTCCGAAAAATCATCTGAAAGACATCGGGCTTGAAAAATTGAAGTTGAAGGTGGGAAAACACCTAAAAACAAGACCGGGGGTTATTTACGAAGGTTTTTTTGGAGGGCTGAAAGTGAAAAGGGGGAAGGGGTTGGTGGGAAAATAATTGCGACATCGAGCAGAATTGGGAGTTTAGGGGACAAGGGAAAGAAGGGAAGGGCGCTGTACAAAATCACCGGGGGCTGCATCCACGACGGTGAAATCTGAAAAAAAATTTTTAGATTTTTTAAAATTCAAAATTAAAATGTTGATTTACCTATAATTGCAATAAATCATAGAGTCCAACTAGAGAAAAATTACACGAAACAAAAAATAAGATTGAATCCAGTCCGACGGAAATCCAAGAATAGTTATCGAAAGCTGCCAGTTTTGTTGAAAATGTTCAGAAGATTTGGAAAATCACAAAATGTCCCGTGAAAATGTCATTGATTAATTTGGAAATCTGGCGTCCACGCGGAGCATCGTTGTATTAAAAACGAGCCGACAATTGAATTACACCAAACATTTGAGAAAATCTGAAACTTTTAAATAAATATAAAAATGGATTCAACTAAACTATACAAATATTGGAAAAAAACGAGCAAAAAATGGCAAATACGAAAAACAACAACAACAACAACAAATATATACGCCAACTATACTAAAAACTTTGTCTGAATGGGAGAAAAAGAAAAAGCAGGCAACCAGCTTTTCGAAAAATGACCAATACATTAGAGAGTATATAAAAATGAGAGGAATATACATTAAACAGCTGAGAGGAAAACGAAATTGCGCAATTCAATGCTATGAGGAAAAAAGAATATGTAGATATTTATGTGTAGTAAAATGGGCGGAGTGGGGGAAATGAAACGGATTTTGGTTTCAAAATGAGAAATATTTTAATTAAAATGAAATCCAAATATTTGTTAGCAAATTAATTTTTGATATGTCTAATGCATTTTCAGGCGGATTATTCGAAATTTCTAAAATCTCTGCCATTCTTAATTTAATGAATTTTTCTTTCAAAAATGAAAAATTGAACTTTTGAAAATCTCTCTCCAAAAAAAATGAGAAAGTGAGAAAAAGAAAAAGCGAAATAATTTCGGGAAAAAGTGAAAATGCATGCATGTATATAGAAATAAATAAATAAATATACAAACCTGAATTTAAATTTGCATTTTGGTGTGCGTCTGCGTCTCCTCTTTTCATATGTTCTCTATTCTCTCTTATCGACAATCTCCGCCCTTTTCTTTTGTTTGAACAATCCAACGAACACCAAAATTTTAATAAAATAATATACAAATTTGAAACGTGGATTTTGAAAGGTCCTAGATGAAATTTTATTTTTCACATTTGAAACAAGTAAATATTTACATTTGATTATTTTTTCTCATTAAAATTTTCTCGAATTGGAGGAAAGGCTTTTGTATGAACAGCAGTTGCAATCAATCGATTATCATCTTTCCGGAAAATTTCAGCTTTTGTGAATGCCAATGTTCGACCTTGTTTGGTTACTGTAGAATCCAGAACAAGAGTTTCGCCAACTTTTGCAGCAGCCAAATAACTGAAAGAATAAATTTGTAGATATTCACTGAATTTTTGGCAGTACATCTTCTTTTCAATACTGAAGTGATGATTTTTTTTTTGAAAATTTAAAGTTATTTTTTGGAAACATTTAATTTCAAAGATCAAAAATTGATTTTGAGTATTTCTGCAGCGTTATAAATTATTAACAAATAATTTTGAAGATTTGAAAAATTAAAATGTCATGATTTTTATAATTATATTCTTTACAAAAAATGTAAAGCCTAAAAAGTATCTAAAAAATTTGGGGTACAATTTTTTGAGAAAGATTTGCCGAAAAAATATAGACAAAGTAACTTATTTCTTGAACTATTCCAGAAAAAATGAGGAAAACTCACGTTACATGCAAATCAACTGAAACTCCTGGATGTTCGTGTTTTGTACACATCAATGCGGCAGTTGTGAAAATATCAACAATTGTGGCAGTATATCCTCCATGCAATGTTCCAAAGTGATTTGTCATATCTTGTTCCACTTTAAATTCAACTTTGAGGCGACCTTCGTCGGCTTGAATTGCTTGAAACTAAAAAAAATATATTTTTTAGGGGAAAATCAAAAATTGACAAACCTTTTCAGTTCCAAGAAGTGCTCCAAACTGTCCTTTATTGCTATAAAACTTGATCATATTATTAGCCATTTTCAAATATTTTCCCGACATTTTTCCTGGAATTGATGAATATTCTGTGGAGTTTTTTGGAAATGGATAAATAAAAAAATATTTCACGTAATGTGTCACGGATAAATAATTAAGAAAATTCAACAAAAATAGAAAAAAATCATCGTTTTCTTTTTGGTGCCAATTCCATTCCAATTATGAATTTTTTATCAATCCCGTAGGTTTCGAGAAGAAGCTGAGAAATAAAATGAATTTGATTTCCTTGAACAATAACTTGAACTCCTTCACAACAAACTGCTTCATTTTGACTTGTTACACTTGTTGCAACACCCGTCTAAAATGACAACAAAAATCAAAAATATTTTTCTATTTAGTCTCTTTGAACTTACTTGAATTTGATGACTAATTGTTTTGATGTCAACACCAAAAACTGATAGATTATTTATCAATGTCACTTTTTTGTTACCCGATCGATTTTCAATTTTGAATTCGATTTTTGGAGCATTGATTTTTCGAACAAATTCTCGACCATCTGCCCATCGAATCACCCAAGTTTTCGTCATTTTTGACTAAATTTTTAAAAATTAAAAAAAAAAACAATTGGAATTGAAAAGGATTTACCTGAATAGTCTGCATTAAAGTATTCCAATCCGTCGTTTCTGATTTGATTTTACTAACTTGTGCCAAAATTGGATCTAACTTCACAGATTTTAATGCATTCAAATTCTGTAAAAAAATAAAAATATAATGAAATAATAGTTTAAATAGACAAATCAACTTACATTAATTTTAATATAATTTGTCAATCTTTCACGTAATTCTGGAACTGTTAATAAATCTCCTTTTGAACATTTTCCCAAAACAGGTAGAACAGGTTCAGTGACTGCGCAGAATTCTAGAATAATTGGTGGATCAAATTTATCAGCACTTGGAATAACTTCATCAACTATTTTTTCATCGCTCAATTCGAAACTTCGCAATAACTCATGATTCCAAACAATTTCTGAAATTGTTTCTGCTCCTTTATTTTTCTTGTTGATCTTCACAATTTCCGTCGTAATTCCATTGATTTCTTGAATAAATGTTCCAAATTTTTTGTATTTCGTCTTTTTCATATCCAATTTTCGACCTTCAGGTACACAAGACAAAACACATTGTGTATAAAACTGTCCAATATCCATTGGAAGTTGTCCAGATTTTTTCAAACGATATTTGATTCCAGCCAAAAAACATCTTTGTAACTGAAAAGAAACATTTTCTGAAACATTTTAAACATCAAAAATTACCAAAGATTCCATTGATTCGCTATTTTCTGGCTCAGAATCTTCGATATTTATCTTCTCATTTTCCACCTTTTCAATTTCAGTAATCTCATTGTTTTCAACTTCAATATTTTCATCAATAATAGTTTCTATTTTAATAAATTGATCCAAACTCATTGAAGATGGTTGACCACGTGGCCCAAATTCCCTGAATTCAATATTTTTTATTTTGTTATATTTTTCTTTCAATTTTAACCTACCATAAAGTGTCTCGAAAAACATGAAGAATCTGAACACCTTTTCCTTGAAATCCACATTTCAACATATCTTCCGAAGACATCATACTACATCCAACAGCAATTGGACCAATAACTTCATTTTTTGATGAATCATAAAGAGCAATACAAACTGGACCACCTTTTCGAATATTTGGAAATGTGTATTTATCATTTCGAATAACTCCTTACAATAAAATTATTTTCTTGGCTTTATCACAAAATTTCTGACAAAAATACCTGGTAACATAAGGTCAGCTCCATTTTCCAAATATTGCAAAACTTGTTGGTGAACAAGAATAACCGGATAAGCCAATGGATTTTTCCACATGAAAAACACTGTTGGATAGACATTACCAGTTTCAGAAAAATCGAATAAAATTGGAAGTTTGTCGGAAAGATAAATATTCATCGAATCTCCTTGAAAAGTGACTAGTTTTACTTGAGCAACTTGTGATTTTTTATCAACTGTTATTTCGGTTTCATTTCCAATTTCCTCACATAATCGATTGTATAATTTTCGGCTGAAAAAATGAATTATTTTTGAAACTCGAAGAAAACGCAATTAAATGAATACCTATCAGAGTTTCGTAGATTTGTATTTTTCTTTACGTTGAAAGGCTTCCGAAACATTCCTGAAAAATATATTTGATCTAGATATACGAACATGATCTTTATATGAGCGCTAGACTTTTGTATTATAACAATTTACAAACAATCAACAAAAAAAACTTAATCTCAACTTTCACAGTTTTTTTAGTTTTCACTCTCCGAAACGTTCAATTTTCAGATGTTACACATGAATACAATCGCAGATAATGCGGAAAAGATTCGCGAAATATCAGAAATCTTCACAGTAAAAGGAGAATTATTTCTTGAAATGATTGAAAAAGAAGTTGAAAATGGAGTTATTACTGCAGCTGAAGCTAACTCAAGAAGTGCAAAAATGCTCGAAATTCAAAAAGAAATGTTGAAAATTGAGATGTACGCAGATGAAGCAGAGAATCTTCGCCGAATCAAAAATATTTATGTGAAGAAATTAGAAATAGCACAGGAAAAATATAAAGCATTGTTGAAAAAAGAGTTCATTGAAAGCCGGAACGGAAAAGAAGAATTGAGAGCGAAAAAAACATTGGAAATCGCCCAAAGACATTTCATGGAAAGAACTGAATTTGAGGTTTGTCTATTATTCAATTTTTTAATTATTTTTCTAAATTCAGGCGATTGAAATTTCGCCATTTTCGGAAGAATATTTGATTGAAGAAGATCAAACGAAATATCGTCGCCGGCGATCACGAAGTATTGGAGCAGTTGTCAAACGTGCATTGGTAAGTTGAATCTTTATTTAAATTCATAAATCACTTATACGTCATTTTAGAAAACTGTCAAGCGAAGACTTTCTGCGGGACGTGAAAAAACAAATCATCATTGTGAATGACAAAGTTTTTTAACTTTTTATTTTAAACTGATTGTGAATAATATAATCTGAACAGCATAAAAATTATTGTTTAAAAGATGGTTCATAACACCAAAATACTCTAATTGATTGAAAGAATGGAAATATTTCAGAACTGCAGAAAATGAAGATGGAACGCAACAATTTAAAAATTGAAATGTTGGAAAAAAAATTAAAAATACACAGGGAAAAAGTGTGCGGAGCCTATTGCAGGTTTGGCCCCGCCCACAACACCCCGCCGCACATCATTTTTCTTTTCTTTTTTCTTGTTAGCTTCGCAAAACTCTCATTTTTTTGCCGCAAGGCTTCTTTAATACAAAACTTTTCAGGTAGTTTCACTGGTCAAACGATGGCTTTGATGAGTAAAATGGCTCCAGCAGCAGCCAGTTGCTGTCGAACTGGAATTTTGAAGCCAATAACTACAATGGCTCCAGCTGTTAGACATTCGCATGCTGCTCTTTTCAGAAAACGTCCAGGACAATTGATTGTTAACCGTATTAAGGTGAGTTCCACTTGAAAAATTCAAATATAAAAGCACCCATTTTTCAGGACGTTTGTCATTTTTATTTCATCGGAATTGGATTTTTGCCAGTTTTGTTCGCTTTGGCATACAATCACATTGTCTATGGAACTTGTGAACTCAAAGACTATCCAACTGAAGTGAGATTTGAATGAATAGTAATATATTTAAAAATTCGAAACATTCAGGGTCCACCACCACATCATTGGCAATTTGAACGTACTCCAGTTCGTCAATGGTGGGCTAAATGGTTTGGCGTTTCAGATGTTGAACATCATGAAAGAAATCTTGCTTATTATGAGAAGCAAGGAATTCTTGCTCGTTGGAGGTTTGTTATCCAATTTTCAAAGATCTAGAAAAAATAAGTTTATTTGCAGACAAATCGAGCAACGTGTCAAACATTTAGAAGGTGAAAGATGGGATTATAAAGGTTGGAGTTATCAACCAGTTTCATCCGCTTGGGTTGATTATTCAAGATGGCATGTTCTTCGTTTGAGAGATCAATATGAACAACATGGACACTATGCGCAGTAAAATGAATTGGTTCGTATTTTACAACATTTATTTTAGAATCTTATTAAAGTGATATAATTGCATTTTTACGGGTTTGAAGATAGTAAAGAGAATGCTAAAACTAAAAATGGATAATTTTAAACTAATGAGATAATTTTGCAGCCTATCAACTTTGTCACACAATCGTGCCTCAATCAATTCATTCAATATGCCTGTAATAGTGTCGATGTTAAGTAATTAAAAGTAGTTGCGATTGTTTTTTTTTCAATTTTTCCGTTTGATAGATGTTCAATTTGTCGGCGTATTCTTTATGTTTTCGTATTTAGTGTAAATAATCGAATATTTTATGACGAATAAAAATTGACCATTTTTATTTCAGTATGCTTTGTAGAAACTGTTTTCCTTCACATTCTTATTTTGTTCAGTATTATTTCCAGGAAAATGTTTTTCTCGAGGCACTAAAATACACACGAAACGTTTATTTCAAGATGGTAAAAAAAGTTATGTTTCACACCGCCCTTTTCAATGTTTTTCTCGTCCATGGCCGAATTTTATTGCAACGTGGCCGAAGTCGTGGCACTTGTTCGGCCATGGGCACTTTTATTTCTTTTTTTGTGTTTCCAAAACCAAACAAAACAAATAAATATTCAATGTTTTTGTTTTTGTTTCACAGCTTTTCAACATTTTCCACTTCATAGTACACTTTCCCTTCTAAATTTACATGTTTTCAGATAATCACGTGTAATTATTTAGATGTTTAATTGTACAGAATGTAAGTTTTCAAACAAAAATGATTCATCTTTAAAATTAATTAATTGATTCATTTTTAGTTTGAAATGTTGGAGAATATAGTCGCCTGGGTGCTCAACAATTATATTGGAGAGTATTTGGAAGATTTGAATACGGATCAGTTATCAGTTGCTCTTTTATCAGGTCAAGTTGAGCTCGAAAATGTTCCGCTGAAAAAAACAGCTTTGCGAAAATTAGACCTTCCGCTCGAAGTTCGATCGGGTCTTTTGGGAAAATTGACACTTTCGGTTCCGATAACACATCTTAGAAGTGAACCATGGACTTTGCAGGTTAGATTTATCAATTAAACTTTGAAAACATAACAAAACTGAATATATTGCAGCTGAGCGATGTTCTTATAATAGTTGGTCCATTATCAAGTGAGAAAAGATATGATGTTGAAGCTGTTGAACAAGTTGAACAACAAAGAAAAGAACAAATGTTAGAAGAATTGGAAAATAAACATAAAACTGCTTTATTTGATATGCTTGGAATCCAAGTTCCAGATTCACAAGATTCTTGGTGGGGAGCTTCTTTGATATCAACAGTTTTGAATAATATTCAACTTATTCTCAATAATGTTCATATTCGATATGAGGATAATACAACAATTACCGGACAAACATTTAATTGTGGAATTCGTATTCAAAAAATGACAATGCAAACAACAAATTCGAAATGGAAACCGGGATTTGCGGAAACTCAAAGAGGTGTTAATATATTCAAAAAATTGGATTTGATTGGTTTCAGCATTTATTGGAATTCAAAAGCAACAATGACTGAAAATATAACAACTCCCAAACAATTGAAGGTATTTATTTTTTTGTTGACGTTTTTATTTAAAAAAAAAAAGGATTTTCACGTTTCGATAAGAGATTTTCTAAAATTATTTCGGCATTTCTGAATTTTTGAGTCAGTCCAAAAATGTGCATACCAAAAAAAAATTTAATATTATTTTAGGATATTTTGGCGCCTGAAACTTCATCAAACGCATATATTATTCAACCATGCAGCGGTGAAATGCGAATGGAGAAAAATTCGAGCAAATTCCCTTTGAAGCAGAAAATTCCGAGATTCAAGGTATTTACTTTTTATGAAAAACGAAAAAATAATGTCATATTTTTCCAGTTTTTCCTGAAACCTGAATTGATTGTTTGTGAATTAACCCGCCATCAAATGACTGAATTGAAAGCATTGAATCGAGAATGGGTTCGATTTGAAAGAGCAAGACAACATAGAAAATGGAGACCACTTTGTTCAATTGGAGAAGAGTGAGTTATTCAGAAAAATTATTGAATAAACAGATAATAATTTAGTGCTAAAACATGGTGGCATTTTGCATATAATCGAATAATGGATGATAGTCGAAGAACTAATTCAAATCGAACATGGGAATTTGCAGCAAATCGAGCAAAGATTCTAAATCAATATTGCAGAGCATATTATAGACGATTATTAGCATTATTAGCAAATCCAACAGCTGTAAAAGAAACTGTAATTGATCCTGCGACAGCTGCAAAAACATCTACAAATTCGGAAACAATTGGTCCATCACTTGATGATAAAACAATTATGAAACAAATCGAACATGATTCACATTATACTTTTCATGAACTTCAAATTTTTCGAGAAACCGTTTTTCGTCGATTGGTTCGAGAAAAAGAAAAAGAACTGGGTATTACTGTAACAAATATGGTGAATTCACCAGATGATAATTTTGAGAATTTGGAACCTCCTCCAAATGAAGAAGTTATTACTGAAGAACCAACAGGCAATACAAATGTTGACCCGGCTGGAGGTGGATTATATAGTTGGATTACTGGATTCTTTGTGCAACCTGCTGAAAATGAAAAACATGATGATAAATTTGATTTTGGAAATGTTGATGTTGGAGAATTAAAAGAGATTAATGTGAAGGTAAATTCATAGAAAACAAATTAATTAAAAAAAACCAATATATATTTTTTTTTGTAGGAAATGGAAGATGAAATATTGGATGTTTTACATGAAACATGGGATGATTCAACACTTCTTCGAAGAGATGCATTGTTAGCACAAATAGCTCTTCGTTTAGAACATCTGACACTTCGATTTGTTGATAGTTATACATTGAATGGAATTGAACAACAAAGAGTTCTAGCACTTGAATTATCTGGTGTATCAACAAGAATGGAAATAAGTCCAAAACAACATTCACTTTCTGTTGATTTAACAGTAAATGATATGAGTATTCAAAGATTGAGAAGTGGACATCAAAGACCGAAAAGTAAATTGGCTGAAATTTCAGAATCATTACTTTATTCAACGGCTGAATCAACTAAAATGTTATTAACAATTGGAAGAGATGATGAAGATGCAATATCTACGAAATTACCAATGTTTAGTATGCATTATAGTCGAAGATCACCTCGATTAATTGTTCGACATGTTATTAATTGTCGATTAAGGCCTGTAAATATTGTATATGAAGAAGGTGCATTAGATGGTTTATCAACATTATTTACTGATGATCCTGAAATTTTCAATGAGGTTAGTTTACAATTAAAATAAAATGAATTTTGAAAATGTTTATTATTCAGAACAAGATTATGGAATCAGATGAAGATTTTATTGATGTTCGAGAAGAAATATCGATGATTGAATCACATGTTTATGTCAATTTACAAGTTCCAGTTGTTCGTATGGAAATAAGAGGAAGAGGTTTTACGAAAAGAGAAATGAGACCAACAACAATTTGGGAGCCAGGAGAATCTATTGCTTGTTTCAATGTTGAACGATTACAATTTAATGTTGTATCAAAAGAACAATTTTTGACAAATGTAAGTTTTTCCAAACAAAAATCGAAAAAAAAACCATATCTCAAAACTTATTTAGGAGGATCTTGAAAATTTAGAATATTTTTATTTAATGTACAATTTAGAGTTTTTGAAATAAAGCTTCAAAAAAAATGTTTAAATTTGAAATATAATTTTCCAGCTGAAACTTGCAATTGGACATGTCGAAATGCGGGATACTATTGAAAACACAACATATTCACTTTTATCAACTTATTCTCAAACTGGAATGAATGTTAGTTTTTTTTGTCAATTTTTAAAAAATATTCTCATAATTGTTTTTTTTTCAGAAAACTCTTTCAAATTCTTGCCCTGATTTGCAAAAACGAACAACAGTTCCGAATTCAACAATTCGTATTCCAACAAGACCATCAAAATCAGATGATATATTTATATCAGCTTCTGTTCCATCAGAATCATTGATTGATCCAATAAGACCTTTGAATTTATCAACAATAACATCAGTTGCTTCAATCGATACAACTTCAATGACTGGACCAACATCTCCAACTGGATTTGGAACAACTTCAACTATTTCAACAGTTTCGAATAGTTCAAAATCAGAAGTTATTATCAAATTGACATATGTCGATAAACAACATTCACAATTTGAAAGGAAATATAAAAAGGTTGGTTGGTTTTATTTTGGGCAAAAATCTTGAAGATTTTCAATTTGTACATGTCAATTTTCTGTCAAATTCAAACCGAAGGAAAAATGAGATGTCACTCATTTTTTGTCAGAAGTTAATTAAAAATCTGTTTTCGATTTTTATCTTTATTTTACTAGCAAATAGAAATTATTATTATTTGTCAGGTGACTAGATTACTGTAGTTTCCGGTAATGAATGACGAAAAAGTTAATTTCCTTTTTTTCTAACGGGAAGTGAGGGAGGGAAATGATTACTACGATAATAATTTTTTCCAAATATATATTTTTCAATATTTTGATTCAATACTTGTCGCCAAAAAATATCGAAAAAAAAACAAAAGTTATCCGACGTAAACAAGACAAAAGTGCAAGTTTAATCTCGAAATCTCTTGTTTTTCTCTCGATGTTTTTTTGGGAAAAAGTTTAGATATACGCGTATATTTACACCTGAATGACTTTGTTTGAAAAGTTTAGGTTCATTTTTTGTCGCCATGGATTCTTGTGGTTCGGTTCGGTACACATTTTTTCATATTAAAGTTTTCGATTCTTGAAATGTAAACTCGAAAAAATGAATGAATTATCGGAAATTGAAAAATATATATGATAAAAATAGAAAAATTATTACAAATTTTTGATGAGCAAAAATATAATTGAGATTGGTTGACGTCAGTAGAATTTATACTTGGAATTTGTTCTCGAAATTGTTGCGAATATTTGGAGAAAACATTACACAGTAAATATATGTGGAAACTTCCAAAAGAAAAATACAGTTTTACTCTATACAATGTGAGAGTTTTGAAAAAAGGAAATCAAGGAAATTTGTGATACAAGTATTATTGGTGGCGCTATGTGAATCGCCTGACCCTCGGACATTATAGTTAGAAATGTTTGACAGTTTTCCACTGGTTGAACCTCAGATTTAGCTTCGCTAATTTTCGCGAAATATTCACCGTCACAAAATCATGATTCTCAAAGATTTACTATTGTTCAGAGTAAAAACTTTCAGTTTTTGTATCTCTGAAATGCTCAAATTCTCTGACCCACAACGAATTTCTGCTGTTTCAGATATTTTTAAAATTCTGAATTCGTGTTGAAATACGAATAATCGATCAACTCGTTCTTTCCTGTATTATGTTAAAATTACAAGGTGAAATTTTAACATAATACAGGAAAGAACGAGTTGATCGATTATTCGAATTTCAACTTGAAATTCGAAAAAATTCTTCTGACTTTATCTTCTGAGCCAGTCTTTTTCCAAGCTCACAGTTTTCACCGAAGTTTATATTAAAAATGAGTTTTCATTATTTGCAGTCTCTTTCTAAAGTATCAACCGGATCACGTTGAATTGAAACTATTCATTTCTTGTTTTTTACACTTCATTGTCATTTTTCCATCCACTCTTCCTAATAAATGAAACAACATAAACTGCAACAATATTTATCATTTACACATAATAAACAGCAAAGAAGAATGAATGGAGAGCCTGTGGTGATCAGAGAATCGAATTATTAAAAGTGGTCGATGGTAGTTGTATTTTAAGGGGGTTTTGTAACTAAAATTAGAAACAAAAATCAAAAGAATCACAGATATAAGAAGACAGCAAAGAAAAGCGACACTACTTTTAAAAGTTCGAAATCTATTGAAGTGGAATGAATTCCATGTGTGGTGGTTCGTAGATTGATCGATATGCTCCGAATTCTCCTCCATTACCTGATCGTTTTCCGAATCTAGAAAATGTAGAAATAAGATATTGATAACTATCATAAATACAAACCTCATTCGTCCTCCAAGTCCTTTTCCTTTCAATTCAGTCAAAATATCACCAAATGAATCTTCTCGTCGATTCATGAAAATCGGACGGTTGTCTTGAGCGGAAACCTTTAAAAAAAACGGGGCATCTTCAAAGTATTTCGAAGTATTTTAGTGTTACCTGTGATGATGAGAATATAATTGCAAAAATGACAGCGAACAAAACAGCGAAGATTGTGTTCATTTTGTCGAGTTTGTTTGGCCAAGAAATGAAACCGAAATGAATACGGCTGAATAAAAGGGTGGAGCTAGGTGGATTTTTTGGGGAGGAAGGAAGCATAAAAAGAGGCGGAGTTTTTTGAAAGAAAAATAGAGAGAAAACATAGAAGAAGAATGTGATGTCAATTTAAATAGAATTTCGATTGGAATCAGAGTTTTAGAAAAAAAGACGAATTATAACTCAAAACTGTGAATTGGTAACAAGAAGTCAAGGTTTTTTCTAAAAATTGAACATCTTACGTCATTTCAGGCTTTAGATATCTTTGAAGAGTTTGTCTATTCTTTCGGAGTTATTTCTAGTTTCCCACAATTTGGAATGATAATTATCACGAAACTGGAAAGTTTAAAAATCGTTGGGATTCTCGTCGAAATAAACTGGATCAGTTTAACGAGGAGCCAAAAACAACACGAAAAAGCTATTTGGTAGTAATGCGAATTGTTAGATTTTTAATTGAATATTGTGACCATTGTTTGTTGGTTGGTTTTCTGGATTCTTCTCCGTCTTTTTTGTTTTGTTTTGTATCCAATATGATAGAAAGAAGAAAGAACTTTGGCTCAAAATGTGGTTGTTTTGGGAGATCATTTAGGAAAGTTTTGTATTTTTAGAACGACTGTAGTTGTTTTCTGATTATCAATAACTCTTGTAGGAAGTTTACAGTAACTTATAAGTACAGTTGAAGTTGAACTAGAAAGGATATTAGAGGAAAAAATAAAAATAGAAAATTTTCACAATAGAAGCCTTTATAGGAATAGGCTGAAATGGGCAGCAAAAAAATACCCAAAAAAACATTGAGGGTACGGAATGGATCTAGGAGAAAATCTACGTAAACTCGGAGGTCGATGAATCTGGCTTCGAAAATCTCGCAGAAAAAGGCAGACAAAAAGTTCAAAAATTAGGTATTGTTTCTGAATCTATTTATATCTAGTTGAAATTAAATACGGGCGGATCTTACATAGTTGTTTATTTTTTGTTACCATTATTTTTGCTCTTTTTTTGTTGAAAATATGAAACAATTTTTGATGTTTCCGATTGAAATTACTCGAGTAGAAAAAAAGAGAAATGTATTTGTGTGGGAGTGGAAAAAGGAAGTGAAGAAACAAATAAATATGTACATAGAATACTGTTTCAGAAAAATTGTTCAATTGAAATTGATATGGATGAAATGGAAATGCAAATGAATCGAAGAACATGGGTTGCAATGCTTGAAATGGCTGGAATATTGGGAGATGATGAAAATGGTTTGAAATTTAATGACAACCTTTTTTGGGGTTTTTGAATAGAAAAATCGATAGTCTTTATTTGAAAATGTAATTTTTTTTTTAGAAATTCCACCGAAAACTCAAAACGATGGAAGGATTTCAACAAAACCGCCTCCTTTTCGAGTTGCTTGTATTATGAGAACAAAAAGTTGGAAAATTGGAATGCCATTTCCGAAAAATCGAACGAAATTGGGAACGATTTATATGAACAATGCTGAACTTGAGTCAATTGTGAGTTTTTTTTTTAGAATTTCTGAGAAATTTGGAAAAAATCCTTAATTTTTCACGACAAATACCAAATTTTACCCCTTTTTTGAGTTAAGGGTGCCATTGGCTATGGCGAGATATATTTTATTTAGATAAGTAGATTTTTTTTCGGAAAAAATTCCAGGTTTCCGGATGAATTATGAATTAACAGGTCGAAATGTTTTGACGCAATAATCAGCTACAAAAATAGCAATAGACGACAAAAGTTAATAAAAGCTCAGAATGTGTGTTAGTCGCGAGCATCATTTTGTACTCTAAATATACTTGAAGATCATAAGTAGATTTTGATGAAAATAACACAGTTTTATAGAATTAGGGAAAAGATTTCACAGAAAAAAATCTGATCAAATTATCAAAAATAATCCTGAATCTTTGGAAAAAGAAGCGTGTTTGTGTTTTTGAAAGAAAATTCACTCAAGATTCAATTATTTTTGGTAACTAAACTCTTTTTTTCAAAATGGGGCTGAAATTTTCTGGAAACAAATTTATCTGTTTTTCAAAAAAAAAGTATTCTGATTTTTGGTTAAATATGAATGAGAAATTTGAAGTTTATTGAAAATTGAAATTGAAGTTGATAATTTTAGCCCAAAAATAATTAAATATTTGAATTTTCAGATTGTTCTAAATGATTCATCGAATACATTATCGGTGTCTTTTTCAATGGATAATATTCGAATCGAAGATTCAACACCTTCTTATTCTGGTAATTCACATTTTCCAATATCAAAATCCTTTTCCAATTTACAGAAATGTATCAAGAACGATTAATTATAATCGATGAACATCACGAGAATTCGAATACACATTTTGGTGAGTTAAAATAAGTACGATAACGTGGGGGTAGAACGAGAAAAAAACGGAAATTGGTTTTTTATATATTTCATCGAACATTGAAATTCTAGAAAAATAATAAGAATAAAAAGGAAGAGAATATATTGCGTGTTGAACGGAAGCATTCCATTTTTGCCGTTTTTTCTGAATTATTGAATAAAAATGGGTTTAATTGAGAAAGGAAGCGAAACTGTAAATAAATACACAAATAAATAATATTTCAGGAAATGGTCCGATTGTCAAAAAAAGATTGGATGATTCGAAACGAATTCAAATAAATGTGATCAAATATTTGGGAGAAGATCCGAATCGAGAATTTGACACAAAAATACAATTTGAAGTCCCGACAAATCAGCGATTTTATTATGTACATACACATCGATTTTTCTGTGGTCTTTTGGATTTTTGGATGCAGTTCAATGAATTGATGAATTTGGTAACAAAAAGTAAAAAATTGAAAAATGAAGAAACAGCAAGAGCAAAAGTTGCACTGGATGTTGATATTAAATGTTCGAATTCAATTTTGATGCCAATGAATCAAACATCGAATGAATTATTGATTTGGCAAGCTGATTCGATGAAAATGAGCAATACGTTTGAAAAATTATCGAAATTGAAGACTGAAATATTTGAGAAATTTTCGATTGAAAGTGATTATGGATTTGGTAAGTTTCAACTTGAATTCAGTTCAACTGGGGGCGATTTTTTTATTTTCTCTTAATAATTAATAAAAATATCACAATTCTTTCAGATTCTGGAATTGATTGTCTTTTGGATTATACCGATATGGTTTTGGAAAATGTTCGAGCACACGAAGCTCGTTTAATTGATCGACTTCATAAACCAAAACACGGTAACTGTATTGGAGAAAAGGCATTCAATTATTCATCATTTATTCTAACAAGTGAAAATGTCTTCTCAAGAAGATTCGATTTGAAAAATAAGTTTTTGAGAAATCTTGACTCTTTTCAATCACATAATGGTTAGTTTTTTTTAGTTTCCAGAAAAAATTTTCAAACATATAATTCAGCACCCGATATTTCGATAATTACGAGAATTAGTGGATTAAAATGGAGAATGACGACTAATTTTTATATTTTGATGAGAGGAATTTTGGAGAAGAATTTGGGTGAACCAATAATTCCGAATGTTGATACAATTCCAATTGAAATATTACAAAGTCCAACTGATGTGAAAGTAAGTTATTTCAAAAACAAAAAAAAAACAAAATTAACTTTTTGGAAATTTAGGAAGTTCAACAAATCCAAAACAAATATGCAACTTTATCATTCCGAATGATATTTGAAGATGTTGATTTGAATTGTGAAGTTCCAAAAATTCTCGACCAAAATCGTAGAATAATTCCTGGATTTAATGAATGGCAATCATTTGCAAATATAAAATTAGCAAGTTCTCGAATCTCATTTGATTCTTTTATTGATGGACAATCGGAATTGGATTTGATATGTGACAAAGTTGAATTAATTGATACACGACCAACTGGAATACATCCAAATTGTTTTCCAATTATTTTACAACATCGAGATGTCGGAAAAAATATGTGAGTAAACAATTTTGAAAAAATTCGAAACAGAAATTTATTTTTATTAGATCACCTAATAATGCTCTGATGTCAGAAGCTCATTTGATGATGAAAAAAGACGAGCCGCCTGTTTTGACACTTGTTTTATGTAATGCAAGAGTTATTATGGCATATGATTGGATGGATGATCTAAAACAATTTATACTACTTTATACTGATTTTGTGCCAAAGTGTAAGAATAATTCATTTTAATTTCTCAAATGTTTCATATTTTCAGATAGCGATGAAATACCTGCAATGAATACTGTTCAAAAATTCCAAAAAATCAATGATGGAGCAATTTTGGATCGAAAACCGTATCAACAAAATGTTTCACAACACACGTTTTCGGTGAAAATCACATTGAGAGATTCGGATTTGTATATTTTGGAGAATTGTCATATGAAAAATAGTTTTGCATTAATTGCATCAACAACTGCTGTTTTGAATATGAATGATCAATTTGGACATATTATGGCCAATCTTGAAATTCAGGTGAGAAAAAAGCAAATCAAAGTATCAGAAAAGTTGAAATATCTAAGAAAAAGCATTTATTGTAAATTATGAAAAATGAACTAAAAGTCTGTTACTGTAGATTTTATCAAATTTTTCTCCTCAAATTCTAAATAATCCTATTACTTCTTGGACATTTTTTCTTGAAAATTAGCTCGAAAATCAAAAGAGTCATTAGGGTTGGCTCCTATTTATAATTTGACTATTATTTTCCCCAGGTTTACGTGAAATTTCGAAAGTTTATCCACAAATGCACTTTAAATATTTGTTCGAAAAACAACCTTATTTTGTATTTTCTTTGCAGAGTATCAAATTTGCTTGGTGCTCAATGCAACATGAAAAACAAACCAAAAACTTGTGTTCAAATGAATTTTCGGTAACAATTGGATTGGCTGTTGAAACAACAAATAATCATAATCAAAATGGTTCAAATGGAATGTTGTTGACACCGCCAGCACGACATACTTTGGAGGTTTGTTCTCTTATTTGTATTCAAAACCATAAGTACATATTTCTTTGTTTTCTTTTTTTTCTGGAAAAAATAAGTTTTTTTTTTGAAAAAAGGGAACATTTACAGATGCACACAGTGAAATATTTTATAGAGGTTTGAAATTATTATTTGTGATTTATATGTTTGTCTCTTTTCATTTTTTACAAAAGCTTTGGGGATTTAACCATTGTCAAAATGCCATTTAATAAATACACAAAAATAAATATTTATCATAACTAAACACTATTTTTCAGATCGATGTTGTTAAAATGATTTGTCGATTGTCTTACAAAGATGCGAGAGCTTTGAAAGCAATTATAACTGGATATTTGAAATATTTGGCTGAAATTCGAAAATCAATGATTCCTGAAATTGTTCCACCACCACCTCCAAAACGTGAGTTTTTTTTTGTTATTCAAGATTTTTAAAGACATTTTTTAGCAATTGTGATTGGTAAATTTATTGCGAGAACTGAACACGCTGATTTGTGGATTCTTGATGATTTACAATCAAATTCAATTCCATTGTTGCGTTTTTCTGTTTCAAGTAAGTTCCTCGATTTTATTTTTCTCAAAATTTCAAATTTTTTATCAGATGTAAATGTTGAAAAAAGTGGAGATCGAATAAAATCGTCATTTCAAGTATCATTAGATTATTTCAATCAACGAATATTTGGATGGGAACCAGTTATTGAACAATGGAGAATTCTTCGATTTGTTTCAAATATCAAAGATAATCATAAACAAACTGTTGAACTTGTTGCTGAAACAAAAAGTACATTAAATATAAATATAACTGAACAACTCATTCAACAATCAGTTCAATGGAATGCTAAATTACCGGCTATTTTAGCATCATTTGAAAGAGATGATTTTCGAAATCAATGTACACGAACAAGTTCCGATCATTTACCATATGTTATGAAAAATGCGACTGGATGTGAAATCTCATTTACAACAGCGGTTGAAGATGTTTTATCAGCGAGAAATGAGCAAAGAAAATCAAGTATTAGATGGATGACTGTTGGAAAAAATCAAGAGAAGAATTTTGAATTTCCAGCCAGATTGTTGTTGTATTCGGTAAGTTTTTAGAAATAAACAATGGGAAATTTTTGAACTGAATCTTTTTCGGAAATATTCCCAATGAGATATTTCGAATTTTTCAGCATTTGGAACGTGAACCGCCTCGTCAATTAATTGTTCGTGTATCTGGATGGGATGAGATTTCTCCAGTAAATGTTGATTCTTGTGGAACATATTTTCGAGTTGTCAAAGCAATCAAACCAGATTTGAAAAATGCGAGGCTTTTAATAAGTGTTACAATGGAAAAAGATGGAAAAAAGGTTGTGACATTGAAATCATCGATTGATGTAACCAATCATTTACCACATCCGATTGCTGTTCAAACTGAGGGAGCTAGTAAGTTGCTTTTTTGATTTAAAAAAAAACTTGAAATATTTTTTTTTCAGAAGGAGAATTGATGTCTGTTGAACCGGATGGAAGTGTTTCTGTACCTTTAGAATTTGCTCATTGTACTGTCACTGCATATCCAGTTGGACCAGTTCAAGTGATTGAACATGTTAGTTTTTTCTTTTTGTTTTCACATTTTTCTTCAAAAGCAATATTTTTCCAGGCTGAACTTCTTTGGAAAAATGTAAAAATTTCGGGAGAAGTTTGTAATCAAACTCAAAGATTGAAAACAAGATCAGATCTGAATGTGACGAAATATTATTGGGTTTGTACAGCGATTCGGAGAGAATATTATCCAGAACATGAATTTGAATCACTTCCTGGACATTCAATTCATCTTGTCGCACCATTATCTTTGCAAAATTTGCTTCCGATTGATGTTGAAATTACGATTCAGAATAATGTTTTTGCGATTGCTGCTGGAAAATCGATGTTGGTCACTTCTGTAAGTTTATATTACTATTCCAAATAAATATATATTTATTGATATTTTCTAGGTTGATATTACAAAAGAATTATCGATAAATGTGACTACTGATCGATTAACTTCACAATATCCTTTACAAATTGTCAAATCAGATATTGGAGAAGGACAATTATTATCAACAAAAATGACTGATTCACGAGGACATCTTCTTGATATGTATTGTCATGTTCGAATTGGAAAAGCACAAGCAATTTCATTATCATTATGGGTTCCATATTGGATTGTGAATAAATCTGGATTGCCATTAATTATACAACAAGATGCATCAAAAGATGAAGCTGCTGGACAAATGGAAGAACATGAAAAAGCAAAAGATCGACATCCATTGATGTTTTCGTTTGCCGATGAAAATTGTCCGAAATCTTGTCGTGTTCGAGTTGGAAATGATTTTATTCGACAAAAAGGATATGTTCCATCTTTGAGTGAAAAGTTCACATTAACACCTGGAGTTCAAGCATTAAAATTGAAAGTTGAACACAAAACATTGCCAACAATTTATTATAATTTGGGAGTTGAAGTTCGAGCTGGAACTGGAAGATATAAAGATACACAAGTTGTTCTGTTAACATCTCGATTTTTACTTCAAAATCAATCATCTGTTGCATTATCTGTATGTCATCACGATCTTGTTGATGTAAGTTTGAAAATGAGAGAAGAGCCCCGATTAAATGTGAAAGGTCAAAACTTTTTTAATTCAAAACTACAATTATTTTGTGACCTTAACAAAATTTCAATGAAAAGCATACAATTGAAATTTTGCAGAGTCCAAAAGATCATGTTCATTTGGCTGCTCAATCATCAACAACTTGGAATGAGAATTATGCGGGAAGGCGAATGTTATGTGTTCGTCGAGCTGATGTAAAACATTGGAGTTGTCCATTTCTCATTGATCGAATTGGTAGTTTTCATGTGACAAATCGAGATTCGGATGAAACTCCAAGATTCATTCGAGTTGAAATTATTCTAACATCTGCAGTTTTTCAAATAACATTCACAAATGCTGATTTCTATCCACCTCCGATTAGAATTGAGAATTTGACTGATGTAAGTCCAATAATTTTTCAATATTTATTTCATAATATTTTCATAGGTTCCTGTATTATATCAACAAGAAAGTAATACACCGGCTCGTCGACATCTTCGAACTATTTGCAAATCAAAAAGTGTTGTAGATTATGCTTGGGATGATTTATATGGAACTAAGAAAATGGTATTACAAGTATTTGAGAATCGAAGTAAATCATATGAAATTAGTCTTCCTGGACCTGCCGATCCACTTGTTTATGAAAATAACTCATTTATACAATTGGCTCATTCTTTCAATATGCGAAAACGTGATAATTTGGGAAACACGGATGAACAAGAACTTGTGCTAGAAACAATGCAAAAAGGAAAAGTTATGTTGAATAAACAAAATCGAACGGATGGAAAGTTAGTTGTTTTAATTTTAATGTATTTATGAATCAAGATTATTCGAAAAAAAATTCTCCAAATCCTAGTTCAGGGAGAATTTGGAACTTTTGATTTCTCTTTGAAAGTTTTCAGTTTTGATTTTGACCCCATTGAAACTTTTTCTGAGAAATATAATAGTTTTCAATTTAAGCACTGGAAATCAACTATGGAAATTGTGTAAAGATGGTTGCATCGAAAATATCGGAATGAATCTGAGAAACGTTGGCGACAATCGATTGGTTTTGGATGTTCTCGATAAAAATGGTGGAAGACTGATGATGATGCCAAAAGATCAGCGAAGAACTCGATGGCAAAGATGGACAATGATGCCAGATGGAAGATTGTGTTTACAAGAAGCACCACATTTAATGATGACATCAAAATTGACGGAAGTTTGTTTGGCAGAATCGGATAAGACGGCGCCGCGTGGAGAAGATGGAATTGCAATCACACAAATATGGAAAATACAAAGACAACGACCTGGAAGTGGAACACTTGGTGTAGAATTTTTACATAGTGGACCAACGGTTGTTATTCGAATAACTGATCGAGAAGGACAAATTAGAGCTGTTTCTGAACCAATGATTACAGCTATCAAAAAATTGGGTGTGTTTATTTCCTATTTTTAAAAACATTTCATATTCTTTTTTATAGAAATTCTTGATGTAAGTATAACAATGCGTGGCGGAATCGGAATATCTATAATTAATGGTCTTCATGAGGAATTAATTTATGCAAGATTCTCTGGAATATTTGTTAGTGCTCGAAGAATTGATCAAACTTATGAAATGACTGGAAGTGTTGATGTAATTCAAATTGATAATCAATTATTATCATCGGATAAATGGCAAGTTCTTTATTGTCAACCAGATACAATGAATGGATATGATGAACAAATGGAAGAAGTTCCAACTGGTGTATCAGTTAATGGAAGACAAGCTTTGAAATTGGAAATGAATTGTACACCAATGAAACATTATGATTCTTTTGATGTAAGTATTTTTTCAATTATAGACTTTCCATAAGTTTAACATGCCAATTAATTTTCAGTGTTTCCGATTGAAAATCTGTGATATGTGTGTTCAATTGGATGAATTATTATGTTGGAAAATAGTACAAATGGCACAATCATCGGATGCTTCTTCTGCTGTTCAACAAACTGCTCTAAATCTTCCACCAAATACTGAACTTGAACGACATGATCCTTTGAGAACTCGAAGATGGTATTTTGGAACACTTGATTTGGAAATTGGACATGTTTCCTTGAGTGGTAATTTTTTATAATTAATTTGAGATACTTGGTGAACTTCTGATGTTAATCAAAGAGTTCTTTCCAAAATCTGGGATTACTTTTTTCCTAACTTTTATTCTCCAAAATTCAAAATTTGGGTAAAATATCCTAATTTAGGGAACATTTCTTTTGAGAAAATTCAATCTCAACAAAAATCATCAATTTTAGGCTGTCCGCGTCTTTCTGAGTTTTTTTTTTGAATTTCCTCATTCTCTATCTATAACATTATTTATTTTCAGTTGTTACTGTGCCAAAATCTGGTTTACCACAAGATCTTCGTCGTTTGAAACATCAATTCAATGTGAAACTGATCTCATTTGAAAATGCAAGTGTTTCTCTTCCTCCATTCAGACAATATCATTATTTTGAAACATCGTCATTTTTATTGGAATCATTGCAAAAGTTTTATACCGGTTAGTTACAATTTCTTTTCATTTTCTAATTTATCAACTAAACAATTTTAGCTGAATTACAAAAACAAACGTTGAGTATTATTGTAACACTTGATGCATTTGGAAATCCACTTGGTTTAGTCACTGATTTGAAAGATTCATTCCAAGGTCTTTTTATCGAAGGAGATGTTCAAAGATTTGTTGCTGGATTAGGATATGGTTTATCAAATAGTGTTTCAAAAGTAGCATCTTCAATGGCTTCCGGTGTTGGTTCACTTACTTTTGATCAAGAACATGAATTAAAAAGAAGACATAATATGATTCGATCACATAGTTCATCATCAACACCTTTAACACATTTATATTCTGGTGTAAAAGGTTTGGGTGTTGGTGTTTTGGGTGGAGCTACAGCAATGATAACAAGTGTTGCAAGTGAGAGTCGAAAAAATGGAATATTTCGAGGAATGATTCGAGGTGTTGCGACTGGAGTTGTTGATACTGTAACAAAACCAGTTCAAGGAGTTTTTGATTTTGTTGAAGGAACTGCGTCAGCGATGAAAGAATTGGCGATGCCAGCAACTGGTGTGAGAAGAATGGCAGCAACAAATCGAGTAAGAGCACCAAGATTATGTCGAAATCTTTATCATCTTCTACCATCATATAATCCAAATTTGGCATATGCACAACTCGAATTATTGAGAATAAATGGATATTCACCAAAAGAACGACTTTTGGATGTTGAAACTTGTCTAGAACATGTTGATGCGGCTAATATTGATAAAATTATCAGGCAATATGTATTGATCTCAACCAAACAATGTTATGTTTGTAGACAAGTTAGTTTTCCATAATTTATTGGTGACCAAGATTTTAGGGGGGAAAAATAATACTGTAAAGAATAATTTTGCGAAAGCTTTATTTCCAACAAAAAATGGTTCAGAAAAAAATCTGAATGTTCTCCTTTTTTATCAGTTTGTTTTTCAGATAAATGGCGAGAATTCAATTGTGATCCAAAGAATTGCTTATAAATATTTGAAAAGTGTTCAAGCGAAACCACCATTGGAAAATACGTTTTCAAGTATAGGTATTGTTTTTTGTCCTTATTAGTAAAATAATGTGCTTTACATATTTTTTTTCAGAAGTATCATTGGATATGGAAGATACTCGACTTCGACAATTACATATTTGGTGTAGTCGAATTGAAGTTGCTCGACGATTATCTGATAAAATGATGAGAGCAAAACAATTATATGATCATAATAAAAGAACATTAAATGATGTAACATGGACAAAATCACTTTTCGATTATGAAAATAATTAACATATTATAGTTGCTTATTTTACGGTTAATTTTAGTTTATTCTATTTTACGTTTGTTTGATATTCTTTGTGCTGGGAACTAGTCTTAATATGTTAATTTTCACACCGGTTTTGGGGCGCTTTATCTGTGATTAGCTGTATTTTCTTGCAAATAATGTTTCAGTTAAATAATAATTGGGTTTATAAATTTTTTGAATATTTTTCTAGGCATTGGATTTTGAAAAAAATTGGTTTGAATACCTTTTGATATATCACTCAAATTATTTTTTCTTGATGAAAATACATTTTTGAAACTGGCTGAGAAGGTAGAGCTTGCCCCAAAGTTAAAAATTGAAAGCTCACTGTCCAAACTACAGTAATCCTTAATTTTTACTGAATCTTATTTTTTTTTAGTAGAATTCTGAAAAAAATCGAATTTTTTCAGCCAATAAATTCTGAAAAAGTTTCCATATTATCACAAAAATGAAATTTACAGAATTATAAATGTTGAGTGCGTCACCTCCAAAACATAGATATGGATTCAGAGTTTTCGTAGCATCTTGTATATTTACAACAGTTACTATAGGTACGTTTTTTTTTCAATTATTTTTCAAACTCTAATGTCGGAATTTGTAGCTGCTGTTTTATGGGATGAACGAAGACAAAAAGAAAGACGACAAGAAGGTGTTAAATATCGATTGAATGCAATTCAACAACACGCAAATATGGAAGAATATGAATTACAGAAACAACGATATGAACAATATAAAGCTGCTAACTCATAATTTATCCGATTTTCTATTTTTAAATTTTTTTAGTTAGTTTAGATAAAAATAATAATCCGGGTGTATGAATATATCTGAAATTATTTATATTTTTTAAATTGTTGTCCAAGATTTGGTCGACCAACCAAGCCTATATTTTCAAGTTAAAAAGTTTTTTCGATTATAATATGGATAATTTAGAAGAGTATGAAAGTAGCTGTGAATTTGCTTGGAAATGTTTCTCGGCATCAACAATTTATTACTTTGAGGTGAGATATTCTTTTTGGAATATTTTTTGAATTTATAGTTTTTCAGAGCAGCCAGCACAAGTTTGCAAGGAAATGGACCACTGAAAACCAATTGGAAAACCGATACTGTGTATCTTTATCAATTTCCTCGACCGGCCAACAAAATTCCGAATTTGTCACCATTTTGTTTGAAAATCGAGACTTTTCTTCGCGCCAATCAAATCAAACATGAAGTTATTGGAACTTGGTTGACTTTGAGACAATCGCCAAAAGGATTGTTGCCATTTATTGAATTGAATGGACAACAAATTAGTGATTCTCAAATTATTATTTGGAAATTGCAAAAACATTTTGATTTGAAGGTCAGTTTTTATGGATTGCTTGTTTGATTGAAATATTGTCAGTACGAACTTTTTGACCTTTGCAAACGGATTGATAAAACCTAGAAAACCCAATATTATTATGTGTTCCAAATTTTTAAAGTTGCTTTAAATTCTAAAAGTTCCATCAACTTTCATCTATTTGCCAAAACAATAGTTTCTTCAAAAAATAGTCTTCAGGATGAATTAGAAGATCGAGAACGTGGAATTGCTCGAGCAATCGAAAGAATGGTTGATGTTTCTACAAATTAGTGAGTTTTTTCATTTTAAAAATTCTCATAAAATCTCCTAAAACTTCAGTGCTCTTCTCGTTGATAAATCAGTCAACAATGCGCATCTTCTTCTAAGTCGCCAAGTGAGCAATGCTCCAATTCCTGCTTTTTTGACAAATTATCTCGCCAAAGGATTCAGTCAAACTGTAGGTTCCAAATTTATGGTCTTTGATTGAAGTGTTTATTTTTTCAGATTTCCAAGCGTGTAAACGCAGTTTTGGGAAAATTAGACAAAGAAGAACTGAAAGAATTATTGAGACGAGATATTCAGGCAATTGATGATGTTTTAGGAGACAAAAAATTCTTGTTTGGTGATCGAATCACATCGGTTTGTTTTTTCTTCTTTAAATATTTTCAATTTGTTATCAAATTCAATCATTTTCCAGACAGATTGCACTGTTTTTGGCCAATTAGCAGCTGTTGCTTATTTACCGTATCGTCAAAAAATCACTGATCTTTTGGAAGATGATTATCCAAGAGTTCAAAAATATTTGGATCGTATCCGATCGCATTATTATCCTGAATGGAGAGACGATTAAATATTTTCATTGAAAAACTACGAAAATTATGTATAGAATGTTGTTTTGTTAGAATGTAAAACAAGCAAAAGGTGCTTTTTGAATATGAACAATTTATAGTTTTTTTGTTTAATTTTCAAAAATTAAATTTTTTTCACAACGTTACGGTTGTCTTTGATGGAAAGATTGACTCCAAGAAGTTACGATATGATAGCGCCAACTCGTTTCGATGTGAATTAGTTTTATCTTTTTTGATCTCACTAGAAGAATTTGGATGCGATACGTTTCAAAAAACAAATTCTCCTAATGAGCATATTTTGATTGGGTTGGTTGTCGCTCTTCAGATTTTACCAATAATTCGTCGAATAACAGAATCAACTTAAATAAATTTACCGATTAGAACAAACCTAATCGGGATTTGCCCAAAAAATCTATGAATTTTCAATTAGTCCCGAAAAAAAAACAGTTTGTTTAAAAAATCAATTTCATGATGAAACCAGTCTTGAAAAAAAGTTCATTTTCATGTTTTAAGACATTTACTGGAATTATTCTCATCTGATCCTCTAACAAGTTGTTTGTCGATTTGTTTGTAGATATCACGCAAATCTTCGACTTTCACACGTTTATTTATAATCTAAAACAAATCTACAGTATATCATCAATGTCTTTGTAAGACAAAACTTACAGTATGCCACGGTGTTTTTTCATCGCCAATTTTAACTTGAATATTATTATATTTAACGAGAAAATAGACAATTGCCAATGCCACCAATTCATTATTATATATAGTTTGATCCAGTTTGATAAAATTTGAAATATCGTGAAGAACAGCCATACCAGAATCGAGTACTGTAAAAAGAGACATTTTAAAGGTAATTTTAAAAATTAAATATTACATTGATGTTTCACAAAATCATCTGGATTCACAGATCTAATCATATCTAAATATAATGCCAAAATTCTCCAAACATCATCATGATTTTGACATCGACTACTTGCTGGAAATGCAAGATTTTGTGCAGCCAAATTATGATATAAATCAGGTTCTTGTGATTTTTCGGGTGTGAAATTGACTTGAGCCACATCTTTTTTATCATTTGCCTTCAATGTTTTATTGTGCAAATTTGTTGATTCCTAAAAAAAATAATGATCTTTTGATCGAAAACACAAAAAAGATTAATGGCCAAATAATGTCTGCGTCTCTTTTACTCTAATCTTCTGTTTGTTAGTCGACCACTCTTCAAAAATACTTATATCCAATTTTTATTTCTTTCAGCACTGAATGAATTCAGGTTGCGAAAAGGTTTTTTTTACAACAAAAAAATAATTCTAAAGTTCAAAAATCAAAATTAATTTACCTCTTGTTGTTTTCCGCAAAAAATGAATATTGAAATATTAAAAGTAACGATTGTGAAAATAGTTAAAATATAGAAGATCATGATTTTTTATTTTTGAAAAAATTAAGAATGATCTACAAAAAATGAAATATAATTTCATTACGTCACGTTTTTTACATTATTTTGTTTTCCATTCCAAATTCAGTTTTATCCAAGAAATTTTCAATAATTTTTCGCAATAAAAAAATTAAGAAAAATTAGCATTTTTCTCTAGATCTTAATTTTTCTGTTTATTTTTTTTACAATTCAGATTTTTTGTTCATAAATTTTTCTTATCAACTTAGAATTGATTGTTTTTCAAATTGTTTACCCAATTTTATTTGCCTTCGTTCGCATTTTCCAACAAAATGAATGCCTCAAAAAATAATCAGAATTTTCAGAAAATGATTCGAATCGAGAAGAAGATAACTGAGGGTGAGTTTGTAGTCTAGCAAAAAACTTGCGATAAGAAAAACACTATATTTTAAAAAGAGGGTTGTCTCATTTCTTTTTTGAGTTCTTTTTGTTGCCACGTGACTACGTTTTGAGACTACAAAAATGCTTCGAAGCTATACCTTTTTCGAATTAAAAAATAATGTAAACCGTAATAATTTTTATAATATAAACCTGTTTATATGATTTTTCTACAGCCATTTTTCCAGCCCACTTAAATTTCTTATTTACGAAAAAGAAAAAATAATTGGTCATTGAAAAATCAGGATTCTAGTTTTTATTTTCTAGTCTCTCTTTTTTTGTTCAACTCAGTTTGCTTTTTTCCAAAAAAATGTTTTTTGCTCAGAAAAAAAGTTGAAAACTTTTTGACATTTCAATTCAATTCAATTTATTCGACAACTTTTTTTCTATTTTTTTTTTGTTATAAAAGGGTTTCGCTGAAATGATTGTTATCAGTTTGAGATCCGGGAAAAATAAATATTGATAATTTTTTGGGTCGAAAGGACAAAAAATAGAGTATAGTTAATTTATTCTATAATATTTCAGAATGAGCGCGAAAATTGTTGGAATTCTCTATTTATTGCTAGTTCTCAATTTTTATTACCAATCAAATTGGTTCAACGATCATCATACTTATCAATATAGTTTTTGGTAGGTTTTTTGTAGAAAAATTTAAAGAAAATTCGGTGGGTACTGTAACTTTTGGAAAATTCTTCGAAGTTATTTTGTCATCTCAAAAACCCTTTTTTGTAATTTTTCTGAAATTTTTACAGTAAAAATTAGTTATAGTCAGAAACTCTGAAAACAGAATGAATAAATTTCAGGAAAGTCACCCCAATTGTTTTTCTCGTTTTTGTCTCATTTTTGAAAGGTGAAACAACGGGTGGATATGCTTTGATTTTTGGAGCAATTGGTGATTGGATTATTGGAATTCGCGCAGATGGAATTATTCCGGGAGCTTTTGCTTTTGGAATTGGACATTTTTTATATATGGTATTAATTTTCATAAATTCAGAACATTAATTATTTTCTTGTTTTTTTTCAGAAACTTCTCTCTCAACATTCTACACGTATTCATAATCCATTTCAATTTTTAATGCTTCTTTGGGCTGTTTTTGTTGTCAAATATTGTTATTTACCACTTTTACCAGAGCATAAGGTAAGAAAAGAAAAATTCATTTTAAGTTTTTATAAAAACTTTATAGAATAATCTTTCAGATTCCTGTTGCTGTATTTTCAATTTATTCATTAGCTTTATCGCGTGTTACTTTGGTTGCTGTTTCACAATATTTGAATCAATCAAAAACTTTGAACAAATCGGTAAAATATTTATTTTTTTCATTTAAATTAAACTGGAATTATCTATTTTCAGGCTGCGATTCACCGTGCAATTGGTTTTCTTTTATTTTATATTTCGGATTCTTTCATAATTTTGACACATGTTGGAATTTGGACATTTTACAGTAATCAATTAGTATTGTCAACTTATTATCTCGCACAATTTTTGATTTTGTTCGGAAATCTGGCAGCCAAAAATCAGGATATTAAAGTTGAATAATTTTTAATTATATTAATAAAATCATCTTATTTTTCTCATTTTTTGTTCAATTTTTGAAACGAGTGATTAAATGTCTCATGAATATATTTATTAATTATCATAATTGAAATCAATATAAGGATAATATTTTCAGATGATTCACATAATATTCTATGCGGGTGCTGTATTTTTGACATATTTGGAAACTTTGGGATTCGATAAAAATTCGAAACTTTTGATGGCAGTTCCAATCTTGATTTTGCTTGGAATCACAATCAAATCAAAAATAAATGACAATATTAGAAATCAGATGATTGCTGTGTTTTTATTTGGTGCAGCTTCAATTTATTCACAATCTAATTTTCGAACTTCTCTACCAATTCCAGCAATTTCTCTAACTATTTCCAACATAATATATTTTTTCTCATATAAAAGTTTGGTGAAACCAAATTTTTATTCGGAGAAAGTCACTATTTTTTGGACTTTTCTAACATTTTTGGGGTTTTTCGCAATTTTGCAAGATTTAATTGTGGCAATTCCATTTTTGGTTAGTTAGTTCCTAAATATAGAAAATAATATATTTTTCAGACAATTATTCTATTCGCTCTTTTCTTCTCACATCTTCTACTCATCACTTCATCTTCAACAATTCGATCTTCGGATGCGAAATTCGTCAGAATTGTTGGAAATTTTTCGGGATTTCTTTCAACATTTCTTTTTGTTTTCAATAGTTTTCACACACATTCAATGTTAATCCATCAAATATCTCGTTTCTCATTTTATTTATCAAATTTTTTAATGTTTACTGCTAACGAACGTGATTTTTAACTATATTTACATACTCAATAGAAAATGCATATTGTTACTTTCACACAACCAACGGTTAATAAATATTTTCGGTATTTCTTTATGCAGTGTCCAAAGTAAAAAATATAACAGAAAATGCGAAAATATATCGTCTAAAGTCTAACTGTCTGCGTCTCTCGAATATGCACACTAAATTGAGAAACTAAACATATTTTTTGAATTAAAAAATTGATTGATTCTGCTCAAACTCACAAGATAATAATTTTGCATCTTTCAACCACTTCAGAATAAAAAACTTCTTATGTTTTCTTTGTGTAAATTTTACTTTACATGTCAAAAAATCTCAAATTTCTAAATTTTTAGAGCTTTTCTAGAGAAAAAGTTGGACAACTGTGATTCTCAATCCGAAAATAAAAGAACCCCTGTTTGAAATGGCGCTCACATACAGTAGACTGAAACTGACGTGACACATGCACATCAAACTGGTTGGCAAATAGCCAACGTGTAAATTTCTCATTTTATTTTTCAAATAGACTCCAAAATTTCGCGAAGTCTACTGTAGTTTTGGTTTTCTAGGCCATTTTGGTTCTCCTCCAAGGTTCTTATTATTCGGATTGACAATAGTATATTGCTAAACTTTCAATTAGTAATATTTACTGAAAATTTAATTTACTTCACAGAATAAAAAACAAAAAATTCAAATATATGTTCAAAAAAAGCAATAAAAAATTAATTGTATCATTTCACCAGCGAATGTGATTTATTGCTTTCATATTTTCCAAATGTGATCGAAACTTTTGTGTTGTTCTTGGCATTGTCTGTAATTCATTTGGTTTGTTACGCTGAAACGTTAAACAATAACTTACGTATGCTGATTCACCTCCCAATTGACTGATAAAAACGAACTTCTTCGCGAGTTTTACATTAGATTGAAATATTGAAGTTTCAATTTTATGAAGAAGTGAAGAGGATTGTATCAATCGCGCAAAATCACTGATTTTTTGAATGTCAATTGACTGAGCTGAAAAATAATTTTCATAAAATTCAGTATAATTAGAACACTAACCCTTCACATTTCCATAAGCGCTCGCAAATTTTAAAAACAACATTACTTCATGGGGCTCAAATCCGGCAATGTTTCGTGAGAAATTCAGATTGTTGGAAATCTCGTCTCTCCAACCATTCGAAATGCCCGCCAACACCTGTAAAAAATATCATAAAAGAATAAAAGAATATTTGAAAAACTCACAAACGGATCCATGCATAATACTTCGCCTCCAATTACCAACTCCGCCGTGTTGACTATTGATCTGTTGAATTCATATTTTTTTGCAAAGAAAAGCATGCTGAAAGCGGCTCGTCCATTTCTAAAAATCCCACGTTGAGTCAACATATCCGTGTTTGAATAAAATGTTATATTTGCGCGATTTGCATTTGGAACATTGAATATATGCCATGAATCAATAATCTTTACTTCCGAATCGACTGGAATTGATAAGTTTTATACAGCCGAAGATCTCGAGGATTGATGTGTCGCCGGGATTTGTCCAAACAAGATTCTTTAGGAAAAAATACAGTGTCTTCATCTGTGATTTACCAAAGTCACAAATTTTTGATTAGTAAGTTCATACTTTTTCAGAAAAAAATTTTGTGGCTCAGAAAATAGGCTCAGGTCATGAATTGCACATTTGAAAATTTTTGGAAAATTTTGTCAAAACTTGTGACTTTGGTAAATCGACCCTCCTGAACAACGTGATGCATTCAGTTTTCCATAAAAATAATTTCTAACATGAGTTATGGGCTCCCAAAAACGCGATTTTCAGGAAATTCTCAACTTTTGGCTCATTTTTGGGCTCTTCAGAGAGTTGTTCAGCAAAAACTGAAAACACTATCTTTATCAGCGTGAAAAACTGACCTAAAAAACATAGGTCTCTTTGAAAATCTCCGGGGACTGGTCACACACTTCCCTCGTAAGTTATCGAAAATTGGTACGCCAATGAGAACAGCATTTTGCTAATTTTTTCATTGTTTGAGCGGGTGTGGATTAATCGTCCAACTTGTCGTGAGAACAAAGAAAAATCTCAGAAATGAATAAGGCGGCAATAATAATTAGTTTCTGAGAACGAAGAAAAATCTCAGAAATGAATAGGGCGGCAATAATAATTAGTTTCTGAGAACGAAGAAAAATCTCAGAAATGAATAGGGCGGCAATAATAATTAGTTTCTGAGAACGAAGAAAAATCACAGAAATGAAGAGGGCGGCAATAATAATTAGTACTACGCTGCAAGATATCGCGGACGAGGAAATGCGTGTGCCTTTAAGCTGAATAATTTTTCGGTTGAATAAGTTCGCTCAAGCGCACTAGCGGAGAAAATTCGAATTTGAGATATTTTGTTTGTTTTAATTTGACACATCGCGAAAAAAAAAAACGTGTTCCGAAACAAAAAAATACAATTCACAAAATGTCGCGAAACTCAGTTTTTCGATATTTTCAATGTATTTTGCGTTTGTTTCGAAAAACGTTTTTGACATTTTTTTTTTCTTCGCGAATTGTCCCATAAGCTAAAATGGGAGGTTTAGTTGAGCAGAAAAATGTAGGTGAGTGTAGGAATAAAATGTTCATACTACCTCTCTTTTGGATGATGTTTTTTCCTCAACAAGTTCCTCGTGGACTTCAACTTCCTCGCCGTTCCTGCAAAATCAACGTGGGAAGTGAGAAGAAGTACAAAAAACTTACATCGCACCGTTTTCTGATCCAACTTCTTTAGTTTTGTTTTTCGCTTTCTCGATTTGTGATGTTCTCAAATTCGCTTTTCTTTTCTTAACGCAATTCAAATATCGTCCCATCACTATTAAGAACGAATTTTAGAAAATTATTAACTTGAGAAAAGAGAAAACCAATGTCGACGCTATTGCAATTTGTTCCGGCTGTCAAACATTATAGAAGAGACGAAAAAATGTTGAAAGCCCGGGTGATCTACATCGAGTAAAACTTGCGAGTCTATGAAAGCAATTATGGAATTGAGAGAAAACTGTTAGCTAGTAGTCCAATTATGGAAAGTTTCGGAAATGCGAAAACTATTCAAAATGATAACTCATCTCGATTTGGAAAATTCATAGAAATAAAGTTTGCTGAAAATGGAAAACAAATCGCTGGAGCTGAAGTGACGACATATTTGCTCGAGAAAAGCAGGCTAGTGTTTCAATCTCCCGGAGAAAGAAATTTCCACATTTTCTACCAGATGTGTGCAACACGAAATTATTCAATTCTCAAAGATTTGAATTTGGATGATTGGAAATCGTACAATTATCTTATGCAATGTGGATGTGAAAATGGCAACATTCATGGAGTTGATGACAAAGATGATTTTGATAATCTTGTGGAATCTCTCAATCTGCTTGGATTAGATGAAAAACAAACTTCAGATGTTTTCCGACTTCTTGCTGGTGTTTTGCTTCTCGGAAATGTTCATTTCGATGGTGGCAAAGATTGTTCAGCAGTTTCTGTGAGTTTTCATTATGGGCCCATTCAGCATACTTCACCCAAGACCTCTGGAATTCCAGGTGGAAGATTTCCACAGAATAGATAGGTGTTAGAACAATTTGTAAATTTGGAGAAACACCAATTTTTTCGCAAGCTAATTTTTCCCATATTTTTTCCCAAGGTAATATTCATATTTCGCAATAAACTCTTTTTTCACAATTTCCATTCTCGAAAATCTAAAATTTGGGAAAATTATAAAAGTTTAGGAAGCATTTCTTGGGACAAACAAAATTTGGCAAAAAACTTCTGGAAAAAAGACCGTAACTTTCTCAGGCCAAATACGAAATTTTCTCCATTTCTTGAGTTAAGATCGTCATAGCGACAAATAGTTGGGATCTCTCAAAAAAATGGGTGGGAGATTGTTTCTGCAAAAAATCCAGGTTTTTGTGTGAGGTATGGCTGCTCAGTTGTTTTGAAAACACTGATAAAAAAGAAGCAAAAAATACAATTTCTCAACCTTTTTTCTAAGCCTTTATGAATAGATTTTCTTTTCCTTCTCAGTGTTTGTGCAGTAATTCTTGAAAACGAAAAATGAAGAATGCTCCGGATATATCAAAAACATAGCCCAACTGAATGTCAAATTAAACGAAACAACTAGCACCAATGAGAGTTGTCAAATGTTGAAATCACAAATTGTAAAACTTCAAAATTTTATAAACATATCAAATGGAGAAGCTGAAGAAATTTCCAAGAATTCAGAAAGACAAATGAAAGAATTATTATATGAAAAAGAGCAATTGGAATATGCGATGAAACAGTTGAAGGAGGAACATGTTGAAAAAATAGAAGGAATGAAAAAGAGTGAAGAATGTTTGGCTGAAAAAGAAAGGTTAGTTTTTCAAAACATTTATGGGGCTACTCATGTTATTTTCCTGAACTCCAGGAAACGGGAGAAAAGCGGAGAAAACCTATTCATGGAGGCTGAGAAAGTACGAAAAAGTGGAGAAAATGTATTTTCTCCTGTTTTCTGAACATGTTGAAAAAATACATAAACAGCGCTATATAGCCCCATTAAAGATGAAAATCGTATTAAATTTTAGAGCCGATTGTTGTGAAAATGAAAGTCGCTCCGCAAAAGAATCTGAAGATGAAGTACGACGTCAAGTTGTTCTTTTGGATAAAAAATGCGATGATTTGAATGCTTCAGTTGAAGAGTTGGAGAAAAAAATATAAAGCTCGAACAATTGGTGCTTGAAGAACAAAAATTTCGTTGGTGGCGAAAAATGAATGTTTGGTCATACATAAAAAATTGCAAGATTCCGAAATTCAAAATGACTCTCTTTCAAATAAGGTAGATGAACTTAATCGTCATATCGAAAATTTGCAATTGGAACAAGTTAAATTGAATTATGAGAAGGTAAGAATTTTGAAATACAAGCTTTTTTTTTTAATTTTCTCATTTTTTTAGGAAATATTTTCAAAAATATAGCTTACAATTAGAGCTTTTCGAACTAAAAACATTTTATATACCTTTTTAATAAAATCCCGATTGGTGGTATGGCGAAATATATTATTTTTAAAAAATAATATAATATAGTGCACAGGGTGTAATTTACTACCTCAAATCGCTAGACCTCAAATTTTTCATTAATTTTTGTGTATCTAGATCAAAAATATTTTTTCTTTAAATCTCTCGATTTTGCGCTGAATTTCGTCGATTTTAGTCCCACCCCTAAGATCGTGTCAGGTCTCAAAAAATGCGCGAAATTTTTCGGGTAGTAAATTACACTCTGTGTAGTGGGAGAATAAATCTAGATTTGAACAAAAAAATTTCAGTGTTTTTTTCAGAATTCCAATGAAGAAATATCTCAAAAGCTGCGCAATGAAATTCAAGACCTCAATAACCGCCGCAAAGACGATTTGGCCGAATATGAGAAAAATAGTGTGGCTCTTCAAACTCTTCTCGATTCATCGAATGATACTATATCCAGCCTCGAGATTAATATTGAGACATCCCGGAAAGATTTTGAAACAAAAATATCTGAGAGGGAAAAAGAAGAGGAAGAAAGAAGACAAAATCTAATGAGAGAAGTTCGAAATTTGAAAGAAGGATTGAATAAGTTTGAAAACCAAAGACAAATCTTTTCGACTACCATCAAGAAATTGGAGTCAACGGTCAATGAAAAAACCGAGCAACTGGAAATGTATGAAAGAGAAAGTGAAAATGCAATGATATCTCTCAGAATTTTACAAGATTCTAACGAAATGGTTCGCTTACAAAATGACCAGATGAGGGCTGAAAAAGAATCAGCATGTCGTGCACTGACCAATGATGAAAAACGTATAATAGAATTGGATAAAGAAATTGAATCATATGCTCGAGGTTTTACTGAGTTGGAATGCTCAAAAAGAACGATTGAGAAAGAAAAAGAAGAGTTAGTTGTCGCAAAAGAATCTTTGACTGGTGATATTCATAATGCAAATTCACAAATAAACATGTTGAAGAGCAAGGTGGAGAGTCTGCATAGAAAAGCTATCAAATAAGGAAGAAAACCGGAAATTGATAACTGATATGCAACTTCAAATTGATTCATATGTTGAAAATGTTCGATTTCAAAATCGAGAGATTTCATAATTGAACGAAAAGATTCGAAACGAGAAATCAATGTCTGAAATCGCAAGTATGTTTTCACTTTTTTTAAAAAGTTAAACTCGCTTCGTTCAATATGATATCTTTCAGGACAAACAATAGCTGATCTCATGAGAGAAAAAACGGAAAAGCAATCATAAGAAGAAAAAAGAAATATTGAAGCATCTTTGTCAAACAGTGGTAGCAATAAAGTGATGGTCGATTTAATTCGGATGACAAAAAAGTATGATGCTCTGGAAAAACGAGATACAGTGAGCGGAAATTTGCATGAAAAAGTACAGGAAGAAGTAAGTAACACACGTCGGCTCTATTGCTGCAATTGGTTGAAAAAATTTTGAATTAGACGAAGTACCAATAGTTGAAGCCTTGATTAGAATTCATGAAACTCTTTATTTCCATAGATTTGAATACGCTGATCACGAATTTTTTATCAGTTTTCAAAATGATTCAGTAGTTTCTTGAGTTTTTATGCATTCGGTCTCACACCCGTTGCAGCAATTTGTTTTTCATTAGTGTCTCAAATTTTAAAATAAAAATATGGTTTTACAGTTAGAAGAAATGCGACGACATCACCGAAAATTGCAAAATGATTTGGATCAAATTAAATTAGAAAAAGAAGATCTCGAAAAAACTGTAGAAGATCTAAGATTATTGTTGTAAGTAATTATTAATTTTCTCATAATTGTACATATTTTGATTTTTTTTCCACATATTATTATTATTTTTGTTCCCATGTAAATTATCCATTCAACTTTTTTTTACAATCAAACTTCTTTTGTTATTATTTTTACTTACAATTATTACATAAAACTTGATGTATATCTTCGCTATTTCATTACGCCTAATATTTATTTCTTTACACACTCGATTTCAGAAAAAACAGTTTTGCACAATTACATTGATTTCAGTTTCCCTTGAGGACTTGTTGTCTGAATTGACCAACACATTTTTCATATGCCTGAAAATTGAAATTCCATAAAAGACTTGTCAAAAAAAATTCACCTCGGTTAATGGAGCACACTTCAAAACGCGACCTTGATTGGATTGCAAACATTTAACGATTTCCTGGGAAAAAATGGATTGAAAACGTGAAATTTGTAAAAAGAAAACTTACATTTTCATTGTCTTGACAAACATTTTCTCGATGATAATCGAAAAATCTTTTTTGGACACGTTCTACAGTTTCATCAAAAACTTTCTTTCTTTCTTCCAAATCTGAACCAATTCCACCTGTTGCCGATGGCGGTAAAACAGTACCGTGATCCTGAAAATTGATAAAGAACGTCGAAAATGAAATATTTTGAATCAACTTACTTTTCTTTGTTGCAATTGAGAAAGCTTTGCCATATCTTCACGAAGTCTAGCTTTTTCATCGCGTTCTTTTTGCAATTCTCTTTTCAATCTTTCATTTTCAGCATCATTTGAAGCTGAAGACGTGTTTCCTGATGAAGTTTTTGTTGCATTTACACGTTTGACGACATCCGAAGAAACTCCGACATTTCTGAAAATAGAAAAATAACAACAACGATTTAAAACTTAAACAGTACTTGTATTCCTCCGGAATTTCACTTCTTTCAATTCTCACAACTTCTGGAGCAGCTTGATCAGCACCACTCTGTGCGGCTCCCATACCTGAAACAATAAAAGAATTGTTGAACCTTGAATAATGAAAATAAACCGTTTTTTAAAGATGAGTTTGAAAAAAATGAAGGAACAAAATAAATAGGCGCTATACACAAAAACGCCAACACACAAACAACTGACACAAATTGCAGAAGATAATGTTCTCTGAACTTTTCATAAAATAAAAATGAACTCAGTTTACCGTTTTAAAATATAATTTGAATAAAGTAAAATGTCGAAAAAAATTAGTAAATTTTGTTCACTGAAAAAATTCTTCTCGAGAAGTTAAAAAACGTGTTTCTTCTCAAGACCCTGTTTTGTGTTTGATGTTCCTTGAAACTGTTTTACGGTTCGTATGAAGACCGCATTCACCTGTCAATGTTCCTTCCGTTTCTTACTGTAGTATTGATTGAAATGGTGCATTTTTTCAAATAGAATATTTGCTTCACGAAGAATTCATAAATACTTATTTTCTCACGTTTTTGTTCTCATTTCGAAAAAAATGATGACAATTGCAAGACATTTTTCTAGAATGGCTCAACCAATTTTGCTGGCCGATTATCCGAAATTACCATTAGAAGACAATCGAGTAAACGAAATTGTTTCTGAATCGCATGACTTTGCTCACGCGAATGGTTTGGTTATGCGAACTCGCGAACAAAAAGAGAAAAGTGATGTTTGTCAATCAGCTCCATTTGCTCTGTTACCATCGCCATTCCCAAAGAATCTTTTCGAAAAGTCAGTGTCAGTTCAGAATGTGAGTGTTTTCAAATAAATTTTGAAAATCAAATATCAACAAAGAGAACAAATTATTTTAGTTGATCGCAAGTCTTTATCACGAAATTGCATACGAATACGATTTTCTCATTAATCTTCATGAAAATGTTGTGAAATCCGACGAATTCACTAGAAATATGATTGAAATTTACAAAAAAGTTCGCGAATCTGGTCTTGCTCAACCACTAACTTTGGCAATTCAACGGTCTGATTATATGTGTCATAAAGATCCATATAGTGCAGAATATGGATTGAAACAAATTGAAGTGAATAATATTGCGTCAAGTATGGGAGCACACGCAGAAAGAGTCACAAAACTTCATCGCCGAACACTTCTTACACTTGGTTATGACAAAGATTTTGTTGATCGTTGTATTCCAAAAAATGAACCAATCAAAATGATTGCTGAAGCATTATTCAAAGCATGGAAACATTTTAATAATCCTGATGCAGTTGTTCTTGTTGTCATCGAAAATGTTAATCAAAATCAAATTGATCAACGACATGTTGAATATGAATTAGAGAATTTGGGAGTTCCACCAGATCAAATTATTCGAAAAAGTTTGGAAGATTTGAAAGATCTGTAAGTTATTTTCTCGAAGTTAACATTTTTTAATCGATTGTTTTTCAGTCTAACTTTATCTGAAACTAAAGATCTTCTTTATTCGGGAAGTCAAGTTGCAATTGTATATTTCCGTGCGGGATATTCACCAGATCATTATTCATCTCAAAACGGTAAAAATTAATTGCTATTTTCTGAAATATGTTCTGGATATATTTTAGAATGGGATACTCGTCTCAAAATGGAACTTTCAACTGCAATCAAAACTCCATGGATTGGTCTTCAAATTGCTAATACAAAAAAGACTCAACAGGTTTAACATTTACAGATTTTCAAAAAACTAATTTCGAAAAATAATGTAGGTTCTTTCGGAAGATGGAGTTGTTGAGAGATTTGTTGGAAATCCAAGAGATGCAAATGCAATTCGATCAACATTTGCTGGTCTTTGGGCACTTGATAAAACTGATCCAATAACTGAGAAAATTATCAAAGGAGCAATAAAGAATACAGATAGATTTGTGCTCAAACCACAATTAGAAGGTGGAGCTGGAAATTATTATGGAAATGAAATGGCGGAAATGTTGGAAAATTTGAAAGAAGAGGAAAGAGGCGCATTTATTCTGATGGAAAAACTTCAACCAATTATTGTTGAGGTATTAATTTAGAGGAATTTTTGGACGTGACTTTTGGGGTGTATGAATTGAAGCAGGATCGGATAATTTTAGCAAAAAACGGACCACTAAAACGAAATCAGTCTATGTCTGATTTTTCGAAACATATCTAAATAGAACCAATTTTTGAAATGGTTCGATTCAAACACTGAAAACTGAAACTTTCAGAAAATTGGGCCGATTTTTTCAACAAAAAAAATCAAGTTTTGAATTTTGAAAAAATTAGAGTTTTTAGAATTATCTGATTCGTGCAAATCAACCATATAATTTATCAAAAGCTGTGAGTGAATTGGGTGTTTATGGTTATGCATTTGGATATCAAGGAAAACCAGAATTGAAAACCGCTGGACATTTATTGCGAACCAAAGGAGAAACTGTTAATGAGGTTGATATTTTAAAATACAACTTTATTCTGAATATTCAAATTTTCAGGGCGGAGTTGCTGTCGGTCACGCAGTTATCGATTCTCCATTCCTTTATGAATTCATTTAATTTTTTTAAAAACTTATAATATTCTAGTCTGTGATAAATAACAATATTCCACTTATTTATATTAGCCAGATTTTTATGTACAATAAAAATTTATTGGATAAAATGAAAATGGCAAAAAATGGTATTTGTTTCTAGTAAAGTGTCTAAAATGCGCATAAAACGTGGACAAAATATGAATGAATGAATGATGGAAAATTTCTGACCGGTCAGAAAACCGTAATCCGGAAAGAGGAAATGGAGAAAAATAGAAGGAAAAAGGAAAAAAATACATTTTTGGACATTTTTTGTTGTTTAAGTAGAAGTGGACTTCTGAATTTAACAGTTGCATCCAGATCCAGAAGAATTTGATTGTTGGTTTGGATTAAGACGAATTTGATCAGGAAATTCTGGGAAATCATTGGATTCTTGAGATTCTCTTGCAAGTGCATCGCGAGCAATTGCCAAAAATGCAGCTTCGACATTCAATGCTTCTTTGGCCGAAACCTCGTAATATGGAATATTTCCTTTGCTTTGACACCACGATTGAGCACGTTTTGATGAAACAGCGCGTTGTGATTCCAAATCAACTTTGTTTCCGAGCAAAACGAATGGAAAATGATCGGGGTCACGAGGGCTGAAACAAAAAAATATTGAGAAATGAATTCAATTTTTGGATAAAATAACCTGGCTTGAATCAAAAATTCATCTCTCCACGAATCGAGAGATTTGAAAGAAGCAGCATTTGTGACATCAAAAGCAAGAACACAACAATCAGCTCCACGATAAAAAGCAACACCCAAAGATTGGAATCGTTCTTGACCAGCTGTGTCCCAGATCTGAAAAAAATTTTTCAGTTGATCAAGTTATTATTAAGAATCCAAAAAATTACCTGCAATGTAACAGTTCTATCATCAATTTGTACATCTCTTGTCAAAAAGTCAGCACCAATAGTTGCTTTGTATTGATTGCTAAATCTTCTATTTACATATTGATTCATCAATGAAGTTTTTCCAACTCCAGAATCACCCAAAATAATAACTTTCAAGAGTGCCTTCTTCCGTGTTCCAGACATTTTCGATTTTTTTCTGGAAAAAAATTTTCGAAATCAATAAAATATGAGCGAGGGAGGCGAAAAATAAGATAAGATAAAAGCGGAAAGTTCAACCGAACGAGAATTTTCGAAGAAATTCAACAAAACAAATCAATTATTAACAAAAAAATGTAGATATTCACAGGAAAACATAATTAAGAATATTGAAAAAGAAATACAATTTTAAAAGTGGGGAGGTTTTGGAATATTTTGATGGGGTCTCCAAGTTGATTCATCACATTCCCTAAGATGTGTTTGATAATATGAAGCCAAAACAATATGATTTGGATTGTTTTGGCAGAAAACAACCCTCTGCGTTCGACGATCTTCGCTTATCTGAAAGTAAAAACTATATTTCATATAATTTATAATTTATATTTAGCATTTGTTTATATTTCATAACCATCAACATTTTTCAATTTCAAAACTATACATTGACTCACCGATAAATCTTCTGTGTTTGTAATTTGATAAGTTGATGGCTTTCGAAACGTCTTTTGTAATGGAGGATCTGAAGGAATGGTTGTCTTATTTTTTATTAAGAAAGCTAAAACTAACTTTTATTATTGTTGTTGTTTTTGTATTGATGCTGCCGAGACATTAATTGTTGACTTTTCTGAAACAAAGGTGAACCAAAGTTAAACAGATGAAGTAATATATGAAATGGGGGTGAAAAAAAGAATTCACGTGACGAACTAAAGAAACAGCTGGTAGAATAAAAACCACGAGGACAGCATGAAAGAATGAAAAAGAAGAGAAAAAGGGAATCGACAAAAAGTGTAAATAGTCATGAGAGAGACCGCGACGCATTGGCAATAGAGCAGAATTGCTGTTATGAACTACTAGAATTGGGGAACAGACATTATGAAATAGAGTGCATGAGCACTTTGAATGGATCATGAGGTCAAAGGTAGAAAGAACAATTATAAAGTAAAAATGGTGGACTAGTAAATATTTGCAGGTACAATATGTAATGCCTCAAAAATAAAGCGATTTATCAAGAAAAACGGTTTCATCTTAATTGGGACCGACCAGGGGAAACTATTAAAAATGTGAAAACAGAAAAACTTCAGAATTAAAAAAAAGAAAATAAAATTTTCCAATTGAAAAACAAAAGACGCACAAAATAATTCAATGGGTCTCACAGCGCACACAGTAGCAAAACTGAGCGCGCTATCTTTATTTTTTGGAACGAACGTTTACATTTTTCGAATCCACCTATTTTTCAAAAACTTTTCACATCCCTATTCTTCTTTTTGCTTATTTAAAAGTAGAAATTAAGGGCAAGTTTCTAGTCTCACGTCATTCTAATCGATTGGTCGAAATTTATATTTAAAAAATGTGATTTAATTTCAGATGAATTGTAAAGAATGTGAAGAAGAAACTCTCGAATCAACACAAAGTGAAACTTCATCAGAAGCCGAATGCGATATAAAATTACGGCAAAACTATCATGAGAAAACAGAAAATCGAAACTTTCTCATCAAAATATGGAAAAATGAAGAGGAATATATCAATTTTTATATTGATTTGAAAGAATTCGAAAGAGTTTCATTGGTTTTGCCAGAATATTCAAGAGACGACGAACTTGAATTTGTTCATGAACGTGGTATTAAACCAGAGAATTTTCACAAATTCCTGGAATCTGCTTTGCCGACAATCTACGGTTTGAGACCTGTTCCAATTTCAATGTCGAATATTTGTGGAGTTCTTGATATTCTCGAAGTTTTCCCTTGTGAACCTCTTCTGGTAAGAATAGAAGTTGCGAGAAATATGAAATTAGTTATGTTTACAGACAAATTGTGAGCGATTTTTAATGAAAATCGATTTGACAACATTGGAAGGGTCAGTTCTGATTAATATTTTGAGTTCGGGTTTGAAATCGAATGTTGATCATAAAATATTGAATCGTATTGTTTGTATTTGTCTTTTGAATCCTGCAAAATTATCGAATTCTTCAGTCGAATTATGTGGAAATGTTGGAGGTGTTTTTGCACAAGCATTTGTTGCGTAAGCAAAAATATTTTCAATTTTTGGAAAAATGTTTGAATTATTTTCAGAAATGCTACAAAATCATTTCGCCACGTGAAACCATTAAAAAAGAAAGATGAACGAGAAGATGATAAAATATGTCCAGCAGTTAGAAGTTTGATGATGAACAAAACAATTAGAAAGAAATCAGATTGTAATCATGAACAAGATGAAACATCGTGCGTTTATTTCAAATTTTCAAGTAACAATTAACATTTTTTAGTTTTCAATGCATTTTGTGTTTTGATGTTCGTTGTCCGAAATGTAAAGGTGAAAATGCATATTGTTTTAAGGTGAGTTTGTTATCATTCTTTTTTTTTTAATTTTGAAAAATGGACTTATTTCAGGCTATCGATAATTTTCTTTATGATATTCGCCTTCGTTTATTTCCAAAAACATATCGGCCTCATTGTGATAGAGAATCAAGAAGAGATCACTGTTCAAATCAATATATTTATAGAAATCAATTACGACCACCTCAGGAATAAGGTATTTCAATAGTTTGAAATTAAACCCGTGACACTTTTTGTAAATAATTACTGTATATTCATTTCATTATTATTTTCATAAATTTGACTAACTTTCCTTGAAGCATTTATTGAGTGAATGAAATTAGTAGCAAACATTTAATAATCAACACTCCAAACTTCGGAATTCCATTTGCATCTTATGATTTTTCTACCATATCTTTTGATCATTTCTTCCGAATTTTTGATGTATTCAATGCGGCAACGATTTTGATTCGCACCTTTGTGCGATTTCCAAGCTGCATACTTTTTTTGTCCGAATTCATCAGCTGGAATCGCTGAAAAATACGTTAAATTAATAAGGGTCAGAAAACTGAAAAGATAACTTACGATAAATATCTTCGTTAGGAATATCTCCATGAATGCATTGCTTGTAAAGACCATACAATTTGAGTCTTTCTCTCTCAGTTGGAATTGACTGAAAATTTTCAATTTTGATAAATTTTTCGATTTGTTAGTTACCTTAAGTCTTCTCATTTCTTCGGCAGCTGTTTCGAAAACGAGGCCTGTCCATTTCTGAAAAAAAAAGAAAAATTAAAATTTCAAATATTGTTTTATAACAAACCTTTTCCAATTCCGAAATAGGCATGTTTGCAGAAAGAATTATTTTGTTTTGAAACTGGCATCCTTTTATACATTTCAAATTGGCTAAAATTTAAGAATTGAATAAATAACACCAATTAAGTATGAAATTCAAACGAAAAAATTTATGTTGGACAATAATTTGAAAAAAAACCGAGTATAAAAAGATATGTGGTGGGCCAAAGAAAAACAAAGAAATTGTGTTACATAAATAAATTTTAAAATTCTCAAAAACTGGGGTTCAAAATTTACACGAAAATGCAGTACATGCAATATAATACGGATGGCAAATTATTGAAAACTAGAGATGACTATTATTTAATTTTAAGTACATTACATGGTACGGGGGCCGGAAGAGGGACAATTTAAAAATAAATAAATGAAAAACAAGGCGAAAATCAATGATGATAAAACTTTTTAATTAAAATATTCCAATATGGTATTTTTACAATTTAAAAAATGGTTGGGGTTGCAGAAAATTGTTTGAAACGGTTGGATGCATTCACAATTCTTGAAATCACAGATTCGTTTTGAGGGACAGATTGATTGAGAGTTGATTGAAGATTTGTGCGAGAATATGGCGAATTGTGTGGATGGTGTGGTGGACGGAGAAGAACACGTGTTTGATCTCCTGTTCGAACCATTGGACGATGCGAATGTTTGGTATCCGAAACTTCATAATGATTACGATCCCAACAAGCTTCGCAATAATATTGAAGGCATGATGGATCACCGCAAAAATATGGAGCATAATTGAATTTGCACAATTTGCCTTCGCATTCGTCGCAGATTTGATCTTCCATTACATATGGTTTTATTTCGACCTACAATTAATTTCACTAATTATGGAGAATATAGCAGTTGGAGGTTTGAATGTGAAAACTGCGTCAAAATTTGAAGAAACATACCCTTTTGTTAGTATCCGAATGAACAACTTGAACAAAACGTCCAGAAATTGCAGCTACAAACGATTTCGCAGTGGCAAAAGTGACACGAGCTGCTCCTTTTGGATATTTCAATTCTGGATCAATATCAATTCCGACATATGAAACCGGTCCATACAAAGATTCGAGACATCTTGCCAAATCACAAGCACGTGTTGGACGAGGAACTCCGCCAATGAAAACAGTACGACGATGATCGATTGGAGCACTGTCATCAGCAAAATAATCAATGTCCGAAAGACGCCAAGCACGAACTTGAACAGCTTTGTCATTCATTGTTGGCGATGACAATTCGAGATAATATTTATTTTCATAAATCTCGCAACTGTTGACAAGTTGTTGGACCGATTTTTCATTGTGGAAAACAAGAAAAACGTAACCAGAAACAGAACGAGCTGAAAATCCATGATTTAAAAAACTTCAATTGAAGAAGAAAAACATACAATTTCTTCTTGATGATCCATCACAATCCAAAAATTCTCCTCTTCCATGTTCTGGACGTCTTGGCCAATCAACTAATACTTTTCCGAAAGCACCAAAAGTAGTCCAAACTTCTTCTTCAATCACATCAATTGGCAATCCACCAATAAATACTTTTCTAGAATAAAGCGGTTCGGGTGAAAATGGATGATGTTTGATTGTTGCAGTCATTCGATGATTAACAATTGGCATAACTGTTGATCGATTTGTCGAATTACTTGTTGTTTGTGGATCACTAACAACAACAACTTTATGGCATGCATTTCCATCATCAATTGTTCGAAATTCAACCATCCGATTCTTCCGAGCACCATTTGATAATCCAGAATTGTTTCCATTTCTAGTCATAACCATTTTTGGAACGTCAGAAAAATTTGATGATTTTTGATAATGATGTGACATATCACCTGCTCCAAAAAGTCGCGAAGTTGGAAGTTCTTCTAAAAATATCAGATTAGTTTTCGAAACATTTTCGTCTATCGATTACCAGAAAACTGATGCATATCAAAAACATCGTTTTTGTATGGTGAAACACTCATCAAAGATGGTAATTCAGTCGGAAGAAGATCTTCGAAATTTGAAGATGAATAGAAAGCATTCGGCGATGGATAGTAATTTTGAAGACCGAAGTTCTGCTGGAAAATGTGTTCTATTTATTATAATTATCAAAGTGACTTCCCCGTAGAACCAAAATCATTTTTGAGATTTTCTAAATATTTATGAATTTACCTGTCCAACATAATGCGCAGTGGAATTGGAAAATTGCGATCTTTTTAATCCTCCGCCAATTGTAGTTATTGGTTTCTTTTGCTGATTTCCAGCAGTTCCAAACATGTCCAAAGTGGTAATATCAGTTGACAAATATTGGTGGTGGTGGTGATGACCATTGGACTTTTTTGGATGAACATTCGTTTTTGGCGACTTATGATACGCTTTCTTTGGAAGACCATAAGAATTATTCGATGGTTTTTGTTGTTGCGCCGAAGAATGCATCCTAAAAATTTTAACTGAAATTTGAGAAGAAAAATCATTGTGAATTTGGAAAACAACGGAAGAATGGATGGAGAAAAGTGGAGTGAGAACGAGACAGTCCATCACACGTATTGCCACGTCATTTGACCTTTGCGTTGTGTGACGTCATTCCACGTTTTTTCACGTGGAAAAATAAAACAAACATTTTGAATAATAATTTATTATTTTTCATTAAAAAAGTTAACAAAGCAAAATCCGAAAATAAAGATCCGTAGGTTTTAAAACGGTTCCTAATAGAATTCTCGTATTTCATTGTGAATAAAGAAAACCCCACCTAATTAGTTCACACGCAAACAAAAATCGAAATTTAGAGATTTTCACCCTATGGAGCTTGAATAACTATTCAGGTATCATTCTAATAACTTAAAAGCATCCATTGAAAGTTGAAAAACTCTTAACGAATTTACAATTGGAAAACGGTATATACACGACGAAAAGATAATGACACAATCCCTGATGAGTTTTGTAGACAAGATTTACTTTTCGCTCAATTTGTTTTTTGGGTGAAATCTAATAGAAGTAGTAAGTTTGGGATTGATTGGACTGAAGATTTGTAGAGGAAATTGCAGTAGCAATCAAGGTTTGATATAAAACAGCCTGCTGTCTTTCATAGGATGCGCGAAGAGAACGCGCGTTTTCTGTGACGGTGTCGCACTGAAAAAAAAAATTATAAATCATACTGGGATATTTTCAAAAAACTTACAATAATTGCGATTTCACTCTGCCCAGAATGCAACATTTCTCTTCTCCGTTCTAATCTTTCAAGATTTTTGACGTGTTGCTCCAGTCTTTTTTTGTGCTCCTTTTCAATCTATGGGTTTCAAAATTAAAATTGAATACTATGAGCTTACTGGCTCTCTAACTTCCACTGGTATCACCAGAATTAGAATCTCGCACACACTCCCTCTCAAAAATGAAAAGTCAAACCACCTTATTTTTCCATAATCGCAATTTGGACGCAGAAGCCAGCTTTTTGGCGTGCTTTACTCTACATGCTGAAAAGAAAATTGCTCTGGTTTTGAGGCAGTAATTTAGGGGGACTAGTTTTTCCAGAAGGTAAATTTCAGACTTGGTTCGAATAAAGCTTTACCTGGGGTTTTCCTTATTCTCCGGCGCTCCCCAAGAAAATGCGGCTGACTAGACCTCTTTTTGTGTACTCTTCTTCGTGTTGGGGAAGCCGATGAACTTTCTGATCCCATTGGGCTACCAGCACCGCTATGGGAAGATGATCCAGAGGTCGAAGGCGCAGGCGAACATCTCTCCTCTAACTCCACAATGTACACTTGCGACATTTTCAACTTCGTAGCACAAAGAAATTACTAGTTTTTCGCAGTTAACTGAAAGAAAATGATAGAATAAAAAGGGGATCCCCCCAAAAATATGCATTACGCGATATAACGCATTTCAAAATCAAAACATATAACGAGAATTAGATTATGACAATATTTTTATGTGTTTTTCATAACAACTTAAACAATACGAACGATAATACAATAGATAACAATTAGACGGCAAAGCTGCTCCTTCCGTTGATACAACGACTGAAGAATGAATTAAAATAAAATACACATTGATATTGATTCAAACTAACCACTAAGCCTCATCATGCTCAAAATGCGTGATTCCTAGGCGAAGATACATACACGTACATGTTGAAATAAGTATGAGAACAGCTCAGACGTTTATGAATTGCTCGATGGATGAAAAATCGCCGTTGAAGAGTTCTAATGATGGTTCGATATCTTCGAGTTTGATCTTTGACTGGAGTCGAGAGCTGGAGCTATCTGCACATTGTTTGCATACCTCAACTGTTGTTCCTTGAGTTCCATAATGTACACATACGCCTGCGCCAATCGTCTTTGAACTGCTACAACCAAATGGAGACATTGATCTGTCACTCATTCTGGCTACAACTGTAGCAATCTGCGAGTCTTGATCGATGACTTTTCGAAGTTGAGTGACTTCAGCGTTCGATCTGATTAAAGCGGCATGCAGGCGAGCTTTCTCTTCTTTACACAATCTCAACTCTTCCTCAAGTTCTGTGACTTTCATTTGAGCAGCTGATAATTCAGTCTTCTTCATCTCTCGATAACTTCGTGCATAGGTTGCCATTTTGGTGTTACTTGTCGCTTTGTTTGGTCTTCCTCTCTTCGATGATGTTGGTTCCTGGAAACAAAAAATTGAAATTGGTTTTTAAAAATTCTCCGCTATTGGGGGCGCGCGATGCTCATAGTACAGTTCCTACTTCTGTAAATGTTCTCACACTCAATAAGTTTTGATATAATTTTACCATTCTGTCAGCACCGTGTTCATTAATGATTAACCTCAATAGATTAAATCCTATTAAAACTGAAACATTATCTGTAATATTTTTCAAACCCATATTACACTATTTCGAAAACCTAAAGTAACGCGCGGTTGGTGACTTGGTGTAGAGCCATCCATGGTGATTGGTATACCTGAAACAGATATCATAAATAGTTTCACTTATGATATACCTCTTACCTGGAGTTTAAACCCAATAATGTTTTAGAATGTTACTTACCTTAACTAACGGTCCACTTGAGTATGGATTATAGCGATAGGATGGAGCAGGAGACTTTTGTACTTCAGATTCGGATGGTGATGGCCAACATGGTTCGACTTCGACTTTTGGTCCAACTAAAGAAGTGGGTGTCGCTGAACGCGACGACTCACCAAAGTCCAAATTATACGACATCAGTAGATCACGTTCGTAGTCTGCGCTATGGAAAATAACCGGATCCTCTTCTTTCAGGAACGGATAGGTGCCCTCGGTTTCGTCCAAAAAAGAGCGGAGTTGCTCAACTTCGGAGCTGAAAGTCTTGACATTTCGCATCATTTTTTGATATTTTAGGTGTTTGAAGCTCGAAAAAGTCGAAAAAAAAGTCAAAAAATGAGAGAAAATTGCAGCGGTCGTGCAGAAAATAGGAATTATTTCTTGAGTGACGGCGAAGTGGGCGTTTTCTCCTCAAAAAATTTCGAAATAATTTCGAAAATACTGCGCTGCGTACTCGCGTCGCGGCACACACATGCGTATCTAACATTTTTGGCTGTTTGCCAGAAGTCTTTTCTCTGCTGTCTCTTCTCAAACGCTTGTTCTCTCGCTGTCATTTTATCCATTTTATTTTTAAAAGTTTTTGTTTCTGTTTTTCTTGATGAATGTCTTTTTCTGCTCTTGTATTTTATGATGTAATTTTGTTCTAAATCATTCGTTACACGATCTGGATGAGAATTAGTTCAATAATTCTAGAGAAATTTTAAAATTAATTTTAGAAATGAGAAGTTCAAAAACTTCTCGACGAGCAGCTCCAAAGACGGCACCAACATCCGTTTGTTATTGTAATGGAAATAGAGAACTTGGAACAATTGAAATTGTCTGCTCTCAATGTTTGAAATGGTTTCATTCTCGTTGTTTGAAAGAATTGTCGGAGTTGTAAGCTTAATTGATTAGTTCTTTTCATAATAATTGTATTTAAATGTTTTAGGAATGGTATTCCTTTCATGATATGCTATACATTCACCTGCAAAGAATGCCGACCAGCATCAGAAGATTGGAAAGTGAAAAAAGCGGATCTTGTTCACATGTGTGTGACAGTTTTTGCTAATTTATCTGCTGAAAAACTAAAAGAAAATGATAAATTATCTGTTGATACCATTCCAAGTGATTACACTTATCTCAGTATAAAAGATAATGTTATTCCGTATATGGATTCAAATTGGGATATGCTCACAGCTGTCAAAAAGAAGCCAACGTGGCATCAAAATTTGGTACCGACATTGATTAAAGAAAAAAATATTTTCATTCAAAGCGGCTCGAATCCTGATCTTTTTGCTCTCGCTGAGAAAAATTTATCATTACTGGGTCCTCTTCATGAATCAGTGAAAATGATTGGAAGAAAAGTTGTTGCGGCAAGCGCAAAAGAGGAGAAGCCGCCGATTGAATTACCGCCAATCGAAGGTCCGAAAACAAGAGGAGCAAGTAAAAGAAGAAATGCTGAAAATCCACCATCGGGAAAGAAACCAAAAATGTGAGTATTTAAATATGAAATGAGAAAAAACACACGTATGAGAAATAATATTGTTTTTAGGGCATCTGATTTTTGTTCAATGGCAATATCTGGTACCCATGTTGATGTTCCTTTTTCAAAAGATAATTATCGATATTTGTTCTCGGAAAAAGATCCACATGTTGAAGCAGATGAAGCTCCTGCAACAATTTCAAAAGATGGTTCAACAATTATATCTTCACTTGGTCAAAGAATTGTTAGTATTCCTACAGTTGCCATATCTTCACATGATCGAGCTTATCAATTATTATATGAGCAGAGTAGTCCAACTACATGGACAATAACAGGACACGAAGGATATGCAATGGCAAGATGTACACATAGTGTTTCTGTTGGAACATGGTATTTCGAAGTAACATTTGATGAACAACCAAATGATTCCCATATTCGAATTGGTTGGTCACAACCATTTGCAGCTCTCCAAGCTTGTGTTGGTTATAATAAATTCAGGTATTCGTTCATATTCTTTTTTTTTTAATGTTCCAATATTAAATATATTTTCAGTTATGGTTGGAGAAGTAAACATGGAACTAAATTTCACGATGGACGAGGACAAACATATCAAAAACCAGGTTTTAAAGAAGGTGATATTCTTGGATGTTTGATACATCTTCCAAGTGATCCAAGTTTGCCTTCTGAAGTATATTTACCTCCATCGCACAAAGACGATTATCTTATAAACTTCAAAGGACATTATTTTTTCGAAGTCAATGATGTGCCCACAGAAGAAGCGAAAAAATTGAGGGTTTTAGAAGGAAGCAGAGTAAGTTAGACAATTTTTGAAACCTAAAAACTTCAATAATTTTTTACAGATCGAGTTTTTTTTGAATGGTAAATCATGCGGGACAGCTTATGAAAATATTTATGCCGGTCATTATTTCCCAGCAGTTTCATTATTTCATCGAGCAAAAGTAACTGTCAATTTCGGGCCAAAATTCAAGAATTTGCCGAAATTAGCGAATGGTATGCATTTGCGAGCTGATCAACAACATCACGAACAAACGCTGAGCGATATTTTACATATAGTTTCAAAATGATCTCATATTTTCCGGTTTTTATTTAATGTAATATAATTTAAATTTATTTTTCACAACTGATATATTTTTTGAATTATTTCAATGGTTTAAAACCAGATATTATTTATTTATAATCATTTAAATTCACATATCAATCGATTTTCAGAATGTCAGATGATCGGAGTTTACGTGATTTGCTTTTAGAATCAGCTGATGATTTGGATGCGATCGTAAAGCAAATAATTGATGCCTTATTAAACCGAGATAAAAATCCATTATTACGAGGCGGTGGTGAAACTGTGACAAATATGGTGAAAATGTTTGATTCAAAGCAAGATGATATTAGAAAGTTATTAGTTCGTGTGCCAGAATATCAAGAAAGAGAAAAACTAATATCAGAACTTCGCGATTGTGTTCAAAGTCGAGACAAAGTTATACAAAAAGTCGAAATGAGTCTGAAAGCATGTGAAGTTGCATTGACATCTTCTATATTCCAGGTGAACTTTTCTAAATATTTTGGAACCAAAATATAATATGACCCAGTTTCAGGCAAACCAGAAATTAAAATCTGTTCGAGAAGCTGAATTGCGCCCAGTCAACAGTGAAACAGTGATTAAAATGGCTCACCAAATAAGTAGAAGTTATTCAGTATCTGCTCCATTGACTTGGCAACAAGGAGATCCATCAAGACCATTCCCTCAAGAATCTGAATTTAGAAATGGATGGTTATTAAATCCTAAACCTATTCAGAATCATCCAACTCTTCAGCCGATTGTAAAACAACCAAATCAATCAGTGAGTTTCAACTTTTTCGAAAATAATTTTGAAATTTTTGAGTCTAAGGCGATGATGCAGGTTAGTTTCTCCCCCGAGTTAATTGAGGATAAAGAGGAGAAACGTGTTGCACGTGGATGCAAAACAATGTATTTTTTGAATTTTGCCTCATTTTTCCTTATTTCTCCTCGGAGGAGAAATTAATCTGCAACATCGCCTAAAATAAGTGTATTTTGGTAATATTATCGTAATTTTGTAGTTTTTAGATGCAAAATATTATAAATTCCGAGTCTAGCTTCTTTAATGAAAATAATTGATAGGCTCGAACACCTCCAGTTGGCCGTGGTCAATCTCCAATGAATAGCCAAGGACAAAATCAACAAGGAAAAGTATGGAGTCCTCGAACAGGTTATGGTCCTCCATCAACATCTCCTCTTGTTGGTCTTGGTCGAGGTGGTGCAATTACACCAAATCAAATGCAAAGACAATCATGGTCTGGTGGACCGACTGCATCTACAGCATCACCATTTACAAAAAGACCGACACAAAGTCCATTAGTTTCTCCAAGTATGAAAGTGAAAATAACCGGATTATCAGGACCATCTTCTCGTGTTGCACCACCACCAATTCGAAATATTGAACAAATGAGTTCAGATAGTTCGAGTAGTTCAAGTAGTGAAGATGAAAGTCCCAAATAATTCATTTTATTTTCAATCCATTTCGATCATATTTACGGGTATTTATAGTTTTTCAAATTGTTCATTTCGTTATAAATTATTAAATTATTCTTTATCTTGTTTTTTTGTCTAATCACCCTATTGTTTTGAAAACAATATTAATATCTATCATTTATTTCAATTCAATTTATATCTTCATTAACAATTATTAATTATTTCAGTATGAATCCCCATTATCCACCGGGTCAATTTATTAGGCAACCAATTCCAATTCAACGACTTATGATGCGTGATGGATATACAATTCCATCACAATTTCCATCTCAACAACAAGCTCAACCTCCGTGAGTTTTATTTTTTTATTTCAATTTTTTGAATCGTTCGATTTCAGATCTCGAGTTTTAAAACGTGGAGATACACCATCATTGACATCAAAAGCTTCAAAACAAGTTGGCGCTAATTTTCTTCCGTCGATTATCAACGAAGCTTATCATAATGTTCTTGAACAAGTTATAACAGCTCTTTGTTATTCAAAAGGATTTGATGATATTGAAGAAGGTGCTTTGGAAACACTTATGCTCATTTTTCATAATTGTGAGTTTTTGCAAATTATTTCGTATTTTTGCTTCGCACAGATATTTCATCACATGACATGAATATTTGTATATTTTTGTTAGTTATTTGTGCAATATCAATGCCATTGGTATCATTCTTCCGATTTTTAATCAGCGGAACATCTAAAAATGGCTACAATTTCAAAGAAATAATTTTTTTTAAAGATATAAAACGTGCTGGCGAACAATCTCGATTGGCATGTGAAGTTGCTGGAAGAACAATAGTTACACCTGGAGATGCGTGGTTTGCTTTAATTAATATGGGATCTGATGTTCAGAAATTACCAAAATATTTCGAAGAGACATTGACTAAAATGGAACTCACTATTCATACTCGTAAGTTTGTTTTTCAAAAAAAATCCATTTGCTCTTGCGATTTAATAAAAAAGTATTTTTCAGCCGAAATTCAACCGCACGATCAGAAAAATGTTTCTCTGCAACTCGGAAGTACTCAACCTCACCCGTCGTATGTTTTTGAATGGATGCCACCTTTTCCAGACACGCATACTTATATTAGAACAGAGGTATGATATTCGTTCTTCAAAATGATGTTCCTATCAAAAACCGTTTCATTTTTGCAGATTACAAATGAACCAGATTTATCATATAGCAAAGTTCGAACAGCAATGGCGCATAAAAAAAGAAATGGAGTTACATCACTTGTCAATTATATGGTTCGAACATATCCGGCTTTTTGTATTTTTCAATCATTTAGGAATATAATTCATAAACAAGTCAAGGAAATTGTGGATACTGAAGCAAATGAGAAACGACTCGAAGAAGCATTTATATCATTTAGTGATTTGTTGGATTCAAAAGATTTTGACACAGTTTCGCCAGCTTCAAATTCAAAAATTATATTTGATAAAGGATTAATAACCAAAAAAGTGAGTTTGAAAACATTTAAAAAAATACACTATATTTTTATAGGAACTTGATAGTGGTGTTGAAATAGCTTGTATGTGTTCAGATGGAACAATTATTGATTTGAATGGTCATGTTTTGGTTCTAGAGAAAGATGCAATTATTGATTTAGAAGAAAATGATAAAATTAGTTCAACGAGTTCGAGAGTTCATTGTTTGGAAGCTGGAGTTGATACAATTAAATGTGAGTTTTTTTTTTAATTTTAAAATTTTTATTTACAACAGTGAAAATTCAAATTTAATTTTTTTGAAATTCATTATCTCGGGTTTTTCAGACGAACAGAGTGTGGATGAAGAATTAGATGAATTGATTGAAATGGATTCGTGCACGATAGATTTATCAGTAACATCGCGACCGCATATTAATGAAATGAAAATTCTTCAAGATAAAATTACTTTCGAATATATTCCGGAATGGGCACATAGTGAGTTTTTTGGAGTTTATATATTACCTCTGATTATCACTATCATTATACATTTTCAGTTTTAATTCCATCTTTCGAACGTCGAGCTTATCTACAAAATCCGCTCATTCTTGAAAATAAATTCGAAGAATCAAATCAAGCAAAAGATACAATTGATGAAGATAATGTAAGTTGTTTTTGTTTCAAACTACTCAGCATTTGCGGGCGTAGCTTAAACGTAGACAGAGGGTGCATTTAGCTAATTCGTAGCTACGGTTTAGCTACGCATTTTTACAAGCTGACCGCGTTGCAAGGCGAGTACTTTCGAGTGCGCTGCGGTTGCTCATTTTGTTTTTCATTTTTGTTTTTCGCGGCCTAAAATTGCTACAAAATCACAGTTTCGTCGACTTCAACCGGTTTTGAGAAGGTAAGTTACATTAAAATATTAATTTTACCATATGTAATGTATAAACTTGCAGAGAAACCGTTTGATTCGCCCAAAAAATTGATTTTTGGACGAAAAGAAGATTTCAATAGGAAAAATGTGAAAATCTCGTCAAGAAGTGAATTTTGGAAACAAAAAGTGAGTTTTTGTTTGATTATTATGATCGGTAGAGTCTAGAAACGGAGGATTTTTGGAATTTTCGTCCAATCTTTTGTAATAACGTCACTTCTCTTGAATCTCTAGTTCTTGATAAATATTTTCACTTCGCAGTCTATTTTCAGTTCAATAATTCCGTTTTTCAGCTTGGATTCCACCACCGATCAATCAAAACAGAAGAAGCCACCTTGCCAGCCAGAAAACAATTCCCACCACCACCGAAAATTCAAATAAATTTTTCTATGTACTCAAAATTCAATTTTTATTTGTTGAAATTATATTTTTATCATTTTCACATATAAATTGTATAATAAATACATCACAAGTTCCATTCTATGTGTTAAAAATAGAAAAATTCCTAGGGCGACTGAAAAATGAAAACAAAACCCATTTCCGGCACACAAACACAAATTGCGTAGCTAAACCGTACCTATTTGTGTAGCTAAACCGATGTCAGCGGCTGACATCGGTTCGTCTACGTTTAAGCTACGTACGCAAACGCTGAGTAATTACAGTAATAATTCGAGATTTTTGCAGACACCAGATAATCCATATTTTCGTGCTCCAAGTTCTTTGGAATGAGTTCTATCAGTTAATCCGGGTTGTGTAATACGGGAAATTTTTTTAAATTGTATTTATAAAATTTTATATATTTCTGAATATTTTTTCATTGAAATTCATTTTTAAAGGTTACTTTGCGCCTTAATATATTTTATTTGAACTCATTTTTTCCAGTTTACAATCCAGATTTTGAACTTTGGGAATGCGAGAAAATGAATGAGTATGGATGTAATGTTTGCGAAGAAGAATATTCAGCAAATGATGAAACAAAATGTCCAAGAGTTTTGACTGGATGTGGACATACAATTTGCCAAGGTTGTGCCACATCGATTGCTCAAACTGGAAGACCATCTTCTATTTTTTGCCCATTTGATAGAATATCTACTGTTTTACCTGGAGGTAAGTTGTTTTTTTCTTTGAAAAAAAAATTAAATATATTGTTTAGGTGATATTCGAAATTTGAAAAAGAATTTTGCACTTTTGGAGTTATTAGAAAGAATATCAGATGGATCAATAATTGATAGAAGTCAAAATGAACCTTTTCAAATCGATAAATATGCAAAAGAAAGACAGTTGAATATTGAATGTGATGAAGATCAATGTCATGTTGCTGTTATTTATTGTACAGTTTGTGATAGCAATTTATGTGAAAGTTGTGCTGAAATAACACATTCAACAAATGTTCTTTCAAAACATAAAAGAGTTCCATTAACTGATAAACCAACACCACTTGTATATTGTAAATTACACGCTTCGTATTGTGTCGAATTTGTATGTAAAGAAGAATATTGTGATTCGGAAAATCGAATGATGTGTTTGATGTGTAGAGATTATGGAAGACACAAAGGACATCGACATATTATGATTGAAAATGAATTAGAAGAACTTAAAGAGAAATTGAGAGAATTTTTGAATGTTCTTGGAAAACAAACACGAATTGTGGATACATCTGTGAGATCTTTGGAGATTGCAATACAAGATTTATCACCCGGACAAGAAGAAGGTCAATTAGTTGAAACAAGACAAGAAGTTCGAGCACATTTTCGACAACTTCGAGCAAATCTTGATAGAGATGAAAGTGCAGCAATTGATAAATTGGAAACATATGCAAGAGAAAGAGTTGAAAGTTTAACTACAAATAGAGATCGACTTATGGCGGTTTCAACAAAAATTGGAAGTACTTGTATTGAATTACAAAAAGCACTGATTTTGGAGAAAGGAAAATTATTGGAACAGAAAGATGATTTGATTGCATTAGCAGAATCAACAAATGCAGAACCAGCAAGTATTCCAGATGATTCACAATTATGTACAAGAATTGCATTCTCAATTTCAAATGATCGAAGATTGCATATTGGAGATTTTATTGATTCACGTGTTGTTTTTTTGGGATTAGATGGATCGGGAAAAACAAGTATTGTTAGAAGATTGAAGAAAATACCAATGGAATCTGTATTAGCTCCACACCCAACAATTGGATTTAATGTCGAATTAATTCATTATAAAAATTATCGACTTAGTCTTTGGGATGTTGGCGGACTTCCCAAATTAAGACATTTATGGAAGCATTATTATTCAAATGCTCAATGTATTTTATATATAATTGATGGTGATTCATATGAAAGATATTCGGAATCATTGAGAGAATTGACGAAAACAGTTGGAGATCCGCTTGTTGGAACATGTCCTGTATTTGTTGGAATCAATAGAAAAGAGTTAGTGTTTTTTAGTTGATAAAAGGTAGCTTTCTTTTTTTTCTGGAGAAAGGTTTTCACAAAATTTGAAAAATAAATTCTGATAATCAAAATGTTGAAAAGTTGAGAATTTAACTTAAAAAATTGAGTTTTCAAAATAGTGCCTAACATTTTTTACCAAAATACTGTAGAGACGTGTTTTCATTAAAAATTTCATTTCAGTTTTCAAATTTTTCATTTTCCGGTTGATTTTACAGTTTTTTTTTCAGTGGGACTCCTCTAAATGGCCATCTTGATGCTCTTCTTTCACAAATTTCTGCTTTGCCATTTCAACTTCAAATATTTCAATGCGATGCTGCTTCTGGTTCAGGAATTGATCAATTAATTGATCAGATTACAGTTTCTATTTCTAGACTGAATGGAGAAATTCCTGTGTGACCATCTTTCTGAATTTGTTATTTTTTTTTACAAAAAATGTTAATAGATTTTTATCAATCTTGTAAATAAATCGGTTTTTTTCACGAAACGCTTTGTTTTTCTGAAATTGAGCGTTTTTTCGCTATTTGTTATTATAATAGATTTTCAGTTGATTTTTTCTTAATTTTATTTTTAGATGACTTCTTCAGAAATATTTCGTGTAATCAATCCACATGGATATTTCGATAAATTCTTCAGCAATGGAATATTTCCAGATGGTCGGCACATTCTTTCATCTCAAAAATTGGTTTTTAAACAAGGAGAATGTGGAGGAGTTGGTTCATCAATTGTTACTTTTGGAAATGTTACAATTTCATGTACAATTGAAGCATCAGTTTCATTAGAAAGTGATGCATCATTGGTTTCTGTTGAAATTGCTGAAACTCAACAATTAGATGAAAAACAATCGGAAGAATATTGTGGAATATTATTGAGTCTTTTTGAAAAAGAATATTTTGTGAAACGAGAATCGATGAAATGTCGAAATAATTCTGGCGAAAAGTTGCCATTGGATTGGGTTTTCAAAATTGTTGTCAAAGTTTTGAGTGTTGATGGCGATTTATTGGATTCTTTAGTGGTAAATCGTTTTTTTTTTCAAAAGAAATTTCCCGAAGACAGCTGAAAAAATTCATAAATTATCTTCAGAAAACTTTTTCAAAAATTTTAAAAATAGTTTCATTCAGGCTGCTGTTGGTGCTGCATTGAAAAACACAAAACTTCCAACAATTGTTTTGAATCGTGGATTGGAAGATGAATCTGCTATCGAGAAAACACAAATATTAGTGGACGAAGCTGTAAGATTTATTCTTTTTTGGTTATTGCTCAAAATATTTTTATATTCACCTTTTTTCCAGAATTATCATCTCGAAATCAACAATATTCTTATGAGTTGCACATTTGGAATTTTTTTGAATCAAGAAAACAAAGAAATTCTCATCGTGTCACCCGATGTTGAAATCTCAAATGTTTGCACAGCTACAGTAACCGTCATTATTGGAAATGATTCCAAGATTGCTTTTTGTCGTCAACGTGGATCTATTTCGGAGTTTCAGATTCTCAGAAAAATGACTGAAATTACAATTGATAGACGGAACAAATTTGTTGAAGCTTTGCAAAAATCCTAATATTTATTTTTAAATTAAAAGTTAATTTTTTTTTGTTTCCTTTTGTTATTTGAGTTTTGTTGAATAAAATTGTTGATTTTTGTTGCTTAATTTTTTCTTCGGAAAATTGGTATTTCAATCTTTCAATACTTTTCAAATAAATTGTTTTTTTTTGATAAAAAAAATAATTTTCAGTTTTCCAAGAAATGAAAGAAATAATCGGAAGTTTTCCTTACTGTGAGTGTTTTATTTGAAATTGTATTTCCTGAATTCAATATTTAGATCCGAAACAATTTGAAGACTTTGAAATTTCTTGTGGGAAAATCGAATTATGGTTGAGTACAGATGAGCTCCTACTTCAAAATGGTATCTAGCTTTCATAAAAATTTTTTAATTTCTAGATTTTTTCCAGCAATGTATGTACATTTATGTCAAAATCCACCAGTTTCACCAGATTTCGATACTTTTATGTGTTATTTATCAATGGCAGCTGGATGTAAAGTTGAACAATTATTACCAAGGGGTGAAATCGTTTCAAGACCAACACGGTATGTTTTTTCAATCGAGATCGGGGAGTTGAGATCTGTGGTTGAAGTCAACTTGAAGAAGATTACAAAGTTTCCATAAATTTTTTCTACAAAAATCCAGGTCCACTAAATTTAACCAAAATGACCATAGTTTTTGTATAAATCTAAACATCATCAAGCCCGATTTCTTTTAGAAAAGTTCAAAATTCCCCTTTCACTTTATCTTCAAAAACCAAAATCGAATTTTCAAGATTTTACTGTGTATCATCGAATCCACGAACACAAACTGAATATCATACAAAAATTCGGAGACTTCTATTAATTCAAAAACCTTCGAATTTATCCAAAGATGAAAGAAACAATTTGATGTTCGCAATTTTTCGAATTTTGGCTGATTTTGAAGAACCAAAAAAACAAAATGAAATCATTTATTATCTTCAATGTTTATTGGATGAAACTGAAGATTTCGACAATTTTGCACAAATGTTTTCACAAGTTTCAGGTATTTTTCAAAAAATAAATTATTATTATTTTGAATGAAAATGCTCTTCAGATGACATTGCGAAACTTCACAAAATTGCTTTGATATTTTTACCCGATATAAAATTGGTTCTTCGACTTATTCTCGAAACATTGATTGCTGTAACACAAAGATCTGAATTTTCAACGGAAATTCCTAATTTTGAGGTTTGCTTTTACAAAGATATATTTGGAATTAATTTTTTGGATGAATTTCAGATGAAAACTCGACCATATTGTGGAATTGTGATAAAAATGATCGATAAACTTCTTGAAACTGAAAAATGGAGTTGGAAAGAAAATTTGGAAAATTTTCTAGAAGATATAAGAAACCAATTTCGATAAAGAATCAAATAAATAGATCTCGTGTTATTTAAAAATTTATAACAGAAAATAACGATAAACAATTTGACAAATAAATAAAATAAAAAGAGAAATTGAGAGATCAAATAAAAGGAAAATTTTGGTTTATCTCCAAGAGTTGTTGCCTTGATAACCACGTTGTTGTCCTCCACGATTTTGTCCAAATCCTCTACCTGGTGGACCACCTCCTCTTTGATAATTATTCGAATAATTACCACGTCCATAATTCGGATTTTGATGATGTTGTTGCTGATATTGGTTTCTTTGTGGTCCACCGCCATCTCTTCCTGCATAATCTCTTTGTTGATAATTGTTGTCTCTTCTTTGATAATTATCACGATATCCACCTCCTCTTCCACCTCCACCATATGAACCTGTAAAAATTAATTGAAAATGTGAAAAAGAAGCCAAAATTCATTATGAAATTTTGAAGAAAAAACGGTGTTTGTGTCAAAATTTTGAAAATTTAACATTTTCCTAATGCTTCAAATAGAACTATTACGGTCCAGAATAATCTTTTGAATATATTCTAATTTTTTGTTTAGAAGACGCAAAAAGAATTCCTAAAGTCCAAAAATTCTCCGGTGATGTTAAACATAAAACATAGACACAAAATATCCCAACTCACCATAATTATTAGCATTATTATAGTTGTTGGCACCTCTCACATGATGATTAACATGTCTATGACCCGAATCAGCTAATCCAGCTCTTGGAGCATTTCTGTTGAATCCAATCATTGGTCGAAATTGTCCATCTCTTCTCTCATTCCAATCTTCTGGTCTCAATGTTTTTTCTTGTTCTTTTGCACCATCTAATCGAACAGCTGGGAAAATATAATCTTCTGGATATTCTGGATCCTCATATAATACACAAATTCCAGAATTCATCTGAAAAATAAAATGTAGATTTGTTGAACTTTTGCTTCAAAAAAACATACTGGAATATCTTGACATTCTACATGATTTACAGGTGATTGGAATGGTTTTCCAGGCATAATCGCTGTTTTATCGGCTCCGATTTTTCCACTAACACCATTCAACAACTTCGGATCCATATCAATCATTTGTTGAGTATTTTCACCTTCATAAACTTGTTTGAAATATTCGAAAGATGGATGTTTTGATCCAATGAATATTCGATTTGGTCCTCGTTGATTTCTATATTTTTCCTCTTCTGTCAATGTTGGATAAACACTTTTGACAGTTTCGAGAAGACGAACTTCGTCAACAAAAGGCAAAAGAGCAACACCTTGCCAGGCGAATTTCTTTCCGTTCAAATCTATTCGGAAATCAGCTGGATACAGATCGATAATCGGGGAATCGTCTTCAATCATCAATTTTTGCCATTCTGTTGGCAAATGTTGTCTGAAAAAAAAACAAAATAGAAAAAAAAAGAAAAACATTGAAACTCACTTGGAAGCTGCAGGGAAAACACTCATAAGTTGTTCCAATGGATTGAAAGGAAACGTCTTTCTTGAGAAATCAGGAACAAATTGACCGACTGTTTCAAAATCACTTGCAAATGGAGCATAATGATATGGAAAATACCAATCCCAGCTTGCACAACCCTGTGATTGTTTTATTTATTTTCTATATCTAATTTTTCGCAACTTACTTGATAATAATATCTCAATACCCAACAAAGTCCTTCAACATAAGCCCAAGCAACTCGATATCTAAAATCGAGATCGTCTGAGCTCACATCAAATTTAGCTCGATAATATCTGTCTTTGAATCCAGATTCGAAAAGACGAATCTCATCTGGCGGACCTTCATCTTCGTCTTCATTATGTGGATTTATGAGAGGTTGCTGAAAAATCAATTATCAAAAAAAAAAAAATCAACACTTCAAAAAACAAACCTCAGCTTTTCTTTTTCTCGAACTCTCAATTTCTGCTGGTGATTGTTCTCCTTTCACATTCAACAAATTCTTCAAATTTCTAGCTGCTTCTTCATTTGCTTGATCATTATAATTCATTGCGAAAACTCTCGCCTCTGATGCCATTTGTCTTGTTTGTTCTCCCGAAAAATGTTGTGGTGTAGACATTGGTGCAAGAAGTGATCCTTGATGTGGAACAAATGCTGGTCCACCTCTCCCTCTTCCTCTTCCACGACCATTTCCCATTCGTTGTTTCTTGGCTTTTTGATTTGCTTTGAATCTCTCTTCGTCTTGTTGTCTTCGTTTGAAAATTTCATCCTCAACTTTTCCAAGTCCTTTCATAATCATTTCAACTCTTTCAAGATCAGGAATTCCATCTTTTGTCAAATATCCTTTCATTTGATACACCATATCTTTGTATAATTTGATAAGTCGATCAATAGCTCCTTCTCGAATTTCCAATGATGGAAGATGTGGCAAAAAATCATTTCCAACGAAAAAACAAAGAAAAACCCAATCATCGATTGCTCTTTCGATACTATAATTGAATGGTAGATTTGGCATTGCCAATTCTTTTTCAAGATATTCTCGTAGAACCGGAATACGTAAGAAAATGAAATTTTTCTCACGCATTTCTGGTTTACAATAATCTTCACCAAGGTCTGCATCATTTTCCATTCTGAAAATCATTTTGTAAAAGTTTGAATTTGGAAAAATAAATGAATTACCCTCTGCATTCTTTCAATTCGTGACCGTATTGTCCGCATAATTCACAAGCTCTTGGTTGATTTGGAACAAATTCTTCTCTTATAATATTGAAGTTTGCTTCATGGGTTGCCAGTCCCAACATAATCAAATCAGCATCTGCTCCACATAAACAATGAACTGTATTTGGATCATGTGATGGATTTCCGCGTTGTTTTCGGATATAATCCATAATTTTATGTTCACCTTCTCCTGGAACATTTGCATCGGAAAGAATTATCTGTAAATCGAAATAAATAACTTTAAAAAAATGAAGAACTCTAGAAACCTCAATATTTGCCCATGCAGCATCATTTGTTACTCTATCGTGAATGTAATAACGAAGAGCATCAGCGAGTCTGAAACGTTTTTTTTTTGATTTCACATTTTCTTTCTATGTTTACCAACCTTGCCATGAAGGGTGTTCCTGGTGTAATACAATTACTGTCGAAATGTTCTTCTTTTTCTTTTTTTGGTGGTAATGCAATACCTTCAGCAGCTAGCCTTCTTCTTTGTTCCTCAATACTTGCTTCTTTTTCAGCCGCTTCTTTACTTGCTCGAAAACGACGACTTCGTTGTTGATTCATTTTGGCACGTGGAGCAACTCCATCAATTGCCATATACAACAACTACAAAATTATTCATCATCTTTGGTACGCATATTTCATTAGGATCGTTTTTCTTGAAATGAATAACTAAATCCCAAATTTGGTCACGTCAAAAATATCACGCGACACAAATATTTTTAGATAAAACTATCATGAAATCATTTTCACAAAAGTTCGAACTCACTCTTCTTGGCCGAACAATTTGAAATATTCTATCGATATATTCAAAAATCAAGGCAAACATTTCGTCTTCATTTTTTGGAGCAGGACGATCTTCTGGATGTGTACAAGGATGGATAATTCCATTCATGTCCAAGTAAAGATTATCAAATTCTTGAAAGTTTGGATTTGGCTGAGTACAATCGACTGGGGCACGTTTTCCGTTCTCAAGTCTATTACGTTCTTCGTTGGCATTTACAACGGTTGCTGGATATTTCTTTGTCAACCATCGGAAAAATGCGGGAACTCCCATGATTCTAACCTATTAAATAATTGATGTTCGTTCTCATTAAAAAACGACTTAGATATTAATTTTCAATGTGTATTTTACATTTATGTTTTATTGTGAATAAATTCATAAAAGATTTTATGTGTAAAAATCAACAACAAACAAGGTGCTTATTCCTTGAGATCGCGGAGACGTCTGATGGTCGATCTGACGGTGGCGGCGGTGACTGTTCCGTAGACGTAGGCTCCTCCAGCGACGGTCTTGTGGCACTTGGCGCAGTTCCAGATTCCGGCGGCCTTTCTCTTCATGGCTTCCTTTCCGCAGAACGAGCAGGTGTAGCGGGAGTGCTGTGTGACCTCGATTTTCTTGGCCATTTTACGGAGGGAAGCTCCATAACGGGTTCCGTACTTTCCGACGATTCCGACCTTCTTGGTTCTCTTGGCCATTTTTACTGATACCCTGAAAGCAAATCAGATAAATTATAAGCGTACGATAAAGAGCATTTCGACGAAAAAGGTATAACCGAAAAATAAGTATTGGAACTATTTTTCGAAGTTGTAATACGAATGAGACAAAATATCAACGATTCAGCTAACACATCAACAGAAAGTATACGAAGTTATGCGATGAAAACAGAATATGGGATAATTTTTAACTCAGGGCAATTGGGTGATTAATCGAGTAGGAACTTGAATTAGCTGCTAGTTGAACGATTAATCGATTGCGTGAATGTATTTAGTTCAGGCGATCAATTGCTCAGCTCACTTCTACGCGATTAATCGTCGACCTTTTCTGAGAAAATCAAAGTAAAATCATCAGTAAAAAATTAACGATTTCTAACACAATTTACTGTAGTTTCATGAAAAATACATAACTGAGACAATGAAATATGCATATTCAAAGTGGTTTTGAAGTTGTGCAAAGTATTCAAACTCAAAAAAACTATCGAAAACACGTGAAGAAACAGAGAAAAGCAGGAAAAAAAGAAAATAAAATTTCGTTTGGCCTAAAAAGTGTGCTGAGAGTACGGTAGGCGTTTATTGGCATTGGAGCGCACATGCTGCTTTTTACTCTTTCGCTTTTTTATTTTTTTTTTTCCATCGTTTTTCTTTCGGTTTTCACAAAGTTTTGGCCTATTTTTGAGAAGAAAAAGTGTTTTTCCTAATTAAATGATTTCAAATTATAGGTTTAACTCTTTTTCATAGTATATACTTTTTTTAGGATGTCAACAAAAGCTGAAGATATCCCAAAAAAGGGAAAACGAAAAAGTACAAGCACCAAAAAGCCAATTAAAAAAGACGAATTTGGTGAGAAACTTGATGTGAAGCCTGTTTTACCGAAAGTTGTCGATGAATATGATTATGATTCATCGGATGAAGAAGATTTGCGAAATACAATTGGAAATATTCCAATAAAATGGTATGACGACGAAGAGCACATTGGATATGATAAACATGGAGAGAAAATTATAAAACCAGAGAAAAAAGGAGAAATTGAAACATTTTTGGAAAAAATGGAAGATCCTGATTATTGGAGAAAAGTATTCGATCGTCAATCTGGAACTGATATCAAATTGACAGATGAACAAATTGAAAAATTGCAAAATATTGCATCTGGAAAATATCCAACAATTGGCTATAATCCTTATGAACCATTCCTTGATATTTATTCATCTCAAAAAGAAATCCATCCAATTGATAACATGTAAGATTTATTATAAACAGTGAAGATTTATTATAAACAGTGAGTAATATTTATACAGCTTATTTTCAGCCCAGCTCCAAAAGCTCGTTTTATTCCATCGAAAGATGAAATGCGTATGGTTAGTAAAATGGTTCATGCAATTCGAATGGGTTGGGCAATTGGACCAAAAGAAAAGAAAGAAGAGAAAAAAGTGTATGATTTATGGGCATCGGAAGATTCAATGGATAATTTGACAAAATCTCAATTGTCTAGAATGCGTGTTCATATGCCAGCTCCAAAAGTAACACTTCCAACTCATGCTGAATCTTATAATCCAGCAGAAGAATATTTATTCGATGATGACGAGAAAAAGAAATGGGAAGAAACCGAAAAAGAAGATCGTGTCATGAATTTCGTTCCATCCAAATTCGATTCACTCCGAAAAGTTCCACAATATGACAAATTCATCACTGAAAGATTCGAAAGATGTTTGGATTTGTATTTGGCACCAAGACAAAGAAAAATGCGTATTCATGCAGATCCAACTGATTTACTTCCTGATTTACCAAATCCAAATGATTTGCGACCATTCCCAACTAATTTAGCATTCGTAAGTTATTTCTTGTGAAAAAAATAAGTGAAGGCTAATTATTATTTTCAGTATATGCGTGGTCATAAAGGACAAGTTCGTTGTATTTCAATGGAACCAGAAAAAGGTGAATTATTAGCAAGTGGTGGACAAGATGGAACAGTTCGTATATGGATGTTAGCAACTGGAAGATGTATCAAAACATTTGATATGGGAGGAGAAGTTACTTCAGTTGCTTTTTCACCAATCGCTGAAAGAACAATGTTAGCTGTTGCTTATGAAGGAAAACATATTGCAATTTTGAATACTGGTTGTGGAGATAAATTGCATATTCAACAAACTGAACAATTTATCAGCGAAGTGAGTTGGAATATTTTAGAAAAAAATATTAGAATACCTTCACGTAGTCTAGTTGTTTGTGTAGACATTTAGAAATCATTTGAAAAAATGGATTTTATATTCATTTTTATTAAATCTATTATTTTAGGTTCCAACTGATGAACAAGAAGATGGAGCTGTTGTACATTGGAGAAAAGCCAAGGATCGTGTAACACTTACACTTCCAAATGTATGTTGTTTTTTTCTCAGTTTCAAATTATCAAGTCTTTTTTTCAGGAAGTTAGACAAGTTACATGGCATGCAAAAGGTGATTATTTGGCAACAGTTGCAGTTGATGATATCGCAAAAAGTGTTTATGTTCATCAAATGTCAAAATCAAAATCACAATGTCCATTCACAAAAAGAAAAGGACATGTTCAAGCTGTCGTTTTTCATCCAACACAAGCTCGTCTTTTCGTTGCTACCAAAATTCATGTTCGAGAATATGATTTGGCTCGATGTGTTTTGATTAAAAAATTGATCACCGGAATCAAACACATTTCAAGTATTGTTCCGGATGCATCTGGAGAAAACCTTTTCTTGGGAGGTTTGGATCGTCGTTTTGCTTGGATGGATCTTCAAATGGGAAACAAACCATGGAAGAAATTGAAACATCATACATCCGCAATTCGAAGTGTTGCATATCATAAAAAATATCCACTTTTGGCAACAGTTTCTGATGATGGAAGTGCTATGGTTTATTATGCTAGAATTTATTCCGATTTTTCAAAGGATAACGAATTATATCCAGTTAAAAGATTGAAAGCTCATGAGAAGGTAATTTATACGAGAAAAAAAACTATTGAGAAAATATTTATCTTTCAGGCTGATGATCTCAGTATGCTTCACACTGTTTGGCATCCAATTCAACCATGGTTAATCACTGCTGGAGCTGATGGTTCCATAGCACTTTTTACCTATTAGAATGTTTCTTCTCATTATTGTTGATTTTTCTGTTATATCGTTTTTGTTTCTGAAGTTTTTATTGATAATTTTGATTTCGAAGCACAACAACATAAGCGCCTGAATTCTCTTTTCTAGATAATATTCGGAAAATTCGAAAATTTTGCTTTTGAAGTTTTTTATTCACAACATAACTTTTTAAGTATTTAGTTAAAAATTAAATTAGATTAAAGCGGTCCGGCTGGTGCCCAACCATTGAATCCTTCTTCTAAATCTTGTGCCACAGCGATCAAATTACGATCAGTTAATGGGTTACCGATCACCTGAAAATGTTTCAATTATTTCCAAAAAACAACTTGTAAGACAAACCTGTACACCAAGTGGAACTCCATGTTTATCCAACCCCAAAGGACATTGAACAACTGGAACTGCTAAAACATTCCAAAGTGCTGTGTAGCAGAAATTGAAAGGCGCACAAATTGGTTCATTATGAAATTTGGCAGTAGTTGGCCAACTTGGGAATAGCAATACTCCATCGTTTCCAAGAAGTTCAGTGATTTGTCTCTTCAATCTGTCTCTTTTGTATAATAATTCTTTTTTCTGTTGTTCACTGAATGGATCATGTGAATCAAGAATTCCAGTAATAATAGCAGCCAAAGTATGTTTCGAATTTCCACATATGAATTTGACCATTTCCGAATAACAGTTCACTTCTCCTTTTGTTCCTTTCAAACACAACATCATTTTGTTGAATTCTGGATCAGTTGTATCTTGTTTCATTGAAAGTGAGAAATATTCCATGACATTTTTGGCAAGTGGCAATTCAATTCTTTGTGCCACCAAATCATATTTACGTTCCAAAAGTTTTACAGACTAAAAATAGAAAATCATGAACTTTCCAACAACAAAAATGACTCACTCTTTTCAAAGCATATCTCATATCATCACTCAATGGTTCAAGAACTGGATTCTCTGAGATTCCTTCCAGATAGAAAATTCTCAACTTTTTTCTTGCCACAGGTTCATCAAGATTCAATTTCGCAACATTTTCCTCACCACTCAAAATTCGTAAAAGAAGAGGCAAATCTTCAGCAAATCGACACATTGGTCCAATTCTCAACATTTGTTCTTTATATCCAGTTGGTTCAGGAACATGTCCACTTAAAGGAATAACACCTGGAGTTGGTTTAAGTCCAAAAATACCATTGAAAAATGAAGGCATTCGAATACTTCCACCGATATCACTTCCAAGACCAATCTGAATTATCAAAAATTTAATTCACATCAAGTTCTGAAAAAACCGAAATGCTTACCACAGATCCAGCTGCTCCTAATAATGCGCCTTCTCCTCCACTTGAACCTCCAGTCATTCTTCTCGTATCATATGGATTTTTCGATCTTCCATATACAGTATTCACTGCTTCAACCCACATACAAACTTCTGGAACATTTGTCACTGCCAATAGAATTCCTCCAGCATTTTGCATTCGAATTACAGCCTCAGCTGATCTTTCACACTTTTGATCTTTTCTCGAAAATATTCCACATGTAATTATTTCACCTTCAACTTCAAGAGCATCTTTGATTGTGAAAGGAACTCCGAAAAGTGGTTGTTGTTTTATTTTCTGCGAAATTTCAGCATCATCATTTTTTTGAATGAATTCATCGACTTTTTTCGCCTTTTCTCTAGCCGAATCGAATAATTTGAGTACAACTGCATTGATTGTTTCATTAACCTGAAATCAAAGTTTTATCGAACTATTTATTTTTATCAACAAAAAAAGTGCCAAGAACTACAATTTGCTCAAATTTATTGATAAATAATCAAATTTTCACGTTTTTAAACCACAAAAGTACAAAACTTCTCAGAAGCCACAGTTACATTTTTCCACGAAAAAGCTTGCAAGATTTTTCGGGCCGTCATAGTTCAGAATCTCTTGTTAAATGTAATTACTAACCTGTTCAATTCTATGAATATATGCTTCAATAAGTTCAGTTGATGATATTTCTCGACTCGCAATCATTTTAACAGCTTGAGTTGCAGATATCATAAGAAGTCGATCATTTGGAGGTGTCACATATTGCCTTTGTTTGAAGAATGCATTGTAAATCCAGAATATAAAATGAACCGAGCAGAAATAGAATGCCGAAATTCTCAACAAAATGTTGAGAAACGATTTTTTCACCCAGTAAGGCAACATCCTACAAGTTAGATAATTATTCAAAAAAAAAAAGAATATGAGCAAAAATGGGAAACAACGCGACGCTATTTTCTATTTTGTGACTAAATATATCGATCCAAGAAATTGGGGACAAAAATAAGAGACACAGAGAATGTAAGAGGGAATCAACCTTGAATCTTGGTATACTTTATAAAGTAAATAATAGCTGAAGAACAAACAGAACACAATGTAGCTGAAAAATAAGAAGAGGTGTGACCGAGAGAAATTATTATCAAAATCTAATAAACAAATTTCATAGCAGAATCAATGATATGAATTGGAAATCTTATATCGAAATAACAATGAAATTTGAGCTTAAATAAAAAAAGGAACAGAAACCATGAAATGTTGTCAAGGCGACACAAAAAAGAGAGAAATCTTGATAACAATTCTATTTGTGCAAACAACAAACTCACTCGAAATTTTATGGGCGGAGATTTTGATTGAAGTGTGAAATCATTGGATCTTGAAAATTTTAAAACATAAAAAAGCAAGGTATTAATTTTGATATAATCGAAATGGTGTATAAACCATTGGTTTCAAAAGCAAAAAAAACGGTTTACAGAAATTCATTTATAAGGCGTTAGAAATAGATAAAGAAAGCTCGTATTGTGAAATTGTGAAATGAAATTTGACAATGAATAAAAATATTGATCAATTGATTGAATTATGCTACAATTTTGAACATTTTTTCGAGAAGAGCCGCTTTTGTCGCATCGCTCAAATTTTTATATTCTTCGGTTAGTTTCAATGCTTTTACTTCGGCAACAGATTTGAATGTTCGAAGGCAGCTGTCCTAAAATCAAAAGGTGATGTTAGAATGACTACAGTAATCTAATGATTTGTGATTATTTGGGTAATCAAATATCAAACCTCAATAACCAAAAAAACAAACCTGCAGCTTTGCTAAATAATATTGATCAGCCCATACTAATTTCGTAATAGTTGCAATTTCTTCTGATGTTATCAAAAACTTCTCGCATTCATCGATTACATATTGAATTTCAAATTTGTCTCCAAGTTCTAATAAAAATTCAACATTTTCTCCATTGACTGATTTATGACTTGGATAAACAACATTCAATAATTCAATAAATTCTTCGAATACAACATCTTCAACTACGATTTCTTTCTTTTCTCGTTCTTTGAAATTTGAGAAAAACATTGCATAAAATACAGGCGAATATAAAGCTAAATACATTTTGCTGACATGCAATTTTCTTCCATCAATAACTAGCATAATATCAGCAACATTTGGTTGAAAAGCGAGAAAATCGAAAGTTGGCGAATTTCGAACTCCAATTACTTTTTGCACAGTTATTCTTGCTTCGACAGTTACTTTATCATTTTTTACATATCCTTTTTCATTTGATGTTATATCACTCCATTCCATGAAACTTGGAAAACCCCAATTATTTGAATTGAAATTGAATTTATTTGTGAATTGACGGCAAAAATGAACTTGTCCTTCATCAACTTTGTGAGATAAAAGACGAAATTCAACAATTGCATCACAGGACCATAAAGTGCTTTCGCTTTCTGGATTGCAATCGATATAAACTGAAAAGAATTTCACATCTGATGTTCTTTTTGTCTTTTCAGTTTTAGCAGCAAGTCTCCTGAAAATTGAAAACTAATAATTAAAAAAAACTATGAACATACCATGGTAAATTCGCGATCATATGAAAAGAAGTGCTAGTTTTTGATTTCAAAGTTGAAAGATTAGCAATATTCAATTTGATAATTCCTTCTGTTTTTTCCTCATTTCTTCTCGGTGGATTATAACTGGCCAAAAAATCATATCTACAAATATCAGCTCCACTTCCATCCGACACTTTTTCCGAGGCACTTTGTCTCGGAGGACCTGCAATTGAATCACATATGATAAATTATAGTTGTAACATAACACTTACTTGAAAACAATCGTCGTGGTGGAGAAGGCCGTCCACAAGATGTGCAACCAACATGGGAATTGAAGCATAACTGGAATATGAATTTCAGCAAAAAATGAAAACCACATGACTAACAAATACCGAACTTACATTATCATTTTCCTCAATTTTTTCAATTTGTAGATCTTCTATTCCGCCTTCCAAACTCATTCTACAAATATATTATTGTTTTTTGTACACAAAACAAAATTAGTACACAATCAAAACAACAACACACATTTGTTGTTTTGCAAAACACACAAAATTTTTATTTTCAATGGAAAATGGTGTAAACACCAACATTACACACAAATTCAGTGAAACATCGAATATTACGCGCAGTTTTCATAAATTCGCGAAACTTCACAAATTATCAAATGTAGATTTAGCGAATTAATTCGAAGTAAGAGAATAAGCAAATGGTTCGAATAAAAAGTGAAAATGGGGTGACAAAATTTATTGAAACCAGTTCTCGAGGTTTTCCAATTTATTGGAAAATGACAAGATTACTGTAGGTGATTCGGAATATATTACGAATACGTGAATGTGTCACGAAAATAAATTTGGGGCTGAAGCTTTTAAAGTTAATGTCAGTTTAAAAAATTCAGAGTCTCGAAATATAAAAATCATTCAAAGTTTTTAAATTTGGAGAATAATTTATGCTGTTGAAAATTATTCGAAATTCCACTCAATACTTGAAGTCTAAAAGTGGACAACTTTGGCACAAGTTCAAATAATGAAATACATATACACTGAGAAATTTTAAGGTAAATCTGTAACAACTTCATAATCTTTAGCGACGACAATTTGTTGTCAACTTTGACTCGTTGACGAAAAAAACATCTAAAAACAATTTCCCCAAGGATTCGTGAGTCTGAAAATGTTTTGCTTTTTGAAACTGTTCCAGTTTTTCCAAGTTTTGTTTTGTTGGTTCATTCATTCTTTCATCCACCTGTTCTTCCTTGTCACAATTATATATTCATCTATCTATTTTCTTGTTGTTTAACATGCATGGAATCTGCGAGTTTTAGTGTGTTTTTTGCTTCTTCCCCTTTTGTTTTAAAACTGGCTGGAAGTTGTTTTCTTTTGACACAATAATTCTATATATTCTTCGTTTTTTTTCAACTTACTCACATCAAAAACTCATATGTTTCCGACCCCATAATCAAGAAAAAAAACTAATATGAAAACTAGGAAAAAAAAGAGGCAGTCTCCTAAAAAATTAATGTTATGAGAAAATCCATAAAATTCTTTGTCGATAGAAATTGTAACCTAACTTATATTTCTTTGAAAATAACTCACCTATTCCATATTTTTTTGAGAACTTATTAGAAAACCCGAAAGAATTTGTGAATCTGAACGTTTCGCTTGGAAGCATTCCAAATCATTTTTGTTCGTCATCTCATAAAAACGAGCCCATTTCATTTTGTTTTCAAGTATCTTCACAAAAACACCAATTATTTGCATTTCAAATGATTTTTGTGGTTGGTTCCAAGTCTTATATCTTTCTTTTGGATTCAGTTGAAAAGGGCATCATTTCCTTTTTTTTCAGAAAAGAATATTCCATTCATGACAAATATTGTGTAGATATTTTGTAATCAAGAATTATGCACTTATTTGTCTATCTATTGAAAGCAGTTTACTGTAAATTTGTTTTCATAAGTGTAAAAATATTAGTGGAAGTCGATTATTTACATACAAATATTTTGATTTTCTAGATTGAAAAATATTATTTACTAACGAAAATTAAAACCTACAGTAACCCAATGAAAGGGTGCGGGAATTTGAAATGATGATCAAATATTTTTGACTTACTTCTATTAATCGTTTTAAAAAATCTCTGGCCTAAAGACTTCATTCGAAGAAAAAACTGCCATTTTTGGTTAACAAACATTATAAAATTTTTCAATAAAAATGTGAACTTCTTTTCTTGAGAATCCCTTTGATTTTTAGTAACCCATCTTCAATTTTTGAAAAATTAACAGATCTCTGACCTGTAGTTGAGAAAAAGCCAAACTACAAAATGTTGCCTGAATTCAAGTCTAACAATCATAAATTTCCTTCCTTCCGTTTCTCATTTCCTTCTCAAAAATAAACTCCACCCCTTGTTAGTTTGTCTTTCTCTCCATCTTTTTTCTTCTCATTTTTCCGGCTCACCACCACCAAAAAAAGAATAAAGAAACAATAAAATAATGATTACTGTAACTTTTATAACATTTCTATTATTATTGTTATTAGTTAGTTATGCGCTTTACGACTTTTTCCGAATTATTTTGTTTTGAGTCGATTGAATGGGCTTTTTTTCCAGACCCAAACATTTTTTATTAGTTATCAAATGAAAGAAAATTAAAAGAATCATTGTTTTTTTTTCTTTTTGCTCTGTTTTTTCAAAAAATGATATCAAATTTCTAATGATTTCTATATTCCAGAAATTCAACTTTTTCTGCAAAACATGTTTTTTTTGGATAAACTATACGAATTATTTGTAGTAAAAAAAGAGTTTTACTGTAGAAAAGTAATAAATACAATTTTTTAGTTGGAAAAAAAGACCAGCCCACTTTCTTCCAGTTTTCATAATATTTCAATTCCACCCACTTTTCCGGAAAGACGTCAATTTTTTTTTGATCTTTCAATCGTCAAAAACCTAATATCAAATTTCCTCTTCCATCTCAAGAACATTTTCAACTAATTATTCAAGTAGTGCATATCGAGTTGCACAATTTATTTGACCGATAAAACATTCATAAGTTTGAGAAAATCCGTCCTCGGAATATGAGAAAATAATCCGATAAAATTCATTGCTCAATCTCTAGTTTTTAAGTATCCAATTTTTCCAAGAATAAGAGTTTCAGAAATTTTGCATTTAATCATGAGAAAATCCCACTAACTATACGAATTGTTTCTGTTTCAGAATGTTTTTCCAACAAAAAACTTCGAAATATCATAAATACGTAATAAAAACTCTCATTTTTTTTCCAAATTTCATAAAAATTAGTAATGTGCAGGTGAATTAAATAATTTTTGGCCTTAAATTCATCTTGTTTTGTCGTATTCAACCTTTATTTCCTCACGACTTTTCCAGATTTCTCTAGATTCTTGGCCAAACTTCCAACCAACAAAAAACAAAAATGTCGTCAGTTCAAACAATTCTTCTTTCTTTAATCTTCGCTATTTTGGTTATTTTTGCAAGTGCACAACAACAACAACAACAAGCTCAACAACAAAATAATTTGGTTGCAGATGATGATATTCTTACTGTGAGATTTCAAAGATTCCAGTCAAAAATTAAATAAAAATTTTCAGCAAGAAGCAAGTATCGATGGTGAATATACTTTCCCATTAGTTCATCTTCGCGGTTTACGGTATGGTCAAGATTACTGTATCTTTTGAAATCCAATTTTTTTCTAAATTCTAGCTCATCATCAAATGGCAAGCCAACATTCATCCGATTCGGAAAACGTGCATCTCCATCATTCATCAGATTCGGCAGAAAATAATTAATAATGATTTGTTACATCTAGAAATCACCCATTTTTGTTTGTATGGTTGGTACAATATTCATTTTTTCTCTCTCTCTCTCCGTTTTCTAAATAATGAAAATTTTGTGAACAAAAAACATATTTATGAACCAATATTTAGATAATCTTGTGATATTGGAATAGCACATCTTCTTGTTGGATTCGTCAATTTGCGTTGAGGATTCTAGAAAAAGACAAGTTGATTTATGACAGGAAATTGCGTATTTATACATACTTCGCAATCTGATTGTTTAACTTCGGGCAATTTTTTGAGAGATTCGCATAAAATTGAGAATGGCTCATGTAATCCAATTTTCAAATGTTGATCATCGTTTGATTCTTTTCGAGGAATCATTGAATCTAAATCGGGAACAGCTGAATCATCTGAAGTGAAAGAACCTGTTCGACGATTATATCTGGAATTTGGTTCGACAGATAACAAACTTCGTTGACGAGAATCAATTGAACTATCTTCTTTCTGGAAAATTCAAACTTTAGTTGTCCATATTTTTGGTCTGAGTCGGACCATCAAAAAAGGTATCAAATTATTTTCAGTCAGTATACAATTCTGAAATGGACTGGGAAAATTGGACAAATTATCCAACGTTTTTGCAAACATTTTTCCCATGATCTCGAAATATTCGAAAAGTTATTAAAAATGAGGTGAATTAAAAAAATGAAAAATTTTATGAAAAATTTTGGATCAGGAGAAAAAATGGTCCATTCAAAAGTTCTTCAAAAATTCACCTTTGAAAACGTAAATGTCGACCTGATTTTATATCTGTTAAAAGTTCTTTCATCCCGTTTTGCCATATAAACAACAATTGAAAAAAGAGCAGCCATTTCGGTGAACAAAAAACTTATCTGAAACATTTTGATAAAATTTTTTTTTCATTTTTTTTGCAAAGAACAAACTTTCAATGACCAAAACGAAAAACCATATGACATATAAAACATTGGATCATCCATTTCAGATGCCGCATGAATTTTGTTCCCAACTTCTTTTGAAACTGCAGACATATAAACAATTATACAAGAAAAATTGGCAATTCCTAAAAAAAAGTATTTGAATTGAAACTCATATTTTTGGTGTCCACCTGAATTAATATGCAATAACGAAGAAACTAGCAATGATGCATAAGGATTTCGAAGACAATAACATAAAAATGCAACAATTGTTCCGAAAAAATCCAAAACCATTCCAATCAACATGAAAAGAAATGCTTTTCGTACAGATTCTGAATAAATATTTCACAATCAGTTTTTTTAAAATTAAAATAAAAAATCATACGTTGTATTGAAGTTGTTGTATCACTTGGTTCCTCATCGGTTAAATAATAAACTGTCGAACAATGAAAAGGTGTGATTGCTAAAAAAAAATAAATTAATAATCAAAATCTGTGACAGATTTCTGACATTCTCGAAGTTCACTTCTCTCCAAGTTACGTAATAAATTATTCTTTGATTTTAACGAACATCGGAAACACTTTCATGGAATTAGAAAAACCGGAAATTTTTTATTGAAAGTCTACATCAATTTTCTTCCAGAGGATTTTCTTTCAAGACCTATTAATTTTTGAATTCATTTCGATTTAAAAATAGACCAAACACTCATTGCAGTTCTCAACTACAGTAATCCGTAGATATCAAAGAACAAATTGTTGAATAATTAACAATATCGGGTTTCTATAGTTTCAATTTTTGCACGTTTTTTGCATTTTTCAAATAAAAAACTCACGATCTGTCCAACAAAAAAGCCAAGGTCCAATTGTAGCATTTTTATAATAAACGGGAGCAGCTGCAGATGAGGATAAATCAAAATCAACAGTTTGATTTGGAAAAACAAAATATTTTAATGTTTCTGAGGTATAAAGCCAATGATTTGTTGAAGAACCTACAATTTTTCTTTTTTTTAAAACTTTTTTTGTGAAATAAAAAATGAACTAACATAAAATATTACATCCACATGAAACAATTGAGCAAAAAAGTGCGAGTTTTGTTAATCGATCTCGATTTGTTCGGCGAATTTTAATTAATTTATGTTGACTAACTGGAATTACCATCATTTTGAAATAATTTCAGATTTATAGGTAGTAGGGAATAGTAAAATCAAAAAAAAATCTTATGTTTTTTTTTTCCGAAGAGAAATCCAATTTACTTTTCGCGCCGAGGTCCTCAATTGAATATTCCGAGAGCAAAAAAAAAAGAGGAACTACTAGTTTTTATTTTGTGAGCGAAAAAAATATTTTGAGTGAATCGGAAGGCGAAAAATGAAACAAGGAATTTGGAAATTTTCAATGGTTAGTCATTAGCATTTCCATAATTGTTTCAGAAAAATTCTGACTTTGCAGAAAAAATTTCGTTTTTCATTTTCCCTGAGTTTCCGAATGTGAATATTTTCAATTTTCCAAATTAAAATAAAAGATCAATTTATTCGCGGGGTCATAAAATTTAATGATTCAAAAAATAATGGCCAAATGATTTTTTGTTGGTTTTTTCTGCTTACTGTAACTGGTGTTAGCAAGTTTATTTCAAGAATTGCAACATCGATAAACCATATTTTTTTTTGTATTTGCAAGTGATCCATTTTTTTCAGGCAGAATACAACAAAAACAAAAAGGCGGTCACCGAATGATGAAATCCGTGACATTGTTACAACAATAATATATTTCGAAAGGAAGTACAAAAAAATTGGTTTGGTCTTTCTTCTCTTGAGAGAGAGATCACTTTTTTTATTTGAAAAGTAACATTGCATTGAAAAATAACAAGATAACACAAAACATATCATTTTCCGATTTCCACATGAATGATTTAAAATGTGTTACGATAGTTGTGGTTTGCAAAGGGCTCGCCAATAGCCGAAGAGACCTCAAACTTGGGTAATTAAAAAAAAAAAAAAAAAAAAAAAAAATTGGGGGGGTTGAGGGAAAAAAAAGGTTAAATTGGGAGTAACAAAACAAACAAAATGATGTGAACAAACAAAAAAACAAAACAAAAAAAATTTTCAACAATCCATGATGTTTGGGTATGAAGACGTTGATGATTTGTTGATGATTGCTGCTTGGATTGTGTAGACGAAAGTGAAGATGAATTGTGTTGGCAAAGGTGTAGATGAAAGCGAAGACGAGTGCATTATGATGTGAATTGGTTTTCTGGTTTTGGGCACAGTGACGAATGGTGATTTCGCGAATCACAATAGTGGCATTTCTTGTTGCACGTTGTGTGGTTTTGTTTGTCCCCAAGACATCTCTTGCAACGATTCGAATTTTTGACGATTTCTTTTCTGGTTTCGATGTCTACGATGCCGTAACACTCATCGCTATAATGGCGCTCGCGACAATAGACACACAACGATCTTCCTTCTCGAATTGTAGCTGGGGTGCACAGAATCCGTTGTACTTCTTTTTCTGTTCTTGATCTTTTGGTTGGTTCAACTTGAAGTTGTTCTTGTGTTTCCACTTGCACTTCTTCTTCTTCTTCTCTTCTTCTCTTTCTTTCGAGCATGTCGTTTCGCATTGTCTCCATTTCTTTGATCGATTCTGATTTGAGCTTATCGATTTTCTTTGAGAAACCCTCCCAGATTTTTGACAATTCGTGCTTCAGCCTTCCTTGTCCAATTTCGGCGATCTCACGATTTTGCTTGTGTAGATTTTCAAATATCCAGTTGATATGATCTCTGTGATCCTTGTGCTGTTGTTCCAACTTGGTTTCCAAATTCTTGATTTGAATCTCCATTCCCGACATTGTGTCTCGCCAAGCTAACAGTTTCCCGGTCGATGCACCAAATGTTACGATAGTTGTGGTTTGCAAAGGGCTCGCCAATAGCCGAAGAGACCTCAAACTTGGGTAATTAAACAAGTATTTATTTTCTTGGGAGAAAAAAAGAAATAAAAATAAAATAACGTCCCGATGGACTCAAACATGTGAATGATTGAAAAATGGGGAAGGGGGGAGAAAAAGGGCGCCAGAAGGCGGGGCCAAGGGCGCACATAGTGTAACATTTAATCAAAGTGGGGAAAAGGTGCTTTTTGTGCAATAATATTAAAAAATGGGGCCAATATTTGGAGGGGTTACTGTAGGAGTGTAAAGACAAATATTGGTCAAATGGACAAAATAATAACGTTGTAAAGTGCAATATTTGAAATTATAGGTGGAAAGTTGGATATTTCCAACAGATGCCCAATTATCGAAATAATTGAATTTGTGTGTTGAAATAAATCATTTAGTCATTTTTTGTATAGCACTTCCTGTTTATGATTAATTTGAACTCCCGAACGATGAAAAAACAAAATGTCACCTGCTCGAACAAAAGTTCAGTGTAATAACTTTTTGTTTACATTTGACCCCATTTTGATAAATTAATCTTAAAATATCAATGATAAAAAACTATTCTACTTTGGGTTACTGTAATTTTGGATTCAGATTTTATTCATTTTTTTGGTTTTCAAAAAAAATTGAATGATTATTCAACATCTGTTTTTCCACATTTTTTTCAAACCGCCGTGCTAATTTCAGATTTATCAAACACGATTTCAGACAAAAGATAGCTAGTTTATCAAATAGTCGAAACCAGTTTAGCAAAAAAATCATAGATTTTCCGATTTTTCGATCAAATATTGAGTATTTTCGCGAAAATCTCCGCCTCTTTTCTTTTCTTCTCTAATTTCTCTTCGAATTTTTTCCGCCAGGACAAAACATTTAAAAGCAATCATTTTCTAATTGTTAAAACATATTCAACAATGATTTCCAAACTAACAATCGCCGTTCTCCTTCTTGCTTTCTTCGTTTCATTCTCTGAATCAGCCGTTGCCCAACAATTGGTCAAACTTGGAGAAAGAGTCACAATCGATATTGCTCAAGGAAAATCAGCTTTGTCAAGAACTGTCAATGGACAAAAAGCTGTTGTTCAATTCAAAGGAGCAAAGGCCGGAGTTTTCGTTTTGGTAAGTTGATTTATCGAAAAATTCTCGAGAAAATGATCAATTTTCAGAACGGAAAGAATGTTGATTCATCAAACTACGAAGTCAAACCAAATGGTGTTCTTATCATCAAAAAAGTGACAAAGGCTGATATCGGAGAATATGCACCAGAACCAAATGACCCAGTTCCAAGAGGAAATGGTGGATTTGTTGCCGGACCAGTTCTCGTTCTTTCTTTGGCATAAATTTTATCGCGTTTTCTATTTAATAAAAATTAGATCAAATTTGAATTTGTTTTCTATGCACATTAATCACTAAATAAATAAATTTATCTGGAATAAAAATGATCCTAATCAAGTGAGAAAATATAAAAATGGCATGCGGGAATTTTGAAAACTTTGTCAATACTTTCGAATATATAAATATTATTGCTTTGGTTAGGGTTTTTCAATAAATTATGACTAAATTACACTAATTTTCGTTTAGTTAAAAGCTGAACCAAAATCAGCGAAATTGGCAAAATTAGCAGTTTGCTGAACAGCTCCTTGTGAAGGACTGCAAAAATTTGTTTTTTTATAGTTTTCCAAAAGGGAAACCAGTCAAAAAATAATCTTGGGATAAAAAATTGATAAAACTTACGCGAATGGATCGTTATTCACAGGTGTTGTTCTCGATGACTTTGGTGGTGCTGGTCTTGGTGGAGGTGGTTTATTGATATTTGCATTGGTTGATTCGAAACCAGCATCAGCTGGAAAACCTTGAGCAAATGGATCTGATGGAAATGCGGCAGCAAATGAACCTTGATTTGCGAATGGATCAACTTGAGCGAAAGGATCGGCAATTGCGTCTGGAAAACATGGAATTTGAAAAAAAAACAAGACAATCGGGAAAAAATATAAAAAAAAAGGTTCCTGTGATATTTCTTTGTTTAGGGACTCGGATTTTTTAAATTTATGAATTTATGATAAAAATTATCCATTTTTGTCTTCTCAAGTTGTCCAAGTTTTTCATTAAAATGAATCATGTTGTGACTCAGAGAATACAGTAACCAAAAACGCTTTGTCAATTGAAAAAGGGCCTATTTTTAGACGCCCTTCTAAAAAAAACCTACTAGATTTAGCTTGTGCAAATGGATCAATTTGTTGTTGTTGAGATGTTGATGGTTCATTATAAACAGTTTCATCCGACATCAGTGAATTATTCAATGTTGTTGATAACAAACTCGGCTTCTCTCTAAATTTATTCTCCATATTTTTTTCGTTTTCATCTTCAACAGCTGCAACAATTTCCTCGTTCAATTTTTTGTACATTTTCAATTTCTTGGCTGATCAAAGACATTTGTCGATTATCGCGAATCTCTTTTTGCTCTAATTTTGTTTGTTTTCCAACAATATTCGCATTTTCAAATTCTTCTTTTTGAATTTCTGCGCGAATTGAATTTTGGCTAATTTCAAGTTCAGCAATTTCTTTTCTCAATTCCTCCATTTCTTTTTGATCAACCTATAAAACATTTTTGAAAATTTTAAAAATTATAAATGAAATAAACTAACGTTAGCACTTTCTTCAGCATTTTTCGAATCTTCTTCAATTTGTTTCATTCGTTTCTCAGTTTCTTCTTTCTTTTCTCTTTGTGCTTGACAAGCAGCTTCAAGTTGTTGTATTTGATTATCATAATCATTCAATCTTCGAGTTGCTTCTGTTTTTTGTCTTTCGAGTTGTTTTACAGTACTTTCTAAAGTTTGTAATTCAATCTGCAGATTTTTAATTCTCGAATTTTTCGCATCCATATCAGTTTCCAATTGAAGAACATTCTCTTCAATTTTTCTGAAAATCTCACAAATTTTTTCGAAACTTCAATAAAAAACTAACGTTCGATCAATAAGCATAGTCTGAATCGATTCAGCCAATTGTTTCATTTCTTCATTATCTCCTTCAAGAGCTTCTTTTATTTCCATACTTGTTGCTTCAGCCAATTGTGGTGTTGAAACACTTACTCCTTGATTTGTTGGAATACTTCGATTATTTACTAATGGAGCATGTTCTCGGAAAGATGGAGGAATCAAATGAATCGGCAATTCATTTGGTACAATTTCACCACGTTTCGCCAATTCGATAAGATACATACACAATGAGAATTGTTCGAGATTCAATTGGCCGCATTTTTTTTTGTCAATTTGCGTTGAGGATTCTAGAAAAAGACAAGTTGATTTATGACAGGAAATTGCGTATTTATACATACTTCACAATCTGATTGTTTAACTTCGGGCAATTTTTTGAGAGATTCGCATAAAATTGAGAATGGCTCATGTAACCCAACTTTTAAATGTTGATCATCGTTGGATTCTTTTCGAGGAATCATTGAATCTAAATCAGGAACAGCTGAATCATCTGAAGTAAAAGAACCCGTTCGACGATTATATCTGGAATTCGGTTCGACAGATAATAAACTTCGTTGACGAGAATCAATTGAACTATCTTCTTTCTGGAAAATTCAAACTTTAGTTGTCCATATTTTTGGTCTGAATCGAACCACCAAAAAAGGTATCAAATTATTTTCATTCAGTATACAATTCTGAAATGGACTGGGAAAATTGGACAAATTATCCAACGTTTTTGCAAACATTTTTCCCATGATCACGAAATTTTCGAAAATTAAAAATGAGGAGAATTAAAAAAAAGCTTATGAAAAATTTTAGATCAGGAGAAAAAATGGTCAAATGTTCTTCAAAAATTCACCTTTGAAAACGTAAATGTCGACCTGATTTTATATCTGTTAAAAGTCCTTTCATCCCGTTTTGCCATATAAACAACAATTGAGAAAAGAGCAGCCATTTCGGTGAACAAAAAACTTATCTGAAACATTTTGATAAAATTTTTTTTTCATTTTTTTTGCAAAGAACAAACTTTCAATGACCAAAACGAAAAACCATATGACATATAAAACATTGGATCATCCATTTCAGATGCCGCATGAATTTTGTTCCCAACTTCTTTTGAAACTGCAGACATATAAACAATTATACAAGAAAAATTGGCAATTCCTAAAAAAAAAGTTATTGAATTTAAACTCATATTTTTGGTGTCCACCTGAATTAATATGCAATAACGAAGAAACTAGCAATGATGCATAAGGATTTCGAAGACAATAACATAAAAATGCAACAATTGTTCCGAAAAAATCCAAAACCATTCCAATCAACATGAAAAGAAATGCTTTTCGTACAGATTCTGAATAAATATTTCACAATCAGTTTTTTTAAAATTAAAATAAAAAATCATACGTTGTATTGAAGTTGTTGTATCACTTGGTTCCTCATCGGTTAAATAATAAACTGTCGAACAATGAAAAGGTGTGATTGCTAAAAAAATAAATTAATAATCAAAATCTGTGACAGATTTCTGACATTCTCGAAGTTCACTTCTCTCCAAGTTACGTAATAAATTATTCTTTGATTTTAACGAACATCGGAAACACTTTCATGGAATTAGAAAAACCGGAAATTTTTTATTGAAAGTCTACATCAATTTTCTTCCAGAGGATTTTCTTTCAAGACCTATTAATTTTTGAATTCATTTCGATTTAAAAATAGACCAAACACTCATTGCAGTTCTCAACTACAGTAATCCGTAGATATCAAAGAACAAATTGTTGAATAATTAACAATATCGGGTTTCTATAGTTTCAATTTTTGCACGTTTTTTGCATTTTTCAAATAAAAAACTCACGATCTGTCCAACAAAAAAGCCAAGGTCCAATTGTAGCATTTTTATAATAAACGGGAGCAGCTGCAGATGAGGATAAATCAAAATCAACAGTTTGATTTGGAAAAACAAAATATTTTAATGTTTCTGAGGTATAAAGCCAATGATTTGTTGAAGAACCTACAATTTTTCTTTTTTTTAAAACTTTTTTGTGAAATAAAAAATGAACTAACATAAAATATTACATCCACATGAAACAATTGAGCAAAAAAGTGCGAGTTTTGTTAATCGATCTCGATTTGTTCGGCGAATTTTAATTAATTTATGTTGACTAACTGGAATTACCATCATTTTGAAATAATTTCAGATTTATAGGTAGTAGGGAATAGTAAAATCAAAAAAAAATCTTATGTTTTTTTTTCCGAAGAGAAATCCAATTTACTTTTCGCGCCGAGGTCCTCAATTGAATATTCCGAGAGCAAAAAAAAGAGGAACTACTAGTTTTTATTTTGTGAGCGAAAAAAATATTTTGAGTGAATCGGAAGGCGAAAAATGAAACAAGGAATTTGGAAATTTTCAATGGTTAGTCATTAGCATTTCCATAATTGTTTCAGAAAAATTCTGACTTTGCAGAAAAAATTTCGTTTTTCATTTTCCCTGAGTTTCCGAATGTGAATATTTTCAATTTTCCAAATTAAAATAAAAGATCAATTTATTCGCGGGGTCATAAAATTTAATGATTCAAAAAATAATGGCCAAATGATTTTTTGTTGGTTTTTTCTGCTTACTGTAACTGGTGTTAGCAAGTTTATTTCAAGAATTGCAACATCGATAAACCATATTTTTTTTGTATTTGCAAGTGATCCATTTTTTTCAGGCAGAATACAACAAAAACAAAAAGGCGGTCACCGAATGATGAAATCCGTGACATTGTTACAACAATAATATATTTCGAAAGGAAGTACAAAAAAATTGGTTTGGTCTTTCTTCTCTTGAGAGAGAGATCACTTTTTTTATTTGAAAAGTAACATTGCATTGAAAAATAACAAGATAACACAAAACATATCATTTTCCGATTTCCACATGAATGATTTAAAATATCCAACTTCCTTTTTCTCTTCTTCTTGAGAAGGTTAACTCCAGAAGATCAAGTGGGCGTCTGATGAAATCCTGGAAATGTTTACAACAACATCACAATCATTTAGGTGAACTTTGTTTGATCATTCTATAGTATTTTATGATAGACTGGAACAGTTTCAACCAAAAAAAAGTGACCTTCATATTTATTTTTGAGATGATATCAGTTACACTTGTATTTAACATCGATACATCAAAAATGGAGCATATAAAAAATTGTTATTGAGTAAAACAGTTGGCTTTCAGAGACTAAAACTCATATGTAAAGTAAGACGATTCTGAAAATCAAGAGGAATTTGAAACATGTGTTGACTTTTTCAGCGTTTTCCCGGGAGGTAAAAGGTCCCCCGGTTGACAATTTTAGTGTAATAATCCTACTTTTCAATTTTCAGACTTACTGTTTTGTTATCCGCCTCTGCATTTTTTTCCGTATTTAAAAGAGCAAAACCTATTCATTTATCTTAACATTTTTTTGTTGAAAAATGTTTTCCAAGGCAATTCTAGTTTTGGTCCTATTTCTTGCTTTTTCAAATTGTTTGCCAACTAATGGATTCGGATTGGGAGAAGAACACAATTCGATCGAAAAAGACATGGGCCCACCGAAACTCATGAAATTCCACTTCGTTCCAAATAAACCTGACAGTTCAAGCGAAGAGGACATCACCGCTAAACTGAGATTCCCTCACATTTTCAGCCGTGAATATTCTTTTGGCTATTTTCTCAATATATATATATATATATATGTTGAATGTCTGGTAGAATGCTTGAATCATAGTATTTCGTTTTTCCCGAAATAACTTTCCAAGCTTCTTCCAGAAATGAGCCATGGAAATCCAGGTTTGTGTTGATTTCGAATTTGTTCTTTGTTGAACCACATGAGATTTGGCATTTCCTTTGAAAATTTGCTCTTGTTGCGAAAAATTTGATGGTCGACTTTGTTCCTTCTGGTGAACATTGAACTGCGAATTTTTCACTTTCACAATCAATATCTCCAATGATTTGTTGTTCATTTGATTTGCACTCGATCAAAGTTTCCACATTTGTGTCGCAATTGTAGCATCCAGTGGTGTTGATGTGATTGATCGAGCATTCATCGATGTCTCTGACCATTACTGCTTCATCTATCTCATCGATACTGATGGCGATTTCACATGATGTTGCCCAGTTTGATATTGCGATTATTTCGGTGTTTGGTTTTGATCTCAATTGCCAAACTGGTGTTGTTTTTGGTAGCACATGATCAATGTTCCGAAAAATTTCCATCATATTGATATCTTTACAAGTACAGTGCATTGTTGTTTCGCTAGCATCGCATTTGCAGTTTTCTTCCAATTCGCAATGCATTTTTTCTGCTTTTTCTTTTGTTGAGCATCGAACAGTCGGCAATTGATTTTGGTTCCATGTGGCTACCGAATTGTTCCTTGATATGAACATGAAACAATTGAGCAAAAAAGTGCGAGTTTTGTTAATCGATCTCGATTTGTTCGGCGAATTTTAATTAATTTATGTTGACTAACTGGAATTACCATCATTTTGAAATAATTTCAGATTTATAGGTAGTAGGGAATAGTAAAATCAAAAAAAAATCTTATGTTTTTTTTTCCGAAGAGAAATCCAATTTACTTTTCGCGCCGAGGTCCTCAATTGAATATTCCGAGAGCAAAAAAAAAGAGGAACTACTAGTTTTTATTTTGTGAGCGAAAAAAATATTTTGAGTGAATCGGAAGGCGAAAAATGAAACAAGGAATTTGGAAATTTTCAATGGTTAGTCATTAGCATTTCCATAATTGTTTCAGAAAAATTCTGACTTTGCAGAAAAAATTTCGTTTTTCATTTTCCCTGAGTTTCCGAATGTGAATATTTTCAATTTTCCAAATTAAAATAAAAGATCAATTTATTCGCGGGGTCATAAAATTTAATGATTCAAAAAATAATGGCCAAATGATTTTTTGTTGGTTTTTTCTGCTTACTGTAACTGGTGTTAGCAAGTTTATTTCAAGAATTGCAACATCGATAAACCATATTTTTTTTTGTATTTGCAAGTGATCCATTTTTTCAGGCAGAATACAACAAAAACAAAAAGGCGGTCACCGAATGATGAAATCCGTGACATTGTTACAACAATAATATATTTCGAAAGGAAGTACAAAAAAATTGGTTTGGTCTTTCTTCTCTTGAGAGAGAGATCACTTTTTTATTTGAAAAGTAACATTGCATTGAAAAATAACAAGATAACACAAAACATATCATTTTCCGATTTCCACATGAATGATTTAAAATATCCAACTTCCTTTTTCTCTTCTTCTTGAGAAGGTTAACTCCAGAAGATCAAGTGGGCGTCTGATGAAATCCTGGAAATGTTTACAACAACATCACAATCATTTAGGTGAACTTTGTTTGATCATTCTATAGTATTTTATGATAGACTGGAACAGTTTCAACCAAAAAAAGTGACCTTCATATTTATTTTTGAGATGATATCAGTTACACTTGTATTTAACATCGATACATCAAAAATGGAGCATATAAAAAATTGTTATTGAGTAAAACAGTTGGCTTTCAGAGACTAAAACTCATATGTAAAGTAAGACGATTCTGAAAATCAAGAGGAATTTGAAACATGTGTTGACTTTTTCAGCGTTTTCCCGGGAGGTAAAAGGTCCCCCGGTTGACAATTTTAGTGTAATAATCCTACTTTTCAATTTTCAGACTTACTGTTTTGTTATCCGCCTCTGCATTTTTTTCCGTATTTAAAAGAGCAAAACCTATTCATTTATCTTAACATTTTTTTGTTGAAAAATGTTTTCCAAGGCAATTCTAGTTTTGGTCCTATTTCTTGCTTTTTCAAATTGTTTGCCAACTAATGGATTCGGATTGGGAGAAGAACACAATTCGATCGAAAAAGACATGGGCCCACCGAAACTCATGAAATTCCACTTCGTTCCAAATAAACCTGACAGTTCAAGCGAAGAGGACATCACCGCTAAACTGAGATTCCCTCACATTTTCAGCCGTGAATATTCTTTTGGCTATTTTCTCAATATATATATATATATATATGTTGAATGTCTGGTAGAATGCTTGAATCATAGTATTTCGTTTTTCCCGAAATAACTTTCCAAGCTTCTTCCAGAAATGAGCCATGGAAATCCAGGTTTGTGTTGATTTCGAATTTGTTCTTTGTTGAACCACATGAGATTTGGCATTTCCTTTGAAAATTTGCTCTTGTTGCGAAAAATTTGATGGTCGACTTTGTTCCTTCTGGTGAACATTGAACTGCGAATTTTTCACTTTCACAATCAATATCTCCAATGATTTGTTGTTCATTTGATTTGCACTCGATCAAAGTTTCCACATTTGTGTCGCAATTGTAGCATCCAGTGGTGTTGATGTGATTGATCGAGCATTCATCGATGTCTCTGACCATTACTGCTTCATCTATCTCATCGATACTGATGGCGATTTCACATGATGTTGCCCAGTTTGATATTGCGATTATTTCGGTGTTTGGTTTTGATCTCAATTGCCAAACTGGTGTTGTTTTTGGTAGCACATGATCAATGTTCCGAAAAATTTCCATCATATTGATATCTTTACAAGTACAGTGCATTGTTGTTTCGCTAGCATCGCATTTGCAGTTTTCTTCCAATTCGCAATGCATTTTTTCTGCTTTTTCTTTTGTTGAGCATCGAACAGTCGGCAATTGATTTTGGTTCCATGTGGCTACCGAATTGTTCCTTGATATGAACCATGTATCCAGAATTGGTGATTTTGGTACATGTAATGATTTCAATGTGATCTTGTTTCTTCCAATTTGAACTGGTTCATTGATTGATAATAACATGTTGGTTGAGAGCTGAGTTGGACTGTTTGATATCATTTCAGATTTGGTGATTGTCATATTGATCCATTCCTTCCATAATTCGCATTTGAATATTTCATAGTTTTCTGGGCTTTCTGGTTCAGCATAGATTCTGTAGAACAAACACCCATCAGATGGAAAGAAACATCCGCAAGCAAAATCTCCACAACTGGTGACACATCCAGTCATTCCCAAAAATGAGTTTGCTTCTGATAACTCTTCAATCTTCGAAGTTCTCGATATTCCATCACATTTTTGATCTGAGCACGAACCTGCATGTGGGCAGCGTTTTGCGCTCAATACTTTTTGAATTGTGTTTCTTGTGAATGTGACGGTTTCTTTGACGCATTGAAGTTCCAGATTGTTCCAATTGAATCTCAATTCTCTTGTCATTGTGCCATTGTGAGAAATCCGAAAACATATTTCTTTCTTTGACTGATTCATGGTTACGGTTTCAACAGTTTTCAGCTTGCATTTGTTGATTCCCAATTTGTTTCTTGTGCAGATTTTATTTGTTGATTGTGAAACATCGATTTCTTGGCATCCGAGTGCTTGATGGATGATTATCGATATTATCACGATTATTGCAATTGGTGGTAACTGGAATCTTCGTATCCTTTGTTCTCCAAAATTTTGTCTGATTCTTGCGAAAATTTGTTGCAATCTTGGAATTTGTGCTTGTATACATCTCCATGTGTGTCTCAGGATTAATCCGGTGATTATTGATAGATAGTATAACATTTGAACTGCTAACATGCAAGGAGCTCCAACTGGAATCTTGACTTTTGCAACCAAGTAGACTGCGATGAGTAACAAGTATATTATTGATATGAATAATATCATTGCCATTGTTGGATTGCATTCTGGATTTGTCAAATTCGCCGTGCACCAATTGCAGTTCATTGCTTCACAAATTGATACAGCTGGACAATCAAGAAATGTTGATTCGATTCCATCTTGGTTTAATCTTTTGATGGTGATTTGGTGTTTTCGAAGTTTTATCTTGGTTGGTAGAAGAATTTCCACAAATTTTTCTTCTTCCGCACTTTGATGTTTTGTGCAGTAATCCCTTGCACATATTTCCAATTCTGATGTTCTGGAAACTTCCAACCGAAGTCCATTATCTGTGCAAAATTCCGATTTTATTACGTTTCCACTTGTTGTTGCGATCAATGTGAGGAGGGTGAAGATCATCAACATCGAATTTTTGTGAATCCCTAATACATTGATGTTCATCCATGATTGATCCAATTCTTTGTAATTCTTCGGAATCCTTTTGCGAAATTCATATCGTTGATTTTTGGCAACATTTTCTTGTTGTTCGTCGCCAATTTTTCCATCATCAACTTCCATTTCTGATAATTTTTCATGTTGTGTTTCTTCAATTTGTTCTTCTTCTGTTGCAGATTGAATCAGTTCTTCTTCATTATGGAGTTCCAATGGAACCACCATATTTGGAGGTCTTCGAATTGTTGATTTATTCCATCCATCTTTTTCCGGATTTGTAAGAAAACTGACTTCCACTTCACGAACTTCTCCATTTCTGTTTTCTAACACTTTCGAAATTCTTCCCAATCTCCATATGTTTCTTGGAAGATTTTCATTGACAATCAAAACTACTTGTCCTTGTTTTGGGTTCTTGATTTGACCTCGCTGATTGTCCATTCTCAATTTGTGTGTTTCTCTAAGTTCGTTCAAATATTTTGATCCGAAAATTTTCCAAAATTGTTCTGTTATTTTGTACGAAGATAACAGTGATTTTCGAGCTTGTTGCATCGTCTTGAATCGAACCAGATCTTCTGGTGTTTGATATTCATCTTGATCATCTTCAGCTTGAAGTGCTATTGCTCCGATTGGATCATAAACTTCAAAATGATTTGTCATGAAATCGATTGGTCTGATTGCTCTGATCTCCTCCAGTTCAGCTTCTTCATAAACCATCGGTCTTCTGTTCATGATGTCGGCAATTTCGTGCAATGTTGTTCTCATTTCATCTTCATTCAATATTCTTTTTCCGATTGCCTTGTTGAGTGATTCTTTGGCAATTCGAATGAGTCTCTCAAATATACCTCCTTTCCATGGTGAGAAGGCTGTGTTGAATTTCCAATGAATTCTTTCTTCTGCGCAGAATTTTCCGATGTCTTCGTGAACTGTTTTGATGTTGTTTTGAGCCTTTTGGATCATGTCATTTGCCAATATAAATTCAGGAGCATTGTCACTGACAATCTTTCTTGGTGTTCCTCGTAGCGAGATGAATCTCCTGAACATATTCAAGAATGAATTTGTGCTTTTGTCTTGAATAATGTCCAAATATGTTGCTCTTGTTGCCAGGCAAGTTATTATCGCTCCATAAATTTTCTTTCTTGAATCATCATCAGTTTTGATTGATATTGGTCCGAAGTAATCAATGCCTACATTCTCGAACGGCCTTGATTTGCACACTCTCGATTTCGGAAGATTGAAGAGTTATCAGAAGCAAACTCATTTTTGGGAATGACTGGATGTGTCACCAGTTGTGGAGATTTTGCTTGCGGATGTTTCTTTCCATCTGATGGGTGTTTGTTCTACAGAATCTATGCTGAACCAGAAAGCCCAGAAAACTATGAAATATTCAAATGCGAATTATGGAAGGAATGGATCAATATGACAATCACCAAATCTGAATAATCTCGATTTATTTCCGATGAAGATTGGTTCTCTTGCATTTCTTGGCAATTCTGAATTCGCCAACCTTCCGTGGCATCGTAGCAATCCATTTTCGTCCAATTTCAAATTGAGGTTTTTGGCTTTCTTGATCTCTTTGATGGAAATTGCTTGTTGTTGATCTCTTATGAACATAATTTCGGCGTTGTTCATCTCATTTGCCTCCAGGATGTTTGTTTTTGGTTCCTCGATATCCAGTTCAGGTATTTTCCGGAATATTTTTTGTTTTGTTGACTCCGCTGAGTTTTTCAAGCATCTTCGAATGAATCGATTAGCATACGCCACAATCCGGATCTGTTTTGATAGATTCAACGTTTTGTCGCAATCAAATGCCATTTGATCATCGGCTTGCTCAATTGTGTTGGCAAAATTGATGTGGATATTCTCGAGTTCTCCCATCTCATCATTTGGCTTGAACATGTTGTTCGCTTCTGGCCATTTCGATGGTTCGAGTTGGAGGAATTGTGGACCATTGAACCAAATGTCGGTCATTCCAATTGGTGTGCATCCTCTTGATGCCAAATCTGCTGGATTTTGGGTTGTATTGACGTGTCCGAATTCCACATCGATCTTTTGGTTCTCGATGTTTTCGACGTCCTTTCGGATGTCCATGATTCTGTTGAATACGAACTGTCCAACTTCCTTTTTGCCTGGTGCGGCTTTGATCCATCCCAAAACTATTTGGCTGTCCGAGAAGATTGTGATTTTGTTGACTGGGATATTCCCAATTTGCATTGCGTCTACCACGATTTTCATCGCTTCGACTCCCAATTTTAGTCCAGCTAATTCCAATTTCGGAATTGTCCAGTTGGTTTTCGGTTGTTTGAGCTTTGATTTTGCAAATGCCAAATGATTTCCATATTTGTTTTGCACATAAACGCAACACGCATATGCATATTTGCTCGCATCCGTGAATACCACCAGGTTGTTTTTATCCGATTTGTGGAATATTTTCCGTGGAATATTCTTCTCGAAATTTTTGATGTTTTCGATGATATTTTCCCATTCCATTTGTAAATCAGATGGTAACTCTTGTTCCCAATTAAAATTATTTTCCCATAATTTGGCCAGGAAAACTTTCAATGGCAACAATATTGGTACCAGTATTCCTTGTGGATCGAATATTGTTCCAATTGTTCTTGATACTGTTCTTTTAGAGCATTTTGTTGTGGGTTTGATGATGCATTGAATTTTCAGAAGATCCTGTTTTGAACACCAAGTAACTCCCAAAAATTTCATTTCAGTTACTTTGGTCTTGTCTTCCGGTGCAATCATCTTCTCCAATTGTTCGTTATTGGTCAAGAATTCTCTGATGTTCATTGACATTTCTTTGAACACATCTTTTGTCGCTGTTTGAATCTCTTTCAGCTTTTTCGCATCTTGCTCATCTGTTGTGATCACCAAGTTGTCGACATATATATTTTGAATGATTTCTTCCGCCATTGGGTGTTTGGTTGATCTCAAGTGGTGGATGATAGTTTCTGCGAGAAGAAATGGACTCGATATCAATCCAAAGATTACTCGAGTGAAGCGGTAGACGATAAGATTGTCCTTGGTTGCTGGTTTGTTGAAATCTTTCAACCATAAGACTCTTGTGTAGTCTCGGTCTTCTTCTTCCAAATAAACCATCAGAAAAGCTTTTTCTATATCCGACAAAATCACTGTTTCTCCTGATCGGAACCTCATGAACAGCTTATTCAATTCCGGAATAGCCAATGGTCCTCTGAAGAGCATGTCATTCAGAGATGGTTGATTTTTGTGATGTGCTGATCCATCAATAACCAGCCTAACTGTTGTTGTTATTTTTTCTGGTGTGAGAACTGCTTGGTGAGGATTGTAGTGGCCTTCTGTTGCTTGCCAATCGACCACCCTTTCAATTATTCCGGCTGTTTCTTGTTGTTTGAATATTTTGGCAATTTCCTCCAATGTTTGTTGATTGTGTTGTTTTTGTGTGCTTTGAAGTCGCCTCAACGCAATTCCAAAATTGCTTGACAATTTCTCCTTGATGTTGGGCTTCTTCGGTAGTCTGACAGAATATTTACCATCTTTATATTTGATGGTTTCATGGAATTCTTTCCGCACTCTCTCATCTTCCAACTGCTTTTCTTCTTCAGTTGTTCCAGTGAATTCTTCTGCGGCTAACTTCTCGTATTCCATCTCCATTACTTGGTTTTCGGGTATTGCAACATTGTTATACAAGATTTCGTAGTTGTTTTCTTGGCGACCTTGTGGTTTTCCAGTCAATGTTGCTCCGAAAATTGTTGGTGTGAGGTGCATTCCCGAAGGTAGTGGAATGCTTTCTCCTTGATACACACAAGTCAAATAATCTGCTCCAATTGCTAGATCAGGTGTGGAAACAGTATTTTCGATTTCTTCGTTGATTTGTATGTTCAATTGTTTGATGTGGTGTAGGTCTTCTGGTGATAATTTTGTTTTGGATATTTTTCCAGTAAGAGTTGTTGCGACCAAAACTTCCAGTTCTTTGATTGAACCTTTGTTGTCCTTCACCATTATCCTTGTTACATCCATATTCTGCTTTTCAGGCTCCTTTCCAAATGTTTGCATTGAGAATTCAATTGATCTTTCTTTTCTCAAATCCCAATCATTTGCAATGTTTCTTGAAATATAACTGTTTGTTGATCCATTGTCCAAAAAAGCAGTTATTTTTTCCCAACTCTTTGTCTTCGCATTGTAAGCTTCAATTGACAATGTTTGGATTGTTCCAGGAGTTGGCAACTTTTGGTCCCTCGAAAAAATTTTTCCATCTGTTTGGTTTGGTTTGACTTGGTTTGTGCAAACATTGTTGTGTGATGAATGAGGTGCCTCATTAGTCACCTTTTCTTTTATGTTCCTTTCATTTCGGTTTTCTTTGAGGCACAAGGACGTGTGGTGATTTGAATTGCAATGTTGGCATTTGTATTTGGATTTGCAGTCTTTTGAATTGTGTTCAGTTCCCAAACAATTCCAGCACAACGTCTTTGTTTTCATCAATTCTCTTTTTTCTTTTGGAGTGGGATATTTGTCGCATTTGAAAACGTTGTGTCCTTCTTGGTCACATAATTTACAAACAACTTTCTTTGGAACAAAGTTTGACTTTTTTCCATTTGTGTGTGTATGAGGATTTTTCGACGCAGATTTTTTCGCATTTTCCTGATTGGATTGGCTTTTTGTTTCTGCTCCAATATCCTCCTTCTTTGTGTGTGGTTCTTCTTGTTTCCCGAGAGCAATGTGAATTCTTCTTTCTCTGTCGAGAATTGCCTCGATTTTCTTCAACAGCATTGTTGTCGACCATTCTTCTCCGAGCTCCTTGGCTTCATCTCTTTGCCGAATGATTTTTTCTCGGATCTCAATTTCAAATTTTGAAATAATCAATTGTTTCATCAACCTATTATTGATACTTTCTCCATAAGTTTCCAATTGCTGTATGATTGTGTAGATCTCGTCGAACAGATTTTGTTGATCTACGATCTTTTTGGATTTTGCTGTTGCCGATTGAAGTTTTTCACTGAGTGAAACTGTAATGTATTCTTCATTTTGATATCGTTCCTTCAGAAGTTTGATTGCAGGATCATAGTTTTCTTCCGAAATCTCGAATCTTTGAATAAGTTTCAATGCAGGTCCTTTGAGGAAAGATTGAAGATACATGAATTTCATCATTTTGCTGATGTTCGATTTTTCGATTGTATCCTCATAAAGGTGCCAAAAATTTTTGAATTTTGTGGCTTCTCCTTGAAAGTCAGGTATTTTGACTTTTGGCAAATTTGATAAATTTGTCCCTTGTTGTGGTAATCTTTCCATAACTTGAGTGTTGTTCACTTGATTTGTCGTGGTGTTGTCGGCAGTTTCATCTTTTTGAAGTTTCCAGTACTCCAAAAGTTCAGTTGCCGAAGCTACAGCTTCTTCGCCACCGGCAAGAAATTTGGATGCGTCTTGAATACCCTTCTTCATTGTCTCTTTGTCAACTGTTGCAATATTTTGCATTCTGTCGACTTCTTCTACGAATCCTTCAATGGAGAGGTTCAAATGCGCGTTTTTCCGGTCTAGGGTATTTGTTGCTGCTGTTATCTTCGCCTCGACTTTCTTCGTTGGTTCATCTTCTTTGGCCGCTTCTTTCACCATTTTCTCCAATTCTTTTGTCTTCTCCTTCACTGAAACGGCCCATTGAGTCATTTTTGCATACAAGTGCTCTATAGACGCTTCTGGCATCTTCTTCGATTTTCCGAAATGATATTCTTATATGAATTATGTGAAGACGAATGCGAAGACGAGATAAAACGAGATAACTGATTTTGATCACAATTAGCTGTGCTGTTAGTTGTGCTTTTTCGGTTCAATTTGTGAGTGTTATTCGGCTATGCCACGCGGGTTTTTCATGCAAGACAAAACAGACAAATATTGTACCTTTCTTTCGATGCTGTGTCCTTGATTCGGTCGATGCACCAAATGTTACGATAGTTGTGGTTTGCAAAGGGCTCGCCAATAGCCGAAGAGACCTCAAACTTGGGTAATTAAACAAGTATTTATTTTCTTGGGAGAAAAAAAGAAATAAAAATAAAATAACGTCCCGATGGACTCAAACATGTGAATGATTGAAAAATGGGGAAGGGGGGAGAAAAAGGGCGCCAGAAGGCGGGGCCAAGGGCGCACATAGTGTAACATTTAATCAAAGTGGGGAAAAGGTGCTTTTTGTGCAATAATATTAAAAAATGGGGCCAATATTTGGAGGGGTTACTGTAGGAGTGTAAAGACAAATATTGGTCAAATGGACAAAATAATAACGTTGTAAAGTGCAATATTTGAAATTATAGGTGGAAAGTTGGATATTTCCAACAGATGCCCAATTATCGAAATAATTGAATTTGTGTGTTGAAATAAATCATTTAGTCATTTTTTGTATAGCACTTCCTGTTTATGATTAATTTGAACTCCCGAACGATGAAAAAACAAAATGTCACCTGCTCGAACAAAAGTTCAGTGTAATAACTTTTTGTTTACATTTGACCCCATTTTGATAAATTAATCTTAAAATATCAATGATAAAAAACTATTCTACTTTGGGTTACTGTAATTTTGGATTCAGATTTTATTCATTTTTTTGGTTTTCAAAAAAATTGAATGATTATTCAACATCTGTTTTTCCACATTTTTTTCAAACCGCCGTGCTAATTTCAGATTTATCAAACACGATTTCAGACAAAAGATAGCTAGTTTATCAAATAGTCGAAACCAGTTTAGCAAAAAAAATCATAGATTTTCCGATTTTTCGATCAAATATTGAGTATTTTCGCGAAAATCTCCGCCTCTTTTCTTTTCTTCTCTAATTTCTCTTCGAATTTTTTCCGCCAGGACAAAACATTTAAAAGCAATCATTTTCTAATTGTTAAAACATATTCAACAATGATTTCCAAACTAACAATCGCCGTTCTCCTTCTTGCTTTCTTCGTTTCATTCTCTGAATCAGCCGTTGCCCAACAATTGGTCAAACTTGGAGAAAGAGTCACAATCGATATTGCTCAAGGAAAATCAGCTTTGTCAAGAACTGTCAATGGACAAAAAGCTGTTGTTCAATTCAAAGGAGCAAAGGCCGGAGTTTTCGTTTTGGTAAGTTGATTTATCGAAAAATTCTCGAGAAAATGATCAATTTTCAGAACGGAAAGAATGTTGATTCATCAAACTACGAAGTCAAACCAAATGGTGTTCTTATCATCAAAAAAGTGACAAAGGCTGATATCGGAGAATATGCACCAGAACCAAATGACCCAGTTCCAAGAGGAAATGGTGGATTTGTTGCCGGACCAGTTCTCGTTCTTTCTTTGGCATAAATTTTATCGCGTTTTCTATTTAATAAAAATTAGATCAAATTTGAATTTGTTTTCTATGCACATTAATCACTAAATAAATAAATTTATCTGGAATAAAAATGATCCTAATCAAGTGAGAAAATATAAAAATGGCATGCGGGAATTTTGAAAACTTTGTCAATACTTTCGAATATATAAATATTATTGCTTTGGTTAGGGTTTTTCAATAAATTATGACTAAATTACACTAATTTTCGTTTAGTTAAAAGCTGAACCAAAATCAGCGAAATTGGCAAAATTAGCAGTTTGCTGAACAGCTCCTTGTGAAGGACTGCAAAAATTTGTTTTTTTATAGTTTTCCAAAAGGGAAACCAGTCAAAAAATAATCTTGGGATAAAAAATTGATAAAACTTACGCGAATGGATCGTTATTCACAGGTGTTGTTCTCGATGACTTTGGTGGTGCTGGTCTTGGTGGAGGTGGTTTATTGATATTTGCATTGGTTGATTCGAAACCAGCATCAGCTGGAAAACCTTGAGCAAATGGATCTGATGGAAATGCGGCAGCAAATGAACCTTGATTTGCGAATGGATCAACTTGAGCGAAAGGATCGGCAATTGCGTCTGGAAAACATGGAATTTGAAAAAAAAACAAGACAATCGGGAAAAAATATAAAAAAAAAGGTTCCTGTGATATTTCTTTGTTTAGGGACTCGGATTTTTTAAATTTATGAATTTATGATAAAAATTATCCATTTTTGTCTTCTCAAGTTGTCCAAGTTTTTCATTAAAATGAATCATGTTGTGACTCAGAGAATACAGTAACCAAAAACGCTTTGTCAATTGAAAAAGGGCCTATTTTTAGACGCCCTTCTAAAAAAAACCTACTAGATTTAGCTTGTGCAAATGGATCAATTTGTTGTTGTTGAGATGTTGATGGTTCATTATAAACAGTTTCATCCGACATCAGTGAATTATTCAATGTTGTTGATAACAAACTCGGCTTCTCTCTAAATTTATTCTCCATATTTTTTTCGTTTTCATCTTCAACAGCTGCAACAATTTCCTCGTTCAATTTTTGTACATTTTCAATTTCTTGGCTGATCAAAGACATTTGTCGATTATCGCGAATCTCTTTTTGCTCTAATTTTGTTTGTTTTCCAACAATATTCGCATTTTCAAATTCTTCTTTTTTGAATTTCTGCGCGAATTGAATTTTGGCTAATTTCAAGTTCAGCAATTTCTTTTCTCAATTCCTCCATTTCTTTTTGATCAACCTATAAAACATTTTTGAAAATTTTAAAAATTATAAATGAAATAAACTAACGTTAGCACTTTCTTCAGCATTTTTCGAATCTTCTTCAATTTGTTTCATTCGTTTCTCAGTTTCTTCTTTCTTTTCTCTTTGTGCTTGACAAGCAGCTTCAAGTTGTTGTATTTGATTATCATAATCATTCAATCTTCGAGTTGCTTCTGTTTTTTGTCTTTCGAGTTGTTTTACAGTACTTTCTAAAGTTTGTAATTCAATCTGCAGATTTTTAATTCTCGAATTTTTCGCATCCATATCAGTTTCCAATTGAAGAACATTCTCTTCAATTTTTCTGAAAATCTCACAAATTTTTTCGAAACTTCAATAAAAAACTAACGTTCGATCAATAAGCATAGTCTGAATCGATTCAGCCAATTGTTTCATTTCTTCATTATCTCCTTCAAGAGCTTCTTTTATTTCCATACTTGTTGCTTCAGCCAATTGTGGTGTTGAAACACTTACTCCTTGATTTGTTGGAATACTTCGATTATTTACTAATGGAGCATGTTCTCGGAAAGATGGAGGAATCAAATGAATCGGCAATTCATTTGGTACAATTTCACCACGTTTCGCCAATTCGATAAGATACATACACAATGAGAATTGTTCGAGATTCAATTGGCCGCATTTTTTTATATCAACTAATGCCCAAATTTGAGCAAGAATTGGAGCATTCAAACCAGTTGAGAGAAGTGGTGCACGAATATCTTGACCATCAACAAGACCATCTGAATTTGTATCGCATTGAGAAAATTGAGCAGCAAATTCTGATGTGTTGACAGGCCAAGATGTATTCAATGAACCATGAGATGGAGAAACTAAAAAAATAAATATATATTTGAGAAAAAATGAAATTATTTTCAAATTTCACGTGGAAGTTCACGCTAAAATGAGAAACGGAATCTTTATTCTTTAAAAAATTACCTGGAAAACTGGCTGAGACGGGAGTTGAAGCTCCACTTCCATTATAGTGCTGGAAAATAAAAAAATATTCATCAAAAATGTAGATTATAACTTACAACTGCTGAATGTGCTCTTGGCGGTGGTGGAGCAGCTCTATGAAGTGATGAATGCATATTAACTTCATCAAGAGAAGTAACTGAACCAGCTCGACTTCCTAATGAAGGTCTTGGTGCATATGGAAGTGTAGATTGAGGAAGACCAACTTTACTTGGATGAATTAGATTTGGTGGAAGTTGAGCAGGAATTGGTTCACTTTGAAGTGCTCGATAAACCAAATGAAGAGCAATTGTCATTTCGATTCGATCCAAACATCCATCTTTATCTTGGTCAGATAATTCCCAAATTCTTGCAAGTGAAACTGGATCAAGTCCTGAATTAATTAAAACCGGACGAACACTTGCTCCAGATAGTTTTCCGTTTATTGGATTCAATGATTGAAAAATTGAATCATATTTATTTTGATCGGCTTCTGTGATTGGCCAATTTGCTGGGAAACCATTATGAATTGGAGAATGAGATATATGATTATGTGGAGCTGGTGGAATTGGAGGAGCTCTTCCAACAGAAGGAAATGATGGTTGAAAATGATGTTGTTGATTGATTGGAGGAATTGGAGCTCCGAATTTTGGTGGAGCGATTGAACCATCATACAATGCTGAATTCGATATTTGTTTTCCTTGTTGAGCTGCAGCTACTAATTTGAATGCAACAAATGCTCCTCTTTTATCTAATGATCCTTGTTTTGTTGAATCACTCAATTCCCAAATTTGTCCAAGAGAAGGCATCGGAAGATTCGATTTTTTCAAAAAGTTTGCAGCTTCGGCCGCCCCAATTCTTGGGAGTCCTTGAGGATTGAACTGAAATTCTACTTTTTACTAATTTTATTCTGATAAAACACTAACCTCTGCATACAATTGATTGTAAATTTCATTATTGGGAGTAGCTATTGCATATGAGTCGTCCATTTATCTGAAAAATGTATCAAATGACAAGAATTGGCAAGAATGCAGGAAAATATTGACAAGAAAATGCATGCACTCTCTCTCTTCTCAACATTTTCTCTCTCAACTACTCTCTATCGATTTTTGAATAAAGGAAGGGGTTGCTACTTGCATGAATTGGGAACGAGCAAATCTTTTGGCAACTTTTTTTGCGATGGGAAAAAGAGAGTTGTTCACTAAAAATGTGAGGAATGCCGTCATTGTGTTTACAGATTGACAGGAACTGTTTATTTATGAAATGGTGAAAGTTAATATAAATATTTATACATTTATGTAGGAGTTGTTATAAAACAAAGATTATTTGCACGTTGAAATGTTTATAAAACACCCACACAAAAATGAAATTAATTTCAATCAATTAATTTTTTATTTGATAAAAGGGATACTGTAGGTAGAGCAAGTCCGCAATGGTGTTTGCACACAACTCGGAACAGTTAAATCCAGCATGGGTGACATAGTTTTTTTTTGGAAAATTCCTTTCTGAAAAATATGCGCATCGAATTGGTCAAGTCTTTGCGATCAAAATGAGTGGTTGGATGATAATATTGCAATTTTTGTCAATGTTCTGGAAAAAAAAGTATTCTGAAAAATTTCCAGGTTTTTGAAGTGACAGATAGAAAATCCTGATGCTCTAATTTTGGGCAGTTTTTCCAGGATGTTCGAGGTTTTAGGTTTGATTGATTTCCATCATCAAATGTTTCAAGTCTGTGTTTATAAAAAAATGACATTGTGATAAACAAATGAAAACTACAGTAATCGTTCGCAGATGTTTGAATTACTTTACAAAAAAAAAATCCAAAATGTTCTTCGAATTATTTCCATTTGAAAAATTCCATTTATAAAACAAACAATAATAAAAAATAATTATGAGACAACAAAAAATCAGTGAAAGTCACTTTATACAAAATCCGACTCTCCTTCTCCTTATTCTTCTTCTTCTTCTTCAAAATATACGCCCAATTAGAGAAAACACCCAAAAAAATCAAAACAACAAGTACAAAACAATATTCTTGCAATTTATTCAATAGTAATTTGTAGTAAGACAGACGTTGTTTCCAATTTTTGAATCGAATCCCTCGAAAAAAAGAAGAAGAAGTAGAAAACTCGTTACATTACTCTTTCTTGTCTTTTTTCTGTCATCTCCTAAATTAAACGGTATTCGGTTTTTGCTTTGTTGGGATAAAGTATGTACATAAACAAGTTCGTTATTCACGCCCATTCCTTCTTATTAGTTAGAATTATGGTTTTTTTTGTCCCTCAAATCTTTTCTTGTTAGTTTTTCTTGAAGTTATCTTGTTACAGACAATTATGAGTAGAATTTTGATTTTTTCTCTAATTTTGGTACATCAAACCATTCAACTATCAAGAGGAGGCAATATTGGTAAGTTTGATTTTTTTCGGGAAAACGTTTTCAGAAACTAACTACAGTAACCCCCAATGAAGTGTTGAGAACAAAAAACATGGGTTACTGTAGTTCCCCTTTGTTTGCTCCAGATGACCAAAGTATTACTTTGGTACCAATTTCTGCATGATCCAATTATAATTAGTAAATCCAGAAAATTGTTTTTTAAATTTTATTTTTGTGCCCTGACTCTTTTAGTTTTTTTAAATGTTTCCAAAAAAGTTCTAAGCCTTTAGGTTAACTTTAGTCTTGCCCCCACCCTCACCTTTTCAAATCTTCATTGAAATATTCCAGTTCTCGAACAAGATCCACGACAACAAGATCCATTTTATCGACAATTCAATGCTCGTGCAGCTGGTCTTCCATTAGCATCTGTCAATTCAGTTGTTCATAATATCAAACAACAAAATGAATTTCGCGTTCTCGATGATACTTTGCGATCTTCATTAACCCCAGCTCCTCCACCATCTGCGCCACAATGGGTTAGAGGAAGGCCACGTGGAGGTGGAGCACAACAACAACAGCAACCAACATGGTTTCAAAAGTAAGATAGATTTTGAAAATTAGAACTTAAAAAATATATATTCAGATACAGCGAGGGTGATGGATATGATATTGACGGAGGTGGAGGAGGAGGGAGACAAGATTATGATTCTTATGGCGGAGGAGGTGAATATTATCCGGCAGCAAGACCACGTGGACCAAGACCTCGACCTAGAAGGCCACCTCCTCCGAGGGCACCAATTCGAGTAAAACCCGATGAATTTGTTGATAATGGAGAAGAAGCTGTTGGTGGAGGAGGAGGAGGATTATTTGCTGGAGATGGTGAAGGAACTAAAGAAAGTGCGAATGGAAAAGAGAAAAATGGAAAGGATAAAAATGATGGAGAAGGATTGAAAGTTGATAATGAAGGAACGAAAAAAGATGATGGAGAAGGAATGAAGAAAAAAGAAGAAAATGAAAAAGATGATAAGAAAAAAGATGAAAAAGAGGATGATAAAAAGAAAAAAGAAGATAAGAAGGATGAAAAAGAGAAAGAAAAAGATAATGAAAGAAAAAAGAAAAAAGGAGATGATGACGAAGAAGAAAATGATGAGGAAGAGGAAGAAGATGATGAGACAAAACATGGACAGATTGATTTAGCTGATGCTGGAATACAGGTATTTGAACTTGGATAACATTTGGAAATAAATTAGTATTTCAGAGATTGAAAGGTGAAACCCAAGGTGAAGATGCGAAAGATGAAGGAACAAAAAAGGAAAAGAAAAAGAAAGGAGAAATTGATTTAGAGGAAGTTAAAGCAAATGGAGCACAGGTTAATTGATAAAAAAAACATTTCGATATTTTTAATTGATTTTATTTTTGTAGGGTCTACGGGGAGATTCGAAAAAAGGAAAGCAAAAATCGAAAAAAAGGAAAAGATGATGATGAGGAAGACGAGAAAAAAGAGAAGGTTTGGAATTCATTTCTAAAATTTCTTGAGTTCACGCTTTGTTTTAAAAATTACGAAAAAAATTTAAAGTCATTTCAAAAAAATTCAAATTGTCATTTTTCAGAACGACAAAAGTAAAAAAGGTGGAAAGAAAAAAAGTGATGATGATGAAGACGAAGATGAAGAAGAGGATAAAAATGGAGAATTGAAGAAAATTGAGGGAGATGTTAAAGTCATGAAAGCTGTTGATGGAGAAACAAATAGTGAAGAAGGAGAAGAAAATGATGAGGAAGACGAAAAGAAAAAAGGAGGAAAAAAGAAAGGAGGAAAGAAAAATAAGAAGGATGACGAGGAAGAGGAGGAAGAAGACGAAGATAATGAAGATGAGGATGAGGAAGAAGAGGAGGAGGAAGAAGAGGAAGAAGAAGAGGAGGAGGATGAAAAACCAAAGAAAAAGAAAAAAGGAATGAATAATAAACCGAAATGCAACAATATAAAACCACAAAATGGAAATCCTCAAGGAGGAGGAGGTCAACAATATCCAGCTACAATTCAACCAGATCAATCATATTATTTTACAACAATACCTACAACCACCACAACAACTTCAGCACCATATCCAATTCCAATGGGAGCAGCTGCGGGTGGATATAGGGTAAGTTGATGGGAAGGGGGAACACCTCGGCCAAAAACGGGGTTCCAGAAGGTTCAACTACTAAAATAAAAATCAAAATTTTTATATATTATTTTGAAAATATTCTCAATTACTATTTTTTTAAAACTTATGGCTTTCTATAATTTCAGAAGAATTTGAATTTTTCATATTCAAAGTTGTCCCAAAAAATCCTGAAAGAATTACTGTATATTACCGTTTTCAGGATGATTATCACGATTTTGAGATGAAAGAATGTCAAAATGGAAAAGATGAGGAAGAAGAAGAAGAAGAGGATGATGAAAATGATGAAGATGAAAATGAAGAGAAAAAAAAGAAGAAAAAGAAAAAAGATAAGAAAAAGAATAAGAAAAAAGGTGGAAAAAATAAGAAAAAAGGAAAGAAAAATGGAAAGAAAAAACACGCGAAATTAAGTTTTGATTATTTGACATCGAAAGAAAAAAATAGATCAAGCAAAAAGAAATCGAGGAAATATATTGGATGAATTACATTGTAAGTTAATTCCTAGTTTTTGAGATTTTTCGGGGTACTGTAGTTTTTTTTCAGCGGAAAGCGATTTGAAGAAATTACAAAAATCATCATCGAAAAAAGATTCAATGGGAATTGATTGTAAAACTGCGCAGGATGAATTTCCGCTAAAATGTGGTGCGTGGCAATCAGCTGGATTTTGCGAAACAAATCAAGCGACACAATTCCTTTGGTGTCGAAAAACATGTCTTTGCTCTTCAATATTTCCAACGACAACAACGCTAGCTACAACTACTGATATATTCAAAAATTGAGAAATGAACATTTTTATAAATAAATAACAGAAATATTCAACAAAACACAACAATAAAGCAACAGATTTTTTTTGAAAAAAACAAACATTTCTAATCATCAACAACTTGAACATTATAAAAAGAAACTGAGAAAAGGAAAAATGGATCAGTTGATCGACAATTCGCGAACTTCAAAAATGGAAAAACTCCAGGTTCACGAAAAACGAGAGAACCACAATTTGGATTTGGCTCAATTCGAAGAAGTTCTTCTTGTTCTCCTTCCGCAATATAAATCAAATCACCTCCAGCTGAATCAACCCATTTGTTTTTTTGAACAAAAATATGAAAATCCAAACAATATCCATCATTTGTACTTTGTTCAGCATCTTCATCTCCAATTACCCAATAACTTCCATGTTGAATTCGAGAAACTCGAATACTACTTTCAGCACCTGAATACAATTTAACTTATTTAAATATCATTAGTTGTCTATATCAAACTTACCAGTTAAAGTTACTCCACTGATTTTTCCGAGGAAAGACACAATATTTTTAGATTTCAGCATATTATACAACTTTTTGGATTTCTCAAATTCACCGATTTGGCTTTCGTCAATTCTGAATATATTCCTTTTGCTAACCGGTCCAATATTTTTTGAAAGACTTTGAATTTTTTGAAAGTTCTTCATACACTGCATTATGTAAATCGTTCTGAAATTATAGATTAGATTTTTTCGAGCTTTGATTTCTCCAAAAAAACATACAACTAAAAAATTGGAAAGATTCAATTCAGAATTATCCGCAAATAATTGTTGAACTTCATCTTGTCTTTCTTTTTTCAAATATTCCATGTTCAGATAATTTGATAGTTTCGCCTTGTTTTCGGGAATAAATCTTGGAATTTTTTCTGCTTTTGGTTTTTTCGGTTCAATTCTTCTTGTTGAATGAAACCATCCATTTATTGATAATCTCGGATCATCTGATATTATTTCAGCCACACGATGCCAGGATTTTTCAGAAACTTCAAACAAATTCAAAGAATTTCGTAAAGGAACCAATTCGACAGAAATTGTTGTTGGAATTGAATGCTCTGAGAAAAAGATTGAACATTTTTATGAAAAAAGATTTACTTACTGTCTGAATTGAATAGTTGCAAATTTCCTCCATTTGTTTTTGGATTCCAATTTGGGCAGGTCAAGTAATAAACAAATGCAAATCTTCTTGTTTCAATCTAAAATATTTTGATATTTAATATTTTTAAATATAAATTCAAAAGAAAAAAACAAACCAAATCGTTGTGTGGAAGAAGTGAATCAGTTTGAGAATAACAACTACCATTACAATCAACTTGATCAATTAATTCAATTCCGGATATATTTTGAAGCCAACAACGAGCTTCGTTTTGAAGAAATTGACTGTAAAAAATAACCATTTCACATTATACATTTTTTGTTCAAAAACTCACCGAAAAGCAAATATTTTTGGATAATTCAACGGCGAGATTGACTTCAAATCATCGGTTTGATATAAAGAATAAAGATCGTTCTCCTTTCTTTTCCATTCTTCGAAATTTTGCAATTCTTCTTCTAATCTTTCAACAAAATTATCCGAATTATCGATAAAATTTCGAATTTGCCAATTTGGAAAGGGTGAACAGCCTGAAACATTCATCATAATTTCTGAATTATTTGAATATTACAATTACCTTGTAATCCTTGCCTAAAACTTTCTTTGAAACTATCCTCAAAATATTTTTGATTAATATGACATGTTTCCAATATTGCAGATCTTCTTCGTTTTTCTTTCAATGGAGTCCCATTTGACTTTCGTTTCATATTTGATTCTAATTTAAATTTTGATGATTTTTTTAAAAATCTTTCACCATTTAGATATTTTGAAAGTTGACGAACTTCTGGATAAATTTTGAAAAAAAGAGAGGGAAACTAAAAACAGATTTACCCGAGTATAACAAACTAACAAAAATAAAAGTTAACAAAAAATTAAACAACAGTGAATCGATTTTCATATTCTTCAGATGCAATTAGACTCTTTTTAATCTTATCATGTGTAAATATCATAATAACTGGCAAGCCTTGTTTGATTTGATATCCAGGAGTACTCAAAACTGATCCAAAATCATTCCATTCATAAACTTCCATTAAATATTCATCATATTGATCGGCGATGAAAAATCGAACATTTTCGAACCTCAAATTTACATAAAATTAAATTTGTCAGTAATTGTATCTTTACTTACTTATAAACGTGTTCTTTGTCCCATTCTGCAGGCGAATCTAAAACGGCTTGCAATAATTCACCAACTGTTGTCTTCTCACAAGTTTCAGTCAAAACATCAATTTGGCCAACTTCTGGATATTGTAACAAAATCGGCCAAATCAAATTGTTCTCATCGTCAAATTGAACAATTTCGTGCTAAAATTAACTTTTCTTTTCAAAAAAAATTCTGAAAATGAACAAGTTTACCTTTTTCATGAAGCTTAATGATACAGTCAATCTTGAATTATCCATCAATTCTGGATAATCAAAAGGAAGTCGAGGACTCAAATTCAAATTTCTAGATTTCAAAGCATCTAATAGTTTTCGTTTCGATTCAATATCTTTTCGTTCTTCGACTTTTGATTTTCTCAAATTTCTTTCTTCGAGTAATGATAATTCAACCGCTTTTTTACGAAGTTCTTCCATTTTTTCAATGAATTTCTTCTCATCTTCATTCAAATCCGCTGTAAATTCTTCGTTATATAATTGAACTAATAAAATTACTCACAATCTTCTGAAGTTTCTTTGACAAAAGCAAACATCTTTTTACTTGTTTCAATCCATTCCAAAGCATCTCTTCCATATTCTAATTCTAAAAGACATTCGGCTCCTCTTACAACTCCTTTTAAATTTGTTGGATCGAATTTTCTACCCATTGAACAACTTTTGATTGCAGAACGCAAATTTCCGATATGTTTGTGAGCAGCTGCGCAATTGAAATGAAGAATTGCATTGAGTTTTTTATCCGCACATTTTTCTTTGAGACCTAAATTCACAAGTAAAAATTGAATCAATGACAAAATGTATATCTACCATTTGTGTATGCATCAATTGCCCATCGATATTTCTTGAATTTAAAATGTTTATTTCCCTCATTTTTATGATGTTCCGCATTCATTTGAAGATCTTCATCATCTTCTTTGTTATACTTCATTGCCTGCAAAGCTTCGATTGTATCGTGATATTTTCCATCGGTTGATTTCAATTCAGTCATAAATGCTGGATGTTGATCAATCTCTTTACACCATTCATCAAAATCGAAAGGCTTTTTTGGTTCGGATTTCTCAGCCTGAATATTTTTTTTTGAAAAATAAAAATATCTCATAAATCACAAACCTTTCTAGCAGCCATTTCTTCCATAAATTGTTCGAGCTCATCGTCGAGTTTTTTGGTAAGAGCAGCTCTTTCTTCTGTTGTGTATTTCTTCTTTGGTAGTTCCATTATCTGCGAAAAAAATTATTTCGAAAGTTTTGATACTTTACATTTAGAAATAGACAAAAGAAATGAAGACTTCTCAATTGAATCAAATAAACGCCAACGTTTTGATAATTTTACAAAAAAAAACGAAATGAATTTCAAATAGAATGGAATAATAACGGATTAAAACAATTTTTCCGTGACACATCAAACTGAAACATTTCTAATTTTAAAACCGAAAGTCATTTTTATTTCCAGACAAATGCAAGAAACCCCGAAAGAACTTGTATTTTTAGGGAAAAAATCCAAAAAATTAAATGTAATTGTGAAGAAAGCAAACGCGCTCCATCGTTCTCTTCCCTTTTTCTCTCAGTCTTACGGTATCACGCTGTTGGCATCGTGCCAATCGCATTTGTCAAATAGAAGACACAAGGTTTATCTATCTGCTGTTTTACATTGTTGTTGTTTTGTGTCGGTGGTTGTTTCTTCAGCTAACCTGAATTTTCCTCCAAGTTTCAATATTTATGTTATTGATTTTCAGGATCGAGCGAACGCTTCATGGCTTAAAGTCAATTTTTCTCCAATTTTGTTATATTTTTCGATCGAAAACGCTGAAATATGACTGTCTGTCAAAATAATATTAATAACGGGTATCCAGATATAGATGAAGATTTATTGATTGGAAATATATCAGAAGTAAGTTATAAGTTTAGAGATATATTTTTCCAATAATTTGTTTTTTTCAGATTGTTCCAAATACTCTTTTTTTGCATGCTTCAACGAAGATGTCGAAGAACAAGTTGTTCGCGGAAGAATATCATATGTTTCTTTTCATGGAAAGTTTCATTATGAGCCATTTTATCAAGATTTTGGACCATGGAATCTGTCAGTTTTGTATAGATTATGTACACATATAGATAATCATGTAGAGGTATCATTTTTTTTAAATTAAAATTGATTAATCGATTTTGTTTTGTAGGTGGAAACTAAACGCGGTCGTAAAATAGTAATATACTGTTGTGATCGGAGAAATGGAGAATTTGATCGAGTCCGAGTTAATTGCGCATATGTTCTTGCTTCTTATCTCATAATATATCATGGTCTAACTGCCGATGACGCATTTCTTGCTGTTAGTTCTTCTCAACCACCAAAATATATTGGTTTTCGAGATGCTTCGATGGGAGAACCTACTTATCTTTTACAACTTCATCAAGTTCTCAGAGGTGTTGAAAAAGCTTTAAAACACGGATGGTTGGATTTCAGTGATTTCGATTATCAAGAATATGAATATTATGAAAAAGTCGAGAATGGAGATTTCAATTGGATAATACCAGATAAGATTTTGAGTTTTTGTGGACCACACAATGAAAGTAGAATTGATGATGGATATCCTTATCATGCACCAAGTCTTTATTTTGAATATTTTCGAGCTCGTGGAATATCAACAATTGTTAGATTAAATGCCAAAAACTATGATGCGAATAAATTTATTCGCGCTGGTTTTGATCATGTTGATCTATTTTTCGTCGATGGAAGTACACCTTCAGATGAAATTGTTGAGAAGTTCATAAAAATAGTGGATAATGCAAAAGGAGGTGTTGCTGTTCATTGTAAAGCTGGATTAGGAAGAACTGGAACATTGATTGCATGTTGGATGATGAAAGAATATGGATTGACTGCTTGCGAATGTATGGCTTGGTTAAGAATATGTAGACCTGGAAGTGTTATTGGACCACAACAACGCTTTTTGGTTAGTTTTTTCAATGGGGAACATTTTGAATATTCTGAATACTTTAGAACTTTGAAAACAAACATTTTTTTGTAAATTTGAAATGTTGACAAATTTTTCAATTTTTGCAGATTGACAAACAAAAAATGTGTTGGGCTATGTCAAAATCAAATGGAGTTCATCTTCCAAAAGGAGCAATAAAAGATGCATCGAAAAAAGGAGCATTGAATAAACTAACCAATAAAATTGATAAAATCCATCTTGATAACAAGGAAACTGAGTCGAATGGAAATCCTACAAAATCTCAGGAAAATAAAAGACCTCGCCCAAATATTTTGCCACTTCGAAGAAAAACATCTGCACAAAAATTGGATCAACAAAATGGAAATGTTTCTGGAAACGATAAACATGTGGCTGATGAAACAGCTTTGGATGAAAAAGGAAGATCACAAGGAGATCGATTATTAGCTCTAAAAGCAAAACATCAACATGAAAAAACAAATCAAAAAGAGCAAAGATCAATGACATTACCAAGTCAAGCATATTTAAATAAGAATAGAGAACCGATGCCACGTAGACAACATTCTCCTCCTCAACAACAACAAAGATCTCCAATTATGTATCGAACAAGGACACCTGGAGTATCAACAAATTTATCAAGAACTGTAAGTTGTTTTTTTTTTCGTCTTCTTATAGATATTTGGAAACTTCCTATTTATTTTTATCAAATATTTCAGGGAAATGAACGATACAGATTTCAGACAGCCTTATTTTTACAGGTGATAATGAAAGTGTAACACTTGAGAATAACGCTTGAAAATAAACAAACATTAATTTTTGATCTGATTTCTACTAAAATCAAATATTTACCTGATTGTGAACCCTATGTCACCTTTTTATTTTCAGCCAGCTTCTGCTATTTTTCCCTCAATGGCTTCTCGTCGAAGTGATGTTTCTCGTTTTTCGTCTCCAACAACTCCAATTAAACCAATGTCACCATCCGCTAATTCAACATGTTCGATTAGTGGAATATCTTCTCTGAGACTTCGACAACAGCGACTACGCGATGTTTCATCGTCGTCTTCACAAATTGCACCATCGCCACAGGTTTGTCTTTTTTTTTGTTGAAATTTTTTGGATCGGATCGAATATTCTATAGAGTTCGTCTCTGACAGAACTTTCAAAGTCTTTGCCAAAAATATAGTAAGGTGTATTTTTGAGTGCGCGACTTTCCCTTCAAAAATTCTTCCCCGCCCGGTTTTTTGATTTGGTTGAAGTGCTTTGTGCTTGTGGTTTTATTTTGGTTCTCCCCTTCTCAATTTTCCATTTTTTTCAACAACAAAAATTCCAGTGACAACAAGCCCTTTATCAATTAGATAGAAAAACCCATAAAATATAGTTGACCCTTAATAAAAAAAAATAAATAAGAGTTGTACTTTTTTGAACTCTTGACGTTTGGAATTTGAAAAAAAAGAGATTTTCGGGATTGCATGTTCTGTTGTGTTTTCAGTTTGGTTTGATTCGTCTACCTGCCAATTCATATACTCGACCTCTTACTCCACACAATTATTCGACTCGTTCAACAAGTTCAATGATTAAAATTGCTCCAACTACCTCAAATTGCTCATTAAAATCAACCAGCACACCGAAAACCTCAAAACAATAGCTTGGCTCTTCTTTTTTATTATTATTTTACGTTGTATATAAGTTGTTCTTGTTAAACATCTCTCAACTCACCGTTTCCCCCAAAAAATTATCTTTCACCAAAAATTCTTCACTTTTTTCTATATATTATTGCTTGAAATCATTTGATGATAACTTTTTTTTAAATTTAAAATAATTAAATAAATAAATACAATGTTGCAGATTTCTCGTTGTACATTGAGTACTGACACAAATAATAGACCACGACGAATTTTATCGTCAACAACAACTAGCAAATCATCATCTTCGCTCAAAAAAGTTCAAATATCGAGGTATTTGAAATATTTGGGATTTTAATTGGAAATATTAATGAATTCCAGACCTCGACCGTATCCTTTTCAAGGAGTTCGTGTTAAATTAGCAGCTAATGATAATCATTATTCATTGAGATCGAAAAAAGAATCGAATATTTTACCTGGATCAACATTGCCACCAAATACTGACGCTTTTCTTGGAGTGAGTTTGAAGATTAGATTGAAGAATTTGGATAAAAAACATCATAAATCCGAAATTTTTTTTCAAAAAACATTTTTGAGTTTCAGTCTTCTTCTAGAATTCTCGCACGAAATCGGATATTTGAATTCAATTTTCTAGATTTCGAGATTTTTTATAGGATACTGTAGTATCTGAAGCTGAAAAGCTTCCTGTTTCTCACATTTATATTCCAGAAACCCCGAAAAAATTACAGTAGTTCTAAAAAGTCAGAAAGATATTCTGAATCTACAGTAACCCTTTGAATGTAGTTTGTTCTACAGTATCCCGTAAAGAGCCCCATTTTTTTCGTAGATCAGTAATAAAAATTAACAAATAAAGTTGCGGAGTAAATTACAGTACTAAAAATTCAAATTATCAATTTTTAATTCATTTTTTTCAGAACAAACGACGAAAATGATATGAAAAAGTTTTGGCTCAAATCAATCAATACTCTTTGCTTTATTCTATCTTGCCTCAAATGCTTTTATTTTCTCAGTTTTAAAATTGTATAATATTTACCTTCATAGTCAAAAATTGTCATTTTACTGAATATTTCAGGCTGGTCCTTTTCTCTGTCTATTGATAAATATTCCTTTAAAAAAATAGAAAAAAGATTTATGCAATATTTTGAGATGATCAAAATGGATCTACTTTGTTTGTAAGTTCAAAATTTAACAAAAAAGAAAAAAAATTAGAATTTGACATCAATGTTAGCTGGTTTGAAATGATTTGCTCGTTTTTTAATATTTCCGGTTATTTTTGTTAATTTGACAGGTTCGAAATCAATCAAAATATCATTTGAATCACCAGCTGTTTTGTGCAATTTCACATGTGTTCGTTTTTTGTGTCTTCCTCCAATTTGTGTAACTATTCCAGTTTTCACAAATTTTACAGGCTTGAATTGTATCATCATTTCATTTCCCTGAAAGACAAAACGTTTCTTTTTAATACTTTAAGTCTTATCTAAAGAAGATTTCAGACGTTTTTTTCTTATTTCGTGGATGCCCTCCCTACTTATTATCTTTTTTTTCGGAATTTAATGGTTTTTTCGGTATTTGATGATTGATCAACTAATAAGAGTTCTTTGTTTTTACCTCTTCTTGAAACATTGAAGAAGGTTCAAAATAATGATTTGGACAATGCGATGGTTTCACACATTTTCCATCGTAATCTCGAACAAATCCTGAATTGCAAACACATCGAGGAAAATAGCATTTTGGATGATCGAGTTTATTCAAACAATGGGGAAGGCTGAAAAATATCTCTCTATTTTTTTCCATCCTTTATCACGTCAACTGACCTGAACATGTTCTCACAAGATTTTTCACAATGTTTTTCTGGTCCACAGATCAAATGATGTTCGTGTTCCTCACATTGTTCCGCATTTCTTTCATTCCGAATTCGAATCACCGAACGATTACGTAAACGCTGGAAAAAGGAAAAAGAAGAGTTAAGCTGAAGGAGAATGTTCGATAAGGGAAAAGTCGATGCAACCCTAGATTAAAATTGGGAAATTGAATGATTGTTGAAAAAAAAAATATTGACATGTGATTGAGATCTACAAAATTTCATGGAATTTGGAGTATCTTATGAGAGCTCTAGAATTCTCCGTTTTTGGAAAATATTGAAAATCCATTATTGATTTTCACGTGACCTATTATGTGGCATATTAAATCTCATTTTTAAGAATTTTCGGAATTTTACAAACATTTTTTTTTGAAAACAGGATTACGTAGTCGGAAAAATATCACTATTGAAACTCGAATAAAAACACGAAATCTCAAAGTCTACAGTAACCCAGACACCAAAACTCACATTTTTGATATAATTTCGTCTTCGACTTCGATTATGATGATGATGGAATAATTCAGCGAAACACGTGGATATCAATCCAAAAATAATGATAAACACAAATATTTTCATTTTCTGCAAAAAAAAACTTATGAATGCCAATGACCCCTCCCATTGTAAACCTCCTCTAAAAACGGTTCTCTTTTTTTCTATGCCTAATGATAAAAAAGTGAATTTTATCAGGGAAATGAAATTGAGACCAACAAATACATAAATTTATTAATAGAAATTTGAAAATGAAAAAAGGAAAGAGAGAGCTGAAAAAGGTCACACCCCGAAAGAAATGAATCAGGAGTTTTATACCTGGGGGTCGGCTTTATCAACAATTTTTTGAACTTTTATGGGACAATTGTAGGCGTTTCATTTTTTTTCGAAAAAAAGGCCAAACAAAATTTCAGTTTGAAGATATCATATGAGTGGTTTTCTTGAAAATATAACATCTATATCAAATTTCACTTTTTCTGAGTTGTCACTAAAAAGTACGAATGAAATCGGAACTCATTAGGAAAATCATTTCTACTCTCTAGAAATCGCAGATGTTTTTGATTTCAAAATAATTTACGGCTTTACAAACTTGTGGAGCAGAAAATAAATATATGAAAAAAATCATCTTTGGAATGAATGTCTATGAAAAAATTCGAAATTTGATGGGTGAGAATTGAATTCATTGAAAAATTCAACACTGAAAGAAAAATAGATGACATTACTGTATTTTGATAAAAATGAGCCCACCCTCCTTTCAATCAATCATTTCTATTTTTTCAACAAAAATTTGACATAATTATTTGTTATCTTTGTTTCAAATAGTTTGACGAAATAAAATAGAAAAGGAGAATTTGAAAAATGTAAAAGGTTATCTATCAATTAATGAATTGACTCCTGATAACAACAGAAGTTTAATGGGAAAATGTGCGATTTTATTTTTATTTTTTTTTCAACAAAAGCATAACTCAAAAACAAAAAAGTCCAAAAGTTTTATCAAACTATAATCCCTTTAAATGAAGGTACCTACGTAAGTATTATTTTTTGAGAAACAAAAAGAAAAAAAACATGAAAATATGATGTTATAATTAAATTAGCCAAAAACAATTGGATGAGAATAGAAAAAATTAGGAACGATGAAGGATTAAAAGTACTCGCTTGCTATGCATTTTGTTTGTTTCACTAATAAATAACAAAAAGAGGCTAGACGTTGAAGTTGGTTGTTCTCAAAATTTATTACCGGCCGAGCTGATTCATCAACAAAATATTTTCCACTTTTTTTCGAAAGATAAAATATTATGCTTTTTAGATGTGCAAAATATTTGTTGTGAAATTTTTTGGAATGATGATATTTTTTGAGAGAGGAAGTAGTTGTTTTCGTATGGCAAATTGTTTTGAAATGCAAAAAATACAGTCGAAATGTGTCAATTATTGACAGAAGTTTGAAAATGACAGGTTCTCAAAGAATTTGAAGAATTTTCTTGTTGTGAAATACGTAGTAATTTCCAAAAAATATATTCGACACAAAATTTGAAAAATCGTCATTCAAAAATGGATATTGTGCCAGAATTGTGCGGAGGAGCGCACAATCGTACATACACAAAATTATTTTTATTTTATTTTTTCAGTCTACCCGCGCGCGCTCGTTGTTTTTCCAAGGATCGAACAGAAAAATGTCGATAAAAGGTGAGATTCAGTTCAGTTCTCTCTTTTTCACTGTTTTAGCCTAGTTTCCGACCAAATTTAACTATTCCCAATGAATATTTTGTTTTCAGAAAATGGCAGCGAATCGCACGATTGCGGATATGGCGTTTGTCAAAGAAGAAGATAAATCATATTTCGAGGAATCATCGCTATTCCCGAATATGAATCAAACGCTACCAAATTTCGACTTTGATCGGGTGAGATTTTTCCAGATTACTTTCAGTTTTATTCAAACCACTCGTTTTCTTCAGTTGGAGAAAGACTTTTCAAAACTTCTCATGGGAGATCAAAATGTTCGATTAGCCATGCAAGGATTCTCTCGAAATGCTCTTCTTGAACAAGATCCACGTACATTAGCCGATGATACGAGAGAGAATTTGATGCGCGAAAAACGAAGAGTATGTTTGAAACCGGAGAGAAGGTGTTGTTAATTACTGAACTTTTCAGATAGATTCGTTCAAAACCGCTCTTTGTGAACAACATCGACGTACTGGAAAATGTCCATATGGAGATAATTGTCGATTTGCACACGCTGTCGAAGAACTTCGTTTACAAAACGCGGTATAATTATATATATGAAATATGAAAAATGAAAATTGTTTGTTTTTTTTCAGTTCCGCGGACGTAATCATCCAAAATACAAAACAGTTTTATGCGACAAGTTCACAATTAATGGAGTATGCAGATATGGTAATCGGTTAGTTTATTTGAAAATGAAGTATATTTCAAACATGTGGTTTTTTTAAAGATGTCAATTTATTCATCGACTGGCAAATGACGAAGTTGTTAATCAATTGCGTGGAGTCACTGATGTTGAATTGCCGCCACCAAAACCACGTGTTCCACTTGTTGACATGAATCAGAGGTTTGTGAATTCATTTATCTTGTAAATTGTTTTCTAAATTTCATTTTTTCAGCTTGCCAGTGAATCAAAATGACATTGCTCGTGCATTTGGTCGATCTGTCGATTTTGGACAACCAAGTGTTCAACGTTTGGCTCGTTTTAGTGATCGTGAATACCGAAAAGCGACATTTATGAATTAGTTTCCCTTTTCAAAAGGTTCCCTCTAAATTTCTCACCCTTACCCCTCACCAAATATATTTGATATCTTTGTCTAATCACAATTTTCAATAATTCTGGTCCTCAAAGGAACCAACTTAATCAATTTGTTGTTTTTCGGTTGATTTATGTTGAAATTATGTGACTTACAAATTCTTTGATTACTCACAAACTTTATTTAAAACATATTGTCTCCTAAGTCGAATTATAAAATCCAAAAATAAAATTATTTTTTTTCACAACAAAATTGTTGATCCAAATGGTTTGCCACTAACCATTGTATTCTTTTTTCATCTTATGTTTTTATTTCTCTCAATTGTCTGATATGACACGTTGAAACCACGTTTCATACATCAAAAGTTTTCATGAAAATTGAAAGAAGAAGGATACATCAATGTTCGATCATATCACAACCCGACTGCTGTTTGTTTTCTTTAAAATAAAAGTGTTTTTTGGTTTTATTTTGTAATGTAGGCATGTTCTCGTGAGATTGTTCTAAAATTATTGTAGAAATGAGATGTTGTTAGGTTTTTTATCTCGGTGCTCTTGAAAGTCACAAGATGTTTATATTTTTCTGAAAACTTTTGATATTCAAACAAAAAACGAATATCACTGATCACACAATGAACAAATTCGAACAAAGTTCTTCATATCTAAATTTCTTGTTCTATTTTCCGCCCAACTTCTCAAATGATTCATTTTTGCATCATTGTCATCATAAAATTGTAAATAAACGCTTAACAGTTTCCACTAATTTTCTGATGACATTTTCACAGAAAAGAGAGAAATAGAGATAAGTATACTGTAATTAGATGAAAGAACGATAAGAAAAAAACGGGTTCCTCTTTTAATACATACCGTATTCATGATTGTTTTATTGGTTGAATTAGAAATAAAGCAAAATGAAAACAAAAAAATCTGAGAAATTGTACAAAATCATGGGAACAGAAAAATGGCAGAAAATCAAAACAACACGAGGCTTGTGATGAAATGATCTTCATTGATCATCTTCATTTTTCGACGAAAACAGACCAAACGTGGTTTTCGAGACAAAAATTGGGGCGGAGCGAAGAGTAAGGAAGAATCATTGAGATTAATATTTACTGTATTTTATCGAATTTTTGTATTTAAGCTTTGAGGAATGTTTTATTACTGTAGTAAGAGTGTTTTTGAATCTTGAATAAGTTTTTTTATTCAAAAAGGGTTGAATATCTGTATCAAATGTTCAGATCATTTTGTGATCTTTTGTTAATTTAGCCTAGATCTCTAATTTTAATTTATTTTTCAGTGAAATCCAGTTTATCTCAAAATTTGGGGCATTTTTCTATTGTAAAACACTTAAGAAAAAAATAATTTCATAATTTTTTTTTCAGAAACTGAAAAGCTTGGAATTCTGAAAGCGTATTCAAGAACATTAAACCCGAAGAAACCCATTCCGATTTTAAAAATATTTTATTTTCACAATTTACTACAATTTCAGAAAACTGTTTCTGTTTATGTGAAAAAAGTACTGTGGCTTCTTTGGCATACAATTTTCACAAATAAAATGTGCCAGATTTTCGTTTGTGATATATATTGCTCTTGGTGATTACACGTACAGAATGTGCTCCAATTTTTTGAGCATGCTTCATTTCATTTCCCTTTACAAGAAAATCTTGTAGATCAAAAGATCATTCGGTGAACAAACAACTATAAATCATCAAAAATTCCAAATAATATTTGTTGTTTTCGATTTGATTCCACATTACATCAGGTCCAAAAATGAGCTGATCAAGCTAGACTCTTTTTCTTTTTCCTATTTTTTCTCCTTGGTTACCAAAAGCACAATCCAATAGGATTATATTACTAATTGTAAACAACATTCATATTTTTTTCAAATTCATTTGCGAGAATATTTTTTATATATCATATTTTAACGGAAGTTTTTTTTCATACTTTTAAAGATCAAATGTTCAAATTGGTAGGTCTTTTTGCACGTGTGAAAAAAGACTGAATAGTGATTTTTTGATAATTGACTTTCTCAAATTTTGATTGATTGCATACTTTGCAAATGTTAATGATGATAATATCAGAAAATAATAGACTTTGAGCTTATTTTTCTTAGCTTCAAAATTTTTTCAAATATGGTTTCGGATTCAATAAAATTTTTCGAATTTTATTTCAACAATATAAAATTTCATTTTAAATTTTTATTGTGGAGGTTTATTTCCTAATAATTTTCTGAAATCAAAAATCATGTTCTCGAATTCTCATTTTATGTGTTGTGAACATAACATAAGGTTTCTTAGCCAAATATTTCTCACGGAGGATTATTCAAAAAGAAAACTTCAGACAAATTGAAAAATCAAACGACCAAATTGTAAAAGAAGATTTTGAACCGTTTGATATTTTTCGCCGCCCACTGAAAAAAGAGAACAAAAAACTGGTATCATTCAAATCAAAAAGAAAACACAAAACACTGATGATATTATAGTATATGAGAGAAATACAATGTATAGTTTTTGATGTTCAAAAAATTCGATGCTCTTTCCTTTCTTTTCTCTCTCCAGCTCCATAAAATAATAATCTCTCATATATTTTTCCCATTTGATCTTTTTAGACTTTTGCTCGTTCAAAAATTGGAATATTTGCCTTTCACTGTGTTTTTTTTTGCTTTCAAATATCGTTTGTCCTCGATTTTTTGCAGAGCGAAAAAAATTGAGCACGATTTGTGGTTTGTCTAGACCTTTTATGAAAGTTCAATTTTTGTTGTAGCTGATAAATTGTGTTTCTTGGAAAATTGTATTTGAATAAGAAAATGATGACTCTAATATATAATTGTGTATTGGTTTCAAACAGAATAAAACTTGTGACCAGATCGAAATTTTATGACTAGAAAAAAAAATGAATGAACTCATTGGTCTATCAAAACTCTTGTTATTTTTTCTATTTCATTATTATTATAATATTATTTTTCATGAACACTCCTTTTTCAATGTTTTCCTTTTCCTATCAAATTCCTTTTCTCGACTATACTCTAGTTTGTCGACTATTTGACGTGCTCTGCACATTTTATGAGAACAGAATAGAATAGAAAAGAGAAGAATATAGTATGATTTAGTAAATATAGCGAAACTCGATTATTTATTTGGTTTACTATTTTGCGTAAAATGGTGTAATGCACTTTTTCTTCCCTGTAGAAAATATTTGGCCTACTGTATAAATATTCTAACACAAAATACGCTTTTTGACTCATAATTAATTCTCGAGCCAAAAGTTAATTCTTGATCCATTAAAAGTTCATGTTCTGAGTACTTTTCAATTAGAAAGTACAAAAAATGGAAGTATCAAAATATTATTCATAATAATGTTCATTCACCATGACAACGCCGCCACCTTTTTTTTATCAGATTGTATTTTTGACCCTTCTCATATTATATTTATTCATACAAATAAAAAGATGTGATGACTGTTCTTTGGGGTCGATTTACTTTCGTAAATAAACATACAATTTGTCAGCGTTTTTTGCAATTAAAACTCTTGACCTCTGAACTTTTAAACACGTTTTTTTCAATTCAAAGGTTTTGCAAAATCTATTGTGAAAAAAATAAAAAAATTGTTTTTAATTCCAAAAAAAGGATCAAAATTTGGAATTTTAAAATATTTTCTCTCTTTTCAGTTTTTTTGCTTTCTAAAGGGTTTCGAGACATTTAAGAGTATTTCAAAAAATTAGAAATTTTATCAAACCTCACCCAAGAACCTGGAGTAGTGGGTAAAAAATTGCCCACCTGGGTTTATTTTCAAAAATTGCCCACCTACTAAAAAATTTTTGCCCAGCTAAGGCTCGCCTTGAAGACCCTAAAAAAATTGCCCAGCTAAGGCTCGCCTTGAAGACCCTAAAAAATTTTGCCCAGCTAAGGCTCGCCTTGAAGACCCTAAAAAATTGCCCAGCTAAGGCTCGCCTTGAAGACCCTAAAAAATTTTGCCCAGCTAAGGCTCGCCTTGAAGACCCTAAAAAATTTTGCCCAGCTAAGGCTCGCCTTGAAGACCCTAAAAAATTTTGCCCAGCTAAGGCTCGCCTTGAAGACCCTAAAAAAATTTTGCCCAGCTAAGGCTCGCCTTGAAGACCCTAAAAAAATTTTGCCCAGCTAAGGCTCGCCTTGAAGACCCTAAAAAAATTTTCCCAGCTAAGGCTCGCCTTGAAGACCCTAAAAAATTTTGCCCAGCTAAGGCTCGCCTTGAAGACCCTAAAAAATTTTGCCCAGCTAAGGCTCGCCTTGAAGACCCTAAAAAAATTTTGCCCAGCTAAGGCTCGCCTTGAAGACCCTAAAAAAATTTTGCCCAGCTAAGGCTCGCCTTGAAGACCCTAAAAAATTTTGCCCAGCTAAGGCTCGCCTTGAAGACCCTAAAAAAATTTTGCCCAGCTAAGGCTCGCCTTGAAGACCCTAAAAAAATTTTGCCCAGCTAAGGCTCGCCTTGAAGACCCTAAAAAATTTTGCCCAGCTAAGGCTCGCCTTGAAGACCCTAAAAAATTTTGCCCAGCTAAGGCTCGCCTTGAAGACCCTAAAAAAATTTTGCCCAGCTAAGGCTCGCCTTGAAGACCCTAAAAAATTTTCCCAGCTTAGGCTCGCCTTGAAGACCCTAAAAAATTTTGCCCAGCTAAGGCTCGCCTTGAAGACCCTAAAAAAATTTTGCCCAGCTAAGGCTCGCCTTGAAGACCCTAAAAAAATTTTCCCAGCTAAGGCTCGCCTTGAAGACCCTAAAAAATTTTGCCCAGCTAAGGCTCGCCTTGAAGACCCTAAAAAAATTTTGCCCAGCTAAGGCTCGCCTTGAAGACCCTAAAAAATTTTGCCCAGCTAAGGCTCGCCTTGAAGACCCTAAAAAAATTTTCCCAGCTAAGGCTCGCCTTGAAGACCCTAAAAAATTTTCCCAGCTAAGGCTCGCCTTGAAGACCCTAAAAAATTTTGCCCAGCTAAGGCTCGCCTTGAAGACCCTAAAAAATTTTCCCAGCTAAGGCTCGCCTTGAAGACCCTAAAAAATTTTCCCAGCTAAGGCTCGCCTTGAAGACCCTAAAAATTTTGCCCAGCTAAGGCTCGCCTTGAAGACCCTAAAAAAATTTGCCCAGCTAAGGCTCGCCTTGAAGACCTTAAAATTTTTTGCCCACCTAGATTTTTCGAAAAAAAAATTGCCCACCTGGAATTCCAGGTATTGGATGAGGTTTGAATTTTATTTTCTCAAAAATATATGTTTTTTTTTTGCGTGACATATTTCACGCTAAACTTTGTTTCTCATTTTCCATTTTCAATTTTTATATGTTGTTGATAATCATCTCATCTTTTTTTTCTCGGAATGATTTGATTTTTTGAACTGTTGCCCGTAGTCTACGAGGTCGATTTTATATTTGTTTGTGAATAGTGAGTTCATTTTTCTTGACGTACAATTCTCGTCATTCCGCGTCATCGGCTTTTTAGTTCGAAGTTTTTGAATGCAAATCTTTTTTTGTTTGAAAAAATGTTATCAAAATTATATACAAATGCTAATAATTTCAAGATTAGTCATCATATTAGCTATTTTTTAGAGATCGTGTTATCACAAATCCTATTAGAGTGCATATTTCTGTTTTATTTTTCATTCTGACTGCCTCGTTTTTTTTCTCTGTTTATTATTATATTTTAACCAATTTATTTTTAGATGCTCGTAGATACTATTAATATTAGTTCAACTGCATCCACTTCGGCCTCAACTTCTCCAAGTCTTTCGGTATCATCAAGAAGACCAATGTTCATTTGTGTTGTTTGTGGAGATGTTGTAAGTTACTAGCTCTCAAACTCGATTTCATAGAAAATTCATATTATTTTAGGCGCTAGGAAAACATTATGGTGTAAATGCATGTAATGGATGTAAAGGATTCTTTCGTAGAAGTATTTGGAAAAATAGAACTTATGCTTGTAGATTTGGAGGAAAATGTGAGATTGCGAAAGAACAAAGAAATTGTTGTCGATCTTGTAGATTAGCGAAATGTTTGAATGTTGGAATGAATCCAAGAGCTGTTCAGGGAGATCCGGTTGATGATAATATTGAATGGGATGAAGAAGGAACTCCAGATGTTAGGTAAGCTTAATTTTATTGTTAGGTTTCTAGAAGTAAATTGATTTCAGCGAGGTTGGTACACAAACTTGTATTCAAATGACAAAAATTAAAACGAAGATTGAAATTCAAAAAGACAAAATTGTTTCAATTCTTCGAGGAGTTTATAATCGAGTTGATCCTCAAGATTTATGGGAAACTACTTATCCTGGAGAATATGATTTTACCTATGCGTTTTTCAATACGCAAGTAGTTTCATCGCGAACTCCAATCAGACCAACAGCTGAAAGAGTTGCCAGTTTGGCTGATGTCGTAGCAGACTATCGGAGAAATTTTGTTCTTTACACCGATTTTGTAAAATCGATAAAACAACTTGATGAAATTTGTGATGATGACCTTATACGAATTGCGAAATCAAGATTTGCTGCATTTTATTGGTGGATGTGTGCAAATTGGTCAGCACAATCAGGTTGTGATGGAGTTTGTTATGCGAATGGAGCATATCACCCAGTTGAAAAAGCAGAACAGCCTAAATCGGAGGAGAATGGTATTCGAGTCGATTATGCAGGTGTTACTAGGAAAAGTATGGATATTTTGGTGAATCCTATCAAAAACATGGAGTTGTCAGAAGAAGAAATATTAATTGGAGCAGTTATGATTATACTAGCTGATCGTAAGTTATCAATTATCAGATTTTTGAACATGCTAATATTCTAGCAGTGCCAGAAGTCAATGAAAGATCGACTAGTATTTTGGAAAACGCGCGAGATTTCTATCTAGAGTGTTTGGCTTGTTGCTCTAAACAATCGGAAGAAAGAACAGCGGTACGAATTGGGCAGTTGACTTTACTCGTGGCGTCCATAACGGTATTTAATTAATATTTTTAAAAAAACGACCTTAATTTTGATTGTTTCAGGATCTCGTACACATGACAACGGACAATATGCAGCTTTCGGATGTTCTACATGTTATAGATTTCGGTCGTTGGTCTATGGAGTTGAGAGATCATAGATATAGACGTCAATTTTGAAAATTAAATGATTTCTAATAAACTTGTTCAACAATATTAATCATGACAATTTATAGTCAACAAATAACAGCAACAATTTAGTTGGCGGCAGTAGCACGTGGCTTTGGAGTTGTTCCCTCACGGAATCCATTTCTGAAAATTTGAAATGGTTGAAAATTCAATAATTTGCAATCGAAGATTTTTGTTCGGTGCCATTTACAATTATCCTCCTACTTAAATATTGATGATGCAGAAAACATTGAAGCAAGATTTAAGATTCAGAAATCTATCAAATACACTTCAAAAAATATCGAACGCGTTAAAAATTCTCATGTCGGCGTTTCAATCGCATAACAAATTACCAGTTTTTCAAAACTTGGTCTAGATCTATTTTCACACTGAAAAACTTTGAAATTTATTTTTGCTTAACTAACATCTTATGAATAACTCGATTCGGATCCAATTAGTTAAATAATTATTTTCTGTTGGAAATTAAATAAATCAATATTAAAAGAAACATACCTGAAGCGTCTGTTGACGTCTCTGAGGTGGCGGGTGCGGCCAGTTCCTGTGGTGCGTCTGCGGATTGATTTGGCTCCCCAGTTGTAGGTTCTCTTCTTGGCATCTGGATATCCGCATGAAGCGCAACGTTTCTTTTGGATATGGAATGACGAGCGCCCGCAACGCTTGCAGAGCGTGTGGGACTTGACGTGCTTCTTTCCGAAAGCTTGAGTACCCTTAGTCATCTGAAAAATAAAAATATGGTTTTGTTGCGGGAATATTCTAAAGAATGGAGGATTAATTTCAAGAAATAATCAGATGAAATCAAGAAAAATGAAAATGTTGGAAAAAAAACTATTTGAATCCTAGAAATTGCTTCAAAAAAAATTTCAAACTTTTTAAAATCGAAAAAAAAAATTTTAAGAGCATTTTTTCAGAAAAACTAAAAATCTGCATAATTCAGAGACGTTTTCCGTAATTTTTGGATATGATTTCGTTCCAAATATTGCATTTTTGGGCAAAAATTCATCAAAAAACCGAAAAAAAGAAAAGAAAATTTTTAGGAGAGGCAGTATTTTGTGTGTTGAGACATAGAGTCGTGACGAGAGACAAACAGAGAACAACTACATGTTCCTTTAATCTCTCTCGGCGGCTGTTCGAATTTATGTTTTTTTTCTTTTTTTTTTCATTTCATTTTTTTAAAAGAAAAGAAACATAAAAAAACGAAATAAATGAATTGAAACGTGTGCGTGAATGATGAGTCCGGATTTCATAAAATGGCGGTCATTTTTGGATAATACAAATTAGTAAAAAAGTAACTCCTACGAAGCATGGCATCAAGATCAAGAAGTAAACCAAAGTCTATCGGTAGATGGAAGGTTATATTTTCAAAGTAAGTTAAACGTTTAGAAACATTCAAAACTCCTAATAATGTTTTCAGTGATGTACAGAACAGCAATGAAACAGCGCCTTCTTCAAAACCACTCGATTCTTCATCAACACCACCTTCAGGTCAATTGAAATCAAAAAGCCGAAGAAGTGAAATGAAAAAGAAATTACTTGATGGAGGAAGCAAATCAAAAGAAGAAATTAAAGATAATGAGAAGGTTAAATCGGACAATGAAAGATCAATTGAAGAAAAAAAGGAAAAGAAAGAAGAAGGTGAAGCAAGTATTTTTGAAGAAGTCAAAGGACCAGCTCAACCAGCACAAGCTCAAACTCATGGAGTCAAAAACAAAATGAGATGGAAAATTGATGTTGAACCTGTTGGTAAGTTATAATAAATTGATAGTAACAAAAATATGTTTATACTTTAATTTTCAAAACTTCAAAATTAGTTTGTGAATAGATGGATGTTGTAAACATGTTGACATTCCCTGAAAAAAATCAATTTTGATCTGGTATATTTATAGTTATTTTACATTGGATCACATTTCAGAGGAATTGTTATATCACTTTCATTTTCATCAGGATAACATGAGTGTATAATTCGCACTCTTAAATTTTCAAAAGTGTTTTTTGATGTTCCCTGAGCTGTTAAATTCATGCTCATCTGATTTATTTCGAAAGTTCCAGTTGCATTTGTTATTTCATTTCCATTCAAAAATTTGAGAGAAACAACAACAGTTCGATTTTCGGTATATTTGCATAAAACATTGATTGTTGCATTGAATAAGTATGCTGTAATTTCAAAATTATTTAAAAATAAACAAAAATTATTTTCGCTAGAAATGTTTACCCACATTTTTCATTTATATCTGAAGGTGGAGTTTGTTCAGGTTCTTTATTAGGATTAGGATTAGAAATCGAAAAAGAAAATGAAATTAAAAATAGGATGAAAGTTAAGTGAAAAAACATTTGTTCAACAAGTTTTGTTATTTATCGATAATAAAAATTTGAAAATGTATTGAATTCTTTGTATCAATTCATTTCCATTGTTCTTTTCATTTTCAGATGTAAATGGTTCACAAAAAATCGAAGAAATTTGTGAGAAAGCGAAGAAATTGCGTCGACGAGCGAGACAAAAATCGAAGAATAAATTAAAAGGAACCAACAAAAGTGGGGATTTATCACAAGAAGATGAAATCAATGTTGAAGATATATTCCTTTGCGCAAAAATTCTTCAATTGATCAAAATGCAAAAATTGATTGAGAAGGAATTGAAAGAATCAGAGCAGGAAATATTGAAAAACTATTGTAGATCAGGATCGGATGAAGATAAAGCTGAACCAATTATTGACAAATTATCATTGGTTATTTTGAGTTCAATTGTCAGTAAAAATGATAATTGTAGAGTTCCAACTGTTCCTGGACAATTGAGAATGTATGCTGTTGATGAAAAAATGGTAGGAATTTGAAGAAAAAAATCACAGTTTTTAAATTTTATAAATTTTACAGGCGAAATTTCCAATGATTGCACTTATGATTGTTCGCAAAGACATGTTATATGTTTCCTGGTCGAAATCTGGTGAAATTGGAGATGCAACATCGGTTAGTTTATTTTCTCATAGAAAAATAAAAATAATATCAAGGGATTTTTAGGATCCAACTTGGTCGAGTATGACTGCTAAAAGAAACTAGGAAATGCTTGAAAATTGATTTATCATAAAGTTTTAGATTAGCGAATTGTATGGAAGAGTTTGCTCAATTTAGTCTCTCTTTGTTTTGTTTTTGGAGCCTGAGAAGATGCTGGGTTCAACTTCTTAACTCCAGTAGTTTTTGGTTTGATTGTTGTTCCAACAGAGGAGAGGTGGTTTTTGAGAAGAGCAATTGTTACTTTTGAAATACTCTCATTGTTTTTGGTTGAAGTTGATGGATGTTTATTGGCAATTTTTGGTTGAATTGTTGATCCAGATGTTGGCAAAATAGTGGACAAATTTGAAAGAAGATTCTTGAGAATAGTTGATTTAGATCCGATTGATACAGATTTCAAATTTGGTTTTACTGAGGAAGTAGTATTTTTATCATCTGATTTCTTGAGCAATTTTTGCGCAGGAGTTGATGACTCAACCAAATTCTTCTTGCCAGTCAAACAATTCGAGGTCGTGGTTCCAATATCAGCTTTCAAATTTGATGGTAAAATTGTGGTAATATCAGAGAGAAGTTTGCCAACGAGAGTTTTTGTTGATCCAATAGATTTCAAGTTTGGTTTCGCCGTAGAAGAAGCTTTTGTATTCTCCGATTTTTTGAGCAATTTTTGTGTTGATCCTCTCGTGGGAACTAGGCCAGCTGTTGTTTTTGTTCCAATCTTCGCTTTCAAATTTGTTGTCGAAGTTGTAGTTAAATCAGAAATGAGTTTTTTGACGATTCCAGAAATAAGTGGTTTGGCAGAAGGATTTTGTTTTTTTGTTGAAGCATTTGTCGAAGTTTGATCTGGAGATGGTTTCGAAAGAATAATTGTGGGGAAAATAATAAGAAATAAAACAATAAGAAATTGTTTCATTTCGGTGTCGGAATATTATGGAAAATTGAATTTTGTATGGTTTTTATACGATACTTCTCCTAATTCAAAATAATGGGAAAATGATTATGCGGAGGCAGCCAAATCATTGAAATAATGGGTGGCTGACGTATACTTGGAATTTCAAAATTAAAAATGAATTTATTTAAACTGGGATTTTAAATGCAAATTTAGAACTTTCACGCTCAAAAAAACATTTATTTACATTGACTAGAATATGAAAAACAAAGAAAATACCTGAAAAATACACGTAATAAAAACAGTAATTATGAAAATAATTATATTTCATTATCAATAATTGATTGTTCTGTTGATTGATCTGACATTGGAAGTGATCGATAAAGATCAAACATTGCATTGAAACGAGGAGCCAAAAGAATTGTTGAAAGTAGACTTAATAAAAGCATCTCACAACAAATTATGAAATTACAAACAACTGCAAAAATTATATTGCCTACTGTAGTTTGAAGAAAAACAACTTACAGTATGCATTTTCTTGTGGAGATAATAAAGGGCCGCAGGAAATAAGGTTGAATCTGAGAAGTACATTTTGGAAAATAACTGGCTGTTGAGCAGAGAAAAATAATAAGGAAATATCAACGAGGCGGAACATTGACATAAAACAATAGGCGGATAATTTGTTCTGGAAAATTTGAAAATAAAATTGACTTGCTGAAAAAATGTGTGAAAATAAAATAATTACCGATGTGACACGCGCTAAAGTGTGAACTCCGAAAATAGCTAAAAGTAGAGAACATAAAGTTGCCATATCGGAATATCGAATGAATCTGCAAAAAAATACAATTTTGGAAAACAAAATGAAATAAATATAACTAACGGTATGGCATCTTCGCGTAATTCAGAAACTGCAATAACATCAGAAAATATAATAATTGATCGAACAATCGGAGCTTGTAATACACACCATTCCAATCTTCGAATATTTTTTTCTGTTGATTGAGCTGTTGGAAGACAAGGAATAAGACAACAAAATGGAGGAGATCGAAAATCAATTGGACGACTATCATATTGAAGACATGTTGAAAATGATTCTCGGCCACCAAATAAATGTCGAGCCAAAGAAACAATTACAAACAGACACATGAGATAATATAAAACACCGATACAAGTTAATATAACTGATGTTCTTGGAGCACACATTGCTACAAATGAGCAAGTACAAGCAACTGGAAATACTGCGATTAGCCAATATAGTTTGTTTCGGCGTTTTTCAATTGATACATAATTATAGACATAATACCAATGGATAAATGACATTCCAATTACAATTAATGTACAAAATAATGCTAATGAGAGTAGAATAAATTGGAATTTTTCGAGATCTGGAAAAATAATTCATTGTAAGGGTAGAGTTTTATGTATTCCGATATTCCTTGGCAAATTTTGAAAAACAAACTCACGTGTTAGAAAATCATATGCTGACGGAGTATCATGTTTATCATCACTACAATTTGAATAATCTTGTGGTAACATAAGTGATCCTATTAATCGAAAAGCTGAGCCAATTGGATGATTTGTCATATTCTAAAAATTTATCTGTAACAACGTTTTTTTTTTTTGAAATGAAAAAAAGAAGATAAGAAATTTTTCAAAAACTGACGGAGATAAAAACTATCGAAACATTTTTATATTATTCATATTAGTCAAGAAAATTCTGAAAAAATCTACACAAAAAATGAGTCGATAGGTCAATTGATAAAATTGTGATTAGATAAAGGTTATAAATAATTTGATTGAATAAATATATTTATATTACTGTCGTGTGAAATTTGAGAGAGAAAAAAAAATGAATTGTTATATAAACAGAAGAGAGAAATGAAACAACTTGGCAACAAAAAAAGACTACAAAAAAACTATATGTAAATATTTGGAAAGAAAATGTATGAGTCAGTTAAAATTAAGTTGTGACGCATTTTTTTTGTTGGGCGGGGTCAGTGAAATGAAATGAGTGACAGGTTTTGTGTTTTGTGAAAAAAAAGGCCTCGAGAATTTTTTCGGCAGAAACCATAAAACTTTTAAGGTTTCTAAATAGAAAAATTATTGGATTTTTTATTCGTCAAGAAAATTTGAATAACCTTTCATTTTTAAAAAATCCGGCAAATACTTATTCAACCCAAAAAAGGAACTGGAACCAATCAACATGAAAAAGTGAAAATTTACGACGAGGACAAATCAAAGAAGCTGGAGAGAAAAATGCAAACTTTACGCGGATTATGAGGGAAATAGCGGGCGAAAATGAGAGAGTGAAGAGATAGTTTTTTTTGAGGCAAAAAAATGAGATGTGAAACATGAAATGAAATGATTGGATATTATGATAAGGAAAATGAAAGTGACCACACAAAAAAATATTGAGGCAAAAATGCAACTTTAGATACATAAGATATGAAATCACTGTACTTTTTAAAAATGAAATTTTTCTAATTTTTAAATAAAACTTTTGAAATTTCAATATACATAAATGTTCGCATAGATCAAATCGAATTTGATTTGCACTAAAACTAAAACTAAATAAATATAAATAGAATTTAACGAAGAACCAATGACTATTTGAACAATCAATTTTTTCTCGAAAATAAAAGATCAACACCTATTAGTCGATTTTTTTTTTCGGAAACTTTCAACACCACAAAAGTGGAACGAAGGCAACAAATCGAAAAAAAACACACTTTTTCTCGTCGTCGTGTCATCGAAAAAAAAACAAACAAATAAAAGTGAGAGAGTATTTGAAATGAATAGGGTTTAGAGATATTTTCAGCGATATGAAAAATGGCTGAAAAATTGAGAGACGAAATCACGTGGGAGAATTCGATATGCTTCACTTTTTTGGAAGAAGTTCTTAATTTGAACTCTAAGAAATTAGATTGATCAGAAAATATCTGATACAAAAATAGCTAAACTTTTTATTCGATTTTAGAGATCTCACTTTGAAAACTAAAAATAAAGAAAATAATTTCATGCGTCACAAAGTTCTTATTTTAAACTCCAAGAAATTTTGAGAATTTCAAATATTTTGAGTTTGTATCAAAACATAACATTTATTTTTAAAAAAACGTCACTTTGAAACCATACATCAGAAGTAAAGTAAAGTAAAATAATATTTTTTAGAGCAAATATGCGGGAAAAACCTTTTTTTTTACTAAACTCCATTTTATTCTTTTTTTGCAAAGTTATCTGCCAATAGTAAAGGTAAATAATACTAGTGGCTCCAGAGAAAAGCAGAAAAAGGGGGAAAATGGCGGAGAACAAATAATTTCCGGCGAGCAAAGATTTTTGAATATTTGATTAAACTTATGTAGTATTTAGTATACTTTGAGAAACAGGATACTTATGTTAAACTGGAGGCTACTTTTATTAAGGATTACTGTATTGGGTTTATAATCTGATCGCATGGAAAACAGCAAATTATGTACAATTCTGGAAAAATCCGAGTTCTGAAGAAAATTTGAAAAATATGGTTCAGAAAATATTTCGGAATTTTGACAGATTTCACACTTGGCACAAAATGTTTTTTCCCAAACTAATTTCGAGTTACAGAAAATAACTATCGTCAACAATCATGAAAAAAGAAATTCCAAAGTTTTTGAAAAATTATACCTTATTGAGAGATCCAGGAACCAATTCCAAATTTTTGTGTCACGAATCCTACACTACTGATTTTCTGGAATCGGATTTATTCCGAATTTATTTTTGCAATTTTTCGGAATGTTGTTCCAATCAGACCTGCTTCTTACAAATTTCTCTGTTGAAAATCCGAGTTTAATTTGCATCGTTATTTTCTCAATGTAAATAACACATTTTCTGATTGATTAAACAGTTTTGTATCACTTTAAAAACAAAATATTTTTAGAAAATCTTTTATTTGGGTGTTTTATGAATTTCATAAGAAGGAACACGATTATAATGTGGATATGTTGGATTATTAATAACTGGCATCAAATATTCATACATGCAAATTAGTAAAATAACAGAAATTGTATAAATAAATGCGAAAAAGGTGATTTCCCGTTTTGTAAATGGATTATCTTCGGTATAATCGGAAGGTAGAGAATATATAGATTGAGGCATTTCGAACTCGTTCAAAATGAAAGAAGTAGAACAAAAATGCGAAAAAGATTGAAAAAATATAATCTTTCTGGTAAATACACTGTTCTTTCTCACTAATTGATTTTCCTTCTATTTTTTGTTTGTCAATATTCTTGAAAAAATCAACGAAAAATTTATAGATTTGAAAACAAACAAAAAACAACAACAAAACTTGACAATAACAGAAAAACAGAAAGATCAAATCTAAATTTTGAACGTTTTGAGTGGATCTTTCTTTTTGCGATTGAACTTATCTTTGAGTTTTTGGCGATGTTTTTGGCCAGGTTTATAACGACGATTTCGATTTGGAGCCGAGAAATCCATTCCGCGCAATGCTTCCGGAACTGAAAAAAATGAAATGAAATTAATTATGATTTGTTGAAAAACAACATACCCATATATGGAGTAACATCAGCGATCGCAGGAGAATTTAATTTCAACATAACTGGATGACAATCTGTTTGCATCAAAAGTTTCTCCCTCTCATTTTTAGCAAAGAATGATTGCAAATTAGCAGATCTCATTAATTCTTGTCGAATTTCCTTCAGTCGCGCCTTTTTAATTGTTCCCTTGGTACATTTCGACAATGCTTCTCTTGTTCTCAAAAGGAAAGTGTCAAGTTCTTTGATACGAAACTCGTATGGTTGTAGCACTTTTCGACCCATTTGATCATTAACTTCTTCTTGAATCTTTTCCAAAAATGGTAATTCTGGTGGTGTGCAGAATGAAAGAGCAGTTCCTTTGTTGAAACCACGAGCAGTTCTGAAAATGTTGCCAATAAGTTCTTGTAAAAATTTGAAAATATTACCTTCCAACACGATGAATATATCCATCAGTTGTTTCTGGGAAATCAAAATTAACAACATTGCTAACATGATGAAAATCAATTCCTCGAGAAACACCAGATTCTTTATCTAATTGTGTATTTTTCTTTCCCTTTTTAGATGTTCCTTCTTCCGATTTTTCAGCTGTAGCAGCTTCAACCAATTTTGAACCATCTGCATCAGAAACATCAGATGCAATAACAATTTGATAATGTCCATCATTAAATTGATTAATCACGTGACAACGACTATTTGCTGGCATTGTTGAATTCAGAATCGAGGATTTCAAACCAAATACACGTAGAATCAACATCAATCTGAAATTATTCAAAATTATAATATTTGGTCGATACAATTTGTTCACTTACTTATAACATCGATCAATTGTATTGACAAAAATGATAGATCTTCCAACAATTAACTTGAGTTTGAACAATGCGATAAGAATGGCAAATCTTTCTTCGTCACTTTGACAAGTCAATTGATATTGAGTTAATTGATCAGCATTTGGAAGATCTCCTTCTGTCAGTTTAATTGTAACAACTGGACCTGTCATGTACAACTTTTTAAGTGTTGTCATATCATCTTTCAAAGTAGCTGATGTCATAATACATTGATAAAATGTTGGAAGTTTGGCACGGATTTGGCTGAAAAATATAAATATTACGAGGATTTTTAAAATAGAAAAAAACTTACATCATTTCTTGTTCATAACCGAAAGACATCAATAAATCAGCTTCATCCATTACCACATATTTTATTTGTGAACAATATTCTGGTCGAAGTGAAATCATTTTAAGAAGTTTTCCTGGTGTTGTAACAACGAAATGTGAACGATCTTCAATCCAAACCGAAGGTTCTTCTTCATTCACATCACACAAATTGATAGCTTGTAAAAATGGAAGAGGTTTGATCAAACGTTGGAAAAGTTGGTAAATTTGTGTGATGAGTTCTTTTGTTGGTGCAATAATAACTGCACTTGGTCCAACTGTTCCATCATTGAATTGTGAATCATTGATCAATTTTTGAACAAGTGGAATTAAAAAAGCTCCAGTTTTTCCACTTCCAGTTCTTGCTCGACCCATAATATTTTTGTTTTCAAGAGCTAACGCAATAATCGATTCTTGAACTTGTGTAGTTTTCTCCCAACCAAGTTCTCCAATACTCTTCAAAATACGCTCATCCAAACCAAAGTCAGCAAATGTTTTATTTTCCGCTTCAAATTCAACTTTCTCTACATTCGGACCAACCAAACTTTCCATCAATTTCATACGTTTTCTGAAAATGTATTTTGAAATACTTAGCACATTTTATTTGAAGAAAACATACTCGGAATTAGTTTTTCTTTGTTTTTGTTTTCTCTTCTTTGGTTGAACCGGAGCTTCTTCTGTCACCACAACTTTTTTGGCCTACAAATCATACAATTATTTTTTGGGTGTGAAAGCTTTTACTTACCTGTTTTTTCGACGGAAAAGTTGCATCTCCTTCTTTTTTCGGCTCTTCGGCGAATTTCACCGATTTCTTCTTCTTTTTAACAATCTCATCGGTCATTTTCACCTGCAATTTCGAAATTTCACGAAGTAAAAATGAACGAAAAAAAATTCGCGAATTCGAAGATTTCGCACCAAACTTGCGCCAACACACAAAGTGTGCAAACAGTCGGTGATTGACGCGCTTTGTGTAGATTCAAATTGGAATTTTTTCTTTTTCACTAGTATTCTCCAAGGGAAAAGCGACATTGGAGAGATTCTCAGGGTTCCCATATGTTATACTTAAAACGTGTCCATTTCTAAAATCTGGGGGGTTCCCAATTTTTAAAAATCCCCAGAAATTTCTTCGCGAAAACACACAGCGCGTATTTCGCGTCAACGTTGCGCGTAGGATTTGGTGTATGCGGGCAGACGGTGTTGACATACACTCTATTTTTTTCCGTTCTTTCTTTAGGTTTGGGATTCTTTCTTTAGGTTTGGGATGCGTTTTTCAGTTTTTTTTCATTTTGAAGTAGTTTGCCTGTGAAATTCCGATTTTTATGGATTGTGTTCAAGTTTTAATTGTTGGGAGAGGTTCGGAAAGTCCATTAGGAATAACAGGAACCGTTACATTAGTTCAAATAGATGGATTAAATGTATTAATTGATGTCGGCGATCCATGGAACGGTCAAGAAATTCGAGATGGTTTGTTAAAATATTCACTAAATTGTGATGATATAACACACGTTGTTATCACTCATGGTCATTTGGATCACTGTGCAAATTTATCTTTCTTCAAGAACGCCAAAATTTTAATGGATTCTGATATTGCTATTAAAGTCAATGGACAGATTGAATACTCAAGTGTAGAAAATTGGCCGTACGAACTTTCGAAAAATATCCAGGTTTCTATTGTTTTCTTTAAAAAAACCAGCTGATTTTTCATATTCAGATTCACAAATTATCTGGACATACTCATTCTGATTTGCTAGTAGAAGTAATAAGAAAAGATCAAAAAATCGTAATGATTTGTGGTGATCTAATAGAGAGTGAAACATCAAAAGGAATCGAATATGCTGTGGATCCCGAAAAACTAGCCGAATCACAGTCGTTCATTTTTTCTCGTGCCAATTTCATTGTTCCCGGTCACGGAAATATTTTCTCGTTATGATAATATTTTGTCTTTTGTTTAGTTCTTGAAATGTTTCAATTTCTATATGGATAAAATCGTTTATTTTCAGATGCGGCAATGAATGAACCCGGAATTCAATCATCATGTTCTATTTGCGTTGCACCTCTACGAAGTTCGCAGAAAATAAGTGCATTGAAATGTGGTCACACTTATCATTATTCTTGCGTTAGTCAATGGCTTAATGTCAAAACCGAATGTCCAAATTGTCGGAAAAAGTTGAGAAAAACTGATATAATTGAAAAATTGTTTTTCGATGTTCGTGTAAATGATGACGGAGAAAGTTCAAAAGAAATTGATTTCGCTGAAAAAGCTGATAAATTAGCTGAAGAATTATCAAAAGAAAAAGAAGCATTGGCAGAAAAGGAAAAATTATGCACGAATTTGCAAGCAAATGTGAAAGCATTGGAGAAAAAGGTAAATATTATTATTGATTTTTTTGTAATCAATTGCAATATTTAGGTTCTTCGAGAAAAGGAACGATATTCAAAAGATATTCCTGCATTGAAACAAAGAAATCAACATCTTGAAATGGTTGCAAGTGAAACTGAACATGCAAAAAAAGATCTTGCTTTGTGTAAATCTCAATTGAGAGCTTGTGAATTGTAAGTTCAAATAATTTTTCTTGTTTTTGAAAAAACAATTATTTTTCAGCTACAAAATACTGCAGTATAAAAATGGTTCTGATGAAAATACTGAGAAATCATTATCTCGTTATCTCAAAGCCGATTATAAGATTGATACCGAAAAATTTTTCGAATTGATGAAGTCGCAAAATAAAGAACTTGCTGCGAAAAGAACAGAAGCTATAAGAGAAGCTGAAAAATTGAGAGGAGAAACTCAAAATTTGAGAAAAGAGAATAAAGACCAATCGAATATTATAAAGGCTCTTCAAAAAGAAATTCAACAATTGAGAGATGTTGCAAATATTCAAACACCAATCAATAAAAAATTGAGAAGTATTATTGACGCCGAAACACCTGCGGATCAAAAAAGAAAATCGATGGGATTTGATATGAGCAATTCTTTATTGGAAAGAGATTCATCGTATTTTGATCAAGAGAATAAGAAATATGAGGATCTTGATTTTATACCAAAGCCTTCAACAAGCACAGAAAATAAAAAAGGAAAATCTGCCTTGGCTTTTTTGGAAGAACAAGAGAAGGATGATCCAATTTTCAAGGTACCTTTTTTTAACAGAAGTGAAAATTTTTCATATTTGTTTTATTCTTTCAGAAAGTGACAGAAAAACTGGACAACGTCGAAATCGCTGCTTTGAATGATAGTATTGATGATGCTGATTTCTCCGATATTAAAATTCCATCTACAATTCTAAAACGTCTGCCAGTCATTCCGAAAAAGAAAAATCTAAATATTGTACCAAAACCATGTTTCGACGATACTCTTTCTCCTGAAGTCATCAAACCAAAACAAATAAAAAGAGCATTCAGTCAAAACGATGTCAAAGAACCGAAAGCTAAGGTTAGTTATTTTTGCATTTTTCAAAAAATTAGGTTAAATATTTATAGAAACCGGCGGTGAATTCTCACAGGTTATCAAGTTTTTATCCAAGAGTTTCATCGAATAATGTAGAATGTGTGACGATTGATTGATATGAAAAAAAAGAAACAACTATAAATAAAATTAGTTTTTGAATATTTTACTTGTATTTCTTTTATTGTGAATATCAAATGTTTCAACGTGTTTACCTGATCTCAATTTCATAAATCGAATCTCATTTAAAATAATAATAATAATAGCGCAGATATATTCATGATAGATGTTCATTGCCATTTGGCTGATAATAAGTTCAAAGATGATATTGATGATGTTATAAAACGAGCAATTGATTCTGGAGTTACGAAAATGATAGCTGTTGCTGAATTTGGATCGCAATTTGAGAATGTTTTGAATTTGTCAAAGAAATACGAAAAAGTGGTTTATGCTGGAATTGGAGTTCATCCAATACAGGTTGGTTTTTTTATTATTAAAAAAATACGTGAACTGTAACGTGGAAATTTAGAACATTCATTTTTTATTATTTATTTTGTCCGTAATGTATTAATTTTTCCAGAAACGAAACAAATGTGTTCAACGAAAACATTTAGCCGAAGTCGAAACTTTTTTGTCAAGATATCAACAGAAAAATGTAATTTGTGTTGGAGAAATTGGATTGGATCACACTTTTCAACAATTCAAATTGAGTGAGCAAGATTTGCATGTTCAAGAAGAAGTTTTTATCGCACAAATTCGTTTAGCGAAACAATTTAATTTACCAATGTAAGTTTTCATTTTTCTTTATTCCAAAATTTATATTTGTTCAGGAATATTCATTCTCGAAGCGCTGCTCGAAGAACATTAGAAGTTTTGAAGTCAGAACAAATCAATAGCAATTCAGTTGTTCTTCATGCTTTCGATGGAAATATTGAAGATGTTTCATTTGGTCTTCAACTTGGTTGTTATTTTTCAATTCCTCCATCGTTTCAAAATTCTGAAAAGGTATTTTTCAACACATTTTTCTTCAAACTATTTTTCATATCCTTTTTGCAGGCTTTGAAAATGATTGACGCAATTCCATTATGCAACCTATTATTAGAGACAGATTCGCCAGCTCTTAGTCCATTAAAAGGACAACGAAATGAGCCAAATAATATAGGTTTATGTGCACGGATTATTGGAGAAGTGAAACGAGTTGAACAACAAAATGTGGTCAATGTGACATCTGAGAATGCACACAAAATATTTAATTTTATGTAAGTAATATTCGATATGTTGTTTTGCGAGTTGAGGCTACCTGAGTAAATATTTATGTTTCTGCATTCACATTTTATTTTGACCTTTTCGAAAATAAATGCTTGTTTTTATGATTTTTTGGCTTCTGTTTTGAAATAACTACTGTTTTATACAGTTTCAATATTTTTTACGTTTTATGGAAATAATTATGATGAATTTATTTTTTATTTTAGTCGTAGTGAGTTTTCGCTTTTCTGCGCTAAATTAATGTAGAATATTTTCATAGCTTTGATTTTTCAGAGAAGTTTGGATTTAAAATAATTTTTGAAAAGAGGGAAACTTCTTTGTGACTGAATGATTAAAAAATATAATGATCTAAAAAAAATCACAAATGAAATCTGAAAAATTCAAAAAAGTTGTTTTGTAAAAAAGTGTTTATTATTTTTCTGATTGAATTTGGTTTTTAAAAGATTTTGATATCTTTAGGATTCCAGTTCTGTTGAAAAATCATCTCCAATAGTAAACATATCATTTCTCAATCAAAAAATCTCGAAAAGAAAACCGGAAAGCGAACGATTTTCTCTAACATTTGCGCACATTTCAAATCTCGATCCTGAAAAGGTGTTTCTTCGCATTGACGACTATTGCTATTTGTTTACTTTTTGTTGCATCTTCAATTCAAATACTACCTTATTATTATTATGCATTTTCTTTCTTATCTACATTGTATATACGTCAAGGTGGTCGTTTTCTTCGTTTTTCTTTTATTTGTCTTTTTGTGAAAATAAATAACATACGCGCTTCACACAACACAGCGAGACACAAATACACCAATATACATAAAAATATAGATTTTCTTATACTTTTGTCGAAATTATTTGTCCTTGAGAAATCGCCAAATGCATTTTTTGTGTCGCCCTTTAGTTAAAATTGACCTCTTTGAGATTTTCTTATTTAACTATCCGGTTTAAATTTATTAGTTGAAATTAAATAATGTTTCTCAGCTTACTGATTGTTTTTTGTCAGTTCCCATCTCTTTCGTAGTGTTATTATTTCTTTTCAATGTTTGTTTAGCATTAGTATACATGTATTTGTTATGCTCTTGAAAATAGAAGAAGCAACACAGAAAGTTTCATTTATCATATTTCAGATACTGTGATATATACTTAGATAGTTGTTTTCTACTTGATTATTGACAACAGAATGGAACGCGGAGATCCACAATTTTCTTCGTTTCGAACTAAACCTCGACAACCAATTGTTGCATCAAGAGATGTGAGTTTTTTTCAAAGAAAACATTGATAGATATTGGAAATATTGTTATTTTTGGATCAAAATTTTGACAAAAAAATCCTGGAAATTCCAAATTTAGATGTTGTTTGCTATGAAAAAATCGAATTTATCTATGATCCGGAATTCAAAATTCAAAAACAGATTTTGCCCCAATTATCCCCCAAACATATTTTTTCTCAGATTGAAGAAGTATTCTCGCGTGCATCAACATCAGCAGCTCGATATGTTTCAGATAGCAGTTCCGAAAATACAACTCGTCTCGATGAATCACTTTCTGAAGTTATTCGATTTATAAGTGAAGGAGATTATGCGGCAAGACTCACTTTGAAAAATACTCATGTACTTGAATTACTCGATTATACACCTGTTACTTTGAGTGAGTTATTCTTGTTTTTAAAAGTATTTAAATAATTTTTGATAATTTTTCAGGTGCAAATACAACAAATGCTATTACTAGATCTCGATTCTATCGAATGTTATTTACAATAGGTAACATTAATCAATCTTCTAACGTTTTTTAAAATTAAAATTTCAGCTTTTCGTAATATTCCTATAAGAAGGTATATGGCATGCGAATTAGAACTTTGCGCTTCAATTTTTAATTGCCTAAAAATTTCACTTCGAGAAGAATTGGGTCCTCAAAATATGATTGATATTCTTCGACTTCTACAGGTTTTGTGCTATGAAAAAACTGCAACATTAGGAATTTGGACAAATGAACTCATTTCTTTTTTAATAGGAGAAGTGTAAGTGTTTTTTCAAGTTTAAAAATATTGAATTTCAAAAAAAAAATTTTTTAAGTATAGACCTGAAAAATCAAATTTCTATCTTATATTTGAAGAGGGCTATTTTTTCTTGAAAAAACCTCTTTTGAATTTAGACTTTGAAAAAATTCTGGTAACTTTATTTTTTTTAGATGTCGTGAACCCGAACAAGAATGGATGGCATATTGTATAGCAATTTTGTGTAATTTAGCAACTCGATCAAAATCGGTTTGTAATCGAATTAAGAAATCTGTAAGTTCAATTAATTTTTCAAATCTAAATATTTTCCAATTTTCAGTCTTCATATAAACAATTTAGTCGACGAATAATGACTCTTTTACAACATAATGCTCGAATTATTGTAGTTTCAAGTTTAGTTTTGATTGGATATTTAGAAGAAAGAGTTCGAGATGTTGTTTATTGTACAAAAAATGTTCACGAAACATTTCAATGTGTATTTAATGTATTGATACTTGGAGATGATGATTGTTTGATGACTCGACAAATTGCTGCTGATTTACTTCGTCGACTTATTGTATCTGATACTCCAGCATTATCTTCTACTCCAACTTTGGCAACAACAGGACAAGATATTTTGAAATATGATTTTTTTGATAATTGTATTCAACAAACTGCTGCATTATTGATTAATTTGGATCCGATGATGGAGGAAAGTATGAAGATTTATGATCTATTTTTGTCACTTTGCTCTTTGCAAATTTTGAGAAGTTCCGTTTGTCATGCAATTTTAAAATTTCAACCGACGGATTCGAGATTGACAACACCGGTTTTAGGTTAGTATTAGTTATTTACGCTTAATTGACAAATTATTACATCAATATTTTCTATTGATATTTTTAGCCATTGCCAAAACTGCATCTATAGATTATCGATATTGTATAAATAGTGAAGTTCCATTAAAAGCGCTCAAATTACTTGCATATCTTCTGAAGGTTAGTTTTTCTTCAAAAAATAAATTTGAATATACATTTTCTAATTTCAGGAGATCATTGAACCAAATGAGAAAATTCATCCAATAGTTCCAATCAATCATTTAATAAATTTAATAGAAGATTGTATCAAAACACCAATTGATCCGAATGATGAAAATGTTGAATTTGCTTGTAGAAGAGTTCATCTTGGTCTAAAATTAGCTGAAATTGTATCAAGAGATGAAGATTTTCGACCAGAAGTTTTGAATATTTGTTCAGCTCATTTATGCAATCAAATTGCAAATTATCAATTTCATCAAAATCCAGTTGTATTATATTTGACAAAACCGCCATTACAAAGAACAGAAAGTTTGAAACAATGGAGTATTAGTGGAATTTGTATCGTTTTGGAACTTTGTCGATTATTAGCTGTATTGAAAGATCATTCAAAAATGCATAAAGATCAATATTGGCAATTATTAAAAGATGATCATTTAGTTCCATTTCTTGCGTATGCAATTGCATTTGGAGATCATGAAACTGTTCAACATGCATTTGTTACTTATTCACATTGTACACAAATACACGCATTTCCAAGTAATTTGTGAGTTTTTTTTTAAATACGGAATTCTATGTTTCCAAATTCTAATGCAAATGATCCAAATTTCTTGTAACGAAAATTAGAAAATTTCAGACTTGCTGAAATGTTGGCTTCTTGTACTCTTCAACGAAGGCTTGGAATCGAACTCCCAAAAAATTCACAAACTTCCACACAAGATGTTCGAAATGGGTATGATTTTTAAATTTTTTCCAAAACCCTCTAACAATAAAATCGTTTTTTTTGCAGTTTGAGTGATAGACCACAATCAGCGGAATTGGATGAAAGATCATTGAAATCGTTGGATGAATTATTGAAACGAGTGTCGATTGAAGGAGCGAGTTTGAAAGATGCAAAAACATCGGATATTTTTGCAGCTTTCGAGAGGAAAATCTCATTTTTGATGGTAATTTTTCAAAGTGTTTTTTTTTGTTGATTTAACTTATTTATATTTCCAGGCACGTGAAAGAGATCTCGAAGCTCTTCTAAAAGCAAAAGATGATCAATTGACGCAAAGCGAAAAACTGAGAATGCAATATCGAGGAACATCTTCGGGACAAAATACAAATTTTGTATCTGATGTTGAGATTTCGAAAATGCGACTGATTATGCAAGAATGTGAAGATTTGAGAGAAAAAAATCAATCGCTGAATCGACTTATTGAAGTGGGTTAATAGCTTTTCTTATTTCTGAAAATAGTTTGTTTTGCAGACTACAAAACAGAAACATGTTATTGAGACTGCTGAATTACAAGAAAGTTTGATGCGATCTGCACAAGAATGTGAAAAATTGAAAATTGAATTGAAAGATGGTCAAAAAATGATTGATTCTTTCAGTTTGTCATGTGAAGATTTGAAAAGAAAATTAGACTTGTAAGTTTTGAAATTATCAATTATCTGGAACATTCTGATTATTATTTCCAGATCCACTGCAAATTGTGTTGACCAACAAAAGAAATTGACAAAAATTGAAAATGATTTCATTCTCGCAACAAATGAAGTGAAATGTTTGAAATTGGAAGCTGATCGAACACGGCAATCGCATGAAACAGAAATTGTCAAACTGAATGCTGATGTTGCGCAAAAAGTAACGAGAATTGAACAATTTATTAATGAGGTGAGAAAAAGTTTCAACTTTCTGAGCTTTCCTGATTTTTTCGTTCGAAAAAATTGTGATTTTCAGAATTTTGAAATCAAACGATTATATGAAGAAAAACATGTTGAATGCGAAGCGATCAAAGAGCAAACTGTACAATTTGAAGGAAGATTGATGTTGAAAGAAAGAGAAGTTGCAAAAATACATGAGCAATTAATAAATGCTGAACAAAGACAATTGACTAGAGATAGAGAATTGTTAGCTGCACAAAAAGAGGTAAAATTAAAAACATTTCTGAGTTTTTGATTTGTAACTATTTTTCAATTTTCAGGTAGAATTATATGAAGAACGACTGTCAAATAAAGAAAGAGAAAATACAAATATTTATACAGAAGTGAGTTTTTTTTCTAGAATTTCTCAGAGATTCGCTGGCCAGGTCGCCACCAGGTGGGGAGGCTGGCTGACCTGGGAACCACATGGAAACCATGTCGCCCGGTTTTTTTCGCTGGCAAGGTGGCCAGGCTCTGGCTAGGTCACGGCCACATGGCTACCATGTGGTGGCCACTTCGCCGCGTCAAAATGAATTTTCATAAAAATGTCTGAAAAACTTGTGAATTGAGGCATTTTCGAAAAATTTGGCTCATTTTCTCTTTTTTCGCAGCACTTGAAACCTTAGGAAGTGAAAAAACAGTAGAAAATGCAGTGTTTTGAGTACAAACCACTGTCTTGCCAGCTTTCCAGGATTTCAAACACACAGGCCACGTCGCCGGAAAACTCAAGGCGACCTGGCGGCCATGCGGTTTCCAGGTGGTCGCAGAGATCTGGTGGCGAGCTGGCCAGCGAATCTCTGAGTTGACCCAAAAATTCTCGAGGAAAATTTCACCAAACATTGTTTTGAAACTATTTCAAGTTCAGATTTTTAAGTTTTTTCACCACATTTCTGAACTTTTTGAATTTGAATCAAACCAATCTTGACGTATCCACATCTTATTCCTCTTTCAAAATAAATAAATCCATATTTTTCAGATGCAAAGAATTCGAGAAGAACTTGAATCTACAAAAGGCGAATTGAGTAAAATGGAACAACTACAAGAAGCAATGTATGCATTGGCATCTTCGAATCGAAAAAGATAGTTACGTAAAATAGAAATATATATTTATTAAATATGATTGATTCATTTAACTTCATATTATTGATCTTTTTCTTATTGAACTAACGGGCCCCTATTTATTTTTGATTTTTTTTTGTATAATAGATGAATATTTTTCTTTTTAATTTAACAACTGCTCTGTTTTCTAAATGCCGTTTAAAGTGACAATAAGAACCAAAGTAACTCTTTCTCCGGAACTTTTTTCCACATGCTGCAACGTTATAACTTTGCAGGCGTGGGATTTGACGAGTATAAACTCCTTAGAATTTGAAATTATTTTCAACATTTTATTTAAAAAAAACAGATAATCAAACAAATAAAAAAACAGAAAATTTAAAAATAAGATTGAACAAGATTATATAAAAAGAAAAAAGCCTACAGAAAAAAAATTAGAAAACCAATATAAAACTAAGCGAGAGGCTAAAAATAAAATATATAAAACAAGGCTGAAACAAATACAGAAAAAAAAAAGAAATACAAGAAAAATTACAAAAAAAAGATGAGAAATTAGAGGAAATACAATTTATTCCTCAAAACTTCATTTGAATCCTCGTGAAGCGATTGGGCTGTCAAAAATGCGAGTTTGTGCGCATACTGACATGGAGCTGGGACACGGACGGTTCCTTGCCAATTATAGTAGAGGTGACAAAGTTTGAAAGCCATCTGAAATAATTTGTATTACGTTTAGAATTAATTAAGCAAAATTCTTACTCGATGATGTTTGTCCGGTGTCAATCCAGTGTCGTCGTAAATGATGTTGTAGGAAACTGGAGTAACAGTTCCTTGGTTGACGAATTGTGGAACCATGTAGAAATCCATTCTTTCGGGTCTTGTGACAACCGAGTCGACAAGAGTTCCCGGATCCGGATTGCAAGCTCTTGCGCCAGCTTTCCTGAAAAATACAAATTTGACATGAAAATTAAATATTAAAGTAACTTACTTCATGATGCGCATGTTGACTCGCTTGGTCACGATGATGAATGCAACCTGGATTGGTGAAATCGCAGCTGCGTTTGCACCGTATGCTTTTCGCTGGATCTCGTCGCAAGCATCGCGAACCAGCTTGACTTCGGTCTCCTTGATATATGGAATTTGACCATCTCCAGCTCCGTCTCTGTACAAAATCAAACGTTTTGGCAAGGTCTTGTTGTTAGCCACGTAATATTTGTTGAGAGCTTCTGAAATATTTAATTTAGCTTCAGAAACCTATACTTTAAAAAAAAACTCACTTCGCACAAAATGTGTCAAATTTGTTCCAAGTTGGGTTGGATTGTCATGTGGTCGAGTTTGTGAATAGAATTCGGTGAAATCAGGCGAGGTTGTTGAAACACACGCACCGATTGTTTTTCCGCGAAGAGTTGAATCGTGATAGAGATCGTAACCAACGATCATTGTATCTTTCAACTGAAATTCAAAATTTTTGATACAATTTTAAAAATAAAACTGACCGGGATATCAATTTTCCACAATGCGCCACCTCCTTTGCAAATCATTTGAAGAACAATTTTGAGGACGATTGATCCGAAATTCTTGTTATCCGAACCATCCGTCGACTTTCCTTGCAATGTTCGCAAATTGATGCATTGGCTTGGAATTGGGCATTCAACACAAAGGAATTTCTTGACGACATCATATCTCGTTTTGTTGTCATCTGGGAGAATGACAGCAATCATATGAACATCGTATCCTTTGACCTTTTCCAACGATTCCTTCAAAGCGTTGATATAATCAGTTGGACTATAGGCGTTGAGTGGAACTTCCAATGGTTGACCAAAAGGTGTGTTCACTGTACTACCAAGACGTCTCACTTCTTCTGAAAATAACCTTTCTAATCAAACATACACAATCAAATAAATATTTACGTGTGAATTTGTTGATTATTTCTCCAGCAGCCAATGGAGCAATAACAATCCAATTAGTCATATCAGTTCCCCGATAGATACCATTACGCTTGACACCTTGCGCCCATTCAGCATTTCGCCCAGTGTAGTCACCATTTGCGATGATTTTTTCTTGCGGCAACTGTCTTGCTACAACATTCGCCAAATCCGAACCAACAGTGATTCCCCAATATTCCAAGCATTGTCTGACGTGCGGATTTTTGAGGAGACGTTCGATCAGATGTCTGGTTTGAGCAACACGTTGTTCGGGAGACAAACGGGTATGTTGAGCAATTTCCTTCATCAACCGTGTGTCCTTTCTCATTTCATCAGTCAAACCAGTTGGGTTGCACAGTTCCGGAATGAGATAATTGACTTGCGGTGGCTCTCCTGGTTGTTTTGGCTTTCCTTCAGAAATCTAAAATTAAATTATTGGAGAATGAGATAATGATGAAAAACATACGATAATCGGTTGATCATCAAATTTGATTTCTTTTTTATATTGCTGGAAGAAATACTCCTTCAGAGTGATTTCTCTGCCATTGTGATTGAAAGGGGTCAACGGTGACAAATCGAAACTGAGTCGAGTGAAACGATGCAGCTTGTTGTTGTACCTTCAAAAGTATTCATTTGAAAAAAAATGAATTGTTTATCTTACGTTGATGTGATTGTTGTACCTCCATACAACTCATTGATCTTTTCTTGAGTTCTTTCGATATTGTTGCCACTGTTTTGATACTCACGAATGATCTGAAACATTCAAAATTTTTTAGTACTACAACGCAAAAAATATTTACCAGCTGATACATATTATCGCTTCTCATCATTTTGAAGCGATTTTCAATGCACAACATCAATTGGTTCTCGTACCGCCGAATCGCCGTTTCATATCCAGGTAAAACCTTCATGTTGTGTGATCGAACACTTTTTTGTTCCGATTGGTCGAAATAATTACGACCGAGTTGAAGCAATTCCAAAGTATCGAAACAACGACGGAAAATGGTGTTGAAGACATTGATGGTTTGGGCTTCATTCAAACTGTATCGAAGACTCAGTTTGAATTTCACCACAATCGGTTCACCAGTATTTGGATGTTCAACTTCAATTGTTTGCGCTGTTTTCCATTCATCTTTGATATACATGATCATTCCATCGAAAACATTGAATTCACCGATTTCATTCAAAATTTTGTCATCTCTGAGGATTTTTGATCGCATCGTCTTGGAATCAACTGGTGGTTCGAATTCCACATGATATTGATAGATGTAATAATCATTTTCGGTCACATCGATGGGAATGAAGTTGACCAATGTATCCACAGGTGTTCCAGATGTTCCAGTTTTAGGAGCTCCAGTTGGCCGAGTAAAAAGATCCGGTTGGATTGTTCCCATCATATCTCGTTTTCTATCCGCATTACCCGAACTGCTACCGCTTCCGCGGCCACTTCCACGTCCTTGACCACCGCTCATTTTTCAAATTCGGTGTCTGGAAAAAGTTTACGAATATAGAGAGTTTTACTGCTAAACACTGAGATAAAACGAAGAATATGAAAAATTGTCTTCATCGATTTCAAACGAGAATTAAGAAATGACGTGGCCGGATGACGTGGCCGAAAAAAAGAAAAAAAAAGAAATGAAAAAATCGGAAAAACTGGCCTAAAATTTGTTACCGTAGTTATCAGGTCCTACAGCGAAGAGAAAACATCTTTGAACTGTGGCCTAGGATCCGACTCGACCAATTAACAGATTCGGCCGAATTATCGATTTTTGCAGCTGTTGCAACATTTTTCAATTTTTACTTTGGACATTGCATTATAATAATTTTATTATGACGAATTCGAACTAGCGATTGTGTCAAAGATTGATGTTTAAACTAGGTTTTGAATAATTTTAAAGGTTTTAGTCTGTTTGCATTCGCCAGTTCTATGGCGTCGTTTTAAAAAGTTGGTCTAATCTTGTAACTCCAGTGCGCTATATAGCGAATTTCCTACTTTTTTAGAACCTTAAAAATTTGAACCTCCGCCTATTTATATATTGTGCAGTTGAGCACGCTTGCCTATTTATCTTTTATTCATTTTTGTTTGCCGTTTGTTTCGCAATTGGATTTATTTAGCAGAACAACGACAAAGTATTGATTAGATGAGTTTTGAAGTAGGCCAGCGGGTCGAAACAGGTAGGTCTGTCTAGATAATATAAAACTTACTGAAAATTTCAGCGACAACTGGAAAAGGAACAGTTGCGTTTGTTGGAAATACTCAGTTCAGTGATGGTGAATGGATTGGAATTATTTTGGATGAACCAAAAGGAAAGAATAACGGAACTGTGCAAAATGTCGAATATTTCACATGCGAACCTAATTTCGGGCTTTTCACCAGGCCAGCACAGTTGAAACATGATGGAGCGATGAAAAAACCAGGATTGAGGCCACCTGGTAGTTCTTCTGTAGCTGCAAGAAAAGACTCGGTGATGAATAGAAGTGGAACGAGTTCGAAAGGAAGTTCTCCTGGCATTTCGCCAGCAGTTTCGACAGAAAGACTTCCGAACAAAAGTGGAATGGGACCTAGAAGTATGAGCAAATTAGCAGATCCCGGAGAGGTGAGAAACTTCTAATTAATTCACTCAAATTTTGTGAAAATCACAATATCTATAAAAACCTAGAAAAAACAACACATTTCTAGACGATTTTCTCCATAAAAATCGTTATAATTTTTCCCCAACAAAAATTTCTAGCGAAAATCCTCAATTCAACAACAAAAATCGTCAAAATCACCAGCACCACCAACGGTAAAAAAAACCCCACATTTTTTGTTGTAATATCGCATTTTCTTCCTTATTTCCTTGCCCAGCTCACCAGAAAGCTTTCTAACAAAAAAATTCAAGAGTTTTTGATATCAGTTAGTCGAAATGTTGACCTAAATCATCATTTTGGCTTTCTGAATGGCTCTAGAAATTTATGAAAAATTTATTGAAAACAAGCTTTTTTAACCAGTTCCTATTATTGGAAGAAATACCTAATCCAGCTTTATTTTTTAAATGAATATCTTGAAGTTCTAGCCTATTTTCCTATGCCTTTTCCCCTAAAAAAATGCACGAAAAACCCGGCGCATTCAGAACTCTGCTTGCTTATTGTCATGTGTTTTCGTTTTTGTTTGCAGTCCCGAATGTCGCGTGAATGGTCGAATTTGTCACAATCCTCAGTAGCATCAACACGATCCGGAATTCCAACGAAACCCAGAGTTTGTCTAACTTTTTTATTTTTTCTTAGCCTGAGTCTAAGCCTAAAAAATCTAAATCGAAAAATCACCGAATTTCATTCAGCAATCCATGGCTCCGCCGCCAGATCGTCGTCAATCTTTGGCTCCTGCCAAAAAGCCTTCTGTTGTTCAGCCACCAAAACCTGCGCCAATTCAGACCCAAGCCGAAGATTCACCTTTGCCGCCACCAATTGGAATGACGGATAGTGGAACTGAATTAGGAACTGAAACTGTGTTATCAAGAGCCAAGAAAATTGACGAGGTTTGCATTTTTTATGGAAAGAAAGTGTAGAAATTATGATAATTTTTTGAGAAAAAACCCCTTGATTTTTTAGACGGCTCCGTCAGCTCCTCAAACTCCAGTTACAACAACTCCAGCGACTTCAAAAATCGATAATTCAGCAGAATTGGAATATTTGAGACAAGAAGTCAAAGATCTCAATGAAAAATTGGAAAATACTCGAGCGAAAAGGAAAGATGATCATGCTAAATTGTTGGAATTCGAAAGAATATCGATTGAAGTTCGAACATTACAAGAAGTCAAAAATCGATTGAATGATCGAGTTGTGGAATTGGAAAAACAATTGTTGGGTGAGCTATTTATTCTGAAGAGCGAAAATTGTCGTTTTGTGGAAAAATCGTGTTTCTTTTTTACATTTTTCATATCAAAACTCTGATTTTGTTACTTATTTATTCATAAAATTTTCAGATGAACGAAAAGCAGCCGAAGATCTCAAAGCTTGGCATGAAAACAACAAAGATTCGATTTCGGAACATCAAGAAATGATGGAAATGGCAACGATTGAAAAAGAATTAGCCGAAGAAAAAGCCGATGGATTGTATCATGAAAATCTGGAATTGAAGGAGAAAATTGAGACGATGGAAGCGGAATTGGAGATTTTGAAAGAAGAAATGGGAAGTAGTGGAGGTAAGAAGATAATTCGACGCTTTTTTATACCAAAATAAAAAAAAATAAATTTCAGGCGCCGCTCAAGCCGGAAACAGTGTTCAAATGAAGGCAATCGAAACACAAAACGAAAAATTGAAAGATGCATTGATCAAGTGAGACATTTTTAGCTGAAAATCGGGAAAATTTTGGCAATTTTTAATTTTTTCAGACTCCGAGATTTGAGCCAACAAGCAACTACTGATCGTCAAAAAGCGGTTGAAGAATGTGAAAGAATTCGACAAGAAAATTCAGAATTAGTTCGAGTTGCTGAATTGCTTAAACGACAAGCTGAAATTGCAGAATCGAAAATTGCGGGATTCCAGGAGCAGGTAGGTTGATCGCGAAATTTTCATCAAACATTTTTGGGGAAAAAAAATAATCTAGACCACATTTTCCTTGCGAGCCTCTCACACTTTTCAAAAAATGTTTCAGCTCGAATTTTCGCAATGTTGGGAAGAGGTATTTTTCCGCAATGTTGTGAAGTTTATCTGCTAAAATTATCTGTCGCTGAAAATATTTGCAATTTTCCAAATTTAAAAAATGCTATTCTTTCTGATATTCGAATCCCAAAATAAATTACAGATTGATGCTGCAATGGGAGCCGAAGAAATGGTAACACAATTGACGAACAAGAATTTCGATATGGAGGAGAAGATTGCGTGAGTTTTTTTTTGTGCAAGAAAAAAGTTCGGGAAAAAACTTCACAAAAAAAATTACTTCACTTTTTTTATCGCCATTTAAAAAAATTACCCAATTATGTTTTGTTGCAGAAAACTCGAAGAAGCCATCGAATTCATGGAAGAAGCTCGAGATTTAGACGAACAATTATCAGAAGTCCAAAAACAGACTGAAAAAGATTTGTTGAAGGAAATTGAAGATTTCAAAATGAAACAGCATGAGGTAAGGATTTTCATTTTTTTTTTGAAATGTTCAATCAAAAATTGATAATTTTAGCTGAATGGTCGGATTCGAGACGAACAAAAACATGCTTTCGAATTATCGCAAACTATTTTGAAATTCCGTGAAAGAATGGCTGGATTGAACTCATCGATTCAGGATCAAAAAGATCAAATTTTGCAAATGGAAGAGGAATTGCACGGCCATAAAAATGAGAATTTGGATAAGTCGAGCATGGTTACACAATTGCAACAATCTTCAATGAGAAACTTTTCCGAGGTTAGTTTTTTGTGCAAAAATTTGGTTTGAAATGTGCAAATAAAACGTAGACTTTCTATAGTAATCCACAGAATATTTGATACTAAAAAGCGTCAAATTCAATTCATTTGAAATTTTGCAGGCTGTCGAACGTCAAATCAATGCAATTGAACTCGAATATTCACGAAAATTGGCCGGATATTTGAAAGCATTTTTGCCGGATAATTTCGCCAAAATTGGCGGTGAAAACGATTCGATTCAAATGGTTGTCATGTTTTCGAGATTATCGGCCAAATCGCGACTTTTTGCCAAATTGAGCGGTGATGCTGTAAGTTGGTTTCGAGCGAGAATTTATAAACAATTAATTGTTGAAATTAAAATAAAATCTAATTTCAGTATCCCCAAGTTCCTGGTGGAATGCGACGGGAACACGTCACAAAATCGCATAAAGGTGAACAATGGGCTCATTGTGCCAGAGTTAACTATTTGTCTTATTCTTTGACTGCCGTTTTGGGACAATTTGAAAGGTTAGTTTACAATTTTCATTCTTTGGACGCAGTTGAGTCGTAAAATGGTCTGAATTTCCAGTGCCGTCTCTCAAACCACCATTGAAGTTTTGATGAAGTTGACCGAAATGTATGGCGAAATGTCGACTCACGAAAGAAGTGTCGATCAATATTTGGAACTATTGAAAACATCGCGTTTTGATGAGAATACGTCGTTGGAGAATTTCGAAAAACCAATAGTCTATTTCCAGGTAAAATTTGCAGAAAAATGAGTGCACGTTTGAGCTGGAGAAAATTCAAAAATCAATCAATTTTCAGAACGTTTTCTCACTTCACATCAGCGGCGATGGTTTCAATGCGGCTCAATGGGTTTCGGATATTTGCTCGTCGCTTTCAGCTGGACTTTTCTATTGCAAATTCAATTTGAGACGATTGACGTTCTTCTTGCAGGTTTGTTATTATTTTCCCCCCAAAAATGGCCAATTTCAATTCCTTATTTTTCTAGGAATCCATCCAAGCTGGTGAACTTTTCAATCTCATCGAAAATTTGGGAAATGAGCTCGCCGCATGTGAAAATGTTGTTCTCAAATCGCTCAAACACATTCCAGATTCCTCCAAAAAATGTCTGAAATTGGAGTCGGAATTCACTGAAGAATTGTTGAATTCTGTTGCACAACTTGATAGAATTTCGTCGATTTTAAGAGAAACTTGTTCAACTGGAGCTGGTCAAATTGGTGGAATTACCGGTAAGTGGATTGCTTTACTTTGAATACCAACAAAATCCTTATTTGATTTTAGAAACCGAAGGATTTGACGAACTTCGTGTAAAAGAAATGATTCACGGTGTAATCGTCAAATATAATGGATGGATAGCAATTGAAAATGCTTTTGAACCAATCCGAAAAACAATGGGATCATTGAGAGATTCGCTGGAAAATGTGCACACCGGTTTGGAATCTGCGAGAATGGAAAAACCGATTCCTGAAAATAAGGTAGGTATTTTTGATTTGGAGCAAAATGAGCCCATATTTTATCGATTTTTGCCACAAAACTATTTGATAAAAAATTCAAATTTTGCAGCCATTCCCGCCACTTCTCGATAGAGCACATCATCGAAAACAAGCAGCTACCGAAGCCGAATCTTTGAGATGGCAAATGGAGAAAAAAGACAACGAAATGTTGGAACTTCGAAAACAAATCAAAGCACGAATCGAAGATGTTTCTAATTTCAAATTACGTCTTGAAATGGCTGAAAGTCGATTGAATTCAACGAATAAAGAAGAAGGCGATAAAGTGAAACAATTAGAAGAGAAAATACAGCAAATGGTTAATGATCATAAAAGAGGACAGATTGAATTCGATGAAACAATGGATGTTTTGAGACGTGAAATGAAGGAGGTTGAAACTGAAAATGCGGAGTTGAAACAAAGGGCAAATAAAATTAGCAAGGAGACACTTTGGAAGGTTTGATTTTTTGAAATTTGGAAAATATATACAGAAAAAATAGTTTCATAGAAAAATGTTCTAATTTTTGCAGAATGTCCAAATGGAAACCCGAACCCCACTTTCTTCTCAAAATATCTCTGATGAATCAGCTTCTCGAAGTGAAGTAATTTATCTCGAAACTCAATTGGGCAAACAAATGGAAGCCAGAAAACGGGCCGAATTGCAAGTTCGAAAACTCACCGGAAAACTCGCCGAATCGCAACAAAAACCAGCAATTCAATTCGAAAAAAGTTCCCGGTCTAATTTCTGGCCCATTATCGATTTTCGATGCTCAAAATGATGAAAAAGAGGGATTGCTCAGATTAATCGATAAGTTACACGAGGAATCTTTGAGATTGAGAAGGGAGGAGAATAAACATTTGGCATATGTTCCGAAAAATCCAAATTGTTCGGTTGAAACAATGGAACGAGAAATGGAGGAGTTCAATGAGAAACGAGAACAGTTTTATGACCAATTGAACTCGGTAAGCATTTTCACATGAATATTCGAAAAATTTGGCTTCTAATGAATTTCTAGCGCTAAAAATTTCAGCATTCATATATAGTTTTCTATTGAATTTTCAAAAACAAATTTCAGGTAAATCGCCGTTTGGGCCGCGCTTGGCTTGATGCTTGGGGACAAAAATGTCCATTTGAAATTCCATCCGAACAATTGAAACCGGTTGGAAAAATGACTGAAAAACAATTTTCTGAAACTTGTAATAAGTGGGGAATTGTTTGGTAGATGGTGCTTTTTTGTAATATTTATTTTTGGTATTTTTTGCGTGTAAATAATATGAATATTTATTGATCTTTTTAGACATTTTTCGTTTCGAAAATTATAAATTTTTTGAACTTCAAGTGGATTTAAGTTTCTGAAAGGTTTTTCAACCAGAAAAAAAACATTCAAATTATATATTTTTTGTTTAACAACTGATTTATTTTTCAATGATTATGATTATAATATAATTTTCAAATGATAGTTATAAACGAAAACGGGGAATGGTTTGGAACATATTTCTGATTCTCGAATTGGTTTCTTTTGTTTTGATAATGTATTGTGATGACTGATCGAATTGATGATTATCGTCGCCCCTGAAACAAATACAAAATCGATATGAAATTAAGAAGTAAAATAAGACCAAATATTATAATAACTATGCCTAAAAATCACCATTCTCATGAGAATTCGACAAATCGCATCATTTTCTTGTTCAGCTCGAGTCACTCGTTCACCCAAATAGGCACGTTTTGCTAATCTTTTTTGCTAGAAAAATGGATTTTTGAAGCTTTGTGAAAGAAAAAAGTAGTTACCGTATCTTTGCAAGATGTAACTACATCACCAAGTCTTCGAACCGGACCACCTTCGCCATCCTCTTTGAAATCATCTGAAATGTTTTTTTTTTGAAAATTCCTTAGAAACTTTTTTTGAGCCTAGAAAATTTGTTGATTTATTTTTTCTGAAACTGCCTTTTTTGAAAATGTGTTTTTCGAAAAACCAAATATCACAATTTTTGACGTCCAGCGAAAAATGTAGATTATTTGGATTATCTCTATATTTTTGAGGATCTTCCTATTTTCTTCCTTATTACTATTTCGTAGAAGAATTTGTCAGAAGCTTTTAGAATTTGGAAGAAAAGACAGAAAATATATTGTCACATCATTTTGAAGTTGTAATTTTTTGAGATTCTTGTTTTCAGGGAACTGATGCTGAGCTCAAAGTTCAGAAGTACACAATGGAATTTTTCAATTCTGAATCTATTTTAAAAATTAGATTTTTTATCAGGCGAAAAATATTTCAGCATAAATAAATTTCAGGCCCTAGAGGCCTAAAATTGTTTCAATCTGAATGATCAGGTTACTGTAGGCCACCCATATTTTCTTTTTTTCTTTCTTCCTTTCTCCTATTTTTTTCTGATTTGTTATTCATCGAAAAACTTACTAAAAGACAACCAAGTTCCAGCATGAATGGAAGTAAAAACAAATGAGAATAATACAACAAGAAATATTTGAAGAAAAAATGAAGAGTTCATTGTGTGTGCGGGGTACCCTGGAAAAAAACATTTGAGATTTGATGTCAAACACAAAACATTTTCAAATAATACTGGATCAATGTCAAAAAATAAAAGAAAAGATGCTGCAACTCCATTAGAGTTGATGAATTTATAGAAAAAAATGGGCGGAGTTTTAGAAAAGAGGAGATGTGAAGAGAGGATGACTAAAAATAACGAAAACAACTGGATCAGGTTGTATATATTGAAATTTGAGATATTTTCATAGAAATACGGTAACACAAGGGTGAAACGGGTACGCACAAAGTTTTGGAACATTTTCTAGAATTTTCTCTGAAACTTATAAATTGTTTCGCAAGCAGGAATTTCGTATAGAAAAATGTGTTGGATAAACTGAAACATTTGGAAAAACCACCCATAAAATGAAAAATGCATTTTCTCTTCAGAGGTCTCCTTTTTTAGACTCGTCAAAACTTTTATGGTGCAAGAAAAAATGGGGCATTAAATTTTCTTGAAAAACTTTTCATCATATTTTTATGATGTTATTTCTGTTTGAATTTTTAAAAATAATCTTATCAGAATTTTTAATTATTTTGAGTAAGAAAAACACTAATATAAAATGAAAAAGTTAGAGAAAATCGAACTTTTCGAGAACACACATCAAACTTATAATTATCTTTTTTTAACGGGGGAAACAAAATAATGACGAAAATGTATAAAGTTACCGTAGGTTCGTTTGTTTACTTTGACTTTTACGATTTTGGTTGCTTCGCCATTTTTTTTTCAATTTCGGCGCCCATAGAAAATGTAATCAACAACGAATGACGTTAAAAATCTTTAATGAAAAAATCTAGGACTTTGGAAAATATTTATTAAAAGGAAGGAAATAAAAGTCATTTTTTACGAATTAAATTTTTGAGCTTGTTTCGAACAGAAGATTCCTTCTTTTTTCTCGAAGTTTTTCCTTTTCGTCTTGGTGAAGGAGCAATTGGTCTTAATGGTGCTGTTGGAAGAACAGTAGCTGGACCAGCACACATTGTTGTTGTACAATTGGTTGCATTGTCATCTGGAAAAAAAATAATTGGATAGTTTTTGACATATGAAACTACAGTATTCCTAACAATAAAACATTTGGCATTATTATTATTATGAAAAACTATTGGGTCCCTTTGAAATTACAGTAATCTGAGTCACAGTCAACACCAAATAAACAAACAAAAAAAACCTACCAAAATCCATAACAATCGACGGTGTTTTTCTTTTTGATAAAGCGGATTTCTTTTTTCCTTCAACACTTTTTCCTTCTTCTCCAATTGTTTTTGTTGCTTCCAAATTCTCTTCATTCTTTTTTCTACCTTCAGATGTTTGTTGTCCACTGATTTGTTCGACACTCGCATTCTTCTTCAATTTCTGTTTCACACTTCCTGGTTTCGGAACATTCAACCATATATCCAATTTGAAGAATTCTTTCGGATTCTCCCATACATAAACAACATTTTTACTTGTTTTCTCATCTTTCCATTTTCGATATTCGATTTCTGGCTGATCTTTCATTTCCCAATCATATGGATCATTCCAATTTGTTCCCGATTTTTCCAACAAACTTTTCATTAAATTATAAGCAATTTCGTAATCTGGAGGAGTGTAATAATCACAACTTTTCAGATTTTCTTCTAATTTGTCGAATGCTTCTGATTTGAACATCTCCGAAAGTTTTGATGATTTTTTGACATTCGCCAATTCTTTGTCTTCGTTTGCCCACGGAAGTGGTGCAATAAATTCGGCCAACATAAACATCAGCGACCAAACATCATCAGCTCTTCCTAATTCTTTGAGATCATGTGCATTTGGAGATGCATACATTTGTGTTCCTCGGAAATCAGTTCTTCTTCTTGCAAGCCTCCATCGATAATCGCTCGATTTTATATTTTCCAATTTTTCTTCAACTGTTCCCATAACTGATTGTTGGGTTACTGTAGTCATTGTCATTGCGGCTGCTCTTTCATCTCTTGCTTTCACAACAAATTTCCGAGCCAATCCGAAATCGAACAAGTAAATTAGTCGTTTTTTGAGCAGATCATCTGATGGGCCAAGTGCGAAGTTGGATGGTTTGATATCGCGATGAAGATATCCACAATCATGCATCAACTTTATCCTGAAAGAAAGGAAAATATTGAATTGAACCCAAAAAAAACAGTTTCCAAAAAATTAGAAAAACTTACGTGTACAAACACTGAATTCCGAGTCGAGTCCATGTTCCAACACTCAGACAATCTGGATTGCTGCTTCGGAATTTGAGAGTGCGCAAGTTTTCACCGAGAAGTTCCATTATCAAAAAATGATATTTTATTTTCCTTCCAGCTCGAACAACCAATGGAAAATTTGGCATTTTTTTCGCTCTCAAATCTTTCAAAACTTCTATTTCCAATTTTATCGCCGATCCGCCTTCTTGACTGTTGGATTCGATTTTCATCGCGAAAATTTTGTCATCTTTGGAGACTTTGAACACTTGGCCATAACCGCCTTCATCGATTTTCTCGATTATTGTGTAACCAGTAACACTGCAAAAAAAAAGATTGAAATTTGAAAATTATTACAAGAATCTATATAATCTAGGAATATAACCTCCTAGAATATTCAGATTACTGTACTTACCTGTCTCCAACGTTAAATACAAGTTGTTCTTCTGTTTGATTAATATCGTTGTTATTGTTATCGGCCATTTTCGACCGCGTATACAAAAAAAATGAGCCCCAACCATTCTTCGCTCCTTTTATACGTGGTTTTTCGCATACGTGGCTTTTTTTTCCAAAAATATAGGTCACGTGAAAATTATTTAAATTCATTTAATTTCATCAATTATTTTTCAGGAAAAATAACATATCGAGATCAGAACAAAATTTTTTTGCAATAATGCAGAATCTTATGATATATTTAGAGGTAGGTCTTATGATACAGAATCTTATATTTAGAGGTAGATATTAATCAAGAGATCGTAGCGCAACATGTTCGATATAAACTTCATAATAATTGGCATTTAAATGACTGCTTTTGGCAATGAGACAAGCACGAGATGGACAAATCAAAACATTTGTTGGAATAACCTATGCATTATTTTTTTTTATTAATCTAATGATATTATATTTCTCACCTCTGTTTGAATAACAAAATATAAATGTATACTCGGAGAACTTTTCATTTTTATGTGAATTGTTTTCATCAGATCCGAGTTCAAATCTCCTGAAAGAAAGTAAGTTTTTCTATATTTTAATGTGAGTTGGCTTACTTTTACAATATGAACATTGCATCGATGCTTGTGGCGTTGGTTTTCGTATATAAATGTGTTTTGATTCCATGCAAATACATTTTGCATAGAATTCAACTGTTGGTTGATGATCGGGATCGATTTCATAAAATCTAAAATTAAAAAAAAGTTGAATTCAAGTTTGGTTTCTGAGGAAAACTAACATTTTAGAATGAAACTCTTCTCCTCTTTTTCTCGTTTGTATACCATCAAAATCGGAAACACATTCCAGTCCTGAAAGTGATTTGGCACCTTTGAAACATTCTTCAACAATGTGATAACTCAAGATTCCGATAGATTTTTCTAACTGCAAAAATATATACTCATTGAATAAATGTTTATTTGAAATATTTACCATTTCATAATCTTTGTCAACATTTTTCGTCCATGTTTTCGAACTGACTTTAGCCGTATTTTCAGGATCTGATGCAAATGGATTCCAATACACGATATGACATCCATATTTTCCAATTGATATAAAAAGATGCTTTTTTCCTTCGATGTCAGTCAAAATCTGAATTAAAATTCAAGTTAATTGTTTCACTTTTTTAAAAGCATACCTCTGCTCGATGCACACGTAAAGCGAAACCAGGTTCGAGGTCGAGACTTTTTACTTTTCCATTATTACCCAATCCTTCTTGACATTTACAATTTATTTTACTTGTTTCATCACCGATAATCAAATCCCAGATATTTTCAGCATTTCTCTCTGCGTGTATTATCGTTCCATAAAAATTGACAAGTTTTCCAATTTCTTTATCCGGAGTTTTACCAGTACAAACTTTCGAAATGTCCCCGATTGTTGAATATGTTGTTGTTCTTCTAATGTTCTCCGTCATCTGAAAAATAAAATAGTGGTCACATTCATTTTAATATTTATCACTTACTTTGCGAAGCCACACGAAAATTCGATTCGCGAATCCACATCAAAAAATTATCGAATTTGAATACAGTAGTATCCTTGTAGGCACACAATGTTTCCAATACGTTCGTGTCGAGACCCATTCAAAAACTATTGGCGCCAGCGCAATATGTTGATTTCGAAAGGATCAAACAAGTTTCAAACAAAAACTCCTGAAACGATTTTTGATTTTAGGATTTTCTTTGTTTTTTCGAAAGCTGAAACTGTTAAATGGGTCATCACCAACGTTGCTGCAACTATGGTTTTGCTGTTGGTTCGCAGAAAAAGGTTGTTGGCAAAAAATCAAAAAAGTGAATATTAAAATTTCGGTCACCAATAAATTAAACGTGAAAATCTTCCGCCAACGAAGTCCTTATTTTGCGAACTAACAGAAACAGTGCTCAACACTACAAAACTTATATTTTCAAACCTATTAATTTTGTATGATGATTTTTCTGTTTAATCTCCGATTTTAGATAAATTTTCTATTGAAAAAACTTAACTAGCCCTTAAGAACCTATTGGTTATAGGAATAGTTGTATTTTCTTCTCACTCTCCAATGCTTGAACGTAATTTCTTAGTTTAATTTTACACTATTTCAAACATACAATTGTGTTCCTTCATGTTCGCTCTATTGAAACAGTTGGCGGGCAACCGCGAACATTCCTCGTTTGAATTGTTCTCTTATTTTTGTGTTTCAGCTTTCGAAAGTCACCTAACTTTTTGAAGAAACAATGAGTCGGCAACCAGCTAAACCAGTGCGTAAAGAGAAAGCACCACCAGAGGTTCCTTCTATTATAACCGACCCGGAAAGAAATATTCAATACGACAAAGGAGTATTCTTGGGAAAAGGAGGCTTTGCACATTGTTACGAACTCAAAAATCGTACGACCAAAGAAATCGTCGCTGGTAAAGTTGTCCCAAAACAACTTTTGGTTAAACAATACCAACGAGACAAGGTAAGGTAATATCGTTTAAAACATTTTACAGATTATTTTTTCAGATGGCGCAAGAGGTTCAAATTCATAGAAATTTGTCTCATCCAAATGTTGTCAAATTGCTGAACTTTTTCGAAGATAGACTCAATGTCTATATCACTTTGGAATTGTGTGCAAGAAGATCTTTGATGGAATTGCATAAGCGTAGAAAAGCGTTGACTGAACCAGAAGCAAGATACTTCACAAACCAAATTGTAGAAGGTGTTCTTTATCTACACGAATTGAATATCATTCATCGCGATTTGAAACTCGGAAATCTCTTCCTAAATGATGAGCTCCAAGTTAAAATTGGTGATTTCGGTTTGGCGACCACAGTTGAAAGTGGAGAACGGAAACGGACACTTTGTGGAACTCCAAACTACATTGCTCGTAAGTTTATCAGACTGTTAATCAGACTTTGAAAACTCAATTTTTTCAGCTGAGGTATTGAACAAACAAGGACATTCTTTTGAAGTTGATATTTGGGCAATTGGATGTATTTTATACATTTTATTGTTCGGTCAACCACCATTTGAATCGAAATCACTCGAAGAGACATATTCAAGAATCAAGAACAATATGTACTCGATTCCAAATACAAGTAGTCCTTCAGCTGTTAGCTTGATCCGTAAACTTTTGGACCCTACACCAGTAAATCGTCCAAATGCTCGACAGGTAGAGTATTTTATCAAGACGTGTTCTAAATTCAAATGATTCATTTCTAAAATAATCACTCGCTTTATAGGTTCATCGCGATCACTTCTTCAAAACTGGATTCATGCCTTCGAGACTACCAATTTCATGTTTGACAATGGTACCGAAATTCGGAAGAGAGACTACAACCGCCGAAAATTTGGCACCAGAAGGAACATCAGAAGGACAACAAAGATCGCTTCAAGGTCGTTCTGGACTTCAACCAATTTTGCATCACAGAGTTACGGATAATGCCGACAGAGAACGTGCTCAACAAATGGCTTCGGAAGCAACATTCCGCGAACCAGAAGATGCATATTTATCACAATTGTATGGTCAAATGACAAATTTGTTGAATAAAAGAATGCCTGATTTGGCAGAAGAAGAAGCTGCTCTGGATGACTATCAATCACCCGAATGTTTGCCAATCTTCTGGATTTCCAAATGGGTTGATTATTCGGACAAATATGGAATTGGATATCAATTATGTGACAATTCTGTTGGTGTTCTTTTCAACGATAATTCGAGAATTATGTTGGATCAAGCTGGAAATGAATTGACATATATCGAAAAAACAAACAAGGAACATTATTATACAATGTCTCAGGTTTTGCCAAATGCATTGACCAAAAAAGTTACATTGCTCAAATATTTCCGTTCTTATATGAATGATCATCTTGTAAAAGCTGGAGAAGGAGCTGGACAAAGGGTATGGAAATAACAAATAATCAGTTTACAAAGCATTTTTATTTATTTCTAGGCTGGAGATGATTTGGCTCGTTTGCCAACACTTCGTGTTTGGTTCCGTACAAAATCAGCAATTGTACTTCACTTGTCAAATGGAACTGTTCAGATCAATTTCTTCACGGTATGTGGGATAGATATTTCATTTAGATGAATAAATTCATATTTTTTAGGATCACATCAAAATGATGATTTGTCCATTGATGCAATCGGTCACATTCATCGACCAACAAAAACGTATGCTCACATACAAATTCTCCAATTTGACAACAAATGGTTGCCCACAAAAGTTCTTGCATCGTTTGTCTTATGCTAAATCGATGATTGAGCGATTGATGAATGATACATCATCTGTTAAAGGAACATCTATCACAACTGCTAATGCACCGGTTAGAACTATTTCATGAGTTATGTGATCAAAAAAATAATAATTTTCAGCAAGGTCGATCAGCTTCAGCAAGTTCGCGACATTTACTACAAAATGGGCAAATGCACGGATCGGCGAGTGTTTCGAATATGGGAAGAAACAATTGTTAATTTATCTTCCTCGCCTTTTCGATTTCTTGTCAAATAGATAATTATTTTTATTTATTATTTTAACATTTCTGTTCTTCCCATACAATAATCCCAACAAAATCTTCTTTCGTCCTCCCCCAATTTTCCCGTTCTTTTTCTTGCATTGTAACATGAACCCATTTTGAAATATTGCTCTTATCTTTTGATTATCTTTCTCCAAATACGAACACGTACTTTAAAAGTAGATTAACTTATCATGAAAATGAAACTGTTCATTTTAATAAGACATGTTCAACCAACACAAATATTATCTCCACTTAACATGACCAATTCAAGCATATGTTTATGCAATAATTCGTATGGATCACTGCTGTCGGTTTTGTATTGGTTGGAAATCAGCAAACGTTGAACACGGCATAAAATAGTCCAAGGTGATAACAAATATTTTCTCTGAATCTGAACATACAAAGGACTCATTCGATATTGGAGAGCCATCAAGATTTTCTGATCCCAATTCAATAATTTTGTTTCACATAAATATTCTTCGATTGCTCTCATCAATTTATGCATTCGATATCTTCGAGCTATTGCAATCAATCGATCAATTGAATGTCTGCAAAAATGTAATGATTTTTCGAAAAATGTTCAAATTTCCACATTTAAGTTCACGTTTTTAACAAAAATGTTCATTTCAAACTTTAAAAATTACCTGATAATAACAAGATCATCGAATTTCGCAGTTGCTTCCATTAAAACTCGTAATTGTTCATTTTCAAAATTCTCAATAACAGTCAAAAGATTTGAATCTGAAGAAGCTTTCCATTTTTTGAATAACGCGCCACCAATCATATCAAGCTTTGCAATATTAACATAATACAAAACACTGTCATTCATTCGATGATCGAAATTTTGAATAATAAATTGTCGTGAACTTGATGGTTGTGATAAATCGAGTTCACAAAGAGTTTTACGCATTCGAGCAGCAACAATTAATCTTCCTTTCTTTTCTTTACTTCGAACATGTCCCAGAAATGTATTGTTTTTAACAAGATTTGACATGATCTGTATGTAATACGTTGTTTTTTAAAGCTTTTTTTCAAAAACAAAATACCTCTCTTCTTCGATTTCCATATCGAATAACAACATCTGCGATAAATGGCCGATCTTCAAATTCAACAGGCTTGAAGTATAAATGAATCAACCAACCAGAATAACTTTCTTCGTCAAAATAATCTTTCTGAATTTTTAAAATTGAAAATGAATGAAAAACAAAACTAACTCACATATGTTAAAATTTTTCCCCCGATAAAATCTGATGTGAATTCATATTCCGACGCTTCTAGTCGTGTTGACAAAATGGGAAGCCAAATATCCATGTTTTTCGAGCAAACGTTGAAAAAACCTCTTAATTTTCAAATTCGAAGCACCGCTAAACCAAATGCAACAGGAGTGTCGTTCGTAGAGAATCAAACATGCTCTATCGCACACATCGCTCAACTGCAATTTTTTTGAAATGGTTTTATTTTACAGTACTCATGATATGGGTATAAAACGTCAAATTAATTAAAAAAATACAAAACAAGAAAAAAGGTAGGTTGAACTTAACTTCAAATCTTAGACAGCGTGTATCTTTGAACTAAAAACAATCCAAAGTATAATACATACAAAATATTTATTCGTTATCATTGACTACAACTTAGCCATATCGAGAAAGATAAAAACCGCACGTTTCCCTCATTTTTCATTCCAACTTTTTGAGTTCTCTGTTTTAGTTTGTTTTTATCAATATTTTTGTAAATATAGATTTTCATTTGTTTTTAATATTTCAATTTAGAAATAATATTACTTAATTTTCATGAGAGATTTTAATATTTGGAAGGTACTCTTACTTTTTAGAGAACTCTCTTACACACTTTTTTAACAAATAATTAAACACGTTTCTCTTAATTTTTATCGATTTGTTTATAGTTAGAAAAAAGTGAATTTGAGAGATATAAAATAACCATCTTCAAATGATTATTGATTTTTTATTTGCTTATCAAACAACAAGATCCTGGTTTGGTATTAAAATTTCTTTCTTATCATTTTTTAGTATAGATAGACATAAATCATTTTTCAATCAACACCAACTTTTTTCAATTTTTTAAAATAAAAATCATTACAGTTTCAACAAAATGTCATTCAAATCCGATGTTGTTTTCAATGAAATCAAAGAAAGAATTCAAACCGACAAAGATTTGGTGAAAAAAGTCGGAACATCGTTCAGAATCAATGTTGCTGGAGCTGATGGAACTGTTAAAACCTGGACTATTGATGCTAAAGTTTGTTTGAAGATTCTGCAATAATTTTTAAAACCTATTTTTTTGCAGTCCGATACTCCATACGTTGGAGACGACAAAACTCGTGCAGTTGAAATCGAAATCAACATCAAGGATTCTGACTTTGTCTCAATTGCCTCTGGAAAACTGAAACCAGATCAAGCTTTTATGCAAGGAAAAATGAAGTTGAAGGGAAATGTAGCAAAGGCAATGAAATTGCGCACCATCTTGGACCCAAAAATGCTCAAAGCCAAACTTTAAACTAAATTCTGAATTTTTTCTGAATAAAGAGATTTCCAAAACACATTTTTTTCCATCGCATTTTTATTCATGTTCATATTTAAAATAATCAGAAAATTGTTCTTTTTTGGTGATTTTGATATTGAGAAAGAAGAGAATTTTGAAAATGATAGGATAGATAAAAGAAGAATAATAATAAGCCAAAAATAGAGGCACAAATGATATATATTTTTGGAAAAAAAAACAAGAAATAATACTAAAATTGGTCTGGAAAACGGGGCAGTGAAACGGATTTAAAAATTGATTTTTGCTTTTAATTGTGACAAAAAAATTAGTCGGGGTATAGAAAAATTGAAAAAAAAGTGACAGAGGAATTGTTTGAAGCTGGATAGATATTATGGATTTAATGAAAATTTGGGATTTAATATTATGGGGTTTTGGAAAAGTTTAGCGAAATTTTAAGAACTAATCGTTGAAAACTATGCAATGGGGATGAATATTCGGGAATTATTCAGAAGCCGGTGTTGCTTCTTCTTGTTGTTGTGGTTCTGCGGTTTCAGCAGCTGCAGCTGGTTCAGCGGCTGGAGTTTCTTCAGCTGGTGGAGCAGCTGCTGGAGCTGATTCGGCTGCTGGTGCAGCAGCCACACTTTCAGATGGATTTGGAACAACTTGAATTCCAGTCAATTCAATGTCTCCTTGAATTTGGATTCCAGCAATATCGTGTGGATCAACACGATGAGCATAAGAAGCAAAGCGTTCGCCATTGACGAAAATCTGAAAAAAAAGAAGGAGAAGATTGAGAAATGGTTCAATTACTTTGAAGTGGACTAAAAACAATTTATTTTTTCTTGTTTTTTATGTGAATCTATCTTTTGGGAAGAGTGATGGATAAAACATTTGAACTTTTGGGTGAATTTCAGTATGAGTCAAAATTATCGAACATACCTGGAAAGCGAATTCCTCGTTGCGAATTTCCAAATCGAATCCAACATTTTTCTCGAATGGGTTTTTTCCTTCTCTTTCTTCATTTCCCCATTCTCCAGAAATCAAAGAATTGCGAACAACGCTCTGCAAAAATTGAATATCAAACCAGTTCCAACCCGTTGTCACCCCAATTTTTCATAAATTAATTATATTTTTCATCAGACACAAAAAAACACAAAAATGCGATCTGAAACAAACCTCATTCGATTCGATAAAAGGATCAAAATCCTTCTGAAATTTTTAAGTTTTGGGATTAAGAAAACATAGGATTTGATTTTTTTGTTTAGGGATACACACCACTTTTTAGAATATTCTAGAGGAACTAAAAATACCGAACCAAAAACATTCACGAACACTTTTAACAAAAAATAAATATATAATAAATACTATATAAAAAACATACTCCTGGAATTGGTTTAGCGCAGATAAGTCCTCCCTGAAATGGATTTATGAGAGAATTTTATACAAAATCAAATGAAATTAGAGTAACTCCATAGTTTTCAAAATAAAAAAAACTGTGTAAAATGCTTACCTTCTCATCGAATCTTGGATTGAAGTGAAGAGCGATATCTCCATTTTTCTTCAACAAATTGATGTTGAATCTGGAAGAAAAAAATATAGTTAGGATGAAATTATAATAGATTTAATTACTTCTTGGCTTTTTTCTCTGGAGTGGCGTAGACGACCAAAGTTTTTCCAGGAATGAGACCATCGGCAGCGATTCCACTTTCATATGGGACTGGCTGCAAAATATTTTCAGATTGTAGAAGAAAATTCATTTGGATTTGATAGATTTTCAAGATGTTCAAACTTTTCAAACAACATAATTTTTATTTTCCATTTAAAAAACTCACATAGTATTTTCCACCCCATTGAACATGGTTCAAAATAACATCTCCATCAATTGACAAATGAGAGACGGATTGAAGTGGAATTCGGTGATCAAAAGCCTTGATGTCTTTCTGCAAAAAAAATTTGGTTTTTTTTAAACAAGATTTTTTGCAAACGTTTGAATTCTGTATCCCGATTTTCAAAAATCATTTTTTTCAGCGTACTTGCAGTCTTAGATTTTCTTAACATTTGAATAACAAAAACTATAGTACTCATAGTAGTTTAGCCAGGATTGTCATTTCAGAGCCTAATCCATATCAATTTCCTAAATTTTAAAATTATTCCAATCCCTCTCCAATCCAACATTTTGTTTTGTTTATTTTTGTTCCAGATTCTATTTTTTGTCACAAAAAGTCAATGCTTTTCTTGTTCGACCAAACAATTTTCTATTTTTCTCTTCTTTCTATTTTTTCTCTCAAAAAGTGGTGCAAAAACAAGAATCTGGAAATAAATTATTTTGAAATTTCTAGGTCATAGCTAAAAGAGGAAGAATATCCCCTGTGGAATTTTTGACGATTTTTGAGCATTCGAAGAGTAGACAAAAGAGAAGAAATTGAATATTCGAGAAACCTTTGAGTTTTTTCTTCCGTGAAAAAATATGGGTGTGAAGTAGAAGAAAAAAAACTTTTTGTTGTTGACGCACAAAAAAATATCCGATTTTTTTTCGAGATGAGGTGGCAAAAAAAAGTTTTGAGTGAGTGATAAGCGGAGCAAAGATTATGGATTTTGCAACAAAAAAAGATGATATAGAAGAACTCTGAACTTTTTGAGTTGAGTTGTTTCCGGTAATTTTTTCTCGAATTGTTTCAATGTTCTCTGTCTCTCTTTTTTTCTGACAGGAAAAAATAGGATATTTTTGACCAAATTCAATTTCGCTCAACTCAACTTGTTTTTTTTTCATTCTTTTTTTGGATGTCATGTGAGTGTGTGGGCACAAAGTTTAATTCTATTTTTGAGTTGAGTTGTGATGGATTGGTGAAAAAAAGAGTTATTTTTGGTTGGTGAAATCTCGCTCGCCTGACCGGTCACTTCGAAACAATATTTGAGTGGTCCCTAGAGATGTTTGAAAAAGTTAATTTCCTCAAGAAACCAAAGATGTTTCTAATCTTTTTGTTTTCGAAAATCTTGAAATACTAATCAATCAATCAACATTTTTGTTTGTTTAAAACTCACATGATTGATTGAAATCGAGAATTTGTTGTCATGAGCACGAATTCTGATATCAAAAGCTTCTCCTTTCTTGATTGGATTCTTCTGGCGTTCTTCTTTTCCCCAAGCTCCCTTGGTGTAAGCATTCGAAACAATCTGCAAAAATTATAATACTGCCAAAATTATGATAAAATATTAAGTCATTTCTATTTTTGCCCCATATATTTTTTGTTAGAAATCTTCACAACTATAGGAGTGCAAAACATGCAAAAAATCTGTGTGAAGTTTGAAACCTACACTGGATTTTATCGTTTTTTCACGCTGCCAATTTTCGAATTTGATCTGCAAGTCAGTCCCGTTTTTTTCTTTCTCAAATTGCAGGTGTCAAAATAGATGACATGTGTGAGTGTGTCAGAAAATGAAGAATTTCGAGAAAGAAAGAAAGATAGATAGATAGAAAAACAAAAAATAAATTATTTTCAATTGGCTCATAAATCAATTTTGATAAATGAGTTCTTTGGGAGCGAAAAAATAATAAAAAATGGATAAGTAAAACCAACTTTTCCTTCGTCGAATCGAACTGACAAATGAAGTGGAACATCGTTTCCAGAGAAATCTGGCGAATCTTTATGCAAGTTGATGTTGAATCTGTAAAAACCTGTGTAATGTTTGGGAGCTGTAAAGTCTGGGTGCTATTTCCATGGGATGAAGAAATTGAATTATATTTTTGGAAATTTGATCTAAAATGTCCCATGAATCATAAAATTCAATTACAATTCAAAAAAGCTAGCTTTCCCAGGGAGTGAGTAAAATTCCTTGAAAATTTGTGCTCTGATTATAGTACAAATCTTTAAAAATTCAATGAAAATTGAAACGATGTTCAATTCACAGATAACATTGGAAATTACATAATTGCAGAACTTCAATTTTAAGTCCTTCCAAGTTTGAAAAAAATCGGACCTTATGTATTTTTTTCCAAAATAGCCCTATGATGTGAACATTGTTTTTCGTTTCCAAAAATATTTTTTCCTCAAAAACTAAGTGACCACACTCATTTTTCATAATCTTTGTCGTTCTTTTCCTCATCCTCTTTCCGTTTTTGAAAAACGGGCCAAAGAAATTCCCTGATGAATTGGAATATGTTTTGAAATGCAAAAAAAAAGTTTTGGTGTCACGCGGATTGGATTTTTGATCTTCTTTTTTTTCTCTCGAATTAATTTTATTATAAATCACTAACCTTTTTGATTCCTCGATGGTTTTTCCGCGGATGATCAAAGTTTGTCCGGGTTCGATTTTCTCGGTGAGTTTTGAACGGTATGGGATGTTCTGAAATAAAGATAATATTTATTATTTGAATTTGAATTGGCAACTCGTACACTCTCAAAACCTCTGTTTCTCTCTCTTTCGGTTAATATTCAAATCACACACACTTCAAAATTAAAAGCAAAAAACTAAAGAAAACACAAACAAACTCAAACTTTCACAAGTAAGTATATTTTTTATTTATCTGAAAGAATTTGTGAATTTCAAAATATTTGAATTCACAAATCCTTCCGCCCCATTTTTTTTAAATTACGATATATTTGGCGCAATGCCATTCTTGTTTCATTGTTGAATCATCGCCAATTATTTCAATCGGATTAAATTCAATATTTATTGGATAAGAAGATGAGCAAGAAGCTGTTGAACCACTCGATGATATTGAATTTTGCAAATCTTTCAGATATTTTTGCTGTTTTTTATGTTTCGAATAAAATGAAGTTGGTAGCCAATTATTGCCTTTTTTCGATGGACAAATTTGATCAGTTAATCCAAGATTCTTTATTGATAACATTATTTATGAAGAATTTAATAAAAAGTTGTAGTAGTAGTAAATATTTGGAGCAACAACAAAATATAGAGGACCTCTTTTCTTTTCAAAAAAAAACAGAAAAAAAGAGGAGGGGCCAACTAGAAAAAAGACACGCCCCTTTTTTGTCGAAGAGGGAAATGAACTTTGTTGATAACATCTTGTTTTGATGTTTTTTTATATGTGGAGCAAGAAATGAGAACTTGCAAATTCCTTGGAGAAATCAGTTTTGTGTCCAACAAAAGTACGAGAAATTTCATATTTTTTTGGAAGTAGTAAAAGTACAAAATCAGGATTTGTGGTTGATGGAAGATGTGGAGAATAAGAAAATCGAATTAGTTTAAGATTAAGAGGTTTGGTGGAATTGTGGTTTTAGAAAAGTTTAGTTTTTGGAAGTACGAAAAAAAGTGAATAAGCCAAGGGTTTGAGAATTTGCACAAAAATTACTGTGGTTAAAAAAGTATTAATCGGAATCGAGACATTAGGGAAGCTCCAGGCTTGATTATTTAATTTTTAGAAGTTCAGTAACTAAACCTGAGGAATTCCAAGATTCCCACAAGATAAATCTGATCTGATTTTTCAGATTTCTTAATCGGACCTTCAATTTTCACCAAAAAATAAAATATGGCTTGATCCTTTTTTGATGGGTCTATCTTCAAAAGATTCCTTCACTACTATAAATGAGCTGTGAAAAATCATGCAAGTTCCAAAAAAACAGAGAAAAACCAGAAAATGGAAAACGAACATAAATTTTGGTGGTGCAACTACTTCTTCTTTTTCGTTCGTTTTCCATCTTTTGCTCTTTTCTCAATTTCGTTTGTCTGTTCGATTCCATTTCCTGTTCAATTCTTGTCACTTTTTTATTTTGTATATTTTTTCCAAAAGATGAGCTCAATGAGCTTTCAAGATTTCTACAACAAATCCAATAAAATTCTATAGTACTCTCTCTCTCTTTTTGTCCATTTTTACTAGTCCTTTGGGATATTCCTTTGACATGTCATAGTTCTTTTTTAGGTATTCAAACGAAAAGAAAGAAGATTTTCGATCGGTTAAGTTAGCTTCCAAAAAAAAGACAACGGAAAAAGAAAATCCACCCACTTAAAAAATTTCACGGATGATTTCATTTATCGTTTCATTTGTTTTATTTTTATTGACCAAAAAAGGCCCGTTTTTGGCTGTTTTTTGAGGGATACATGATACATATTTCCTTCCCTTTTTTTATTTTACAAAGGTAAAACAAAAAAATTTTGTTGCCGATTTATTTGTCGAAAAATAAATAAAAGTGCAATCGCCAATTTTTCATTGAACAAAAAAGAAACGAATTTTTGTTATTTTTTTCTGTGTATGTTTGAAGTATGGCGACAAGTGACAGAATAAGGAAAAAACAAAAACATAAGGAAGAAAAAACAAAGCCGAATTTGGATGAATGACAAAAATTGATATGGTTTTTGCACGCTATTCAGAAATTTCGTCAGAAAACTTCCAAAACTTCTGACAAAGGGGGAAGCTAGAAATTTGGAAAAAACAATTTCCAAAAAATGCTATATTCGGATTTGTTTAGATTCTGGTTATCCAAAAATTGAAATCCTGAACAGACTTTCAAAGCTACAGTAGGCGTATATTTTCGATCTTGAAGCTTACTGAAGTTTGGGTTTCTCAACAGAAAATTAGCAAAGGTTCTAGATATTTTAAAAAACTGGGGCAGGGTTGTGAAATACCATTGGACAAACTTCTAACGAACATAATTTGAAAACTGAGATTCACGTAAAAATTCCAAAAATAAAAAAATATTATGAACACAAAACCGAAAGGCAAGACTATTCTCCGAGACTACAGTAAATTTCATAATCTCAATTAGGGTTCTAATAATCTTCGAAGTTCACCACAGTTAGTAAGTTTTTCAGAAATTTACAGATATAAAACATAAAAATGAAACATGCATCTCTGTCTCTCTCACATTAAATCTCTCATATTCCCATTTCAAAAAAAAAACAAACTTACATATTTCGAGTCGCTCATGTTGATGTTGTTGCGCAAAAACAGCGGAAGTTTGACGGTTCTAAATACAATGAGATATTTATATTGAATTAAATACGAGTAAAACAAAAAAAGGATACCCATAACGATTTGAGACTGAATTAATAGAATTATTATTTCGCCATCTCATTTTTTTTCAAGAAAGAATGGCTTTTTGAGAACTGTTTGAAACTATTGTTTGGAGAAAAAAGTTATTTGAACATCATAAAATAAAATCAAATCAAATATTAAAAAAAAGAAAAAGAGATGAGTAATAAATATATTGAATTCAGGAAGAAACTGGAGGAAAAACGGGCACGGGAAAAAAAGATGAATGAGTGACATACAAACACAACTAAACAAGAAATAATTGGAAAGATAAAAGAAAACAACAAAAAAACAAACAGATGATAGAAGAAGTGAGCAGATGCATTTTGTATAGATTTTGCGAGGCACAATTTCAGAGAAAGTTTTAAGATAAATGATAAGATAGAGGTTCGTATTTTTCAAAGATTTACCAATTTTTTTGGGATAGAAATGAGGAAGAAAAAAGAAAACACCACTATCAAAAAATAATACGGTGGGAACCAGAAAACTCCAAAACTGTGGAAGATCCTTCAACTTTTGAAAGTTATTTTTCTAGATTACAGTAGTCCATTTAGAATAAATGTGTTTCTTAAGAAGATGGAAAAAGTTTTGGAGAAAATTTGAAAGTGAACCAATTTTCCTAACAGAATGAAATAACAGAAAATAAAAAGTGAGATGAAAAAAGAAAAACAACTTTTTGAGACTATTAAAAAAATAATAAAATGGTGGGAACTAGAAACAGCAACAATGCAACATAAAAGTTCTGTTTTTGAAAAACTCAAAAATCATGAAGTGTATCATTTCTTCGAGAACAAAAATTCATGTATGTGTAACAATTTTACAAATGAATGGGAAAAAAAGAAGAATTTCATTTCATTTTCAAAAAATTCTGCCTCTTCTTTTTCGAAAACACAAAAATGTTCTTTTTCTTCTTTTTCTGATAACCGCCTCCACATCTAAAAAAAATGGGGGAATTTCTTTAAATTTTTTGCGAAATTCTTTTGGCCACAACAAAAAAAGAAATGATGAAAAAAACAGTATTGAGGGCAATCAGTGGAAAAAGGGAAACCGATGTTACAAAAAGCGAAATAGTGTAAAGTGCGCTTATTTTTCGCGCGTTTCAAAAACTTTGTGGCAAAACAGAACTATACAGATAGATGAAGAAGACTAATGAGAAACAAATAAAAGAGAGAAAGAATGGCTACTTTGATACGTGACAAAATGGTCAAGAAGAAGAAGTTTAGAGGGAACACAAATTGGCTGACATTTACAAGAAAAAGGGCAACATTTGTACTTTCTTTCTTTCTTTTTTTGTCTGTTTTCAAAAGGTTATGGGAACGAAAATGAGAATTGGTTTTTGAACTTCCACGTGGAATTTTTTGTGTTTACTGAAACAACAAAAGTAATTTGATAGTTTTACAATGTTCTGCGGATTTGTGAAGGCGATATCCAAAAAAGGTAGAGGTTTGCATTTGAATTTTCAGTTTTGGTTTTTGAGGGAAATTCTGAAGATGCACATATTTATTCGGAATATTTTTCCATTTTAAGGTAACCCGAAAATAATTTAAATACTGGAAAACTGTTTTTGGAATTAATCCTGATGAAAAAAATTTTTCTGCATCGGATCATTTTCGAAAACTATTTCAATGTCATTATTGCATATTACAGTATTCCTGATCTACAGTACTCTTTTTTTCCCAAACATTTCCAAATATTTTTCTAAATTCCTCTAATCATCCAATGTTTTTGTTTTGAAAACGTATGTGTTTGAAATAGCAAGTGACCATCATCTGTCACTCATTTTTCTAATCCTATTTTTGTTTATTCGATTACAAAGAAAAACTTATTTTTTTTGTCGCTAGAAAAAAGGATTAGTAGAAAAACGACTTGAAATTGAAAAACATCGAGGAAATGAAATGTACTACAAACGGGGGATTTTAGGCGCAAGTTTCAAAATGACAGAAAACAAAAACGATAACGAAAAGTGACAAGAAAATTGAGATGGGTGTGGTCTATTTTTTGTCTAGATAGACAGATATTATTTATAAGAACTTAATTTATCTGTTTATTTTTTTTCAGATTCAATTATTTTGTTTTTGAAAACAAATAAAAATTAAAAAAGTTTTTTGAAAAAAGTGAGAAGATAGGGAAGCAAATAAATAGAATGTATACAAACAAGTAGTAGTAACGCACTTGAAATAAAATGAATGTACATACATATATAAAATAATGTAAATAAAGTACGAAACTCGGAAATTTTCATGATTGTAACTATTTGATTTTTGAAACAAACGAAAATCAAAATGAAATGCGATGAAAATTCTCAGTCAATTAAATTAAATATCTCGAACTAAATATTTGATCTAATTAACAGTTACAAAGAAATAAAAAAAGCAAATAATGATTGTGACCTTTTTAATCAAAAAATGAAACTAAATTTTTGCAATTTCGGGGGAAAACTAAAAAAAAGGACAACAATTGTGTATTGTAACAAATAAAAGCAATAAATTGATATTTATTAAATTTTTCACATTGCACAAATAAAACGAAACAAATTTCGTAATAAAATATATGATGATGATGGTAATGGTTTTCGATTTATATAATCTTTTCAGATATTTTAATATGAAAAAAAAGAAAAGTGCATTGGTTTGTGAACGCTTGTAGATAGATATTATTATGAAATATTATTGAAAAAAAGCAGATAAGATATTTCAAGCGAAAAATTGCAGAACTTTGGGGAACAGAGTCGAGAGAAATCGGAAAATCTATTTAGAATATAATAGGAGAGGAAGAAAGTTTCAAAATTTCATGAACTTAAACTACCAAAGAAATGTCTCGTTATTTTTGAGACCTGGAATAATTTTGTGAGTTAGACTAACTATTGAACAAAAATCTAGAACTGTTGTTTAACTTTAGAAATGCATCATCAATTTCAACTATGCACTAAAAAAGGAGACATTTCATAAATAATCCCTAACTCTTCAAAAAACCCCAAAACCTTTTCCTTTTCCTGAGAAAACCGAAAATAAATAACGTGACACCTCGAAACAACACAAAGTGCATTTCCAAAAAAAATTTCGCTCAACCGCAACACGAAACAAAAAAGCACCTGTTCATATAAAAAACGAAATTTCTTTTTGATTTAAAAGAAGAAGAAAAAGAAAAAGCTGCGAGTAGAATGTTGGCACATCTGGTTCTTGGAAACATGCCAAAAACGATTTGGCAATGAGAGGAGCGGGAAGAAAAAGAAGAAACAGATGTGAATATTAGAAGAAGGAGAAGAAGTATAGGCTGGCTTTCATGCATATTTCATTTTTCGATCGAAATTGTGTCCTTGTTTTGGAATTTATAACAATTTTAAAAATATGGAAAAAAAAGTTCGTATAAAAATAGAACTTTGCATTTTTGACAATCCCATTTATCTCACATGATCATCCAAAAAAAAAGAACAGAATGATGCACTTATTTCAAACTTTGAAAAAAACAAGAAAGAAACTTGGATTTGGAAAGAACTTATTTTGCGGTTTTCGAGACTCGAAATTAGAAAATTAGAACAAGGTCAATAAATAATTATTGGAACGGAACGGTGACTCAATTTAAAGTGCATTACTTTTCGTAATTTACAAAGAAACCTTTATTGGGTTTTTTTTCGCGGGGCTTTTTGTTATAAAAATACTAAAAACTATTTTTATGTTCTCATTAATTTTTTATTCAAACTCTATTTCAAATTTCTAATCTATACGGGAGTAGACTATCAATTTTTACATGTCGCTAGTAATCCTATAGTAACAAGTTTAGTTGGTTTCAAAATCCCGGATTTTGCTTTGAAAAATCTACAGTAACCTCAAAACATTGCCCTAGTCTATTGGAACAGAAAGTTTTAGGAAAAAAAAGAATTATAGTGTAACTTTCAGACCCATGAAAAATATTCCAAAAGCCACTGTGCATTCTAGAGATTTCCAAAGTTTCTCCGAAAATCCAAATTAAATTTTTTTGACAATCAAATTATTGTAAGTAATTATTTCTCACTTCTCGAAAAAATGTTGCAAAAATAAATAAAAATGAGGAGAAAAAAGTGAAAGTCGAGTTGTATTGAAAAAATGTTTACACATGAATGCACTCGTTTTTTGGCATGTTGGAGATGGTTAAAAAATTGGCGAAAAAAAAGAAAAGAAGTGAAAGTGAGAAATTTGGGAAAACGTGCCAGTTTTTGGTTTGAAATAATTAAAATTGCACTTTTTTCTGAGAAAACTCATTTGGAAAAAAAGAAAATGAAAAAAAAGAAAAACAAAAGTATTAGTAGGATTTGAAAAAAGGTCGGGATCTTCTTTGTCGCCTTCGAAATACACATACAACACAAAAATACTCCCTTCCTCTTCTTTTTTCTCCAAAATGCAACACAACACAACAACTAGAGAATAGAGAGCGGAAACAAATGAGAGACGCAGAATGTTTTACGAGAGAATATGAGACGCAGATATTTAGAAAACCGAGAGAGATATTGCTTATTAGAAAAGAGACGTAGACGGTTAGTTACTATGGCTAGCGGCGTAATAGAGATGAATTCTGGCATTATGCCAGAATATTTTCGAAATGATGATGAGGGTGAAAATAAAAAGAGAGAAATATAGAGAAAAAAGAAGAAGAAGAAGAAGAAGATGAAACGGAAAGAAATGAAAGAAGAAAATTGAAAGATTTTAGATACAAATACTAATGGGATTTTAGATGAAGAAGAAGAAATAGATTTTAATTTATATTAAACAACGTAAATAAATGAAAGAAATAACTAACAAATATGTTCAAACTAGAAATTTAGGAAGGAAAGAATATGATCTGAAAAGCACCATTTTTCAAAAAATACTGTAAATTGTTGGCCTTTTAATTTTCAATTAAAATTAATTTTTCCTAATCTAAATTAAATCAATTTCTTAAGTGATTCCATATAAATTTCTTCACTAATATTATACGACTACAGTAACCCATTCGAAAAAATAATTCATATTCAGAGGAAATTTTTGATAATCGAATAATTAGATCAATTTTATGAGAAAATACGATACTTTTATTGCAAAAATTGTCGAATCAAGTAAGTATTTACACTATAAAAAGTAAGAATAAACATAAAGTAGTACACCAACTCGAAAAAACTGATCAAATTACACAATTACACACTTTTTCGGCCGTTTCCCCTCACATTTTTACCGCGCCGAATTGGGTGAAATGAAAACAGCAGAAATCCCTAAAAATAGACTCACATAAATTTTCAACCATTTTCTGAATACTATTTTTGTAAAAATGAATGAATTCATTTAAATGAATAAAAGTGTGAAAAAATGAAATCACGCAAAAATTTTTTGTTTTGCCATCAAAATTTTTTGAAGAATCTTTTTGAAAACTAAGAGTACAGTATAGGATGACAAAATTGTGATAATGTGGTCCCAAAATGCAATATTTATTTTTTACAACACGAAATCACTGAAATTTGGCGTCAAATATGCAATTTTTCCAGATTTCACGAAAAAAATGAATTGAAAAAATAAACGAGAGAGTGTTGTGTGTAGAAGAGACGAGGGGAGAAGGAGACAAAATGAGAGATAGAAACAGGTAAGAGAGAACGCCAGACAACACGACGTTTGTGAATTTTTTCCAACCTCAAAAACATTTTTCGTTTTTTCACAAAAAATGCTAAAATCGTTCATACTTAACCAAATTTCACAATCTTTGTTGCAAAAGATGACAAATTCTTGAGAATAGAGATGGCAAAAAGAAAAACCTAAAAAACTTTTCTCCAAACACCAAAAAATAGGGCTAAAGGTTTTTCGCGTTGATTTCCCTTGATTTTTATGATATTCGACTTGCTTTCTATGAACACTTTTAATGTTATTCATTTTCAATACAGAAAGAAATACGAAATTGTTGAAATTTTTGGCTGATAGTGAATGAAAAATGTTGTATTCTTGCGTTATTGCATTCTGGTACTTCTAATACAAAAAATCATTGCATGAATACTCACATACATTTTTAAGTTTAAAAACCATTCAAAAACTATTTGGAAATCCATAACAAATTAGCAGTTTTCCGTTTTCGACCAAGTAATAAATCAAAATAGAACCTCCCTACTTGGAAGAAGGAAATTGCAGGCAACCGAAACCAGTCATAAATTTTACGACTTTGTTGATTTCGTGACTTTTTCTCTAGTTTTTTATACACGTGTACATCGATGAAAAATAACAACAAAACGAAATAAATTTGTCCATTTTTCATATCGTGCGAAAAATGAAAATGAAGAAGAAAACGAAGAAGAATATATAGAATTAGCATAATAAAATTAGAGTTTTGTGAAGAATGAAGAAATTATTGGTTTTGAGTAGTTCGGATTTTGTGAAAATATAAAATTATTGAACATTTGATAAGATTCAGCAGGTTTATCAAATGGCACAAAATGTCCAGCTCCCTGAAAAAAAACACAACAGATATCGCCAATATCTGATTAGATCGTTACCTTTACAGTAAGAACATCTAAAGTTATTCTAGTTCGATTTGAGTTTGGACTTTCATATCTTAAATAAAACCCGGCCAAGTTTTTCATTTCAGAATGAAACCATGGAGAATGTTTGATTATCTGTAATCATATTTTTCCAAAAAAAAAAAAACTGAAAACAAATGTAAACTTTTTTGAATCCATGAAGTCTTGCTAAATTTCTTGCAAAATATTGATCTGCCAAATAATTACAAGCTGTATCGATATCTCCATTATACAACAATATTCGAAAATTTGGAAGCTTAAAAAACTTTTTTTCATTCAGTGTGATGATTCGGACTCAAAAAACCTTTTTGATATTTGCTCTACTTACCGTGTTATTTTCAAAAATCCGACTGAAAAAAGGAGTCATATCATTATATGTCATTGTGTAGTTTTCATATAAATCACTGCTACAAAAATCAATAACCTATTTTTTTCCAAAATACAATCAAAAACTCACCTGCAAATATTCCATTCTTTATCCCGAGTCCTCCATAATTCATCAATTTTCAATGATTTTTGTACATCTTTTCGATTCAAATATTTTTTCAATGCAGAATCCAACCAACACGACATTCCAAGAGGATTTGTGCCATACGTATTCAGAAGGGCTTGGATACCTGAAAACATAAATTGGAAGAAATTCGAACGAGAATCTAGGTCTGTAACATCAAATTTTGGGTACGATTCAAATTCAGAAAATAAATCAATCTGAAAATTTCCTACCATTTTTCTTGATTTTTTTCAGAGTTTCTTTATATGGATCTGGTGTAGTTGTCATATTAACATAACAAACTTGATAATAATTATAAAAATCATAAGTAAGTTCTTCAAATGGTTTTGCAATCAAAGTGTCAATAAGTAAACCACATTCTGTTGAATTATTAGCTGTCCAATCCATATTGTTTGATGTTGTCATGAATTCCTAGAAGAATTACTTTTAAAAAAATTTCAAACTTGATTTTTTTTGAAATTCTTAAATTAATTTTCTGGCTTTACACAATTTTTCACAAAAACCCAAAGTGAAAATTGTTGTTTTCGGAATTCAATTTCATTGGTGAATTACCTACAGTAAAATCATAATTATCAACATCTTTTGCTCCTTTCGTTCGACATTTTTCTTTGATTTCTTCCCACTCGCTAAATTAAATATTATTGTTAAAAACTAATTGATAAAAACCAAACTAACTCAACATGTGTTCTTGCATGATAAACTCCCCAAATAATTTGCATATTTTGTGTTAATTTCGAATTCATAAATCCATTTCCAATCATCAAACCCTTGAAATTTTCATTTGGAAATAATTTATTTGCAATTGATTCAATTATAAGTGAAGATAACATTGGACCATAAACTCCACCATAAGATTCAGTTCCAATAAAAAATTCATTATTTTTATATTCCGGGTGTTTTCTGAAATATAAAAATCAAAACTCTTAAAAATATCAGAGCCTTCAAACTTGTCAAAAAAGTTTGTTATCGCATAAAAGTTCATTTTAGCAGTTGTCATATCATCGGCTTTAGTATTGTTAGCTTTTTTTGTATCATATGAAAAACCAACACCAATCGGAGATTCGATAAACAACAAATTTGATTTCTGATCAATTAAAAATCATTAATTTTCAAAAATTTATCGAGTATTTACACTTACGTGATACCATGAATTCACATTTTCAAAAAGTGTTTTACCATCAAAATGTGGATAAAGTGGACCAAATTCTTCAAACATTCCACCCAAAGAAGTGCAACCTGGACCACCATTGAACCATATTAAAAGAGGAGCTTTTGATTTTGGTAGATCACGAGCTTCGATCAAACTTTAACCCAAAAAATTCTTGTTTTCATCAACATAGAATTTTCTCATTCCTACCTATAAAATAATTTCCAATTGCCTTCTGAATTGCCTGCCAAATAACCAGTTGTTAATTTCAGTTTTGGAAGAACTGAATTTCCAGGAAGTTTGACTGCAAAAACTCCGGAGGAAAATAGGAGAAATATTTGTAGAAACATTTCAGGTAAAATAGGGTGAAATGAAATGAAAACCAGTCGAAGTAAATTTAGAGTGACAAGAAAATTGTCAACCGATTTTTCCTGTTTTTCGTGTACAAGTGTTTTTTTTGGGGGGGGGGGTTGAAGAAAGTTGATCCAAAAGGTTATTCTATTAATAAGAAACATCAGATAAAAAATGATTGAAAACTGAAATACTAATAAATTAATTTTATTTTTTCATGTTTGGTTTTCCGTTTTTTGAGATCAAAATTTTTATTGACAACAAATCTGCAATTCCGCCTAATTAGATAGTTGTTATTTTTCAATTCATCCCGAAGGTATCAATTTGATTTTCTAATATTTTCCTCATAAAAAAGCGATGATTCAGACATTTCTAACATACAATAGTTTTATATCAAGTTCAATTGGTATATTTCTGAACATGTTCTGTATTTACATGTTTTTTTCTATCAAAAATATTGAGATGAGAAATAACCAATTATTATTGACACTTTATTCAACATCTGAAATTATATATTCTTTCATTCATCTCATTTCTATTCCAACTATTCTTGTTTTCGATAATTTTTTCTTATTTTTCTCTTATCGAACATGGACAAATTTGGAAATTGGAAAATGGACGCTGGTTTTGTACACATTTTTCTTCATTCAGGTAAATTGTTTTTTTGTTAATTAGAAACAAAATTTGTGTTTTTTTTCAACTCAGAATGTTACAATAATGATGATCCAATTTGTATATCGTGCATGGACAATTTCCTCATTCGGGAGAAAATATTTTTTGAAGTTCTATGAAGTTGTTATTTATATCAGTGTCACAATAATAATTGCACCATTAATTTATACAATTCCATCAATAATTTTGATTTGGAACACACCTGGCTTCGTGCCAGATGATTTGAGAATTTTGAAATTGAAATTATTTGGAAATGATATCATTGATGATTTTGTTCTTCTGGGAATACGAAAAGAAATTAATACAAGTTTTTCAAATTTTATAATTGCGATGACTTTATTGGTTTTCGAATTTACAATAATTAATTCTTCTGCTTTATATGTTCAATACACTGTGAATCGATCAACAATTAGTTCACAATCAAAGAAAATACAAAAACAATTACTCATATTATTAATTCTTCAGGTTGTCTTAAATATTATATTTCCAAACTTCTAATTTATAATCATTTTCAGACATTTGTGGGTACTGTTTGTTCGGGTGTTTCACCATTCATTTGTTTGATAAACCTAAATTTCGATATCGATTTGGATTCCATTCAACTTTTATCAATCTGTACATTATCGTGGTATCCCATTTTAGATTCAATTATTCTTCTAACATGTGTAACATCCTACAGGTTTCAAATAATGCTTGAAATTCTCAGAAAAGTTTAACTGTTTTTCCAGAAAATTTGTCAAAAATCTTCTCATAAAATCAAAAACATCAACTCTTCGTGTTACAATTTTCAATAATTCAGTTGTCTGAAATCAATACGACTTTTTTCTGTCGAAAATGTGTCGATAAGTACATTTTTCGAAATTGTAGTAATTCTCTTCTCTGCTTCATATTTTTGCTTATTTTTCAACCCATGATTAATAATCATTGCGTGGACTCTCGATAAACCCTATAATTATCAACAATAGGATATTAGTTTTCTATATTAGTATCATATTTTTCGAGGAGTTTTCGAAAAATGAGTACTTCTAATAGTTTTTATCTTCAACTTTCTTTTGCTATTATCTGGAATAATTCTGCTGTAGAATTGGTTTCAACATTAAATTCAGAGAGAAATTATCTTGTTCGTCGATTGGCAATACAATTCTTATTCTTAAATGCAGCTAATCATATTGTTTCTTTGTGTTTTCCTGATTCACTATTAAATATTCCGGAAATATTCAAAACCATCGAAACAAACGATTGCGAAACCGATTCTTTAGTTCAACGTATTGTTGGATTGTGGTTTTTCATCGAATATTTGATGGTCCATGTGAGTTTTATTTTTATTTTTCAAAAAAACATATGTTTTTTAGTTACTAACATATTGTTATTCAATTTCAATTATCGGTTCATTTAACTCGAGTAATATTTCTTTCTCATTTCGCACTGCTTTACAATTGTTACCAATATTCGTGGTTATTTTTTTGATTCAAATTTTTCTGCAAAATCAAATACATACTAATTTGACCCCAACAAAACCCGATGTTATAACAACTTCAACAACTCGATGTTTGTTTTCATTTATGGTGATCCAGGTAAAAACTTTGATAATAACCCAATTCAAAGTTTTAAATTTTCAGGGACTGACACTACCATTTTCATATATTCAATACATCTTCGAGTTTAACAGAAAAAATTTCAGTACCAAGAGATTATCGAAACATTTTCTAAAGGTTTTTTTTCTGTATGTCAACAGGAATCAATTTTTTTCAGGTCTTTGTTTTGTTGTTATGCAACTACCGTCTTCATGGACTTTCAAAATATGCACAAACTAAACTATTAACTTCAGAAAATTTCGAAAATTATAGTTCAATCGCAAATCTTTGTCTACAAATTCTTCTATCGCCAGCATTGATTTTCTCGATTCCAGAATTAAGGTTCTCCGAAATTTTTTCATTTAATTCATTCAAAAAATCTTCCAGAGAAAAAATTAGGAATTTGGAACTGAAAGAACCAATTGCAACAATTTACAAGTGTGTTATAAACAAGGTGTTATCAATTGATATTGAGCTGCTTTTTCATAGCGTCCTAATTTTAGGTGTTTTATCGGAAATAGTTCCAAAATAACTATCAAATCGGATTTTCTCGTAACTTTATAATAAATAAATATATTTATATCCATTGTTTTTGTAATTGTGTAAAATATTGATCAGATTCAATCGCTACTAAATTTAAAGGTTTCGATTTCACAATTTCTGCTGGAACTACAGTATTGATAATTCGAAATTTTCTCATAATTGCTTTTAGTTCATCTTTCATCGGGGGCGATAAATAATATAAAAGAAAAAATACTGAACTACCGTATCTGGAAAATTTTACAGATTTTCAAACGTTCAAAAGTTTCAACTCACGATAAAACACAAATATTAAAAATAATTGCACAAATATTCAACATAGTCAAACTCATATCAAAATTATCCATTGCAGCAGATCCAGTTTGAAATAAATTAAAAATAGCAACAACATTTATAATTGTTTTCATTAATGAGAAAACTCGAATATTTTCTGATATTTGGAATCTTTCTGCTAATGAATATCCTCTTTTACTTTTTCTTAAATTTGAACTATCTTCCAAACGATTATAATTGTATTTTTCTAGAATATAAATCATAATTGAAGATATTCCATTTATTATTAACATCAAAATATGCAGAACTAAAGTGCTTTTAACTGTAAAATTAATTTTTAAAAAAGAAAACCTTTTTGATTGATTACCTTGATGATATTCGTTTGAGAGATAAACGGAAATTGATAAATTAAAAGTAATTATTATAAGAAATATCCAATGTCGACTCTTTTTCTCATAATCTGATAAAAAATAAGAAGCCGCACATCTTTCAGTAACAAATGCAGGTAAGGTCAAAGACACTGAAAACAATCAGCAAAATAACAAAATTGTTGACAGAAAGCCTACCGAAAAAATAACAGGTGCATCTTGCTAATGATGCATAATAAAAATATAGTGAGTTTTCCATTGAATAAAATGTCAGAACAATTTGAATTGTTCGAGATGTTAATTGGACAAGATATTCGATAACTACTATTTTTACAAAGTTTTGAAGATTTGAATGAAATAATCGATAACGGAATAATAATATGCCAAAAAATATAACCGGTATGTAACTGAAAATATGTAAGAGTTATGAATGGTTTTGTGATTGGAAGATTAGTTCTAACAATCGGATCTGCCCTGATTCAAAGTCAGTTCCTTGAAACTCTGAAACATTTACCTTATAAAAATACAAGTAAGTTCAAAATATGCTATGACACAATAAATAAACCAAGTATCATCCAATTGAGAATGTGTAGAGTTGAAATAAATTAGATAATGCATTACAGAAATGTTCTGAAAACAAATACAATCATATATTTTTCTCAACGAACCCGGAAATATACCAGTAATGACATCAATAGAATTTTATACTCAAATCGTATTTTTCGTATCTTGGACTATTATGACAAATTAAGAGTTAAGAAGAAAAAGAAGAAGTATTTGTAGTTTTTATTTTTCAGAAATTTTCTCTCTGGCTGAAAATAGACTTTGGTTTGTTTTATAATGAAAAATAAATAATAAATCAAGTGTTATAGAGTTACTCTGAAATTGTTTTATTTTTATTTTACCGCTCCGAAAAGTATATAAGTAAGTAAATTAAATGAACTCAATTATGTTACGTGATTTCAGTGGACACCAAAAATATAAATATGTTTTTCTTGGAACTTAATTGGAGCCGACGATAAGAAAACAAGCTTGTTGAAAATCGAAATAATTTTGCGTGACCAGAAAAAAACAACAACTTGCATGAAATAATTTCGAGAAGTGAAAGAGTAAACAGAATTCTCAAGACCTAATGTTTTTCAAAATCTTAAAGTGCTAATTAGAATTTTTGGGAAAATATATTGTTTTTAAAAACAAAAACAGTAGTTTTTGATGTTCTTCGAATATCAACAATTTTATTCAAAACTACGAAATTCTGAAAAAAAATCTATAGTTATATAAATGTGGCGGCTTATAACTTTTCTCTATATTTATTCATAGCTTATTACATTTTTGGTCTGATTAAGTTTTATTTGGCTGCTAGGAAAAACAGAATGTCTGACCAGAAATTAGAGAAATATCCAGAACTCGACAGATTTACACTACAATCAAAGTTTAAAACATAAAACAAATGAAATCAAATATACTTAATTATAGGTTCATGAATTTTTATTGCAAATCTAAAAGTTCAAACTAAATCTGAATTTATTGATGTTTGAATCAACAGGTGTTCGAATGAGATTATTTAAATCATACGACTTACCTCGTTGTCTTGATATCTTTGCATTTTTTGTCAAGTGAGAGACAACTTTTTGATTTCTAAAAATAAGGTAATGTTCGATGCACAAAAACGAAGAGGCTTTCAAGAAAGCTTTCACACGATCCTACAAATTTGAGCAGAGAAACAAATACAACTTTAGTTTGATCGCGAAAGAGGAAGAAAATTTTGGCACAATTGATTTTTTTCTAAAAAAAAAGGAGCTAGATTCAAGGAGTACAGTGTACGTAGATGGGGATAAAAAATGTTTCAGATTTTTTTTTTACTTTTCTTGATATGAATTTCACTGCACCAAAAATGATCTCAAATTTGGTTGACATGCCTGAATCAAAAATTTGTTGAAATTTCATAACCTTCTCTGGTTCAACTGAATTTGTGTTCAATATTCAAAATAAATTCAAAAAAAAATTGGCTCAAGAAAATCTAAGGTTACTATAAAAAGTTCGAAAAAATGAAGAAATTTATCAAAGAAGTTAGAGATAAACCAGAAAAATTTGGAAGAGTTTAAAGAAGTAGTAATTTAAAAATCAGTTGATCAATCTAGAAACTTTCAAAAAAAAATATATGAGAACGTGCAAGTAAGAAATCGCTAAAAAATATAATTGGATTTTCAAAAACACCCAATAAATATTTGTTATTACGACAGTGATATAAAATGAACCGGGTTTTTGAATTATTTGGTTTGTTTTGCAGCTGAAGTTATCACAGTAATAGAAGAAAATGAGTGAATAAATCCGAAAGACCTCACATTTTTTTGAAACAAAAAAAAAATGATTTTTGAATCCTAAAAGGTATAATTTTCTTTTTCAAAAGTGATATGATTCGAACCAAACAAATTATATGAGCAATTAAAATGCGCGGAAAAGGAAAAATAATTATAGACTGAAATAATATAAAGAACCTGCATATTTGAGGAAGTGAAAATGAAAGAAAACAAGGAAATAAGATTTCAGAATGGACACGTGAACTTTTATTTGGTTTCGTGGGCGAGACGATAATTTTTCAAGTTTTTCAGTGTTTTTTAGAAACCAAATGAAGAAATAATTTCAACCTTTTGGAAACTCATTTTTCAATTGTTCAAATTTGAAAAATGTTTTTAAAGTTACACAATGTTTTACGGTGACACAGGCGAGAGAGAATTGGGGAATGTTCAAAATAACAAGAAAACTAACCTGTTTTTCAAGTGTGGAGAGCAAAATCGATGTACCGTATGCAACATGCTGAAAAATGTTTTACAGTTGAAAACATATCTAATTAATTGAAAATTCATCAATAAACAGCTGAAAAAGAGAAACGAATCGAAAAAAACAAAAAAAAATGAATTTCAAAAATGAAAAAAAGCCTGGTGCGATAGAGCGCACTTTCTTTCTTTCTCTCCAAAAACGAAAAACTCTCACCAGTGTCATTTTTGTTCGAACGTTCAGACTTAAGTTCAAGTTTTTTTGTGCGATAGATTCATTAAATTTCGAAAAAAATGAGAACAAAAAATCAATACCGGTAGAAGTTTGTGGAAAAAGCTCTGATAAAACTAGTTTTGAAAAATGTTACAAAAATCAATCACTATCAATATCATTATCTGCACAACTTGAATTATTTTCATCTTTTCGGACAACTTTTTTGTGCTTCATTCGACGGTTTTGAAACCAGGTTTTGACCTGAAAAATTGTTGGTTTTTTTTAAAGTTATATCAAAAAAATTTGTGAGGTCTCAAAAATTCGTTTTTTTTTAATTGAAGAACATTGTTCTCAACTAACCTGTGTTTCACTCAAACTTAAAGCATTTGCTAGTTCAATTCTTTCTGGTGTACTCAAATATCTTTGTGATTCAAATCTTCTCTCAAGTCCTTGTAATTGTTGATCACTAAAAACAGTTCTCGCTTTTCTTCTCGAACTTCGATATGATTTTGTTGCATTTGCTAAACGAATTTGATCAGCCGCTGTCCAAATTCCAGGAAATACTGAAAATCAGAAAAATATTAAATAAATCTTCCAAAAAAACAAATCCCACCATTTCTCTGCGCGAATAAAATACTTTGCTCCAAAGGAAAAGCTGCAGCTGCCAACCATAATGGAACTTGTTGATCAAGATTTGCATTAATTAATTGATTTGAAATATCATTTGAAATTGTTATAGAAGATGGATCACTAGATGATTTTTCCGAGTTCTGGAAAACTTTTTTTTTTCCAATTTCAAAAAATAGATGAAAAAAATTACCTCATCTGAAGAAGATGTTGCATTATCATCCAATTTGATGAGTTTTCGAAAATCACGTGAATGTTCACGTAACAAATCATCAATCGAAAATCGTCCAGTTGCTGTTGTCGTCATTTTTGGCACACTCAAATAATGTGTTGATGATGAGATAGACGAGCTAAAAGAGGCGTGGCTAATTAGGAAAATGGGCGGGGCGAACAAATTAGGAAAGTTTTAGGATCAAAAAAGGATGAGCGGGATACGGTAGATAGAGGGGAAAGTGTTTGTGAAGTTTCAGACAGATAGAAATGACCACCAGAGAAGAAAATGTTGGAAATTTGTATATTGATTGTGATTTGTGATTCGGAAGTTCTAATAAGATTTTAACGCGAATTTTGTTTGCAGAAATCTACAGATGTTGTTTAGAACGTAGACAAATTCAAGAAATTATTTATTAAATGTGTTTTACAGCTTTTACTGAAAAATTTCTCAACCGTTCAGAAGTTATTTTTAATCATGACTAAAGTATTTACTTTCATTTTTTATTTCCAGATTTTTTGTCCTGAAAATACAACTCAGAAGAATTCATAAGTCGGCTGGAAAAGCATTTCTAAAAATTTTCAATTTCAGAAAATGTTTTATCAACAAATTTTATCAGGAATGTTTGAATTTGCATTTTATCAACTCCTGAACAATAAATTCAGAAAATATGTCTGATACATTTTTTTGATGTTATGAGAAAATAAAATAAGCATGTTGAATTACTCAAAACATCTGTGTATTTGTCTCAAATTGCGCATTACACAATAGATTTCACACTTGTGCCTCTCATTGTTTTCTTTAATTATTATGATTACTGTACTACTACTATTAGTTGCCTATTATAATACGAATATATCCATATTTTTCCTGCTCTTTTTCTTCTTATTTAATAACCAACCATCTAATTAGATGTCTCGATAATAATAAACACGATGTGCTTCTAATTAAACGATTCGAATCGTATGCAATTTTGGCGGCGGCATGAAAAATAAAAGGTGGCAATTTTCCGGGAAAATTTTAAAAAAATGCGAATGAAATCCCTAATTAATTATATATCTCGAACTTTCAATAAATTCGAGAATAAATACTCAGAAATGTTTGAGAAAAAGTTATCTTCAGAAAACAAGGGGTAATAACTTAAAAGCTTCTCTAATGTAATAAGTTTAGTCAACTTCATCTTCTTCATTTTCTTCTCCTTTTTATTTTTTTTTCGTACAATAATATTGCGCGAGAAAAATCCAATTATTATTTGCTTTTCGTATATTCTCTCAATAAATATTCTTCATATCCAATTAGTTGTCATCAACTGATCCATTTATGGAGTTACAGTAGGAAGTTGGAGCAGCAAAATATATAGAAGGAAATATTTTCTTTAGGAAAAAATAAAGTGTCGTAAATATTTGGATAATTAGTTGTTGTTATGGATTAAGAATAAAAAAGGGAATATTAATTGGCATCCCAGGGGCAGTGAGACAATGAAAAGTCACGAGGTGTCAAATGTTCAAAAGTTTGGCGGCTGCAAAAAATAACTAATTGGGTGCGAACGGAAGAATGGACCAACAATATTGGAAATTGGTAAACTTTGGATCTTTTCGAAGTTAATAAAAGCATTTTTCAAAAAATAAGACTCAACAAGAACAAGGTTCCCTCGAAAAAAACTTTCACTTCTAAAATTCCTAAACAAAACTTTTAAAGAATCTTTATCGTGTTTCCATTAATTTGAATTGTCGGATAATCCAAAATAGCTGCACTTGAACTCGTGTTTCCAATTATTGAGTGTGCCGCTTGCTCATATTAATCATACCAACCAGGTGAGAAATAAAAAAGGAGAGGAGAGGATCTGGCGAACACAACATTTTTATAATCCGGCAGACCCTTTGACATAATGAATTGTGCAAATATTGAGTATGTTCCCGACAAAAAATGAAGGGACCACAAAAAAGACAAATGGCCAAAAAATAGTGTGACTAATACTGTAATTATAGGGTTGCGTAAAAGCATTTTATGTATGTATTGTTTGATTAGGTGAGCATGTGTTTATTAGAAATCAAAATAACCTGTAAAGTAGTAACAATATTAGGGGAGAATAAATATATGAGCTTAAATTTGAAACCGAATCACAAACAAGAACTGGACGAGTGCGTTGACCTGATTTTGTTCGAACATAGGTTACTCGACATCTGAAAAAAGGAAAAGACTATTTGGAGAAGAGGACTCTTTATTCCAAATAATTTTTAATGTGAAAATTCATAATAACAGAAATCAACTCACTTTCTTCTTGGTTTTTTCTTTTTAGTTTGATCAATCGGTCTTGGCCTATAAATCTGTGGTGGTAAAGTTGGATATGTTGTTTTGGGTATTTCGGTTGTTGATGTTGTTGTTTCTGGTTCCTGTGTTGTCGTTGTTGTTGTTGTAGATGTCTGCGGAACAGTTATAATCATTCGAGTTGTTGCTGGTTGAAGTGCTGGAGGTGGAACAATCAAATCCATTTCAGTTGGATCACAAGTTTCTTTATCTGGTCCAACAAAACAACAGCAAATTGTTTGAGATTTATGATGATAACATCTATCTCCATCTCGACTTTGATGAACAAGAAGACAATATCGGTAGAATTCATTATTCAAGTGACGATAAACACAATGAGTACTTTGTTGAGGTTCGACTTCATCTAAAAGTTCACATTGAATAAACTCTAAAATTCCCGAAACCCACCTTCATACGAATCAAATTTCTTACTGCTCACAATTTTTGGAATAGTTTTTGTTGGAATTGGGGTAGTTGTTGTCATTGGTTTTGTTGTTGTTATATCTTCCAAATTCATTGGTAATTTTAAACTTGGAAGTGTTGGACTTGTTGTTGTCTCAATAATCGGTGGTTCTCTTGTTATCAATTCAATATCAAGATCATCAAATGTTACATCAACTGCACTAACATAATCACTATCATCTTCGATATAATCATTCAATTCTAAACCTCGCTGACGTTTTACACGCCGTCGTTTTTCTTCTGAAAAAAACATCGATGAAAAATTGTAATGCTCATCTCATTAAAGAAATGTACCTCCTTCATATTCCTCTTCATAATCATTTCCATCATGAATTGCATGTAATAAACATCCAACAGCTCCAGGTCCACAAGTTATTCCTTGACAATTTACTGGAGGAGCATCAATTTGAGCTAAAACAATTCCCGTTTCAAAATTAAAAAAAAAGAAAACGTACGTAATTGATAAGTCGGAGATGTGACCAATTTTTGAACTGTCGAATGAAACATTGCACAACAAAATCGAATTTCCGGAACTTCCAAGCCTTCCAACTTAATATCGTATTCCTGAACCAAATATTTGACATAGGCTTTTCTCAGATTGTCGATCGGGAAAACATTGCATTTTGGAACTGCTCCACACATTTCAGCAAATTGGAACTGAAATTGAACAAAAATATTTTTTGAATAAATAGAAAAAAATGAAAACTCACAGTATTTATTTTCACAGGCCCTGGTGTATTCTCTTCGTCTACTTCATAATCATCATCTTGAATATCTCGTAGAATTCCATTATCAACACAATCATAGACTCCTAACTGTAAAATTCACATAAATTAGAACAACAGGCATTTTGAGATGTTTAATTTCCAAAAATTTTTTTTCTTATTTTGAGACCTGATATTTTTGATCTACCACAAATTTTTTTTAAATTGGAGGTCTTGAATTTTGGGGTTGTAAATTACACACCGTGATTTTTAAACATATCCTAATTTTCTACAGTAACCACAAATCCCATTCTTACATTAGCTGTATTAAGCCCAAAATTCTACATAACTTTTAGACCCATTTCAAAAATTGCTTCTCTACAAATTCCAAAAAAAGCTTTTCCTACAGTAATCCCACAAACCTTTGGTGTTCCGTGTTTTCCATCCGGAATTGAGAATTCAAAAAATCCGCAAGAAGTTGAAGAAGACGGACATTGTCTTGGATTTTGAGCTTCTTTTGAAAATCTTCGACCTTGTCGACACATCAACTGAAAATCTTTGTGATATGTTTGAAAACCAATTTTTGTCCCACCTTCACATTATAGGGTGCTAATGGTAATTCGGTTTCTTCTTGTTGTGAATCAACAGAATAATTGAGAAATAATAAGAAAAAACAGAAAATATGTTGTACACGTAATAATTGTCCCATCACATAACAAAATCTGTAAAGTTGTGTTTTCAAGAAAAAGAAAAAAATGACCAGTTGGAGGAAAAAAGAGGGAAACGAATGTCGGATTATTACAAAAAGACGGGTCATATTGTTATTATACTAGTTGAGAATGGCACAAGAAAGCAGGTGAGCAAGTAATAATATTTTGGGTTTATCAAAACGGCGACAATTGGATGAATGAATGAATGAAGAAGATGAACATATGTTTCGATCATTTTTGATCGATTTGACATTTTTTCTTAAGGGTGAACATTAGGAATACATTTTTTTTAATTTCCTTAAACTATCAATAAAATAAGTATTGTTATTGCAAAAAATAAGTGGGACAAAAATATGAAATTGAAACGAAACGTATTTTATTTTGTGTGAGAGTGTCCAGTGCAACGCATATTCTTACACTCATCTTTTCGAAAAATCTCATTTCATTTTGCCTGCGAAACGGACAAAATTTCAACAGCTGCCTGCCTTCCCATTTGTTTTTTTGTGAGCACGCAAAAAAGTTCGATGTGTGAGTCAAATTATTTTGGAATCACATAACAATTCGTTTGAGATGCGATTGGATGAATGGCATTTTACTATGTGATATTATTGACAATGAGTTTTTTTCTTTAAAAAAAATTGGGAAAATGAAATTTGACGAGGGTAGCTTAGATTTTGAAATAAACAAATTTCTTTTATTATTCAAACAAGGAAACTTTGAAGCGACTTGAAAAAAAAAACATATTTTCTCAAATATTCTTTGAATTTGTTTACAGGTTTCCTGGACTCATGTTCTGACACAATGAAATATTTTATTTATTTTTGAAGTTTTGATTCTTGTTTTTTGAATTTTCAAACATCGAAAATATTCAAACCTTTGTTAAACTTAAGCTTCCGACTTTCAAGATCTTCCAGTACTACTGTGGATTTTGAATAAGTTTTCCTACTTGAAAATTTTCCTTCGAAGTCCTCCTCTAAAAAATTTCAAGAAAAATTAAAGATTTTTCTCATTTTCCATTCACGAATCCCATATTTTTCAGACTTGCAAAAGATCAAAAATGCTATTGACCTCCACATGTTTTTACAACATTTTTTTTGGTTTGATAAGGGGTCGTATACAAAACACACACACATTTCCTAATTTCTATCTTTTTTATTGATTGTTTTTTGATATTTCAGTTTTCATATCAAAAAATAAATATGTCAACTGAACATGATCGCGCAGTTCTTAATCAAATTCTGAATCCATTGATGCCAACAACCGAAACTTCTTCAAATAATTCGACGCAATTTGAGAATGGTTGGATTTTTTTTTTTGAATTCATTTTTTAAAGTTTTTTTTTTTTTCTATTTCCAGATCAAATTGATCATTGTGGATATGAAGAAAGTGTTGGAATCGAAAAAGAGGCTGTGATTTTGGCAGAAAGTGGAAAGGTTCCAGAAGCTATTGAGAAATTCGGAGAGTGGGTTTTTTTTTTTGAAAATCAGGCGAATAAATAATTTCTAAATTTTTTCAGAGCGATTTCAAAGTGTCCGATAAATCCATCAGCTTTCAATAATCGAGCACAAGCTTATCGATTGAGCGGAAAAATTGAGGGTACGTTCTGAGGGTGAAATTCAATGTTTTCTAGGGTTCACATAACAGTTTTCTTAATTCCAGAAGCAATATCCGATCTTAATGAAGCTCTGAAACTGTCAAATCCAAAAAGTAAAACAACGTGTAATGCATATGTTCAGCGAGCGAGTATTTTCAGATTGAAAGGAGATGATGATAAAGCAAGAGTTAGTTTTCATCAAGATGAACTTTTCTAGAAAAATTATTCGCTTAAGTTCAAAAAAAAACACTAATATTAAACATTTTTCAGGAAGACTTCCAAAAAGCAGCTGATTTGGGTTCATCGTTTGCAAAAATGCAATTAATCGCTTTAAATCCATATGCCGCAATGTGCAACAAAATGTTGGCTGAGGTTTTCGAAAAAGTCAAAACTGGACAGTAATTGTTTTTTTTCTCAATGTTCTTACATTTTATGTATTTAGAAACATGAACAAGCATAACAATAAACATAACAGTTTTCTAATCCTAAAAATTAAAAAAAAATCTATGAAAATATGATTTGTGAACTGGAGATTTTTGAAATTTGAGAAAATGGTAAGTTTTGGGAATATACTGTAATTTCTTAAGTTCAGTTCCAAAAAATGTCATTTGTTCTTCCTAACAATATTTAACTACCTGAAACTCCTACTATTTCACTTATTATTATTTTTACACGAGTTGTGGTGACTTTAAATGTCTTAAAAGAATAATCACAGCTTCGGGTGTTATTCCGGAAATTCGTGTGGCAGCTGCTAGATTTCTTGGTTTTGCCGATTCTAATTTTTCGATACATTCCAAACTCATTCCGCGCATTTTTGAATAATCGATTGAATCCGGAATTTCGGTAGCCGATTCACGATCAATTTCTTCGCGCTGAAAACCAAAAATATTTTCATTTTTTTCAATTAAAAAAATTACCTTATTCTTCATTCTTTCGTGATCCATTCGATATCTTCCTTCAATTTTTAGCCTTTCAAACACATCTTCTTCCACATTTTTATCAAAAATTTCGGCATTTTTAAGATCATTCAGATTTAGATCAAATCGATGAATGAGTTCAAAGGCAGATAGAACTTTTGCATCGTTTTTTGTAACAAGTTCTGGCAAGATACGTTTCCATTTCGATAAACTCATTTCCATATTTTCAGAAATATTAGTAACTTCATCTAATCTTGATTTCATTGAAGAAAACTCATTCCATCTAAAAAAAAAATCTCTGTTGATTAATTTTCAAAAACGTTAAATAATTACCTTTCATCGGATATTGCATTACATTGTTTTCCTTTTTCTGTCAATCGAATATCAGCATTATCTGGTCGAAGATGAAGTCGACATTCTGCTCTCGATGTTAACATTCGATATGGTTCATTAGTTCCCAAACTAGTCAAATCATCAATCAAAACTCCAATATAACCCTCAGTTCGTGAAATAGTTATTGGTTTTTCTGATTGTGATCTTGCTGCAGCATTTATTCCTGCAATAACACCTTGTGCAGCTGCTTCTTCATATCCAGTTGTTCCATTTATTTGTCCAGCTAGGAAGATTCCTTCAATTTTTCGAGTTTCAAGGGTTTTTCGAAGTTGTTTTGGGTTTACAAAATCATATTGAACACCATAACCAGGTTGGAAGAATTCGACTTTTTCGAGTCCCGGAATTGTTCGAAGAAGTTGTTTTTGAACTTCTGGTTTGAAAGTCATTGACATTCCTTGTGGATAAATATGATCAGAATCCAATCCTTCATGTTCCAAAAATAACTGAAAGAAAAAAGTTAAGTCGCCCGAAAAATCATGAAAATACTTACACGATGTGTCAACTTTGGAAATCTTTTCAATTTTAGCTCGAGAGATGGACAATATCTTGGAGATATTGTTTCGGTTGATACTTGAAGATTCTCGTGCATATTTTCAATTCCAATTCGACATGTTTCCTCATTTGTATGACCAAGATAAGTTGGAAGTTGTTTTTCAACTGGCAACCAAACATTTTTCGTGAGAAAAGAAAACGGAATTGGAGTTTGATCAGGTGGAACAACATCGAATTTCGAGAAATCAATTGTGTTCTGATGAAAAAAAAAACAGTTGATAAAATCAGAAAATTTAACACTTACTCTCATAAGTCTTGGCGGTGTTCCAGTTCTCAATCTACCTAATTCAAAACCAAGCTTTCCGAAACTTTCTGATAGCTCATTTGAACTTTGTTCACCAATTCTTCCAGCTTCCCAACTATCAGTTCCTTGATAAATTCTTCCACGTAGAAATGTTCCAGTAGTTATTACTACACATTTTGTACTGATTATTGTATTATTCTTCAATCGAATTCCAACAACTTTCTCTTCTTTCACAATAAGTTCTGCTACTTCTCCTTCAACAACTTCCAAATTTTTTGTTGATGCAATTTCATTTTGCATATGTTTTTTGTATAATTTTCTATCAATTTGTGCTCGTAATCCTAATACTGCAGGTCCCTGCGCACGATTCAAAGCCTGATAAGTTATAGCAGATTTGTCACAAATTCTGGCACATAAACCATCCAAAGCATCGACTTCTCTGATAAGATGACCTTTTCCAATTCCACCAAAACTTGGATTACAACTCATTTCTCCAATTGTATTTTTGTTGTGAGTTATAAGAATAGTTTTCGAGCCACATCTTGCTGAAGCAGCAGCACTTTCACATCCAGCATGGCCACCTCCAATAACAATAACATCTACATCACTTTTGCCACGATGAAAACCTCGTCGTAAAATTTTTAGCATCTGAAATTTAAATTAGATTTAAAAAGTGACGTAAATTTCGAAGAAGTAACATATCGAGAACACAACTCAATTGGGAATATGATTCTTAAAATTTATGAAAAGAAATTCAGAATTATCAACAAAAAGGAAATAAATTATAACAACAAATACAAATCACGGATTGATAAATGAAACAAGAATATATCTAGTACCCTTAGTTGTAGCAAGACCCTCGTGAAGATGTGTTAAACGTCCAGGGAACATCATGGCGTAACCTGAAACAAAAATCCCAAACCTAAAGAAAGAACGGAAAAAATAAGAGTGTATGTCAACACCGACTGCCCGCAAACACCAAATCCTACGCGCAACCTTGCCGCGAAATACGCGCTGTGTGTTTTTGCGAAGAAATTTTTGGGGATTTTTAAAAATTGGGAACCCCCCCCCCCAGATTATAGAAATTGACACGTTTAAAGTATAACATATGGGAACCCTGAGAATCTCTCCAATGTCGCTTTTCCCTTGGAGAATACTAGTAAAAATAAAACTTGGGTGCTGGCCGAGATATGTGTGGACTAGAAACCGACTCGGCCAATTTATTTCCAAAATTCTTTTTTTTTTCACTTTTTCGTTGTCTACGTTTTCTTGTTTTCTTGTTTTCTGTGATTTTTCGGGTTTTCTGGGATTAAAGTTCACGTTTTTCTTCATATATTTTTTTCTAATCTGTTAATTTTACTTACCAACTTGATCAGCTTCGACAGTACAGTTATAGCGCAAATACTTAACTCCTCCTCCCTCATAATCTCGTCCTTTTTTGTTTAATGCAATATCAATACTGAAAGTAGAAGCATCGTGATGAGGACGAAGAGATGGTTGTTCTTCAGGACGATAACGAACAATAAACATCATATTTGCCTCAACTGGCTGATGATAATATCCAACAAATACTTTTTCTTGAATTGGTCGAACATACTCATCCATAAAATATAACCATTCTCTTTCATATCCAACTTGATTCATATGAATATCTCTTGTCGGAACATTTTCATATCCACCAGCTAATCGATTATCTTTATTACTTCCATCACTCCATTTACCAAAACCTTCCATTTCTTCAATCATTTCTTCACAATATCTTTCTGACATTAATGGATAATCATAAACATCTGGACAAGCTTGATCAACAATACTTCCTTCTTCTAATAGTTTGAAATAATCCGCATGAACATATCGTTGTTCCCAAAGTTTTCTATTCTCAAAAATCTGCCACATTTCTGGATGCCATTTTCCCATTTGAATATGTTCAGCGAATTCATCACTGACAATTAAAAAACCATGTTCTTTTTCGTTGTTAACATATAAGAAATGTCCATTATCTCGAGCCCAATTACACATTGACATATCAGCATCAAGTTGTTTATTATACGAATAAACATTCGACATTTGATTCAATTTTTCTTTGTTTATCAATGAAATGGTAGTTATGAATGGAACATTCCAATTTCCAATTCGATTTCTTTTTACAATTGCCATATAATCTTCACTTCTAGCATAATATCCATTTGAAGCCAATGCTCCCCAAAAGTTCGTGAATAGTTTTCCAGGTTGACCAATCATTGGGGCAACAAATCCAATGTCATAATTTTTGGAATATTCCACCAAATCTTTGATTATCCGATTATTTGTCAAATATGCATCAGCGTCAATAGTAATTGCAAAGTCGACTTTTGTTTTCTTATCCCAATCTCTGTAATTTTGATCATCAGGTTTCAAATATATTTTTTTCAAAAAAAAAAACTAACATTGCTTCATTTCTAGCTTCTCTTTCACCCAATTCGGTAACTCCATTTATGATTCTTTTTGTGTAATAGCTTTTCCCATTTTCCGAAAGAAAGTTCATAATCTTAAAAATTTGTTTTGTTTTTAAGTCATTTATATTATCTCAACTTACAGTTTTTATTGAAAACGGTTGGTTATTGTAGATGAAAAGAGCAATTCGACTTTTCGGATAATCAATTTCTTTTATTTTTGTCAAAACTTCTTCAACGAATGGAATTGGTTTTGCCACAAATAAATTCAATCCAATCAATGGATAATTTTCCTCATCTTCTAGTTTATCAAAATCGAAATTTTTCGGTTTTCCACATTCTCGACACCCGGTTTCTGCATTCCATTTATTTCCCAAGTAATTAGCTAAATAATTAAGATGATATTTGCTCGGGCCATTTCCATGAATAATTAATGGATGTGTGTTATAAGCTGCATTATAAGCGTTAGGTTCTCCAGTTTGATCACTGAATTGTAATTCGACATCTTCAATAACACCGTTTAAATTTTGGAAAATCATTGACATTGAATCAAGTCCAATCGAAAGATCTTTCTAAATAAAGCATGTTTAGTGTAAAATCTTCGTGAGAATGAACATACCCTAAGTTTTTCGTCGAGATAAACCATTGTATAATAAAGTTGATCATCATCTTTATCCTGAACTGGTTTCAATTTCAAAATTTGATAGATTTGAGGAGCATAACCGATAAAAAGACCAGAATTGAGAAAACGTTTTCCGAATTCCACAATCGGATATTCTGGAGTCAATGATTGGTCTGGCCAACAGAATGGTTCAGCTCCGAAAACAACATTCTTATCTCCAAAATGTTCGAAATATTTTCTCAAAATAGTTTCCGAATTTGCATTGAAAACAACATCATAAGCATCGATGAATAAAATCATAGTTTCTTTTTTATCCTTATATTTTTCGATCCAATCAGAAAGTATTCGAATTTTCTGTCCTCCTCCCTGTTCAATTCTCGTATCTCCTCCATTCCATTTTTTCGCCCATCGCCAAAACTTCGATCTCGATTCCAAATTGTTTTGCTGATTCAACGAGTCTTTTTAATCCATCTGTATTTTCTGTGGCTACAGTAACAACAACTAATTCAGGAAGACTTGTGATTCCAACACAAGAACAATAAACAAATATTGATAGAAGTAAAAGTATGAGAATTCGCATTCTGTAAAAAAACTATGAATAAGGAAGAAAATTGAATTTGCTATTGCTATTGCGAAAAAAAGAAAAATGAAGAAGGTTGTCATTTTTAATTACTCTGAACTTCTTTTGTAAATAAATAAGGAGGTTGTTCCGAAGAAAAAGAAGACATATTCACAGGAACAACTTAATAATAAGAAATTATTTTAAAAATTAGACCACGCCCCAGAAATAAATATTCAAATGCGCAAATCTACAAATTACGTGCATCATCATCTTATGCGTTCTTCTAAAAAGTTTACAGCAGAAGACTAAGAGCAATAGTATTTCTGGTGACCGCCAGATGTGCGAAGAAAAAATAGGGGAAAAGGAGGAGAGGACGGCTGTTCGAAACAAAAAAACGAAGAGAGGCAAAGGACACTATTATGTTTATGTTGTAAGATGTGGTGGTGACGTGGAATGAAAAATATAAAAAATTGAACTTCAAAAATCAAAACTGTACAATATATCATTAAAATAAGCCTACAGTTACATAAATATCAAAAAGTCCAGATCTTTATTAGTTATCATTGCAAACTTTATATTTATATTATATTAGTCTTTTTGTTTTGGTAATATTAATCCTGTATTTTTCATCTTATCATTATAATTTTCATCTTAACACAAAATAAAACTGGAATATCTTCGGATATTTACAATTAGTTTACAATTAGTACTTACGTGACAAAATGTTTTATTCATAAACAGCGAGTAAATAATTATTGACGTCCAGAAAAGAATTTCGAACGTTTTTTGCCTTTTGTATTTTTCGATTTTTCTGTTTTCTCAACTTTTTCTTCCGTTGACAGACAATTATCTTTTGGCAGAGGTTTCTTCAGAATTTTCTGTAAAAAAATTTAATTTTTACAAAATAATTTTGAATGGCTTACATAGAGTACTTTTGTATTATTAAGCATAGGTTCCCATAATTTGATAATTTTTTCAAAATTTGGACGATCTGATGAATTTTTCTTGCAACATACTGCTATAATTTCATTCACTTCTTTCTCATCTTCTAATTTATGTGGATTTTCCACTTCTTTGATAACCACTATTGATTCCTTTTGGGTTTTTGGGTGTAATGGTGGATTGGCGCATTTGGTGAAAATCTCCCAAAGAACAACTCCATATGACCAAACATCAGTTTTTTCATTGAAAATTCCTTTTGTAAGAGTTTCTGGGCTGAGCCATCGAATTGGAGCTTGTTTCAATTTTTTGACAATAACTTGAGTTGCTTGAACCGAAAGACCAAAATCTGATATTTTAACACGATGATCTGCAGTCAGCAAACAATTTCGAGCTGCTAAATCTCGATGAATAACTTGACAATCAGATAAATGTGCCATTCCTTTAGCAATATCAGATGCCATTTCGAACATTTTACCATGACTCACATTTTCATTTTTTCTGAAATCATTTAAAGGGTTGGTGCTTTCCTGGTGAAAAAATCGTCTGCAAAAAGGCGTCACAGTGTTGTGTTCAAAGTTGTGTGCAAACACACACACGAAAATTCAAAAACAAGTTGTGCGCTAGAGCGCATTTACTTGTTTTATTTCGTAGGTTTTAACTTGTTTGTGATTTTGAGGAAAAACATGGGCTGAATTGATACTAGAATTTTTTCTAAAACTGGAACCTTCCAGGAGCACCTTATTCCTATCTAAACCAAGCAAGATTCCCTGGCGGAGCACCAACCCTTTAAGTCATTTATTTATTTGATACAAAAATATGATACCTCAAATAATTCCACACACTTCCTCCAGGCAATAATTCCATTGCAACCATAACAGGTGTCAATAAACATGCCGTTCCATAAAGTTTAACCACATAAGGACTATCAAATAATTCCATAATATGAACTTCTTGATAGAATTCTGCAATCTGTGTTCTTGTTGAATCTCCTCGAATCATTTTCACAGCACATTCTCGAATTTCTCCACCTGGTAATGTTATTATCGCTTGTGATACATCACCAAATGCACCTTTTCCTAATACTTTTCCCATTTTTATATTATCATGGTAAATGATAGTTGGAGGTCTTGAAATGGGAATAGTTCCACCCTGCAACGTTTTCGACAACATGTTGATCAATTCGGGAATATCATAAAAATGTTGATTTTCGTCTAATAATTTCGGAACACTCCATGTTTGATATTTTCGACAAATTTCATAGTGTTCTATAATATTATTTCGTTTCATAGTAATTATGAATAATTTATTTTGCAATCTATCAATCGATCGACGAACAACAAATGAATTATTCCACTGAAAAATTGGTACTGTACTTTTTGTGTATCAATTTTATCTAGAAAACAATTACTTTTAGAACATTATCCATTTTTGTGCTCAAAATCATTCCCCAATACCATGGATAAAATTGTAATTTGTTTTTGATATATTCAGATTCAAATTGTTTATCTTCCATACTTTGACACATAAATGAATCATCTGATTGTATATCAAGTGATGCTAATTTATTACCAGTTGCATATGAAATAGTTGGAGCAGTCACTGTTGAACTCTGTTCAATTACAACCACACATTCTTGATTCTCACGTTCCGATAAGCGACCTTTTCGGGTTTTTTGCCCAAATTCTTGAAATTGCACATGAATCTCATTTTTTGCTAAAGATTTGTTCTCAGTTCTTTGACTTTCCATTTTGTAATTTATTCGAAGAATTTGATTCTGCAAAAAATCTTGGATTCATTCAAGAAGCTAGAAAAATTATGCACTTACCGTTCACTAACTTCTCAAATATAAAATACTGAACCATTTTGCAACTGGTACGCGTGTTATTTATCTCCGGTCAACACGTTGCATAATTTTTGTAGTTTATTTTTGGAACTTTTTTTTTGAGAGAAAATTTTCATTCAAAAAATCCAAATAAAAAAATAAACGTGTTGACCCAATTTTTTTTGCAAAAAAATTGAGACGTGGTTTGTTGCCTGTTGATAGTCATCAGTTTTTAATATTTTTGTACAAGTAAATAGTGAGTTTTTCCTTCATCTATTCAATTATCACATCACATTTATCTAATTCCAGAATTAAATTCAAAAAAGTTGAAAAAAGTAAATGATGACAGATAGAAATACTGTAGCCAATAATAACAAAAAACCAGAAGTGGTCACAAAACACAAGAAAAGTGTAGTTCAGTTTCAAGTTCAAGAGTTTGGCCCGAAATTTAGCAAGGAAAGTGCTTTGGATCGAGATCGTGATAATAATTATGTGATCACTGATAATGATGAAACAATAACACAAACAAGTTCATCCTCATCTCAAATGCATCAAGCAATTAGTATGTATAATGTGAAACCGGGCACTTCAATGATTGGACCACCAATGATATCTGTTATGGGACCAGTTGTTGATGATGAATCATTTGATGAAGATGAATATATCAAGAAAACACTTCGACATTTTCCATGGTATTGGGGTTTAGTATTGAGCACATCTTTGGCAACATATCTAAAAGTAATTTATATCCTCAATAAATCTGATTGATTCAATATTTATTTTCAGAATCCATATTCTTTTATTGTTCGTCGAACTATTGATTCAAATAACAATAAGGTTTTCCTTGTTTCTGTTCGTGAAAATGACACAATCAATCATTATGAAATTCGTCGAAAATCTAAAAGTTGGATGTCGCCAAAATTGTTTGGTTCAAATCAGCCGAAAACAAGTTTTGCACATATTCATAAATTATTAGATGCTTGGTCATTGACACTTTCAAATGGTTTGATGCCAATCCCAAAACCTTCTACAATTGTTTTTCATGATAACATAAAAATGACAAAAGTATTAGGAAAAGGAGCTTTTGGTGATGTATGGCAAGCTAAAATAATATTGCAAAATGGAGAAATCAGAGATTGTGCTATTAAAATGATACGAGGAGATGCAACAAGAACACAAATTGCAGAATTTTATCAGGAAGTTCAAATCATGGCATTATTTGATAATCCATATGTTATAAAATATTATGGAACTGCTTGTTTATTGACACCTGTTATGGTTGCAATGGAATTGTTGACTGGAGGAGATTTGTGGACCTTGTTAAGGTATCATTTTTGTATTTAAAATAACTAACTGTAAAAATTAATTCAGAAGTGACGACAGTATTAGCAATTTGAAACAATGTGAAATGTCATCTGATATTGCAAAAGGAATGAAACATCTTGCACATTGTAAAATAATTCATCGAGATTTGGCAGCTCGAAATTGTTTGCTGACTGCAGATCATCGTGTTAAAATATCTGATTTTGGTCTTTCGGTTCAAGCAACTCAAGTTATTGTCAAAAAGTTGAAACAAGCTCCAATTCGATGGCTCAGCCCAGAAACCCTTACAAAAGGAATTTTCAATGAAAAAACTGATGTTTGGTCATATGGAGTTGTTCTTTGGGAAATATTCACCAAATGTGCCAATCCACCATTACACCCAAAAACCATGAAAGAATCAGCGGTTATAATAAAAGAAGTTGATAATCCACATCGATTACAAGGCGAAAAAGAAATAAGTGATTTGATATCATTTTGCTGTAAGAAGGATCCAACTGAACGATTAACTTTTGAAGTTATTGTTTCTGTTTGGGATGCGTATATCAGTAATTATAAAGAGGTAATTTTGTATGTTTCATTCATAAAATTATGGGTTTTATTTTCAGAAAAAAATCAAGAAGAAAAACACTGTTCGCAAATCTGTGGTGAAAGAAAATAATCAAAAAACAGTGAAAGAAAAACTGGAAGAAGTTTCGAGTTTTGAACCGAAAACCGAAAATGAGAACCGACCGAAAGGAGCTCGAAGTATTGGAAACAAAAAATTTACTAATAAATGAATCATTTAAATACTTTGAATATTTTCCAAATATGTGAAACACAATTTTCTGAAACTACAGTAATCCATATCTTTTCCTCATTGGGTTCTCTCGACGCTTTCGTTCATTAAATCTTTCCCAATTCTTCGCTTCTCGTTTGTTGTTTATTTCTAGTATTTTTAAAATCACAATTTTAGAGGATTTGTTTCGAAAAAAGCTGCAAAACTGTGAACAAAAGCAAACAAAAAATATCGGTGGCCGAAAAAACCAAACCGCCTCTCTTGCAAAACTTCGGCCATTTATTATTATTTTTTTATTTTCAACTCGCGGTTTCAAAAATGGGATCGTATATTTCCCACCAACCAGATAATTCTAACATAGCAAAGATTGTTCAAGATTTAGAAAAAACGAGAGTGAGTTTGAAATAATTCTAATCAATTTTTAACTTGCCTAACTTGAAGATTGAAAGAGAAATTGCGTTCGCTCAATTGTTGGAAAGAAGAAAACTCGCCTATAAAATTGCCGAAGAGCGTGAAAAATTCAATTGGTCAGCTTGTGCTGGTGGTTTGGTTATTGCACTTTCAGCAATGTCATCATTACATCATAAGTAAGTATTTAGAAGATCTTCCTTTTCTATAACTATGCCTTTATTTTCTTTTAGAAATCTACTTCATGTTATTCCAATGTTTCCTGTTGCTTCATATCTCGGATACAAAGCTCATTTTTGTTATGGAGATCAATTGAAAAGAATAAATGAATCTGCCAATGCATTCCTTGAAGATAATTCGGATAATTTGGTTCCACTTCCACCTTCAATTGCAGATATCAAAAAACGAGCGAAACAATTGAAACAATTGGCCGATGACGAAGTTTATTGAATATTTTTGTGAGATTTTCGTAGGTTTTGTTGATTTTTAAAAGTTTTGTTTTTACACGGGTTTCTTTTTAAAAATGAAATTTTTATAAAATTTTTCCTACCGTGACATTATTAGAAAAAGTTGATTGAACTTTTTGAATATTTTTGGTTCTATTGGTTTTTGATATTGAACAAATTGTGATTAAATAGATGAATTTCGTGGAAAAACTGAAAAAAATATATGACGAAGAATTCGAAAAACGACTTGTGGCTGAAAATGTGAATTTTGCGCAAAGAAGAGCTGTAGAAATAATTGAGCGACGAGATAGATTAAGTTGGGAAGTTCTAGCAGTTGGAACAACAACAATTGTATTATTAGCAGCTGGATCAGTTTATAAAAGAAAGGTAAGTTAAATTTTCACGCAAAGGATATTTTCAATTCATTATTCATTTCAGGATGTTATTATTCCAATAGTTCCACTTATTATGGGTGTTGGTTATCGATATGATGCTGCTCATGGTGGAAATAAAGATACAATTCGAGAAGAAGCTGAAAATTTGCTGAAAACGAATAATATGAACTTAAATTATGTTGGAGGATCGATTACATTAAAAGATGTTGATAAATATCGGAATACGTATTTTTGATCTGGAAATATGAATAAAATTTAGTCGAAAATATAGAGGTAACTTTTTATTAACCCGTCATTCATTCATTATCACTCGTTTTTCTCAAATCCTGGCGTGAACTTCGTAGTTTTGTCAATCTTTCATCTGAAGATGCATCACTCTGAAAAAATTAGTATTTGTTTTCATTTACAAAAATTTACTTACTCGTATCCGATATTTTTTTTTTCATTTTTTTGATTTTATACGGTAAAATTGGTGTTTTCAAAACAAATACAAAAAAAAAATGATATTTTGGTGTTTGATGTTTTTTACACAAATCACGGTAGAATAATCATTTATTACAATATTCCGCATAAAAAATAACCAAGAAATAATTTATTGATAAATATGAGAAATAGTTGTCTAACATTTTTCAGCTGGTCTTCTTTTGATTCCAAGAGCTTTGTTAGCAGAATCAATTCTCAAATTTTGGAGAGATCTTCTTTTACGACCTCCTCCACCACATCCACAACATCCACAGCCTACAAAAATAAACATGGAATTATAAAATTAGTTAAATAAAAATGTGACCATACCTCCGCAACATCCACATCCTCCTCCACATCCTCCTCCACATCCACATCCACATCCACAACAACATGGTCTACAACAAGTGCAACATCTTGTGCAACAACATGTTCGACAACAAGTGCAACAACGTCGACAACAACAGCAACATCTGAAATATAACAAAGTTATTTGGATTACTGTAGTTTTTGTTGTTTCTCAATTTACTTTGGTCTACAACAACAACATCCACATCCACATCCACAACCACTTCTTTTAACTCGAGAACTTCCTAATGTATCAATTGATGTTTCAGAAGAACTTTCCAATGATTTTTCAATTATTGCAACTTCTGTTGATGAAACTGGTAAAACTGCTCCTTGAACCTAAAAAATTGAAAATATTTTAATTTTTCTCGAAAATTCCAAACCTGTCCATAATATGCTCCAATTGCTAAAATTGCAAGAATCAATTTGAAATACATAATTAATTAATTAATTATAAATTAAATTTTGATATTAATTTATCTCAGTTTCGAGCTTTATATACACAAGCTCAGAACTTTTTTTTCAATTATTTGTTTTTCGTTGATATGACAGAAAGTTCCGGTAGATTACGCATTTTAATAAAAAAGTTCATTAGGTTTTTTTTGATAATTAAAATAATTTCAGAAGTTTTAAATATTTTTTGTTTCAAAAAATAATGCCCAAATTTGTTTTTTTAAGAAATGAAAAATTCGTAAAAATGTATAATATTTACGTGACACATTGTTTTTTTCTTTAGCCACGTATTCCACGTCAAATATTCCACATCATTTTGATCTTGATAAAATGACTATAAAAGGAAGATGTAAACTCATTGAAATCAACCCATCGTTCAACTTCAACAATGGCTCAATCTGTTCCACCAGGAGATATCCAAACTCAACCAAATGCCAAAATTGTCTTCAATGCTCCATATGATGACAAACATACCTATCACATCAAGGTTATCAATTCATCAGCTCGTCGTATTGGATACGGTATCAAGACAACCAACATGAAAAGATTGGGTGTTGATCCACCATGTGGAGTTTTGGACCCAAAAGAAGCTGTTCTTTTGGCTGTTTCTTGCGATGCTTTTGCCTATGGACAAGAAGACACCAACAATGATCGTATCACTGTTGAATGGACAAATACTCCAGATGGTGCTGCCAAACAATTCAGACGTGAATGGTTCCAAGGAGACGGAATGGTTCGCAGAAAGAACTTGCCAATTGAGTACAATCCATAAATGTAAACAATAAATGTTTCATCTCAACTATTTGTCTGTTTTGTATTTTGAATAAGTTTCTCTCGGATTAAACTCAATTTTTCTCGGAAAAAATTCGGATAATCTAGAGAAGATCACAGAGTGTAATTTACTACCCGAAAAAATTCGCGCATTTTTTGAGACCTGACACGATTTTAGGGGTGGGACTTAAATCGACGAAATTCAACGCAAAATCGATAGATTTAGAGATAAACTATTTTTGATCTACCCAAAAATTAATTTAAAAAATTGAGGTCTAGCGATTTGAGGTAGTAAATTACACCCTGTGAAGATTACAAATTAAGACAGTTTTGAAAATCTTCTAATGTTAAATTTTACCTTCAGAGCTACCCAATATTCACATATTTGTTTAATAAGTAAACTCACGATTATTTGTTATTTTTCAACTAAAACATCGCGAAATTATTTTTTTGTTGAATTTAAAAAAAAATTCCTAACATAAGTAGACCCGCAAGTTTTTAAATCACTGTAGATCACGCGCGATTTCACTAATCTTTTTGTCTCTTCTCTCTCGTATGGACGCCAATTTTTTGAAATAGCGTTTTGAATCAATAAAAAAACAACCAAAAGTTTCCAAAAAATTGAAAATATTTTTCAGATTAGTCGTGGATGAAAATATTCGAGATGATTTTGTTGGGAAAAATGAAGCAATACATCAACTTTGAGCGATCAATTTTGAGGAACGGTCGAAATTTCAACGGTTAGTACTTTTTTGGGGTTCGATTGAGTAGTGAAGTTTTAGTCGGAGGGAGTTCTGTAGAGTTCGAAATTTATTAAACTGATTTGCATTTGAATCGAGGATGCTTTTGAAAGGAAGTTTTAGAATCTTTTAAAAACTTTGAGGTCGGGAGAAATAATATTTCTTTTTTTTTGAAATATGAAATAGGCATGTGTTGTTTCTAAAGCTTGTTAGAACTTTGAGACAAGAAGGGGAATATATTGGGTGTTTTTTGGATATAATTAAAAAAGTTGTTTCATCAAAAAGTCGTTTGATGATAGTAACAATAAAGCCAAAATTATGTTTTATAAATTTATATTTTTGATTTTGAAGTTTGTTTTTGTTATGTGATTTTTTGTGACTTGATTTTTTCTCAAACAGTGTAAAATACAAACCGATTTGAATCTTGCACTGGATATCCAGATGATTTTCTCATAGACCAAGGGTTTTCTAACAAAGTTCCATAGTTATTTTCGATGTGATGTGATTGATTATTTTGTTCACAGAACATTTTCAATGTATTATGTTGGAAATTTTCCATAAACTGACAAAGTTCAGTTTTCAAGAAAAAAACCAATTTCACTATTCACAGGCAGATGCAGAACGGCCGGATACTTGCCAAAAATTGAAAACCGGTCCGAAACTTGTACGTTTCCGACCAGTGTTGAAAACGGCCAAAAACCACTCTAAAATCGGCCGGTTTCTGCTCAAATTCAACAAAAACGGCCGAAAACCAGTGAAAAAACACGGCCGGTTACTGGTCAATTTTGATAAACCGGTCAGAAACTGGTCGGTTTTTGAGTTGTTACTGGCCGTTTTTCAACACTGGTCGGAAACGTACAAGTTTCGGACCGGTTTTCAATTTTTGGCAAGTATTCGGCCGTTCTGCATCTGCCTGTGATTCCCATTTTATGAGAAATCACTGTAGGACAGAGACTTCAGCACGCAGCCGAAGGCTGCGTAGCAACAAGAATGAAGACCGGCGGAAGCCGGTTGTTTCATTCTTGTCTTCTCATATATGATGTTTTCGGCGAAAATCGTGAAATTTTCTGATTTCACGAAAAAACCGAATTGAAAAAATAAACGAGAGAGTGTTGTGTGTAGAAGAGACGAGGAGAGAAGGAGAGAAAATGAGAGATAGAAACTCGTAAGAGAGAACGCCAGACAACACGACGTTTGTGAATTTTTTCAAACCTCAAAAACATTTTTCGTTTTTTCACAAAAAAAAGCTAAAATCGCTCATACTTCACCAAATTTCACAATCTTTGTTGCAAAAGATGACAAATTCTTGAGAATAGAAATGTCAAAAAGAAAAACCTAAAAAACTTTTCTCCAAACACCAAAAAATATGGTTATAGGTTTTTTGCCTTGATTTCCCTTGATTTTTATAATATTCGACTTGCTTTCTATGAACACTTTTAATGTTATTCATTTTCAATACAGAAAGAAATACAAAATTGTTGAAATTTTGGCTGATTCTGATGAAAAAATGTTGTATTCTTGGATTATTGCAATCTGGTATTTCTAATACAAATAAGTAATTTTGATCTGGAAATATGAATAAAATTTAGTCGAAAATATAGAGGTAACTTTTTATTAACCCGTCATTCATTCATTATTACTCGTTTTTCTCAAATCCTGGCGTGAACTTCGTAGTTTTGTCAATCTTTCATCTGAAGATGCATCACTCTGAAAAATTAGTAGATATTTGTTTTCATTTACAAAATTTTACTTACATTTGCTCGTTTTTCTCTTAATTTTGGCATATTCTTTTTACTATATTCATCTCGTATTCGATCAATATATCTTTTTTCTATCAAATTTTTTGATTTTTTCGGTAAAATTGGAGGTGCACTTGAAGTACTTGCAGCATCTAATGGCCACTCAATTCCTGTTTTGAATATACTTTTTGTTGAGCCATAAGTTTTATCATCAATTGATTTCTTAGGAGATTGAACCTGTCTTTCGATAACAGTTTCTATTGAACAAATTGAAGTGGTTGGGGATAAATTTGAATATTCTTCATCTTCCTCCTTCACTTCTCGAGCTAAAATGAAAACATAGAATTTACAACATTAAACGTATTTCAGTAGGGAATTACAAGCCCAAAAATTACTTCCAAGATTTGCTCGTCTGGTTTTTTCTGCCCCAAATTTTCTGTCCCAACATACTGTGAAATTCTTTTCCAACAATGTTGTAAGAGATTTCAAGACTCACTTTTTTCAAATTGATTTTTTATTCCAAGATAATCTGTTGGATCTTCTCTTGGCCCTAAATGCCCTTCTTTATCTCGTAAATAAGTTTTCGAATTTAATTCTAATGGCGGTGGAACTTTTCTGTAAAAAAAATGAAGGCAATTTTTTGTTAGGCGTTTTTTGTTAGAAACATAAAAAGACAACATGAACTTTATTAGTATAAACATATATAAACATAAAATTGGTTATGGTGCACGTTTTCCCAAAGCATTTGATGAAGCATCACGTTGTGCCAACCTTGTTTCATAATTTGTGCCCCTTCGAATCTCAAAAATTCTCGCTTCTTCATCTAAACCTGATACAACTTGAGCACCTTCATATTTTTCAATTGCATCCACATCAACTTGAATCCTAAACAAAACATTTTCATATATAAATTTATCTCAAAATAAAAAAAACCTTGGAGGACAAAGTGGCTCATAATCCTCGTTATGATATTTTGCCATATATGGATGTTTCAATATTTCATCAGCGGAATATCGTTTCCGCGGTGTCATTTGAAGTAAATATGAAATCAAATCGCGAGCTTCTTCACTTGCTTTCGGAAAAACAGCTGATAATGGAAGAGGCGGTTCTTTTCGACAACTTTGAATTGAATCACGAACTGTTGACGATGTTATTTTACTCATAATTTCATCATCCGGATATCCCAAATAACAAACTATTATTTTAATTTGAGAAATTCCGTCTTTTCCGGGAAAAAGTTGACGACGCAACAGCATTTCTCCAAAAATACAACCAGCTGACCATAAATCAACTCTAAAATTTCAAAATTCTAGATACTGTGATTGATTACTGTAGAAAAACTCACTTTGTATCGTATTCAACTAGTGAAAATAATATTTCGGGTGCTCTGTACCATCGAGTTGAAACATATTGCTATAATTTGTTTAATTTCAAAATGTTCTATTTTGAAATCAAGAACCTACAGTCATATGTCCTCCAATTGTTGGATCATCTCTAATTGTGGTTTTTGATGCACAGGCACGTGCCATTCCAAAATCAGCTATTCGAAGAAGACAATCACCATTTAATAAAAGATTTGATGGTTTCAAATCACGATGAATAATCCCAGCTGAATGCAAATACTGAAACAACTTTTTTCTTTTTTTTTTTTTTTTAAATAATTTTCTAATGCACGCCCACATTTTTCCCTATCTCTCTCACACACACACACAAATATGTTTTTCTTTTCGGCGCTCGGCCGACGAGAGCGAGATAGACTAGTGGGGAGAGTGTTTGCCTTTCATTTGAAAGGTGACGGGTTCGAACCCCCGCCGAGGAGGAAAGTTTCCATGCACCACTCTGAAGTATAGTGTGGATTATGGTTCATACGGAACTGAGGCGTTTTGATAAATATTTTGAAATTTTACCTTGAGACCTCGTAATAATTGATATAGAAAATATTGAAAATGTTGCTCTAGAAGTGGTTGTCGACTATGTAAAATTTGATGAAGATCTGTCTCCATGAGATCCATAACTAGATAAATATCTTTTCCCTGAATTCCTTCGGCTGTAAACATGTCTAAAACTGCGATAATATTTTCATGTAAAAGTTCGCGTAATATTCGAACTTCTCGCAATGATCTTTTTGCTAATGTATGAGCTGTGAATGCTCGTGGAATTTTCTTGATTGCCACTTGCTTGTTATTTCTCTGAAAATTAGAAGTAAAACAGGATTAATTCAATTTTAATTCACATACCGTATCCATAGCTTTACAAACTACTCCATATGCACCAGTTCCTACATTTTCTTCAGCTAAATATGGTGTGCCTTCCAACCAAAATCGACCATCTAAACGGCTTGTTGATGTTTCAGCCATTTTTCTAAATATAAAGCAATTTTTGAATCAATTATTAAAAAACAAATACTCACTCCAAGTCTTATCTTAATTTCATTTTATGCTGATAATTTCAATCTGCAAAGCGGTAAAAAATCGATACGAAGAAAAACGACAAATCAAGTTTCTTCTCTTTTCTGCGTCTCTGAATATTTCCCGTTTCAAAAAAAGATAAGAACATTATTGTTTTACCAACACTCTTAGATTATGAGTGTGTTTGTTTTGAACTTCTTAGGAAAAAAAGATCAAGGGAAAATATGCGTTTTGAAATTTAACTGAAAAAATTATTTTCAGACAATTTTTCCAAAACCATAACAAAAAAAATGATCATTTGGTGTTTGATGTTTTTTACACAAATCACGGTAGAATAATCATTTATTACAATAAATTCCGCATAAAAGTTAACCAAGAAATAATTTATTCATAAATATGAAAAATAGTTGTCTAGCATTTTTCAGCTGGTCTTCTTTTGATTCCAAGAGCTTTGTTAGCTGAATCAATTCTCAAATTTTGGAGAGATCTTCTTTTACGACCTCCTCCACCACATCCACAACATCCACAGCCTACAAAAATAAACATGGAATTTGTTAAATAAAAATGTGACAATACCTCCGCAACATCCACATCCTCCTCCACATCCTCCTCCACATCCACATCCACATGGTCTACAACAAGTGCAACATCTTGTGCAACAGCATGTTCGACAACAAGTACAACAACGTCGACAACAACAGCAACATCTGAAATATAACAAAGTTATTTGGATTACTGTAGTTTTTTGTTGTTTCTAAATTTACTTTGGTCTACAACAACAACATCCACATCCACATCCACAACCACTTCTTTTAACTCGTGAACTTCCTAATGTATCAATTGATGATGTTTCAGAAGAACTTTCCAATGATTTTTCAATTATTGCAACTTCTGTTGATGAAACTGGTAAAACTGCTCCTTGAACATAATTAAGTAATGTAAGAGTAAAAACAGTTGAAAAAAGAATATAAATTATTTTAGACATAGAGATTAGCTAATGAACAAATTAGTGATATTTGTAAATATCCAATCATTTAAATACAGTTTTTTGTAGTTTCGGAAACACCGGAAAACCAAAATGCGTATGATGATTGATGCTGTCATTTGATTAAACAAACAAAACGAGATCATGTCACAGACATATTTCAAACTAAAAAAAACTTCACGCGTGCGAATGACCTCATGCTAATTTTTTTGGTTGGCAAATTCAAGAGTAAGCATTGAATAATTCTAAAAACAATATAAAATCTAGAAAAAATGTGTATCTACAAGTTCTTGTCGAGAATGGCTTAATTTGAAAATTTAACAAATTGACAACGCATTTACGGCCTAATTTTCTTATAGTAGCTGTAGCTGTAGCTGGTAGATGTTTCCAATGTGCTTATTTTGTAAATTATTTTTTTTCATAATAGGATAAAAACTGAAATTAAAAAAATATCTACATTTTTTTTCGAAAATAACAAATTCCCTATCTTCGGAAAACCAGGTAGCTGTTATTTCAGCGTTGAGTCCCACAAAGATCTTGAATTAGTTTTTGCCAGAGATTCACAAATTCTCGATAGTTCTAACTGTTTGAAAATCAAACAAACTAAACAAAAAAGAGACAAATTTTGAGATGAAACATTTATTGTTTACATTTTTATGGATTGTACTCAATTGGCAAGTTCTTTCTGCGAACCATTCCGTCTCCTTGGAACCATTCACGTCTGAATTGTTTGGCAGCACCATCTGGAGTATTTGTCCATTCAACAGTGATACGATCATTGTTGGTGTCTTCTTGTCCATAGGCAAAAGCATCACAAGAAACAGCCAAAAGAACAGCTTCTTTTGGGTCCAAAACTCCACATGGTGGATCAACACCCAATCTTTTCATGTTGGTTGTCTTGATACCGTATCCAATACGACGAGCTGATGAATTGATAACCTTGATGTGATAGGTATGTTTGTCATCATATGGAGCATTGAAGACAATTTTGGCATTTGGTTGAGTTTGGATATCTCCTGGTGGAACAGATTGAGCCATTGTTGAAGTTGAACGATGGGTTGATTTCAATGAGTTTACATCTTCCTTTTATAGTCATTTTATCAAGATCAAAATGATGTGGAATATTTGACGTGGAATACGTGGCTAAAGAAAAAACAATGTTTCACGTAAATATTATACATTTTTACGAATTTCTCATTTCTTAAAAAAAACAATAATTTTGGCCTTATTTTTTGAAACAAAAATTATCTAAAACTTCTGAAATTATTTTAATTATCAAAAAAAACCTAATGAACTTTTTATTGAAATGCGTAATCTACCGGAACTTTCTGTCATATCAACGAAAAACAAATAATTGAAAAAAAGTTCTGAGCTTGTGTATATAAAGCTCGAAACTAAGATAAATTAATATCGAAATATAATTTATAATTAATTATGTATTTCAAATTGATTCTTGCAATTTTAGCAATTGGAGCATATTATGGACAGGTTTGGAATTTTGGAAAAAAATTAAAATATTTTCAATTTTTTAGGTTCAAGGAGCAGTTTTACCAGTTTCATCAACAGAAGTTGCAATAATTGAAAAATCATTGGAAAGTTCTTCTGAAACATCAATTGATACATTAGGAAGTTCTCGAGTTAAAAGAAGTGGTTGTGGATGTGGATGTGGATGTTGTTGTTGTAGACCAAAGTAAATTTAGAAACAACAAAAAACTACAGTAATCCAAATAACTTTGTTATATTTCAGATGTTGCTGTTGTTGTCGACGTTGTTGTACTTGTTGTCGAACATGTTGTTGCACAAGATGTTGCACTTGTTGTAGACCATGTTGTTGTGGATGTGGATGTGGATGTGGAGGAGGATGTGGAGGAGGATGTGGATGTTGCGGAGGTATTGCCACATTTTTATTTAACTAATTTTATAATTCCACGTTCATTTTTGCAGGCTGTGGATGTTGTGGATGTGGTGGAGGAGGTCGTAAAAGAAGATCTCTCCAAAATTTGAGAATTGATTCAGCTAACAAAGCTCTTGGAATCAAAAGAAGACCAGCTGAAAAATGTTAGACAACTATTTTTCATATTTATGAATAAATTATTTCTTGGGTAACTTTTATGCGGAATTTATTGTAATACATGATTATTCTACCGTGATCTGTGTATTGAATAAATTATTTTGTAATTTAGTGTTCTTTCAAAAAAGTTCCAAAAAACCACAACTTTTTTATGTGCTGATTGTGAGAGTGCTTTTTCATTTGAAACTGGTTTTATTATTCATCTAACATTTTTTTAAACAAAGCTCTCACAATAAAACGAAGACCAGCAGAAAATGTTGAAAATTAGTTTTTGCGAAAATGTTTTATTGATATTTTTGTACATTGAAAGGTATTTACACAACTGAGAAAGTATTGACCCATAAGATAGACAAGTAGTGGATAAAATTTGAAAATTTGAAAATATGTGAATAAAAATTAGGCTTTAGCTTTTTTGATTGGAACAGCTGGTTGAGAAAGTCCCGGTGCAACTGGATGAAGTCCTCCTCCAGAAGGTGGTGGCGCTGCCGAATTAACTTTGTTCAAAGTTGGTGAGGCTTGTGCCATAACAGCAGCAATTGCAGCAACATCGGCATCATTTGGAATTTCAGTGTGTTTTTGTTGAGAATTTGAAGGAGAAGATGATGTTTTAGCTGGATGTCCACCAATTGGATCAGTTTGATCAAATGGGAATTCAGCATCAAATTTCATATATTCAGTCAAATCCAAACCTCCTGATTTATCAACGTCGAATTTGAAGAAAAGTTTTGGGAATGTTTCACGTGGTTTAACAAGGAATCTTTCAGCCAAAACTCTTTCCAATTCTTCTCGACTTAAAGCCATATTGAAATCTTCATCAAAATCTTCGAATACTTTTGCGAAATAAGCAGTTCTTGATTTTTCACTTTTGCTTGATGCTTCATGATAATGTTCTTCATATTCAGCCAAACTAACTTTTCCATCATGATTTTTATCAAGTCCCGAGAATTCTTCTCTCTTCGCATCAACATAGGCTAACTCCATATGAAGGAATTCTCCAAAAGTTAAAACTTTATCCTTGTTTTCATCAACTCGGATAAATCTTTGTTCTACAAAAAATTGTTTTTATTCGATTTTAATAACAAAACTAACCATGATCTTCTTGTTTTGTATGAAAAACATTAAAATCTTCCTCAAGTGGAAGCGGAGCAGAAGAAACCAAATAAAAACCGAATAAAAAACAAAATACAGTGAGAATGTTCATATTTGATATAGATACATTTTCTTATTTCCAACTTTTCTTTTTATACAACTTTCGATAAATGGGGCGTGTTTTGACCTTTTTCTCTAAACCAAGACAAGTTCATCTAGTTGTTCTTGTTTTCAAATTAAACGTTCTTTTTTTTGTAAAATATATAGTGTTACAATATTTTAAACAAGTGAAAATGATTGATGTTGTTTTTATTAAGATAAGTAGATAGATACTTCCAAATCTGATCAAATCACTATAATTTTTGGACCTGGGTTTGGTGACACTGGCAGTGGTTTTCCCACAAAAAATTAATTAAGGATTTAAATTTTTGAGAAAATTAAACATTTTTAGTTAAATCCAAAATAGATCGGATTTTCAGTCGAAACTTTCTCTTGTTTGAGATAAATTGGATGATCACAAAACATTTTTACAACGAAAAACAGTTTATTTTAATTTGGCGTGACGTCAAAAATCCGCCCTGTATTAGTCATTTTATAATGTCGGTGATTCAAAAAATGTCAGTTTTTTGGGAACGGGGGAATTCGGTAGAAAGAACACTTCGAAAAATCCAAAAAAAGTCCGAATCGAATTATGACGTGGCCTTAAGGTTTCTAGTTTTCAAAAAAGGGTACTGTAGCTGAATTCTAATGCATCTATTCATTTGCGAAAAAAACCGAAAAAAATGTATTTTTTTTACAATATTTTTCTATTCACCAAAATGCACGAAATAAATGTCAATCGTGACGAGACCCACACACATTTCAAGGAGAAAAACATTCGAGAAAAAAAACAAGAAATGAAATTTTCGAAAGCATGTATTTTTCACACTCGTTGCCTTGAAATTAGTGTGGGTCTCGTCACGATTGCATGTATTTCGCGACAATTTGTGATTTTGGTGAATAGGAAAATTTTGTAAAAAAATACATTTTTTTCGTGCTTTTTTGCAAATGAATAGATGCATAAGATCACATAGATTAATTTTGGCTAATGATTAATTTTGGAACCAAAAATTACCGTACCTCTTCCAAGATTTGACTAGAAATCCGAAAAATGGCCTAGAAAAAAAACTTGTAGATCAAATTTTGGAGCTTTCTGAACCTCTATAGAACCCTACTTATTTCTACTTATTTGAACTCGAATGACGTGGATTTTCAACAGTTTGGTACAAAAATTTGAATGTTCATTCAGAATTTCTGAAATTTTAGAGTTCACCCCCATATTTTTCAATCCAAAACTTCCATTCAAATTTTTTGCAGAGGTCAATTAAAACGAAGAAGAGAAAAACAAATAGCATACATTCGACAATTTGATGAATTTCATAGTGATATTAAAGATGGTAAATTTTCTATATCCTAAAATCATTAGTTACACTAAATCATTGCAGATGAAATATTCAAGTGCATTTCAAATGTTTACAACAAATCAATTCAAAATATGGAAACACCAACAGCTCCAATGTGCAAAAAACTATTAACAGTTGCAATTATTCAAAAAACTGTGCGATTTTATACTTCGGCAAACGAATCTCGATGTTAAAAACCATAATTTATGCTATTCACAGTATATTTTGAATTATGAAAATCAAACAATAAAAAAAACCCGGGGATTCGTTAAAATAGATAAATTATTATTTACAATTCAATTTGGAATGTTTCTGTTTGGTGTTGGAAGGCGAGACCGGGATGGTGGACGAATACGCGAAGAAGAAGAAGTTGAAAGATCAGTTTTGGGGGGAATTGGGCGGGGTTTATTTATAGAGGGATTTGAGGTGGATGAAAAAATAAGTGAAGGAGAAGGTGGGCGAATACCAAATGAGGAATTTGTTGGATTTTTATTCATTGGAGATGCAGATCTTACTGTCGCTTCAGTTTTCGGTTTTGGTTTGTTGCAAAAACTTGGTGCAGGTCTTGCAACGAATGGCTTTGGTGCTGGTTGAGTTACTGTAGTTAGAGGTCTTCTAGGAGCACTTATAGGTCGAGTTGTTTGTGCTGCCACTGGTTTAACTGATTGTGGTCTTGCTATTGGTTTTGGTGGAATAGGTGCAGCAGGTTTTACTATTGGTTTTGGTACTGGTTTCGATGTTGCAGCAGTTTGAGGTCTAGAAATTGGCCGATTTGTTGTGGTTGTTCGTACAGCTGGCTTTGATGGGAGTGGTTTTTTCGACTGTGTATTCGAACTATTATTTCCTCCTCCTCCTCCTCCATTTCCTATTCCACCTCCATATTGTTTGGCCAATCTTTTCATTTCAACAGTCGCCTTTTTACCAAATTGTTCTTCAAGTTCTTCGATTATTTTTGGAATCTTTTCTGATTTTGTCGAATCATCGAGAACTTCTGGAAACATCCGACGTGTTGGTCCTTCACCAATTGTTTTTTGAATTGCGCTAACTAAACAAAGAGAAGCTTCACGAACATCTTTGTCAGCGTCATTTGAAATCTAAAAAATTTCGAATTGAGTTTGATTATTATATAAAGAGAAGTTCCAACCTTATTTATAAATTCGGTGAGAATTTTAACACTCTCGATATCTACTGTTTTCTCATCATGTTTCGAAAATAATCTTGAAAGAAACAATGCAGTTTGTTGACGTGTTTGCGGATTCTTTGATGTCAATCCTCCTTGAACAGCTTCACAATATGATGATAACGGAGTCTGAAAATTAATTTAATTTCGAAGAATATAATTGAATAGAAACTTACAGTAGTTGCAGCTGCATCGATATATTCATTGAGAGCATCACGAAGAAGAGCTTTTTTATCTTTCAATTTGTCGAAACAAATTGGAAATGATTTATTAGCCAAAGAAGAATATGGGAATCTTGCTTTGATTGCAATTCCGGTCAAGATATTTGCGGAGCATGAAGCCACATTTACATTCACATCTTTCTCGATGATCTGAAAAAATTCAGTTCAATAATTATTTTCCCATTTTCAATAAAAACCTACTCTGATAAGAATAATAGAAATTTCGCGTAATCTATCAGTTATTTCAATTCTTCCAACAGAATCCACTCCTTTTTTCACAGCTTCACATCCAGCCAATCGTTCTTTCCAATTCTTATCAACCAACAAAGATTCTACATTTTTCTCCAATTTTTTCGCGATATCTTCTGCTTCTAACATTTCCCAAGCATCAATATTTTCAATGTTTTCTTCTCCTTCAATACCATTTGATCCTTGTTCATTTCCTGTTCCTGTTTCCGAAACTTCTCCTTCCGCAACATGTCGCTTTGGTTTTTCAGATTGTAACTTTTCATATTCTTCCTTGGCTTGTTGTTCATATTGCGCGATTTTTTCCATTTTCGAATTATCGCCAGCGATTGAAACAATGAATGGAGAAAGAGAATCAGACATTAGACGACGAAGTGAACCAAGTGACATACAAGCTTTATCTCGAACATTTACATCGCTATCTGTTGCGCACTGAAATAACGATACTTGCATTCATTTTTCCAAAAAAAAAAACAAATACTAACCTTAACCACTAGATTAATAATAGCCTTAACAAAACCCAAATCAGTGATTCTATCCATTTTTACGAAATATCGATACAAAAATTCAAGCAAAGTCTGCTTTGATTCTGGTGATGGAATAGCAAACCAATCAAGAATATCTTTTTGAATTCGCTCGGAAGTTGTCTAAAAAATCTAATTCGTCAAGAAAAAATTGATTTTCAAACTGACTGTTTCTGCGACAGCTTCAAGTGAAGAACTAACAGCATCTCTCACATTTTTCTTTTTATCTTTAGCTCTTTTGATCAAAAATGGAAAAACCATTCCAACGAATCCACCGAATTTTGTTCGAAGTCCTTTTGCTAATAATTCGACTGTTTTTGCGGCTGTACAAACTACAACAATATTCGATTCGCGATCGAGAATCTGAATTAATATCAATCATGAAACAGGTACTGAAATAATAAAATACCAACTTTTCTAATTTCATCCATTAGTTCTCCATAAACAGTCATTGTGGTTGTAGAAAGTCGAGGATTTTGTTCAATCAAAGAGTTCAATGCCTGAACATTTTAAGAATTTCAATCAAAACATTTTCATTTTTCAAACCTCGAGACCAGCTTTTCTTTCATTCCATTTTCCACCTTCGAAAACCACTTTTTTCTGATCCACCGGCCATTTTTGTATCACATCAACTTCATCCAAGAAATCCCATTCGTCCATTCTGAATTGATTATTTTGAAATTTGACTGATAAATAAAAAATAAATGAGATAAATACACGAATAAGATTTAGAACTTTACTGCAAAAAAAGAAAACGGAAATTCAAAATCTTCAAAACTTTAGTCAACAAAAACGAAGAAAAAGCGTTCAATATAAGAAAAAAAAACTGGTGAGATTCAAAAAGGGGAGAAAGCTGGAAAAGCCGAGAAACATTATAAGCAACATTTGTTTGAGATTTATTGTGGCATAACTTCTTGTCTTTCTTGGCCTTGTGATTTTTTGGTTCCAGAAACAATGTCGTCGATTCGGAGAAGCATGACCTAGAAAATGTAAAATTGGAAAAAAAGAGTGGAGTCAAAAAATGTTTCTTTCTTTTTTGAAAAATCAATACAATGTTGCGAAATACCAAATCTTTTTGGGCAAATAAAACATTCTGAGAGGCCAAAATCTGCCTATAAAAAGCGCATAAATTTTTTAGTATCAATATTTTTGTTATTGATTTCAAAAAAAAAAGATGTTTCATATATAGAATAAAAACATGTATTGTGATTTTCAAATAGAAAATAGTAAACTTACCGATGTTTCAACAGCGGTTTTCAAAACTTGAAGTCGTACACTCAATGGATCCCAAATATCTAATTTATTCATATCAACTAAATCACCAGTTGTACCATCAATTCCCCAAGTCCAGTTTTCAGCAGCTTGTGCGTGTTTAGCTCTCAACGCAGTCAATTGACGAATGGTGCTTCCACCGCAATTTTGAACCAATGTACGTGGAATAACCTTTAAAAATTTGTAATTTATACGAAATTAAAAAAAAAGATAAATAGAAATGTTACCTCCAAAGCAATAGCAATAGCTTTGAATGGCCACTGTCGAACTCCTTCGATCTTAGTTCCTTTTTCTTTGATAGCTTGAGCCAAAGACATTTCTAATGCTCCACCACCTGGAACAAGTCTTGGGTTGATCATAACATTTCGCACAACGTGGAGAGAATCTTGAAGATTTCGTTCAACTTCATTGATTACATCTTTTGATGGACCACGAAGAACAACAGTGCATGCAGTTGTTTCTTTGGCAGTAACATAAGTGTAATATCTGCAAATAAAAAAACATTATAACAATGAAGAATAAAAACACAGAATAATACTTACTCATCAGCAATTTTGACGACTTCGAAAAGTTCTGCAGATGTTCCAACATCTTCTGGTCTCAAATCAGAAGTATCGTGAACAATTCTGGCTCCACAAACGCGAGACAAACGATTGTTGTCAGTCTTCTTCAGACGTCTCAAACAGGTAATTCCAGCTTTCAACAAAAAGTGTTGAGCCAAATCGGAAATTCCTTTTTCGGTGAAAACAAGATCTGGTTTCAAGGCAATGATTTCATCACATTGTTTGCGAATAGCTTCTTCTTCTTGTTCCAAAATTTTCGAGATGTCTTCTTCGCGCATGATTTCCAACGATGTTTGAGATTCTCCTTTTTTGTATTCCAAATTGCAATCCAACAAAACAATACGTGGGTTTTCAATACGACGACGCATTTTAGCATGCAAAATATCCTTGTTCAAAACAACTCCTTTGATAACTTGCGAGTCTTCGATGGTTCCTCCTGGGATTTTTTCAATTCTGCAATATCTTTTGATATCAATTTCGTTAACACCGCCCTTATCAACACGGATAGTTTTGACTGCATCAATTGAAATTTTGACAGCAAGATCCATCCATTTGCTGATCATTTTGGTTCCCAAACAAGATTTGACGACAGTAGCAATTTCATTATCATTATTGATATCAACTGGTTTACTGAACTTGGTTTCAGCCAAAACAATCATCTCTTCCAAAGCAGCGCGATAAGCTTGAATAATGATGGTTGGATGGATTTTTTGTTCTAAAAATTGTTGGGCTTGTGCCATAACTTCTCCAGCCAAAATAATAACTGAAGTAGTTCCATCACCAGTTTCTTCGTCTTGTGTACGAGCAATTTCGATCATACTTTTAGCTGCTGGGTGTTTAACAGTAATTTCACGAAGAATAGCATTTCCGTCGTTGGTCATAACAATTCCACCCATTGGATCCATCAACATTTTAAGCATAGCACGAGGTCCAAGAGATGTTCTGATAACATCGGCAATTGTTTTGCAAGCAGTAATATTCCCGATTTGGACTTGATGACCACTTTCACGTTTTGTCCCTTGTGAGAGGACAATGATTGGCTGCTGACTCGCACCTCGCATCATCTTGAGTCTGCAAAATATTAATCAATTGAATCGGAAGAAAAACAACGAATTATAGTGTAATCTACGAGAAACAGTTAATCGAATATTAATGAAGATGTTTCTGGACGAGAATGTTCTAATATAAAAATTCGAATTCTTTAAAAATGGTCAACTAGGATTTTACTGGAACAGGAATCAAATACACATATTCTAGAGTTCTTGTCTTTTTATGTGACGTGATTTACACGTAAACATTGAAAAAACAAGGAGAAATGTAAAACTTTCGAGAGGATGTGTGAAAATGAAAATTCAAATCGAGAAAAAGAGATTTCCAGTGCTTTTGAATTTTTCGTTGCGAGACCCAGTTGCAAAAATCTCAAAAAGTAGGTAAAATGACCATTTCACAACTTGGAAATGTTTTCATATGGTTTCCTGTACCAGAAAACCTATATTTTGATATATTGGTGCACTGTAACCGTTCCGAATAGCTGAAATTAAAGTATTTTCTGTTTCTGTTGGACTACGGTAGCAGTCGTTTGAGCTGTGTTATTTATTTTTACGCGACTCTTTTTATTTTTTTGTTCGTTGTTTTTGTGTACTTCAGAAAATCTTGTTAAATGTGTTGTTTACTTACTCTATGAATTTAATGTTTTTACAGATGGACGAAAGAAGTTGGCGCAATAGTACGAATTCTTGGAAACAAAAATCAGCTGATAGTTGGCGTGGAAAAGAATCGTGGCATTCCAACAAGCCATTTTACAACGATTTTCGAGGCGGTGGAATTCGTGGTGGTTTTCGAGGAGGTTTTCGGGGAAGGTAAGTCAGTTCCAATATTTTTAAGTCATTGAACTTGAATTTTTAAAGAGGACGTGGAAGAGGTAGAAGTTCAATCGCAGTTCCTATTTTACGAGATAAGAAAGATGATGAGAAAAGAGTAGAAGAAGAACAACTGGAGAAAGATGATATTCATGAAGAAGATCCGAATATGGATGACATGGTGAAGAAACAATTGGAGTTGTTGAAGAATAAAGAAGATAATTATGAACAAGATGAATATGACGATGATTATTTTGAGGAACCAGTGGTAAGTTTTCGTTTTATTAATCATATTGATCTTTTGTATTTTATATCTTGTTTTTTTATTGTTTCATGTTATGATCAAAAGTTACAGATTCAATTTTCAAAATTTCGAGCTGGGTCAGTTTAAATTCAAGAATAATGTGAACATTTCATCACGAATGAGCAATAGCCATTTAATGATAAATGTGATGTTTTTCAGGTTAAAAAGACAATTGAAGAAATTGTGGATACATCAGCACGTCCTGTTTTTCTTGCAAGAGATCCCAGATATGAAAAACTTCTCGAAGACGCTAAAAGTGCGGAAGGAACAAAAACATCGAAAAATGGAAATGATAAATCATTTTCGAATGATAGAAGAAATGTAGGGGTTTTTCAAATTACTCAAAAATTTCATATTCATTGAACATTTAAAATTCTCGAACTGTTTTTACAGTCATGATTCAAAATTCATTCAAAAAACGTAATAAGTAATGAAATTTCTAACCAAAATCCCTTTCAGAGAAGAGACAGAAATGCTTCAACCAGCTGGACGAATTCATATCAACAACGTGTTGCTTTACTGAAACAAACGGTCGAGTGAGTTCTTTGTTTTGAAATATAAAAGTATCTGATAGCACATGTGAGACATAATTTACGAAAAAGCGCGCATAATCAGGAGAAGACGAGATCTCGTTGTTGCGATATTTTTGTTTATTCATTGATTTATTTATATTTTTTTTTGTTCAGGATAGTTTTTCTTAAATCACTTTCAGAATATATCAGGAAGATCGAACAATACTACAATAAACAAGTCTACAACTCTCTATTAAATATATTTCGAAAGACACGTTTTTAAAGGTTGAGTTATGTTCAAAAACAGGTTTCATCAAATTCGATTCAGCTCATCAAACTGCAAATACGATTATAATTAAATGAATTGTTTTGTGTTTATAAAAATTTGAAATCTAATTTTTAATCAAATGTGATTTTCAAAAACCATTTTTTTTTGTTTTTTATTACGCTTTAACGCAACGTGATCTTGTCCAAATTTTCATTGTAATATCCCCAAAATATCACTTCACCCATTGTATTTCCCCATGATGATTTTTTTTATTCCAGAAGCGATATCGCTCAATCCCAATATAGTCAAGCTTCCAATGTTCAAAAATATCAAGATGTTTTGAGAAAAATGGATGATAAAACGAGACCAGGACCTTCTGTTGTACCATTCAATGGACCAATTCCTTCAAATCCTTTCAATGGTCCTGTTCATCAAGATATTCAAACATCAAGAAATCAAACAATGGGAATAACTAATGCTCCAATTCCTTACAATGGACCAATTGATATGACATTTGCAAATCAAGTCACACCATTTGATGATTTGAATACACGAAGAAGTAAAATGCAGGCACCAAGTTTGATTGATCCACTTGCTTCAAGTAAAAGATCTTCTCGATTTGATAAGCCCCCTCAAGTTGGTGTCCCTTTCAATGGCCCAATTGGTCCATTCAATGGTCCTGTACCAACTGCTGGTGTTTCATTTGGACCAGTGAATCCAGCATCAAATCCAATCCCAGAATCTTCATCCTCCCGATATAATGAACCCATTTCAAATTATCAACAAACAACATCTTTCAATAGCCCAATTCCTCAACAACAATATGGAATATCACCATTTGGAGTATCAACTGGTCAAACACAAGGATTTTATGGAAGTGATACTCCAGGTCCATCTGGTTTCTTTTTCACTGATTCTATTTCACAACGACCAAATTATCGAGGAGCAACAAGAAAAAGAAAAACTGAACCATTGGTTTTACCAAAATCTGATCCGAAACCTTTATATGCTGCACTCACTGGACAATTGAATGTGAGTTGTTTTTTTTACATTTCAAATGAAAAATAATTCCAATTTTCAGAATGATGAACAAGATTCAGATGAAGATGATGAGGCAATTGCAAAATTACGGGAAATTATGCAATTTTCGAAAAGTAAATGAATAATAATCTGCGGGTTTAACTTGAATTTTTTGGTCTCATTGTATATTTTAATGTTCACTTTAAATAGATTTCCATTCCGTTTTAATGAATTTTAAATTTCAACTTTCAATTAATAATTACTCCAAGAATGTGTTTTCAAACACTTTATTATTTGAAAATCGATTTTTTATTCACAATTATTCAATATTTTTGTTATTTGAAGATGCCTCGAAGTGAAGATGAAGTTGGACAAAAGATTGATAGGTTTGTAAAATTTTGAAAACAGGTTTTCGATGAAAAATTAATTGTGATTCATTTTCAGATGCTTCGCAGATAGTTTGCTGAAATTGACCGGAGGTGTTGCTATTGGAATTGTTGCCAGTGTTGCATTTTTCAAGGTTAGTTCAAGTGATTTGCAGTTTTGAATTAGAAAATAGCAATGGTTTTTAAAATTTTGACGTGGTAGTTCACGTCGTTAATATTTTCTCAAAAATTCATTTTTGAAAAATTAAATATTTGGAAAATTTCCAAAAAAAAAAAGATTATTGCAAAATTCGGTGCAAAAAAATTTTTTTTTTGAATTTTTTCATATTAGAAAAATTCGACGAAATTTAGAAAACACTGTGTTTCAAAAGTTCCCTCTTATTTAAATCAAATGATTTCAGAGTCGCTCATGGCCAATCTGGTTTGGTTCTGGTGTTGGACTTGGAACTGGATGGTCGAATTGTCGCCACGATTTTGCCCAACCTTTTGTGCTTCACGGTAAAAAAGTGCCAGCTGGACAAGATTCGCAAGGAAAACCTGCGTATAACATTGTAGTTGAGAAACAATAAGTTTCTCAGAATGTGTATTTCGAAAAATTTTAGCTTCGATTAAGATGAAAAATTGTATTATTAGCATTATTACAATCTAAAATTAATGGGATTGCATTAAATATATGACAAAATATACATGACAGACAATATATAGAAAGTGGAAAATTATTAGGAAATTTAAAGCTTTTTAACCCGAACAGCATGTTCACTAATTGCTTGCAAAGCCGCAATCATTTCATCGCCAGTTTCTTTTATAAATGATTCTGGCAAATTGAAACCTGAACCAGCAAGTTCATTTGGACGCAATTCAACACCATAAATATAAGGAACACCAAGATGTTGCATATAATCAATACTTGTGCCAGATGCTGGATCTGTAAATAAAAAAAAACAATTGAATGGAAAACACGAATCAGATCTGTACTTACACATCATTTCAGAAATAGTTCCAGATTTATAAATAACTCCAGTTGTATTTTTAATTGCATTAACAGCTTCTCTCGCAGCAGATTGTTGATCGAAATGATTATCAGTTCTTTGATTTGTATATCCCCAAGGTGATAAAAATAGCTGGCCATATGAGTGCAATGAAAAATAGATCATCGGATTTGTGATTTGCCACGTAAAATAATCTTTTAATCCAAGAATTTCTGGTTCTGAATAAGGATGTGATCCCATATAAATATTTGAACACGGTGTTCGATTTGCTCCAACTTCTCCCCATCGATAACCCCAATTTCTATTCGCATCTGCTCCATGACAATATCGATTCACTGTTTCATTCTTACTTCTTGTTTTTCTCCATAATCTATCTTCAGTTCTACTGTATTCATATCCATCTGGATTGACTTGTGGAAAAATGTACCAATCAAATTTATCGAGGTTTTTTGTGATTTTATCATCATTACCGTAACCTTCGACTAATCTTTTGATAATATAAAGTGCAACTCCCGGAGCAATCCATTCTCTTGCATGAACACCGGCATCAATTATTATTGATGGTTTTTCTGGATTTGATTTTCTCGGTGGATGAATCTGCAATGAAAAGATTGTTTGGATTACTGTAGAAAAAAGGAAAATCGACTTACTCTAACACCATAAATACTTCTTCCCTGTGAAGATGTTGCAACTTTAAATTTCTCAACCATATCTGGTTTTTGATCAGCTAAAACAGTCATAAAATCAATCATATTTGAATATGGATGATACATATGAGTATTGAAATTCTTCCAATTACTTCCTAATTCTCTTCTTTTTCTTCGATTTTTATTTTCCAATTGATTTGTTTCTAACATTGTTTTTCTTTCCAAACTAATATGTTTTTGAATATCTTCTTCCAAAATAGTCAAACTTCCAATCTCCATTGATGTTAACATTGATTTGAATTGTCTCATAAATTGTGGAGCAACTAAAACATCAACAAATGGATGCGATTTCGAAGGTTCTGCCCAAATATCCAATAAAACTTTCCAACTATTCGATTTTTCATCGAATTCCGAATCAAATTTCTCAAGTTTTTCCAAAGTATTTGATGTTAAATCAACTTGAAATCTTATAAGACTATAGTTTGTATAATCCGAAGTTGTTGAAATAAATGGAAGAAAATTGGAGAATATTAGAAGAAGAAGTAACATGATTGAACCCAGAATGTGTCTGATCTGAATAACAAAAAATAACAAAAAAGATAAGACATTTTGAACAAAGCAAATAAACAATGATTTATCAAAATCATAGAGAGTTCAACATATGTGAGCCAAGATTTTTTTTGTGTAAAGTAACAAGCTCGCGTGATACTTATTTTCATTTTTTAAACGTCGCAGAAAAAAAATAAATGTCAAAGATCGCCTAAAAACTTATGTGAATATGAATTTGTTTAAAAAGTGCTGAATTTATAAATAAACATAACAATTTATAAACGAACTAACTTTTTTTTTCAGAAAAAAAAACTTTTTGTGTTCTGCCCAATAAACAAAGAATTATCAAAAAAAAATGTAACACATCGTTTTTTAACACATTTTAACAATTAACAAGGTCAAAACTGGTCTACAATGACCTTTCATTACACATTTTCAGCTTTTTGCAAGAAATGAACAGAGCATGAACTTGTGAAAAGACAAAAACTGGTTGACAATCCTGAACAAGTAAATATTTATACTTACTGACTTCTTTGAGTTTTGTATGTTAAACAAATATTTATTTGATTCTGCAAAAATTCATGTTTCCCATATATTTGATAAGAATAACTTTCTTAAATTATGAATTTATTTAAAAGATTAAAAGTTCAAAGTTGCCAATTTTGTATAAAATTGTTGTTTGGAAGTTGTTGAATTGAGAGGACATAAACAAATTTGAGAAACTTGAACAGTTCCAAAATACATTTCTTTCATTTCTTCAAGAATTGCAGTTGCATCAAATGAATATCTTGATTTCAGATTTTCAGCTTGTGAAACATATCGAGCATTCATCAAAGTCATATGAAGTTTGACATCTTCTTCTGATTCTGAAGTGGATTTTGTGAATCCGGCTTGGATGAAAGTGTCACGTGTCAAATTTGCAATTTTTTGAACATTTTCTCCTTTTATTTTTGCATAAAGAACATTGACATTTGATGGATCATCATTCATTATATCAATTCCTTGAATATCGAGGATCAATGGTTTTGAATTCAATATTTTGCTGAAATTTTTTTTTGGTTGGAATTAACTTTGAAATTCTGGAAGTTCGACTTTATTTTGCATATTTTTGGAAACTTGAATTATCAGAAAAAATTAAAAAATACAGTAATCCGTTTTTACTCACCTTATTTCCATTTTCAAGTCTTCAAAAACATTTTCAATTTTCTCCAAATCTTCAACTTCATCAAAAATAACCACAGTTTCCAAAGTTAAATGAAGTCTAGCTGGAGATGTGAACAATTTTTCTTTTTTGCATGAAGCCTGAAAAAATTAAGTTTTTCTCGGGGTTTTCCCAAAAAAATCCCCAAAAAATCTTACATCAAAATGATCTCCACTCAAAATAGCATCCCGGAAAAATCCGAAATTTTCCTGAATTTCCGGATGATCACAAGGAAATGCGATGAAATGTGTGATACGCATCTGAAAAAAAATTAATTTCAGCCTACAAAATTCCTAGAAAAATTACCGTTCTCTTAGCATCCACTAAGAAAATCTCAATTCGATCCAAACATCTTTGAACATTTTCCAAACTTTGAATCGATGTAATTTCTGAAAATGAAAATATTTCGTTTTTAAAAATCGCTCGGAATTTTGTCAAATATTCACCACATGGTGCATGTTTTTCTTTTCTTGGTGTTTTTATTTTGCATCCAGTTTCATCTTCCAGAATTTTCAAACTTCTTCGATTTTGTCCGAAAAATTTTCCCATCAAACTCGCTGGCACATTTATTTCAGCTGTCCATTTTTTGCCATTTGAATGGATCAAAATTCTCGGATCGATTTGACTGATTTCTGGTGGTTTTTGTGATTCACTGGATATTGTACAAGCAGGTTCATCTTCATAAACATCAGGAACATCGCGGAATTTTTCACGATTTGGTTTTTTTGATGAGGCAGAATTTGTTTCCGGAACAAGTGATCTAAAAAATGTGGCTCAAAAATTTGTACTCGAATTTCTGATTTTGAGTATCAGAAATTGATCCCAATTTTGTTTCAATTCAAATTTTCAGCTGATGGTTCCGTTTCTCAAAAAAATAAATTTGAAATTTAATTGGACACGTGACACGATCTAAAATCTTGAAAACGCATTTTCAAAATTAATCGTATCAACCCCACGTGATCTACTAGGTTTCGAAAAAAAATGTTCAAATTCCATCGTTTTTTTTTCAAACATTTCGGGTTACTGTACTTACTGATATGGTGTTTTTCGATATTGTCTTCCATCAATTTCATAAATTCCAGCAACAAGTGGATAACTCATTTCACCCGCCTTAAAAAACTTTAAAATTTCAATTTTTTAACTCCAGTAAATACAATTTCAAGTCATAAAAACTTTTTTCATCAATTGAGAATTCAAAAAAACAATATAAATACAATGTTATTTTTTTTCTATTTAGTGAAATGTTGCCAATTATTTATAAATTATGTGCCAATTTTCCGATAGCTTCAATTGCTTTCGAAATTTCTTCATCAGTCAAATCATATTGGAACATTACTCGAACACTGCAAATATTTTTTATTGATTTTTTTTCCAAGCAGAAAAATTCACCTAGGCCTGATTTTGAACATCTCATCCTTGTCCAAATATCTCGCGCGTGTCAACAAAATATTATTGTGCTCAAAGAGTCCATCAATCAATTCATCCAATTTATTTTCTTGTTCTTTTTCATCTCCATTATTATAATAGATATGTTTCATCGGACTTTCTAAACAAGCTTGAACACTAAAATGAGTTCCATTAAGAGCTGCCACCAGTTTCTGATGTCCAGATTTCGCGATTTGTTGAACTTTTTCCACACGTTCTGGTTGTTCATCAATAATTGCAATTGCTTCAGAAGCAGCAGTTGCAAGAAGTGGTGGAAGTGAAGCAGAAAAACAATAACCAAGTCCAGAAAGACGTTGATGTCCAACAACATAAGATCGACCAACACAAAATCCACCAGTTGATGCCATCGAATTTTCGAGTGAAGCCATTATCATATCAACATCTTCGATTGGAACATTGAAGTGTTCAGTCACACCTGAAAACAAAAAAAACTTTTTAATTTAAAATACGTACGTATCTTACGACATCAAGTCATCACAAAAAAGGTCACGAGATAACAAAAAAACTGTCACGTGGGGTTGATTGTCTAGGTAATTCCCAATGAGAGAAAAATGAATACCTTCGATGTTTGATCTTTGTTTTTTGTAATTAGGAATTAGGAATTAGGCATTCCTAAAAAAGGATATGTGTGACCTATCGAAAGAAAAAAACTCAATGAAACTGGTTTCCAAAAAACATTGGAATTTATGATTTTCAGAATATTTATTAGGTTTGATTAGATAATCAATCAGGACATTTCCGTCTTCAAAAAAGTCAGATGATCAAGAAAAATCAAAAAATCATAGGAATTTCTGAAAATGCTTCTAAAAAAATTTGTTTCGGAAAAAACAATAATAATTTTTCAAGTACTCTAACAACTATCAAAAATTCAGAGACAGTTTATACTTCGAACTTGCGTTTTGCGACTTAACGTAACTTAGATATCATAGATCACGAATAATTTCCTGCGTTCCGTATGTTCTGTTTTTAGTGAAAAGTGTGAAAACGATGGTTGTTTCGATGTGAATGATAAGTGTAACAGTAAAGTTCACCCCAAAAAAAGCCAGTTTTAATTCAACCTTACACTATCTCCACTCATTTGATAATACAACATCCATTTATCATTTTCACTAAAACTTGACATGTTCATTCGAAAAATGTGTGTTTTTTCAACCAATCCGATTATCAATTCTCAAATTCAAATTCAAATATATTTCCCAGTTGTTTTTCAATTCAAAAAAATACAAAAAGGTTTCTCATATGACGATGTCAATGTTATTCAATATTAATTCGCCAATGTTTATTTTCTCATTTTTTGTGTGATTGCCGGTTTCAAATTTCATTGTTTGAATATCATCAATGACAATCGCAATGCACGCAAAACGCACTGATATAAAAAGACGACTAAATTTCAAATTTTCTCATCATCCTGACATAAGCGCACTGGTTTTTTTTCTTGAGAAAAAAGATAATAAATATCAAAATTTCAATGTCTAGAGATTGAATCTGATTAAAAATTTGAACTTTATTATCTTCTGAAAATAAATTTCAGGGAGAAAATGATTTTTCTCATGAAAAATCCTATTTTCCCAAACGAGACCAAACTTTCAGAGGTTCTTTCGCTTTTTATATAAGGAAAGCTACCCCGTGACAGTCGTTTTTACACTTTGCCAGCTTTTTTGATCACCACATGTTGCATACACGTTTTTATTGTATCATTTTGCAATCATTTTTCTACGCAAGGTATTCCTTTTATCTCAAAATTTTTGTAGCCTCTCTCAGAAATTTGGGATTCTTTAGTATCTCGGACGATTTTTTTCAAACATTTTGGACCTTCAAAAAAGTTTCCAAAATTTCAAACGTATCCTCTTTTCGAAATTCCAAACATTCTGAGTAAAATTCCCTCTTTTTTAGTGACATCCCGATCTTTTTCCTATTACACTTTCAATGGTTTTTGTTCTTTCTTTTTATTTTTTCGAAAAAAATGAAAACGAGATGTGAAATTCATCATAACAATGAAATAAACAATAAAAATAAGTATTTTAATGTCGACTGGTATATAGTTCAAACAATCATTGATTTTTCTTTCAATTTTCAAAAATTACAACCGTTCTTTGAAACTGAAACTGAAACTGAAAAATCTGAGCGATAAGATGTTATTGTTCTTGATCATTTTAGAGTGTGTGGTCAAAAAATTGTGTAATAATCATTAAAACACTGATCAGATTCAAGGATCTTCAATTCTTTGTTTTGAATTACATATTTTTTCGAAAAAAAATTCACATGATTCAATTCACTTTTGGTGAGATCAATTGAAATATGTTTTGAAAAATAATATACATCATTCAATAGAAAAAAGTGTATCCTCTATTTTTATCTTCACTTTTTTCCATATAAAATGATACGGTACTTTGAAAAAGTCCCGCCCATTCACAATTGTTTTTTAATACAAGTAACCCCTTCTCTTTTCATTTTTGATGAAAGCAGAAACAAATTTCAACCACCCGATTTTTGATACTTACTCATCTCATTTTTTAATCCGCCACGCGTTTAAAATCCCCCTGTCCGATTATGATTCAGATTCCGATTCCGATTCAAAACCCATTTTTTTGCAGATAGCTATGATTCATTGGAAATGTATAATATTTATGGTAATTATTCCATCTTTCGTGAAACTTTTACCAATTCCGGAGCCACTAATTACACCGGATTTAATTAATAATTCAGCCGATTTTGGAACACCAGAAGAATCTCATGATAATACTGTAGAATTTGAAAATTCGGTAAGTTTTTCTATTAAAATCTTTTAGAATCCTCCGAAAATTTCAGAAAAATATATCTCGATTAATATCAGAAGATTATTTTACTGATTCAATTCTACCTTGTGATAATACAACATCGCCGGGAAATTGGATGATTTATTGTAGTGGAAAACTATTACAAGCTGTTATGTCAGTCAAACTTTATAATGATTCAAAAACATTTTTGGATCAACCAATGAAACAGAATACAACGGGTCCAATGATAATGCGAGCTTTTCATCGAACATTCTCAGGACCAATTGAAAATATTCGAAAAGAAGAATTGAAAAAATTTGTAGATAAATATTTCGATAAAGAAGGAAATGAATTGGATGTTTGTGAATTACCAGAATGGGCTCCGAAACAATTTAGCGGAATTAAAGATGAAACATATAATGCGTTTGCTCAACGAATTCACTTTATTTGGATTCAACTTTGTCGAAAAATGAAAGAGGAAGTGAAAGATGAACAAAATCGCTTTTCCCTTCTTTATGTTCCAAATTCTTTTATTATTCCTGGTGGAAGATTCAGAGAATTTTATTATTGGGATGCATATTGGATTATTAAAGGATTACTTGCATCACAATTATATTCAACTGCAAGAAATATGATTTCGAATTTTGGATATATTATTGAAAAACATGGATTTATTCCAAATGGAGGAAGAGTTTATTATCTTCGAAGATCGCAACCTCCGATGTTTGCACCAATGGTTTATGAATATTTTATGGCAACTGATGATTTGCAATTTGTTGCTGATATGATTCCATTAATTGAAAAAGAATATACATTTTGGAATAATCATCGAAGTGTAAATGTAACAAAAGAAGATGATATTGAAACAACTTATAACATGTTCCAATATCGAACAGAATCACAAACTCCAAGACCAGAATCATTTAGAGAAGATGTTTTAAGTGCTCAACATCTTCATTCAAATTCATCTGATTCTCGACGTAAATTCTTTCAAAATATTGCAAGTGCAGCTGAAAGTGGATGGGATTTTTCGAGTCGATGGTTTTCGGATGGACAAAATATGTCAACAATTGAAACAATCGATATTGTTCCTGTTGATTTGAATGCATTTATTTGTTATAATATGAACATCTTATCATTTTTCTATTCAAAATTAGGAAATAGATTGAAACATGATGAATGGGCTGGAAGATATAATCAATTCCGCGATTTTTTCACTCAAGTATTCTATGTTTCCTCAAGGAGAGGATGGTGAGCATTTTGTGAATATTAGAATAAACAATAAAATAAACTTTAGGTACGACTACAATCTCCGAACTCAAAAACATAATACCGAATTTTATCCAACAATTGCAGCTCCATTATTTGCTCAATGCTATGATCCTTTAAATACGAAACTTGCAGTTGATGTTTATAATCAAATTGAAGAAATGGGAGCATTAAAATGGCCAGGTGGAATTCCAACAAGTTTGAGACAAAATACAAGTCAACAATGGGATTTTCCAAATGGTTGGAGTCCTTTGGTTCATATGGTTATTGAAGGATTTCGAAAAAGTTTGAATCCAGTGTAAGTTTTGCTAACTAAAAAACGAATATCATTCTAAAAAAATCCTTTTTGTAGACTTCAACAAAAAGCCTATGAAATTGCGAAAAAATGGTTGGAAACTAATATTTTAACATTCAATATTTCAAACGCAATGTGGGAAAAATATGATGTAAAAGAACCAGATGCAAAATTAGCGACAGGAGGTGAATACGAAGTTCAAGCTGGATTTGGTTGGACAAATGGAGCTGCTCTAGACTTGATGTTAACTTATTCTGATCGATTAAATTGGACAGGTCCAAGGCTAGAAAATCTTGTTGGACCAAAAACTACAACAACAATACAAACAACACATGATACAATAACTACAACTTCCTCCTCATCTTCTTCTTCTACCCCAGTTTCCTCCTCAAATACTTCAAAATCATATTTAATAATTACAATAACCATGTTCATAATGTATATAGGATTACTGTAGATACACTGTATTGTCATTTAGGTATCGAAATAATTAATTAACGCGGGTTTTGTAAATAATAAACAAAAAATGAAATAATTCAACTGACCTCTTCCTGTTTTTCCAATAACTCCAAAAGACCATGATTCATCAATAAATACACGAACTTTGTATTTCCATTTGAATTCAATAATTTTGGAAAGTGGACAAAGATCGGCATGATTTACATAAAGACCTTCAACAACAATAAATCTTCGGATATTTTTCGCTTTTTTCAAATCTTTTTGATCTCTTTGATCTTGCTCTTTCAAAAGTCTTTCCAAATCTTCCATATCATTGTGTTTGAAGAATTCGATTCTGCTTCGAGAGGCTTGCAATCCTTTTTGAATCGCGAAATTCACTCCTAAAATAGGAAGGAATAGTTAACATAACATAATATTATTCGAGAAAATAATAAATTTGAATTTTTTTGAGTTCAAGAAAAAAACTAACCTTCATCAACAAAAATAATATCTCCTTTTTTGGCATAAGCTGGAATTGCACTTGAAACAGTTGCAAAACCATAACTATAAAGAACAGCTTCTTCGCATCCCATAAAATTGGCCAATTCTTTTTCCAAATCCAAATGAACATCTACAGTACCATAGAAACCACGTGGTCCACATGAACCAACTCCATATTTGAAAATTGTTGATTTCGCGCGTTCTTCGATTCTTTTCAAACCAATGAAACTCAGGAAATTTGTCGATGCCAAATTCAAATATTGTTTTCCATCAATCGAAACTTCTTTTGTCATTTTTCTGAAAATTATTGGGAAATTATAATTTGATGAGGAACAAATAGCTTACCCATCAGCAAATTTCGGATTCAAAACCGGATGATCTTGTGGTGTTTCTGGAACCAGTGGTTCAGGTTCCCATTCAGCTATCAACTCATCTTTTTGCTGAAAAGTAAATGAGAGATGTTTTGGAATCGGAGAAAATTGGAAATGAAATTAAATTGGTGATCGAGTTCACGTGAATTTTTTTAAATTAAAAATTTTGAATTCTATTAAAAATGGGTGAATTTTTCACGTGGTTTTTATTTTCCATTTCTCGTTTTTTAAAATTCTAGTCAGCTACTATTCGTTCTGAAAATTCATGAATGGAAGTTTTTTTTTAAATTTTCAGTGACATTTTTTTCCGCTCATTCAGATATTGTTATTTTTTTTTTACTTTATTATTCGGGTTCAATAATTTTTTCTACAAATAATAATTTTTATGAATTAATTATCATAGGATTTTCAAACATTATTTTCAAAAACGACTCACCTTTTCAGTCAATCTTTTCGATAATTTCTCCTTTTTCTGTTTTCGACTTTTCATTAACATAAATATAAGTGTCGCAATAAGTATAGCCTCCAATGAATAATGAAACCATGAGAATTCGAATCCAAACATTATACTCAAAAAAACCATGTTTTATATGTATTATTTGCACACAAAAATGTATAGGCTCCAAATATAATAATGAGAAAAAGGAAGAGAAGAAGAATGAATGTAAATACTAACGAGAAATATGTTTTGGAGAGGAAAAAGAAACATTAAAGGAACATTGAGCTTTCGAAACAACACCATAGAAACAAGTTTTAGGGGAAAATTAAAATCGAAAACAAAAATCAATTCTACAGAGTATACTCTTGCAAAAAGTTCACATATTTCAACATAGTTACACAGAAATATAAAAAGAACTAGACAAACTAAATAAGAGTGTACTTTAGTAGTAGTGTCATATTATTATCACCCCATATTGATAAAAAAGAAAAAAAGCGAGAAGAACAAAAAAAACGCAATTTTTCCATGAAAAATTGTTAGTGTTCCGGAACTGAAAAATATGGTGTTAGGAAACTTGCAAACCCAAAGTTTTTGAATAAAAATATTAGAATTTTCAATTTTTATTTCGATTTTTTATTATTTGTGAGTAAACCTAGGGTTGATTGTAGAAAACTATTATCAAAAGAAGAAGAAGATGGATTTTTTCGTTTTTTTGCTTTTTGTTTTTTGGTTGATTTCGAAGTGAAAAGTGTTGGTGATAAAAGTGTATCATTTGAACAATGTGATGTTGATGGTGATTCTGAATCTTTAAAAAATAGATTGTAGAAGTTTTCTATGAAAATAAAATGACTAACCATTTGATAATCCCAAAAATTCATCTCTTGAAATTGAAACTCCCAAATCATTTTTCGAAGAACCAGTGAGCTTTTTGACTTCTTCCATTTTCAAATCATCCAATACTTTGTTTCTGAAAAAATAGGAATTGATCTCAAAGATGTGAAATAAGAATTTGAAAAAAATTGAATTTTGAGAACTGAAAAAATTAGATTTCTGGAACTTTATACTAATAACTATTTTAACTCCAAAAAATGCAATATTTCATTTTCCCCTTCACCCAATTTACCTTATTTCAATAATTTGATTTTCGGTTTGTGCATCTTCCATTTTCTCTTTACTGAATTTCAGAAGTTTAATAATCGATTGATAATCTGAAGATGATTCAACCGATTCTGTTGACAATGAAATTCCACATGATAAAATTCTTTGAACAACTTCGAAATTATCAAGAGTTTCCGGAAACCTGAAATGTTTTCTTCATTCCATAAAAACTGCAAAATTAAACTAACCGCGAATCAACTTTTTTCACGACATTTCCAACAAATTTCCATGCTTTCAAAATCGATTTCATTTGTTCAACAGAATCTGAAAGTACTTCTCCACAAATCGCAACAATGACAAGCATCAAATTTGTCCAATGATCAATTTCCAGCATTCCGAGTGCATTTTCAGCACATTTACAACAAGTTTCACGAATTTTATCGAGAAGAAATATTCGACGTAAATATGCACAACCGATAAATCGCAAAGCGTCGTTTTCAAAAAGATACATATCATCGCCAGAGTTACTTGATCTCTATAAAAAATTATTTATTGAGACCACTATAGTTTTTTTCTAACCTTATAAATGCCATTCCATTTTTTCAAAATAGTTGTATCATTATATTTTTTCACCAATTTCGCCAAAAATCGAAACATTCCAAAGAATTTTTGATGTCGATGAACAGCTGATTGTTTGTAGATCAACCATTTCGATACATTTTCTGATTCCAAACTGATTGGGATTTTCATTTGATCGAGAATGCAAAATAATGCATGATTTTGAGAACGAGCAAGGGTATGATTTTTGGTGGGAGAATGTTGAAAATATTGAATCGGATCAGAAGTACTGTAGCTATCGATGAAATCTGAAATTATTTAAATTGACTATTAAAAATATTTTTCATTAAAAACCAACCTATCAATTTACTTTGATCATCCGATTCCATCTGAAATTCGAAAAAAACATTTAAAAAAATAATTTTTAAAGAAAAGAAATAAGTTCGGTTATTGAACCAAATCAGCAAAAAGCAAACAAAACTCAAAAAAAATCAAGAAATGTATTCAACGAAAAACAAAACAACAAAAAATCAACAACTAATTGTTAAAAAAATAAAAACAAAACAAAATAAGAATTTATCGTCTTTTCAATTTTCTTGTCGGTTTTTGTTCAACAGAAGGTGGTTTCAATAAAACAGCACCGCGTAAAGATTTGAGTTGTTGAGCAGTTGTGACATCGAGACGAATAATGTCAGCACCAAGAGCTTCGAGCATCTGGAAACATTTTTTTTCTAAAATTATTAGAAATGTTCGAAATATTTTTAAATTTTTCAATAAAAATCAAAAATTATCAAAATTCGATTTCAATTGTTATCCCAAGTGAATTATTCCAAATTATTTTTTGTTCCAAAATCTAATTCTTCAAATAAAAAAAATTAATTAAATTCTAACCTTTTCTAATTTTGATGGAGGGATTGCGAACATCGTTTGAAATGGAGAAAGTGGTATTTTGTGTTCGGGAGCTGCAATAATTTACAAATATATCCAGAAAATAAAAAAAAAATTATCAAAAATAACGAACCCAAGGTAAGGGCTAATGCTAATGCATAAGCGATAAAACGATCAAAATCAGCCGTATTCAATTTGACTCTTTCCGCTCCTTTTCCACCAAATCCTCGATCCGAAGTTGATTCCGAAAAATATTCAGCTTGAACTTTTTGTCGTAATAAATTTGGAAGTTTCAAATCATTCATTTCTTTTCGCAAAATACTTCTTGATTTTCCCAATTTTTGCAAAATTTCAACCATTGTTGCGAGAAGAAGATATGCAGAAGCTCTTTGTCGAGTATGTTCATTGAACATAATTAGAACAACTGGTTCTGGAATTCCAGCTTCAATTTTTTCTTTTCGCTTTTTCTCCATAAGTAAAAGTGCTTCATCAGCAACAGCTTCAATTTCTTGTTCAGATAAGAATAATGAAATTGGATAAATATCTTTTGATAAATCCGCTTGAACTGCAGGTGGTAAAATAGAAGATGCAGCTTTTTGAACCAAAGAAATATCAGATAATTTAACTTCTTCATCTTTAACATTCGAATTCGATGCAAATGCAGTCTTTTTCATTTCATCCAATGTATCTTGTTTAATAGTTCTTCTTTGAGCAGCTTCATCCATTTTAATTTTCTTCGATGATCCAAAATTATGCGTAAGTTGTCTTCTTTTTTCAGCCCATTTATCTGTTGTGATATCATAATCCTCTTTATAATCAATTGGTTTTTTCGATGTATTTTTTTGGCCAATTAATTTTTCAACATCTTCAGAATATTTGCTTTCGAACGAATAAAGACGTGCTGGTTTGAAAACAGCTGAACCAGTTACAGTATCAACAATTGCGACTGCAAAATCAAATCCTTCATCAAGACAATTCACTTCTTCTCCAATTTCCACAACATTTTCACTAACCTAAAAAATAAGTTTTGAATTTCTGAATAAATAATTATAACTTACATCTGCTCTAACAGTCATAATTGGTGCTTCTCTTCTACTTTCTCGATAATGTCTTTCAAATGCTAACTGAATTTATTTGTGTAATTGATTCAATTTAAAAATTATTCAACTTACATCATTCAAATCAGTCGGTCTGTTATGAACAAAACTTGCGATAACATCTGCTTCTGTTGATGTTTCAACTGCTTCTCTTTTTCTCGCATTTTGTTCAGTTTTCTCTTTTTTCAGCTGTTCTGTTGTTACCCACATTTTGATTACTGAAAAAATGGAAAAATCAATAGAGGTTTCATCTATTCCAATTGTTTTTATTGAGGGAATCACATTTTCTTTATATATTTTTCTTACAAATCGAAAACATAGAAATGTTGAAATTTTTCAATATTTTTCATATTTTCATTTTGTTTACATCTTTTCACTAATTACTAACACCATATTTTTAATCAATAATCAACTGAAATCTGTTAATAAAATTGAAATACAAAATTCTTGTGAATCAATTTTATGGTTCGAATCCTATATTATATTTCCGATGACAACTTCAATGACAAGTTTCATGACGTATGGAAGTATCATTTTGACTATTTTATATGAAAATGAAGCACCAAATATTATATTTTTATGTACAATCAATATGAATCAATATTTGATTGCCTCATCTTTTCTATACGCATTTTTCCAAATACTTATTACAGGTATTAATAGCTATTCAAAACATTTTTTCAGTAAAAGTACAGATAAATAATTTCAGACGCAATTTTTACAACATTAATTTGCATTTCAATTGCTTCCTTATTATTAATTTATCTTATTTATCATCATAAATCTGACAAATATTCACAAATTTTGCATATTTCATTTTTAGTTATAATTCAATTATTAATTAGTATAATGAGAACTCTATTCTTTGTCACAAATTCGAAAGATCATATCGAAACTATAACAATATTTATGTATTTTATCTTTCCAAAAATATTCATATTTTCAAATCTTCTCATATTTTTTCGAACATCTCCAGTTGTTCGACCAAATCGACCAAATCAAACAGCAAATATTAGAGTGTAATCAAACACCAATCAGAAATTAGAACTGAAAATTAAAATTAGACAAAAAATTTTTATTCGAAAGCACAAATTCAAAAAATGAAATATCTTTTTTTAAATAATAATAAATACATCTTTATATTTCATTGATACGACGTTTCATTTCCATCAGCAATATGAACAATATGATATGTTTGGCCCTGAAAATATACTTATATTTATGAGTAAAAAAGAAAATGTGAAAAAAAAACAAACATTATAAGTATATATAGCTCCATTTCCCGTTTCAGATGATCCGTTTTGAATTGTTGAATAATCTTGTTGAGGTTGTTGTTCATTTCCATTTTGAATTACAATTTGATAACCTTGTGGAATATTACCAATTGGGTTTCCATGTTCATCTGGAATTCGTAACCCATCACATTTATTGAAAAAAAAACAGTTTTTGAAATATTGACTTACCGACAGTAATTGTAGTTACATTAGGTTCATATACATTCTCGATTTCTTGCATAAATTCCCCATTTTGTGCTTGCTCATTAACTGGAGGTTCATAATTATCCTCATTCGGAATATCATTTTGATTCGGTTGCTGTTCATCTTGTTGGTTTTGTGGTGGTTGATAATCTCGCGGATGTGGAATAGTCTAATAAAATAATGTTGTTTTATGAAATTACTATTGGAGAATTAATTTTGTCAAAAAACTTAAAACTTACATATGTTTGTCGAATAGTACGATCTCTTGGAATAATATCGATGAGAAAATCAAATTGTTCAACTTTTTGCAAAGCAGTCACAACATCAGATTTTTGCATTGTTCTTCTTCTTGTTATTTCAACAATTTGCCATGCTAAACTTGTCACTTCTTCAACAAACATTTCACCAGCTGCGGCAAGGAAAAACGGAGCATCAGCGGCAATCATCAAACTTCGAACTTCATCATCAATTCTCATAATTTTCTTAACTCTTGCCATTGGAAGTGCCATATGTTTACATCTTTCACGCATGTCATTTTGTGTTGTTCTACTCGCTCTTGTTTTTTGTTCAACCCAAAATTTGGATAACATTGATTTCCAGTCAAGAGATTGAAATGTGAAAGTCTCCATAGCTCGACTAGTTGATGCATTCTTCTGTTGGGCCTGAAGATATGTTTTATCTTTATTTTAAGCACAAAAATTAGAAAATAACTTACATTTTGGGGCTGTGAACTTGTTCCCGCATCCATTTGAGTGTCATCTTCATCATCCTCGTCTTCTTCATTTTGTCGACTTCGGCGATTTTCTTGATTTGCATTACGTTTCGAATAAACCATTCTGTTCCAATATTTTTTCCTACGAAACAAACAATTAAAATTATTAACGTTTTCGATAATGTTTGTTCGTCTGTTTTAGTGTAAGTTGTGCACACACCGCTTGCCTTGTTCTTGGCGTTTTGTTCAATTCATTCGCGTTATTAAAAACAGATTAAATTGAATGTGCGAATTACTTTCGCAACAGGCAAAAACCATACATAATCAGATATACTTAAACAAACTGTAGTTCAAATGTTACTCGATGCTGTATTCTATATATGTTGGTACTTACTATTAGATGGAGTGTTTAATTTAACCTGTGAACTTTGTTTTAAAACTACGAGACACAAAAGAATATCAGTGTTTGTCGCATATTTTGTGGTTATGTGTTTATTGTTCGAAGCGATTTTGATGAAAGAAGAAAAAGCAAGAGAAAATGGTAATTTATCGGAAGTTCTACCGAAAAAAATTTTGATTTCAAATATACAAATGAACCTCAATTTATTGATTTCAGAAACTATATTAAACAATTTCTACTCATATTTCTACGATCAACAAACCTCCGATCATTATAAATGGCAAATTAATCCGATAACAGTTCCAGTATCTTTTTTTGGTAGAATCGTTGTTCTCATATTTTCGATAATGGGAGAATCATTTGGAGTGTTTGTGAAGAAATTTTTCTCGGAACTTCCAATAATACCAGCTTTGATAACATTTCCTTTCACATTGTTTTGCTGTCTTATTGGTCTTTTATGCACATTTGGATATAATTTCGACATCGGTTATGGATTCATTAGAGTTAAATCACCAAGTCGATTTAGAAGATTCATCGAAAAATTCAAAAATCCTACTTCTCCTACTGGAAGAAGGGAGCCTACTGAAATAAGCAATCTGGACTATTTTGTGAAGAAAATAAATGAAAATTATCAAAAGACTATTCTGTAAATTTCCTGTAATTTTGTTCTGTATATATGTTTGTTATTTTAACTCATTCATCGTCTATAATGAAATTTATCATTTGAAATTGAAGCGGTTCGAAATGGATTAAACTTTGATTACGCTATAAATACAAAACCACTTTTCACGAGAACACTTCGAATTTTAATGTTGTTTCATTTGGTATGGTGGGATAAGTCCAGATGATTCAGCACGAGCCTTCTTCTCAGCCTCGATTTCATCAAGATATGGTTTCAAATACCATGTTTCCTGAACCGAATGGTTTTGTCAAAAGACAACAATTAAATAAACTTACATTTTCGTATTGTGTCCATTCAGCCTTTGGAAGCTTTTCTCCGTGAAGAGCCAAAGTGTGAGCACGTGAAAGACGAATCTTAAAAAATCAATATCATTTTTGCAACTAAAAATCAATAATACCTTTCTTTGATCGAAAAGATGTGGTTCTTGCAAGTTCAATCTTCTCAATGCTTCGGTAACTTCTGGAGCTGGCTCGAAATAAGTGTCGTGGAAAAGAAGACCGTATTCACGACCTCCCCACAAGTTGTTCCATGTGAACTTTCGCAAATTGTTCGCGAGAGCTCCGTTGTAAGCAAATTTGATAGCTTTTGCTGCGGCTGCCATACCTATAAAACTTGGATGTAAGATCAAAGAAGATTATGAATTATTCAAACGGAAAGAAAGAATATATTTGATGTAAAAATTAACAACTTATTTAACTTGAATTGTATAACATGAAAAATATTTGTTCGTTGTCAGAAAAAAAACCGAAAATGCCTTGAATTGAAATGATTAGCTTAATATTGGTGGGTCACGTTTTATGTCAAAATTGAACAGGCAGGAATTTTACATTTCTCGTTTTTTAATCGCTCTATGACAAAACGTAAAATCATTTTGCTAACTATTCCAATAAAAAGCAAAATATAAAAAATAACATGTATTTCTTGTTCAAATTTTTTTCTCAACAAGATATCAAATACTCGGTGTTCCTTAGAGATATCTAGACACTTTTCCACACATAAAAACAACTTTGAAACACTGAAAAAGGCTGAAAATAGGAAAAACTGAAAGAAAAATCCAATCGACTGTGCAAATAAACAACAGGCAGTTCTAGTCGTGGCCGAAAAACGCGGAGTGTCGTAGCAAACAATTTTTATTATTTTTTAGTCCGCCGATTTCCGAAATCTTTTATTTTTTGTTTGGTCTTGTTTTCTTCTGTTTTTGCGTTTCCCACGAACGTGATAATTTTGAAAATTTTTGAAAATATGTTATAACAGTCTCCAAATGTCTTTCCTCATTTCTATAATTCTCGTCTCCTAGAAAATCGTTATTTTAGGTTATGGAGGTTTTGATTGAAAATCGCGACTTTGAAGGACTGAAAGAGCTAATAAAGAAAGAAAGGAAAAACCTGTAAGTTTTTGAAGCCGATATTTCATATATTTTAGATTTTCCAGACCGGATGAAGAGCTTATTATTCTAAAAGTTGATCAATTAGTGAGAAAACGAGGGTTGAATGTTACCAAACAACCAATTGCAACAGTTGAAGAATTCGCAAGACGCCATTTCAATTTTGTTGTGCAATTAATGAGAGCCAATCTATGCTCAAAAGTTCTTCCAATCACAACATTACAAGATTTTTTGGAAACAAGTTCAATCGAACAATGTCGTCATTTATTTGGAATAATCGAAGAGCATATGGTTGATTTCAAACAACCGCCTTTGAATGAAGTTGGACAAAATTCGATTCTTCGGTTTTGCAATGATTTACTTCGAAGATTGAGTCGAACTGCTGAAACATCATTTTGTGGTAGAATTATGTTCTTTTTGAGCAGATATTTACCATTGGCCGAGAAATCTGGTTTAAATCTGATGGGACATTTTAATACTCAGAATATCACATCATATGAAGAAGTCGAAACAGAATCTGAAAGTTTATTAGCTACAACTTCTACTCCATTGAAAGAATCGGAAGATATGGAAATTGGAGAAATAACAAGCGATGATTCAAAAGAAATTCAAGTAACACCTGAAATGTATCGACAATTTTGGAGTATTCAAAAGTTTTTGGCAAATCCTGCACAACTTTATGAAAAGGAGAAGTTTGTGGTATTCAAAAAAGATTTAGCAAATGTTTTATCTTTTCTAACCACTAATAAACTGGATAAATCATCAGCTGAAGACGAAGAAATGGAAAGAAATAGTAAACGCGAAAAATTAGCATCTGATGATTTATTTTTCTCAAAATATCTAACAAGTCCAAAATTGTTATCTCTTCAATTGAATGATTCACAACTTCGTCGATATTTCCTTCTTCAATGTCTAATTATCTTCCAATATTTAACAAGTGATGTTCGATTCAAAGTTGGTGTTAAGAAAATGATTTTGAATGAGGAACAAACAAAATTTGTGACTGATAGCGAGGATAAATGTTATAGATTATTATCAGAAACACTTCCAAAAGGTTCGAATTTCTCAGCAGTTTGCAAGGTGAGATTATTTGAATTTTGAAAAAAAGGAATAATTATTTTTCAGCGAATATTACAAAGAGAGTTGGAATGGTCAAATTGGAAGAATATAAATTGTCCTGATATTTCTGAAAAAGCTGATAAAGCTGCTATGCAAATGTACAAAAAGTAAGTTAAATATATTTATACAAGAATGATACACCGGCTATCGCCGGTGTTCATTCTTGTTTTGCTACGCAGCCTTCGGCTGCGGTTCGGTTATGGAAAAATTAATTTATGTATATCTGCAAGGTTTTCTGAAAGTAATCACCTTCCTAGTTTGCAGACCACATTCAGAAGTAAAAACCAAAAAGATATTTCCAAACTTTTGATTTTATGGGCCTATGCAGAATAATATTTTGTAATAAGAAAAAACATTTTTTTCCTATGCAGAAAAACGTCGAAAAAAACAAAATATACAGTTTATTATTTTGAGTAGAGACAACGTGAAATTGAGAGAGTGCAGACAAAGAACCCATTTTATGTCTGCGTTCTCTCAATTTCACGTTGTCTTTATTTTGTTTTTTCGACGTTTTTCTGCATAGGAAAAAAATGTTTTTTTATTACAAAATATTATTCTGCATAGGTCCATTAGCCACTCAATTGTTTTCTGAAAATAAGACGATTTTGAAGAATTCTAATTTTCCAATCAACTTTACTTGAAAGTTCCGGAAAATACGGAAAGTTTCCGGCACAGGCTTTAATTATAACAAATGTTTTATGAAAATTTTCCATACATAAAATTGGTCCTTAGAATCAAGGTGAGAGGCTTAATTTTTCTCAAGAATCTAAAGAAAATCGTACCTAACTTGGTCACTCTTTCTGCTAATAATTCACAGAGTTTCCATGATTACAAAAAAAATCTGTAGTTGTCGAACAATGATTTACAAACTTGTATTTTTCATTGAAAAGTGCATTAAATTTCTGAAATAGCGAACACGGGCTCCGGAAAATAGCTGATCTTCATATTTTTCTTTTAAGAACAACATCTTTTCAAAAACTTTTCAGATAGCTATTTTTGTTTGAAACTCTCTTTTTCAAAATATGAAGAGCACCAATTTTTCCATGGTCCATTTTCACACACTTTCCGAAAATCCAATTATGTTGGAGATGTTTCACTTTTTTATGAAAATTACGTCGCTTTTAGTCCAATCCCTGAGTTTGTGTCAGGTCTCAAAAAACTTGACATTTTTTGGGTCGTGAATTACAAACTGTGAAAATGAAATTTGTAAACTCAGATCAAAACATTAACTTAATAGCTCTGCCCAAAAAATACCAAAAGATGACACTTTCATGAGAATCAGGCAGATAATTGACTTCACTTCATAATTCAGGTAAAAGAGTAACACTCAAGCGAGTTTGATAGTTTAATTAAATTTCTTACGGTCTCTTCATCCGGAAATTAGCAAAATTGAAGTGGAATAAGATCATTATGTGAATTCTTTTCGGAATCTTGAAATGAAAAAAGATTAAAAGATTTTCACGTCTGAATTAAAAATTCGAAAGTGGGGCATTTATATAGGTCAAACGGGACATAAGCCCAATAATATATAAGTATGATATGTGAATTCTTTTCGGAATCTTGAAATGAAAAAAGATTAAAAGATTTTCACGTCTGAATTAAAAATTCGAAAGTGGGGCATTTATATAGGTCAAACGGGACATAAGCCCAATAATATATAAGTATGATATGTGAATTCTTTTCGGAATCTTGAAATGAAAAAAGATTAAAAGATTTTCACGTCTGAATTAAAAATTCGAAAGTGGGGCATTTATATAGGTCAAACGGGACATAAGCCCAATAATATATAAGTATGATATGTGAATTCTTTTCGGAATCTTGAAATGAAAAAAGATTAAAAGATTTTCACGTCTGAATTAAAAATTCGAAAGTGGGGCATTTATATAGGTCAAACGGGACATAAGCCCAATAATATATAAGTATGATATGTGAATTCTTTTCGGAATCTTGAAATGAAAAAAGATTAAAAGATTTTCACGTCTGAATTAAAAATTCGAAAGTGGGGCATTTATATAGGTCAAACGGGACATAAGCCCAATAATATATAAGTATGATAATATATAAGTATGATATGTGAATTCTTTTCGGAATCTTGAAATGAAAAAAAGATTAAAAGATTTTCACGTCTGAATTAAAAATTCGAAAATGGGGCATTTATATAGGTCAAACGGGACATAAGCCCAATAATATATAAGTATGATAAATAATTGAAATAATTTCGCTTTTTAGGCGAGCTCGAGTTGAATTCAATCCAGATGCAATTGATCTCGGATCGGCTGAAATGACAAAACTGTGGACATACGAACCGAATGTTTTAGAATTTTGCAAATCGTCAAAGCGAAGATTTGAACCAAGTTTAGTCGAATTTCTTCGAGATCCATTAGATGAAATGGATCCAGAACAACAAGTTGAAGAACAATACAAGTGAGATATTTATTGATATTTGTTTTGGGGTTGTTTTTGGTGAATTTGAGTTCCAAACACCTATTTAATTTATTCATCCTCACATAAATAGAAATATAGATCCCATCCCAACAATTTTTATATTTCAGATCGGTCAATAATTCTGCATTTCAATGGAGAGCTGCTCGACTGCTTTTGATAAAAGCACCACAATATGTCTCAAAACTCGAAAAATCTTCATCTTCTTGTGATCCAGCTAATAGTATGCGAGAATATTTGGAAAAAACATTCTATTCAACTGCAAAAACATTGGATGAATTCAAAGACGAAATTGAGGCCAGAGAAAAAAGAGAAGCTGCGAAAAAAGAAGAATTGAAAAAATCAGCGGATAATTCGTTGACTGATGAAAATTTGGAAATTTTAGCCGAAGCTTTGATCAAATTTTCGAAGCAATTAGCTGAGGTTTTTGGATCGGATGAAATTTTGAAAACTGGAAATGTAAAGTTATTCCAAAACAATTTTCAATAATTTTTTTGGAATTTCAGGAAAAAGAATACAATTTGAAGTTGCTCAAAGATTGGACATCGAAAAACGGGCGAAATGGAAAAACTCTTCTGAACACACTTATTAGTGACGTGGAAATTGTTGAAATTGCTACAAGAACCTTAAAAGTATGAAAATCTCACTTTAAAAAACACCAAAACAACTATTTTACAGAATGTTCTCTGATGTATCGGGTCAAGTTTTTACCTTATAATAAAATATTTATTATTAACTTTTTTTTCATTTTATTTTTATTTTTAAAGTGTTCTCAAACGCTTTAAATATCTTTTTGGTTAGGTTTTCAATTTTTTAATAGGTAATTTCAGTAAAATGCCTGCTTTTTTCTTGAAAGGAGGAACGAAAAAGACAGCTGGAGGAAAAAGAGTGAGTTCGGATATTGAATTTGGAAAAATATGTTGATTTTTTTTTTTTCAGAAAAATGTGAAGAGTAGTGGAGAAAAGAACGATGAAGTTGCTGCAAAATTATCGAGAAGGCAAAAAATTATGGCAAATACTGAAATTCATTCAGATGATGAGGTGAGAAAATCAGGGTGGTTCAAGTCTAATTTGAATTTAAAAATTATAAAAATCAAGATGGAAGGCACAAAATTTGTAAATTCTTTAAAAATATTGACACTAGAAGGAGTTCAGGAGACTCTAGGCTCCAACCCTTATCACTACCATTCTCTAGGCGCAAGCTCTTTTTCTGGTGTTCCGAAATCTTACAAAAAATTCCAAATGTTGTTTTTCAAGTATTCATTTCTTTTTTTTCTCCAGGATTCATTGATGGGAAGTGCACAAGGATCAGAAGATGGAAGTGATGTCGAATATGAAGATACACATGAACGAAATTTCCGAGAAGCCAAAAAACTATTGGAAAAAATCCAAACTCAAGCCACAAATGAAAGCGAAGTCGCCCAAAAACTTCAAGAAGATGCTGCAATGAGAACTGGAACACAAATGAAACATATTGCAAATGTTGTTGAATTAGAGGATGATGATGAAATATCATATAAATCACATAGATTAACACCACTTTGTGTTGCGTTTTCACCGGATTCCAAATATATTATCAGTGCGGGAAAAGAATCGAGTATTGTCAAGTGTTAGTTAAAAAAATGTTTTTAAAAATTCTATGACAATATTTTTTAGATGATATTTCTCAAAAGTCAGTTATTGGAGTTATCAAAAGAACCAAAAAAGGTGGAGATTCACAAACTGCACATTTTGGTGTAATTCATGCTCTTGCCATTTCACACGATCAAAAATACATTGCATCTGGTGGTTTTGATAATGTTGTTAAAATTTGGAATTTCGAAACATTGGAACATATCAAAGATTTGAGTGGACATCGAGGAACAATTTACTCATTATGTTTCCAATTGAAAACAAACAATTTATTTTCTTCGAGTCAAGATAGAAGTGTTAAAATGTGGGATATTGATCAATTGGGATTAGTTGATACAATGTATGGACATCAAGATGCTGTCCAACAAATTTCGATTTTATCAAAACAAAGAGTTGCGACGGCTGGTGGAAGAGATCGAACTGCAAGAGTTTGGAAAGTTGAGGATGAATCACAATTGGTTAGTTTAAAAAAGGAGGGAATTTTTTAAACCATAAAAATACATTTGAAATTTTCAAAAAATGCCGTGTCTACCTTTTTAATAATCTAAATTCAAATTTCAAGATTTCTTTGAACTTTTGGGGGTTTTTTCTTCACAAAACTATATAGTTTCCAAAACTAAAAATGCGATGCTGAATAATTCTATTAAATTTATAGAAATATTAAGTTTTTGTAATTTGAGACAAGAAAAACAATAAGATGTGTTCTTCTATACGAATTTCTGCGATATTATTTATTTGATTTTTCAGATGTTCACTGGTCTTTCGAATTGTGTTAGCCTTGATTGTGTTTCAATGATAAATGAGGAACATTTTGCAACAGGATCTGCTGATGGGTTAGTTATTTTCTTTTTCTTACATTAGTTTTATTATGGTTCCACCGATTTTGTTTGTTTTTTTTGTCTGTTGACAGAATTGTCAATACTATGAGTCATTCTCCTTATTTTTTCGGAGGAGGGAAACAGTCCTATATACTTTTTTATTCTACTTGTAAGAACATTTAAAGGTCATTTCATTTCATTGTTTGTTTTTTCATTGAAGAACATAAGAGTATTAAGTAGGTGAATAATTTTTGCTGAACTTTTGAATTATTTGAACAACGGATTGTTTAGAGTCTTGTAGTTAGGTGAACTTTGAACGAGGATTCGATCATTAAAAAAAAATAATAATTACCCACAATTTTTTATCCTGAATTTGTCCGACCTCCAATTCGAATGAGAGACAGGAGAAAAATTGTTGTAATTTCGACAAAATTGCGCAATTTCCTGTTGATTCCGATCTCCGAATGTTTCTTTTGGAGAATTGCAAAATGTGAGTGAGTGTGTAAAATTATCTGATCGAAAACTTGTCCTTGTTTTGAGAAGGAATAACAATTGTTGTTTTTTCGGGATTTGTTTTTTTTTTGGAAGGAAGAGAGGGTTTCTGAAAATTAGCGTGGAAAAATTTGGAATTTTCGAAAAAAAAATCACTAGGCTTGAGGTTTCAGTTCAAATAAAAACTTTTCGAAGGAAAAATTCCGAACTGCAATTTTCAATTTATATCTCATCGAGATTTTTTTCGAAACACTGCTAAACATCCAAAAAAAATTTTTTGTGAGAACTTTTCCTCGCTGAAAAATATTTTTTCTTCACAAAAAAACAAGGTTTCCTTGGAAACCATTTCTTCACCCCCTTCTTTTCCTCATTTTTTTGTTCTTCTGCCTTGTTCAATTCATTACGTACACGTGATCCAGTCTTTCTTTCTTTCGTTTTTCCCCACGTGTACACACCGGAACGCCGCCACTTACTTTCCGTTTTTTTTTCGCATTTCCTTCAGCAGTTTTATGTGTATTCTTTATGTATTTGCACAAGTCTTTTCGTTTTTTCTTCTTGCCATTTTCTTTATCTTTCAGTTCATTCACGTTGTTAGAACTTTTTCGCGTGCGCGCCCCAAACTTCTTTTTTTCTGTTGATTTTCGGTTATTCGGCAAAGAGATGAGAACTGTGAACAGCCTAGAAAATAGTAGAAAAATTTTTGAGTTCGGATAAGTCTTTGAGAAAATATTTTTGAAATTAAAAAATTTGAAATAAAAAACAGCCGTGAGAGCTTTTTTTCCTGATAGTAATCAATAATTCAACTACAATTCTTCTTTCATTTTTCGTTTTCAACAAAACTGACCACATAATTATAGTTTTCTTTCTCTCTTCATACCTTGTTCCGTTATTATTCAAGTGTTCTTCTTCTTCATTTTCTTCTAGTATTTCTTCGTCTCATTGACTTCGTTTTCCAAGTTATCGCACATTTTCCATTTCAATTTCTCTTCCCAATGTTTCATTGTCCGTTTCGAAACTAGTTCAGAAACTAGACATAAAAATATTTTTGTTGTAAACGGTCAAGCTTTCAACCTGTTTTTCTTTCCCGCCTGAATGATTGTAGAAAAATTTTTTCAATTTTCAAAAAATGCCTTTCTCTCTCTCTCTGAAAAATCATAAATCAACACATACATATCTGCTGCCAAAATCTGCATGACTTTCGCTTTTTAGTAGTCGTGCCACCACCAAAAAATTGCGAAATCTTTGGATTCCAGTCTCTTTTTTTTCCAAATCGTTTTATTAGAAAAAAGAAGAAACTAAAAGAGAAAGTGTTTTAAGCGTATCAGTTGGTCGAATTGGTGTTACTTATTGTAGTCTAATTTTTTTTCGAATTTTGTTTTTCTAAAAACTTTGAACGCAGTTTTTAATAAGTTTTAAAAAAAGAGACTTTTTTTGAGGAGGGAACTGAAATATAAAAGCTTCTTCAGCATTTTTCTCACCGAGGAAAAAGTAATTGTCGTTCAACACAAAAAAAACCATATAGTTATGGTCTAGTCTTTCCTCCCTGTCATTTAGAATAATCGTCATTTGTGCTTGCTAAATACTTATGTATGTATTATCCTTCTTATTTTCTCCTCCTCTACGTTTTTTCTTTCAAACCGGTGTTTTCTCGATTTTTTCCTAGTTTTTGAAATTATGAAAATTTGAAATTTCGCGCCAAATTTCAACATTTTGAATCCCTAACTCTAATTTGTTTTCAGATCAATTGCAATTTGGTCATTTTGGAAGAAACGTCCATTGGTTGTTCGAAGACAAGCGCATGGAATTGAAAATGGAAGTGGAAGATGGATTGTTGCTTTGTCGGTTTTGCCGTATAGTGGTAAGCATTTTTTTTGAGTTTTGGTGATAACTTAAAGTCCTCACGTAGATTTTCCCAAATTTTCTTTCCCCACTTGGTTTTTTTTCGAAAAATATCAATTCATATTTTCCAACAAAAATGTTGTCATGATCAGAACCAGAAAGAAATATGTTTATTCTTTGATGAATAGTCGTTTTTTTGTGCCAGGAAATCAAATCATGAAAACAAATATTTGTTATAGTCACAGCTGTTCGCCTTTTTTTCTTCTTCCACTTTAACCCTTTTTTTTCTATCAAATCTATTCCTCCTAAAATTGATTTTTTTTCAGATTTGTTGGCAAGTGGATCGAATGAAGGAGAATTGAAATTATGGAGAATTGCAGAGAATTTCAAGTCAATTACACCGTTTTTCTCATATTCGATTGCTGGTTTCATAAATAGTTTGCAATTTTCGCCGGATGGAAGAATGATTGGAGTTGCGGCTGGAAAAGAACATAAAGATGGAAGGTGGTGGGTAAGTAGAATTTGAAAAGGGTTTGCAAAACATTTTTGACCACATTTCTTCAGAACCCTCTGTAATCTCACATATTTATCATTTTGCAGGTTGATAAAGAAGCCAAAAATCAAGTAATATTATTACCAATTCGATATACCGATGGAAGTATGAAAGAAATTGAGAAAAACACTGAAATTAATGGAAGAAATCGAACATCTGAAAAGGCTGGAATTGAATCGGGTGATGAAGAAGAAGAAAATGATGAAGAATATGAAGATGAGGGAGAACTTGAAATTGAAGTGAGTTGTTTTGTTTTTGAAAAAATATAAAATGATAATGGGGTGATCCAAGTCGAAATAATTGATTGAAAAAAAAAATATTTTTTGTCAAGAAACGTTCTTTTCAAATTTTTTTCGACTTGAGTCACCCTATAAAATAAAATAAAATCATTTGTTTTTTCATCTTTCAAAGTTCACACTTCTGTTTTTTCTATTCTTCTCACAGCATTTTTTATTTGCATATTCAACCATTCTTTCATTTCATATTTTTCCATCTATTTCAATTCGATTTAATTCAACCAAAAAATATGTTTCACACACACAGAAAATCATGTATTTACAATACCCACTTTTCACCCTCTAATAAAATGGAGGAAAACAAATATTTATTTTTCAATACTTTTTTTGGTATGTTGAAAAAATTATGTTTTCAGGATCTTCCGGATGATGAATGAAACACATGCTTTTTGGTTAGTTTTGGGATTTTATTTTTGAAATGTGACAGATTTTTTGATGTTTTTGAGTTGACTTGTCAAGTGTAAATTTATGAAGAAAACAAACACATATTTTTTATTTGGCTATAAAGTCGAAAGTTATTTTTTGAAGGGCATATCAAATCAATTTTTTCTTATCAATTTTGGCCCCAACTGAAAAAGGAATTATTTTCTATTGATTTTGAACATTTTTTCACAGTCAGTTGATAAAAAAATCATTTTCATGACGTTTTTTGGTCGAAAACAATTTGATTTTTCAGACTTCGCCATCTCATTTCTAGCTCGGATTATTTCATTTTTAAATACCGTTTTTTTGCTTGTTGTTGATTTTATTGTTATTTCACGTTTATTTTTTTTTACCTATTTTTTTGTTGAAAAAATCTTTCATTTTTTGTTATTTTATTCGTGGAAATCAGTCGGTTATTCTCTGAAAATGCCGTTTTTCAATATCTGTAATGTATTTTCATGTGATTTTCCCTTATAATTATTCGATTTTTCTAGGTTGTTCTCGCCGGAATCGGAGATTTCAAGCGGGTGTTGATCGTATTATTGAAAGAAATCAACCTGAAGCACAACAGAAAATGGAGGCGAATATAATGTTGGCGACAATAAGTGGAGCAAGAGGATTGTATATGAAAAATAAGACGAGTTTGGATGCATTTGTAACTGTTACATTACAAGGAAAAGGTTCATTGAGAAGTCGAGCAGCGACTGAAGCAATTACAACTGAAGGAGAATGTCAATGGGATGAAGTGTGCGAATTTAAATTGAGTGAGAAATTCAGTACGGTTGCTGTATCGGTTTTGGCGAAAACAAAGCTGGGATCTGGAGGTAATATAATAATAGATCCGTTGTGAAAAGGGCCTTTTCAATAGTATTGGTATAGGCCAATTAAGCGGCCGCGTGGTGGTTAGATTTGGGCTTCCATCAAAACCAGCTGTCTGTTTGATTTAAATTCAAAATTATTTACAAGTCTGAAAATGACCTTTTCAAAATTAATTCTCATCCAGCAATCTGGATTTTTTTCTTAAACAGTGTGCCAGCGAGGTGCCTCTGAATTTTGGCGAGGTGCTTCTGAATTCTACAATTTATTACGTTTCAGAATTTTATTATATTTTTGAACAATAGATAAATAATTTACTCGAGTGATCATCAATCCAAAAATATAAATCATCAGAAGATCTCTTTGTATTTAAAATCAATACTATTCATTTTTCAGAACTCATTGGAAAATACGAAATGGATATTGAAAGCGCAAAACAATTAAATGGACAAACAAATTGGCTTCGATTAAAAAAGAAGAATTCGGACGAAAAATATCGAGGAGAAGTGCAAATTAAACTTGAATTCTCCTATGAAAAACCATCGATGTCAGTCTCATCACTTTCTTTGAATCAAATTGGAGGAGATGTAAAAGAAGGTGGAAGTGGAGGAAAAAGTTTGATGAGCAAAATGAAGCGAAAAATAAAAGAGGCAAAAGGTGGAAGAAAACAAGCGGAAGATACAATGTCAATGGCTTCTGCTTGGTCAGCAACTTCTGCTAAATCCACGAAATCGCAAAGATTTTTTGGAAAAATTGGAAAGACATTGGGCATCAAAGAAAAAGATAAGAATGCAACATTACCGGCTGGAACATTTTTGACACCTGGAGATAATCATTTAGAAACATCGAATGGTTTATATGAAACATGTAATGATCAACAAGCAAGTCGAAATGTTAGCAGAAATAGTTCATTCAATGTTTTCGATCAACCAAATATTAGTCGACCGAATTCAAGTTTTGCAAACAATTCGACAAATCCATTTGCAGTTCCATCGCCTCAACCAAGAACTTCAACACCATCTCAAAATGCAGCTGTGGCTAATCATAATAAATTTGGACAAGGAATTGGTGGAATGGTACATTCAATGACGTCACCAGCTGGAGCTGTAAGTTGATTTTTGAAGGGGTATTTTCTTTTGAAACACTTTTAAAAATTGTTTTCAGAAACATCACATACATTAGATGCCAAACAGGCAATTTTGAAATTCTAAAGTAATGTGCATATTTTTTCGCATAATTATAGTAGTTTCTTTAAAATGATCGACTTGATTTTTCACAAAGTAACCAATGTTTTCAATTTCAGCTAAATCATACTGATATATTCCGGCGAAGTGGAAGTATTCGAAGTGTTGCATCAAGTGGTTTCGAATCTTCAAAATATCCACAAAAAACAGTTGATCCAAATAATGTTCAAGATTTGTTGACAGTAATTGACAGTCTCAAATTGGAACTTCAAGTTAAAGATTCTCGAATGAATGATATGCAAACATATATGGATAACTTGGTTTGTTTCTTTATTTTTTTTTTCAAAAACACAACTCAAAATTCTAATTAATTTTCAGATTTCACGAGTTATGGAAAGAAATCCTGAACTTCTTGCCGCACCCATCAAAGAACAAAAATCAAAGCTTAGATTTTTCTAGGAATTTTTTCAATTCATACATGTATATTTATCACTAACCAAAGAAACTAGTTTTTTGATCTACCCATTTGTGTCTGTCGCTGTAAAAAATATACTGTAAGTAATTAACCCGGCTATCAATTGACAGGTCTTGCAACGAATTTGCCACGTGTTGTTCTCGTTGTTTTTTGTAAATAAAATTTTATTGAATCGCTCAGTTTCAGTTGAAAGAGTTCAAAATAGAAAATATAGATTTTCACATATCACTTTGTGAAATGAGAATTTTGACCTCCACGAACCCGTCCAAACATCCATTATCGAATGATTTTATCAGTTGCTTTCCTTGTCTCCGTCTCCATTTTATCAATACTCTCTCGTTTTTTCTATTTGGTCGAGAGATTTTTGGCTTCGACACGTGCTTTTCTTTATTTTCTATCTATTTGCACTATTTTTTTTTGTTTTAAAAAATGAAACTTCGAATTCCTATTAGACAAATTCTCAATTATTCCATTCCAAAAAGATCAAATCACAGTTATTGTTTAAGACGTGAGTTTTGATGTTTTTTTTTGTAATTAGTTATTAATTTTAGAAAAGTTAGGTTTAAAAAAAACCACGTGTCGTGTTTTTGAAATTGAATTTTTTTTTTTGGAAAATCCTAAAAATTAAAAATTTTCATGTTCTCAAAAATTAAAAAAAATTGATTTTTAAATTGAAAACAAGTTTTGAAGTATTATTAAAAATATTTTTTGAAATGTTATTTTTGATGAACATTTTACAAAAAAAAGTAATTCCAGAGATCATAAGTAAGCTTAAGTTACAAAACAATTCTGAGAATTATTTTTTTTTCAAACCAAAATTGGATTGTCAAAAAACATAAATTACTTGAAAAAATCTAAAATTTGAACCAGAGATTGTTTTCAGCAAGTATTGGTTTGGACTCGGATTTGATTGAAATTCAAAATGTTGCACACGACTTCGCAAAACGAGAAATGTATCCGAATATGGCAAAATGGGATGAAAAGGTTCCCTAAAATCCTATTTTTCTCTATCTCATCTAATTCTTACAGCAAGAATTACCTCTTGATGTTTTGAGAAAAGCTGGTGAAATGGGATTTGGTGCAATTTATTGCAGTTCCGAATTTGGTGGATCAGATTTGTCGAGACTTCATGCATCTGTTATTTTTGAACAACTTTCAATGGGATGTGTTTCAACTGCTGCTTATATTAGTATACATAATATGTGAGTTAAGGATTACTGTATATAGCTTTGCGAAAAAATTACCTTATCTCAACTCCTAGCTCCAAAATAAATAAAGTAAAATGATTTTAGGTGTGCTTGGATGTTAGATACTTATGGATCAGATAATTTGAAAGCAAAACACGCTGAAAAAATCGCGAGTTTTGAAGAATTATGTTCATATTGTCTAACAGAACCAGATGCTGGTTCAGATGCAGCAAGTATTCGAACAACAGCAAGAAAACAAGGAGATTATTATGTTGTAAATGGATCAAAAGCTTTTATTAGTGGAGCTGGAACATCGAAAAAATATTTTGTAATGGTTCGAAAAGATGATGGACAACCGGGTGCTAAAGGAATATTCTGTTTATTGATTGAAGATGGAATGGAAGGATTTAGTTTTGCGAAAAAAGAGAATAAATTAGGATGGAATTCACAGCCAACTAGAATTTTGAGCTTTGAGGATTGCAAGGTAAATTGGAGAAAAATTGAGATTTTTTAGAAACAATTATTTAGAGCTCTGGCAGCTTAGAATTTGCTAAAAAAATTGGAAATAGTTTAAGAATATCAAAAATAGTATCATCAATGAAAAATATTTTACAAAAATTTCATCAAGATTTGAAGTGTTGAGTAAAAAATGTTCTCAAGATACCGTAGTCCTGTTTTTTTGTCAACACATTTCAAAACATTACAAGGCTTTTGTAGTAATTTTTTTGAAAAATTGTTTGCAGGTTCCAATTACCAATCAAATTGGTGAGAACGGTTATGGTTTCAATATTGCAATGGCTGGATTAAATGGTGGCCGAGTTAATATTGCAAGTTGTTCTTTAGGAGCAGCGCAGAAAAGTATGGATTTGGCAATTGAACATTTGAAAATCAGAAAACAATTTGGAAAAACATTGTCGAATTTCCAATATAATCAATTCAAGTTAGCAGAACTCGCAACAAAATTGCACACTAGTCGGTGAGAATTTAATCGGGTGGAATTTGCAATAGAAAATGTGTTTATTTACAGTCTAATTGTTCGCGATGCTGCAAAACATCTTGATTTAGGAACAGAAGAAAAAGTAGCAATGTGTGCTATGGCTAAACTTCATGCAACTGATAATTGTTTTGAGGTACAGTATGAAAAGTACAGTGTGCCATTCAAAAATAAATTGCAGGTTGTGAATGGAGCTCTTCAAATGTTTGGAGGTTATGGATTTTTGAAAGATTATCCAATTCAACAATATCTTCGAGATATTCGAGTTCATCAAATTCTTGAAGGAACAAATGAAATGATGCGATTATTGATTAGTCGCGATCTTCTGACTAACGAAATCTTCTGGCCAAACTAAAGTTCAAAATTCTCATATTCACTAACATTATCTGTAATTATTCTTGTCATAGGCACTTATTTTTGATATATTTTTGTAATAAATTTGGAAGTTACTGAATGAGAACGGGAACTACTTGATGTGAATAATTCACATTCTGATGAGAATTAATGTCTGCAGGATTGGTGAGATGATTTTTTTTGTAAAAAACCATCTCGCTGCGGCACCACCCAATCGGGATTTTTTTAAAAAGGTAGAAATTAGTGAAGAAAAAATATGAAAACCAAAGAATTATTTAAATAACGTGAAACAAATAATCGTGGCAGGGGCCGAAGCCAGCACGAAAAAAAATTCAGAAATGTATGCCTGTGGCTCCCAAAATATTTATTTATATTGATTAATTATTTAAATTAAATGTGACCTTATTATAAAATGACAAGACATTTTAAATAGGAATCATTACTACTAATTTACTCACACTAATATTTACTATTTTATCTACTAATTAAAATATGTGTTCAAATAAGACTAGTTTGGAAAACGCATCAATCGAGCAAAAAACTCGACACGATGACTTGATGAAGCAACTGACCGTTGATTATCTAAAACAAAAAGTGGGTTTCAAACATTATTATGTCAAAAAAACATAATTCATTCAAAATGTTTCAGCTACAGTTAATTTTTTTTTTGGTGAACCTCATCAAAATGCCACACTGCCAAGCAAGATCAATCAGTAGAGAAGACTTCTCGAACATTTTTCGAGGATACGACAAAGTAGGTTGTGATGAAACTTTCACAGTATGTTTATTTATGTTATAGGTATTTGGCTACTCAATTTTTCGCTTAATTTTCCATAAGGAAATCGGAATTTTAATAAGAAGCATTGTATTGGAATATGGTTTGCACTTGCCGTCATCTGTCATCAAACAGTGCCAGCCATCATTCAATCGCAATCCATCAGCCGTTGTTCAATTGTTGGAAGATGTGGTGGAACAATGCGCTGAAAACAAGCCAGTCGATACTGCTTCGCTTCTCGGGGTTTGTTTTTTTTTGTTGAACATTTTAAAATATCAATATGCAACAACTTTCAGAAATTGATCTCAATTCCCGAAAGCGAAACATTGAAACAACTAAAAATAATGCGATGCAATGCCGGAGTCGCAATGGATTTTGTTCTGAAACTCGGCAATTCGGACAATTTTACAGTGGCATTGTGGCTAAAGTTAGTTTTAAAATCTTTTATGGTGAACTTGGTGCTCCTAAATAATTAAATAAACTCAACTTAACAACGCCTAACTGATTACAGAAGTATGAAAGAAGCATCAATGAGCCTCAGCCGTCATGATGCGCAGATGTTAGAAGATTCACATCGAAACTACTTGAAGTCTTTATTCTCATCGAGCACATCAATAAAGTTTTAATTGGAATTTTTTGATTATCAATTGTTTTATTTTCCATTCTACTGACTAGGGGCTGTTAGCCCCCAGGCGTAACAGTCTTCTCATTTATTTCCGTTTCACTTTTTCTGTGATTACTGTCAATTTTCTGTGGATAATTGACTTACAATCAAATTCATTGAAAATTTCAATCAAATTTTTAGAAAATTACAAGTTTTCTGATCAAAAAATGACTCGTGGCAAAATTAGGAAGGCTTTCTAATTTTGCCTTGGATGACGTCATCGATCAATTTTAAAAAAATTATTTAATTATTTTTTTGAATTAAATGTACTCCAAAGATGTTAACCAAAAGAAAAAAAAATTCGGGCCGATTTTTTTTTTGAAAAATCTCGGGCCGATTTTTTTTTGAAAAATCTCGGGCCGATTTTTTTGAAAAATCTCGGGCCGATTTTTTTTTTGAAAAAACTCGGGCCGATTTTTTTTTGAAAAATCTCGGGCCGATTTTTTTTTTTGAAAAACTCGGGCCGATTTTTTTTTTCGAAAAACTCGGGCCGATTGTTTTTTTTGGAAAAACTCGGGGCGATTTTTTTTTGTAAAAACTCGGGCCGAATTTTTTTTTTGAAAAAACTCGGGGCAAATTTTTTTTTTCGAAAAACTCGGGCCGATTTTTTTTTAAATCTCGGGCCGATTTTTTTTTGAAAAATCTCGGGCCGATTTTTTTTGAAAAATCTCGGGCCCATTTTTTTTCTTGAAAAATTTCGGGCCGATTTTTTTTTGAAAAATCTCGGGCCGATTTTTTTTTGAAAAAACTCGGGCCGATTTTTTTTTTAAATCTCGGGCCGATTTTTTTTTGAAAAATCTTGGGTCGATTTTTTTTTTTGAAAAACTCGGGCCGATTTTTTTTCGAAAAACTCGGGCCGATTTTTTTTTGAAAAATCTCGGGCCGATTTTTTTAGAAAAAACTCGGGCCGAATTTTTTTTTTGAAAAAACTCGGGCCGAATTTTTTTTTTCAAAAATTTTTCAAAAATTGGAATTTTTTTTTTCAAAAATTGGCCCGAGTTTTTTCTAAAAAATCGGCCCGAGTTTTTCTAAAAAAATCGGCCCGAGAATTTTCAAAAAAATTCGGCCCGAGTTTTTACAAAAAAAAATCGGCCCGAGTTTTTTCTAAAAAAAAGTTTTGAAAAAACTCGGGGCAAATTTTTTTTTCGAAAAACTCGGGCCGATTTTTTTTTTGAAAAATCTCGGGCCGATTTTTTTTAGAAAAACTCGGGCCGAATTTTTTTTTTGAAAAATCAGCGGCGAACGACGAGAAAATTTTTAAAAAATTGAAATTTTCGAAAGCTGGTAATCAAATTTCTACAAGATTTGGCTCAAAAACTCATGGATTTTTATCCCAGAACAGATCCAAACTTTAAAGAAGCTACAGTAACCCGATGAAAACTGAATATTCATAGAACTTTGCAAGTGTTTGATCTGATCTACAGTAACCCGAAAAAACTACAGATTATTGATTAGTCGCGATCTTTTGACTAACGAAATCTTCTGGCCAAACTAAAGCTCAAAATTCTCATATTCACTAACATTATCTGTAACTATTCTTGTCATAGGTACACTGCACCTATGTAACCCCAAACCCCACTTTTTGCATGTACCATTTTATACTCATTTTACTCATAAACTTATATTTACTCACGGTCTTTGTTGGTACAAAGGGTTTGGGGGAAGAGATGGCATAAGTTCAGCCCAAAAGTCAGATTCGTAGATGCCAATAAAATTCTCGCGCCTTGGCGCTAAAAAAAAGGTGCCCGCAAGGAAGCATCGTCGCTAAACAAGTAATCGAATTGTAGCCCATTTTTAGCACCGGCGCGGCACAAAAATCATTGAAAATTTCTGTCGCCTTGGTGCTAAAAATGTGCCGTATTTTCTCCAAGCATTTCAAAAGCTCCAAAAATGTTTATTTATTCTGATTATTTATTTAATTCGAACGTGACCTTATTTTTTCAGTCATTTTCTCGGCTATAAAATGACGAGACATTTCAAATAGGCATCATTACTACTAATTTACTAACATTTATTTCTACTAATCAAAAATGTATTGCATCACGACTAGTTTGAAAAACGCATCATGCGAGGAAAAATCTCGACATGATGCGTTATTGAAACAGTTAACTAATAACTACTTGCAAAACAAAGTGGGTTTCAGATATTATTCTGTCAAAAAAACATAATTCATTCGAAATTTTCAGGTAAAATTGATTTCGTTGATAGTGCATCTTCTCAAAATGCCACATGGGCAAGCTGCAGCCATTAATCGAGAAGAGTTTGCCAAAATCTTCAGAGGTTATGACAAAGTAGGTTGTGATGAAACTTTCACAGTATGTTTATTTGTGTTACAGGTTTTTGGATACACGTTGTTTCGTTTGGTCTTCCATCGAAAATTAGGTATTTTGGTTAGAAGTTTGACTATGGAATATAATATCTACATTCCGTCGGCAGTAATCAAAGCAAGCATTCCATGCTTTAACAAAAACCCGGTTGGCATCAAACTTCTATTCGAAAAAATACTAGATGATGCTGCTGATAACAAGGCAATTGACACTGATTCTCTTCTTGGGGTTTGTTTTTTTGTTAAGAATTTTAAAATATCGAAATGCAACAACTTTCAGGAATTGATTGCAATACCCGAAAAGAAAGCGCTACTAGAATTGAAAGGGTTGCGTTGCAATGCTGCAGTGGCTATTGATTTTTTATTAACATGCGGCGATTCACAAAGTTTCATAATGTCGCTATGGCTGAAGTAAGTTTAAAAATAACCTCAACTTAGCAATGTCTAACTGATTACAGAAACTTGCAAGAGCTCAAAATGAATTTGAGCCGTCACGACGAAAAGATGCTCCATGACTCGCTGACAAACTTCACAAAATCGTTGTTTTCAACTTCGTCGTCAATAAAACTTTGAATCTCTTCCCCCTTCTCTCTGCCTCCTTCTTTCATATCCCGATCTATAGCATATATGCGACCAGCCCGTCGCAACTCAGTTTGAAAAGTTGCGACTGCTGCCGCAACGCTGTTTTCAAAATGCGACAGTGTCGCAAATCTGAGATGAGAGTGCGACAAATGTCGCGAGAAAAAAACATCTGTGCGACGGAAAAAATTGGTCGCATAAGTTGCATTTATGCGCCACGGAAAAACCTCGTCGCATAAGTGCGACCAGACAGCGACCGCAGTCCTGAGTATAAGAGGACTGATATATGAAAATTTCAATCAAAAAAATTTTTCTCTGTGACGTGACGAGAAAATTCATAATTTGATCGATAGATTGAGATATTGTTGTTTAGGCAATCCTCGTATTTTCAAAATAAATCAAGGAATGCTGAAAATTTGAAAAATCGAAATTCGATGATTCGACCTAGTAAGACCAAGAAAATTTTTCATCTATGAAATTGATTCATATGACCGGATTCAGCGTAAAAAATAACCCTTATAAGATTTTTGGTGAAAATTCGACAATTTTGAGTATGAAAAACTAATTTTGCATATCTTTTTGGCCAGTACTGTATGTAACCCCAAACCCCCACTTTTTGCATGTACCATTTTATACTCATTTTACTCATAAACTTATATTTACTCACGGTCTTTGTTGGTACAAAGGGTTTGTGGGAAGAGATGGCATAAGTTGAGCCCGAAAGTCAGACTCGTAGATGCCCGAATCCAATAAAATTCTCGCGCCTTGGCGCTAAAAAAAAGGTGCCCGCAAGGAAGCATCTTCGCTAAACAAGTAATCGCAGTGTAGCCCATTTTTAGCACCGGCGCGGCACAAAAATCATTGAAAATTTCTGCCGTCTTGGTGCTAAAAATGTGCCGTATTTTCTCCAAGCATTTCAAAAGCTTCAAAAATGTTTATTTATTCTGATTATTTATTTAATTCGAACGTGACCTTATTTATTTTCAACCATTTCTCCAGTATAAAATGACGAGACATTTCAAATAGGCATCATTACTACTAATTTACTAACATTTATTTCTACTAATCAAAAATGGGTCAAAAGTACAACCCTCGACAACCAACCCTCGAATGTTTAACCCTCGTCATTTTGTACAACCCTCGTGTGTTTAACCCTCGACGTTTTCTGATTTACCCTCGTCATTAAAAAAATTTTTTTTTTCAATTTCAGTTGTCATTTTTTGAGGCGAGCAATCCTTGGATCTAGTTGTTAGGAAAAACTCTAAATTTTCACACAATGTCAGAAATACTTGTTTTTTCATCTGAAACATCGAATTTGGTTGAAAAAAACATTTTTCTTGGGCGTTCACTAAGCCTAAGCTTTATAGAGAGAAATGAAGTTTTTTCTGAAAAAAATCACTTTGAAAATGAAAAAATTAATTTTTGAAATGACGAGGGTAAATCTGGAAATTCCGAGGGTTGAACACACGAGGGTTGTACAAAATGACGAGGGTTAAACATTCGAGGGTTGGTTGTCGAGGGTTGTACTTTTGACCCAAAAATGTATTGCATCGCGACTAGTTTGAAAAACGCGTGCGAGGAAAAATCTCGACATGATGCGTTATTGAAACAGTTAACTAATAACTACTTGCAAAACAAAGTGGGTTTCAGATATTATTCTGTCAAAAAAAAAACATAATTCATTCGAAATTTTCAGGTAAAATTGATTTTGTTGATAGTGCATCTTCTCAAAATGCCACATGGGCAAGCTGCAGCCATTAATCGAGAAGAGTTTGCCAAAATCTTCAGAGGTTATGACAAAGTAGGTTGTGAGGAAACTTTCACACTATGTTTATTTGTGTTACAGGTTTTTGGATACACTTTGTTTCGTTTGGTCTTCCATCGAAAATTAGGTATTTTGGTTAGAAGTTTGACTATGGAATATAATATCTACATTCCGTCGGCAGTAATCAAAGCAAGCATTCCATGCTTTAACAAAAACCCGGTTGGCGTCAAACTTCTATTCGAAAAAATACTAGATGATGCTGCTGATAACAAGGCAATTGACACTGATTCTCTTCTTGGGGTTTGTTTTTGGAGTCCGAGCAAAAAATAAGTTGTGCTAATTTGAAAGAGCATGTTCCAATTAGTACAATCCTCGAAGGATTTTTTCTGGAAGCTTCTCAAACATTGGTTAAAAAATTACAAAGTTCGAAAAAACAGTGAAACACCGTGTAAAATGGCTTGAAAGTCCATATCTCCAACCGTTTGGAGCTGTGTTTCTATAATGTTAGAGAAGCTTTCAGAAAAAATCCTTCGAGGATTGTACTAATTGCAACATGCTCTTTCAAATTAGCACAACTTATTTTTTGCTCGGACTCCACCTTTAAGAATTTTAAAATATCGAAATGCAACAACTTTCAGGAATTGATTGCAATACCCGAAAAGAAAGCGCTACTAGAATTGAAAGAGTTCGTTGCAATGCTGCAGTGGCTATTGATTTTTTATTAACATGCGGCGATTCACAAAGTTTCATAATGTCGCTATGGCTGAAGTAAGTTTAAAAATAACCTCAACTTAGCAAAGTCTAACTGATTACAGAAACTTGCAAGAGATCAAAATGAATTTGAGCCGTCACGACGAAAAGATGCTCCATGACTCGCTGACAAACTTCACAAAATCGTTGTTTTCAACTTCGTCGTCAATAAAACTTTAAATCTCTTCCACCTTTTCACTGCCTCCTTCTTTCATATCCCGACAATGCGTAACACAAAATAATTCTTGAAATTTTAAATCGGTGACATTTTGTTTTTAGAATTATCAAGATTTTTAAAAAACGGTTGTTTCATCTAGAAATCCAGCGTTTGGTTTCGAATGTGATCTGACAACCTGTGTGAACTCAGAACATAATTTTATGAAAAATAAATGATACAACTTATAAAACAATATATTCACAATTTGAACTTTTTTGCATTCGGTTTAGATCTTCCTACAGTATTCTTTGAAATATCATCATGTTTTCTCTTTTCCATTCTGTTATTCTCAACTTCTTCCTCTTTTTCAATATTTTCATTTTCAATTCCATATTCATAAACTAAAATCGCTTTAATAATTCTCAATCGATTATAATCAATGAAATCTTTTGGCAATGCTTCCATCCATGGTGCCAAACGAACAATATCTTAAAATAATACGAGTTTTTCTAAATACTTTTAAAATTTCCTTTCTTACTTGAATTCAAGTTCTGTCTGGCTGTACTTAAAACAACAGCAATCATTTTTCGATTGATTTTCAATTTGTCTAAAAACACAGGAAACCCCTTTTCGACACAAGTAGTCAAATAATTGCAAACTGTTCCTTCTGAAATACCACGTGCTGTAGCAATATCTTTAGCATCTAATCGATTCATAATATGCATTCGATATACTCGACCAATTGCTTCAGTCAATTCTGTGTCCATTTTTTGTGTTATATCTTCAGGAATCTAAATATCACAAGTATAACATTAAATTAATTTCGAAAAAAAACTAACGGTTTCATTTAAATTCACATTCAATACCATTCCATTTTCATTCGCAAACTCGACAACACAATTAATAAATCGTAAACCATATCGAGATTTTTGTGAAGTCGACATTCCATCAATAACATCTAATTTGGAAACTCTGCAATTAAAACATTATTATTTTACAACATTTGACTGTGAATATTATTTTTTCGATGGCTAGACTATAGTAACCAACGAAAACTTCTTCCCAACTTACGAATCAGGTCTCAAATTAGCGAATGCATCTAAAACCGTATTGGAAACAATTTGAAATGGCGCAACTTCATGCATTGTTGCCATTTCCATTCGTAAATCATCCAAACATTTTCTCAATAATCGTATTTTTTCAGGATCTTCAATTTGTTTTTCTTGTGTTGACATTTTAGATAGTTTCTCGTGTTCCATTCCACTTATATAATTTCGTTTCTTCTCATTTCCAAGAATTCGTTGTTCATCTTCTCCAAGTTTAACATATTTCGAAGAACTCGCCGATGCCGCAACATTTCTTTTCGGTGTTCCAAATTTACCTTGCAACAACATCGGATTCGCCTCAATTTTCAGTTCTTTCGAATTCGACATCAGCCATTTTTTAGCTTCTGTTGAAAGTGAAATACAAGATCCGAATCTCATTTGAAATGATTTAACTTCGTCCAAATATCCAGCTAATCGAAGTGACGCACCAAGAGCTTTCCACCATTTTTCAGATAATTCTTTGCCTTTTCCAAAATAACTTTTATGTGTGAATGTTTTCACACGCCATTCTTCTTTAGCCTGTAATTTATGAAATTAAGTAGAGCACTGTTCAATAAACGTACATTTCCTCTCAAAAAATCAATAACTTTTCCAATTCCAGTTTTACCATCAAAACCCAAATCTTGAATGACAGTAAACATTAATCTAGCTTCTTCTGCCACATTTAAATTTGAAGTTGATGCTGTTTCAGTGTTACCATTCAATAATTCAGTGCATCGATCACAACAATCTGACTGTGGTTGAATTGGTTTAACTGTTGAAGGATCAAAATGTTTGAGAAGTTGGCTGTAAATTATGAACATTGTTTTTTCAATAAATTGATTAATTGAACACCCACAATCTTCTACAATTCGAAGTTGTTAATACTAATTCCAATTGTTTTAGCATTGTTATAAGATGTTCAGCAACTTCATCTGATACTTTCGCATTTCTCAAATGATGTTTATTCAATGCCATATCTTTTGGAGCCCAGAAAACACGACAAACACTTGGTCCTCCATCTCGACCAGCTCTTCCCATTTCTTGATAATATGATTCAATATCTTTTGGACCTAAAACATTATTTTTTTCAAAGAAATAAATAAATTGAAAATAACTTACATCCATAATGAATCACATTTCTCACATCTGGTTTATCAATTCCCATTCCAAAAGCAACTGTCGCTACAATTGTTGTGATTTTATCCCGAATGAATTCCTGATGAGCTTTTTCTCGCTGATTTTTTGTGAGTCCAGCATGATATGAAGAACACTTTACACCAAGACCTGGAATTAAAAAGCGGTTGAAAATTCTGGATTTTCCTGCATTTTTTTTTTTTGAAAAATCTTTGAACTTCGAAATTTCAACACAAAAATTATTGTATAATTATTTTCCAAAAAATAAAAATAAAAACCAACGTCTTAATGTCATATTGATATCTTCAACATTTTGTTTGGTTTGACAATAAATAATAGTTGGTCCTCCAAAATGTTTTCCTTTCGAATCATCCAATTGTAAAAGTGGTTCCAAATCGCTACAAACATCTTTTGCCGATTTCACCGAAATATACAAATTTTTTCTATCGAATGACGTCGTCGTCACTTTTGCATTTCTCAATTTCAAATTCTCAATAATATCTTGTCGAACTCTCAAAGTTGCAGTTGCAGTCAAAGCAATCACAGGAATATGACAAAGATCAGTTCGATTTCGAATTGAAGATAAATATCGATATGAAGATCGGAAATCGTGTCCCCATTGAGAAACACAATGTGCTTCATCAATTGCAATCAACGAAATATCTGAAAAAAATAATTTATGTTAGTTTTTGTTTATATTGTATTAAAATCAACTCACAATCTTTGCAATTTGTCATAAGTTCCAATCCTTTTTGGCTAGTTGCCATTTCCGGTGACATATATAAAAATCGAATATCTCTACAATTTTCCATAACTTCTCCCCAATCCGTCAATTTCGAATCTCCATCAAGTTTAATTGCTTCAATCCCTTTTGTTACTAAAGTTGTAACTTGATCATTCATCAAAGAAATCAAAGGTGAAATAACAATTGTCATTGAATTGAGTAAAAGCGATGGAAGTTGATAGCAAACACTTTTTCCATATCCAGTTGACATTAATACAAATTGATCATTTCCACTCAAAACATTTCGAATAACATCCCATTGTTTATCACGAAATTGTCGATGTCCATAATTTATTCTCAAACATTCAAGAGCTTCTGGAGGTGCTTCCAACATTTTTGACCATTCTGATTTCTGCACATCTGTCACTTGAATGGTTGATTGAAGCGGCTTTTTTTCGGTTACAAATTCATCTTCATCCAATTCCACAGTTTTTCCTTGATTATTTCTTGTAAAATACTTTTTGATTGTTTTATTTTCGGAGCATTCTGCAACATCCTGAAAATCAAAAACTGGATTTTAATTTTTATTTCTAAAAGTTTAACCTTTTCTTTTGAACTTCTCATTTGTCTTTCCGGATGGAAAATTTGAGTTGGTTGAGTTTCATCATTTGTCGGCTCAAAATCACTATCATCTGAAGATACAGCCTCAGAAGATGATGATGATTCAATTTCATCATCTTCTTCTTGTTTTTGAGTTGGTACAAAATCATCAAAAGAATCGTAATCTTCATCATTTGGTGTCACTTTTTGTGTCGAACATGCAAGTGGCTGCAAAAATTATCATTTTATTGAAAATTAAAATTCCGAAACGTAAACCTCAATTTTTCACGTGCATACCTATAAAAAGGCAAATATCACAGAGAAATCTATTGTTAGTTTATAAATATTCTATTTTTATCGATCGAAGTGAGTTTAGTTTAGAGCAGGAGTTGTAGAATACAGTATCTCAAAAAACTGTTTTTTTCAGAGAACAAGAACATGACACAACAAGAAGTAACAAGTATTATCGTAGATGTGTTAAACATTGGAAATCATGACAAACCATTGAATAAAGTGATAACTGAAGAGAGAATCACAAAATTATTAGACGCTGGCAAAGAAATATTGAGAGTGCAAGGTTCTCTTGTTGAAGTTGATGCTCCAATTCGAATTTGTGGTGATATTCACGGACAATTTCCTGATCTTATTCGCCTTTTTCATCGCGGTGGTTGGCCACCACTTGCCAATTATATATTTCTTGGCGATTATGTTGATCGAGGTCGATTCAATCTCGAAACAATTATATTGCTTTCTGCCTACAAAGTACGATATCCAAAGAACTTTTTCCTTCTTCGCGGAAATCACGAATGCGAATTTGTCAACAAAGCATATGGATTTTATGAAGAATGTCAAAAAAGATATCAAAGTACTCGAGTTTACGAAGTTTTTCAAGATTTTTTCAACTTTTTACCATTAGCTGGTTTGGTTGGTGATCGTATTCTTTGTATGCACGGTGGTTTATCACCGGAATTGAAAAGTCTGAACGATTTGAGAAAACTTGGTAGGCCAACCGACGCGAAAGGAGCACTCGAACTTGATTTATTATGGGCTGATCCAATCATTGGTTTGAACGGTTTCATGGTAAATATGAATATTATTTTTGAAAAATCTTCATTTCCATTTTTCAGCCAAATCAACGTGGCGCTGGTGTTGGTTTCGGTAAAGATGTTGTTGTCAAAATATGCAACGATTTCAATCTCGATCTTATTTGCCGTGCTCATCAAGTCGTTCAAGATGGCTATGAGTTTTTCGGAGGACGAAAACTCGTCACATTATTCTCAGCTCCACATTATTGTGGACAATTTGATAATTGTGCTGCTTTTATGATTGTCGATGAGAAATTGCAATGCTCTTTTGAGATATTGCGACCAACTACTGGGAGATTGGAAGTCAGAGAAAAGACTTTAGCCAAGGATGAAACCTAATAAAAAAGTTCTTCTTGTCAAAAAAACTTGATTTTGTTATTGAATCAAAGATTTTGAACATTTTGGCACAAAAACGCGTTTTGCTTACCAGGTGTGCATGTTTTTTTCAGAAATCTTTCCCACTCAAGGAAAATTCAGGAAAGGAGGGAACTCCAAATGAAAAAAAAATAAAATGGATTTGCGTCAATTGTGCCACACGGATATTACGATTTAATTTTCCAAAAATTTTTAATTTAAAAATCACACTACCTTAAAATCATCAAATGAATCATATCCATCCTCATCATTATTTTCTTTCGCAGATTCTTCGATATTATTCTGAATTGGTGGTGTTTCAGGAATAACTATTGATGGTGAAATTGGTGGAGTTTCACAAAGTTCTTCATCTTCAGGTGGAGGTGTTTCTGGCAATTCATCATCACTCATTTCTTTCCCTGAATTGTTTCAGAATTTTCTGATATCCTCCCCCACTTCGTTTCAGGGCGAACAAATAGAGACAGAGAGAGTGTGTAGAATGCGAAAGAAAAAACCGCGAAACTGAAAATACCGCGAAATTTAATAAGGCTGGCACCCAGCCAACTGTTGGGTCCCGAAGCGATGGTCCATGAATTCTCATTTTCAAAAAATTTTCGGGGTTTTTTGTGTCTGCGTCGCGTTTTCTCTATTTGTTCGTCCCAACACTGGACTGAAACGAAGTGCCCCTTATAAAAAACGAAATCACTGAAAATTTGGCGTCACATTAAATGTTTCCATCAATAATGTGCAAACACCGCTTCGTTTTTTGAAAAATCAACGCGCGTTGCGAGACACGGGAGAAAAATTGTGTGCGCCTTTGATGAGGGGTACGGTAGAAGTATTTGTGAATTTTTATTTATTTATTTCTTTTTTGAGGGTTTGAGCGCTGCAGTTTTTGGAACATCTAACACGCTTATTGTAACTTCAGGGGATTTTTTTCTTCAAAACGGGAACCCCACTCTAACTCTGACTTTGAGAATAGATCACATCAAAAGTATAACAGTTGGGAACCCTGAGAATTCATTCCCTGAATTGTTTCAGAATTTTCTGATATTTTTAAAAAAAGGTATTCAGAAAGTAAAATCTGTTAGAAACCATTTCAATAATATTCCAAATAAATTCATTTCAACAATAACAATTTCAAAAACAAAAACAAACAAAAATCAACAAAAAATACCCATTTTTCAAAAAACAAAATAAATTCTAACAAAATCTAACAATTATCTAATCTTCTTCATTTTCTTGTAATTTTCTAGTTTCAGCATGTTTTCTTTTCATCATTCGATATGGTTTCATTTCATCAAGTTTTCGTTTTCTTGAATCCATTTTCTTTTTGTTCTTTTTACGACGAAGTTCAGCTGCATCTTCTGGTGCAGTTACAGCAAGTTCCTGAAAATTAGAATTGTTTTCAAAAAAAAAAATTTTTGTCGTCAATGTTTCACAGGTTTGTCAAAAAACTCACTCTTATTTTTCGTTTTCTGTCTGTAATTTTATCCGATGCTGATTTCTGACATTCTCCAACTCTTCGACTATATTCATCATCTCCAATCTTTTTCTTTATCAATCCACAAACTTCTTGGGTCAGATTCGATAATTCTTCATCTCCTGAACATAACAATTTACGATTTGAAAAAAATCTTCTGAAAAAATAACTCACTGCAAGTTCTCAATTCTCTCACAAAAATACTCATAAATTTCTCAAGAATACAATTAGATCTTTCACTATCTCCAGTCACAAATAATGCAGCAATCAATTTGAAACAACTTATTCTTTTAACAACTTGTTTTACTTGATGTTTTACTTCATATTTACAAGATTGAGCAATATTTGCAATAATGAGTTTGTATGTTTCAATATCAAGTCGTTTTGATAAACAAACAAGATTTTTAGATGTTTGTTCTCCAGTTGCAATATCCAAATTTGAATGTCTCAATGCTCGACACATCCATAAACTTATTTCTTTGGCTAAATTTTCCGAAATATTCTCAATCTCAATAAATGATAAAATTTGTCCAATTAATGTTGATGCAGCACACATAACACTTATCGATTCTTCACATTTCGCCAAATCGCCAAGAGCTTCCAAAAATGAAAATGGATCAAATTGAGTTACACTTTGTTTTCCAACATTCGCCAAAATTCGAGTTATTCCATTCAACATTGATATAATTGTAGTTTCATTGGTATTTTCGAACAAATTTTCATCGAATAAAATATTTTTCAAATTTTCGAATATTTTCCCAATTTTATGGGTCATTTTCTCCTTTTCAACAAAACTCAATTGAACCGTTGTTTGAATTGCAACTGCTCTCGCATTTTCCTGAAAAATAACCACAAAATTATTTTGACAGTATGTAAAATCTTTTGAAACATACGTCTTCAGTTTCCAACCATTGTAAAATAACTTCAAAAGTTTCATTTCTTTGAGATGTTCCAACATTTGATAACAAATTTCGAAGTGCAATTCCAATTTGAGCCGAAACTTTTGGAGATTCATCATTCATTATTGCTGCTCCAAGTTTGACAACACAAAGCATATGAACATTTTCGAGCGATTTCTAAAAAAATCTGTTTTTTCCAACAAAAAAAACGATAAAATTAACAAACCGATAACAAATTTCGGAAAAGTTGGCAAAGCATTTCGGCAGCCGATTGTCTTCCAGTTTCATATTCATAATCCAATTGATCCAAAAAGAATTCAACGAATTTTTCAACTGATTTATCTGAGTCCGAAGCTCCTCCAATATAATCCAACAAAGTTTCTCGACATTGTGCACGAATATTGATTAATGGAGATCTAATTGATGTTTCCGCCAAATGATCCATTATTTCAGAAAGCTATAAAAACAAAACGTTTTTAATGAAAAATCTTCAAACAGCTTACTCTTTCATGTCGAACTCCTTTTTTGACCAAAATCTTGATTAACGAGAACATGGTTGCCTGTTTGTGTTGATCCAAAACATCAGCTTCAGCATATGCCAATAACAATGTCAATTTATCATTATCAAGAAAATCACATCCAGATATATTAATCAGATTTGTGAATCCTTTATAAATCAATTGATTCAACTTAACAATTTCTGGTTTATTTCCAGCTTGTCCAATTGATGCATAATCACTCAAAAGAATAAAAAGTGTATCAGAAACTCGTTGAGAATTTGTTGAAATTGCTGATAATTGAATTTGAATCATTGAACACAATGCTCGAAGACTTCCCGCAATCAACTTCTCGTATTTATAATCGAAGCAATTTAGAATAAGATTTACAAATGGATTCAATCTTGCAATCATTCCATCCTCATTCAAATCCAATTTCTTTTCTTTCAAAATTGCAGCAAAAAGATGAACGAAAAATTCGGCAAAAACATGATCTCTACTTCGAATAACAACTTTTGTCATAGCTCCAATTCTCTTCGGAGCTGCTGGAAGAATCAAGCAACTCTCCGGTCTTCGCCCACTTTTTTCTTTCTCTTCATTTTTCGACTCAACATCTCCCAATTTTTGCAAATCATTTGAAAGTGACTTATAGATATAAGTCAGAAGATTTGAATTATCCAATCCTTCGTTATCTTTGAGACCTGATGCAAACTTTGATAATAAATCCGATACTTTTTGAATTGCTTTAGCAGATGGATGTTCATTGACAACAGTTCTGAATGGATCTAACACTGTTTGAATTCCAGCAGGTGAAACAAATCTTCCCAAATGCATCAATGTTTCTGGTGTTCGATTTCCCTTTGCCTCCGGACATTCTGCTTTAATTGAACCAATTTGTTTTTCTTCAGATGTCGATGAGAATTGATCTTGTATACATAATTTCACAATCACATTTATAGCTGTGTCCAATTCTCCATTTTTTATAACACTTTTCATAGCAACAATCAATGTATGAATTGAATAAATTGCAACATGAACCTATAAAAACATATGTTTTAATTTGTTCAATTTTCCAATTCAATTTTCTACTAACCTGAAAACCTTTGGTCATTGTCAATGAAATTTCGGTGATAATTGATGCCAAATATTTGGAACCCAAACATTTTACAATTTGAAGAAGTGTTTTTCGCGCAGTTTCTCGAACATCAAATGAATGTGTCATCATTAAATTACAAATTTTCAGAATAACTCCATGAAGATGTCGACCAATCACAGCATCTGGTAACTTTTGAAGAAGTTTCACAATTGCAAATGCAATTGGAGTTCGTTGAATATCCAAATGAAGAGTTGTTGCTTGTGTTTCTAATGTTTTTGCTTTTCTTTCAACATTATGTGTTTGAGAATCCAAACATTTTGTCAATCTTGGTAAAATCACTCGATTGATACGTTTCAAAATAATTCCATCATTTTCATTTTCATTTTCTTCATCAATACCTTCGTTGTTTTCCACTTTTTCGTTTACATCAAAATGAAATGCATCAATAACTGCAACCACAATTCGAACAAGCGCTTTATCTGTGAATTCATCTTCTTGAGAAGAATTCGATCCAGATGATCCAGTTGCTTTTTCAACTCGTGACAACCAACTTTCCAAATACGAACAATATTTTCCCCATGGCGCTTTTGACATTGTCAAAGTGAGAAGACGAAGAGATTCATCAGAAATAGCTGAAATAAAATAATTCCAATTAATACCAACATTTCAGACAAAAAAACAAACCATTAAATTTGGCTGAAAAATTGATGAGATATGGATTAATCATTGGGATCAAATATTTGAACATTGCATTGAATGATATATTCTTTTCTCCATTTTCAATATTTTCAATCAATTTTCGAATTGCTTTTTGTCTTCGATGAATTTGAATATGATTCATATTTTTCAAAAAATCTAATTCTTCATCTTGATCATTTGTGAAACTTCCAAGTTCAGCTAAATGTTGATTTTCTTTGAATGATCGAACCATAACTCCAAGTGTTGATAATGCTTCTTCTCTTACAGCCTGAAAGAAAAATAGTGAAATTCTTGCAACAAATTGGGCTTCCAAATTCGAGGCTCAAAGGTAAGACTTCAAAATTCACACCTTTAAACTCAAAATTTTAAAATTCAGACCTCAAAAAAACTTACATCAGTTTCATGTTTCATGAAAAATATCACAGTTGGGTTCAAGAAACTCTCCAAGAATCCACGTTTTTCATTTCCTTCCAAACTTTTTCCGGAAAATTCAACAAGCGATCTCACATTATTACCAGCTGTCATACGAAGAGATAAATCAGTTGTCTGGAAAAATTGAATTATTTTAGGGAGACAAAAACTCTGCGATCTTACCGTTGAAATACATTGGAAATGTGTTCCAACAAACATTCCAAGAATAATTGGATCAATTCTAACATGATCTTTAGATGTCCAAATATCCATAAGAGAATGATAAGCTGCATATCTTTTATCGAAATTCGGTTCATCAACTTTTGATTTGTCCCAAGAATCGAGATCACATATTAATTGGAGAAGATTCGAAGTTTTCTCATCAATATTTTTCGATTTCGAAAATCCTTGAACCATTTCAACTAAACCATCTCGCAGTGTTCTTCCCGCCATTTTCGAGAACAATTTCGGCAACTTTCTAAAAATTTTATATTTAAAAAAACATCACAAAAAACACCAAACACACCCAAAATATTGTTGAGGATCTTTGAGAATTGGTGCAATTCTAGCCATTGATTTCAACATATTCACCATTGTTTCTTCATTACATTTCAATCTTTCAATACACATTAATAATGGAGTTGCAAGACGATTTGGAATATCTTCAAATTCTGACACAAAATCCGAAAATCTTTCGAGAAGTGTGATACTTTCACTTGATGGTCTTTTATTGCTCGCAACTTCTTTTTCGATTTGCATTGTTAGAAAATCAAGCACAAAACGAATTCTTGTCTGGAGAAGACTTGTTCCATAATTTGACTCTGAAAAAAAATTTACAGACTTAATGATTTTCAGAAATACAAAAAAACATTATTGTTGTTGAAAACTAACTTTTAGCAATTTGAACATCAGAACATTTCACAAATTGTCCAATATCAATACGGTTTTCATCAGCAAGTTCAGATAATCTCATAATTGCTCCTCGAATTGTTCGAAACATCAAATCAAAGCATCCAGGCCATAATAAAGGAGCCAATAAAATATCAATAACATCACAAGTTCTTTTGTCAGTTTCTCCAATTATATTCCATTCCAAATTAATTGTCAAAATCTGATAAAGTGTTGGTAGTTTACAAATTGCTGCAGCTAATTTAACAACAGAAAATGGAACAACTGGCAAATAATTCGAATCTTCTCGTTCAACTACAGTACTTTTTTGTAGATCATTCAAATGACTTGAAATTATAACATCTTTCAATATTCTAACTTCTTCAGATAATAATTGTCGATCAGGGAATGCATGGAACATCTGAAAAACAGGAGTTTTCCAAAAAATATTACTATTTTTTTGTTTACCTCAGCCAGTCTATCACAAACACTCATTCTCAATGTTTTCACAACATCCAAATTTGGCATTGATAATTCGGCAAACTTTGATACAATTCCACACGTCAACGTGATATACATCAACATTTTTTGCTCATTTTCAGTCATTGATCGTGCAATTTTCTTAACCATTTCCGAAACTCCAGTTAATATTCTGCAATAAAATAAATAAACATCCATTTGATTCTTTTCCTTTCAATGTACCCAAATATATTATTAAATTTGGAGAGAAAACATATATTTATTCCGATGTTTTTTTTTCTCTTCACAATCCAATTTCTTATATATTTTCATATTTTTTTTCTTTGGGTATTGTGCAAAAATTCAGAATACTTTTGTAAGAGGCAATTTTGAGAAAACTTGAGAAAATCTGATTTTTCGTGCTAAAAAACCGAACGCATTATATGTGAAAAGTACTTTTAAGAGGTCAAGAAGGTTCCCACGTTTTCTTCATCTTTTCTCCTTTTTTTCGAATATGCTAATCGACATCATTTTTCTTCTCGAAATCACTTCAATAAACATATGAAGTGAAGGACTTTCTACTGACACTTCTTTTTTTCCAAATAGTGTCAAAAACCCTAATGAAATAATTACATGTGTTCATTCTTTTATATAAATGAATAATAGGATAATGTAAATTCCACCTGTCTCCTCCTCTTTCTCTTTTTTACTCTTTTCCGTTCGTTCGTATTCCATTTCATTATATTCACAATTCAAGTTACCCTATCTCAGGTTACACTTTTTCTTCTTAATCTCAATTATAAACCTATACATCTTTTTTCATGTTACTTTTGATTGACAAACACACTTTTCTCTTTTTTTTGCGTCTGCCAGAAAATCTTTTCTTGCTCAAAAATTCTAACATTCCGTGATGGCACGATTTTACACCTTTTTTTTTATTTCGAAAAAAGAAATACACACACATGACATGTTATTTTAAGATTCATCTGCCGCGGTCGAAAAAAAACACTAAAAATCTAACGATGTTGTTTAGTGTTTTTGTGCAAAGCCAACTGATGCACAAAATTAGTTGCGCAATATGAATAAAATATATGATGACAGGTCAAAAGTGACAACTTTTTGACATTTATATAGTACTTTCGGACATTCGAAAAAAATATGTGTAATAGAAATAAAGAATGTGTTCATTCGAGCAAACAGATTTATCGTCTAGATAAGCTCTAAAACTAGACATTTTTTCCTTTTTCCTCAAAATAAGTTCAACAACATTTCTATGTCATTTTTTACCACACTCAACAGCGGACGCACTAAATGATCGTGTTGTAAATATCTCAAATTTCTGCTCATTTTCATTTTCATTTTCTCTTTTTTCTGTTACATTCAACAGAAGAACACACATTCACAACTGTTGTTTTGTTATTTCCTCTCGATTCTTTTCAACTTTTTGACCATTTCTACGAGTACGCGCAATCAAATATCAATCAATTATTCGGTTGATTGATTTGTCAATTAATAGGTGTGATATTGAATATACATTACTTTATTATTTTTATTTTTAACTTCTAGTTTATTTTTACATATATACTAATTTCAGACCGCAAATGATATGTCGACAAACAAATTCCTAATATTAATAACAATATTTCTACAATTTGATTCAATAACCTCAATAGATTATAAATGTGATTTTCCGGGAGATGTTCATGATATTTGGCAAAATTGTCAATGTATATCAGTTCCAAATGTGATAAATATAAATTCAAATGCATTTTCTTCCCAAGAATCCCCTATTCATATAATGTGTCATCATACTTCATCAGCAACAGTTCCACAATTACCAAATGCCGAAACATCAAAAGGACAAATACCACCACATATTGTTGCATTATCAATGACTGATGGATCAATGGCATTTATTCAACAAGATGCTTTTAAACATCACGATGTTCAAACTTTGGATTTTTCTAATAATCAAATTCAAACAGTAAATGTGAATGCTTTTCGTGGCTTAGAGATGAAATTAACACAACTGAATTTGGCGCATAATAATTTGTCAGTTATTCCAACATGGGCTCTGACTTATTTGCACGGATTACAAATATTACATTTGGAGAACAATCGAATTGATGTATTACGATCAAATACATTCGACGAAACACAGTTGAACAATTTGCAGTTTTTGTATTTGGATAATAATCAAGTTTGTTATATGTTTTCTTTCAAAAATATTATTGTTTTTGCAGCTGAAAATCATTCCAACACTGGCTTTTAATCACCTGCGATTAGTTGTTTTGATGTTATCAAATAATCGTATTACAGAAATACAGAAAATGTCACTTCCTCATACTTTGCATTTCCTAATACTTCGAAACAATTTATTGTCACAAATACCGTATTTGGCAATGAGTGACTTGAAAAATCTTCAATCAATTGATTTGGAAGGAAATAATATAACAAATTTGATCGATAACAATGAAGTCACATTTGAATCGGAGATCAAATTGGTTTTGAGGAATAATAAAATACGAAGACTCGATAAAACATCATTTCGAAGTTTTCGGAAAATCAAAGAATTGGATATTAGTTATAATCAAATTCAAATTGTAGATGATTCTTGTTTTGAAACAATTGGAAATATGAATTCTCTTGATTTGAGTTATAATCGAATCGCGTTTTTGCCACGAGGAATGTTGAAAAACTTTGCGAAAACATTGAGAAAGCTAAATCTGGCTGAAAACACAATTCATCAAACACCAGAAGCACTTCGAGATTTGAGAAATTTAACACATCTCAATTTGGCTGGCAATAAATTAACAAGAATCGATAATGATTTGCTAAAAGGATGTAGAGATACAATGGTCGAATTATTATTATCAAATAATCATCTCGATCATATTCCTAATAGTGTTTTAAATGGAATGAATTCATTGGAACATTTGGATATTTCAAAGAATAAAATAAAATCTTTGAAAAAACAATCGCATACTTCGTCTGAAAGACACGAATCATCAACAGTTCGCCGTTTAAATTTGGCTGGAAATCGAATAACTAACATGAGCGATGTTCACATTTTCGAGCAAATGACATCATTAATATATATAGATGTTTCCTTCAATCGAATCAAATTTGTTTCTCCAAGAGTTTTTGAAAAAATCAAAAATCTCGAAAGTTTATTTCTTCAAAACAATCAACTTAAAAATTTCCCATCGTTATTTCGAATGGAAAAATTACGTCATTTGATGTTGGATAACAATCAAATTCAAAAAATCGACAATTTTTCGCTTTCCGATCTTCCAAAAATTGCAACATCTTTCTCTCGCTGGCAACCAAATAACAACAATTACAGAAAATGTGAGTTGAGCACTAAATATTCGATAAAACTTGTGTTTTTTCAGATGTTTGGATCATCCGAGTTGAAGTCTTTGAATTTGGCTCATAATAAGATTAGTACAATAACTAGTCGATCATTTTCGGATCTCGATAATTTACAACAATTAAAACTGAGTCATAATGAGATACGGATAATCCCATCTATGGTAAGAATATAATTAAAGGGGTGGTCTCAATTGAAAATGAATTTTTTCAGGCTTTCTCAAATCTACGTAATTTACGATATCTTGATTTGTCTCATAATCGAATTATCAAAATTCTGCCAAGTGCACTTTTCCAACTTCCCGCATTGGATATTCTTCATTTCGATCACAACAATTTACATGAAATTGATAGAGATGCGTTCCGATCATTTAATGATCTTCAATCATTGAAATTATCACATAATACTTTCCGCAAATTTACATGTGATTATCTTGGAAGTATTACACAAGTATGGCAATTGGATTTGAGTCATAACCAAATAAATGAGTAGGTTATTGAAACAATTCACACAAAAACTATTCTGTTTTTAGTCTCGACATTTCGTGTATTTCTCGTGGATTACGAAAATTGAGCATATCTTCAAACAATATCGAGAAAATTAATCGTAAATTATTCCAAGATGCAACAGAACTTATTTCTCTTGATGTTTCACACAATGGCCTTCTCGATATTGACAATGATGCATTTTCCGAATGTCGGAAATTGTCAATCGTAAAAATGTCGCACAATTATATCAAAAACTTATGGAAGGGGACATTCCAGTTTCAAGTTGGTTTTTGAAGAAAAAAATTATTGAATAACTAGATATTTTTAGGAAATGCTAACAACACTAGATATTTCTCACAATGATATTCAATTTTTACATCAAGGAACATTTGGAAAGAATAATTTGTTAGAATTATTTGCAAATAATAACAAAATATCTCGAATTCCAATTGAAGCATTAGCAACAACCAGTACATCGCTTCATTTGCTCGATCTTTCACAAAATACAATCAAGTAACATTATCAATTGAAAAAAAGAAGATTTTTGATTTGAACTTTCTTACAGATTAGTGGATTCAACTCAATTAACATCTCTCAATAATTTATCAATTTTATCTTTCGCAGACAACAAAATCGATTCAATCGAAGATGGAGCATTTGAAAAATTATTCAGTCTAAAAATTCTTGATCTTTCTAATAATCCAGTTACTTCATGGAGTCCAACAGCATTTCGAGATTTGAGTCATTCAATATCCACAATAAATATGGCAAATACAGGACTCTTTAGTATTCCAAAATTCAGTCACAGATCAATTCAATCACTAAATATTAGCTGGTAAGTAAAGGCATTTCAAAGTCTCGACAAAACATATTTTTGCAGCAACAAAATTTATGAAATATCTGATCGTGACTTTGCTCCACTATCAAAACTTGTTGCATTGGACATTTCACATAATAATTTAAAACAAATTCAACCATCTGCATTTGAGCAACTTATTCATCTAAAACATCTCAATATTTCATATAATCCAATCTCTCATTTAAATAATGATCATATTAAAAATCTACATCATTTGGAAACATTGCACATTTCAAATATGCCATTTTTAACAAGACTTCCCGATGCTCATATTTTCAATATTCTGAATAATTTGAAAAATTTCTATGTAAGTGATAAGTGAAAACAGATCATTTTCAAATGCTCAAGCATTTTTTCAGCTCTATAATATACCTTCTGGAGTAAAACCGTATGATATTTCATCGATTCTTGGAAATCTTCCACCTTTACATATTGCTCATATTGCTATAAAACAATCAATATTTGATAGACAAATACAAAATGCTGATACTCGATTACTTCGACATTTGACAATTGTTGGTAAAAATATGACAAAGGTAAGCTATCCTGGCTAATCTAGGAAACATTATATATTTGTAGATCGATAATAATGCATTTTCAACACTGAGAGGATTTCGTGTTCGAATTGAAATTCATAACACATCAATAACTGAGTTTCCCGAAAAGATATTCGAAACATTAACTGGTATTTCACTTTTATCATTAAGTTTGACTGGAAATCAGTTACAAACATTTCAACCATTTTCGAAAACAATTGCACCAGCCGTAAATCAACATGGGACTATATTACACTATATTGAATTGCAGGTAAGTATTATGAGTTCAGATTAAATTAGAAAAATAAAATGAATTTTAGGATAATCCTATAATTTGTGATTGTCGTTTCAAATGGATCGATGATTATATTCAATCAACTTCAAAATTATCAGCAGATAATTCAAAATCACATGATTTTGATAAAGTTGATTGCAAACCACTTCAAACTACATCAAATTTCGAGAATATCGCAACAGCTTTCTCATATATTTCAACACCTACACTTCTATCAAAAAATGATGACTTCGAAGTTGATTGTTTAAAAATATCTTCAAGAACAAATTTTCTGACCGTGTTTTTAATTGTTGGATTTTTTCGGTTTTTATAATTTAATTTAATAGTCTCTCTCTCACTTGATAATTATTACGGGTACAATTTTGTGAATATATATTTTTGTTAGAAAATAAAACACTTACCCAAGAAAAACTCGAAGATTGATATTTGAAAAGAAACCTTCTTTCTGGCAAATTTTCTCAATTTCATCGAAAGAACTTGAAGAACCTGTAAAAAACATTAATTATTTTATTTTATTTTAAAAAAATCGACTTTTACTTACCAAAAATACTATAGATTTGGGAAAAATACAATTTGAAAAAGAAGGTCAATTCATCACTTCGACATCCACCGATAACATAAATTATACCATTTCGTCTTGAAATTGCACCTTTTTTCTTTGGATTTGCAATCAATTTTCCATGTAAAATTCGCAACAAAATCGGAACAATAACAGGTCGATGTTCATCAATAACTTGTACATCATCTTCATCATTCGATAATTTGAAATAAATCAAAGTTTGACGAAGTTTATCTTCATCTATCAAATTATCCAAATTCTCTCGATATTGCGCCAAAATTGAACTTCTATACGAACAGATACAAGCCAATGCTGATTTTTGAAGTCCTTCATATTTTGTTGACAACAATTTTTCATACATTTCCAATAGTTTTGGTTCTAAATATGTTGCTTTTGCTGCGTTGAATTTTGAATAAACAATGAGAAGAGAATTGAGAGCTTTTAAAATATGAGCGATTTCAGTTCTTTTTTCAGATTCTTCTCCTTCATTTGTTTCTTCTTCATTTTCATTTTCTTCTTCTTCTTCCTCGTCTTGTATGAGATTTTCAATTTTCGCTGTTGAAGAAGTTAATCGATTGAAATCACTGAAAAATTGAAAATTAATTTTTAAAATTCTTGAAAAGTAACTTACTCATAAAGTTCTAAAACTAAAGGACTAAGAATTCTGGTTCGTCTTTCAGCAACTTCAGGAATTGATTCGAAAAAGTTATAACTTTGAATACGCGCATTCACAAAATCTGATCGATTTGATAAATCAACACCAATAATACGCCCATTTTCAGATAATCCAGTCTTTTCAGAACTTCCCTTGATATCTAAAATCATTTATTATTTCTTTTAACAATTTCACAGAAAACTCACGTTTATTAACATTATCAATCCATTGTCCAACAATTCCCCAAAACATATCAATATTCATTTCTTGAGCAAATTCTTTCAAAAGTTCGTGAATACCTTTCCAAAGTGGTGTGAAATTGACAAAAAATTGTGATAGTAGTTCAGTCAATACAATTTTTTCGACAATATCCGAACTTCCTTCTGGAATATATTCTTTATGTTGTCCGTGACGAAGTTTTCGGAAATGTAAAAGACGTTCTCTGAAGTTGATAAGTTCACTACTTTCAGCTTCAAATAAAACATCAAATGCGGATTTTGTTTGACACTGAACCTAGAAAATTATTGATGTTTATGACTAAAATAGTTGAAAAACAAACATTTCCGTCTTCATCAGTGATCGATTTCATTTTCAGCTTGAAGTTTCGCAAAATTTGGAGTGCAGTTAATCGAACATTTCCATTTGAATTCAAAAATGCAGGATAAACCAGTTCAGAAACTTTATTCATATATTCGACATTTTTCGAAACTCCCAAAACTTTGACAAACAATTCGAAAGCAAGAAGAGATGATTCGCAGCAATTATGTTTTCTGAATAAATTTCATATAATTTTTGAATTTAGCTATCATTTTTACCTTATGAATTGCTCAACAAAAATCATATCAATAGTTTTCAAAAGTTCCTTGTTGATCATATAAATTCCAGAAACGGCGGCTAACACAACTTGACTGTTTAATATATTCTTGTTGTCAGATTTGATGTATTTTTCAATTATTCTGATCACATTTTCTGTTCCATCAACATTTTTCGACTGAGAAAAAAGCCATGGCCAAGAAATAAGCATATCAAGTAGAAATTCATCATCCAAATCTGATTCCAAGTTTTTAACCAACCAATCACGATATGAAGAATGATGTGAAAGATCGAAAAAGTTTGAACGAGACTCTGTAATTAATTTATTTATAATTTGAATAGTTCCATTTGTTTTACCTCTATCAATTGTCTCTTTAATTGGTCGCCGTTGAGAACAAAGATATGCATAAAAACTTGTGATTTTTCGAAGAATACCATTATTATTTGCATCATTCTTGATAATTTCATCGGCAATTTTCCCTAATGATGGCATAAGATAAAGATCAAATGAATCCAATTCAATCAATTTCAAAAGCATATCAATAATAGCCTCATAATCGTTTGATTTTTCAACAATGCTCAAAGTAATATCCTTGGAAAATAGCCGATTTTTATCATCATTGAAAATTGTGAGAAGTGTTTCACTGATAAAACCAACAACATATTGATCCAATTTGAAATCGTCGAATTTGACCACATATTGAATTGCTGATCTTAATTCTTGTGGACATTCAAACACAACTTTTTCTGCGGTTTTGAACTCATTTTTGCCCTTTTTCCTTTTGTTCAAATTGTCTCTTTTCTTCTTTTTTACGATTTACTTCATTTAAAAATTCATCATCTGATGTAACAATACAAGGATGAAGAAGTCTCATCAAACAACTGGCTTCCAAAATATTCTTCGATTCACCAAGCATTTTCTGAAAACAAATAAAACCATATTTTCAGTTGGATTATAAGTTAGCATACCGTCAAAACATGATGATAAAAGAATCTGTTTGGATATGTAGACTTTTTTGCATATTCAATTGTATAACCAATCATTTGAATGAGTATTTTGAGACAAAACTCCTTGAAATCATCATTTGGTAAAGAAACAAATGAAGAAATAATATCTCGAAGATATTGAGAACTGTTGCTGTGAAATGTACCAGCAATACCAATATATGTTGTATAAAACAAAAGAGCGCAACCATCAGAAAGATAATTGTGGGGAGTCTAAAAATATATCATGAAAATTATTAAATAGAAAAAAAGCTTCACCTTATATGCTTGTTTGACGATGTACAATGATACTGATCGTAAATCACTCGATTTTCGTAATAAATATGCATATGATTCTGCTGCAAAACGTCTAACAAATCCACGACTGCTTGCAAAAAGTGGAAGAAAATGAACGAATGTCTTTTTGAGTTGTTTTGATAATGTTGTCGCTTGTACTTTTACTAGAACAGTTAGACAAAGATAAGCAGCTTCAACATTTTCCGGAATTCGCTCTCCGATATCTAGAATATTGATCAAAATCTCAAAAGATCGCCAACAATATTGATTGAATTTTTCACGAAGATCTCTAGCCAATGCCGATAAAATTCCACAGAAAGCAGGGATCGAATGACAATCTGGTTTGACAATATGTTCGCATAAAGATTCGAAAATGCTATCGGCTTTATGAAGAAGTTGAGCATAAGTTTTGATACTATTAGATTGAATTGAAACAACAAACGACTCTGAAATTTGTTACTCATTTTAATTCTTCAACTTAGTTTTTCGAAATGACTAACCTAGGTCGGGCCCCTGATCTTCAGCTCTCCACGTTTCCAGTGTATCTTCGAAATATGTCTCAAATGATGTTTCTGTGGCTAACTTTCTCGAAAATCTTCCATTATCACCTCCCATTTGTTCAATTCGCTCATTGAATGACAAAAACTTTCGCATTACTTTTGTCTTTCGCTTAGCTTCAGCATATTTTTCGAACAATTCATCTTCATCTGGAGAATCCATTTTGTTTCTGAAAAAATTATATTTCAACAAAAAGTTGAAAAACAAAAAAAATATAGAAATATAGCTTTGAATGTTATTATCGGTGAGGAAAATACATCCAACAAATCAAGATTTATTCTCTCCACTATCTAAAATCCGAAAACTATTTCAATACGCAACAGAAGCTGCTGAAATTTGAAAAATAGGAATCAAACTTTATTCGAAAATTTTGGCGAGAGAATGAAATGTTTGAAGAGATATCTCGAGACACAGACAAAAAAGCTGTTCATTGGAGCGCGCATGATGCAATGAGGCATTTCTTTTTTATTTTGTTCTCGCTGAGTTGAGCAAGTGTGCGCCAGCGAATAAGCGGCAGTTTTCAAAAATTATTTTCAAGGTTTGGAGCTGCAAGTTTGGGCTCAATTTGAGGCCTAATCAAGTTAATTACAGAGTAATAAATGGAAGCTGAATCGAAAAACAAAAATGGAACTCAATTCGGTTTGGTTGGCTGAAGTTAGCGCATGTTGGAAAAAGGATATCTAATATTAGGTATGTTCAACTTAAGTTTTCTCCTTCTTACCATCTATGTTCCAAACTATCTGAGTTAACCTTGGAGTAAATTTGCGAAAACATTGGATACAAAATTAAGAAATGACCTTCTTTTTATTTCACGTTGTAAAACCAAAAAACCACGTTGATATTTTTTTCCCCAAAAAAATGTTTATCTGATCAACGTGACCCAAATGACGTTTCAAAATTTTGCTTAAATTCGCTGAGAATCGTTCAGTCTCACAGTTTTTTCAAACTAACAACTAACCTCTACTCTAACTACTAAGCATGATGAATAACAACAATAACAATAACAATTGTGGACGCTTCCAGTGAGTACCGTAGTTTATATTTGCTGGGAGAATTCTTCAAGCTAAAATAAGTTTTTTCAGAAAACGCTCTCGTTCTCGCAGTATGTTCCGCAATCGAGATGCTCCACTTCCAATTGCTACTATCGATTCTCGTCTTCTCGAAATCAAACAACAACATCAAATGGCCGTTGCTCTCCCTTCTTTTGATTCTCCAGTTATAGCAAATGCTCCAGTTTCAGTCAATCCATTAGCTGTTGCTGCTCGCGAACTCAAATTTGCCTGTCAACTTGCTCATGGATCACCTGTTGCAATCATTGAAAAATGGTCAGATATGTCCGAATTGTATCAATCAATTGCTGATTGTTTTGATATCAATAAGAAAGATATTATTTATTTGACTGTCAATGATTTCAAAGTGAGTTAAATTTTCAATAATGTATTTATGATCAAAATTGATTATTTACAGCTTGATATGCGCAATTTGTTCACTGGAACCCTCAATTTCAAGGATATGCTTTATGCTCATATTCGTGGCCAAGCTGTCGAACTTGAACTTGTCAAAGATTCTGATAATTTTGGTGTTACAATCACAGATAATGGATTAGGAAATGCTTTTATCAAAATCATTAATCCTGGTTCAATTTTCCATCGAGCTTCTCCTGCAACAATGGTTGGACAATTAATTGAAAAAATCAATGGAGAAACTGTATTGGGATATCGACATTATCAAGTAGCAAAAATATTGAGATCAATCAAAAAAGGAGATAAATGCACACTTCGATTGATTTCACCAAAAACAGCAAATCAACCAATGAAAGAAGTTCGAAAACCAGCGAATGATTTGGTAAAAGGAACAATTCGATTCAAATCAGATGGTGGATTTGCAGTTGAAAATATTCAAGATCAAATGATCCAAGCAGAAATGTGTGGAAAATTGAACGAATTGTTTGACGCTTATCTTGGAGTTCAAGATGATCAATTGGCAATGAGAATTTGGGAAACTGCTGTTCACTGTAACACACTTTGGGAACTTAGTGATGCGATCAAAAAATCTGAATTGGCCATGTTTGATTTTCCTGATGGACTTGTTTTTGATATGTGGGGAATAATTGGCGATTTGAAACGCGAACAAAATGCTTCGAGAAGTTCTGCAATTCCAATTGTCAAGAATACTTCTCGTCAATCTGCTATGTCTATTTTTCACTAACTCAATGAATGTTTTTTTGTAACCCGTGAAATTGGCACCCGAAAATTTGAATAATTAGTATTCAGGTTAGTTTCAGTTTTGAAAAACAGTTTTTAAAAAAGATTTTGTCCATAGGCCTGGGTATCAAAAAAATGGGAATTTTTATTAACAAAAAATTGTTTACAATACTCAGGAACCCTGTCAACTGGGTTACTTTGCAAAAAAAAACTACAAAAAAATGAGCACAAATACGATGAGCAAAATATACAGAAAACTAAATTATTTGAGAGATTCTGACCCGTGAAATGAGTTTTAAGATTTCTTAACAAGATTTCGATGAAATGCGTGTTTGAATTGACAAGCAGCTGCTCGAAGTGTGAATGATTTTTCAAGAAGTCGAAGGCGATTTCCAAAATTTGAATTTTCTGATTGGTTTTCACATTCATGTTTCGATTCACAACATTTTTCGACTGATTTACAATAATCTGTCCAAACTTCAATGTTATCACAAGTAACTTCAGATTCATCAATTGGTTTGTGGACCAGACATTTTCGAGAAATCTTTAAAAAAAACCTTTGGTTTTTGATGATGAAAGTTTCAACTCACATTTTCCTCAACTTTTGAGATACATTTAATGAAATATTGTAATTTATCATTAGATGCTTCATCAATCAATCGGTAAAGTGGTAAAAGTTGAGCCGAACATCGATCAAATGGTTGCGGATATGGCTTAGCACATCGCATTCTCATTTCAACTTCTTTTCTCAAACATTTATCATATCTTTGGCAACCAGTCAAAAGTTTTCGTTTTTTATATTCATTCATTTTTTGCGCATTTTTTTTGTTGATTGGAAGAATAACAATTGGCCGCATACTGTAAGTAGATATTACAAAAAAAAGAATTCACAATTAACAAAGTAAGGGACCACATTTCTCAAAATTTGGTTCAACAAATGTGTTTTTTCCATTTTCTCACAAATCAATAGAACTTACTGTTGCATAACTTTTTGACCCATCATTTTTAATCGATGAACTTTCCGAATTGGAATTGGCCATAATTGATTGTTCAATTCAGTTGTTGTTACAAATGGAGACGGTGTAATCTGAAAGAATCAGAACTCGAATAAAAACACTTCCTTTCCTCTCTTTCTCTTACATCTTCGGTACCAAATCTATTGACAACATGAGGAAGTGGAATCAAATCTTCGATATTTTGTTCGCCCAATTTCGCCGCAATTAATGGTGTTGCAGTGGTTCTTACTGTCACATTTGATACTGTAGATTGTCCAGCAACATCTGCACTGATATCAATATAATCAGAATTTGCCGAAAAATCGAAATCTTCTTCATTACTCTCTTTTTCCAAATGTTTTTCTAATAATTCGTGTGTTATATAATCGACAAGTGGATCAACAACTGTTGGATTTACAGTTGTTGGAGGAAGTTGGGTTGTAGTTGTGGTTGAAGTTGTTGATGTAACAGTTGGGAACGTTGCTCTGGTTGGTGTAAAATCAAAATGTGAATTCGAATACTGTTGGGGTGGTTGTCGAGTCCAAGACGCTTCTGTAGGAATCTGAAGTGTCGTTGGTGGATAACTTGATTTTTGCGATTCAATAATATCATCATAAATTTGATCAATACTTGCATGTTTCTCAACCTGAAATCAAGAATTCAATGATTTTTCAACAAACCAACTTACATTTTCATCAAAGAAATCAGCAGCTTCGGAGCTCTTCTCAATTGGTCGAACAAATGGTTGAGCATATCCCAAAAACTTTCCCTTGTTTTGTTTCACCAAAAGCATTTTTGGCAAAAAGTTTCGACCGTACTCCCCTTTTTGTCTCAAATTTCTTGAGAGTTTGTCGAGTTTTACAGCTGCCTGAATATGTTTTTGTTGCTCCGAATCTTTGAAAAAATAACTCACATGATGTGCATCAAAATGACTCTTTTCAATAACTGAAGCTCTTTGAAAGTGCTGTTTTTCTCCACTTTTTGTGATTTTTCTTTTTCTGAATCTTCGTTTTTTGTTTTTTCGAATTCTCAATGGTGGTTTCGATTCAAAATCAATTGAGTTAACATGAGAGGAAAAGAAAGCGGGAGTTTGTGTTGTAGAAATTGTGTTAGTGTATCCTGAAAAAAAAAATGAACGCATGATGAATCTATTTCAAAAAAACAGAAATAGAAATCTGGAACTAAACCGCCAGAGAGTTTTCAATCCGGATCCGGTTTTGGGATCTGAATCCAGAATCCAGAATTCAGAATTATGGAAATCGGACCCTAAAAAAAGAATCAGTCCAGGACTAATTTTTTGAGAAAAAATTATTAAGGCTACATTTTAAAAAAATTTCGGATTCAGGAATTTAAAATTTGGACCTTTTGGTCTGATTCCTTTAAAAAAAATAGGCGCAGTCTGAAAGTCTACAGTAATCTAGGGGTAGAAAATTTGAAGATAGGTATTTTCCAGATGTTATAAGTTTGTTACCTGCATGCATAGATGTGAATGGACTCAAAGACGTTGTTAGTGGTAGATCTCCATCTTCAGTTTTTCCAACAATAACAGTCGCCTCGAATTTTTGCTTCGAAATTCCATAGCGATGTTCTGAAATTACCCAAAAATTTCAAATGTTCTGTTTTTTTCTCTACATACTTAATGGTCTTCTAAATGGTCTTCTAAAACCAGTCGAATCAGTCGGAGCTGCATTCACAACTCTTTTCGAATTTTGCAATTGGGGATCAGGAAAAATTCGAAAAGGTACCACTGATTTCAATAACTCTCTTGCGTTTTCATTCACTTTCATCGCAATAATTCCATCATCTCTCGAGATTGGAGTTCGACGAAGTGATTCCATATCTTCGACACAATTCTCCAATAATCCTTTCAATTTTGTTTTCTCATTTTCGTATATTTGATGTGTTTCTGTTGATTGAACTTCATGATAACATCTTTAGAAAATAAAAAAATATTATTAATTTGTGATTTAAAAAAAAAGTGACAAACCTTTGAGAAGAAGGGCAACATCTTGATAATGCAAAACATTTCTGAGTCATTCTAATTAGCTCACTCCAACAATTAGCAGATGTATAATGACTTGGTATTGCATTTTGTTTATCAGCTGAACATTCTGGTTCAATTTCCATCAGCAAATCAATATCACTTAATGCGCTAAATCTTTTAGTACAACTCGAAAATATTTGTTCAATTTCATAACTTGTTGATTTATGTTGTCCAAATAGATTCATTATTTTACACGCGTGTTGTGTTGTTCTTCTTGATACTTCAGCACATCTCCAATGCATTTCAAGTAACTCATTTCGACAATCTACGTATCGATCACATCCATTCTAAAATATTTTCGATTTTATTATTTTGATTTTTGATTTCCGAAATTCTCTGTGATGGATGAAATAATTGATGTTCAAACATCGATTTTGTAAGCTATTTTCTCAGAAATGTTCCTGAAGTTAGTCTAATTGTCGAAAAGCGGCATGTACATAATTATAAAAATACATAAATGCCGCTTTTTTATTCAAAAAAAAATGTTCCGTGTTGGAAGAGTCTGTAACTTTGACAAGCTAAATTACGTATCTAAAAACAAGTTGCATTTTTTGCAGAACAGTAAGAAAATCTGACGTCATACCAAAAATTGAACAAATCCCCTCAAAGTTTTTTTTTATTCAAAACTTTCAATTGTTTATACAACTGGGTGGCGCGCAAGTCTGGCTTTTTGAATAGCAGAAGAATCGCGCAATAATTGCCACAATTAACACAAACATTTCTGGGTATAATACCGTTGGATGTTCAAGATGAAAAAAAATGATGATGTTGAAGTTAGAGAATCTGACCAAACCATAGGAAATTTGGAACTTTTCTTTGGCAAACTAAAAATAAAACACATGGAAAAATAAATTTTGTCTATTTGTAGTGAATTTTTAATCTATTTAAATTAACTTGATTCTTCCCAAATAAAGAAAAAACTTCTAGAACTACAAGGATTACTGTATCTCAAAACTGAAGACTGCAAAGTAAACATACTGTAGTCTGAGGATTACTGTATAAAGATTAGTTGAGGGGGCCTCTAAACGGTATTCCGGTATTCATAAACTCTAAACTGAACCAATTTTTTGGAGAATTTTCGGGTGTAGCTCTTCGGAAGAGTGATTTGAAAAACATCCCAAATCCCCTCAATCAGCTTCAAAAAAATCCAACTTCTCCCCCAGAAAAAAAGAACAAACTTTTCCAATGTCATCCGATCCATCAACAATTTGCAAAACTCCAATCAAAACAATCGCCCATCGCCATTTCGTTTTTCTCGCCAAAACCTCCATCATCTCTCTCTGGCTGGAGGTTGTATTTCCACCAAAATCTCAAACAACAACAAAAATAATTTTTTTTGAATAATTAAAATCCAGAATATGTGTACGAATATAATTATAACACACTGTGTATTTTGTTGAAAGAAGAATTGTGTGGGATGAAATGACCAGTTTCTTTTCGAAATTAGATTTTGTCGGGATCGGATCGTATTATTATTCAACCTAACATAAGTTTTCAACAATTTTTTTGGTCGAGGTCAAAATGTTCTAAGCGTGCATGTTTGTAGTTCGCTCAAACATTTCACGCCTCATTATATAATTCGGAAATGGTGGTACAAAGTTGTGAAAATCCAAAAAATTGTATACATTTTTTTTGCTGTATCAAAAAATTTTGTTTTGGGAAAGAAAAGGGGGATTCTAGAAGAAATGTACTTTGTTAACAAATAGAAAAATAAATAAATAATGTTTCAAATCAAATGCCATTACAAATATTTAATTTGGATAAATACAAAAATTGGCAATCATTAAATAAACTTGGCTTTCACTAAATAAAACGGAAACACGAAAAAGGCAGGTATTTTTTATTGTAGTTTGGTTGTGTTTGATGGATTACTGTAATTATAGTCTAGTTCAAACCCTTTTTTAATTGAACTTGAAATTTCGGGAGGAGAAGTTGATTGACGACACATAAAAATAAACAGAATTTTCTAACTAACAGCTTATTTTGTTACATAATCCATTAGAAAATTGGTTTAACCTAGAAAACTTGATCGCATAGTAGTTAATTGAAAAAGTAATAGTATATTTAACATAGCTATTTTAAAATCTAATTAACTTCTTCTTATAAAATGAAACTTTTGGAAAAGTGTAAAAATTTACAAAAAAAAACTCAGAATTTCATTTTCTTCCTGAAAAGAAATTGAAAATGAGAAAAAGAGTGAAAATGAAATGAAATCAGATTTTGACACGGGGTGCCTACTTTCTCTCAACACCTTCTATTTTTGCGATATCCGGTCGGATATCGAGAATATTTGAGAAAGATTGAAATCTTCCTGAAATTTATTGCGAACAGCAAAAAAAGATATTAGAAATAGATAGATTTATTATGTGAATTTATGAAAAATGGATATTGAATTATGGGATTTTGGAGGAGAAATACCGTTTCAGGAAAAAAAATTTTGGGGAAATTTTAGGTTGAAAATTTTGCAGAAATAAAGTCCCAAAAAATTGCAAAAAAAAACTGAAAATGTTTGTTGCACATTGAGAAAATGAGTTCTGAAACTATAAAAAAAACTGTAGCTCAACAGAGTTCAAGCAAAATATTTGGAAAATTTTATCACTTTTTAGTACAGTAACTCCAGGATTAATTTCATATTTAAAATTTCCCAGAAAAAATGTCCCTAATTTTTGAAATTTTTTTGGAAAATAAATATTCTAAATGTTTTTTTTTGAAAAAATCAAAAGTGAAATTCTGTTTGGAACATTGATCGAAAATGTCCACACCCCAAAATTTCTAGCTAAAACTTTAGGATTTTCTAGAGTCACTAAATTTGAATACGGTAATTTCAGGATTAATTTCAGTTTTTTTTACTACAGACAAAACATCTGAATAAAACTTTCCCAAGAAGCCGAGAAAAATGCAACTACAGTAATTTTGAAACAGTGAAAAAGATCAAAGTATACAACCAAATAAATCCTTCTCATTGAGAAGAGAAGATCATCTGAAACTCCGCCCATTTTCTAGCTAATCGCCTTCCCGTTTTTTCTTTCCGCCATCGTACTAATATTTCAATTGTTATGCAACTTTTCACAGAAGCAAAATAGTTTTTGATTGATTCGAGATGACAAAAAAAATGAAATTTACCGGTTCGGTTCGCATTTTCTGGATTCTATACTAGTTTTGATTATGAGACTTTTTTTGAAAATGTATGAATTGTGAGAAAATGTTGTTTCACAACACAAAAAAGGCCAAAAAAGAAACTTCAAGGAGAAAATCTTTTTGAAGAACATCATTCTCGACGGATAAAATTTCGCACTTTGATGAATGGCTTTTGAGACATTTTGACTGTTCGATGGAAAATAAAAATAATTCATTTAAAATTATGATACAGACAGAAAAGGGTTCAACAAAGAAGAAAGTGCATAAACCCGTAAAAATAGAATTTTGAGATAGAAAATATTTAGATTTTGAGAAATGAAGATCGTCGGGAATTGTTACAACATTCCTTTGAAAAATCTATTGTACAATGATGGATAACTTTTTGAAAAGTTTTGAAGTTGTTTGGTCTTTTCGGACAATGACATTTTAGTGTCGTTCAACATTGTCTGGAAAAATTGCAATTTTGAGGTGTTTTCTCGTGTTTTCAAAAAAACATTTCTGAAAAATGGAAATTTTCAAAAAAAAATTTTCTATATCATATTTTTCATAAAATCTCACCTCTATCATGGAAACCAACGCATCTTCAGTCGGGTTCAAATCCGATCTTCCATCATTTTTCTGCTCCCTTTCTCGAAGACTTTGTTTCGGAGCAACCGCATATCTAACTGGAGTTGTTGGCTCTTCGTCATTTTTGCATTTCCTGGAAAAAAATAACTAACTAAAGGATGTCCACAAAAAACGGAGTATTGCAACACTTTTGTCATTTTTTTCTTCTAAAAATCGATAGTGATTACAATACTCCAGAAAAAGCCAATCAACATGCAGCAAAAAAAGGTGAAATCATGCAAAAAAGGACAAGTGTTAACAAGAAATGATCATGCTTGATTTCCTACTTTTTCTGCGACATTCTGCGTTGATTGATCTCATTTCGATATACTAACTTTGATTTCAGCGATTCTTCGAGTTGTTTTGGCATTTTTCCGAGTCGATTCGCATTTCTCAAATCAACCATTGTCTAAAAAAATTTGAAATTAAAAAAAAGATTGCTCAGATTAAAAATTCAGTGGAAGACCTTTTGTAGGTATTTCTCAGAGATTCGCTGGCCAGCTCGCCACCAGATCGCTGCGGCCACCTGGAAACCGCATGGCCGCCAGGTCGCCTTGAGTTTTCCGGCGACGTGGCCTGTGTGTTTGAAATTCTGGAAAGCTGGCAAGACAGTGGTTTGTACTCAAAACACTGCATTTTCTACTGTTTTTTTTCACTTCCTAAGGTTTCAAGTGCTGCGAAAAAACAGAAAATGAGCCAAATTTTTCGAAAATGCCTCAATTCACAAGTTTTTCAGACATTTTCATGAAAATTCATTTTGACGCGGCGAAGTGGCCACCACATGGTAGCCATGTGGCCGTGACCTAGCCAGAGCCTGGCCACCTTGCCAGCGAAAAAAAACCGGGCGACATGGTTTCCATGTGGTTCCCAGGTCAGCCAGCCTCCCCACCTGGTGGCGAGCTGGCCAGCGAATCTCTGAGTTTTAAAAATACATTTTTGTATTTTTTAGGATTGCTCATGTTTAGGATTGCTCATGTTAGCCAAATTTTTTGATTTCAAAATTATTTCCTAAAAACCCACCTCAATCAGAATATCTTGCTGAATATTTGTCAAACATCCTTTGGGAAACATAAAGTGTCGAATTTCTTCAACAATTACATGATAATTTTCTTTGTGTCGTGGTTCTTTCTGAAAAAAAAATGAATTTTCCAATTTCTTTCGATTCAAAAAACCCTTACCCTTCCCAAATAAAATGGACTTCGTAGATCTTCGACCGAATCAGTTCGCAATGTTAATTGAAGCCATTGAATGATATGATCGATTGTTTCACGAACTGGACTTGGAATCATCAAAAACAAATATAAAACGGCGAGATTGAGTTTCTCCTCACAATCGAAATTTCCAATGAGTTGTTCGGCGATTTTTTTGAGAACAGGTCCAAATTCATTTGGAAACAGTGGATTTTCCCCATTTTTTGTGACTTTTTCAAGTCTTTGCGCAACCGCCGTCAAAGCCGCTTTACACCATACGAATAATTGCATTGCTTTTCCTCGTTCCGATTGTATTTCTAAATAAAGCATTGGTGCGCAAAGTCGAGCCATTTGAAACCAAGCAGAAGCTGGTCGAATATAAGGATGAGTTTCGATTAAAAGATCCATATCATCTTCTTGTCGAATATCTAATCGCTCTTCAGAACTTCCAATCTTCATTTTTTCCATAATTGATGTTAGGAAAGATGCATTTTTCTTCGTATCATCAATTGGCAAAGCGATATCTTCCAAAAAATTCAACATCAACAATACTCAAAAGATGAAAAAGAGCAAGTTGATATATTTCAGCTTCTTCGTCTTTCAAACCTTTTTCGGCTGCTTGTTTCGCCTTTTTTCTCATTTCTATCTGATGTTGAAAAAAGACTCAAAGTCGACTTCAAAAATGTTGATTCTTTATCATCTCTTCCTCTCGAATTTGATCGATTTCGTTTAACAAGTGGCGAAAATAATCGTTTGAAACTGTTGTTTCTTCGAGTTGATCGACTTTGCAAAGAATTTGTGTCAACTTCGGTCATTTTTGTTGATGATGCAGGTGAGTTCGCATAGAAAAGTCTAGAATAAAAATATAACTGCAATAAAGATGATGCTAAACTTACGAAGAATCATTTTCAGTCAATATAAAATATGTTCGATCACAATCTACAAATGTCTTAACATCTGGATGAACCGATTTCAATAAACTATTTGACCTCCAAAGTTCTAACAAAAGAACTGCATTTTTCCTTCCAACATCTTCTCTCTTGAAACTATCCTTGTTTTTTAGAATATACGCTTCCATAATATCGGTTGCTTCTTTTCCGGTGAATTCTGAAGAACTTCGAATCGCTCCAATACTTCGTTTGAAATAATCTTGCATTTTTTCCATGGCTTCTTTTGCTTTGAATTGCGATGGCTTTGCCGCATTTTCTTTGTCTGCAAAAAATTTACACTTGCCAAAAAATTCTTTGAAAAAAAAACAAATTATTTACCTTCGTTTTCCGGAGCCGGTTCAATTCGAATAAAACTTCTTTGCGGTTTCATTGGTGGTTCTTTTCGCAAAACACCTCGTGGCGGTTTTGACGGCGGAGATGGTGTATCTTCAAGTAGAATGACATCACGATAGGATTTAGATTGAGAAGAGAAAGACATGCAGGTTATACACAAGGGTTTTCTTTTCTGGGAAACATAAAATTTGGGATGACGTTTGAAAAAATACGGGGGAAAATACGAAAAGCAGAAAAAAATGAAATTTTTATTTCAAACGTACAGCGTATCACCTGTAGCTACACAATTTTCGGATAGCAATTAAATGACCGCTCTATAAATATTATTTTTGAATCCGTAGCTACGCCGTTTCTGTTCTGTAGAGCGCGCTTTGCAAAGCAAAACTGACAGGCGGGGAGGGACGAGCTTTTTTATCGGGGCATAGGCCGCGCGGGAATTTTTAAATTGTTCAGTTGTGTTGCGCGCCAGTTTAGCAGACCACATTGATGTACAAATACCGTTCATTTTTGATGTTTTTGTCACTCCCGTTTGGAAAATTATCTGAACGTATAATATGTGTAGTATTTATCTGTAGTATACTCTCTAGATTTCTCTTCCGCTTGAGTTCAAAATTGTTGTGAAATAGCTTTATTTACAGAATAATGAGAGAGATTGTTCACGTCCAAGCCGGTCAATGCGGTAACCAAATCGGTTCCAAGTTCTGGGAAGTGATATCAGACGAGCATGGAATCCAACCAGATGGAACATTCAAAGGAGAGAGCGATTTGCAGCTCGAGAGAATTGATGTCTATTATACCGAGGCGAACAGTAAGTTTTTGATGTCGTTTATATTCATTTTTATTGCAGCAAAACAACTTTTTCAGATGGAAAATATGTGCCACGCGCAGTTCTCGTTGATTTGGAACCTGGAACAATGGATTCAGTTAGATCCGGACCAATCGGACAACTTTTCCGTCCAGATAACTTTGTTTTCGGACAATCAGGAGCCGGAAACAATTGGGCGAAAGGACATTATACCGAAGGAGCTGAACTCGTCGATAATGTTTTGGATGTTATTCGCAAAGAAGCCGAAGGTTGTGATTGTCTTCAAGGATTCCAGTTGACACATTCTCTTGGTGGAGGAACCGGATCTGGAATGGGAACACTTTTGGTCTCCAAAATCAGAGAAGAATATCCAGATAGAATCATGAGCTCTTTCTCTGTTGTTCCATCTCCAAAAGTCTCTGACACCGTTGTCGAACCTTACAATGCCACATTGTCAGTTCATCAACTTGTTGAGAACACCGATGAGACTTATTGTATTGACAATGAAGCTCTTTACGACATCTGCTACAGAACTCTCAAACTCACCAATCCAACATACGGAGACTTGAATCATCTTGGTAAGTTTTTTTCAGATTAGTTTTCGAATATATACAATGGAATTTGTTTCAGTTTCTCTCACAATGTCTGGAGTCACTACTTGCCTTCGATTCCCAGGACAATTGAATGCCGATCTCCGCAAACTTGCTGTCAATATGGTTCCATTCCCACGTCTTCACTTCTTTATGCCTGGATTTGCTCCATTGTCCGCCAAGGGAACACAAGCTTATCGTGCATTGACAGTCGCTGAATTGACTCAACAAATGTTCGACGCAAAGAATATGATGGCTGCTTGTGATCCAAGACACGGAAGATATTTGACTGTTGCTGCAATGTTCAGAGGAAAAATGTCGATGAGAGAAGTTGATGAACAAATGCTCAATGTTCAAAACAAGAACTCATCATACTTTGTTGAATGGATTCCAAACAATGTCAAGACAGCAGTTTGTGATATTCCACCAAAGGGATTGAAAATGGCTGCCACTTTTGTTGGAAACTCAACTGCTATTCAAGAGCTTTTCAAGCGCATTTCTGAGCAATTCACTGGTGAGTTCCCGATAACTAATTGAAAATGAATAAATATAAAATATCCAATTTCAGCTATGTTCCGCCGCAAAGCTTTCTTGCATTGGTATACTGGTGAAGGTATGGATGAAATGGAATTCACCGAAGCCGAATCCAACATGAATGATTTGATCTCCGAATATCAACAATATCAAGAAGCAACTGCCGAAGATGACGGTGAAGGATATGTTGATGGAGAGGGAGAAACTTATGAATCAGAACAATAATTAATTTTTTGTCTCGCATATTTACCATCACATTTGTGTCGAATAACTTATGCAACGTTTTATCTTTTGTTTACTGAACAAAAAATATTTTTATTCCACAAAATCTCTTTTCCAATCATGTCACGAACACCCCGTTTTTGCCACGTATCTCAAATATCGCTCCGAGACCTTTTATTACACGTCACGTGACACGTAATGCGCATTTTTCTCATTTCGAAAATTTCAGATTGATCTCACAATCAGAATTTATCTAGGAATTATTGAATAGGCTTGTGGAATGAATGATGCAATAGCTTCATCTAGTGAAGATGCAGTGCCTTCAATTTCTTCACGAAATCAACGGTCAAGGTAATTATTCCTTTTAAATTCAAGGATCTAAATAGATATTTCAACTTTTATTGTTTAGGAGACGTGGATTTTCCTCCTCGTTGTCCACATTTTCCCACGGAAGATCCAATTTTTCATCTGGAACTCTTCCAAATCGAAAAGATGAAGTGATGCCTGTAAATACATTATCAACCGGACATTCGTCCAAAATTCTTGTTCGATCGTATAGATTGGATAGAAGTAGAAAAACACAGAAGTCGATTTTGATGCCAATCGGAAGAATACATAATTTGTCTGAAACGGCGTGCGGATCGGAGAATGAGAATTCTCAAGATATTGTATCGTCTTGTTCGACAACAAATCATGCGGATGTTGAAGAAGGCGATATTACGAGTAATGAACATATTGGTTAGTTTTCGAAAAGTTCCCTAGTTTATATATGAACCTATCCCTTTTCCAGGTTCTCAAGTTGAATCGTCTTCACCGCCTGGCGAATCTCCATTTCCATCTGTCCATAGTTCTTATGTTGATCGTTTCACATATCCAACAAATCGAATGTATTGGAATGATTCGATCTTTCAATTCAAACAACAGCAGCAACACCATCAACATCAACAAAAAATATATGGAAGTACGGCAAAAAGATTCTCGCTTCCATCAACACATATTTTGTATGAACGAAATCGACATCGCGATTGCTCAAATATTGCTGAACAAGAAAAAGTGACGGAAATGTTGAGAGCTAAAGCAGCAGAGAATAAATTGGTTGCGGAAGATGAAGCTGAAATTGAGGAATATACAATAGATCGAAATATTATGTGAGTTTTGTATTTTGGCTAGATTTTACAACATTTTTCTATTTTTTTTCAGAGATAAAGAGCTGAAAATACGAATAACCGGTCCTTTGGACAACGAAACATTCGGCTATCTTAACTCGGATATCGATTATATGAAAGATTTTTTCGCGAATTTACTCAAAGAATCATCGGTGGATCAATTGACTTGGGAAAAAACTGGAAATGTTCCGAGAGCAACTTATGAAGAGCAAGCATATTCGATTGAAGCCAATATTACATTACGAGAAGATCTTGGATTTGTTGATTTGTGAGTTGATAATTTTATTGTCTAGAAAAAATGAGACAGGAAATTTTAAAATCAGTGATTTCTCAGGCAAGACATGTTCATCAATTTCCTCGAAGAATCATCAAAACGGCTTCAATGTATGCTCCACGATCAACCGTTTTTCGAAATTCCGAAATTTTCGAATATTTTCCCCAGAATTTTGTAAGTCCTATGTCATTTTCATTTGTCATTATTTTTTTACAGTCCTCAACATTCGGATGTTCCTTTATCAACAATTGCAATCGGAAATTGCCCAAATCAAGGTGTTTTTCTTGTTCGAGGAGATTATATAGCAAATGAAAATGCGATTTGTAGTCTGTAAGTTTTTTTGCTCTGAAAATAGTATTTACTTCATGATATTTTCTAGAAATTTATATCCGCCAAACTCAACGGATGTTTCAAGAGAAAGTCATGCATTCAAAGTATCCGGAACTAATCAATCTTTATCATTTGCGAAATTTGAGCACGACAAGCGACAATTAATGTTGTATTTCGGAATTCGACTTCCTGATGTACCTCAAGATGGATTGGAATATGCTGGATATCGATTGAATCTTTATTATAATTCATTTGTTCGAATTGTTGTTGATTTATCACAAGAGAAAACGAATAGTTTTTATATTCAATTGAAACATCCTCCGCAGGTAATCTCATCTTTCTCAGAAATAATTTTCTAATAATTATTCATTTTCAAGTTATGGGAAGCGATTCCGAAATCATCAGTATATCATCCATCAAAAGCTCGTGTATTGAACATGGAAACGTGTACAGATTGGGTTCGTGTTTTGAGTTGGCCTGGAGATGCGGATAAACGTGGAATTGGATGCTCTGAAGAAGCTTTTGCTCAAAGTTGTTGGATTCGAATTGTTTTTCGAAAAGATTCGGAAAGTGGATTTGTAAGTTTTTTTAATTTTAATTTTTTTTAATCAACAAAATGTTCTAGAATGTGTCGCATCAATTTATGGAAATTGCCAGTCGATTATCAGCTAGAAGTTCAGCCAAACTTCAATTTGGTTCAATATTTTCAATTCGACGCAAACTTACACCAACTCCTCCGATTTGCTCATTGGGTTCATTTCGAGCCGATTATTCATTACAGGCATTAATAACAAGAGGAAGTGTTGTAACAGATCAACTGTTTGATTGGGCTTCTACCCAATTTCCAAGTGTTAAAGGAGAGCCAATTGAATTAGAAAAAGAGCCAATGTTTTTGAAAATTGTGCGAAGAAGTATGAAAGAATGTTCGAGAGCTTGTGAAGAAACATTGGAACAATTATTGAATTCAATTGATGAACGAAGAGTTATTGATTTACTTGATGCCTTTTACACACTTTTCAAGGTAAAATATAATTCTCTGGCGAATTTTTAAATCAATTTTCAGTCGAGACGAGATCAATACGAACGTTTATTGAGTGGCGAACGTATTCAAGACATTGGACTTTCAAAACCTCTTCCTAAAAATTGCGTAGCAGTTCCGAAAGTTATTGTTTGCCCAACTCGTGTTCTTCTAATGGCTCCAGAAGTTATGATGATTAATCGAGTTGTTCGAAAATTTGGACCGGATTATGCTCTTCGATGTGTTTTTCGAGATGATAATGGAGGTCGATTGGTGCTTCGTGATTTTTCGCTTGGAAATATTGATCGTGAGTTTTTTTATAGAAAGCATTCATAAACTAAATAGGTTCCCCTAGCCATCTTTTTTTTTTTAATTTTTAACAGTGTTAAAAAATAAATTTGAGTTGAAATAATTTTTAACATTGTTAAAAAAAATAAATTTGAGTTGAAATAATTTTTAACATTGTTAAAAAAAATAAATGTGAGTTGAAATAATTTTTAAGTTTTTTTATCGGAAACATTCATAAACTAAATAGGTTCCCCTAGCCATCTTTTTCAGTTAGCTTTGAAAAATTTCCAAAGTTAAACCCTTTTTTCCAGATATTTCAAATATTTTCTCTGAAACCATCTATAATACACTGAAATATGGAATATTTATTGCTGATCGAGTTTATAGTTTTCTTGGCTGGAGTAATTCACAAATGCGTGATCAAGGATGTTATTTATATGCCCCGAAAATTGATCCAAATACTGGAAAAATGTCAGGAACTGTTGAAGAAATCAGAGAATGGATGGGTGATTTTCGAGAAGCAATAAGTGTTCCAAAAATGATGAGTCGAATGGGACAATGTTTTACACAAGCACAACCAACTGTAAAATTGATGAAAAAACATTGGATTGTTGAATATGATATTGAAGGAGGATATAATAATAAATATTGTTTTTCTGATGGATGTGGAAGAATATCATTCAAATTAGCGCAAAAAATCACAAAAATGTTGAATTTGAAAGAAGTTCCTGCGTGTTTTCAAGTGCGATTCAAAGGATTCAAGGGAATTGTTGTGATTGATCCAATGATTGATGAGATAATTGATATGCCAAAAATCATATTTCGAAAAAGTCAACGGAAATTTTTGGATGGATCTGGTGGAATGACGCCGGATTATTTGGAAGTTGTCAAATATGCAATGCCTTCACCAGTTTGTTTAAATCGACCATTTATTACAATTCTTGATCAAGTATCGGAAAAACAATCGGCTTTGTTGCATCAGAAAATTGTTGCAAGAGTTCATTATTATTTGGAAAGAGAATTGTCGCTTTTAAGCAGTTAGTTGGCCATTTTTACAGGGGAATTCCATAACAATTCAGTTTTATGGATTTTTAAAAATTCGATACTGTAGACACGTTTTTGGAGCATTTTAGTTTTTGCCGGGTTTCCGAAAAAATGTAATTCAGATTTCCTCAATGATATTTTTGCAGATATGTTGGTAAATGAAAAATGTGCGGCCGAAGAACTAATGAATAGATCAAATCTACCAATCGATTGGATTCATGCAAGTGCATCTTGTGGTTTCCAATTAACAACAGATCCTTTTATCCGAAATATGATTGTATCAATTTATCGCTATAATATTATTCATCATATTTCAAAAGCCAAAATATTTCTACCCGGAAATATGGGAAGATCAATGTATGGTGTTGTTGATGAAACTGGTTTACTTCAACATGGTCAAGTATTTATACAATATTCACCTTCGCTACGACAAACTAGTAAGAAACCAATTTTACTTAGCGGCAAAGTTTTGATCACAAAAAATCCGTGTCATGTTCCTGGAGATGTTCGAGTTTTCGATGCAGTTTATCAGCCATCACTTGCACATCTTGTTGATGTTGTTGTGTTTCCACAACACGGACCACGTCCACACCCAGATGAAATGGCTGGATCCGATTTGGATGGAGATGAATATTCGGTGATTTGGGATCAAGAGATGTTGTTGAATTACAATGAAAAGGCTATGATATTTCCGAGTAGTAGTGCAATTGAAGAAGATAAAGAACCAACGACTGATGATATGGTTGAATTTTTCCTGAAATATTTACAACAGGATTCGATTGGTAGAATGAGTAACGCGCATTTGGCATTTGCTGATTATAATGGACTTTTTCAGTGAGTAACAACTATTTTTTTTTTATTTTTGAAGTTAATTTTTAATTTTTGAAGTGAACATTGTCATTCAATTGCATTGAAGTGCTCAGTTGCTGTTGATTTTCCGAAAAGTGGAGTGCCAGCAGAACCATTGGCAAGTTATGAACAATGTGATGTGACACCTGATTATATGATGTCTGGTGGAAAACCAATGTATTACAGTACTCGATTGAATGGTCAATTATATCGGTTAGTGAAATTTGGGATTTTTTAAATTAAAATTTGGGTCTCAAGGCGTGTTTTGGCCAAACTTGGAGTTTTTCCAATGAATATTTTTTTCTTCAGAAAAGCTCGAAAAGTTGAAGAAATATTGGAAGAATATGAAAGGCGTGGAAGTATTTTCGAAGGAGATTATGATAAAATATTGTGTCCAGATGATATTGATGTATTTCATGGAAATGAAAAATCACTTTGGGCTGCAGTTTCTATCAGAGATGATTATTCGAGAAGAATTCAGGTATACTCTACAAAGTAGTTTGTTATTATTTTTCAAAAATATTTTATTACAGCAATTATTGGATGAATATGGAATTGAAGATGAAGCATCAATTGTTAGTGGACATGCAGCAATTATAAAAAGATTGGCCGGAATGGAAAAAGATGATTATTCATTTTATCATACGGATAAAGTTGTTGAATTGAGATATGAAAAATTGTTTGCCACATTTCGCTATAAGTTTTTCGAAGAATTTGGTGGAGAAGATGAACACACGGTGACGGAAAATCGAAAGAGATATGTGAGATGTACGACTGCGATGCACGAGAAAATACGACAGTGGTATTATGTTTCGTATGTTATGCCGAGGAAAAATAAAAGTGGATCGAAAGTTGGACAAAGTTTACCATGGGTTGTTTGGGAGGTTTTGTGTGATTTGAGACGGAAATTGGTGAGTTAAAGAAGTGTACCGCTGGTCAGAATTGTTTTCGGAATTTTGTCCTGTCCTTGACCTCCGGAATATCCAACAGTTCCGGCAGAATTTGAGTGAATACAGTATTTCCGAACTGCAAATAGATACAGTATATCTCTGCCTGAATTCTTTCAAAATACATAAATTTTTGAAATGCAAAAAAATTATATTAGTTACAGTATCCCCGAAGTAGATTATCGGGATTTGCAAATTAGGAAAAAAAATTGGAAAATTGGATTTTCCGAAAATTATTCTGACCAGCCCTTTTTCTTTTTTTTTTCGAAATGTTCATTTTTCCAGATTCTTGATAAAGATCAACCAATAATTAGTATCAAATATCCAATTGCAAATCGATTTGTCGAAGAAATTCAGAATTCAATTGTTCAAAAACCAAACGAATTCGAAAAATTCAAAATTCGAGTGCAAACGGACAAAAAAGCATATGCAATAAAAAGGTAAACACATTTTGAAAGATCATATTTATTTGGCATTGAAAAAGGGTGCTCAATGTTGGGCTGGTTTGGCTTGTGCTCCTTCGACTGGAGCGGCACCTCCCAAAAGTCCGTAGACAAGGGCTTTCGAGAACAAGAAACTTCCGACAAGCAAGATTTGGTAGAGGTGAAGCTGGAAAAATTAGAGAGTTATTAGGGGGATTAGGGTTAATTGGGTTGTTACCTTTTGTGGAGCTTGCAAGTTTTTGAATGCAATTTGGAGAGTGATAGCTGCGGCTGCGGTGTAAAGAAGAGCAAGCAACAAATAGGAACCAGAAAGAGCTCCGCCTACAAGACCAACAACAAATTGAGCAGCAAATGATGCTCCCAAAATTCCTCCAAGAAGTGGTGCGTGAGCATTTCCAACTTGTCCAGCAACCAATGGATAAGCAAAAGCAATAACGAGTGGAGTGATGAAACCAAGTGGTTGACCAGCAATATAAGTATAAGCAATAGCGTGTCCGAGGAGAAGTCCTTGAGCAATTGCCAAATATAAGAGTTGAGAGCGGGTTTCGGCGGTGCTTCCGTCAGCTTCGCGGAGATAATAAGCGGCTGAAATTGGCAAGATAACTGAGGCCAAAAGACCGGCACCGAATCTTCCGAGGAAAACACCGAGAATTGGCGAGAGCAAATAAGCGCTGACAATTGAGGCGATTCCCATTGCAAACAACAAAATCGACGACCATCCCATCAATTCAACAACTTGTGCTGGCGCCAAACTAATTGGTGCTTCAGTGTCTTTCAACGAATTGACAATTTCTTGAGTTTGTGGTTCAATTTGTGATTGAAGTTGTTGCAATTGAGCTGGAACATCGGCTTGCAAAGCGACAGCTCGCTGACGCAATCCTTCAACAGCCGCTTGAATATCATTGACATAATTCGAATAGGTTTGAGTAACCAATCCAATTGATGCATCTCCTTGTGCTCCGGCTGCTGCGGCTGGTGCTGCACCTCCTCCTGCTACTGCAGTTGCTGTTGATGCTGGTGGGGCTTCTGCTGGTGGGGCTGCATCGGCTGGTGGAGCTGCGTCGGCCATTATTTATTTCTGATTGCTGGAATTTCTAAGATACGGATACAATAAGCTAGTCTATGTCTGGATATACTCACCTCACGTTATTCGACTACGACGAGATGTCGAGTAAAACGAATTAAATTGATTTGCCTCTCATTTGCACTTTCTTTTATGCGATACTGATAACAATCTTTAGCCTAAATACGTTATATTTCACGTATTTATTCAATTTTACGTGAAGCTCTAAAAAAATTTAATTTTTAAATACGCTGAAAAATTAATTGATTTTCCCCATTTTCAGATATTCTGATATTTATGGCACCCAACTTGTTGATATTTTATTCATAATCGAAGAATGGTTGATGAAAGAGAATGTGATTCCCTCGATGTTTGTCAATATTTGGCATATCGGTCGATTGTTGATTCAATTTGCACTTGGTGAATTTAGTGGGAAAACTGGAATTGATTATACTCGAAATCATTTGATTATTGAACCCATTTTCAAAACTAAAGTGAGTAGATATTTTCGTTTTGGAATCTGGAATTCCGATTTTTCCCCACAATTAAATTTTAATTTTTTTATAGCTTTCAAAAGATCCTGAAGACGATGATGAAATAATTTCGAGTGAATTTGATTGTGGAACTTTGCTCATTGAATTTATTCGATATTTGGCGAGTCAAGCAATGGCTTCTTCGAAACAATTGAATCTTCGAGTTTTTGACAATCCAACAATTATTGAACCAGTTCTTTTCAAACGAACACAATGGATGCCGTTACATCATGTTAGTTTTTTTTTTGGAAAAAAAATTGATATATTTTGATTCTTCTAGGTTGCATACCGTACTTTCCACGCGATTGCAGTTTCTGGAAGATTTGATGCGATGCATTTGAATATAGAAGATGAGAAGATGTTTATTGCTGAAAGTCGAGATCCAATTTTGATCAATGAAGCGCTGTTTTTCAGCAAAAGTTATAGCGATGTTCCGATTTCTAGACATCGAGTAATTGCAGCATTGAAGGTAGGCATTATTTTCAAAAATGAAAATTGGTTAGCAACCTTTTTTGTTTCAGAATTGGTCAGGAGTTCGTGAAATTATTCCGCGCGAAAATTCCGGCCGAAAATCGGATCTTGTTTATGTGACATCGGTTGGAACCGTTTTAGCCCGTCAACGACTCTCTCGATTACTTTTGCTGAGCGGTGAAACAATTCGCGATGCAATTGTGAATGAAAGAATTCCAGTTGAAGTCAGAGACGATTTCTTGTAAATATATATTTGTTTTTTCTTTTTTATCGATTTTTGTATATTTGCATGTATTATTATGGGTATTGTTTTGTTTTTAATAGAGAAATATATTTATTTTTACTTAAAACCTCACTAGATTTTTTTTCTTAAAGAAGTTTTGTCGCTTCGCGGAAGCTTATCTTTCATTTTTAAAGTGTTCATAGCTTTGAATTATTGATATTATTTGTGAAATCATTGAATTCTTTGCGCAAAATGTTCAATTTTGTTGAGTTCACTTCGAAATCGTTTTTTCCTCGCTGAAAAGAATATGTTTTTTTTCGGTTCAACAAATCATCGAATTTGACTTACTTTTTCAATTGCTCCAATTTCAATCATTGCTGTTATTGCATTTTTGATTGGCTCGGTCGAAAAAAATGACAATCGAACATTTTTTGTTGAATTGTTGTAAAGATCACTGATTTTCTGAAGAGCTTGAAGTTTTGAATTTTAACTTTATAAAAAGAAATTTCTTACCTTCTGGATTTTTGGAATCATTGAATTGATGTTTTCAATTTTCTCATTAGACCAATCGTAATTGAAAACAATTTGGAAATGATGAAAGTATGGCTGCAAAATTTAGGAAATTGAATTATCCGCAAGCTTTCCGCCTGTGGAAAGACTTTCAAATCAAATTCAATTCACATACCCAGATCAAAGCGGTCAATTTATAAGTAGTTGAATAATCAATAATTTCAAGTTTATCATCTACAGTAATCATAATAATTCCAGAAGTTTTGAGAATTTGAATAGTTTTCTCAAATAATTTGTCGATTTCATTTGGAATAATCACAAATTCTCTTTTCATAATATTGTGAAACCATTCGAATTTTGTTAAAATTATCGATTTTGAAATTTGATTTTCAGACGATTTTAGGAGAAGTGATAGAATTATTGATTCGCTATCAATTGAATGAATCATCTGAAAAATTGGAATATTTTTCAAGACGAGTTAAGTTAAGTTCAATTTACCGCATTCGAATAAGTTGTAAGAATCAATCGAGAAACAGATCTCTCCATAATTCTCCTGCTTACTCGCATTTTTTCATGTTCCACGGGAAAATCGATAAATTTCAGTAGGAAATTTTCTTCGTCAATTTTTTCAAACTCGAACAAATCGTCGTGAATTATTCGTATGTAATACCTAAAAAAAATTCTTTTTTTGAAGTTTCTATGAACTTTTAGGAAGTTACCGTAAATCAGCATCAAGATTTTTCAAAATATTCACACATGTTCCGATTTTCTTCAAAGTTTGGATGAGCTCGAAAACTTTGGAGTATAAAGTGAAATAATCGAAAACAGCTTCATCATTTTTGTCGAGAATCTTAAAAAAAAGAAAGTTAGGAAGTTACCCTTTGAATTTTTGAACATAGTTAGGGTGATCCTAAATCACGCTTTTAGCTGATATATTTTAAAGCAACACCCTCGTATAATAAGGCCATTGCGGAATGCATTCAAACACCAAAATATATAAAATTAACCTATCCAGCTATGCTCACAAGCAATATGAAAAAAAATACTCAAAAACGATCAAATTTGACCACTTTTGAGAAAAAAATTATTTTTTTTTGAAAATCGCCTGCAGATTGTGCAGATCCGCAATTTCATAAAATTTGTGCAAACACTGTGACGACAATTGTGTGCTACAGTACCCCTTTCAACTTTTTTTCAACAAAAAGTGAATTGATTCACTGAAAACAATGAAATAAATTATAACAATGATTTCTGAACATCCTTAACTATCTCTACTTTCATTTTTGACAATGATATTTCAGTTTTATATTGCATATTCCGGTCAAAAACTGAAAAAAACACAATTTCCATTGAAAAATTTAGTTTTCGTCTGAAATATTGAATCTTCGTGTTTATACTTCTTCACTTTATTTTTTTCATACCCAGAAAACAGTTTTTTCCATGTAAATTGTCATTTTCCGAAAAAAACGGAAAAATTTTGCGAAAAAATAAAAAAGAAAACAACGAGACTCCGTGTTGACGCTATCCCGCGTTGTTTGAATTTGAGTTTTTTCTGTTTTTCAATGGGCTTCCATATTTCGGCGACTACTTATTCAAACGTTTTGAATTTTTTCTCCGAACTAGAAAACAGTAAAACTAAGCTAAATCTAAGATTTGAGAACATTTGGGCTTTTTTCAAGAAAGTGCCTATTATACGAGGGTGTTGCTTTAATTTTCTAAGATTTTACCTGTAACATAACAACACATGCAATATTCCAAACTGTAATAACTGCATTTTTGTTATGAATATCAACAACATGATGAGCAAATTTTCTGATCTCATTTTTAGCCTGTTTGTCAATAATGAATTGTGAATCCGGTTGACAGACAAAAGTGCTTCGATGCAAACTCATCCCAAAATATTCTCGAACCGAAATCGGATCTCCAAAAGTCAAAAAACAATTGCCATTTTTCTTATTCAAAATTTCTCTAGCTTTCAACAATCCTGACGTGGATTCTTTGGGTTTTGGAAATCCTAATAGTTCATAAGCATATAGTTTTTCCTCGAGAATTTTATCGTAATTCATTGAAACCGGAACAATAACCAAATCGAATACAGATCCACGAAGATATGGTTCAAGAACCATTTGAAGCATTCCGTATTTTGGATGTAGACTTTTTCCAACTCGACTTCGCGTTGCTTCAACAAAAAATTCAATTGTTCTATCATTATTAACAACGTGTGTTTGAACGTATTCCGAAAAAACAGCCCAATATAATTGATCCTAAAATTTTTCGGATTTTAAAGCATAAACTAAAACAACCTACATCCCCAAATGATCTACGCATAAAAAACGCTCCACTTCTTCTCAAAACTTCTCCTACAAATTTCATACTCATAAAATCCATGCCAGCTGCAATTGCGGGTAATTGAATATCCTTAAACAATTTTTGTTTTTCAATACCATCAACTTGATCTAACTCACATATAAAAAACAAACTAATGATAATAACAAAAAATCAAAATATGTTTTATGCGATGGCATAAAAATGACACAATCTTTTTTCGATCTTTCTCGGATTTCTTGAAGTTTTCGTTCGTTTATGTAAATTCCGTCGAATAATTTTTTCATGATTGATGTGACTGCATATCCAAACATTCGAACATTTAATAAATTATAATTATGAGCCATTTCTTTTAACATAGTTTCAGCTTCTTTTCGAACACTTCCGATTGATACATTTCTTCGATTTGCTTCTTCAGCGATCACATTCTAAAAATTCCTCCAAGTGCTTTATGAAAAGTTTTCCTAACTAACGATAAACACATACCTTGACTCTAGATGATTCTAAAACCGATTTCTCAATTTCTGCTAAAGATCTCGCCGTTGGCAATGATCCAATCTTTGATCCAACCGGAAAATTCTTAGCCTCAGTCACAAATTTGAAAGGTCCCCCCTTCTGATCCAACAAATCCAAAAAGTTGTCATATTCCGGAAAATTAACCTGTCGGCCTGTTGTTGGCATTTCTGTGCAAGAAAAAAAAAATGTGTTGAGAGCAAAAGAAAAACAGAAAAGCAAATGAAACATAATGATAACAATACTATGCACCTCATACCATTTTATCAGTTGGTTTTTATTCTGTTCGCTGGGAGAATGGAAAAAAGTTTATGAAGTTTGCGAGAATAAGAAAAAGAGAGGTGAACTTGAACTTTCTTTAATTTTGTGGTGGCGGTGGAGAATATTGTGGGCGAGATTGGGAGAGAATATGATCGACGAACGAGCAAGAAACATCACACATCAAACGGCGAGTGCGACATTGTTTCGCACCAAATTCACAATATGTTGCCTGCAAAATGTATACATTGGAGACGGGAGTTGTTGAATTGGACTCCAGGAAAAACTCAGAACAGGTCTCGTTCATATCATTTTTTTAAACCCCTTCAATTCTAGCTTTGCTCTCCCCACTCACATAAATCAATCCATCCAACCGTGTAAAAATATTTGCAAGTGAATTGAAAAGCTGTTCAATTATCACAACTATATAACGACACCATGGATATAAAAGTCTGAAACATTTAATGACAAACTAGACTATAGTCTATAGAAAAACCAAACCTGACGAGAAATACAATAATGCGAGGCACAAAAATCTCGACATTGCAAATAAATGTGTAAATGAGGAGTCCGATGAGAACGAATTTTGTGAAACGCTGAAGAGAAATTCATTGCGAATTTTTTCAAATGAGCTTGGCAACTTACAGGATTATTTTGGAAAAAATTGACGAGCGATGTGAAAATGCTGCTGAGATGAACTCTTCTTGTTGTGTCAACTGTGGCTTTTGATTGAGTATCATTTCGAAAGCAGAAACTGTCAGCTTCAGTGTATGAAATTGGTCTGAAAAAGTGGATTTGGTTGTGTAAGCCTAATAATTTAGAATTCGGAATTCTCTGCGATGTTTTAGACTCTTCGTAAAATTCAAATAACCTCCTGGACTCATTTCAGGATCTACAGAATTTTCGCAAGACTTCTAAAATATCCCACACATTCTCTACAGTAATCACTTACTCAGTTTCATCGCTATAAACACTTCTCTCAACACATTTCGAAGTTATACTATGTTCGTGTTCCGAAACTTTCACCTTCGAATTTCCCCGATCTCTTTTGTATTTTCTTGGAATCAATAGTTTTTTGGGTTGAAACTCGACATGATATCTAAAATTAGAGCTGAAAAATAGCACATTTTTCTGAAATTAACCCACTCATCAACCGAATCCGAGTCGTCTACAATACTACTACTATAAGTTGGATATATTCCTGTTGCAGGATGTGTTGATCTTGTTTTTGAGAATTCATTCGAGTCACAGGTTCTGACCATTTCTAATGAGAAAAATGAGGTGTCACCTAGCAAAAAATTCAAATGTCACGCGTAACGTGTTCAAAAAACAAAATAAATAAAATCCTTTATTTCATCCATCAACGAATTCAATTTCAGCTTCAAAATGTTCGAATGATTCACTTTCTTCTGCTTTACTTCGATTTTCCATATAAAAATATTGAACACAATAAAAAACAGTCATAACAATAGTTTCGATTAATAGAATTGTGAAAATGATTCGAAATATGAATGATGAATTCAATTGATAATAACCATCTATTTTATCCTCTTTCGCATTTTTCTCGACTTGTTTCAGAATTGAAGCTATTGTTGATATTTCCTTTTCGTAATTAGCTGAAAATTTCAGTGTTTTAGGTTGGTTTGTTAGTTCAGAATCGACTCAAATAGTTGATCTCACTCGGGTTTAGGCTTGGCCTAAACTAGTATTAGGCTGGCTGGAATTTACAAATGGCTTAACTTGGGATTTTCTTTAACTACGTTGGTTCAGACCGCTTAGGTTATGAATGGTTCGAGGTCTTGCTCAGGATTGGCTTAGGATCTGCATAGGTCCAGGTCGACTTAGGCTGGGCTCAGGCTCGGCATCCTCTCATCCTAAACTTACTTATACATAAAACATTTGAAGTCATTAGAAAAATCGTGCATTTTATAATTCTCTCCATATTCAAAATGTAATTAAATTTTGGAAAAAATATGATTCACGTGGATTTTTATTTTTATTCAAAATATTTCTTGTTTTTCTAGTTTCTATTTCTTACAGTAAAATTGTAACACAATAAATATTTTATCAGTGAAACAATAACTGGTTGAATAGTTAATATAGTTGAGATTTAAAAAAAAACTGTATATTCAAAGAAAAATTGAACTTGGAGATTTCAAAAAAAAAAGGAAAAGTGGGCTGCAAGATTATTATCTTTTCAGTATTATTTTATTGTGTCAGGTGTGTAGTTTTCAATGTGTTTTTTGTGAATGAATGAGTGAGACATGCGATTGCTACCTTTCTATACAATATTTTTATTGTTGAATGTATTCCAAGTTATCACAAGTATTCGCTATTATGCTGCAGATGATGAAAAATCTGAGATCCCAATTGTTATTCAATCTTCAATATTTCGCGACTTGAACTCTGAATCCAACTCCAACCCCAAATCTAAAATTACTTTCGAGGATACACATAAGTTTTATTGACATTTTGTATTTTTGTATGATGAAGATTTATCTAGAAAGTATATTCATTTGAGGTGCAAAACACAAAACTTGATAGATTCTTTTCAAAAAGGAATAATCTCAAATTCAGATCTAAATGCGCGTTCCTTTGGTTTTTCAGTGTACAAAAATAGATAAGACTAAAACGTTGAAGGATTAAAAGAGGCTTATTCGAAATCTCGCAAAATAATCTATTTCAAACTTTTCAAGTTTTGTGATTCGATACAATTCAGCTGTCTTAATAAGAATCTATTATGTTTTCATGACGTATTTTTAACCGTTGAGATCAAAAAAGAATAAATGAATAGGTTGATGGGATTGATTTGAGAATTAATTAGAAGACTCATTTTTTGAAATTAGGAATTGGAAACTGAAGAAAAAAAAACAACAAATAAATTACAGTGGAAGAATGTCGGTCTTAAAATCTCGATCCTAAAAAATTCCATATTACCGTACCCCGAACATAAAGACTTCAAGTTTTTTATCTCTCCTGTTTTTTTCATGATGCTATCTATTAGCTTTGCTAATATGTCCAACAAACCAAAGCTATGATATCATATCATTTCATGAGAAAAAGTGAAATCTGTGTGGGAAAATCCGGAATTCAACTTTGCTTCTTGAACCCTGTTCGTAATTTACACACAGCTATAATTTTTTGGAACCACGATCTTAGCCAAAGGCTGTTCAAACTAGATACAAGGTTTTTGTTCTATTTTGTTCAATTTTGTATTTGTTTTATCTAATGGAAGATTTGTGAGGAAAAACTCCATTTTCCACATTGCATCAGATAACTTTTAGAGAATTACGAACCGGATTAATTTGGAATTATTCACTAACAAGATCAAACTACAAACATTCAATATATAAAATATTCTGGGCTTGAATAAAAATTAACGAACCGTGGATAAACTGGTACACAAGGTTTTCTCAGATTTTCTCTTACTTTTCAATTTCTTTAAAAATAACAGTAAGAAATTCTATTTTGAACAACTCTCAGAAATTTTTGATATTGTCCAAAGTTTTGAACCAGATCAAATTATTTTGAGAGTTATATTCCAAGAGAAGATTATTATAAGATTTGCAAAATTTCCCTAAATCTGAAAATTTTCTGAAACAATCTCAAAATCCTTCAGCTAACCATTGTTCAAATGATCGCAAACCTTATCATTCACATTTTTATGCATTCTATTATTCACATGTTCACAAAAAGTTTTCATTTTTTGTGTAAAGCTTTTGGCCCTAATTTTGATCTCAATGAGGAAAACTACGTCATGAACACATAATCGGCCGCATACTCTTCCCACGATGATAATCAATTCCCACGGCTTTATCTCTTTTGCATTGTTTCTCATTCTCCACCCATTTTTTGAACAAAAAAAGTATATAAACACTAGACCTAGTAAATATACATAATATCATTTGAATATTTTCTCAAAATGTCTTCAAATTTCCAAAAAATCGTTCTTCTCTTCTCATTTATTGTTCTCTCAATGAGTGCACCACATTACCGTCAACAACAACAGTATTATAATTATAATGGATATCCGACTGCACAAAGATCTTATCAGCAACAACAATATTACTCGAATTATTATCAGAAAAATAATAACTACTATGGAAATGGTTATGTTCGTCCACAAGTTCAAAATACTTGGAATCCATTAGGTGTTCAATATGATGAACACGGTAATTCATTCATCGGAACAAAAGATAATGGTATTTTCCTTTTCTGTAATGGAAGAGGATGTCCAGGGCGTGGTTGATTCGAATTTGAATTTGAATTTGTTTATCAGTTTTTACGGGTTTCTCCAGTTGTCTGTATATATGTATGTATCTCTAATAAATCTTTATCATTCAATCCTTTTTGATTTATTGGACAGATATATGTTTTAAATGTCTTATGTAAACCAAGGAAAATCTAGGTTTTCTGAATGTTTCTGAATATAAGAGACTTGAAGTAGTACTTGCAAAAGCCACGAAGCATGGTCCAGTTCGAAATAAAACTGTGATCATAAAAAATCTGATTTCTTTGATGCATACCAAAAAAATCAGCGACAGACAGCTACGCTCTATTTTTTCCAAAAAAAAAATGTTTTGTGATCATTTCGTCGCTGAATAGAAAATTAATGCACATGTTTCAAGAAATACGTGATTTTTGCAAGAATTATTTTATTTAATATTCAAAAACCCATAAACTTATTGAACCCGTCACAAATAACAGACAAAAAAAACAATTGAATTCAACTTGACAATAGTCGCGGATTATCGAAATGCGATATTTTCTTGGTAAAGTTATTTTGAGTCAAACAAATCCAAATGATATATGTTGTCTGAAAGAAATTTCGACTGAAAATAGAATTTGCAAAAATTTACGAACCTGGAAAGCGATTACAACCAGAAGAACAGTTATGAATGACAAAAGAGCTGGAGCATGTGCAATTACACAATCATTCGATGGCTGAAAATATTGTTTTTTTTCCAGATAAAATTATTTAGTTATCTAGTTACCTGTGTATTTTCAATATTCTGCTGTTGATTTTCACAAACTCCATCTTTTTTCGTTACTCGATAACAACATATAATTTCTTCGGAAGAATTTGCAACGTGTCTATGCTTTTCCATATCTGATTCAGTCCAAGAACATGACATTTCTGGAAAAAATTGATTGTAGTTTTTTGAAAATAAATTTTTCTGAATTTCCTAGGGTTTTCAATTTTCAAATTTTGTAAGCGCGGAGTTTCGTTCTGTAAGCGCGGACACTCCTCGATTACGGGTTGGAAAAAACTACCAATTTTAAAATGAAACAACGATGCTACGAGTATACACCGGTAAACTTGATGAAACATTTTTAACGATGCTCCGCGTTCACGAGATCATTTTGCATCATTTTCGATGGCGTAAAAGTGGAGCATCGTAATCCTCAACTTTTCTGGCTTATGGGGACTTAAACAAATACGCGATCTTACCTGTCACACAATGATTCATTTTCAAATAACTTTCTTCATCACAAATTGGAATTTTGGCATCAGCCAAATGTAAAAATACATCACATTTATCTACACAATAAGCAGTTCGTAATAATTCAGCTGAACAAAATCGAAGAAAATAGAAAAGAAATAGGAAAAACGAAATCAGCATTTCTTGTTCCTCTGAAAATAAAGAATGGAAAATAGAAGAAGAAAAAAGTCGGAACAACCCGGAAGAGAAAAAGAAATGGCAAGAGTAGCTCAAAAATGGAAAAATAGAGAAACGAGAGAAGGAAGGAAAAAAACACGAAAAAAATGGAGAAGAAGAACTTTGGTTACTAGACATTCTCTCATTTTCCTTCTTTTTTTGGAGAAAAATAGAGAGGAGGAAGTTGTCGAAGGCTGACGAATATTATTTTTTTTATTTTTGAGTTTCTAGTTATTACAAGAAGAAGGAAAAGGAAGAAGAAGTTTTTTTACCTAATTAGTTTGGGAGCAAATTGAGAACAGAAAATGAGAAGTAGCAGATAGAAATATCTGACCACATATACTTTTTCTTTCAGGTTTTGCAAAAAATTGAATTCAAATTTACAAAAAAAAACTTTTACAAGGTGTTCTTTGTAGAAAAATTCCAGAAATTATCAAATTTTTTAATTGAACTGGATCTGAAATTCACGATCCTGAAATTAATGTTTTTTTCAAATTTTTAGACATATTTTTTTCCAAACTCAAAAAATTATTTTTCCATTAATTTTTCTGAATCGCGGAAAATCCGGTCTTTCAGAACTCCGAGAACAGTTTTGTAGAGCCTGGGAAAAGCCTAGAAAGTATCCTGAAATGTTCAGAAGCCCAGACAACACATTTTAAGGCTCTGGGTTTTTCAGACAGAGTTCGGTAGAGCTTGAGAATCGCCCGAGAATTCCAAAAGGCCAGGAGTATTCTGTAGTTTCTTAAAATACCGTCAGAAGGTTCACTGAGTCAAAAACTTTTATGGAGCAAAAAAATATTTTTGGTTTCCGTTCATTTTCTCTTCACAAATTACCCGTTTAAAAAACACTTCCGCATTTCGAAAAAAAAATAATTGTTTGGAAAAATTCGTTTTTTTTTCTTGCAAAATAAAATAGATGGCAGCCTTTGGAATCGTTTTATTTTCCTTCCTTTTCTCACATCAAAATTCTTGATTCATTCAAAAAGTGCAAATTGCAAAAAAGGAAAGGAAAAAGGTTTCCCACGAAGCCCTACTATAAAATTCCAATTTGGATTTTTTGTTTCCTTCCTGCTGGAAAATTGGATTTATCCAAAAATTGCAATCAAAATCAATTTCCTCTTCCAAGTTCCAACAACAAAATAAACAACATTGACCAGTTATTTTCGTAATTTGATCATTTTTTGTTTTCACAGTTTTTTTGTGGAAGTGTTGAATTACACGTTTTTTGCTGGTCATATGTATAAATCAGATTTTTCAACTATACTCTATTCAGGAAATGTTGTTATTTCTGAAAAAATTGAAGAAATGAATTAGAAATTGAACGTGATTCTTAAAAAGTTGTCATGTTTTCTGAAAATTGGGAAAAATGAAAATTGAACTGATACAATGTGGTTGGACAATTCACACTTTTTTCGTACAGTATACTAGTAATTTCAACTTTGATATTTTTTCAATATTTAATTTCAGTCCTCTGATTTTTTAAAGTTTAGATCGTTTTAAAGAGGCTTCGTGGGTGGTCCTGAACACCCAGATTTTGAGTTTCAAAATCCGGTACTTCAAATAATGTTACGGTTTTTAATCTGTCTGGATCAATCGCATGATCTCTCCAACATCTTCTTCCTTCGCGAAGCTTCGTGCCAAATCAAACAAATCGAAAAAAAAAGAGTCAGCATAAAAGGAAATGATATATGTTTATTTATGTATGTTTTCTTGCCGGAAAAAAGAAATGTGTCAAATCAAAATTATGAAATCTATTTAATAACTAGACTTTTCATTCGTTTTGATCAAAGATTTTCTCTGACTTGTGCAAACATATAAGAAAGAAAGGTTAATTCATTTTTTTCTAGCGGTCAAAAGATATTTTGTGAGTTCAAAAAAATCGGGCAAAAGAAAAAAGGAAACAATCCAGTTTCTCACATACAACGACAGAACACCGATTAGTTGGATTAACTCGAAACAAAAAAATGTGTGTTACAGGAAAAACTTTTTTGTGCCATTGTTTGAAATAAGAAAAAATGATTATTGGAACTTTAAATTCTGAGAAAAGAGCATTTTGAGAAAAGCTGGATAAATGTTTTTTGGCGATTAGATTATTCATTTTCGAACAAGGAAGATGAAAGCTTTTTGAAAGAGATTTGAGATTTCCAAAAATACATTTAGCAGATTTTTTTTGAGATTCGAACTTCTTTCATCTACAGTAACCCTTGTAGTTCGGAGTTGTTAAGGTACAGTAACCTCGAGGTCTGATATCTACAGTCATCCTTTTTTACCGTTGTAAATTGGACTATTGCTTGCACTTCTGTAGTCTGGAATGATTACAGTATACCCAGCAGTTTGAGATACAGTAATTCTTGTAGTTCGGAGAAAAAACAATCTTGGGAAAATAATTAATTTTTTAAAATTATTCTCTTTATCTCAAATTTTATCTATGCTCAAAAAGGTAGTTGTCCGAACTGCAAGTGGTACTGTAGCTCTGGAAAAAACTCCAGGAATTGTCTCTCTCTCCAGCTTATTAATTACATATGGTGACCATGAAAATAAATACATAACACACATATGTCCGAATTTTTATTTGTCAACCCAGTGTTTTTCTCGCTTCGCTAATATGTTCCGAAAAAGAGGCGGTAGCTCAACCAAAAAACATATAAAAGAAATAGAAAAGTGGCCCGCGCGAGAGCGAGTTTTTGGCAGCACAAAAAATGAAGAAATCTGTCCGGTTATTTTTTACAGCTCTTCTGTTTATTGTAATTTTGAATGAGGTTGAAGCACAATATGAACAGGTAAGGGTTTTAGCTCGAAAGTTAGGCGATCTTGGGAGAAATAAGGGGTTTCTTATTGTTTGAAGGTTCTTGAATGGGTTGAGATAAAACCTTTAAATTTTAGATTTTTCTAAAAATGTGCATTTTCTCAAAAAATTGGGGATCAAATTTTGTTATTGCTTAAAATTATCTATTGATTACTGTAGTTTCGAAAGTTACTGTATCTAGTAGACCTCCAATTTTTAGAAACTATCGAGGTACAGTAATCCTCAAGTCTAGAGATATTACATTTAATTTACCTTAAGGTAGATTTTTTTATTCCAATATTTCCAGAGATATTTAACTCGCCGTTGTCGTTGTGCAAATATTGCTCCTCAAAAATCAGATTGTCAATGTCAATCCATCGGAAACGGTCAACAAACTTGCAAATGTTCCGACGAGCCAAAATCCACTTGTGGTTGTCAGAAAAATGAGCTCAAAAAATCAACATGCAAACCAACGTGTCAAAAAGCGTGCGTTGATTCGTGTGTTCAAAATTCGCACCAATCTTTATCGATTTGTGAGGCGACTTGTGAATTCACTTGTGCCGGTGCTTGTAAATCAGTTGATCCGATAAAGGTGAAACATCTTCGAAAACCTAAAATTAGATAACCTTTTAATTTAAGGTTGTAGTTGAGCATCAAACAAAAGCCTCGAATTGTCCAAAAGTTTGCGCTGATTCATGCGCAAAAAGTTGTTCGACCGAATTGAACAACAGTAATTGTAAGAATATGTGTCAGAAATCTTGTGAATCTAGTTGTATTCACACAGCTGTATCGATGAATGTTATGGAATTTATGAGAACTTCGGTGAGTTCAGATAGATCACGCACACTTCTATACTCTAATGTTCTAGACTCTTCCAACTCCGATTATTTGTCCTTCTGAATGTCAACCAACTTGTGATTCAAAATGCATCGAACTTCACAAGAAATATGAATTAGTTGTAAAATCGTCACCCGAAAAAGAAACTTGTATAAAAGCATGTCAACCAGAATGTTCTCCAAAATGCGTTGAAGATCAATTAACATCCACAGCAACACTAATTCCACAAACTGAAACGTGTATAAAAGCGTGTCAACCAGCTTGTCTTCAATCATGTGTCCTATCGTATTTAACTCAGACTCCAGCTCCACTCACAAAGAATTGTGTTGCAGAATGTCAACCGAATTGTGATACACAATGTGTTGTTGCTCAAATTCTTTTAGATCTTCGAAAAAAGTCTTCAGTTCAACCACACACTCAACCATCTTGTGTTCCACAATGTCAACCAGAATGTAGACAAGATTGTATCGAGAAACAACCGAATTTTAATGTTGAAATCAAATATGTTGATAGTGTTATGATGAGTTCAACGACTACAACAAAGCCTTCGAAATACTGTGCTCCACAATGCGAACCAGAATGTGAACCATCTTGTATTGGTTTCACAATGTTGATTCCGAATATTCAAACAACTTTGGCGACCACACAAATTCCATATACAACTCCACAATGTATTCAACAATGTCAACCGGATTGTGCACTACAATGTATTCAAGCTTATCAAGTTCCACAGGTTCGATTTTACTAGAATTTTCGGAATCGGTAGATTCAGTCGATCGAAAACTCAACTTTTGCAAATTTTTCGCCGAAAATCCACGTGGCAAACATTTTGAGATTCAAAATTTCGCAAAAAAACCCACGTGAAACATGAACGTGGTGAAATTAAAGTTTTTGCGCTAAAATTCCACGTGGTACTCACTGATTTGAGATTTGAAATTTTGCGTATTCCCTCGCAGAACAATATTTTTGGCAGACAACCCTCTCACCACCTCCTCTTCAGTCTTCCACATCTTCTTCCTCCTCACAAATCGCGCCATCAAAATCTGTCGGATGTGCATCGGCTTGTCAACCAACATGCGATTCAAAATGCACACAAAACTATCAATTCGAAATAATCATTCCGAAATCCTCGTCTTCCTGTATGCCTTCGTGTCAACAATCTTGTCAAACCTCGTGCATCGCTCAAAACTCCCAAAATTCAGAGCAATGCGCAGCAGCTTGCGAACAAACTTGTGCTCAAACATGTTTCCCGACTCAAACTTTGAATTCGGAAACTTCTTCAAATCAAATAGACGCTGGAAAATTAGAAGAAAAAGATATACCGAATTTCCGATTAGATATAATTCTAGAAGATCCAATCGAAGAAAAACCATCTTGTGCTCCAGAATGTGCAAAACAATGTGTTCAACAATGCAAACTTCAACTTTTGACTGAAATTGAGATGTGTTTGCCAGCTTGTCAGCAAGCATGTCAACAGAATTGCCCATTAGAGGTTGGATTTAAATTTGAAAACTTTTAAAATTAAATTTCCTATTTCAGGTCAAACCATGTTCTGGTCCGCATTGCACTTGTCCAGCTGGATTTTCAAATTGCGGAAAAAACCAGTGTTGTCGAAGAAAAAGAAGATAAGAAATGGAAATCCCAAATTATAAAATATCTGAATATTTAACTACGCACATAAATTGCCATAAACTATAACCCTATGTGATTTTTGATTTCTCAAAATCTTTATTTCAAATTTTCAGCCAATTCACCAAAAACGAAAGCAATATATAATCTCAAGCAACAAAAAAACGGGGGAAGAAAATGAAGGCACTTGAAATAAAAATAATAAAATATGGGGGGAAAAAAGTTTTGAAGAAATATAACAAGTTTTCTGTTTTAAAACGGTGATTGGAATTGATATGGAAATTGAAAAATCCTAATTTTGAATATTTTTTGTATTTTTTTCGTTGGGCCGCCAATGGTCCGACAAGTATAAGAGGGGGGATGAAACCAAATAGGGGGAATATGGGGAAAAGAAGAAAAACATTATTACAGAAAAAATAAAATAACAAAAAATGATTACTGAATATGAGCATTTTTGAAATGGAAAACGAACAATATCGGGGGCGCGCAAAAATACCCAGAGAACACCAGAAAAAAAGAAGAAAGAAATATAAGAAATTCTGTATGGAAGTAGACCGTAACATCAATGACTCGTTTTTGTGTATAGATAATAATATTTTAACGACAAAAACGTTTAATTTCTAGCTACTAATCAATAAAGGAAAATGTAATAAATTATGTGAAGGAGAACAGAATGAATGAATGAAGGAAGGAAAAAACGTGGCTATAATCAACAAATAACAACAAATCACAATTTTAGAGCTTGTTTCAATGATACACCCGTTTTTGTTTCACACTTGTTCAATTCGTCAACTAATCCCAATTTTTCCAATTCTCCACGACTTTTCAATTCGTGATATTCCCAAGAAACTCCTTCAGCTACATTTCCTTTATTTTCTTCCAATTCGGCTTCCGTCTGAAAATTATTAAAAATTATTTTAAAAATGTAACAAATATTCATATATTCCTACAAGATGAAATTGAGTTTTTGTGAGAAAAAAAATAGGGTTTCGAATGAAAACTAATTTTTTTTTACTGAAACCTCTCAATTTTACGCTATCTCAAAAACCAAAAGCAAACAACTCACCCATCGTTTCAAATAATCTACCAAAAGTTCGAATTTTTTCGATTCATCTGGTGCGTAGGCAGCCAAGAATACTGGGTCCAAATCAGAAAGTGATAATCTTTCAATTGTCATTTCTTTTTCGGATTCCAAAACATCTGGTAACACATGACTGATATTAAACAATACTTCTCCAGTTACATTCCACAATTTAGGTGAATCGATCCACATTTCAACATCAACAGCATGTTTGCAGAACTTTTCAACTCTGAAATTATTTTTTATTTACTTGTTTGAATATTTTTGAAAAAAAAACTAACCCATTGATAAAAGCTTGTTTAATTTCCTTATTAGAAATAGATTGCCTTAAGATTGAAGAGAGAAGAATTCTTTGTTGTTCATTCAAAACTTCTTCCGAAATCGATCGAACAATCATTTCGTAGACATTCGCCAATGTTGGTGACGCATACTTTTCTTTGCCAACTGCATCGAAAATTCCATCAACAACATCTTTGACGGTTGTTAGTTCTTCAATCACTTCTTTGATATCCGATTTGATCATTTTCATAAGACCCTCTCTAGCGTTTTGTTGCTCTTCGGTTAACACAACTTCAGCTCCATTTTCAGCAATCGAGTTTTGTGAAGTTGAACGACGCGCAGAAATTTGTCCAGCATTTGAACCCGAAATATTTTTCGCTGCCGAAATTGCGGCTTGTCGTTCATTTGTTGTTGATTTCTTTCGGTGATCAATGCTATTTTTTCTGTTGTTGTCATTTTGTGATTGTTGTTGAGATGATTCCGAAGTTCCACCACCAACAGATCCAGATGACCAATCCTTCTTCGGTCTTGGCAAATTATCACATTGTGATAATGATAAATTGCGTGGTGGAAGATCTGCAACAAAGTTTTTAAATTACTGAAATTTTCAACAATTATAGGTAATTTAGAAAAAGCTCAGACATTGTGTAAAATTTCCATCTTCTGATAGTTGAAGTAACGTTGGGTTAAGCCATTTCTGGCCACGTTACAATCAAACCACTCGGACATCACACAAAACTTCTATCATTGCTTTCGAAAATCTTGAGAACTTACTCTGACTCTGTGTGAATTTGGAGACATTTGCAGCTTGAGCTCGTTTTTGATCTGGTTGTTTTCGTTCAATCGAATTTCTTGATGGAATACCGCCTTTTCCTCTCAATGAATTGCTGTTTGATCGAATTCCAGCTCCTCGTTTATTTTCGTATTGATCTCTCGCTTTTTCGTTGTCTATTTGTTCTTGTCGAATATCCTTGTGAATTTCTTCAAGTTTCTTCGGTCCAGATTCTACCGATTTGCGTGGAGTCCATTTGTTTTTACGAAGTTCAACAACATTCATAATCATGAATCGGATTTTGTTAGTACAGAATGGTTTAGCTGCTTCGAGTTTCTCGAACCATTGATCCAACATTTTTGAACCAACATTTGTGTCAATAATACCTCCAAGAGTTTCGATAAGTTGAAGAGCACAATGAACGGATTCCTAATAAAACATGATTATATTTTATTAACTTGTACATACATAAAATGGGTCCCCTGAATCGGGGCGAGGGGCTTAACTTTTTTCAAAAAAGAGAGAGAGTGAAGAGAAGGGTGCCTAACTTGGCCAATTTTCTGCTGATAATTTACCGAAATTCGCTCAAAAATGTGAGGCAGGTGTTTAACTTTGGAAAATTTTCAAGGAGGGACCCTAACTTCAAAAACTGACTCGGAGGACTTATTTTATGTATGAACTTGTATTATTTTCGCTTACCTCGTCAATGTTTTCTGGTTTTGGAGGAATATTGTCAGCTGGAACAATAGTTTGTAGAAGCTCGAAAATACAAACTTGAACGATTTTGGTGGACAACAAATGATTTCGGTATAAATGTCCAATGAAACTGAAAAAATAAAATTACAACTAGAAAAAATATAAGATTGAACTTACGTCATGTTACCGAATTTTCTTCGACGGAATTTGGTTCGTGCTTCAAGAATCTCCAATTCCAAAGCAAGCTTTTTCTGTGTATCAGTTTCAGATTCCAAAGCTTTCTGCTTCTCATCAGTAACTTCATAAGTCTTGTCATGGAAAGTAGCTTGTGCTCTTGTCAAAATAGCATTTCTGAACGCACTCTTCTTTTCACCTTTCGAAAGCTTGAGTTCGTGATCAACTTGATCTCTACAAACTTCAGCATAAAGAGAACAGAACTTTGGTTCTTCAACAGCTTTATCGAAGATAATTGAAACAACTTGAGCAAGTTGTTGTTCGTGTGATGAAACATCGTAAGATTTGAACTCTTTGGTGAGATTCTCTTTTGATGTTGGTGTGATTTTGTTCATCAAAGATCGAACTTTTTTGCATATCGCTTGAACTGAATCCTCTTCTGGTGTTGTTTCAAATGCTCCAACTTTTTGCCTGTCTGGTTTCCATGCATCTTTCGATGTTGGCAACGTCATTCGTTGAACTCGTTCAATTGATTGACGAACTGGTGGAGGTCTTTTATTATTCATTCCTCGATCTTGTCGATTTCCACCTCTTCCAGTACCATCAGTTGTAGTGCGACCACGGTAAGCCTAAAATACTTTTTTTTTGAAATCACATTTGAAAATTTTGAGAAATAAGTAACCAACCGTTTTATTTTTGGTCATCCAGGCTGGTGTGAAATTTGTCTTCTTCTCGGATTTTGACATTGTGTTGATATCCAATCCAAAATCATTCAATTCAATAGGCGACAATGGACATGGTGTTCTTTTATATTCTTTTTCAATTTCACGAAGTGTAACCATAAAATCTCGTCCATAAACTCCTAGATCAACATTAACCTCTTCGCTTCCCAAAAGATCATCAATTTTCGAATCAAGCTCGATTTCACGGACTCGTTTTCTTTCTGCTTCTTCTGCAACTCGTTCAGCTTCTTCTTTCGCAATCTCTTCTGGAGTTTTCTCAACCTCTGGTGGAGCGTCGTCTGATAATGATGAAACAGCATCGCGTGGAGCTGGAGTTTCGTCGAATTTATCATCAGGTTCAACTTCATCTTTTGAATCTTCTTTGACAATTTCGGGCTTTTTGATTTCCGGAACAATCGGTGCAGTTTCAACTGGTGCGACTGCCGCAGCAACTGCTGTTGGTTTTTCGATTGCAACTGGTTCAGGTGTTTTTTCAACTTTTTTAACTGAAGCAGCAGTGGTCGAAGATTCAGAATTAGATTGCGAACTCAATTCTGAAAAAAAAACGAATAAAGTTTTAGTTTAAAAGTAAAATATTAAAATAACAAACCTTTCTTGATTTGTTCCATTAAATCCGTCTTGACTTGATTTTTCCGTTCGGCATTTTGATGAACAACATCTGGTGCAGGTGCAGTTGCGGCTACAGTAGCCGCAGCAGCAACAGGCGCTGATGTTTCTGTCGATGGAGCGGCGGCAGAAGTTTCCTCTTGCGTACTGGCAATAAGAACTGGTTCCAATGTATTTGGATCAACAATATTCAGAATAGCCTTCTTCCGTTTTTGCTGTGGAAGTGGTTGAGGAGGCTGAGCTGCTTGTTGTGCCGATTGTTGTTGCTAAAAAAATATTTTAACTATTGTCTAAATATATGAATATTCTGTAGTTTACTTGAAACTCCGATTAAAAACGAAAACTAACCTGGTACTGCATTTGGTCCATATACTGCTGCGGTTGTTGATAATATGGATAGGCTTGATAATCCTGTCTTTGATAGCTGCAAAAGTATGATAACATTTTAACAAAAATAAAAAAAACAAACTTACAATTGTTGTGGCTGTTGTTGTTGCTGATAATATTGAGAATTATCATAGTTTTGTCTGTAATTGAAATTTTGAGCATGAACTGCAGGAGGCATCGAATACTCTGGCCGGAATTCTCCACTTTGGTGTTGAACAACCGGTACTGCAAATGCAGTTTGCATTGGTTGCTGCATATTCATTACATGGTCTATAAAAATTATAATTTAGAATATATTTTAAAAATATTTTTTTAAAAAGAAACTACCTGAATTTTGCGGTTTTCCTCTTCCTGTCCCCCTAGTAGCGAAGTTTGACATAGCAGTTTGAGAAAAATTACTGTAATACGGCATAATGAGAAACAAACCGATAAACAATAAACAAATAAAGAACAACAACGTGGAAAAAACGAAAGTAGGCGTGGTTTATGGTGTCAAAACAACAGGTGATTCAATGTGCAATAATGGAAGTATCATAAAATGGTGGAATTTTGGGAAGTTAAATCCCATTGTGATCTGCTATTATTAAACGGGCGGACCTAATATCGATCTATACTCTAAATTCTTTTCTAATTTACTTATGAAAACCAGTAATTCAACTTATCCTCATTACTTAACTTCGATTCGAATTCTTTTCAAATTCAGAAATGTCTGTTGCGGAAAAATTTATCACGTGAAAGAGAGAACGGGAGGGTACGGCACGTTAATCATTTCATGAATTTTTTTCAATGAAATTTTGTGAAGAAAAAATAAGATAATTTGAATAGCCCATGCAGTTATCTTCAAGTAGAATTTAAAATTTCGAAACGTATTCTAAATAAAAAAAGGCATAAACCTTTAATAATTTGAAAAAATAAGAAATATGAATCATAAGAAAAGTTGACTTATCAATGATGTTGAAATATCAGAAAGAAAAAAACAGAACACATTTCGCAACATGAACATAGAGAAATCGATATAAAAAATAGGCTATAACTAAAAGTTAGTTAATTAAAGCATATATATCAATACAATTCGAGAAAAACCATTCGGGTTTTGCTAAAAACAACAAAAAACAGGAAATAAATGCAAGTTGTACGAAAAATCGATATAAAATTTAGGCTGAGCCGAACACAGGAGGTCTTGCAGCGATTCAGTGTTAAAACGAGTTGGCTGTTTGCCAATTGCCCGTAAATCTACACAACTCTCTCATTTTCGCACACTCTCTCGTCGTTTGGTTTTTCCGATTTTTATTTTTTCGTATTTCGAAATTTGTTGATTTTTGTTTACTTTTTTAATTTTTCAGCAGAATGGGTCTAGTGTTGAGTGTTTTATCTGTTGTAAATGAAGAATCTGAACGTATTTGCAAATTTTGTTATGGAGAAGAAGGTGAAGAAAAAACTTGGCTTCATCCCTGTCGTTGTATTGGAACGCTTCATGTGAGTTAAAATGTTTTTTAAATTCAAAATAGTGATTCTCATTATTCAGTGGGTTCATTATACATGTTTCGATCTTTGGATGAATCGTGCATCAGCACAACAACAACTTCAATGTCAAACTTGCAGGTATCATATTTTGAACCCAGTTTCGAATTTTCAAAATTAAATATTTTCAGATATGTCTATCGAAAAAGTTGGGTTCTAAAATCATTGAAAGATTGGAAGCTACCACAGTTGGATCTCAATACGTGGCAATGGCTCGAAATTTTGTTAGATGTTTATTCAACGTATAAATTCGTGAGAGGATTTATATGGACTGTTGAAGGAAGACGATCTGTTTTCACACAAATGGTGCATTTCTTTTTCTGGAGAACATTTATTATGTCTGATCGAAGGATTGCTTGGTATTTAGCTTTAGGAAGGAAATGTTTGACAGCTGCATTTCAAATTGATGTTCAACCGTATGATGAGAGAAGATTAGAAGAATCTGAAGACAGCAGGTTGGTTTTTTGTCTATTTTTTAACTTTTTTTTTTTCAATTAATATTTTCAGTTTTAGCAGTGAATCGGAAGAGGAAAACGATGAAATTGTGGCGGCATTTGCACATCTCGCAGTCGTCGAAAATCGAGAACACATCATGAATGAACTGGCGCACTAATTTATAGCATATGTGTGCTGACCACTTCAAATCTTCTTTCTGTCCTCCAATATTTGCACAAAACCATAGTTGTTCTAATGTATAATATTCTCCTAATTTTTTTACCTTTTTGTTGTCAATTTTCTGTGTTCAATGCTTTACGACAGGTTATTGTTGTTGCTTCTTGTCATTTCACGGGTTTTCTGCATGAATTGAATTAAAAATCGATTTTTTTTGTTTAATTTTTTTCTCGGAGTGGATTTCCCTTTGATATGTATTTTCAAAAGTATTTTTCTTGCAAAAAAGTAAATAATTTTTTATTTCAGAAATGGAAAAAATATCAGCGAAAATTGAAGAAATATTGAAGGAAATATCATTTCTGATACGATATCATCCATATGATTTTACACAGTATTTAGTTGGAATTGTTATTCCAATTATAATTGTTGGTTTGATGTTCAAATGGAGAGTCAAACAAGCGATGAACAGAAAAACAAAGGTTGGTTTTTTTGGGGAAAAAATTCCTAGAAATTCAGAGAAAAAACTTTTAATGTAATTTTTCCGGAGAGATGAGGTCAAAAAGTTTTATCACAGATTTTTTTGTAAAAAATTTGAAATTTAATTTCGAAAACTGTATTTATTCAAAGCACAACCAATATTGTGTTAACAGAAAAAAAACAGGAGAAATTTTCAATTACTGTAATAAAGAAAACTTCTAAATGGAATACCAGAATTTGTGAACTTTAAGGAACTGTAGCCATTCGGGACAAGACCAGATTACAGTAACCCATTAGGATCCTTGGCCTTTTTCCAAATCTCATATGTTTCTAGCAAATGCGCCAACGCCATGCATTGTTGCGAAAGCTTATGGCGAGCCAACAAAATGAAACTCCAAAAAATGAGAAAGAAATAGAAGAAGAGGAAGAAGATGAGGTGGTTCTCGAAGCCATCAAATTACTCGAAGAAAAAGCCAAAAAACATAATTAATACTCATTTTTCTTGTGTTTCCTCTTTTGTTTTCCCTTTGATCTGTTATGTTGTGCAATGTTCAAATGTAAATAAATAATTATTTTTCTTGGTCCCAAGTTAGCCCAAAAATAAAAAAAAAGTACTTGGAGCTTGTCAGGTAAGGTGAGATGCGTTGCATTTTATAATAGGCATATATTTCATACAACATTGAAATAGCGGGAGGTTTCAGGAGACACCAGACAGAAAATATAGGAAAGGAAGTTGACAATTTTCAGAAGGTTCTCAGAACTCTCCACTTCTATTATTTTTATTTTGTTTTCGAAAAAAAACAACACCAACCACCATGATTTTTTGTTTTGCTTTTTCTTTTCATTACTCACTCTTCCGTTGAAAAACAACCAGTTCCAATTAAGTTGAGCGGGTCATATGTTGTATGTATTTTCTTTTTCATTCATTCGAGAATATTATTTTTCTGTCTCATGGCTACGAGCAACGATTTTTTGCAGATGTTATCTGCAAATACGAAAGAAACTGAGAGAACCAAGAATGGATTGATTGATAAATATGTGAGTTTTGGAATTTTTTCGGATTTCTTGAAAATTAGCTAGATTTCAGGGATCAGAAGTTCTAGGGTTTTTGAAAAATTATTCTGGAATTTGATTTGAAAAAAGTTGACCTGAGCTAATTTGAAAGGACGTGTCAAGTAACCGAGTCTAGAAAATATTATTATAGGCAAACCTATCTACAGTAATATGAATTATTTCCTATTCAAAAATTGACCTACAGTAAACGTTTTGGCGTCAACCACTAAAATCATAACCGAAATATTTGCAGCATCTCCGCCCGCTTGTTCTCCACATTGGATTAATTGTCTTATGCATTGGCTATGCAATTTTCGGAGCATTACTATTCCTTTCAATCGAAAGACCAGTTGAACTTGCAAAAAGAGAAAGAGCACTTTTCGAATTCGATTTATTGAGAAAAGAATTTATTGGAAACATAACAGAAGATCGTATGAATTCTGAATTGGCTCTAGAATTGTATACCAAAAAAATGATGATTATGTTTGAGGTAAACTTTACACATTGCGACAAAACCTATAGAAATATTTTTTTTTTAATGTTCAGGATGCGCACACAGCACACACTTTTGAATATCATCACACTGACAGTAAGATTGAGAAAGATCTCTGGACATTTTCATCGGCTCTGGTGTTTACAACAACTACAGTAATTCCAGTTGGTAAGATTTTAGAAACTCATAGAAGTATGTGAAACTTTAATTTAACAAGGTTATGGTTATATTTATCCAATCACAACACATGGAAAAATGTTGCTCATTGTATATGCTTTATTGGGTATTCCGCTAACACTTGTAACAATGGCTGATACTGGAAAATTTGCATCTCAATTGGTATCTCGTTGGTTTGGTGAATCTATGGCAATTCCAGCCACATTTTTTGTTTGTCTTCTTTTTGCTTATCCAATGATGGTTGGATTTTTACTTCATCAAACTTCGGATATCACGTTTTTAGATTCAGTTTATTTTTCATTGACTTCGATTTTTACTATTGGATTTGGTGATTTGACGGTAAGATTTCATTGTTCTTCTTTTTCTTTTTGATCCGATTTTTCCAGCCTGATATAAATGTGGTTCAATTAGTAATATTTGTCACAATCGGAGTTATTCTAGTCACAATTACTGTCGATTTTGTTGCTGTTGAATTGATTGATCATGTTCATTATATGGGTAGACATGTTGGAAAAGCAAAGGAGTTGGCTGGAAAAATGTTCCAGGTTTGTTTTGAAACAATTTTTATTGATATGATTATGATCAGAGATTTTTAGCTCGCTCAAAATCTTAATATGAAATCTGGAATAGCAAATGGAGTTGGGCATTTGCATGTTTTGGCGAGGTTTGGGATGCTGAGTGGGGCAATGACGAAAGATCAGGGGAATGGAGGAGGAGATTCGGATATTGGAACGGTATGTGTTATTTTGAACATTGTTTTTTTACTTACAGTAATACTCATAAATTTTTTCACCCACAAGAACTTTTTTGAGAACATTTTTTCAAGGACCCTCGTTCTTTGAACTTCCTCTCTCATCAACTGATTCTCCATAGATAATTTCCAAATTTCCAGCCTGAATCTGCTACCGCATTCGCCCCCGACTTCATGGAAGGAATCGATTTTATGGACACACTTTCAACTTACAGTCGTCGAAGTCGACATTCAGCTGCAAATTCGGCTCGTAACCTTTTCGTCTGTTGATTTTTTTTTGCAATTTTTAGTCTCTATTCACAAGTTTTTTTTGAAGTATAAGTATGAGTAGACACACATTTTTTGCACATTCCCATATTTTTTCCGTTCTTTTGTCTTTTCTGGAAAAAAAGTGCTGGAATTTCTAATTTTTTGTGTATATGTATGTGTAGTCGAAAAAAAATCGACCAATTCTTTTATGAATCGTTGAACCTTTTCATTTGCTCCCACGTTTATTTATTGTTTTTTGCTTTGCTCTGGAAATTGAAGGTTTTTTCTTTTTTTATTGATTTTGCAAGAAGAAGAGTTTTAATTGAACTCATGAATTCTGAATTCAACGGAATTTTTTTTGTAGCTCTCAAGGCGTGGCTCCTAGACAGTTCAGTTCGCTAAGCGCGACTTCGTGAGAACTAGATTTTCCCAGTGCTGATCTTACATAGCTAGGTTCTCTAGGCTCAGCTACTTGACAACAAGGCTCTCTAGGCGCTGATCCTTGGAAATTGAAACATAGATCACTTTTTCTGTAGAAAACTAGAAAATTACTTCAAAAAAAACATCTTCCGAACTTCAAACGATTACTTCCGTTTTGGCAACCGCAGCAGAAAATTGTGATAGTAGTCTTCCTATTCATTTTTTCCTGTCTCCATATTTTCTTTCTTTCACCCCTTCGAAAATTGCATTTTTCTTCTCCCCACAATATGAACATATCTAGCTAAATTTATTCCCCAATTTTTTGTGGCCTCTCCAAAAAATGTCATTTTCAGCTTATTTTTTATAGGAGAAGAAGTTAGGCTAAGAAGATGTGTCACAGAAAATTTTCTTAATGAGAATCTAGCATGAAATACTTTTTTATTTATTTTCGGAAACTTTTTTCATTTTTTTTCATTTTCGTCATTTCCGCCGAGCTTCCTTCTATGAAAAAGGTTGTATGAATATTAATAATTTTTTGCCTGCTGCTCCAGTTTCTATAAAACAAAAAAAAATCCATTCTCTTGGGTTGGGTGGGTGCATCGAGCTGTGAAGAGCAACTCTATGGCTCCGCCTACATTTACTTGCATATTCTGAAATTGTTGTCTGGCTACTAGCGCAGATACTACTTGACTAACATAAATATGAATCAAGAAACGCATTCAGCTTTTTCCAAAAAAGTGGTTCTTGTGAAAGAATGTTTTTTTACGTGAGTGTTGTTTTAACAAAGTGCTTTTCAAGAGTAGATAAATAAATTATGATTTTTTGCATACTTTATACTACACATTCTTGATTTTATGATTCTAGAAGTTTTTGAATCGGACTCAAAGAAAAATATTGAATCCGATTTCTCCTATTCGATTCAATATTTGCCTAATTGTTTACTTTTTCAGAATGACTCTATCACCAGAAACTCTTTTGATGGTATTAGCAATTGCAATGTGCAGTCTTTTACTATTATTTTCGATTGCAGTTGTTATTGTATTTCATTGTTGTAAAGTTGATGCCATTCAAAACTTGCCGCAAGCAATGCTTGAGGTAGGTTCTTGAAAGTTTGGGTTAACCCACGAAGCTTCTGGGTTACTGTGGGCGAAACTAGAACTATTTAAAAGATAAAAGTTCAAAACCTATTGCACCCGATTCTACTGACCTCAGGACAATTTGAAATTTTGAAGTTGTTTTTCAAAAATTCAGTAAAAAACCAGAAGTTTTCCTATATTAAATTTATAGATAACTCTTAATCTCCAAAAATTTCAAACTTTTTCAATTACCTCTCCAGAATCTTGACACATTTCTCTCTGATCAGCTGTTGTTTTTTTTTCAAGAGAACACGTCATTCTGTCAATTGGGCACGTCATTCCGTCTTCAGCCATAGTCATTATGATGAATACGAAGAGGATTGTGGACGTGGAACTTCGCCAACAAATATGTTGAGACCTCCGCCGATTGCTGTATAGTTTTTTTGATTCTTGAAAATATATTTTATTTTTGCGGGTGGAATATTTTTGTTCGAGGTTTTTTTTTGGAAAATAAATTGATTTCTAATGATCTGTCTAGTAGATCGTGGATATTTTTTTGATCTACATAAAATAGTTTTGGTAAGTCTGAGTTTTTTAAACTGCGATCTAATTTTTCGGACAATTATTCGACCTGGCTAGATTCCAGGTTTCCCCCACCATTTTCCAAACTCAAATCAAGACCACCTGAGCTGCACAATTATAGTTCAAAATACATGAAAAGTTTTATACACATATAAATACACAAAAACAGAAAAACAAACCCATTATTGATCATCGCCCGCCACCATTTTCAACGAAACAAAATAAAGAAAATACGCAAAATTCATCATTGCTGATGTCCACAAAAGAACATCAGTTGTTCGCGGATTCATCTCATCATTATCTTCATGCATAAGTTGGTGGTTGAAGATATTTGAGTGGTTGTTGTTGTTGAGATTTTGATGCTGATGATGGAATATTCCAATTTGTCTGGGAGACCGGCGAGGCATCGTATCCTTCACTTCCCATAATTGCAACATTGTATCCCTAAGAAATATAAAAATATTGGAAAATGATGGTTGGGTCGTGTTAAAACCTTGTTTGTTTGTTTGTTTATTTGCTCATCGAGAGATGCTCCGAACATCTCAACAACTTTGTTTTCAAAAGAACTAAAGAAAACTAACTAGGCCAGGTCAGAAAAGCCCAGAAGATTCAGATAAAGAAAACACTTTTTTTCCTGAAATCCAAGATTCCCGATTAACTTTAGGCCGATACAAATTTTCCGAGCTTCTAAAATTCCTCTGATCGCAGAACTCAGAACACTATCATCCCTCAAACTAACCTTGCTTGTTTGGAATTGTCTCTGGTTTGCTCCAACGAACGTCGACGTTGGTGGTGAGAACGCGGACAATTGCTCATTTGAATACCCGAATGATTTTGCCGAACTGAGTGGTCCTCGGAAGCTGGCTGTTTTTGAAGAGTATTGTCTAGCTGGATAAGCCGCGTTGACATCTCCATTATGTTTGTGTGATGGTTGGTATACTGTATCTGGATAATTGATTGTTTGTGGGATAACAGCTGGAGAATTATAAATAATCAATGGTTCTTCAGTTGTTGTTGTTGTTGTAGAAGTTGTAGTCGAAGTTGTAGTCGATGTAGTTGGTCGTTGTTCCTCTTCGTAAATCTGTGATCCCGAAAAAGCTGAGTCTCCTCTAGGCTCCTGAACCCCTTGTGGACAATGCGAACAAGATCCTCGTCTACCGTCAGGTCCAGCTGGTCCTGGTGGTCCTGGCGGTCCACGGGCTCCTCGACCACCTCGTTCTCCTTGGATTCCGCGAGCACCAGCGATTCCTTCGAGACCCGGTCGACCGTCACTGGAAAAATAAGAAACATTAAATATTATGCTATCAAAAACCATGTTTATTTTGGGGAGACATCGACTAAAGTTTTTTTTTTCTGTGTGTGTGTAAACATATTTCACAACGGCAAAAAATACATATTCAGATTGTACGTGAGAAACTTGAACAAGAGAAAAGAGACGCAGAAAATGTTCGGTGCAAAAATAAAATGGACTAACTGAAAAATAAACTAGTTCATAAAGGGATAAGCTACAGTATCCCATCGAAATATATATTTTTTGTCCATTTCACATGATGTTTTTATGAAAAAATAGGGGAACCAGAAAAATAGTAAACATTGGACAAAGAATAACTTTTTGAAATTTGATCAGCCGATTCAATCAAAAACAATGGACAGTTTTTTTTTTCAATTTTTCAAACGTCAGTGTTCATTTTTCATTGTTTCAGAAAATATCAGAAAAAAATTTTGATGAAGAAAAAAATGAAAATGAAAATGAAATTGAATATTTGTGAGCGCAAATGGTCGAGGAGCCACAAAAAAGAAAAAGCGAAAAAAGAACAATAAAGTGTCTGTGTTTCTGTTTATAATTCACTCTCTCTCAGCTCGTTTTTCGGCCAGTTTTTTGTTGAGCAAAAGGCGCGCGGATTATTGAGCACATAAAAATCTTACATAAGAAGATAACACATTAACTTGAAATAACTAGATTTAAATATTTCGAAAGGCGGTCAGCGAGCTAAGTGATCACCCCCGAAGCCTAGAACTGGAACTGACGTGAGCTAGATTGAAGTTAAATTTTTACTGTAGGCAAGTATGCGTGGGGCAATTTTGGAATTTTAAAGTTTCGAGATTTTTTACTATTTCTATTCATACTTGAATATTTATAACAAAAAATTGTGAAAATCTAAAAATCAAGGAATCATAAAAGTGTCATTGTCTCTTCATATAATTTATATCTACATTTTTTGTGTCAGCGAAAAACGAGAGAGTGTGCAAAATGAAGAGAGCATTGTTATCATGAAAGAGCCCCACATTTCAATTTATATTGGAAACAAAATAAAAAATAGTACATCTGCCCAAAAAAGACCTAGAAAAAAAAATGACATAAAGGTCATTGAAGAGAGTAGGAGAAACAAAGATAATAGGTAAACTGGTTCTTTTTGACATTGTTTTGGAAAAATATGGCGGAAACATAATAATTGTTCGAATTTTTTGAAAACTTTTCGAATATCGAAAACATATGTTTTTAAAAAAAGGTGACGTAAAATCTGTGCGACCTCATTTTTTTTGGTATCTACGCTGAATGATATGAAAACCAGTTTTCTTTGATCAGTCAAATTATCATCATCAAATAAAAACCGCCGAAAAGACAATAGTCTTTCCCCCTCTGAATGTACATACATATATTACAACAATTTAATTTCCGCTAACTTTAAAAGGGGAGTGACACATTCTTAAGAACTGTGTAATGTTCAACTTACCGTCCAGTGAGTCCTGCTTTTCCTCGAGGTCCAACACGTCCTGAAAAATATTGTATGAGTAATCAAGTGGCGGGAAAAAAGTGTTATTCGATCGGAAAAAATCTAGTTTCAGTGAGTGTAATAGTAAAAATTGTCTAGCTATCAGCTGTTTTATGAACCTGGTTCAGAGAACTAGTAAGATAAAAATAATGTAAAAGGGGCGTGGCATAATTGAAAAAGTTCAAGTCTAAAATCTTACCAACTCTTCCGGGAGGTCCTTGTGGTGCACCATTCAACACTTTTCCTGGATCTCCTTGCGGCCCCTGCATTCCAATTTCTCCCGGTGGTCCTCGAACTCCAGTTGGTCCAGGTGGCCCCGCTCTTCCTGGGATACCATTTTTACCAGCAGTTCCAGGTGTACCATATGCTCCACGTGGACCTTTTCGACCCGGATGTCCTGGTGGTCCGGGAGGAGCTGGTGGACATTTTTGACAAGCAGAGTCATTGTGATTCTCGGATGCGACATATTTTCCAGGTCTGCCATTTCTACCGTTCAATCCGATTACTCCTGGTTGTCCAGGTTGACCATCGGAGCCGGTTGGACCTGCTGGACCTGGTCGACCTTGTTGACAACTACAGCCTGAAAATTTATCGATTTATTGGAAAATAATGGGGTGATTCAGGTCGAAAAAAACTAAAAAAAAACGATTTTTTACAAAAAATTTCGATTCAGCAAATGTCAAAAAACCCTATTTTTTCCACACAAAAATGAAAGATATCTCGCAGCGAAAATGTTTCAATGAAAAAAATGTAGAAAAATAGGAAAAAAATTGTTTTTTGACATTTGCTGAATCGAATTTAAAAAAAACGTTTTTTTTTTAGTTTTTTTTTCGACCTGACTCACACCATCATATATGAAATGAAATTTTTGCTTGTAAAAAATATTTGTTAAAAAATTGAAACGTATAACTCACATTTTCCAAGAGCAATTTTTGGAGAATTCACGCCATTGTACGATCTTTTCACTCTCAATCCATTTTGTGATAATTGTTTCCAAATATCCGAGCTATCTTGCTAGAAAAAAGAAAAGTTTCTATCTCTTCAACTTTTTACAACACACAAAAAAGAAAAAAATGGCACAGGCAACGAGGCACCCAGACACACATTTATTTAAAAAGAAGAGAGACGCTCTCATGTGGTGAGATGGCCGAGCGGTCTAAGGCGCTGGTTTAAGGCACCAGTCCCTTCGGGGGCGTGGGTTCGAATCCCACTCTCATCAGCTATTTTTGCAATTTTTTTTAAATTTTTATTCAAAAAACTTACGTGACAGTTATGAAGTTGTGTTAACAGAAGTGTATTAGCTCGCTGAATTTTCATGAAGAAAATTGGTAGAAGTACAATTATAGATAATAAAGAGATTGTCGACACAACGGTCGAAACAACCAAAGAGGACCGTAGTCCCATGTACATTTTTCTAGGAAATAAGATAGAGAATGAATAAATATATCAGAAAATTATGCGCGAGCGAGGGAAAATTGATAATCTCCGAAATATATTATGCGACCTTGCCCTTTCCGTATATCAGATTTGACCTAAATTTTCCAGAAAATACATATTTATATTTTGAAATAAATATTTATTAGTTCAAAAAATAGAGTGAATTGAATTTGATGCAAATCTACAACAAATAATGCACATTTTTTTTTGAAAACTCGTAGTATGTGGAAAAAACACTATAATAAATCACATAGGTCACTCGGCAATTAATATGAAAAACAGAACAGAGAGAACCCGTAGAAAAAAACTCAAAAATAAAATCTGAAAGAAATAAAAACTTATGAGAATGGAATAATATGTTTGGATAGATCTTGAACAAATGAGACAAATGTTGGAATTGGTTGAAGTTCAACAGAAACATCTGAAAATATAGAGATAAAAATAAAAATATTTGAAATGAATTTACCGTGATTAACCATTCCGAAGAAATCATAAACCATGAATAAAAAGTCGAATACAACTTTGTGAACTGTGTGAGATTCCAAATGTGAGAAACAAGATGAGAGAATTCCATCAGCGACTAAACTTCCTTCAACAGTCATCGGGGAATAGATTCCTTTTGATGATTTCCGTCCAATCTATAAGTTTTGAATTGGACCATTTAAAAAACATAAGAGACGGGGTTAAAATCTTACGGCAGTTTTTTAGGGGGCAATTCAAAACAGCTTAAATTGAAAAATCAGATTCATTCTTTTTTCTCATAAATTTTTGAAACGTATTTTTCAAAGATAAAAAAGGGGGTAAATTGTTTTGTTTTTTTTGAACAGAGGGTTTTCGTGGTATTTATGTGAGAATCTGAAATAATTTTTGAACTTCTAAAGACTCATAAACTCACTCTAACAATTTTATCCGCAATAACATTTCCAGAATATGGATCAACTGAAAGTACACATTCACCACGTCGAGCTTTTTCAGCATATTTCGATTCTCTCATTGCAATATCAATTCCATCTGCTGCCGAAATATAATCTCGAATAACACGACACTCAGCTGCTGGCAATAAATGTCTTCCAGTTAGGGATAATTTTCTTCCACTTTCTGTGTACAAAACAACGAAATTGGCGCGAGTTTCAGCTTCTCTATGATAAAACATTTCGACTCTTTCGTATTTCAAAACATTTCCAGCCGACGGAACTAATACGAAATCTCCGATCATTAATTCATCCATTCGTTTTTGTCCGGATACTGTAGTTACCAAAGTGTCACCGGAGAAGCAATTCATTCCGCCGCCAGATGATCCAGTTCCAGACGCCGTGTCTGATGCAACAGCATCAGATTGAGCAGCGGTTTCTGTTCCCGTTGAATCAGATGCAGTTGAACCAGAAGATCCAGAATCAGAAGATGTTCCCGAAGAACTTGAATCGGAAGTTCCAGAGCTTGCAGAAGTGTCTGTACTTTCTCTATTAGCTTTTCGATTCACTTTAGCAGTTGCTCCACCAGCCAATCGATCTCCACGTGTTTTTGCTTGATCAATTTCTTTCGATGTGAGATTTGGAAGTTTTGCAAGAAGTTCTTCAACTTTTTTCTCAGAAATTGTTTTAGTTCCAACAACTTCATCCGTCACATCCACGTCATCATCGTCATCTCCTCCACCTCCGGTTGATTTCGAAGTTGTTGATTCAGCTCCAGTTTTGGCTGCTGTTTTCGAACCAACAGAAGCTGTAGATCCTCCTTTTGTGCCAGCTTTTTCACTTGTGTTGATGCTCTCATTTTCACCATCTGGATCTGTTATTCCATTTCCGTTTTCGTCTCCTTTTCCTGATCCTTTCCCATTTTTATTTCCAGCTCCATTCTTATTACTTCCTTCACTTCCTTTTCCAGATTTTCCTGATCCCGCGCCTCCAGAAGTCGAATTCTTTCCAGCTGTTTCAATATTCACTGTGATTTTTCCGCCATTTTCTCCAAGAATATCGTTATCATCTCCATCATCATCCGCTTCGTCACTTTCATCTTTCCACGCGTTTCCGGACGATGTTTTTCCGGAGTTATTTCCACCCGAAGATTTTCCGTTGGAACCTTCTGATGAATTGTTTTTATTGTTTGATTTTCCATCTCCCTTTCCATTACTGCTTGCAGATCCCGTTTTTGAACCTGATCCAGAACCTTTTGAATTTTTGCCAGAATCTCCTGAATCTGTTCCACTTCCAGATTTTCCAGCCGAACTTCCACTATCGCCTTCAGAACCTTTACCAGCGTTTCCTGATGTTCCTTCAGCTTCAGTAGATCCCGAATTCGATTTTCCATTACCAGACCCAGAACTATTTCCACTTCCAGATGTTCCATTTCCAGCGTTCAAATTAACACTAGCGTTTGCCACAGCGAGAGCAGATCCCCCAGTTCCATTTCCAGTGTGAATATTGATATTGATATTTCCATCACTCTTTGCTCCAACGCCAGCGCCAGCGCCAGCTCCGGCACCAGATTCAGCATCAGCTCCAGAATCTTTTCCAGAAGCACCGCCATTATTATTGTTGATATTAACATTCACATTTCCCGGTGATTTTCCCTCGCCTTCTCGAGTTCTGACACGTTCCTCAGTTCCACCGGCAGCCTTGTTGAATGCATGTCGAGCCCATGTGCTCCAAGAAGAAGATGACCATGAGCTCCACGAAATTGCTCGCCATTCTCCATTTTCTCCAGACTAGAAATAAATTTGGTTTCAATTTTTTGAAAATTTAAAATTAAAAAAAGCTTACATCGTGTGCCTCGTTATTGTTCTCATTAATTTTATCATACGAAGTACATCTTGGTCGACAAATTGTAACACGATATCCATCTCTGAAAAAAAGGTTAACTTTTAAAATTTGAACTCTCCCGGGATCTAGCTTACAATCTTCTTTCAATTCCTTTGACAAGAAGAGTTGGTGGTGATTTGTTTTTGAGAAGGAAAAGTCGAAGTCGATATCCGGTAATACCATCAAATTGTTCGGGAATTTCAGCAGGGTTCTGGAAATTTTCATATGGAGAGGAGAAAAAAATATAAGGAAGATTTTTGTGTTTAGAACTTTGAATGTTCGGAAAACCAATTAAAATAGTTATTGGATAATTAACAAAATTAATGATCAAACTTCAAACTTTGTTCGGTGAGAGGATTAGAGAAAAAAATTTGAAAAATTAGAGATTCAATTGTAATTTTTAAAGATCTCTCAATTAACTAACCTTCAAAACAGCATACGGTGCATCATCTGAAGGTGATGGCTCAGCTTTCTACAAAAAAAATCACAAAAAACTCCAGATAAAACCAAAAATAACGAACCTTTCCATTAGTTGTGCCATCAGGAAGTTCATAAATAAAACAATCATTTCCAGTATGTGTTGGAACAGCATGTGGGGCACGAGGATTGAATAAGTTACAGCAAGTGTGTTCAACGCTGAAATTATGGGATAGAATTGAAGAAAGAAATTTGGAAGAAGAAGAAAAACTCACGGAGATGTTGGATTTTTTTGGTTGACATGAGAAACAAAATTGAGTCGTCCGCCACATTGAGGTTGAAGTTCATCGTAGTCGCATTTCTGAAAAATAGGGTAAAGCTAGAGTTCCTATGAGTTATCAAGTTATTACTCAATGCTTACTGTAGTTTTTTTTGTTCCAAAATCTACAGTAACCCTAGGCTTATTTGGTGTCAAAAAATATAAAATTTTACTCCCAAAAATTTGAATTTTTTTTTGGCCCCAAAATCTACAGAACTGTTTTTTTTCTTTTCCCCAAATTTTTTTTCAAAAAAAAAAACTAACCAAACTTTGATATCCGCAAAGATCTAAACGTTGACAATGCATTCGAATTGTATCATTTCCAAAAGATTGAACAACAAGAACTTGATCATTGTGACATTTATAATTGAGAGCATCGCAAAATCGGAGTAATATAAGAAGAGGAAGCAGTATAAACTGCCTCATTTTGAGGATATACACAATCTGGAAAAAAAAACAATGGATAAAGATGATCAAAAAAGAGACAATGAAAGTGGGCGATCGTGGCGGCGGCGAAAATGACCTGATAACATACAGCGAAAAGAAAAGAGAAAGAGGGGGACCGCGCCCGAAAAAAATATGGAATGAGACAAGATGATCGAGAAAAACGACGAACGAAAAGCTAGCTTTTATCCAGTTTATTACATGTGTGTTCAGTGGATCAAATCAAACTTGTTTTATTTTCGTTGATTTGTATTTTTTCGTCGGCTTTGATGATAACTCTTACTGGTAAAGGGTTTATTTTGATGATTGATTTTGAGAATAACACGATGAATGAAAATAAATTTTAGTGATGTTAGGGTTCCGGAGCGGTTCAAGATTTTTTATGCGTGCACAGAGTGTAATTCACTAGACACGAGAAAACCTAGAATTAAACAAAACATGAGTTAGTTTTTCTATCATTACATCTTTCAAGCAATCAAAATGCATAAAAATCAATTAAAATTTCCAATGGTTCGTGTGTCTTCAAAGTAAGATGAGAGATTTAGAGAAAAACATTTTTGATCTACCCCGAATTTTTTTTTGAAAATTTTGAGGTCTATTTGGCAAGAAAAATCAAGAACACCTTTTGGTTCAAGCCAGATGCGAAATTAAAATTTCTAGTGATAATTGTTCCAATAAAAATTTGAAAAATTTTATTGGAACTGTAAAATGAACCGGACCTCATCCCAAAAGTAATCTCATCAACTTGAATCGGAAGATCAATTAGATTTCAAATTCCAAAACCTTCTTTTTTTCATCCAATCAGTGATCAACCGTGAAAAAATAATGATGAATAATCAAATGAAACTGGATAAGCATGAAAGGCAGCCAAAAAACTCCGAATCGTGTACTTTTCGACATTTTATTTATGATCTACACATATTTGAACAACAATAATAACAATGACGACCTTTTTCGGAATCGACGATAAATCTCCGGATTATTATTATTATTATTCCCCTATTATTATTGGTTGTTTTTATTGCGCTAATTTAGGGTTATTATCATGTCGTTAAGAAATGGTGGAATTATTTTGAATCGAATTTGTTTGTTACATGCATCCGGAACATCTTTTTTTTATTGGTATAAAGAAAAGGTTCTAGAAAAAATAATGGGATAGAAATTAGGGACAGAGTAATTTTTTTCGATTTGAAATAGCTTAAGCTTGAAAAATGTTTAAAATTTAATTTCAGAATTTTAGAAAGTGTAAAGCTTCCGCGCAGCGGCCCTATCTAACACGTTATCGGAAAGTTAGCCTAACTTCCTGTGATGAGAAAAATAGCTTGTCCTAAATTGGTTGATAAATGATTTCTGAATTTTCGGCAAAAAATCAGAAATTCGAGATAAGCTACTTCTTTTTTATGCAAAATAGTATAACATATCAACAAAAAATGTAATTGAATTCAAAAAATCTCAGAATTTATATACATATTTCTAACGCGAAACTGGAAATGAGAATTTTATCCATCAGAAAAGTCATAATTCAATAAAGCGGGCCTACTTCAAATACAATAAATTTTAAAATTTCGAATTTGTACTTGATACAAAAATAGATTAGGATTAGTCATAGCCAAAGCAAAACAATATTCAAGTTTTTATCAATTTTCAATTAAACAATCGAAAGCTAATCCTGATGATTGGGAAGAATTCCCAGAAGTCACATTATGAACACCTCATAAACTACTAGACCTACAACCTTCAAAATCAACAACAACAACATCGATAATAGAAAAACCGTAGAAAACAAATTGACAAAACATCTGATAGATGAGCGAAACAGCAAAAATGAACGAATTATTTGGGTCAATTCGAATTTCATTTATTTGAAAAAGTGTTGCGATGAGACTATCATTATTTGACACGACATGAAAAAACATGGGGAGAGAAAATGGATATAACTACAGTATCTTTAGCTTATCCTTTTTTATGAAATAAAAAATTAGGGAATTATTTTTTAATTTTAATTAACTACAAGATATTCATCGGGTTTTATCTGCAACAAACATCTACTAATTCGACATGGTTGAGAGACAAAATATTCTTCCGGTTATTTTTTATTTTTCAAAATGAAAATGGCAATTCATTTATTTATTCTTTCAGAAACTTGAAAATCTGGGATACAAATTAGCTTAATGAATTTATGAGAAATAATCGGAAGCCGAAAACCTATTGTAGTTCAATGGAACATTGCTCATATTACAGTAATTCAGCAATTTCAATTTACTGTAGTGGAAAAGTTTCGAAATCTCTTTTAAAAAAGTTACTGAATTTTGAAGGAGCGCTGCTATATTTTACAGTAATTTTGATACCAAACTTGACTCGGTTACCGTAGTTAGAACCCATGTTGAAGCATTATTGCTCATTTTAGAGTATTCCTGGAGAAATAATTGATCACCAAAAATGTTAGGGTTACTGTAGCTTAATTTATGTGAAAAACTCAGATAATCAGACAAGGTTTCTGTAATCTAAAGAAACATTTTTTACAAGAGTAAAAGGAACCTTAACATCGAAATAATTTTTAAGATTTCTCAATACAAAATTCCAAAGATCTAGATGTTTACAAAAAACATGGACAAAATTTCAATGAGTCACTTCAAATAAAATTCTCATTCATTCTTTCATTTGAATAACATTTCCGAAAAACTGTGAAAAAATGGGCGAGAAAAAAGCGATGAATAAAGAATAAATATAAATGATGCGCGAATAAAGTGAGAAGGAATATATAAATAAAATTGAATGATGCGAAACGATAAAAAAAGAGGAAAAAATATCTGGATTCGCTACTTTTTTGAGGTTTCCGGAACATGTTCGGGCAGATTAAAAGTGCAGAAAAGGCTTGAAAAAAAGGAAAAAAAGGGGATATATCAGTATTGGCGGAAGGAATTTGGGAAGAAAATAAGTGAAAGGTGAGATAGAAATCTCGAAAAATGAAAGAAGGTCGACAAAATTTTATATGTATTCAAATGAGAATCGAAACAATGCCTTTATTCATTTATGAATGTTTCAAATAATTTTTCTCTTGAATTTTTTCAAAAGGCTGAATATTTGAAGCTTCAACCGGACCTTTTTCAAATTCTCAGGTGTTTCTTAGGGTTGGCGCCCAACCCATTTAACCCACTTTTTTCACTGATGTTTTCGACAATTTAACGAGAAGAAGAGGAGAAAACATATCATTAGGTTCGAAAGAAATGAAAGACTTTTCACTTTCGATTTGGAATGTTTCAAAAAATGGGCAGGATTTTTTGGAGAAGACTAGGCAGGGGATAGATTTCGGGCGGAAGATCTGAAAAAAAAATGGCTTCACTAATTGTGGTCCTTTTCTACAATCATCAATTTCGAAAATTTTGATTTTTCTATCTAAAAAATTGTTGAAACGTACAATTTTCGGAATTTTTTACCAACTCATTTCTCCGACCACAAATGTTCTAAAAAAAACTATGCCCGAGTATTACTGTAGCTCTTCAACATTTCTTTAAGTGGTCAAAGTTCTTTGCTATTATAAATTCCGGAAAAATGTAAACATTAATCGAATTGACCTCTACATTTTCCGACAAAAAATGGAAAGTTGTGTTTATGTGATGATTGACTAATTTATTGGTGCCGTTATTAGCCAATAAAACACTTGGAAGAAAATTGGGATAAAATATTTGTGTAGTTCACTCGGAGAATGTTGGTCAAGAAGTGGACATTCAGACATTCAGACAGACAGTCAGTCAGTCAAAAAAAAAGAAGTAGAAAAAGAAGACGATTACAAAAGACACCAATACAAATGTCAATTAGATGGAGATGGGCGCGGACAGAAAAAAAAGACGAAGAAAATGAAATAGTATAATAGCTAGGCAAGGATTGGAATAAATAAAAAAGTAGTTGAAGGATTGCAAAAAAAGTGCACTTGAAGAAGAGAGAAGATGTCAAGATTTAATTGAAGTATTCGAATGAAACATCCGGGAAACTGTTTCAGCGAGGGAAATAACGGTTTTCGGAATTTTACATTTTTGATACAGTAATTTAGTTCTTTAATTTTGACATTTGAAATCACACATTTGATTTTTTTTTTCAACAATACCACTCTGGTCAATCTTGAGCCCTTATGATTTTTTTGTTTTGAAAATAACAAGCTTTTTAATTTTGTTGTTGTTCCGATGCTCCTGCTCTTCACCAATTGTGTTTCTATCTATATTTATGTGCATTGAAAGGTGTCAACCTGCTCCACTTGACATATTTCAACAATAACAACAAAAGAGAGAATCCAAATTAAAAATGAAGTGAAAAAAATCGTGTTGCTCGAACCGGTGCACTCGAGCCAGCATATAAAACAGCTGGAAAATCAACCAGCAAACTTTCTTCATTAAATATGTCTTCTACTCGCACAATTTGTATTGTAATCATTGCTTTGATATTAATCATTCAACCCGGTACGATTTTTGTGTTGCGGTTTTGGAGGGTTTGGTGGAGGATTTGGTGGATTTGGCCTAGGTAAGACAATGATAAGATGTTCTTCAGCTTGTTTTATTTTCAGGTATGGGTTGTGGATATGGGAGTTTGCTCGGTGGACTCGGTTTGGGATATGGCGGATATGGAGGTTATGGTGGTTATGGAATGGGTGGATATGGATTGGGATATGGTGGATATGGAATGTATGGAGGAGGATGTGGCGGCGGATTCAGCAGTTTTGGTTGTGGATTTGGACGGAAAAAATGATTGTGTTTCTCGTTAATTGTTTTCTCTATATATATTATGTTTTATAAAAATTCAATTTTTTGCAAAATAATATGATTTTGTTTTTTAAAACTACAAAATGTGATTTCACGAATAGTTTCACCGTTGCGAAAAATTACCTCATCTTCTCTTCCCCTCTTTGCCAACTTGAAGTTCAAATTTATGAAATTCGAAGAAAAAAAAAGGAAAACAATACAAATTTGAACTCGAGCGCAACGAGTAGGCGAAATACGTTGTTATTTTCGACGCGCGTGGCGAGACCTTTTAGCGAAAATGTGTGTCCCTTTGAACGAGCTGCAATCATTTTTTAAATTTTTCTCTTCCCTCGCCTCCTAAAATTTCTAGACATGGAAAACTTCTGAAAACCTCACCAGCTGCTCAAAATAAATAATTTTTTAAAATTTGATTTTTTTGAAAACCAAAACCAGCGTGACCTGGTTTTTTCAAAATTTTTATATTTATTTGATTGTGAAAAAAACTGCGTTACCCAACTCCATTAATTCGCATTTCGAAATTTCAAGCAACCCTCGACCAACAACACACCGTTTGTACGCCTGCATATTGTTTAGTGGCTGGTGGGAGATTCAAAAAAAAAACTTCCGAAAAAGAATGCTCGATTGGTTGTTCGCTAGATTAGGTACTATTATTACAGGGCAAACTGAAATGTCGGATTTAAATCAGAATATTTCGCTTGGATCAAAGAATAATCCAATTTCTTTAGAGTAAGAAAATCATTGAAGTGTTGCCTGATAAAATTAGATTATTATCTTTTTCAGTGATTCTTCTGATGAAAGTGATAGTGGTGACACAATCGCAAGGTAATTTTTCAAAAACTATTCGTCGTTTTTCATAAGTACATTTTTATTTCAGTGAGGAATTCGTCCCATCGTATCATGCGATCAGAAATGAATCTTGGAGATATATTCCGCGAAAACCAACACGAGGGCGACCGAAAGGAACAAGTATTTCGAGAGATGGAAAAACTTTTCTAATCACATCGAAAAATATCAAAAGAGGTCGCCCGCGAAAAGGTTCGATTCGTCCACAAAAATTCAAAAGAAATTTGGATTCCACTAACAAACCAGCTATTTTGAAGAAAGGAAGAAAAAGAAGAAAAATCAAGAGACAATCTGTAGTTCGACAAGAAACACCTGCTAATATCCCAGAAGTTAGGCGAGTACAAAAAAAGGACGCTGAAGAAGGAAAAGGGCGGGATATTCAAATATTTCCAATCTTTAAACAAAGGTCAGTCATTTATCTCACCATTGTGTTATTGCTGAGTATAAAATGCAATTGTATTTTAGGTTAACAGGAGCACCACTTGCGACTATCGATGAAAATATTGACGAATCCACGCCATCTACTAGTATTCAAGAAGAGAATCAATCAATTCGACAAGAAACACCTACAATTCCAGAAGTTACAAGAGTTTCTATTGGCAATGAAGAAATGAAAGGGCGTGAGATTTCTCCAATATTTGAACAACGGTTAGTCATTCGTCTTACTATTGTATTAGCTTTCTTATATATTAAAAGGTGACAAGAATGAAACGACCGGCTTCCGCTAGTCTTCATTCTTCTATGAGAAAAGTCTATCTGGGACATACCTCCTTTATGAATCTATTGTATTGGGCGATGACCTCATCCAGTGCAAAATTCAAATCGATTTGTATTTTACACCGTTAGAGAAAAAAATCAAGTCACAAAAAATCACATAACAAAAACAAACTTTAAAAAAAGATCAAAAAATAAAAATATAAAATAATTTCGGCTTTATTGTTACTATCATCAAGCGACTTTTTGATGAAATAACGTTTTTTTCATTTTTAAATCATTTCCTCACCAAGAAATATACTTGTCCATATCCACAAAACACCCAATATATTCCCCTTCTTGTCTCAAAGTTCTAACAACCTTTAGAAACAACACATGCCCATTTCATATTTCAAAAAAAGATGTATTATTTCTCCCGACTTCAAAGTTTTTAAAAGATTCTAAAACTTCCTTTCAAAAGCATCCTCGATTCAAATGCAAATCAGTTTAAAAATTTTCGAACTCTACAGAACTCCCTCCGACTAAAACTTCACTACTCAATCGAACCCGAAAAAAGAACTAACCTTTGAAATTTTGACCGTTCCTCTCCTCGCTCAAAATTGATGTATAGCTTCATGTTTCCCAACAAAATCATCTCGAATATTTACTTCCACGACTAATCTGAAAAAAATTTTCAATTTCATTCCTTGATGTTCCTCTTCTCCCAACTAAAGAATAAATTAATCAGTAAAAAATGATTCACCATTGCCACCTTCTTCGTCATCACTTGCACCATCATCGTCTTCGAATTTTCGACCAAATTTCCTTCCTCGTCCATTTCGACACCTGAAAAAAACGATTTTTTGAAAAAAAAAACGTTAACAGTTAAAGATTTTCAAAATGAAATTCAGAATTCAAAAAAAAAATTAATGAAACTTTTGGTTGTTTTTTATTGATTCAAAACGCTATTTCAAAAAATTGGCGTCCATAAGAGAGAGAGAAGAGACAAAAAGTCAGTGAATTCGCGCGTGATCTACAGTGATTTAAAAACTTGCGGGACTAGGTTAGGAATTTTTTTAATTTAACAAAAAATAATAATTTCGCGTTGTAATCATCTCACTACAAAATTACCTTCAGATCTTTCCAATATTCACAAAAATTAAGGCAGAAATTCAAGCGTATTGAAAAATCAGAAATAAGCAAAATGATTCACCTCAAATTATTTAAATTTAAATCCAGGGCTTGACCTACTTTTGTGCCCTAGATTTAAATTTAAATAATTTGACGTGAATCATTTTGCTCATTTCTGATTTTTGGATTGCCGCCTTAATTTTTTGAAACGTATCGTTTAACTTAAAGAAATATGTGAATATTGGAAAGTTCTGAAGGTAATAGTCCATTTTAGATTAACCTTTCAGGGTTAAAATTACAAGATACATAATCAATTTGATAAACAAATTTCAATTTTTGCTCAAAAAATGACCCGGTGTAAAATACAAATCAATTTGAATCTTGCACTGGATGAGGCCATCACCTAATTTTTCGAAATAATCTATAGAATCTCTAGTTTTTTGTGATAATTATACAACTATCTTAATTACAAGATATATGCATTTGATAAACACATTTCAATTATTTGCCCAAAAAATGACCCGGTGTAATATACAAATCGATTTTTTTAGTTTGGTCAGAACACCATTCGCGAATATAAATGAAGATGGTAATCAATCCACATCAGCTACTAGTCAAGAAGATAATCAAAATGAGAATACAACCGGAAAGCGGTTGATCATGGGACAACAACAAGTTGGGAATTTCAGAAAAAGGTGAACTTTTTTTAAATTACATTTCAATTATTTTCTTGATTTTTATAGAGGCCCAAAGAGATATATTGATGCAGAAAAAGAGAATGATGGAGAAATATACGAGGATTTTGAGCACAATGATATTCCAGAACCGCTCGGAAAACGAAGAGCACCACCCGTGGATTCCGATTCCAGTGTGAATCGTAATGTTTTGAAAAATGTGATTTTGGATGAAGTCTTCAATTCAAATCATGAGAATAATGAAACACCATCAAAACAATGTGTAAATGCTGAAAAATTGGTTCCGGAAGTGTTGCAAATCGACTCAAATCATCATATGAAAAATATGAAATCACCAGAAAAATCTGCAAACGTTGAAAATTTGGTTCAAGAACTGTTGGAAAATGAGGAGATTGAAGAATTGGACGATGAAGATGATTCGAAGCAAGACGCATCAAAGGAAAACGATAAACAAAATACAGTCATAACTGATTTCAAGGTTGGAAAAGTCAGAAGTTGTGAACGAGGATGGGAAAGTGTGTGGAACAATTCAGAAGTTGGAATGGTGGAAACGGGAGTTCGAGAAGATGATGGAGAATTGAGAAATATCAGAATTGAACCAAAATGTTATGGCAATAATGTGCAACCACGTCCGATGAAAAAAGATGAAGCAGAAGATGAAAATATTGTGATTAAACCGAACCCCGCGAAATTATTGTTCAGCCATAATTACAAATTTCAACTTCGCAAGGTTTGTTCTATTAAATACGTCAATTCAAACATTTATTCAATATTTTTCAGAGTCAAAAGGAAGCAATTCGAGGAGAACAACTTGGTTCGTTCTGTTATAGCAAGCAATACTTCTGGAATACCGAATAAAAAATTCGGGAAAAATGATCTTGAAAGTTTTGGTCAAGGTGATATCGATTGGGTAATTCAAGCTATTCATGAGGTAGGGTTTTTGCTGAAGGTTTTTTTGGGAAAATTTGCAAAAAATTGAAAAATTTATTAAAATATAAATGTTTACAGACTTCGGATAGTAACAAGTTCTTTGTTTTGTATGAAGGTTGGACTGCTGAAACTGGATCTTTCCATAGTTTGAAGCAATTAAAACGAACAGCCCCAATAATGTTGGCAGAATGCAGATCTCGATCGAAAATAATTCGAGCAATTGAACAACAAATCGGTTCGAGCCTTCGACATAATTTCGGCGATCTTCGAAAATACCCGAATAATTTATTTTGGGCACTCGAAGATATGACTTATTTCCAGAATGAAAAGTGAGTTTGACATAATTTTCCACTTTTATTTTTTTAAATATAATTTTTGCAGAAGGAAAGATCGAAAAAATATTTCTACGGTGTTTTATCTATCGACTGCTTCAAAAATTAAAGAAGTACCGAATTTTGTTGTGAGTTTTTCTTCTCGAATTCCAAATCGATCATGATTTTGAAAATTGCAGTACATCAATAAAAATATTGTCGAACGAAACACTGAAAAAATGATAAACAATAATCAAAATTCAGTGAATATTGATGAATGGATGAGCAAATCGGTATACATTGCCAACGATGGAAAATCATCATGCAGTTCTCCAGATTGTAAATGCAATACTCGACAAGAATTGGTATATAATTTAAATAAAGGTCTAGAAGATCATCATCGATTGAAGTTTCGTAAAAATGGATCATTGGATTTGTCGAAATTCAAAATTGAAGAACGTCGATATATTATTGAATGTTCCGATGCTTGTGGATGTGGTTCATTATGTCCATCAAGAAGAATCCAACAAGGTCAAACAATTCCATTAGTCATCAGTTATGAGAATTTCGAAAAAGGTTATGGAGTTCGAGCTGGAAGTGATATTAAAAGAGGAGAATTCATTTGTGAATACACTGGTGTTGCAAGAAAAGTCAATCCAAAGCGAGATGATAAGTATTCTTTGGAATTTGGTATTGTTCTCAGTAATTGTGCGATTGATGCGATGAATTATGGGTTTGTGAAAAATTTTAAAAAAACCGAAGAAAAATAAAAACTGAAATTTAGAAATGTTGCTCGCTTCATGAATCACTCCTGCACACCAAATTCAATGTATGTCGAAGCACATACTCGTGTCAATGAAACAAGTCCACTTCTCCCACGCGTCGGTATTTTTTCAATCGAAGATATTGCAATTGGAGAAGAAATCACTGTTTCGTATTATACAATTGAGGCGCTCAAGAATGCAGCCAAAAGATCTACTGGAAAATATAAATGCTTGTGAGTTTTAGTGGGAACATTGAAATATATAGTGGGAACATTGAAATGAAATATTGATTTTAAATTTCAGCACAATAAATCAGAAAGTTTTTTTCCCTTTGAAAAAATTTAAAAAAATTTATATCAATATATTGAACATTTTCTGGATTTCCTATCCTATCCTATCCTATCCTCTCCTATCCTATCCTAAATCCTATCCTAGGATTATAATACCTTCTCCGAAAAATTAAATTTTTGTGGAGTTCCTGAAAATGCCAACAGAAGCTTTATCAAATTAGTGTGAAATTATCCATACCAAATTTTTAAAATTTCAGTCGAAAATCATGAATTTCCGATCCAGAGAATCCAAAAAAAGAGATTTTTGAGGTTTTCAGCCAGAAATTTGAAGAAGAAGAAGTATCAGTGCACTCCGATTTATTGAGATAAAATTTGAATTTTTCTCAAAAATCAAGCCTGGCCCGATTCCAAATTTTTTCAAAAACGTCCTAATTTTTTTTCAGCTGCAAATCGAAAAATTGTCTCGGATGGATGCCAAAATTTCTTTAGTGGATGCCAAAATTTGTCTATTTCCTAACGCAATTAAGTAAATACCGGTACTCATCGTTGATATAATTTGAATTGTTTTGTTTTTTCATAGTTTTTTGCTTGTGAATATTGATTCTAACAGTTAAATAAATTTTTTGTATTGTTTTATTCTTTTTTCATCCCACAAATTTTGTTGTCCACCAAAATATATATCTCTCTGTCTAACTGTCTAATCCCTCCTAATCCCTCCACTCTCCCTAATCCAGAATTTCTCAATAGGGCGCGTTTTGCAGCAACAAGCCGGGTTAACTTCGATTTTTTGTTGTTCTAAAGATTTTTTGGCAACTTTTTTGTTTTGTTAAGGTCAAATAACCTGCTGCTGTCCCGTTTTTTCCTTCCACCCCAAACAACTAATTTATCGATTTTCTCATCAATTTCAAGTAGTAGATAAACAACGCCGACCGATTCTTTTTTGAAGTGCATCAAAGCGGTAAAACTATTCGTTTTTTTATTCGCTGACTCATCTTCATCTTATCTATTCTAGCATCTAAAAAACACTAACTTCGGGTTACCATGACAAAAAAAGAGCAGGTGATAAGAATTGTTTGTCTTTTGTCATTTCATTTTCACTTTTATATATTTCAGAAAACCCTTTTCTCTAACAGTTTATCGATTTTGAGACTGCAAAAAAATTGGCTACAATTTTCTTCATATATTATTTTTCCAGAGAAATTATATAAAACCAAATGTAATAATGTCAGCGACTTGGAAAGACGATGATCCAACAAATGCGCCAGGTCCACTTGGATGTCGATATGATGATCATCCGACACATTTGGATATTCAACTAGTTGTTCCTGGAATTAGGCCAAAATCGTTTTGTCGAGCCGCGAATACACAAGTTCATATTAAGAGTGATCCTTTGTGAGTTTTGTTTTTTGAAATTTGTTATTTCGAAACCTTAATGTGTTATAAAAAGTAAGACACAGACAGTCAGAAAAATTTCTCACAGCGAAACTTCCTCTAACTGTAGAATTTTTCTCTGCGTCTCACAAAATGTAAATATTCGAAATAAGCACAAAAATAAGTTTGTTCGGTGGAGCATGTTTGCCATTTTTAGTTATCGAAAATTTTTCTTAAGACTACAAAAACTAGAGGTTCTGTAACTACGGAAAATTTTTGTTTTTGTTTTATGTAGTTCACATTTTTTTGAATATGAGTTATGAAGTGGCAATATAATAAAATTTCGAAAAAAAATTTCAACGATTTTCATATTCTTTTTTTCAAAATGTTCAAACTTTGCCACGTCATAGCTCCTCAACCCATATTCAGAGTTGAGTTTTGAAATTTTTGACAAGTACAAATATACTAGAAAACATATGTCCAATTCAACAAAATGTTTTTGCAGCTCGATGAATTGTATAGTCGAAATTGTGAAGATTGACAAGCGAAAAACGCCTCCAGAAAAATCAATAATCGATCGCCGCTACTACGAAGTTCAACGTTTCCCAGCCGAAATCACCGATGTCTCATTCAAACTCAAAAAAGATTGTTGTTTCGTTACAATCCGAAAAAAGACTGCACAATCATGGGAAAATCAAATGTCACAATTTGGAATGACATAATAATTTATGATATTTCACTGATCTTATATTGTTTTACCCTTCAATTCCTCATCTCATTTTATGCACCATGAAAACCACTCTGTATATGTAAATTACTGCTTTAAATTGATTTAATTTGCACTGTCTAATAAATAAATAAAAAGTTCATTATATCACCAAGAACTGCACGGACAACACGATAAGAAGTCGGCACGATGATCCAAATCTGAAATGAACCATTTTCGAGCAATTTGAATGAACATGACACCCCAAATAATTGACCAGATTATTCCAATTATCAAAGGAGCACTGAGGAATTGAAGAATTGCGGCTGTTGTGTTCCAACAAATACAGTTGGGTTTCGATCTGCCACGTGGATCTGAACAACATAATACCGAAATTCCACCGAGAAGAGTTCCTGGAAAATGGAAAATTCCTTTAAAAAAATTTCACGCGAAAATCTGTAATTTCACAAATTCTTACCTGAGCCTGGAAGGAAAACATTCATAAGAAAACAAAGACAAGCTAGCGAAAGTGGCATAATTGGAATTGCACTTCGAAATCGACCATGATGATGAATCTGAAAATAAAAATTGTTTTTTTTTGACAAGAGCTCTAGAAAAAAACACATTTTTCTCAAGTTCTGAAAAAACAAATTTTTTTGTTTTCTTTAATCTTTACTATTTATTGTGCTCATAAAAATTTCACACAAGTAACAAAAATGTCTGAGAAAGTGCGGAGAACCTGAAAATTGAGAGACCTCTCATTTTTCGCGGTTCAATAACCCAGCTCAACACTTCTAGCTGCACAATTCTGTGTTTTCATTTTCATTCTCATTTTTTTTCTCACAAAAAAAAATAAATAAAAATGAATTCATTTTATTTTTTTTTCAAGTCAAGAAGAAGAAGAAGAGCAATGTGAAACTGACAGCACAATTTTTTATTTGCCAAGAAACTACTTTTTTCGATATGTTTTCTTTTTTTTTTTGAATCAGAAATTAAAGACTTACCGGAACTTTTGACATTGAGATACTTTCATGATCTGTTCTTGCCTGGGGTTCTTCATCAAAGTCCAGGCTGAAAAAAAGTTGAATTTTTTGAAGATCTACAGTTTTGGACACGTGGATTAAAAAAAAGCTGGAACTGTGCCATCTGAATTTTGATTATAATTCTCGAGGAACATAGATCAAAGGTACATTGAAAATTGTGGGTCTGAAAATCCATAATTTTTGAAATTCCGGTTGATAAGAATATTTTTGTTTCGAAAAAAATCGAGGATTAATTTCAGTCGCTTAGCACACGGAACATTCAAGAAGAATTCAAGAATGAATTCTCAAAAATCAAGCTGAATCCTATTTTTTCAGATTTCACAAATCCTAGACCCGCAAATTTAACTTGCTGTAGATCACGCGCGATTCCAATATCTTTTCGTCTCTTTCACTCTCCCCAATTGCTTTTTGACATTTTGTGGGAGAAAAACATTGCGTTCGTCCCCTGTACAAATTTCTGTGCGTCGAGGCCCTTCCTCTCACTTTTATTCCTTTTTGATTCTACTTCTTTTTATTTTTTTCTGGGGTTTTTTTCCGTGATTTTAGAAGAAAAAACCACGTGGAGCAATTTGAGCTAAAACGGCGTACAAAATTTATGAATAAAATACGGGCGGAGCTCGAGCTTCCGCTCAGTAGAAGTTAGTATAACTATCCGCTAGCGCTCACACGGGAGCCACATTCTTCCCCCGATTTTACATATTTCAAAAATTTCTCAAAAAATGATCGAAAAAATCTTGGCCATAGTATCACATAGCGATAACAGGAAATTCATATGAATATTCTATTTTGTTTATATATGTATTTTTTGGAGCTCTAGAAGGCCACGAAATCTATGATGCATTATACATAAACTCACTATTCTTCGTAATCTTTAATTGATGTTCCAGAATATAATCGCTGAAGTCTTGCCATTCAAAAACGTATAAAATAAAAGACGAGAAAAATAATTTTAGAAGGAGAAAAAAATAGTTAGAAACTTGTTACTGTTGTGTGTAATTTCGAGTGGTGTGAGCTCACAGGCAACAAAAAAAATCAGTGCGTGTGTCTCGTATTTATTTTGCTCTTGTTTCGCATTCTCACAATATTTTTCTTTTGCGAAATAGTTTTACTTACCTACTTTCCTTCTTTTTCGGTTTTCTTTTTTTTCGCACAAAAAATAGAGCAAGAAGTTTATTTACTTGATAAGTGTGAGAAAAATCACAAGATTAATCAATCAAAAAATCTCATAACTCATCTTTTATTATAAAATATGTTGTCATCTCATCAATTTTCGGTATGAAAAATTTATGTAAATGTAATCTGAGATCTTTTTTTCCGAATCTGAAAGGTATGTATTCTGAATTGTTGATCATTTTTCAGATACTTCCACAATTAGAACAGCATGGTTTTGAAGCGAACTGTTACAATTATATCACATGCGACGGATAGATCAAAAAGGACGTTAAGGTTTGTTGGAGGGTGAGGGGGGGGGCTTAAGGAACCTTGGAAAATTTCAGGGAGATTCGGGGAGCCTCTGGGTACCTAATGGAACTTTTGGAAACCTTGGGGAATCGTAGGGAAACCAACAGTAACCTTAGGGAACATTAGCAAACTTTTTTATTTTGGGTATCTTGCACATTTTTTCCAACTTTTTTTGCAAACCTATTGTCAGCTCTAGACTTTGAGGTGATTGATTTTCTGATTTCACCATCTATTTTTAGTCAGACCGCCTTTTTTAATAGTCAATTTTGAAAACAAAATGGTCTGATTCAAAATTTCCTGAAAATATTTTATTTCAAGAATTCCAAATATTCTTGCTAATGGAACAGAAATCTTTGTTTTCACAAAATAAATAAGGAATGTTTTCCGAAAAATAAAAAAAAAGATTCTGGTGTTTTTTCTGAAACTTGATTAATTTTTTATATTTTCTGATAGCTCGCTCACTTACAACAAATATTATTTTGGATCATTTCTCGATGTTTTTGATCATCCAGATTCGGAGAATATCTGTGTTTTTTCTATGTTCCGCTTTTTCCCATTATTTATATGAATAATACACTTCCTGTTCAGTTTTGAATAGAAAATTATTATTTTTTTCATGTTGAGAAAAATCAGAGTTCTTTCTAACAACTATCAATTTTGAATTTGAAGAAAAAACTATATAATTTTCTCGAATTTTTCATCAACAATTTTAAAATGTACTTGATTTTAGTACGAGAAGAATTTTAAGAAAAACAGAATAAATTGCAATTTGGAGTGTTTTTGGAGCATTTTGTATTTGCTAATTGTTTGTTTTTTTCTCTACGATGTTCTGAAATTCACAAATTCACAAATTTGTAATTAAATATTTAAAATATTTTAAGCTAAAATACTTTTAGAAAATGTGTGGGTTTTGTTGAATTTTTCATGACGCACTTTAAAATTAGCTAAGCTAAGCTCTTTCTTTTGTTTCCGATACTTCAACACCTTCAGAGTCTCGAGTCCATTATAACTATATATTTTTAATATCAAAGATCTTCGAGAACATTTTCATCCAAACACAATAGAATTTTGAATTTTTTGTTTTTCTTTCATTCTTTCTTTGCATAATCCTGTCTTCGTGTGTGAAATTAGCATTTTTAGATTTATTTTCAGGTTTTTCTTGCTTTTTTGGAGAATAAGAGATGGCATTTCAACTGATTTTTTTGAAAACAGAAAAATATTATTAAAAAAAGTGCAAGTAGCTCTTTGAGTTTGACTTGAATTTGAGGCTTTGTAATTTTCTTCTCAGATTTTTTTAATGTCTTGGAGTGAAATCGTACCTTTGAGATATTTAATACAACTTCGACAATTTTTCAAAATTTTGGACCAAAATTTAGAATTTTTTTTAGACTTTCGGTAAAAACTTCTTCCGAGATTCAAATAATTGTGAGGTGCTCTTTTATTTCAAATTGATTTATTCAAAATTTTGAATTTCTGAAGTCTGAGTGTTTCAGCTACTATTTTCAGAATTTCGAATTTTCTTCCAGATTTTAATTTTTCCATGAAAAATCAAAAACTTCTAAAAGTACAGTTTTTTGGTCTCTCAGTTTTCAAAAAAAAGTACACGATTTGATTTATGTTTAACTTGAATCCCTTTGAGATTTCCGGACTTTGCATTTTAGTTTCGTTTTCCTCTACTTTTTTGTTCAACTTTGTTCAAATAAATAGTAGAATTTAAGTTCTTGGCCAGGAAACACATAATTATCGAAACTCGCTTTTTTCAAATTCTTTTTTTTTTGAAGAAAGAAAATGTGTGTTTCTTATTCTTATGTCGTTTTTTTTCGTTTGCTAATTATAATTCAGAAACATCCATTCACTAATCCTCTTTGGAATTATCTAATTTTTTTGTTGTCTTGTGTCAAAAAATTTGAAGAAAACTTTTTGGTCAGTCATTTATGTTTGGAAACTCAATTTTTCTCTTGCAAATTTGTTTTCTAAAAATATTGCGCTCTGATGTGTATCTTCAATTTTTTCACAAAAAAAAACCAGAAAAAAATTATTTTTCTCTCGAATATTTCGAGTAGCAAAAAAAAATAAAATAATTTTGTTTTTCTCTTGAGATAAGAAATGAAATTTCCCAATTTAAGTTAAGTTAGGATGCAAAAATACGACGGCTGAAATGTTTTTTTTTTCATTCTGGAAAAAAAAAAGTCAGAGCAAAAAATAAAAATAATTATTTATTTGTGTATGTAATGTAAGCAAATCTTATTTTATTTTATTTATTTGACTCTATTATTTCTTATTTATTTTATCCAATTTTTTCTTCGATTTTTGCAATTTCTAGAAGAGAAAAAGTTGTGTGATCATGTATCAAGAGATTCCGAAAATATCGGTTGAAACCACTTCGACAGAAGCCCAAGAAATGGAATTGGGAGTTCCGGAATTGCAATTCAGACGATTTTCATCGCTTGAAATTCGTCGAAATATTTCGTCGACTTCTTCGAGACTTATGTCTTTTTCTTCAGCGGCCGCAGATGTTTTTATGGGAAGAAAAAGAAGAGTTTCGGAATTTTTGAGAAAAGGGTGAGTTGACAAAAACAAAAAGTACTCCTACAATTAAAACTTCGCTAATCAAAGCTGTTCTTTTTCGGTTTGTTGTTTTAGATGCTTGAAGTTATTTTTCGTTGAAAAGTTTAGATTTTTTGGAACTTTTTTTACGGGATTTTTTTTTGAACATTTTTGATCTTTATGAAATATTTTAATCGTAAAATGAATTTCATGAAATCCGACATTTTTTGAACTTTGAAGATAATTTGAAAGCTTGTGTTTCAAGTAGCTGACTCTAGAGAAATCAATTTTCTAGGAGGTTCAAAAATTGAAAATATTTCTACCCTTACTGAAAACGTGGGAATTTCAAAGTTCCAGAATTATTTTTTTCGATCAGATTTTCCCCCGCGAAAATACCACATTTATGTGTTTTTTCGGAGAAATAAATACGTCAAGGTACACACGAAAATCCACGATTATCCTCGATTTCTGTCGGATAATTCTAACGTGTCAGTTGTCCATAGAAATATTTATGGCATAGTTTTTAGTGTGTTTTTTCTTATTTATTTCTTCGAAAAAGAAATAACCAGATGTCTTGTTTTTTTACGATTTTGCTAAATATTCCAGAAAAAACAGCTGCAATTTTAATAATTTCTCGTGCATTGCTAATGGTAACATATTTTTTGTTTTATTTTTTTTCGTAGGGAATATTTCGTGTAGTTCTCATTAAAAACTTTATAGTCTCGTACTCGGAAGTAACGACCTTTAAGCTTGAAAAGACCAGGGTTTTTTCTCAATTTCCTTTCCACCGCCGTTCATTTTTTTTGTTGGCATTAATGGACTTTTGTGGAGAACAAGACTAAAAAAATGAATGAGAAAGACATTATGTAAAGTAAATCTAGTTTTTGTGGTTTGATGAGCTTTGAGAAAATGTGAATCTTTTTTATTTAAAAATATATTTTCTAAATTTTTTGAGGCATACTGTAGCAAAATATTTTTTTGTTCGGTGGAGCATGTTTGCTCCCCGACTACAAAAAATAACCTACATTTTCTGTTATTTTTTCTAACTACGGGAAACTTTTATGATCTAGAAACGAAAAATTTGAATTTTAAATCCAAAAAACAAGGTTTGTTCTTTGTAAATGTTCCTTCCATACGGAATTCCACACAGCCAAAAAATAAAAGCAAATCTGTTTTCCCTCAAGGAATAATCCGCTTCTTTTCCATCATTTTCTAGCTTCCGAGATTTTGCCCGCCGTTTTTTTTGGCTTGAAAAGTAAATAGTTTAATTAGTTGCCTGTCTGCCTCTCTCGATTCCGCATACTCTCTTATTTTTTTCAATCGACTTAGAAAGTACCTATCGAATTTCTTTGAGAGCGAGACAACACAACATTTTTGTTTTGTTAGCCCAGATTTTTTTGGTGAGAAAATTTTGAGAACTGAATTGATCATCCGATTATTCAAATTTCCTTTCTGGTTCCTCAAATTTATTTTTTTCCGAACAGAAAAAAACAAATGATTTTAAATTGCCCGCAATTTTTCATCTGATTCCTCTTATTTTCCTCCTCTCATTTTGTACTCTGTTTTTTTTTTATTTTAAATACTAGAAAACATGTCAAATAACAAACGAATGTCGGCGATTCGATTGGTGGTTAATGAAGGAACACCAAATTATGGTGGTGTTGTCAGTTTTACACCACAATTTGGAACTAAAAAGTGAGTTGAGTTATGATAAGTAGATAACAAATAACTTCTTCTTTTTCTGTTTTTTTTTGAGTTGCACTTTTTCAGAACATCTCAAAAAATATCAGATTTTTCTGTCAGAAAGTATTCTCTTGAGATTTGCCTTAAAAAATATTTTAAACTTATTTCTTCCCATTTCCGTTCGTTTCTTTTTATTCTCAAAATGTTCCGATTAAACAATAACAAAAGGTTTGTGTAGTTCTTTTGGACGAAAAAAAAAAATGTCTTATCAACGAAAAAAAAAAGTGATAACAAAATTTTATTTAAAAAAAATTTTCCCGCTCTAAAATGCGAACCTCTTCAATTTCCTATGTTGTTGGTGTAATTGAACACAACGCAAAACAAGCAAGGTGATTTTGAGAATTTCCATTTTTTTTACAAACTTCACGCGAAAGCACTTTTTCGAATAAATTCAATTGCATTTTCTCTTCAGGAAATTGTGTGCAAGATTTTTCAAAAGTTTTCTTCAAGGTTGTTTTTTTTGCAGTTTATTTTTTATTAAAATTATTTTGAGCCCAAATTTAGTGTTTGATCCAAAACTACCCTATTGCTCATGATAAGAGACTTCAGCTCTTTTTTCTTGAACCTTTTGCCCAAAAACTGAAAATTCTTTGAGCCTCCTTCAAGTGTGAGAAAATAATTGTACTTGAAAAAATTTCCAGGGTTTCTTCTAAATTCCAAACGTGGGAAGTTGTTACTTTTTGCAATTTTTTCCATCTCCAGGGAGTTTTTGTTGCAAAACAATTTTCCAGGCGTTTTTTTCTGGCTGAAATTAGGTTTTTCACTATTCTTCTGAAAATGTTTTCACTATTTCTCTGAAAAAAAAACAAGAAAAAAAAGAGAAATAGAAAAAGTTCAATCAACAACTGTTGCACTTTTGTATGTAAAAAAGACAAGATTTATTTTTTTTTCGGAGATATTTACGAATGTTCTTGTAGTTTTTCAGTTTAAAAATATAGATATATTTAGAAATTCGATCCATTCTTTTCTCCTTTATATTCTTCATGAAGAAATAAAAATAAATAAATAAAAAATAAGCATAGAGAATAAAATTTTACACTTGGTTAGCTTATAAATTTTTTCTCACAATCAAACAACTGTTCCGACAGCTTTTTTATATTTAAATTGATTTTTTTTCTGAAAAATAATAAATTCAATTAAAAAGTTTCAAAAGGGTTTCCCCATAAGGTTTCCAATAAAAAAAGATTATTATACTTATTTCTTCTGAAAATCTATTCAAAATGTATTCTAGAATGGTTTCAATACGCACTTTAACATGGACATTTATCCTAATGCAATTGGTTGTTTCTTGCGCATTTTTTGTGGTTTCATTAGCGATTATTTGTGCAAAAATGAATTCGATTTCAATATTCGAGGAGAAAAATATAGTTAGGTGAGTGATCGAATAAATATATGAATATCAAACATCAAAAATTAATTTTGCAGCTTGGATTGGTGGATATTTTGTGTACTGAGTTTTTCTATGATTATAAATACAATTATTGCGATGTATGCATTATCAGAACATAATAAATATATGCTAATTCCGCATATTGTTTTCTTGGTGAGTTTTTGTGGGGGGTTAAGTTAGAAGTAATGTTGATCCAAAAATTTTGTTCACATTTTTTTGAGATTCAGGCTGTGCTTCTGACTTGGCCATATCTCTAAATCCAATCCAAACCAATTTTTTTCCAGATTTTGTGTAATATTCTTGGCCTACGAGTCTTCTATTATTCAATAAATATTTTCGATTCATCGGATTTTAATTGCTATATTGGATTAACATCGATAACAAGTGTTCAATCATTTCTTCTATTTTGTCTCGTTTTCGAAATTCGAACATTTCGATCAATGACTTGGTTAGTTTATTTTATTTTTAGAAGTGTTCAAAAGTATAGTGTTTATTTCCAATATCAAATTACCTATCAAACATTTTTCATTCGAAAATGAAAGAATCTTTTACTTCTACTAATCGTATAACAAAAAATACGGGAAAACCAATACTTTGTATTTCTTTATTTTGTCAGACTATTATATCACTTTATTTACTCCATTTTTGGTCTTCATCTTTATCTTTTTCAGAAAATGATGAAGAAGATGAACAAAATAGGTTCAAAAACTGATATTTTTCTGGAAATAATAATAATATTTTTTTGCAGAAACATCACAATATTCCATTGTTGTTTTGCTCTATTCATAATTTTGTTATCATTGTTATCAATTGCTTTATTAGTCCGAAATTGTGTTAGATGCATAATTGCGCATTTTGTGATACATGTAAGTTTTTATTAAAATTGGACAAGAGATTGTGAGTTCTTTAAAAAAGTTAACCGAGGCAGCTCCTCAGATCTAGAAATTGGATTATTTGAAGTTGTACTCTAGCTCTTAATTTTTCTAAAGTTTATTAATTTCGCAGCCATACAAATTCAAAATATTCCAGATTTCTTTCAAAATTAATTTTTTCCAGATAATCATCAGTTTGATATTTATTGGAAAATTAATCACTGCATTTTTCATTGGAAACCTCCAAATCACAATTCCAATGATCATCACAAATATCTCCAATTTTTGCACATTTTTCTTCGAAATTAGATATTTTCAAAAACTTCCCAAATAGTGCCTTTTCGTTTTTCTTCATTCATTTTGTCTAAATACACAACCAACACGGATTTCTTTGGATTTCGCTTCATTTTTTGTATACGGGTTTTTTTTTTGTTTTTTTTTTCTGTCAGAATAAATGTTTATTTTATTTTTTTTATGAGGTGGTTGCGAAAGTTTAGAGATCGACTAAAGATTTTTTGTAAAAAATGTCTCGGAGGGTCGAGAGCGGAAAAACAGAAAATACTAAAATTTTCAGAAAAAATATCTGTAAGATGATTCGCGAAAAAAAAAAATTTGAGTTAGGGTTTTCGGTTTTTCTTAGTTTCCAGAAATGTTCCAAGTTTCACGCAATTTTTAGAAGTGGAACTTTTTTTTGTAAAAGTTGAAAAGTTCTCCAAATCCTGAACACTTTCTAGAATCTTGAACTATTTGCGTAAAAACCAGAAATTTTGAAAATATTGGCACTGTTCCTTGGATCTATGTAAAAATTTGAAGTTGACCAGGGAACCAGTCATTTCTCCAAATTTTTTCATCAAATATTTATTTTTTTCTCAAAACACAACCAAAAAAAACTAGTAATTCTGAATCCAGAAATTCTTCAGCCCATTGCGCAAATGTGTATTATTCGTGACCTCATCAAATACATATCCAAGAACTAACAAGAAAAAAACCGCATATCTCAAACTAGGCCATATTCACAAAAAGCTCACGATTCATCTTATTCTCTTGATTCATCATTTTCCATTTTGAATAATACAAAGAAAAAATATCTACAAGGTATTTCTGTTCTAATTATAATAATAATAATTTCAAGAGCAAATGCTCATCTAGTGTGACCTTGTCCTTTTTGTAATTCTAGGTGAATATTAATGAGCATTCCAATTTCTTTCGAGTGGGTCGCGGGTCCACTTTTTTATTGCTACATATTTTTGAATATCATTATCATGTTTTTGGTTTTTGGCATGGTTTTGCAATTAGCCTAACTTGAAGTTTATTAGAAAAAAATTATTAAACCTTTTCCTGTTCTGTTGATTTACCAAATTACAGACCAGACCTCAAGTTTCCCATTGCCCAGATATTTTTTTCCTCGAAAGTTGTCTAAAAAGTAATTATGACTTATATTTTTCTCATGTTCTTCTTCTTCTTCTCAAATTATTAAAACGACCTCATTTTCCACCTAGTTAAATTCCTTACACGGCTAAAAACTCCAAAGTTTACTGGTTTCAAGGACTTTCCAAATAATGTTTAAAACCATTTTAATTACCCTAAAAATTTTTTGAACTATTCTAGTTTTTTTGAAGCTAACAATTTTTTTCAAAGTCAAAAATTTTGAATGCACCCGATTTAAAATAAGGATCGCCGGATTCTCGCCAAAAAGGAACACTCCTAAAATTGTTCAAGGTCTCAGATTGTTGTGTGACTAACTAATTACCATGTACAAGCAAGCGACAGGTAGGGGCACAGATTTTGTGACATTTTCCACCTTTTTTTGCCAACAATTATGAGCAGCCAGCCAGTCACAAAAAAGGCACTATTATTATATTGCGCAATTGTAGCTGTTTATTGGTATGTCCACACGCCGGTCAGAAAAGGACACCTCTTTTCGGGTTTTATGGGACCGCTTCCTTTTTTTTTTTTTTGAAATTTTGGACGTATTTTTATTTTTGGTGTTCTTACTGTTTTTGATCTACCAGCAGAACCTTTGAAATTTTCAAAATAAAATGAAAATGAAATTTCAAATTTTCATTTTCAACTTTCAGCAAACTTCCAATTCTAATGATGTTTTAGAACATTTTTAAAGTTATCGAAACTTGAGAAAATTTATATCTGAGACGTTCTACAAATTTATATCTGAGACGTTCTAGGGTTTGGTACCATCCATATTTTTTTGTTTTGAAGCTCTTTCTTTGTGCAAACAACAACAATACGATTTTGGTCATCTTGTCCTTGAAGGTGTCACAATGATTTTATTGTTATTACTTTATTGTTACCATTATAGTAACAATAATAATAATAATTCTTGTTGTAATCCCGAAAACCGTTATGTTTATGGCTTTATTTGCCGACGCAATGTTTCGCCAAATTTTTGGTGATGATCAAAATTTATTCTTATTCTTATTGTTAGAATTTGTTCGAGTGTTTACTCGCTGTTTTAATTCACCATACCATAAGGTTTTGTATTTTGAACTGAGATGATCGAAAATCAGAATTTTCAAAGATGATTCATGTTTGCTTTGAAGGATCTAGGAATATTCGGAATTCTCAGGGCTTTCCCAGTTTTGTGAAGTCTAGAGAAAAAATATCGAGAGTGTTCTGAATCAGAATACCAAAAAATAATCCGCCCATTTTTGTTATAGCCTAAAATTCCTCTGGCAAAAAAAGTTCTGCTGATCAGATCGAGATATATCCGTGTTCAACTTTAACATCAGAAATCATCTACAAAATTGGTCCAAATGAGAACTTTTTCATAATGGTCCCATTTTGTTTTGTATCTAATCCACCACAAAAACACCAAGTGGTCTTAGAAACTCTCGAAACCGTTTTATTTTCTTTCACATTCCCCGATTAATTACGCAATCTCACTTTCATTTCCAATTCAATTTTCCCACCAAATAATGCACCTTTCCTCAATAATAATTTGTGGGTGTCTTACCGACTTTCTATTTTTTCTCACACGACGATCCCAAAACAGTTTCCCATTGTCTTCTCTTTCAATTTTTCGACCTCCTTTTATTGTTATTCGAAACGATGCACCTTTCTACAAAAGACCGAAACCAATTAACCTCCTTTATTAAGAAGTAGGTAGTACTAGTGACCTTTTTTCCGCCTTACTTGGTTACTTGTATTATTACCATTTCGGTGGATGTCTCGAGACTGAACTTTTTTTTTTGCAGATTGTTTTTTGAGATGAAGTACTTTCTAGTGATATTAGCAGTATTGGCAAGATATAATGTGAAAGCTATTATTGAGTTTGATAACTCAATACCAGGTTAGTATTTTTTTTCAAAAGCTTCCTCTTGGTGCTTATCTTTTGATGTTTTTTAGATCAACCCCAAATTCATTGTTCGAATGGAGAATTACATCTGAATGTAACAACTGAAAAAGGAACTGCACCATCTCATGTTTTTGTCAAAGGTCATTTCAAAAAGGTATGATTTTCTTCAATAATAAAGGGTTTCACCGGTTTTTTTTCTAGGAAGGATGTTCATTTTCGAATTCGCCCAATGCCACATTCGAATTCAATAAATGTGATGTATCAAGGCAACGTGAGGTTTGTATCATTAAAAAAAGAAAATTCTTTAAAAAAACATTCCAAACTTTTTTCAGGTTAGCCCAAAAGGAATGGCATATACTTTGACTGTTGTTGTACAACTACATCCATTATTTACAACAAAAGTGGATCGAGCATATCGTGTTCGATGTTTTTATAAAGAAACTGAGAAGGCTGTGGGAGCTGAAGTATCAGTCAGTGATCCAACACCAACACTTTTAGCCAAAGAATCTGATCAGCCAACATGTTTATATACAATTCATAAAGGATCGCCGAATGGGCCTTTGGCGAAATTTGCACAAGTTGGAGATGTTTTATATCATGTTTGGGAATGTCCAAGCGATGTAAGAAATAATATAAGATGATTTTTGCGTTGAGCAAGCGGTTCTAGCTAAGATCAAATCCGAATAAAAAAAAACCCTATATTATTTTTGCAGACCTATGAGATGTTTGTTCATGATTGTTATGTGGTTGATGGTGAAGCCAGCAATAACCGAAAAGTAATTGATACTCAAGGATGTTCAGAAGATGTTTATATCATGCCTCATATTATTTATAACGATAACCGAACAAAAGCGTTTGTGGTATGTTAGAAAGATCAAATGAAAGCCCCATTCTCGCATTTTTTCAGAATTCAAATGCATTCAATTTCCCTGATCAGAACAGTGTTCGATTCAACTGTCAGATTCAAATTTGTCCATCGATCAGTGGGGATTGTTATAAACCTAATTGTAATGCTGCTCCATCGTCGCCTGTTGAAGATGCTGAACCACTTGGAAATGAATTAGCAAGAGATGAATTGATTACTCAAACAACATCCACAACACCATCTTCTACAACATCTACAACAACACAGGCAACTTCAACAACGACACAAAGAATGGTTATTGATCCAACAACTACAGTAACTTTGCCAACTGATTTCCCAACACCGGATCCAGTTTTTCGATTGTTGAAAAATATTAAGAACTTGAACTTGACTGGAAATAATGTAGATGATTTTGCTGATGAAGGATCGGGATTAGAGATAAGTTCGACAGATGAAACAAGAACTACTTCAAAGAGGGAAATTCGACGAAGAGATGCGATTGATGTTGATATTTCATCACCCGAGTTGATGATTGTGGATAAAGAATTTGGTAGGTTTTGAGGCATTTCAGTTGTTTGATAGAAAAAAAAACATTTTTTTCAGCATCAGAACTTCCTTCGCCTCAAGAACAACAAGGTCTTATTCTTCCACAAGCAGCCTCATCTTCTACATTTTCCGAATCATCTCGATCAGTTTGCCTTCCATTTTTCATGATCTGGATTCTTGGTGGTGTTATAATCTTTGCAATTTCTCTCACATTCTCAGCCCTCATTTATTCATTCCGGAAAAATCCAAGATTCCAAGTATTGGCCTAATATTGTTCAATTAATTCACTCTCAGATGTTTTGCGTGTACATTTATTTTATTTTTGTTTGTTTTTTGAAGCTTTTTTGGAGCCAAAAATGGGTTTTTTGAGTTGCTTTAATTTATATTGTCGAAAAAGATTTGAATCTTGCCGTTCTTTTTTTTGTCTTTTCAGTTTTTTGTGCCAACCGATAATAATGTTATAAAACTAATAAATGAATAAAAAATAAATTAGTTTCCTTCAGATCACAAAATGTTTTTTTGACCTACCCACGATTAAACAACATTGTTGTCACATTGTTATTTTTCCTCCTTTTTCTCTTTTTTCTTCCAATTTGTAGCCTATTCTAATCAATCGAAGAAAATGCTATATTGTAGTCTTATCATACGTGCGCCAGTCGATTATATACATTCACTTTTTAATATTCATTATTTTGTTCTTGTTTTTTTTTCAACAACAATATTAGTTTTGTTTGAACTTTTACAGAAAGCAAAAATGACAAAGCCAAAGGTTTATGTTGTTGGAGTCGGAATGACAAAATTCTGCAAACCAGGATCGGTTGCTTGGGATTATCCAGATATGGTTAAAGAAGCTGGTAAGCTTTAAAAAAAATAAATTCTCAAATCACTGTTTTTCCGTTCAGTTGAGACCGCTTTGGCGGATGCTGGTATGAAATACAGTGATGTGCAACAAGCAACAGTTGGATATTTGTTTGGTGGAACTTGTTGTGGACAACGTGCTCTTTATGAAGTTGGACTCACTGGAATTCCAATTTTCAATGTGAATAATGCGTGTGCTTCTGGATCTTCGGGATTGTTTTTGGGAAAACAAATTATTGAATCAGGTAGGAAGTTTCAGAAAAAAAATCTATATTTTTTTCGAGCATTTTTTAATATTCAGATGCTGGGTATGAAAACTAGTACCATTCCTACCTCCCTCAAAAAAAAACTATTTTAGGAAACGCCGATGTCGTCCTATGTTCTGGATTCGAAAGAATGGCTCCAGGATCATTGGAAAAATTATCAGCAAATGTAGATGATCGCGCACTTTCCATTGATCATCACATTGAAGTTATGGCTGAAACTTATGGTCTTCAACCAGTTCCAATTACTGCTCAAATGTTCGGAAATGCTGCTCTTGAACATATGGAAAAATATGGATCGAAGAGAGAACATTATGCTAAAATTGCTTATAAAAATCATTTGCATTCAGTTCATAATCCGTGAGTTTCTTATTAAAAATGAAATTTTTCTTCTAACAAATTGAATTTCAGAAAATCACAATTCACCAAAGAATTCACTTTGGATCAAGTTCTCAATTCTCGAAAAATCTACGAATTCATGGGACTTTTGGAGTGCAGTCCAACATCTGATGGAGCTGCCGCTGCAATCATTGTTTCTGAACGATTTTTGGAGAAGAATCCAAGATTGAAGTCTCAAGCTGTTGAGATTGTTGGACTCGAATTGGGAACTGATCAACCATCAGTTTTCAAAGAGAATTCAAACATCAAGATGATTGGATTTGATATGATCAAAAAGGTGGCGACAGATTTGTACAGAAAGACTGGCTTGACACCGAATGATGTTCAAGCTATTGAACTTCATGATTGTTTTGCTCCAAATGAACTCATCACTTATGAAGCTATCGGATTATGTCCAGAAGGTTAGCTTTCTAGATTATATTTAAAGTACTATATTTAAATTTAGGACAAGGCCATCACATTGTTGACCGCGGGGACAATACATATGGTGGAAAATGGGTAATCAACCCTTCTGGTGGCTTGATTTCCAAGGGACATCCAATTGGAGCGACTGGAATTGCTCAAGTCGTTGAATTGTCGAATCAATTGCGCGGGAAATGCGGTAAACGTCAAGTTCCAAATTGCAAAGTTGCAATGCAACATAATATTGGAATTGGTGGAGCTGGAGTTGTTGGATTGTATCGATTGGGTTTCCCGACACATGCGCAATCAAAGATTTGAATATTTTTTGTATAATTGATGATTTTTTTTCATTTTGATAAAATACATAGTTTTTTTTGGAAAAACAAGGTTTGTTATTTTAGCATTTCTGAATCCAAAATTCTCTGCACTCTCTAACAACTTAGTGATCTCTAACAATGTCCGTTCCTCTGATTTTTAGAAAATAACTCAAAGTTCTCTAATTTTCAGAACTAGTTCCAATCTTCGCCAAAAGTCCTGAACAAAACAACAGAAGTAGAGAGAGAGAGAGAGAGAGATACTTCTGAATAAAATTCCCAGAAGTTGGTTCCGTCTAAAAGAATATTCTCGAACACTAATTAAAATTACTAATACATAAAAATTATAATTAATGATGATCAAGTACTCTTCTTCTCATTCTAATAACAAAAAAAACAGACTTCGTCTCAAAACTAGCCCTGTTTTTTTTCAATATCCTTTTCTGCTGTGTATATTTAGGGTGTCACTTTAAATGGGTCATTGTCATCATTTCTAACTTGTTTCGTTTTTTATTGTGTTTATTTACACCGGATGAATTCTGTTCAATTCTTAACATTTCTATTTTTCATATTCTTTAATTGCTCTTTTGCACATGATGATAGTTTTGAGGTGAGCACATTTTTTAAAATTCTTGCTATAATGTTTCTCGGCAAAATTTTGCCATTTTTCCAAACCAAAAAAAACTCACATTTTTCGCTACATTTCATAAAAAACGTTGAGAAAATAAGGGCGGCAATTTGAATGTTTCTAAATATCAGAAATGAGCAAAATGATTCACGTCAAATTATTTAAGCTTAAATCTCTCACAAAAGTAGGACAAACAGATCACCTTTAATATATCAGAAAGAAAAAATGTACTTTCGAGTCATAATTAGATCAATGAACAACTAACATGGCCTATCTGTTTTTTACAGCGTGATATTCTTGATGCCGCATTTCAATTAAACGAATTTCCCCGAACAAGTTCGAATCGTCGAGTTCGAATCGATCAAGCTGAAAATGATGAAGAAGATATGCAACAAGCAGTACAAATTCTGGGAAAAGCCACTGATTTGCTTGGTTCAATCATAACTAGTGAAAATTCACCACTTCCATTTAGCTTTTTATCGACTTTGAATTCAAATCGCGGAAGAAATTAAAATCAAATCCAAAATGGCGAGAAAAAAGATAACAATAACACTTCAAGATTTTCTCTATTTGATACAATTAGTTCAATTCCAATGAAATTGAATAATTTGCAAGGACCACATATTTGTGTGAAAGAAATAACTTCGAGTGAAAATATTGAAAACGATTTTGAAATGTCAATGATGTGTAATCGATATCGAGATACATCAGTTTGCACATCAAAATCACCATCGGGAAAAAATAACAAAAAGAATTCAATATTGTTGTGATGGTTATACAACTGATGATATTTATCAAAATGGATGTAATACCGAGATATCAGATGAATTATTGTTTAGTTATAACATTTCTCGAGCTGATGCTCCAAATAATTCAACTCTTCTTTTCACTCAAATCGAAGATAAGGTAACTTTTCGGAATTATTCATACTTACATGCTTTCACAATACTTTACTTTTTCAGTCTTTTATTCTTCCTGGTATTCAAAATGTTTTTGAATGGAATGATAAACAAATTATTGAAACAAGTGAGAAAGAGAAGTTTGTAGTTCGACAAAATACAAACGAGATAACCGAAATATACTTGAACTGTGCTTTAAAAAAAGAAACAATCAGAACAGAAAATTCTGAAATTCTAAAATTCGATGGAATTCTGAAGCCTGCTGCAGACAACCTTCTAGCAATTATTTCTCAGAATCCAGAACTCAGCACTTTTTACAAAGTTCTTGGTGAAGATTTGCAAACTTTTTTGAGAGAAATCAATTCCGCAACAGTTTTTGCGTTCACAAATAGAGCATTTGATGAATTACCAGAACAAACGAGGAAACAAATATTGGAAGCTGATAAAAATGATTGTATTCAAGAAATAATGAAACAACATATTACAACTGCTGGTTCGTATTGTTCAAATCTTCCAAAACACGTCAAAAGTCTTTATGGAACTAACATGTCAATTCGAAAAAATGAATCGACTCTTATGATTGAAGATGCTGAAATTATCGATTCATCTGGTTTTGCATTAAATGGTGTTGTTCATATTATTGATCGAGTTCTTGTCAGAGAAAATTGTGAGTTTAATTTTTCATGAAAAACAACAAGAATATTTGAATGCAAAAATTGCAGTCCTTTCGTGGCGAGACACATTACGATTATTCAATTCTGATTTGGCTGAAAAATTGGAGAAAACTAACATAACATTGCCAGTAACTATATTTGTTCCACCAACAGCTGAAAACGAAACTAAAATTGAGAATCCTCAAAATTATTTAGTGTCAAATCGATTGATCTCAAATTTTGCATCAATTGGAAATTTTGTAACTGATGCCAATTCAACTGTAAGTTCAAAACACAAACGAAATATTTCAGTTTTTAAATTCAGATTTTCACCGGACCTTCTGATGATGCTTCCTCAAAACTGTTTTCAATTCGAATTGGGATGAATGATTTTTCATCTTCAAAAAATGGCCGAGTTGGATGTTCTAAGTTTTCTGCCTCGTCGATTTATTCTTGCAAAGCAATTATTCATTTTCTTGATAAGCCACTTCCAATTGTCACAAAAACTGTTGAAGAATATATTGAATCAAGAGACGATTTGAATATGTTTGCGAAGATTTGGAAAAAATCTAATATTTCCGTTGATTCAACATCAAGAATTACTGTATTTGCACCAACAAATGACGCATTTTCAGCAAATGTTCTCAAAAAAATATTGAAAAATCAAAAAAGTGCGGAATCTTTCGTGAATCGGCATATTGTCAAATCAATTCTCTGTGCATCAGATGTTGAAAAATCAGAAAATGAAGTTCGATCAACAATGTATACTTCAATTGGAGGACAAATATTAACACCAACTTATGATGAAGGACAAGTTGGGATAAATGATTCGAAAATTCAAGAAATTGAACTTGTTCAATCAAATGGAGTTGTTCATATTCTTGAATCATTCATTGAACCAACATCGAAAACTTCGAATAAATCCGGAAGAATTCCAACAAATCAAATAATTAGAAGTCCATTAAGCATCTTTTCGCATCTTTTTGGTAAAAAATAAATAAGTAGTTGTACATATATATTTATCGTGATTAATAAACTTTATTTTGTCAATTCCAACCAGCCTTGATCAAGAAAACAACACAGTATTCATATATCAAAACTATACATAAATAGGAATTACTTATAATCATTACTGATGATCAAGGACTCTTCTTTTTTCTCCGAAAAAAAAAGTAAAATGACCTGTTTTTAATATCTTTTTTTTGGGCGTATATCTATATTTTTGGGTGTCATTATATTTAGGTCATTGTCATAGTTCCTCATTAGTTTTATTTCTATGGTGTACGGGATGAATTCTGTACATTTTTCAATATTTTTATTTTTTATATGCTTTGCTTGCTCTTCTGCATATGAAGATGAAGATGATGCGAAAGTGGTGAGTTATAAGAGAACCAGAAAAAAATGTCCCAAACAAAACATTTTGAGAAAAATGAGATTGGCCGTTTCAAAAAAAATAATAATAAAACTAAGACTATCTTTGAAAATACATCTATTGCTTTTCCAGCGTGAAATTCTCGGTTCCTTTTCGTTAGATGAACTTCCCGGCCGAAGTTCAAGTCGTCGAGTTCCAATTGAAAAAGAAGAAAAAGACGAAAATCCTATGCAAAACGTCGTGCAAACTCTCGAAAAAGCAACCGGTTTATTTGGACAATTTATAGAAAGTGACAAATTACCATTTCCATTTACTTTGTTATCAACATTCAAAACACATCTTGGAGATGTTAGAAATAAACTTCAACAAATGTCAAGTGGCGAGAAAAAAGATGACGATGATGAAGATGATGGTTCCCTATTTTCAATTAGTTCAATTCATAGGAAAATGAATAATTTGGAAGGACCACATGTTTGTGTGAAAGAAATCACGTTGAAGGAGAAAATGGAAAATCTAAATTTGGAGTGTGATAGATATCAAGATGCATTAGTTTGCAATTCAAAATCACGTTCTGGAAAAATAACGAAACGAATTCAGTATTGTTGTGATGGTTATACAACTGATGATATCAAAGAAAATGGGTGTAATATTGAAATATCGGATGAATTATTATCTAGTTATAATATATCACAATCAGATGTTCCATATAACTCAACTCTTCTTTTTACTCAAATTGAAGATAAGGTAACTCTTTGGAATTATTGAAACATATTTCACAGAACTTTTAATTTCAGAATCAGTCGTATATTCTTCCTGGTATTCAAAATGTTTTTGAATGGAATGATAAACAAATTATCGAGACAAGTGAGAAAGAGAAGTTTGTAGTTCGACAAAATACAAACGAGATAACCGAGATTTATTTGAATTGTGCTTTGAAAAAAGAGACGATTCGAATGGAAAATTCACAAATTCTGAGATTCGATGGAGATTTGAAACCAGCTGCAGATAATCTTCTCGAAATTATTTCACAAAATCCAGAACTCAGCACATTTTACAAAGTTCTTGGTGAAGATTTACAAAAATTTTTGAAAGAAACCAAGTCGGCAACAGTCTTTGCGTTTACAAATGATGCTTTTGATGAGTTGCCAGAGACAACGAAAAAACAAATATTGTCAGCTGATAAAAATGATTGTATTCAAGAAATAATGAAACAACATATTACAACTGCTGGTTCGTATTGTTCAAATCTTCCAAAACACGTCAAAAGTCTTTATGGAACTAACATGTCAATTCGAAAAAATGAATCGACTCTTATGATTGAAGATGCTGAAATTATCGATTCATCTGGTTTTGCATTAAATGGTGTTGTTCATATTATTGATCGAGTTCTTGTCAGAGAAAATTGTGAGTTTTATTTTTTCACGAAAAACAACAAGAATATTTGAATTCAAAAATTTCAGTCCTTTCGTGGCAAGATACATTGAAAGTATTCAATTCTGATTTGGCTGAAAAATTGGAGAAAACTAACATAACATTGCCAGTAACTATATTTGTTCCACCAGCAACTGAAAACGAAACGAAAATTGAAAATCCTTTAAACTATTTGGTTTCCAATCGATTAATCTCAAAATTCAATTCAATTGGAAATTTCGTAACTGATGCCAACTCAACTGTATGTTAAAAGTTTATAGACCAAGGAAAATATCTGATGTTTTCATTCAGATTTTCACCGGATCATCATCAGAAGATAATGATAGTTCAAGTCTTTTCTCAATTCGAATCAGAAGCAAAGATAGTTCATCTTCAGACAATGTGCGAGTTGGATGTTCCAAATTCACACCTCCATCATCGATTTATTCATGCAAAGCAATTATTCATTTTCTTGATAAGCCACTTCCAATTGTCACAAAAACTGTTCAAGAATATATTGAATCAAGAGATGATTTGAATATGTTTGCGAAGATTTGGAAGAAATCTAATATTTCATTCAATTCGACATCAAGAATTACTGTATTTGCACCAACAAATGACGCATTTTCAGCGACTATTTTCAAAAAAATTATGAAAACTCGAAAAACCGCGGAATCATTTGTGAATCGTCATATCGTCAAATCAATTCTTTGTGAATCAGATATTGAAAAATCGAAAAAAGAGATTCGAACAACATCGTATACTTCAATTGAACGACAAATATTAACACCAACTTATGATGAAGGACAATTTGCTATAAATGATGCAAACATTCAAGAAATTGAACTTGTTCAATCAAATGGAGTTATTCATATTCTTGAATCATTCATTGAACCAACATCGAAAACTTCGAATAAATCCGGAAAAGATGAAATGATTGGAAACCCATTCAGCATCTTTTCTCAGTTTGCTCCAAATTCAAAATCTTCAAGCAATTCCGGAATGCCCGGAAACCCATTTGGTCTTATCCAATTTCTTGGGTAAAAGTTGAATGACTATTATTATGAAAACAGAAATTATGTGATTTGTGAACGTTGTAAATATTGTATAACCTAAATAATGAACTTTTTTCATTGGCTTGTGCTGTTTTTGTCTGATTTGAGGCTGTTAATAAAATAGTGAACTCAAACTCGCTTGCCAGCGCTTAATCACGTCTCGGGGAAAAAGAAGCAAGTTTCGCTTTTTAAAATGTTTAAAAACAATATCGAAAAACTCACTTTTCCTCCAGTTTTCCTCGTTTTTGAAAAAATTCAACCAAAATCCGCTCCATATATTGTTTCGATATTTTCATCATTTCGGTGGCGTTTTTCCTGTAAAGTAGAATTGAGTGAAATCGAAATAAGAACTCCAAACCGAAGAAAACTTCAAGAATGTACATGTTTTATAAAACTACTTTTCGAGCTCCAGTTTTAGTACAAAACTAATGAAAATCAACTAAACTTGTGTTACTTGTACTAGGAAAATAGATGAATATGAATTTTACAACAAGTTTCATTCAAATCCCAAACCTAAAGATCCCAAACCTAAAGAAAGAACGGAAAAAATAAGAGTGTGTGTCAACACCGACTGCCCGCAAACACCAAATCCTACGCGCAACCATGACGCGAAATACGCGCTGTGTGTTTTCGCGAAGAAATTTCTGGAGATTTTTAAAATTGGGAACCCCCCCCCCCCCAGATTTTAGAAATGGACACATTTAAAGTACTTATAACATATGGGAACCCTGAGAATCTCTCCAATGTCGCTTTTCTCTTGGAGAATACTAGTTCATGGAAAAAACAAAAAAAATACGTGAATGAAGAATTTCCGAAAAACAAAAACAAGAAAATAAAAGTAAAAATGGAAGTGCGCCCCATTGATAAAAATCGAATGTTTCGCACTCTCAGGAAAATGACTACTCCGGAGAAACACGAAAGGGGCTATTTTCTCCAGTGCTACCCAAGAATGCACTAATTCTCACCAAACTTCCCGAATTTACTCCGGAGAAACACGAAAGAGTCGTGATTTTCAGCGCTCGTCGATTTCCCCCTTTTTACTCCGGAGTAACTCTGGTGTTTCTCTTGATAGAAAAGGGGGAGCTCCGGTGCGATCAAAATTTCAAACTTTTGGATGCGCTGCGCTGCGTCGCGGTCAACTATTGATTTTTTGCATTCGATTTCATTTTTCGTTTTTCTTTTCTATTTTGAGTTATTTTTCTCAGAAACCATACGTTTTTTTGTAAATTTATGTTTCACATGTTTACTTCGCATACTTAAAGCTTTTTTAAAATAAATTTACTATCTTTTTCATATTTTTCAGTCAAAATGGGCGCGCTGGAAGGAACTACGATTCGAATGAATTTTTTTTCGAGGAAGCAAGATTTGTTAATGGGATATTTAAGTGTTCAGGTATGTTTTTAATCAATCTCCGTATTTACATAAAGTGATTTTTACAGTCGACAACTGGAAAACACAATTCATATTATGCATCAAATTGATTTCGCAATGTGGATCACAGAGTAGATGAAATTCAAAAGTGTATAATGTGAGTTTCTTTTCACTTCCTAAAAACCATGACATCTTATTTTTTTTTTCACGAAAATAATCTCAAAAGTTGGATATTTATCTAAGAAGGGAAATCGCTACGATTCCATCTTGAATTTCTCTCTCTAATTCTAAAAATGTGCAATTTTAAGTATATGTTTCATTTTCAGATCATAAAAGCGACAATCAAAAAAATTCATGTTACTTGGCAATAGTTATCAACAAAATATCGATCTACGAAGAAGGATTTGGCTATTTGGTTACCGAAGCGACCATATTTGTGTACTAAATCGAGCCTTAGTAATTGTAATCATTTTAATTATTCAATAAAAGGTGAACTATTCAACGTGTTTTTGATCAAGCGAATCAAAAAGCCAGCTAGGAATATTCTGAAACGCACTGAAAATACATAGAAATTTACCCAATTCGCGCAAAACTTCTCTAAATCGCACCGAAATTCCCCCAAACCTCAACCGAAAACGCTCCAGAGGAGCGCCGAAGCGACCATTTTTCTCCGGAGGAGCACTAGAGCGCACCAAACTACCCAAAAACTTTTTAGGAGAAAAACGAGTGCTAGCACCGGAGTAATTTTCGGCTTTCTCCAGAGCTGTTTATGTGTTTCTCCGGAGTATTCATTTCCCTGAGCTCTTTCAAAAATTTGTGTGTTACGTCGTTGCTTTTTTCTTTTCACATTTTTTGGGTAGTAATTGAAAATTAAATGACACGATTTTGCTGTAAATATATAATAAACTTTTATATTTAACAAAGTTTAAAGCATAATTGGCACAAAAAATGAAAGAACTGAATTATTCAAGTGAGATTCAAAGTAATCGAGATTTTTGGGTCATGGGGAAAGAAAAAGGAAATTACAAAAGTAGAAAAATCTAAACAGCTCTAAATTCAATATTGAAACTGAGATAATCATATCGAGCAAAAGCTCCAATTACAACAAGATTGTCTTCCGAATAAAATGGTTTTGAATGACCGTGTGAATTGTAAATATGTTCATCACAACAGAATCTGAAAATTATATATATTTTTTGAGAATTTCTAGGAATATAGAAACTCACCTATAACCAGTCATTGTGAAATTGCTCAACTTCATTTCCAAAGCATTAAAAGAACAAGCCATAGAACACGGCGAAATTATATTTTTGACGCGAACTTCGATTTTTTTCGATTTTGGTGCCTGCAACGAAAAGTGTTATTTCTAAATTTTTCTCCGATAGAAAACACTCATTCTATTTTTTTCTCAATGTGAGTTTAGCCTAGATTGAGAAAAACCCCAGGAAAAAATATTTTCAGATAATGATGATGATAATTGTGGCTACAGTCATCTTCGCACAATTATCGATTCAATGTGCAAAGAAAAAAGAGCCAGTTGTTACGAATTCGATGAAAAGTGTTATGAATCAAACACCACCTGCTGAAAGTGGCGGTGGAAATACTGGAGACGCAGCGTCGGCAGCATCAGCACCACCAGCTCCAACTGCATAAACAAATTATGATCAATAAATATTTTTCATCTGATCTAGCAAGTTTTTCCGAAAAAAAAATTGCACAAAATCAAACATCTTATTTTTCGGGTCCAATTCAAAAGCCCAAATCTAATTACCTTTATATGCCAGAAACAATGTTCTGGAGAAGCTAGAATATTGTTTGAATGAACACGAGTTCGAACAGCTCCATAGAATGTTTGTGGAATGTGGCTGGCCTGGAAATTTTGATTGTTTAAAAATCAAAAACTGTCATTGAAATTGATTTTGAAAAAAAAAACTTACATAAAGTTCTCCACCGCAGCTTGGATTTTCTCTTTGTCCAATCGAAGATGTTTCAAATGTTTCACAATATTGTCCTCCAAATCCATCCGGACAAATACATTGTGAGCAATCGGAAGGTGCTGGATATCCTCCGTGCATACATCGATTCACAGTATTTTGACAACGTTCATGACAATTGTACAAATTATTCATGCGTGTTATATCATGAAATGTAGCTCGCATACGATTTCCCATTGATCGCGCGAAATTTCGATTTTTTGCGTAGATCACAGGTCGATTTGTATTGGTTGCAAATTGATCGACTGAATAATGCATAACACTACCGTACTCATATGGATAATTCTCGTTGGGAATTTGATTTTGAAGTTCTTTATTGAATGCAAAAGTCAAATTTGGATTCACATTTGCATAATCGATGTCGATATAATTATCACGATCAGATCTAGAATGTTCGTGATAAAATCCAAGTGTATGAGCAATCTCGTGAGCAATCACAAAGATCTGCAAAAAATTAGATAAAGTATCAAAAATGGAAGATGAAACTAACATGATCAGTGCAACTATTCTCCAACGATAAGGATTGTTGACGTAATGTTGGTTGTCGACCAACAAAACTCCAGCAACCTGGGCCTTCGAAAATATTCACATGAGGGTAGACGTTGGAATTCTCTTCGAAGGTTATGCATGTTTTCTCACTCCAGAATCTCATTGCTTCAAGAACACGTAATCTTGATCTTTTAGCTGAAAGAAAACAGGGATTACTACATTTTGTTGAAGAAAACTCTGAAGTTTCCCTAGTCCCTAAAAAGCTCATCCACTCACGAAAATGTTGATCAAATTTATATGGCATTGGTAATTTCCATTTGTTTGTTCCTGGTTTAATAACTCCTCTTCGAACTCGTCGATTCATTATAATATCTCCCTGATACAAATATCTCGCAACTCCATGATCAAAATTGATTTGTGCCTCGTTTTCTTCTAACTTTGAAGAATTGACAAAAACGATAAGAATTGCTAGATAAATACAAAGAATACTCATATTTACAGATAGGTAGAATGGCTGTAAAATAACGAATGTTTGATGCCTTAAATGGACTGACAGAGAAGGCTGTTGCAAAAAAAAGCTGGGGGCGAACACAAAAGAATAATGCGCGCCGGAAGGAAGGACATCCCCTGTTACAATAATTATGTTTTAAAAATGTTTGATGATAATAATGCTGGTGTTGGCATAGACATTCAGACGCGGGAGAAGATCAGAACAAAAAAATGAGAAGAAGAAGAAGAGAACAATCTGAGAAGAATAAAATGAAGAAGTGGGTCAGGTTGGATACAGATATATTGAGAGGATGATGGAAAATAGGTACAAAAAAAGGTGACAAGGAGGAAATGAGGTGGAAAGTGCATAGTTTTCAAAATTGTGAGGAAAACTTATGAAATCTTGGAGTTTCCGGAACAAATCTTATCAGTTTTTTATTCTGGAAATTGGGTCAGTTCGGAATTTTCAGCAAAACCTGTATATTTTATATTCTGGAACTTTGAATATATTTTCAGTTTTTTTTCTATTGCGGTTTCTGAACATCTACAGTATCTGAAAACGAGAATAAGTTTTCAATTTCCGTTTTCCTCAAAACATTCTTGAACTTTGTGTTTTATATTTACTAATTACCGTTTCCTCCAAGCACATCATTACACTTTTTCAAATCTGCAAAAATCTCATCCCAATCAAATAAAACCTAATCGAATTAGGATTAGTTTATCATCACATCATTGTCAAATATCTCGAATTGTTTTTTTTTCAAAAAATTTCAAAACCACGTTCAGATCAAAAAATCATATCTTCGAAAGTCTCTGTTATCTTTTTTCACACTATAGTCTGTCATTTCCGCTGGCTGCAAGTCGAAAAAAGTACTGGATAAATAATCATCTTTACGAGATTTATGACCTTCGTTGTCGCGCCTTCGCGCAAGTTTGCAATCAGCGCTAACAGAAAAAAGTTTCGTCTTCACTTTTTTATTTGAATCGGAAATTTGAATATGTACACATGTTTTGTAATTAACACAAAATGGACAAGGATAATCCTGGGAAAATAAAAAAAACTTGAAATTAATTAAGTTGATTTGATTTCTCATTCGATTCGATTAGTCATGATTTGAGTGGGCGAAAAATGATGCGAAAAAAATAAAAGTGTTCGCGTGGGAGTGTGATTTTGCAAAAGAAATACATGTACAAATAAAAAACAATCTTTACTTTACTTATCTGTTCCCTTTTTCCGAAAAGAACAAAATACAATCTCTAGACACGGGTTCTAGAAAATAAAGTTTTTCTAGAGGCGAGTCCTAGAGAAGTGCCTCTATGCTGGGATACTTGGCATGGGAACTCTCAAGACGCGGTTCCTTGATCTTTAGATCCAGTTCCTAGACATATAGAATCCTTAGACGTGGTTCCTTGACAACTAGAGTGTCTAGTCTCTGCTACATGGCATAAGAGCTTTCTAGGCGTGGATACTTGTGCTCTCTAGAGGAAAATCCTAGACATCCGGATTCTCTTTCTAGGTGCCAGCTACTTGATGACTACAACGACTAGATGTATTCCTCGAACTTCTCATTTTCAGAATTTCGCAACAAACCGGTTCGAGAATTCCTGATGAGTAAGGGTAAGAAAAGAAAAAAACCACCGTATTCACATCAGAAAAATATTTGATTTACGATCATTTCTTTAAAGTACCATGTTCTCATAGTATTTTTTTTCGAAGCAGTTTCTCATAAATAAAAAAAAAACATTAATTGAATTAAATTCTCAATGCAAATTTTTGATCATTTTTTCTTTCTTGACAAATGCATTTTCTAATATTGTTATCAAATATTTTCCAATTAATCTCTTGTATCAACGATTATGAATTGTTTGATTCTTATGAATCAACAGAACAAAGTTACAATGATGAAATTGAAGGAACACTTTTGATGACTCAAGTTGTAGGTTACAAAAATTAAAATTCTGTATACGTTTTGAGTTAAATCAGGTTTGGAGACATGGCGATCGATCTCCAATTGATAATTATTTATCTGATGCTCGTTATGAACAAATTTGGCAAAATGGTTGGGGAGAATTGACTGAAATCGGAATTCAACAACAATTCGAACTTGGGAAAAAATTGCGAGATAGATATGTTGGCAATCTTTTAAGCAAAAAATTTGATTTTCGAGAAGTTTATATTCAATCTACGGATAGGAATAGAACAATTATGTCAGCGATGGCAAATATGGCTGGAATGTTTCAAAAAGAGACAGATTCTAGAGGAGGAGAAGATGAAGAGAAAGGTTGGCCGAAGGGATGGATTCCGATTCCAATTCATATTATTCGAGATGATGATGTAAGGATAGAAGTATCCTAAGTTCTATAATTCTTCATTTTTTTATAGCCTGAAAATGTTTTCTCATCTTGTCCACGTGCTGATCAACTAGAGAAAGATATAACTCGCAGTGCATATCATCGAAAAGTTGTTCGTGAAAACTTTGATTTTTTCAGTTTGTTAAGTGAGAAAACTGGAAAACGAATTGATATCTCAAATATCTTCGATATTTATGATAAATATTTCATTGAAGTAAGAACTATAACAAGTTTATATATGTGATATGCTAGAACTTTTTCAGAGATTATATAATTTATCACAACCAGAGTGGCTGACAAAAAATATTGTTAAGAAAATGAAAAATATCGCGGCGATTGATACCCAGTTTGATAATGGGATTGGAAAACCATATGTTCCGGAATTAATAAGACTTCGTGGTGGACGACTTTTGAAATCGATGATTCAACGGATGACACAAAAAATCAATAGTTTGAGTGCAGATGGCAATAAATGGATATCCAATTTAAAATATCATGCACTTTCAGCGGTAAGTCAACCATTTTTTTTTAATTGTTTGAAAAAAATATTTTCAGCATGATACAACACTTTATGCACTTCTTGCAACATTTGGAAACCCGGAAACAATAATAAATAGCAGTTTTCCTCAATACTGTGCTACATTGACTTTGGAATTATGGCTACTTGGAGATGAAAAGATTCCACATGTTAAAATATTATTTGATGATGGAATCAGTGATAATTCGAAGATAATTACGAATTTAGTAGAGGGATGCCCAGAACATAGTTATTTTTGTTCATTAGAAACATTTAGTGCGAGAAGTATTCAATTTATTCCTGAAGATATTCACGAAGAATGTTTAGAAAAATTCGAACCGGAAACAGATAATCAAGATGTTTTTTAGTTTTGTTGTTCCAATATTGTTTTATTTCTCTTATCTCTGATATCCCAACATGAAAAATGACATTTTTGTGCATTGTGTAATATCCTGACCTTTATCACCTCTGACCACTTTTTTTTCATTTTTCCATCGATTAAAAATAATGTTGATACTTTATCTATTATTTATTGGTGTTTGTTTGGGCGCTAAAAATAAGCAACAACATGCTGATGAGCAAGTTATTCGCGCGGAGAAAAATATTCCAATTCATGATCCACGTCCTTTGAAACATTCGGAAATTCAGGATGGTGATGAACTTCTGATGTCTCAAGTTGTAAGTTTAGAATCTTTTCTTGAAGGGGAACTGTTTCAACTGTGAACCTCTGTATATTTTCTGAAAGATTCTGAAGACGCCTAAGCTAAAAATCAAAATAGGAAATATGAATTTCATAGGTGTGGCGTCACGGTGATCGAGCCCCGGTTGGAAATTATCCAACAGATCCACATGGCGAAAATGTTTGGCCAAATGGTTGGGGAGAATTAACACAACTTGGAATGAGACAACAATACGCGCTTGGAAGACTTCTCTATAAAAAATATATCAATTCTTCGCAACCACTTTTGAGTAAAAACTATAATGCAAAAGAGGTTTATATTCGATCAACTGATGTGAATCGAACACTCATTTCAGCATTATCGAATTTAGCAGGAATGTTTGAAAATGGAGAAGCGGGACATGATTATCCGGATAATCCACGTTGGCCAGTTGGATGGACACCGATTCCTGTTCATACTGTTGCGGAAAAAGATGATCCGGTCAGATTAATAACAGTATTATTTTGAAAATATATTAATTATTTTAACCGTTTAGATTGGAAACGTATTTGCTCCATGTCCACGAGCTGATGAGCTTACAACTGGAATTTACAATGGGCCAGGATGGTTGAAATTTGTTGCAGATAATCAGAAATTCCTCGACTTTCTTACTGAAAAATCAGGAAAAGTTGTGAAGATGAATGAGATTTATACAATTAATGATGTTCATTACATCGAGGTATCTACACAGTTTTTGTAGGAAAAATATAACCAAAACCGTTTTCAGAAGCTCTATAACTTGTCACAACCAGCTTGGTTGACTGAAGAAGTTGAGACCAAGTTGAGAGATCTTTCACAAATCTCAACACGATATTTGTTTGGAATTGGAGATCCGTATGTTCCAGAACTTATTCGACTTCGTGGTGGACCATTGTTGAAAACTATTATTGATAAAATGAATCAGAAAATCAGTTGTTTGAAAAAACTAAACAATGGAGAAGAATGTTCGTGGATTTCGAAATTGAAATATCACGCATATTCTGCTGTAAGTATTTGTGTTGTGTTCTTATCAAATTTATAAGTTGTTATCACTGAACTGTATCATTTTTCAGCATGATACAACAGTTTATGCATTTTTGACAACTTTTGGAGATGAGGAGAAAGTTATTATTGGTGGAATGCCTCATTATACAGCTTCGGTTGCTGTGGAATTGTGGAATTTGAAAAATTCAGGACCATCTGTTAGAGTAAGTTGAGATAGACTTCTTTTTAAAAACAAAAATTTTCAAAATTTTCGAATTATCACACAAAATTGGTGTTTTCAAGCTTCGGAGGAAGACTAATCAAAACCAAAAACTATGAAATTCAAATTCGAAATTGTTTCAGGTTTTATTCCACAGTGCTTTCCATCACACTTATCACGTCATAACACATTTGGCAAAAGGTTGCCCACAAAACAGCGAATTCTGCTCATTGAGAACTTTCCAAGAGAGAAGTTTGAAATTTTTGCCAACAAACTTGGAAAAAGAATGTCGCTCATCGCAAGAATTGAAGAAAAAGAATCGAACTTCTTGGAATAATTGAAAATCATTTTTGAAACATAACATTGTGTGAAAAAATAAACAAAATCGAATTGAATTTCTATTCAAGGTCAAATGTTTTGTCTTTTTTAATCAAGTGTGTGTTCATCATTTTCACACTATGAAAGAATTGTCATTTTTTCGATTTCTTTAATCACTTTACTTCACTTTACAAATCAATGTTATGATTAGATAAGACGAAAATTTTGTGTTTTCTTTCTCTCTGAAAATATTTCTTACATATTTGTTTATGAGTTTGATTTCTCTTTTTGTTTTTTTTTCTCTTGTTGCCCAATTTTTTCGAGGGCCTCTTGACAAAAAAGGGCATTCCATTAAAATATAATTAAATTTGCTAGGGGGGCTTTCGAATTCATCCGAGAGGATTTTTTAAGTCGAAAGTCATTCTAAAAATCACGTGCTATCTCAATCAGCTGGTGAGTGAGTGACAAACTGAAAAATAAATAAAATATTTTTATGATCCATTTTTTTTTCAAAATTACTTACACAGTTTTTTATTTTCTTGTTTGTTACCTATAAATCAACATAAGCCTTTGTTTTTGGGTATTGTCTGAATGAAGACCAAAAAATAAAAATTTTGTTAATTTTTTTCTAGGAAGTCTTTGTCTTATTTTTTTTCGACTTTTCCCTTTGAGAAATTTTGACCTAGCGCGTGACCAATCCCGTTTGAATGTCGATTTCGGTCTCATGGCGAAAATATTTCTCTACGTGTCTCACCTTCTAACTTAAAATTAATTTAACACCTACATCAATCAAAATCTTGATTTTTGATCTTTTGATGATGACATCTTTCTGTCCTTTTTCTGACTATTATTTTAATGATGATCCAAACTTTTTAGAAAATTATTTCCTTTTAAAAATATTGTTACGTTATCGAGATTATGATAATCTGAGATTATTTTCTCGAAGCAATCTTTAAAAATCATTTTGTTTTTTTTTGGGAAACCAAACACGAAAACTTTCGTTTTTCTTGGTCAAACCCCACCCAAACAAATTATGTACTTTCGCAACAAATTTTCAAAAAAAAATTTGTTTGTTACGTTTATTAGTAGTACTATTTAGTAGTTCTACTACTACTTGTGGTAGTGCCAATCAAATACAGGTTCCATTAAGGTTAGTTAGGTAGGGACTGAAAAAAATAGAATAACACGAGACAATCTTATTTATTTGTTTATTTATTTTTCAGAAAAATACGATGATTTTTAGTCTTGACGAAAATGAGTAGGTAGATCAAAAAAACATACTTTTCAAAATAACTAACATGTTATTTTTTTGCTCTGATTGACAAAAAGATGACAAGTTGATGAGTAAATAAACATTTTCTTTTGTTAAAGTTTTTCTAGATTTTTTTCAGTTAGGTTCACAAAAATTCAATTTTCAGTGTAGTTCGAACTATTTTTGGTTTTTTGGTAAACCTTTTCTGATTGAATTGAACCAATTTTCAGTTATACATTTTCTCACGATTCAAAGTTTCGGTAAGTAAAATGTGAAAAAAAGGTGAAAAAATGTTTGTCATCCGAAACCTCTAAAAACTTATCTCATAAATCTTATTCTTTTTTATCCAATAAGTTTTTTTTGTGATTTTCAATGAGCACACATGTGACTCTTTCCACCTGCAAAGCTTATTTATAAAAAACGAGCAGAGGTTTATTTATAAAATATGAAAAATTTGTTATTCGGATCTTGCTGGCGTTTAATTGTTTCCTAGAGTTAACACCTAACAGACCGTGACTTTTTAATATTAACCCATGTCCGGACGAAGACTAAATTGACTTGTTGATGAACAACAAAAAATGCAAAGTATTTATATGAAACAAAATAATAACATTCTCTGAACAGTGCTATTTCGACGAATTTAAATACATTTTCATTCCGCATTGTTAGTTTTTTTTTGTTCACAAAACATTTTTTGCGTCGCGTTTTTTTTGCGATGGTTGGTTTTTTGATTACTCCAAATTTGTTGTTATGTTTTGTCTGTTCACGTGGCATGATTTCACACCTTTTATTTTTTCGATAAGTTGGGTGTGTCTACCTGAACCTCCAAGGTTACTTACTCACATTTTTGTTTCTTTCAAAAAAATCTGTGTCACCCATTTTATTTTCAGTAACTTCTATATGTTTTTTTTCTTGTTAGCGCAAACATGATACCTCCTATTGATGTTCTATTTACCTACATTCAGACATCTACTTCTACTTCTTTCGTTTTCCTCAATAAACATATAAATTTCTTCAGAACCGGAACTCACCCCAAAAAAAAAACAACAATAACAATATTATTATATTACTTTCGTTTTTTCTCGTATTTTATTTTAATGATGTTTTCATTCATTTTCAGATTTTCAGGATGGGGGCAACAACCAAAAATAATGATCATGTTCCATTAGCGACTGATGAAACGAGAGCTGATCAAGTTGATCCGCACGCTGAACCTGATCGGTTAGTTTTTTGATGAAACATCAGTAACTTTATATCAAATATTAGGTGATCACATTTGGACTAAATAATCAGAGATCATATTAAATAATCAAAATTGTAGTTTGTTAGAGTTGTTTTTATCAAACGTTAGGCTATCTGGTAAATGGTAATCCTTCCTGAACTTTGGGCTAGTTCTCAAGTTTTCACGCCTAGAAAGTTCGATATACAAGAATAAGCGTCCATAAAAGTTTTTGACCCGAACTTGTCTGATGGAACTGACCGCTGACCCTTAAACTATGTAATCCAATTATTTTGAAACATAAGTAAATCAACAAACAAATAAATTGTTTCAGTGGTCAATGGACTGGAAAATTCGATTTTTTAATGTCAATGATTGCTTATGCAGTTGGACTCGGAAATGTTTGGCGTTTTCCATATCTTTGTTATCGAAATGGCGGCGGATCATTTCTCGTAGTCTATGCCATTTTCTTTTGTCTAGCCGCTGTTCCAATTTTCATAATGGAAGTCACAATCGGACAATATCTTCAAAAAGGTGCAATGGAAATGTGGTTGATGTGCCCGTTGTTCAGAGGAGTTGGTATTGGAAATGTTGTTATTGCTTTTATGTGTATCGCATATTTTTGTGTTATTGTTGCATGGGCAATGTTTTATATGATTTCATCGTTTAATTCAGTGTTCCCTTGGGAAACGTGTAATAATTATTGGCAAGTTAAAATTTTCCGCTGAACTTATGAAGAAGGTGTTTTAGGAACACAGCATCTTGCATCACCGGAAAAGAAAATGTAACAGCTCTCGCATCCATCAAAAAACTATTCCCAAAAACCCAAACTTCAGTGGAAGAATTCTGGGAGCATCGTGTACTTCAAGACACCGGTTCAATTGATAATTTCGGTGGAATTCAATGGGAATTATTCTTCATTATGATGGCTGCCTGGTTAATTGTCTATTTTGCACTTTGGAAAGGTATCACACAAGCCAGAAAGGTTGGTTCTTTTTTGAACTACACACGAGTAAATATTGTTTGTTGTTTAAACGATCTTTGGCGCGTTTGAGATTGTTTTATTTACATTGTACTCTTTTCAGGTGTGAATGAAGCGCGAATGTATTTTTAGATAGACAAGACAAAGTGCGAATCAAAATATTTTTTAATAATATTGGGAACATCCTTGCGCCCAAAACACCCGGCGTACTGTAAATTTCACAGAATTAAAATCCGCAAGTCTAAGATTACTGTAAATTACAGTGCTTTCGAACTACAAGAATCCAAATCTCTACAATACAGTAACTCAATTATTTTCAGTTTGTCTACTTCTGTGCTCTTTTCCCATATGTTCTAATTTTCATTCTTCTCGTCCGAGGTCTCACATTACCAGGAGCATCAAATGGAATATATTACTATCTCAAACCAAATATGACTCGGTTAGCTGACACGGCAGTTTGGAAAGATGCTGGAACTCAAGTCTTCTATTCATATGGTGTTGGTTTTGGTGCACTTATTGCTCTTGGATCACACAATAAATTCAATCATAATTGTTTCAAGTTTGTGAATTTTTCCAAATTTCAAAATTCTTTCTGATTTTCAGAGATGCAATTACAATGTGTTTCATCAATGGATCTACTTCAATTCTTGCTGGTTTTGCTGTCTTCTCAATCTTGGGTTACATGTCGCACATGTCTGGAAAAGAGATTGGGGATATTGTGAAACCTGGAGTTGGCTTAGCATTTTTAGCCTATCCTGAAGTCGCCACAAATTTGCCGATGAAACAAGTTTTCGCAGTATTGTTCTTCCTTATGATCACTATTTTGGGTTTAGATAGTCAGGTTTGCATGGTTGAAGGTTTATTCACCGCGTTAGAAGACGCATTCCCGATTTTGAGAAGACATAAGAAACTCTCACTTGGTATTACTTGTCTATTCTTCTTCCTTCTTGGAATTCCAATGGTCACAAAAGTCAGTGAAAAAAAAAACAAAAAACATAAATAAATGCTTCTGATTTTTTAGTCTGGATCCCATTGGCTTCAAATTTTCGACAACTATGGTGCTTCTGGTTATGCTCTTCTATTTGTTGTGTTTTTCGAAGTCGTTGGTTTGGCCTATGGTTTTGGAGCGGATAAGATTAGAGGAGCCTTGAAAGAAATGACTGGAATTTCACTTCCACCATTTTTCAGCTGGGTCTGGAAGGGATGTGCTCCATTAACCAGCTTGGTAAGAATAATAAAATATTTGAATTACAGTAAATTTAATTTTGATGATCATTTTTCTAGGTTCTCTTTATCTTCTCCATTGTTTATTATAAACCAATCAAATATCCAACTGGTGAAGATTATCCAATTTGGGCCAATGCTTTTGGATGGTTCCTCTCATCTTGTTCAATGGTTGTTATTCCCGGATATGCTATTTACTATCTTCTTTTCACTAACAGACATCTCACATTCAAAGAGGTTTATCATATTTCGAAATTACCCAAACTCCTTAACACTATTTTTTTGCAGAAACTTAGAAAGGGACTCAACTTGGATGGCTCTTTCGAATCACCAGTCCGAACACATCAAAATGGAGAAGAAATGAAATTTATCACTGCCGGAGGAACACAATAAATTGCTTTGATCTAAAGTACTTCTAGCTTTATTACATCATAATCCATTTTCATTCCAGTCGAGACCCTAAGAGCTTCGTGTATTTCTTTTTAGTACCCTTTTTTCGATTTTTTGTGCTAAGCACAGTGAAATTCACTTTGAAATTATATACATTATATATGGTCGAATAAATCAATTATATTCTTTTTTCTAGATTTCAAGGTTCAGGATTTTTTTTAGGTATTACTACGTGACCAGAAAACTGAATTTGACGTGAAAAACAATTTCCTATGTCTAAAATGCTCATTTCACGACTTTCAAAACCATAAAATCGTACCTGTGAATTTCCGCAACGTTGTCGAATTGTTGATTTCTCCTCCAATATTTCAGCGGCCTTCTTTTGATGTCCATTTTTTCTGTAAGTAAAACAATGTTATAAGTTTTTTTAAAGGTAGAATCCGAGATAATAATAAGTTAGGCACATTTGAGATAGAAATTTGCAATTAGTACACTCCTCGAAGTATTTTTGATGGAAGTTTTTCTAATATTAGTGAACCAAGTTTTTAAAAACAGTGAAACACCGTGTGAAATGGCTTGAGAAAACGCAAAGATGCCTGAAAAACCTGAAAAAATAAAAAAACCACAAAATTTCAAATTTCCGCAGAGTGTGCAAACACCAAGCACACGTGCATTTTATCTGACGCGCAAACATTTTCATTTATTTTTTTTCCATTTCTCATCCCGAAACGGTATAAAATGATCAATGATGAGCGATGAGAATGATTTGGAAGTGAATATTGATGTCAATTTACCTTTCGGTATTGAGAATCAAGTCGGAAATGTAGAAATTGCTGATAGACCATTAGTAAGTTGTTGTTAAATATTGTAATTTATTTTTCAACTAAACAATATTATTCAGAACCCTCCTCCTGCCCCACCGCCTCCAGTCAATAACCCAACTACTGCTGCCCAAAACCAACAAAATGCTCAAAATCAATTTGGGAATGTGAGGTGAGTAATTTTAATTTTAATTTCTGCCTGAATAGGAACCGTTCTAATATTTTCAGAGATCGATTATTTCACGCAATGCTTGTCCGAATTGCCATCAAATATAGTTCAAAAGTAAATTTAACATGTCGAAGAATAATTGAAAGTGTAATATTGTTCGTCGCGCTGATATTACTTTGCTCATTATTATTTGTTCATATCAAATTTACGAAAACAAGTATAACATGTTTAGATAATGTGAAAAAAGAATGGATGACTGATGGAATTCTAAGAGTTGAAGTTATCAAAAATTTGAAAATGTTGGAAAAAGAAGAAGATTATATCAGGTGGTATGGTAAGTTTCTATGAATATATAAATATAGTTTTTGAAAATTGTTCTTCCAGTGCGCGAAAAATCATCCCGATCATGTTATCTTCGAGTCGCTGACATATTCAAAATCGGACCACGAGTAATTCCAGCTGAAATTCGAGCACAAGGAATAATGGATGCTGCCAGGCAAATATCGATTGATCACAAGAATAAGTATACAGTCAAACCGTTTGCTGATGGAGGCGGTTTATTGAGTTATTTTATTCGTGCTCCATCAGCGCTTTTTTCTTTGGAAACTGATGATGATGAAAAAGATGAAAGATTGCATCGGGGAAATGATCCATTGGAAGAAGAGGCGATTTTTGCCTGGAGATCACAATTCAATGCGCATTATTGTAAGTGAAAGGGTTAAATTGAATCTGAAAATATCTATTTTCAGCAAATGACGATGATTATGAATATGTATATCGTGTAGAATATGCACAATTATATGGTGTTCTAAGACTTCCGGAACAATTCAGAGAAAAACATGGAATTCCAACAGTTTGGATGCGAGTGAGTTATTCTGATTATATCATAGATTTTTTCGCAATCAAAAATTTCAGATTGATTCAAAATCGAGTTGCTTTGGTGACTCGGTTTCTCATCTCATGATGAATTCATTTGTTGGATATGAAGATGCTGTGATTTCGGCGCTGCGGGAAAAAGCAATCAATGCTTCGACTGACAGTATGTTTTTGAACTTGAAAGATATCCGAAAAAGTTTCAAATATATATTTCAGCAGAATCAAATAGTCGCGGATATCTACACGATCTTCTTACTCACGAACATTACCATCTTATGGGAAGTTTCCTTGGGAAATCGAGTTATTTGACTGCAGCAATTTTAATGCTCATATTTGTGAGTCTACGACAGAATATTCTCATTTCTAATGTAATTTTGAATTTTCAGACATTCGCAATTTCAATGCTTCTACGATTTTCGCATCATCAAATATTTGTGTTCATTATCGATTTGTTGCATATGTTTGAACTTCAACAACCGCTTCATTTTCCTGTTGCTCCGATTTTTACTGTTATTTTGGCTCTTGTTGGTGAGGACTTATTGGGAAAATTTGATGAAGCTAGAGTTTTCTCTCTTGCCGCCAAATAAATGAAAAATTCAAAATTTTCAGGAATGGAAGCAATAATGTCAGAAGTGTTCAATGATACAACAACCGCATTTTATGTTATTTTAATTGTTTGGGTTGCTGATCAATATGATGCGATTTGTTGTCATTCGCCAGTTTCGAAACGATTTTGGCTTAGGTAATAATTCTACATATTTTTTAATATATATAACTCAAATTTCAGATTTTTCTACGTATATCAATACTTTTTCTATGCCTATCAATATCGTTTTGGTGGCCAATATGGAACACTTGCATTGTGGACTTCTGCCACTTTTATTCTTCATTCAATGATTTATTTTTTCCACCATCACGAAATGCCGTTGATATTATATCAGGATCGATTGCAACAAGTTTTGGCGGATTTACATGCTCCACAGGTTAGTTCGATCCCCGGTGCCCGCGATTCTTTTTTCTTCCTCCTTCTATTTTTTTTTGCTTCATCCATCCAATTATTAATGTGTCAAGCATCAGTCTTCTTCTTCTTTTTTCATTTTTTTTTTCTGAAAAAGACAGACGACGCAAAAATAGAGACAACTTGGCATAATTGCACATTTTTGTGCCTCCCGGCAAAATGTATCTTTTTTCCGACTAATTTGGTTGTTTTTGAGAGAGAATTTTTGGGGTTTTTGAGCATACGTCGCATGCGTGGGATAATCGACCCGAGGAGGGGTTATCACTCACCCCAGTTTTTGGAAGGGGATGTCACTTGAGAAAACATTTTGAAGAAATTTTCTAAGCTTTGTACTCTATCACTTATTTGGAGTGATTAAAATTTCCACGAATTTTTATTCAAAAATCGATAATTTCAACATTTTCATCCAAATTTTGAGAACTTTGGTTTTGATTTATTGTCATAGGATTTATCATTTAGGGTCAATTAGGTAGGTTTAGGGTTAAAGGTGGAAGCATTGAAAAAAATTGATAATAAATTAAATCAAAAATTTTGAAACGTATTTTTTTTGTTTTTGAAAAATTAGAATTTTTGAATCGAAATTTGACTCAAAAGCGGAGAAGATGAGAATATTTGCCGAAGTGAAGCAATTTTGAGCTAAAAGTTTATAAAAAATTTAGATTGTCAAGTTTATTTAGCTGAAAATGAAAAAGGAAAGGGGGGGGGGTTATCCCTTTTTCCAGAAATTTTCAAAAACAGGGGTGTGCACTGGTGGATTTGAAACGAGGGTATGCGACGTATGTTTTTGAGTTCTATCTATAATAAAAAAAAAGAAAAATTCCTCAATTTCCTATCGCCCCGCACATCAAAAAGCAAACTTTTGCTGTGCTTTTGATGTTTTTTCGTATTTTCTTTTCCTTTTAACAACTTCCTTCCGGTTCTTGATTTTTTCTTGCTTTTTTCTACGTTTTTGACCAAGTTTATTCGAGTGGTCGAAGTGTTTATAGAGAATATTCAAAAAACATTTCGCTCTGTGTTTAATTTCAGTTTCTGAATACATATGTCGAGTATATAACAGCAAATCCCAGATAATCCGAAAAAGAAATATTTTTGAAACGTAAAAAATTTGAGGAAAATTATTTAGAGTTTCCGGAAGTTTTCCAATTTTTCCCATCTCATACAAATTTTCCGATTAATCAAGCATTGACATTTCTCACTGACATTTTTTTTTCGCCATGTCAAGTTATGAATAATCCAAGATTTTCTTCTTTTTCTTCTTCTTCTCTTCTTTTTTTTCAATCCAACATGATGGTTCTTCTTTTTTTCCGTTTTCCTTCTTCATACTTTGAGGTGTTGTCTCTCACTTCTTCGTTTTTTTCTCCTAAAGAAGAAAAAATTGAATTTGTATTCCTCTTCGTTTTTTTCCTCTCTCTAATGCACTCGCTTTTTGTTGTTGTTTTTTCTTTTTCTTTCTTTCATTCATTGAGAGAAAAATAACGAGAAGAGAAGAAGAAGTGATAATGAATTTGTAGTCGAATGAAGCCACGCCCCTCACTTTTTTTACTAATGTGGCTTTGCGAAGTTTTTTGTTTGGTTTGGTTTGAATAATCAAGAAGGAATGAGTGTATGAGCGTGAAACTAGTTGACAAGTAGCTGAGCCTTGAGAACCTATTCGTCTAGGACCCGCGTCTTGAGAGATTCTACGCCAAGGAGCCGAGCCTAGACTGCTTAGTTGTCAAGTAATCACTTCTAGAAAACACAACTGCAAGGATCAGTGCCTAGAGATCCACTCTGGCAAGGTTTCGCGCCATGAGAACTTCTGTTGCCTAACTTTTAATAATGAAAAATAAATTTCAAACTCTTTCACCGATGACGTCATTCTTGGTGTTGAGTGTAACAAAGTTCAGTGACATTGTAATTGAATTCAACTCTGACTAGCGACACCAAAAAAAGTTTTTCATGTTTTTCTCTCCCTATTTTTTCTGCGCCCTCAAATTTTGAGCCGCAAAACGTTCAGATTTTTCAACCAGATCTAAGAGATCTCTCCATTGATACTTATGTTGTTTTTTTTTTCAAAATACATATTATTCTTTTGGGAGTCGTTATCCAATTTGTGAGATGAGATGAGATACTACAACTCTTTTTCTTCTTCTGAAATGTGATCGGTTTGTTTTGTTTTGTAGGCAAAAATCTCCGAGAATTATATATTTTTCCTTTTTTTTCATTCACATCAGAATATATCTTTGGCGTGTTTGTTCATTTACTTGAGAATTTAATGTAAACACTCTTCAGCATCTCATTTTCGCCGCTGTTTTTTTCGGGTTCGTGTCATTTTCAGCAGTTTAAGAAGAGTTATGACGTGGCAAAATTATCTGGATTTAGCCCAACTTGAGCCCTACAACCAAAATCAGCCTATCACCTTGAATTTCATATCAGAGTCGAACTTTGAAATGAGCTCGAGTCCAAGCCTAACTCAAACATTTCAAGCCAATAATCATTCTAGAATAGGCTTATATGAGCTGAAGTCTAGAATTATCCTAACTCAAGCCAGACTTTTCTGACGAATCTTGCACTCTTGGGTTGTTGTACTAATTTCTCTTGGGGAGTTCCTCAAAATTACTGAAAAGTGTTGTTCTTTTCGGCAACGTCAGCATTTTTGTAGTTATTATTCTCTGGGGATTTTTTCAGCTCTCAAATTTACTGAAATATATTAGTTACCAGAAGTTCAAAAAATTACGAAATCGAAAAATTGGTAAGTTTTGAAAATTGTGACCATATTTGTCTATAGTTATATATTTGCTCGGTTTTTTGTGTATTATATTTAGGCCAGGCCAGCTGACTGTACAAACAACTCTCCTTTTTCTTTTTTCTCCATCTATTTTTGGTCAGTTTTGTCCTTTCCAACAACACAGCAAAAAAACGTTTTTTTTGTGTTGAGCAATAAAAAAGCACTCGACCGAATATTTTTTTCGCAGTTTTTCCACACATATTTTCTCATTGTTGTTGTTTTTTCGAGCAGAAGATTTGGGATTTTTGATTAGCGCAAAGACACCTTATTGTTAGGCTTAATATAGTTTTCCTTGGTTTTTTGCTCTGAACCTGAGAATTTTGGGATCGCTCATGTTAAGGGTATTGTTTTGGGTCCAAACACGATATTGCTCAGATTAGGAAATTTAGTAGAAAGTCGGCTTTTTTTTCAAAGAAAATATCTGTGTCGCTGAAAGTCGTGAGTTTCGTTTAGTTTTTCAACAAAAAACACACAAACTCTCAAAAACAACCCGTTTTTTGTCCCATGAATTTTTGATAATCTCTTCTACTCCGCTTTTCCTTCTTTTTTCTCTTTTTTCCTAGTTTTTCATTCAGTTCTCCTATTTCTTTGTACTTTTTCTACCAAAAAAGCATTTCCTCTTTCACGCCAAAAAGTTTTGGTTGTCACTTTGAATTTTATCAGAAAAGGGAGTGGTTTATCTTCTTTTTTTTCAAAATTTCTTTCAAAACAATTGAATGTGATATTTTCAGAGTGGAATGGGTACTGTAGAAGTTCAAACGATTACTGTGGCTGTGCACAGTCGACCCGATAGTTTGGCAACCAATGAAACTGCTCAGCAGAATGTGGAAAATGTGAGTTTTTTCAAGTCCACGGTTGGCTGAACTGAAAATTTACCCTGAACTAACTACCTGAAATGAATTCCGATTCTAAATCACTTATTAAATAATATTTTATATTTTTCAGAGAGAACCATTGAGTCCGTCAAGTGTATTCGATGCGAGAGGTCCCGTTTTGATACCAGGTAATTTTTATTTTCAAATTTTAGCCCCCCTCCCTTTTCCGGAAAAATTCTTATAACCCCCTTGAGAATTTCTCAGAGATTCTTGCAAAGTTCAAAAACTTTTTATCCCAAAAAAAATATCGCAAAAAAGCTAGAAAAAATTTATGACTAAAACTCAAAATTTGTGTGTTTGCAGAAAGTGTACAAGATGAACAAATGGAGCAAGTTGTAGTCGAAGAGGAAGAAGATTCTCGAATTCCGGAAGAAATTGTGGCTCGTGGAATTGTGAATGATGCGATGAATGAGCTTTTCAACACTAATAATACTGAATAATTCCTCAGAAAAATTCTTAAACCCTCCTCTCTGTATTATTTTTTTCTGAATAATTCCTATTTGAAAAATTGTTGTGATTTTTTTCCTCCTGAAATTCTTCTCCTACTTGCCAAAAATAATATTCAAATATTTTCTTCTGGCAGATTTTCCTCTGCAACATTTTTATGTTTTACTTGAAATGGGTATTTATTTATTCGTATTTCATTATTATTTTCAAAAAATAAATGTTTTTTTTTCCAATTTTTTCTCCGTAAAGTTTGGTTTTGGTTTTGGTCAGATTATAGTCCTTGGAGAATTGTGGTTTTTTTGACCCGCCTTATTTTTTTTTTGCTTTTTTGGAAAGAGATTATTTATGGGTGGGGTTTTTGGAGAAGCGATATCTTTTTGACCCAGAAGGCTGTTTTGTTGGAGCTGTTTTTTTTTGGAAAATAGAAAAATTCTGGAGGTTGGACCTTTTTTTGAAGGGTTTTTGAATTTTTGAAAAAAAATTTAAGGATTTTTAATATCTCTTTTTCAGAATTCAATGAATTTCCAGGGAAAATTTTGAATTTTCGAAAAAAAAAATTAATTTTTTCAGAATTTTTGGTTCCTGTTTCAAAAATTGATGACTTTCAGGAAAAAATAAGGATATTTATAGTCAAATCCCTCATAAAAATTAATCTCAAATTTTTAATTTCAGGATAATGTTTGGCAAGAGTAAGACTAAGTGTTGGATTTTCAACGCTCATTTTTTGAGATATCTCTGAAAATTCTAGCTTCGATTCTTTTTTTTTCATTTTTTCTCCCATAATCCTCTCATTTTTTCAACACATTCTAGAATTTCTTGAAATTGGATATATTTTTTCTCACTTCACTTTATCTTTTTGGTTTTTTCTTCTTCTCAAAATGTTCGCCTAAAAATTGAATTGAATGATCTTTTTGTTCTTTTTTGCCTCCTTTTTTGCACTTTTTCTTGGGATCCCCACATTTTATGACCAAAGGATATCCCTTCTGTCAACCAGCCAAAAAAGACTCACTCAATTCTTATTTTGTTTCTTGGACTCGACTGATTTTTTTTGTCACGAAAAGAGAGAAGAGAAGACCAATGTTGCCATTTTCATTTTCATCTTTTTCTCCGTTTTTTTTTGGTTTAACTTATGTTAATTCGTTTTTCTTCAGAAATATGTCTCTTCCAACTCCACAATATCGACTAAGTGCAATTCGAGCTCATGATGTTTATGAACCATCCGAGGACACTTTTTTGCTCATTGATGCGATTGAAAAAGATATCAAGGTTTGGAAAATTTTGAAGATTTTTCAAGAATCCGCCAAAAAAATCGAGCTCAGAAATGAATCGCTTTAGGACTGAAACTAGCGCCAGCCGTTTAGAATACTGTAGCACAATTTCAGCTGTGCTATTTTTTATTCAAGCTCGATTTTCAAGCTTCACCCATCAAAGACTTTCTGCCAAGCAGGCCCGCCTTGAAATTTCTTCTGTCAAGCAACCATCCCTTGACAGCAGTTTTGCCAACGGGCGACTTCTTGACAGCTGAATGTTCAAGCTGCCAAAGCTTCCAGCATAATTTTTGAAATAACAAGGGGTGTAGATAGCTCAGAATTTATATCAGAGAAAAATGACCAAACAGCGTCTCTAATCAAATTCTCGCATTTTTTCCAGGAAATTCGAAAACGCGATCCAAAAATAGTTCTCGAAATTGGTTGTGGTTCTGGAGTTGTCTCAACATTTGTAAATCAAGCCCTTGGTGGAAATGTGACATCTCTCGCAACCGATTTGAATCCCCACGCACTTGACATAACTCTCGAAACTGCAAAACTCAATGATATTAAAATCGATGTTGTCAGAACAGATCTTGATTCGGGTCTAGAGAATTTGCGAGGAAAAGTTGATCTACTTCTATTCAATCCACCGTATGTTCCAACGGAAGAAGAACCAAAATCAAATATTGAGTTGACTTATGCTGGCGGAAAGACTGGAAGATCAACATTGGATCGACTTTTACCAAGGATTCCAGATATTTTATCACCATCGGGGGTGTTTTATTTGGTTGCTTTGCATTCGAATGATATTCCGATGTTATTAAAACAACATTCTGATAAAATGCAATCATCAATTTCAATGGAAAGACGATGTGGAATTGAACATTTGTATATTTTGAAGTTTGTTAAAAAGTTGAACGAATAAAAATTTTTTGTTCTGAAAAAATCTAACATAAGGGTTTTTAGTTCGTGAAACTTTTACTTTAAATTTTGCAACCTGTGCTTCGAACATCATCAGAGAATTTTGAAGTTGTCGATGCCTTTAGAACTTGTGTATCGAGTAGCTGAGCCTAGGAACCCTGATTGTCAAGAATCAGCGCCTAGAGAACCTAGTTTTCAAGTAGCCACTTCTTTAAACTATATTTCTAAAGGAGCCACGCTAAAAGTTCAATTGTCAAGCATCAGCAGCTAGAAATTAGTTTTCTATTTTCCGGAAACAAAAAAATTCATAAAATTGTGAACAAAAAATCATTTCACTTCATTAATTATTAGAATTTAATTCCGAGAAAATTTCTCATTCACTCATTCAGATTTGTACGATTTTTTCCATCTTAAAATAAAATAAAAATAGGGGATGACTCATGTTAGTGGAACATCACTCAAAATTTCGTCATTTTTTAATGGTTCTATTTTACTCCTACTTCTTCTTCTCCCAAGCGGATCAAGTATCCTCCTCTTCTTTCTTCGCGAAGCATTTTTTGGTGGTTTTTTCTTCAATTTATTTGTTTTACATTAGTTTTTTGAAGAAAAGTTTGGAAGTATTCATTTTATGGCTGCATACTTTTACACTTTGCCTATGTTGCGTTTTTTCTTGGAAAATTAGACGGAAAATTGGAAAGCTTCAAAAAATCTATACTGATCATTCTTAGAATACTGTAGATTTTAGTCCTGAGTTTTGTTTTCGATTCTGGATTACTGTAAATCGGATAAATTTTTTGTAAAGTTGTTTCCAAACGTTTTGGAACCTACAGTATTCTGGAAAGAATGATGTAGGTTTTGGTGATTTTCCACTTTCTGAACCTTTTTTTCAAAAAAAAACATCCTGGAAAATATACGTTTCAAAATTTGGATATTTGAAAATACAATTATTTCAAAAGTGTTCTTAAATCAAATGTCCCACCATTTCATTATAAATCATAATGCGGTACTGTAGCTATTCATAGGTTACTGTAGATTTTGAGCTTTAATTTTATGATCTATAAGATTATTTTTTGAAATTATTTTTGACACAAAACAAGTGTGCCTGGTTTTAGTGATCTATAATTATTTTTGGAACCTACCCTGAAAATTGTCAAAATTGTTTTGTTGCTACTCAAAAACATTTTGTAATTCTCAAAGTGCCCCACGCAAAACCTTTTCCTAATTCATTCATTTTCTTTCCAAAAATGAATAACTCTACTCAAATTTCCATCTCAATTTTCAATTTTCATGCACTTTTTGTTTCCTGCATTTATTGTTTTTCGGCAAGAAAAACAATAAATATTCTTCGGTTTTTTCACATTTCTGAAATTTGATAAAAAATGTCAGAAATATTCAATTCCGCATTCCGCATTTTTCTGTTATTTTTCTTCCATTTTCAAAATTATTCCAGCTTCACGATTTTTCACTAATTTAATTTACTTTCTGAAAAATAAATCCAACTAGAATAGAATTTGAATTTGAATCAGTTTTTCTTGTGCTGCAAAAAAGAAGCCTTTCTTCAAGAGGGCGTTTTTATTCTTGAAAAATGAAAATAAAAACAAAAGCGTGAAATTGGCAGACAAGACTTGGCTGTAGTCAGAAAGACGTATTAAAAATTTATTCCATTCCGAATTATATTTTTTTGTCGAGAGCTACTTTAAGATACTTTAGTAGATAAGTGTATAGTTGAAAACTGCAAGGATTGAGTTTCAATTTCCCGTTTTTTGTTGTACTTCTTGTTATTTTTTCAATGTCGTCAGATCTTTGTTTCAACTTTGGTTTCTAGTTTTAAAAAAACATGTGGAGAATTTAGGAAGGTTCAAATTTCAGATTCAAGAAAATTTATTGTAATTTTTTCAAAACTTCATCTGCTTGACAACTTTTTGTGTCGTCAAATTTGGTTACGAGCAAAATTAGGAGAAAACGTGATTTTTCCATTTAGCCACACCTCTTCTTTATGACCAATTTCCTACGTTAATCTCATTTATTTTTGAAAACTATATATTCCAAGAGATAATCTCAAATACGGCTACAGTAGCTGAAAATTTAAAAAAAGATATAGAGGAGTTCAGAATATAGATTTTTGAATTTTTTCCATTTCACAATCAGTTTTAAACATTTGAGAGATCGTGGGCTACTGTAGCTTCCAGAAAAACATTTTCGAAAACTTTTTCCCCTCTTCTTGAATATTATTTTCCAAAATTCCTAATTCCAACATTTCCAGGTAATTCAAAAAAAAAAATGCGGTTTCACCGTTTTCACAGTTCATTTCAAATGTGTCTCCTCCTTTTTTCATTATTCCAATTCAACAATTGTTTACCATCATATCCGACTTCGAAAAGTGTTTCCAAAACCGACAACTTCCTTCAACTCCTAAAATGTGTCCGATATTTGAGAACAATGTGAGTGGGCGAGCAAAAACATCGCAATTAAAATTTCAAATCTTAAAATAATTTGTTTTTTTTTCTTCAGAGGAAACCGCATAACTTTGTCGTCGAATTCGCAGCGAATGATTTTAATGAATGATGAAGGTGGGTGTACTTTGTGAGAAATGAATATTCGTGAGTAAATAATATTTTTTATAGGAAAGGAAGTGATGTGTGATGAGTCCGGAGGATATCTTCAAGTTCGTGCAAAATCCGACAGAAGTTGCCAATTTTCACCGATTCACTGCCTTTTCAAAAAACGTTTGCAGAATAATAATCGAGTTACTAATTACTATTAAAATAAAATAAAATATTTAACAAAAAAAAAATAAAATAATACACGTACTGTACTGTATACTCTCTTGCCAACAACATTCTGAATAATAAAACACAATTATTTGTTTGGGTTGTATATTCGTTTTTTGACATGAGTAATACGCCACGAATTTGCAACAGCATATTTGTCGAAAAGTGGATCGATCTTTTGATTTCGTTTGAATGTTGAGAGTTTTGTCGAATCTCCAACTTTGAAAAATGATGGAGCATATTCGACAAGCCATTTTGGATCGATTGCAGTGATTTCTCTCATATATTCTTTTGTTGTCATTACCAATTCGTGATAAACAACCCATTCTGGTTGATGTTGAAAAACTGCCGAAGATGGGTGAATATACACATTTTGACCGTCAACAAGAGTACGATAGCCTTCCTAAAAATTATTTGATTGAAAAAAATTAAATTGAAGTTCATGATGATAGAAGGCCCGGGAAAAACTTAGTTCAACTCGTTGTGAGCCAAGAACAACATTGAAACAAACCAAATTCTAGGCGGAGACAATTGAGCTCTCTAGGCGCAGATACTTGAAAAGAAGGATCTCTAGGTGCTAATCCTTCACAATTGACAACTAGGTATTCTAGGCTTGGCTACTTTTCAACTATAAAGCGTGGTCTCCAGATCACATCCAAATTTTTTTCAAAACTTCAAAAACTAACCTGTGGATCCCGTTTGGCCGCATTTCTGAAGAATCCAGAACAAATCGCCTTTTGCACTCTCGCAACATCTCTTCCACAACTGACCATATTCAATTTGTGTCGATCCATAATTCCCAACAATTGTTTTCGAATATCTTGTGCTCGTTTCATACTTCGAACTTGAATAAAATTCTCAAAACACCATGGTTGCGAGAAATGATGGTGTTTCCACGAATTATAAACAGCCAACAATGTCAAATGATCGCCTTCTGGTTGATGGAATTTCGCTTTTTTCTGATCGGCCATCTCTTGTTTTTCTTTTGGTCTATAGAAGATATTCTGAACATTGAGCATTGCAACAATCGTCAAAACTTCATCAGAACATCCCAAATCGACTGACATAATAAGAAGTTTGGCAAGAGAAGGTTCCAATGGAAATTCGGCCATCTAAACAAAATAAATTTTGAATTCTTTTTAACCATTTAAAATAACATACCCTTCTTCCAAGTCTTGTCAATAATCCATCATTATCTAATGCAGATAAAGTGTGAAGTGTATTTAGTGCAGTAATCATTGAATCAAGTGGAGGAGCATCCATGAAATCAAAATCAATCAGATTATTAATTCCCATTGCTTTGAGTTGAAGCAAAGTTGAAGCAAGATTAGTTCGTTGAATTTCTGGAACTGGAGTTTTCAACATTTCATCTCTGAATGCTCTTTCAGTATATAATCGATAACATTTTCCAGGTCCAGTTCTTCCCGCTCGACCACTTCTTTGTTGTGCAGCTGCTTGAGAAATCGGAGTCACAACTAGAGAATCCATTCCACTTTTTGGATTATATATTTTCTGTTTTACAAATCCAGGATCAACAACATAAAAAATTCCATCGATAGTCAACGATGTTTCAGCAATATTTGTAGCAATTACAACTTTTCGTTTTCCAGGTGGCGCTGGCTCAAAAATTCTTGTCTGCATTTCACTTGGAAGTGCACCATAAACCGGAAGAATTATAAGTTCAGGAACATCTGGACCAAGTGATTTCATTCGTTCGTAAAGCACTTCACAAGATGTATCAATTTCTTCTTGACCAGTTAAAAATACAAGAATATCTCCTGGTGGTTCGGTCAAATGAATTTGCATAACTGTAATATGAGCAGCCTCCAAATAATCCGATTCCGGTTCTTTTGTGTACAAAATTTCGACAGGGAAGGTTCTTCCAGGAATTGTGAAGATCGGTGCTTCCAAGAAATATTCGGCAAATTTCACTGAATCCAAAGTGGCACTAGTAATAATAAGCTTCAATTCTGGTCGTTTTCTCGCCGCAGCTTTCAATAATCCGAACAAAACATCGGTATGAATTGTACGTTCGTGAGCTTCATCCAACATAATCAACGAATATCCCGATAAATCTGGATCGATAAGACATTCACGTAAAAGCATACCATCAGTCATATATTTGATAACAGTGTCTTGACTTGTACAATCTTCGAAACGAATTGTATAACCAACATCTGTTCCGAGTTTACAACCATATTCTTCAGCGACACGTTTTGCAACTGACATTGCAGCGACACGTCTGAAATAACATTTTGATTATTATTTTGAAAACAAAACTTTTCTGTATTTTTAGAATTACAAGAAACAAACAAATCTAAAAAGAAGTCACTACGAATTCACGATTTTCAAATTGAGCCATTTTTTTTTATTTTTTATGGATAAAAATGATAAATCGTGGTTTCGGAGTCACTACGAATTCGCGATTTTCAAATATAGTCCTATTTTATGGATAAAAATGATAAATCGTGGTTTCGGAGTCACTACGAATTCACGATTTTCAAATATAGTCCTATTTTATGGATAAAAATGATCCTCCACTTCAAGACACATTTCGTTAATAAAAATTTATATTTTTTGGGATTCTTAATTTTTCCCTCAAAAAATACAATACCTTGGCTGAGTACATCCAATTTTTCCACGTCTTCCTAATCCAGCTTCCATCGCATATTGAGTCATTTGAGTAGTTTTACCAGATCCAGTTTCACCAACAACAACAAGAATTTGATTATCCATAATCGCTTTCATCAAAGTTTTCTTCAACGCAAAAATCGGCAAACTTTCTCGTTGTTCAATCATACTCAAATTTGTGCGTCTTCCATATGTCGCTTTTCCTCCAGCAGTCACATGTCTCAACCATTCTGGCATATCCTGTAAATTATTTTTATTTTCAAATTGATTCCGATTTTCGCAAGTTCTAAATATCTAACTTACCCTATCTCGTTTTCTTTCTCTTGTCTCATCAATTGTCCATGTTTGAGAACTATCAGCTGCCATTGGATCATGAATTCGTGCATTTGAACTAAATCCAGCTTTTTGAGTTTCTTGATCTTTTTCACGATGCGCTTGAATTTTTGCCTCTTTGCGTTCTTTCGAAAGTGCTCCTTGCATAAGAGCTGCTTGTGCCAAACTTCCATCAGGATTTTTGACAACTTTAACCGGCTCAATTTCTCCACCTCCTTTACCATAACCTCGTAAAAAGTCTGGTTCATCTTCAACTAATTCAATTTCAATATCTTCACCATCGCTTTCTTCATCAAAGTTTTTAAGCACACCCATTTCTTCATCGAAATCTGGTAAATCAGTTGCTGATAAAACACCAGCTCCTTGCATTTGTCGAAGTTCCCATCTTTCTGGAGTTGATATTCGAACTCTAGTTTTTCCTGTGCTTGTTGTGGCCATTGATGAACTTTGTTCACCTTCGGGATTCATCCAAGATGACCTTCGAGCATCTGGACTTCTTTCTCTAACACCAATTGCATCAGGTCGAAGTTCTGCTTCTTTTGGATTCAAATCTTCTCCAGTTTCTTGATCAACTTCTTTCAATGATAATGACAATTTATTTCCATCCATTTTAATGACTTTCACTTTAACCTTTTCCCCTCGTTTCAAAACATCCGCAACAGCTTGAACTCGTTCATTTCGAAGTTGTGAAATATGACAAAGACCTTCAGTTTTTTGTCGAAGACCTTCGAGTTGAATAAAAGCACCGAAAGATTGAATACTATTTACACGACCATTATATATTTTTCCAATTTCAACAGTTTGAGCTGTGCTTGAATCTCTTCTGAAACAAGAATAAAATTATAAGAATACAATATTTTAAAATTACTTACTCTCTCCCATGATCTCGTCTGTCTCGATCTTTTCTGTCGTAATTATTACTTCTTCGATCTCTGTTATCTCTACTTCTAGATCTTGATCTGGACCTTCTACGTCTTTCTCGGCTTCTCGATCGTTTTCTGCGATCTTCTCGATCTCTTCTGTCGTTGTCTCTCGAATGATTCCTCCTTTCGGCTGAACGACTCCTTGATCTTTTTCTTTTCGAAGATTTTTCAGCTTCATCATACTTTTTCTCCATTTTCTCCAACTGTGCGAACAAATCGAGACCGTCTGCTTTTTCTTCTGGTTCATCTTCAACTTTAGAAGTATTCGCCATAGCAAGCGCAGGTAGTCGAGCCTGAATTTTAAACATTTTATAAAATGATGTATAAAAAAAGCAAAAACTTACTTTGATTTCTTCTTTCGCATCAGAAATCAATGTGATTTTATGAGTTTCAGTATTTTCTTTGGAACTAGTTTTCTTCTTGGTAGCCGACTTTGTCATATGCTGAACTATTCTCAAAATCGTAGCAGTCAGAGAATCATCAAATTGATCAGCAAGTCCTTCTGTTTCCAGCGCTTTTTTGAATTTATCGAAAGTTTTGTTCGATTTCGCCAAGTCGATAACAAATTCAGCCACATCTTTGTCTGCCAATCCAAAATGGTTTTCCAATTCTCCACATACTTTCGACACCAATGAGAAATGCTCAAGTGCGTCCATTCAGTTTTTTTTCTGAATTTTTTTCGTTGAAAAAAACGAAAAACGCAAAAAAAATAAAAATTCGAAATAAAAATGGGCGTGGCCACAAAAACAACGCGGCACACACTTTTGCAAGAGGAGGGCAGGTAAATAGAAATGTGTGTTTTATTTTTTCTGAGGACAATGTTGAAAATTTTGAAAATGTTTTTATTGAAAATGTTAAAAATTCATTCATAAGGTTTAAAAATAGTGATTTTCTTTTGTTGTGGAAGAGGAGGTGATTGACTTGCACTACTTCCCGTGTCATCCGTTTCCGATCTTTCGATTTTAGTGTCATCTTTATCACTCGCATTCGTTCTTCTCCATTTTGCTCGTCTATTCGAAAACCAAACTTGAATTCTGGCTTCTGGAAGAGTTGTTTGTTTGACAAGTTCATTTCTTTCCGAACTACAAGGATACGGTTCACGATTGAATGCTTCTTCCAGAATTTCTAGTTGTTCTGAAATTTTCGATTTTTTCTGATAAGGGATAAGAATATTTCCAAAGAACTCACCATTACTAAAAGTGCTTCTAGATAATCTTCTACATCCATTCATACTTGAGTCATCTTCAGATAAACAAGGAACAGTTTCAGTTGGAGAAGTTGGAGCAAGAGAAAGTTGAGCATTTTGTTGTTGTTGTTGAGCAGCCAACAAAAATGCTGGATTCAAAAGAAGCCCAGCTGGCCACATTGCAGGAAATGGGAATGGAAATTGTGGAATTGGTGGGAGTAATCGATTTTGATTTTGTTGAGGTTGTCGAATTTGTTGGCGATTGTTCAAATGCTGTGCTGATAATATCATGTGCAATTCTTCCGCAGCTCTTTCCGCAGCTCTTGTCCGCAAAATTCGATTGATTGAAGAAACAGATGGAGGAGTTATACAAACTTCTGAAAAGGGTCATTTTGGAGGGAAATCCTTTTGTAATTCGAGACCATTGTCATATATATATATATATTTGTTATATTTGTAATGAAATTGAGCCGCTCATAGATGCGCCAAATAACTGTACATATTTTATGTATACATTGATCTATTCACACTTTAGAACAAATATAACAGATTACTGCACACCTCGGTCGTGGCTTTCTAGATGCGCCTTCCTGACAACTAGCTTTTCCTACTTGTCGTAGAAGATTCTTTCAAGGCGCTGTTCCTTGGGATTCTAGACAAGGATCCTAGGCGCAGGTCCTAGACAGTCACTCTCTAGGCTCGGCTACTTGTCCTACTAGCTTTCAAGCCTCTGCATCTTGCCACATCGGCTCTAAATGCGCATAAACTTACCCTCATTTATCAATTTTTCTCGAATTTCCCAGGCAAAAATAGTTGGATTATCTCTTTTGTATTGCTCGATTTTCGCGACAACTTGAGGAGTTGCAACCTAAAAAAAATATAATATTCGAACTGAAAAATAAAATAAGTAAAAAGTGAAATGACTTACCTTTGGCTTAGTTCCAGCTCCCGATGGTTTTTCCCTCAATTCAGAACTTCTTCTCTGAAGTTGAAGTTGTGGTTCTTGTCGCATTTTTCCGATTGTATTATGCGCACCCCAGAAATGAAGGAGTTGCTCTTGCGATAAATTCGCTTGCGCCGCAGTCGACGATGATGATGAAGTCATTTTTAGTTAATAATGAGCAGGCAGGCAGACAGCTTTTGCGAATCTGTGCTCAAGCTCCGCCCATTTTGCGTGTCCTACAGTAACCCTATCCGATTACACAATGAATGGACAATGTGTTGAGCACGCGAGCAATTCGTTTGTCGGCCGCTGGAAGAAAGTAAACGGAAGAAGAAGAAGAAAGGGGAAGATTTGAGGAGGAGGAGGGAAGACCAAAGTGTAGTGTACTGTAGATCTGAAGTGCTGTGTGATTTTTTAGAGTTAGAGTAAATTGGGCTGATTTTAGGAAGGTTACCTGGAGACTGCAGGTGAAAATTAGATTACTGTAGGTCCAATTTCAATGTTTTCTTCTTGAGTACTGTAGGTGTTTTAGAAGAACATATATTAGTTCTACAGTATTCCCAACAGTACCCGAAATTCCAGATCAAATAATTTCATTTCAAAATTCGTTAATTTACAACAACCTGGTAATTTTGAGATTACCGTACTTTTTCCGAATTTTCAAGATCACATTTTCCACCCAGAAATCTAATTTTGATCCATTTGTTCCCAAAAAAGGTTCAAAATCCAAATCCGGAATTTTCCAGTTGTTTGAAAAGTTGCGCAATTCGTGTTTATCCTCATGTCCTCTTCATTTTCTTTTTCTCATCAAATCGTCTCGCGGATCGGCTCGCTAACAAAAATAAGGTGTCGATTTGAAGTGTACAAGATATACATACAAAACGATATCAAATTACCAAGCAACGCAAGCTAACCAAAAGACTATCTTCACACATGAGAACAAGCCTGTCTGTACAGTATACATATACTTGACAAAAAAGAGTGACACCACTTGACACCATACGCTAATCACCATTGTATTGCACCGCCTTGACAATAGGAAAGGACATTCGAATACAAAAGCTTGTACTATTTTAGATTTCAAGTAGATGGGATTACATGAATTGGAGAATGAATAATTATTAGTTTTAAATATGAGGCGGCTTCTTTTAATAATTTAGCACTTGAATAAAAATTGGTTAGGAATTAGAGGGTTTTTAGAAAAAAATGACTACAAGGGTTGGAAAAATATGAGGTTCTCTCTTTCGAAAATAGTATCAACTTTTTCACTTTTTACCCGTACAGTTTTAGTGTTAAAAACCGTTTTTTCATCGATGTGAATCAAAGGCGCATCGATTTTCGAATGATTTGTGTCTCGTCGCGACAGAAAAAAAACGAACGTGGAAAAAACTACGGTAAACTCATTTTTTGTTTTTTTTCTTTTCCACGTGGAGTGGCGCCACTTTTTTTCGGCTTTTTTGGATAAAGTTGCAATATATTATGGGAAAATTTTAGGTAAAAATGGATGAAAAAGAATCCTTTTGTGGCAAGGAAGCGTGTAAATGCTGTGAAAGTGCCGTACGTGCAAAGAAAACTGCCGAATCCGAATTGCTGAAATTACAAAACGATTGCGAGGCTTATAAAAAGGAGTTATCAGAGAAGGCAGAAACCTTAGAGGAAAATTCAAAAGATATAAATATGTGGATGGATAAGTACAATGATATGGGCGGTCTCGCAGAAAAACTCGAACAAAAACTTGATGGACTTAATTCGAAATACGTGAAAAGTGTTGCTTTGATCGATCAATATAAAGAAAAATTGACATCTCTTCGATCGATATTGAAGGAAAAAGCGACAAACGACCCGATTATTGAAGATCTCTTGAAATCTCCAGAAATCAAAAAACGCGTGGCTCAAATGAAATTCGACACAGCGCCCATCGACGATCCCAAAATTTGGCCAAAACAAATCGATAAGCCTAATCCTGGTAACAATAATTCATTTTCCATGTTCAAATCATTTGAAAATTGCAGATTTACCCGACCGTGGAGTTTTGGATCCTCGAATTGTGCACTCCAAATCTATCCCAGCACCATATGCTCATGACGCTGCAAAACAAAGTAGTAAGGGATTTTTGACGAAATTTTTTTATTTTTTGTTTCTACCCAAAAAGATGGATTTTTGAATTTTTACTAACCGAAATTTTAGTCCTTCCAGCAACATCGCTTTTACGTCGATCATCCAGAAATTTGTCTGCCGCCAGCCCAAGCAATTCTGCTCGAAATGTGGAACCAGCTGCAACGTAAGATTTTGGAATCTGAGAATTTCAAGATTATCACTCAAATCGAACATTTTCAGCACAGTTCACAGTCGAAAAGGCAAAATGGTCCAAGAACAACAAGCAGAAGATTTGAAAAACATTAAGAAGGTGGCAAAAATGCGTGGAGAAGAGAATTCGGAAGTTGTGGAAAAAGCAGGAATTTCGGAGAAAACTGGAGAAAAAGAGGTGAGTTTTTAGCGGTTTTATTCAGTTTTTACTGGAATTTGGCTATTTTCGGTGGTAATAATCTATCATTTTACAGCCAACTCGACATGTCGGCGCATGTCTATCGGAAAGAGTCAAATTGACAAGAAGAATGTGTTCCAGAAAATCAGAAGATTTGGAAATCTCGGCAACGGTGCAGCCATCTTTTTCTGGTCCATCAACAAGATCTCGAAGTTTGTCAACGTTTCCAGCACCGAAAAACGTGCCACAGGTAAAATATAAATTTTGAGCTAAAATTCTTTTCACCCAAATTTTCAGAATTCTGGACAATCAACAAGATCTAGAAGTCGTTCGGTTTCTAGTCGAAAATCAGATGAAAAAAATGTAGAAGGTGGAAGAAGACGAAGACCAATTGAAGAGGTGAATTTGTTTCGAAATTTCAATTTCCACCCCGAGATTCATCTGAAATTCCAAATTTCTTTTTTTTTTAATTTTTTTCCAGACAATTTCGACACCACAGCAAACAGTTCCAGTCAGAAGATCAACTAGAATCAAGAAAATTGTGGATAAAATTCCAGAAGAAACTCGAAGTTTGAAAATTGATGAGGTATATTTTTGAAAAGTTTTCCCATTGAAAAACATGATTCAATTTCGATTTTTTTTGAGAATCGAAACTTCGTAAACCCTTTAAATTTCTCAATTGTTTCCAGAAAAAACCAGTGAGATCTCGTTCTATTTCAGTAAAACCGAAACCTGTTTTGGTGAGTTTTGCCCTGATTTTTTCAGCCCAAAACCCAACAATCTATTTTTCAGCCTGCACCACCAACTCGAGTTCGAGGAGTTTCAACAATGCCAACACTTAGAAGAAGTTCTAGAAAGTCTGTGGGCCAGGTTGGTTTTTTGGCTAAAAATTTAGAAAAGTAGAAAATTTGTCATTTTCAATCTGAATATTTATGAAAATCGAATGTTTTCAGCCACTTCCATCAATTTCGCCACCCAAAAAATCATCTGAGAGTCTGGAATTCGCTGAAAATTCAGATCAAATCCCACCAGCACGAAAACAAACTCAGTCAGAATCTGTGAAATGTGATGAGCAAGAAGTAGTTAAGGTGAGAATAAAACACTGAAGTTTTCTCTCTGAAATTCGATTTTGCAGATCACTGAAAATCTGCCAAGCACCTCTACCTGCTCTGTCATTTCATCGGCTGAAATTCCATTCCCAGACGACTTTTTGGAGCAAAGTGATGATGAGGAATTGAAAATTGTAGAGGAAATTGAGGAAAAATCACCGAAAGCAGTGGGAAAACTTGCGGCGAATTTCGAAGAACTCGGATTAGATATCAGTGACAGCGATGAAGAACCAGAACAACCACGAGCTTCGTCCACAATTTTCAATAGAAAATCAGAGACAAAAAGAACTGCAATTCTGATCGATATTCCGCTGAAAAAAGGAGGAAAAGGAACAAAAAGAGTCGCGAAACCAGAATTATCTGAAAATCGGAAAAAATTGCGGAAAAATCAGCGAGAAAACGGAAAAACCAATTTGAGATTGGCATTTGATTTGAAATTGCCCGTTGAACAATTGCCACAGATTTTGGAAGAAAAAGGTGTGAAGTTGGAAAATGGATGTATTTTGATGGAAATCGAGGAAGCGGTTGATGTTATGATTGAATATTTGAAAAAGAGCCAACACGCTGAAATGTGGGGATTGTTATTGAAGCAAAAGAAAGAGCAAAAGACGGAGGTGTTAATCAATAAAGAGGAAGAGGTCTTTTTGAATGTGGCCGCGACTTTTATTCAGGACGATGGTAGATTGCTTTGTGAGTGGATTTTTGGGAAAAGGAGGGAATTTGGAGCATTTTGAGCTCAAACACGGAGTCTTTATCAATAATATTTTTTCAGTGGAATTCGCCAAGCGAATAATCTACGAATTCACAATAATGAATTCAACATCAACGTGTTCTCGAATATCCGCCAGTTTTGCCCGACTTTTCTGTCATTCAATCTATTTCGCCGAACAATCACTCGAAACCCCCGAAGATCTCGAAGAAATCGCAATTCTGCCCCAAAAATTGCTTTCGGTCATATTTTTGCGACACGAACAACAAGCCGGACGACTTTTTGGCCTATTTTTTGAATTCGAGAATTGGCCAAAAATTCGCGGATTTGCTGAAGAATCATTTATCGATCGATTATCGATTGATTTTGTGGAAAAATGATCAGGTGGCTGACATTGTTAATTGGCTAATTATCACACGATTTTCTTCCACAAATTCGTCGATTCTGAAGGTTACGACTGGTGAAATGCGAGAATTTTTGAAGAAAAATGAGCAGAATTTGGAGGAACTTATTGTGAATTTGGTGAAAAGTGGAGATCGTGAAGTGCTGAAAATGGTTTTTGAGAAAATGGAGGAATTGATGCAAGAGCTTCAGATGGGAATTGTTGGAGACGAAAGAAAGAAAGGTGAGATTTTTTTGGGAATTTTTTTGAGGGAACATTTTTTATTTGCTTGAAAATCTCGTTGTTTTTTTGCAGCCACTGCCCTCTTCGGCTCCACCATCGATTCAAAAATCACCGAAAAACAAGCGAACTCCATCGCTCGAAATTTCGCCTGGATTTCTAAAGCTTTCTCGATTCTCCTGACAAACTCCCAACAATCAAAAGCAGTTTTAGACGTATTGACGAAAATTGCACCACAGATCGTCAAATTCAAAGCCACCCTTCAAGATCTTCAAAGTTCGGCCGCAAAAATTGAGGAAAAAGTGGAAAATCGCCAAACTTTTGATATTCTTTCGGAGACGATTTCGAATATCTCTAGTTTGATCAGCGAATTTACACGATATCCTCTCGAAAAAACCGGCAGAATTTAATTTTAATTTTTTTTTCGTATTTTTCTGTTAAATACCTGTAGATTCTTTACGGGACCATTTTGTTTGTTTTTGTTATATAAATTGTATTTGTTTCTCTCGATTAATCAATTTTACATCACAATGAGTCAAAATTCCTCTGATCATCTTTGAAACATTCAGATATCAATCTTCAAATCTTAAAACCGCTACCCTTGTTTTTCTAAATTTTTTCCGAAAAAGAAAAAAAATTGTGCAAAAAAATATTATTGCGTGACATTACACGTGTCCAAAATTTTCCACGTCTACAAAATGTCGATCTAATAAGATTCGACCATAATGCAGCCATTCCTACTAGCTAGCTCTCTACTAACCCCCTATTATCTACTAACTATTTTATTATGAGTGATCCGATTCCAAGCTTTATCGATCGATTACTATCAGGTACTTACAGTTTCCAGGAATACAGTAATCCAGTTGTTGTTTTTTCAGTAAATGATTGTTCCAACCCGTCACTGACTCATTGCATCAAAGAAGCTGAAATAGATGATGTGATTCAAATATGCTCACAAGTTGTTTTGGAGCAACCAACAATGATTGAAGTTCAAGCACCGATGGCTGTCTGTGGTGATATTCATGGACAATATGTTGATTTGTTGAGAATATTCAATCGATGTCGTTTTCCACCTGATCGCAATTATTTGTTCCTCGGAGACTATGTTGATCGGTAAGGAAAAATAGACCAAAACATCTCAAAAATGTTTTTTTTTCTCAGAGGTCGACAACAAATTGAAACAATATGTCTGTTGATGGCTTACAAAATCAGATACCGCAACACATTTTTCATTCTTCGAGGAAACCACGAATGCGCTTCAATCAATAGAACTTATGGTTTTTATGATGAATGTAAAAGAAGATATTCAATCAGTTTGTACAATTCATTCCAAGATCTTTTCAATGGTTTGCCACTTTGTGCATTGATTGGTGGTCGTATATTTTGTATGCATGGTGGTTTATCACCATCGCTCGAAAATTGGTCACAAATCTCAGCTATCAAAAGACCATTCGATCCACCAAATAAATCAATTGCAATGGATTTATTATGGGCAGATCCGGAAAATGGATTCAATGGTTGGGGAAAGAATACTCGAGGTGTGTCATTTGTTTTTGGTGCCGATGTTGTCAATGATTTTTGTGATCGAATGAATATTGATTTGGTTGCGAGAGGACATCAAGTGGTTCAAGATGGTTATGAGTTTTTCGCTTCGCGAAGATTGGTTACCATATTCTCGGCACCGAAATATTGCGGGGAATTTGACAATAATGCTGGAATTATGATTGTCGATGAGAATTTGATGATCTCATTTCAAATATTGAAACCAGCAGTGCGTGAAGTTAATGTGAGAGCCAAAAAGAGCCAAAAAGGTCCGGGAAGTGGAACAAGAAGTTTATTGCATGCGTATAATGTTGACAAATCGAGAATGAATCAATGAATTTTTTTTTTTGAAATTGTGTTGAACTCTTCTTTATTTTTTTAAAGGGGGGGTAAGACGACAATTTTTTTTTGTCGCAAAGTTAAAGGCTCCCCAAAAGTAGTAAAACCTCCAAGGGATTTTTTCTGGAAACGCCCAGAAAAAATGTTCCATAAACTAGGTACCACGTATAGGTATACGTTGAAATTATTCCATAAACTTTCGGACAACGTATACCTATACGTTGAAAAAAGTTCATGGAATATTTTTTTCGGACCTTTTTTGGCCTTTCGAGAAAAAATCCCCTGGGGCTTTTACTATTCAAAGAGAGCCCGATTCGTTGAGCAAATAAAATTTTGTCGTCTTACCCCCCCTTTAACACTGTTAAAAATTATTTCAACTCAAATTTATTTTTTTAACACTGTTAAAAATTATTTCAATTCAAATTTATTTTTTTAACAGTGTTAAAAATTATTTCGACTCAAATTTATTTTTTTTAACACTGTTAAAAATTATTTGAACTTCCGAGAATCACAATCTGATCAAAAAAATTTGAATTTCTCAAAATTTAATGCTTGATTGAAATTTATATTTTTTCCAAGAAATAAAATTTTCTACGTCATACGTGTCAATTTTTTCGCTATAAAAACCCGGCTCCAACAATTTGTGTCATTTATTTATTTGTTACCCCGACGAAATGTTGATTTCTTGCTGGCTTCAAGAGTCATTATTCCTCAACAATATCATTTTTGTATTAATAAATCTATGCAATTTCGTAGTTTTTCTAACTTGCTCTGTTCCAACAACAACTCCTGTAAGTCTAGATTATCCTGAATTCACAGAAACAATTATTTCAGCAAGTTCGAAAATCAAGAAAACAAGCGCAACTGAAAACAACGGAAGTTATTGTGAAATCAACACCAACAAAACAGGAAAAGATTAGCAAGAAAGAAGTTGAAGAAAGGGAAAAAGAAAAAGAAAAAGAGAAGAATGAAGAAGGAGAGAAGAAAAATGATAAAAAAGAGAAGGAAAATGTGAAAAAGGAAGAGAAAGAGAAAGGAAAAGAAAAGGAGGAAGCTAAAGAGGCAAAAGAAGTGAAGACAAGTGTTTTGACTGATCCAAGAAGAGATTGGGTATTGAAAAATGCAAAAACTGTAAGTTTTTTTGCGCGTGAAATAAATTGTTTTGTGTGTACACACATGCAAAAAGTATGTGCATTAGATCAAACATTCTTCTTCCAGACCTGTGGTCAGTTATCCAAAACTCATCAAGAAAAAATCAAAGGCTACCAACCAAAAGATGTGACTTACAAAGCATTTGAAGCTCATGTCGAATTGAACAGATATGCTGATGTTTTTTGTATTGATCAAACACGAGTTGTTCTCAAAAATCGAGACAATGATTATATTCATGCGAGTTGGATAACAATTCCAGACTCAAATACAAAATATATTCTGACACAAGGTCCACTTTTGGAAACTGTTGCTGATTTTTGGGCGATGTGCTATCAAGAAAAAGCGAAATTCATATTGATGTTATGTCCGTTAGTTGAAGGAGATGCTGAAAAATGTTCGGTGTATTTCCCTGATGCGAAAGGAAAGACTGTGAAATATGGAAAACTGGATGTTACAATTACTGGCACAAAACCCGAACCAATTGAAGGAGTTATTTGGACGGTTATAAATATCGTTGATGAAAATGAGACATTTGAAATCAATCATATTTATGTTCCATGGTGGCCAGATCAATTAGCACCGGAAGATCCGAAACCAATGTTGAAATTATATAATTGGGTCAAAAAAGTGAATCCGGAAAATACTCCGATTGTTGTTCATTGTAGTGCGGGAGTTGGAAGAAGTGCAACATTTATTGGAATTGATTATGCGAATGCTAGAATCAAACAAGATTCTGAAATTGCCATGATTGATATTGTTAAAGAACTTCGAAATATGAGATATCAAGCAATTCAGTCACATGTTCAGTTTTTGTTTTTGCATGTTTGTCTTTTCGAGTATTTTGTTCAGGTATGTCTTCTGAATTAGTTTGATCAAATCATCGAGTTAAGACTCACGTATAAAATTTTCTTGTGGATCAAAAATAAGTTCCAAAACGATTTTCATTTTCTGCATATTTTTCTGATTTTTTTCAGGAGCATTGTGTGGATCGTGATTCAGTTGTCAAAACATTTATGGATCAATATCAAAAACATGCGAAAAGAAAACTGAAAAAACGAGAAGACGAGAACAAGCAGGTCAAAACTGCACAGACGAATGAATGATTCTGAGAATGAAAATACGTATGTTCTTTTTGCAATAAATGTTAGATTTTATTTGATTGTTCGATATAAAAGAGAACAAACAAATTACTCAATTTCCACCTGCTTGTAAATATACATTTTTTATAAATTGAGAAGTTTTTCCTGTTTGAATAATGTGTAGGTTTGAAAATCTCTGTGGTATATATTTATTTGTTTTTCTGTATTTTGTTTTTGCCAAATGTGTTTATCCCTATAGATCTCATTATTTGATTTTTTCTCGAGACACAAGGGGAACTTTTAAAGTGTGGTTTATTAGATTTTCTGAGAATTTATATAATTTTTATGGGAAAGCTTTTGATTTCCGCAGAGTTTTTGATCTTTTTCAGAGTCTTTATTTTTTTCCAGATGAACGAATACATGAGATTTACTCTTGGAAATTTTACACCTTCTCAAATGGTAACTTATGGAAACTATGTTATATATCTAACAGAAATGTGTCTTTTATTAATTGGAATTTTGGAAATGACAATTCTTACGGTAGCAATTAGTTTAACAGCTTGTCTTCATCTAAATCTTCGAATTTTATTGATTAATTCATGTGTTGCTTTTATAATTATGGGAATTGGTCGAGCAATGATTGCTATTCCTCTTTGTATTGCTCATGTTACAAATTTAGATATTTCAAGTGAAGTTTCCCACATCAATTCATCTTCCTTATTTATTCTCAAATTTTTAGGCCATACATATTGTTTTATTGCAAATTCAGTTCATCATGCTTCAGCAGATGCAACTTGTTTTTCATTTTTCTTTATAATGTTGGAACGAGTTGCTGGAACTATTTGGTCAAAAAATTACGAGAAAATCAAATTTCATTGGTTTTCAATTATTTTTGCTTTTTCTCAATGGTTTATCCCATTTATCATGATTTTTGGAAGTTATTTAGATCGAGCAAATCGAATGGATATATTTCATCGATTTCCCCATTTACCGTGTCAAATTGAGTATTTGACTCCGAAATTGTTCATGTTAAATATTTATTGTATTGCTTTTGGTTACCTGATAGCAATTATAGTGAGCCTAATATTGTTTTTGTCTGCAGAAAATGTAATTTGTTCAGGGTTTAATAATAATTTTCAAATTAAATATCAAAAAGTATAATCGAGTTGCAATAACAAATTTAAGCGAAAGATATCAATTATCAGAAAATATTCGAGCAACTCATTTATTATTTCCACTGTTATTTCTTATGCTTATATTTTCAGCATTTGGTGTTTCAGTTTTAATTTATGGATCTTATTGGATGTCAGTTATTCTAGAAGATCCACGAAATTATGAAATTGGTGCTAAATATTTCGGAAAAGGTGCCGAAGCTTCACAGCTTTTTGATATAATCACTGCGTTGTATACAATATCTTTTCCGATTTGCACTTTTAAATGTCATCCGAATTTATTCAATCGATTGAGGACTGTTGTTTGTAACACAACACCGGTAAGAAGCATTTTTGAAAATTTGTAATTCTTGACGTTTGCGCGAGAACCGTATTGTGCTACAGTAATCTCAAAAAATTGATTTCTACAGTAATCCTAAAAATTGGACCAAATTTCTATAAATTTTGAGCTACCTCTCTATAAATTTACTGGAAATTCAAATCTACAGTACCTTGAGTTAGTTGTGAAGTCTTAAGATTTTGAACTTCAGTCAGAAGTTTGTGCATTTTTTGAAACTGCTGGAGGCTGCCCATAAAATAAATACGTGTAAAGATCAAATATTTCTTGCAGTCAGTTCGACCATCTCAACTAAATAATATTCGTGGTTTCGAAATGACAACATCATCAATCAGTGCGCAAACAGCTTTTCATTTTGATTCCCTTCAACAAATTTGGAATGCATAATTAGATAATCCAGTTTCAGTTCTGTTTTGTTCTGTTCTTTAAAATTTCGTTCTTTTTTTTTTCAAAAAACACACATCTATATCTATTTTTGGTTCTTCTTGTCATTATCAAAAATTATTTATAAATACTCAATTGTAAAGTATGTGAGTGTAACAAGTCTCGAGAACAAAAAGAAAAAAAGATAGGACAATATAAATTTGATTCTGACTGCGGCATTAGAAATGTCCTTGAAAATGCTGTACTACTTTTGCATTGTATTTCTAGCTGTATTTTTGAGTGAAGCAGAAGCGTTTAGTGATTTTCGAGCACAATTCAGTTCGTATACATGTTCTATTTTGCAAGAGGTAGGTTCGACCGAATTTTTCGTGGTAACATTTTTTTCTTTTCAAAAATTAAGACTGAAAACCTCTACTCACATTATGTTTAAAATTTTTCAAAAAAACCATTTCTAGAAATGCGAATGGCGTCAAGAATGGTCCAAAGCTGAAGGTGTACGTAGAGAATTAGATATCGGAAGACCCAAAATACAATTTTATCATTTCTGTAAAACATCAAACATCAAACCGTGTGATCAATGGGTTGACGAGGTTTGTATTCTCAACTGAAGTTTCAACAATTTTAGATTTTTGTTATAGAAAAACGAGATTGTGAATGGAACAAGTGAAACAGATCATCTCTTGGCTGATTTTTTTGTGATTGAAAATTTGGGAATTCATTCGACTGGAGTTTATTTCAAATTTCCGATTGGGGAGAATGATAAAAAATTGATAGTTGAATAATTTATGTATTGAAATTTTGTTTGTATATATTATGAATAAAGTATTGAAGTGTTTTCTTCCCACAATTTCAAGAGTTCAAAATCGGTGTAATTGTGCTTCGCAGTGTAGGTATGTCTTGAAAACCATAAAAAATCTCGACAAACGAATTTTGACAAAAAAAATCAGAAGCTCGAAAATTAAAATAAGCGTGCTCTAAACAAAAACAAGGTCAATAAAAAAATAAATATGACAACCGTGACGTGATTTTTCCCCAAATATACGTCATTTATTAAAATTTCGATATGGACAAGTTGCTGGTTTGTTTTTCAGTTTTTTTTGTTGCAAAAATCCCAAACCTAAAGAAAGAACGAAAAAAATAAAAGTGTGTGTCAACACCAACTGGTCCGCAAACATTTAATCTTACGCGCTGACGCGAAAAGGCGCTGCAGAATAGAAAACACGCTGCTCGCCTATTGTATTTTTTGGGGATTTTTAAAAATGGGAACCCCCCGGATTTTAAAAGGGACACGTTAAATGTATGAACGTTGGGAACCCTGAGAGTCTTTCAAGCTTTGCTTTTCCCAGGGAGAATACTAGTTTTGAGAAAACAAAAACAATTGCGCGTAAGGTTAAATGTGAATGACGCAATGCACACACTGTAGTTCGCGGCTGTAGTTCGCGGCAAAGTTTTTATTCGAAAACTTATCCCAAACCTAAAGAAAGAACGAAAAAAATAAAAGTGTGTGTCAACACCAACTGGTCCGCAAACATTTAATCTTACGCGCTGACGCGAAAAGGCGCTGCAGAATAGAAAACACGCTGCTCGCCTATTGTATTTTTTGGGGATTTTTAAAAATGGGAACCCCCCCCCGGATTTTAAAAGGGACACGTTAAATGTATGAACGTTGGGAACCCTGAGAGTCTTTCAAGCTTTGCTTTTCCCAGGGAGAATACTAGTTTTGAGAAAACAAAAACAATTGCGCGTAAGGTTAAATGTGAATGACGCAATGCACACACTGTAGTTCGCGGCTGTAGTTCGCGGCAAAGTTTTTATTCGAAAACTTATTTCGAAAGAAAAGAAAAAATATTTTTCATTGTCAGGAAGAAATCGAAAGGGAAAAGAAGATTATACAAAGATGTCAAAGAAGTATCGACAATAAAGAACCGTATGATTATGATTCAATGAAAAAACAAATTAAAGTGAGTTGTTTTTCAATTTTTTTCAGTTATCTCAAAGTAATTTCATTGTCAGCTATCGCAAAGTAAAATAACTACAATGCAAATGAAACTCGAGAACCTTCAAAATGTTAACAAAAAAGCATTGAGGGATGGAATTGAAACGAGTCATTTGGAATTGTCGAGACAAATTCTGAAGACTCAAATGATGTGTGATGGAGCAGATCGTGTAAAACAAAGTTTATTGGAAGGACAAAAGAACACGAAACAGTGCAAAGAGGTCGAGCAAACAATTCTGGAATTGAATGAAAAATTGGAATTATTGTTGAGATGTGCCAGAGAGATCTCATCAAAAACAGTAATTTCAATTCCGAATGAACCGATTGAAACTAAACATTTGGTACCAGTTTCAGGACTTTTGAAGGTATAAAAATACGATTGACTGAAATGTTCCATTCATTTAAAACAATTTTCAGATTCGTGTAACTGGTTTATATGATTTGAGTACATCTGCGCCGCAGAAATTTGGAAAATATGCATCGGATCATTTGAAACAATCAGTGGAAAAGAAAATGTGGATGTTTGAAAAGTATAATCGAAAAAGAAGATTAGATAATGATTATATTGTTGCAATCCATGTTGGTGGAAAAACTGTGGCAAGTGTGATTTGGAATGAAAAGAAAACAATGTATGGTGGAGACGAGATTTCAATTGAACTCCGAAAATATCGACAAATCGAATTTGAAGTGTATCACACTGATTGCAGATCATTATGTGCTATTGGAACATTTGATTTGAATGTGTTGCTAGAAGAAGAAGTTGGAGGATTTGGGCATAGAAGTGTGAAATTGTTACCGAAAGGAACTCTTCATTTTCAAACTGACTATAATGATCCAGAACAATTTACTACGAATAAATTGAAGAAAGAAGATGTTTGGAGAAATTCGATCAGTTTTAGAAAGTTGGTTTTATTCGGAGATTTGATATTTATTGAAACTGTAAAAAATAATTTTTTAGAAGTGGAAGTGTTCTGGCAAGATGTTCTCGATCTAGTTATCTACCTCGAGAATCCATTCGAAATACAACATTTAGTCATAGCTTATCTCTTTCTCGAAGGCCGGCTGATTGTTTGGATGATTATAATTTGATTTCGGTTATTGGAATTGGTGCATTTGGAAAAGTTTATTTGGCAAAACGAAATCATGAGAAATCAACTTTTTGTGCTGTCAAAAAGATCACGAAGAATAGAGGATCGCAAAGTTTCGAAACACCAGAATTTCAAGTTATGAAAGAATTGTCACATCCATTTATTTGTAATTTGATCTCAAGTTTTACGGAGAAAAACTCGTTATATTTGGTATTAGACTTCTGGTGAGTGATTAGAATTATTTATTTTTTTTTTGTGAAATGCAGATTTACCGAATTTATTTTAATTTTTGATAAAATGACAAATTTTACAAATTGTAAAATTTGTCATTTTATGCAGGCATTTTTTCCCTGATGCTTATCAATAATAATAATTTGCAGCGAAGCCGGTGATCTACACACTCATCTTTGTCTAACACAAAATGGTTTCACTGAATCTCAAGTAACATATTTCGCGTGTTCAATTGTGTTAGCCGTTGAATATCTTCATGAAAAACTATACGTTCATCGAGATTTGAAGACTGAAAATATGATGTTAACTCGACAAGGATACCTCAAATTGATTGATTTTGGCCTTTGTCGAAAATTGAAGAATCGTCGCGAAAAAATGAACGAAATTGTGGGAACAACAACGCATTTGGCAGCAGAAATTCATCGGCGAGAACCGTATGGAATTGAAATGGATTGGTGGGCTGTTGGAGTTTCGTTATTCCAATTACGAGTAAGTTGTTTTTTCTTCTTCCGATTTATTTAATATTATTTTCTTAAGACAAGATCAAACCCATTCTACGGTGATCGAGATGAAGATATGAGTAAAATACCACGAATCTCACAATGGCCAGTTTTTCATGATTTGTTAATTCAATTACTCGCACATTATCCAGAAGCACGTCTCGGATTTCATAGCACTCAAGATGTGAAAAATCATCCATTTTTTATGGATATTGTTTTTGATGAGATCTATAATATGAAATATCCACCTCCATATGTTCCGTTGCTTAGACCTGGAATGGATCTAACATATTTCAATCAAAATGGGCAGGGATCCGAATGCAGTTCGAGTAATTCATCGTGCAATTCTTGTTGCACAATGATTGATCGGAAAACTTCCATTTTTGTGTGACGTGTCAAATGAATGATTTTTGTGAGTCCTATAATTTCTGGTTCAGTTAGAACAACTTCCGTGTCTTATCAAAAGTATAAAAGAACATCTAATCACGATCATTCGATAAACATGAATCATTTTATCTTTTTCTCAATATTCATTTATTTTTCGGCTACTTGTTTTTGTTTCGAACAGAAAATCGATAGTGTTATTGTGAGTTGATTATCTCCGAAAATATTTAGTTAACCCACTTCACAGATTGGTTCGAACTTTCGAATCGAAGTTCGAGAAAACTCGACTGGAATTCGAAGAAAAGTATACTCAACCAACACTTTTCAAACATACAATTTCAAAACAAAAAAATGGAGCGATGAAAATGGAAAAGAAATTGCGAATGGAGTGAGAGTTGTTAGAGTTTCGGAAAATATTGCTAGACTAGATAATTTGCAAAAACAAGATGCTGGAGAATATAATAGAGATCCACCAAATGAAAATGAAGATAAAGCTTATGACGAAACCCAATTTCTGTTTGTCATTGATGGACCACCAAAAGCTCTTTTGAAATAAATTCTAACATTAAAATCTATGTTTTTATATTGGAAATAAATCCGATCAATTACAATTTTGGTGGTTTTGGTCCTTCTTGAACATAAACATCCAATCTCTCAATATACGCTTGATTCGCATCCTTGTTTTCCGGGAACTTTGCATAACTTCCAGCATCTCCGAGAACACTTTTTGAAATCGTGACTTCTTGTCCGCTTTTTTTCACATTATTATTTGCTCCGGCGATTTTGTTGTTTTTCTGAAATTCATTCATTTTTTTCTCAAAAAAAAGAAGAGAATGTGCTCACCTTATCAACCCAGAATCCACATTTTCCTTTGTATTTTTTATTTCCACAGAAATAGAAAAATTGCCATTCATCTGGATTTTTGGCTGATGTAAGATGTCTTGTTATTCCTTCAGAATCTTTGTTGACAAAAACACTGAATGAGTTTGGAATCTGGAAAAGAGAAAACGAGTTTCCAAGAGTTCTTGAAAGTTACGGTAACTATTTGATTTCAAAACAACTAGATTACTGTAGTTATAGTAACTTACCAGAACTGGAATTGATTGAAGACTTGTTCCTTGAGCGAAACCCAAGATTGAAAGCAAAGCGAACAAAGTTAGAATTTTGAACATGTTTATCTCATAAATATTTATCAAAACATTCTTTTTATACAGCGAAAATCTAAAGGTCAGATTGATACTACAAGGAAGTGTGTCCTTGATTCATTTTTTTTTAGTTTTCGGTCAAAAAACTTTTGGAAAATAAAGTCATGTTGCACAACTTTAGCGGTCAAATTGGTTGAAAATATTTCCTGAAATAAGTTTATAAAAAAATAGTTTATTTTAGACTCAAAAAAATCAATAGAATTAATATGGTGGCCTTGGTGGTCCTTGAACTAAAACCTCCAATCTTTCAAGATAAGCTTGATTCCAATCTGGGTTTTGTGGGAATTTCGCGTAAATTCCAGCATCTTCGACAACACTTTCCGAAATGGTAACTTCTTCGCCGCTTCTTTTCACATTATTATTTGCTCCTGCGATTTTGTTGTTTTTCTGTAATACATTTATTTATTTTTTTCTTTAAAAAAAGAAGAAGAACTCACCTCATCAACCCAGAATCCACATTTTCCTTTGTATTTTTGATTGTCGCAGAAATAGAAAAATTGCCATATGTTGGGAGTTGATGTAAGTTGTCTTGTTATTCCTTCCGAATCTTTGTTGATATGAACTACAAATGACTGTGGGGTCTGAAAAACTACGGTATTGAAAGATATGTAGTTGAGCCTTACCATAACCGGAACAGATTGAAAACTTGTTCCTTGAGCAAAACTAAGAATTGCTACTAAAATGAAAAACGTTAGAGTTTTGAACATTTTTAATTGATAAATATTTATCAAAACATTCTTTTTATATCGGAAGATCTATAGATTAAATTGATACCACAAGGAAGTATGTCCTTGATTCATTTTCTGTTTCGACCAAAAAAAACTTTCCGAAAACAAAAACATGTTGCAAGAACGTAAAAATCATGTGTCATTCATGACTAATAGAAATTATTCGGCAATTTTTTGGGAATCAGTATATTTTGTACATATTTTTCGTACGAAACATGGAACCTCGTCAAGTTGTTGGTGAGAGTCTTAGATTTTCATTTTTTTTGAATTCTGAAAGAAATTGTCGTGTTTTCAGAACTTTTTGATGATAATTATGTTGAAGAACCGACTCTTTTTGGAAATCGAATTCGATATACATCAGTTTTCCAAATCATAACAATAATCACAATTCATCTACAAATTATTTATTATTTGAATACTTTACATTTTCCACTCAATCTTCTTGCATCAATTCTTACATTAATTATAATGGGAATCACTCTTCACAGTGTTTTTTGGAGAAAATCCGACATAATTCTAAAATGTTTCTATATTGAGATCGCTTATCTTTTCGCATTTTTCATGATTGCTTTTTTCTGCACCAATCATTTTGTGATCCTTCCAATTTTTTCCATCATCTTTAGTTCTTTGAGAATCTGGCTTTTATGGAACATCAGGATTTGGTTTGAGAAATTAGATCGCGAAGAATTTTTGTGTATTCCAGCGGAGCTTTGACGTGACCTATTTTTTATAATAAAAATTTAAAAAAATCATTTTGTTTCTTTCATTTCTGAATTTTAAAATGAATTATTTCAAACAGTTTTTCAGTTCATCAGCAACTAAATTATCAGCGGTAAGGAACTGATACAGTAATCTTTATCCACCAAATTTAAGGAAGTTACGGGAAATCAACCAAGTCCAATTGAAACTGCAATCTGTCCAACTCCAAATCAATCCCGTAGAATTATCAAAACTGCAGATGGAATTGAATTGATTTTAACAGCTGAAGATGTTTCGCATCTCGAAGTTATTCAAAGTATGTTCGAAAATCTGAAAAGTCTTGGAGAACAAGAACAATCTCAACAATTTGTTTTGATTCCGATTTCAATTGATTCTGAGACAATGAAAAGAGTTATTGAGTGGTCGAAAAGAATGAAGAAAGTCAAATCAAAAAGTGTGCCGAATTCAGAATCTGGGAAATTTTTTGAAGATCTTCATATAAAACAATGTTTTCAATTGGTTGATGTGAGTTTTGAATAAAAAGCTTCAGTCTTGAACTTGAAGGCTTTAAGTTCAAAATCCTGGCATTTCGCTTTTTCTAGGCTAGCCTTTTCTTGGAAGTTCGAGATTTGGCAGAATCAGCATCCAAATATATCGCGTCTCGTTTGGAAGGAAAAACACCAGGTGAAATGGCAACAATTCTTGGACTTAAAGATTTTTGGCTCAAAGACGAGGAGGCTCGTAAAAATTTGAATATTTTAAGAGCCATCACAATGCCTGAAACTATTGTTCTAACTTAAATTGAAAAGTGTTTTTTTTTCCACTTGAATAAATATTTATTTGTACCCGTTAAAGTGTAAATGCAAATTATCAAGCAATTCGATGCCACATACAAACTGGCAAACCGTGTTGTTTAACCATTTGTATCCAATGTGCATTTCCGGTGCCATCAACAAGTCGACCGATTACACAATGACCGATTTTCTTTACTTCACCGGAATCTTCATGATCGTAAATTTCTATCACAATATGCGATTTTTCTAGTTTTGTTGGGGGTACGTGGAATAAAAAGGATTCGGAAAATGAAGCATCTGTAACTCCATCATTTGAAGAATTTGAAGCGGATGAGGAAGACGGTTTTGATCCACTGAAAACATACAATAAAATCTCAAAGAGAGATTATCCTTTCCCAAACTCACTCAAGAGAAGATTTATGAATCAAGGATGGATTTACCGTTGTTTGTTTTTGTTCAATCAATCGACGACCTTCGAAAAGCATAATTCGAGCAAATGGTGCTGAAAATTTTAATTGAAAATTCAAAAAAATTACGCAGCGAGCAGGGTTCGAACCTACGCGGGCAATGCCCAATAGATTTCAAGTCTATCTCCTTAACCACTCGGACATCGCTGCACATTTTTTCGCTACCGCAAAATCAAAGATGTGTCCGCTGTGTGTGGTGAAGAGAGAAATAGTGTGAGAGAATATGAGGTATTCGACAACGAGAAGAAAAATGAGATGAAAGGAAAACAAACCATTGTTAAAAGGCAGTGATTTGGCTTTTTTGACAGTTGCAGTAACAAATTGAACCGTCGGCGCATAAGTTAGAATCGTAAGTAATTCACAACCATTTCCTGGACTTGCTGCTTTATTGGCAGCCGCGTAAAGTGCATTCAAATTTATAGAATCTGGAGAAGCATGACATAACTTTTCTTGAAGTGTTTCCTCTTCAGTCTATAAAAAAACACGGGGTATTTTAAGATGTTAGTTTTGTGTGTCAAAAAAACTTACAGCCAAAACGCGGTCCTCAAATTCACATTCAAAAGCAGTTCTTCCACCCTGATCATCATTTGCCAAAAACTTTGTCCAAGCATCCTTATGACACACGGCTTTCTCATCACGAAGTTCTATAAGAATTTTGAAAATTATATTATTTAAAAAAATAATTCTAACCTCCGTGTCGATCACCCCATTCTCGATGTTCATGTTTTCCAGCTCGCCCGTATTTTGTACCATTTGGTCGTGGATCACGGTGTACTCGATTAGCTCGAGCACCTGGAGCTGGTTGATGTTTTCCAGCTTTCAACATATTTTTTGGTGCCCATCCCATTGAAGGATCTGTTCCAGCTTGAGATGCGGGCTAGAAATTGAAAAACTTGATTTTGAAAAAAAATTTGAAAAATATTTTACTCACGATTTTATGTAAATGCACAGCTTTATGTGGAATATTCATGAATGATTGATACTCGAAAAAATGTTTGGCAATGAAATTCATCCCCTAAAAAAATAATTTATTTCAAATTCCTTTCACAATTTTGTCAACCTGATCTCCCGAACCACTACGATGATAATCCGAGTCAGAGCTTCTGCTGCGCGGATATGCACTTCGCGCAAATTGCACACGTGGGCTACGTTTCTCACGCCACCAAAATGGTGAACCTTGTGATTGTGGCGAAACGGTTTCAGCCATTCTAACAACAAATTAGATTGGTTTTCAAGAAAATTGCAATGAGAGAAACAGAAAAATAAAAATGTTTTCTGATTACCAAAAAAAACTGTACATCAAAAATTAATTCAGTTTTGCAACATAATCCTAACCTCAATTAATTAAAACGTGATGGAATTTAAATCGAGTTTTTTTTGCAAAATAGAGAAACAAAATAACAAAAAAAGTACTTCAATTTTGAAAAACGAAAGGAAAAGAAGCTATATTTATTTATTTGTAAACGAGACTTCTTTTTCTCGCTCGCTAGAAAAAATCCAAAAAAAAAATCTAGGTAAACACAGGAAATCGTCGATTATTCGATGACATCTTGACCAAGAAAATATTGTGGTCAACTAGTAGATAGAACAAAACACTTTTCGAATGTGAGAAATGTATGTAGTAGAATTTTTGAACTTGAAGTAGTTCACGTGTCAAATAAGTTTCAATTAAAAAGCAGGCATTTGCAGAAAAAAAAGAAAAGGAGCAGAAGAAGAAGAAGAAGTAAAGAAGGCGTGGGAAGTTACTCATCCGTCAAACTTTTTTTCTTCTTATTTTTTCTACTTCTAATTGGGTTCATGTTTCAAAAAAACAAACTGAAAAACGAGGAAAACGAAAAGTTTTGCAATGTGTCACCACTGGATACGTGTTCAATTTTTGTATACAACTACGAAAAAAGATACAATTTTCTTTCTTGCTTAAAAAACAACGATACTCCGCTTGTTTACGGGTTGCTCTTTCGCTTTGAAGTTATCCAAATTTTTTCTGGGAACTAGACAACAAACTAACATAAGATGAGCACTAGGAATTTGAAACATGGAGCAAAAAAGCAAATTCTAGAAAAATCATGTGTATGAATAGAAAGCTGATTGAGTCAGCTCCTCTTTTAAAACCTTTTCCTTTTTCAAAATTGGCCTAATTTGCAAAAGAATACGGTAGCTTTTTACGTTTTTTTTTTCGTTGAGCGATAAACAAGAAATGAAGAATTTGTGACTCAGAATCTAAACTTTTTAAAAATTGAATTAGAAAACAAATGAACTTTTTGAAAACAACAGAGTGAACAATCTAATTCAACCAGAAGCTTGTGAACTTTCAAATTGAATTTTTTTCTAGCAGCATTTTTTAGTAGCTTTGAAAATCTCATAAATTTAACTGGTCGCATTGAACGAGCGAATGTTTTTGACAAGTTTTAAATTTAGAATGAAAAATAATTTTCAGTCAGTCAGTCAGTCAAATATAGACAGACGGAAATATGACATGAAAAAAGTTGAGAAAACGGAAAATGAATCGCCTAAAGAATATAAGGAAGAATGAGGAGCAAAAAATAATTGAATTTCTCGACTCATCTTTTTTTTCTTTTTTTTATTTCGATGGCGACTAAGACTACCATGATTGATCTTGACATTCATTAGAGAAAACATATGATTGAAGGTGAGCGGGGAATTTTGATGTGTTTTGAGAATTCGAAAATTTCAGGGAAAAAAAGAAGTTCCGGAAATTCAGAGTCTAATTAAAAAGGGTTTGGAGAAAAATCTTGAAGTTGATTTAAATTTTCAAATTTTCTTCCATTCTCAAAAAGTGCGGTATCAAAAGTAAAATCTTAAACTAAACTAACTCTCAGCTTAAAACTTCAAGCTTCCGCCACCAACAACAACAAAAAATGCGCCAAAAATGCACCCCAAGGGAGTCCTAATGATGAGTAGATCATTCTCTCTTCCATCCTTTTTTTTTCAAAAAAAAAAAAGAAAAACACCATTTCGAAACTCAATTTCCACCTTTTCTCCTCTTTGTTTTTTTTTGCTCCGCCTTCGGGTTTTTTTTAGTGGAAATGTATGTTAACTAGACATTGAAATCGAAATCGAAATCTCATATTTCATAAATACAAACAGAAAAAAACTATGAAATGAAATGAAAATTGGTGCACCCATTAAGTTTTCAAGTGGCAGAATCGGAGGGAACAAAAACAAAAAGAAAATTGCTGAAAAATAAAGGAAACTCCTCCATTTTTTGGTGGTATTTAGGAAACTTAGGAGACTAAATTCGCGCGAGATTTATTGTTTTGGTTCGTTTGAAAAAGACTGACTCGGATTATGGGGTTCTGACAATTTTTTGGAATCGGTTGGAAAATTGAGGAATATTTTTAGGATGGATACAAATATTGTTCTCAACTGAATAGCACGAAATTTCCACCGCTATTGATTATATTTTTCTGAATTTTTTAAATAACATTTTACTGAGGCTCACAAGAGTTTCTCAATCCTCAAAATTAGTTCATCATTTTTTTCATCCGATTCCAAAACACATAGTTTCTTTCTGAACAAAACAAACTAACTTCTTCACTGATTCCACTTGTCGATTCTCTACAATGTTCCAAATAATCCGCAATTTCTTGTTCGACGTTCAAAAGTTTCAAATCGGTTTGAACAGATGTTGCAGTATTCGATGAGCTGAAAACTTTTTATTATTATTCTGAAAAAAAAAACTATAAAATTCCCATGAAAATGCTGTTTCACCAGATGTGTTTATTTTCCAAAGTTTTGAATTTTGCTTTTTCAAGAAAAAAAAGACTAAAAAATTTTCCAAGAAAAAATGATTGATGATGAGGGCCAGAGCTGGGACAAACCGTAAAATTGATTTTCAGTTCAGTGGGTTGGAATTCATATTTTCTCCCACTAAATCATTAAATCTCATAAACATCATCAGGGAGTATGATTCAAAACTTCAAGCCTAAAAAAATCAGCGAGACTAGCTAGATAACGACCGTAAAATTTCGTAAAACGTAAAATTTTCCCAGGTGTGATGAGGGCTAACAAGGTATTACTAAAAAGTCCCTGGAAATTTTTCTGTTGTTTGTTTTCCAGACAACAAAAAACAAAAAAAAAGAAGTGCATAATGGGACAAAAAAGGGGAAAAAGGAAAAAAAAAGAGATGAAATCGAATTTTTAATCCGATTTTATGGGTCCTCTGAAAAAAGGAGGAAATTTTTCATTTCCAGGAAAAGCCCTGAGAGAACATTGATTTTCTTACTTGTTGACCGGAAATTTGTTAATTTCAAACATTTTTGTTTATTTTTCTTAACTAGCTGAGTTGAGACAACATACTTGTCTAGGACCCGAGGCTAGAGATCGGCACTGGAAAGGAGTCACGCCTAGAGCTTGAATTATCTTACCTTGCACAGGGTTCTTCAATTTCTTCAAGATTTCCAGCAATCGAAAACGTGGCTTCAGAATCCGAATCGTCGCAAAAATTCAATTCTGAAAAAAAAAACAATAATTTTGTTGGCTCCAAAACAAAAGCTCATAAATTTTTAACACTGAAATTTGAGACACACCCAAAAAATGTTGGAAATCGGATATTTTGGTGGAGCGGTTTTAATATTTTTTATGAGGAAAAATATGAAATTAATTTTTTCTCGTAAAAAAGAACTACCGCGACATAATCAGAAAGAATAGAGAAAATAGAAGAAAGTGAAGAAGGTAATTTGTTGTGAGTAAGTCACTTAATCGGTTTGTCGAAACATTGCGCAGATATATTCTAGTCAATGCTGAATTTTTTATCATGTGAATAAGCTAATCGAAAAACATTTACCAAATTAATTTCCCTAGATTGTTTTTAGACTTCTCAAACACTTACTCATAACTTTTGGAAAAAGTTTCATTTTCAGAAAAATAGAATTTGGGTTACTTAAAAATTATAATCGGAACTGAAAATGATTTTAAAAATTTTAAAAATGCCCGAACTAATTCTTAAAGGTTTTTCCTGCTCTCCAAGCCTAACAATAAGGTCTTTTCTAAGGAAATATTTTTCTTCAACCAAAAACCCTCTAAAAAAACTAACGTGTTGTTGACAAAAACTGATCCAAAACAATTGATGAAATATTGTCATCAAAATCAGCCAAATCTTCCGTTTGAGCGCTTCTGAAAAATAAAATTTTTGTCGAAAATAAAAATAAAATAAATTATTCAAAGCCAAAGTCATTTCTTCTATGAATTAACATTGGATGTTCAAAAATGAAAAATAAAAACAAACCTTCTCGAAACAGTTGAGGGAGCTTGACTGAAATCATCTTCATCGTCAGCGACTTCATCAATAATTGAAGGTGTCCTGAATTTAATTTTTGAAAAAAAAACCTATATTTGAAGAAAGAGAGAGAGGGAACAAGCTTATATCAAAATAGTGTACGTGAAATTTATAAGAGGAGATCTAAAACTTTCAAAAAATTGTTTCAGAATCTTTACCCTTCATCATCATTCCCTCTCTCTCTCTTCTGTCAAATATTCAAATTCAAACATGCTTTTGGGGGAAAAGGACAGCTTTGAAACACCGGGCAACAGAGAAAAGTATGGTTGAAAAAACCATGCGCACAAAACTCGATTCTTTTCTATTTTCAACAAATCTCCAAAGAGCACTCAAATTTTCTCGGAAAACTTGCAACCAAACAAATTTATTTCACACAAAAAATCAAAAGGGGACTGGGGCCCATGTTAGTCGCTTAATCCAGACAAAAGTATATTGAAAAATATATTTGGAAGTTAAAAATTCGAAAATAAATATAATCAAACATAAAGTGAAACCAGTCAGTTTTTGCAAATCTTCTTGTTGCCCGGTGAATCAAAAAAAAAAACATAGAAGGGGAGATCAAAATACAAAGAAATGAAAATGGTAAGAATATTTGTACATGAGAATTTTGAATTGTAGGAAGTCTTACATGGCACATTGTTGATGACGACGTTGTTCCACATATTTTTGATTGAGACGAGATTTCGAAGGTCCTGGAATTACACGGTTTTTCTTGGGGAGCCACAACAACATTCCCTTCCGCTTTTCAATTTAAACTCAAATTCAAATTCATTTACTCAGAAAGACTTTTCTACATAATTAAATTCCAGATCCCCTCAAAGTTAGTTAACTCGACGAATTCACAAACTTTGCTCTTTTCTAGACAAAGAAATTTTAGTACTAATTTTAGTACAACAGCAAAAAGTTCTATTGTCTTTCAAACCAAAAAAATTCCACTTTGTCTAAATACCCTTTGTTTTCAGAACGAACCTGAGCATTCAAAATGTCGTTCTTCTTCGTCCGAAATTTCCAAATCGTCGGCCATTGGACAACGTTTTGCAACATCAAAGACCATTGAAGAAATATCAGGGCAAGAGTCTGAAAAACATACATTTATTTTTTTGATCTCTCATTTCTCCGAGAAAATTTGATTTGATCTAACTCGTCCCCAAAAAGAGCTCTTCAATTTCCGGTTTTTTGCAAAATTGTGCTATTCACACTCAATCTAAATGTAAGAAAATGTCTTCTATGACCCCTGATTACTAACTCGTTCGCTGCTTTTTGAGTGCCGCTCGTTTTTTGCTCAAAATCGGAGCATCATCTTCATCGAGCAACTCTTCCTCCTCTTCCAAATCCAATTCTTCACAACAAAAACTTTCTCGATCTCTTTCGCCTCCAGAATTCTCCACAATCGTCATTGCCTCCATTTTCTCCTCGAGATGTCCCTGACTTCCTCGCCCACTATCATTTGTTGTTGATGGCGATTTTCGAGATGCAGATTCTGTCGCATCTTTTGTCGATGATTTTTTGCCAAAGATTCTGGAAAAAATTGGATATGACGTGTGAAGTTTATACGAAAACGTCAGTGATCATAAATTCTCACGGGACAACTTGAGAGGTCCAACAAATTCATTTCCGGCAAAAAATGAAAACTCTTCAAAAAGAAAAGTTATGAGTCTTTTGAGATTTGAACTTTCTAGATTTAAGCTTTCACTTTCACGTTTATAAGTTCAAAAATTCTTACGAGCTTCTTTGTTTCAAAATAAGAAATTTCCTTCAAGATCAATATTTCACATCTAAATAAAAAATAAATTTATTTGTTGAAGTTTAGTCAGAAGCTTCGTGGGTGGTCCCGGAAAAATAGCTGCCTTTAAAAATGAGTTCAAATTTTCACCTGTCACTCCGAATTCTCATCACCTCCCCTCACGTGTTTTTTCTAACTAAAACTCAAACTACAATCCAAGAATTCCAATATTTTTTCTTTTCATTTCATCTCATAAATTCTCTCAAAAAACATCAGTGATCAAAAAATCCCATCGGGACTCGCATACTTGAGCCGCAGAAAAAAAATTCATTTCGACACGTGAAAAGTTATGAGTGTTTTGGGACCCCAACATTTTTTCGTGTCTTCCGGCAACAAAAAAATCATCAAAAACAAGTCTTCAGGGAGAAGCTACCAGGAAAAAAAATGAGAATGAGCAAAACAAGGTTTCAAATTTCTACTCTCTGATATCTCGAGTTACACAAACTCACTTATTTTTAATTTGTGTCGAGATATTCGATTTTTTGGTTGGAGATGTTGTTGTTGTTTTGACATTCGTGTTGGCAGTTGATTGTGGAGGTGGAGATGAACAAGTGTCCGATACACGATGTGTACTTTCACTATCAGTTCGTTGTCGATGCATATCCAATCCACTATCAGCAAGTGCACGATTTTGTTGTCGAAGACTTTGAAGCAAACTCATTCGACGTCTTCGCGGTGCATAACACGTATAAGCACTTGCATCATCACTCATCATATCAGCTAAACAAATATTATATTAATTAACTAATTAATTGCTAAATGATTTACCACTTGTGCCTCTTCTCGCTAATCTTTCTCGAATCGGAACATGTGGGACCATCGGTGAACAGAAGGGTTCTGAAAAGCATAAAACACATTATTGATTCAGTATGTAATTCAATTCCATTTTTCTTTTACTATAGTTGGTTGGTTGGTTAATTAATGGTATCCCAGAGAAACATGTTCAAAGCTTACCATTTTCAATGGTCAATGATTTTCTGGGAACAGCGAAGCTGCTGCGATGCGAAGCTAATGCGGCAGGCGGAATGATTGGCGAGCCAGCGCCGTTGACAATCGGCGGTTGCAATGAGTTTCGCTTGTGCTTGTGACGATCCGAATCATCGACAAGTAAACGGAACATGATGTAGTCATTCATCATTGTTGTGTTTCCGGATAACATTTTTTGCTGCTTTCTATTTTTGTTGCGGTTTCAAATAAATAGATATTCTGGAAACCAGTCAAGATGTCAACAAGAATGAAAAGAGAAAGAAGATTGTTTGTGGAAAAAAAATAGAGCTGCACTTTCTGTTGTTTTCTACGAAAAAAAGAGATTTGATAAAGATTCCGCTAGAAGTTCACACAGAAAATCAGCTGATAAACATTATAGGAAACTCCAAAGTTCAATACAAAAAATTGGATGACGTAAATTGTAAAATGTGATCACCTCAAACTCAATTTCATGTTTGCAAATCGAAAAAATGACAAAAAAAGTATTCTCGAAATTAGATAAAAATGCTCGTCCAGAAAGACGAGAGCGAACAAAACAGCTCAAAATGGCGGAGAGGGCGGGCGAAGAAAAATGAGGGGCGGGCCAAAAACAGCTGGTATCTCTCTAGAAAGAGAAGAAGAAGCTGGGGTTTTCAGATACTTTTTGGTGCACTTTTCTGGAAAGTAGAAGAAAACAAGGAAATAAGGTGGAAATCGACATCATATTTATACTTTTTTTCACGGTTCATTTGACACATTTTGAGCGGCGGAAAGGAAAAAAAACAACTCGAAAAACATGCAATTTTAATTTTTCAAGGGGTCCCACGAATAATAGATGTGTTTATTTTTGGATAACTTTGGATCAGTTTCGGCTCTAGAATGACATGTCACTTTTAGAGTGGCTCAGTGACAGTGGTGGCTGCTGTCCATCTGAGGATAGCGGGTCCGAAGCCCGGTTCCCGCTCTCGATTTTTTGCGGAATGACATCTCACTTTCAGAATAAGAAAAAAAGAAATCTCAAAAATCATTGAGCTGATTCATAATTTTTGAGTTCAAAACAAGCTCCAAGCTCAGCTCAAAAACAAAATTAAAATAAATTAGGGGAGATATCAAAGAATATATATATATATATATATATCTATACTCAAAAATATTTCTATATTGCGCTGGAGAAATGAAAAAAAAATAATAAAAAACGTTGGAGTGTGAAGTGCAATTTTCATATATTGCGCTCCAAATTGAGTATTTCCCCTTAGCCCAAGCCTATATACATAAAAGTGGGTGGTTATTTGAGACGTTTTTGATCACACCAAAAATCACGCTCACTTATGACGAACTCAATTCATCTAAATAGCTATTTTTTGTGGAAAGTTTGAAATGTGTTCGAAATGATGATCATCCATCCAAATCTTCCCAGGATACTTGAGAAGTCGAAAAACCGAGAAAGAATTGGCTATATGTTCAAATATTTACAAATGATGTGTGCAGCAATCGACAAAAAACGCCAAGATTTTTTCGTTGAACAAAAAACCGTGGTTTTGTGTGTGATTGACAGTTGTGGACTATGTACCGGAACCTATATATATTTAGAGAAAGTACAAATTTTTTATTAAGTTAGGAGAACTTGGTTCTCATACTTGGAAAAGCTAGAATAACTATTCTGAGAGAGAACCTTTAAAAATTGAAATTTAAAAACCAGCAAAAATTATGTTTCAAAATTTTCACAAATACAATTTCTGAATTTTCGATTGATATTAATCTGATTTCGGGAGTAGATCAAATGCAGGTAGTGAAAAATAGGGGAACTCGTGTTTGGAATTTGTAGTGAGAACATTTATTCTGCAAACTCACCAAAATGTATTTAGAGTTAGCTACAGTAAACCTCAGTTTGTGGAGCAAGTCCTAGGCTTTTTGAAAATTATAAAAACTTAATAAAAGTTTGAATTTTAATCTACTCTACTTTTCTTCAGAGCTAAAATAAACTTAAAAATGTATTCTGATGATGTTCTAAATTAAGACAATTTCTCTATGTTTTTTTCATACGTGAATAATTAATTTTTGAGAAAAACTAAGCTGCAAATAGATCAAAGGACATCTACAGTAATCCCAAAAACTTTCTCGAGAAAAAGTGCCAAAAAGAGCGTGAGAACTGGCGGGAGTTGTTTTTGTTTTGCCTTATTTTTCTGACAAAAAGGGTAACACTAATTAAAACACAGAAATCCTGTCCTCCGGGGAATATTTCTGTAAAATAGCAAAAGAAATCATCAAAAATCGTAGAAAAGTGCTGAGAGTGAATGAGTCAAAAACCTAATAAAAATGTAAATTTTTTGTCTCTTTTTGGGCCAATAACTAAATTTGTTTTAGTTCCTTTTTGCTTCTGAGAAAGAGAAAAAGCAAAAAAGAGAAGACAAAGTTTTCTTTTCCGATGGATGCCCAATTATGTACATAAATCAAGCCTTTATACTGTTTAGCCCTTTTTTTGAGCTCAGCATTCTCAAGAAATAAAATTCCTTGATCTTTTTTCTGCAAAGTCAGAGAAATGCGAGGGCGAAGAATATTTAAACTTATGTAAAATGAAGAAAACATGAGAAAAATCACGTGGCTCTCTCTTAAAAACACGAAATGAATTCTGAATATCTTCACAAATTTTTATCGCCAGAAGAGCATCTTTCGAAGTAAACATGTGAATTATTCAGCTGAAAGTTTCCAGAACTACAGTACTCTTCCATGTTGAGAGTCAATTAGTTATAAGAACTTCATGTTAATGATCATAGATTATCAAAAAAAAATGATGATCATTTTTTTCTGTTTTTCCGGAAAACTGGAAAAATTGAAAAAAAGACAATTATCGAGAAAAGAAAAAAAAAAGAGAGACACTTATAAATGAGTGAAAATTAGGTTAGTTTATTTAGAAAATGAGCAAAATAATGACGTTTTTCTAGAAAACGATGAGGAATACGGTAAGTGAAAAGAATGAAGATCACTCTGGAAAATATGAAGAATAAATCGCAGAAAGAGGCCCCCATATAGTTTTGAGAAATACCATGACTCTCAGACCTAAAGAGATACGGTAACTCATCATTCTCAGACTTGAAAGATTACTGTAACCATAAGGTACAAGAATTGTCAGGATTACTGTAGCTCAAACTGCAAATCAACTTAAAGTTATTCTAGACTGCAAGGATTACTGTGAGCTCAGCGAATTTTGGGACTTTCTGGGGAATTTTTTAGTTTCAAAAACTTATTTCTTGGCGCGGAAATCCAAAAACTAAAAAATATAAAAATAGATCAACCTCAAAAATTTATAAATGTCATCTCTAATTTCTTTTTTTTCAAAAATAAAGTCAGCAGGAAATTGGGAGAATCAAAACACATCCGAAAAATTGCACGAATTATTTAATTCGTCAAGTTTTCTGAAAGATCTTATATTTGTTTTTTGGAAATGAAAGATTTTTGGAAGAAGCAAAAAAAAAAAGCGGAAGTCTGTCTGAAAATTATGAGCTTTTCAGACAAGAATCAATATTTTTCTAACAATTTTTAAATATATCAGAACTTGCAACAAACATTTGAAACCTCACAAATCTCTCTTCCTAAAAAATCTCTCAACCGAAAATCCGGCGGAAAAAAAAATCACATTTTTTTTGGGGGTGACAACCAGTGGCTCGTAGTATATAGAAAAGCCTTCGAAAACAGAAAAATAATTTTTCCTCCCCAGAGAGAGCTGGGGGCTCATTAATGTAATCTATCTATGAATTAAATGCTTCTAACAGGATATTTTTTGCTGGCTGGCAGAAAGAGGAAAACTGGAAAACTGGGAAGATATTTTATTTTCTATTAAAAAGATAATATTGGAATAAGTGCGTATTTGCTCTGCTCACACGGTTATTTTTGGATTTTTGTTTATCGTGTGAAGAAGTAGAAAACAACAAGTGAAATATAATTTCAAACAACAACTAAATCGGATTTGGAAAAATCACTGAAAAATAGCGAAAATGTTAGTCATTGGGGTTTGGTTGAAAAAATATCTGAAAAAAACACAAGCAGGTCGGAGAAAAAAGAAAACCCGATGATCATTGGAATTTTGAATTCTTCTTCCAATCACTGAGTTCTGTTAGCTTCTGTTTTCCAAGTAGCTGAGCCTAGAGAATTGAATTGCCAAGGATTCGCGCCTAGAGATCTACACTGACAAGGAGCCGCCTCTTGAGACCTTATATGCCAAAGGGCCACGCTCAGAACGTTCCGTTGTCAAGGATCCTAGCCTAGATAGCCTAACTCTTTAGGATTCGCACTTTGAAATTGATTTCTTGAAGCTGTACTCTAGAATGCCAAAAGTGTGAATTCTAGAAAATCAAATTGAAAAAAAAATTAGAAGATATTCAAAAAGTACACGCTTATAAAATTCCTGAGGTTAGATCTAAAAATGACTATTTTCCCCATGAAAAAAGGTGACAACATAAAATATCACATAATATTTTATTGCAAATCTTGAGAACTTGGATTAGAAAACCAAAAAAAGCAATTTTTCTAGAGGAGAAAACTAGAAACTAAAAAATGAACAATTGAACTTCGCTGTATTTTTTGTTTACTTGTGAAACTTGTGAAATTAAGCCACGTGGGAAGAAGGTGGAATTTCTAAAAGGTTTCTCGTGCAAAAAAAAACTAAGAGTAAACATGAAAAATGCCTATGATACAAAATGTTTTTTGAGAAGGTGGTTTTTGATTGTTCGTAGTTCTGAAGATTATCCTAGCAAAAACATCAGTCTAGAAGATTATAACAACGTTTTGATCATTGAGGATCGGAAAACTTACAAAAATGATTATATTTTTTCTCTATAAAAATTTGGCATATGTGAGTTATGTGAAATCCCTTTTGTTTATATTATCTGCTTTCAGAAATTTTTGAATTAATAAGGATTTTTTTTTCAATTGAATCACTGAAGAGATATTACAAGTTGATGGATGAAAATTTCAACTCCGGAAAAATATTTTCACTGTTTTAAGTCTAAAAGTTCAATTCAAAAATTACTCAAATATTAGTTCCATTTGGAAAAATTGTCTGACTGTACTGTAACTTTCAGATTCAGATTTTTGACAGATTTAAAAAAAATACAACTGCGAAAACATTCTTGAATCCTGATTCAAATAATCACACTTCAAAACGGGAATACTAAATGAAAAATCAAACCGAAATCCCCAGACTACAGATGATCAAAAATTCGCAAAACTTAAAAATGGATGTTTGATTTCCATGTTTTCTTCCCTCGAAGCCTAATAAAATCCCCCAATTTCAAGTAAGTTACAAATTGTTTAGCCACAGAATTACACTTTGTTTGATTGATGTCAACGAGCCAAAACAAAACAATTATCCATGCCACCAAGACATATGATTCATGCAGTCATTTTTCAATTTTCAATTTTTAAGTTACCATAAATCACCAACCAACCATTTTTTTCAATGAAAAAAACCCTGGGTACTGTATTTTTGTGGATATTATTGAGAGAGAAGTTTTCTTGATGAATAAAATAAACTAACCAAATCGTTTCTTCCTCGATGTTTCCCCTTTCCACATCACAACTGGTTGTGCAGCAGCTCGTGTCATTCTTAAAGCACTCAAACTTCCACCAACTGATGTTCCAGCTAAATTATGATGATGAATTGTTGCTGAAGCAGTTGGCGTTGAAGAAGATGTGGCTGGCATTTGCGGAAAATGTGTTGATCCACCCAAATGATGATGATTATGTGCGTGGTGTGGATGATAAAACGGTTTTGCCGTCAGACCAAAATGATGATGATGATGGTGTGGATGGTGTGGAAGGTGTCGATGGTCCCCAAGTAGAAGAGGATCCGGTTTCTCACTATCTCCCCACATTCTTCTTCTTTATTTTCTTTTTTTCCAATTTTATTGTCAGCAGAAGAAGTTCATGGCAGTTTTAAAATGTATAGAGTTTCGAGTTTCTAGAAAAAAAAATCGAGTAAGCACTTTAAAAAAGACAAAAAAATAAATGAAAGCAAAAAAGTTGCACGATGAGTCAAAGAAAATCGAAATTGGTTCAATTTTTTAACGAAGCTAATTTTTTCGGGAAGAAATACGTCACAAGATTTGAGTAAAAGTTTTTTTTCTGGTTGAAATGAAAAAGAGCGTGATATCCAACTTCCGGAAATATTGGGAATAAACTACGGTAGATTGAATGTATGGATGAATAAGTTTTGAAAATAACATATTATTGAATGTTGCCTTTTTTTGGCGGTTTCCGGTCATAATATTTCGAAATCTCTCCAAAATATTCTAAAAATACAATTAGGCTCTCTAAGCGCAGGCTCTTGAAAATTAGATTCATTAGGTACGGTTACTTGAAAAGTAGGCTCTCTAGGCGCGGGTCCTAGACAATAACGTTCACAAGGCTCAACTACTTGTCAACTAGAATTTGCTATTTGAGAGATCTTCAAAGTTGAAAATGAGAAATTAAAGTTAGAGTACAATTTGTTATGTGAATATTTCGAAATCTCAAAACCGCTATCAAAAAAATTTGAAAATAATACACGTAGAAAAAAATCTATAGAATAATAAATAAAATACTACAAAACGAGCCCAACCAGTAAAATACTATTTTAGAAACCAAAAACTGATCATATCTAAAATAACTGAATCAAGCTATTTTTGTTTATCAAATAGAAAATACGCTTGACTTGAAAAGTGGCGAAAAAAAGTTTTGAACAATTTTTTTTTGAAATCAGGTACTCGTGTGAAATGATCTCAGATTTCTAGAAACAAATCGCGTGACGATGAATTTTTCACGAAGGAAGGTATTCAAAAAAGTGAATTTGAGGAAAACTTGGAAAAAAAAAGGAAAGAATTCAATTTGAGTTTCAGATGAACATTTTATTTTCAGAAAAAAATTCGATTGCCTGAAATAGAATTCTTCAGTGAACATCTTCAAAATATCATAAATACCAAGAAAAAACAATTATTAATATCAGATGAGATATATCTGAATGAATATTTGAAGAAAAATGAACGACAACTGTTTTTTTTTTCGGGACAGCAAAAAAATGAAAAATAAAAGTGCATGAAAATTAGAAGACAGTGACTGAAATCTGACTTTTCTTCTTCTTCTTCTGCTTTCAGATAATTAATACGAAGAAGAAAAACAACAATTAATTTGTGTTCACGAGAAATACAAAGTATCAGAAAAACACGAGAAGTACACAAGAGTCACTCATCAACTTTTTTTTGCTTTTGAAAAAGTGGGCGCGAATTTCGAAAAATGCGTGGTTTTTCTATGTGATTTCACTGGGGAATTTGTGAGGTCAGCAAAACATATAACCTGAAAATTGCTGGTTTCGAAAATAAAAACTGTACTCTAAGTAACATAAAATTTTAATTTTGAACTTTTAGATCATCAGGGAGTTTTGACTCATAGAGCCTAGTAGCTGAGCCTAGAGAACCTTATTGTCTAGGACCCGCATCTAGAGATTGACTCTGGCAAAGTGCCGCGTCTTGAACGATCATATGCCAAGTAGCCAAATTTGTTGTCAGGTAAACGCGCCGGGTTAAAGTTAAGTTAAGTTGAAAAATAGAAATTTGAAAAAAAAAACATATTTTTGGAACTATTTCGGATCCTTCTGATACTTAGAATGTTCAGATAATTGCTCAGTTAATTGTGAGAGAGCGGAAAATAATTTGAACTTTGATTTTAAGCCAAAAAAGCCCAAAAAATCAGAGCAAAAAATGAAATAAAAGAAGAGGCTATTTGGAAATTAATAAAATAAATATTCATAACTTTTTTCTTCGTCATAAATTCATTTATAGAATAGATAGAAAAAATATATTGGAAAGAGAAGAAGAAGAAAGAATAAAGAATGTCTGTACTTTTTATTTGATCCAAAATTTTGTGAAAAATCTATCTAGGAATAAAAATAGAAAAGCACAACAATAATAATAGAAGGAAACAACTACGTATACATCGGGAATTGAGAAGAGTGGATCAAAAATTGGGGCGCAAGTGTGAAAGTAATCCAAGTGGAAAGAAAATGGGAACGAAAATTTTCAGAGGCCAACCAAAAATTTCCCCTTTTTTAATTAGAAAAAAAAAGGAAAGATCATCTGACCGACATTGACACAGAGAGAAAAAGTTCAGAGCGAGAAAAAAGAAATATTTTCGTGTGGCGGAAAAAAACCCGAAACGAAAGAAAAAGGAAAACAAGTTGGCTTTTTACTCATTTATCCGGTGGTGGAAATGGTCCCAAGAGAAAAATGAGGGTAACAAAAGATTGTGGAAAAGTGAGAGGTGGAAGAGATGGTGATAAAACAAAGAACAACAGTTTATCAAAAAAAGAAGATTTATTGAAACAACAATTCGGTTAGGGTTAACAAGTAGCTGAGTCTATAGAGCTTATATGTCAAGCAGCCACGCCTAGAAATTTTAATTGTCAAGGATTATCGCCTAATGAGCCTAGTTCTCAAGTGACAGCGTCTTGAAACGGTTTGTTCAAAGTTTCACTCTGAGTTGACCGAATTGTGATTGAAAATATACAGTAACCTTCGAAAAAGATAAAAATAATGTGATTTTTCGAATCGGAAACAAAAAAGAGCAACAGGTGGCATTTTTTGAAATTATTTTTATAGGGCTATAAATTTTGATCATCATTTTCAGATTTTCCTAGCTCCAAAGGACAAAAAAAAACCAGGAAAAAACAGCAGAAGCATAAGAAAAAAGGAAAACAAGGTCGTAAATACATCAGATTTTAGTATAAACATTCATACAACAATTTCCTAATCGCGATTTTCTTCGGTTTGCTTTTTGCAAAAAAAAAGAAAAAGAGAATATTCGGATCCTAATAAAAAAAGAAGAGAAGAGTGCACCAAAACTAATAATCAAAAAGAAATATTTCTTTTTTTTTTGGTTGGGACCCGACATAAATGAAAAAAAATTTTAGGAGAGGGTCTCGAGGGATTTGGGCGGGCGCGAAAATATGGATATTTTCACATGTCTAGAAACACATATAAAATGGACTTTTCTTACGTTTTCACATTATTTTTGGTAGAAAATTTTATGTTTGACAAATAGGAAATGAGTTTTCAGAATGCGGTTTTAGGTGTGGAGCAGAAAAGAAAGCTACCAGAATCCCATTTTGGAAACCTATCTTCTATTTTCCAAAAAAATTGACAAGGAACGAATTTCACCGGAATGAAATGTGCAAACTTATTTCTTCTTTTTTTGCGGCACATTCACAAAAAAATCACGACTCCAAAAAAAGAGGACGAAAAAAGAGAGAAAAACTTGGGATTTTCCGGTTGCGCCCTGCGACACAAAGTGCGCGAATATTGTTCAAACCTAATGGTCCATATATTAATCTTGGTCTCAGAAAAAACATGGTTGGTTTTCCAGCAGTTTTTTTCGGAATTTGTCATCATATTCTTTGACTTTTGTATGATGTGATTTTTTTCGGGTTATTATGAAATATGTATCGTCGTAAAGCTTTTATTTTTGGAGAAAATAGAATAATAAAAAAATCATGAAACATTCATGTTCAATTAATTTTGGCATGACTTTTTATATTAATTTGATTTCCGGAAACAAAATTAGGTTCACTCAAATGTAATAAAGTTTTGGGGGTTTTGCATAACTACACTTTTTTAAAATCAGAAACAAGCTATTCTGAAGTTATAAAATTACAACTAATTTTGGAAATGTTCAATCATTGCTCAGGTTAAATTGAACTATTTCTGGTCCGAGTTCTACTGAAAGATATCATGGGTCTGATTTCTCAGGCCCGATTCAAAATTCAAAAATTCCTAGAAAAAAGTCAATATAAACAAAATCAGTATTTTCGGCATTGACAACAACAAAAACAAGTCGAGTCAAAATAAAAATAAAAATAAGGTTAGAAAAGGGTCTTGTGTTAAATTAGATTATATTTTGTTCAGAGAGTGAGAAGAATAAAATTAGATCAAAATATTTTGTTCCAATTTTTTTTATTTGAAAATTTGAAAATCGAGAATCAAAATTCAGTCAGGAAAAAATTGAATATCAGAACGATCAAAGTTTGAGTCAAACACGCAATATTGTTTTTGAAGAGGGTTCAAGTATAAGAACAATGAAAACTACTTTAAAATGCGCCAGCGCGCGCAGAATTCTAAGAAAATTGAATTTTGGTTCAAGTTAGGTTAACCTGAGCAATTCAATTATCAGTCACTGAACCAGCTGGTTTTCAGTTGTTAGTAATTTTTAGGGGATTTCTAACAGAAAAAATAAGGAACAAAAATATTTGAATAGAATTTATTTAAAGTTTAAACGAGTTATCCTTTCTTTTTTCTCGAACACAAAACCAACACAAAAAACAATTACCGAAATTGAAGAAAATCGAGCTGGGCTAATGTAACAAGAGAAAGAAACACTAATAAAAAATTTGATGGACATCATAAAAATTTACACTGAAACACAGAAAAAAAATTGGGAATTTCAAAAATGACGTGAGTTTTTATCCTTATTTTAGACATTCTTCTCATTAATAAAAAATTGCAAAGACTGAGAATTGAGGAAACTTGAGAAGAGGTTTATTTGAAACCAATTTTTTCTTTTTTTTTCGTTGGAAAAAAGTTCAAAAATTACATAGGAATTTTAATTAGTTTCAAATTTCTGAACTTTCACGTGAAAATAAGCTACTGAATTCTTGGTGAAGCTTAGAAAATGAGCCCAAAAAAGGTGCCTCAAAAATCATTTGCAGTTAATTTTTACACCATCTTGATCAGCTTTTTGAGTTCTATAAGACGCAATAAATTTTCTTGTAAATCGAAATTCTAGAAAAAATTCAAATTCAAAATTTACAAAATGGGCTTTCGAAATTTTATTTCCAAAAAAATTCCAATTTTTTCTACTATTAGAAAAAATATCTAGAGTGCAATACGTAAACGAGAAATTTGAGAATTCAAGGGAGAAGGGCAGAAAAAAGTCAAAATATTAAATAATTCACGAGTTGCACATGAGAGTTCAAATTTAAAGAAATATGTATATGTAAGAAAAAAACATCGATATTTTTTAGGCCAAGACTATGAGAATTTTTGTGTGTTTGAAATGAATAGGGAAAGGGTCCTTCCTACCTGAAAATAAGAAGAAGAAGGTAAACATTGAAATTGAGACTTTTTGTGGAAAAGTCGAGAGCACTTTATTATATATTTTCTCACAAGAACAAAAGTAATTATGGAGCTATTAGAATTTTTCTGACACAAAAATATAATACTGATGTAGATTTGAACAAAAAGAAGAAAAAAGAATGGGAAAAAACTCCAAAAAGTTCAAGAATCAACTGAAGAGAAAAAGATGATGAGTGAATAAAAAAAGAGAAAACGGAACTTGGAATTTAAATGAGACAAAATCCTAGGCTTAATTGTTGTGTTTTTTGTCTTTTTTTCAAAATTTTACTCGTTAAAAGAATAGGAGTCTTTAGAACAGAACAAAAAACGAACTTTCGAATGAAAATAATCACCTGCAAAGAAAATAGGTCTTTTTGGAGGTTCTGAACATTTTTCACTCTTGAAAAACAAAATAACAAATAGTTGGCAAGAGATGGATAATTTTTATAGTCTAATTAGATTTGATAGCAATTTCAGACTGAAGAAATGTGGGTCTGAGAAGTTCAAAAGTAGCGAAAAAAATCTATGAGTCGAGTTATGTGAAAAAATTCTAGAATTTTGTGATCAAAGGTATAAGGGCTCTTTTAAGAATAACTTATTCTAAAAAAGAAGAAGCCTAGAGATATTGGATAGTAAATAAAAACTAGGCGAGAAAAAAGCCAAAATATCGGCTACAAAAGTTCACAATCATCCAAACAAAGATCAACGTGTAGGCGAAACAAAAAGGCGTCGAGTCATCATCTCGAACAACGCAATAATAATAAACTAACAACACTATTGACTTCTCTGGGACGGGCAGCAAAAAAAATCTCAAGAGCACACCAAAATCTAAACAAACTGCTGCTCAAGAAACTTTTTTGCTGTGTGCGTGTATTATTTTTTATTTTTTTATTTTTCTTATATTTATTAGAAAAAAACACTCAAAAATCAATTCTCGTTATTTATTTTTAAGGGTACTTATCTATTGTTCTTTAATAATATTTTTCTGCTGAGCAAAATTTTTTGAATCCCAAAAATTAGTTATCTAAAGAAAAACTCGATCTTTGACATCGCCTAAACGAAAAATTCCCAGAAAGAAATTAGTAAATCGAACAAGTTAGTGTTTTTGATAAATAATTCATATGCCGAAAATTGTAGGTGTCCATCAATTGATGTCTCAAAGTTCTTCTTCTGTCACAAGCTTTTTCTCAGAAGCAGAAAAAAAAACATACATCCGAAAAAATCTCGTATGTACTCTGTATGAATTGACCCTAAATGAACCAGAAAATATCTCTAGCGATTCTGGAGAAAAAAGAGAACAGATGTGTGCTTTGGTAATGAAAAAAAGAAAAAAAAAAAGAAATAAATGGAAGAGGAAACAAAAATGAACTCATTTTGTGCAAACTTGGAAGCTATTCATTTTTTTATGAACAAAATTAATAGCCAAAAATTTGGAAAGGGATAGGACACGTGGAACTAAGCAGGGACCATCTAAATTTGTTCCATTTTTTACTTAAGATTAAGATCGAACCATTAAACAGAAAAATTAATTTTTAAATTTTTTGGGTCCATTTCCGGTTTTTTTTTCTAAAAACTAACGTGGCGAAAAATCGGACCACCGAAAATTTAACAAGTTTTGAGGCGAACTTGAAAAATATTTCCAAAAACTTTTGAGATCATCCTATTCCAAAAAGTGTGATCAAGAAGACGGTCCAATTCAGGTTTTCAACGAGTTTTTCACACACATATAAATTGAGGATGGCCGAATTTAGATTGCAGGAAAACATTGCCAAAAAATACAAAATTCAGACATTACAGTATCCAAAAGTCATCGAAAACAAAACGAATGCAAAAAAATAGATTGGGAAATTATTATGTAGATATCAAATGTCAAGAAAACACAAGGAAAATATATACGGCGAATAAGGAACCCGTAAAATTCTTTCGAGGTGTCAAAACAACAAGCGAGAAAAAAAAACGGGCAAAAATTTGTGCGCGCAAAATAACAATGAGGTTTAGAGGGTGGAAAGGGGGGGGGACCCACGAAAAAAAAAAACAAAACAAAACATCTTCCGAGAACAAGAAGGAAAATGCAGAAGTAGAAGAAGAAGAAGAAGCAGGAGAAAAGTCGTGTTGGGACATACACAAACACAAATTTGCATATCTAATAGAATCCTGCGCGGAAGAGATGAAGAAGAAGAAGAACAATTTACAAACTGACTGAAAAAAACGAGGTCGAGAGTTGCTTGAATGAGTCTTGAATATTATGGCGAAAAAATGAAAAAAAAATATAAAGAGAGAGAAAGAAGCTGGAAAAAATGAGAGACGATTAAATTGTTTTTTTGAATAATGATGTTTGGCGGGAAAAATATAGAGCCCGATCGCTTGCGCTCTAATGCACAATTAATATGTCAAATTAAATATTGTTCTAGTTTTTCTTGAAAAAAGTTCTAGGTTTTAGTCAACTTTGAGATAAACGAATCCAAGGCAAATTGTAGAACCTGATAAATTTATAAAAAGAAGGGAAACGTTTTTCGGAATAACTTGTGTTAGGAAAAATTCTATAAATTCAAGTTGTGCCACGTGGCAAAACCTAAATCTATTTGTAATTTGAAAAATCACAGGCCAGGCATATAATTTGGAAAAAAATAAACAGGTTTTTAAAATTTCTAAAGATCATTTTCAAAAAATTGAAAAAGAACAAACCAATTTTCCCCTAAATTTTCAAAAATGTCATTCTATTAAATTAGGCGCGCATCTCAAAGTACACTAAATTTTAATTTTTTTTTTCAAAAATCAGTCTCAGAATTCTAAAGCTTTCAATTTTCATTTTGAAATGAATTTTGGCGGTATGAAAAGTGTGAGAAAAAAGCATAACAATTTGAGTTCGTTTGAAATACGACGCACAAAACGCGACATCTTGATTTATTGCCCGGTTTTTCTTTTTGTTTTTTTTTCGTCAGCGGAACAAAAAAGGAACGTCTTTTTTCAGCCGAAAAAGTTTTTTCATTGTTTGAAAAAAGAATGGAAAATATATGTTTTAAGGAAGGAAAATGAAAAAGTTTGCAGAAAGATTTATGATAACTAGAAAGGGATAAAAAAGAGTCGCGCAGGAGCAGAGGTCAGCAGAACAGCTGTTCGATCTTCTGATTTGTTTTGTAACATTAAAAAATATAATCTGAAACTTCAGTGGAAATTGGAGTTAAGCCAAAGGCAAAGCCATAGCTTGATCAAAAAGGACACCGGAAATTTGATTATAAATGAGCCTGAACTTTGAACTTCACAAGACTTTAGTTTTTTTTTTTTTGGAAAAAACCTCGAAATCTTGACCAAACTACATATCCGATGAATAATAACCAAATCAAAATGCAACAAAAATTGTTCAAAAAGTCAAAAAAAAATGTTCACGAGGCCGAAAAAAAACTTTTTTTCGGGTGCTGGAAAACGAGAAGATATCAAATTGCGAGCGGAGGAGCCGCAAAAATGGAATGATGAGCACATGAAAATGAGAGCACATCATCAGAAGAAGCGAGTGAATTCGACACAAAAAGTTTGTGTTTTGGAAGAATATTTGTGAAAAGTCATCAAAGTTTTTGTTGAATTAGAAGTGCGTGAGTTGGAAGATCAATTCATTTTTCAAAAGTTATGACACCTGATCTGATAGGAATCAGGATTTTTTGATAGGCTGCAATAAATATTTTTTTCGAAATTCCTTTGCCAAAATACTTTCAGAATCTGTCAAATTTTCAAAACAAAAAGCACACAAAACAAAACAAGTACAATACAATTAATTACCTGGTCTGGAATATAAAATGCATTAAGGACAACAAAAGTACAGTTTCATCATTCATCAAGAATTCACTTCCTCTCTCAATATCCTTATACAGTACCCCCTTTTCCCAAGTATTATTTTCGAACCCCAAACCCAACTCTGAAGCTTGCCCCTGTCCCCAAAAAATAAACTAACTTGATCCCATTCCACTGTTCCACGAATATTTTGGATAAACATCAACGGTGACTGTCGAAACTGTGCTCATCTTTTTCTGTTGCATCATTGACATTGAACTGAATTTCCGGGTTCCACTCATATTGTTTGATGTATTGTAGTCTTGTGCTTGATACTGTAAATATATAAATGAATTTTGGGAATTTTTATTGGGGAAACTGACAGATTTCAAAGAATTTAGATTTGAAGATTAGATAAACCATTTTTAGAGCAGAAAATAGCGAGAAATAAGAACCGAGTTGACGTGTGAAATGTGTCACGCGGAAAGTTATATTTTTTTTTGACGTTTAGAGAATTGTTAAAAAATTTTCACAATAATTTTTTTTGTTTAAAATTCTTCATAAAATTTTTTAAGTTTCAATTTTGAAATATCTCACTAACAAAATGTTTCCTAAAGTTAGGTAAAGCGCAAAAACAGTAAAAAAATGACTTCCGAATAAGTGAATGAGCCGCGAGAAAATAGAAAGCGATGGAGAGATAGAGGAAAAGAAAGAGAGAGCGAGAGAAAGAGAGATAAACAGTTCTTGTAATATTTTAAAATATTATGCAAGAGTGAACATAGACTTTAGTTTGACCCAGTTAGATGATTTTTGTGTTTGTGTTTTTGTTTGTAGTTTGGTGTATCATGTTATGTTTTTTGCTGATATTTATTGTAAGTATTCAAACGGTTTTCGAATAATTGAACATTTTTTACTGAAAACTCAAAAGTAGATATTTTGGTACTTGATAATTTTTGGGGTCTGGAGAACCATTTTAAATTTTTTGTTGCCCAATCTGAACCAAGTTCTAGGCTCTCAATAATTTTTATATACCTCGGGCGGTTTGACAATATCCGACTCACCATAGAAAACGCAGTATTCTTGCGAACCGGTTGTTGAAATGCACTTGTTTTTCTCTCAACACCTCCGCCACCATGCGATTTCTCATTCAAAAAACCATCGAGCAATCCACCGAAAGCCATATTTTTTTTTCGTTTTGTTGATAGTACTTTGTCTAGAAACAACCAAAAACAAATAAAATTGACAATTTGCGAGAATAATTAACGAGTGAAGAGACAAAAAAACACAAAAACAAAAAAGAGCAAAAATCTGTGACCTTTTAAGTTTTCCAAAAAAAAAAACACAACTGATATAAAATGAAGTGGAATAAAATAAAGTTGAAAAAACCATAATTTTAAGTGGGGGAAACTTAAAAGTCATTTGCTTTTTCCTTCCTTTTTTTCTAGTTTTGTTTTGTTTTCCGCAAAACAACACAAAATTGAATATTTATTTTGGTTGGAAATGGAAATAGGCTTTGTTTTAGAAACGGTGAGGACATGATGTTTGAAATCTGAAATTTGAGTTCTGATTGATTTTCAGCAGCGAAAAAAATCTGAAAAACAACCAAAATATCAATTTTCAATATTTTCTGATGAAAACAAGAGAAAACAACAAAACATTTTCTAATTTATACCTTTGCAAAAAATTTATTAGTCCTAAAAATCATGTAAAAATTTATTATCTTCTCATCTGGTGCATGATGGTTTTTATTGCTCACAAGAATAAAGTTCATTTTCAGACAACAAATGGGACAAAAAAACTGGGGAAAAAGGAAGAAGTTTTTTTTCAAAAATGTTTTTCGAAAATCGGAAACAAAACAGATTATCTGTACTTTTTTTGTTGGAAAATTGAATTGAAAAAAAGGTAAAAGAACACAAATCTTCCTGGTTTGAGACTTCGCGGTAGAAATTTTGAGTGATATGTCAAAAACATGAAAAATCTTGTCTCACCCAAAAATAACATGATGTTTGGCTCAACTCGAGTTAGAAGAAATCAAGAAGATTGAAATTTGAGAATGAATCATTAGCACTATGTCACTCAACTTTTCGTTCCAAAAATAAATAAATAAATGTTTTTCAGCAGTTGCAAAAAAAACTATAACAAGTATATATAACAAAAGCAGTTGGTGTTGTGTTCCGACCTGAGAAGATCAGCAAAAAAGTAAGTGAGTAAGTAAACTGGAAAAAAACAGCTGGTCAGAGTGAGAGTGGGTCAAAAAGTTTGGTTATGATTTTTTGTAGTATAGTTTTGGAGACTGCTTGCAAATTGGGAGTTTTTGAATTGAAATTTCACTTCCAAAAAATACAATTTGCAGAGAACATTTTCATGGAGGTTTATTTGCAACATTTCGAACGAAAGATGATTTTTCCGAAAAAAGAAATTATGACAATTTTGTCTCGTTTCCAAATTTTGACTTTTGTGATTCATAAAATCTATTTTTGAATTTTTTGGAATTACCTAATAGTCTCTAGGCGCGGCTGCGAGGAACAACGCTTTCTAGGTTCCGATCCTTGAGTAGATCTAGACATGGGTTCTGGAAAATTAGTTCACCAAGCTCTTGTAGATTCAGTTTGAAATTTTTTTACTAAAAAAAAATTTTACTCTAGATTTATATTTTGAACCCTAAACTCTCTCTCTCTCTCCTAGAAATCCCAGAAACAAAAAAAAAGATGACGTAAACATGACACTTGAACAAAATAAAACAAAATTGGAATTCCAAGTATTTTGAGAGATAATTAATCAAACAAAACATCACAAATTATATGTAGAAAAAACAAGAAAAACACAACGACAAAACAAATTTTTCACTTTTTCAGCAAGCAAAAGAAAATTTTCAGCAGGACCACAAAACTCTTTAAATTCATTAGGGAGTTAAGAGTAGAGTAGGAAAAGCCGGAAGCTGATTTTAGATTTGTGAGAGACTGTGAAAATTGGAAAAATAGGGAAACCTATAAATTCTCCAAATCTTGGGAAATAAATTAAATCTAAAAATCAGGTTAGACCAAAAAATAATGAAAAATAAGATGGAAAAATATTTTTGGCAGGAGAAAATCTAAAATTACTACAGACTTATAAGACTACAGAAAATTCAAGTCACGACACAAGTTTTTAAAAATGTTTTGGGAAAGAAAATATACATTTTTAATTCAGGAAGTCAGTAAAAAACGCAACTTTTCTTTCTAGTTTTATAGAATTTTGTGCTAAAAATATCTGAATGAGTGAGCATAAAATGAAAAACCTCCCACTTTTTTTTGAAATAAAAAAGATTCGTAATTATCTTTGAATGAGTAGGCTTCCCTAGAGAAAAATTAATTATTGAACGGAGTTAGTTAGAAAATACTTAGCCTATGATTCAACTAAATTAAAGAGATCAAAAAATGAATTGGGAAAATATCTGCAAGACATTCTTTGGGTGAAAAAAGCAATTAGAAACACATAATGTTGACCATTCCGATAGAGCCAAAAAAAAGATGAAATGAAATTCTATAAATTTTAAATAACACCAATATTTCGACTACAAAAGGAAGTCGCTATTGGTTTTTTCCTTCCCGTTTTTGCTTGGTTTTTTTTTTGGTTTGAAGAAAACCAGGTTAAAATTTAAAAAATGTGAGAAAAATTGCACTTATTCCAAAAAAAAGGAACTTTTTTTTGAACATACACAAAACACGTGTCACAAATCAAACGAAGAGAAAAAAATCCATTTTCAAAAACAAAAATGCAAATTTTCCAGGTTAGTAAAAGGAAGAAAAGATCAAGTCTTGTTTTTCATGCATCCCTCGTTTTTCTCACATCTCATCACATAAAATTTCTTATTAATAAATAATCTCTGAATTATTTTGACACACACACACGAAAATGTCACAACACTGACTGAAAATCGGAGAATCCCATGGGTTTCGAGCCAAAAAAAACACGACAAAATAAATAAGAAATGAAATCATCATTCGGGTTTTCAAATGGGTTTTCATTTCGAGAACACGAAAACCAACACAATTTTTTGGACTGAATTTGGTGAGAAATGATTTTTTTTGGAAATTAGGAAAAAAGGGAACATAGAAATGTTTCATTCACAGAGCGTGTTTTTACTAGTTGAAAATTTTTCTACATTCTTAAAAAAGGAGTACTTACAGTAATTTGAAGGATTCAGATTCTATTCTCTATATTCCATTTTCAATTTATTTTTCGAATGTACACATAAAACGCAACAAAATAATTAAACTCACAAGCTTTTGTGTGTCATTAAAAAAGTGCTGAAAAGCCAGAGAGATGTAGAAGAACTTTGAACATATTTTGGTTGTTTTCTATTTTTTGGTCTTATCTATCTGACTAAAATAAAACTAATTTCGAAAAAAGAGGCATATTTTTGCATGAAATTGGCCAAATATACCGTATCCACGCAAAAAAGAAAAAAATAAAAATAAAAATATTTTTCTTTTTTTGGATGAAGTGATGTTGATAATGTTAATTATTTATGGAAAATGTTGCGATTTTGATGATGATGTTGAGGTTTTTGAGAACATTTTTTGGATGATTATAAAAAATCAAATTATTATATGATGAAAAAGTGTGAGTCAAGAGATTTTTTGGGAAAATCAAAAATCTTTTTTTGGGGAAGACATTCCATATCATAAAATGTGAATTGCATTGTTTTTATTTTTGAAAAAAGCAAGCAATATTTTATGAGTATCTCTGTGAACTATAACAAGTCAAAAATCTGACCAAAAACACAATCTAAATAAAAAAGTATATAATTATACATCGGGGGAACCCCCCGACCAAAGAGTAGTCTTCTGACGCGAAAAAAAGAAATTGAAATATTTTGAGCCATCTTATTTAGTTACATGACACTATGATCAAGTTGGATTAGTGTCTGGTGTATTTGTCGTAATTACTTTTTCTTGGAAAATTTTTTCAGAACTTTTGGACTTGTTTTTCTTGTCATTGTCAGTGTGTTTTTTGTTCAATTAAGATGTCTTATCAGCTTTTTTTTGCGAAGTTAATAGGATTTGACAATTTTTGATAATAATTTTATGAGGGAGGAAGAGGACAACAGTTCAAAAAGAGCATTTGGAACAATTATGTATTGTTTGGCCTTTTTTTTCGAATTAATATCAGGATGTGCACTAAATTTTCAAATAAAACAGTCGTAAAACGTGTTCTGATAAGAATAATCACCTGATAGAGAACGGTTTTCAAATTCAGCATGGACAGATTATATCATCAGTTCCTTTGAAATCTGAAAGGCACGTTCTGCTAATTGTAAATCAAAGTGAGAAAATTTTTGGCTAGAAAATCACTGTGAGAGCTCGACCGACAATCAAAGGGGACTAGCCATGTGCTATGACAATGGGATAGCTAAAACAAAAAAAAAAATTAAGTAAAAGAATTGAAACATGTCCAGGTCTTTTATTGTAAAAACAAACCAAAATAGATTGCGAACTTTTTTCATCATCTCTGAAAAAAAAATCGTGCCAAAAATAATCTTCTTCCTGTTCACAAATATCTTCTATTCAAATTTCATCACTCCATTTTCATTTTCGTTTTTTTTCAACGTCATTTTTAGTAATTAAAAAGAAGTCGAAACTATTAGTTCTTGTTATCGCAAAAAAATCGGGTTAGAGAAATTATCAGCGAAAAAATCGTATTAATACGATGGGCAAGTAGCTCTTTTCTCACTTTTGTCAAAATCAAACATGAAGTCGATTATTTTCTTTATCGCATTGTTAATTGGTGAGTTTTTCTTTTTAATTTGCCGTTTTCAAAAAATACCTAACCTAAAACAAAGTTTTACTTGCAGTTGGTACAAGATCTCAAACAGCTTCACCATCTGCTTATGTTGATCGTGAATGTGGTCAAAATTTACAAACTCTTTGGCTAGATGTTGTCGTAGTTGTTGATAACTCTGCTGGTATGACAAATACTGGTTTGACTCAAGTTGCTTCCAATATTGCTACCGTTTTCTTGAATGGAACACAAATTGGTTCAAACTATACTGATCCAAGATCGACTCGTGTTTCATTAGTCACTTATAATTCAGATGCCGCAATTGTGAGTTCGACAAAAAACAATAAGAGATATTTATGATTTATTTAGACAGCAGATCTCAACACATACCAATCGATTGATGATTTGATGGGCGGAGCATTTGGTGCACTTGGAGCTGCTAGTCCAAATACAGAATCAACACTTCAACGAGGAATTGCAGCCGCTGAACAAGTTTTGAATAATGGACGTCAAGGAGTTCGAACAAACTACAAACAAGCTGTTATCATCTATGCCTCTGAATACTCGTTAGTTATACAAATCATCAAAATGAGAGAAAAATTATTCAAATAATTTCAGAGGAACTGGAGAAAAAGATCCAAAACCAGCTGCTGATCGTCTCAAAGAATCTGGAGTTCAAATCATCACTGTTGCTTTTAACCAAGATGGAAATCAAGCCCTTCTTGCAAAACTTTCTGAAATTGCTAGTCCTGGATACAATTTCACTAGTTTGGACACCAATATTGTTGGGGAAATTCAAGGAGCTCTTCTTCAAAGTAATTAGAAATTTTTTTTTGAAAAACAAACTAATTTTTCAGTCAACTGTTTCTGTCCTGATTTGTGGGTTCAATACAAAGCTGACTTCAACGATCGTGCCGCTTACAAATATGGAGTTTGTGTCAGAAGTGCTGGACTTCAATCAGCTTGGACACCAGCCAAATTTGCTTGTCAAAACTTTGCCAAAACTGGTTTCTTGGTCAGCGAATTCAGTCAACAAAAACATGATTTCGTGTTTGCTCTCGTTCAAAATGATCCAACCGTGACTGCTCCATTCATGTATCACATCGGATTGAGTAAAATCAATGGAGTTTGGTCTTGGCAACAACCAGCTGGACAATCAGTATTGCCACTTCAAGGATATTCAAAATGGAATCCAGGATATGCAACCAGTGTTTCCTCGGATACTGCTGTATTGAACAGTCAAACTGGTACTAATTTGGACGCTGGATGGCAAAATATCAGTCCATACACTGTTTCGAAGAACTATGTCTGTGAATCAAACTCATGTGATACTGATAATTATTGTGCTTAGATTGTATTTAACCATTTTTGATGAACTTTTTTGCTTCTATTGGAACTTCACAATTTAGACAAAGGGAAAATCTGATTCACTTTAAAGAAGAAATTAGATATTTTTTTTGAGAGAGCGAATATGGCGTAGAAAACCAAAAATTTCAGACAAAGTATCAGAAGAGCCGACAAATACTCTAATTATTCCGGCATATCTGAAAATGGTGCCGGATGGCATACGGTAACATACTCTTTGGCTCAAGGCTCATGTGACACTGATAATTATTGTGAATAAAATTGTTTACTGTTCAAACGTTTAGCAATAAAAAAAAATGATTCGTGCACCGACATAATTTGAAAAATCTCTGTAATCGTCATAAACATTTCCCATTCTTATCTAATCAGTCTTCATTTTCCCAATTATTTGTTCTCATAAATGTCGATTCTAATTTTTTTGCTAATAATCAGCTCATCTGTTTCGGCTCAAGAAAGATTGTGTGGCAATGATTTATCGAATCTCTGGCTTGATGTTGTTTATGTCATTGACAACTCGATTCCGATGACTAATTCTGGTTTGATTCGGGTAAGAATTACTCTTCAAGATGTTATAAGTGATGTTTTTATTTAAAATAGGCTTCTGCTCAAATCATCAGTGTTTTTGGTGGAAATACAAAAATTGGAAGTGGATTTAGTGATCCACGAAGTACTCGAGTTGGAATTGTAACATATAATACAAATGCTAGTGTTGCAGCAGATCTGAATCGCTTTGGTTCCTTCAATGATCTTGTTTCAAATATTTATGGAGTTGTTGGAAGTGTTAGCAGCTCTAATCAAGCAATTCTTGACGTTGGATTAACAAAAGCAAAAGAAGTTCTCGATTCTGGACGTGCAAATAATGTTCGATCAAATTATCAACCAGTGATCGTAATTTATGCTTCACAGTTTGTGTTAGTTCTCAATTTTAAACTGAAACATTGATAATTTTTAGATCAACTAGTTCGGTTTTAAAAACATCTGAAAATCTTAAAAACTCGGGAATCACTATAATAACTATCCCATTTGCAAAAAATGTTGATCTTTCACCAATATCTTCTCCTCATTCAAATATTGATGCAGGTGGATATCAAACAGTTACTGATATTCAGAATAGATTACTTCAAAGTGAGTTTGTCTTTTTTATAATTAACTAATTAATTAATTTCAGTTAATTGTTTCTGTCCAAATAATTACATTCATGTCAAAACATCCACAAAAAACTACGGATCTTGTATTAAAGTCAATTCTCTTGCCGCTGCATGGATTCCAGCTCGTTTGGCTTGTAGTGCATCGATTGCTGGAGGATATTTGGCCAACGAACTCAATCAAGATAAACATGATTTCATTTTTGAAACTGTTCAGAATTCCACCAATTTTCACGAACCATATTCATATTTCATTGGCTTGAGCAATTCAGGAAATGGAACATGGTTTTGGGAACGAGCAAATGGGAATAAAGTTGCCTTGAGCACTCAATCTTTCTGGAATCCAAATTATCCACCACAATCGATTACAACACCTTCGTATGTATTTAATAATCAAACAAGTAGTTCAACGATTGGTTGGCAGACAACAGGAGCAAGTGCTTTTGGTTATATTTGTGAAGTTATTACTTGTGACACTGATAATTACTGTAGTTAAATGATAACTATTGATGCCCTTATTTTATTTATTTACAAAAATATTTTCTATCCAAAATTGAAGAAATATCAAAAATAAACTTCACAAGTCAATTCAAAGTTTATCCGCAATAAGTTATACGAAATAATTTTTGATGAAGCCTACACCTAAATGAATACGCCTAGTCTGCGTCTAATTTTCGAAATCCCCTCCAATCACAGTTCACTTTCGATCATCATTATGTAAAATGAATTAAAATTGAAATGTTTTGCACATTTCAAAACTTCATATGATTAATGTTTTCGCCGGCGGGGAGGAAACAACAATAATAACAACAATGTTGTGAGAGCAAGAAGATGAGAAGAGCAACAAACAAATTTTCAGACGAACATTTTACACTTTGCACTTTTGTTGGTTGTTTTTGTGGGTGCAACTAACAAGAAGAAAAAAAAGAAGAAGAAGATATCAACTTGTTAATAGTGATTTTCAAAAATCGTAGATGTTATGCAAACTTTTGTTACACATTTTTTCGTGTTTTGCTTGTTTTCTTTCTGTTTTCTCTCAAATTTCCATAGTCTATTTATAATATTTTTTTGCACCTATGTCTCATCAATTATAATCGGTTGTAATATCGTAGATTTAACGGAAGTCACGTGCAAACATGTGTTGTATTTATTTCGATTTTTGATTTTTGAAGATTTCGTTTTATTATCTTCAAAAAATGTTTTTTGTGTCAACAATTTCACAAAAATAATATGCCTTTGATTTGGTTTTATCAATATTCTGCCAACCGTATTCCTGCAAATTCCAAACTTCAAACATAGTTTTTTTCGAAGAACACTCACAGTTGTATTTCCTTCCATAGAATTCCAAACTGCAGTTAATGTAGATGAAACAATCGGATAAAATGGATTCCAAAAAGTTGAATTCACTTGAATTGCTTGTTGTCCAGCAGGTCTTTGCCAATACCAAGAATTTCTCGCATAGCTCAAACCAATATGATAATTCGATGCAATCGGAAAATTATCTCTCGCCAATTGTGACACAAATTCATGTTTTTCCGCATCTTCTTCATTCACCATGTATCCTTGATTATGCTCATTTGGACAAATTGCTTGAGCTGTTGACCAAGTTACTTGATCATTTCTTGGCAGAATACAAACAGTTTTATAAGAAGTCCAACCATCGGGACAAGAACACCAAATAAACGAGGAGAGAGTAAAAATTAGAAAATATAATTGTTTCATATGATCTGTTATCTATTTCTAAATATGGTTTCGTATTTATTCTTTATTTTTATCAGATTGGACAATGATTGGCATCAAATTCGTTTTTTTGCATTAAAAAAAAACAATTTTCGAGCAGTGGAAGAGAAATCCAAGCACAGTATATTTCGAGGGCTTTTTTCAAATTTGAAATAGGATCGGAATGATGAAAACAATCAACAATTTTTGAGCTTTTCAAACTAGAATCAGAAGTTCCAAAGCTCATCAAGTCTGATAAAAATAAAACATCAACGACGAAACACAAAGAAAAAAGAGTGCGAGACATGCAATTTTTATCAATGAGGCGCACTTCCATTTTTACTTTCATATTCTTGTTTTTGCTTTTTGAAAACTAAATTTTGATGAGTTAGCTTAATTTTTCTCAATTTTTCAAGATTTTTTTCAAATTTTACAGAATTTTTTATCGATTTTTTTCAACTTTTTCCGAAATCCCTCCCCAAAAAACTCACCAATCGCTTCTATTTCTCAAATAACACAGAAATCATCGAAAACCCTATCGAAATCCTTGATAAATCCATAATCCTCCAAGTGTTCCACGTTATTGGCATTGAAATCCAATTGTAGAGCATCTAAAAATTCAATTTTTGACTGAAATCCACTGATTTTCCCGGAAACCTGAAAACCCAGCGAAAAAAAACGAAAAATGAAAATATTCTTGTGTTGCGCTAAACAGCGGGCAAGCGGAGTGTCGTGTGGTGTTGTTTGCGGTTTTCGGAGAGAATTTATTTTTTTGCGTTTTTCATAGGGAAGATTTGAATGAAACTTGTTGTAAAATTCATATTTATCATTTTTCCTAGTAGAAGAAACATAAGTTTAGTTGATTTTCGATAGTTTTATTCTAAAACTGGTGTTTGAATTCAACTAACAATGCGATTGATGAACTTGTTCCCTTGTTAAATTTAAAAATTGTACATTCTTGAATTTTTCTTCCGTTTAAAGTAATAATCGATTCGATTCATTTCTATTTTACAGGAAAAACGCCAGCAAAATGATGCAAATATCGAAACAATATATGAAGCGGAATTTGGTTGGATGATTTTATAAAACGAGTAAAACTGGAGGAAAAGTGAGTTTTTCAACATTGTTTTTAAAAATTTCAAAAAGCAAAACTTGCTACTTTTTCCCCGAAACTGTCGTTGCGAAAGGGTGAGCAGAGCACAGTTGCCAAAACTCAGACAACCTCACACAAATTTTAATTATCCATCATCTAACAAAAAAATCTTGACGTTTGTTTTCTTCTTTGCAAACAAAAAACATATTTATTTCGGTATTCGAAACAACTTATAATTAAGATTGAGTCCGTCTGGGCACTTAAAGTACTCGTAATCGCGCACTAAAACCTGAAATTACATAGCATAATATTTAGCTTAAAGGAAGTGTACAGTGAAAACATTTATGACGAAAAATGCACTAATTGAACTTATGTTGTAGATCAAAACATAAATGTAAATCTGAAATGACTCCAAAAACATGCTCCCATAATTTTTTCTGAGAATCTTGTTTCTTTGAATTATTTTATGTCATGTCACAACAAAGTTCAAGTGATTGATCGTATTGCAAGAATACAAATCTACATTTGTTACAAAAATATCTGCGAACTACAATCCGAAAGTACGTTGGATGTCTGGTCACAGATAGAATATCATACGTACATAATTAGTCAGGGGACTTTTGCTGTTGGTCTTGTGATTCTTGAAGATGACTTGTGACTAACTGAAAGAGGACAATAAACATGGTTTTGTTGGTCTTGAAATGTCGCGCCGAAATAATTTGAATTCCTGATTTTGTTTACTTGGAAAAATATCAGCTGGTTCTGAAACACTTTAATATAATTTTCTAAATATTATTATCAAATGTTTCACCTGCTAGAAATGTGGGAGAAAATATCCTCGACTTCATCTTTGTTCCAAGCAAAAAATTAATGTTAGATTTTTGAAATGTGATTAGCAGTTTCACCTGAGTCATTTTTCATAATTTGTGACATATTTTTCAGATGTTTGATATAGGAAAAATCTAATGATTCGGCGCCTAAAAAATTTACCTGTCAAGGATCAGCACCTGGAGAGTATAGCTCTCAAATAGCCGCACCTCGTTTTCAAGTAGCCACGAGTAGAGAATTCGATTAATTAAGGGTAGAATTTAGAGATTCTAATTCTCAAGAAGGTGCGGCTTCATGAAAAATCTGAAAGAATTGCACATTTTGAAAAAAAGGTTTAACTTCCAACATTTGAACACCAAAATAATAATTTTAAGTTTCAAAATTCCATTTCTCATTAGATCAAACCCGATTTTTTTATTGAAAAAAATCCCCACTTATTTTCCAAAATTCCGATTTTGCAAATTTTTATGTTTTCTCTATATTTCCAAAAATTTCTCATTTCTGATTACTCAATTCTTTGACGCAATTTTTATTTTCTATGTAAAAAGGTAGAAAAGGTTATCAATTGAAATGATTGCATCGAAACCAAATCAAAGAATGAACCGGAACTCACAAGTCCACATTTCTCTTTGTGATATAAATAATTTCCTCATCTATTTTTTGATATTTATAAATCTAAATCTATACAACAACACAAATCAAAGTGTGGGTTGATATTCCCTTGTTGTCTCAAACCTATTAGTATTGTTATTATTATTATTATCATTATCACTAGTAAATAGTAAAATATTATTTATATTTTTCGTTTATTATCATTGACTAGCTAAACATAGTCCATTTTCAGTAAATCCTCTTCCCATTCCATCCAAAAATAGCGTGTTGATGTAGCTCAAAAAAACATTTATCTAAAATGAAAACAATGAACATCGAGAGAAAAATTGAAAAAGAGACACGTGGAAAAATACCAAAAAATTTACAGGATTTACTAGAAGTTAATTTTTAATTTTTTTACATCACATTTCATTTGGCGGACGGATGTTTTGGGGGGCGATAAAATATGAAATTGATAAATAATTGTGGGTTGGAATGAATTATAGAATGACTAGGGTTCGAGATCTAGGGAAGATGGTGGGTACCCGTGAAGAAAAATAAAGTCAATTAAAAAATATATATATACTGTAAGGAAAAATTCATCGTGCATCTGGACAACAGCCAGCCATAATTTCAGCCTTATTACACATTCTTTCACAACATGCTTTTGATATTCCAGTCTCAAGCCATTCTGAAAATCGAAACTTATTTTTGAAATTTCTAGAAATAAAATCAACTAACCAGACTGTACTGTGCAACCGTTTGGACATGTATTTGTGACTAGTGCTCCGAGTTTGCTACCGCATGCTCGAACTTTTTGTTGAGTTGTCCGTCGTGCTCGACTTCTGAATAATTTAGTGATATCAAATTCGTCTTCTTGATTTGTTTCCTCAATATTTAATCGATCTCGAAGTTCATTTAATAATCTATTTTCTTCGGATCGCAATGTTTCAATTTTTTCAGCAATCATTTCTTCCTCATACGATAAATTTGAACATGTGATAATATATGACATATTAATAATAATTGAAACAAACAAAACTGTAGATGGTGATGTTATCATATTAGACTAGACTATTTATGATAAATATATATGATTTTGATTTAGATTTAGATTAGCAGCACAATAATATTATTAAAAGAATCAAAGAGTGCGAGGAGCAAAAAGGAAAATGAGATCTGCCTTTTTATTCTTTCTATTCGGTCAATTTTGAAGAGGGCGGAGCTGAAAGATGAAAAACGAAAGAAAATGAAGAAGCTAAGCAAAAAAAAGGGGCGGGGCGATATTTTTGAAACAACTTTAGGGATTATATTGCGTAATAAACGACAATAACAACAATAATATAGGAATATTTAAGAAAAGTAAGAGGAGAAGAAGAAGAAGAAGGTGTGTTCGGGAAGAAATTTGAGATTATTGTAGTACACGCAATTTTGTGTTGTGTTGAAATTAGTGAGCTCAAATTTCAGAAGAAGTGCAAGAAGATTCAAAATTTTTTGGAAAAAATAAAGACCGGAAGTTCAAGATTTTCAAAAATTGGGTTCGACAGGGGGTGGATATTTTCCAAACTGCAGAAAAGTGCTAGAAGCTTACTGCGAGATCCTCCAAAAATTTTGGATAGACTTTTGATCCTGTTTTCTATTTATTTGGAACTCGTGTCTGTTCTAGGATCTTTTAGGTTTTCTGATTTTTCTGAAGAGATTTTGAATTTGAGAAAAAAATTATGATAACTTTTTTACTAAAAACTTCTAATGAACAATTTCCAGACCTCACACTTAAAATCCTGATTCTGCACTTTTTTTTGCTACGTAGTGTTAGTTTTTCATTGAATCTCACGATACTACAAAACGAAAATGACACCTCATCTGCAAAAAAATCCTATTACGAATTTTTGATGTCTGGAGAAAATGAGAGCATATTTGGAATGTTTCCAACATTTTTTTCTTATTAGGAAAAAAAGTACGCCGGCTCTTGCGCAATCTTGGATAACAATTAGCTCTTTCCTATATATTTAGCTATAATTAATTATGTATTGGATAGACAGAAGAAGAATGAGACAGGATTATCAGTACAGTGCCAATTTTCTTTGCACTTTTTTTGGCGAACAGCAAAATTTTGGAATTATTTAAATTTGGATTTTTTTATTACGAAATGCATGATTTACATATGTCAGAAGCTTTTTGCACAGATATATGACAAAAATTTTGAAAAATGTTGCCATATTTGATCGATAATGTGTTATTTTAACGTCATCCTCGCTATTTCTAGCTCGAAAAAGTTCAAGAATTCATTTAGCTTAAATATTTCGTGATTCATAATTGCTGCTAGCCATTATAGATTAGCTAACATTTTCCATTTTTTTTAGAATCTTTTGTTTTCATAGACTTTGTTATTGTTCTGAAAACGAAATAGAAATGAAGTAAGTCCCTGAAGTGTTAATATGATATCAATAACGCCCTTTTGAATTCGAAAAACACGCTAACTCTAAAGAACTGTAAACCAAAAAATTCAAATAACAAAACTTGGAAGTGTATTATTTTGAAGAAAATCATCAGTTGACATTATATTCGATGACGATGCAAAATCAAAAATATTACATTTATATTTTAAAACAAAAATACAATTTTTGTGCTGAGGGAAGGAAGTACAAAAAACAGACATGTCTTAATCTTAAAAACATATATTTTTTTCTGTTTCTCAAAAAATTATTAGGAGGATTAAAAGATTAAAACATTATTAATTAATAAATTAAAGTCTTATTGTGTGGGAGTCTACTTGAAACAATTTGAACACCAAAAAACATATTCTAGAGAGTTTCTAGAAATGAAGTAATGATTTAATCCAAACTAGAAAATTTTCATACATTTATTTTGTCATGATTCAAAGAATAGATTTTTACATATTTTCCAGAATATTCTCGAACCTCACAAATTCTATTTCCTTTTACTTCTGAAGTTCAAAAAATAGAAATGTTGTAAATGTCGAATTTTGTCACATGACCGCTAACACTACTATTAGTAGTAACATAAATGCTAATAAACAACAAGCTGGAAATAGGTATAGGTGTATATAATTAGCAGAGTATATATTCATCAAGATTATGTTTATACTATGTTTGACAAAAAGTGTAAACAAGTTCTTGGAAGCTAACTATCACCCTTTTTTTTCTTGTTTATGAATATGTTTGGTTTGCAATAATAACATTTAAGAAATTATAAGGAAAGGGGATTATTGGAAAGTTAGGTGAAATTGTGCATCAGTGCTCAAACTAGACGTGGGGAGATCTGAAAAGTGAAGAGTTGGTGAGCTTATGAAGCATGTCTTGAGTAACTCCTAAGTACTGTAAGCCAAAGCACAAAAGGTCTTCTGGACAGAAAAAATAAAAGTTAGAATTTTCAATTGTCTAAATTGGACCATTTCTTCAACAAAAAAATCAAAACTTGCTTCTCGAATGACCATTTTTATTATATTCATGTTGGTCCGGTTCTGGCTCTCATTGAAAACGTCAACATGAGATCAACCCGATTCGAAGCATTTTTCTATGATCAAGCAACCAAACTACATCACGTTATCCTATTTTTGCAAGTCTAATTATAACACGCATTCAGTTAGATCCAAATCCCAAATGACTCTACTCTCACCAAAAAGTTAGTCATTTTTAGAACATGATCTCTTGGATGATTCTTACGATAGAATAAGGTTTTTTTTTCATACAAGTACAATTTCTTCAAAATGCTTTTGTCGTGCTTCAAAAATAAGCACTTCACGGACATTGCAATTAAATCGCTGAAAATGTTGTGAAAACTATTATTATCTGATCGGCTAGTAGTTGTATGATGTGATGGAAAACTGAATTATTGAACTTTTTGATTGCTAGGCTCATCAAGAAGTTTTGTGGTCCAAAAATAGTTTACGACACATTTTATTGAACTTGAAAAAGTGGTCAGTGTCTAGGAATTTCATGGGTTATTGGAATGGAGCATTAAAACATTTTTACTTTTCTCAGAATCTGAAAAATGGGTCAAAAAAATTTTGAGGGGGATATGAGCTCTAAAGGTTTTTTGTTGGGTGAGATCGAAAAAGAGCTTGAAGTTCTCCAAGAACTCGAAGCCTTGAAAAACAATTTTCTAGGAACTTTCTAAGAGCTCGAAATTTTTTCATTTTTATTTTTTTGGAAGAAATCAAAACTTGATTGTCTGATCAAAAATTCACTTTTTCTCATTGTGTGAAATTCACGTGGGTAAGTAAGTAAGCAAGCCTGAAACGCACGTCATTTCCCATTTGAGAATTTCAGAGGGTTTAATTATAAGTAGTTCATATGCATATTTTGTGACATATAATAATCATGACTAATTCAAATTTCCATACTTCTTCTTTCTTTTCAATCTCGTCACTAGAATAAAAAGGAATGTGGGTGCATAAAAAAATCATATTGTTCGTTCCATTTTTATGAGTTCAATTGAAATGACATCTTTCTCATTTTTCACACCACGCTACTACTATACGACTTCCTGGTTTTTGTGATTGAAAAAATTTGAGAACAAAGAGGATGTAAATTAAATCGGGAGGTGTCAGTCAGATTTGGATTTCGTCAAATGTTGTTTTGTCAATTATTTCTTGAGCGAGCCGTCTTGAGGGAAATGGAACAGACGTATGAACACTGAATTTTGATATTTCAGACGAAATTATTTCTGAAAACTGAAAAAGGGACTCACTCCTACCACAACAAACTATTTTGAGGAACAATAACCTTTGCGTGCAAAATTCTGGATTCAAAAAAGCATATTTTCAAAAAAAATTTCAGCCAGACATTTTGCAAAACCTGAACACGCCAATTGGAAATTCAATATTTTTGAACTATCAAAGTTCAATACCAAATTGTTTTTTTTTCTTCAAAATTTAATTCAAAAATCCGTTTGAAACCCATCAAAAGATATAGTTCAAAAAACATTGCTAATAGACATCAAGAATTAGACACATGTTTCTAAAATAGGCAAATCCGTTTGAAAAATGTGTGAAAAAAAGGTCGAGTCACTGACTCAAAAGCATATTTTTCTCACGTGACCTGATTTTTTGTCCTCGAAAAAAACACGCCACTTGATATTTAGAAATGGTCATTTTGGACGGATCAAAAGGATTAAAATGGTGAGGGAGTTAGAAATTGGGGAGAAATACTGTAGGTACAGTAATCAAAATAATAAATTATTGATTTTCAGTCAAAATTTCGTGGATTTAAAGAGGAAGATTATCGCCCTTCTGTTTTGCCATCGTGGATTTCGTGGTGGCTTATTTTTTCAGGTAAAATTTAGAGCCTTGAAATCTGGGTGGGAACAAGAATTCTGCGAATAGATTTTTTTAAAATCTTTGGAACTTCAGATATTCAGAAAATTGGGTCGAAATCCACCTAGTTGGAATTCGCAAAAAAATCCATTTTTTTCTGGAAATGATCATTGCTTTGACACGTCACAGTTCACGTTTTATTGACACTTTTGACAAATTTAAATTTATGAAATTAAAAAATCTTAATTTTCGCCCTCTCATTAAAATCCCTTAAGGTGAAATTTATTTAGAAATGTTCATTTCTCCCGGTCACGTGAAATTCTGATAAATATATATTTATCAAAAATGCTTCATTTCTTACCTACACGTGTGGTGTAGGCGGGGAGAGCGATGCCTTCCAATCAGGCAGCCCTCTTCATTTTGTGGGTTCGAGCCCCACTCGGGAAAAATTTTTCCCTATATCGAGTAATGCAGATTTTCGGAAATTTTGTTCCTTTCTCCCCAAAATTGCGAAAATTCGACATTCCAACGCGGCAAAAAAGAAAAAAGAAGATGGAGAAGAAAAAGCTTAATAAAAAGAGAAAATCGAGAAAATATCATGCGTGACCCATGAATGAAAAAGGCTGATTCTTCAGATGCTGTTGGCATTGTTCAAGAATTCCAAATTCCTAACTGGCCAAGAATGTTATTCAAGTCTTCAATACGAAAAAAAGATTGAATAAGTTTTTTTTTCAAAAAATTGATGGATGACTTCATCCATGGCAAAATTAGGAAGCCTTCCTAATTTTGCCACGAATCATTTTTTGATCAAAAAATTTTAAATTTTCTATAAATTTGATTGTAAGTCAATGTTTTGTGGACAATAATCACAGAAAAAAGTGAAACTGAAATAAATGAGAAGACTGTTACGCCTGGGGGCTAACAGCCCCTAGTCTGAATTTTAGCTGAATTGATATTTTCAAAAATTACAGTTCACGCTTCAGATTTCAACAAAATCCCAAATTTTCACGATCTCTCAAAATTCTCCCTTTTTTCCAGGCGTCGTTTGCACAATTGATGTTCTCTATACAATGAATCGGCCATATACAAATGATCGTTCTCAACCATTTCACTCATTCGTTTTTGCCGGTTGGCATCTTTACTCGAATGTCGATCGACAATATAGGGAAACTAATAATCTTGTCACAACAACAACTGGTCGTGTTATGTTATTGGAATGTTTCTTGAATTTTTTGGCTGTTGGAATGGTGAGAGAAGGGGGAAAACGGTTTTAATCTTTGATCTAGCTTTCGACTTTTAAAAAAATGAAAAATTTTGCAAGACTTCCTGATATCCGATATTAAATATTTTACTGTTTAAGCTTACGCTTTAAGAATTGTGAAACCAACTTTTGATGTCTAGTAAAAATTATTATTATATTCCAGGCAAATGCTCGTTCCCGTCATGCAATTCTTCTCGCATTCACTACAAATTTGATGGTTTGGTGGAAAACTGTAATGTACTTCACATTCTTTCTCAATCCACCTGCCGGAACTGAAGAATTGTTCAATCAAAATTATTCGTATTTCCAAATGTTTATGATTTTTTGGGTGCCGAATGGTTGGTTTTTTGTTTTGATATTTGATATTCAAATTGTTTATTTTGCGTTTGCGAAATCGATATGTTTATAATCAGCCCGCTATAAAAGGCGAACTCAAAGTGCATAAAAACAGTATTCTTCTGATTCGAATTCTCTAAATTGTTAGTTTATCTCTGGAAAGCTATCGGAATAATTGACGAAAAATCCGAGCTGCCTCGAGATAGACTGATGATTCATTTGAGATCTCTTTCTATTACCTTCTCAAATCTAATATTCATTCAGGAATTTGGATGGTTTTCCCAACATTGATCCTGATTGTACTTTGGAATCGTTTGGCCTTGCCACCAAAATTGGAAGAACAGTTAGTTTTTCTGAGAAATGTATAATATGAGCAATGTATGTTTTCTTTCAGGTACTGGAAAATCAACAAGAAATGTCGTGGGGAGTTGACTTTCGAGGCTGATGATTGATTGATTTGTGTTTTGTGTACCATGAATAAAGATTTTTGGGATTTGAATGAGGATTGTTCAAAGATCTGGTCCAAATTGTTCATATCAGCTTTACATTTTTATATTTTTGGTTGCATTCATCTGAAAATACAAATTCTGTTTTGGGGAATTTTGAATGGAGAGAAATTCCAAAAAAAATTCTCTGACTATAGTTCTGACGAACATAAACCCACGGATTTCTGAAATTTCTCAAAGTTCACCAGTAAATACAATTTTCCATCATTTTATCTTGCAAATCCACGTGGGCAAAAAAATCGCCGAAAAATAAATGTGTCAAATACATTTCTTCCTGCTTATATTTAAATAACAATAATAATCTCCTCATTTTTTTATTTAGTCTAACTCTATTAACCCTCTTCTAACTAATAATACTTTTTTCTGCTAACCGGAAGCAATTTGTTTTTCTTCTTGGCGATTTTCAGGTGAAAAAAAACGATTTTCTGAGGAGCAAAGCGCTACAAAAAATTAGTATTTGAGGCGTTTTTTTTTGGTTTTTCCTCAAAAGGCAATATTTTTGATGCGAATACCATAAATCATATGAAATTTACTATTTCGCAAAAACTTTTTTGTCTTGGATACGAATGCTTTTTTTTGCAATTCAAAACACAATTCCCTTTTTGGCGATGAAAGAGTTGTTGACACGTCATAAATAGTACAACTTTTGATCTTATTTCCTTTCCGCGAAAAATCACGTTCCGCATTGCTCATAAAAGAAGTACGGTAATCCGCGGATTAAAAAATTTTACTATAAAACTTGTTTTTTCGAAATGAATGAAAACATCTTTTTATTTTTTCATTACAAATTACTTGTGGCTCGTAAAAACTTGCTGATGTGAAGAATATTTTTGTTGGCTCCAAGCACCAATGTTTTTCAAATTGAAAAAGTAAAGTGCAAATCTGCATTCTTTGGAGATTTATGAGATAAGCCAAGGCCGCAGACATTTTTTCATGATTAGCAAAAAAACACTTGTACTTTTTTTCAGCACACACATTTTTTTGGAAATAAAATGAATAAGTCGGCGGAAAAAATGACATGTTATTGTGTGTTTTTTTTGAATTTATGATGTCAATTGCAGTAGCCACGCCTAGAAAATTCAATTGTCAAGGATCAGTGTCGAGAAAACCTGGTTCCCAAGTAATCGCGTCTAGAGAATCTAATTGTCAAGGAGCCACAACTAGACAATTTGATTGTCAAGGATCAGCGCCTAGAATTCTACTGTGGCAAGGACTCGCGTCTTGAGATTGTATATAGAAACCCAAACATCATAGGCTGACAAAAATCAGAATCGAGATGACTGATTTCTGATTTCTTCCCGCTATTCCAATGATTTATTCAAAAACAAGTGCCAGAATTCGAGTAAAAATCTGTCTAGCTCCTCGCGTCTGTCAATTTTCTTGTCCTACTTTTTCAACTTGACAGATTTATAGTCATGTTTTATTTTATTTTTTCCTCCTCGCCACTACCACTTTATTATTTTTTTTTCGAAAAAAACCCAATTTTTTGCTGTTCTTGCTTGGTGAAAAACAAATACTGACAGGTTCGAAAAAAGATTCCTGCAGAACTCAAAAAAGTGCACCAATCAGAAAAAGAGGGAAAATCTCATTTAAAAGTTTCTTCCTGGTGGGGATATTTTTTTCGAACCCTAATTTAGCCTAACCCGGTTACTTTTTTCTAAATAGTTTTTTCCTCTATTCTTGGAAAAAATCATCTTTTCAAGAATCTCCGCCCATTTATTTTGTGTCAAAAAAACCCCGCCCATCGGATTTTTTGATGGATAAAGAGGTTCATGTTCGGATAATTGCTTGTCTCAGATTTGTTAGTTTTTTGACCTTCGTGCACTTTTGAAAAAAAACGTTTGTGTTAGTTTTGAGTTGAGTGACAGCAAAGCTGAGCTCTCCATGTGTTTTCAATTGAATATAATATGAATATTCGAAAAACACTTGACTTCAAAAATAAATGTAGTTTGATGAATAGTGTTTTTTTTTGCAATTTCCTTTTTTTGCAATCACTGAATACGTAGATTACTCTTGTTTCAAATTAATTTTCTTTTTCTTCTAATTTTCTAGTATCAAATTAAAAACTCCTCTTAAGAAGACAAACAAAGAGAATATTTCCTTCTTCTGAAATTCAATCTCTCTGAAAAAATCTTTAATTTTCTAAAATAAAAAAAATTGTTTTTGGTCTGAGGAGAACAAATTAATTTTTATTATTATGTGATTGCATTTTCCGGGTTGCTTAATATTCCAAAAAGAGATTTTGACTGACTTGTTCTAATTCCACCTGCACATTTTTGATCTGACAAATTCTAAATTCGGAGAACATCAACATGTTTTTTTTCAGTATTCATATTTTCCAAGAAAAAAGTTTGGGGTTATTTTTCTTCAGTTCCCCCCAGGAGAATCCGAAAAGAGTTCTTATTTTTCCACACACCAAATATATAATGTTGAAAAATTTTGAGACTCATCTTTGAACCACCAACGAACCACCGAAAAAATTGATTAAATTTTTTGGTTGGTGAAATTTTCGAACCAAATGTGCGATGATTATTTTATAACCAGATATCCGGTCGGATTTTGATATATTCAACAAGCATAGATATTTTTATGCCTAAACTCTCTCAACTCTCATCCCAATTTTCAAACTACACATGATAATTGGCTTTTTTAACTAAACCAAAAACCTTTTTTTTTGAGGTTTTCGCCATTTTTATTTCCTTTTTATCTAGTTTTTTTTAGATGGTGAGATTTTTGTGCATTTTCAAAATTCGTCATTTTTAATAGCTTCCCCATTCGACCTAAAATATGAGTAATTCACTTAAGCTTTAACTTAAAATTTAGTCTAAGCCTAAGCCTAATCTTTAGCCTCTGATTATAATTATAAGTTTGCAAAATGTTACAAAAAATTTCATTTTGTTTTTATTCCAATCGTAAAATTGTTTTTTTTTTCATTTTTTTTCGGAAAAGTTTAAAATGAGAGGTACACATATGACACCTGTTCTCAAATTTTTTGAGCTATCAAAAATGTCAGATAAGTTTTCCAAATGTTTTTTTTTGAGACATAGTTCGGAAAGCAGATTATTCAAGATTAAGGAACTCTAAACATAAAATAAATCTGATTTTTCTTACATTCAAATTCAATTTTCTCGCAATTTGTTTAGAAAATTCTCACGTTTCTCCTCGTAGATCAGAGTGATCTACAGTAATCTAGTAACCAAAACAATTCCAAAACCAATAATTTTCGAAAATATCATCTTGGAAGATGGGAAAACAAGGTTTGTCTGCGAAATTATTGGTTTCGAATATGCAAAGATTCACATTTTCTACAGTCATAATTCTCTGCGTCTCTTTATTCTCCAAGCTCTCTCTCGGAAATGAGTTTATGATTCGAGAATGAAAATGTGGCGGAAAATGAAAATGAAATAAAATTTTGAGGCACCACACTAAAAAAATCATCGTTTTTTTTTGTTTTCTTTTTTTCATCCACTCTGAGCTCTTCTAATTTTATGCTTTTCAACAGAAATACACGTCAACGTTTTCTATTTTTGTTTTTTTTTCTAGCCGTTTTGAACTTCTGACAAGTTGTTGTTTATTGAAAATTCAAGCACTATTCATCTATAACATAAAAATATCCAACTTTTTTTTGTTTTTTTTTGAGTGACTGCCTGACTACAAAAAGATTCTTCTTTTTATTTTTCCTTTTTTTTCGTGGACAAGCAAAGCAATTGAGTTTTTACTTCAGAAAACGATTTTTGAACTTAACTGGAAGTTGTTGTTTATTTTCGAAAGCTGTTTTTATCTCAATGTGCGAAGATGATGAACCCAAAAGTATTGTCTCCTTCAGTTTGGTTATTGCAGGTTTGTGAAAATAAAATAAAGCCATTTTTATGAAGTGGATGTTTTCAGGTTCGATAATCTCAATAGTTTCAATATTCAATAATGTGCTTCTTTTTATTGCACTACTTCGGAATAACAGATGTTTCAAATGTTATTTTCATGTAAGTGGGGATCTTACCAAAAGAATTTCAACCTCGAGATTTCCTACCAGGATTCCTTTAAGAAATTTTCATCGAGGCCTTTTTAATTTCAAAAAAAAAACTTCAAACCTATTTTTTTGCAGTTCATCCTAGCCTTGTGTTTTTTCGACATCATCGTAAGTGTATGCTATATGCCAGTTATCCTTGTCGATTCTCTGAAAGTAAGTCATTTTATTTTTAGTTCAACATTTTCTAGATGCACGTATTTTGTATTTGTTTCAAATCATCGATGCGTGAAGAAGCTCATCAAATTTTTATTCGAATTTGAATTTCATTTTCATATTTTCCAGGATTGGACAAAATGGGTGGAATTGGCTAGAGCTTGGTGGCCATTTTTTGTTTATGGCTTGACTTTGACAAATGTTTCGATGACAACCGCAAGTTTTATACTTGTAGCAATTTTGTATGAAAGATATTTGATAACTGTGAGAAGTTATATTCTGAAACAATTTCAAACCAAAAGAAGTCTTTGGTGTTTTTGTGAGTTTTTGAAGTGAGGAATATGTAAATTCAAAAAAAAAAGTTTTTAGTATGTCTTCTGCTTGGAATACTTACAAAGGGTGGAATGTTTTTGGAACTCGATGTTTTTCCAAATGAAGATGAGACTTGTAAGAATACTGTATTAGAATATGAAGTTGGAATGACTGAAATATCACAATCATTATGGTATGGAAATGTTTATAAATTCTGGATCAGAAACATTGTAACAGTATTTCTCCCATTTTTCCTACTATTAACTATAAATCTTCAAATTGTTCTCGAACTTCGGAAAAGAATGAATCGAGAATTGAGCATTGGATCGAGGCAGAGATTCAGTTCAAAAATGCAAAGCAAAGTGAGATTTTTTGAAAAAAAAAAACAGAATAGAAGTAAATAAATTTTCTTTAGACAAATGTGAAACAAGCCACCGCAACAATGTTATTTATCTGTGTGATTTATCTGATTTGCAATGCAACAAATGTTTTTATAACCGCTTGGGAATTTATTGATATCAAAAGTTTGCAAGACGAGTGAGTTCAGATCAAAAACCTAAATGAAAATAATTGGAAAAGATTTAGAAAAGATTATATTTGAGTTGTTTGTCATAGAAAATCCATTTTTCTAGGGATTAATTTTCAAAAAGATTACCGAACAGTGATGTTATAGATTTGACAAAAAATCTTGTAGGTCAAAACTCTTTGCGGATTTAGAAATTTACCAGAATTTTTTTGAAAATCTGAATTTATAATTTTCAAAACTAAATTCTTAATTCTTACTTTCTTGTGTTTGAGTTGGAAACATGTCACTTTGAACCAAAAGTATCAAGTTTGCAAGAAGAAATGAACTTTAAACTGTGCTTCTCAAGAAAAATAAGACTCAATTCACTAAAAAAAATTCAGAAAAAAAATTTCGCGTTTTAAAATGTTTCTCACATGATTGAGGGAAACTGAGACCAAATTCTAGATTGATTTTCAACATATTTTTTCCAGATTCATCATTCCTTATATGCTTTCCGCTGACATCTCCTCAGTTCTTGTTGTAACTGCGTGCGCACTTCGTCTTCCAATCTACATGCTCTGTAATCCGGAACTTCGTCGGACAATCAAACGCTCATTCACTCATCGTATAGAACATCAGCAAAAACTTCAAGACACTTTTAGTTTGATCACTAAAATTCTTGTTTGATTTTTTTTTGAATTTAAGTCAAATAATTGCCACGTGTATGTTAGCCTTCTGAATTTCTGAAATTGTGATTTTTTGAAAATAGTTTCGGGTTCTAAATAAAAATTTTCATTATTTATTTATTTATTTATTTATTTATTTAAATGAGATACCCGTAAATTAAATGTGTCAATGGTCAATCAGATCATGCGAATTCAACAAGGCCTGGAAGTTGTCTTGGTCGATCAGTTTGGGTATTAAATATTTCATCTGTCTCCTCCTCATCCATATTAAAATCAATCTTTGGTTTTTCTGAATATGTGTATTTTTTTTTGAATAGATTAATTAGTGTAAGATGAAAAATTACCTTTATTCACATGTTCAGAGGAGGATTTTGATGTCTCGCCTTCCATTGGTGATTCATCAAAGTCTGAGGGAGTTGAGCTGGATTCTTGCGAGGATTCTGGGAACCACGGAGCAGCTGGAAATTTTTGGAGAATTTTTTTATAGAAATTTCTGAACTATTTTTTTTGAAATTATAATGTGATTCACATCCCTACTAGTCAAAAAATTCCATTAAAAAACTAACGCCTTCTTGGTTGTCCTGATCCCTCGGTTCCAATTAACCTCGGAGGAATTGTTGTTAATCCCATTGTTGGAAAAAGTGGTGAAGCAGGAGAAGGTGGAGGCATTCCATTACCTAAAAAAATATATAACAAAGAAGTTCTACTTTTCTTAATAGATCTTATCTCACCCAAGAATGCGAAGAAATTCTTGACATTGTCTAGAAAGCTACCAAGTTGTCCTGCTGGATGCATTGGATTCGGCTGATTTCCAAATTGAACTTGACTTCCCATTTCAACACCTTGATTTCCAGCGCCAATTCCACCGTCGACACCAACTCGTTCACCACCGATCATAGCACCATTGTTAGCTGAAAGATTATGTTTTGAAAGTGAATTGAAATATTTTGAAAATAGTTGACTCACATCCCATGGCAAAACCAGCTGGATTTCCAGCAATATTCAAACTTCGATCGCCACCAAATCCCAAAATATTAGCACCTTGTCCCATTCCCATATCAAATCCTCCCTGTCGCTGGGGATGCAGGAAAAATGAGCCGAGATTAATCTGAGCATCGATGGCTGAAAAAAACAGTTTCAAATTTTCAAACTTTTAATCAGGAAAGCCTCGTTCACAAACATGTGACAAGTTTAACTATTTAAAAAATCCACAAATTTTACTTCGCAAAACAATTCTCCTTTTTTTCAAAAACCCATTTTGCTAGTCTATTCCAAAACACACACACAGTTTTTGCACTTTGTTCAACTGATTTCCGCCGCAAGCAATGCGAAAAATGTGTAATAATGACCAAGAGAGAAAAACGAAGGCGAAATTATGTATTGTTTGGAAAAAAATGTGACAAATGAAAGGAAAAAGATGATGGAACAATGAAATATTACTGTTTCGGGAAGTTTTTGATGATCAGAATTGAATTACTGTAGTGGATTAAGAGTTGGAAAAATTCAGAGCTTCAGAAAAAAATTATTTTCGAATATTTCTGGAATTTATCTTTAGTGTACAATAAGGAACCCCAGAAAAGAAAAACATTTTTCTGAAAGTTGATTATTGCTCATGTTTAAAAAAAATTGAAGGAGATCTGGAAAAATTCAGAGTTTCAGAATTTCCTTTACAGTAGCCAGGTTTTTAACAGAATTTTATTCATATTATTTTTTTATTTGAAAGTTTTCTTACACTTTCATGTTCCCTCCAAAAATTTCAACACTTACCGTACTCAAAAAGAGTCAGAAGAAACGTTAGTAGTAATATATGCGTTGTCATCTGGAAAAATATAGAATGATTCGAAAACCGATGAACAACAAAAAAGGGAATATGATTTCACAAGCCTCATCGACCAAATTTACTTAAAAAGTGAAAAAAACAAGGAGATGAAGTACAAAAGAATATAGATTCGTTTATTACACAAAGAAGAAAAATAAAATCTGAAAAAGTTCCAGCCAAAAATAATTCCTATGAAGATGAAACCGACCGACCAACTGATTTCGAGGTGAAAATGGTCAATCGAGAAAAATGATGGGAGGAGAAGAATTGCAAAATGGTAAACATTAACGAGAAGAAGAAGAAGCAAATGATGACCTTGCCATTCAAAACTTCTTACACAATTTGCCAAACAAACAAAATCGAGACTACAATGGCAAATTTTAGGGTTGAAATGGGTTGTGATTCATAATTTTGAAACTGGAAAATTTTTTCGAGATTTTTTATTGGGGGCAACATTGTTGTGATAAATATAATGTGGCTTTTTCGTCATGGGTCAAAGATTTCGTCGACTTCGGTCCAACGACAAATATGAAAGAAAACTTTTTTGAATTCATGTAATTACAAAATTTGAATAAACGTCTCCTTTCTCTCACTAATTCTCTCCACATTTTCCACACTCTCTCATAAAACAAAAAAAAATAAAACAACGACACTCTTGGCTTGCCTGTTGTTTAATTTTCACACACTGTGTGAGCGGAGTGTCGTTTTTTTATTTTTACAAGATTGCGCGTAGAATTTTGTGTTTGCGGGCAGTCGGTGTTGACACACACTCTTATTTTGTCGTTCTTTCTTTGGGTTTTGGGTTTTCTTGTGTTTACGAGCGTAGGTTAGGTTTAGGTTTTATACTTCACACTAATTCTGATATCATTAGCGCCTGATGAGGTCAAAACGGCTCTACTGTGCCTTTTGATTTGATTCATTTCTCTATCTTTTTCTAGAAATAGAAATATTGACTCGATTTAAAAAAAATTAAAAAAAAAACAATTCTGAATTTTAAATTGACGTGTTGTTCTATTTATTTTTTTATTTTCACGTTCATGTTTTTCATTTTGAATTTCGTCTTTATTTAAAAAACGACTCCGATTGATGTGACGAGTAAATTTCGGGTTAGTTTTTATAATTAAGAGATTAGTATACTCCGCCCGAAAAGTAAAGTTTGTGAGATTCTCAGGGTTCCCCGGGGTTATAGTTCGTGAGGGAATATCGGGGTTCCCGTTACACTTTTCCCGGGAGGTAGTGTAGGGTTTGCGCGTAGTGTTCGTTGTTTGCAGATTTTTCTAGCGTGTGTTTGCGGAGTTTTTCGAGGCATATTTTTTCCTTTGAAGGTTGATATTAGATGTAAATTTTCATTTTTCAGGTCAAACATCATGTTTCCAGTTGGATTTTGCGATCTGCTCACAATTGTCAAATGATTTCAATTATTGCCTAGCAGGTAAGTCTTTTTTGCTCACTATAATTCTGATATCATTAGTTTCCTGTTTGCCTTCAACCTTCAAGAAGACCATAAAAATTTCGAGAAAAAAATTTGCTGAAAAAACAGCAAAATAAATATTTCCGGTTGAACCGGAAGCCATAAGAATCGTCAGTTTATTAGTCAGTTGATTTGTTGGCTGAGTGAACCATTTTCGTTTTGGCAATTCTTGAGAGTTATTCAATTTAAATTCCCTCCACTCAACATTTCATCCATGCGCACTAAGGAAATCTTCCTACTTATGTTAGATATTTGCCTCATCAGCGCGATATATTTTGTTTTGACGACACTCTTTTAAAGGAAAATGCGCGGAAGATAATAAATCTGAAGCCATCTGGCAGAAGTGAAGTGAAATGATGAGTTTGTTACGTAACCAAATGGGAAAAATAGTTGATTGATGGTTTGCGAGGTGATTTTTCACACATTGAAATAGGAATTTTTTGAATTTGAGGAGCGTTTGAACTAGGTTGGACCATTTAGACTGGAATTTTTGAACTAGAGCATAACAATTCTGAATCTGGAAAAATTTCCATATAAATTAGTACTACCAATTTTTCTCATTCCTCTTTTTTCCTCGGTCATCATATTTTTTTTTAGCTAGTCTGACTCTCCCATCAGATCAAATTTCACCTCAATTCCAATTTTATTTTATTCAGTTTTATTTTCCCTTGTTTTCTTCACATCTGAAGTTTTCTCATTTATTTTTTCTTTCGTTTTTTCTGAAAAACAAAAGAATCTGAAAATAATTATTGTGGCTTGGCTTTGTTCTTTCTTTTTCTGTCTGAAAAAATATTTTTCTTGAGATCAGCGAAAAAAGTCTTGAAATATTTTTAATGGAAAATCTGAAGGGATTTTTTTCTCATAAAAATCCAAATCTTCTCATCGTCACCTTGGTTACCAAATAAAATATATATATTTCTTTTTCCCTCTTTTTCAAAAATTTCAACTCCGCCTCCTTCTTCTTCTACTTCTTCTACATTTCGATCCGCGCACTTTCCCCATCTGCGTCTCTTTCGTATTTCATAATCTCTAAAATGTCTGCGTCTCTTGATCTCTATTATATTTTTTGGAAATTAGCCAAAACGAGCAAGGGGAAAGCCTGCACTTTTTATTTAGTATTCCATGTTTTGGACCCGTTTTTTTTTCATTGTTTTGCACGCGCAGAAAAAAGGTCATAAAATTTAATTTGCTGAAAATGACCGGCTCGAAATTAAAACGAGTTGAGTTTATGTTTTTTTTTCTGTGCGCGAAGAGAATTTTTTAGTGTGCGCGGAGTCCAGGCGAGAAAATGAGAAAAACCAATGAATTTTATGTACGTTGTTGGCAGTGTGTATTTCGAAACATTTTTGACTCACTTCTTAGACTTTATATCGATTTTAGAGAAATTTTCTAGGCTTTCTTGGGGTTTGAAAAAAATAATTGAAATTTTCTAATTCGAGAAAAAATATATTTTTCTAAATAGCTCTGATAACCTTCAGTTTTCAAATTAAATTTTATTCCAGAAAGTAAAGTTTTATAAAAATAACAGGAATATTTTCATCGGACCAGATTTTTATAATTTCCGAATTTTTTGAGTTCAATTCTTTTTCAAATTTTAAGTATGTTGCCAAGAACTATAGTCTAGTTTGATCGATAATTTTCATCTGGAAGTTGCCATTTTGTCGCCAAATTTTTCAGTTTTAGAATCCCAGCTCCATTTTTTATTTTTCATATTTTCACATTCACTCATTCAACTTTACTTTTTTGGTGCCAATTTTCTCTTTCTCCATCCTTCTTCCAGTCAACTTCTAAAAACTTTGTCTGCTTGCTCAATTCCTCGTTTTTTCCCCTTTTTTTCATTTATTCACAAAAAATGGTGTTAGGTATGCATGACTACACACTCCATAGGTGAAGCTGCTTTTTTTGTCCAGAAAAAAAGCGCGCGCAAGACATTGTTTCGCTTCACTCCACAATTTTTGCTTGCCCGGAGCCTTTTTTCATGAGTGTTTGTGTGCCAAAAGCAGTATGTAACAAAAAAAATAGAAAAAAAAGATTCCAAACTGCGATAACGTGTTTATTTTTCACTTTTTTTCCGGCAGAGTCATATTTTTTGTTGGTTGTCGAATGTAGCAAAAAACACACACGCACAACATAGATATTTATGTAAATTTTTCCCGGTGGCCCTTTTTTCTGTGAAAAATTTCTTTAGATTTTTGGAAACCGGTTTTTCCTGGAAAGATAACATGGATAAGCTGGTTTGATTTTGATAAGCATAAAAATCCTTTTATTTTTCGACTTGTCATAATTTCCTGTGCGACTTCTTGGCTCGCTAGGCGCTGATCCTTGACAACTAGAATTTCTAGGCTCGGCTCCTTGTCAAAGCAGTTTTCTAGAAGTGAATCCTAGACACTCTCTAGAGCTCATTTTTCAAAATATAGTTAAACCTTTCTCTCTTCATAAATCATTATTTTCCCCCTTGAGACCAATTGTGTAGCCGCCAAAAAAAACGAAGTTTTAAACCTTCGAAAGTATGTAGTATCTTTTCACAAATAAAAAGATCCCCGTTCCATTTTTTTTTCTGCACATTTCATCAAAAAAGTCGCGTCGCTGCCTGCCTGACGTATGCGTATTTATGCATGAGAGCTGAAAAATGTTATTTTCGCGTTGATCGTTTTTTTTGTTCTAGCTTGCCTGAAAAAATGCATGAGCGTGTTAATTAAAGACGTCGTCGTTTGAAGACGACAAAAATCGATCTTCTTTTTTTGTTCTTGTTCTCCTTTTTTCTTCTGCTTTGCCTTTTGAAAACAACAAAACAAAATAACATTTAATGCAATTCTTCAGGAAAAATCTACGAAAATGAAAAATCTCTTTGTTCGCTTCAGGAACTTTTAGTATTTTCGGCAAAAATATTTTCGCCAGGGGGAATAGAACTAATTCGATGATTGCTCATACTATACTTTTATTGTCGAACATTAGATTTTCCGGGGTTTTATGAGGTCAATGAAGATAAATAATAACAAGGGAACCTTTTTGGTATTAACAACATCAAAGAACCATTTTCTATGTACTTACGATTGTTCGCACACGCTTAATTAAAATATTTCTGAAAGATCAGAATTCAAGTCAGTTCAAAAATCTACCATATTCAAGAAATTGGTGAAACGTAAAATATAGAAGGTCCAGACAAAAAACATTATGTTTTGCTACATTTTACTACAATCCGCAGATGTCCTTAAAACAAAAGGTTTTTTTGTTTTCCTTTCATATAATTTCACACCAGATGTCTAATAATTCCGATTGATAATCAAATTTTTCTCCATTCTTTTCAGTTCTAAAATGTCAAAAATCATCATCATTCTGAATTATTCATTTCTTCTTCTTTTTCTTCTATTCTTATTTTCCCCGTTTCTTCTTCTTCTTTTTTGCTCCTCAAATCCATTTAATTCGTATGTGCGCGACACACGAGAAGAAGCAAAAAAGAAGAAGCCGCAAAAACTCGACTTTTTGCCGCCTTCGCCATTTATTGATCCCTCGCAACTTTTTTTCACATTTTTTTTGAAATTACAAATATTTTGCAATTCCAATCCCAATTATTATTCATCTGATTACATAGAATAAGTTTTGTTGAATAGAGCCACTAATTATTTCTTGGAATTTGTAAGCAAATCTTAATTGGGTATTTTCCGGTGAGAAGAGGATTTTTTGGATTACTGTAAGTAGGTGTGTTCTATGAGTTTTGAGATGAATTTGATTGAATCTTGCAGAAAAAAGGTTTCTGAGGATGTTTTCTATGATTTTTGGAATTTGAAAAATGTCACAGGAAAAACTAATATTAAATGACATTTTCAAATAAATAACGAATCTAATCCACATATGAAAATGTTATTAGCCAAATCACGCGATTATTTTGTTGTTGTTAGATATCTCGATTCATTTTTTTTTCGTGCAAGGCTACAATTAATTTCAGAAGACTCACTTCCGTTTTTATACAAAAGATTGATGACTAATTTCTGATTCTCTAATTTTTCAGAACAATTCTTCATTTCTTCTTAAAATGTCTCTTCTCTTGTTACAAATACCCTGTCTTTTTGTTTTGTGTTTTTCTTCGAAAAATACACTGCACCCCATTATGAATGAAATATGGACACCAAGCATTGTTATTCGAGACATACATATATATTTTTTGCTATTTTTTTTCGGTTTGAGAGTGAAAGTTAAAGTATTCTCCAGGGACAATCAGGAAAAACAAACATTTTGTCAAATTTTTAGAGATTTTCTTGATTTTTTAAATGAAACTTATGATTTCTAGGCTACTTTAAAACTGTCAAGTTTCCAGATTTTTGAAGCGCTTCTTAAAATTTGATATATCTTGTGTAGATTAGCTTAGCTTAGCAAGAATTATCAGAATTATCACCCTCTATATTTTTTCCAGTTTTTTTCAAAATCTTCAAAAATAAAAAAAACAAATCATCAAACAGACAAGCAAAAAAAGGTTCAGTTCCGCCCATTATTTTTCTCATTTCCGTTAACTCAACGTAAACAATAAGAACTACATCCATGATTCATAATAAACGGAACTCGACGCACAAAATGACATTTTGAAAAGTTCACTGTCTCACTTTCTCACTCACACATTATTCATGAGCATTCATATTAATGTTAATTTATCCAACTTTGTCGACACTTCTTTTTTGTCTTTCCCCCTTTTCTTTCCCTAATCAATTATGTGAGGAGAAAATTGTGTTCTTTCTTCCTTCCAATGCCAAATGTGTCAACATCGAAAGGCAAAGCCTCTAATTTGTTGCCCCAAGGCGATAATTTGTGCTTTTCCATCTTCTCTTCTTCTTCTCACGATTGTCTTTTTTATGGCCAAACTGCATTTTTTGCGCCCTAATCCTTTAGATTTCTGAACTTTGAATTCGGAGATTGGAGATCTAACTGTAATTATGTTAACCTTTATCTTTATCAAATTTCAGATTTTAATTGTTTGAAATGTTATTTCAGATCTTGTGTGTAATTGTTAGGTTCAAGTTTTCTGAACTTTACTCGACTTTTGGTCAGTTTTTTTCAGAAACCAGAAAATCTGGACTATTTTTAAGAAATAGTTGAAATGGAACCATTTAAATATTATTCCAAATTGAATCAAAGAAAAGCATCCAAGTTGTTTATCAGAATTTTCTAGACAAACTTTCTGTTCTCTCTAATTAAATGACTCAAAAAATCAGTTTTGATTCTGGTAACCATAGAAACTTCGTTTTGTTTTCCTAATCACTTGATCAGACAAGCACTTCTAATCCATCTTCTTCCCACGTAACAGTTTTTTCCGAATAATCCTCCGAATATTTTTTTTATTTCTCGTCTCATCCCCCATCCAAATCATATTTTATTAATATTGTTTATAATATTTATATGAATATAAAAAATCTCAATAACACATCAAAAACTAGTTGCTTTCGAAATATCAATATATTTTTTTTTGCAATATTGTTTTTTTGGTTAGAAATAAAATCTGTTCTGACAGATGTACTTTCCGGATTTTTTCGTGGTGAACGCTTCAAAATGAAGAACTACCGTATTCGTTTTTGTCATTAATAATTCATAATGCTCGTTTTTCTGGATTGACATGGAATATTTCAAATTTTGAGCTTTTGGTTTCTTTTTCAAAATATTTGAGCCATGAAATCGGATTTTGTCGGTTTTCTAGATTTTGAGAAAATATTTGGTTTTTTTCCAAACGTTGAAAATTTTATTTTGAATAATTTGTTATTGCTTTTCTTAAAGTACATCATATTTTCCGGAATCTTCTTATTGTGTTCATGAATTCAAAAGTCCTCGAGTTGCCCTTTTTCAATAAGCCCACGGATTTCCGTGAAATAACGTAGATTAAAAATTCTATCAGAATTAGTGCTTTCAATTATTTTTAATTCTCACGTTGAACTTGAGAATATTATTTGATCATTGAAAAATATTATTTTTCAAAAACATCATTTTCTGCTCTCAATTCAATTCTAGCTACAATTCAAAATCACACGAATCTTAAAATCACCCTTGGCAACCGTTTTCTTCTTCTTTTTCATTTTCATCTTCAGCTTTATTCATTTTCCTCTTCCGTCTCTTCATCTCCATTTCTAATAATCATTTATGTATATATTTTTGTGAGAGCAAGCGCGGCGGCGGCGGCTGAGCTCAAGAAGAAACGTTTTGGCGCGCGGCCGCTTTCAGCGTGTTATTGATCGCCGCCGTCGTTTTCAGCACCTCTTTATTTCTCCTTCATTGCTTGCTCTGTGTTTTGACGAGTTTTTTCATTTCATTTCATTTTGCTTCGTTTTATTTCCTGTCTTCTCCTCTATTTTTCCTAGAAGCGCGCGCGCTTTTATGGGCGATGATGATTCATTTTCTCATTCATTCATTCTTCTAGCCTTTGTTTTTCTACTCAAATCCAATTTATTTTTTTAATTACAGTAAGAAATCCTATGCGATTTTTGCTCACTCTCACCCTTTTTGGGTGTTGTTCCCTGATTGCTGCCAAACATCATCATGCTCGTGTTCCAATAATTGATCTTCGAGGAGCTGACGCGATTCGAGCATCTGTTCGCGAAGATGAAAATATTATCTCAACTGTTCCTGAATTATCAATTGTTCGAAGCACTGGACCTGTTTGCTCGTATGTTATCACTGGAGCCGATGATTCGACAACTCCGTTTGAAGCAAGAGTTGTTGATAAGAATACTGGAGAAGCTGTGTTCCGTGTTAAGGTTTGTGCTAGACCTCGAATATTTTGAAACATTTTTAGTAGATCAGAAATATTTTTCTCTAAAGGGTAAAAGCTTTTTGAAGCTAAGAATGGGCTTTGGGCCTACTGTAAGCGGTACTTTACTATTTCAAACAGATTTCTCGGATTCTAGGCTTTTCTATAAAAATTCCAAATGTCAAAAAATATTTTTGATCTACTCCTTGAATAATGTTCTTATGACGCACGAAACATGATTTCTAGTTTCTAGTTCTTTAGAATTTTTAATGAACCTTTTTATCTTGAGCCACTTTTCTGTTCACCGTAGTTTTTCTTCTTCACACAACAACAAAAACTAAAACTAAAATCTAGGAATCTCGAAATGCCTTTACAACCTAATTTCCTGTTTTTTGTTATTTTTAAAGAAAAGCTGAACCCTCAAAAAATTCAGAGAAAAAAAACGGATTAAATTTGACACTGAATACTACTGTATCTAATCGGATTAATTTGATAATCTTTTTTATTTTAGGACTCGGCTACTTTGGACTGCAAATTGCCTGAATATAAATTACAACTTCAAGCAATTAAATGCGACGAAGATTCGGTGAAAAGTGAACCAGTTGATCTTGTCATCACAATCAAAGATACCAATAACCATGCACCGGAAATCGAAGATGCTTGGTATTCGTTCAATGTTCCAGAAGGAAGAATTGTTGATAATATTGGATCACTTAAAGCATCTGATAAAGATTGTGGACATCCAAATGGTGAAATTTGTGAGTTCCAAATCACAAATGCTTTGAAAGATCTTCCATTTGCTATCAATAATCAAGGAGTTATTCGAAATACACAATCTTTGAATTTCACTGAAACGAAAAGCTATATTTTGACAATTGTTGCGATTGATTGTGCCATGAGGTAATATTTATTTAAGTTATCATAACTTCTAACGTATTTTGCTTATAGAAAATCAAAATCATCTTTGGTCACAATCCACGTTGAAGAAAAATGTAATCAAGGTGTCACAAACTTTGGAGATCGTGTCAATTATGCTCCAGGAACTGGTTCCAAACTTATTATGCCAGATGTTTCAATTCAAGTTTGTCAGCAAGAAAATGCTTGCGAACCAAAACAAGTTGAAACAACTGTTGAACTCAAAGCTGGACATGTTACACCAGGATGCACCAAGGATACTGTATATGATAATGAGACAATCAAAACTTGTGGACTTTCAAGTTCAGCTGTTCAATTGGTTAAAGATGAGGATTTAACAAGTGGAGGTGTTGCGGTTTCAAAGGAGCTGGTTAAAGATCTTGTGCCAGATCATTTCACATTCAGTTTTTCGATGAAACATGACGGTGGAAATAAGGAGGAGCAAAGTAATAAACAAAATATTCTTTGCGAAACTGACGATTTCAATATGAATCGTCATCATTTCTCGGTTTACATCCGTCATTGTAAATTGGAAGTTGTGCTCCGAAGAGAAGCCGGTTCGACAGCCGATTTCCGTGCTGCCGAATGGCGTTGGGCACTTCCACAAGTTTGCGATAATCAATGGCATTCATATTCTTTGATGTTCAACGGAATTGATAATGTTAATGTTATTGTTGATGGTAAAACAATCGGAGCCGATGAAAGAAACCCAGAAATTCTTGATGATTGGCCACTTCACAAGACTAAACAAGCATTGACAAAATTGGTTGTTGGAGCTTGTTGGCATGGAAGACAACAGAAAATGGCACAACTTTTCAAAGGTATTGGTTTTTGATTTAGAAAAAAAATTTTTTTTAAATAACAATAATTTTTCAGGTCAACTTCAATCAGTTTTCCTTTTGACTGGAAAAGTTGAATCAGAACAAGCCATCAAATGCGCTCATACTTGCCCCGAACAAATTCAATTCACTGGATTCGATGAATTACTCGAAGGACAAACTGCAACCCTTTCCGCTGACCAAAACGTCTTGACACTTAAAGCAGCTACCAGTGAACATATCTCAAAAATGTTGAGAAGAGTTGCGTATGTTAATACACAAGCCACTCCAACACCAGGACATCGTAGTTTTGAAATTAAAACTGAAGTCACTTGTCAGAACAAGAAGATTCAATTGGAAGCATCGAAGGGATATATTTTTGTGCAACAATTGGCAGAGCCAACACTTTCAATTAGTGCATCAACTGTTTTGAAATCAAATCATCATAATGTTAAAGTTGGACAAGCAATGGTTCCAGATTTGACAATCACAATCAGTCAAGCTAATGCAGGTAAGATTGGAGGGAATTTGGGGAAATCACTTCTGAATTTCCCGAGGGACTAGAAATTGCAAACACGCCCTACCGAACCGCATTTAGCGGTTGAAAAATACGTTTATTCGGTAGAGCATGTTTGCTATTTCTCTTCCCAATGACCCGTTTCTCGAATGTATTCGAAACAATATTTTATCACAGATGGACAAATCGAAGATGTCACAACGAAACACAAAATCGACTACTGTAAAATGCACCTCCAACCAGGTCGTGATATGGATGTTGAATACTTCTCATCACCAGCCTCTTTAATCGCCAGCCTTGACATTGAATTCGAACACGATAAAGACGGAATTCTGTTGCGTGGAGAAGAAAGTGTTCGAGGATACAAAGAAGTTCTCTCAAAAGTGCATTATTTCAATACTCGTCCCGAATCATATAACAAGAGAACTTATACAGTTCAATGTGCAATGTTGAAAGGACGTGTGTTGAGCAACGAATTATTTGTTACAGTAAGTCCCTGAAAGTTGCACTAGATTGTTTGGAAAAAAAAATAGAATAGAGCGCCCATTAAAAATAAGTGAGTCAGCTCCTCTCCTTTTTATACACACATAATGACATGTATTGCATTGCATTGAACCAAAATTGCCCTCATTTTACATGTATACATGTTTTTTTCTCAACGTTATTAGTGACTAGATTCAGTGTGTTTTTTCCTCTCTGGAAATGCAGATTCTACAGTATTCCTAATTCAAAGGGGCTTAAAAATTAGTGAATTCCCGAAAAATTCTAATTTATTTTCAAATTCAATTTCGCCCGCCGGAAAAAATGAGAAAAAATGCTTTGTTCCAAATCTCATCAAACTCTTCTTGTTGTCAAGTGACTTTCAATCTTCTCCTCTCCGCCCAAACTTTTTTTTTGATGTTATACGATTTTTGCATGCGTCTTCATCCCTCACAAAATCCCAGGAGGCTAATCATCAGAGCCTAGTGCCTAGCTGTTGCCAGTTTTTACCACACATTCTGGATTTGTGGGCGTATATTGATTTTTGCTTCTTTTTTCTTTAATGAGACCAGAATTAATCCTTTTTCAGATGTCAATTGAGAGCTCAACAACCTCAACAACCACAACCACTGAGTCACCAGATACAATTCAATTCAATTTCAACTCGGCTGAAAACACTTTGGACACTTTGGAAATGATGGATAGACATTTTGAGCCGGATTTTGATCAACTCGGAAGTTCAAGACTTCAGGTTAGTTGGGAAAATTAGGCTAAGATTTGGGAAAAGGCTTACGTTAAGGCTCATGTTGAGTCTTGAGCTAAATTTTTATCTGAAGCTTTGGCCAAAGCTAGAAATATACCTGATCTCCTGAAAACTACGATTCTCAGCGAATACTGTAGTTTGCATGTTTATTTCACCTGTCTTATTTTCTAATTATACTTACAAGGCTAACTTATCAGGTGAAATTGATAGTAATAGAAACTTATGATTCAGTCCAGTCACACTTGTTGACCACACCCCTTTTTCTCTATTACTTTCACATTTCCTTACTACATTTTCTAATATATTGAAGTAAGAAAAAGACGAGAAATGTGATCCTCTTAGCAAAAAAACATGTGAAAATAGTGTTGAAAGTGAGAATCTTAGAGATTGTATAAATGATTCATCTTTAGATGTCTTACGGTAGTCCTGAATATTTGTTTTGTTTGTTTTTTTTGTGAGTGTGTGTGTACTTTGATGTGAATTCATATATTTTTGTTTTTTCCAGTTTGATCTTTTTTGGTGCACTTTTCAGAATTAATTAACTTTCTCTTTGGTTTGAAGCAATCAACTTTTTTGACGTATAGGATGTACTTTTTTTGAACTTTTGAACTTTTCATGTTAATGATTTGGGGGACGTGAGAAAATTCATATTTCGTAGTTTGAGAAAACCTGGATCAATTTTTCTGATCGTGAACTATGTGGAAATAGGATAAGCTAGAGCAAATTGGATATTTGCAGAATCCCACGTTGAAAAAATGAAGCCAATTTTGTCACGCTACCGTACACAGCGGATTATTAGTTTCAAGATTTTTGCAGATTTTCTGAAAAACATCTTATTTTTCATTTTTTAGGAAGCTTTGCTTTGAAAAACCACGAACTTAAAGGGACCACACTATTTTCTCGCTCTTTATTTTTCAAAATGAGACCTCATTTATCTTCAAACTAATGTGCTTCCATTATTTTCAAAAAAGGTTTCCTCTATTCTGTTTGCTAAGAATTTCCAAAACTCTTTTTGAATCATGAAATCAGTAACTTCCCTAGTTCAAAATAAAATGACCAAAGAAGAAAATACTCTGACACATTTTCTGCTCATTTTCTATTCTAACTGTCAACACATTCGAAAATAAATTAAAAATTAATCCGTAAGTGGTTAGTACGTACGTAGATAGAGTTGTTGTTCGGGTCGACGAGCATTCTATTGCACTTGACAAGAACTCAAATATCCCCTCCCCCTTAATATCCATGGAATTCATAATTATTTCACACCCGTTTTTTTATAGAATACATGTAGGAAAACTATTCCATGAAATAAATGTACACAAATATTCACAGAATTCTTCTGTTCCAATTCCAGCAGCACACACAAAATCTCATTAATAATTTATTCAACTATATTTCCGTTCTGTTGTGTTTTTTTTGAGAAAGGGTTCCTTTTATGAAAAATAATACTTTTGTGTTAGATTCGATTTGACGCAAAATAAGTTATTTCTTCTTTGTTCCTTTGTTTTTTGATTTTGTGACTTTGTAGGGATAATTAACATAGGAACTGTATTCAGAAAACTTGGAATCTGTTTGAAAATTTGCTTATATAATTTTAAACCCTAACTTTCAATTCTTTTTGAGGACCAAAAGCTAAAGCTTAGGCTCAGACTTAAGCTTTAACCGTACTCAATAATTCTAATGAGAGGAAAAATCGGATTTGGTAGACCCGGAATTCCTTCTTCTTTTCTAGTTTTTTTCTCACTCGATCTAATTATTCGTCATTCTCCTTCTTCCTCTAATTTCATATGTGTGAATATTCTATTCGAGAGCACAAAACTTCTCATCTCTAATCGATTCTTGTCGCATATTTCTTCACTTATTCATCCATCCATCCATTCATTCATTCTCATTCTCGTGCTCCTCCGGCGCGCGCGAAGAAAAAAAAAGATGGCAAAAAAATTTTTAATTATATTTTTTGTCGTGTCCTCCTCACTCCTTTTTGCCTCACTCGACTCGACTCGACACACTCATTTTCATTTTCTTTTTTTTTAGCGAGCACGCGCGTCGTGAATTTTTTAGTATTTTCCGGCCTGATGGGCCAACTTTTATTAGGTTTTCTTGCCTGACATTGAACTTTGGAAGATGACGATCCCCCATTTTATTGCTGGAATTTTTTCTTAAAGCCAAACCGAATCGAGCTGAGTTCTTTTTTTCGTGTTCTTCTTGACAGCTTATACGTCTCAAGAGATTCATTTTTGCAGTGTTTATATCAAAATGTATTTTATTTCATTCAAAAATATTTTGTGTTCTGCTTCACTGATTCGAGAATATTCTAAAAAATGGTAAAATTTCCGAACCGGGTTTCTGAATTTAAAAAACTCCTCTTTGGAATATGGCTACTTGATAACCAAGGTTTGGCTGCTTGACATAGCAGCTCTCAAGGCGCGGTTCCTTGCCAGACTGGATTTCTAGAAGCGGTTCCTAGACAATTAGGTTCTCTAGGCTCAGCTTGGACACGCACGCTTTGAACTTCGACCCTAACCAAGATGTGTTCCAGAATAAATACAAATATAATAAAATTGTTTCATTGAATGTTCATAGTTCTCAAATTTCATCTTGATTCATTTTGATTCACGAGTAATACAAGACTCTGTTTCCTTGTCACTTTGAACTTTAAAGATTTCTGAACTCTTCTACGAATTCGCCTCAAATTTCATAATAAACGCAATTTTCTCACGAATTAGATTTTGCCTACCAAAAAAAACTTTAGTTTTATTCGAACAACATGAAACCACCAGAAAAAAACGAAGAAGAAGAAGAAGAAGTCCAAATTTGTTTGAACAAAAGACTCTGCGTCTCCTTTTCACTCACTCACTCACTCACATAGAGAAAATACTTTTGCCCAGATTTTTTTGCTGCTCTCCCCCCCTTCTTTTCGATTATTTCTCCTTCGTCTTCGAAGCCTTCGCGTTTCTGTTTTTCGTTTCATCTAGTGTCTATTTTTTCCGCCTCTGGAATGTTTGTTGTAAGTTTTTTCGCTCACTTGATTTTGGGAAATAATCTGAAAATCTAAAAATCAAAGATTAATGTGGTTGGAGGAATTCCAGTAAAATATTTTCAAGCATAATAAATATTCACCGTGGTTTCTATTATGATGATTTTTTCATCCATGCTCTGATTCAAATCAGAATTCAAATTTGAATGATTCAAAATTCTACTACAGTAATCTTAGTTTTCCCAGCTAACAAGTATCAAATATCAATTTTCCCATAATTGGCTTCATACCTTTTTTTTTCTATGCACGTATCAAATAGCAGAACTTTCAGAGAAGAATTTGATTATTTTCATAGGCTGAAACTAAATATCATTAAAAACATCTGTCGATTTTTATGTTGTCATATGAAATTCCTTGATGTTTGAACCGAACACGCACTTTATAATTTTTGATATTCTATTTATCCGAAAAAAAATTTCTTTGAAAAAAATGAGTCAGAATTTTTTTGAGAGCAGAAAATTTGAGTGTTTATTTTTTTTTGGAACAGAAATAAACAATCTGAATTTTTCTTTTAAAGGAAGAAGGCCATGGGATAAATTGGAATTTTATTTCTCAAGTTCCAGAAATTTTTGTGAAGCACACTCTTCCCATTCTTTAAAATAGATAAAAGAAACGATATCTATTTTTGTCTCCGTTCCATTCCGCTCAAAAAAAAGAAAGAAAAACGACAAAAAAGAGTTGGGTTGAAGTGTTGGATTGATTTAATCAAACCTCCATTTCCTTTTGCCGCGCGCACCACTTTTTCTTCTGTCGGCAACTCCGACATCTTGTGCTGCTCACTTTTATTTTCCCCCTGAATAACTATGTATTCGCTAGAAGAGTTGAGAATTCGGGTCAGACACGTTTTGAAAAAAAAGTACTTCAGGAAAAAATGTTAAATAATTTTCAGAACATTCTGGAGATGGACCTGCCAAGGCCGAAAGCTTTGTTGTCGCACAGAGGATATGATGTTGGACAAGGAGCAATTGCAGGTAGGAATGTTTCCTTTTCAGTGATTTTTGAGTGACATTAGTGAGATCTTTCTTAGAATCAGAATAAGAAGAAAAAAAACCTCCAAGAAAAAATGTGTTGCGTTTTATTTTATTATAAAAAGGTGACGTCAGATTTTCTCGGGGGTAAACAAGCGAGAATTTTCTCAAGGCTTAAGGTTCCAAAATGATTCATATAAAAATAAAAAATTCTGAAAATTTGCAGGTGGAGCGGTTGCAGTTGTTGTTGTTGTATGTGTCGGTTTCCTGTTGGTTCTTTTGGTGATCGGAGTTTTGAAGATGCGCGACACACCAATGCCAAGACGACGAAGGCAAAAGAGACAGGTTCGTTTTTTTTCTAGGCCGAACAAAAAAGTAACATATTTTCTAATCCCTTTTTCCACCCACCACCCACCAGAAAAAAATAAATTATTTTAGAGCGATGGCGGATTACATTGGGATGATAGTGGAATGAATATTACTGTGAATCCATTGGATGATGTTGAGAAAAACGGAATTGCTGATGATTTTTCGGAAGATGATGAAGATGACGAGGAAGAGGATAGCGAAGCTGAAAGGTAATTATTTTTTCATCCAATTTCATTTCACTTCCAAGAATCCCCAGATTTATATAATGTGTTTTCAGTGAATGCTCATACCGCGATGAAGAAGACGATGTTTCGGAAGATGAAGAAGAACACGTTGAAGTGTTGCCACACTGTGATTCAACTCAAAGAGGTGGAGCAAGTGGTGGATTGGAATGGGATGATGAGGATGCGATTGCAACAAATTCAAGATCTTATCGAGTTTAATTCAAGTAACCCCAACCCACGGATAATTCCCCCTTTTTTGAGTTTCCTTCTTTTAAAAAAAATTCAAGTTTCTCCGATCTTCGAAGAAATTAATCAAAAATCACTAATTTATTATTCATCATCATTTTATTGATCTCTGAATCATTCTAGTCTGTACATTACAATGTTATATCTTCCCCTAATCTGAAAATCTGAAAATTTGAACCCATTCTCCGTGCAATCAATAATATCCCTGTTTTATTTGATGATTATTTTTATTTTCAACTCAATTCTGTCCTATTCCTTTTTTTGTAGCCCCCTTTCCCCCATTTTATTATTTTTCCACTCGTTTTTTGAAAAAAATAAACCAACCCCCGTCCATTCCACCAAAAATTTGGTGTACTTTGTGTTTTTTGTCGCAGCTTCTTCCTCTTCAAAAAATATGTTCAACTCATGTTTTTTTTTGGGGGAGAAAAAGAGGAATGTTTCGGAATATGACAAGTGCATTTTCTCATGATTATTGTTATTACTTTTCATGAAAAACTTTTCTTGGAAAAGTTTTTTGTCTCACATCAAAGATTAACTGGCAATAGTTTTATCTTACAAGCGAAACTTTTTTCAAAAGTGTCCGAAATTTGTTAACTTTTATAAAAATTGACTATTTTTATTTTTTAATTGTTCAAACAACAATGCAGTAATTGCCGAAATATCGGATTAATTTCAAATTTTTTTGAAACGTATTTTTCTTTTGAGAAAATTCAGAAATTTTGTTGTGATTAGAATTTTTCGATATTTCTTGGAAAACGTTTTGTAATTTGTTCCATATCAAATATCATCTATAGACTACAAAAAACTAGAAACATGATAATATTCAAATTATGTGAATATCTCAAGATATTTCATCAGATATCGGTATTTATATGAATGATATTATTATTTATCATCATTTCTACAAAATGTCCAAAATTTTTGTATTTTTTCTAGTCCTTCCTTTTCTTGTATTTTCTGGCCCAGATCCAACTAAAATCGAAGCTCAAAAACTGGTGAATCAAATGCTGAAATCTTTCGAGACCAAAAATAAAACTATAATTTCACAACACATTGATAAAGATGTTGTTATCAATTTCTGCAATGTGGCTAAATTTGAATACGGTGAGACATTTTTTCAAAAAAAAAACAATTTTTCGATTTTTTTTAGACATGGTTGTTATTTTGTTAGATTTGGGAATGACAATTGACCCGATAAAATTGAAAGTGTTATCTGCGAAATACGAAAATCCAAAACTTCTGAAAGGCCACGGTTCGACGAAACTTTTGTTACGAGATATGACATTGGATTTTTACCTGAAGAAAATTGAGGTTTGTTAGGATTGGGTTGAACTTTTTGATATATTTTTATTCAGAATCGATGGAAATTGAATCTTCTCGACTTCAAAACCTGCTAATTCACTGATTGTTTTTTTAATGGGCACTTTGCTTTATGATATCAATATGAACTTTTTCTCAAAAAAAATGTAACCAGACACAAAAACTCTGGGGATACCAAAAATAACATTTTTTTCGAAAAACAGACATTGACCTTTTTTCGAAAACACCAATTGATCTTTGCTGAAAAAACTTCCTGAAAAAAATCTCAACGAATTTTTTTAATATTTATTATTATTATCACAGTGTCTCAATTGATATATTTTGAAAAATTTAAAATAATATTAATATAAATAATTAAATTTAAAAAAATAAATAAGTGATTTTAACCTGACAAGTCAAATCAAACTATATACATACAGAAAGACTAGTACATGATTCAGCTAAAAAGAAGAAGAAGAAGTAGAATAAAATGGAGGAAGATCGAATTGTTTGTCAAGCACTCTCCTGAACAGATTTGAGCAATAGGGAAAATAAGAATATGTGTGAATTACTTGAATATTCTTCCTTGTCTGGAAAGTGCGTCAGGACGATTCGGTTGATTCCAGTTTGGAATATTGTAATTTATTTGTTGAACATCTGGCGTGTATTGGGAAGTTTGTTGAAGCTAAAAATCGTTGAGATCATTTGATAGATTACTTGAGAAAAGTTTTTTTTAAACTCACTAATGATTGCGGAATCTGGAATGGTGTTTCAGCAAGTCCCATAGATGTTTGGAAATTTGAGAAGCCAGTATTCTGGATCTGTGGTTGCTGTGGATGCATTTGTTGCGGCTGTTGATTATTCTGTTGCTGCTGCTGAGTATTTCCTTCACCATGAATATTCACTGGATTTCCAAAAGCATTCAAAACTGTTCCAATTTTAGCGCCCTGGTGATTACTATTATACCCATTTTGATTTTGCTTTTGCTGTTGATTTCTTGGATCATTTCCATTGGCATTTGGATTTGGATTGAAGCCGAATTGCGAGTTTTGATAACTTGGTTGAGCTCCGAAACCGTTCATTGATTGCTGTTGTTGTTGGGAATTACCATTTGAAACATGTTGTCTGAAAATAAAATAAAATAAGATCTTAAAATGTTATTCGGAGAACCTGATTCAGGACAAATTTTGAAAATTTTTAAAACTTGAAAACGACTCAATTTGATGATTAACAACATCAAATTGCAATAATTTAATAAAATATCTGTGAAACGTATTCAAATAGGATTTGAGAACATGGTGGATTTTATATTTGAGCTTGAACCAAGAAAGATATATTCTCAAAAAACTTTTCAGGTACCAAATTAAATCTGAAAAAACTTACGGTTGAACGGTATATCCACTGTTCACATTACTTCTAAAAGTCTGTGCATTTCTTCTAACATCAGGTTGATATCCATTTTGTGTTTGAGCTGGCTGTTGTTGCTGATTATACTCATTGTTTCCGTTATTTCCGTTAACACCGTTCAAATTAACAATTCCATTCACGGCTGGATGGAAACCTTGTTGAGTTTGTTGTTGTTGTTGCTGCTGATTTCCATTTTGTGGTAATTGTAATTGTGGTTGTTGTGGTTGTCCGTTCGGTGAAATTCCCATCTGATTTTGTTGGTTTTGACCATATTGATTTGGCATCATTGGACCTTGATATTGCCCATTTTGTTGTTGCTGATTTGGATATCCGTTCTGATTTCCATTTTGATTTTGTCCAGTTACAGTATTCATAACATTTTGCGCATAACCTCCTACAGTATTCCCCAAATTCTGTGCATATCCTCCAATTGTATTTCCAACTTGTCCAGCAAAGTTTCCAGTTGCATTCATCAATTGTCTTCCCATTCCGCTTAATGGAATCCATCTGCTATCATTTCCATTATAATTGGATGTTTGAAGATGTTGCCGATTTCTATAATACGATTCAAAATCTTGTTGATTTTGTTCGATTGAATTCGCTTGCGCAAAAGTTCGCCATTCTGGAACGAATAAATAGAAACAATCACGACGATTTATATTCAAATATTCTTCGTTGCTCTTCGATGAGTCACGCATTATTCCATAAGATGGGAGGCAGAAATCATAACAATCTATGCATTTTCGATTTTGTTGGTTCGATGTTTGTTGGAGATTGACTAATCGAGCACCGTTACACTCCGGGATTACTGGGTTGAAGAAACTCTACAATAATTTCTATCAATATGGTAAACTTAAAACAGAAGTCTTACATTATTGCTTCCTTGTTGTGTTTGAATTGGTGAAGGCATCCAAGTCCAGGATTCAGCCCAACCTTCGGTTTGCTGATGTCTTTGAACGGAATTCTTAGCTGCTTTCCTAACTTGTCCACTTGAAGGCATTGCAGATCGATCTAGTGGAACTATGAAACAGTATAAATTTTTGCCATTTGATTGAAGAGCTGAATCAATTACAACAACTTGGTTCTGAAAAAAATACACATTAATTGAAACTTACACTGAATTTATTTATATATTTTAACTTACCCGATCAAAATCATAATAATTAATAAAGTTTCCTTTCATTGGTATCGCTCCTGTCATTTGGAATCGAATTCGATTCGTATTTTCAGTCTTCATATCAATTGTTGATGATACATTTTGTCCGTTTGTAAATGCGGCGGGAGCGATCCATGTAAATGTTGCATTTTTTGGAGATGGTAAGACTTGAGTGAGAACAACGATTATGATAACAGCGATGATTAAAGCGAGGAGAAGGCAGAGAGAACATCCGATAACTCGGGGATTCGTAAGACTGCAAACAAACAATTTGTAATTCACTGAAATCTTTTCCAAAAACTCACAAATTTTTACAATCTTGAAGTCGATTTTTTTTCGGTTTCGATTGTTTCGAATCGATTGATCGCATACTCTTATGAATAATTGGTGGAGATGGATTAAGTCCTGTCATAACAGATCCACTTCTTGAAGCAGGCACACTTCCAGTGTGAAATGTTCCAGCTGGTTTTGGAATTGACACTAATCTTGGCTCATTTGAATATACTTTTTGCATTGGCAATGCCTGACCGGTGGCCTGGAAAATTTACTTATTTTAGTTTTTTAACGATAGCATGCTAGAAAGGTTAGTACAATTACTACTAACCTTTCCAGCTACAGTACTCTTAGTACTAGAAGAACAACTAGCATCGTCAATATATTGAACACTTCGTATTTGATCATGTAAATGTGCTACTTCCTACAAACCCTTTTGAATTACAGAAAAAAAAAAGTTCCAAGCTTCAACAAAACACATACCGTAACCTGTGAATGATAGACTGTAGCAGGGATTGCGAAATCGGAAGATGTTCTCGATGGTGTCGCAGAAAATGTGGTTGTTGTTGGTGGTTGATGATGAACGGTGTGGTGTGGAGCCGGTTGCATAGAAACACGCGGATCACCGCCAACTTCCACCAAATTGTTCCAGCTTGACCGACGTTTGCCGACGCCTTCTGTAAATAATTATAGAGGTGAAAGTGTTCATTTCGAAAAAATAGTTCATTTGATATTTTATAGCTCACAAGGTTACTGTCACGTAGGTTTCGGGGTTATGAATCATAGTAAAGCCAAGCTCGGATCCCTGGGATTTTTAATTATCATAACAACTCAATCGAGTCCTTTCCCCCTACAAATCTCAATTTTCCAAACTCACGATCAGATCCTGATACAGTGCTCCACGAATCTTCAGTTGCTGCAACATTTCGATATGACGGCGGTGGTCCTGAAATTCGATACGCTTTGTTTTGTTTTGTTCACCCTCACAGAAAAGGTAAACATCTAGATCAATAAGTATGTTTACCCATATTTAATAAAGTGGATTGAGGTTGTGGTTTTGCATAAAAGTGAGTCACTAACTTGTTATTGTACCTTTTTTCGGAGCAGATGTTTTTTTTTTCAAAATAGAACTCACCATTGCCCCTTGGCTCATGATCTAATGCTGGAAATTGAGTGACTACTTGAGAAGATCTTGACATAACACCCGAGATGATCTGAAAAAAAAAAGAACTTTGTATTTGAAATTTGAGTGATTGAAAATAAAATAATGAAAAATCGTAATAATTGTATGCTTCAGTAATTAACAATATTTGTTTGAAAAAAGATGAAGAAGAAGAAGTTGAAGACGAATCGCGGCGAATTATAATATATCAAAGTAAATAAATAAATGCATAATGTTAAGCGGACAAAAAGCGGAACATATTTTCGTGTTTACTATGTTCGTTTTGATGAACTCGGCTTGATAGATCAGCACGAAAAATGATTGGAATTTCGGGAGGAAAAGATTTAATGGCACAAAATTCTGAAGTTTCAGGATTTCCATATTGCTTACACATCATTGGCTTTTAGAATGGGATATTAAAAAAAGAATAGTACTTTTCTAATTTTCGAATGTTTTTGTGGACCAAAAATACGTAGATTTTGACATGTTTGTGAGTTTTTTTCAAATTTAATTTTTTTTCTAGAGCAGAAAACTTCATCGATTATTTTTTAGCAAAATTTTAGTTTGAAAAAAAAAATTTTTTGAAAACTCGACTTTAAAAATCCAGAAAAGAACTACAAAAAGAAATTATCCAGATTCGAAAGCTTGTGTTAAATTTTCAAAATCCCTTTTTGAAGAATTCACCAAAGAATTTTTAAAAGATTTAATTTCGGGAAAAAACCTGGAAAAAATAGTGATTTACAAAAACTGTTTTTGATTATGAATTCAAATTTTAAACACTCAAGAATTTAGAAAAACAAAAAAAGTAAAAAATCAAAAATAATAATAATAATAATATACGAAACGTCAGTTTTGTGAAGAGGTAGCAGGAGTCAGGTTGGTTGGTCTGCAAATGCAAATATTTGACCGCCATCGGGAGAAAGGTGCTCTCTCGCGCATATGTTGTTGTTGTTCTGTTCTCTCTATGTTTATGTTTTACGAAAATAAAGAAGAACGAGGAGAAAAAGGAATATTGGTGAAGGCTTTGGGTGACGAAAAAGATGGAACACCTTATGTACACAAAACTATCTGTATTGAAACAATTTACGGTGCAGTTAATTTAAAACATACATACAGTAAGTATGACAAAAAACATGACCACTTGAAAATTGAAGTGTGAAAATGGAATAATTGTGATTTGATGCATCCGGAAGAGAGCAACTTTTGAATAAAAGTGTACTCATTTTGCAATTACCCATGACTATATTTGTTCACAAGACAAAAGGAACCACAATTTTGTTGAGCGGAAAGAAGAAAATAAGCCAAAAGATCACCAAGATTGGAAAATTACTGTAGCTTGAAAATTTCTTGAAAATAAAAGCTGATTTCTGAACTAAACTCACAATCTCTAGGAACAAAATAAAACTGATTTTAACAATAAATTTCCATCTGCTTCCCTTTTCTAAAAATCTGGCTTGCTCAGAAACTCCTTGGAAATTCGTGAAAGCGACTTCTCAAGAGATTTCCAAAATTAAAATGAATCATCCTCTTTCTTGTTATTTTGATGTTTGAATTAATGAAGAAAACGCTTCAATTTTCAATTAACTATTTTTTCCCTTAAAAAACTTTTCCTCTTCCAACGAGGAAAAAAGCAAAATCTATTATTTTTCCAGTTAAACGAGCCCTTTTATATAATTTTCATTATTTATCGAACAAATAACTTTTTCATAAACCGCAATATATTTTAGTTCTATGAAAAAAAACCTTCTGTGTTTTTCTCATTTTTAATCTCAAAATTACCTCTTATGCAAATTATTTTCGTAGTTTTTTCGGGGGCAAACATAAATGTATGTACTATTTTTATTTTTAGATTGAAGAATTATTTTATGATGAAAACCAGAAGTTATTCGATTCCTCTGACTCTGGAAGCTGCGAAATCGATCGAAGAGTGTTTTGCCAGCAATATTTTTAGAGTGAGTTCTAAAGTTAGGACTCAAATTTCAAGTCTAAATCGGATTTTAAATTTTTCTAGGTCGCTTCATTTCTTCGAATCAATTTTGACACTCCCGGGCCATGTCGAAAAATAAATTTTCTAATAACATTCATCCTCTTCATTCTCGGAATCTATACCGTAACATACAATGCCGGCGTCACATTTTCCACTCATCACGACACTGCTGAACTTGCAGCTCAACTTTTGATTGTTCTTTGGGCAATTCAATCAATCATTTCTGGATTGTTCTTGATCAATTGGCAATTGAACGGCGAATTCGCATTTTTTCGACAAATTTTAGCGGAGTGTCAAAATTTGCGAGGATTGAAGTGTGAACGTGGAAAATCGATGATGAAAAGTTTGTTCAGATTTTTTTCAAGAGAAAAATGCACCATTCTTTTTTTTTTACAGTAACCAATCGTTATTTCCATTTTCAAATTTTTGTAACGTGTATGATAACATCTGCGTTTGCTCTAAATTATCATTTCGAAGATAAGCATTCAGAATTCAATAAAAAACAGTCTTACGTAAGCTATATCCATTAAGTATCGACGGGAAATCTCATTAGTTCTTTTTCAGATTTTTTATTATCAAGAACTTCGCCCGATTTATACTTTAATAACAACATATTTATATATTATTTGGAATATGACATTGTTCGTCTTGATTTTATATACCAATGCAACTTATCTTGAAGTCAAATATTTCAATGAGCAACTTGAACAATTTGATGGCTCAGATGATAGTTCAACGTGTCAACAGTTAATAGAATATCTCGAAGTCTACAGTAATCTATGTACCGTAATTCGGAAACTTGATGTCATTTTCAGAGTGAGCACTTACCCATTCATTTTCTCTGAATTAGCAAACTGTTTTTTCTAGCTCTACACATTCATAATGATTGTTATAACTGTTCCATCAATGATTTTCACATTGATGATGATGAATCATCGAATTCACGGATTATTGGATTTATTCATGTGTATGCCAACGATTGCTTTGTGTGCATTTAGCTTTTTCGCAGTCACAATTTCTCCAGCAAGACTTCACGATGAGGTTGTTCAAAAAGCCAGTTGAATATCAATTCCAAAATTTCAGATAAATAAAACAAAGGGTTGTATTTGTCAAAACAAATCAATTTGGTTTCCATATCGAAAAGAAGTATATCTAATTGCAAATACCTTGACTTGTCATATGGAACAATTCGATCTTGGAGTTTCCGTCTGGGGTTTTGCCATTCTTTCGAGGCCTTTGATTCTGGGAGTGAGTTCTTCATTTGCCAGTTCTGGAAAAAATTCAATTTCAGACCCTTTCTGCGACCGCAATGATGTTATCTCTTCTCGCCGAACTCGCACCAAAAACTGATCTTCTCAATTTGTCAAACAAACTTTTCGCCAGATAAAATTGTGCCAAATTGAAATGAAAACGTTCTTTGTCCACATTTTGGTGCCCCAATAAACTGGCGCCAAATAATTCATGGTGTGAAAAGTGAAAAAGGTGTCAATTAGGTTCAGCGTGGGAAATATCCTTTCTCTGTCACGTGTCCTTTTCCTCTTCGAAAAAAAATAAAAGAGTTTCATTTTTTGTGCCGAAATATCTCATTTCTCGGAAAACATCGGCAAACCATTCCATTCCATTTCGAAACGTTTTTTTTGCATAAAAAATATTATTTCATTTTTTATTTTTCCTCTTCAGCCAATCAAAATTTATTAGCCCATCAAAAATTGTTTTTCTTTGTGGATATTTTTCACATGGAAACAGGAGAAGCAGAAGCCCATTTTGCGAACAAAAAGCTGATTTTCTTCGAATTTTTCGTTTTTGAGATGAATCGCTCTCTGGAGACTTCTAATGACAAAACATTGCTGCGTGGTGGTTTTGGGTGTACTTTTTTTCATTTTGTTAGGTTGTGTTTATTTATTTTTTTGAATTTCAAATTTCCACGTGGATTCTAGAATTCTTGGCCCCGTTTCGAGTTGAAATTTTTTGTAGGTAAATTCGTGATTCCGGATTTTCAAATTGAACACATTTTTAGCCAAAACTATATGTAGAATAAAAAAATAATGATTGAACCCTTTTTTCCAGAAATGTCAAAAAAAGAAAAGTGAAAAATGAAAAGTTACTAGCAGTCGTGTATATCCTTTTTAGACATATATATTTATTTTTATATGTATATATCTATATATACTCAATTTCTCTTTTTTCTGCTTTTTCCAGCTTTTCACAACAACAACAAAACAGAAAAAAAATAAATAAAAGAAATTAGACACGCTCGAGTGCATTTCACTTTTTAGATAGACTAGCGGGTTTGATTTTTGACGAAAAAAAGTTGGTTTTTTCTTCTCTTTGAGAACTTCTTTTCTATTTTTTTTTCTATTTTTGTAAATTTTGAATATACACAAAAACCAGAGCAACAACAACAATATGTCGAAAAACGAACGAACGAATTTTGGGGATTCCCAAAAGATTTGCGCTATTTTTCAAAAAAAAAACCACACATTTTTTCCTGGTAAATAGATAGATAGTTGCAATATTTTCTTGCTTTGTTTACGTCTTAAAAAACAATATTTTGATCTCAAATATCCATTGTTTTGCTGACCCTTCGATCTCAAATTACTTTATGTTTTAGACTTGAAGGTATATCTGTTCGAGCCCGAACACACTGCACACACACAAAAAAAAAACAAATATATTCATGAGCTAGTCTTTTTTTTATTTTATTTTATTTTTTCGAGGAGAGTGAAAGAGAGCTTGATGAATATCTTCCCTAATTGATTTTGGGAAAAGGGTTCATTTTTTTATATTTCTTCGTTCAATCAAAATTCTTCAAAAAGCTTCGCAGCGAGCAGGGTTCGAACCTACGCGGGCAATGCCCAATAGATTTCAAGTCTATCTCCTTAACCACTCGGACATCGCTGCATATTTTTATTTTCTTTTGATTATCATTTTATCATTTTGTGTTAGGTTTTCTCCTGTTATATAAATAAGAAATGTGGCCTAGAAAGCCAAAAAAGTACTGTATTTGGAATTTTCTTTCTTCAACAACATTGAGAAGTAATTGTAAATCTTTATTTTCGTAAATAAATTTAAATTTGGAAAGTTCTGTGACGTCTAGCAACACGTCCAGCATCTCCTTCACGTCCTGGGCATTTACAATAGTTAGCATCCTTTCCTGGATTTCCTCTTGGTCCTTCTGGCCCTTCTCCCCCATCAGATCCAGCCGCTCCACCATATCCTTGAACTCCTGGTTCTCCTTGTGGTCCAGGTGTTCCTGGATAAGCATCACGTCCAGCTGGTCCTTCTGGTCCTTCTGGTCCAGAATCTCCCGGTGGTCCACGTGGTCCTTGTCTTCCAACTGGTCTCTCACCATCGTCTCCTTTTCCTCCCGGTGTTCCAGGTGTTCCATCTGATCCTGGTGCTCCAGGTGGTCCACAATCTCCTGGCATACCTGGGTTTCCATCACGCCCTGGTCTTCCAGGTTGTCCACGTGCTCCGCGCATTCCTCTCAAACCTGGTGCTCCCAATGGTCCTTGTTGTCCAGGTGGTCCTTGTGGGCATGTGAAACATCCAGTTGGTGGAGAATTTTGAATATCTTCCGCATCTTTTCCGTCAAATCCAGGAACTCCGTCTTGACCATCAAATCCATCTGGCCCAGCTTCTCCTTCATCTCCGGCAGGTCCAGGTGGACAAGTATTCTCAACAGTACATTGACATCTCGAACCTCCTGGTCCACTTGGATTTGGGAATGGACCATCTGGGAATCCTGGGAATCTTGGTGGAACTCCGTTTGGTCCACCATCTGGGAATGGTGGATTTCCACCAGTTGGTGGGTTTCCACTGTTTCCTCCTGGATAAACTGGAGGTGGTGCTGGTGGTTGAACTCCACTCGCTCCATAACCTCCGTATTGTTGACGACGAACACGGTTTGAGGCACTTCCGGCTCCAAGTTTAACCATATCTCCCCACATATCCTCAGTCAATGACTAAACAAATTTTGAATTTTTAAATTTTCAATTTGCCAAAAGCTGAATACTTACTCTAAAGTTGGCAATCTCCGCATCCAACTCATTCCAAATCGATGAAACTTGTGAATAAATTGAAGCAGCGGCAAAAAGAGCCACCAAAAGGGTGGCACCGGAAAAGACCAGTGCCCCCGAAGTTGCTGAAGTCACTGACATTCGAAAATGCGCAAATGTTGTTCGATTTGGGTCATCATTCGTTTATATATGATTAGGAGGTTTGGAAAATCGAAATTCGCTCGCGCGCGGGGATAAAAAGTTCACTCGCTCTTCCCTAATCAAAATGGGGTGTGGTTTTGAGGCTAAAAGAATGGCAAACCCGAAACTCGTTTTTGAATTCATGAGAAGCTACACAAGAAACAAAAACTGTTTGTTTGTCTTATGTTGCAATTAATTCAAAGCGGGTGGTCATCTGACGAACGAAAGCGCGAGAAATTGAAATGAAATGACGAGATTTTTAATAAGATTAGTCAAGGTTTTGCGGAAGAAAAAACGAATGTACGAAAAAAGTTCGCTGAAATTTAATTCAATCTGTCTTGTTACAACTTTAATCAGATTAACAGAACCAAACTGGTTTTTATGATATATCCTAGTTTTTTTGAAATCATTAAAAAAAATGTTGCGTAAGATTTTTATTATCCTGGATTTTTCCGATGGCCAGTTAGGAATTATCATTTATAAATGGCCTACTGTAAGAATCTCTTCCATGACCCTAAAAGTTTACGAAATTTTGCATAATTTCCTGGATTTTCTCTTGGTCCTTTTCGTTCTAAACATTAGAATTAAACTTAATTAAATCTGTTCCAAACCTAATCAATTTCAAGCCAAACTGGTTTTTTATGATATATAAAATGTTGCGTAAGAATCAGATTTAATTACACCTGGATTTTTTCAATGACGAATTAGGCAAAGTTAAGCTGGTATTCCAGGAAAAAGAACCTTGAAACAATTCTGAACCCGTTTCTCTTCTTTCTATGCTATTTTGTCTCATGTCATTTATCGTATCTTCCTAAATCTACGTTTTGCGAAACGTAAATGTTTTTTTTCTCCTTTGATCTATAGCGATCACCTGTTTGTGTTATTCCAACAAAACATACAAAGAATAAATCATGGAAAAACTCACTAAGCCCCTATTGATTTAGGCCAAATCGTATGTCTCAAAAAGTGATATTATTAATAAATAAAATCAAAATCAAAACGAGATACAAAAAAAGTGAAGAGAGAGAGAGAGAGAGAGAGAGAGAGAGAGGTGATGAAAGAAAGTGCACTTTTTGTCATGAACAACGCTGAAATTATATTTTTTGGGAAAATCGGATTAGATCGAATCAGAGAGTGCAGAGCCTTTCTACTAGTGTTAATAATACATTTTCGATTTTTTTTGTTTCGAAGGAAAAAATGTGTTTTCTGATATTTTTTCGGAAAATAGGAGATTATAGTGCTTCAAAAATATTTATTGAATTTTTTACTTTTATAATTTTTTTGTTAGCTTAAAAATATGCATCAGTTTAACTTTTCGGTGTGGTTACTTGACAACTAGTTTTTTAGACTTGGCTCTCCGATAACTAAGCTCTCAGAAGAGAGAAGCGGCTCCGAGACACAACGTTCCGAAACGCAATTGGGTGAGAGGAGAGAGATTCTAGAGAAAACATACGTTTTTAGTGGGCAAACGTGCTCAAATGAGAACAAAAACTCCATTTTTTCGAACATTTTCTGAGAGGTCGTTCAAACGTATTGCCGACATTGATCAAACAAATGGCCAAGCGCTATACCCACATGTATTATTTTTCTTTGTTTTTTTGAAAAATGAAGCGAGGCGACAAGAGTTCACGCGAATAATCAACAAAACGTGAATTCTTTTATGTTTTTCTCTAATTCTCTTCCTCTCACCCTATTGCATTTTATCATTAGCCTAAAATGTTGTGGAGACAATTACATAGGTTCTAAGCTACTTCACAAATAGTCCAAAATCCCAAGTTCCATCAATTATCTTCATCTTTTCTTGTCACAAATCCAAAAAATCATCATAATGTTGGATGCTCTTTTCTTCAGCTCCGCAAAAAAACATAAAGTTGTCTCATCTCCTCATTCATTTCATTTTATCTTTCGAATGTTTTGTGTCAAGTGTCAATTTATCTTGGTTTTATTGCGTTTTGACAAGAAGCAACACAACTCCTCACCGCCTCATTTTTCTTATTTTTTTTTTGGTATCTCCATTTATCTAGATACTATCTTTATCCTTCTTATCACCTTCAGACAATGTTATTTTTTGGATTGTTGCAAGCAAGACAGTTTTACGCATCTCATTTATCACTTTCGATTGTCTTTTTTGGGCGCATAAAAAGTTTCGAATGAAAAATCGGGATACGTGGGTTTTTTTCGAGGATAAGGTTATCAGTCTCGCGTTTTCTAGTCTGTAGGTCGAAAACTGGAAATATTTGGGGAGAAGAAAAAATGTATTATAACTTTTCTGGGGGTTTAACTTGTGAGCTTTATCTTAAACCTCTAGCTAAATGGAAGCCCCATCTTATTTTGAACATTCATTCGAACTATCCTAGAAGTAACACTTTTGAAATGAACTTTTCAGTAATTTTTTTAAAGAAAAATGTTTTAAAACAAATCTCAATGAACACTTCATCCAAAAATTTCCAAAATCATAAAATTATATTTAATTCAATTTCCTCGCTTTTCGACTTCCCATATATATTTTATATGTGGTGGTGCACTTCCACTTCCTAATCCTGTTATACATACATATATATTTTATTTTTCTCAAAAATACATTTTTGTCAAACATGTGTCTAATATTTTCTAATCGAGTGACCTTGCCTCCGGAAGTCCGCTTTCGAGATTTTCTACTCGGTTGGCTTTCAAGTTTTTTTTTCGCCGAAGAAAATATTTTTGATATATTATATTATATACTTTTTGATTTTCATTTTATTTTTCCATAAAAACAAGAAACTTGTGAGTTGGTTGTCGACTCACTCGAAAATACGACACAAAAAGTATATAAGAGAGTTATGCAGTCAGTCAGTCATGAATTTGTGTCTCCAAAAATTCGCGAATCCCATGAGATCGGTTAACTTATGAAACAACTATCTGCCAGATATCCACTACACTTTTTTTGGTTTCCTTTTTCTTTTTTTTTCGATGAAGCCGGGTTGTTTCCAAAAAAAGAAACATAACAACAACAACAACATCGAAAAAAACATATTTATTTTTCAACACGTTTTTTTCTCGAAATCTCGGATTTTTAAAACAATGCATTTTTTCTTTTATTTTTTTCAATTTTTTCCAAAATCCCTCTCCAAAAAACTCACCAATCGCTTCTATTTCTCAAATCAGTCAAAAATCCTCGACATTCTCCAAGTTTTCCACGTCATTGACATTGAAATCCGATTGTCCATCAATATTTCAAGCTGAAAACTAAAAAATTTCAATCGAAACAGTGTTTCCCTAGAAAAAAAAACTCACCATTCTTCGATAATTCTCGGATTTTCCGTTGGAAGCGATTTTTCCAGCCTTGTGGAACATCTAAAAATTAAATTTTTGACTGAAATCCACTGATTTACCCCGGAAACCTGAAAACCCAGCGAAAAAAAAACGAAAAATGAAAATATTTTCGTGTTGCGCTAAAAAGCGGGCAAGCGGAGTGTCGTTGTAAAATTGTTTTTTTTTGTGTCAATATTTTTTTAAAGTTCCATTCGCTTTCTACATTTTTTTATTTTCCTCAAAAAAGTTCACATTTTATTTTTTGTCAATAAAATTAACGAATCCAATTTGAAATCTCGAATCTCGAAAAAATCCATCTAACTATGCTAATAATAATTTTTCCTCTCTTTTTTTTTTCTTTTCAAATTTCACCTGCTAGCTACTATACAAAAAACTTTTCTTCCCATATCCATAAACAATTTCTTGAGGAGCCCAAAAAAAATCAGCTGCCCTCTCAAAAAAATTCAATACATTTTTGAGTAATGCCCAAGAAATTTGTGTTTCTCATTTTGTTGCTCATTTAAATATCTAATGAAAAATGATTATTTATCATAAGTGCTGATGATTGCAAATAGAAGTAGTAGTATATTTTTTGACACATACCAATTTATTTACTTTTCATCTCATTTATCCTGACAGCTGGCCCTGCTTGCCCATCACACCTTTTCATAATATTAGTTTTAATATTATTGAGAAAAAATGAGAATGTACACTTTTTAAGAAAATTGGAAAATTTTCATCCGTGAAGAAATGCTTCATTTCGAAAATGGCAATAAATCTTATATTTCTATAACGACCCAAATTTATTTGGAAAAAATAATTTGGAATATTTGACTGTACTTTTTTGAGCCATAATTTTTTGAACCCTGAAGTTCCGCTTACGAAAAAAAAAAGAGCCTGAGTCAGCGATTTTGGAAAAATTTGGAATTCTTCTGAAAATCAGCATTTCTTGATTCTATTTTAAAATTCCATTCAATCATCCTTGAATTAAAATCCAAAAGTTTGGATCCAATTTTCCCCAAAAATGTGTTTCTCTGAAATCTCCTCATTCCATTTTTTTCTTTTCATTTTTTGATTAATTGTGTCCTCGAAAAACTATTATTAATATATATTTTTTCTTAATGAATTATAGCCCTCCATTTTTTGCACATTCCATTTCATAATATTCATTTTTTCATATTCTTGCTCTTTTTTCTATTTACTCACTTTTCATTCGAATCCAAAGCAATATGAGACATTTTCATTCCTTCTGGTTTATCTCCGATTTCAAAGCCCGAAAATGTCAATGTTTTTCACCTTTTCTATCAGACACAAAAGTAATTTTCATTTGGAATTAGCCGAAATCTATTTTTTCTTTTCGCTGTGCTGTTCCTCCCTAATCCTTTTCTGAAACATTGAGAGCTCTGAAATTCCGAAAAATTCCGGTTTGAAAAAAAATTAGCCTCATTTTTTGGGAACAGGAACATAAATTATTTTGGTTTCTGAATAGCAGCATAATATATCTTGAAAAGTACACTTTCAATTTTTTTTCGAAATTTTTTTTGCTTGAAAAAAGAAAGAAAAGAGTTTTCAGCTCGCAAATGTTGTGTCCAGATGATTTTACACAAATTTTCAATATTTTTTTAAATGTCACATTTTTATCCTCAATTATTTTGTCAAAGAAAAAATGACAAGAAGCCAAGTTTTTCCTATTTTTCTTGAACACACCAATGTTTTTTTCATAATAGTAGTTTTTGTTGCAGATTTCAGATTAGGTGTGAAATGTGATGTGGAATATACAATCAGTCTCATTGATTCTCCTCTCCATAATCTATATTCCTATTATTTCCTGCTATAAAAACGATTATCATCGAGAAAAAAGTCGGCAAACTCATTATACAGTGGAGAATATTATCAAAATCAAATGTTTTCAATGCAATCAACCATATGATTGTATGACTGGATTGTGTTGGGGTGATATTTGTGTTAAATCACAAGTTAATGCTGGATATGTTAGTAAAGGTTGCGAGAATTTTACGTGAGTTTTTTTATTTCAAAAAATTTGGAATAAATTTTCAGAGGTTCAGAAACAATTTTGGAAAAATTAAAACCATTTTGAGATTAAAAAATCACTGAAGTTTGTTTTGAAACAAAAATCAAAAATTAATAGGTTACTGTATTTTACTGAAACTCACCATTGCTCATTTTATAATCAAAAGAAAAGAGATATTATTATTATTTCCCAGAAAAAATACGTTTCAAAATGTTCATTTTAATCTAACTAGATTTTTGGTAGTATTACACAACTCGCTCAATTATGTTTTGCAGAACATCAGTTGGACTCTACGAACCACATCTAAAGCAAAAACAATATTGTCGAGAGGAAGAGGTTTGTACAACTAATTATGAGTTTGAAAATTCCCCCTAAAATGCCATAAACCCAATAATTTTCGAAAGTTCGAGTTCCATTCTAAAATTAATTCCAGGTTCTCGGTGCTCCAACAATAAATTGTTTTTGTCGTGATCAAGATTTCTGCAATTCCACATCATCAAATTTTTCGATAATTCTAATTATTCTTCTTCTTCTTCTCATTTCAATACGGTTATAGTTATTTTTCTGAATATTTTGTCTCGATAAATCAATCTGTCTTTCTAAACATCAAGTGTTTTATTGTCCTATTTTTGTGTGGGAGAGAGAAACGGGTATATTTAAAAAAATAAGAAACAAATCAAAAAAGAAATACAAATTTCAAAAATATTAAAAATTCACAATTTTTCAGTCAACCTTGCGAAAATCTCGCGCATTCTTCACTTCAATCATATAGGGGGCTGGAAACGGCACAAAAGCCGATCCAAATTTTTTGGGTAAAAATGGATGGAAATATGTAGAATAGAACAGACAGAGAGAGAGAAAAAACAGGAAAGAAATGCTACTACAGTAAAAATAGAAAAAGTTCGAGGTCAATGTAATAAAAAAATAGAAAAGAAAAGAGCAGAAAGGCTGGTCATTTTTGGAAAGAAAGAAGGAAAACAATTTGAAAAATAACCACTAAAAACAGAAAAAAAGTAGAGTAGATAAAAGTTAATGGCAATGAATGATTTGTTGTTGTTGTTTAGAATTTTAAATCGCAAATACGATCAAATTGTTCAGGAAAGTTTTTGATGAGCATTGAACGGAATTCTTTTGATGACATCATATCACGGAGAACCAATTCTTCGGCCAAAGCATCGGTTTGAGTTTCAACGCTCACTTTTGAACTCGATTTACTGAAAAAAATATATTGGAAATTGAGAATAATAGATCTTGAAAACAGGTGTCTTTGAGCGCGTGCGGTTGCGATGCGGCTTGAAACTTTTTCGTATATAAATATTTTCTAGTCTTCAGGTTCAAACTACGATCATACTAGACTATAGTTTTTATTCTTCAAAAAAAACCAGAACTTCCAAAAACTATAGTCTAGTTTGATCACATACGCATAAATTAAAAAAAACAGTAAATCACACAATCCCAAAAAAAAGGTGAGAAAAAAACTTACGACGCAAAAACACTCAAATCAACCGGTTCCGGATCAAAAACTGGCACAAACTTTTGAAAAGCATTTCTCATTTGAGACGTCGAACTAATTTGAGTGCTATTCGATGTTGAGGTAGACAATGCAGATGGATCAGTTTGTGGATCACGTCGCCATTTCGCAAAATCACCACTGGTGAAATCACCCCAAATACTATAATTCCAATCGGTTTGTTTTTCCGAAAATGGTGTTGGCACAAATACATCATCGGCGAGTTGACCGATTGGTGAAACTAATCCAACAGGCGGTGTTGAATCGGAACTTGGTGGCGAAATTTGCGCTGGTGAACCAAGATGTTGATTGTGTTGTTGTTGAGATGTTATTCCACTTCCAATCACACCAAATGATGAGAATTGTCTTGCGATTGGATGTGGCAAAGTTGGCGGAGGTGTTGAGACATCAATTGGTTTGATTGGTGTTGACATTGGAACCGGTGGCGGAGGTGGCGGCGATGCTTTGATAGCTGATAAATTCCATTGATTTGCAGGTGGAACTGGTGGAAGACCCGGTGGTGGCATTGTTAAATTTGGTGTGATATTCAATTGTGGTGCCTGGAATTGGAATACAATATGAAATAATTTTTCTTGGGTTGTACATAGAAAGGGAAAAATAAATCTAGAAAAAATAAATATAGCTTCTTCGTGTTTTTTTCGGAAATAACTTTACTTTACTATATGAATAAATGAAAAATGGGCAAAACCCGAATTTAATTAGCAGGTAGCAGCACCGGAGCTTATTTTATTTTTATTTTTCAGAAGCGCCGAAAACAAAATGACATGTTCGTTATAAGTTTGATCTCTTGAGACAGAAAGGTGAAAAATATATATAGCACTTTTTTTCGGAGCGCGTTTCCGAGAACAGCTGAAAATCAATTATGGTTGAACACGGCTTTTTATCAGCAGCAGCAGCTGAAAATGCGAGAAAATATGATTTGGAAAGAAAAAAATTAGTTAGGCCAGATCAATTTCAATTACGAAATAATATAATTGAACGTTTACAAGGAGAACAAATTGGTTCAGGGAGGAAAATGAGAAAAATAGAGATTAAGAAATGATAAATATTGAAATCATACAAGGATAATCCCACTTTTTTGAAACTCACACTTAGTTTGAAATTAAAAAGAAAGAAATAAATGGATCTTTTTCAAAGATGATTTTCAAAACTTTCGACACGTCATAGTTTACGTCATCTAATTTTGAAAATTTGATGATTGTGTGTCGAACAGCGGAACCTAGCAAAGCTGCGTGTCTAGGAGCCGCGCCTAGAAAATACAATAATCTAGGATCAGCAAACCTATATTCACAGTAGCCGCACCAAAAGGGTTTAATTACCAAGAAACCTCGCTTAGAACTTTGGTTTTTCTCACATTTATTCTGATTTTCTATATTCTGGCTAACCGAGGTTGAATAAGAGAAAAACATTACAAATTTTCAGAATCATCAGATTCAAAATAAAGTAGGCGGGATACTTTTCCTGATAAAAAAAATCCCTGTTTGTGGGTAAGAAAGTTGAAGAAGAAAGGATCAATAGAACAGAGTTATTGATTAAGAAGACCACAAATTCCTACCAATTTTTGCGCACGCCGTTTCTTTTCTCCTTTCGGTATAACATCTGGAATATTCGACGAAGACGAAATCAAATAATTCTCCAACGTCGAACATTGAACCATCTGACTTTCTCTCACAGTTTCTCCATTACTCCAAGCAATTCCATAAATCGAACGAAACTCTTCGAGATCCATTAATTCAGAAGCGAATGAAATCAGATGATAATGTACAAAGAAGAAAAAAAAACTTCTGTCAATAAAGAAGAGGGCGGAGTCAATAACAGAAAAAAAGAGAAGGCTACGGTAATCGAGTAACACATAATAATCAGCTGCTGCTGCTTATAACAAGAATCGAGACAAAAAAGTAATCAACTAAACATCTGTTTGAAACTATCTGTTGAAGGAATGGGAAAATTAAGATGAAAAAATTCTCTGCTGAAAAAAAACTTTCTAATGAGGAAAAAGGAACAACGAAAAAAAAATTTGTTTTTTTTGTTCTGAATAAGTACATCTGTTCGTCTTCTGCCACCCAGTTGATTAAGAAAGAGCAAAACTACTGTAGGGTCCGCAAAAGTTCCAGATGAAACTGAGTTTTCTCGAAGTTAGGAAACTTCAAAACATTTTCTAGATTTTCTAAGTCCCAGAATTCGAGTGAACGTCCTAAACTCACCACAAATGGCTCCGGCATCTCTCGTTTTCCAGTGGTCATATAAACAGCATGCGGAACAATTGGCTCGCTATTTTCATCAAGTTGTGTGACAAGAACAGCACGCCATGCATGTTTGCCATCTCGTTGTTGGAAATATACGGTAGCTCTGTAGAAAAACAAACAAGAATAAACATTTCAAGGTTGAAACCCCACAAAAAACATACCTGCATTTGCTCATTTGCGGCGGTGGCGTATCGCCATCATTCAAATCAGTCCACGCAATAAAAGCCGAACCGTAAGGCGGATTGTCCATGAAACCGAAAAATGTGGAGGTTTGTGTTTGAATAAATTTCACTGTCCAATCGTCGCTGGTGTATAATAATTGAGCATTTTGCGCACGAATTAATTCAGCCTTTTCACCTTCAACAATCTGGAAAAATAAAGAGTTTGGGGGATTTTTTGAGCATAAAAAATCGAACCAACCTTAATATTAATTGCACTCCATGGAACATCCTCAAACGCTCCTGTATATAATGCACGAATTTCAACACAAGCTAGAGATTTGAGATTACGATTGAAACATGCTGGCGGCACATAGATACGTCCGATAAAATCATTCCAAAGCCACGCGGCACGCGATGATAACGATACTCGATTCACAACTGCTTTTATATTCAAATGTAATTTTGTTTCATCTATATTGTCTTGAACTACTTCAAAAATCTGCAAAAAACATTTGATTGATTGAAATCTCAACAAAAAAATAACTCACAAAACCCATATCCGTAACATTTTTTGCAGCCCAATGAATTTTCGAATCACTTGTCACATTTTTCAGTTTAACAGCATCATATTTAACAAATCGACCCAATTCCATCCAATGAGCTGCTTTCACTTGCGATAATCCAGTTTGCTACAAAACCAAAAATAATCAATTTTTCAAAATGAAACAAACAAAAAACACATACCGCCGAATAAATAATACATTCTTCTTTACTTGTAAATGATACAACAACACCTAATTGATCTCCAGCAAATTCGGGCGATTTCTCGGCTCCTCGAAGTTGTCCAGTTGTACTTGGTAAACGTGCCATTGTATTTGGTGTTCCATTCATATTCGATAAACCGTTGGTAGAGGCAATTGAAGGAAGATTTAGTGGAAAACATGGAACTGATATTGAGTCAGCTAAAGATAATGACCATGCAACATATCGACAATTATTTATATCGGGTTGACGGAAAATCTGCAAAAAAAAATGATTTTTTTTGTGAATATTAGGGGTGGCTACTCACCTTCATATTCACACTTCTTCCAACTTCAGCGCCTTTACCAAGCCAAGCTTTCGACGATTGATTAGTTTCAATACGAGCAGAATATGGAATAAATATACGACCATATTTGGCAACCGTACCATAACAAAACTTTTCATAGCATTCAGTTATTTTACCAGAACACGATAATAATTCACGACGTTTTACGACAGAAGAGGCAACATAACGAGCATTTGAACTATCGCCAGATTGTTTTTGAGCAGTAAATATTAACATTTCATCTTGCTGGAAATAATGTGGAAATGAAATGGGGAATGTGAAAATTAAAATGAACACTTGTAGAACACGTGGCCACGTGATAATATGATTTTATTTTTTTTTTTTGAAAATAGACAACATTTTTGTTGTAACTATTGATTTTTTTCAGAATTCAATTTTTTTTGAGTTTCTAGGCCACCAAAATTAATTATCTGAGGTTTCTAGGCCATCTCGAAAATCAATATTGTAGCTACAGTATTCCGAACTGCAAACATTACTGTGATTCTGCAGTTCGTGTTACTAGAGATCAAACTCTGGACTTTTCGGAATTACAGTAAACCAAACTGCAAAAATCCAATTTTTGTAGTTCGGATTACTGTAGATAAAATATAATCTTCTGATCTTGTAATTTTTGTAGCTTGAACAATTGAGAAAACTACTTTGTCTCTCTCAAAAAATTCCACGTGTTTTTTTTTCTGAAAACTCCCAACTCACCGAATATTTTTCACGTAAATCACTACAATCATTATTGCTCACATTAGCCGCGGTCAGCGGAAAAGTCACACTTCCCAATCGTTCACAATTTAATATAGCACTTCTTTTTGTTATCTGAAATGAGAGCTCAATTAATTATTCTTTGCTAATTAAAATTTGAACGAACCTTCGTTATTTTTCCTTCACCTAAAGAACGATTCATCGACATAATTGATGTTATTAAACAACTTTTTGACCAAAACAATTATAAAATTTGAGAGACGGCGGCTAGAAAGTCTACCTATAGAAGCTGAAAAAAATGAATTTTAAAATTAGAAATTACATTAACTTCAAAACTTCAAACAAAAAAAACAGAAACCAGCGAGGAAAAAGACAAAATGAGTCAACTGTTTTATTCTTTTTATTTTATTCTATGAAAAGAACAAATGTTTTATTCTTATTCAATTCCAAAAGAAAAAAATGGGCGGATAGTGTGAATGGAGTAAAAGAAGGAAAACATACTAACATAAATGTCATGTGACCCAGAGCTACCGTATTATCTTCGAGAAAATTCCTAACACATTTTTTATACTTTTGCATACAACTACATATTGAAAAATACTATCCACTACGATTTTTCGGCTCACAATCATAGTGAAGGGGAAAAACCTTCTCAAAAGAAGCTTTTCCGTTTCCCAAGCGAAGAAAAAAATAATTTATGTTTGCGGTTAATTAGGAGTGCAGAGCCAAAGAATTTCGACAATAATGAAATATTTGATTTTTTTGAGGGGGCAGGAGAGGAAAAACAATTCTTTCATTAAGTTGATGTGGTTTGAATAGGGATGAAATGTTCAAAAATAGTTCAAACTTTGCCACGTCATAACTCATATTAGAAGTTGAGTTCTTCAATTTCTGACAACGGGATGATGATCAGCAAATTAAAAACTACTGGAAAATATATATTTTGTCAAAAGTGCAAGTTCAATTGTAAGAAATCGACTAGAAACTCATTTTTTCATGGTTCTGACTTCAGGAAATTGAAACATGACTATTTTTTCTGTCGAAACGGTCTGCTGATTCAAATTAGTATAATTCCCCTCGCCCTGCTCTTTATATATAAATAGAAAAAATACTCATTTCATTTTTTAAAGGCGACCTCATAAAATGACGTGTTTTTCACATTTTACTTACTACTAACCCTAATGTACAACACATCGTAAAATGCATTATCTAAAGAGAGAAAAAAACTTCTTCAATTTCAGCAAAGCGAACAGAAACTTCCGCCTGTAGTTGTGTCATTCAAAAACTGACCAGAACGAGGAGAAGATAAGAAATTGATTTTTCTTCATTCGTCACGAAACAATATACACATAAAATAAAAACTGATCGTAGAAAAATGTTTCGAGGTTTTGATTTCTTGGAATGAAAAGAAGAGAAAAGGAGTCACTGAGCAACGTCACACTAAAAAACAAGAAAAATATTATTCCTTGAAAAACCTTGTACAATTGGTTGCGTAACTAACCTACTATATTTTGAAATCTAAAGTTGAGTATGAAAATGCTCACAGGTTTTCGGGCTCCATGGTTAATTACTACGTACCATTTGGTGGCTCTGAACCTAACTATTAATTAGGTGGCATTTTAAAGAGAAATCTCAAACCACGTATTATTAAGCAAGCAGCTAAAATACGGTGGAAGGGGGAATCTAAATAGCGATGAGTCATAAAGTGTAATGACTATTGGATAGTTCGTCCAATGCTTTTTTATCTTATGACAAAGCGGGCGAGACAAAATTATATCATAAAAAGACAAAGCTCCCAGCCGGTCATTTTTTGAGTTTCAAAAATCTTCCGGGTCCAAAGCTGTAAACAGAACCTTTTTTAGTCAGAAGCCTTACAGATCTAGTCAAAACTCTACTTTTCAAAAAAAAAACGAAAACCCCCTTGGTTACAACTATAAATTTCAACGGAACGAATATAAAAAAAATTTATATGTAACGTATTTTTGTTCAAGGCAACCAGAATCAATTTTTACAATAAAATATAAAATAAATTCTTTCCAAACTGCTCAAAGGCCATGCGAGAGATGACTGTTTGAGAGGGGGAAAAGAAAACATAGAGAGAGAGAAAGAGAGATCAAAACATATATTTTGAGGTCTAGAAAAATTTCAGCAAACACTATTTTCTTATGAAATATAATTCTGAAAGTATTTACTTTGAAATTTTCGGGTTATTATTTTTTTTTTTTTGAAAAAAATTAAATATAAAAGGACGGCAGCCAAAAATCCACGGATAATCTGAATTATAAGCTAACAAATACAAAATGCAGCTGTTTGGGGGCAACTAAAAAGAAAAAAGAAATACATAAATGTTGTATGTTACTGAAAAATATTTGAGATATTCTGCGAATGAATGATATCGATTTGGAAAATGAAATGGAGACACCTGGACAACGGATGTTTTTTGGCACAGCGCCAATTGTTGTTGAATAAAATTTCACATCGTTTTGTGACAGAGTGCGGGAAAATATTTTATTTTCAAAGCATGTTGGTCTCGAAGCGATAAATTTTGAGGGATTTTTCTCATGTAGGGGTTCTCTGCGTCTTTCTAGATTTCAGTTGAAAAAAATTATATTAGTTTGAACCTGCGACAGAGTTGAAATATATCAAATCTACATAATTACGAGAGAAAAATAAAAACTAACCAAATGGAATATTTTGACGACTGTGCCCTAACGGTGTTTTTGTTCTGCGACACAGATGTGAAACATCTGTGACACCGAAGAAAACAGTTAGAAATTTGAGAGTCTTACAACTGTTCTTTTCAATTTGTTTATAATAAAATCTTTAGACATAGAAAGATGTCGGCACTTTTGATAAGTTATAAATAAAGGAATGAAATTTGACAGAACTTTGAGATCAATAGAATAAATAGATGGGGATGTTTTTTGAATCGGACCATTTTCTGAAATTGGTTCAAAATTTGCCTGGAAAGAGGTTGTTTGTGAAATCTTCAAAATAATTATTTTGGCTGTTATCTTTTGGTTTTTAATTTTTCAAAAGTAATTCGAACACTTTGAGAATCTGTGGTAACTTTATTCTTGATTTCCTAGACGATTTCAGATTCAAAAAAAATGCTGACGCCCAGTTTTCCCCCAAAAAACCCGCCTACGTATGTTGATCAATAAGAAAATGCCAAATAAATTAAACGCGAATTCGAATATTACGAAATCTCATTTTGAACCACGCACAAACCAAATTGAAAAAAAAACAAAAAGAACAACAAAATACGCGAGAATGGCAATAAAAAAACAAAAGAGTAAGATATATTGAATCGGAAATTCAACCGAAATCATGTGCTCATGGCAACCATAATTAGAAGAAGAATGAATATATTATTTGAACAGCGACACAAGAAAAACACAGCGCCTCAGGTTGTCGCCGAAAACTCTTCTCAGCTTTTAGCTTTTTGGGCGGAGAAAATGCCGTGAAAGCCACAAATGCTGAAAAAATCGACGACGACAACTCCAAGAATCGCGTGTTTTCCACTTTATTCGAAAAAAAAACAGTAACAATTATCAATAACAAAAATGAAAAAAAATAACAAAAAACAATAATAATTGAAGGGTTTGTCCAAGTCTTGTTGACACCTGAAAAATATTTTAAATTAATTAATTTCCTGTAACTCTCCAGGTAAGTCTAAAATTAATTATTCAAAAAAGGGGGATCTATTTATTTTGAAAATAGAATCTAATATGGAAATAATCCTCTTACTTAATAATAGTAGCACCTTTTTCTGGACACCTGCTTCAAGATTTGAAAAATCCTATAATTTGGGTAGAGGTTATTGACTAAAAACAAATGTGCTAGTATAGTATTACTAATAAAAATCATAAGGAAAAAATAATGACAGGTGTGAGAAAAATGTCTGAAATAGTGTCTGGAACAACAACCAAAAATCTCATAGTGCATCAAAAATCAATAAACACAGTCAGTCGAAAAATGTATAAAAGAGAGCAACAAGGAATAATTGTGGAAAAAGGAGCAGCAGCTGATGATGATGATAATAATATTTGATAACGGCCCAATGGTTTTCAATTTTTTTCTTTTTCTTATTGCTTGCTCAACTTTTTATAAGATAATAATGACGTTAATTGGGCTGTGTCGAAATTTTTCGACATTCTAGTTTTTTTGAAAAATTTTGTCTAGATTCTCTCAATTTTACATTGTCTCTAATCAAAAATTCTGAATATTTTGTTTTTTCAACATTTTACATTCAACTAAATTTTTATTTCTAATAAATTTCAGATTTTTTGTGACGTTGTCCAAATTTCCTACAGTATATCTTCAAAAGTGCATTTTAGGCGTCCAATATACGGTTTTTTTTAATTTCCGAGGGACAAGATTTATTTTTAATTGTTATTTCATAAAAAGGGCATGATTTCAAAAACAAATCACACTCGAGGGGTTATTTTTCTCAATGAAAAAGGGAGATATTTGGAAAGGGACTGAGAATTTTCTATAGAATTTTAGCTTAAGATCCTAGGAAAATCATGGCTCATCAATTTCAGATGCAATGAGTTCCCAAATCAAAAACCCTACCATTTTTAGGCGATAAGTTTTGTCGATTTGATAGTCGACGCTCGAATTCCTCCAGTTTCTCCCGAATATTTTTGCATTTCCCGTCGAACGTTTCCAATTTGTGATTTGACACGTTTCTCGATTGCTCGAACCTTCTTTCGATTTTTAGTCTGCAAAAAAATTGTTGTCAATTAGCTCAACTTTATATCTATAAAATTACACTTTTCTCTTTTTTTTTCTGTGAAAAAAATGCAAATAAGATGGAAAGAAAATTATTTCTATTTGAACGAGGAAAAAAAGGAGAAATGTGTTTTTTTTTCTTCTACATTTGATGAAATGAAAAATGCACATTAAGAAAATGTTCATTTTTCTCAAAGAAGCGATCAATTTTGTTTTGCAAATTTTTTTCTCAAAACTTTCTTTTTCATCTGGAAAGTCTGACAAAAGGAAACAGCTGATTTCTAAGATTTCGATTTCAGCTGTAGGTGAGAAAAGATTTCAGCTTCACATTAGTTTTGTGAAAATAGGGAGCGAACTTCGCTTCGCTCAGCTAAGGGAACAAGAAAATGAATTTAACAACATCGCCTTTTTTGAGATGAATAATTTAGGGGGAAAGAAGAGACAAATTACTTTACAAAAAGGGAACTTTACTATTTATAAACAAAAAATGAACATTTTCACACTTCGGATCACAGAATTTTAAACGAAATTTAAAGATCAGTGTTTACTTTTCAAAACTACAACTATATGTGAATTTTAAAATTTCCAATATTTCAAATTTATGCTCCTATGCACAAAACCTCTTCTCCAACAAAAATCGCTCACCTTACTGATTGTGGCCTTCTTCTTTCCGCGTTTATCATGATATTCTTTATTTTTGGCAATTTTCTCATTTGCCTTTCGTTTACTTTCCGAATCGCCATCCATCGTGGTGTAATTGAGCGGTTTCTCTTCGACCGACTCTTTCTCGAGTTCCTGGAACATATTTTTTATACCTTCCCATTTCAGTCCCGATTCTACCCAAAAAACCAACCTTATTCGCAATCTTCTTCCTCGACAACCCAACATTTCCAACTTTTTCGCACAATTCACTCAATTTCTCCTTATTTTCCTCATCGACCATCGATTTCAATTCATCCAAATATTCTGAATTTGTATGCAAAAAATCTTCACATTCGGCGATTCTCTGAAAATATTTATTTTAAAATAAAGTAGGGATGAAGAAATAATAAGTACCTTATGCAACTTTTTAAGTGATTCAACAACTGGATGCAAATCAATCAGTGGATCTTCCAATTTTTCGCGATTAAATTGTTCTGCACGGAGTTTTAATAAATACGCAACATTCATCAGATATCTGAAAAGGCAAATATATTTTATTTAATTTGAATGAAGTTGAGTTGAGAAAAATTTTGAAAGAAAAAATGTCGGCCCAAAAACTCACGCCGCATAAGTCTGTGCCACATAAACCAATTGCGATTTCAACGCACTTTTCTCCGGTAATTCATTGATTATTCCATCCAACGGTTTTACAACCAAATCAAATATTCGTTTCTGGAAAATAAGAAGATGATGAAAAAAACGGTGTGTTTACTTTGTAACTTTTGCAAACAATGAGCAGTTTTACAACTTTGTGTGAATTTTCAGTGGGAAATCGATGAACATGTGATAAATGGGGAATTTGAACAGCTTAACCAGTTTTTTTTTGAAACATTCAGTTTTTGATAATAAAAATGAAAACTTTGAGGGTTTTCTGAAAATCGAATATCAATAACAAAAACAAAGAAATCACCAAATAAATATCTGCCTTCTATAGAAAAATCAAATAGATATATGCCATAAACTCGTTTTTTGCCAATCAATCGAAACAACAAGGCGCTTTTTATCTTGCGCAATCTTTCTTAATCGAACACAAAAGTGAGAAGAATGAATGGATATTTTATGAGAAAAGTTTAAACTAAATGGTCATCGAAAATCTTTTCCCTTTTTTTGAAATGAACTTACTCTGGCTTCATATTGTTCCAAAAGTTTCAACGTTTTCTTATTCTTCTTTTTTGCATTCGTTTCATTGAATTCAAGAGCTGTGCTGACCTGCAAGATAAATCGGATTTTTGATCTGAACAAAGAAAATCGCGCATGATTTTTCTTTTTTCAAGAGATCATCTTGGATACAAAATGAAATGATATGAATCAAGACTTATTGTTAGACTTAATTGAATGAATAAAAAAGCATTTGATTTAGAGGAAGTTGAAAAAAAGAAAACGAGAAGAGCAACATTTTGTCAAAAGAAGGATTAAATTTTATTTGTTTCTTTAATCTCCATTAAGCCTTCTTTTTTTTTCAAAATAAAAAGAAACCTTTGAAAAGCTAATTGCTGATTTTTGGAAAACGAAATCAGAAAACTCAGGTGTTCAAACTGGAATTAATTATAGTACGCTCAAAATTGATACTTTTCCACTCCAGTTTTTCTTTACCTGTACACTTTGATCATTCTGATCATCCTCTTCTTCATCGTCATCATCAAACAAATCAGCAATAACCGCAGTCGATTTATCCAACAACTTTTGTCTTGTCAAAGCATCTTCTTCTTCCAATTGTGCATCTTCCATTTCCTCTTCTCTCATTCCACCCCAATCTTTATCGACGAAACCAGTACCATAGAAATCTTTTCGTTTTTTACCCCATTTGTTGTCGGTGATATCTGAAAGTATAGAATTTGATGTCTGAAGTTGTTCAATGTTTTCCAATACCATTCATATCTTCATCATCAAAATCTGATCCATCGTCGTTGTCACTGCTATCAGATGCTTCAGCTTCAACACTGAGAAGTTCTTCAGGGCGGTCGAATTTCTAAAAAGGAAGAGTGTTACTTTTACTTTCATTAAATTCACTTACTCGTTTTTTATAAATCGTTCCAGCTTTAATTTCTCGATCTTTCGCATGAAACGAGTTAATTTCATCAATCAACTCTTCATTATTATCCTCATGTGAAATATGCGCAGATCTAAAATCCAAACATAAATATTTCATAGTCTCAACAACAAAAACTTACGCTTTCCCACTTCGTCTAGACATTCTGAAATATCTGTAAAAAACGTCTGTTTTAGGAAATTTACAAGTTTCTCAAGCATATCAAAATGTGCGGATCAATTTTCTCTATTTTTTGATGTATAAAACTCTCAAAACATTTCAGTTTTCATTGAGGAAACACGGAAAAAAGTGTAAAAAATGAAATTTTTCTCTTGTTGCCGCACAGGTCAAGTGGGAGGAGCCTATTGTGTAATTGCCGCATAGAGATAGGCTCCGCCCACTTTGTTTATTTTTTTCGAAAAAAAACCGAAAACCATACTTTTTCAGCATAAAATGACGGAATATGATAAATTCGCCGAACAATTACGACATCCAGATAATCCGATTGTATTTCTAGAAGTCACTGCAGGAGGAGCGCCAATTGGAACAATTGTTGTGAGTTTTTTCAAATCAAGAAATGTGAATTGAAATTTTGCAATTCATCGTAATTGTCACGTGTCAAAAAGTTCACGCGAAATTATTATTGAAAAGCTAACTCATTTCCATTTCGGAATTTTCTCTAGGAAAATTATTTCACAAGCTTTGAAGTCAATGAAATTTTTATTGAATTTCATAATTGATTTCCAAATTGTTTAATGCCCTGCAAAATCAAAATTTGATTTATTGAATTCAGATCGAATTATTCGCCGATGTGACACCAAGAACAGCTGAAAATTTCCGGCAATTTTGCACTGGAGAATACAAAAAAGACGGTGTTCCAAATGGCTACAAAAATTGCACATTTCACAGAGTTATCAAAGATTTCATGATTCAAGGAGGAGATTTTGTTCACGTAAGATTTTTTCCTATTGCGAAATATTTTTGATAAAATAAGTGGTTTTAGGGCGATGGAACTGGTTTGATGAGTATCTATGGCGCTAAATTTCGCGACGAAAACTTTGATCTGAAACACACTGGACCAGGAATGTTATCAATGGCGAATGCGGGTCCCGACACGAATGGATGTCAATTTTTCATTACTTGTGCAACGACTGATTTTTTGGATAACAAACACGTGGTTTTCGGTGAGAATTTTAATGTTTTGAAACAAATAAATACTTTATGGATAAATTATGGATAGGTAGATTTTTGAAGAACAAAAAATGATGAATAAGGATTGTAGTTATGATAAATATCTCCTCCTTCAGTTGTACGCCATCCAAGATTTCTTAAAATTAATAATTATGAATGGTTTTTGTAAATATAGAACTTACGAGTATCTTTCATGATATTCAGATGGCGATTGAGTTGTAGTTTTATATTGTTCATAAGGATTCAACATATTAGCATTGTTATAAAGCCATGGAATAAGAGTTTGTGAAAATGCACAAGAAATCAAAACAGCAAAAATAATCACGAATTGTTTCATTTTTTTAATGTTATGTTATCTTTCTTCATATTGATCTAGTCATATTTATATTGCTTTTTTTATTATCATCATGAAATGTGACAAAAGCAGCTATATAAAATCCGATTGACCGGTCAGTTTTAGTGTCATTACGCAATGAACAAGTTTTATCTTAGATTTGAAATTCTTTTTCACATTATTCAAAAAAAAATTATTATATTTCAGGTCGAGTGCTTGATGGAATGTTGACAGTTCGAAAAATCGAAAATGTTCCAACTGGTGCAAATAACAAACCAAAACTTCCAATTGTTATCGTTCAAAGTGGACAATTATAATTCAATTATCTTGATTTGTTTTATTTTGTTATTGATCTCTCTACTAAATTATTTAAATTTCATTTTTATGCCCAAAATTCACAGAATGTTCAAGAACATTGTGATATTTTTATTGATATTCAAAAACCTTAGACAGATGTTTTCAGTATGTCTATAATTGAAGATGTAAAACATGATTACAAGTTCAAAGTTGTTTTGCTGGGCGAAGGAGCTGTTGGAAAATCATCGCTTGTTATGCGATATGTAAAAAATAAATTCACAAGCAGACATCTTTCAACTATACAGGTAAGAATTTGAAAATTTGACCCACAAGTGTTCATTTCTTCTCAATATAGAAATATTTTAGGCCAGTTTTCAAACTCAAAAAATTCAAATCGATGACGATGAAGTGGAATTGAATATTTGGGATACAGCAGGTCAGGAAAAATATCATGCGTTGGGACCAATTTATTATAGAGGAAGTAATGGAGTTTTATTGATTTTTGATGTAACAGATCAACGGTCTTTTGAAAAGGTATTTTAAATCACAAACAAAGTTCAATAATTAAAACAAAATTAATTTCAGGTGAAAATGTGGGTTCGAGAATTGCGAGCAACTCTTGGAAATTCGGCGGTTCTTATGATTGTTGGTAATAAAATCGATATGGAAAATGAGCGAACTGTTTCGAGAGAAACTGCAGAAGAATATGCAAAAACTGAAAATGCATTTTATTCTGAAACATCGGCGAAAGAAAATATTGGAATCTCAACGGCTTTTGAAACACTTACTGAAAGTGAGTTTTTAAAATGGGAATAGGAAAATATTCATTTTGAAAAAATGTTCAGAAATGATCGAACATAATAAAGAAAATGCTCGAAATGCTCCACCAATCGCAAATCGATCTATTCAACTCATTGATGAGAATGAAAGAAATTCTTCGATACGCACGAAAAAAGCAAAATGTTGTTGAATATAATGTGAATAGAATTTATGTATCTACAAATTTTATATATACAGTCATGTAAATACATTTGAACTTTTGAGACACTTTTCATAAACCGGTAATTTTAAAAATTGTTGAATCTGATAGTTTGAGAGAACGGCATGGAAAGCGCTAAAGGTTTTCTGCTTTCTGAATAAAACACATTTTCGTTTTTTTTGTACATATTTGTTTATGTTCCTTCTAATTCTGCCTCTGTTCATTTTTGGCGTTTCCTTATTTTTTTGAATAATTTTTTGAGCTCATGACCACATTTTTATTGGTAATGAGCACGTTTTTTTGGAAAATAAGAAAAATTTTATTTCAAATAATAAAAATTATTTTGTTTCTATAGAAATCGAATCCAGATGACTTTTTTCATAATAAAAAATTTAAAAAAAAATAGAAATGTTACTTTTTGGAGTGATGACACTTGAGATTTTTTCCACCGATCAATTATATTTATTTATTTATTTGATTTCTTAACACTCTCGCCCACGAAAAAGATACCAAATAGTTTCATTTTTTGTTAACTTGGGGAAGCTTCAGATTTCGGAATTGGGCCGAAAAATTTGAATTTTCATCTATTCCATTTTGTAGCCCTTTAAATTCTGATGTGAGCTACAGTAATCCGCGGCAAAAATTGTCCAAAACATTTTTTTCGGCATTTTTTCTCTTATGTTAAACTGTGTAAAAACCAAAGTACACACATTTTATTGATTGATTGTTTTCAAATCGGAATTTTTTGCAATTTTTTTTTTGAAACCGTGAAAAAATTATTCCAAATTTTTTGTTGTTCAAAAACTTAATTTAAATCGGCCCATAATGTGGGCAGCCTGTAATTCAGGCCGACCTGGACCCAATTCCAACGAGAATAATTTATTCCAAGCGTCCGAATATCAAAAAACCTCCTCCCAAAAAAACTGGCAACAATTTTATTCAATCTAATAAATAAATAGATTTTTGATGTCTTATGGTCTTCTTCTTCTTCTCCCAAATATATATTTGCATAAAAAAGTAGTCATTTTTTGGGTGGTGGTAACATTTAGAAAATTATATGGTTTAGCTCTGGTTGGAGCAAAGAAACTGATGATTTTTGAGATTTGGTTAGTTAATTGTGATTTGCCGTGTCAGATGATATTTTTTCAATGGAAAAAAATAATTCTTGCTCTAGTGTTTTTTATTGTGTTATTTGAAAGTGTGTATAAATCAAAATACAGAATTTTCGCGAAATTTCGTTTTCGTTTTTAAATATCGAAATTGATCTATAGCCTTTTTGCTCCTATTTTTTTTTGCTCGCCCAATTGAAAAATTGACTCTTCCCTCTCTTTCGAACTTATTTTAATTGGAAATTTTTTATCGCATTTTTCAATTCTAGTTTCAGATAGTTTATGAAATTTCTAGGAAAACATCTGGTCAATTTTTCTTTGAAACAAAGTTTTTAAAAATAAAAAATATTTTTCAACGAAAAAAATGAGAGGCTCCTGAATTTGACTTGTTTCTCTCATATTTCATCAAAAATAATCCTGAAAACAACTTTTGTTGCTTTTTTCGTTGCCTTAAAAAATAGAAAACAAAGAAAGAAAAAATTTCCTATTTTTCTTCGTTTTTTTTTATTTTCCAAATGAAAATGAGAAGTTTTTTTGAGAATTGAAATTTCCGGGTTTATTTAGGCTCTGAAGTCTCTAGGGATTTTTTTGATTCGAAACATTTTTATTGAATTTTTCACATTTTTGTCAGATTTTGAGCTTTCTTCTTTTTCAAAATCACGAGGCAAAAAATAATCCTGAAATTTTGGATTACGAAAAAAATGATTCGAAATTTTTTCTATACAAAATTTCTATGAACCTCAATTCATAATCGGCCCCCAATTTGTTCCGTGCCATTTCAAAATGTTGCTCTTTTGAGCCGTCTATTCATAACTTTTTTTTCAAATTTTTTTTGAGAAACATTTTTCGTCTATTGAGTCAAAAAAGAGAGCCAAAATGTATGCGGGAGAATATCAATGGCCAAAAATTATTGACAGAAAAAAAGTTTTTTTTGTCGGTCTGAATTCTAATGTGAGCATGAAGGGAATTTTTGAACTTTTATTTTGAAAAAAAAAGTTTTTTTTTGAAATTCTAATTTTATATGCAAAAGTTTTCGATTTTTTCTAAGAACTTCTAGGAAAACCTATACCAAAGTAGATATATATTGTTGTGAAAAGTCCCTTTTTGTGAGGAAATTCAATCAACTTGTTTTTTTATCTGCCGAGCACACACATTTCTCGACACTTTTTTCTTGCGGAATTGAAGAAAAATTAGAATTTCATTGAATTTTAAATTTTTTTTTGTATTGGATTTGAAGTCATTAAATTTAATAAGTCAAAAGAACCTTCGAAATTTCAAGAATTTCTCATATTTTCCATTTTCTTCATTCATAAAAATAATAAGATTAAGAAGAATGAGGAAAGAAAAATAATAATATTAGTCAAAAATGAAGAAAAATATTGATCGAGGAATTTCAGAAAAAAAGGCTGAAATTCTATTCTGCGCCCCAGGCGATTTCTATTTGCATACATGTTTTTTATTGGTTCAATTATTCGAGCCATTCCTTTTTTACTCATTTTTCTGTCTATCTGTGAAAAAAACACTTTTTCTTTATACTACTTATTAGGTCACTAGTGGACTCTACGCTGAAATCATTTAAAAAAATTTCTGTACAATTTTTCCTCTTATTTTTAAGTTTAAGAATTAATGGGATGTAAATTTAAAAGTTCAAAAATCTAGATGATTTTCAAGATTAATTGTAAGATTACAAAAATTATTTCTAATGTCAGTTGAAATTCCAAAAGTTCTAAATTGACCAAAATAACGTTATGACGTGACAAAATTCATGAATTTTTTAAACCGAGTTTTTCAGCAGAGATAGGCTTCTTGGATATATTTTTCCAAATTCCAAAAAAAATTCTTGAACCAATGTTTTTTGTATCAGAAAAAACTTCACCCCGCAGATGTGTCAAATCTATTTACATAATTGAATTTCCCTGTTCTTTTTCTTCTTCTTCTCTTTAACAGAACTCTCTGAAACCAAACAAAAAAGTCTTTGGTTTCGGTTTTTTGTGGTCGTGAGAATCATCTCATCAAGGGTTTCAAGAAAAAAGGAACATTGTCTAGTTTAGTGTTTCACTGCAGCACTACAACATATTCCAGGATTTTTGTAAGGAAGATTTTATCTCAAAAATATTTTTCTGAAAAAAGTTCTGCTGTTCCGAAAATAGCATTTTTCAACCGACCAATATTTGAGGAATGAAATCCAAATCCAAAAACAAATTAATAATGAAAATATTCTATATTGAGACGGCGAAAAAGTGCATTTGAACTTTTTCATTTTTCACCTCACCATGGATTCAGGCGCCACTTATTCTAAATGTTTTTTTCCAGAAAATCTTCCCCCCAAAAAAAGCGGCGAAATTTGATTTGTCCTTTTTGTTGTTTTCTCTTCTTCTTCTTCTGCTTCTTTTTTTAATTCGTGTACGATTTCACAGATTCAATTAGAACCAAACAACAACATGTCGAGAAATTTGATAGTTTTGCCCGTTTTCAGATAATCTATAATTCAACTGAAAATATCCAATTTCCTATAGGAAATGATCACCTTATCTCTATTTTCTTTTTTTAGAATCCACTCTTCTTTTATTTTCTTCTTCAGACCACTCAGGGAATCACGGGCGAGATCTACGCGATTCGCGGGCGTCCAGCGTTTTGCGGAAACTCCGCGGTGGTCATTTGCGAATTGCGCAAATTTAGCGAAGTGACTCGGTCGAAAATATTTTGTCGCGAGATTTCCGCAAAACGCAGAAAAGTTTGCGTTTCGCGTGAATTTCGCGGGCTGTCACGACAAGAGTGCAGAGATATGAAACACGTTTCAGCGATATGAGTCGTGCGCGTGGATGGTCAAGTGGGTAAGAGGAATGTGTGCGAGGCGGAGAGTGTCGGATCGAGGCCGGCCGAGTGAGTATGATTAAAAGCGATTAGTTGTGTCTCGCGGCGCCTCTACTTTTTGATTTTTAAGAGAGAACCGCGAGATTTCCGCAATTCGCAGACAGAAAACCGCGAAATCGCGGCGTGTTCGCGGCGATTTCGCGGATTTCTGGGTCCCGCGAATCGCGGAGATCTCGCCCGTGATTCCCTGAGCATAATTGAATTTATTTTTTGTGTTATAATTTTTCTAAATGGTCTTTTCTGTTTTCTTATTTTCATTTTTTTTTTGTTTCAATCTTCCATTTTTATGCGTAGGTCTGTAAAATGATACTTTTTTCCGGTTTTGAGATTTTTATTTATGAAAAAACGCCTTCTATTTTTCGAGATGACTTAGACCAACTCATAAAAACGTTTGACTTTTTTGCTCCGTCAGATAATTGTTTCCGTATATAATAGCACTTTTGATGAATATGTGGAATTTTATTTAGCTTTTACTCTCCTTTAGAATACTGTAGCTTAAATTCTCTTAGAGTAATTTTTAGTCCAAGTCTTGTGAAAATATTTTCATATTGTTAAAATAAGTTATTTTTAGAGTTCACATTGGTCAAGCCAATTAGAGTGGTCATCCTGAAAAACAAATATAAATACTTCATCTAACTCATCAAAAATCTATATGTTTTTTGAAACTTATTATTAAAAACGGGTGTCCAAGTACGGATGTATAATATTTCCAAATAATTATTTTTTCCCGCAGAATTTTCAGATCCATGTTGCAATAACAAAAAGTAGTTTTTTCATCTTGTTGATATTCTTCTGCTGAATAAATAAAATAAGGTTTCAATTTACAAATGAGACCTTCTGATGCTTCTTCTGACCTCATTAGGAATTCTTAAGATTTTTAATGTTTTCTTTCGCGGACCCTCTTTTGCTATAACGTTTTTCTTTTTTTTTTGATCATTGAGACCTTTTTCGCTTTTTAAAAGTTAATTTCGAAAAAAAACATAATTGGAGCGGAGGGCGGGTGTTCTGAATGTTCAAAACCTTAGGGTTCAAATTCGAAACTCCCTGATGTCATTCCTCCATTTTCTCACACCTTCCCAGATTCATGAGAAATATTTTATTTGCAGATGGTTTCTTCGGACGGTCCTCTTGACAATGCAACAATTGCTTCATATGAAGATTTGATTGGTTTACATATTGTTAACACATCTCTTGGTGCAATATCCACCCTGGTCAATATCCTGCTTCTCGTCATTTTTCTGTCTTATCGACCATTTAGAACACGATATGTGGTGAGTGAAAAAATTCTGAAACTTGATTGTGAGCGAAAGGTTTCCAAGTTTTGGACCATAATTTTTAAACTTTGATTCTAAATTTGATTTAAAATTTGAAAACTCGTTCCAACTGTTCACTATGAGTGAGTATTTCATTTCCTGGTTCCCATCAAAAGTTCATTTTGGCGGCGTCATTTCAAAACCAAAGTTCTCACAGTTAGTGCGATCAGATTTCAAAAGACACCCCTGCAGATATATCTTGTGTATTGCTGCTATTTTTCGGGCAAAAAGGAAGAAGAAAGTCTCGCGAATATGAGTACTTTAATTTGTACATGAAATATGAGATGATGTGATTCACAAACATTTATGGGGTGATTCAGTCGAATTAATCGACGTGAATTTGTCAATTAATTGACAAAAAAATCGAGTCTTTTAGGGCGATTAATTTCACGTTTTTGTCAATTCCTCGCTTTCATTTCTTGGCAAAAAATGCGATTAGTTGCATGAAAATTCGAATTTATTTGACCTATATTTTAAAACGTGACCTATATGAGTTGGAATTATCAACAAAAAAAAATCAATTTCCCTCAATTTTCTTTCATTTCGAAATGAATTCAAAAAATAAGCAGTGAATTTAGAACACGTTTCGAAAAAAAGGTCAAATAAATTCTATTTCGTATTGAAATTCCTCATTTTTGTATGCAAATAATTGCAAAAAAAGATGGAATTAATCGACAAAAACGTGAAAAAATCGCACAAAAATGACTCGGATTTTCTGTCAATTAATCGTCAAAAAAACGAATTGAATCACCCCATTATCAAACATCAATCAATTTCTTTCAGTTACTCATTCTTCTCAACATGGGAGATCTAATAAACAGTATGGCAATTGTATTAATGGGTCTCAATCGAGTTGAATTGTATTCAGAGGTCATTGAAACAAAACAAATGCCACAAAGGTATCCAATTGATTGTGCACTCGAATTATGGCTCATTATGAAGCTCATAGGTATGTATATCCTATCAAAATTACATCCTCATCCTTTTATTCAATTTCAGGTGATATTCTTATCCCTGTTGCCACTTTCTGGATGGGTGTTGAGAGACTTGTCGCAATTTTGTACCCAATATTTTATCGTTTCTCGGTTGATGGAAAAGCAGTGAAGTAAGTTTTTCTAACAAAACATTTCATGTATATTAGTCTTATTCAGATACCTTGTTGTTCCCGGAATTAGTATCTTCTTCGTAATTTGCTCAATAGCAGTTGCGTTTTACTTGTCATTTATGGAAGGAACCGATCATTTTGCTCAGTTTCATTGTGGAAGAAAGGCTGCTTTTGGTCAAGGTTTTGGCGTGTTTATTTATGTTTGTAATATAACATGCAATGTTGCTGCAACTGTTTTTGCCACAGCTGCATATTTCAAAGCGTTGAAACTTTCAAAAACACAGTAAGAATTTTAATTTTTTGAAAATCAAGGAATATCCAAAATTTTCAGACCACGCATGCAACGTCAAGTCAATGTTATAAGATACTATCTTTTGATTACTGTACTTTCCACACTTCTTGTTTCACTTCCAAATGCAATTGCTCTTTTTCAGATCTACGTTGAGAAAGTGAGTGATTTACCCTAACTTGTAATAAAGTTTATTTTAAATTTTCAGGTTAGTGATCTATTGTCAAAGCCAGCATATTGGATGCAAACAATTAACAGTGGAATACATTTTTTCGTTTATTTGGCTTTGAACAAAGAATTCCGCGGGAGAACTTTGAGGATGTTTCATTTATCGAATAGTGAAGAGATCTCATTGAGCAGTGAGTTTTTTTGAGGAATAGGGAAGGGTGGGAAAGGTTTGGCTTGAATATCTTCATAGCCCTTCCTCTCCGATCTGTGCCTAATTATATTCATCAATTTTTCAGAAAAACATTCACCTGATGGATGTGAAACACCGCTTCGAGGATCTGCGCGAACATTAACAGCCCGAACTTCATGAGATAACAAAAGTCAAATTCAAATTGTTAGTTGTTTAGAAATGTGATTTTTGCAAGGGTTTTCTAATATGATCTCATATTATTTATTTATTTTTATGTAAATATTCAAAATTAAATGTTTTTTTGTTTCCTGATCGATTGTTTGACATGCTAATAGCTTGGCTTGAAACATACACGAAGTAACAAAAAAAAACGATTCTCGTTCAGCCAATAATTACAACATTTTTCTCGTTTCGTTCGTTTTCACCGCAAAAAAATTTCGAAGCTTCGAATAATTATGAATGATGTATTTGTTCGAACAGAACAAAAACTGGTAAGAAATAAAATAACTAGGTTTTTTTGTGATTGGTTTGGTTTTGTTTTTTCAAGTGTTTTCCGCATTATTTTTTATTTTTCTCATTTAATTTTCCGGATGCATCTATTCACAAATATGAAAAATATTGTTCGAATTCTATTATCTATCTTTTCAAAAGTTATTCTGATTTATATAGTACTTCACATTTTCCAATCCAATCCTCAATTTCCCATATAACCTCTAATTTCTACCCAAAACATGCAATCAACAAAAAAAAACAGCTGCGCCCGCCACGCGAAAATTATCTCCTTGAACATCTCAAAATCCGTTATTAATTTTTCCAAGCCAAAAAAAAAAATGACACTTTCATTTTCCTCAATTTTTCCTCAACCCAAACATTTTTGCTATTTACAAAAATGAATAACATAAACAAATGTCTCATACCCAATTAGTCATCCTTTCATTCAATGAAAAAAACCAGTTTTAATCTGAGTAATCAGTTAATAATGTAAGTGTAAATGTGTCATTTCTTTTATTTTCAGACATGTTACTTCGGCTTCTTCTAATTATTCTAGTTTCCAAATTTGTTGAGTTACGGCCTACAGCTCCAAGAATTCCAGATGTTAGTTTGAGTTCTATTATTGTTATAAGCCTTTTCTAAATGATAACAAGTTTCAGCTTTTTCCTGAAGTTACTCAAGATTTGATTGTTGCAACTGGTCAAGAATTGGAAGAAATCAAAAAATCTATATCGAAAATTCCAGAGATAAATCAAACTTTAGAAGGTGAGTAAACATTGGGAATTATTAGAATAAATCTCTATAACCCCTGAATCTCTGCTCGGGACTGGGGTCGCTGAATATGCGACCGTTGTCGCATATATGCGACCAGCCCGTCGCAACTCAGTTTGAAAAGTTGCGACTGCTGCCGCAACGCTGTTTTCAAAATGCGACCGAGTTTCGCAAATCTGAGATGAGAGTGCGACAAATGTCGCGAAAAAAAAACATCTGTGCGACGGAAAAAATTGGTCGCATTTATGCGCCACGGAAAAACCTCGTCGCATAAGTGCGACCAGACAGCGACCGCAGTCCCGAGTGGGCTCAGCTAAACAAAAATAACTAAAAAAAATTTAGAACTCGACTCAAACTTTGAAGATATCTCATCTGACTTTGCCTTAAGTTCAAATGACATTGAAGATAATTGGAAATCAGCTGGAAGTAGTAAATTTCGAGATGATCACGATGATGAACTAACTAAAATTCATAAATCGACAAAAGATAACAATCTACCACCTTTCGCTTTTTCCGAAGATTCTCAAGATGTGGTAAATGTTGATAGTGACGTGGCTGCAATAAGTTCATCACAACCTGCATTTATAAAACAGTCGTGGAATTTGCATAAAACATCAACCACTACAGAACAACCAATAACTTCAACTGTTCCAACGACAACAACAACATCGACTGAAAGACCTTCTACAGTATATCCAACATTGATGTCAACAAGTTTCACATCATCTTATAATTCAGCTACTTCCGCTCATGAAGCTTGGCGACAACATTTAGCAAATCAAGGAATGGTCCCAGCGTTCCGAACAACTTCAACATCTACGCAGATCCCAGAATCAGTATTCAATTCGAAATTGAATTTGAAGAGACCAGCTAGAGTAACAATTTTTGGAGCACCAATGAAAGGTTACTCAAAGAAACGAGCATATTCAACTATTGTGAAAGCTAGGGGAACGAATCCAAATTCAGTTCAAAATCAAACACTTCATGAACAAATCCTTGCAACCAGTCAAATTCTAAACCTTCTTGGAGACAAAATCGAGACAATTGATCAAGCGAATTATTTGGGAACATCGCCAAAAATTGGAGTTCTTTCGAATATTTATAATCGAGGTAGACGTGTTCGTCGTTTGAAACAAAAACAATGGGGATCAAGTTTGAAGGGGAGATTAGGGAGATATCGACAAATTATGGATGGAAAAGGAAAATATATGACTAAAGCTATTGTTGAAGCACCAGGAATGGATAAAACAAGACAACATAGTCATGGAATTCGAAGGAGAAAGGAGAAAAAGTGAGCTGAAATTTCTAATAAATCCACGTATGTTTTTATTCCAGCTTTGCCGAAGCTCTTCTTGAATCCGAAGAACAATCATTCAAACAACTAAAATCAACGTTGCGTCAAATTCGAGATGTTGTCAAACTCAAATCCGTTCAAACTACCACGGTATTTTCTTTTGAAAAAAATAATTTTATTCAATTTCTAAATTCCAGGAACCATCTAACGATTCATCATCCTTTGGCGGTTCATTCGATTTTGTTAGAAAATAATTTCATATTGTTATATATTTTTTGTTTGTAAATTTGAATTTATTGTTAGCAGCAGATAAAACAATATTATTATTTTCCTTCCTCCTCTTCCTTTTTTCGGTTTCCAGATGTACCTTTAAAATTGTGCCACTCTTCTAGTTACCATAGCAACTAGATGAAAAATATTTAGAACCCTTGAAAAGTCTTCCACCTTATTTTTATTTAAAAAAAAAGTATTATGATTAATAATGTGGTAAGTTTTTTTCGTCTCATGTTTAAAAAAATTATATTCAAAAATGTTCAGAGAAGCTCGTTAGTCTACCAACTTTTGATCAAAGCTCAGGAAACAATTTCATGCATTTATTTTCTGCTCATTTTTCTACTCTATTGGTACAAAGGTTCAATTCTACCATATCAGAATTATGTTCGAGTTATGGAATTTCTGATTATTATTCCATTTGTGCCCATCGAATATTTGAGAATTTCCTGGGGTTAGTTAAAGCCTCAAGAGGTGAATTTTTCAAAACTGAATATCATTACAGGTTCTCGTGGAAACATTCTGGAAAGTAGTGCCTTCTTGCTCCTCTCTTCATTTTTAGCAGTTCCCGTGATTTTGATCACAGTTTATTTGACATTTTTTCAAAACTATGGTAAGGATTTTCACCAGCTCAAACACATTTTTCTTTAATTTTCAGTGCTATTCATTGAAGAAATTTTCTCCTATATTTTTGGAGGATTTGTAATTTTCGAGACAATTTTGTCGTTTTCTTTGTCAATTGCATTCTCATCAAGTTCCTCAACAACAAATCTACAATGATAAAAACATTATACTATTTTTCAAAACAAAACATAAAAATATATTTGAACTTGTGTTTTTCTCGATATAAAAATATTCTGCTCAATTTATGAAACTCTCAAAAACTTGAGGTTTGAATTCGACGAGAAGTGAAAAATCTACTTATCAAGTGAGTTGAAGGATGTGCTCTTCTTCTTCTTTTTTGTTCGCTTCTAAATACGTTTTTTTGCTCTTTTCAAGCACATGAAATGACCTACGCAACCTTTTCTTTTTGTCTTTTTGCAGAATTTTGAATATTTTATGAGTTTTTTAGAGATTACTGTGCTTGTTTGTTGAGTTCAATTTTTTGTTGTTGAAAAAAATTAACATTCTCAAGTAACGTGAGATTGTGAACTTCCTTATTCGCTTACAAGGTTTTCGAACTTTTAAGAGTGCATACAAAATCTTTGGAGAAGTGTTGGTATTCATTAGAGCACACTTGACCTTTTTGTATTTTCCAACTAACCACAAACAATTCAAGTAATTCATTTCAATTTAAGGATTAGATCAGTGAGAAAGAAAAAAAAAGTGGTTTCGTTTCCGGAATTTGTTTTGTTTTTCTGTTCACTTGATGTGCTTTTTTTTTGAAATTTTAGTTTGATTGAAAATTTGTCAAAAAGGAAGAAGACATCATTTTTTGAAATGTTTACGCTACTTTTTTGGGTTTGTGTGTGTGGAAAATAAAATATCGTCAATCAAATATTTTTCGAAAAGAAAACAATTACAGTAGGCTTTGTCGGTTTCTTTGAACTATTGGAAGAGTAAATATTCGGTTTTCTAGGCTTTTTTGAAAGCCAAAATTTTCGTAATGACCTTATTTGCGCTGCTCGGACTTAAGGTCAGAATTGAATTCTTGCAAATTAAATTCTTGTGACCTCAAGCTCGCTTTCCAGCGCTAATCACGTCTCGGGGAAAAATTAGAAAGTTTTACTTTAAAAAAATTTTAAAAACAATGTTGAAAAACTCACTTTTCCTCCAGTTTCCTCGTTTTTGCAAATCATTCAACCAAAATCCGCTTCATAAATTGTTTCGATATCCCCATCATTTCGTTGACGTTTTTCCTGTAAAATAGAAATGAATTGAATTTAAATAAGTACTTTAAACGGAAGAAAAATTCAAGAATGTACATTTTTCATAAAATTACTTTTTGAGCACCATAAAACTATTGAAAATCAACTAAACTTATGTTACTTGTACTAGGAAAAGAAATAAATATGAATTTTATAAAAAGTTTCATTCAAATTCATGGAAAAACAACAAAAAATACGTGAATGAAGAATTTCCGAAAAAACAAAAACAAGAAAATAAAAGTAAAAATGGAAGTGCGCCCCATTGATAAAAATCGAATGTCTCGCACTTAGGGATGGAAAAGCGGGCCCCGCTTACGTGAAAACGTGACCTACTTTTTTTGGAATCGCTTTTTTTGCCAGATCGCCCGATCGCCCGTTCGCCGCCTAAAAATAGAAATGGTTCATTTTTCACGTGTTGGCGAATATTTTTTCATAACAAAAATTTTTCGGCGGCGAACGGGCGATCGGGCGTCTGGGCGATCGGGCGTCCGGGCAAATGGGTCGTCAAGAAATTGGGCGATCGGGCGGCCCTAACGCCCGTTTTTCCATCTCTACTCGCACTCTTTCAAAAATTTGTGTGTTTTGTCGTTGCTGTTTTATTTTTTATCAGACTAAAAGGGTTTGATTCCAGAACCTGTGATCCCCTTCTCCTTAACAATAGCCTCTTTTCAGAGACCGCCCATTTTCCTAGCCTCTTTGATCAAACAAAAAATTAACCAATTTCCTGAATGTCAATTCCATACTCATCCATTTCTAGTTTATTTTCTTCCCCTTCAAAATCAGAAAACACTTTTTTCTCCTGAACCACAAACATTTAGCACTTTATTTTTGCAATGAGAATTTCGTCTCCAAATCGCAAGTATTTTTGTGTATTCTGAAAATTAGACAGACACATCTCTCCTCTTCTTTTTTTTTGAACTGACAGAGAAGATGCAGAAAAAAAGTTGTTTTTCTTTTTTTGTGTATGTTATTTTGGGTGTTACATTTTTTCTAGATTTTTTTGTGACAAAAAGTCCGGATTTTCCGGTACAGAGAAAACTGGAAAAACATGTAGATACATGATTTTTTCTTGTGAAATTTTTTGTGAGGTTTAGGCGAGTTCCGTGAGTTCCTTGTACTTTTTCAAAAAAAAAATGAAATGATTTTCTTCTTCAAAGAATAAATCGAATTTTATTTTGCTCCGACTAAAACAGAACGCGAATTTCTACAAATTTTCTGTAAATTTCCTGAATCATGAGCAATTGACGTCATTTGTTCCCACAGTAGTTGTTTTAAATATAAATTTTATGTAGTTTGACTAGAAAAATTTTTCTGCCTGTCTTGATAATAAAAAAATCAAAACACATCTGCTTCATAAAATTCCAGGTGTCTTTGAAAAACCAACAAAAATATAATGAATAAATAGTTTTCTAGAATTTTGATGAGACTTCATTTGGTCTCTGGTTCAAAGTTGTTTTAACGACTTGTGAGTGTGTGACGAGTAAACTTTTTATGTGTCTATCCTAATCCACGTGGAGCTTTCCATCAACTTTGATCATTATTTTGGTCCACCAAAGTTTTGTCCACCCTCAAATCTTTTGCCGTTGGCAATGTTTCCTGATCTTTAAATCTGAATTTTCCCGCCGCCAATTTTCTTTTGGTTTTGGTTTCGTCAAGAAATTTGAGACTTCTCTCTGAAGAGGTGTGAAAATAACACAATAAGTGTTCGGATTTTCCTACTTTTTATTTACTTATTCCTCTTTTTCTTCAGACGCTGAAAAAAAGAAAATAAATAATTTTTCTTCAAATTCAAAAAAATGGTTTATGGTTTCTTGCGAAATATATCCGATCACATTATTCAACAAAAGCTAACGAAACACTTTTTTTCGACACTCTCCAAATATACTTTTTTCTTTTTGCAAAGACACTTTTCTCATATCAAATTTCGACGAGACAAAACTTGTCACGGAAGTAATTTTCAGTTTTCTTCTCCTTAAATATTTGATCTATTCAGTTCACAGATTGTCTGATGTGAGTCTACTTGTAAAATGAAATATTTTCAGAAAAGTGAGTGAGAAAAATGATTTATGAGCAAGTTTTAAGAAATCTGTTTGTTTTTCTTTGTTTTTTTTCTCCTGTTCCAATGTCGAGGGAATATCCATATATGTCTCTTTCTGAAAAGGCAACAAGTTTTTTTTTTGCTGTGCCCAACCTATCGGAATGAAAAATACGAGGAATATAATTATATGCAAATCTGATGAGCTCGAAACTAAGAAACTCTACTCTTTTTTCTTCCTTATATTTTTGTTTGAAGAACTCATCAGATTCTTAGTACTAAAATAATTGAGTTTGCAAAATTTGAGGAATCGAAGATTTTTGAGAGTTTGAAAATTGTTGAAATTCTAAAAGCCCTCAAAATTTCAGAATTTTTCAAAAGCGTTTTTGCCACGTCATAACTTTTTTCTAGCCGTGTTTTGTCCTCTATAATTTTCAGAATAATTATTTCTTTGTGTGTTCTTTCAACTTTGAGAATTACACCATTTTTAATATTTAAGGCAAATCTGGACTCAACCTAAATAGACCTAAGCCCAAAAAATTCACGTTTATAGATAAAAAAGTGGGGCTACAGTACCCTAATTTTTTAGCGGGGAAAGGTGCCACGTGGCAACATTTTTATTTAGATTTTAGGATTACTGTAGGTTTTCTGTGGGTTATTTAAAATTTCCAATAATTATTGTCACGTGGGAAAAAATTACAGTATAATTTCGGAGCTAAAAATTGAGTTGAATATTTTGAAAGTTTAAATTTTTTGTGTCGCTACAGTACCCTGAAAATTTTCACGTGGCAGTTCCACACCTTCCTTGTAAACTAGAACTATTTGAATTCAGGGGAAAAAAATATATCTTGTAGTTATATAATATTCGTTCCCTAATAACAACAAACACATCATTATTTATCTATTCTCAGATAAATTGCATATTTCTTTTTCTATTCCCAAAAAAGCAGGAGGGTTCAATGATCTTCCTCCGAGAAAAAAAAAATAATTTTTGCGCAAGGGTTTCTCTAATCTCTCGAAATTCTATACATTTTCCGGTAGGACACACAAAAAAATGAAAAAACAAAAAACAAGAATGGATTTTGATGTGAGGAGCAAAAAAATCAGCAGGTTTTTTTCTCATCTTCTTTTTTTTCAAAATGAAATTCGATATTTTTTGATCGCTGTTCTCAAAATATTGATCTGATTTTAGTTTTTCCGTGTCAATTTGAAGAAAAACTTGAAGAGGTTTACCGTAGCTCAAAAGTTCGAACTTCACTCAAGTTAAAAATTCAATTTTTTGCTTTTTGAACATTCTACCAGTTAAAACAACACAACGAAAAAAAAACTTTTTTGTCGTCTCCTTTTCAATTTTTCTTCTTCTTCGCAATTATCTTAAGCTTCACCAGTTTTCCGGTGTGAAGAGTCTCTATCCTCCTCCTACTCGATCGCTATATTCTTCTTCTTGCGCATAATTTTTCAAAAGAGTCTTCGCCCTTCTTCTGAATATGTCAATTCCATTTTTTTCTGTGTTGAAAAATTGATGGCATCAGAAATATTCATTGTTTTTGTGATTTTCATTCAAATGATATCATTTTATTTCAGTCTGAAAATTTTATTGTCTTGAGACTTTTTGAATTTTACCACAGTACAAAAGTTATGACGTGGCGAGTTCTTTATGAAAATTACAGTGGAGTTCAGGAGGTTCAAGATGAACTTCAGAAGTTCAATTTTTAAAGAATTTATAAAAGAATGAAAATCATTGATGTAGAAATTATGACGTAAAAATTTTCTCTATTTTTAAAAATCATAATTTTGAAGATCCAATTTTTCTGCGGGAAATTGAGACATAATTTCAAAATTTGGCTAGAAATTATTTATAGAAAAAAGTTCCAAAACCCTTCTCACTCTATTTTTTTTGCAAAATTGTTTGCTCCAATCTAAAATCAAAAATCCACAAACATCATTTTATTGAGAAATTCCAAAATAAATTCACCTGCTTCTTCTTTCACTTTTTTTTTACCAAAATGCTCTTTTTTGTTTCCTTTCGAGCACCCAAATTTCTTCTCGTAAGTAACTCTTTTTTCGTTCGTCCTTTTTTTCTGGTAATATAATCGAATTAGATGAGTTGAGTAGGTTATCTATTTTCCTTTTCTCGTCTTTTCCATGTCCCCTGAAAGTTTCAAACAAAACTGCGTGTGAATCAGTAGCAGAAATTTTTCAGCGCAAAAAAAACCAAAGGCTGCCTGATTAGGGTGTCCACAAAATTTCATTTTTGGAGGTTTTTTTTTGAAAAATAAATTGACTTCATTTCATCCATCCGAAAATATTGGAAATTCAAATTTTTCTTTCATTTTCTTTTTTTTCACATTTGAATTCTTGGTCTTTCTGTCTTGAAACATCATTTTTCAAATTGTAAAATTTTAGTAAGTGGCCAGGATTCTTTATATTTTCAAAACTCAAATCCATACATCGAATTATGACGTGTCAAAAATTGAATTTCGAAAAAGTTTGAGCTCCCAAATTTTCGAAAAAAAAAACAAAATCAATATTCTTATTCTCGGTGTGTTTCATAGTTTGTCCCTTCTCAAAAATCCACTCAAAATGAGATTTCTGTTTCTTTTTTCGGCACTCAATTCCAATCTCGTCTCTACTTTTTTGCATTAATTAATTTCCTTATTTTTTTTCGATAAGTAATTTCCTATCTAAATTTTTATCGAAAAAAAAAGAAAACAGAAATAATCTCTCGTCATAACTTGTGTTCATCTCATCTACCATTTTGAAAAGAATCCGCATGTAAATAAGTAATTCTAATATTTGGCTATTTTTTTATTTTGATCATATTTTGGTCTCTCATTTTCCTCTCTCATTTTTTCCCTATCTCGTTTTTTTTGTTATTTGTTCATCTTTTTCCTTGTGTAAGAGATTCTGTGTCAAAGAGTTGGGATGTGCAAAAAAAAAACAAAATGAATCTGGAATTTTTGGATCAGACCACAAATATCGATTTTTAGGACCTAGTAGGCCGTGGCTTCCACTAAAATGAACCTAACCCCCAACCCCGTATAAATTTCTTTTCAGAGTATATTCTTCGTCTTCCATTTTTTTTGTCTCACTCATTTCCTTCAAACATTTTCTTTAGCCTTTGTTTGACGAAATAATTCGAGGGTTCATTTATTTTTTTTGCTTGATGCCTGCTTTTTCTTTCGTGGAGAGATTCACCCTTCTCAAAACGGAAAACGCCGAAATTGTTTTGATTAAATTTTTCGCGAAGCTCTGGATTTTTTTTATTTTTTTTGAAAAAAAAATGAAAGGTCAATTTCCGTGCATTTCCGGTTGCAGAGTTTATCAAAGTTGATCGAAAATCGAGAAATGTCAAATGTTTTGTAACAATTTTTTAGAGCCAGAACTCAAACATTCGAAGTTTTTTTCAAAATAAGTTCCCCTATTTTTTCCAAACTTCAAGCAATTATCGAATTTGAAAAACATGACCTTTTTCGTTCGAATTTCAAATCAAAAATACATAAATCCAGCCAGCCACGTATATTTTCTCATTTTCCAAAAATTTTCTGCTTCCAAAATTTCATTTATCCTTCCTTCCTACCCGTTTTCTTTTTTCTCCTTTTCAAAAGTGCATGTTTTGAAAAAAATTTGAATTTACATTTTGTAAATTTCGACTTTTTCTTCTTCTTCAAACAAAACAAGATAATACGTCAATGATTAATTTGGGACTTGTTTTGGCTGTTTTCAAAAAAAAAACGTATTTTCAGCCAGAGTGGGTGAAGCTTTAATTTGGTGGCCGTGTAGAAAATAAATAAATAAATAAAACACGACTTTTAAAAGTTTTTATCGTAATCCTTCCCAATGATTTCAGCTAATATTTATTTTGAGTTTTCATATTCTCACACAATTTTAGTCATATGCCAAAAAGATTCCCACAAAAAAAAGTATACACTATTTTTTTTTCTAGAGCAGGTTTATGATCCTTCTGACATTTTAGACATAGATAATTGTAGGATGTTAAAATATATGACTAACATTTTCAATCCCCCTTTTTTTCCAAAAGTTCTCGTTGTGTACTGTAAAGTAAAGTAAAGCAGGCTCAAAAAATCAAAAAAAGTGCCCGTCCTCCTCAAAGAAAAAGTGGGCGGAGTTGGCTCTTTTAGCGGCAACACAATGAAAAAAAGAATGTATATCTATCTAGATACAACATATTTTATAATTGAATACCAATGTTTTATTTATATATTCATCATATTTGTTTGATCTACTATTCTACATAACTTGTACCCCAATCCAATCCAAGCCAATTATCTCAATTCATAGACCACCCCTCGTGATTTTTCTTACTACACTACGTCACTTCTTTTCTCATCAATAACTTTCTAATTTTTTTCATCCTCGTTTTTTTTGCAGTTTTCCGTTTTCTGAAATGAAATTCCGACAAAGCTGAGATGAACAATTCGACAACGCCAGAAAATAATTGCGGAATTGAACCGCATGATTATCTGGAAGTCAAGTTTTATCTGATCAGTGTTGTTGGAACATTGATTGGATTGTTTGGACTGTTTGGAAATGCGACCACCGCGCTGATATTGACCAGGTGGGGAATTCGGGGACAAAGAAATATTGCCCTTCTAATTGTAAATAATAAAAATATTATCCCAATTTCCAGGCCATCCATGCGAAATCCTAACAACTTATTTCTAACCGCATTGGCTGTTTTCGATTCCTGTCTCCTAATCACCGCTTTTTTCATCTATGCAATGGAATATATTATCGAATTTACACGAGATTTTGAACTTTATGTTGCCTGGTTAACATATCTCCGATTTGCATTTGCACTATCGCATATTTCACAAACTGGAAGTGTTTATATTACTGTAGCAGTTACAATTGAACGATATTTGGCGGTTTGTAATCCGAGAAGAAGTAAAATGTTATGTGGGCCGGGTAAGTGCAACGGGAATCCGGAAGTTTTGCTAATTAAGAATAAAATAATTATTTTAGGTGGTGCTGCATGGACGATTCTTGGTGTCACTACTTTTGCAGTTGTTTTCAATTGTACAAAGTTTTTCGAACTTCAGGTGATTCTAGGGGGGTTTTTTTGAATGGAATTTTCAATTTTTATCAAAAGCCTCTTGAATTTGTTGAAGCCTCTAGAATTTTTCTCCAATAACTTTTCTCATTAAAGGTGACAATCAATCCAGAATGCCCCGATGGAAATGATTGGCAAAGCTATATTCTTCTACCTTCTGCTTTGGCAAGTAATCCAATTTATCAACAAGTTTTTACACTTTGGATAACTAATTTCGTCATGGTCTTCTTCCCATTTTTAACTCTTCTACTTTTTAACGCAATTATTGCGTATACAATTCGACAAAGTCTGGAGAAGTACGATTATCATAATCAAAAGTGAGTGATTTTCATTTTCCCGCAAAAAGGGGCCTAGATAATTACTAGGCCACATCTTTTGGTGCACTTCTTAATTTTCCTATCGAATCTAATTATAATTTTCCCACAAACCAACCAACCAACTTCTCTAAATCAAATATATCTAATAACTAATCCCATTTCAGAACTGTTATGGCAGCATTATCAGCAAGTGTAAACCTACCGCGAGACATCGCCGGGTACTCTCTTTGCCGCGTTGTTTTTGATTTTGATTTCCAAAAAAAAAAGAACCTTAGGGGCTGCTTCTAACTTCTAACACGCTGATTGAAATGATTTTTATTTGGGTTGATTGAAAGTTGCATGTTAAAACTGCGCTGATCTGATTTGAGTGTGATGATTGTGCCTTCGTTAATATTTTCGGCAGAATTAATTTGAATGCGTGCTCCATTGATAAATTGGCTATTCCAGTTTATTGATGGGGTTGAATTTCTAAATATGGAAAATTAATTGTTGGTTTTCAGAATTTCGAATCGAAATGAATTGAAGGAAAAAAGTCGAGAAGCAACATTAGTTCTTGTTATTATTGTCTTCATTTTCCTTGGTTGCAATTTCTGGGGATTTGTTCTAACATTATTAGAACGTGTTATGGGTCAGAGTTTGATGTTAGAACATCCCTTATTCTATACATTCTCAAGAGAAGCCATCAATTTTCTCGCTATTATCAATTCCTCAATAAACTTTGTTATCTATCTTTTGTTCGGTAAAGATTTTCGGTAAGTTAGGCTAAGTTCGCTTACACTTTTCAATGACATATTTCTAATCTTCCAGAAAAGAGTTGGTTGTTGTTTATGGTTGTGGAATGCGGGGAATTACAATGAGACTTCCGGTTCAAGATAAATTCACAATTTGGAGACATTGGACGAAGAGAACGAAAACAATAAGAAGATCAATGAGTATTTCATCAAGAGCTAGACATAAGGTAAGTCGAGCATGAGCCCTAGGAAATCTATGTAATGAACTTCAGATCTCACTTCCTCAAACCGTCGTTGAACATGCCAATCTAGAAGGTCTCGAGCAAACCCGATTTCTGGCAAATCATGAAGATGGAATTATTACACAAGTTTCTCCAATTCACGCATTGCGAAATGGCAACGGTAATAAATATGCCTCTTTTTGTTTAAAAGCCTCCATCTCATTTTTTTTCAGGAAATATAGCGAAATTCGTGGAGCTTAATGGTCAAGCTATCACAACAACTACACACAGTGAACTTGTGTGAACTAAAAAAGTATATGTATCAATTAAGTACATCCCCTAATTTATACGAGTTTTTTGTTTTTGTATGTTTTGGAGAATTCAAATATTTACGGTTTTTCTTTTGAAAATGAAGAAATTAATAAATAAGTATTTACAGCCAAATAAAATTTTACCAAAGTGACATTTCGTTCATATCATCACCGTTGAAAACGCGGAAGTAGAGAATTATGGCGCCGAAATTTACAAAGTTGGCCAGAAACACGAAGAAGCATGCCGATTTGTGGATCTGCAAAAACACTCATCATTGGTTAAGTAAAGGACTTTGACGAACGAAAAACAGTGTTCATTCACTATCAATAAAAATTAATGGAATATGACGAAAAACATCTGTCTATTTTTTTTGCTCTACAACTAGATGTGTTTTCATTAGATATATCTGTTTTCATAATAATAATAAAACTTTTTGGGGGAACAACATGAATTTTTCGTGCATTTTTTGACACAGGATGACTATCAATTATGAATTTTTTTAATGTTTTTTGATCAATTGAATGAATAGAACGGAAATACGTATCCTGGGGGTAGTTTTCAATAATTTTTTATTGAAAATGACTAAAAATCAAAAAAAAAATGGAAATCCTACTTACGTGAACGTGAACTTTTTAGTCCAAATTCAGAAATTATTTCTTTGTTTCAAAACCAATAGTCATCCAGTGTTCTCAATAAACAATCAATAAAAAACGCACCACAGAAACTTTAAAAACACAACACATACGATTCTAGAAAAGTGATTGACTCCAACTTCCACTATCTTCATCGCTATGAACACGGAAATAAGCAATAATCGTTCCGAACATAACAAGACTTCCGATATTCACTAAAACTGCAGCGCCAGTTTTGATCTGCAGACATGCAAACAACATTCAAAATGATTTTTATTATTTTTAGATAGACTTACTGTTCCAGCATGGGCGAGAACTGTTGGTAAGGCAAAAGCAGATACAACAATACCAGTTGTGAGGAACAAAGCCAATTCAATACATGCATTTGTTCCGGTCATATCTTCTTGGAATCGTCGAGCAATCAAAAGTGGAACTGGAGCCAGCACATAGAATGTGATAACAAACATCGGTGACCAAACTCTGTAAATATTTAATCATCATTTTAGTATAAAAATAAATACTTCAGTATGGAAACTAATAAAAATGACTTACCCATACATTGGAAGAGCACATCCTAACACAAGAAGTGTTAATCCAACAACACCAGCGAGTGCAAGAAGGGCAACAGCTAAAACAATATTATTTCGTAACGAGCAACATTCAAATTTTAGTTTTCCGATTTGAAGCCCCATTATTTTTGGTATTGAAATGGTTTTGAGAATTTTTGTTATACGTGAGTTCACGTGCTTACCTCTAACTCCACCCATCGTTTTTATGTGATACAGTAAATTATATAAGCAGCAAGAACACTGTTGTTTTTTCGATTGGAAAAAAAGTAAAAAATAAGTGTGCACTTTTTCGTCAAAGTGTTTACACATCGCGCACCCTACTTGACGAACAATTCAATTATTCGTTTTTTTCGAATTTTTCGGCAACAAAAATGAATCCTCTAACTAATATCAAGAACCAGAATGCGTTGAATGACAGAGAGTTGAGTCTTGGATATTCTGGAGATTTGAAGAAATCGTGGCATTCGAAATATAACGATTCCGCGTGGATTTATGTTGGTGGTTTGAATTATGATTTGACGGAAGGAGATATGATTGCTGTATTCTCGCAATGGGGTGAAGTGGTTAATATAAATATGGTCAGAGATAGAAAAACAGGAAAATCGAAAGGGTTCTGTTTTCTTTGCTATCAAGATCAGCGAAGTACTATTTTAGCAGTTGACAATTTCAATGGAATTACAGTAAGCTATTTTTTGAAAGTTTTTGAGATATAATGTTGCTTTCCAGTTAGCAAAACGCATAATTCGAGTAGATCACGTCGAAGAATATAAAGTTCCAAAATACAAAGAAGATGCTGATGAAGAAACCAAACGATTATGGGAAGAAGGTTGTGCACCAAAACCGCTGAAAAGAAAAGTTGAAAGTATGGATAGACAATTAGAAAGAGTGAAGAAAGCAGAAGAATATCTTCTCAATCTTGGTGACGTGGATGAAGAACTCATCCGAAAAATCAAAAGTGATAAAAAACGAGCTAAGAAAGAGAAAAAAGAAGAGAAGAAACGAGCAAAGAAACTCAAGAAATATCTCAGAAAAGCTGAAGAAGATCCAGAAGGCGATTGGAAAGAGAAAGCAAAATTATATGATAAAGCAGTCAAAGAAGAAGATTTATATGAAACAAATACACACTTTGACTTTGGAAAGAAGAAAGAAACTGTGGAACCAACACATAATCTTCGACCAGATTTTGAAAAGGTAGTTTCTTTTATACTCTTCGATTTTTTCAATTTATATAAACTGTTTTCAGGCTGAATGGCGAGATATCGAAATTTGGAAAGTTATTCGTGAACGCGAAAAAGCTGAAAAAGCAGCGCGAGGAGAAAAATCAGAAGCTTGGGGACCAGAAGACCATTATGTTTCAAAAAGGTATCAATAAGTTTCGGGTACATTATTTTCAAAATAAAATTCATCAAGTAATCAGTTTCACAATTATTATCCTATACACCTTTGACAACAGGCATATGATGGAATCTGCTAGGATGAGCATGCATTTTGTGCCAACACGTTTCACAATAATATTGAAAGCATTCCAAAGATGGACAGAAAAATGGAGCATGTTGTCTGTGATATCGGCCACTACATTCTTCACAAGATTGATTGTGGAAAAAATAGGGCTTGATTTCAACCTGCAAAAAAAAAGATTTGAAAAAAAGATCTAGAATAATATCTCACTAACTCTTTTGTGAATATCCTCATGATCCAAAACAATATATCGATCAGTGATCGCATTCACATATGCATCATAATTCGAGAAAGCAACTCTTCCAGAACCACGTGGATATTTGAATTTGTTGTCAATATCAATTCCAACACAAACAACATGTCCATAGGTTTGTTCGAAGAAATGAGCAAGTTCAACAGCTTTTAATGGTCGGGGAACTCCGCCAATAAAAGCAACAAGTTTAGTGTTGATTGGAACATTGAAATCCATCAAAAATTCAGCATCAGCCAAAAGCCATGGGCGAATTTGAACTCGCTGGAAAAATATAGATTTGAAGGTTTCCTATCAGATCTTAAATTAAACTTACAACACTTCCCAAAGTGGTACAATCATCCAAAGTAATGAAAAGACCAGCTTCTTCTTCAAAACATTCAGCCACCAAATCTCTAACACTTCTCTCCTTTTCAAAAAGCAGAAAAACGTAGCCAAGATGTTTCTGTCGTTTTTCACCTCCTGGTCCAGCAATCATCGAATTACTTTCAATTGGTGGCAATTCTCTTGGTGGAAGTTCTCTTGGTGCCATTTGTTGTTGTTGTTGATGGAAATGTAAAGGAGAAGCTGGGAAGTTATTATTATTATTTTGAAACGGGTTGATTTGTCCAAATGGTGGAGATGCTAATGCCAAATGTGATGTTGGTTTTTGAACTTGTTGCATTAAATTTGAATGGTTGATTGTTGTTTGAGACTCGGAAGAACTCATTGATTGATTTGAATCGGATTTGAAAGCGTAGTGTTTACTCGGCCAATCAACTTGAAGTCTTCCAAAACGAGAGAAAAACATAAGAATTTCGGCTGAAAATTGATTAGAAGATCACATCTACATATTTCGAATTACTTTTCAACTCACTTTCAGTAACACACGCCGGCAAACCACCAACAAAAACCTTTCGACTATAAATCTCCGGTCCAACATTATGATGATAATAATATTTCGAATTTCGGCTCAATCTACGATCCGGCTCACGATAACTTGACACCACAACAGCATGTTTCGTTTGAACACGTTGATCCGAAGTCAGTGGAACCGCAGCCGAATTTCGACGAAGTTGTTGAACCACTTCAGAATTCGCCAAGATTTTCCGAATCGTTTCATATGTTTCATAGAATTTATCATCTCCGAGAACATATTCAAAAGGTCCTTCCAATAAAGCGCGAAGCTCAGCTTCCGGGCGATTCTTCATAAAATCTCCATCTCTCGATGATCCAATCGATAATGCTCCCGAATCCTTTCCCTCTTCACCATCATCCTCTTCTTCCTCTTCTTCTTCATCATTTTCCTCACCAATCTCTTCACTATTCCTCTTCGCAACTTCCAGAAAAACATCATCCTCCTCCAGTATTTTCTTCAACTTCTTCTCCTCACTCTCCATCTCATCAAAACCTTTGTCAATCGCATCAAAATACTCTTCATCCTCCTCAATTTCCATCTCCATTTTTTTCTTTGGCTTCGTTTTCACAATCATTCCATCACCATTTCCCCAAAAATCTTCATCGCCCATTATAGTAAGAAAAACTCGCTTCGATTTCGACATCTGAATTCATGAATTTGTTGAATTCCAGATATTCGATCCCATTTTCCCAGAGCCTACCTTCAGAAATCGATCTTTCTGTGATTACAATTATCAAAAAATGAGCTGTTCATTGTTGGCCAAGCTGACGATGACAAACACGTTCACGTGACACCTATTTTTTCATTTGACCTAGTTTTAAAAATATTTATTTATTTTTTCAAATCTTTTTTTTCTAACAATCTATAATTTAACCATTTATTCACTGTTTCTTCTCAAAAAGGTTTTATACATTAAACACGACTAGATCAACATCGGCAAGGAGGCAGTTGAACTTATAAGGAAGGAATTTTTATGAGGCAGCGAGTTGTCGCTCCAAATTTTCTTTAAAGCATTGTTTGATATCATTGAGAACTCCCCAACATGGAAGCATTGAGACATCAGCCTGAAATTAGATGGGTGTGACTGAAGTTTTATCTCAGATCTTACCTGGAATGTAACACCTGGTTTCATGTTACAGAATCCCAAACATTTTTTGCCGGCAGATGTTCGATCGACCTCTTTTTCAATACAACATTGTGTATGATCATCTGAATCAGCGGCACATTGCATCAAATCGAGACCGTGGGCTTGTGGACAAGGATCGGTTCCCAAGAACATTCCAGTCAACTAAATTTGAAGTTACTTAAAATCTGGATTTCAAAACTCACAGTTTTCTTGCTCAACACATCAAAGCTGCAAATTCTTTCACAAGCTTTGACGACTTTTCGATTTTGACAACATTGGAGGAATTTGCCAGAAGCGGTTTTCGGTTTTTCTCCTCCAGTTGGCACCAAATGCGATCTTGCTGGTGGAGCAGTTGTCGCAACAACTTCTGGTCGTCGAACTGTTTGAGATGGTTGTGGTCGGACTCGATTCACTGGAACTGTTGGTCTTCGAGTAACTGGACGTGGAGCAGATGGGCGTTGTTGTTGTGGTTGGGATGGTGTTGCTGATATTGAAGGTGTCACCTGAAACATCTCGGGATGATCTGAAGGTTCGAGGAAACTATTTGATCGGGATAATTTATAGAATTTTCTGAAACCCAGTATCCGAATCGAAATCTTTTTTTATCATCTAAAAATCCTACCCGTGGGCGTTGAACTTGTTGTTGTGGTTGAACTGCGGCCGCTGAACTCGAGTGAACACTTCCGCCAGTTACACGAGTTTTTGGTGTCTAAAAATTGGTTTGCAAATTATTTCGCTATTTTTCTCAACCCTCTTAATTTTTGACAAAACAGGAAAAGACTGAACAAAAAATCTACTTAGAAGACATTTTACCTGTGGCCTTGTTCTCTGAGTATCTTCAAAGTAGGCTGAATGACGATTATCGACTTTGATATGATCTGGAGTGTATGATGGATTCTAAAAACATTGAACATAGACAAAATAAATAAAATTCGGGAGATTTTTTGCACCTTTTCATGTTGAGGTGGTGAATCGATTCCATAAAGAGTTGAAAGATTTGGAATGAATCGAGCTGGCGGAGGAGGAACACGAATCTACAAAAAAGACAAAACTGGACAAAACAAGACAAAAAGTGAGAGGTTCAGCTAATTGTAAAACTGACAAGAGGTGCTTGGGTATGTGCTGGTGGAGGTGGAGGTGGTGGAGGTTGTGCAAGAAGTTGAATCTGAACAAGATCTTACAAGTGATCAAAACTACAGTAACCAAAACACAAAAAGGAATATGATGAATATTTCGAGCAACTCACTTTCTCCTGATTTTGCGCAAAAGAATTCGGTTGCTCTCTCAAAATTCGATTATCAACATCAAATGATGAAATCGATCGGGCTCTATCAATATGTTGAAGTTGTTCCGAAGCTGGTTTTTGATGGTATCTTGGAATATTGGCAGCTTCTACAAAAATCGGTGCAGTCTGTTGTGGAGCATATTGCGATTGTTGATAAGCTTCTGGTGGTGGCGGTGGGGCTTGTGGAATCACAACTGTTTGTGAATAGATTTGTGGCGCTGGTTGTTGTTGTGGGGGAGGTGGAGATGAAGGAACTTCAACTCTTTGTGGGGGAGCAGCTTGTGGTTGGTATTGTTGTTGTTGAACCTGAGGTTGTTGGAATTGTTGTTGCGGTTGATAATATTGAGGCTGCTGTTGTTGCTGCTGTGGGAAATATTGTCTATTGTATTGTTGTTGTTGCTGCTGCTGATAATATTGTGGTTGCGGTTGCTGCTGCTGTTGGAAGTTCCATTGAGGTTGTTGCTGGAAATTCCATTGCTGTTGCTGTGGCCATTCAAAATACTGTGCGGATACTGGAAAAAACAAAAGAACAATAAGTATCTACTTAAATAAGTAAGTATAAAAACAAACCTGTTGAATACAAAAAACATAATAATAAAAATAAGATCGTCTTGTTCATATCTTCAACACACAACAAAATGGCTTCTTCTTCTTTTTTCTATTTCGTTTTTTTCGTCACTCTTCCGCCCGTCGACACGGTAAATGGCAAAAAGTGGGCGGAGTTTGGAAAACAATATTTCAGATGGCTAAGAGAGAAGAGATGCGAACACTGAAAGTGAAACTGTAACGGATCAAGTGAATATTGTTGTATCACAAAGAAAATCAAATACAATAAATGATAACAAGTTTGGGATTTGGTTAATTAGTGTGACAAAACATTTGAATATTGGCTTGGGACAATTTTTCTGGGAGCTTACTTTGAGCTTTGAGTTTTGAACTACAGAATTCGTTTTTCCAAATTACAAGAAGGATTTAGAATTTAGGAATCTGAATTTTGTTGGATCAGAATATATTGATCTATACCGTTTTTATTGGTATTTGTAGTTAATTCTAAACATTTTCATATTACAGTAGCTTTTCTGATCTACAAACTTCAGATTCTTAATGTTGTATTAACATCTCTCATTTGGTATTCAAAATTTGGAAAGTATCTTCAGATTACTGTAGCTCTTATTTTTCTGATCCACAAAACATTTTTTTTTTCAATTAGAATCGTAAGATCCAAAAACGAGGAACTTGATAAGAAACCGTTTCATCCCAAATCGGATAAAATTTTCGATTATCTCCAAAAATACAAATCAAAAATCAGATGATGAACAATATTTTACGTCACGTCACATCAAGTATCCTTATCAAGTTTGACCACTACTTCTTCAACCTCTTAAACTTCATCTAGATATAGATATCATCATCAGGCAGTCAGTTTTCGCCGGTAGGGCAGAAAATTAATTATCTGTATGGCCCCTAGAAGAATACCCGTTTATTAGAGAGAGTGTCGATTGCGCAACGACGGAAGCTAAAAAAATTGGCAGGCAGGCATCACTAAAACGAGTTTCGGTCTTTATATTCTTTTCTCATGAGGTGTTTAGTCCATATCTGATCTGTGTTGATATAATGACAGCAAAAAAAAGAAAATTAATAAGATATAAATGTACATTACATTATGTACAAAGAAAAAAAACTGATGGCTAATTGGAAAATTGAGGGAAAACTTGTAGGCTACGGTGGAATATATTTTCGGGACCAGACCTATTTCATTTATAGTCATTGTTTTGGGACCGGTTCAAATCTAATTTAAGATGTGTCACTTTTGATTTCAAACACCCAATTAGATGTATTTTTCTCGTTTGAATTTAATGAATAGTTTAAAATATGCAGCCCCGTATCATTAAAAGGTCGAACTTTCGATTATACAAAATACAATGAAAAAACAACAACGAAAAAAAAACAAGTTCTCTCATTTTTTGTTCAAGAATATTTAGAAGAAGAAGAAGAAATAACTAAACCAACACTTGGTTCCAGAAACTTGAAAATCTTATTTCTTATTTTATTTACTTTAGAAACAAAAAAAGTACAACTAACTAGTGAAAACCCGTAAAGTATGTTGAGTACATTAGAACACGAAATTATTCAGAATAGATTGTCGTCTAGATCAGTGCGAGCGATCGGAAGAAGTCGACGACGTTCATTTTCGAATTGTTGACTTTGAATTGAGTTTTGAGTTGAAAAGGAATATTTTGTGAAGATCAGGATTAATGTAGTACCTGAAATCAGAAATTATTCTTAATCCCAATTTCCATTTCCTTAATTTTCAAAACTCACCAACGACAAACATTGCCAAAATAAAAAATAAAGAAATTCCACTAAATCCATCAGTTTTTCCTTTTCCTCCCATCAATAATTCTCGTGTTTGTCCAGTTGGTAAAGAATATTGACAATTTTTTGAATTTTCGATTGTTCTGAGATATGAGCATTCTTTCGGAGGGCATTGAACTTTTGAAAAATCCTCCGTTTCAAAATCAACATTTTCTTTATGATTTACATATTGGAATAATCCTTTCCAAATTTGTTTTGCTGATATATCATGAGCAATTGAAGAAAGGTGGAAACAATCTAATGCAATGAATGCAAGATTTGATGTGTTCTATAAAAAAATATATTTTCTTTTATTTCTCAAAGAGTATTTTATTTTTCAAAGAATCTGTAAAAACAAACATACCCCGATTTGAGGAATTTTGTCTAAATCAATAGCTGGAGATAAAACAACATCAAATGTATCATTTCTTCCAATTTTCTCAATAACATTTTTCAATTCGAGATCATAATCCTTTTTGATTGAATCGAACTCGACTTCACTTAACTCAAGAATACAGGGGCAAGTTTTTCGATGAACTGTTTCGCAAAATGGCAAAGTTTTATGAGTCGCTTCATGAATGAAAACATTGATTGGTGGCATTATATTCACAAAAACTTTTGGGATATTTTCTTTTATAATATTCAAACTTTGATTGATTGATTTTCCAAATTGTTGCGCCGAAAATATTTGGGAAGAATTCAAACAAATTTTACAAAAATCATTGTGCCCAATGAAAATATTAACGAATTTCCATGAATTTTGAAATTCTTCGATTGGCAAGCGATTTTGTAGTCGCTCAACTAATTTCAAAGTTTGGTTTACTAATTGATCACTTGTTTGACCGGCGACAGCAAAGTTGAAATCATAAAATTTCTTGATTCGACTAGAAGAAGCACCACGAAGTTTCTCGTTGTATTGATGAAATATATCTGTAAAATTTAGGGACATTTTCTCAACATTAAAAAATTCCCTTACTGAAAAGCGTCGCTTGTTGATCCAATCTCACATCTCCGCCACTAACAAAATTCGATCCTGGATAAATATTCAACAATTCTGAAACAGTTTCAGCTTCTGCTGCTTGTGCAACTGAAACTGAATCACCAAGTGCAGCAATTATTCCAATGTCTGATGGTGTTATTTTATGAACGTTTTTTGGAACATCTCCCGATGTTAACAATGTTTCACATGCAAAATCAGGCCATCCAAATTTATAATCTGAAAAATATAGATTTTTTTAATTTCCAGACAAAAATCCAAGAGTTTTTCGAAAATAAAAAATACCTGTCAAATTAATAAGTTCATCTCGCTTGACCCGCCAATCATTGAATTCTTTAACACCTTCAAAAATCTTCGGATCCGGTGGAAAAATAATCGCAAAACCCAGAGCAGGTAAAAATAGGAAATTTTTGAAAAACATGTTTATAAGGTCAACGAAAAAGAGTACTAACTAAAAAAAAGTAGGTTTGATAAGAATGCAAAAAAATGCGATAATAGAAATGAGCGAAAAACATAATTTCGTTCTTGGGAAGTGTTGTGTAGTTTATGATTTGTATTTGGGAAAGAGCACAATTATACTTATATCAGGAAAGTTTTGGGAACATTTGTTGTACAAAATATAATTATCTAACCAGCCAATGAATAACCTCTCAACTTGATATGTCTCAGTAATCCATTTGGACTTCCAATTGATTTTCGATTCAAAGTTCCAACTAAATCAACTTGTGCTAATCCTGAATGAATTTCTACAATCTCAGATTCTCTTTCCCCCTCTTCCTTTTCTTCCTTTTCCTCCGATGATTTGAATTCAACTTCATTTGCTTTTTCATTAATTATTTGACTTGGCTCAACTTGAGTTAGTTGTGCAGATTGAATTTGATAAATGAATTCTTGTTCTGGATATTCATTGAGATCTTGAAGATCTTCGGTTTCACGTTTTCTTCTTCGATTGAATAAAATATTCCGTCTCGCATCAGCTCGAACTATTGTTGACTTTACATTACTCGTACTTCCAATTAGGCTATTTTTTCTACTTGCTCTTACATTTGTTGAGAAAACTTCTGGTTTGACTGCAACTCGACCCTTTGAAGTTATCTGTAATTCAACAATTTTTCTGGGTAAAATCAAACTTGAATCCTCACCTTTTTCAGTTTCATTTTCGGTCCAATTCGATATAATTTCCCATTCAATTTCAATATTTTCTTGCGTTTATCAATTTTCGAAACTCTTTTCAAAAAACGTTTTCCACCAGCTTTCACCACAATAAAAGTTGTTCCAACATCGCCGCCATGAAGATGTTTTTGAATTTTTGATTTTTGCGTCACTTTAGCTTTAGCCTTCACAATTTTTGATTTTACTTTATCTCTTCCTTTAATTTTGGGTTTCATTGGTTTTTGCATAAAATTACTGTGATCGGATAAATCATATTCGATATTTTCATAAGGATCGGGACGAAGGGTAGAGGGAACAGATTCAACCTGAGATGAGAAAAAAAATTATATTTTTGTGTCGAAATTTTTTCTGCAACTCACTTCTTGTATAATAGTTGTGTATAATTGGGGTTTTCTAGTTGTACTCGGAATTTCACCTGATCCAACTTCAATATCTTCCACTTCAACTTCATCTACAGTAGTTGTAACAGTTCCCATTGTGGTTGTTGTCATATCTTCCCTAGTCACAGTTGTTCTTTGCGAAAGTTCTTCTCGATGTAAATCGGTCATCAAACGTGAAATCTCATCATCCAATGAAACTTGCGATACACGTGGCAAATTGAAGTTTTCCATTTCCAAAATCAATTCATCGATTGGTGCTTTTGTAGTGGCTAGATCATAATCCTCATATTCTCCGTAATCAGGCAATTTTGGAATGACAGGTCCACCTTTTTTGGCAGGAATTTCTAACTCAACTTCAGGATCGGAAAGGAGGGGTTTATTAATTCGTGGCGCGCTAAAATCATAAATTCCATTTTGAAAATTTAGAAAAAAAGTTACCAATCAATATAGATAAAAAATAAGAGTAAAAGAAATAGAAAATCTCGCATATTTTATTTCTCATAGACTGGCAGAAAATCAGTGGACAATAATAATGATAAACATGGATTATGTTGTAACAACTTGTTTTTCTTGTCAAAACGAGTAAGTTGATATGGCTATTATTAATTAATTGTATTGTTGCGGCTAGTGATTGCTGCTGGATGCAATCAAGTTCGAGATTGAAGATTAATGAGAAAAATTGTGATTTAAAATCTAATCATAATTAGGGGTAAGAAGAACAAAAATTATAATCGACAAAAAACCGAAAACTTGAACTCTAGCTCAAAATTAGCGGCATGGCAAAGGTCAGCGAATCAAGATTTCGCTTTTTTTGAGTGGTAGATCAAAACAATTTGAAAATTTTCAATTTTTTCATGCTAGTTCAAAAAGCTAGTAATTTGAAAGTGTTTCATAAATTTCTCGAAAAATGTGATCTACACTTCATTTCGATGAAGCATCTAAGAATGTCTCAGCATTTTCCGGCATGTCCAGGAATCAAAAGATCTCACAATGATAACAAATAATGTTAAACCCACAACCCATCAAAAATTACTGTACACCGTAAACCAAACCATTTTCCCTTTTTTGATAAATATGTTTTCCATTTTCATTTTCATTTTCCTTTTCTGTAAATCATCTGTCCGTCCGTCCGTCCAGGTAAAAATCCATACAAGAAAGAAGCGATAAATGTTACAATCCTATCTTCTTCGGCACTTTCGAAACCAGTTTTTCTTTTCCTTTTCGAAGTCGCCAACAGGTGAAAAAAAAGAAATCGAAGAATGGGATAAACGGATTGTTGTGGTCAGTCAGTCACCTATTCAATCTCATCTTTTCTTGTTTTTTTTATTTCACGCGTTTGGCATTTTTTTGCTGATTTTTTTCTGAATTACAGATATGAGTAGATCAATCATATTTCTAGTGTTTCTTGGAATTCAGATTTTTAAAGGTAATTTTTATTTTGATTTTCGGTCGTGAATTTGAACGGCTTGGGACAGCCGAGCCTTAAATTTGGGTTGCTCTGAAAGCCTGCATGAATCGAAAATTTTTTTTAGTATCATCAACATCCAAACTCGATTGCGATTTTAGTGGTGAATGTTGTTGGGCGACAGCTCGAGAAGAAGATCAGTGGGAAATCAGAAGTGGCGATGAATTAGATGTGAACGAGTTCCGAAGAATTTTTCTAACTGGAAAATCACGTCCACCACCATCGGCGAATTATGCGATTCGTGTTGAAAATAAAAGAAAATCCTCGCTGATTTCATGCGCTGTTTGCAGTTCAACCGGACACGCGACTGTCAAGTTCAGGTTAGGTCGTTTACAATTCAATTTATTACTTTTTTTGGTTTGGTTCGGTCGGGTGAAACGGATATGACTAAACATGTTTTTCGCTTATTTCTTATAGATTTATCTTCAAAAAAACTTGGGTTTCCAAAATGGGCCCGGACCCTTTCTGAAATGACTCCAAAAAATGGGTCCGCGCTACATCACGAAAAAGGGTTCGCAAATTTCAAATGGGTCCGCGACTGAATTTCTATTTTTTACAAAATGGGTCCGCGCTTACAAAATGGGTCCGTGCTATTTTTAAAAAAGGGTCCGCGATTTCAAAATGGGTCCGCGAAAAACAAAACGATAAGGAGCAATTTTACAATTTTCACTTTATTTTTAATTTTGCAAGAGTCATTTTTTTCACACGACTAAGTTTTCTAGGGTTCTGATTATTTTAGTTCAGAATCGCACTTTTTTGGGCGTTCACTAAGCCTAAGCCTAATATCCGGACTAGTAAAGCGCGAAAATTTAGTTTTAACTATTCTGTCGTTCCAGGCTTAGGCTTAGTGAACGCCCAGAAAAACTAAAACTTCTTCCGAAAAATGACTCTCACGAAAAAAAAGCTTATGCTAAAATTTCAATGCTGAAAATACTTGGCCGTCTCACCACGTTCTCAAAATCCCTTCAATATTTCTTTATTTTCGCGGACCCATTTTGAAAAAACATTGGAGACCCATTTTGAAATCGCGGACCCTTTTTTTAAAAATAGCACGGACCCATTTTGTAAGCGCGGGCCCATTTTGTAGAAAATAGAAATTCAGTCGCGGACCCATTTGAAATTCGCGAACCCTTTTTCGTGATGTAGCGCGGACCCATTTTTTAGAGTCATTTCAGAAAGGGTCCGGACCCATTTTGGAAACCCATTCCGTATTTGCCTTATTTTTCAAGTGTGATTACGTAGATTTCAAACTTCTGAAATACATTTTCCAAGTCGATTGTGGCTAATTCTTAGAAAGAGATGAAATAAAAATATATGAAATTTAAAACAAAACCGTCTTTTCGCAGATTTCAAGCAAACTAGACATTTTGCAATGATACATAAAAAAATATTCCTTAATTCCAGACATTGGCAATCAGCTAATGCCATCTTACGAATTTGTTGGCAACTCGAAGGAGACGGAAGTCCAGCACCAGAAAATTGTTTGATTGCCAGACATGGGAAACAAAGTAAATTGAATGTTTATCGATTCAAAAAAATTCACAAAAGCCAAAACTTTAGGGTGAGAAAGAAAATTAATACAATTTCTCAAAAGGCTTCTTCCAGCTCGTATTCATTGTTGAAAATGCCGATGAAAAAATCGAGAATCATGAAGCTACTGTTATAATTGATAAAATTAATGTGGAATATGATAACTGTGAGGAACCAGAAGTTCCGAAAAAACCAAAACACACAATTTCGAGTATTAATCGACACGTTCGTTACTTTTGGGAAATTCTCGAAAGAAAATTTGAATTTTTTTTTAGAAAACTCGTTCAATAACACCTATAAAATCACACGAAAAACCAAAAACCGTTGATGAGGAACTGAAGAAAATTGACAAACAAATAGCACAAGTTGTTGATCAAGTTAACTCAAAACGTAAGTTTCCAAAAAAAAATTGAAAAAAACAAAAGAATTTTTTTGCATTTCTTATGAAATTTCAAAAAAATCAATGAAAACTATATCCTAATTTACTCTCCCAAGTCTTGGAATTTTTTTTCTAGCCAAACATTTTTAGAAGTTTCAACTACCTCATCACCAATCAAAGCAGCACCAACAACTGCGCCAGTCGACCGTGAGTCAAAATCCTTAAAAAAATCTTAAAACTCTAAAATTTCAGCATTGACTGATCTTTTGGGATCAAAATTCGTCGAATTCCTCGATCCAAATTATGAATCAGAAGATGAACCAGAAGATGAGAGTGATCACATCGATCAAACTGTATCAAAAGTTTCATCAACAACAGTTAAACCATCACCAGTTACAACAACGCGAGCTTTGCCAATAAAACGAGTAGAAACAGCGGCAAAACTTGTAGATATCAAAGGATTACTTCCAACAACGACACCGCGAGCAACAACTCCAGCTGTTCGAATTCAACAAATATTACCAGATTCAGTTCTAAAATATATTTCACGCGGAAAACCGCTAAAAGTTCAAGCACAGAATGGTGTATTTGCAATCCCAGTTCATCAACCGCATCAAATTCCACTCGGTCCACCATCAACTTGTACAACCGAAGGAGGTTGTTTATTTGAATCATCTTTCTGCTCGTGGAAAACACCAGTAGGAATTCAAAATAAGTTCCATATAAAACAAGTTCATATGTCAAGTTTTGCTGAAGCTGTAGTTCCATCAGGCGAGATTTCAATAATGGAAACAGACACACGAATGAATAAACCACACACGGTGTTATTTGATTCATTGGAATTTTCATTAGGCACTCGATTAATTGCGTGTTGTCTTTCTGATGGAAAATTGAATTGTCCATTTGCAACACAAACTGAACAAACTGCTATTATTTGGCAATTTTCGAAATTTGAATGTCCCGCGAACACTTCAAAAATTGCATTTATCTGTGAGAATTATGGAACAGCTGATGGTATTTGTGGTGTTGACAATGTTCGGATACATTCTTCAACTGATGTTTTCTTCTTGGAACCTTGCCAAAAAGATAAATTATAAAGTTGATCTCTTTTTATTTTCTCTTGTACATATATTATTATTATCATATGAATAATTAAAACTTTTTTCTAATGAGACATATGACGTAATCGAGAAAAAGTGAAACTTTCATTTTGCGTGCGCGAGAGGCAAATTAGATGGTTTTGTACCTATTGTAATTTTATTATATTCATTTTTATTATTCCTGGGTTGACACTTTACTTGTTTTTCATTTTGTTTTGTTTGTTTTTCAATCATCGAGACCATTGGTCGATCGAAAAAGTAAGATTATCTTGATTTTACAACATCAGAAAAAGTTGATTTTGTTTTGACTCAAAAAACAAATCATTCACAGTATCTTTCTTTCTTGAAGGTGTAGAGTGACATGTAAATTAAGCTAATTTAATTAAATCAACATTTTTCGAGGTCAAACTTTTTTGTTGCGTTGTTCTCAAGTTCTCACGTTCTCAACTCGTGTATCGCAAAAAAAGAGAAAAACTTTATTCATTTCCAATGTCCTCATCATTTCGTTGTTCTTTGAAATCAAAAGTATTCCTTTGTTTTGTTGTTGTTGAACTTCGAAAATTCTTTCGAACTCTTAAAATTGCCAAAATAATTGTGACTATCCAGACTAATGGAATACAAACTGTAATAATGTGATTTTTCATTTTCACACCTAAATTTTTCCCCAAAATTTACCTGACATATAAATAACAATAAACCATTTCGCCTCCATTCCAATTTTTGAAATGAAAAAGGAAAATTTTCCGAGTTCACGTTCAGATTTTTATTTATTTCAAATTCAATACGAATATTTTCCGGAAAAAGTACACCCACAGATCAATTAAAAGCCTCTTTTTCTCATTCTCAAATCATAATAGAAAAACTTTCATTCACACTTCAAGTTGTTTCTATACAGTTAATTGTCGCGATTTTTCTCATTTTCTATCCGGAGACACTTTTTTCTACGTTTCAGATTTTTTTCGGTTTTATATATATATAAAACTATGTTCAAGATGAATATTCGACCATGAACTCTTTGGAATCATATAAAAACTAGTTTTCTTCCCTTCCCACGCACCAATTTCATAGTATTTCTATTCAAATTTCTTCATTTTATCATTTGTCTTCTTCTCATTTTTTTTCACACCTTTTTGATGTTTAAAAAAATCTTGAAAAAAAATTGGATGCAAAACCTGTTAGATGAAAAGTTTCGATATGTTTTTTTTTATTATGTTACAATATTTACAATTTTTATGTTGAAACCGAATTGCCAATTAAGTTTCAGTTAAATGAAATCTTGCGGGAAAACAGAAGAACAAAACATAATTTTGGTCTTACTGTAGATAGGGTCTCAGTTAATTTATCATTTCTTGAAAATAAATGTTATAAGAAAGATTTTTGATGGAAATTAGATTTTCTCATTGATTCTGAAGAAAGGTTTAGGACACTTTTCTAATTCTGAAACTACATTTTCAAAGCCTAGAACCTTATTGCTTCAAGTTCTTGATTTTCAAATAAAGCTCTCTGGGGACCATCTTGACTTTCTAGATAAAAAAAAGTTATCAGAAGTCACCTTGAAATGGTCTCAAATTGTTATCCCGATCAATTTAAAGAGATGGCAGGAAATGTCAATAGAATTTCTGTGTTAGCTTTTTTGCTGATTGAAACAGGTTATTTTCCGCATAAGAGGAAGAAACACAGCAGTACACCTTATCGTAGGCAGACACAAAGTGGAAATTAATATATTTAGCATAAACAGTTTCATCCATCTTGTTGTTGTTATTTTATTTTTCTTGATTTATTTCTTTTCTCGTTCCTGATGTTTAATGACATGGAAAATTTAACGTTTTCCAGAAACAATTTTTTTTTTCGAGATAAGGAAACCATCGAAAAAATCATCCGAAACCAGTTTCGAATTTCTTCTTTTTCTTCTTTTGTATTACTTTTTCCCTAATCCCACCAGATCGTCTTTCGAATTTGTTTCAATGAAAAAAATTCTTTTTAAATATAAATATTTTTGTAGATGGGTAAACTCGAACAATTCTTCGATTCTTATGGAAGATTTATTTCGAGGAAACCGTTTTTCTTTATTGTGAGTTTTTTTTCAATCTTGTTTCAATGATGTTTGGTCATAGATTTGTTGGTGAAAAAAGAACCGCTCTCAAATAATGAAAAAATCTTCTCCGATTTCCTAATAATTCTCGAAATATTTCAGCTTATCCCTTCAGTTTTAACAATTATTTCAACATACGGATTCTTATATTTTCATAGTTCTGATGATATTTGGGACATCTACGCACCAACAAATGGAATATCAAGAATTGAAGAAAGTTCACTGAAAAGATTCGAATATGCTTCTGGATCACATCATCATCGGATGCAAATTTTGATAACTCGTAAAGATGGCAACAATATTCTGGACAATCTATCGCTCACTGAAATTTCGAAAAATCATAAAATCATTGCGGATAATATAACAGCTTTTGATGGAAACACATCTCGACACTATAAAGATCTTTGTGGAGTTTACTGTAATGATAGTAATGCTGGAGTTATTGCATTTCTACAAGCTTGTATCAATGAAACATCATCGAATTCTTTCAAATTAACATTTCCCAATGCCGAAGCTCTTCAGAAAAAGATATTTATTGGATATTCATTGGGAGATTTGACAATGAAAAATAACATTGTGAAAGAAGCGAAAATGATTATTTTACATTATATGGTTGATACAAATATCGAAAATGGAAGAATTCTTGCGACAGATTTTGAGAACAAACTCCGATTCTTTTTTGCTTCTCTAACTGAAACTTCTCCCGATTTGAATTATTCACTTCTTTCAAGAACCAGAGAATTGGAAGAGCAAAGACAAATCACAATTACATCAATACCTTTTCTCGGAATCACGATTATTGTTCTAACTGCATTTATGTTAGCTACTCTTGTTAGATTACCATTTTATACAAGTCAACACATTGAGGTTGGTTTTTTTTCTCTGAAATTTTCAGAGGGAAAATGCGGTTATTTTTCAGAGTATAATTGGGGTGTTATCACCTGGAATGGCACTTTGGACTACAACTGGATTTTTATGGTGGCTAGGTTATCCGTTCAGTAATATTCTAACCGTTGTTCCATTTTTGATTGTTACCATTGGAATTGATGATGCTTTTTTGATATTGGCAGGTTGGAGACATTCAACGTAGGTTTTCAGAAGAAAACTTTACATAAAACTTCTTCTGATTTCAGCAAAGGTGAATCATTAGAAGTTCGAATGGGTCAATCAGTTGCAATATCAGGTGCTTCAGTAACAGTCACATCAATCACAGATGTTGCATGCTTTGCGACAGGTCTTTTCTCAAATATGCCTGTTGTTCAACTATTTTGTCTTTATACAACTGTTGCTCTAACTGTCGATTTTTTCTATCAAATGACATTTTTCACCGCGTTTGTTGGGATTTGTGTGAGAAAACAAGTTGAGATCGAGAAAATTGAGAATGATCCAAAAGAAGAGCGAATCAAAAATAAGGACGATCAAAAATCATCGATTGCTTCGAAATTATCATTTATTCCCTCAATTATTCAAGATCCACAAGATAGAACAATTCTCGAAATTTTTATTGATTTTTTGCATACAGGAATTGCTAAAATCGTGGTTTTAGTTGTGTTTTTAATTCATATAGCGGTAAGTAATTTCTATTTTTAAATTCCAAATATGTTTTGGTTTCTCTATAGATTTGTCTGTCGTTGGTTGCTGATGTTAACACAAATTTCAACATGGAAAATCTATATCTCGAAGATTCGCCATTGACTGAAATCTCTCGAAGAATGCAAAATTTTGTGCTCGGTGAAGCATTTGTTGTAAACTTTGGAGTCTATCCGATGCCCGATTTTTCGAATGAAACAATTCTTGGAAAGTTCAACGAATTAGTCGAAAAACTGGAATCCATGCCGAAATTCAGTGCAGGTCCAGAAAATACAAATCTTTGGACAAGAGATTATACATATGCGATTGCTTTTTGGGGTGATCCAGAGAATTTTTGGAATAAAGAAGATATGTATACAAATATCAAAGAGTATGATGTTGATGAGAAGTTTATAACATATGAGTTAGTTTTTTTGAATTTGAATTTTGCAAGGATTTCACATTTGAAATTCCAGCAATTCCACCGGAGAGCCAATTGTCGATGGATTCTTCTTCACAATAACCTATCATAATTTTTCAAATTTCCTAGAAGTTGAAGAATTTCTAACAGATCGTCGAAACCTTCTAAAAAGTTATGCCGATTATTTCAATATAACATCTCATCATCCCTTTGAAAAGGTTCCAACAGAGAGTGCTGCTTCAGCTCCAGCTAATTTTATATCGACTTCTGGTAAGTTTGATTTTCCAAAAAATTAAAACATTTCAAAGTATTTTTAGTGTCTGGAATAATTGTGATGTCAATATTAGTTCTAATTTTCGTGATGAATTTTGAGGCAATAATATCAGTTGTTGTTTCAATTATATCAATTTGTCTTGGAATTGTTGTTTATTTACATTTATGGAATGTGAATCTTGATGCAGTTTCGTTGATTTCAATGTTGATGTCAATTGGATTTTCTGTGGATTATTCAGCTCATGTTTGTTATCATTATTTTGCGCATTGTCATATTGATGTAAGTTTGGAAAGAAAAATTGGTTCCCTTTCCAGGGTTTGATCATTCTCTGAAGTTCGAAATCAATTTTCATCCGAAAAAAATTTCAGGAAGATCATTGGAGAACTCACAACTATGCCGAAACCAAAGATCGACTTCTAAGCACATTTAGAGGGGTGGCTTGGCCGGTATTACAGAGTGGTTTGAGCACAATCATTGGTAAATTATTTTTGGCTCTGAAGGGGAAAAAGGGGGTTTTAATTTTTTCTGGGGTTCCACTCCCTTTCGCAACGAAAACGACGAAATATTTGAGAGACCGTTAGAGAAAAACATTTGTCAATAGGGCGAACATGCGTTGTTTAATAATATAGTACCCTCATACTCGCTTTCCAGCGCTTAATCACGTCTCGGGGAAAACTAGCAAGTTTTGCTTTTGCAAATTTAAAAAAACAATGTTGAAAAACTCACTTTTCCTCCAGTTTTCCTCGCTTTTGAAATTCATCCAACTCAAATCCGCTTCATTTCGTTTCGTTTCGATATTCCCATCATTTCGCTGGCGTTTATCCTGTAAAATAGAGATGAATTGAATTTAAATAAGTACTTTAAACGGAAGAAAAATTCAAGAATGTACATTTTTATAAAATTACTTTTTGAGCACCATAAAACTAACGAATATCAACTAAACTTGTGTTACTTGTACTAGGAAAACTGATAAATATGAATTTTACAACAAGTTTCATTCAAATTCATGGATAAACAACAAAAATACGTAAATGAAGAGTTTCCGAAAAACAAAAACAAGAAAATAAAAGTAAAAATTGAGTAAAAATGGAAGTGCGCCCCATTGATAAAAATTGAATGTCTCGCGCTCTTTCAAAAATTTATGTGTTTCGTCGTTGATGTTTTATTATCAGACTAAAAGGGTGTGGGTCCAGAAGTTATTTTTCAGAATTTCAAAAAAATTGACAAAAATTTTTAAGCTTAGGTTTTATAAAATAGAAACTATTCCGAAATCCTCTTTTTATCTGTTTAAAACCTTAGATATTAGACTTTCCAAATTTTTTGAATCTCTCATATTTTTTTGCAGGAATGTTCCCTCTGATGTTTGTCCGTGCTTACGTTGTCGCAGTTTTTTGGAAAACTGTAATATTAGTTGGAATTCTCGGGATGCTTCACGCCTTGGTGCTTCTTCCAGTCATTTTCATTCTCACTCACGATTTTAAGCTTTTGTTCAAAAAACGTCGAAATGTTCGGGATATCGAATTGTCTTCCTGAACAGGATTTGGGAAAAAAAAACTGAGCGAAATTAAATCACGGGTACTTTCAATCAATAAACCATTTTTTTTAAAAATGTTTTGTGATCAGTGAAAAAAAAATTCAGAAAAAGTTCAAGATTATTGCTCACATCAGAAAGAAAAAAAGTTCATTACCAATAAAAATGTTTCATGAGCTCAACAAATTATTCAAAAAAAAGCGAAAAAATGAGAAAGGCAGAATTGGGGAAAAGAACATAAACAAAAATGTACAAAAAATCAAGAAAATGTGTTTATTCAGAAGCAGCTCCATCATCCTCTTCTTCTTCTCCTTCTGGCTCACTTTCACTATCTTCTTCATCAGAGTCAAACTTCTTGCGGGCAAGTTTTGATTCAAGTTCATCGGTTGGCAAATACTAGAAAATTATTTGAATTTTTTTTCTTGATTTCTTAAAAATATCAAACTCACATCTGGGACCAAGAAATCATCAACATTATCTAATGGGAATTCGATGGAGATTTCTGAAGATGAATAGAATTCAACGGCATATTTGACTTCGAGACGGTTAGCCTGCAAACAATATCTTCCTTCAAGTGGGCGAGTTCAATTCAAAATTTCTTACCGAAATATATTCCTTAACAATTCCATAGGATCTGTTAACCAACGCCAAAATCGAAAGAATACCTCCCGAACTTGGTTGAATTGCTTGGACAGCTCTCGAAACTTTTGGCAAAACCATTTTCTCAAATCCATTTTCAACCAAAGTTTCGGCAACTTCTTCGTTATACAAATCTTTGCCATCGGCACCAAAAACAACACCGATTGCAGATTGAAGAAGATGTGGTGCAACAACATCTGGATTATCGTAATAGATTCCAAAAGTGGTCACATTTTCGGATTTTGGAAGAAGTGCGCGAGCTTCATTTATGACATTTACAGATCCCGAATATGCGCCAATGTTGTATTTGTAATAAACTGTGAGTGGTTTGCTCAGATTTGATGGAGATTCAGTTACTTCGGGCTGAAAAAAAAAACACATTTTGGACCAAAGAAGTTTACGGTTTGAAATTTGAAAACGAGAAAAGTTCAAGATAAATTTTCTACCACGTGTATTTTTGGTGCCAAAAGTTTACTTTTCAAAATTTGAAAACAAGAACATTTTTGCCACATGGATTTCCATCCTTGCCTTGTTTTTTTTTGCAGAAACTATGTATTTATTTATTTTCGGCATATTTTTCAAGTGCACAGAATTGCAAGATTTTCTGAGTGGGCAAATCCGCATTTTCCGAAAATACAAAAAACAAGAAAAGATCAATCATTATTGTCTTATGAAAATAAAAGTATCATATGATTTCATGATTTGATTGATAAGCTTTACAGTAAATCTCCTTGATCATCCAAAAAGGGCAGATATTAAACTTTTCTCACAAGTTAGGACAACTTTGGTCCCCCGAATAATGTAATTCAAAAATAAACATACCTCAATTTTGCTCAAAAACCCGCTTTTGCTAATGACTTGCCAAACCCAATAGATGATGGCCAACGCGACAAATATCACAACATATTCAATCATCCTGCAAAAATATATGTTTGAAAAATGAAGTTGTAATAATTTCGAGACGACTCTCGAAAATAAATAAGCGTGAAAGAGAAGAAAGCAAAAAGGAATTGAATTGACTGTACAAAATCGATACAACACAATAACAACAACAAAAAAATAAACAAATGAAAAAGAGAAGGCGTAGAACATCACATGATTTTCAGCGTCGAGAAGGAAAAAAGAAAAAAAGAAGAGGAGGACGGTCAAGAAGTGAAAGTTCTACTTTACTTTACAGCAACAACAAATTCTCATATCGTTCGAATTTTTGTTTATTTTTTTTATTTGATTAGATTGATTTTCCAAATCAATATGAAAATGACCTAAAATTAATTTCAGATCGTTTTTTTTATTATTGTTGAAATTCAATCCTCACAATGATAAAAGGACTGAAAATTGAGTAAGAAAAACGAGATCTAAAAATTGGGACCTGGAGAGAAATAGGCCTATAATGAAATTAGGTCTGAAGTTTGGACTTGAAAAATTAGACTTATAAATTAAACCCGAAAAATGGGCTCTAACAATTAGGCCTTAAATTGGGTTTGAATTAATGAGAATTCATTTCGCTAAAAAAAAACTTTCGAAGTAATTGAACAAAAGAGTCACCTGACCTTCATGTTAGTTTTTTTTCAAGAAATGACCAAACTCTTATCTAACCTTCAGAAAAAGTGAAATCGAAACATTGCTTATTTCACATGCACCACCCGGCCGCTCAGCTGACTGACTACTACGAAAAAATGATGAAAATGGGGGAGAGAAAAGGGTTGAAATGAGAGACGATCATACCACAGAAAGAGAAAAAAAGGAAGAAAATGTGGGGAAAGAGAACAAATATTAGATCAAAAAATATGTATACGGAGAAGAAAAGAGTGAAAAAAAATGATTGTGTAAACATTTGTGAAATATTGGTGCCAGTTCCAGAATTATTTGAACAGAGGGAGGAAACAATGGGAATTTTTTAAGCGTGATGATCCAACAAACTCACGAAAAATTCTAAAACCCGTGAAGTAATAAAATTTCAAAATAAATAATCTATTGCATACTATGTAAATAATCCATCAAACAAATTGATGTGAATCTGAAATCAAAATTATCTAATTTCTCAAAAATAACTTTGACTAACCTTGGAATTATGGACAGTACAATGATAATTGATTGGCAGATCCAAAACCTGCTATCTGAGACAGCATGTTCGGGCATAAAAATAGGCGAATCCGGAACGAATCCATAAGCAATGCTTGTGTAGAAACCGAAAAAGTAGGAGAAATGTAGAATTATGAAGAACAGGAAGATTGCGGCAAGCCTCCAATGCTGAAGAAAAAATATTTTTCTTGAGTTTTTTAGAAAAAAAATAACTAACCCAATACTTGACTTGAACCGCCAAATGTGCTGAATTCACAAAAATCGAAGCTGTTGACACATAGAATCCCATCTCCCAAAAACCAATACTGGATTCAAGCAGACTCTGAAAATCATGTTTTTATTGTAGATATTGCAATTTTTCAAAATCCTACCAAATGACAAACGAAATAAATAACACTGGCTTGATAGATTCCATCAATAACATCTCGACCAAATAATTTTGGGGTATAAAGGAGATTCTGAAAATTCACGAATTGCGCAAAAAAAAATCAACGACACTCCGCCTGCCTCTAGTTTAGCAATAGCGTGGTATTTTCCAGAATTCAAACTTCTTTGTTTTTTTTTGTAAATATTTCGTAATACAAATTGCGAAATTATTTGCATCATTTCTTGTTTCTCACCTCTCTTCCAACATTATATTTCGCCGGTTGTTTTGTTAATTTTTCCGCTGTTTCATCTTGATCCAAAACACCAACAAATACAGGTTGAACACTGAAAATGTAAGTAATTTTTTAAAATTTTTTTTGACCTTGGCCCAACAAATTTCTCTTTGAGATATCAGAAAAACATCTGGAAAGCATCTGGTTATTTTTAATCATCATAGATAAATAAAATATGACGGTCGTTCAAAAATTGTATTAGGAACTAGCATTTAGGCCACGCCCATTTTGGAAGAAAAATCATGATTTTTTTGAATGAAAATAGACTAACCTTGTGAATATAATTGGATATGCAACTCCCCAAAGTGGATCAATAAAATCATTTCCAGACCAGCCGTTGAAAAATTGATATAAAAATAGGACGCAAACCACATTCGAGTTTTTATATAAAAAATATAAGAACATTGTAGCCAATCGATAATAACACCAATGTCCATGAACCAGTAATAGCCTTGATAAAAATCGAAATCTCGCCAAAGCGAAATCACAAGCCATTGCTGCTTGCAGTCCCTCTTTTCCAGCTAAACCAATACCAACATGAGCCGCTTGAATCATTGGAACATCGTTTGCACCATCGCCAATTGCAAGAACTGTTCCTTTGATTTTATTTTTGACAAAATTCACAATCGCCGCTTTTTCTGATGGTGTCATTCGATAGCATAATACAGTTTTCGCTTTTTTCAAAGCTGATAGTAAAAAAGCATTATTTTCTTGTGCTAATTTGACAGCAATTGGTGATAAAATTATATTACAACCAGCAGCTTCACTCGTTTCTTCGGCATCAAATTCATTTTCGATTACTCGAATTGGTCTCAATGGATGAAATAATCCACTTGATGTTGCGATATTTTGAGCAGTCTCTAATTTATCTCCAGTAAGCAGCCAAACTTGTAATCCAGCTTCTCGCAGTGAACATAATGTTTCTGGAACACCATCTTGAAGACGATCTTCAATTCCAGTCACACCAAGTAGCGTCAATCCCTTTTCTATTTCTCCAGCTTTTTCACTCAACATATTTTCACGTTCGGTTGAAGGATCTTCCATGATCTACAATAACTCAAAAAGAACTGTAGCGCTACAGATTCAAAAAACTTACAAATCGATAAGAATCTGCAAAATTTTCGAATTCTTCCTCACTTATATATTTCATTGCAAAACAAAGTGTTCTCAATCCTTTAGCAGCATAAGAATCCACGTGTTTTTTAACACTTTCAACTCGTTGATCTTCTTGAGAATCATCATTCAAATTAGACATAATCGCCGAATCCGCGCCTTTACAATATAATAATGGTCCCTTTGAAGTTCGAACTATTACAGACATTCGTTTCCGAGTTGCATCAAATGGTAAAATCAGCAGAACTTCGTAACTAAAAAACTATGCACTTTTGAATGAAACAAATATATTAACGAAATTTACCGCTTCTCAGCATTTTCCGGTGTTGAAATAGTCACACTTGTGGCAGCTCTTTCCAACAATACATAATTATATAATTCGGCTCCTTCAATTAATGCAAGTTCATCTGGACTTTCTGCTTCGTATGGATTTTTCACCTCATGTTTCAAGGATAGCAATCTTTTTCGTGTCGGAATACTAAAAAATGTATATAAACTTTTGAAAGTGATAAATATGTACTCACAAATCAGATATAGGTCTTAGAATACTTCTTCGAACAACGGTTGAAACTTTTCTAGAAAATGATGCTATTGAGGATAATGGTCTATAAATTGGAGATGTTGGTGAGCTGTCAGATGGTGAATTTCCATTATTGTCAGCTGAAAATTGGAAATTTTTGTTGTTTTTCGAAAAAAAAGACAAGTAACTAACGTGTAGGATATGGGGAAGGCGTAGGTATAGGTGTATCTTCTTCTTCAATTACAGTAAGACGATCATCGAAGCTTAGGTGGAGGCTGAAATAAAGATTATTGAGTACGTGGCCGAATTTTTTCAAACGACCGAGAAATGTCGAAAACTCGGCCAAAGCAACAAAAGAGTTTCAAAATTCCAAAAAATCCTTACTTTGATGGTCTTATCATCATTAGATCGTCTTCATCAATCGTTTCCCCATTTTTTATTGCATCAACCATTTTATTATATTTTTCTTCGCTTACATCATAAAAACTTGAATTTCCTATGTTATAGCAACCACCTTCAAAATTTCCAAGCTGAAAATTAAACCATTGAAAATCTCTCTCTCTTTTTTTTCAAAAATACTTACCTCTAATAAATCGGTATGTGGAATGTGATTAACGACAACCGAATTATTCAAAAGAATATTTGTGAAAAAATGTCGAAGAATTGGATGATATTTCGAATTCATAGTTCGAATATACAATTGTTCTGATCTGACAGCTTTATCCGGATTTATCCTATCTCCACCATAATCAATATTATCGATGGCACAATTTCGAAAAATCATTACATTTTCAGTCAATGTTCCTGTTTTATCCGATAAAACATGTGTAATTGTTCCAAGTTCTTCCGGAATACTCAATGATCTACAATCAATTGATCGATCACTTTTTTCATCGTATAATTCGATATCATTGCTGATGAAATAGATTTGAAGTGCTTTAATTATTTCTACAGTAATGTATAATGATATTGGAACAAGTGTTTGAAAATCGATAAAATATGCGCCGAGGCCAATGAGACCTTCGATAAACGGAGTTGGAGAATTATTTGACACATAGGGAATCTGAAATTTTTATGTTTTTTTTCCAAATCGATATTCTCTTCTTTTTCTCATTCTCAAAACATAACAAGTTTTCCCTGTGCAAACATTGTTTTTTTTTGTTTCTCGTTTGTAGAAAAAAATGTTTCAATTTTTTAAATCACGTTTTTTCCAGATAAATGCCCCCGCTCAAGAAGAAAGTAAAGGCTGAAAAATCACGCAAGAAAAATATCAAAAGGCGGCAAGTTAAAAAGGACAAAAAGGTAAAATTATGAGTTTTTTCTACAAAAAAAAACAATATTTGGATTTCAGAATCAAGCACGGTTGGAAGCGGCGATGAAGGATATTCAAAATCTCAAAATCGGTTCGGGTAAAAATAAAAAGTTGCCGAAACTAGAAAAACGAAAATTGAAATTGAAGAAAGAGGGAGAACAACGAATTATGAAAGAGTTTAAAAATTTGAAATTTGATTAATTTTTGAGATTTTTTGAATTATGGTCTTTCTAATGTGATTACGGTTATTTAGAATATAAAATTGCTCCCGCTTAATAAAAAACTTACTCCTTGATTTGCTGGATGATTTCTTGTCCAAATTGCACTTGCAATTGCTCCATATAACACCATGAACAAAAGCATGAGTAAGCAGAAAATAATGAATCTAAATTTTCAAAGTTTTTTTGATTTTCCAAAACTTCACAAACTTGTTAGTCATTTTCTCAATACTCGATGTTTTGTGCGGTGCTCTTCCATTATTCAGCATCACTTTTGTATCATGTCCAGCATAAACAACAATTCCCTCAACAAATGTCGTATTTTTTATTCGAGAACCTCGAAGAAGCATATTTTCTTTTATTATAATATCACTCTTTCCCGGTTCATATTCAATCTTCGCTCGAATTGTATAAATCGATTTATCAGGTTTTTCACAAGTTACAATTCCAGTAAAATCAGAAGGTTTGAATATTGATTCTTTTGTTGAATATTCCAAAACTTTGGGTGGTACGATCCTTTGTTTTAAAGAGGTTTCACCATCCAAATTGCTGGTTTCGACGTAACAAGTTCCACTTTCATTCGATGATCTAAAATAAACAATAAATGTGGTATACCAAAAAATAGTTTACCGTATAAAAATAATATCAGCTGGAACATCTTGATCATTCGAAATATGCACAAAATCTCCAACCAAAATATATCTCCACTCAGTTTTTCGAAATGCACATCTATCTCTATCCCAAACATGACAAGTCTTCTTATTGATCTTGTTGTCGAATTTCCATCGCCGATAATCTTCAACTCCATCTTTTATCAAAGTTGTTCCAAGAACAAATGTAATTGGGATAAGTCCAACATATCTTGTATAAGCATCGAAAAATGGAACCCAATTTAAAACTGTAAATGAAGAATTTTGTTAGATTCCAAATTTCGGAAACTCTAACCTGCAATGAAAATAAAATAAATATTTGCATATTTTGTTGATATCTGATGCCAAATATTCAGCGGAACAAAATTCCACAATGAATATTTTGTAGTTGAAATATGATTGTCGGTGAAATCTCGATAATTATTGAGTTCATAACGAGGAGATTCGAATAAATGATTCGGCCGGATAACTCGACTTCTGAAAATTGAAATGATTATGTTTCTTTAGTCAACGTTTTTTTTGCAAACGTGAAAATCAAAAAAAAATTACCCGTGCTCCCGATAATTTCGCCCTCTAAAAATTGAAATCGGATTATGAATTGGAGCTGCTGGAGGAACCCATTTGGAAGAAGATCTTCGATGTAAATGAACAGGTCTTGCACTCATTGCATTTCTGACTCACGCGCTAAACAGAACAATAATAAAAAAAGTATGGTTCTTATCAATTGCCTTGACTAAAAAAAATAAAATGATCCACGACAAAAAAGAACACTAATATTTATTGACCGGAAAATGCAAGAATAATGAGAAAGAACTAAATAATTTTTGCATAAAAAAGAAAACATTCAAGTATTCAAATATGTTGGCATTTTGATATGAATCAATGCAAATATTTATCTATTTGTTCTTCAATGCGAATTTATCGATTTCAAACACAGTTTTTGGCAAGAAAGTCGAATCTAAACATGAAATTATATGTATTATTTGTTCGCAGGAAAAAACTTTGAATAAAAATTTATGGACAAGAAAATATAAATCATGGGAAAAGTGATCCCAGATTTTTTTCTATCGTTAGTTTTTCAGATAATTTGAAGCTCAACACTAGTTAATTTCGAAATTCTGTCGTGTGAAATTCAACTTCACACGTTTGTCAAGAATTTTTTACCCAAGATTTTTGAGAAATGACTTCTAGATTTAAAAATCGATAATTTTTAAATTCATTTTCACGTTGCTGACTCATTTCAGACCCCTAATGACTCATTCCTCAGTTTTCAAGCGACTCGAATTCGCCTCAACGGTTTTTTTGCACGAAATTAAAAAGATGAAACGCGCTCCACTGCAAACAAACCAATTGGTTTGTTCGTCCCTCGGCCACGCATAAAATAAGAAAATTGCGATTAGAGCACACATTCTCTACTCGACGTCATCGGATTTTTCTTTTTTTTGCGGTTTCTCTTGCTAACTGCCTGATGGACGCTTTAGACGTTTCGAGAAATTTGTCAAATATTGCTGATGCATTGGCTGGTGATGCGGTTAGTTTTTCTTTCACTTTGTCTGTTCTAATCTTGATTTTTTCCAGTCTAGAAACACTACCGAGCTTCTGGAGCATCTTAGTGTAACATTAGAAGAGCTTAGAACAATTTCTAGTATTTGCAATACTCATTCAAAGCAGGCTCATGAACAATTGGAAGCACTTGATTTGCAGACCGAAAAATTCGGAGAAACTTTTGAGAAAATTGATAATTTGAAACAATATATGACCGATGTTTGTTTTTTTGTGTTATTCAGAAAATTTCGAATGCATTTATCAACGTTTCAGATTAAAATCAAACTCGCCAATTTGGATCATTTTTGCACATCGCTTGAACGGCAATCTAATTCATAAATTCAACTTAAAAATAGCTGTATATTAGCTTGATGTATTTTCATGTAAATAAAATTATTTCGGGTAATTTATACATTTTATTTATATCTCCCGTTTTTAGCGGTTGAATACTTAAAGAATAATTGTTTTATTTTTTATCCCAATAATCACTTATAATTTTAGATGACCCAGAATGATGAGAAAACAACATCGTCAACCACAACTCCGCCAACAACTCCAGTATTGAAAAAAGCAGGTCTTTGTGGAACATGCGATTGTGAAGTGACTGAAAAATCAACATTGGAAGAAGAAGCGTTGGTTGCTGTAAGAGAATTATCATTTGCTGTGAAAAATATCGCCATATCGGAAATGTTACCAAGAACGCCACAATTGTTATTCATCAATGTAACAACTCTGGAAAATCATACGCATTGTATTGAATTGACGGGTAAAGGATGGAGAATTGCATCAAATCGAAATGATTGCATGAATGGTGATTTCCGTCAACTTGATATTCACACTCAATATTATGATTCTCTTTATGCTCTTCTCACAACGATCTCACCATTATACAGGTATTTTTTTTGAAATTCGACGAAAAAAAAACAAAAAATAATTTCAGAGAAAAGTTCAGCGAGCAACTCATCAACAAACTGAATTTGCTTGCCAACGAACAAAGTCGCAATGAATAGATAAATATATATATTCCCCGATTTCCTTGTAACTTTTTGTATATCATGTATTTTGACAGCTTAGAATTGAATATCATATCCCAGTGCTCATCCTTTTACCATACAAATAATAGAATCTTGCCAGTATTTTTTTTTTAAATTTACTTCATTGAAAAATCGTAATCCACACACACGATTGCCATATCTTTTTCTATTTAAAATTATGTTTTTTTTTTCAATAATTTAGAGTATTTCAGATGAGGTTACTCCTTTTACTTCTCGCAAATATAGGAATTAGCTGTGAGTTTGGATTTTTGAAATTAATCAATAATTGTTTTGATTCAGATGCTGCCCTGGGCGCAATGACAATTGATTTTGGAACACAATTTTTGAAAATCGGAATTGTGAAACCAGGAATTCCTATGGATATTGCATTGAATACGGAATCGAGGAGGAAAACTCCAAATGTTGTTATGCTTCAAGATGGACATAGAACTTTTGCTGATGCTGCAATTGGTTTGCAAATCAGATATCCACATTTAGTTTTTGGAAATTTGAATGATCTAATTGGCAAAAACAAGGATCATCCTTCATTCAAACATTTTGCTGAGCGAAATACTTTATACAATTTGGCTGACGCGCCGAGAAATGAATCTGGAATCAGTTTCCAAATTGGGTATGTTTTTTTTTTGAGTTTGGAAAAAGAAACTTGTAAAACATAAGTATTCAATTTTGAAAATGGAATAATTTTTTCCAGAGATTCTTCTTATTCTGTTGAAATGCTTTCTGCTATGATTTTCGCCAATGCCAAGAAATTCACCGAAGAACACGCACAATCTCAAATCAATGATGTTGTTATAACTGTTCCTGTTTATTTCACACCATCTGAAAGATTAGCTGTTGAAAGAGCTGCTGAAATGGCTGGATTGAATGTTTTGCAATTGATCAATGATGGAACTGCCGCTGCTTTGAGTCACGGAATTTTCCGACGAAAAGAAATCACAGAAAAAGCACAAAGATTAATGGTTTATGATATGGGAGCCGCAAAAACAACTGCGACTTTGGTGGAATTTGTTCTTGTCAAAGAAAAATACGAAAAAGTTCCGAAAATGACCGTTCTTGGAGTTGGCTATGATAGAAGATTGGGAGGAATTGAGATGACAAATCGACTCAAAAATCATATTATTGATTTGTTCGAAAAGACTTACAAACCAAAAACACCGGTTCGAGAAAATCGCAGAGCAATGGCAAAGTTTGCGAAAGAAGCTGAACGATTGAAACAAGTTTTGTCGGCAAATGCTGAACATTTTGCACAAATCGAAAGTGCTCATGAAGATATTGATGCGAAATTACGTGTTACTCGAGATGATTTTGTTGGATTGATTAGTGATTTGGAGGATAGAATTGGAGAACCGATTCAACAAGCATTGAGAATGGCACAAATGCCTATTGAAGATGTAAGTTTTATTGATAGGAGACTTATTTAAGGATGATACACTTTCATTTCTCAAAACTCATTGTAAAACCTAACTCTTTCAATCTAATTTTTTAGGTTGATCAATTTGTTCTTATGGGAGCTGGTACTCGTGTTCCAAAAGTTCAAGAAGTTATACAAAAAGTTCTCGGAAGGTTGGTTTTTTATTTAATTTCCAAATGTTTTTTTTCTCATTTTCTCTCTCCCGCACACTCACTTCTATCTTTGTTCTCTTCTCTTTTGTAATGTTTTTCTTCTTTTCTGCTGCCATGTCAACTTGGCGCAGTGGTAGGATTTTGAGTTTGGAAGAAAATAGTTGAGAGTTCGATTCCTCATGCGTGACTCAACACGGACTTGTTGCTTTATCGACAGTTCGCCTGTTAATCACGCTATAAAAAATAAATATGGCGTTTTCGCTAACACCGTGCCCTATGGCCGGAGTTTGATAGTAGGTCGCTGTACAATTTTTGTTTTCAGATTTTTATTTTTGAAAATAACGTTTATTTTTCAGCAAAGATATTGGAAAATTCTTGAACACTGATGAAGCAATTGCGATGGGATCTCTATTCCAAGCGGCTCATCTCAGCAAAGGATTCAAAGTCAAGCCATTCAATGTTGAAGAAAAAGTGATTTTCCCAATCGAAGTTCATTTTGTTAGCAAAACCACAGATGAAAAAACATCAGAAGTTCAAGTGAAAAATGTTGTCAAAACTTTATTTGCTGCCAATTCTGTTTATCCATCAGGAGTTAAAAGTATTTCACTCACCTCATACAATGATGATTTTTCGATTGCTTTGAAATACGGAAAAATCGATGGAAGTTTGTCGAAGACACAATTGAATGAATTTGGAACACTTTTGGATAATCTGGTTGATCTTCAAATAAATGGATTGAGCGATGCGTTGAAAAATCGAAGTGAAGAGGAGACTGAATTCAAAGGTGTGAAAGTGTCATTCCAATTAGATGCATCTGGAATTGTTCGAGTCAAAAAAGCTGAAGCAACAATTGAAGACAAAGCTGGAATTGTTGGAGGTTTGTTTTTGTATTGATTCTTAGATCTAGTTAATATTTGAAAACAGAACAAGGATTAGGATTAGGATCGTATATTAGAAGTGGTTGGTTATAGTTTGAAACATCTAGGGTGCATGCTCACAAATATTGTAAATACAATATTTTATTATTGTCACTGATTTGGAATTTAGCACACTTCTTTAGCTTCGGGTTATCTTTTCAATGGTAGAAAATCAAAAAATGAATAAAATATTTTTTAGCTATCACTGATACGTTGAGTGGATTATTCACAACTAAAACAGAAGAAGGAGAACCAACTGAAACTGCTGGAAAATCCGAAGAAGAATCAGAAGAGGAAACAGCAAAAGTAGAAGAACCAGAAGCTGTTGTTGTAAATGCGACTCAAGCCAATGTTACTGAAACTTCTGATTCTGGAAACTCGACTGTAAATGGAACAGAGCCAGTTTTGAAAAAGAAGAAAGGACCATCAGTTATTCGATTGAGAGTTTCAGCAACTTGGCCATCTGCTTTTGTTCCAAACAAATTTGATGTTGAAGATGCGAAAGAACGTCTCGAAAAGTTTGCGGAATTGGAAAGATTGGCTGCCGCGAGAGCACAAGCTGAAAATGAACTTGAATCATTCAATTTTGAAGCATCTTTGTATTTGGAAGAAGAAGACTTTGTGAAATATGCAGCGGAAGAAGAAGAGAAAAATAAATTGACAACTGAAATTGCTCGTATTCGAAGTTGGTTGGAGGATGATGTGACGAAGGATACACCAACCAAAGAATTCACGGATAATTTGTTGATTTTGAAAAATATTGTTCGAAGTGTTAAGAAACGAGCGGAAACTGCAAAGCAATTGCCATCGAAAATGAAGGATTTGGAACAATTATTAGAAACTTCTTATAGTTTAACAAAAATGGGTGAAAATGTTGATGAATCGAAAGCGTTGTTCAATAAAACTGATCGAGAAGCTTTGGCGAAAAAATTGGATAAATTGAAAGTTTGGGTGAATGAAAAGAAGGAACATTTAGAGAAAAAGAAGGATTTTGAAGATTTTGATTTTACTGTTAAAGATGTCACATCAAAGGTTTGTTTGGTTTTTTTTCAAAAATTAGATGAAAGAAAAATAATGTTAATTTCAGACAAATGCTTTGAATCGTGAAGTTGATAGATTCATGAAAAAGATGAAGAAAATCACAACTTTGGATGATTTATCAAAGGATGGTAAAATTGATATTGATGAACTTGTTATGGAAGCGGAAAAGAAGAAAGACGAGGAGGAAAAGAAGAAGAAAGAGAAGACTTCTGAAGAATCTACATCTACACCGCCTCCAACTACAGAAGAACCAAAGAAAACGGAATTATAATTTATTTGCCCTTTCACATTTTCATTTATTTATGTTTTACGGGATTCCTGTCTTCCTTCTCTCAATGATACTTGTTTGATTTTAATTCTTGAATAATATTTATTTATTTATTCCATTCTGTGATACTAGAGTTTTTTTAATTGAGAAATATTTTTCTTATAAATTATTTGATTTTACATTGGCTTGGCTTGTTTTTTTTCGGAAGTGGTTGAGTTAATTCTTGAAAATTCCCTTGAATTTATTTACTTTCCTCGTGACCTCACGATCAATTTCTTTTAAAAAATTTCAAGCTCGCAAATTTCCAAAAAAATAATCATTCCATTTCTCTGTTGTCGGCGTCTCTTCAAAACACACACTCTCTCGCCTAAAATATTAAAGGAACATGTTGCCCGTTTTTTGTGTACTCTTGCAGCGAAGAGTTGTCTCTCGTATTTCTTTTTCGGAATTTTTTCGAGTTTTTATTTTCAGTTTTTGAGGCTTCATTTCTGAAAGTTTAACGATCCAAGAGTTGAATGTTATTCAGATTTGTCCAGCTTAAAATTTAGCGCTGGAAATTGTTAATGGCTTTTGTGCAATTCGCTAAAAATTCGGAATAATTGTGTCAATTGAAATTTAGAATTTAAAATCCCCAATATTCGAATTAGATGCGCGAAAATTACTGAATTAATTAATTACTTCACATTATCCTGTTCCCCATTATTTTTTGATTATTAAGAATTTAATTCGAAATATTTGGAGAAAAATTGATATTGCATCATCATTTCGACATTTTTATTTTTGGTCTCATTATTTTTCTGCCTTTTAAATAAAATCATCAGTGTTTGAAAGTTATTTCAGCAAAATGGCCAAACAAGGACAAGAAGCTATGAAGAAAGCTCTTCAAAATGCCAAAGGAGCTGGTATTGGAGCTGGATTGATTGCCGCTGCTGGAGCTGCTATTTATGGAGTTTCTCAATCAATGTTCACCGTTGAAGCTGGTCACAGAGCCATCATGTTCAACAGAATCGGTGGTTTGTCAACTGATGTATACAGAGAAGGACTCCATTTCCGTGTCCCATGGTTCCAATATCCAATTGTTTATGATATCCGTGCTAGACCAAACCAAATTCGTTCTCCAACTGGATCAAAAGATTTGCAAATGGTGAATATTGGACTTCGAGTTCTCTCTCGACCAAATCCAGAACACTTGGTGACAATCTACAGAACTCTTGGACAAAACTGGGAAGAAAGAGTTTTGCCATCAATTTGTAACGAAGTTCTCAAAGGAGTTGTTGCCAAATTCAATGCTTCTCAATTGATCACACAACGTCAACAAGTTTCAATTTTGGTCCGGAAAGCTTTGATTGAAAGAGCTCTCGATTTCAACATCATTTTGGATGATGTTTCCCTTACTGAATTAGCATTCTCCCCTCAATATTCGGCTGCCGTTGAAGCCAAACAAGTTGCTGCTCAAGAAGCCCAACGAGCATCATTCTTGGTTGAAAGAGCTAAACAACAAAAACAAGAAAAAATTGTTCAAGCTGAAGGAGAAGCCGAGTCTGCTAAATTGGTAGGATTAATAAGCTCATGACAAATTAAATGGTCTAATCTGTTTTTTAGCTCGGAGAAGCCATGCGAAACGACCCAGGATTCTTGAAACTTAGAAAAATCCGTGCTGCTCAAAAAATCGCTCGAGTTGTATCTGAATCAGGAAATAAGGTAAACTTTTGCTTATAAAAATTGCTTGAAATAACACGGAATGTTACAAAAAAACGACAGAATCTTCAATTTTCATTTTTTTTTCCAGACATATTTGCCAGCCGGTGGTCTCATGTTGAATATTGCCGATAATGACTATTTGAATGTTACCGACAAGAAACGCTAAACAATCAATCCACATTCCTCCGAACCCAAAAAATCATCTGTTTTTTTCGTCTGATCTGAGTTCTCTGTTGATAAGTTTTTTTTTCTATTTTAATGTTTTTGTTAACAGGTAATTAGCAAATTTTTAGAAATTGTTATCTTCATTTCATTTAGGAAAAATAAATCATAATTTCAAATATTTTTCCAATTTTAAGCCAAATCCAGTAGATCAGTTTTGGGGGCAAGTTCCATGAGCAAAGATAACATCATAGCAGTAGCAGAAAGTGTCTGCAAAAATAAAAAAAAGATTTTGGAGAATATAAATTTAACTCACTCCGAGAATAAGTGGCCTCGAAAGAATGGCAAAACCCCAAACAGAAACACCAAGATCAAGTTGTTCCATGTGGGAAGTTATCGTATTCGCAACAACATACACTTCCTTTCGATATGGAAACCAAATTGATTTGTTCAAACACAAACATCCTCTCGATCTTGTGATCTGAATTTGAATGTTTTATTAAAATCGATGTTTCTCAAGAAACCTCATCGTGCAATCTTGCTGGTGCAACTGTCACCGAGAAAAAACTGAATGAACATATTGCGATTGTAGGCATACACAGAATGAGATCGAACAGTCCGTGAACTCTTTGATTCATCATCATCAAAGAAAATATCATTGATGGAACAGTTATAACAATCATTATAAATGTATACAACTGAAAAACCTGAAGTTTTGGAATCGATAAAACTTACAAGAACTTACTCTGAAAATCAAGTCCAATTTTCGGATCACTTTACAGAGATTAGTATAGACTTCAAGATATTTTATCAATTGTTGACACGTTGAACTATCATCTGATCCATCAAAATTTTCAAGTTTTTCATTAAAATATTTGACTTCAAGATAAGTTGCATTTGTATATAAAATCAAAACAAATAGTGTCATAGTCCAAATAATATATAAATATGTTGTGATCAAAGTATAAATCGGGCGAAGTTCTTGATAATAAAATACATACGATTGTTTTTCGATAAAAGTAGTGTGAGAGCTCTCCAAATAAAAATTGAGGGTAAACGCCAATGTAATTATACAAATACAACATACGTGAAATATGAAGAACTTATTGGTCACTGAAAAATATATTACGCTTTATATTTGGATTTCAAAAAAAAAGCTAACATCGCATAGTCCTTTTGCCATATTCTGATTGAACTCCTCTCAATCCTTGACAAGTTGCAAGAATTTCATGAAAATGTTTGAAATCACCGTTCAATTGCCATTGAATAAGAAATCCGCCAGAAATCAACGATTGAATTGCCCAAAGAACAATCAATAGTTGAGCAGCAAGTTCAGCTGGTTTATGTTTATATGAAAAAGTTATTCGAATATTATAGAAGATTGTGTATATTCCAATACTGAATAATATTGCAGTTATGATACAATTCAGTTTTCGAGTTGGTCCTGGATTGTGGAAATTTATTCGAAATGTTGAAGCGAGCTGAATGAATTTTTTTGAATGAAAATTAATTACTGAAAGAGAAAACCTACCCTAAATATATTTTTGGCGAAACAATTATCAACATGTCGTTTTCTTATCGGTAGGATATTCATCAAAATCATCTCGGTCATTTTTTCTGTGAAAAATGGCCGGAATAAAATAAAAGAGCAGCAGTTGTCAGATGATAGATTGACTTTTGGAACAAAAAAATTGAATTGAAACAACAAATGTAGTCCAATCCATTAGAATAATTATTTTATTCGGAAATAGTTATATTTGTGGTTAAATTAAGAAGATCCGTTTTGGGTGCGAGTTCTGTGAGAAGAGATAACATCATTGCAGTTGCCGAAAGAGTCTGGAACATTTCATTTTCATAAGATTTTTTCAGTATTAGAACTCACTCCCAAAATCAATGGCCTCGAAAGAATGGCAAAACCCCAAACGGAAATTCCAAGATCAAATTGTTCCATATGACAAGTCAAGGTATTTGCAATCAAATATACTTCTTTTCGATATGGAAACCAAATTGATTTGTTCTGGCAAACATATCCTTTTGTTTTTGTGATCTGAAAACAGAAAATTTCTAGATTTCCAATTTAAAAAAACAACCTCATCATGAAGTCTTGCTGGAGCAATTGTAACTGAAAAAAAGCTGAAAGTGCACATTGCAATTGTTGGCAAACATAAAAATAAATCGAATAGTCCGTGAATTCGATGATTCATCATCATTAAAGAGAAGATCATTGATGGAACAGTTGTAACTATCATAATGAATGTATAGAGCTGAACGGGGAGTTATTTGAATCTTGAATTTGAAATTGGAGTTGGGATCAGGGTTGGTTGGAAATCGAATTTCGGAATTTTCTAAGAAAAACAAAATTAAAATACGAAATTGAGAGTTGCGAAATCAAAGTTAATGATCTATACGTTCCGAAGGTCCTAAAAAATTCCAAAACCCCCACCAATCCTTCTTCAAACGCACTCTAAAAATCAGATCCAGTTTTCGGATTACTGTACAAAGATTACAGTAATCTTCCAAAAACTTTATCAATTGTTGACACGTTGAACTATCATCTGAGCCATCGAAATTTTCAAGTTGCTCGTTGAAATATTTGACTTCAAGATAAGTTGCATTTGTATGCAAAATCAAAACGAACAATGTCATATTCCAAATAATATATAAATATGTTGTGATCAAAGTATAAATCGGGCGAAGTTCTTGATAATAAAATACATACGATTGTTTTTCGATGAATACTGTATGATGAGATTCCAAATGATATTTTAAAGCAAAGGCGAGAGTTATTCCACAAATCAAAATAATGTGTAAATGGAATATATTGTTGGTTGCTAGAATCTTTGTTTTTTTCTAAATTTTGTATCTAATACCGTTTACATTTCATCATCGATTTTCCACGCTCGCATTTCAATCCTCTCAAATTTTGACATTCTTCTAAGATCTGCCTGAAGTGTATAAAATCACCGTTCAATTGCCATTGAATCAAAAAATAAACCGAGATCAGCGATTGAATCGCCCATAGAACGATGAGAAGTTGTGAGGCAAGTTCACCAGAATCATGATTATATGAAAATGTTACCCGAATATTATAGATCACTGTGTATATTCCAAGAGCAAATAAAAAGGCGGTGATTATGAAATTTATTTTTCGAGTCCGACCGGGTTTGTGGAAATTTAGACGGAGAATCGATGCTACCTAAATAAATTTTCTGAAAAGTGAAACAAATGCAGAAGACTTTGTTGAACTTACCCTAAATATTTGACGAGCAAAACAATCTTCAATATTTTTAGGATTCTCAACCTCTAGAATCATTTTTTTTGTGAAATGAAAAAAGAGATAAATGAAGTGGTAGACAGACAGTTGTTAGGAAAATAGAGGTGCAAATTTTGACAATGTGAAAATAAAATGTCAAATAAAACGCATTGTTTCAAAAAAAAAGTTTATGTACATAAATACAACATGAAGACTTATGTTAGAGCTTCTTTTTTCGCTTTGCTTCGGCCCAAGGACTTTGAGCTGAAAAATATTTTTATGGAAGATTTTTGAAGCTATTCCAAAAAAACTTACATGGACAAATGAAGCTATAATAAGATACTACTGAGATCACAAGACAAGTCATGAATACCAACATATAAAGGGTTATCCATTCACCAGTTTGAAAAGTCTGAAAATTTTTAAAAATCTATCAAAATTTGAAAATTAAATTTCCAAAGACTAACCGTTCCTTCGACTTGAGGCATCGTAGAGAAAAAATGAGATTGGTGACTAATAAAACTAGGAATAACAATAGGAAGATTAAAAAAATAAAATTAAAATTGAGCAGAAAAATTTGCGCGGATGATGAAAAATCGATGGGTGAATAACACAGGCAGAGGGCAGCTGCTAGCAATCTCTCAACGTGGAGAAGACTAAGAGACGCAGAGAAAACAGACAGAAAATGAAGCTAGGAAGAGGAGCCTTTGGCGATTAGTGGACGTTGATAATGATGAGCGTATGGATCTGGAATTTTTTTATATGAAGGAATTTTCAAGGGGAAGGATTAGGATGCATTTTTTTGAAATCACTTGAGAAGTGCTGGAGGCTGATACAAAATTCAAGAGCTTTTATTTGAAAAATTATTTTTCGAAATTCTGAAAATCGGGAAAGGGTTCCAAATTATTGTCACCGACTAAGGACTAATATTTAGAGGATAAATAAAAATTGATTTCAAATGAAAGAGCTAAAAAAGTTCCTAATTTTTGAACCACCGCTTGCGTGGAAAAAAAATTGTCAAGAATTCCAGAATTTTAAATTCTGAAATAAATAATTTCAGGTGATTCCGAAAAGTTTAAAAATTTACTTTTCTTGCAAACTTTATAATAGACAATCACTGATAGAGCAAGGATTACTGTAAACACAAACATTATCCATGTTAGAATTTCACCAGGTTGCATTTCAGATTTTGCAGGGATGTACATCTGAAACATATTATTTTGAAGAAAAACAAAATTTACTAGTATCTAGCTAGTAAACTAGAAAACGAGGAAGAAGAAGAAGAAAGTGAACCCAGCTGACTGATTGATGATAAAAAAATGAACAACAGTTGATTACAAGAAAAACAAGCAAATAAAAATGATCAAATTTGAACTCAAAACACAAAAACAAAGAAAAGTAGAAAGAAAAATGAGAGAAAGTGCAGAAGATTCACCTTTTTTTCCGAAAAGAAATTCGATTGTTTCTTCTTTTTTTTGGGTTTTTACTCGAAATGAGCAGATTCGACAAAAATTGGGAGAAAAAACAACATTTTTGTTATTGCCAAAGGCACTTTTTTCTTACATAAATCGCGTGAGATAGAAGAAATTTGGGTATTGTTTTGAGCACTTTCGATACTAAAAGATCAAGAAAAAGCCAAAACAAATGGAAATGTTCCTCTCATCAAAATTAATGAGGTTTTCAATACCAAACAAATGGATGGATGACGAAAGTGCAAATGCCATTTGGATTATCTTTTTGGGCGGATTAGATACATATTTGAAAAAAAAACTGAAGCCGGAATTTTATGGGTAACAAATTAATCAGCTGACTCATTGTTAAAATAAAATGGTTCAAAGTGAAAACCATAGGAAGAAAATTTAGAACAATTCTGGAATTTTTATTTAAAAAAATCTTGAATTTCTGAAGATTTTATTATTGAAAATGATTTTCCGGATTTTCCGACCACATTTTCCAGAAAACACTAAAGTGTCGATTTTGTCACCATCAGTACTCATTTGGGGCAGCTAGAACTGATGCTTGGAAGCTGAAGATTATTCTTTCCGTTTTGCAAAACCCTTTTTTTTAATTTGTTGGGCTTCAAAAATGAAAATATAATTTTTTTTTGCGTGACCACATTTGACGTGTGAAATTTTATAGTCATTTTTCATTTCTGCAAAAAATTTTATTTCTTTATTTCAATTTCTAGAGAATTGGTATGTTTTTCTTCTTTTTTTAGACACCCAAACTTTTTTGTGTAGGTCAAATTTTTTTTTTTCGGGCTCCAAAAATTTCTTTTTATAGAGCGCCAATTTTTTTTTGAAAAAAATCATTTTTGAGAAAAATACCTAATTTCAATATTCCTTTACCCTGTAGTCCAAGTTCAAGAATTCTTTCGAGAAAACGTCAAAAAAATCTAGAAAACGTCAAAAATTGAATTTTTGGTAAAACGGCGTGGTTCCATAGAGCGCACAAGCCGCATTTCATAAAATTACCGGAAGATTTTTTCGAAAAAATATTTCAGAATCTCAAAAAACCTTTCTAACTTTGTTTCTATGGTTTCAATCTTTTAACCTGTTATTATAATTTATGGAGAGAATAATTTTGCAGTTTTCCATCAATTTTCCCTTGTTATTTCAAATTTTTATGAAGATTTTATTGATTTTTTTCAAATTTTATAGTTTTCCTGATTTTTTTTTGCATTTCTTCTAGCTTATCTACTTTTCTTTCAACGGAACACTGCATTTCTCATTTACATGTTTTTATTAGTTGCATACACTGTGACGAGAACATGCAGATTGAAAAATTTCATGATTTTTCGCAATTTTTTGAAACTTCCTATAATGAAAGACTTGTGGTGAATAATTTATTATTTATTTTTGCAGGTGCAATGGGTGTTCCGAAATTCTATCGATGGACATCTGAAAGATATCCATGTTTGAGTGAAGTTATCAATGAAACTCAGGTTTTTTTAATTTTCAATCAAAAGAAAAATGAGATTTATTGAATTGTTTTTTACAGATTCCTGAATTCGATAATCTATATCTTGACATGAATGGAATTATCCATAATTGCTCTCATCCAAATGACGATGACGTCACATTTCGGATAACCGAAGAGGAAATATTCCATAATATTTTTGCGTATATCGAAAATCTTTATAATATTATTCGACCCCAAAAAGTGTTTTACATGGCTGTCGATGGTGTAGCTCCAAGAGCAAAAATGAATCAACAACGAGCACGGCGATTTATGTCAGCTCGAACTGCTGAAACTCAAATGAGAAAAGCGATGGAAAAGGGGGAGGAAATTCCAAAAGAAGAGCGATTTGATTCAAATTGTATTACACCTGGAACATTTTTCATGACTCGATTACATAATAAATTGGGAGAATGGGTTGAGAAGAAAATTGCGAATGATACGAATTGGCAAAATCGGCGGATCTTTCTATCTGGACATAATGTAAGGATTGTGATCAGCAAGTTCACTAAAAATCAACTAGAAAACGTAAATCTCAAGAAATTAAAAATTTCAATTTTTCAGTGTCCTGGTGAAGGCGAGCACAAAATTATGGATTTCATTCGAACTGAAAGAACAAAAAATGACTATGATCCAAACACAAGACATTGTATGTATGGACTTGACGCTGATTTGGTTGGTTTTCAGAAAAATTTTAGATTTCAAGTGAATCAATAAGACAATTCAGATTATGTTGGGAATTGTATCACACGAGCCGCATTTTTCACTTCTCCGTGAAGAAGTCACATTCAATCGGCCAACTCGTCGAAATGATTCGAAAAAACAAAAAATGCCCGAAAGAAATGATGGCGATGTGAAAAAGTTTCATCTTTTGCATTTGTCAATTCTACGAGAGTATTTGGCGTGGGAATTTTCGACTGTGAAACAATCAATTCCCTTTGATTACGATATGGAAAGAATTGTGGATGATTGGATTTTGATGGGATTATTGGTGGGAAATGACTTTTTGCCGCATTTACCTAATATTCATATTCATGATGATGCTTTGCCTTTACTTTATCGAACATATAAAACGGTATTGCCAACACTTGACGGTAAGAATTTTTTCGAGGAAATTTAGCTCAACTCTGAATATGGGTTATAAAACGTGGAGAAAATTGAAATTGAAAAAATTAAATGAAAAATAGAGACAGGAATTCTGAATTTTCAGAACACCCATATCGTGGTGCGGTTTCATTTTTTAAGAAACATTGAAATTTCAAAAATGAAACATGCATCGCGTAACCGTAACGCGCACCACGATATGGGTGGTCTCGAATTGTTACCACGTCATAACTCATTTTCAGATAAAAAATACGAAGTTACCTATGTATAATAATCTTATTTCAGGGTATATCAATGAAGGCGGGTACTTGAATCTTGTACGGTTCGAAAAATTTCTCGAGGAATTGAGTAAAAATGATAAAAGTGTTTTTATGACACAATTGGAGGATCAGGATTTTCTTGATTCAAAAACTGGACAAAACGAGTTGGAAGAAAATGATCTAGAGGAATATCAAGATCTTGAAGATGGAGAAGGAGAAGAGTTAGAACCGGTGAATAAATCAAATTTGAATCAAAGACATGAAGATGCGGATGATTCAAATGCGGCTTTTGTTGATAGTGATTTAGAAGAAGATGAAGAGAATGAAAGAGATCAAGAATATTTAGATGATGTTGCTCAATTAGATGAAGATTTCAATGAAGAATTAGCTTTGGCTAATTTTATGGCACTCGATGATAAAGAATTTGAGAATAATGTTGAAGCCTGCTGGACCAGGACAATAAATAATCAATTCAAAAAATATCGCAAAAATTATTATAGTGAAAAGATGAATTATCGAAATATCAGTAAAGATGAGATTCGTGAACAAGCTGAAGGATATGTGAAAGCAATTCAATGGAATTTGCATTATTATTATCACGGATGTGTTTCATGGAGTTGGTTCTATCCTCATCATTATTCACCGTATATTTCTGATATTCGAAATTTTACAAACATGAAAATTCAATTTGATTTATCGAAACCATTCCAACCTTTCGAACAATTACTTGCTGTTTTACCAGCTGCTAGCAAATCTTGTGTTCCACTTCCACTTCAAGAATTAATGACTGACAATGTTGATTTGTCAGAAATTCATGATTTTTATCCAATGAATTTCAGTACTGATTTAAATGGAAAGAAAAATGATTGGGAAGCGGTTGTTCTAATTCCATTTATTGAGGAAGATCGATTATTGGAAGCTATGAAAACCAAAGAAAATCGATTGAGTAAGGAAGAAAAACAAAGAAATGAGCACGGTCCGCATTTATTATTTGAAACAAAGAAAGATTCAGAAGGTGTGAGAGTAACGTAAGTTTTTTTTCGTGGAGTTAAATATCTCACCAGTTATGGTTAATTGAATTAAAAACCTCTCAAAAAATGGTTACAGTAGGAAACATGTTTTTAACGGGTCCCGCAACGAACCGAATAAAAACATGTTTTTTAAGAGAAAAACAATTTTATAATCATTTTTCAAATTAATATTTTTCAGACGAACATTGGTCGACAAAGATTTGTTCCGAATAAAACCTGGCCAAGTGAAGTGGGGACTTTTGCCGAATGTGAAAATGGATGTATTCTATCCGGGTTTCCCGACAATGAAACATCTTTCACATATCGGCGAACTTCGTCCAGCAAATGTTAATATATTTGGAATGGTTTCGAAACGAGATTCAATGGTTTTGAAAGTTGCCGAAGCTCCGAAAAAGGATATAATTGAATGGGCTGCCGAATTGTTGGAGGAAGAAGTTTGTATTGATTGGCCTATTTTGAAGGTTTGTTTGGATTGAATTTGAATTCGGAGTTGAGATCTGGACATTCCTACAAAAATATTACAAATTTTTCCAGCTTGGAAAAGTTGAATCAATTTGGGGGGACGAAAGAATTGTGAAGAAAAATGAGCAAGACGAAATAATTGTTCGAGACATGAATGGTGAAGAAAAGAAACAATGGATTGCTCATGTTAACAATGTTAGTGATCGATTAATGAGTAGATATGCAATTGAAGTTGAAGGAGATACACTAACTAGAATTCCACTTGTTTGGGTTCGACGATTTGTTGGTTTGGCATATCATTTGGATTCAACTGAAGGTGCACCAATTATGAGAGCTGTCAAACAATTTCAGCCAAATGAAAATGCAATTCCTGTTTTGTTGCCACTTGTTGTAAAGGATTTGTTGTTAGAAGAATCGAGAAGACTTGGTGATATTTCAATCAAAAATGCGTTCCCATTGCAAAAAGTTGTTTGGGTTACTGATCCGAAATCTGAATTGTATGGAATACCATCGATGGTTCAAGGATATGTTAATGAAAATAAACCGAATTGTTCGATTAGTTTGATTGGAATGGTGATTGATGCGCAAGTTTCGAAAATGGAAGAACTTCGGGAAATGTATCAGGCAAAATCTCTTCGATGGTTGGGCGGTTTTGAATGCTCGAAAAAGACTGGAGTATCTGTTGGAACATTTGCACGAATTACTGGAACTATGTTATTATGGAATGAGTCTAGAGAAGTGGTTGAAAAAGGGCAACAAATATCGAGTGAGAATAAGATTAATATTGGATTGGGTTTGAAATATAGTCGAAGAAATCTTTGTGTAAGTTAATTTGGAAAACATCTGAAATTTTCGAAATTATATCAATTTCATTTTTCAAGGTTGCAAACTATACAAAACGTGTTGAATCTAGCAACGATCGCGGAACTCGAAAATATTGGCTCTATTCAAATTTGACAAATCAACTAGTCATCAAATACCGTCAACTATTCAAAGAGTTATTCCAATTTCTCGAACAATGCAGTGATAGCGACGATGTTTATTATGCCGAAGAAATTTGGACGAAAAAAGAGACTCGCGATCGAAAATTTGAGGAACTCAAACAGTTTTTAGATTCGTTGCCGAGTTTGGCGGAAGAGAAATTGGATTGTGATGTTGATTATGCTGATAGACAAATTATAGTGGAAATTGAGAATATTATGGGAGAAAAACAACCGGAAGCGAGGATGAAAAAAGCCAATATTCAACCCTCTTCATTGTTTAGAGTGAGTTTTTTTTGGAGAATTTTAATTCAAAAAAGCGTTTTTATCAAAGTCTCACAAGAATTTATCTGGAATTTTTGAAGAAAAATTTAATTTTCCAAAAATTCTTTAAAAAAATGTAGATCAAATATTTTGTTCACAAAAAATCTTGTTTCAGGCTGAATTGTATGATGGTAAAACCATGGTTGATTCGGATGCAGATTTCCAAGTTTTGGATAGAGTTTCATGTGCTGGAATTGGATTTGTTAGTCCATTTTCTTTTTTTTTTTGTCAAAACCCACCTAATTTCAGCCTATTCAAAAAACGATGCAAGGAACGATTGTTGGAGTGCATGGAGATAAAATCGATGTGCTTTTCGACAAGGAATTCGCAGGTGGTTCCAAAGTTCGTGGATCACGAAAAAGTAGTTCGATTCGACTGCCCAAAGCATCGCTTTTCAATATAACTTATGGACTTGAAAGAAAGAACAAAGTAGTCGCTACGACAAGTCCGAAGAAATCATCGGAGAAAAAAGAGGAGAAGAATGGAGTTTATGTTCAGTTTAAACCAAAGGAGAAGAAGAATTTGGAGAATAAAGCGATTCCTTCAACATCGAGAGAAAGTAATAAGAATAATAATAAGAAGAAGGATAATATCACCGAGTTGACTGAATCATTGACGAATATTTTGAAGATTGCAAAAGAACCGGAAGAGACGAAGGGAAAGAAAATATCGATTGCTGAATTAATGGGAGCAACGAGTAGCAGTTCGAAAAGCCCAACAAAATCATCGAGTGAAAAGGATGTTCAAGAATTGTTTAAAAAGATTACTGGAAGTTCTTCGAAAAATCAAGATTTGAATCAAGATAAAAATCCAAAGGAAAAGAAGAAACAAGATACACCAGTGATTTTGAAGAAAAGAGAAATTGAACCAGTGCAGGAAGAAGTCCCTCAAAATCAACCACAAACTGTTATCCTGCCAATTCCATATCCGCCCGCTCAAAATCAAAATCAAGAGCAACCACAAACTGTCATTTTACCTATTCCATATCCATCCCAATCAATGCCAAGTAATCAGAATTTGCCCAATCCCCCAATGATATTGTCACGCGAAGGTATGATGATGATGGCACCAAGAGAAGGATTCACAATTCCACCACCGCCTTTCGGAATGGTGCCAACACAAATTCCACCGCCGCCAGTGTATATGCAAGAACCTCCGTTTCCACCTGTTCAGAAATATTATCAAAATCATGGAAGAGGTGGTCAGAGAGGAAATAATTATATGCATCATCAACATCAGCAAATGTGAGTTTGGGAGGGTTTTGGAGGGGTTCAAAGAGGCTAGACCCTCATATTTTTCTTTATTTTCATCCCCATTTGATTATTTATTTTTTTTATAGGAATCAAAACAGAGCACAAGAACAATTGACCGACTTCAAACCATCAACGGTGAGTTTTTTGTTATTATTATTATCATCAAATTTTGAGGAAACAATTTAAGTAACAATTTATTTTGAGCAAAAATTTATAATAACGAGTTCATCAGTTTTTGCCAAAAAATATCAATTTCATTTGTGGTGGTTTTGAAAATCACGAGCCCGGTTATTATCAATAAAGGGGTTAAGTGAGATCTGAAAGAACAAAACTAGCTTTTCAATGATTTTTCAAGTAACTTACGGAAACAAGCAACAAACAATAGCTGAAATTAGGAGCACAATGAAATTCCATTTTATTCTGAAATTTTACTTATTATCATTATTAATATAAAACATTTTTTTGAGACTTACATAAAGAATGCTGTCAAAGCTGCAAATCCATAGAGATACAATAGAACCATTGGAAAAAGATTTTTGTAATAAAATGAAACAAATATAAAGATAAAATATGTTTTTTATCAAATATAAGGAAGAGATAATGAAATAGTGTATGAGAAAGATTTCTGAGAAAACATACGGTTAAATGTTTTTGAGAAGATAAAATTGAATTTTTATTGAAACAATTTTTGGAAATTCCTGGATTATTTCTAATTATCTGGATGGTTTGCAGATATCTCGTGGAGGAAAGAAACGCATTCCTCAGACACAAGTTCATACCACAAAACCCTCACCAACCAAATCTCAACCCTCAACTTCAACCTCAACATCTTCGCCACCAAAAGAAAACAAAATTCCACAAAAAGAGAAGAGTTCAACAAATCCCTCTTCTTCTTCTTCCACATCAAAATCGAGTCGCAAAAAGAAACAATCGCGTTTGGCGATTCAATTCGATGTCAATAATCCATAGCTAGTCAAAAAAAAACCCCGGTTGAATATTTTTTGTGTATCAAATCCCGGAAATTTATTATATATCCATATTATTTATTTGTAATAATAATAATTGCCCTTATCTACAGTACTCTTGTTTATGTTTATTTATCTGTTTTTAATGTTTTCAAAAAGTCGTGATTATATAAATTTATAATGTTTTCGGCGATGTTTCCGCTTTCTGACGAATTCTGGAGTCGCCGGTCGATGAACATTCGAATCTTCGCTACTAATCGGAGGCGCGTCTGATATTGTCTCATACACTTTGACATATTCGGATTTTCCTCCAATTTCTGGTTTTTGATATTCTACCGGCGCTTCTGCCTTCACAAAATATCGGAATAATGTTGTAGTCGTTGGCTCAACATAGACTTCTGTAGTTGTAGCCGGCTCGACATATATTGGAGACGTGTAATAAATCGGTGGAGATGTTTGATAGATGGGCGGAGCAATCGGATATTGTGCACCACCTCCAATCGGACGACGACGATCTGGACATCGACATTGACCACCGTAGAATTCTCCGTGGATTCCAGCTTCTCCTGGAGGACCTGGTGCACCGGGTGGACCGGGGATTCCATGTTTACCAGGAGTGCCGGATGAACCGCTGAGACCTCGGAGGCCACCCGAGCCAATGCCACCTGAATCACCGTTATCGCCAGGTGGACCAGCGACGCCTGGTTCGCCTGGAGGGCCACGTGGATTCATGTAACTGCAAAATGTAAGAATGGGAAATAAAATGATTGCCGGGGTTCGAAAAAACTTACTGTTTCGCATCCAACCCAGGTTGACCTGGCCATCCTTGTCTACCATACGCCCCGTGATCTCCGTCATAACCATCCTCTCCAGGTTCACCCGGATAACCTTCATATCCATCCAATCCCGGTTTTCCTTGCCGTCCTTCCACACCTTTATCCCCCGGAGGCCCTGGATCTCCTTCGATTCCCGGCGGTCCCATCGGACACTTCACACATCCTAACACTATAACCTTATCTTCAGCTTCTAGTTCCCAATCACTTCCATCAGTTCCATTCACACCGTCTGGCCCATCTTCTCCAGCTGTGCCTGGAATTCCAGGCGGACCTGCTGGGCCACGTGGACAATTACAGTTTTGCTCATTTGCATTGCACTCTTCCTCAATGATTTCTTCCTCCTCCTCCTCCTCTTCTTCTTCTTCCTCTTCATTTTCTTCAGTTTTAGTATCAGAAGTTTTCATAGTAGTTGAGCTAACTTCATCATTATCATTGTGAATTTCTAAAAGTTGTGCCAATCCATTTTCCGTATGTGTCAAGTTAGCCAAAGTCTTATTCATATTCACTGAATTATCCATCTCCTCCCCGGCGAATTCTTCAACCCCCAAACTTTCTTTCACCTGCAAAAAAAATTTAAAAAAATTTTTTATATCAATTTGTTGAAGAGTACTTCTTCTCCATCGCCATCTTCAACCATTTTTTCGGCTGGAACTTCTTTACTTCTATCACTATTCGCATATTCGCCAAGTTCTGAAATATCCGGAACAATGGATTCCTGATATTTTCGAGTGAGTCGCTTTTTACGACGCTTTTGACGGTGAAGGCTGGATTGACCGTAGTAATTCTGGAAAAATTGGGAGTATTTTTAGGTTTCCCAAATTCTAATTCTCATAAAATTTAATCTGAAATTCGGGGTTTTCGAAAAAATCGAACATGTTCAGAGAAAAACTTCAAAAATTTAAAAAAAAATTGAAGAAAACATTTTGAAACATTTTTTTTGGATAAAAATTGGCCGAACAAAAAATGGCTGAAACTTTTGGTTTTGAAGTTTTTCTGGATAAATTTCGTTCAATTGTTTGAAATCCCAAATTCAATTTTTCCAAAAAAAAAAACAAATTATTATTGGAAAATTTTTCTAAAACTTGTGACTTTGAAACAGGAAACATTGTGAATAATTTTTTCGGAAAATTTACAAATAATTTTAAAAAATACTATTGTGAAAACCAATTTGGATTATAAACAGGAAAACTCTGAATTACTGTAGTTTCTCTCTGAAAAATCAAATTACCTGTCTCTTCATTCTACCTTTCTCCATCCTTTCCAATCCAATAATATCATTCCACGCCTGTTTTTCGAATTCTCGAAAAAGTTCCAATTGTGATTGACATTTCTCTTCAAACTGTCTCAAATCCTTAGCGAACCACACAAGAGAAATCAAAATTGAAATTATTAGAAATGACGTGGAATATGCAAAAATATAGGCAGTTTGAGTTTTTGACATTTACTGTCTTTTATTTTATTTGTATGTTATTTTTTTTGTTTTTATATTCTATTAGTTAATTATATATATTAATAAGTAGTTAATTAATTAATTGAACCAGTTTTAATAACTAACTCAAATCTCATAGTGTTTCTTTTTTGGTTAGTATTTATTAAAAAAATACAAATAATAAAATTTGAGGATTTTACATTAGTTTCCAGACAAATCAAAAATGACGTGTTGAAGTTTGGCAATATTTTTGATAACTTTGCCAGCGGCGTCTTGATTTTCTGGGTCCAAAAATAATTGGGAATTTCGAGGAATTGTCACATTTCCGCAAGAATCGCAAAGATGAATATGAGCACAAATTGTGGAATCGGGTTTGAAGCGTTGAAGTTGTTTGTAGATTTCACCAAGGATGTCTTCGACTAAAAATGTGGAGGTATTTACATTTTTATCATATTTTGAAAAGTGCACAGATAGAGCGCACGTCATATTTTTAGGCGGTGGAAATGAAAAAAACTAACCCAAACTTTTGCAGACTTTCTGAATAACCTCATTGAATGAAAGTGTTGCTTCGCAGATTTTATTCGCATCTTTTTTGAGTGTTTGATTGTCAATCGCATCATCAACCAACACAATTATCTGTTGACATCGAGTGCATAAAAAAGTGAAAAAATTCTGAACGCCATGAATAATATCACCGATTTTATTCGAGCTTCCTCCCGATGTGACTGGATTTCGATGTGGAGCAATTGTTGTGTTGCAATTCGCAACAACAAAAATAATTGCGAGAATGAGGAATGATAGGAATCTGCTGCTCATTGTGAATTTGAATTGAAATTAAAATGTAGAGAATCTGATAAAAGTTGGTAAACTGATAGGTTTATATAAATATGATAAGGTGCTCAAATTTTTTGAGTCATAACAAAAACAACAGGTTTTTGAGGTACATAATAAGAAGTATTTTGGATTTAATTGCGGAAATATTTGTTTTTCAATAATTAACTATCGTCTTCGTCATCGGTTTCTTCGCCTTCGAAATATGTGTCATAACTATCGCTGATAGCAATGCTGGAAAATTGGGATATTCAATTAGGGCCAAAGTTTTCTGGAGAATTCTCAGAAAAACTCACTTCTGAAGTCTTCGTTGCATAGATTCGTCAGGAAACGCATCTTCTCTGTGATTGTGAACATCTGACCGACACTCGCCATAATAGTTATAATCCCCGTCGTCGCTATCATTTTCATCATACGAATCCTCATCTGGATATTCATTTCTCCAATTATCTTCATCGTTTGAGTCGTCGTCATCATCAGCTCGAACGTCAGAATCGTCATCCGATTCGTGATTAACAAGATCAGCTTCATACCTATAATTAAAATCACATGGTTTTTGAAAACTAGAATTATTATTGTCAACTTACCGGCTTGCAAATCTGACATCAAATGCGTCTTGTGAAAGTGCATTTGTCTCCAAGAATTTATTAGAATACAAAGCGATATTGCGATCATTTGATGAATTTACACGATAGTAATCGAAAACCAGATCATTTGCATCTGGAGCTGCGATTGGAGCAGCAACCGGAATCGGCACCATAACTTGACCATTTAGCTGAAAAAATCATATTCAATGAATATATTTCATGAAAACTTACTGTGATCGCTTCTCTTTCAACAGCTCTACTTGTAGTTGGTGCTTCACCAACTTCGCCAATCGCGTTTTCAACAAATCCGAGAGGATTTTGATTCGAAGAAGAACCCTCTTCGGAAACTGGAAAATCAACAACGTGTATTCCATCGAGATCTACGTCATCATTTCCAAGCGAATCTTTTGTTTTGAAAAGCGTATAGACAACAGGATCAGCTTGCTTGATCTTTTTGCATTGCACAATAAGTGCTTCATGTGGATCAGCATTTCGTTTTCGACTCACTCGAATGAGGGGAACTTGGTTCATCTGAAAATTATATTTTTGTTTTGAAATGAAAAAATGATACAGATAAAGTTTAAAACAAGAATAGCTTGTTGGTGCGAGGATTGGAGGAGGGCTTTGAAAAATGTATTTGCGCAAATTGATTTGCTTTTTTCGAAAATGCCAACGACACTCCGCTTGCCCGCAGTTTAGCGCAACACGAAAATATTTTCATTTTCCGTTTTTTTTTTCGCTGGGCCGGGTTTCCAGAAACCCCTCAAAAAAGCTATAGAAATGGAGGTAGCAGAACTCAATGGTACATGAAAAATTCAAAATTTCTGATTTTCAGCTTGCAATATTAATGGACAATTGGACTTAAATGTCAATAACGTAAAACACTTGGAGGATTTCGGATTTTGATTGGCATTTTCGATGATTTTTGTGTGCTTTGAGAAATAGAAGCGATTGGTGAGTTTTTTGGGGAGGGATTTCGGGAAAAATTGAAAAAATCGATAAAAAATTGAAAAAAGTTAGGCTAACTGATCAAAATCCAGGCCCAAAAATCTAGTCCTTAATTTTGAATCGAAATAAAATAAATTTTCGAAAAAATTAAAAATATGACGCCAAGCCACAACACGATTGACGCATTTCTGCAAGCGCAGTTAGAGGGAACATGAATTATTTGTTTTTATTTTTATTTCGTGCGAAAAATATATAATTAATTTCTTGTTATGCTGGCCCAGATATTTCGTTCCACATTGAAAAAATAACATCATTGTGATTCTGAGCTCCCTGATCACCAGAATAAATAATTTGAACATTTGATCGAATTTTCGCTGTTTTTCTAGCTCTTAATATTCGTATAACCCAATTAGCAACAATTCCCACAATCATATTGTAGATTGGAATTGTCTGTTAAATAATTTTTGAACTGGTTAATAGTTAAGCTGAAATTCGACTTACAATAAATATTCCCCTCGCAGCCATATAATTTGTATAAGAAAGTTCGAAATACGATTGTCCAAGTAATCTTATCACAATTATAATAGTCAAATATATTCCAATAAACAATACATGCAGAAATATGATAGATATTGTGATTTGAGTTGAAAATATAATTTCATTCACTTCATATTTTTTTGATAATGAGTCATTATTACATTTTGACATTAGAGAAGAATTGAATTTGTAGACAAAAAATGATAGTATCAAATTCAGAATTCCAATTAACAACAAGAATAAATAAAATAAATTCATTCTTTTTGAACTTGTTGAAGGCGTTAAAATATACGAAACAAATGGCTCATCAAATTCCTCATTTTGAAAGACTATAAATATCAAAATGATATCAATAAAGATCTGAGATAAAGAATTAATAACAAAAACATTAATTTCAAATAACATACCGTAAACATCAATAAAATAGGTCCTAGAAAAGGTCGGGTATTTTCATATTTTTCCGCATTCCACGTGGCATAAATTCTCTCCAAAGACATTGTAATTGGTAGAATCATTGGGATAGAAATAGATAGAATAAATAAAATATGCAAATATGAAAATGTGGTTTCATTCAAAATCAAATCACATTTTGAAGTACTAATATAAGATATCCAAATATGATGAGAATAACAAATGACTAGAATAATTGCTCCTAAAGTAATACTAGCAAAATAAGATATTAGAAGACATTTTATATTTCCATGAAAACTTGAGAATATCAATTTTGAAAATATGAAATGAAGAGATGTGAAGATTGCGATAAAATTTAGAAATAATGTTAAATATTGTGTGTATTTGTAAATTGAAAAATTGACTAGAACAAAAGCTGTTTGACATTTTTCAACCGAATCCATGGTTAATGAAAATATTGATAATTTTCTGCGAAAAAAGGAATTTGCAGGTGATATAAAATTATGGGTGTTAGAAGGAAAGAAGAAGGTCTAGACTCAAATTGATTATTGAAGAATATTAAAGTTCAAATCTTACTGTACTCAAAAGTGCGTCTCAATGTTTGCATTGTTCAGAAATTTATTTTTGGAAATTATAGCGCCCACGTGGCACAATCACGAATTTCAGAAAAAGTTCCGCGTGAATTTTTAGCGCCAATTTTTTTGATAAAAACGTTCAAAAAGCAAAACAAAGAGAATTTGTGCTTGTTTTTCTGTTATATTTTATTAAAAACATTAATCTGTACATACATAAATTAAGATTTCATTTTCGCAATCGCATTCCACGTTGAAAATATTGCAATATCATGATTCTGCGCACCCAATTCACCAGAATACCGAACCCCAACAACATTTTTTATCTTCCGATTTTTTTGTGAATTCATAACTTTGAAAAAGTAACTGGAAACAATTCCAATAATCATGTTATAAATTGGAACAGTCTGTGAACAAGAAAAAATATGATTAATTATTGAGAAAACTTTTCTCTGTGGGAAAACATGTGACTTACGATAAATATTCCTCTGGCAGCTTTCAAACTTATTTCATCGCTAAAAATATATTGTCCCCATGTGCGAATCAATATTATAGTGCTTAAATAAAAACCGAAGAATAGAAAATGTAGAAAAATGATACAAATTGTGAACTTTGTTGAGAGCACAATTTCTTCCATTTCATATCTAATTGATAATTTGCCGATTCTATTAAATCTAAATTTGGAAATACTCGAATTAAATTCTTTTGACTAACCTTTTTCCAAGATTTATATTTATTTTATAAAGTATGCAATTTAGGATGAAGTTTATGAAATCTAAACTCAATAAAAACCAGAAAAATGTTGTTAATTGAGTGGATGATGTATTTGGAGTTAGGAGATATGATATTGAAATTTGTGTGAATTCTTCGTCTTTAAATACATTGTAAACCATCATAAGATCAACAATTATCTGAAATTTTGTGTTTGCTTTCTAGAAGTGTTCCAATTATGTGAGTTTCTCAAAGCTATAAAATTGTGTGACTTTCTATTTTGCTGTAATTGAAAACTCCAGAATTAGTTCACATTTTGATGTTGACATGAATGGTTTGAGAATATGATGCCCCTGGGATTTTTTAGGGTTTTAGGAATCAGGTTAGGTGGGAATCGTTTCAGAATTTGGAACTCTTGTTTTTCACCACCTCAAACTTTCCGAATTTTTTTCTGGTAGATCAGAAATATTTTTCTCTAAATTCTCACTTTTCTTGAATTTTGTCGAGAGTGAGAAAAAATCAAAGGTCTCGAATGTGCGTGAATTTTTGTAAATTAGATTACACTCTGATTTTCGGAAGTTCTGAAAAATGAAAAAACAACGATCAATACAATTCTCTCTATGATCTACATATAATACGAAAATATTGTTTTTCCGCCGAAAATTAGTTTGTTATTCCGAAAACTTTCTAAATTACTTTAGGCAAACTTCTGACCTTTAAAGGTCGGAAGTTCCATCAAGAAACGTCCTTCTTGAATCTCGAGTTCTCCAAAATTCCGATACTTTTTCTAACTCACAAACATCACAATTAAAACCATTGAGCACAATAATATTGTCGAAAAATATGAAATGAGAAGAAATTTCAAATTTGGATGAAATTGAGAAAAAACAAGTTTTCGATAAATAAAATGACTGATTGTTCCGATGGAAATCAATGAAAAAATAAATGTGAAATATTGTCCAGCTCTATAAAGTGGATGATAAGTTAGCGCATATGCCTAAAAATAATTATTGTTTTGTTTTGAAGTGAGGCTGTAAACAAACCTGCTCACACACATCCATTTTCAGAATAAAATCAAAAACTTTAAAAAATAATATAGAATGAGAAATCCAGTGTAGATATAAATAATTATTGGGTTTTGCCTTTTCTCGAGCTGTTGGCGAGCTGAAAATGGGAGGAGCGAAAAATAGAAATTACTAGAAATCGGGGAAAAAACGGGGAAGAAAAAATCCAATAAAAAGTATTTTTCTCGCGTGGAACTTTGATTCTTTAGTTGTTGACTTTCAAATTTGATTTTTTATTATTCAAAAAATATTCGAGCAAATCATTAACATCTTTATTTTTCTGCTTTTTTGATACACGAACTTCACCTGCTCTACTGACATTTTCAGTTTTTAGAAATTCATTTCCAAAAAAAATGAAATTCTTTGAAATTTATGAAATCACGGACTATTAAAGTTCACCAATAATTATGATCAAAGCATAAAAGACAAATGTTATTGACATTTTAAATATAAAGCCGATAAGTACAGTAATGATTTTTGAATTTCAAAACAATTTGCGACTTTTGGTTTTTCTAATTTTTGCTGCGCTAGAATTTTATAATGCAATCATTGTCAGCATAAAAAATCTAAAAGTTCGGCGAGATCAAAGAAAATGAATAACAAATGAAAAAACGGAACACGGAACAGACAATATTCTAATGTATATGAAATCATTCCCAAGAGAATGAACTTTTGAAAAACAATATTATCGTAAAAAAAGTGAGATCAAAAATTCAGATATGATTTTCCTCAATTATGGATCATCTTCTGTAAATAACGCGGAAACAAAGCCAGGGTCTCGCCCCGAAATACCGTACTTGCGAAAAGTGCCACTTTTGTATTTCAATAACAATGAGATATTTTTCAAGTGAAAATTTGGAAAATAACAAGAAAATTTGGCCTTTTCAAATTTTTTGCACAAAAAATAATAACCTACGCAAAAACAACAAAATGTGATTTTAATTATGAGGTAAAAAATTATAGACGAAGTCAAGTCAGAATTATTTTTCAAATTTAAATGTTTCGAAAATTTTTGGTACTGATCATTGAAAAAAGTTATGTCATTCATTAATTGGAATTTTTTTCGATTCGGAATATTTTTTTCAAAAAAAAAAACAAGACGTTTCTTGAAAAAAACTATGTATGCCAAGTCCAAACAAGAAAAAACCAACAGACTGGAAATGATTTTATCCCCCAGTTTATTTCTTGATTATTCACAGAATTACGCATCATACTCTACACGTTTATTCAATAATTATCTGATTAATCAATTCATTTATGTCCCCCATAAGTATTCCAAATTTCAAAAATTGCATTGTCATGATTCATCGCACCAACTTTTCCACTATAAGCAATTCGAATGGTAGTTCTCAAACTCTCTTTTCTCTTTATTTTAAGAGTTTTCAAAAAAGCAGTTGCAACTAAACCAATGATTAAACTGAATAATGGCTTTGTCTGGAAATGTCAAATTTAGTCAGAACTTCAGAGTTAACTTTAGCTGTACCGTGTAAATACATCTAGCTACCGTATACCCTGTATACGTTGTAAATATATATTGTTTTCCAATTGTCCATAAACTGAGAACTGTACTCAAATAAATTACAGTAAATAAAAGATGCACGAAAAATATATAAATTGTAAATTTATTGGAAGCCATAATTTGTTCCATTTGGAATCGAACTGATAATGTTCTCCGACGATTTTCTTTTTTGTTCAAATCTCTTGTGATTTTTAATAATATCAAATTGAAGATGAATGTTATGACATCAAGAATAATGAAATATTGAAAAATATGATTGACATTGTTTACCGAAGCTGATGGAATAAGTATGAAATTAATTAAATCCTCATCAAATGGCTCATTTTGATATGCCCAGAATGTAACAATCATCCCAGATACTATCTGAAAATTTTAATTTTTTCATTTGTTTTATGAACATTGTACTTTCTTGTTGATTCAAATCAAATTACAAATTATAATTTTAATGAGTAAGTTATAATTTAATATTGAGTCACTTTTTTCTTCAAACTTGATTATAGTTTAGCACTTCTCCCCTTTCATAAACAAACCGTTAGAATAGCCAATAATGGGCCAATAAACATCGGAAGTTTTTCGTAGTTGTGTGCTTTGATAATCGCAATTGTTCTTTCGATTGAAATTGAAATTGTGAATAACATTGGAGTTGTTAAAGTAAATGTAAAAGCCAAATGAATATATTTGAATAAGGAATGGTTGATAAATAAATCACATTTCGAATTGGCGAAAAATGGTTGAATTGTGTGATAGCCGAATGCGATTGCCATGGTTAGCGAAAAATGAAAGTTCATCGAAAAATATGTGCATAGAAGGGACTGAAAAGGTTACTGTATGAAGAAATAAACATTTTTTGTGACTTTCAGAGCCTAAGTTTATAATTTTTACCGATCTAATCTCATCACCTAGCCTCTAAAGTTATGACTCACCTTCAAATTCGCATGAAAAACCGATTTGAAGAGTTTCCTCGAAATAAAGTTCAACAACACAATCATAGCACATACGGAAACCAAAAACGTGAAAACTTGCGCGATTCTATAAGCCGGATGATTGACAACATCATATGCCTGAATTTCGTTCATTGGAAAATGAATCTTCTGTTCTGTTCTGAAAGTGAACTCACCAGCTCACAGCTTTCGTTTGTTGGGCTCATTTTTTTATTTGAAAATATTTTCAGAACTGCTCTCTTTTTTTTCACCTGATCGTGACTCGGAATAAATAGAACTATAAGCTAATGCTGAATGCTAACAAACATGTATGAGCAAATGAAATTACACCTTTTTGAGAAAAAAACCTGCATTTATGTATTATTTCTTTTTTTTCCTTCGAGGGAGAGAGCAAATTGAATTAGTTATGTGCGGCGATTAGAAACTTCTCGCGTTCGAAAATTTATTAAGCCGAACAAAGTGAATTACTCTGTTGTAGATATATGAGATCGGGGAGATCAGAACTTAAGTTAATTTCAGACAAAAAACAACAAAACAGAATAAAATGAAAACTTTGAATTTGTTTATCAAATCAAACATAAAATTATGGGATAAGAGTCACTTTTTCGAATAATTATTCCAAATTTGAAAAATAGCATCATCGTGGTTTTTGACACCTTCAGCTCCAGTATATTTGATTTTTACACTACCCGCAATTTTCTTGGAGCGTTCTCTGTTGAAAGATTCGAGCATGTAGGAGCAAAGTATTACGATTGGAAGATTGATTGTTGGAATTGGCTGGGAATACATTTTCTAGCTCAGATCTAATTTTAAACTCACCAATAACATCAATCCTCTCACAACTTGTTGTATAACCAAATCTTGAAACAAACCATTTCTAATAGACCGAAATATAAAAATAAAGGTCAGAAAGCATCCGAAAAATGTGAGATGCATCATATTTATACCGAATGTGAATTTTGTTGATTGTATAATCTCTTCAACTGCATATTTTCGAGTTAGAGATGCATCAAGTTGAAGGCTAAAACAATCGGAATTTTTTATTTTGCAAACATTAATTTCCAACCGTTTTTTGAGATATAAATTTCGTTTTTGAATGAATAAACTGATTGCAAAATTGGGTAAATTAACTATCAACAGAAAACCATAATACATATTCATATGAGTAGAAGATGTTGATGGAATGTTAGTATATGTTACAGTACTCTCACTGAATGTTTCCCCATCATAAACAATAAATAATATTGTTGTATTAAAACTGACTGCGAGAAGCATAAGAATTGGGCCAAGTAATAATTTTGAATATTCATAAGTTGCGGTATTTGACATTGCGATAAGTCTTTCAAATGAAATTACAAGCGGAAAAAATACTGTTGTTGACATTGAAAGAAGAGTAAGAATATGGAGATATCTATAGGATAATTGAGAGTAAATAAGATCACAATAATTAGTGATGAAATATGGTTTGATTGCTTGATACATCTGTTATCAAAGTACATTTCAATTTGCAGCTGGTTTAGAATTCGTATTTTTAAAACTCACTGCTAAAACAAATTGCAAAACTGAAAATATAAATATCATTCCGAAAAATGAGAAAAACAGAAATTTTAAATTTTTCTGAAAAACAGATTTGTATAACTGTTTCCATAATCGTAAATACATGATAATTATGACCAATAATGAGACAAATGCAGTGTAATATTGCGTGAATTTATATAAATAATGAGTCACAATTTGATATTCCTAGAATTTTTTAAAAGTTTCAAAATGTTGAGATCTATACAAGGAGTGGTATTCCAAATCTTGAAAACTCACAAAATCACAATCTGGCATCTTTTGAATATTTTTTCTAGTTCTTTAGCAAAATGTGTGAAGTTTGTTGACAAAACAAATATTGTTTCAAAATAACGTGTTTTTTTCGTCAACCAAGTTAATTAGAATGATTAATGGTTTTCTCAAAAATTATCTGAAATGAAAATAATTTATACAAAAAAAGTTCAAAATATCACAAGGAAAAATAGAAAAAAGTATAATAGATTCGGAAAATATATACATACAATATACTCGTATTCGAAAATAATTGGTCGATATGTGTGAACAAAAAGGCTCTGTTCTCGTTTCTTTTTTCTCACGAATTAACTGACACACATATTATATCCGCATTGAGTTGGACAGCATAAACTAACTGCAGCTGAATTATGATATCCAGGTGTTGAATCGCTGTAAAAAGCATTCTGACGCAACGCCAATTTTGGTGCACACTCAAAATCATAATTACACCAATTAATGTAATGACGACGTGCGCGGCAGTTTTGTGCAAGTGAATCTGGCGATGGACAATGCGAGATTTTTGGAGGGGTTCCACAACAATATCCAGATGCATCAACACATAAATGACCCGAGTTACATGAAGAAGATGGACGACAATTTGACCAGGAATTTTGACATTGACCTGAAATTAAACTTAATTGTGAGAGAATAATTTTGGAGGAAAACCAACCAAATCCTTGCGAAATCCATGCTGGAGAAATTGAAATTGATTGTGGGGAAGACAATCTATTTTGAAATTGAGCTGGAGGTTGAGGTTTCAAACGGATGTTTGAAACTTCGTGTAGTTTATGATCAAGAACTGAAAAATAGAAAAGGTTGGGAACAAAGAACACATTTGCAAAAATATCATGCATTTTTCCAAAAACACAGTATGTAATTTATTACTGCAAATTTTTGCGGTGAAAACTTGGTTCACAAATTATCTAAAAATGATGTTTTTTGGTAGGTCATTTCTGATTTTCTGAGAATCAGGTCCACTTCAATACAATTATACCTTTATGTTTCGCAAATCTCAATCTATAAATGCCATTACATTCGGGTCGAAACAAATCCTTATTTAAATATCGCCAATATAAGCACCAATCAATGTGAGGTGTTGAAAAAATAAAAGGTAGAAGAAGAGAAATAAAAATTAGAAATGAGGTAGAATGCATCCTGAAACAAAAATGTTTATGAAATGAGAAAAAAGCTTGGAACGTACATAACGTGAAGATTACAACATAATGTTTAATAAAAAGATTATGTTGACCGGCCGACCGGAAGGATAAAAAAATGAGACGAGAAGCAGAAAAAAAAATTAATAAGGTAAGTAAACATGAGATTCGGGTTTTGCTCTGATCTACTAAAATGTGCCATTATGGAGAAAAGGTGCGAAAAAAGTGATGAGCTCTCAAGACCACCTTGTTTATTGTTTATGATTGGCTCCAGGAAGAAGCGGCACATACTTGACGAGCCGTTGATGATCATGAGCAAATAATAAGAAAATAAGAGAAGAAAAAATGAGAATTGGAAATTGATATGTTTTGAATTTGAAGGGCAGCGAAACAATAGATTTTTTGAGCATCATAAAAACATGTTTGGATAAGCTCGGCTTGACACGCGCTTTGCCATTGTTTTTTTTAGAAATTATCTGGATCTGGAGATGTTTGTAAGAAAATTTTGTCCAACAAGATCGGAAAGTTCAGGAAAATAAAAAGAAGTTGGAAGAAAAAGGGGAAAGATTTAAAGAAAAAACATCAAAATAATCTTCAAAAACACTTAAGTAACTTTTTAGAATTATCAAAAAAATTCACAAGGCGTACTGTACCCGTTTCAAATTTATTTCAAACTTTTCAAAAGCCTGCTAGAATAACCTCCCAATTTACCCATGAAAGTCAGAATAAATATATCTATCATAACCGTTTTCAATCTTTGATTTCTTACCGGTTCACTTCTACGGAGTTTTTCTTCTCATGCCATAAGCACATCTTATTGTCAGCTGTTCTCCGAGATTCAAAAAAAAGGAACACAAAACACATTCGGTGCTCCAAAAAAGGGAGTTGTGAACAGGTTGTTGAGAAAATGCATGAAATGTAAATATTAGAAGAAAGTAATGTGAGAAGAGGAAAAGTGCGCGACAAAATTAAAACAATAGAGAAGTGCATCAAAATATGGTGTCGAAATATATCGAAAATGGGGTGTGGAAAGATCGGAAGGGTTCAGGAACTTTTTTGAAACTTGACTTTTCCAGTTTTCAAAAGCTCTGGATACTGACTTCTTTTTGAATGATGTTTTGTAATTTGTAATTTTCAGTTTTTTTCAAGGAAAAATTTAGGCACATAAAATACCAAGAAAACTTGTAATTCAAATTTTCAAAAAGTTCAAAAAATTAATAAATTTTCAAGTCGTGTACATATTTCGCAGGAAAAATTGATAATCTCTGCCACGTCATAACAATATTTGGGATTTGGGAATATTTGGAAATATTTGAAAAAAAAATTCGGGATCAAAAAATTTTGGTAAAAATAATGTATCAAAAACCAATGCATATTTTGTTCTATAAAAAAGTTTCTGTAAAACTTGATCTTCTTGATTGATTTAAAATTCACATCTCAATTTTCCCATTTTCCAAATTTCCAATTCAAAGTTCACTTTGACGTTTCTTGCTCTTCTTGAGAAATCCACTCTTGAACTCTGATTTCTGAAACCCTCATGAATATCAAACTAGTTTTTGTGTTTCAAAAAACAAAATAAAATTCCAAGTTATTTTGATGTCTCCAAAACTCATCAATCAGACATCTCGATGCTTCCTAATCAATTGCCCTTCCACTGAAATACTATAAGCACTTCTGAAAATATTATTTTTCTCCTCCGCCTTTCTCCGCCTTTCCTTTCCAATGCTACTTCCAGAATTCCAGAATATTCCCATGTCAAGTACCCTTTTTGGGATGTCACATGTGGGCGTAAACGCACTATTTTCCCAACCTATTTATGCATAATGCATCTACCAAGCTCCACCTTGATATATAAGCTCGAAAGCTTCTCTGTTTTTCATTATTCTCTGAAACCTCATTTTTTTAGATGTATTTATGGATACATATTTTTAATCAAAATGTATGTTTTTGTTCCATATTCTTCCACAAATCATACATGATTCATGATTTTGACTGCTATATTAACCCCTCATTATTCTTCTTTTTGCTTCGCATTATTTTTCTAGGTTTCACATCATCTTTTTTTTTTGCTCTTCCAGATATCACAATGAAATCGCTCATCTTGGCTCTCTTCGTTTTGATCTCGGCTCTTTTCGTCGTTTCTGAAGCCTTCCCACAACAAACAAGATATCGAAAATCTCAGCCACGTAAGTTGGAAAGATCCAAGCTTGGAGAAGATCTGATCAGAATTTTGTGACGAAAAAATACCCCACGCAAATACCCTTATCCTCACCTTACCCAAACAAAAATAACATAACATAACAATAACAAATATCAAATTTCATGAACTCTTTTTTTTGCAGAAGAGGCAAATATTCAACCATTTATCCGATTCCGTAAATCTGCTTCACCAGCTTCAGCATCGATGCCAAATCAAGAATATTCTTCAGTTGGAGTTGGAGCACGGCCTATTATCTACTATTATCCATCACAATTTCAATCGCCATCAATGGATTTGGAATAAAATGACAGAATAAATCTGATTTTGTGAAAATTAGCCTCGTTTTTTATTGATTGAATGAAAATATTTGACTTGTTTGTTACTGTATCATTGTATTTTAAGTGTGTGGATAAATAAAAATGAAGAAGATCAAATACAAATGAACACTTGATATAAAATCTATGTTTTAAAATTTGATAGAAAACAAAAGTGCAGTCTATTTTTATGAGTTTTTTCGCTGTTCCTTTGGGATGTTTTTTAATCGAGTGATGTGATGTTTTGATATGGTTTTTGGCTTCAAAAAAATGGAGTGAAGTTTGAGGAACTATTAGAAGTGGGAAATTTCACCGTGTTCATAGATTCCAAATCTGAAATACCAATTTCGAGGCTTTTGTATTTTTCAAATCACAAAAATATAAATTTAAAGAAACACTGGGTGAAATTTAGAATATTTTTAAATACAGTCTGCTTCCCAGAATCGAATCTTTCGAAACATTCTCAGATGGGGGCTCTTACCTGCCCAAAATAACTACCTCAATTTTAATTTTCAAAACATTTGGAGATTTTTTTTCGGAAGAATTCTATTTATTGAGTTGCTGAAAAAAAAGTTCCAAGAAAAAATTTGTTGGTTTTTTTTGTCAAGCGTAAAATGATTTGTTTTTTTTGAAAACTTCTCTTTAAAGAGAAGTACACACACATATCGCTGCAGGACCTTTTCATTGAATTGCATGCGCCTTTAATTTTTTACCCTTCAAAATCATTTTGGTGGAAAATGGTGAACACCATTCGACACAGAATTTCGAGCTGAACAAAATGGTTATAAATTCGCCTTGTTTTTCAACCGATTTTCAATTTTTCGGTTTCTAGGGAATTAGATGTTTTAATTTTGATCTTGAGTCAGAAATAATATAGAGTTCGATAGTTTTTGATGCCGAGAAAGATGCTGCTGAACAATTCTGATGAAAACCTCGACGTGCTAGGAAATGAGCACGAAATAGAGCACGGGTTTTAAAAAACGTTTTTGGAAACCTAAACCTCATGTTAGAATAACTTTTTGAGCACTTCGGTCAGCTCAAAAAACCGAGAACGGGAATTTTTTCAGAGTGTAAAACAATCAATATGATTGATCCTTCATTCAAAAAGTATTGGGGTTCTTACACACTTCCCTCGTGAATGTAAAACTGAAATGAAATCTTGAAAGACTGTCCGCACTGGTCCATTTTTTGTCTAGAACAACAAAAAACATCAAACATTCGGTATCAGCAACGAAAAAATTAAAAAATTTTATGATCAGAATTTTGACCAAACTTTGGCCAACCATATAGCAGTGTTTGGCCAATTTTTGACCAAATTTTGGCCAAAAATTGGCCAATTTCCGTGATTGGCCAAATATTGGTCAAAAATTGGCCAACTTCCCTCCACCTGTGTTTCTAGCTTTAGATTATTCTGGTTCCAAGCTTCACGAACTTTTGGTTTTCTTCGAAAATATTTTGACTTCTTGATTTTCTCTCCCTCCACCTCAAATATTCCCAAAAAATCTCAATATTTGTTTGCCTAACCGGAAATAGTGTTAGATTGCCAGAAGTCCCTCGGTCTTCTTATTCTCAATTTCATTTCAGCAAGCCCCAATAATTGTCGACTCAGTTGCTCCTCTATTTTTTTCGACACACAAACTCCAAAAATATCACATTAAATTCGGAGAGTGCAGAGAAATCTTTGGAAGAGAGAGAGAAACCCGGATGATATCCATCCATACGACAAACTTCTTCTTTTTACTAGGCTTCTTCTTTTTGCTTGTTATTTATGTTTTTTGTGTTTTTTTTGTTTGAGAAGAGGAAACGGAAAACAAGTAACTTGTGAACTTTTTTTTTCAAAAAAAAAAATAATGAGCTAGGAAAAATTTGAAAATACATATTTGGGTTTCTGTGTAAAAAACTGTAGATTTTGGAGTATTTCAAGATTTTTGGCGCCAAAGGTGATCTAGTTTTTTTAGTCTAATCACATTTTTTGGTGCTAAAACTCTACTCATAGTACGGCAGTTCCCAAAAATTTCTGACCACGTTATTCTTTCCACATATTTTTCAAAAACGACAAATTTAGTGTTCGAATTCAGATATTTTATTCATTTGTTTTTGACACATTTCATTCGTTACTAATATTAGTATATGATTTGTGAATATTTTTTTGCCATGGCTCTAAATATTGCGCTGCTCATAAATCTGCGGATTTATGGCCAGAAAAAACGCAGATTTATGTATAATGATTGCCAGAGACAAATTTGTTTTTTTTATGAATAGAACTAGAAATATAGTAAATATTTTGGATATATTTTTCATTTCTTTTTTTTGAAGAAAAATTGTATGTGTTTTTTTTCTGAAAAGTTCATTTTCATCTCATCTCAAAAAATATGTGAGATGAAAATAATTTAATTAAATGATTTTTCTCTCTTCATTTTTTCTAGAATAACAATTTTCCCCAAGTCTTTGTCCAATCCAAAAGTAAGTACAATTATTATTTGAATCGTTTTTGCCTCCTTCTTCTTCTTCCTATAACGAACCCAATTTTTTCCAGTTCATTATGTTTTTTTTATTGCAGAGCAAAGCAAAGAAGGGATTTGGATTTGACCGAATGACGAGTAAGTTTTTCGTCGGCGGCGCCGCTTTTTTCGTGTCTTGGGACCCTTTTTATTAGATGTATCTCGAGAGAAGCTAGAAAAATATCCATCTTTTTTGAGTGAGTGGATATATTTTCTATTTAGACAAGTTCGTCTTATTTTCTGAAAACTTGAAATATTTGAAAATGACACGTAAGTTTTTGTATTAATAACAAAGTGAGGGTTGATATTATCCCGCCGAAATAAAAATTTCACTTTGAGCTCCAACAAAAAATCCCAGTACATCATTAAATTTTCATGCAAAATTTCTTGAACGTTTTTTTTTGCGGAATTTTTAATTAGGGTTTAAGTAACCTCCTCATCTTGCATTTCAGTCTACATAGATTGTCGTGCACTCTTTTTTTCTTCTTCTCAAAATGAGTCATTCAGATTGTCCTCCACATTGGAGTGGAGCTGCTTGTGATTGGCCAATTTGTCAAAATGGACGAGCTGATCCGTCTACAAAAACCTGTACGTGTCGGAATTACTACTCTCCACCATTTTGCATTTCCTGCTTGCCAGGTTGGTTTTTTCTAGTTTGCATTGATTTACGAAACACATTTTTTGCAGGCTATTGGGGTGAATCTTGCGATCGTATTCCACTGAAAAGAATAAATCCAACTAGTGATTTTCCAATTGCAATTCCACCGGTTCTTTTGAAACCAATTCTTGGCTTGATTTTATTTCTTATTGTATTTTTGATTGTTGTTGGAATTCATAGGTGAGCTAGAATTTTTTCTGAACCATTTTCCTTGAAACCCCCTCCCTTTAAAATTTTCCAGACTGCGTGTACATTTTCGAAATCGCCATCCTCCACGATACGATGACATCGCAAAAGATCTACCACCTCCATATGCAACTTAATTAATTTTTATTAAAATTTGCTCTCCCCACAAAATCTGCTTTTTTTCTCTTCATTTCGCTTATCTTTTCACCAATACGAGTTTACTCACAAAAATCGAATTTATAAATAAATAAATAATAAATAAATTAGTTTTCACAATAAGAAAAAGAAGAGTTATTCCTGAATAACGCGTTCTTCGCCGGTTTTTCCATTGGTTACTGTGATTTTTGGCAATGGTCCAAGATCGTGTTGCACTTTTTGCGTCTGGAAATTTAGCATTTTTATATGTGGATTTTCAGAAACTTGAGAAGTACTGTAGAAAGAAAATTTTTTTGGACTTTCATTGGATTTTTGAACCCTAATTTAGCATTTCGAAAATTAAGGAGTACCGAAAAATCTTATCAAAAACAATTCCGAACTACAAATTGTTACGTGAAACCACGTGAAAAATTCAAAAGTCATTTCCAGAATCGAAAATTCAGAATTTTATTGGGTTTTTTGGATTTCTGAAAAACACAGAAAAAAATTTTTGCACCAATTTTTTTTCAGAATTACTGTAGTTTAAAACTCCAAGAACTTTATATCCATTTCTCAAAAAATACTGTTGCTCAAAATTTTCATAAACATAAGGCGGCCAAAATTTTCTGTGTACTTTTAAGTCAAGAAAAACTCTCACCTGTTGCTCCGAATATCCGCCATCACAACATTCTCGAACACACGCATACAAAAATAGGCACAAAATCAGAAAAAGGATCAAAATTGGCAAAAGCTGATCGAATCGTATCGCGTCTTCAGTCATTTTCCTTCTGCTGACTCAAAAACAACAGCTCGACAAATTTCCATTTTCGGGAGCAGAAAAAACAATGAGAGCTGGCGCGGACACACAAAAAACTGGAGTGGTTGTGGACAGGTGCGCGAGAAATGTAAATAGAACCAAAAGGTCTTCCAAAAAAAACAACAATTTATTATTTAGATATATATTTTTCGTTGGTTGGGTTTGATTTGGTCAAAACAATAATAATACAAGTGAAAAGATTTGGAATCCGTAGAATTTGTGAGATAAAATGAGTTTTGATTAAATTTTTTTTGGGGAAAAAATACAAAGTTTTTTGATTCAAAGTTTCGTTGACTGATCCATATTTTGATTTTTCAAATAATCCAAATTCACATATTCCGGTTCTTCTCCGGTTTTGAGAGTTCCTGAGAAGACAATACTGTCTGAAGTTCCATATTCATCGCGAACACGAGAAGTCTGGAAAAAAAGGGATTCGGAGAATTTTTATCACTCCGAAAAATCCAATTCAAACTCACAAATTCTTCATCTAAAAACGGGTTATAATTGGGTCTCGCTTTTTGCTCAGCTACTTCATCAATTTTCATTCCTCTTTGCCGTAATTCCGCATCAATATGATATCTATATTGATCATATTTTTGGCGTGTCTGATAAATATATTGTCGCTCTTCCATTCCAAGAATTCGCAAAAAATTCTCAAGTTCCGGAATCTCGAAAGCGTCCCACTAGAAGCAAAAAAATCGACAAAAATGTTTCAGAAAATAATAACTCACCAAAATATCACCCGTATCATTTTCCTGTAGAACCAAAGTTTTGCCACATGTTGGACTCGGCCAATTCAGCACAACTTTCAATGGACAAACATCATCCGAAATTCTGGTCAATTTTCGGAAAAGTGTGCATTCATTTTCCACATTTTGCTCACATTCATATAATGCGAATTTTCTCGGGTTATCTGCCACGTGGAATTTTCGAAGAAGTGTTACAATCATTTTCCGAGTTGTTGTCTTGCTATCAATATTAATTGTCTTTACAGTATTTCTTGGTAGAAAAAATGAAGTGATTGTTCGAATCGTAGATGTTTTAACCGTAGATTTGATTGTGTTATTTACAACATCATAAATGGCTGGAGGACAAACACCTTGTACAATATTAATTGGCCGAGTTAGATTCATATGAATCAAGATGTGTCCACCAAATGTTTCACCGTCTTCATTCAAAGTTATCTCCATTCCATTTGCATTTTTGTTATATTCCTGAATTTTATATTCGATGTCTGTTTCTTTGTATTGTTCAGTCCATTCGAATGGTGTGTCTTCTTTTACATATCTTTCAACAACTCGGAGGGTCTGCAAAAATATAGTTATAGGGAGTTGGATAAGTAATTTTGTTATGTATTCCTGAATTCCTAAACTATTTCATAATTTGCAATTTACGAGGAAAACGCGGGAACCAAAAAATATTTAATTTAGGCAATGCGAAAAAATCAGCGCGGTCTAGTTATTATAAAAGTTAGGCCACGTGTTTTTCGGCGCTAAAAAAAGACTTTTGCATTTTTCAAATCTTAGCACAAAAGTGCGGCCCAGTTTTCACAAAACTTAGGACACCCTTCTTGAATCCCTGAATATTTGACCTACCGAATGAACAGATTCTGGTGGTGCCGAAGGTTTTCTTCCTCTCAATTCTTGCGGTGAAAACGATTTAGGAAGCGTCATCGATTTGGGATTGAATAATGGATTCTCCACAGATTGCATAAGTTTTTCCCCGTTTTCCTTATCCGATCCTGTACTTGAACTCATTGCTGGTAAAACAAGACCTTTCGGAATTGTTCCAAGTGTTCCATCTAATTGTGGATATAAAGAATCAAATTCATCTGAAGATCCTAAGGAACTTCCGGGTGATCGACAATCCAATGTTACTAATTCTTTACATCTTACATGACACGTGTAATTGCAATCTGAAAAATTATATTTAAATATTTAAAGAAGAAGTTGAAGATAAAAAATTCTTACTTTCACACTTCAACGCTTCTCTAAGAATTCCCCAAATAAAATCGCCACATTTATCACACCATGTTGGATTAACTAACGAGCAAATTTTGAAATCATGACTATTCGATTTTCCTCCACCCATTGTTATGAGATCTTTCAACGGGCCGAAATGCTGTCGATCAATTGTATCATTCCAAACATGATTCGAATCGAGATCAGCTAGAAATGTCGCGCCAAAATCCCAATTCTAAAAAAAATCTAGATGTAAATTTTTTAGAGAGCAAAAGCAAACATACATCCTGATCAGGTGTCGATCCTTCTTGTGTTCCACCATTTTCATCTAATTTTACAGGTCGGAAAACTAGAGTACTTTCATCGTATTCAAATAGATCTTCATCTTGAGAAGGTGTCGTCTGAAATTTTTTTACTGTTTCAAAAAATCATGAAATTTTTTGATCTATTTTTTGAGAAGATTCGGAAGAAGATTTTTCACTTTCAACTTCAAGCCAAATTTTCAACTACAGTAATACATTTTTTTTTCATATTTTCACCTACCATTGTACTATTCGAAGTTGAAGTGGATATCGATTCGTTTTTCAATCCTAATTGACTCATCCAATCAGGAAATAATCCGAGTTGTGAAAGTTTCGAACGAAGTCCGCCAAACCAACTGAAAAATAAGATGTATTAAAACCTTGAAATTGTTTTTTTTTATTGTTTGCACTTCAAAATCGATTTAGAGATTTTCTGAAGAGAGGAGAATTAGAGAAAATAAAAAGAAAAACAGCAGATGGCACATTTTTAATTCAAAGTATCTATGTATTGATTTGAACCCTAAATTTTCATTTGGTTTTTTTTTCAATTTCCGAAATTTCTATTATCACAATATCAAATTTCCTGAAGTTTTTGTTTATAATTCTTTTTTCAAAAAACAATAAATTCTGATCAATTAACGTAAATCAAAGAAAATGTGATTTTCTGATGAAGATGATGAAAAAGTGATAATGAAAGTGAAAAAGAAGAGAAATATTTTGACAAAAATCGATTTTTCTGCTAAAAAAATGAAAAACTTTTTGGGAGAGATGTAGAGATTTTTGTTCTCTCAATTTTTCATTTCATTTTTTGCCTCTTCTTTTTCTTGTTGTTGATGTGTTCAAGGAATTTCGAGATTATCCTCCAGATTTGTATTTTCATATTTTTTATAGATTAGAAAAATCCTACTGTAAGTCGATTTTTCAAAAGTAAAAGTGCAGATACTAAATTATTCAATTTTTTTTGGAAAAAAAAGTTCAAACAGACCTTGAAGTTGAGGGAGTTGAGGGTTGAAATGCATAGGATTGGTAGTTTGGATCATCTGTTGCTATGCGAGTTGAATCTGAAATTAGAGAAACATTTTTGAGGCCAAAAATGAATTATTTTTTTAATTTGAAAATAATAAAAAATTCACTGTTTCAAAAAATTATGAACATTTTTGATTTTTTGAAAAAAAATGCTATAAATTGATATAAACCAATTTAGTTATTTCGATGCTAAAAATCCACGTGGCAGTGTAATTTAGCGAATTTAAGGCAGCAAAAATGCATTACTGTTTCATTTTTAATTTAAAAAATGGAAATTTTCCCGAAAATTTACTGTTTCAAAAAATCAAAAAATTTTTTTTTTGGAATTTGATTATTTTCTTTTAAAAAAACGACGGTATTCCAGAATTCATTTACAAAAAATGGGCCCTGTTCCAAAAACCGCTCACCTTGTTCATTTTGATTGTTCGAAACCACAGATCGTAGCATCGGAACAAACAGGTTTGACACCTGCAAAAAAGAAACTTAAATGGGACCACCCAAAAAATCCTATAAATCATAATAAACTATTTTTTCAAAAGAAAAAAAGAGGTCAATGAAAAAAAAATACACAAGCGAGAGAAAAAGACATGTGTCATGAAACATGAGACATGCTCTGAAAATGAGAGACGCAGACAAAAACCGCGAGATACGCAGACACAAAAGGGTGTTCGATTCATGAATAAATAATATTTAGATATAGCGAGTATGTATTTATGGATGAGAGATTCCGAGAAAAAAAAAAGATTATGCGACAAAATTTATCAACTATTCAACAAAAACAAAATAATATGTATATATATATATATATAAAACAATAAAATAAAGAATAAAAAATGTACCCGAGAAAAACACATACACTGGGAAAACTTTGAAATCACTTCTTCAAGAGAATATAGAAAAACATGACTTGGAAGACTAAAACAATGAAAACTAGGAAGAAAAGAAGAGCAATGGTGCGCGAGCCGCCAATTATTGAATTGTTTGTTGTGCCCTGTTGGCTGATTGATGTGAAAACGGAACCAGATCGGATGCTGCAAAAAAAAAACAGAATAAATCTAATTTTAGAACAACACATTTTCGCCAACTTGGAGGAGAAAAAGTTGAATTGTTTGCTGTTTCAAATACGAGATAGATAAAAAAAACAAATATGAGTTGGGAATTCTCAAGGGATTAGATTTCGAAACAAAAAACTAGGATTTAGAGTGGAACTTTTTTGGAACCAGGTGAAAATTTTTAGAAGTTCACGAATGTATTGAAAAAATTTGAACTTTTTTAAACATTAAACTATATGAAAATTTTGAAACGTATTTTTTCTTGACTCAAAACTTTAGGGATTTTCTGTTTTTATAAAATATAAATAATAAAAAAATACCTGGGATCTGATCGATCAAAACAATTCGCCGCATTATTTGGGGATAAATATGATTTTGCTGTAAATACTGATCTACTCATTGGTGTGTGATTGATGGCACTGTGGAAACTCTGGAAAAATGATTGAATTGTCGAAACATTAAAAACTTTTAAAAATCGAGAATTTTAAATATTTTTTGAAACAGTGAATTTTTTTTGAATGCAAAATTGAAAAAAATAGTGCCAAAAATGTTGCCACGTGGATTTCAAATTTGATTCAAAACTTTTTCATCAAAAAACTCCACCGTAACAATTCCCACAAAAACCAACCTTATTTTGTCTGCTAAAAACACTGGGAGATCCCAACGGCCTAAATGAATCTCTCGCAATTGACATCGAAGCAACAGATGGTGCCAAAACTCTCGCTGGTGTAGATTCTCTTTGATTGAAACTTCGCAAACTTGCAGCTTGACTAAATACACTTGGACGAAATTTAGTTTTAGGTGACACTGATTGTTGAATGATTGGCTGCGCTTCTTCCCATTCCATAGTCTCTTCCATTCTACTCGAATTCGTTTTATTTTCCTTTTCCTCAATTTCCGGACTTTGTGCTCGATCTCTCCATTTTGTCATTGTTGGTGATGATGAATTCGAAACATCACGAAAAACTGGAGAATTTCCAGTTTTTGGAGGCGATAATTTATGATTAAACGGCGATTTTCTTCCAGCTGTCGGTGATTCTAAATGCGATTTGAGCATTGTTTCATTCATCGATGAACACTGCGAAGTTGGAGTTGAGGCGACAGAAAATGCGCTTGACAAAATTCGATTCGGCCGTTTTCGATGTAATTTTTTGCGCGGGATCAAAGTGACAGCAGCTGATAAAATTGTGATGAATGAGAAACATGCACATTTTATCAATGCACAATCTTCAGTGTATTCTTCATCGAAAAGAAAAGCCAAACAAACAATAATATTGATTACAGGAATGAGAAGATCAGGAAGAGTTGTGCGACATCTCAAATATTTTTGAATATAAATTCAGAGTTATTTTTAAAGAAAAAAAACTAACCTGTTCTGTACACACGCCAAAATATGAATAAACATTAAAACCATACTTGTGCCAAATGAATGTTGGAACACAATTCCAAGAAATTTCGAGATTGTTCTTGGAAAATAAATCAATTCAGCTCCCGAGTCATTTTGCAGAAAATCAATATTCGCCAAAAACAAAACAATTGCTAGTGAAAGAGTGAGAACGTGAGATATTTCAGTAATGTTTCCACCAGCGAAAAAGAAACGACGCGAACGATTTGCTCCAGATTTTGGATTGTCGATTAATTCATTGATTGTTGATCCAATTACCCGTTTTAGTTTACTTCGGACTTCCATGAGATACGAATATTTTTGCTTAAAAAGACAAAACATTTTGAGAATTAACTAGAAAACTAGAAAGTTCCAAACCTTATCTTGTTCCAATTTTCCATGAACTGCTAAAGTACATCTTGCACATAATTGATACATTCGATCAAGTTTATATCGATAATCCTCCAATTCTTCATTCCATCGATCTTCATCGATTGGCTCAAAATCGTTCACTTTTTTCATAATTATTTCTTGATTTCGATTGCAATCCGAACACAAACCATTCTCACTTTCTACGAAAAAAAGGTTCGATTATTATTTTTATTTTTCCAAAACATACTCGGACTCATTCTCAATCCATTTAAAATAACATCGGGCCGCCCATTTCTCAAGTTATTCGATTTCACCGGTTGACAATATCTCACTGGAGTCGAATAAGTTTGTTCCGGAATAATTCGATTATAACTTCCATCAGAATTGAAACCATTATATTGTTTGCAGGATGGACATGTGAAACTATTTCGATTCTCATATTTAACAGTGCTATCTTCGTGGCAAAACCAGCAATTCACTTTGGTTTTCAGTCGAGGTCTGCAAAAAATAGAGAAATGGACTAGAATATTATTTAATTTAGATTTTCATAGGCCACAAAAATCGCATTTCAGACTTCCAGGCTGATTTTCGAGTTGTAAATTTTATGTAAAAAAAAATTTTTGGCTCGAAATATTGAACTTTTGGATCGGGAAAATCAAATTTCTCGATTTATTTTTAAAATCTAATTTTTCAGAAGCTCTGAACTCAAATTTTCGCAAAAATCCACGTCATAACATTTTTCCTGTATAATCAAAAAACGAACCTCAAAGCCTTGTAAACAATCGGAATTGTTGCACAAACCCCAACTGCAACCGCCACTTCCATCCTAAAATTAAATATGGTTTTAAAAATCTGAAAAAAAATATTCTTCAAAAAAATATTTCGATTTTCTTGGTCACACAAAACCAATTCAACAAAAAAAAATCAATGAAATGCGCGAAATTCATAACAAACTTTGCAAAAATACATACATACAGAAGGAAAACGAAGCAAACTGTACAGCAAAAAAAACAAAGAAGAATAAAATGGCAAGTTTGACTAATCATAGCGAGGAAACTAATTGAAATTCTGAAATATATTTTTGAGGAAAGAAAAGGAGATAAGTGAAACAATATGTGTTGTCATTGTTGTTGCTCGAGGAGTTCGAAATGTTTTTTGGCAGATTTTATGTTGAGAAGAGTTGTTGTGGCTGAACAATTGCCATCGGGTAAAACAACCATTACATAGGTGTTTGGTGTAAAACCATCGATGATTGCTGTGAAATTGGCATTTTTCACTTGTATTGAATCAAGTTTCGAACCCATTTTGCTGGAAAAAAAACGATTTTGGAAAAGCAATGAAATTTCTATTTTGCTAAATACTCAAGGAGATTTGAACTGGAAATCTGAAAATCTCAATTCTTGAGAAATAAATCAGTTTTTCCCAGGTCACGCCAATTCTAACCATTTTTTGAAATTCAAAATTTCCCTGTTTGAAAACTAACCTGCAAGATAGTTTAAATTGTTTTATAATATTCGAAACCTTCTCAAATCGATGCAAATCTTTGTGTTCTCTCAATTCCGCGTGAGCAATAACCAGAAACGTGGCTCTTTCAAACATAATCACCTCATCAGCTTCCAAAATTTGCCCGAATTTTCTGAGTTTTTCCTCCATTTTGTTTACATTCGGCACCAATTTATAGACAATTGCAGACCATGCTTTATACAATGTTTCATCCCAAATACTACTTTTGAAACATTGACAAACCGCATTTGCTCTTTGATTCGCATGTTGTCTTGCTGCCAATTCACTATATCTCAAAACATCGGATTCTCTTCGTTTAAAAGTATCATCTCGATCTTGATCTTGGATTAAATCCATTTTATGAATCAAGCAAAATACTTGAGCTTGTGGGGAATTTTGAAGCAAAGCTTCAAGGCAAGATTGATAATATCGCAAATCTTTGTCGAATTCACGACTTTCCACGTCGAAAACGTAGATCAAAACTTGAACATTTTTGAAAATTTGATCTTTTTGGGAGACAAGGAAGTTTTCCATGAATGATTCTTGACCACCGCAATCCCAAAGATGAAGGACGAGATTTCCGAGAAATCTGAAATATGAGATTTATGTTAGGAAAAAACACCTCTTTTTTTCTATTTTCATGAAATTTTTGGCTAGTTTCCAAATCAAAATTATAAACTTTCTGAAAATAATTTGTTTTCTTCAAAAAACATACCTGACATGCGCATGCTCAACCTCAATAGTTGGCCCAAGTCGATTACAATCTCTCGCAATATAATTCGCAAAAATAATCGATCGCATTGAAGTTTTCCCCGAACCACTTTTACCCATCAACAAAACCTTGCGTTTCGTCGCCATTTTCTAAATAAAATATTAGAATTTTCAGAAAAAAAGGCATAATTCTAGATAAATAATATTCTGGTATGAAAACAACCAGTAAAATTGAATTTCTCAAAAAAAAAGTTCGAATCAATGGAAACGTTGATTAACCAATGAATAAATACAAAATTATTATATATTATGTTCAAAACAAAAAATAAATGGTGGGAACAAAAAAGCGGGAATTTCAAAAAATATTACTATTTTTAAAATTATTATATTTGAAAAAATCAGAAAAAAAAGTTTGCCACGCATTTCATAAGTGAAAAAGGTAAGGAACAAGGAAAAACGAACAAGAAAAAGTGAAATTTCACCGAATTTTTTTTTGGAGTATGAGAGAATTCCCGTGAATGGGTTTACGCGTCGCTACTACTATTGTTTTTTGAAGAATCGTCGGCCGAATCATCGTGTGAAATACCGGATGCCAATCCAACGGTGACCGGATCAGTTGGTTGAGAATCATGAGAAGAATTCAGTGGCCAATCGGGGTTTTCCTGGAAAATAGTTGTAAAATTACACAAAAAAAAAGAAACACAATTTTCATGGTTGTGGAAAAAAAGAAATTCGAAGATATTTATAACCCATGACAGTATCACATGATCATGCAGAATTTCTTATAATTTTTAATCATTTCCCCAGCAACCCAAAAAAAATGAGACGAATCTCCGATATCCCTTTGAACTAACCCCTTGAACTTGTGATTCAGTTCCTGGCCATTGTAAATTTTGAAAAGCTTGATTATTGGTTTGTGAATTATCAGCCGAAGAACTTGAAAATGATGAAAAATCAGCCCACTCATCGTTTGCAGAAGTTGATGCAGCTGTGATTGTTGCAAAAGCTTTGTTCTCTTCTTCAACCCAATTTTGTTCGGGTCTTGGTCCACTATTTTGCACAACTTCAGTTTCACCACTCGGTGGACATTTCGGCCAAATCCAATCATCGCCTTGTTGTGATTCATTTTGTTGTTGCGGTAATTGTGAATTTCCAATATCTTCAGTAACACCAGGCCAATCATTTACTGCTTGTGAATTTATCGACAAATTCGATGAAACACAAGATGATGCGCGCTCTGAGCATAATTTCCGGAATTCATCTTCATCCGGTGTTTCAGTTTCGAGATCATGGAAATTGGCTCCGAAATCGGCATCAAATTGTTGCGAACTTTCAGCAGATATTTCTGTAACTGTTTTTCCAGCAGCCTGTTCGAGCATCTCAAGTTTTGCCTCTCCATCAGCCCATTCTTTGCTATTATTCATAAATCCACTTGCTTCAAATGGTAAATTCGAAGACGACGAATCATCTGGCAAAAATTCTGGGCGAAGATGTTGAACTTCGTAATCATTTATTGTTTCTTCTAATTCTTCCCATCTTTCATCTTTCTGAAAAAAAAACAATTTTCTTAAAGGGGTTGTCCTGCTACAGGGAAACTTAGGTTCATTCGATAGAGCTAAGGTGCTCCTGAAACATTCCATATTTAATTTTGATTCTAGAGTGATTTTTCATCATTTTATCCATGTTTTTCTCAGGTTTTAAGGTTTTAGTGCATATAAAAAACATGTGTGCTCTTCACACACATCATTTATTTGTGTGTATTTCTCGCAAAATGCATTTCCTAACATTTTTAAACAATGGAAGACGATTTTAATCAACTTTAGGCTTGCTAATAGTTAGTCCAAAAATATGACGCACAATTGCGGACTTGATTTTTCATGTAGAAGGACAACCCCTTTAATTCAATTTAAAGTGGGTAGGTACCTCCAAAATAGCAGCTATCATTCTACCATTTTCAAAACGATGTTGAGACAAATAAATAACATCAGCCATTCCCATATTGAAAGTTCGAAGTCCAGCAGCTGAAACCAAATCATCGAATGGCATAAAATTGAAAGCCGTATCATATATCGATTTGATCAATCCACTGTCCTGAAAAAAAACAATATGAAAAGAAATTCTATTAAAGTTCAGCTCACCCTCAATAAATATTCGGCAACAGGTGATAATCCATTATGATCATTGAATTTAGTATACAAAACATAACTGACGATTACTTGGAGAATTGAATGAAGAACCGAACATTTTGGAAGACTTTTCGCTTTTTCGAATAACTGAAAATGAAAAATTAATTCAGGAAAATCTTGAGGAATTTTTTTGGATAAACACGTGACCTATGACGTGGCAACGGGGATATCAAATTGCTTTTTTTTTATTTATAAAAACCCCTCATTTCTAGATAAAAAATGATACCTTGACAAACGTGAGTTGTTGAAATACGCGTAGCAGAGTCTCATGAGTTGGCAAATAATTTGTGTTGCACAATCGAACAATTAATCTGAGCAATGGTTGCCAAACCATTCCGGGTCCATCAAGATCTTTCATAACTGTTTGGAACATATTAAAAGATCTATTAACAATATAACCTTCAACAATTCTTTGATAATCAAACATATATTGATCAGGATCTGGATTATCTTCTGGATCTCTATCTCGTTTCTTCAATTCGCAATATTGCATATATTTTATTTCGAAAATATCTTCATATCCAAAATCGTCATTTATCCGTTGATATGGCGAATTTTGAACAACGTTTGAAGTTAGATAAGTATCCAGAATTTTAAGAGCCGCTTTAATTGTTCCAGATTGTTTAACAATTTGCTCATTTGTTGCGTCTTCTGCCACAACTATTTTTGCAACTAATTTTTGAATTATTTCCTCGTTCATAAAATGATCATAGAGACAATCACTTGCACCATGATCAACATACATCCGATCACGAGTTTCTCTGGAAACAGTTTGTATATTTCATAAGTACATAAGTCTTATCAAGCTTACTTCAATATTTCACAGAAAACGTCTGATAAGCATTCGTTATCATCATCGGTGCTTGTTACATCGATCAAATCGACTATCCTATTCAATAAGTTTTGTTCAATGATCCACTGAAAATATAATAATTTCATAAAACTAGAGGATTAATTTCCAAAAAAAAAACAAAACAAAACCTCTTGAACAGTCCGATGATCTTCGACTCGAGGAATTCTTGGAAGATTTTCTAAAAGACACTCCATCGCACCAAGACTGATATTTTGAAGACATTTTTCGAGAAAATCTGAACTTTTCAAAATATTGAAAGTCAAACTAAATTGTTTAGTTAGCAAGCATTCGAGAAGTTTGGCGAAAAAACTGGCAATCAGATGATTCATTGGTGTTTTATCATTGATGAATTTAATCAGAAGATTGACAGATTCTTCATCCTAAAAAAAGCAATATATTGATATGAGTAAAGTTATGTATTTACTTACTGTAACAAGAGCTTGTTGATAAAGATCATTTCCTCGAATGGTTAGCAATTCAGAAGCTATGAAAGATAAACGATATTGTTGTTTGATTGGTGTTGTCTCATCGAATTCCGGATATATCACTAATTTCAACAATTCTATCATATTTTCCCGTTTTGTGATACTGAAAAAATGATTTGTTTGAAAATATGAAACAAGATATGAATTAAACTACACTTACTAATTAACTAATGTAGACTTGCCATATCGCGATTCTTGAACAATGAACTCATTCAACAGCACATCTTTCAGCGTGAAGTTGGGAGAATTTAATAGTTTTATAAGCGAATTCTCTTCGACATCTTCTTTTGCCCAAAACATCTGAAATTTCGCAACGAAATATTATAAAACTGCAACGGATCGAATTACTAATAAGTTAAGCTTTACATAAGATTCATTATAAAACTAGTATTCAAGTTTTCCAGATTGGTTTCTCAGTTTAAAAATGAAAAGATGGGAGGAAAGTGAGAAAAAACGAAAATGACCGCGATTTTTTTCCGCAATTTTGCGTGAAAGTGTACACAATAAAAATGACGCACAACTACACACAAAATTTTTTATTCTTTTTTTTCGCCAGCGGCAAAATGTTTTTAGATTGTTTATAAACACGAAAGCTAGATTTTATCGAATAATGTAATCTAAACTCATTATAAGGAAAATAGAACAGCCAGCGATGGGAACAGTTTCTTTATCCATACAACTCTTCGTTGTTTTTCTGATTACATCATGTTTATTGAATAAGTATTCAACTATTCGGAAGCAGAATATTATTGTGACTATTTCTACATTTATTGGATGGTTTTTCTCATTGATTATTATATTCGTTTTACCACTGGATGTTGCAATTGTAAGTTTTTCTCATTTTTTTGTTTTTGTAAAAAATAAATATATTTTTTCAGACATTTTACCATAAATGTGAAACCGATCGAGTAAGATTGTTGAACGAATCAAAGATTGCGCCAGATTGTGAACTTCCGGGAGGATATGTTCCAGACGAAACACTTTTCGATCTTTGGAGTATTGTTTATTGGACAGCACAAATTCTAACTTGGCTTATCCTCCCACTCCTCCAAAGTTATGTCACCGCTGGAGATTTCACTACTTGTGGTAAAATAAAAGCATCAATTCTCAATAATTTATTGTATTATGGTCTATATTCACTATGTTTTCTGGCATTATTGATTTACGCAATGTTCCGAGGAGTTTCAATTAATTATGATAATTTGAAAGTTATCATTGTATCTGCATCAAATACTTGGGGCCTGTTTCTGTTGGTTGTGTTATTGGGTTATGGTCTTGTAGAATTGCCTAGAAGTCTTTGGTATCATGGAAATCGACGTATGTTTTTTTTTCAAATGAAAAATACGAATTACTTTATGAATATTCAAAATTACAGATTATCGTTTGAGAAAAACATATTTTGACATCGAAAAACTTGCGTCAGAAAAAAGCGAAGCTGAAGAAAATGTGAAAGAATTATACAAAAAAATTCGCACAATGAAACAAGACAATATCAAAGTGAAAACAATATTATCGAAATTCGATGATTCATTGATTTCTAAACTTCTACCATCAAGACAATCTATTCCACAAGAATCGGAAAATAATATGACAATTGTTTCTGAGATTCGATTAATCAATTTACATCGAAATTCAATCAATGCAATTCAAGCTCTAAACAATGCAAATGCTCAATGGAAACTTCTTGTTGATCGCGCACTTTTCCTGGAAAATCTAGCACTTTCGAATGGCACAGATTTGGAATTGGATAGACGTGGAATAATTCCAGTAGCAATTCGAAAAATATGGTATACGAAATTGCAAACACCGTTGAGTAAAGCATTGTCGGTGATATTTGGTATAATGACTCTTTTTGTATTATTATCCGAATGCACATTTTTCGTCGTTTCTCCAACTCTTTCACCAGCTGCTTTGGTTACTGAATATGCGTCGAATCGATTTCATTATAAATATACACAATTTGTGGCTTTTGGGATTATTGTATATTTATGTTTGTGTGCGTATTTCACAATTTTCCGTCTTCGAATTTATAAATATTATCATCTCGATCCAAATGGACTGACTGACGAAAACAGTATTCTATTCAGCGCCATGTAAGTTTTTTTAAATATAAATTCTATAAATTTTTAATGTATTTCAGACTTTTGTGCCGTTTGACACCTCCAATTTGTCTCAACTTTTTGGGAATGATTCATATGGATTCGCATATTTCAATGGCACGAGATTTTGGCGTTGAAACACAATTCACAAAATTGATGGGACATTTGGATGTGATTCCAATTCTTGCAAAAGGGATCAATATATATTTACCAATTTGTATTATTCTTATATGCGTTATTCATTATTATAAGTGAGTTTTACAGAATATTAGGAGATTTTTTTTAAACTTGAGTACTTTTAAAGCCTAATCAAAAGTTTTCACTTTCTGGCGAGGCTTCAGATAAATTGATTCAATAGAAATACATTCAAATTTCAGAGTTGGAACCTACCTTCTTCATTCTTTGGGATTTGATCAATTTGTAGAATCTGACGATATGACAAATGATATGATAAATGCTGGAAGATCACTAGTTCAAATTGAAAGAAACTCGTTGAGACGAGATAATGAAAGAATTCAAAGGAATGAGAGATTCAATATGAGAAATAGCACGATTGCAGCGAAATATTCGAAACGTGAGTGATTTTTTTTGAATAGTGTTTCGCGCCGAGAATTGTTTTTTGATCTACAACAGAAAGTTTTGTGAGACCTGGAAAACTTCTGTTATTTACTCGGTTAAAGTGGTGCGCCATTTGGGGCGACGTCGCATGCTAAATTTGATAAAAAATTTTGATGCGACGTTGCCTGAAACAGCGCCTCATTTTATGCGCTGTTTGGGGCGACGGCGCGCATTCCGGCGCTATTTCGGGCGACGGCGCGCACTCGCACTACGGTAGGAAACAAAGTGTGCAAGCATTTTATATGACGCGAACCTTTTTATTTTTCTTTTTTTTGGGCGGCCTCTTTTTTGTTTGTGTTTTTCGAGGGTTTTCAGTATTTTTTCAAAAGAAATTGTGGTAAAGTGATGAAAACCACGTTGATTTTATCTTTTTATATGTTATTTGCTGCCGAATAAGTAGAAATCTCGGCTCTATTACGGAGAAAATGATTTTCGAAAAGTTTTGTCATTTTTCGGTGTATTTTTTTCAAGCCGGAATATTTTAATTAAGTATTCAGATTTACGAGAAATTTTCCGGCAAGATTTCATTATTTTTACGTGAACATTAGACGTCATTTCATTTTCAGTTAAATTCTTGATCCTAGAGTCAGTTTTTTGTTTCTCTTTCGACCCAATGGCAATTTCCTATTCGTCTGGCTTGTTTCTGCGATAAGATAGTTTTCAGATAACCGGAATCGGAAGTACGACAATAAATAACCAATACAACATATGGTGGCGTCACAAAAATCATTTTGTTTTGCGCGCTCCTCAGGTTTGATTTTTATGTATTGTCTTTCGAAAATTCAAAAAAAAATCGTAGGTTAAATGATTGATTCTAGATTGGAACAATTTAAATATCATGATCAACATCGAGACGGTCGAAATGGAAACAGATCGAATGGTCAATCGACTAGGAAAACAAGAGATGGTAAGTGTTTTTCGATATGAATCTCGAAATACAGACAATCGAATACGTAAAAAGATAGCGAACCAGCTGATCTGGCATACCTTCCTGCCGTATATCAACATTTGACGAGAATTAGAATTTCAAAATTTGATTAAATTTCGAATTTTTCATTAAAAAAATTCCAATAGTTTTCGAGCTGAAATACATAAAACTCATGGTTTTTTCATAGTTTTCAGCTCGAAAACTATCATTTTTTTTCGAAAATCCCTGAAAATCGCGATTTTTCAGCTGAAAATTGTGATTTCCAAGGATTTGGGCAGAAAATCTGAAATTTGGCTTGAAATTTGAAAGTTTGCCTTGAAATTCACGTTTTTTTGGATGAAATCGCAACTTTCTAGGTGGTTACTAACAAGGAAAGGTTTTCAATGTTCCCCCAAGGAAAAAATCGAGAGTATATGGAATGTTGAGGGTTCCCATGGGTAAGAAAAACCCTAACAGGAATAAGGAGAAAAATGCCTTGTTTTAGAAAATTTTGGTGTTATTGATTTTTGCGATGAAATTTTTAGAAAAATCGAAACTTTTTCAAAATTGATGAAAAATTTCAGTCTAAAAATCCATTTGTAGCGCAAACGGCGTACTTTAGTATTACTTCGACTAAAATTAGGAATAAAATAATTTTGGTCCCAAAAGTCCACTAAATCAAATTTCTAGTTTGAAAAATTCATAGAAAATCAACGTTTTCGTTGTGAAGGAGAAGTTTGTGTGAATCGAGACTATGATTTTTGGATTCTACGGACCAAATTACGTCTGTTGACCGTCATAAATTTTTCAACTTCCGTTCATTTGAAAATAGAAAAAATTATTTTTTGTGTTTTTTGGTGACCATTTGTTCAGAAAAACCCCGACTAAAAAAACCAAATTTCAAAAAATGTCTAATTTTTTGATAAAAAGTTTCACAAACACGTAATCGACCATTCTGAACAACTTCCACGACTCAAAAGTTCATGAAATAGATTCAAAATAGAGTTACAGATGCTCTAAAAATCAAAAAATGGTGTAAAAATCGACCTAAAAATACATTTTTTTCTCGAGAATAAGGAATTTTTCTCCTTATTCCCGTTAGGGTTTTTCTTACCCACGGGAACCCTCAACATTCCACATACTCTCGATTTTTTCCTTGGGGGAACATTGAAAACCATTCCTTGTAAGCCTAATCCTGAAGTGATGTTGAAATTTTGAAATAATTCTTATACTTTCAACATCATGTTCAGGTTTTTTTAGACTTATACTTAGCAAACCCCCTAGAAAGTTGCGATATGTCCCGAAAAAACATGAATTTCAAGCCAAACTTTCAAATTTCAAGCCAACTTTCAGATTTTCTGCCCAAAATCCTTGGAAATCACAATTTTCAGCATATAAATCGTGATTTTCAAGGATTCTCAGCAAAAAATCTGAAAATTTGCTCGAAATTCATGTTTTTCGCGAGAAAAAAAAGTTTCAGCCAAAATTTGGAATTTCAGCCCAAAATTAAGAAAATTTGGAATTTTCAGCTTTGCCTTGACCCGGAACCTTGAATTTTCAAATTTCAAGGTTTCCAGCGAGGGAAAAGCTGGATTTTCAATCAAAAATGATGAAAATCTTGAATTTTTCAGCTTATCCTCAACCATAAAGCTTGATATATGAGAATTCTTGCTTTTGATTGAAAAAAAGCTGGATTTTTAACCAAAAATGATGGAAATCTGAAATTTTCAGCTTTTCCCAGACCCGAGATCTTGAAATTTGATAATGCAAGGTTTCGAGCGAGGGAAAAGCTGGATTTTCAGCCAAATTTCTAGAAACATCCAAATTTTGGGCCAAATCAGACCGTATTTTCAAGAAAATCTGTAATTTTGGGCCCTGAGTCTGGTTTTCAACAAAAATCGGAATTTTTGACAAAAAAATGGGAAAAATTTGAAATTTCAGTCAAATTTCTAAAAAAAAATCCAAATTTTGGGCCACATTTCGATAAAAAGGCCAAATTTTTGAAAAAATCTGTAATTTCGGGTCCATTTAACTTTTTTCGAACATTTTCGCAAAAATAGTGGACACGTTTTTGTTGACTTTTCCTCAATTTTCTTTCATTTCGAAATGGATTCAAAAATGAGCACCGAGTTTGAACCACGAGTCAACAAAGCTCAAGTGAGTTCTATTATTAGAAAATTAGCCTAGATAAGCCGAGTTTTACTAAAGTTATTAGAGTATAGGAAGATTGTGAAAGTTCATATCTTACAATTCGCAGAAGTGCTTCGCTATGTTTATACCAATACCATTTTTCAGATTGCGGCACGAGATTTTCAATCAACAACAAGCTGCCGCAGAGTCAAAAATAATTATTTATGTTATAACTTCTGTATTTAGAGTAAATAAATATCATTGTTTCAATATATGATGTTAATTTAGTGTTCAATTCAGCTTTTCTAGCGCTTATCGAGCTTTTTCAGATCCAAAAACGCTTTTTGGAAGGTTTGCTGCGTTATTTCGAGCGACGGCGCGTCAATTGATGCGCTATTTCGGGCGACGGCGCGTCGTTCTGATGCGCCAGTTCGGGCGACGGCGCATCATCTGAGGCGCTGTTTCGGGCGACGGCGCCCGGCTGTTTGATGCGCCTATCGCCCCAGATGGTAGCAACAGCGCCCCAGAAGTCAGCAAGTGGCGCATCACTTTATCCGAGTATTTTCAGCAACAACAAAACGTGCATTTGACGAAGAACGACCAATGTTGGAAGAAAGTGACGAAGATTCACCAGCCAGACATCCATCTTCATCGGGTTTCTTTGATGATATGTGAAAATTTAATTTTAGATCTCCTAGTTTATACTAACATATCTATTGTATTTATCATAAATTATTACCCTGTTTATCTTATTTATGAGTTTTTCTTTTTCGGTTAAATTTATCCGTAATTCATACTTTTCATCAATTTTTCTCACAACATTTTAATAATAATTTTGTGTTAGATGGCGGCTGCAAACGCGGGAGCTGCAATGGAAGAATTGTTTGGGAATCCGTTTCGAGTGAAGCGCGAAAAAGTGGAAGCTGAAAAGAAATCGGAATTTGTCTACACACCGTCGGCGTATGTTCAGATGATTGATCAAATGCTTGGAACGAAAACGAGGCCGTGGAATCCGGAAAGAATTCCGATTAAACCAAAAGTTGTGAGTTTTTGAAATGGAAAGGTTGAGGGATTGGGGAGTGTATTTTGAGAGGGGATAGATCATGTTTCGAAACATTTCCCTATGAAATGGGAATTTTTAAATTGGAGTTTGAAGTTCTGAAATGGCTTAGAACTGATATTTTTCTTCGACTGGGTCGAAATCTGAAGTTTCAAAATTTAGATTATTGCGTCAATTTCACGACGAGACCTGCCTCTGATACCGTCTATTGAAAAGGTCGAAACGGTAGCGCGCTAGAAATTCTCTTTTTATTTTTTCTACCTTTCTAATTTAATTTTTACATATATCATTTTCTTTACTCTTTCAATCTTTTTTTTTAAATCCTGAATATACAGCATCATAATTTTTTGACCCCTCAAAAAATGTACTTTTCAAATTTTCAGATGCTAACATTACCCGAAATGTCGAAAGAGGAAAGATATATTCAATGGACAATGGAAAATTGCGCAGTAAAAGCTACAATTTCCGGAGTTTTGGGTTTTGGAGTTGGTATTGCTTTCGGTTTATTTACAGCTTCTGTTGATCCTTCAATGTCGATGGTTGGAGGAGATCCTACAAAACAGGTATTTTATCTTGATTTTATATATAGCCTGATTGTGAGAAGAGGCAATTTAACATTTTCAGAATTTTAGTATTCAAATTGCCATCCAAATATCTTTTAAAACAGATAAAATTTTCCAGCTAACTTTGAAAGAAACCTGGAAAGAGATGTCTGGTCGCATGAAATCCTACGGTAAAAATTTCGGTTCAATCGGTCTCATGTTCTCCGGCGTCGAATGTGCACTCGAAACAGTTCGAGCAAAATCCGATTGGCGAAATGGAACATATTCGGGTGGAATTGTTGGAGCACTTTTAGGACTTCGTGCTGGAATCAAGCCAGCTCTTTGGGGAGCTGCTGGATTTGCTGCATTTTCTACTGTTATTGATCATTATATGAGAGGATAATACATAAGCAAGTTTTTGTTGTTTTAGTTTATTTTTTGAATTTTATGTTAGATTAGATTTTTTATGCTATTACGTGTACATTTTTTTTGTTGAAATAAGTAATCACTAAACTCTTCTTTTTCCCACCATTAATTTGAAATACGCCAAAATGTCTGGTGGTTCGCTCGCCGCGCGCGCTTGTTACTTGACTGATTTATTGTTTTTATCTCAGTTGGCGGAGGATACGGTGGCCCTTGGATTTTTATTTGAAAATTAGATTTTCTGCCTGGACCTACCGTAGGAAGCGTGATTTTTTAACGCCAAAAAACCCACGTGGAAAAGTGTCGGAATTTTTCCTGAATTCAACATTTCTGAATTTTCTAAATTATTGTTCGCTGCCAAAACCACGTGGCGAAATTTCGCAATTTTCTCGTTGATTTAAATTTTACATGAGTCCACGTTTTTTAAAAAATCTACAGTAGTTACCGCAATTCCCCCTGTTCATTTTCATTGTTCCCCCACCTACAAGTCAGTCACTAAGTCAATTCAAGTTCACGACCTCTCATGTATCATCATTGTTTTGTCGGAAAGGTGCAAGAACAAATTTTTACGACGTGTCAAAAGGAATGTGCCGCTTATTCCATTCTGACAACTGCGTTTTCGCTCGCTTTCTGTTTCCTGGTGTACTACAACGATTTTGGTGTAGTAGATACAAGAATTGGATGATTTATTACACCATTTACTGGGTGAACGCATTGCGCAATAAATTGATGATAACTATGTTTAATTATTATTATTTTGGGGTTATGCAATTAACAAGATAATTTTGATAGTAAATATGTACTAATATTATTTTGGAAAGTTTAGAATTGGACTCGAGGAATTGGATTTTTCTGATACTCAAAATTATGCTTTTAATATGAGCAATGCTATATTCAAGCTAGAGAAGTATTATTAAGATGAGCAATTCTTAACATGAGTAATGCTACTTTCAATATTTCAATGATTGAAAAAAATTAAGAATCGGGCCAGGTTAAATTTATAGTTTCCCTCATTCCTCACTGTATAAAAATTCGTCCTCAAAATACATAAATTATTATTATAATGATTTTCTGCGCCACTTAACACGCTTCACTAACCCATCTTATAAGATTTTATCTTTTTATTATTCTATAATAAAAGAATACCGTACTCATCTCTCGCTCTCTTTTCAATATTTATTTACAAATTGTGATTTTGATAAGAGACGACAGTTTTTAGGTAGCGTATAGTTAACAACACAAAAAACAGATTTGATATGTTGTGACATTAATGTTGCGAAAGATATGGATCATCTCAATTCATCAAGGTTACATTGACACTAATTTGATTAGAGAAGAATAAATAAAATTCGAAAAATACATATTTATGTACATAGATATATTATATCTTTGTTTTTTCTTCTTCTTCTAATTTTTGGCGCCCGATAGCGCGGATACGGTGTATATTTATTTAATGTAGGGTTAGAGAAACGTAGATACAGTAACCGGAAGCATGGGGAAGTTTTGATAAGAAATGTTAGCGGAAGTTATAAATTACTGTAGCTGTGGAATGTCTTTCGGGTCCTGAAGCGATGCTAGACATTGCTCGGTCTGCGTCTCTCATTTATTCGTCCTGACACAAGGTTGAAAGGAATTGTTGACTTCCCAAAAGTTTTCAGGATTTGTGTGAGATCTGGCAAAATTTCCGGAGAGGCTTCAACATAAAATCGACCAGATAAATTTTGAAATTTTTTGGAATCAAGGTTTTAATATCGATTTTTTTCAATCCCTATTTCTTTCCATACAATACTCCGAACTCATTTCTTTCTTTTGTTTTTCATTGCCCACAAAAAAACAATAAAAAGGTGGCAAAGTTGCCCAACAAACGATGATACTTACATAATATGTATGATACTGTTTCACTTGCGCAATTTTCTCTAGTCGAGCCACATCTCTTACCACTTCACACACTCTCTCGCCTATCCATATCAGATCTTGGCACCTTATAATTTGAGGATTAGTAGCCGACCCGAAACAAGAGAATGTTACTTGTAAATAATAATAATAGGAAGAGCGGTAACACCTGAGAGACACGACAAGATTAACTACTTATGAATGAATGAATGTACTGTAGGTGATGGGGTTTTTTGAATATGCTCAAGTGGATTGCGCAACTCTCGCGACAACTAAGTAAGTAGTTTTCGAATGAATCGAATGATGAGTAAATTCGAATGTGTGAGAAAAGAAAAAGAAACTGTTTGTTTGAATTAAGCCGACGACGTGAAATATTTGTAGAGAATTTCGAGAGCTATATTTTTTTTACTGAAAAAACTAAAAGACTTTTCAGCTCGGAGCTTATAAAAAATGGAAATTTTGATTGTTTCAAAAAAAAACGGGGAAAGTTCAATGGAGCGCATTTGCTAAGAACTACATTTGAACGTATCAAATTTTCTCGAAATTCCAGAATCTGGAATTTCTAGCCCATGTGGGATGTCAAAATGAAGCTTTAAAAACCTCATCCAAACCTGAAAATCAATAATTTTTCTTCAAAAAAAAAATACCGCCACATTTTTTTCCAATTTCTAAAAATCGCAATCCCTAATATTCCATTTTTATTCTATGCCGTATTCCCTTGTCAAAACAAAAACCAGTCGTAAATTTAGTCAGTCGGCTTGATTCAAACAGTTTATTCTCTTTCTTTTCTTCTGTTATCAGCAGCCTTCTCCTTTTTTTGGTAGCAGCAAATAATAATAAATTTTAGTGATAATACGAATTGTATTGAACTGATAAATTGGGCTCTTGTCAGCTAGTTGGCGGCATTTCTCTTTTGATCTTCTTGGGTGCGCGAAACATGACTTTGTAACATTTTTATTTTTTAATTATGCTGCTATAAACATTTAATGCGGGTGGTCGGAAATAAAAACAGAGAGATCAAGGGATTTTTTGTAAATGGAAAAATTGGGTGCATAGAATTTGGACCTGAAGAAAAACGGGGAGATGAGTGAGTGGAGAAACAGAAAAACAATAATATATATAACACGACTAGGGGAATCCGTAATATTTGAAAATTTGAGAACAAAAAAATTCAGAATCAATCCGAGGCCGAGGCTCTTTCATTTGCATTTATTCTCGACGCCATCATTGATAATAATTTCTGATGATCGATGTGTGGTGGAAGAAAGAAATGATGTGGATGATGATGATGGGCTAACGGTCTTGGCGCCACATTTGTTGGTGGGATTTGTAGAGGGGCAGGCATTGTTGGGAGAAGGATTGCGGGTGGAAGAAATGGTGGATAGGGGATGCGTGGCATTTCTTGATGATGCTCTTCGGATGTTTTTTTGTATCTGGAATCATTTTGGAATTAGAAAAAATAATCGCGTTTTTACTGTATCCAAATTTCTATTTTATTGCGCGACCTCTCTTTTTCTCTCTCCTCTCTCTCTTTTTCACTTTTTTAAATCAAAATTCAGTGTGCCAGAAGAGGCGGGTGCGATTAATGACAACAAATTGGTGACAAATTATCGAAACAGTTGTTGTTGCTCCTTGGGAACCAGCAAAAATGAAGAGAAAGAGCGAGATGCAGAGAAGCACAAAAGAAATAACAAACCTTTTTCTTCGTCGCAAAAATGATCCATTGTCAAACATGTCTTCGGCCGCCGGATCCAAAGCCCAATAATTTCCCTTCCCCGGGTTTCCTGGTTCTCGTGGAACTTTTACAAAACAATCGTTGAGACTCAGATTATGGCGAATTGAGTTTTGCCAAGCGGGAAATTTTTCTCTGAAAATCAAAAAGATTGGAAAAATGTTAACATAATTTCCAAGAAAGAAACTCACTTATAATACGCAAATCGATTCATAATAAAATCACAAATTTGTGAGAGTGTCAACTTCTTATCAGGTGCATTTAGAATAGCCATCGCAATTAGAGCAATATAACTATACGCCGGTTTTGCGGCACCTCCTCCATTTTTTCGACGATCTTCATCCGAACCTTCTTCATCTTCATCTTCTTCGGATCCAACATCCTCCTCTTCATCTTCGTCTGATATTTCTTCGGAATCTTTTGGATCTGGAGCAGATGTGCTTTGACGTTCATCAGATGATGATTCTCGACTCGGAGGTTTTTCAGCATCTGGAAAAAATATTTGAAAATTAGATTTGGAGTGGGAGACGCAAATCTTACCTCTTGAATATTTCAGCACCGGTTGTTCCTCATTGTCATCTCCTTCAGACCTTGGTCGTTTCCTTTTCAAATCAGCCAAACTGATTTGCGGTTCCAAAGTCGGCGGTTTTTCCTCGCTACTTTCTGAACTCGAACTCGAACTCGAAGTTGTCGCTAAAATTGAATCCATTGAGAAGCGCATTGCTCTTTCTTTTTCCATCTATTCTAAGTTTCTGAAAATGCAAAAAACTGAATAACACTTCATCGCAAAAAATAAACGAGTTTTTTTCTGCGAGATAATTATCGGCACAAAAAGAAGTACGGTAAGAAAATAATAATAGAAAGAAAACTATTTATTTATTTACTCATGATATGTTGTAAATATAGATTTTTCGAACTTTGTGTTTGTGTTCAGCAATTTCTCATCATCTTAACAAAACAAACAAAGTATCAAATATCAGAACTGACCACTGAAAAGTGACAAGAAAATCCAAAGAAATTTTGTTGAATCATTTGAGGAAACAAAGAGAAGATTTTTGAAAAGGTTGTAAAAAGTGCAAGTGTTTTTTGAGAGAGGTGTACTGTAGATTTATGACAGCTCGCAATGTTGGAAAAGCATATGGAAAGAAAAGAGAAGACGCTTTTTTCGAGGTGGGTGGTATTAGTTGATGGAGATATTCGAGTTTATGGGATTTTTTTTCGAGTTTGTGAAAAACTTGGCAGGGGGGATTTCTGATGAGAAAAGAGATTGTTAAGGGGCTAAAGGTTTATGGAAAGTTTTTTCGGGATCTTTCCAATTAGAAATAATAGAGAATTACGGAACGTTAAGCATGAAGCCTTATAGCCTAAAGAGACTTAAAGGTTAGACCTAAATATTTAAAAGAGTTGAAGGGTAGTAAAGGGTTAAAGCTTTACAAAGGTTCATGAAGTTTTATATTCCTAAGCCTAACTAACATAAAGACCAAAAGGTTTATCAAGTCTTATATAATGAAGTTCTAAAAGATCATAAGGTCTATAGATTCAAGAATTAAACCGAAAAGTAAAAACAAATCGTTATAGCCTAAAGGTTTAAAGCTTTTTAGGCTAGGCCTAGAACTTTAGGAAGGCCTAAAAGTTTAAACCTAATGTTTTATGAAGATTGCATTTTCATGTCTACAAAATATTTGAACAAATAAAAACTACTGCATTTACGAAATTTGTTCTAATACGAATATTCAGAAAACTCCAAAAGTAAAATAAAAATTGAAAAAATAAAAAATCAAACCCATTCTTAATTTGGTAAAAAGGAGCTTAAGTCAACGAAAAACAAAAAAAAGATTCCGAGAACCTAACCAACATTTCAGACAGACCGAAAGCCGATTCCTATACAACCACCAAAAAACCCCGTTTTCAGAAAAATGTCTATCATCAAAAAACCAACAAAAACATTCTTAAAATAATATTTACGTATCGCAACTCGAAACAAGAACAAACTTTTTTTGATAGATTACATTACAAAATAAAAATAATAAAGAACAATTTCACCCATCAACAGGCGGGTTTAATTGGCTGACCACGCCCCAATTTTCCGACCATCTTTCCTTAGCCACACCCACCTTTTTCGAATTGACAGAAAAGTGGAGCGAAATAGAATTGTGATAAAAAGAGACGCAGGTAAAAATAGAGAGGGGTATGTGATTCGGGGTATACTTACATATCAATACTAATTTTGAGTGTCAGTTGAGGACATATTACTTTTTTCCTTATTTATATGGTTTGAAAACTTCTATTTTTTATTCCGGCGATTAGAAAGATGAGGTACGGTAGAATAATTTAATAATAATTAAGAAAAAAGTTTGAGGGTTTTGAAATAATTTGTGTGATAAATTTTGATGGTTTCTTATAAAGTTGTTTTTTGAATTATGTTTTGTATCGTTCATGAAAATGTTGAACAACAGGATTTGGTGACAAATTTAGAAAGTTCCAAGATTACCCAGGTGTTTTGTGCTCATTGAGGACCTTTGTTTTAATTTTTGAAATATATGTAAATCTAAACTCTCTGTCCAGACGGACGACATTTTCCTTAATCTTTTCAAAAGCGGGGAACAAATCTAGAAGGCCCATAACATTTTCTGAATCGTCATAGGTCCTGGAAACCTAAGAAAATTCCGAGAAGTCTTAAGAGCTTGTTCAGAAGCTTCTGGAATTTTGGACGACCGGCTAGAAGATGTCTTACCAGTTGGTTTTTTTCTTTTTCACAACTCTTTCTAGAAAAAAACATGCTCAAACTCAAAAAAATGAGAGATGTTCTTCAACCTCAAGAAAAAACAAAGCAAAGCCGACACAGGCACACGAATCGATTAATCTTCATTTCGACCGCGACATGGATGTCAAATCAAACTGTTCCTATCTCAAATTTCAATCTCACCTCCCTCCACCTCACCTTTTTTCTGTTGTTCTCAAGTTTTACCTCCTGCGCCTGGAAAAACTTTGAATCAAGATTATCCTTTTGAAAACGCCGCTAATTATTCGTTAATTACTCTACACCGCGAAATGGAATTTTTTGGAGAATTTTATTTTTGAGAATTTGAAAAATGAGGTTTTCGTAAAGAAAAAAAACTCAAAATAGAAAAAGAAAACTTGTCAATTATAGGATGTTCCGCGCACTCAGAATTATACACACACACAAAAAAAGTTTTTTGATTTGGGATGAACCGATTAGATGAATATAACTGATAATTAGGTTCGGAACTGTCAATCCGTGTAAATGTCAAGATTTTGAGAAGATTCTATTTTTCAAACCTAAAAGATGACAATGTACTGTGGGGTTTCCAAACGAGAAAACGTTTCTAAATTTTTCTAAGCAACCTGGGCTCAATAGAGCTCTCATTCTGGCTTACCCACCATTTTTTCAAAGAGTCGCAGTTCTTTTTTGTACCCCTTCCCCCTTTTTGTATACAAAAACACTTCCGCTATTAATCTGTTAATTATGTGTTGTTGTCTCTGGTTGTATCCTATAAATGTATGCAAATATGCATAGGTTACTAAACAAGTGTCAAAACTTTTTGGGGAAAAAGTGGGGGGAGCACAACACAACGCCTGTTGAATCGATTAATCAAAAAATGCGATGCGATTCCAGTCTCGAGACAAATTGTGATGAGGTGCACTTGTGTTAGAAATAAACAAAGCAAAAAGAAGAGAATGGAGAGTTCTTTCTAATCATAATCACAATTGGATGAAGATTGAGTGTTGTTGTTAGTGTAATATTTCAACAACATTTCTGTGTGTTTTTTCTTTTCTGCTTTTGTTTTCTGTTGATTGAGAGGAGGGACATCTTACATAAAATGGATGGACAATTGTTTACAAAAAATTGTGAATTTATCCAGAAAAGCTTAGAGGTGTAGACAAGTTGAATATGAAAAAATATAGGGTTAATTTTGAAAAAAAAATTGGAAAATGTCTAAAACTTTTTTGTGAAATTTTGAAATAATTCCTAATTTTTTTAATCTAGCCAATTTTTAACGCCAACTAATTATCATTGAAACCATGTCTAAAACCATACCGGCAGATTAGCACCTAATTTCCGGCGGTGTTCATTTCACCCTAACTTCCCTAAAGCAAAACGCACACGATTAACACCTTGTTTGCGGCATGGTGTGATTTATTCTAACTAAACATCAAACAAGAAGGAAGAAAAAAAAATAGTGATTCATCTCAAAAAAATAAAGTTTGTGAGAAAATCTAAATAATTCAATCACAAATTTAATATGTTTTTTTTCTTTTTATTTTTTTTTGAAACCCGAAAGAATATATGAAAAGTAATTAATCTTAATCTAAACTATCTCCTTTTTATTGTCTTCTTCTTCTTCACCATGTTATGTCACCACAATAGTGTCGGCTACACCAAAAAGAAATCATAATAGTCCGTTTGTTTCACCTCAATGTCAAACTTTTGTGGCTGATCGGAAGTTGAGATAACAAACACAACTCCAAATTATTTTGGGAATCAACAAGGCAGTTCTTTTTTCGAAAAGTACAGCTACCTTTTCCCTTTGTCTCTTTTTTGCTAGGGTGGTGATAAAAATTTTACGATCGTCGAAAAAACTGGGTGTTCCAATATCATGATGAATAAATCACAGGACGCCGGCGGGCAGATGAAAAAAAAACTGACATTTTTTGTCGAAGGGATTGGATTATCAGAAGACTTCCTCAAAGAAATTCAGAGAAAATTGGGGAGGCCTGGAAAAATTCTGAAAAAATTGCAGATTTTGTAAAATCAGGAAAATTATTGTACATCCTAAAAAGAGCAGGAACTTTGAAATTTCTAACATTTCTCTTATAGTGAGCTCAAATTAAAAAAAAAAACCAACCCTTCAAAACCACAAGCAAGACAACAATGTTTTATGAATACCGGTCAAAAACTGTGCCTCAAGCAAAAATCAAAAAAATCCAGAAAAAATGCCGAATTTATTGCACAAAATTGAAAACTATGTGCAACAATAAATAAATTAGAAAATAAATTAGAATAAGTTAAATTGGAGAGAACATTATTTTTTAATATTTGTGAGAAGTTGGTCGAGCGATGAAGAAAATGGTGGCTGAAAGTGCGGTGGCAACCAATGTTCCGATTCCGAGGAATGAGGCGAAACCGAGTGGAGACAAACAGATTCCTTGAGATGTTGTTGAGAATGAACGAGATGAGGTTTCGTTTTCTTGAGATGACATCAAAGCGGATGCGGTTGGAGCATTTGCGTTGGCTCCCTTTGAAAATTTAATTCAAAATTTGAAAAAAATAAAAAATACCTGAATTATCCAAAAAGTTTTCTAACTTACCTCAATAATATCCAAAGTGCTCAATTCAACACGAACATCCAAAATTCCTTCATTCTCCCCAAATGATCTCTTCTTTCTCAACAATCTCAATTGAGCCAAGTTTGCGCGTGGAACTGCTGGAATTGGAGCAGCTGGAGCAGCAGCAGCAGCAGGGGCTGCAACAGTTTCTGGAACTGAAGCGGCAGCCTCAACTGGCGCTGTATCTTGAACTTGAACATTTGTAGCTCCGGCTGCAACGGCTGCAGATGCAGCGACTGCTGGTTTCGCGGCTGCGGTTGCTTTTGTTGCACCGAATCCTTGTGGTTCAGAACATGTTGGACGAGCACATTCACTTCCTGGATCTTTAATTGTGATACTAATTTGACATTGATAGAAAAGTTGTGATCTATCAGCGTATTTATAAACGTGAGCTTCTTGTCCAGCCATAAGATCAGTTGGATATTCGAGATTATTCAACAAGAATTTATCGAGGGCACAACCTTCTTCATTCAAAATTTGGACAGTATCACCATTTCCATCATCAACTGTGCAAGTATGAACAACTGCGCAGAAAGTATCAGTGGTTTCTGAATCACAAGTCCATTTATGATAAACTTGTTGACCAATTGTAGCGAATTGAATTGGTTGTCCAGATGGTCCGCCATCAAGAATTTCATATTTACAAACTGGCATTGGCACAATTTGAGTTTGGAATGCGGTGGTCAAATCAGAGACTTCGATTTGAGTCGAAACGGTTTTATCAGATTCCATGTAGAAGCATTGAATACGATAAGCCCTGAAGAAAATTCAGAATTAAAGAATTATCCCCCTCTTAAAGTTTGCAATGACATTTGATGTGTCAAGCGGAAAATTGTGTTGCTATTTCGAAAAACGAATGCATCAATTCATTATGAATTAATTATGAATTATGATTTGGTTTGAATGCGGAACAATACGTATATAGACTACATCATTTTTTTGTGCCGCCTACTGAAAAACAACGAATTGGTCAGACATAGGTGAAGCGGAAATTTTCAGATTCAAAGATTGGAAATTTGTTTTGCCTGTTTGTATAGCATTACATTTTTCTGAAATTCACAATTGAAGTAGAGTCTAGTTTTATAATGTCACCATTTCCAGAAAGAAAAAAACATTGTTGAATTTCTACTACTTTTTTCCCAGGTCTCAAAAATTTGGCAAAGTTTTTGGAAAGTTTATAAATAGCAACTAACCGATCAACTTTGGTCACAAATTGTGGATGGAATGAAATGACAACAGTTGTCGATACAAACACTCCTTTTGGATTCAATGATCGTGTTCTAGCTGTGTTACACGAATCAAACGGCAGTTCAATTCCAGCCACTTGTCTTCCTCCTTCATCCGATCGACATCCAGCTTGATCATACAATCCTTTCACATAAACATGTCCCTCAAATGGATTACGTGTATTGAAATTGACTGTTATTGAATTTGGTCCACATTCAACTTCAGGCTCTCCTTCAACATTGTTATCAACTGGAATTGCGTGGATTGTTGTTGTTGTCAATCCAATTGTGAAAATGAGAAATAGAGGTTTCCACGTCATTCTGAAATGAAACAAACACGTGGATAAATAATAATGAAAACGATTAACGAATGAACAACAACACCAAAAATAAAATAATAAAAATCTTAATAAATAAGATGCGACTTTATAGCGGCTAACAAGTAATGTATCATTTCTAGCTGGTTCTTCGTGATTTCTCTATTTCTTCTCTCTCATTTTTGGCGTGCGCATTGCCTTTTTGTATGTCTCAGAACCGGGCGTTGAATACTAAACTGGATTACTGTGTTGTTACCACTTTCTCATCCTACAATTAATCATTTTAATCTGACACCCCTCCCACTTAAGCATAATATCTCAAATATTTTTTGCGCTTATTGTTAACACACACAAACACAAAATACGAAGAGAGTAGGCTTATTTTTGGATTTGAATAGATTGATTTGGCTTTGCTTGACTTGCAGGAAAACATTCTGGAAAAATGATGGAAAACGTGGTGAATTGATGGATTATTCGGAGACATAATATTGATAAAAGATTTTTGGGATGACTATCTGGAAACCTTTATGAAAGGGTTGAAAATTTGAATCTATCCTGAACATTTTTGTATTTTATCAGGAGTTGGAAGAATTCTTGAATTTCCGGAAAAAAAATATTTTCCATATTTAATTGGAAAAATCTTTCTTTGGCTTTCGAATTTAATTTTTAAATTTCTGAATCAATTGTATTGTGAATATTCTCGATGTTTGAGATAATCAGATTTTTACAAAATAATTTTGAAATTATTTAAAATTAATTTTGAACTCAAATCATACAATTGTGATCCCTAGATTTTATTTGAAAATATTTTTGATACTCTAAAACTTCCAATTTTCCATTTCCTCATTCAATTTTTTCCAGTCTTTTTTATTTATTTTTAACCTACCCGCCCTTATATATTAAAACAAAGTTCAAATCATTTTTTGGCTATGAAACTTTCGAACGCAGTTCTGATTTTCCAGATGATCCAGGTGAAAAAAAACAATGTGGGTGAACTTTCGCAGTAGAATTCGAAAAATTTGAAAGTGCGTCTGGAATTTCGCAGTACACTGATCTCTGCTCCAAGTTTTTGAAACAATTCGATTAATTTTGGCTCAAGCTATTTTGTAGCAGAATAACTTTGTCAACGAACATGCAAGTTTGAAAGTTCAAAAAGCCATATTTTCCCGCCCCAAAACATTGTATTTCCATTTTGTTTTGTTTTGTTTTGCTGTTTTTTTTTCAAAAATCCAGATCTCTTTCATCTCTCTCTCTCATTTTTCTCATGCAATGAAATTCTAATAAATTATCAATTTCTCTTTCAACATTGATATTACTACCAGTAAAAAAAGATAACAAGGCTAACTAGCCGCGACGATTATCATATTTTTGTTCGTTTTTTTATTATGATATCAGCAGCTTCTAAACTTTTTTCGGCGCCATCGCCACACAACAAAAATTTTGATGTTCGCAACAAGTTTGGTATGAAAATTTGAGGCAATTTGAATGTGGAGAAGTGTTTGGGAAGAATACAGAAATAGAAGGAAAAGGAAAAGCATTAGAACACATTATCGGGCAAAATCAGAAAAAATGGATCAAATTTCCAAAAGTGAAGTATTTGAGTGTCTAGAAGAACCTGTGCCTTGGAAGCTCCCATGTTAGATAAGTAGCCGAGTCTAGATAACCTAGTTGTCAAAAATCCGCGCCTTGAGAGCCTAGTTCTAAACACTGCCTCATTTTTCCCAAAACTCAGTGAGATCAAAAATCCAACTCTCAAATAAGTGGATTAGGAACACAAATATATTTTGTTGTTTTTTCTCTTTTTTTTTGCTTCCTAATTCGTCACTTTTTAATTTGAGGACACACATGAAAGTATGTAAAGCTAAACATTTTAATTTCTCCGTTTTTCTTCTCGAAAAAAAACCTACGTCATTCATTTATTTTTGTTTAACCGGGAAATGAACCGAAAATATTTTCTTAATCTAATGCAATTTTACTTCCTTTTGTTGTTCTTCTCATGGTGGACAGATGAAATTTTGTCGGATTTTGGATTTTGTTAAAAATAGCCGGCCAGTGGTTATTTTTAGATTGCCGACTTGCAAGATTTAATATTCTGAGGTATTTCGGATCGAGTTCGAAGGGAGAAAAATATGCTCTTCATTTTTGAATTATTTATTTACACATTTGAGCACTTGTAAATTTTTTGTTTATTGCAAAAAATAAGGACAGGGCAACAATTTTTTCCAGACGTAATGTTTTTGGAAAAAAATAGAATAAGGAATCAATTGGATTGTCTACGCCTAATAAATTTTCGTGGATTGCAATTTTGTTTTGAATCCAGACATGACGTGATTTTTCGTGATCTTGGAGCATTAAATTTGCACTAAAATTTGTTTTTTGGGATTTTTTTTTGAAACAATAAAAATTTAACGATCAGGAAAATTCTGAAAAATATTATTTTAATCCAAAATAGAACACAGAACTTTAACTATCATAAGAGGATTCGTGGGCAGCCTCTAAAAATCTTACCAAAAACCCTACAACTTAATTTGCGACCTTTAAAAAACACTACAAATCTACAAGAGTTCTCCACCCTTCGCTTTTCCCCCATTCTACTCTTAAAATAGCAACAAAAGAATGAGGAAACTCCAATTTCGATGACATTTTGTTCGAAGCAAAAACGAAATGTGAATAAAAGACAAGGAAACGGGAACTTGGTGGGTGGTTATTAAATGATTTCATTCTTGTTGTTTTCTCAGAACTCTGAGGCAAAACAATGATTGAATTCAAGACAAGAAATTATTCACTTGGAAGTTTCAATTGGGAAACTGGAAAAAATGTTCAAAAAGTTTTCTGATTTTTTTCTAAAACTTCTGACCCACACAAATATAATTTAAGAACGTTATCTCTATCTTTTCAAAATTCAAATTCTGAAACCCCCAAACTCATTTCTTACTTCCTTACTCAGAAAAATCTTCGTCATAGCAACTCTCAATGGAGATGTTTTATTTTTGGATTTGGTCAGTCTATTTTCACAATTTTGATGAAGTTGAGCATAATTGAGGAATGAACTGCTGGGTCACGTCACAAAAGTTTTTGGACCAAAATTATTTTTCTGAATGTCTTTTTTAGACCTCCACTTCTAGTGTACCATGAAAGGTTTTCTCAAACCTTTTTCTCAGAAAGTTCGTCATAATTAGAAACTAAACTCAACTCTCAGCGGAGCCTGAATCATTCGAAAACGCGAACTAAAAGAAATTACGTCGACAATTTTTAAATAACTAATTTCGTTCGCGCTGAATAATTCGAATTTTCCCATGAGCATAACAAATTGGAAAGTGATCGTAATAATAATAAAAAATAATGCTTCTGCACATATTTTTCCTCGTTTTCCTGATGCAAAAATTTTTGGTTCCTTGTTTGGATGGTCGAACATTTTTGAGGTCCGGCTGGCTACTAATTTTGTAATTTTTTTCAATTTTTATGTTAATTTTTTACATAGTACTATTTTTTGTTTTGCTTGTGGTCCGAAAATTTAGTATTCATCAGAACAAAGGAATTCGAATAAGAGCAGGGTTCACAAATTCAGGATTCCAAAAAAAAATTATACAAGGCTTAATCGATAAAAAATTGGAAAAATCTTCAAAATCGAGACCAATTCAAAATTTGTCTACAAAAATTTATCCCCAAATCCTTTCAAGGAAGTTTTATTTACATTTATTTCTATTTTTGATTATGTTCATGATTTTTGTTGTTTTGCACAAATCATAAACAAATTATTTTCTCGAGATGCTTGATCCCAGCTTTTTTACTGAAAGATTGCTATTAACCGTTTTCATTTACAGTATCTCTTACTATAGTTAAGATAACTCTCATCTCAAGCTCAACCCACAGTAGTTAGAGGAAAAACTCGCAAGCTCCGCCCATTTTCTACACACAACACAAAATAACAAAAAATTCGAACAAACTCCGCCCATTTTTCGAGACTTTTATGCTCCAACTAAATTTCAGATTCTTCTCATTCAAAAAAAAAAAATTGCGTTCGTTATGACAAGTTGTGAGCCGTGCACTTCATTCAAAAAAGATTCGTCTAAAATTCGTCAGAAAAGAACTATTGAAAAAGTTATGGACTGTACTTCGGATAACTGTAGAAGATTATCAATAGCGTTGATCATTTTGAATATTGCTGCGTTTACAGATGGTGAGCTTTTAGATATGAAAATTTATTTAAATATATATTTTTGTAGCCTATTCAAGTGAAGAATCTGAAGAATTTCGTGCTTATTGTTATAATACAAGAGCTGGAATGACAATCCCAGGTGCAAATTATAAACGAATTTTAAATGTGAAGCCAAAGTCTTGTGAAGAATCATGTCTTGCTGATTATTCATGTTTTGGGTTTGAATATGATCGGAAAACAAGATCGTGTTATTTGAAATCGAGATCAATATCTGGTGATTTAGTAGTAACTCCAGATACAAATATCAGTTTTTGTATTGATGAAAGTGAGTTTGAAAATTTGTAGAACGAAAATAAGTTACATGTATTACTTATTTTAGGTGATGAAGATCGTGATAAATTACATGATCATATAATAAATGGAGTTGTTGCATTCACAAAACAAGAAGTTCCGAATAACAAAGAATGTATGAAAATGTGTGAAGAAAGAGAAACTCGATATTATAGTTGGAGACCGGATAGAAAAATACAAATGGAAGATATTGCTGAATTACTAAAGCAAGAAATATTGAAGTATAATGATTTACAAATTCTTGAACATCCACCAAAGTTTGGCACATGTTCCTGTTTGAAAACATTACATGGAATTCAACTCGAATATGATGCATTTTCTGGAATTATTCCACTTCGACGAAAACATCATCGAATTCCTCGTCGCAAATAATAATTATCAAAACTTTTTCTTTGGCCTACGATGACGTGTATTTTTATTGATATTTTTTTATTGAAAATGTTTTTTATCTTCTTTGTGAACCCCCCGATTCTCAGGATAAATTGAATTAACTTAAAGAAAATCTAGATTTTGTGGCTTCACAAAAAAGTTCATTTTTTGTTGCTTTCGTATTTATATTTATAAAAGTTTGATTTATTTCGTATTGTGGGAACATGTTTTTCATTTCAGTTGGTTGCGATTATTTTTGGATTTTTTTGCGTATTTTGTGTGTTTCGGACTTTTCAAGTTCTCTTCTCAAGCTTGCGAAAAAGAAAATATTGGTTGAGCTTTGAGGTGTGAAGTTATTTTATTATGGTATGAATCACCCCATTAATTATGGAAAAACAAATTGTCATAGAATTTGTATACAAAATAGACATGAATGAGTTCTAATCGGATTTTGACTGATCTTTTTTGGTTTTGGAATTTTCGTTGATAGAAAATATGAAAGATCCAAGTCACAAAATATAAATTTTCCTGAAGATAAAAAAGTACCATTTTTAGAGATCAAAAGTGGTGTTCTAAGTGCTGAACCTACACAATTCAAATTTCTAGGCACGGTAACTTCACAACTCGTGTCTCTAATGTGCTCACAGTGAATTTCTAACCAACTTGCTTGTTCTTCCCAGAAATCTTATTCTGAAGGTCCAATAGTAAATGTTCATCTTCTGATTTCTTCCGCCCGCCAAGCTTTTAGAGAATAATTCCTCAAATCAAATCTTGGCTAATTTTGTTATCCCACAGGAATCCTATTGAGTTTCTTCTCTCATCTCCAATTTCTTTCGCCCAATATGATTTCTTAAATCAATTCGATTCGCCTTTAATTTTCCACTTGATTTTCTCCCCTCCTTTCTCCTCCACAGTTTCAACCGGTTTCCAATGTTGACTAAATATTAGATGAATATAAATATACATAAATTTTCACTTTTTTTGATCTCTGCCCATTTTAAGATATTATGTGTTCTAGAAAACTCATGTAAGAACTTTGTTGCAGCTTTTCAATAATAATCTGACAAGATTAAGCTGAAGTATTATAAGGTTTCAAAAAAGAAGATGATGTTATTTTCACACTTGAAACAAGTTCCTGATTTTATTCTGTATTCAATTGAACAAAAATTTCCGATAATCCGATTATTTTTGGATGATCGAAAGAAGTTGATAGATCAAATCGAAGAAAAATATACAAATTCCTTGTTTATTTTTAGGTAGTCAGATGCGCGTCAATAGGCTGATGAAGATCATCCCGAATATCTCGATAGTTTTTATTCGAATTTCAAAAAAAGATATTCTGCAATCTAGCCACCTACTTCTGAAAACAAGTAAATAAATTCTGAGGATTGAAGTAATTTATCTTATCCGGGATACAGCTTACAGATCTATGGAATTGGTCAAACAAGGAATAGTAAAAAGGAAAGGGGAATTTGTTTTCAAGTTCAATATTTACAGAGGGTTTTTGAGATCTGAATAAAACTAATGGATGAAATTCAAAATTTAGAGCAAAATACTTGATCTACCAAAAATCTCAAGTAAAAATTGATTTCAGATAGAACATGCTGAAAAAATCAACTTGAACATGTCCAACAAGAAAAACTTTTTGGAGAAATTTGAAAATAAAACTTTTTCTAAAAGAAAAAATTGAAACACGTTATGAATTTTCGTTAATTCATTTTCTCATGAAAAATGATTCCTACAGTACTCCCGGAAGCTCTCAAGAAGAAGACGCGTGTCTTATCTTATCAATCCCTCATAAAAACCGCTTGACTCATTCATGAACCGGATCTCAAGGTTCAAAGACAAGCTTTCGAACTTTCAACGATCAAATCATCAGCAAACATCATCAGTCTTCTCCTAATTTAATCTGAATTCACTTTCTTGCTGATTGACGGCTTCTCCAATTTTTCTACACTATTCTATTCATAAATAAATGTGTGTGGTCAACAAAATCCGGTCCTTCAAGGTACTACGGTCACATCTTCGTTTGCCTCTCTCTCTCATTTTTTTAGCTGCTTCGCCTTATTATGCAATATAAATGTCACGCCTCCGACCAGTCGCGAGCGACGCGCTTCGATTACAGTCTTATAATAATTTTGCTATTGAATAATGTTTCGAAGACTATTACTTTTATTATTAGTACATTTTTATGTTCCAAAACTTGTTGAATCGTCAAATATTCCATGTGGTAAATCGTTTATACCGTGTGAAAATGATGTGTTGAATCAGAATCATCATCAAGATTTGCAGAGTATTGATGAGAGTGAGTCATAGAATTTTGGGGAGGAACGTGTGAGATTCAAAAAAAAATTGAGCTAAAATAGGCATTGATCTACAACAAAAATAAGCAAATTCTCAAAGCTTCCCCTAAAATTGTGATCGTAAAAAATCTATTTTACCAGAATCTAGTCACAAAATTCTGCTTACATCATTTGTGGTGGGAAAACCTTTTTTTTCGGGTAACAAAAAACATTGCACTTATGTCCTTGAACTTTTTCAACTCTTTTTTTCACGTCATTCTCTATAATCAAAAAAAGTCCGAAAAGTTTGTGTTTGTTTATTCACATCATCATCATTTTTCGGTAATACATAATTACAAGAAAGAACAAGCGGAAATTTGGGAGGATGTTACGTATCTAAATAATTTTCTGTTGTTTTGTGCCCTGAAGGAATGAACGACGATGAAATAAAAAACAGGGGCGACCTTTTTATTTTATAATTTCTTTGTGCGCGAAATGAGGCAGAACAAAATTGTTTGAAACCCGGAAGCGGTGGTGGGTGGCTGCTGGTTTGTGATCCGAAGGGAAAGAGTGACTTTTGCAGAAAACAAAAAATGATGTGGGGATTTTTAGCAGAATGAGCCTAGAGTCTTACAGTAAATTAGAGGCGTTGCAAAATTTACATTAGAATTTTCAGCACCGTTCGTTTCTCATCGAATTCCCGATGGTTTATTATTTGTGTCGGCCAAAGAGGCCGATCGAGAAACGAATCAATTGTTCGATTTTCGTGATCCGGCATATCAATATTCTGGACATGTTCTTTCTACAAGCACTTCTCAATACACTAGAATTTATAAAGCCGATCAAAAAGCATCGGATAGAAGTCGATCCGCGTTCACTTCAATTGCTATTACGAAACGATTGACAGCGTAAGCACTTTGCTAAATGACCGAGGAAACTTTCGATTTTTTTTCTGTCTCATCTACTTTTTTTCTAGGCTTGGATTACGAGAAAGAGAACTTCGATTTGGAATTTTGCCAAGTCAAATTTCTTCAGCAATTCCAAATTGTCCAATTCCAACTGTTGATCATTGTTATGCGACAAATTACAGATCATTTTCTGGAATCTGTAATAATGTTGCACATCCAGAATGGGGATCATCTCATACGAAATTCGGAAGAATATTAAAACCAGATTATAGTGATGGAGTATCAGATCCTAGATTGAGTTTAGGAACTAATAAACCTTTGCCATCAGTTAGAGGATTATCATTGACGCTTTTCACTCCACGAGGACAAGTATGTAAAATTACTTAAGATGAGCAACTCAAATACATTTTTTCAGACACATTCTGAAGTGACAACAATGTTACCAATTTGGATGCAACTTATTTCATCAGATATGGTTAATATCGTTCCATTTCAATCAGTTACAGATGGTCGAACTTCATCAGCTCTTCCTTGTTGTAAACGGGGTTTTAATCATACAGAATGTGATGCAATCGAAGTTCCATCAGCTGATCCAGCCTATAGAACTCGTCTTAATTGTATTCCACACGCTAGATCGATTATTGCGCCAAGAGAATCGTGTAAACTTGGACCAAGAGAACAAGCTAATTTTGCAAGTTCATATTTGGATGCTAGTTTTATTTATGGTTCAACTATGGAAAAAGCTAAACTATTGAGAACTTTTAGAAATGGTTAGTTCTAATCAAAAACTATCGAAATTCTTTTTTTCATTCTTCCAGGTCAATTAAGAACAGCTGGAAGTATTGGAGAATTGCCAGCTACTGATGGAACTCTTCAATGTCAAGATGAACATTCGAGATGCGCTATTTCTGGAAGTGATCAAGTGAATTTACTTGCCAGCATTGCAACAATGCATACTGTTTTTATCAGACAACATAATCGAATTAGTGATCAGTTACATAATTTGAATAGGCATTGGACTGATGATAAATTGTATGAAGAGGCTAGGAAAATCGTATCTGCCCAGATTCAACATATCACTTTCAATGAATTTTTGCCCATATTAATTGGAAGAGATAACATGAAGTGAGAATATAGTTTTTTGGGGAACTTAAAGATGGGCATGCACCAAAAATCATGTTTTTTTCTTCAGAAACTATGGATTAATTTTACATTCCTCTGGATTCGACTCAAGTTATGAAATGAATATTCAAGGAAACACATTCAATGAATTTGCAGTAACATTCCCATATTATTTATGGTCATTATTCCCAGCTGACAAAGCTTTCACTGATTTCAATAATCCTTCGAGATTATATGAACAAGGTCCAATTCAAATAATCAAACAATTATTGAGTTCAAATATTTTGAAACCGAATTTGAGATCAAATGATGAGACGAAAAATGGATGGCTAAAGGATAATCATGAATTTGGACTTGATTTGATATCAATTGCTCTTAAACAAGGAAGAGATCATGGAATTCCCGGATTCACTCAATTCAGATCGGGATGTGGTTTGGGAAGAATTTCGAGTTTTAATGATTTGAAAGAAATATTTAATGATGATATTAGAATTGAGCAAATAAGTTCATCATATTCTCGAGTTGAAGACATTGATCTACTTGTTGGAGTTTTGGGAGAAAAACCATTGAAAGGATCGCTTGTTGGACCAACAATGGCATGTATTATTGGAAAACAGATGCAAAGGGTACTAGTTAATTAATTATCTTTTTTTAAAAAGTAATTGTTCTAGGTTCGTCGCGGTGATCGTTTCTGGTATGAAAACTATTTCGCACAATCTGGTTTTTCTGAACAACAACTCGCTGAAATTCGTAACACAAGATTGGCTGAAATAATTTGTTCCACAATTGATGTTCGAAGAATTCAGAAAAATGTTTTCTTCCGCGAAGATATTTTCGAGTAATCCCTTTGAATTATTCTTGAGGGAATTTCAAAGACTTTTTACAGTAACATGGCGATTTCATGCAACTCTTCTGTTTTTGATCGTGTCAATTTTGAAGAATGGCGAGATTCAGAAGATAAACCAGTTTTTCCGATTCGTCAAGAAACGATTGAAAAAGTCATCGAATTGGCTAAACGAAATTTGAAAGATCAAGAACGTCGTGAAATATCAAACTTGAAACACAGTGAGTTTAGTTTTTGGGAATCAGAACTTCTAAATTTGTCTAAAATAGATCAAGGAAGATTCCAACGAGGAGATCCACTGTTCGCATATTCAAATATGATGAGAGCAAAGAAAGGAGCTAAACAAGTCTCTCAAATTTCGGCTCTTCTTTTAGAAACCACAAAATTGCTTATCAAAGGGTTAGTTATTTATCAGCAAGAAACATTGCTCAGATTGAATTTTCAGAGAAGGATTAGATGAAGACGAAAAATTGCCAAAATTAGAAACTGGAACTCTTCAAAAAATCTTGCCTGATATTGATGTCACATCTTTTGTTAACAATTTCACCGCATTTTTATCGGAGGATGGACAGGTTTTTTTCTAACTTTGGATTGAGAATTAAAGACTAGAAAAATAGTAAAAATTCGGACAAACTTTTTGAAAACCACGTAGCATTTTTGAAAAAGTCGAATTTTTTGGAAAACTAATCTCCAAATATTTGCGCAACAAACTCTACAGTACTTTTTTACTACAGTAATTCTAACCAAGTTTTCGTGAAATAATTATTTTTGAAAGTTGGATTCAGGGAAAAAATCAAACAAAAATTTTCTACACAGACTAACTCAAACTTTTTTTCCAAATTCCAGTCATCTGTCGAAGAGTGTATTCCAAAAAATGCTACCATGCGATCATACAACACGTTTCCGAACATTCTCCGGTTGGTGTAATAATTTGAAATATCCGGAATATGGAAACTCGTTTGCCCCACTTCGACATGTTCTTCCACCAGTTTATGACGATGGTTTCGATGCTCCAAGAGTTCGAGCAAAATCAGGAAGACCACTTCCAAATCCAAGAAGAGTTTCTAATTTGGTTTGTGAAGATAAAGATGTTTCACATGTCAAATTCACGCATATGGTAATGCAGTTTGGACAACTTTTAGATCATGAATTGACGCATTCGCCAGTTGCAAGAGGGCCCAATGATGAGATCTTGAATTGTACAAGGTACACAGAAACTAAAAGTAATTTTCATTAAAAAAATATAATTCTAGATGTGATTCCCCCGAAAAAATCTCAGTTCATTGTATGCCAATTCGAGTTGAAGCTGATGATGGATTTTTCCCAACACATAATTCCAACGGGGAACCAAGATGTCTACCATTTGCCCGAAGCCTATTGGGACAATTAAACCTTGGATATCGAAATCAAATAAATCAGCTGACCGCATTCGTAGATGGCTCAGTGATTTATGGATCAACGAAATGTGAAGCGAATACTCTTCGACTTTTCACGAGAGGACTTTTGAATTTCACCGATTTCGGACAGGGTCAAATGATGTTGCCACAAGGAAATCAAGAAAAAGATTGTCGATCGAGTCAGGAAAAACGATCAATGCCATGTTTTGTTGCTGGAGATGAACGAAATTCGCATCAACCTGGTCTCACTGTTATGCATACGTTTATGGTTCGAGAACATAATCGAATTGCGATGAAATTATCGGCTTTGAATCCACATTGGAATGATGATACTGTTTATGAGGTTAGATGATATTGAAGGCAGAAAGTTATAAACTGTTTTTCGGATCTTCTGGTAAACTATGAGGTCTAGGCATGGAAGCTCTCAAGGCATGACTCCTTGTCAGACGGGATCGGGTCCTAGACAATTAGATTCTTCAGGCGCTGCTACTTGAGAACTAGGATATCTAACCACTACTACTTTTCCAATTCAGACATAAAAAATCTGGTTCAATTTAAAAAATTCCAAATTTATAGGAAGCTCGTCGAATCGTTGTCGCCGAACTTCAACACATAACATTTTCCGAATTCCTCCCAAAAATAATTGGCTTAGATCTTCTCAACGCTCAAAACCTAGTTCCAAAGAAAAGTGGATATTTCTCTGGCTACGATTCAACATGCGATGCGGCTATTTCTCAACCATTTGCAACAGCCGCGTTCCGTTTCGGACACACTTTAATCCGAAGAATGTTCCCAAGAATGAATTATAATTTTAAAAATATGTCGGAACCCGTGGATCTTGCACAACATTTCGGCCATGTTGGACCAATTTATGAGAAAGAAAAAGGTGGTCTCGATGCGATGTTGATGGGTTTACTTGGAACACCATCAATGGCATTTGATAGACATATTACTGATGCAGTTAGAAATCATTTGTTTATGAGAAGAGGAGAAAAAACGAGTGGAATGGATTTGATTGGTTGGTTACTTTTAGATATCTCATAGAATTTGCTTTTTTCTAGTTCTGAATATTTTGCGAGCTCGTGATCACGGAGTGCAACCTTACAATGATTTGCGAGAATTTTGTGGATTAAAACGAGCAACTAATTTCGATGATTTGAAATCTGAAATGGATCAAGAAAATATAAATATTCTTCGAAGTCTTTATGAGAGTGTTGATGATATTGATTTGTTCCCTGGATTAGTTAGTGAAAGACCACTTCGAGGAGCATTGGTAAATAAAAATGATAAGGGCTAGATCATTTCTATATATTTTTTAGCTCGGAACTACAATGTCATGCATTATTGCTGAACAATTCGGAAGACTTAAAAAATGTGATAGATTCTACTATGAAAATGATAATTCAGCTGCTAGATTCACTCCAGCACAGTTGAATGAAATCAGAAAAGTGAAATTGGCATCGATTTTCTGCGCAAATAGTAAATATTTAAAGACTATTCAACCTAATGTTTTTGATGTTACTGATGATTTAACGTAAGTTATTTTAATTCTAGAAACAGACACATTAGGAAATTATTTTAGAAACGCTCTGATTCCATGTTCTGATATAGCTCAAGTTGATCTATCTCATTGGAAGGAAAGAAGTGAGTGAAAAAAGATTTTTTATGGAAAAAAAAACATTTTTTAGGAAGCTGTGAGATGAATGGTAGAACAATTGCGTTGGGTGATTCTGTTCATATGACTCCTTGTGTTACTTGTACTTGTACAACAGAAGGAATTGCATGCAATCCAACAAGAGTGGATTCTTGCGAAAAATTGACACATAAATATTTGCTAACTGATATTGCGAAGGATACCTCATGTATGATCCAATGTACAGATTATATGAAACGGGCCTAAAGGGGTTCGTGCAATTCAGAAGGATACCGGGATTCCTGTTATAATTTATTCGTTTAACTTATTATTAATAAAATATTCATTATTGTGTGACCCGCTACATAAAAAAAATACACTTGCAATTTGAAATTTAGCGTCTTGAAGTGCCTCCGAACCCAGAAGATGATCTAGTTGAAGTTGAGGTAGAAGGTCTCGAGTAATAACTATCAGATGATGAATAACTATTATCAGAGAAAAACGATCGACGTGGTCTTGTATATCCGCTATTCAAATAACTCGAGGCTAGATATCCACCTAATGCACCCCATGTTGCTCCACTCCAAAAACCGTTACCTCCGTTATTGGCACCACTTGTTCCCTGTCCATTTCCGCCGCAACTTGATCCATCATTACCACGAAACCCATACGGTGGGGGTTTACCATAACTTGTATCATCATATGGTGGTGGAGCACTTGGATAACCACCTGGACCACCTCCTGGACTGCCTCCGTGTCCACCTGGTCCACCTGGACCGCCTGCTTGATAACCTGATTGATCTTGAGAACCAGATCGACTGAAGAACATCGAGTAAATAACATAGATGATGAAAACAACAACTATGAATGTGCCGAATTTATCCCAATTATCTCCACTTCTTCTCGATAAACCATGATTTCCACTTCCAGATGTATATTCCAACTCGTATTCAAGCTGTAAAAAAATCATGAAAATATTATGAAAAGGGAAAACAATTTACTTACTCCACAAGATCCTTTCAATACGTATGGATCATCTGGATAATCATAACCTTCACATGAAACTGAAATAGCTCCGAATTCCATATCATGTGGCAAATCAGCATCACATTTCCATTGAACATCTTGACCGTCAAATCCTTGATTAGTACATTGAACTGTAGATGGTTGATATTGACCTTTTGCTGAACCTCCGACACATTTTATTTGTTGTTGTGGAGATGCACGACGTCCTGTTGTCATTCTTCCCTTGTAAAGAGTTATTGCACTCACATCGCGTAGTTTCACTTTATCGGATGCGGCTGGAAAAGTAATATAATTATCATAATTATTAAAAACACAAAAATGATTTACCTGAGGATTCTAATATAAGAACTCCAATGATTAACATAAACCATATAATCGCCCCAATTGAAAGACGAGAAATCATATTTCTGGAAAGAAAAAATGTTGACAATGAACGTAGGTTAAAATAAAAGATGCAATTTTTTTAGAACACGTCGACTAGAGAAAAATTTCGCAATGTTTTGCACACAAGACAAAAAGAAAAAGGAGAAACGGAGAACAAATGTTTTCTTTTGGGAGGGGAGAAAGCGCGCTCTAACGAACATGGAGGGAATTTGAATTTATTTGTTTTTGTTTCTTTCGGAACTTGATCACTCGAGCGCTTGAGAGAAAGAACACTTAACATTATTTCTCGCTTCTGAAAAAGAAAACAAATCTGTACATCATTTGTTACAGTACCCGGGATACTGTACCCCTAAGAATCCCAGATATATAAATAAAACATTGGACTTTTTGTCATAGTTTTTACTTTTCATGTCTTTTTAGAACAAATAGTCTTGAAATTCTCTGATCAAGAAGGAATTTCATTTCTAGCAATTTTCACGTGACACACGTGATAATAAAATCTCTCAGCGATCTCAGAAATATAAAAGAAGAGCATAAATAGAAGAATCCCTTTTCACTCACATCTAACATTCCTACCTTGTTCTGTGGCGGCTGGCTATTCGCTGTTGATCAATGTGCAACTCGTGCCAGGAAGCGGGGCCAGCAAGAAAAGTAAGAAATTTATTCCTGTGTGGTATGAGTAAGTGATATAAATTTCATTAAAGTTTTGGTTTATTGTGACAAATATCCGATGTTATTTTAAAATAATATCTAAATATCAAAACTGTTCCGCAAATTTATCAATCATTGGTTGAGTTTCTCCTATTTCTTCGTCTTCTTCTTCATTTCCTGATTCTCCGTTTTCTTCTTCGCCTTCTTCTTCTTCATTGTCATTCAAAGTATCTTCAAGTAAATTGTCATCTTCCTCTTCCTCATTTACAGTTTCTTCTAGAATACTCGTTTCATTTTCATTATTTTCTGTGGCCGCTTTTCGCTTTTTTGGTTCATGTTTCGGCCAGCCGTCAAGTGCATCTTCGAGAAAAGCGAAAGTCCACATTTTTTGTATGGATTTCTCTGTAAAAAATAAGTTTCATAATCGATGAACTAAGAAATGTAAGAAATAAAATTACTTACCAATATCTTTCAATTGTACAGTCTTTCGTTTTTCTAATATAGCATTTGTATTTGAAGCTTTCCCTAACTCGATAATGAATAATTCTGCAGCTTTTGTCATCAAACGAATTGCTTCACTATTAATCATTTCAACATCAGGATCAAGTCTGCAAATTTTCTTAACTCGTCCAAGTGGTAGTTGTGAATGAAGAAGTTCGTTTACATGCTCCTCTAGTTTGGTGACCTCTTCATTTGTCATCGGAATAATAGGCTCATTCTTTTTGTTTTGCTTTCGTCGGAGTGCCATTTTTTCACTGAAAACAAAACAGAACTCGAGTTTGCAACAAAAAAAAAGTTTTTTTCGCGAAAAAAGCTCACGCTTTCAAATAATAATTTTCCCGCGAAAGTTTGTGTGTCAAACGCGCTCTACCGAACAATTATTTTTCTTTTTTTTTCTTTTTCAAGTTTGTGCAACCTAAAATCTAAGTGAAAACAGTTTTTAATCTTCAGATGGCAACCGATGCGCTTTACTACGAAGTTGCAGAAATCATACGCAGCGTTTTGGCTAAGGAGAGAAGTGTGAGAACGGCAGTGTATGGAAGTTCATATAAAGTTAGTTTATTTTTCGATATTGTCTCAAATATTTGCGCGCGGTATTTTTCTCTTCTGTATCTTATTTTTTGTCATGTTCTACTGTTAATTTGGATTTCAAAAATTTATAAAACTCTTCAGGTAATTTTTTTTGTGAAAAATAATAATGAAAGACGAACCAATTGCTGGGTGTGCAGAAGAAAATCGAGAAGAAAAAACCGAAATGTAATCCATTTGGAACACGATTTCTTACTGATGAAACAAAAGTATTCGAACATAATGCTTGGGATGATGTTGAATGGAGTGAAGAACAACAAAATGAAGCTGAACAAATTGTAGAAAAACAGAAAAGTATGAAAGTAGTCGAAGAAAAAGCTGTTGAATTGCTGAAAAATCCGGCAGATCAATGGGATGCATTCTATGCGCAAAATGAGAATAGGTTTTTTAAAGATAGGAATTGGTTATTAAAAGAGTTTCCGGAATTGAGTGTCAACGATGAAAGAAATATCGAGGTTTGTATGATTTCCCAGATCGTATTTGGAAAATTGTATTTTCATTATAGAAATCCACTGTTTCAATACTTGAAGTTGGCTGTGGTGTTGGTAATACAACTCTTCCATTGATGCAAATGAACAACAGTGAAAGAATATTCCTACATAGTTGTGATTATTCTGCAAATGCTGTGAATGTTTTGAAAAACGAAGAAAAATACAATCCGGAAATTATGAATGCATTTGTTTGGGATATAACAAAACCAGCACCAGAAAATGCACCAAAAAAAGAAAGTCTCGATTATATTGTTTGCATTTATGTTCTTTCTGCAATACATCCAGATAACATTCGAAATGCTATCAAAAATCTCTATGATTTGCTAAAGCCTGGTGGAATGTTGTTGTTGAAAGATTATGGAAGATATGATTTAACTCAATTGAGATTCAAAAAAGATCGAATGATCGATGAAAACTTGTATTGTCGAGGTGATGGAACTCTGGTTTATTTTTTCACTATGGAAGAACTTGAAAATTTGTTTGGTGAATTAAAAATGGAAAAAAAGGTTATGCATGTTGATCGAAGATTAATTGTGAATCGAGCAAAACAAGTGAAAATGTATCGACAATGGATTCAAGCAAAGTTTCTGAAACCATCTGATTAATTTTCATTCTGTTCAATTGTATCTTGTTTTTGTTATATTTCTTTTTCTTTTGTTGTTAACATAAATCGCGCGCGAAAAACCTTTTTGTAATTGTAGATGAAAATTGAAAAAAAAAACTATTTTTTAGAATAAGAAGGCTTTACTTCGGTTGTCTGTCGAATCATTGAAATTCCGACCAGTTTTTGATGCGATTCTAGAAGATAAAGAAGTTCGGAAGGCAAAAAATGATCCCGCAATTCAAGGAAGTATTGATCTACTTTATGTTTTGATGTATGAATCTCTAGTTGGAAGTGGATTGAATCGCTGCTCGCCAGAATTGAAAAATGTTATTACAAGAAAAATTGGACTTATGAAGGAAATTGTGAGTTCGAGAATGTTCTTGATAGAATTATGTACTTATTTATAAATATTATTTTTCAGGAATCGAAATTGGCTGAAGATGGGCGAGGTATAAAATCGATAAAAGAATCCGAAGAGAATCAGGCGAAAATAGTGATTCCTAGATATGCTCGAATCAACACATTGAAATGGACATATGAGGAAGCTATCAAAACATTGGAAAGTGAAGAATGGAAAATAAAACAATTCAGCAGTTTGGATAAATATGCTGCAGAAATCGAGAAAATGGGCGAGGATGAGATTTTTATTGATCCACATGTGGAAAATTTGCTTATTTTTCCACCAAATATCGAGAATTTTCACGAATATTGGATGGTTGAGCAGAGATTTGTTATTCTACAAGATAAGGTGGGTTAATTTTCAAAGTTCACACGGAGTATCTCAAATTTTGATTATAGGCCTCATGTTTGCCAGCTTTTCTGCTAAATCCTCGTCCTGGTTCACATGTTTTTGATAGTTGTGCAGCTCCTGGAATGAAAACAAGTCATGCAGCAGCAATTATGGAAAATAAAGGGTATATCCATATCGTTACTTCAGTTTATGTATTCAATAAATCTCGATTTCCAGAAAAATTTGGGCGATGGATCGTGCAAATGATCGAGTTGCAACGATGAAATCATTATTGGATGCATCTGGCGTCGAAATCGCCAGTGCATTTTGTGGCGATTTTTTGAAGACCGATGTGAATGATAAGAAATTCGCAAAAGTCAAATTTGCAATCGTTGATCCGCCTTGTTCCGGTTCTGGAATTGTCAAAAGAATGGATGAGATCACCGGTGGAAATGCGCAGAAAGAGAGACTTGAGAAGTTGAAAAATCTTCAGGCTATGATTCTGAAACATGCTTTGAAATTTCCGAATTTGAAACGAGCTGTTTATTCGACTTGTTCGATTCATGAAGAAGAAAATGAGCAAGTGAGTGTTTTGTTGATATTGCGAGAATAGTTTTATTAAAAAGCAACATTTCGACATATCTTAGGTAGTCGGTTAAGTTCTGAAATCCCATATCTCGGCACTAATAATTTCCGCGTTCTTCTTTCCAAATCCCATTGTCGCATCATTCTTCGATAACGAAGTCCCATAAAATTCTCATATCCCGCCACTGAAAAAACATATTTTTTTAAAACATTTATTTAAAAAAGTTATTATTACGGTCATCAGCGAAAAACGAAACAGAAAGCAGCAAAATTGCATACAATAAAATCCTTTTCGGTTCTGTCATAACCAAGCAATGAAAAAAATGAAATGATGGTTTTGTGAAAGGCGACGTTGAGGTCACGCAAAAATTAATTTTCAAACCGTTTGTAATTCAAAAAAGTCCATAAGACATTTATTCCAATAATCCTAGGATGCTCAAAAATTCTAATTTTGGAAAACAAAAATATGAAAATCCAATTTTTAAATTTTCAAAAGAGATTTTTTGAATTCACATTTCGCGACTTTGTTCAGAAGAGATATTCTAAATACCAAATACCAAAATCTTTATTTCTTGATAAATTTTCAATTTCCCTCATTTTCCAGGTCGTTGACGAGGTTCTTCTTGATACATATGTTCGTCAAAATTATAAACTTAAAAAAGGAGTTCTTCCCGAATGGACACATCGAGGTTTATCCACATATGAAATCGGAGAACATTGTCTGCGCGCTGATCCCAAAGTTACTCTTACAAATGGCTTTTTCGTTGCAGTTTTTGAGCGAATCAAAAATGATGGAGAGAGTGAAGAGTAAGTCTTGGGTTGTTATTGTTTGTTGTTTTTATTGTTTTTGTTGAAACATTTATTGATTTGTTACAAAATACACATTTTATCTAATGAAAATATCACAAATATCGGAGAATCTCTTGAACTTTTCTACCAGAATTTTTTTTGGAGTTTGGAAATTTTAAAAATTAAATAAGTAACAATTTTGATATGAAGGGGTATTAGATGATGAGATTCCAGTCGAAATCATCATCTGAATCATCTTTTGGTGGAATCGGAACTATTCCGATGTATGAAGTCGAACCGGATGATTCAACTGAAACACTTCGAGAATTCATCGAACTATGTTCGGAATATGTATTAGTTGACATGTATTCTGAAAACAATGATTATATTCCAAATACATAATTTGAAAATCAAACCTTTGAATTTATCCGTATCGACATTATTCATTTCTTGTTCATCGTTATAATCCAAACCTGCAGTTTCTAAGCTTATTTTCAACCAGTCAATTTGTGCCGCCTGTTTTCCTTTGTCATTTTGAGGATTTTTCTCGAAAATTTGATCGTAAACCGCGCGAAATGAACCATTCAAATCACACGATTCAAACAAATTCATCTCATGGATCTCTTTTTCCTAGAAAAAAAAAAACAATTTTTATATTTATATCTAAATATTTCTAGCGAAACTAACGGATAGATGTTGATCAGAAGGTTCTTTCGGTTGTTTCTTGCTCAAAAACATTTTCTCAATCGCTGGATTTATTCTCGCCGGTGCTCCTCCTAGAATTCGAGGTTTCTTCTGTGGCGGTTGAACGCAGATCCAATAACAAGCTTTGTCTCCATCCATTTTATCGAGTCGTTTGAATTGTCGATTTAATGAGAGATTGTGTCGAATTGAGTTCTGAAAGAATTTCGAGAATGTCAAATCGCCCTATAAAGCCTTACCCGCCAACTTGGATTCCGATTTTCTCGATAGAATTGAAAGTTTTCAGCAATATAACTGTATATTCCGGAAAGTGTACATCTTTTTGAAGATGTTCCATCGATTGCGAATTTGATCAATTCCGAATAGGAAAATGGAGGTTTTTCTTCGCCATTTAGCCAAGTTGTACTTTTGTTCTTGTATTTTGCGGATTTTGAGGTGGAAGAAGAAGAGGAGAACTGAAAAATAGATGATAAGCTTGTGTGTCAAGTAGCTGAGCCTAGAGAACCTAAGACCCGCATTCGGAGATTCGTTACGACAAGGAGAAACGCCTTGAGAGGTTCTATGCAAAGTAGCCCCGCCTAGAAAGTTCAATTTTCAATGATCAGCGCCTAGATGGTCCAGGTTACAAGTAGCCGTGTCTTGTTGTGATTTTCAAAAAATCAACAAACCTCTTGATTTTTCGCAGTTTCTTCATTCATTCCACCTTTTGCGATCAACCAATTCAATTGACACAAACTTGAATTCAATTCACCCATGTTTCTTTTCTGAAAAAAATTGGATGGAAGATTTTTGAAGCGAAAAACGAATATGAAAAATGAATCGATGTAGGGCAGCTGCAAAAAGGTTGTCAAGGAGAAGCAGAGAAATTGAGGGAGCAAGAAAGAAAACGGATATGTTTTGAGACTTGGAAGAAATTTAAGTTGGAAATCACTCATTTTTTTTCTGGAATAAAAGCGGAATATTTGTTTCAGTTGGCTTAGAAAAGGATTTTCAAAAGATTATAATTTATAATCTTGTTAGATATTTAGTAGCTATTTAAATTTTATATTAGAAATATTCCAAATTGTTCAACAACAACAAAAAAAACTAAGAATGAAGAAGCCCAACAAACTTGGCTTCTTTTAAAGAATTCTTAAAAGACGTCATTCCGAAAATAAAAATTAGTTACCCAAAAATAGCAATTGACACATGCGTAAGTAGATAGATTGTCAGAAAATCAAACAACATTGTCATTATATTCATTATAATCACCTTGGAAACGCGTTTGACAGAAGTTTTCTGATGGGAAATTGAAGCTAGATTATAGTAGTTGGACAAGGCAAAATTTGAGTCGGAGTTGATTTTGAGAAGAGAATTAAAAAATTCCTGAATCTGTATTTCATTCTGAATCTGTATTTCAGAATACATACAAAATTTATTGATAACCAGATTATTAATAAAAAATTTATTCCGAATTCTGCTCTTCCTCAATTGGTTCCGATACAATTGTTGATATTGGTTTCTGAGTTTTCAACCAATCATCAATCAATACTTCAGTATGTTCCCAAAGCGCATCTTGAAGTGCAATATCTCTCGCCACATCTGCATCCAATGATTTCTCATCATCCCAACAAGATTCCCAGAATTTTCCAGATAATTCAGCAACATCTGGATGAGTTGCACAATAGACACTTGTTGCAGCTCCTTGTGCTAATGATTTTGTGAAAGGTTTTGAAATGATATTGAAGAATTTGCCCAAAACACCGTATCCTCTTGCGATATCAGTTCCGATCATTGTTCCTGGATGAACTGCATAAGTGCTGATTCCGTTGGCGACGAATTCATCGCGATGAAGTTTGAAAGCGGTTAAAACATTGCACATTTTTGAATATGCATAAAGTCGATAATGAAATTCGGAAGAATCCAGAGGACATAACCTTTTTCACTTTTTCACTTGTACTCAAATTCGATTTTATCTGGAGAAAAAATGATGTTTTTTGGGGGGGGGGGTTTTATTTTTTTTTTTTGATTGGATTACCCCAGTGTGAGAACTTGAAAGCGATGAAACAAATACGATTCTTGAAGGTGATGATTGTCTGAGAGCTGGCAATAATTCACGGCAAAGCTGTAAATTTTCTAATTGATAAAAAAACAAACTTGTCGGAGTTACAGTAACCTAAACTGCAAGGTTTACTGTAGCCATATTTGGTCTCAAAAAACTGCAATTTTTTTCTTACCAGAAAATGAGCAACATGATTGATTCCAAAATGCGCCTCAAAATTGTCAAATGTCATTTTTGTAGTTGGCCCAAAAACTCCAGCATTCAAAATCAAACCGTGCAATGGCCTAAAAATAGTTTTTTTTTTCTGTTGAAAACATTCCTCTTTTTTTACCAATGTTTATTGAGATATTCATCTGCTGCCGCTTTCACAGATTGCAAAGAATTCAAATCACAACTGATGAAATCTATCTTCGCATCTGGTTTTTCTTCGAGAATTTTCTTTTTCAAATTTTCTGACATCACGATATTTCGATTGAACATAATAACATGAGCTCCTTTGAGCGCTAGTGCTCGAGCTGTTTCAATTCCAATTCCTGAAGTTGTTCCAGTTATTGCAAATGTTTTTCCATCAAGTTCAATGTCTCGAAGAGTCTGCAATTAAAATTTGTACAGTAATTACAGATACTTTATAGATACATACATCTAACGCAGAAGATCTTGAATGAAATTCTCGTGGTCTTCCAGAAGAATCGCCTCGAGCAGCAGCCAATTCATCATCCATTATTTGAAATCTACAAAAATTATAAAATTATCCACCATAGATCATGAAAAAATGAATAACTGGAAAACCTTCGATGTGGATTTGTAACTGAAACCGCAGTTAATCCATCACTTGCAATATTAGTAACTATAAAAAGATCCACGACGTGGTTTCTCAAAGAAATCAGCGACCGATGCACCGATTATTTCGGGAGAAGTCATTTGAAATGTGAAATGTTTTTTTTGTTTGGGAAAAATTGGAAATGAGGCAACTAATGTTCTTTTTTTTTGTTTTGATCAAAATCTCATCAATTTTCCAGTAATTTCAATTTTAAAAATAGAAACAAAAAAGAAAAACGCCATTTTGAAGGTCAGGAAAAATCAAGTTTTTTTTTTCGGGAAATGAGTTTTTTATTTGCTCACGTGAGAAAAAATAAATAACGACAGGAAACGACAAAAATTTTGGAAATTAATATTATTCAAAAAAAATTTTCATTGAAAATTATTGATTTTTAAATTTTGGTTCAAAACTTTATTTAACAAAAATATTGTAAAACTAGCTAGTATAAAAATACGATGAATCATGAAAAATAAATAAAATTTATTAAAAATTATTGATTTTTTTCAAAACTCGAAGAGGGATCGTAGAAAAATTCAGATCATTTCGATAAAATATGGAAGTTCAGTGAAATAATGAAAAAAAAATAAATTCAAACCTCCCGCGAACACAGCAGTCCGTACGTGAGCGGAGTCACGTTGTTTTCTTTTTTTCGCGAAAAATTAATGTGGAAAACGACAATTTGCTTGAAATACAAAAATTAGGGAAAACCGCTCACAGGCATAAATTCTTGACTCTTTTAATTCAGAAATGCCTGTCGCAAAAAAAACAAATTCTCGCGTGAATCTGGAGGCGGGATTTATTTGGCAAGGTGCGGCACGTTTTTTTTCAATGAATAATTATTTCTGATTTTTTAAATTTCGAAATTTAGTGAAGAAAAAAAGATGAAAACGAAAAAATTATTTTAAAAACGTGAAACGTGTAATCGTGGCAGGGGCGGAGCCGACAGGAAAAAAAGTCAGAAATTTATGCCTGTGCCGCTTGTAAAATTTTGGTTTAAAATCTTGACAAAAAATGTGAAATTCTTTGATTTTTTCAAAGTTCAGAGGTTATGTTTGATTAGAATAAATTATTTGTAAATGAAATGAAAAAAGGCCAAAATAATAAGTTATCAGTTTCCCCAAAAACCTCCCAAAAAGATAAAAACTATTGTAAATAAAAAAATGTAATGTCGTTTTCCTTCACATTTTATAAGGAAAAAAACGAATATCTGATGATCTTGCAAGATATTTTTCTTGTGGTATAAGTAGAGAAAAAGGAAAATCCATAAAGAAGTGTCGTCCTTGAAAAGGCTGCAAAAGTGAAAATAATTTATTTTTAAATACAATTAACGAGAAAAAAGAACCATTCACATGAGATATTCATATATATTGTACAGAAGTGTTGATTTTTTTGGGGGAATTTTTTTGGGGATGAGCTTGGCGCCAGCGCCTTTTTTTTGAAAATTTTAAAATTCATGCAATAAATAAATAAATGTTAATCCATATCTTGTACTGTATTTTGATGCCATCTCGCATATTTTGCCCATTCCAGTTTTCCACGTTTGTTCTTTTCGTGGTCCGTTTTTCTGATTTTCTTTTTTCGATGAACTTCTGGTGGAACATGTTTCAATGAGGTATCGCCTGCAAAAAAAATCATTGATTTTTGGATTTTCGATCTTTCATAGTAAATATTCCTGGTAAATATGAGAATCTTTGATTGAAAACGGAAAAATTTGAAAGAAAATAGAATCTTAACTATTTTTTATTGAAAAAAAAACAAATTCAAACAAAAATTCTAGTAACAAACTACGGTTTAACCATAGAAATAATTGTTGAGTTTTCGAATTATCTCTGAAAATTGTAAAGTTTACAGAATAACATAACCCCAAAATTTTTTTGAAATGTTCAATTTTCACAGAAAAAAACTCACCACTTCTCTGGAGATCTTGTAACTTGGAGATACGTTTTGTCAAAAAATCAGCCTCATTAACTGTTTCAATTAAGTTGCTATAATCCTCTTTTTGATAGAAATTGTTGGCTTCTAGCCAAGAGCTCTTCTCTTTCATTTCGATCTGACACAATTTCCGATGCTCGTCGTTTTCCAATTGAAACTTCTCGAACGAATTCGAAGAACTTTTGTATTTTTTCGTGCTCTAATATAGCATTTCTAGAAAAGAAAATAATTTTTTCACAATCAGAACATACAAAAAAAACCAACCTTTTTGCTTTCCGGATTCCCAAAACTCTAATATAATTTTGAACTCGCGCAAATTTAATATCATTTTCAATATCAAGCCATTGATCTTTTTCAGCTGGTGCAGGTGTAATTGTCAATCTACTAATTAATTGTTCAGCTTCATTAAACCATTCATGTTCAAATTCTTCTCGATCAACATTATATCCAAGCATACTCAAATCCTTTTCAATTGGCCGACGACATTTTTGCTTTCCTGTTGAATTATTTTCGAGTGAAAGAGTTGGAAAAGCGTTTCGAAGTTCTTTAACTTCATCGACTGGACATATTGTGCTCAAAGCTGCCAGTTCCTGGAAAATAAAACTAATTAATTATTATTTTTTTAATTCGAAAACTACCTTTTCACTCTTTTTTGTATCTCTATTCATCTTATGCTTGTAGGCATTAAGTCTTCTAAACTTTTTAGTGTTCCAGAAAGATATTTTATTCTTCTTTCTTTTTCTTCCAGTTGAACTGCATCCATTTGTTTTTGGCGTTGAAACTGGTGTTTTCTCATCTCCATCACTTTCTTCAGCTGCTGTTTCATAATTATCATAAAAATCTTCTTCATCATCATCTGCTTTCTGAAAATTAAAAAAATTGTTTTATTTTCAACAGAAAATTATTTAAATTTACCTTATTAGTTTCTGAATCGCTGTCTGCTTCGATTTTCGGTTTTTTGACTTTTATTTCGGGTTCTTCTGATGGATCACAATCATCACTAACAATTTCAGTTTCAAATTGACTTGCTTGAACATTTGGATTTTCCCAGAAAATTTCGATTTTACCGTCGAGACATTTATCAACATAGGATTCAAGTATTGATTGAACTTTTGACATAATACGAGGATCATCTTTATCAATATGTTGATTTTTGTCGACAAGTGCATCTCGAATCATTAGAAGGCGTTCAACAGATTCCGAAGAGTTACTAGATTTTAAAACATCTTTCAATTGACCTTTTCGTTTCATTTCATATTTGATATGATCCCAATCTGAATTTTTGATAGCAAATTGACCCATCCAACCTCGAATAAAAACTTTGTCAAAATATTCTTTTGCGTATTTTGCTTTTCTTGCATCTTCACCAAGACTTCTCACAATTTCACCCCAATTTCCCATTTTGAATTGATGAACTGATTTGAGCAAACGTGATTCTTCCATGAATCCCCATTCTCCGCATGCGGCATTTGATTTTTCGGGATCAATTATTTCATAATTGTGACCTCGTTTATGTTTATCACTTTCGGCCGCGAATTGGAAGCATAATACGCAAATTGAAACAGGACATTCGGCACATTTCATATGAAGAATGTTGGAGATTTCTAGGGTACAATTGAAGCAATTTATCGGCACGTCATCATCCTCCATTCTAAAAATATTTAAATGAATATTTATGTTTAAGAAAAAAAAATTTTGAAAAAGAGAAAATTAATAAATCGAGAATGAAACGTGTAACAGAAATTAGAAAAATCAAACGCAAAAAATTATTTCGAATTTTTTGAAGTTTGAAAAAAGACTAATCGAGCTTTCAAATTTCTCCTGTCGAGCTCGCCAGAAAAAATAAAATAAAAAAACGCGCTAATCGGGGGTCATGCCCAAAAGACTGACGCATTTCTTTTTTGTTGACTTTGTACGACACTCCGGTTTTGCCTGTTGTTTAGTGGGCATTTTCAAACGATTATTTTATTTTTTCTGCAGCTGCGGAAAAGAAGTTTTCGAAAACAGAGAAATCGCAAATATGGTGGTAAGTTTCATTGAAAATATGTTCTTCAATAGTTCATCCTTGATTTTACAGCTCCCTCTTTCATTATTGCGAACTGCACAAAATCATCCAATGTTGGTGGAATTGAAAAATGGAGAAACTTATAACGGACATCTTCAAGCTTGTGATTCGTGGATGAATATTCATTTACGGGATGTGTATTTCACATCAAAGGTATTATATTTTTATTTTATCCGAAGTTGAATTCGAAACTAAATGATTGATTTTAACAGGACGGTGACAAATTCTTTAAAATGGCAGAAGTTTACATCCGTGGTTCCACAATCAAATATCTGAGGATTCCAGAATCAGTCGTCGATTTAGTGAAAACAGAAGTCAACGAAGTTCGCCGTCAACAACGCGATCAACAACGCGGAGGACGTGGCGGTGGAAGAGGCGGCGGTGGCGGAAGAGGTGGAAATCGAGGAGGTAACCGGGGAGGACGTGGGGGATACAATAATCACCAAAAGTAAAACATTGATGTATTTTGTTTTATTATATTTATTTTTTCATAAAATAATTTCTAACTAAAATTGACCTCAAACACGTATTTCTAATATAATATCGAGAGGCTACAGTGTAGTCGACTACACACCTTATCAAACATTTCTTATTCTTCTTTTTGTCTTCTTAACTTTTTTGTTGTATTGATTTTATTTACACTTTGGTATTTTTTGATGTCTGGACCACCACCTTTGCCACCAAGACCTTTTGAGGTATGTTTTTTTAAATAAATTGTTGATTATTTATCAACTTTCTCAATCAATTTGAATTCAACTGTACGATTACAACACGTCAGATTCACCGTTTCATTGGTGCATCGACCGGGAATTCGTTTCCCGGTCGATGCACCAATGAAACGGTGATAGTGGACGTGGATAAATACAATAGTTTATTTCTACATAATACAATAAATAAGAAGGAACAAAATAATCTAATATTGAAGCTCTTTTATAGCGAGCATTGTGGGCGTTGTGTCAATAACAGTTTATATTAAAGTGTTATTGAATCTGATGTGTTGTAATAGTACAGTTGGATTCAAATTGATTGAGAAAGTTGATAAATTATCAACATAAATATAGGCAAAAAAAATTATTGATTTTTCAGGGAACATCAACTCAAAATCCTCTGATGTCATCTGGCTATGGAATGGGCGGTCCATTTGGCGGAAGTTATGGATATGGGGGAATGGGTGGCGGCTTATATGGCGCTGGAATGTATGGTGCGGGAGGTTATGGGGGATACGGAGGGGGATATGGTGGATATGGCGGGATGCATTATGGCGGGCAGAATGAGAGTAATTTCGCAAGACTTGCTGAAGGTAATTTTTGACTTTAATTTTCTTTAAATAAATAGTTTTTTGATTATCAGAGCAATCAAGAGGCGCGTTCCAATCAATTGAATCTGTAGTAAATGCAGTTTCATCAGTTGCAAACATGTTAAATTCAACACATAATGCTGTTTATAGCTCATTTCGAGCTGTTATTGGTGTTGTTGAACAATTTGGAAGATTGAAAACACAGGTATGACGTTCTATTATAAATTTCCTCTTAAATTAGCATATTTTAGCTATCATCTGTGGTTATATCATTTGCATTATTCCGCTGGATTTATAAATTATGGAGATCGATTCTTGTATTTCTTCGCCTCAAACCGGCCAATTATGCGAGCAGCGCTGAATTAGCTTGGGGAGAAGCTTCGCAACCTTATGGTAATTACTTTTATTCTATTAAAAACTTTTACACATCATTTTTAGCCACTGATATTCTTGGAACTTCCAAATCCACAACAGTAAACTGGCCTGCTGCTCTATTTTGGGTTGTTGCAATCGGTGGACCTTGGCTCATTTATAAATGTGTTGCACAAATGGTGAACGCGGCGGAAGAAAAGAGGAAATGGGCGACGGGAACAGCGGCTCATTATACTGCTCAAGCCATGTTTGATTTCCAAGCGTCCAGTGAGCAGGAATTGAGTTTTATGAATGGTGAAACACTTCGAGTCGCACCGAAAGAAGAACAACCGAGAGTTAGAGGATGGTTATTAGCAAGGTAAATTTGACAGGGGTTGTTAAGTATCATGAAAATTAGTTTCTGAGCTCATATTCAAGAAAATGAGTCCCGATAATTTGATAGGTCTAAAATGGTCCTAGCTACAAAAAATTTAAATACAAAACTCGAACCTGGGCACAGCTTAACAGCCAATTTTCAAGGCTCATTTTTCAAAAATCCAAATTTCAGTTCATCGGATGGAACTAGAATTGGACTTGTGCCAATAAACTATGTTAAAATAGTTGGAAAACAATCACAATCTCCTCCACTTCAGCAAACTGATAATCTGGTTGCATTTCCAGATATAAATGCCAATAATCTCAAGTAAATTGTTGTATTTTGAAAATTATTACGGGTGAAATTAAAAATGAAACATTTTTTATTTATTTCACAAAATTCCTAAAACAAGAGCAAATTGATTGCCCAAAAATTATCCCGTGAGTTCGCTTGAATACAATAAAAGAAGAATACAATTAAAAATCGCGCCATTGATTAAGATCCATCGATGGAATTTGATTGCATGGAACCATGTGACCAACGCGGAAAGCTTCACGTGGAATTGTCTGAAATTCAGATATTTTTTTTTTGAAAAACTTTTAAAGTTTACCGTGATTGTATTTGTGTTATCACAAATAATTCGACTCAAAGAACTCTTTCGAATTTCGACCAGTTGTCGTCGAGAAAAGACTCCTTGATTCTCATAATAGAAACGATCGCCATCACGAGTTCGTTTGAATTGTGGGCCGATTATACAGGCAACAGTTGGACCGACAAGTCCACGAATAATTGGATCTTCGAGAAGGGCGCCAACCCAAAGATCGACTTTATCCACAGATCCGTAGATTTCTCGAAGTTTGTTGCGAGTGCCGGTGTTTAAAATCTCGCGGGAGAACTGAAAAAAAGTTTTTTTTTCCAAAATCCTCTATTTCTCAAACTTACATGTTCAAAATTGTTCGCCGAACCCATTCCACACAATTCTCTGTATTTCACATATGCTGGATGTCCGTGATCACGACCTCTTTGAATATTAATCGATGAAAGATCAGTTGATCCAAACATATTTTCAGTTACTGTAGTTGTGATTCTTTGTGGTCTCTTGACATTTTGTGAAAACATTCCACGAATCAATGGATCGACTCCTCCTTCGTTAACAAGAACATCAGAATGAAGAGTTCCCTTTTGGAATGGTAAAGCGCCAAATGTGATATTTCGGAATGATGTATCTAAACGTTGATAGAATTCTTGAATCATACCATGTCCGAAACGGAATGCAGCAGAAGTAAACTCGTTTGCAACAGTTGCATCGACTTCTCGATCATAACCACGGTAATCTCCAACGACTGAAGCAAACGATGCTCCAAGAACTTTTGGAAGCCATTCACGATAAACTATTGCTTGAACTTGAGCACCGACTACTTTACGAGCTTCTTGATATAATCTTTCGCCATCCCAATGAGGATTCATTCTTCGGAATGCGTTCACCAATCTAGAAAATGTTTCAGAAAGTTAGATTCGTATCAAAATTTGTTTGACAGTACCTGTTATGTTCCTTTGTGAAAATAGTATGCCACGCGGATAACCCGACAAATAAGTTGACTCTACTGTCACCAGCTGTGAAAATAACCGAACATTGTCGACGATTTCGGCATTTTGATTGATCAAATGGTAGGAAAGAGTTTCCATTGAATGATGGGAGTTTCAGGAATCCAGTGTTGCCATCTCGGAATTTTTTCGAGTCGTGAATAGATGATCCATAAATTGGAGAAGCATCGATATAACCAGTGTTCTCGTTCAATTGTTGACGTGGTTTCAAGTTTCCGGATCCGCAAATTGGAGAAGAACGCGATACACGAATACATTGAGCTTGACGGAAGCTGAAATTTTAAAACAAAAATTAGAATTGAAATATTTTCAAGTTGACATACTTTGCGTTTGCATCATCAAAAGTGACTGGAACCGCCATACATCTCGATGTAATATTTTGACAAACGTTGCATTTGGCAGATGGAACAAGTGTGGTTTTAGCCATATCGTGAGAGATAAATTGTCCGAATTGCATGATTAATGCGTTGTAATCCGGAGATTCGACTGATGCGTGAGAACTTGTGAGTTTTCGAGTGATCTCTCTTGGCGATGGTCGTTTATCGGGGAAAAGTGATCCAACTGGTTCACTCAAATCATTATCATAAACAGTTGGCAAAAGTCGAGTGTATGGGCGATAAGAAGCGCCGCGAAGAGGATCACGGATATTGTTGCAACTACCATCGAGAGTTCGGTAAAGTGCGTTGTAACACATGTTTGATTCGCAATCACTTTCATCAAGACGAGGAGTACATGCGTTAGCACTGTTTGATCGAATAACTTGATCAAGATCTACAGTTTGACGGCGGGATGTGTCTGAAATTTGTAGTGAAAATAGTTGTTCTTATGTGGAAGCCTCAACCTTCAACTGAAACCACTAATCGCTCTCTCCACATATCTTCAGCAGCCACAACAGGAGCATTGATAATATCTCGACATCTCTGATTTTGTGCCGTATTGAAAAATGGTCGAGTCGTTGGTGCAGGTCTGTATCAATGTTAAAATAGATTAGTGAACCTAGTACCCCCTAGAATTAAATGAATTCAAAACTGTTAAAAATGGTACGTTGTAAATGGTGTTGTTGTTGGAGGTGGTGGCGGTTGAGTTCGTCGAGTTGTTGTGAAGAAAATTGGGGGCAATGGCCGACGAGTGACTGGAGGTGGTTGTGGTCGAACACGTGGACGGAAAACATTTGGGCGACGAGTAACTGGAGGTCGCCTGGAATGTGGAAATAGAAAATTGAAACTTGTTAGAATGGCACACGGTGAAAATATCGAAAAACTCAAATAAACACAGAATGCTGTGAAGTGAACATAAAAGTGTAGGACTTACTGCACAAAGCTAGGCGGTTGACCAGTTGTATCATCAGAAAATGATGGAATAAATTGGAATGGTACAGATGTGATTGTGGTTGTAGTTGGAGCTTGTGTAGTTGTAGTTGTAGAAGTTGTTGGTGGAAGCGTTGAGGTCGTAGTTGAAGGTTCAGTGGATGTTGTCGTCGGAATTGATGTTGTGGTTTCAAAACGGCGAGACGAAGTTGTGCCAGTGAAAAAGAAGAAGAATTTACGTGTCACTTTTTTCAACGACGATTTTTCGACAAGTTTTGCAGGACGTGCGGTTTTCATAACAGGTATGCGTGTTGTGCCGCTTCTGCGAGGAATGGACAAAATGTGTACACGTGAGAAGCAACATTTAAGTAACATATATGAAAATGGAACTTACCTTTGTTGTAGAGTGAAGTTTGGACGAGTTGTTCGTGGTGGAGGTGGAGATGGTGGAAGAGTTGTTGCAATTACTGGGGCTGGTTGTGGGCGAGCCTAGAATTTTTTTGAATGGAAAATCTCGTTGAAGGAAAGTTTTTTTTTAAACACAAATTCCCCTGGGGTTAGAAATGTCTGCATTTCCGAAAATTTTTTAAATGGGTCATGCTTCGAAAAAAAAATCTGAAAATAGAAGTTGTTCGATTCAGAAGGGTACAAATACCGTATCCCATTCAAGGGAAGTTTTTAAAATCAAGATTCCGAAAAAACCCCCTCCTCAATTACCGGTCTTGGCTTCGGCTGCGGTCTTCTCGAACGCGCAGATGTTGCAGGCCTTGCTGATCCCAAAGGTCTTGGTGCAGGCGTATTCCTTGAATGTGGACACGTATTGCAAGCAAGTTGACAATTATCAACCATCCATTCGCTATTTGTTTTACATTCTCCAACAGACGCCCAAAATCTACACCACTCATGATGATCACAACATCCGTTTCGTACACAATGGAAACGAGTTGTTACCGGGTTATCGTCGTCAGCTTCTGTAAAAATAAGGTAGGTCATACAGAGCTCGAAGAGTAGAAGCTCTGAGAATTCAGGATACCTTTAGAACTGCAATTTTTTTTAAATGTATCTTAACTTTTCTCATTTTTTACCCAACAACTTACCACACTGCCATGGAATCCAAAGTAAGAGCAAAAATATATAAGGTGTTGTCCTCAGCATTTCTGCTTGTCTACAAAAATTCATAATTGACTCAACGAAACCCTTTTCTTTTTTATTTTCAATGTCAAGTTTTATAAAGAAGAAGACATCAAAGATGAAGAGGTTTAGGCCAGGGCAGAAATCAAAAAGTTTTCGAAAGTATAAACGATATTATATCTGGGTATAAAGTTTGTGAATGATACAGCGTTATTCTTAAATAAAAAAGAAAATGAATTAAAAAATCGCCATTCAAACAAATCATTCATTCACATTCAGTTTTCACTCACTCACTCTCTCACACTCCACGATCGAAAAAAAAACAAAAAGAGAAAATTTTGTCTCGAAATTAGCAAGTAGCAAGTATTGTTACATTTAAAAGGTGTGAACAATGCGTTTATCATCAAGTGTCTTTTCGTTTCGAAATGAAATTTTGCAGAAATAGGAAGCGAATTTGTGTCGGGTGGCAACATTTCAAGAGGTACTACTTATTATTATTAACATTGTCAATTTTTATTACACCACATGTGTTTTGGTTTTGAACTACTAACTTGGGAAAAATTTAATTCATAAAAAAATTCTGAATTTTTGCAGAATCAAATTGTATTACTTCGAGAAACTAAAGTTTACAGTTTATCACAGAACGAGGTCGTTTTTGTGAATTCTACAAAGTTTATAAGGAGTAATCAAACCGAAGATTCTTTGGTCTCAATAAAAAAGGTAAATTAACAGTACAGTAATACTGAAATGCTGAAAAACTGTCTCGGTGGTTCCACAAATTAATCAAAAACTGAAAAATGTCCAGAATTTTCACAAAATTAAATTAATGCAGTAATTAACCTTAAGATTCTTTGGTCTCAATTAAAAATACAGTAACCCTAAACAAAGGTTTTAAGTGAGTTTAAGTCGGGTCGGCTTTGAGCCGAATCTGAAATACAACATTTGTTGGCTCAAGAACCTTTCTTACTTACCACTTTCACTATGTAAAGTAACTTCTACCTAACCTACCACCTTTAATAATACAGTAACCCTAACATAAAATGCAAAAATAAACTGCCTTTGTGGTTCCACAAATCAATCAAAAACTGAAAAATGACCAAAACGTTTTTATTTTCAGTCAGCACTCCATACTTTCAATTAAATTAATGTCAAATCAAAACTGACTGAAAAACCGCGACGAGAAAAATTGGTCATTTTTGCGCGGCGGGTGAAAGTTTTGGGTATTATTTTTATTTGATAAATAATTGTGTGTAATAAACTTGAGAACGGTTGGGTGATGAAACAAAGAAAAGGTAAGTAACCCTGAAGACAAACCGATTGGTTGGTTTACTTATCATTGAAAAATTGAATTGACAGAGAGAGTGAGAGAGAGATTTTTCCATGATGTCTGGAAAAAATTATGAAGTTTTTTGATGAATCAATTTTGCAACATCAATGATATCGCAACTATTTTTCATCTTGTCGTAGTTAAATTCAGGAACTCAACAAAAAATGAACATTTTCAGCAAAATAACAATATTATTATTTTTAAAGAAAGGGGCAAACAAAGTACAAAATATTCTCAAGTATTTATCAAAAAGTCCAAATACATCTTGAACTTCAGCAAAAATATATTTGGAATGCCATATTTTTTCCGCCCACGGTTCCCGGTTGGCAGCAGTTTTGATTTGATTAATTGATACTATCAAAGTAAGAAGAAGGAGAAGATACTATTATAAATCTATCAAGAAAGTTTAGGTGACGAAAACAAAAATGGGTTTCACTTGATAAAGAGAAAAATTGTTTTTTGGTAAATATTTGGGAAATTTGGAAGATTTTAGTTCCCGTTTTGATATTCATATCCGGTGCCAAAAAATTTCAAAATTCATCATAAAATATATGAAAAGTTTTCAGAAAAAAATCCTAATCGCATTTTTTTCAGAAAAGACATCACAAACATAAAAAAGTTTAACAATAGAAGTTTTTCTGAAAAGTACACAAAACTTTTTAAAGATTTGTTACCCGTATTATAATCAAATTAGGAAAATAAACCACCACGAAAGGCAAAAAAAAAACATCATTGGCAGAAAATAATGAAAGTCAAGAACACTTATCATATTTATTTAGATAGATCTATTTTTGAATTATTATGTCTTTTCTCAATGTACGTAAAAATTCCTGAAACGAAACGAATACTGTAATAAAACTGTTTGACTTTTGACACATTTTTGTGAAACTCCGCCCACAGGTTTTTCGATTGTTTTAACCAGTTAATTAGAAAACCAAAATGATGTGTTTTTTTTTTGAAGTTTGAATTGAAACAAAGTTAATTTATTAAAACGGAACAGAAGTTTAAAAGTGTTGTTTGATTAAAAAGGTTGAGGAACATTTTTTCGAAACTGAACATTTTTTTTTGAATCGGATCAGGGTTCATAAAATGGGACCTCTTCGAAAGACACCGAGATTCGAACTCGTGGTTCTGATATTGACAGCAGCCGTCCCTTCCCAAAAAAGTATTCAAATATTTAAATCAGAACCAACAAATGTTCAATGAGAATGTCATTGAAAAGTACAAGTAACCCCGAGTAAATGTCAAAAAAAGGCGTTTCTTCATTCATTTATTTGCCAGCCTGATGCATATAATTTTAATACAATAGGTTTCGTTTTCCTGCCCATTTACGCCTCGTTCGAAATGTGATTTTCATGCAAATTTTGTGGTTTTTTAACAGCATCGCGCATCGAGAAGAAGTAAAAGGGAAAAGGAGGAGAAGCTTGGCAAGGTCATTTCAAAATACAAGTTTTGAAATTTGAATTTAAATTTAAATTTTGTTGATCAGTTCTTTTGGTCAGCAAAAATCTTGTGATTTTGAAAAAAACCATAGTGACCTTTTCGATCTTATTTTTTCTTTTTGAGAAAAAAACATTCATTTGAGATTACATCTGTAATAAACAATAACTTTTCGAAATTATCGCTTATTCTTATCGAATTCTTGAGGAAAATCTATCAATTTTACTTTGACAAATTGGAAATTTGTAAATATCAAACATCAAATTGGAATATCGAGAACTGGGAAGTGAGAAAATTATAGGTTTCAACAATTTTTTGTCGGACATAAAATCATTTTTTCTCTCTTCCTTCAAAAAATGAACGAATCTTCTTATACTGAAGAACTATACAATTGGCAAAATCCACTTTCCTTCATTGCAGCACTTTTTATTCTTGGAGTAAGATCTCATTTCCTTTTGTATAAAACAAGGGACTTTATTCTTTTCAGACATCGATTTTTGGAATTATCTGTAATTATTTGGTTTTCAGAAATTTTATATGCAACAGAAGCGACAGAACATCATTCAATTTGATATGTTTTTTCAGAGCTTATACAAATTTGCATATTTTGATCACGAGTTTTTTGGCCATTTTTCTTCCAGCTACGTTACTGTGAGTTTTTCGAAAGTCAAAACAGCTCAGCTGACGCAAAATTGGTGCTCACCAACTTTTGTGCATACCGTACCATTATTTTTCAAACAAAAAACACACATTTGAAAAAAAGGTTCACGTCAATTTTTTTTCGCTTCTGAACGAACCCCCATTTCTTGTTTTCAACACCATTTTAAAAATTTTAAAAAGTAAAAAAAAACGTTTTGTGAGTTGTGGGTTTTCCGATAGCTGTCGGTCACAAAATTAGTTGTAGAACTTTTCAGAATATTTTTATCAAAATTTCAGCGGTTATTCAATTTATCACCCAGCAATAGAATCATCAATCATCCAATTTTCGATCACAATTTATTTTGTGAATGAATACGGTTCTTTGATAATCTCTTTGAATCGATTTTTCGCTTTATTTTTTCCATTGTCATATTCATTGGTTTTCGATATTCCAAAAACTTTTGTTTATGTTTCAATTTTAAATATTTATCAAATTGTGAAGATCATTTTTGAACTTATCACTTTTCTTCGTAAGATGTTTGACTCAATTTTCAATCATAATTGTTTTGAAATTATTTTGAAAATTCAATCTTTCAGCAATAGATTGTTATGTTTATTATGATACTTATCAATTATGTTGGACTCCAACTCTTGAGGCAAAATGTAAAAGTTATGGAGGGATTAGTTTATTTTATAGATTTGGTGGAGTATTTCTTGGTGTTCTTATTCTAAATTCCATGATCGTTGTAAAAATTATACTTTTATCTAAAAGTAATGCATTTCAAGCAAAGACAGAGCTTCGAAGAAGATTGCGAAAAAATATTTTTCTTTTTTTCCAAACTTGTTTTCAAGATTCGCTATTTCTTATTGACATTTTATTCACATTCAAATTATCGTGAGCTTTGATTTTTATGACTTGTAATTAAAGTTTTATTTAGAACATTGAGCTCTTCTAGAATATGGAGTTTTATCAGTGGTACGGTAGTTTGGCAATGTCTACATGCTTTTGATGGTTATATTATGATGGTTTTCAATGATAATATTAATTTTCGAAAGCCGAAAGATACAAATAATGTTTTATTTGTTAGCAAAACAATCGATATTCACTCAAAAACAATAACAAACTAATTTTTCCTTGTTGAAAAGCTTCTCACGCAGAAAAAAAAATAAATTTAAAGTTCCTCTTGTTTGTTCGGTAGAGCGCATTTGCAGGGTCACTTGCCGTGCAAAAAATTGATTTTTTATTTTCTTTTTTTCTGAAGTTTGAAAACACTTCAAAATTTCGCAATCAGTACTAAACTGTTTTAATAGAACGTAAGTATTTTTGTTTTTTATATTTTTGTTGATACGTTTTGTATTTATTGATTTTCTCCATCTCTCCAAAAATTATGATGCAATTTATCAAAAAATATTTTTTCTAGAAAATATGGAATCAAATTTCATCGGCGAAGACTATGGCCCCTTATTTCATTATCAATATCGATTAATTGTAATTGGTGATTCAACTGTGGGAAAATCTAGTCTGCTGAAATGTTTCACAGAAGGTCGAATGGCTGAAATTTCCGATCCAACAGTTGGTGTTGATTTTTACGCGAGAATGATTGAACTTCGACCAGGATATCGAGTTAAATTGCAATTATGGGATACTGCCGGGCAAGAAAAATTCAGGTAAGCTAATTTTTTATTAGGAAATTCATATCAGATAGTATACTTTCAGATCAATAACTCGATCTTATTATCGGAATTCAGTTGGTGTTCTTGTTATATATGATATAACAAATCGTGAAAGTTTTGAACATGCTGCAGAATGGCTAAAAGAAGCCCAACAAAATGTCGGTGGTCCAAATCCATCAAAATGTGTATTCCAATTAGTCGCAACAAAATCCGATTGTGCAGAAAGACGTCAGGTGAATTATGAAGAAGGTGAATATTTTGCAAAATATCATAAGATGCAATTCATCGAAACATCGGCCAAAACTGGTGAAAATGTGGCTGATGCTTTTTCAATGGCTGCTCAGGAAATCTATAAACGAACACAGGAGGGAGTTTTGTCACCGTGTGATGGTTGGGAAGGTTTGAAAACTGGACATATGCGATCACATTCAATTTGCCTTTCTGAACAAAGTTATCGACGCACTGAATCATCAGGTTGTTCTTGTTAATATTGTTTTGACATACTTACTTTTTTAGTTGTTCTTTATTGCATAGTTTTTTGTTAATCTTCGAGCTTTCAAAGTCTCAATTGTACATTAAATTGCCTTCTTGTAAGCCCAAATAATCCCAGTGATAACCTCAAAACCAAAATAAATGAAATTACTTTATGTGAGATTACATCTCAAGAAAAAAACAGCAAAAATCATTAATAGTAAAAGTAGAAGAATAATTATTAGATAAATCGATCGAAAAAGCTGCGAACAGCATCCCATGCTCCTTGATCATAATGTTTATGACTCAACATATTCACTCCTCGCTTCAATGTTGTGTAGAGGCGAGTCTTCTCGTTCGTCTTCAAAACGGCCAATGTTTCGGGAAGAAGTTGGGCGAATTGCGAAGTTTCGGTTTCTGTGTGAGCAGTCAGAGTTGGAATTCGAATTGGTTCCGAATCTGAGGTTCCGGCTTCGAAGCGAGTGTGAAGAACAGAAACACGTGAAGGCACTGCCATCTTTGTTCCATTTCCATAAACATCGACTTCCTAAAAATATTAGTTTTTGAAAATTAAAAAAAAATTAATGCTTACATTTTCTGTAGTTGCAACAATGCTAGCAACTCCAAACTTTCTAGTCAACATGAATTCGTCATCAGTTTTATATCCGAAAATCGGGCAATCTGACAATGTTCGAACATCGCATTGAGTATCCAATTCTTCGAAACAATAAATGTAGGTTCCGAACTGCAAAAATCCCCATTAAAAAACAATAAATTCAATTCAATTCAACTTACCAAAACTTTACAATTCGCCAAATCGATAGGAATAACTGTTTGTGGTGTAATAAGAACGAATTCCGGTACCTCATAATAGGCATAAACCTCTTCATTATGCAAAAATTCTCCGCCATGAGCCAAAGCATAAATCATTCCACTTTGTGGTGTTTCAGAAATATTAAAACAAATATTCATTTCGATTGCCAAATTCGAAACATCGCACATTTTCGGGAAAACAGTTGTTCTTTGCGAGAAATCGAGAACATCGCTTGATCCACTTTGACTAATTGTGTCCTGTTTGATCGACTCCAAAAATGGATTATTGATTTTGTTCTCCAAGAAAAGCGATTTGAGATCTCTTTCAAACTTCAAAATATTCCAAGCCAATTCAAATCGATCCATAAATCGCATATTCAAATGATCCGGCACAATAATATCAGAACTTGGAATCGAATCTTTCGAATTTGTTGAAATGTTGAATTTCTGACAAATTCCCAAGAAACTTTGCGCAACCTTTTTTCTCAAAATGCTTTTTCCAATCGAACTCATCTCGTTTATTGTCAAAGTTGATAAAAATGTGGATAAATCGAGAGTATAAGGAGTGCAATGTTGTTTTTCAGGAATCAATCGACCTTCTCCATAAACTTCGTACTCAATACCAATGTTTTGGAAAATATCCAAAACTGAGGCATTGGAAGCGGCAGAAATGACCAAAATCAACGAGATTATTCTCATCTGAAACCCAAAAATTTTAATTTAACTTAAAAGCGCTGAACAAGACGAAAACTCAGGAAAAAATAAAGTTTTCCAAAAAAAAGTGGAGAGCGTGATTTTTGAAATCAAACAAAAAATATTCGCGCGTTCCCGCGCACACAAACATATCAATATAATAAAAATTGTGTCAAGAATGAATGCATAATTTTTGCAGGTCTAACAGATGCCGGCGTCCTGTCGGCTCACGAGACAAAATAATTGTATATGATGTCATAAAATGGGAAGGTCATCATCGAGATTAGGACTATTTTTGGCGGTGAGCAAAAAATGTACTTTGAAGTTTTTGGAGATCAAAAAAAAAAATTAAAACATCGTGGGATTTTTTTCAAACAAAAACAACAATCAAAATTTTTCAAGATTCTGAATTTTTCAAAATTCAGAAACACAGCTGCCAAAAATTTGATTCTGAAAAAAGGCTTCGGTCCAAATCCAGGTCTCTCGAGTTGGAATTTGTTTATCTGATCTTGAAAATTGAAAAAAAATCTTGGTTTTGAATTTTGAACATGGATCTGAAGCTTCTGGTAATTCGGAATTCGGCAGTTTCAAATTATATTTTTCCATGGTTACTGTAAATTAACAATCGCCCACAAAACTCCGTGACTCATAAAATAAAAATATTTTTATGTGATTTGATTAATGTTACTATAAATTTCCCAAAAATTATTCCGATTCACATTCTCATTGAAAATGTTTATTTTCCTTCCCTTTTTTAGTTTTCGCAGCAATTTCCTGTGCCCCGGTAAGATTATTTTCTCACAATCAACGTTAGATAGGATTTATTCCGAATCTGAAGCATGAAACATTGTTGCAGGTGTCATTCGAAAGCCCGCAAAACTTTTTCAATCATTTGGATATTTCAAAAATCGACGATTCCGCAAAAATCAAATTTTGCAATAAAGAAGAGATTGGCAAAAATTCGGGAGATGTTCACAATCTTTTCGAGAAATCCTACAATGTTATTCTTTCTGATGGAAAAACTTCAGGAACTGTTGAGATTCTCGATTCTTCAGAAGTTTTCTATTTCAAACTTTCGGATGATGGAAAAGTTTGTTGTTTTTTTGAAATCTCCTCCAAAATCCAACTTTTTTTCTTCAGAATCTTGTTCAACTTTTGGCAATGTGTTAATTAATTTCTGACGTGACTCATCTACGTGGCAATCGAATTCCAACGCATCAAATTTTAAAATTTGACTCATTTTTTGTTTCGCATAAATAAATAAATAAATGAATCCATTAAGACTTCAATTATTCGCTATACGGCCTCAGCCTCCAAACACAAAAGTTAATGGAAAATGTGAAAAGGTTGGCATAGATAAATATACTGTAGTTTCATCTGATATTTCCAGGTAAATAAAGATGATTTGATAAATGAAGATGATAAAAATCTATATAAAATTGTTTGTCGACGTTGTAATTCGATTATTTTTCCCGAAGATGTTGTGATGTGTATACAAAGTATGTGAGCCCAAAATAAAAATAAAAAATTCATATCCAATTTTTGTAGATCAGCCATATCAACTCCAAATAATGTCACATCAAGGAAAAGAAAAATTAGGAGAAGAAAAGATTAGTTGGTGGTGGTATACTGAAAATGATTTGATTTTTGACACTGTCGGCTGGCAGACTATAAATAAGCGCAAAGTTTTGATGTGTGGCGATTGCGAATTGGGACCGATTGGGTTTAGATCAGAAGATAATAAGAAGTTTTGGGTTGCTGTCGAAAGAATGAAATATGATAAAACTGCATAACATAATTATGATTTTAATAAAAACATTCAGATTTTTCCCAAATAAATTGGTAATTCAGTTTAGGAATGGTAAAGTCTTTTTTATCTAAATTCTATCTAAATTCTATCTAATAAATCTAAAATCTAAAAACTAAAATATCTAAAAGATTATATCTAAATTCGACAAATATACTCATTAGTATTTTTTAGTGATAAAAATTAAAAGAATAATTTTAATTTCATAACTTCGAAGAAATAAGAGGGAGTATAACAATTTTATGACTTAACTTCGAGAAAAACACAATTTAATTATAACAAGAATCCTAAATAACTACAAAAGTTCAAACAAAAACCTACAATTCAACTACTTCTTCTTTTTCTTTCCTTTTTCATTTGGATCTGCAATTCCATGTAATTGTCTCCATTCATTCTGCACTCGATCTTGAGCTTCTTTCGATGTTGGCGCATATCTCGAATATTCCATACTGAATTCACCTTTTCCTTCTGTTAATGATCGAAGTTCCGATGTATATCCAAACATATCAGATAATGGAGCTTCACAAATTACTGTAGCATATCCTTCTGTTGAATCAGTTGTTGTAATTAAAGCATTTCTTTGTGTTAATGATGTGACAACATTTCCTTGGAATTCAGCTGGAGTTGTACATTCAACTTTCATGATTGGTTCGAGTAGTAACCAATGAGCTTTTTCGAATGCTGAAAAATGATAGATAATTTTCACTGAGATTTTGCAAACTTACATTCTCTCATCATGTTTTGCATAGTATTAATCATAGCAATTTCAGTAGAATCAACAGCATGTGTTGCTCCATCTTGAATTCGAACATGAATTCCAGCAATTCTCGATTTAATCAATGGTCCTTCAAGAACAATCGCATCAAGACCTTTTTTGAGAGCTGGGAAAAGATTCTTCGGAATATTATTTCCGAATGTTTCATCAGTGAATTCAACAACTGTGTTTCTATCAGCTGGAAGTGGATCAATAACTCCTTCGATTTCTCCAAATTGACCTTGTCCTCCAGTTTGTTTTTTATGACGGAAGTGGAATCTTAAAAAAGGAAAATGGATTATTTAAAAGTTTCTTATTGATTTTTGAAAACTTACTTATATGAATTAGCTAATGATTCTCTGTAAGCAACTGACGGTTTTCCAAGTTCAACCGGACAATTATATTCATTTTTCATTCGTTGTGCATAAATTTCCAAATGCAATTCACCCATTCCTGAAACAATCGTCTCTTTTGCTTCTTGATTATATTCTCTTCTAAATGTTGGATCTTCTTTGGTGAATCTGGTTAAAGCTTTGATGAAAGTATCAGCATCTTTGCGGTTGACTGGTTTGATAGACATTGAAATAACTGGTTCCGGAATATGCATGGATTCCTGAAAAACATTTGTTTTGTTGTTGGATTTTGGAAATCAAAATTGATCCTAGATTTTGGTCAATTATTTTTTGCATGAGTATTTTCGCATGGATATATTTTTCGCAAGATTCATTTTTCGTATGGATTTTTTTCGCATTACGAATTTGCGAAAAAATACTCATTGTTTTTGGCTACCGGGCTCAAAACCTAGACTTTTTTTGAAAAAAACTTACACAATGTGGAGCATAATTTTGATCAGTTGAGAATGTTTTTCCAGAATGACAATCTAAACCAAAAGTGGCACAAATATCTCCAGCATAAGCTGTCGTAATTTCTTCCATATCAGCCGCATGCATTCGAACCAATCTTTGTACTCGAACTCAGCAATTCCATGTAATTGTCTCCATTCATTCTGCACTCGATCTTGAGCTTCTTTCGATGTTGGTGCATAGGAGAATATTCCTATGTCGCTGAAAATATGTTTTTATTATTTTTCAGAATTTGTTTTGAAAAACTCACTTTAACAACAGTTCTTCTCATTGCATCATGAATATGTTGATTTGTGATAGTTTGGGCAAAACTCCACAGGTGTTTTCCGTATACGCTGATTATTTCGACCGTTTTGGCCGTCAATGGAAAACGTTCAGCCTTGCGTTCGCTAGAGCGCTTATTCATTTTTTCAACACTGGAAAACGCCTAAACCGTGAAATTATTCATGAAACTATGAATAAATAGTCCGATTACACTTTTCTATGCTTTTGAAATTTTCGATAATCTCTCCATTAGTCGGTCTCACTAAAATGCCTAAGGGTTGGTCAAATAAGAAGACGATTCTCTATTTACAACGTTATCGGTTCGTTTCTTGGAAAAAAGTTCGAGGAACTTAGAAAAATATATGTTCTTCTTGAAAAATTTCTGAACAAAAAAACGAAAATAAAAAAATCGGGAATAAGTGGGCGGAGCGTGGCCGTGTGGCTGGCTGTTTGGTTTCCTAGGTCAGAACGGGCGAAATAATCAGCGTGCGCATGCGTAAAATAAATGAAAAATCTCTACATTTGTGCGTCAAAGTGATCATCAAACACTACGACGCAATTTTGCACATTTCACTTTTTCACCAAAACGATATTCATTATGATATCTACTCTTTCAATAAAAACTTTCAAATATAATAATGGTCGAGAGGAGGGGGGGGCTCGAAATATGGCATATAAAAAACGGGGTTAAAACAACTCTACCGCTAGAGTATATAGTCTATAATACAAGAATTATAAAACGATCATCGATGGATAAATGAGAAGTAAAGACAAATAAAAAATTAGACCGAATTTTGTGAACCCTTGAATAATTTGTGAAATCGATTCAACAAATTCAATTTCGAATCTTTCGAAAATTCGCTGAATTCCTCCATCACAATCATTTCATCAGCTTCTTGGAGTTTCACAATGCCTTGCGTGGTGGTATTCTTAAAAATAATAGAATTGTAGAGTAAAAGCTTTTAGAAGACTTACAAAGGCATCTGGCAATCCATATGTATCAGATAACACAAGCTTTTGTTTTGTGGTCAAGTTTTCAGCCAAAATTGTTCGAGAAACTGTATTCAAAAAAATCGACATGTTTTTTCGATGCGCATATTTCATCAATTCTTTCATAGAAACTTCGTCGACTGGAAAATCATCATTAATATAAATTTTGGCTGACATGTAAGATAGTGATTCCCAATAATCAAAATCATGTATGTTTAATTTATAGAATGGACATGTCGTCCCGGAAAAAACCGGCCTGTGTTTTTCATATATAAAAAACTCTTTTTACAGCTTGAAGCCAAACGAGTCTAGTGTTTTCGTCGCGGAACGAAAAACTGATGAAGTAACTTACCATTTAGTCCAGAACCGGTATGGTTATAATGAAGAAGCACCAACAATGTCCTATATGACACATCGTTTTCGATAATAATTCGATCAGTAACTCCATCATCCAACGCCGTTCTCCAATCATTGCAGATGTCCGAGAGAATCTAGAAATCAATATTTTAATTGGAAAACAAAAAGAGATGCACGAACTTTTCGATCACACAATATTTCATGCCCATTCAACAAAACGGATATTTCATTCAATTCTCTGAGTCGAGGAACATCAAAATTGCGTTGGACACCACTAACTTCTATATGCATATCCAGATTTCCTTCTTCGGATAAATATTTCGCAAGTTCAGCGAAACCATGCACAAACACCAAAGTTGGGTTAAATTGATGACGTGTGTTCATCAACAATAATTTGGAAAAATTGACGGTTAAATCATCACAATTTTGACGATATGCTTTCACCACAACTTTTCCATCTAATTCCAAAACATAATGTTGTGAGTTCATAGGAGAAGCGTGAATTTGTATTAGGAATGATCCTCGAGACATTCGAATTCCTAACTTCCTGTAAATGTTAATTTTCACAGTTTGTCTTCCAAAAAACTTCAAATTGGAAAAAAATGGAATAGCTTGGCGAATGGGTTTTGGAACAGCCATTAAAATGCCTTTTGTGTTTGTTTGAAAACTCGTTTCTTGACGTTTCAAAGCTTAGTGAATCCACAAGAAACTTTTGTTCATGATGTGGAATAAAAATTCAAAATTCAAAAACTCACCACCTTATTCCGTTCAGTAAATGCACATGACTAAAGACGAAAAATCCTCTGATTATTTGGGAATCAAATTTTGTCGAAAAGTTGAGAGGATTGATGAGTTTGGAGTTTACTCTGTAATAAAACTATCGTTTCTGAATGAGTCATGCACACCTCGGCCAAAATCGTGGCTTCCAATATAACAACTTTTTCGCTAACTTTTTTCTGTATGAAAAGTGTGAATTTTTCAGTTTTGGACCTCTAAAAACTGAAATTCAGAGGTCAACAATTTATCCCATGACACATTTCACAAAAAAATTTATCACATGACCGATTTTTAAATTTCAGAAACTGTTTCTGAATAAAATCTACTGAAATTTCGACAGATCATGTCATTTTTAACTTGAAAAAGAAGATATTTGACATTTCTGATCTCAAAATCATAGAAATCAGGCTCCAATCTGAATTTTTTTCAGTCATGGGATAAATTAAAATAGGAAATGTGTCATGGGATGAATCATGAACAATTTATCCCATGACACATTTCACAAAAAAATTTATCACATGACCGATTTTTAAATTTCAGAAACTGTTTTCTGAATAAAAAACTGTTTCTGAATAAAAAAATTATTTTGGATTTTCACTACATTTTACAGGCAGTTTTTGAATCCGATTCACAAGTAGCCTTTTTACACACCAAAGAAATCAAAGTTTCACTCACGTCATTTCAAAAGCAATAGACGAGGTCCTAATCACAATAAATCGTAAATGACGATAATATTCAAATCGCACGTCGAAGTAATCCACCAACCAATCACAGTAATCCACCAACCAAACCAATAACCAACCAGTTTGATCAATCTGCAATAAACAATTATTTAGTTTTTGCTTTTATTTTTTAAAAACCAAGGAGAGAGAAATTCACGGTAAAAGTTCATAATAAATATTAATATCCTGAACAAAAATCTAGATTTTCCAAAACAATATCGGAAATTCGAGAATTGAACTCAGCAAACCCTGCAAAATAGCCCTTCTCGCACTTCTCAAACTCACTAAGAATGACTCAAAAATCCTAATTAAAAAAGGTTCTTCAAAATTATCCTAATTGCACTTATTAACACACAAGCATAAGCAAAAGGAGAGCTCGAAAAGCTCGAATCCTAGCGAGACTCGTCAAAAAGTGTATCAAAAACTCGAGTTCAAGCTCGAAGCAAAAATAATGAACTGGCGAAAAAATCGATTTTTTTTTCCAACAAACAAAAATGTTGGGTTTTCGCGGGTAGATCAAAAACTAGAAAAATTAGTAAATTAGTTTGTTTGTGGCCAAAAATACATTTTCGAAAAAAAACAATCATATAATTTTGCTAATTTTTCTAGTTTTTGACCTACCCGCGAAAACCCAACATTTTTGTTTGTTGGAAAAAAAAATCGATTTTTTCGCCAGTTCATTATTTTTGCTTCGGGCTTGAACTCGAGTTTTTGATACACTTTTTGACGAGTCTCGCTAGGATTCGAGCTTTTCGAGCTCTCCTTTTGCTTATGCTTGTGTGTGCAATTAGGATAATTTTGAAGAACCTTTTTTTAATTAGGATTTTTGAGTCATTCTTAGTGGGTTTGAGAAATGCGAGAAGGGCTATTTTGCAGAAAATTGGTTTAGTTGTATTGAAATTAGGAATTGGATTGAGATATTGCGGTGGGACTAGTTATAATTTTGATCTGAGATTTAGAACTGATCAAGAAGTTGTTGATGAGTTTTTGCAGGCTCGAGATATAATTACTTATTTTTTTGAGTGGATTTGAGATATGTAAAAGGGTAGATATTGACATCAAATATTTTTAGATCTAAGTTATGGGTGAGAAAATTATAATTCCGTTCGAATCGTGTTCGAGTTCATTTATGAAATCTTCAGCTGGATATGTTTGGGAATTTCGCAGCGGCCGCGTTGATTTTTTTTTCTTTTTTTTCCATGACAATGTAACAAACAACACAAATAGAACGCATTGAAAGAGGATTGAGCACCCTAAATTAAAGAAACACAAATATTCAGGTTCGATAAATTGGTTTTGTCGACCAGAATAAACACATTAGAATGGGGAAGTTGAAAGAAATAATGGTAATGTAAAATCTGAATGGAAATTCAGAATCTTCTGACACCATTTTCAGATGAAATGGGTCAGTGTTGAAATCAGTGTAAACAGATAATGGAAACAATGCTCAAAGAAATATTCTGAAAATGTAAAAATTTTGAACTTTACTTAGGCGCATCCTTGAAACTTAGCTTGATTTTTCGACAAATGTTTTAAATCAAGGTCCAGCAACTGAGAAATAATAAATATCTGAAGTGAACGATTCACTGCCTCCCCAAATCTACGTGTGTGTGGAAAAACGAAAAATGTCTGGCACGCTCTCACAAACACACACTCTCTCGCACACAACTTTTTACTTTTATTTCGCGAAAACAGTGCATATTAGGAGCTGATTTTTATGTGTTTTTCATCAGAACCACAATAAGTGTTATACATAGTTCGAAAGAGAATTTCTTCAGCTACAAACACATATGAAATGTTATGTATGAAAACAAGATAAAAAAATAAAAATTTCATGCAAACATGACATGGTTTTTTTGAATTGTGTGAAAAACGCATGTGTTTTTTGATGACCTGGCTTATTTTTTGAATATCGAATATATGTATAATCAAGTCGTAGTTTTGTGCAGAATCTCAAGGGCTTTCAGATGATGTAAATCAATATTTATGAAATTGTGAAATCATGGAGGAGTAGGGATTTTTCGTTTGTCAATTTTTTAAACGAAATTTTGATTTTCATTTGAAAGGAACTCGAATGAAGTTTACATACGTTTTGTAGAGAATTTCTTGGGCTTCAAAATCATATATATTTCTATACACAAAAATGAAAATTGAAAGCACCGCTTTCGGTTGAAAACTTGTTGGGTTTGCACCAAACAAACAAAGCGCGTTTAGTAGCGTTGCGAAAAACAGCGGTGAGTTTTCAACCGCAAGCGGTGCTTTCAATTTTCATTTTTGTGTATAGAAACATATATGATTTTGAAGCCCGAGAAATTCTCTACAAAACGTATGTAAACTTCATTCGAGTTCCTTTCAAATGAAAATCAAAATTTCGTTTAAAAAATTGACAAACGAAAAATCCCTACTCCTCCATGATTTCACAATTTCATAAATATTGATTTACATCATCTGAAAGCCCTTGAGATTCTGCACAAAACTACGACTTGATTATACATATATTCGATATTCAAAAAATAAGCCAGGTCATCAAAAAACACATGCGTTTTTCACACAATTCAAAAAAACCATGTCATGTTTGCATGAAATTTTTATTTTTTTATCTTGTTTTCATACATAACATTTCATATGTGTTTGTAGCTGAAGAAATTCTCTTTCGAACTATGTATAACACTTATTGTGGTTCTGATGAAAAACACATCAAAATCAGCTCCTAATATGCACTGTTTTCGCGAAATAAAAGTAAAAAGTTGTGTGCGAGAGAGTGTGTGTTTGTGAGAGCGTGCCAGACATTTTTCGTTTTTCCACACACACGTAGATTTGGGGAGGCAGTGCGATTATTGATCTCTAGACAACTCGAATTTTTATTACAAGTTGATAAATTTCTTCATGTAGGCACGTGTTTTTGCGAACAATCACATTTTTCAGCCGATTATCCACAGTCTATTTTATCTGTTCGTCCACTCTTTTTTAATTACTTTGCGCTGAAGCCGTGGAAATACTCGATAAGATTAGGTAAAAACCGGGTAAGCGATAGAAATATCCTTGATGCTTTGAAAGTAGTGGTTCTGAAGCTTTGAGAAAGCGGGATCAATCTTTTTGGTAAAAGATATTTGTTCTCGATTTCGATAGAGCCTAGGTACCCGAACTTGATAGAGTGATGGATTCTGAGCTGATACTGGAAAACCTATGAGGATTTTCACGCAACTTTGCGTTTTAGTAAATGTGAGGGCTTTTTGAATCAAGTATTAAACTTTTGTTAGTTTTTCGAAATTTTCCCAATTAAAATAATTACGCTGAAGCCGTGGAAATACTCGATAAGATTAGGTAAAAACCGGGTAAGCGATAGAAATATCCTAGATGCTTTGAAAGTAGTGGTTCTGAAGCTTTGAGAAAGCGGGATCAATCTTTTTGGTAAAAGATATTTGTTCTCGATTTCGATAGAGCCTAGGTACCCGAACTTGATAGAGTGATGGATTCTGAGCTGATACTGGAAAACCTATGAGGATTTTCACGCAACTTTGCGTTTTAGTAAATGTGAGGGCTTTTTGAATCAAGTATTAAACTTTTGTTAGTTTTTCGAAATTTTCCCAATTAAAATAATTACGCTGAAGCCGTGGAAATACTCGATAAGATTAGGTAAAAACCGGGTAAGCGATAGAAATATCCTAGATGCTTTGAAAGTAGTGGTTCTGAAGCTTTGAGAAAGCGGGATCAATCTTTTTGGTAAAAGATATTTGTTCTCGATTTCGATAGAGCCTAGGTACCCGAACTTGATAGAGTGATGGATTCTGAGCTGATACTGGAAAACCTATGAGGATTTTCACGCAACTTTGCGTTTTAGTAAATGTGAGGGCTTTTTGAATCAAGTATTAAACTTTTGTTAGTTTTTCGAAATTTTCTCAATTAAAATAATTACGCTGAAGCCGTGGAAATACTCGATAAGATTAGGTAAAAACCGGGTAAGCGATAGAAATATCCTTGATGCTTTGAAAGTAGTGGTTCTGAAGCTTTGAGAAAGCGGGATCAATCTTTTTGGTAAAAGATATTTGTTCTCGACTTCGATAGAGCCTAGGTACCCGAACTTGATAGAGTGATGGATTCTGAGCTGATACTGGAAAACCTATGAGGATTTTCACGCAACTTCGCGTTTTAATAAATTTAGGAGTTTTCTTTTATATAAAAAGTTTCCAGATAAAGTGTACTGTGGATAGTCTGGCTATTCTGAGATATTGGTTTGTTCGGTGGAGCATGTTTACTATTTCTTATCCCCCACCCTCGCCCGAATTCTCAATAATTTGAGAATTTTTGAGCGAGTTTTCCAAGGTGAACATCTTTCACTTCAGATATAGATTATTGCTCAGTTGCCGGGCAATTTGAAAGCTTTCAATTAGATTTTGAAAATATTCAATTCGACATTTTGAATAGATTAGAAATTTTGACAAAAACACTCACAAGGGAAGGCAACTTTACCTGTAACTTTGGCAGATTAACTATCTCCCCAAGGGATGAACACTCAAAAAATCCTAGGGTGCACAACTCGCCCAAAACATAGCTATGATGTGGCAAAGTTTCCACCATTGCTAGAAATCGGACTTTTGGGGTATTTTATTTATAACAATTTTATGACTCAAAAAAACAATTTAATTATAACAAGAATCCTAAATAACTACAAAAATTCAAAACAAAAACCTACAATTCAACTACTTCTTCTTTTTCTTTCCTTTTTCATTTGGATCTGCAATTCCATGTAATTGTCTCCATTCATTCTGCACTCGATCTTGAGCTTCTTTCGATGTTGGCGCATATCTCGAATATTCCATACTGAATTCACCTTTTCCTTCTGTTAATGATCGAAGTTCCGATGTATATCCAAACATATCAGATAATGGAGCTTCACAAATTACTGTAGCATATCCTTCTGTTGAATCAGTTGTTGTAATTAAAGCATTTCTTTGTGTTAATGATGTGACAACATTTCCTTGGAATTCAGCTGGAGTTGTACATTCAACTTTCATGATTGGTTCGAGCAATAACCAATGAGCTTTTTCGAATGCTGAAAAATGATAGATAATTTTCACTGAGATTTTGCAAACTTACATTCTCTCATCATGTTTTGCATAGTATTTATCATAGCAATTTCGGTAGAATCAACAGCATGTGTTGCTCCATCTTGAATTCGAACATGAATTCCAGCAATTCTCGATTTAATCAATGGTCCTTCAAGAACAATCGCATCAAGACCTTTTTTGAGAGCTGGGAAAAGATTCTTCGGAATATTATTTCCGAATGTTTCATCAGTGAATTCAACAACTGTGTTTCTATCAGCTGGAAGTGGATCAATAACTCCTTCGATTTCTCCAAATTGACCTTGTCCACCAGTTTGTTTTTTATGGCGGAAGTGGAATCTTAAAAAAGGAAAATGATTATTTAAAAGTTTCTTATTGATTTTTGAAAACTTACTTATATGAATTAGCCAAAGATTCTCTGTAGGCAACTGATGGTTTTCCAAGTTCAACCGGACAATTATATTCATTTTTCATTCGTTGTGCATAAATTTCCAAATGCAATTCACCCATTCCTGAAACAATCGTCTCTTTAGCTTCTTGATTATATTCTCTTCTAAATGTTGGATCTTCTTTTGTGAATCGGGTTAGAGCTTTGATGAAATTATCAGCATCTTTGCGGTTGACTGGTTTGATAGACATTGAAATAACTGGTTCCGGAATATGCATAGATTCCTGGAAATTTAATTTATTTTGTTTTTGGCTACCGGGCTGAAAACCTAGACTTTTTGTGAAAAAACGTACACAATGTGGAGCATAATTTTGATCAGTTGAGAATGTTTCTCCAGAATGACAATCTAAACCAAACGTGGCACAAATATCTCCAGCATAAGCTGTCGTAATTTCTTCCATATCAGCTGCATGCATTCTAACCAATCTTTGTACTCGAACTTTTCTTCCATCTTTTGATGCATATACCGTATCTCCTTTATTTAATTGTCCTTGATAAACTCGGAAATATGTTAATTGACCGTATTTTCCAGCTTCTAATTTGAAAGCTAATCCAACGAATGGTTTTTCGTTGTTTCGATGAGATGACAAGATAATTCCTTCCTCTTCTCCTTTTTCATTTTTGATATTTGCACGATTTTCAACTTCAGAAGGATCGGGAAGATATCTAACAACAGCATCGATCATTGTTTGAACACCTTTGTTTTTCAAAGCTGATCCGGACAAAACTGGAACAAATTGACGCTGAAAACATGTATTCATTATATTTCAAAATTTGTTTTGAAAAACTAACTTTAACAACAGTTCTTCTGATTGCATCATGAATATGTTGATTTGTGATAGTTTCATCATTCAAAAACATTTCTCCTAATTGTTCATCAGCATTTACAACATGTTCAATCAATTCGTCTCTCAAATCTTTTGCTTGTGTTCGAAGATCTTTCGGGATCTCATCTTTTCGAATAATCAATCCTTGTTCTCCTTCATAATACAAAGCTGTTTCTTCAACCAAATCAACAATACCATTAAAATTTGAATCTTTTCCGATAGGTAAATGAATTAGAGCAGCATTATGATTCAATTTGTTTCGAAGACCATCTAAAGCTTTCAATGGAGTTGCACCATTTCTATCCATTTTATTTACAAAACAAAGGAATGGAACTTTATATCTTCCTAATTGCCGATTTACAGTAAATGTTTGTGATTGAACTCCTCCAACACCACATAAAACTAAAACTGCTCCATCAAGAACTCTCAACGCTCTTTCAACTTCAACAGTGAAATCAACATGACCCGGTGTATCAATAATATTAATATTTGTTCCATGCCAATCAACATAAGTTGCAGCTGATTGAATTGTAATACCACGTTGTCTTTCGAGATCCATAAAATCCATAGTTGCACCAACATCATCTTTTCCACGAACTTCGTGCATTGAATCGATTCTTCCAGCATAATACAAGATTCTTTCAGTTACAGTCGTTTTACCGGAATCGATATGTGCAGAAATACCGATATTTCTAATTCGCTCAATTGGCCTAACTCCAGGTACTACAACTTGTGGCGCTTCGGCTGTCGAGGCGAATCTTCGCCATATTTGTTGTAATGGTCGCCCTTGAGCAAACCTGGCCAGCGGAGCCATTTTTACCTGGAAATTTCAGTTTTGGGATTGAAAAATTCGTTTTGGCCGAGAAAAAAAAAGAAAAGTGCATCTTTTTCTAGGCCACGAAAATTGCAAAACTTCGGCCATATTTTTTTTTGTGTGAAAAATTTCGCGAAATTTATTTTTCGAGCTAGAAAAGCGTTTTTGAAATGTGAAATTGTTTTATTTTTATTCACATTATTTGCGTGACATCTTTATCTCACGTCAAACTGAAAACATTTGTTTTTCATTTCGTCTAATAAAAAAAAGAAAACCTCGCTCATTTCTAAATATTCATTTTTCGATCTGTATGTTTCAGAAAAATTCTAATAAGTACTTGTTATTTTTATGCACATATGCTTTGAGCTGAACATTATATTTTCCAGTTTATAATCAACAATGTTAATATTCTTATCAGTTTGACAAAATATTGAGTGGTTTATTTGCACTATTCGTTTTAGTTTTGTATGAAAAATGGATTATCGTCGGAAAGTTTACCATCGAAATGGAAATAATGAGGATAGAGCTAAACAAATTCGAGAAAGTATACGAGTTCGATCAGCTTCAAGTTAGTTTGATTTTATTTTTGAATAACGAAAAAGCAACAAAAAAATTACAGAAAAATTGAGCGAATCGGTGAAAAATAAGAGTGAAAGATTTCGAGAGCGAGAAGATGTTCAAAATTTTATAAAGAAGGCAAATGATATAGCAGGAGGTGATTATGACGAAAAATGTGCATTTTTGAACACCGTCAATCGATTACTTCTTGAAACCAAGTTAGAAGTTTTCACCGAAACAAATATTTTTGAAGATTTGTGTAGCTTGTGAGTAAAATATAATAATTTCAACAAAAAAAGAAATTTGGTTTCAGAGTTCTAATATTTCTAAAAGACGACCATCCTTGTATCCGTGCAATGTGCTTTCATATCATTCGAAAATCCTTATTCCTTGAGAGACATTTAGTGTATCTTCTCCGATCTCATGTTGATATTTATATGGTTAGAGCTGTGGATTTACAAATTGAAAATGAGCAAGAGAGAGTTGAAGCATTTAAATTGATTACTTGGATGATGAATACTTATGATGGGTCGAAATTGCAAATGATGATTGATGATGCGAAAATGCAAGCAAATGGAAAGTGAGGAATTTTTGGGTTGAAAATCTAAGTTGTCACGATTTACCCATGAAATTCCTAATTTTCAGAAAATATGCGTTTCCTAAAAGTATAATGCAACCAATCATTTCAATTGCTCTCGATGTTTTTCAAAAAGAAAAATTGAAAGGAGAAGATGATTCTACAAAAAAGAATGAACCTGTTGATAGGTGTGTTTCATTAATTTTGGTTATTCAATGTTTGCAAAATAGTTAACTTTTCAGAATGTCGATGCCGTGTGTCGGGTTATTTCTTGAATTCTGTCTATCCGAACCTGATTTAATTCTAGAAATGGCTGGAACAGATTGGATGGTTCGTGTATTGACTGGCGTTTCAACATTGAGTCGACGAATTGTTTTGCTGGTTTCACAGGTTCTTGTGTTCTGGCTAGACAATCCGCATATTCGACAAAAAGCTGATCTTCATATGGTTCTTGAGCAAATTTTTGCGCCACTAGTGGAATATGGATTGTTTCAGAAGAAGGATAATATGCAAATTAAGAAAGTGTTAGTTGAAGTTTATTCTCCTTCTGCTTCTAATAATAATAAAAATAATATTCTATTTCAGAGATGATAATGTTTATGATGTTCTTGAGAATTTCAAAGCCTCATTTATGGTTCTTCTAAGATCTTGGCCTGGTCTTTTTGCTTGTGCAGCTGTTGGACCGAATTCAAGTATCATTGGAACATCACCATTGAGATTGTTGGAATATTTAGGACTAGGAACTGTGGAAAATGAGAATCTTGTTCGAATTCGTGAAATTATTGTTGAAATGTGCTGTGAGTTTGGAGATTTGCCGTATTCTAGCAAGAATTTTGAATCATGGGATGAGGCGCTCGTTTTTTACAGTGAGTTTTTGTTTGTGAAAAGTTTCTAGATTTAAAAAAAATTAAAATTTCAGAAAGTATGCATCTACCGGATAAATATAAATCATCGTTGAAAAATGATTTTGTTGTTGCTCAAAATGATGCTCGCATGAGAAATGATGTGGTGGGTTTGGGTTTTGGGAAAAACTTTGAGATTGAGAAGAACATTTTCCTTGTAAAATCGGAAATTCTGGACAACCAGAAAATTCAGAAACTTTAGGCAAAACTCAGAAAAACTTAATATTTATAGGACCGCAAAAAGCCAACATTCGACATCCATGCAGCTTTCCGATGTTTATCAACATTTGTTCTCATCAATGCAAGTCTTCCACAATCATTAGCTCGTCTAATTCTAGCTCAACCTGATTCATCAAGTGGTCTCAAAGCCACTCTTCTTCTTGCTGATATGCTTCGAAATGCTCCATCACATGTTCCAGTTGGATATCGAGCACCAGTTTTATCGATGCCAACATTGGTACAAAGTGCTTGTGAGAATTTGATACAAAGTAGAGCATCGGCTGCGATAAATGGAAATTTTGATATAAAAGCGGATGAGAGTTATACATTTATTAATGCACAAAATGCTGAACTTGTACTTCATCGATTTGATCAATTAAATCAGTCATGGATTCGATCATCAACGAATTCTGCTACAATTATGAGAGAATCAGATCTTCATATTTTTGTTCAAAATATGCAACCACCTTTGATTGTAACACAACCTAAAGAAAAATCAAAAAGACCTACAGTAACTGATATTTTTGAAGAAGTTTCGCCTGGAAAATTGACAGAAACTGTACTCGAAGGACCATATGATAAAAACAAATTAATATTAATGGATGATTTTGATGATTATGATTATACACGAAAAAGAGGATTGAGTTTCGATTCGATGGATAGTAATTCAACAAGTGATTTGCAAGAACAAGATGGAAGTATTAATTGGAATCAAACTGAATATTTCATTGAAAAATTGGAAAATGATACAAATGAGGAAATTGTGAAAGAATTTCAGACATATTCCACGCAGCAATTTGTATCAAACCTGATTTATTATATTTCTCCCCCAACCAAAAAATATTTGGAAAAACAACATGTGATTGTGACGAAAAGTTTGATTCGTCTCATTTTACGAATTATTCCGAGATTCAGCGATGGTTTGAGACATGATTATTGCGCGATTTTTCATCGATATGTTCAAAGTTTTCGAACGGCTCTAGAAGATTCGACGGTTTTTTCGCCCAGAAATCTGACTTATACAACAAATATGTATCATTTTGCGATAGTTGGAAGTTTTACTATTTCTTCGATTGGACTTGGAATTCTCAATGATGTTGGGATTTTGCATTTGTGAGTTTTTTTTTGGGGTGGGCGAAAGAGGGGTGGGATTTCGAAAAAAAAATAATTTTTTTGAAATTTTATTCATATATATTTACAAACGAGATGGCCGCTAATGATTGCACTTTCCAAAAAAAAGTTAAAACCAACAAAAAAAAAACAAAATTGAGAAAATTATTATGGTTTCTGTGAAACAAAGAAGCATTGTTGAATATGTGACAGCTTCACCAAACACTTGTATTTCTCTGTCAAAAGTCCACCTTCTGGCAAACCAGCTGATGGATTACAATATGGTCGACAATGTTCGTATCCTGGTTCGAATACACCGTATGCTTCACAACATTGTGAAGCATCTTCGTATCCTGAAGCACACACCATAACATCTCCTACTTTACTCAATGGACATCTCCCTGTGAGAACAGCCAGTTGCATCTGCAAAAATCACATTTAATTTTGAAAATATTATTCCTGACAACTTACTGTAGCCAAAGTAGCATCATAATTACAAAGTGGAGCACATCCTTCTCCAAGTCTCGAACAACAATTTCTGAATCGATCATTAGCGCTTTCTTTTGTAATACACGGTTGCCATCCTGGTTGACGTGGACATTGAGCTTTTGCCAACGGAGTTCCCTTTCCGGCATCAATATATTTTTCGAAACTAACTGGTCTCGCATCAATGCTTGGTGCAGCGGCGGCAGCGGCAACTGGAGCCGGCGCTTGTGGAAGTGGCCGAGGTTGTTGTGGAGCAGCGACTTGTTGTGGTTGAGCAACTGGCAATGATGGTTGTTGAGGAGTTTGGGGAACTTGAACTTGAGGTTGTTGGACCTGTTGCTGATATTGATTGTATTGTTGAGTATATTGTTGTTGCTGTGGTTGCTGGTATGGTTGCTGATAAGGTTGTTGAGGTTGAGCAACTTGCTGGGTTTGAGGTTGTGGTTGATAAGTTTGTTGAACTTGAGCTGATTGATATGTTGGTTGTTGGTATGGTTGTTGAACAGCTGGTTGTTGGGTTTGTTGATAGTATGGCTGTTGATTGTAGTTATAACTTCCTTGATGTTGAACTTGTCCGTATTGTTGAGTGCTGATTCCTTGTTGTTGCAATGGAGCGGCAGAGTTTCCGAACAAATTAAATGGGTCTAATGGGTTTGTTGATTGGGGTAATTGGAATAAGTTTGGTTGGCCTGGTTGTTGTGGGAGACCGAAAAGTTGAGGTTGTTGTTGGGGTTGGGGAAGTTGGAAAAGGTTTGGTTGATTGAACAAGTTTTCCATTTGTGTTCCGAATCCTTGTGGTTGAGCTGGTTGTTGTTGTGGGAAAAGTTGTGGAAGTTGTTGGGGTTGTTGAATTTGTGGTTGTTCTGGTGCAAGATCGGCTGGTTGACGACTGAGATTTGGATCGAAAGTCGAGATCTTTGGTGGTTCAACAAGTGGAGCGAGTGTAGCAGTTTGAACTGGCTGAGGATATGGAAGTTGTTGACCTTGATAGTTTGGAGCGGCGAATTGCACAGGTTGAGCGTGTGGTTGAAGTGGAATGTTGAATTGTGGTTGAGCTCCACCTTCAGCAGATACTTGACGAGCATTTATTGAGTGGCTGAATTGTTGTTGTTGTTGAGTTTGATAAACTGGAGCTGGTTGTGGTGGAAGTTGTGGTTGGATCTGGAAATTAGATTGTGTTTTTCAAGACGCGACAGGCTGCTAGGACATCCGAACACCTCTCGTACACTATCAACAAAGTGTTTGTATGTACAAAGAGTGAGAGGCCTATTTCCCCAAAACGACTTGTTCTAACTCACCAAAGCTGAACTTTGTTGTTGTCCTCCACATCCAGAACAAGCTGTCGGACACATTCGGTTAATAAAATCGACAGCACAATGAACACATTTAGCTCTTGCACACGATGACAAATCAGCAAAACATGTGCTGACTAATATGAGCAATATAGTAAGTGCACGGATTGTCGAAACCGACATGCTGCAAAATTATGAATGAGAATAAAATAAAAATGAAAAGTGAAACAGGTCCCCTATTGTTGTTGTTGTTGTTATTTTTATCTCGTCAGAAAGTGACAGTTTTAGCTAGATTGGATAGATTAGGAAAAAGAGGACCGGCGATTGGAGAAGAAGAAAAAAACGGTTTAGCCTAATTTTCACAAAAAGGATTAGCAGAACGTTATTATTGAATTATACGATGATATCATGAAGCTTTTCGTTTTTTCGAAGATCTCTTATCAAAGTGATTGACCCATTTTTGTTGTGGGTAATTTGTCGGTTTTTTTTCGGGTGGAGAATTATGTATGAGAAACTTATGCAATTAAATTAATTTAGAGTAATTCAGATATTCGTGAGGTGAACTTTCTTTTAAAAAATATAGAATTTGAAAAAAAAAACATATTGAAAATGTGAAACTCTTATATGAAATCTCGATTTTCTAGTCAACCCAAATGTGAAAAAATGGTTGGAAAAGAAGCTGGCCAAGAAAGATGCGTTGTTCGAAGAAAAGCGGTAGGCAACCGTCAGCGATGAAACCGGCTTGCGGACACCGCATTTTTTAATTACCCGCCCCTTTTCGGCCGCCTAGTGGCTAACAGGTTTTCTGTGATCAGCCGAGAAGAAGAAGATTTCGAAAAAATCTTTGGATGGCATCGACTTTTGGCAAATGGATTTTCTTGTTTTCGTTTTCGCTTGAACGAAGGTGGAATAAATTATGAGTATGGTAATTCAATAAGGAAATGGGTGGCTGTAATAAAAATGATTGGAATTTACAAATTCAGAATTCATTGAGGATTAGAAATGAATGCGTGGGAAGGAAGGATGTCTAAAATTCTTTCCAGAAATGTATTTTCCGTACTTCTTTGTTCTCCCTAAAGTGTTGTCTTGTCAGTTCTCAAATAATATTCCATCTTCAATTATTTTGCGATGTCGCAATCCTGCCTATTATCCATTCTTTTTCATCCTACATAATGAAAACGGGATTTGATAACCGCAAAAACTTGTCTATTCAATATTATTATTTTTATCAATGAGATAAGGAGAGGTTTTTTCCTAACCATGTTTGTTTGTTTGGTGAATCCTTGTACTTTTTGCTTTTCTGATGGATTATGTGTGTAATCGGAAGAGAAAGTTGGCATAAGCTGGGTTTTGTACAATATGTATTCTGAATTGAAATTGAAATTGTTACGGAACGCAATGGAGAACGCTTAGTGACAGTGGTAACTGTTAACAATCTCATTGCGCTCTTTCGGACCACTCTGTATTTCAGCCTATAGAAATAAGCTTTAGTTCATCATCCATCATTATTACATAACTAAATAACTACTTATAATAACTATGAATCTATTATCCAACTTTTTATTAGTGGGTATTAACTCATCCATACAATAACAACAACAACAGCAAAAACGAAGAAAAAAACCAGAAGAAATCGCCACGGCGAAAATAAAGAGGTCATTACACCCAATTGCACTGCGCCTCAAACGGATATTATATTTGCATACAAACTGGATTAAAAATCTCTTTTTTCGAATTTCACGCTGTGAGATGTTTTTCGGGTCAAGATGAAACATTTTTGTGTACTTTTCTGGAATGGAAATTTGGTATTTGAAAAATATTTTTGAAAAAAAAATGAAGATCAAAATTGTCAAATAAAAATCAGCATTGAAGTTATTTCAATATTTTTTTCCAGATATGTGAATATGATAAATGGTTCAACTGCACCTGAACATATCAAAGTTATAATATCTTCTCTGGATTATTCAACTGAAGGAATCACAAGAACAATCCTCAGAAAAGCTCTGACTTCGAGTGATGAAATTTCTAGAAAATGGGTTACCAGATATCTGTCAGTTTTGGCTTCTGTTGAATTGCCTGGTTTTGATGATTGGGGAGTACAATTAATGTTGAGACAATTAACCGATGAATCACCCAAAGTTGTTAGAAACGCGCTGAGGTTGTTGAATCGATGGTTGCCGGAATATCCATCACGGAAGATTAGAAAAATTGAATGGAGTTTGTATGGAGAAGCTGGGGAAATGTTGAAACCACATTTATATTCTATTGAAGAAGAAGTTATTTTGGAAATTGAGGAGGTTCGGGATTTGGTGAAATATTGGTTGAATACTTGGAACACGAAATTTGTTGATGCGATTGATGAAGATCTTCGAACGATAATGTTTTCGAATAAAAGAAGTTTGGATGGATCGTTTTCTCGAAGTAGCACTGAAAAGAATACCAATGGAGTGCCTGCGCCGATTCATTTATTTGGTGCGCTAGGAAAACATGAAACTGGTAGAGAATTATTGATTGAGGAACATGTTTGTGAAGAAATGTTGGGGATTTTGCACAATTCGAATTCGAAAAATCGGGATATTAAAGGAGCGTTGTGGGGATTATCAAGTATTGCATCAACTGATGAAGGATTCTCAATTCTTCCAATCGAAACAATTCCAAGAATTATAAAAATTGCTGAAGAACATGGAGTTTTGAGTATTCGAGGAACTGCATTTTTAGCATGTGTTTGTATTTCACAATCTGTTGAAGGAGCTAAACGATTGGCACAATTTGGATGGGAATCCAATAAATATCGATATACAATTGATATTGCGAAAAAGATGGCACAAGAAGAAATACCATTGAAAAGAAGGAACACTCATAATCGACATTATTCGGTTGTCGAAAAAAGTGTTCAAGAAAAACCGAGAGCGAAAAGTCGAACAAGATCGCAATCGGAAAGTCGAATCGATAGAGCTGAAACAAATTGGAGCGAAAAGGGAAATGGAGGAGTGGGAAAAATTGAGCAGACAAAATTGAGACATTGGAGTAGTGATTTGGGATTGAGAGACGAACTCGCGATTTTCGAGGATAATCAAAATGGAATGATTTTATCACCGATTAGTATTGAAGTTGTTGATGAATATAGGATGCATTCTTCAAGTGGAGCGAATTCAAGATTATCTAGTAGGTTTTTCATTTTTGTTTCCTCAAAGAAAATAAAAATTCGCTTTTTTTCCAGATGAACGACGTCGTGCAAATACAACAAACTCAAATATCGAAGAAGATTCATCACTTGGAACTCGTTCATCTACAGTAGCTCGATGTATTCGAGAAGGTCTTCAAATCCCACGTGAACAATTAGAAGCTGAAGGAACACTTGCTGATACTATCAAAGAGTTTCATTTCTCATGCCGAATGCGCGAAAAATTCCACCTCGCACCATTTCGAATTCGCGCATCGATGCAGATAAATCGAAATATTGGAGATCCGATCAGATATATATTTATGAGTAAAGATGAAGAGCGATATTTTGCGAATTTCCGCAGAGAAACTGTTGGTGACAGTTGGCTTTTTGATGAATTATGTAAAGAAGACAATTCGATAAAGAAAACTGTTAGTGTTGTACCATTACAAACTGTTGCATTGCCAGCTGAAGTTGAAGTGATTTGCGCGAATATATTTCCATCGAAATCGAGATCGGATACAATATTCACGAATAATAACAATGATGATATTGAAGATCGGGGAGCACGTGGAGGTTATGCGAAAAATGATAATCTTTCACATATTCAACGACACTCCAAATATCGATGTTTTCATTGTACCGAAGATGTTCAAAGTAATGATTTTATTTTTTTGAAAAATAATTATTTGGTTTTTTTTCAGCCGAATATCCACATCCGGATGCTGTTCAACTTCGACGCGAAGTTTTGAATCAAGTTGATATGTTGGAAATCAAAGAATATCCGACAAAACGATTAATTGGGTAAGATTTTTTCTGGACCCGGTACCATTCGAAATTGACCATTCTCACGTTCTCGCGAATCAGACTAGGTACATTTTAACCTGGATTACTTTTTTTCTTGTAAATGATAAGCAAACTAGTTTGTGACGCACTATTTTTTCTCGCTATGAAAGTTATTTATTATCCACACCTTACAGTAGATATACAATTTCAGCCTTCGCCAACACAACGAATGGCTTTTCAAATGGCCGTGTCTTTATGCAGATGTTCTAGAACTTTTGGATGAATATCGATTCAAACCTCATTCTAGAGCATTTTTACAACAAATTTTCTATGATGCACTTCAGTTTTAAACATTTTCAATCAGGGTTTTATATCTATTTTTTACCGGGTAAAAATAATTTTTTGTTGTTGTGATTTTGTAAATAAATTGATAATAAATGTATTTTTTTTCAATAAAGAAAAAACTGTTTTTGCATAAAAGTACGACTCCAAAAAACGACAACAAGACAACATTATAGCCATTTTACTTTTTTGGATGTCTAATTTCTCTCACCCTTTCACACTATTCATCATCTTCTCGTTTTAATGACCTTCATACCACTGATAACTGACGTCCCCAAATAATATAATCAATCCTTTGTTTTTTTTTCCTGTTTTTGTTGATGTTCGCAAATTTTGCTCATTTTTTTTGCAGAAAATGGCAGTTTTATCAAAACTCCAGCTATTGGGTGCCTCAATTCCAGCAAAACAATATGCTCCGGGAATGTTGGGAATGCTTTCGGTTTTTGCGCTGATCAAATTGTATAAACATGAATTCAGGTATTTTTTCCAGCTCGAAACAGTTTTCGAGAAAAATTAGAAAAAAATAATGTTTTGATCGTCAGGTTCGGTGTGTGGTCGTGGCCGCAAACACGTTTGCATATCGTACTATTTTTTGCGAGAAAAATTTTTTCGATTTTTCAGTTTTTAAAAACTTTCGGGGTTTTTAGCTTTTAAACTCAGGAAGATTGATAAATTCCAATTCATGTTATTTTTCAGAACTTCCAAAAATGCTCCAAAGCGCTCGAAAAAACCCGGAGAGAAATCCCACAAAGCACACGTCGATTTGGTTTTCTTCAGAAAATTACAAAGAATTTTGAAAATTCTGATCCCCGGTTTCTTTTCAAAAGAAACATTTTATCTGGTTTTAATCGCTGTTTCATTGCTCTGCCGAACTTATGCAGATGTTTATATGATTATCACTTCGACAAAAATCGAGGCCTCAATTATTGATCGAAATCCACTGCTTTTTGCGTTGGAAGCATTCAAATATGTTTTGAATTTGCCAGCAATTTCAGTCACAAATGCATTGTTGAAATTTGGAATTGCTGAATTGAAACTTCGATTCAGAGAAAGATTATCTGCACATTTATATTCACAATATTTGAAGTGAGTTTTCCAAGAACCAATTTTATTTATCGAAATTTATCCAATATTTCAGAGGTTTCACTTTCTACAAAATGTCAAATCTCGACAATCGAATTCAAAATGCTGACCAACTTCTAACCACGGATGTCGATAAATTCTGTGATGGAATTGTTGAATTGTATTCGAATTTGTCGAAACCGATTCTTGATGTATTTTTATATTTGGTTCGACTTGGAACATCTCTCGGATTTTCTTCTCCGTCGATTTTGTTTTCTTATTTGATTTTCACTGGAATTGGATTGACATATATGAGAAGACCGGTGAGTATTTTTAGGGTTGGCATGAATTCTAAATTTAGTTTTCTAAAGCTTCCAATTTTCAAAAAAAAAACATTTAAAAAATCTACGTGAACATGAACTATCATATTTTGATTCTCAAATTCTTCAGATCGGAAGATTGACTGTCGAAGAACAAGCATTGGAAGGAGAATATCGATATGTGAATTCTAGACTTATTTCAAATAGCGAAGAAATCGCATTTTATCAAGGAAATCAAAGTGAAAAAGATACAATTATGCAAACATTTGCGAGTCTTGTTCAACATCTCAGAAAAGTTATTTTATTCAGGTATCTAGTTCTTTGTCAATCTCCAAAATTATTCCAAATTTTCAGATTCTCGGTTGGATTTGTTGATAACATTGTTGCCAAATATTTAGCTACCGTAGTCGGTTGGTACGCAGTTGGAAGTTCGTTTTTCAACAAAAATCATAAACCATTCATTGGAAAATCGAGAAATGAATTGATGCAAGAATATTATAATTCTGGAAGAATGATGTATAAAATGGCTGAAGCTTTGGGAAGATTGGCATTGGCTGGAAGAGATATGACTAGATTAAGTGGATTTACATCGAGAGTCGATACATTATTGAGTGTTTTGAATGATGTAAATGAGGGAAATTATAAACGAACAATGGTTGGAGGAACAGAAAACGAAAGAGATGGAGAAAGTTTGGTATCGAATCCAAAAAAAGCTGGAAGTGGTGTTTTGAATATTCGAGATAATGTAATTCGATTTGAAGATGTTCCATTAGTGACACCAAATGGTGATACTCTTATTGAATCACTTTCATTCGAAGTTCCATCGGGCAGAAATGTTTTGGTTTGTGGGCCAAATGGTTGTGGAAAAAGTTCACTTTTCCGAACACTTGGTGAACTTTGGCCATTATTTGGAGGAACTTTGACAAAACCTGACAAGGGAAAACTATTTTATGTTCCACAACGGCCTTATATGACAATGGGAACACTTCGAGATCAAATAATCTATCCGGATCGACATTTTGATATGATTAGAAAAGGAATATCGGATAGTGATTTGGAGCAAATGATTGAAAATGTGAGTTTTCAACCTAATTTTTGATTCATAAATCATTTCCCCCAAAAAAGTTGAAAATGTTTATCTAAAAAATGCTTTTTTCCTTTTTTTGGCGAATTGATAATAAATGAAAGGCTTAACGAGAATTTTTTTCTAAAAAAAAATTTAACAAATGAACTTTTGAATTTGATAGTTGAAAAAAATATTTCCTGGTGTCACTATCGAGAAATTTACGATTGTAAATAAATGACAATCGAACAGGAGCTTGAAAAGAACTTTGAACCTTTTTTTTACTTAGATAGACAAGACAAATGAAAATTTAGGTTCAACTAACTCATATTTTGGAGCGTGAAGGTGGTTGGGGAGCAGTTCAAGATTGGATGGATGTTTTATCCGGTGGGGAGAAACAGAGAATTGCGGTGAGTAGGGAAGTTGTAGTTTGAAATTTTTTCTGAATTTCAGATGGCTCGACTTTTCTACCATAAACCTCAATTCGCAATTCTTGATGAATGTACTTCTGCAGTTAGTGTTGATGTTGAAGGTGAGAACAGTACATAAAGTTTTTGATCCGATTTTTTGTTGATAGCTCAATTTCTATTAAAAATTCTTTAATCTCTTCCGACTCACACATCCTTAAAATTGAATCTTCAAGTCTGAACCTTTTTCATCAGCAAATAATTTTATTTTTCAGGTGCAATGTATCGTTTATGCCGTGAAATGAATATCACATTATTCACAGTTTCACATCGTAAATCATTATGGAAATATCATGAATATTCACTTTATATGGATGGACGTGGATCTTATCGATTTGAACAAATTGATGAAAATTCCGATCAATTCGGCTCGTAAATTATTTTTTCTTGTCTTGCCTTCAAAATTATTATTATAATACATTTTAAACCTTTCTCCTGTCTGTGTCCCGGAATTTTTTGGCGGAGTTTGAAGTTTTTTCTTTATCAGCGTATGAAAATTTGAAAAAAAAGAGATAAGACTCGTCGCTTCATTCATTATTTTTTGATTTATGTGAGAAGAAAATGGGTGTTCTATCCAAATTTCAACTTCTCAACTCGACGTTGACTTATAAGAATTGGTCTCCAGCTTTTGCCGGAGTTTTTGGTTGTATTGCGATTGCGAATCTTTATTCGGGAAGTTTTAGAGGAAAGAAAAGTGGACAAAGTTTGTCGAAGAATGTGAAGAAAGCAGGTGCAAAGACTGGATTGGATGCGGAATTTTTTGAGAAAATTCGACGACTTCTCAAAATTTTGATCCCAGGTAAATATTAAGTATCAAGATTGTTTCGGAAATTGCAAGAATTTCTTAAAATTAGATATCTAAAAAAATCCACAAATCCCAAAATTATTTCCAGGTCCGCTCTCAATGGAAGTATTTTACATGGTCGTGATTGGACTTGTTTTACTCGCTCGAACTGTTGCTGATGTTTATATGATTACAAATGCAACAAGTGTTGAAGCATCGATGGTTGACAGAAACCCAATTATTTTTGCTGTCTCTGTCTTCAAATACTTCCTCAATCTTCCAGCGATTTCTTTGATCAACGCGTTATTGAAATTCTCGTTGTCCGAACTCAAACTTCGTTTCAGAGAGCGATTGACAAAACATCTTTATGATAAATATCTTGGGTAAGTTGGTCTTTTTTCTCCCGATTGACTTTGTGAAAAACCCGTGTTTGTTTTCATTCTAGGAAAAAACAGTAGTTTTTTAGATAAGGTTTTTTTATAATTTCCTGGTTATCAAAATATTGATTGTTCTTTGAGTTAAAAACGAAAATGATTATTTTTCAGTTTGACATTCGAACTCAAAAACCTGAAATCATCTTTTAAACTACTGCAACCTAAAATCCTAATATAGGTTTATTGTCATCAAAGCCTACAGTACCCAAACTGCAAGGACTACTGTAGATGAGTGAGAAATCAATTGTTTTTTATTGAATCTAACCACCATAGAACCAAAGTTTCTCAGAGTATCCATCAAAAAAATAATTATTTTTTTCCAGTGGCTTCACATTCTACCAAATCTCCAATCTCGACAATCGAATTCAAAATCCCGATCAACTTTTGACTCAAGACGTCGAAAAATTCTGTGATGGAATCGTTGAATTGTATTCGAATCTCACCAAACCAATTCTCGATGTATTTTTGTACATTTTCAAACTTGGTCGAGCTCTCGGATGGGAAGGTCCAGGAATATTGTTTGGATATCTTATGGCCAGTATGGTTGTTCTAACCAAGCTCCGAAAACCGGTTAGATATTTTTGAGTTTTGAAAATTTTACAACTAACTTTTAGATCGCAAAATTGACTGTGGAAGAACAAGTTCTTGAAGGAGAATATCGATATGTAAACTCAAGATTAATAATGAACAGTGAAGAAATTGCATTCTATCAAGGAAACAAGCCAGAAAGAAATGCATTAATGGGATCATTCCAAAATCTTGTAATTCATCTTCGAAAATCAATAATGTTCCGATTCACACTTGGATTCGTTGATAATATTGTTGGAAAATATGTGACAAATATTATTGGATGGATTGCTTGCGCAAAAACTCTATTCGATATGGAAAATGAGCGGGTAAATAATATGGATAGAAATGAAATTATGCAAGAGTTGTATAATTCTGGAAGAATGATGTTGAAATTGTCAGAGGCTTTGGGAAGATTGGCTTTGGCTGGAAGAGATATGACTAAGTTGAGTGGATTTACGACAAGAGTTGATACTTTGATGAAAGTTTTGGATGATATGAAGAAGGGAAGATTTGAGAAAGGAATTGTTAGTGGAACAGAATTGCAATCGGGAAGAGGAACATTGATCACTCAAGATAATATTATTCGATTTGAAGATGTTCCATTAGTGACACCAAATGGTGATACTCTTATTGAATCACTTTCATTCGAAGTTCCATCGGGCAGAAATGTTTTGGTTTGTGGGCCAAATGGTTGTGGAAAAAGTTCTCTTTTCCGAACACTTGGTGAACTTTGGCCAGTTTTCGGGGGAACTTTGACGAAACCAGCAAAGGGTAGATTGTTCTATGTTCCACAGAGACCATACATGACTTTGGGAACACTTCGGGATCAGATTATTTATCCGGACACGATTTATGATATGACAAAGAAGGGGTTGAAAGATGAACATCTCGTGGAAATGTTGGAATATGTGAGTGTACTTCTTGAATCTAAAATGTTACCGAATAATTTTCCAGGTTCAACTAACTCATATTTTGGAGCGTGAAGGTGGTTGGGGAGCAGTTCAAGATTGGATGGATGTTTTATCCGGTGGAGAGAAACAGAGAATTGCGGTAAATTGGGAAGTTGGAGTTTGAAATATGTTTTTTCGGATTTTCAGATGGCTCGACTTTTCTACCATAAACCACAATTTGCAATTCTTGATGAATGTACTTCTGCAGTTAGTGTCGATGTTGAAGGTGAGAACAGAAAATTTTAAATAAAATCGAAGATGCTAAGATTTCTCTTTGATAGCTCGATTCCTATTAAAAATTCTTTAATCTCTTCCGAATCACACATCCCTAAAATTTAATCTTCAAGTCCGAACCTTTTTCTCAGGAAATCTTTTTGTTTTTCAGGTGCAATGTATCGTTTATGCCGTGAAATGAATATCACATTATTCACAGTTTCACATCGTAAATCATTATGGAAATATCATGAATATTCACTTTATATGGATGGACGTGGATCTTATCGATTTGAACAAATTGATGAAAATTCCGATCAATTTGGATCATAACCAAAATACAATTTTTAAACAAATATTTGATTATTTTTTTCAGCCTCCAAAAATAACTACACATATGTAATTATAAAGTATTTAACCTGATACATATATTCTGAAGATAACAAGTTGCTAACTGTAAATATAAAAGTTTTCGGCACGTGGAAAAGTTTTGAGGTTAAAAATGTTGAGTAAAACTTTATGGGCTGAAAATCATGTGAATCCCAAAAATTGAATTATTATCAGCGAACAAAATTATGACACGTGGATTCATAAAAATTTGGTTGTGCCACGTGGAATTTCTGAACTTGAAAACCGAAGAATCCACATGAACTTTGAAAGTTTCTGGTTAAAAGTATAGCTTTTTCAACAAATCATTTTTGAAATTTCAGGCTTTTCAAAAGATTTTGAAAATTTATCAACGCACACAATTTTTTTTCAAAAAACTTTTTTGATCTACGCGGCAAAATTTAATTTCTTGCATCACGTTTTTTTCGAGTTCAAAGAACAAAAACAGGAAGCGAGAGAGTATGGAAAAACAAGAGAGAGAGAGAGAGAGAGAGAGAGATTGTCAACTTGTTGGTGAATGGCTGGTTTTCTTGGGTGGCATTTCAGATTTTTTTTTTGAATTTTTTTAAAACGGTTATCTGGAATTTTTTTGAATTCAGCTGAAATCTGGATTCACTTTTCTCTTAAATTTCTTGGCTGATTTATCTGGATTTTTCTGAAATTCAAATTCATCTTTCTCTATAATTTTTTGACTGGAATTTCAGATTTTTTTGAATTTTTGAGATTTAAGATGGTTGTCGGGAATTTCCATAAATTTATCTAAAATTGGAAACAATTTTGAAACAGTGGAATTTTTTGTATAACAAATTTTGAACCTGATTTTCTGAAAATTTTAAATTGTTTCAATTTTCTACAGGATTCGCTGAAATGAATTTTTCAAATAAAAAAAAACAAAATTGTAAATTTTCAAATCCCAAACGTGTAAACGTGACCCACATCCACGTCATCGCATTTAATTTTTTTTCTGAATTTCCCATTCTCATCATTTCTTCTCACAGAAAGTGTCACATATGGTCAATCGAATTCGAAAGAAAATCGAAAAGTTAGTCTACATCAATTCGAATGTGAACATCACCATTGTAATCCCACAAGATCGCGATGTGATATTATTGCATTTTCTTGTCATTTCGGATCAGGAATTCGCGAATTTTTGGATTAGTTATTCCAGTTTCAATCCCACATTGTTCATTGAATCGAAAAATCGATGTTCGAATTGATATTCATCTGATTTTGAATCAATTATGCTCTGCGATTTATGGAATTATTATTGAGCAATTTGAACGGCTGGATATTATGGAAGTATTATTGCATTTCGAAGTTGTGAGTGAGTTGTTTTTATTTTCAAAGATAAAGTTCAAATAAAAGAAAAAATTAATAAAAACATATTTTATCTACCCAAAATAGAATAGGATCATATAAATAATTTCATTTCTAAAAATGTTGATCCACAGGCATTATTTCCTAACTTTTTATTTCAAGAAAATATAATTTGTGTTTTTTTCTTGGAAATTTGTTCGAGAAAAAAGATGAAATCGAAAAAACAATTAAAATCACGTGAAACGTGTACTCGTTCGCATTTTTCTTCGGAAGCCGACAGTAACTGAATTGGGCAACTGTATATATAAGTATACTTTCTGGATGAATCAAGGTTTTCTACAGTACTTTACTGAGCTCAAGAGTTCTATTTCAAAAAATAACTTAAAAATAGAAAATCATGCTGATTACTGTAGTTGTGCATTGAGGTACAGTACTCCAGATTTCTTTCGAACTATACGTTCCACGGGTTACTGTGATTCAACAGTAACCCATTGTCGTAAATGTGAGAAATGTACAGTTATCCTGCTCGTAGAGTTTGACTGTAACATTGAAAATGAAAAATTTCGATTTGTGCAAGCAAAAAAACATACAAAATATGATTATATATATTTTTTTGTTTTCTGTCTCCACCAAAAATATCTACACATATGTAATTATAAAGTAACCTGATACATATATTTTCCATTTTTGGCTTGTTCGCAATATTTTTGTTAGATTATTCGTTAGTATTTTCATAAGAAAAGATGTGGCTAACTAAAATAACTAACTAAATGACAGAGAAAATATTATAAAAATAAAATAATTATGAATAACAAGTTCATATGCTGCTCATTTTTACACACATCCTTGTTATTCTTCTTCATCTCATTTTTATTTTTCCAAAAATTATTACACTTCGCTACGATGCTCTGAGATGCGCAAAAATGTTGTGTTGTGTGGTTATTTTTGTTGTGTTATTGAATTTCGGATTTTCGAGAGAATTGAGAAGATTTTCGAGATTTAATATCGTTTTGCTTCTTCAACAAATTTTCTGACTCATGATGAGATTTGAGTTTTTCCCACATGTCATCTTTCATTAGATGAAATTTTCACGAAGATTTCAATTTTTTCGGACTCTTGAGTTTCATAATTTTTTTTGTAATTCTGATAGTTTTTGAATTTATTTTGAGCTCCGAGTATTTGTTTTTTGAGCTCCGAGTATTTTGTATTTTTTTTGCCCAATTTTTTATTTCTAAATTTTCAAACATTCTAGTTGTTAATTTTTTCGAACCCTGGGATTTTCATTTTCGTATTTCCAAATTTTTTGGAGCCCTGAAATTTCCAATGATCAGCCACGAAATCAAAAAAAAATTCAAGCCAACAACCCTGAATATCATTTCACAACCCATATTTATTTATATTCTATTTTTACCCTTTTGTATATGTATCCACTTACACATTATGTTTTAGCCCACTCAATTTCATTTTTTTTGTTCTCACGCTTTCTCGAAAAATCGCCGACTTAATTATACCTTTGTTCGTTTTCATAAGACATAAGCCTATTAAAAATAGTATATTCGAGAAAACGAAAATTATTTGTTTTTTTTTGCCTTGGATATCTTTTTTTCTCGTTTAATCCATCTGTCCTATATGCTAGAGGATCCGTTCATTTTACGACTTCGTATTTTTTTTTTGCTGAAGACATGTGTCAGCTTCTTCTTCTTCTTCCTCTTTTTTCCAGCTTGACCCACCGCCGCAAAACTTTTTTTCAATTTTTGAGAAAAAAAATTCTTAAAGGGCAACCCTTTGATATCAAAAACTAAAACCGACGCGATCATTTATCAGCTGTTGTGTAGTTCTCGAGAATAACATTGTTTACCGAAACTCTTCAAATAATGATGGAAGATATAAGATTTTCCATTCATTTGTCTTCTTTTCATTTCCTAGGTAACTTCTTCTTTCTTTCTTTTTTTGCCCAATTATGTTGATGTATTCAGAGCTCACCGAGTTTGTTGTTTTGTTTCTTTTTAGTGTCTTTTTTAGTGTTTAGCATTTCAGTGTTGTTTTGGCATGACTTAAAATCAGAATAAAGCTGATTGTGTCGGGTATGATTGACAGAGACTCTGAGAAGTACAGTTAAAAATTTTTTTTGAAACTTTTTTTCAGAAAAACTTTCATTTTTTCCAAAACCTATTTTTCCCAGAGCATAATAGATAATCTTAAGTTCTAAAAATAAACAAAAATTAAAAATACATCAGCAGAGTTCGTCGCTTTCTTTCATCATCTGAATATCTAAAATGCACCTGACGCTTGCTTGAGTAAAATCTATTTCGTCATTTCGTAATCCGTTGAGTTGAGTAATCCTTTTTGTTCCTTGCTTCCTGAATAAATTTTTACCGAAAAATTTATTTTCTTTATTGTTGTTTTTTTCAGAAGATGACAAATAGCGCAATATTTTCACCAAATCGTATCAATAGGCGACGATCTACAAAAGCACTGCAGGATTTCATCAGTCGGCCGTTTACACAGAGGTGGGGTTTTGATTTTTGGGATATACAATGTTTTGGAATTTTTTAAATCGAGCCATGCATGTTTTAGAATTCCAGGCTAATTTATTTTATTTTTGTTTACCAATTTATTATATTTTAATATTTGAGCAACAAGAAAATATTCAGTTTCCCTAATTTTTTCTAAATTTTTGAAAAAAATTATTTTTCATATTCCTTGATAAAATCTGCAGCAAAAGTACCATAAGGTGAATATTTTTCAAACTCGCAATTTGTGCCCTCATTATTTTTTTCAAGATAGATTTCCGGCTTTTCTATGCAATCTCGAAAAATAATAACAAAACATTTCATAATCAAAATGACGTCAGAAACCTGGACTCTTTAAGGAACTGGAAATTTTCGCCACGTGGGAATTTGAAAAAGTTCCGAAAAACAGGAAATGAAAGTTCAAAATTGGTGTCACGTGAGAAATTTCAAAATAAATATATATTTTTTTTAGATTTCCGGGTTTTGTGGGAAAAAAATTATTTGAAAATGAAGAATCATTGTCCAAAATTAGTTTTAAAATAAATTGGGATAATTGTATTTTTTTCTCCATATATTATTTGAAACTGGATGTTTGAGAAGAAAATGAGAATTTCATGTTCGTATATTTTTCCGAGGACTCTTCCCAGATTCAGTTTGCGAATTTGAATTTTCAAAAAAAAATGTATTTTTACTTGAGAACATGACCAAATCTGACACTAAATCCTGACCGTGTAAATCTATAGATCACTTTTTTCCATTTCAATGATTCTGTGCTCGATTATTAATCAAGCGTATTTAATTCTTTGTTCGTCGAAAATCTCGAAGATTAATAAATCGCGAAACCTTTTATCCATAATATTCCGTTTTTCTTCTTCTTCTTCATGTTTTTTGCTTGCTCCTCTTTCTTTCTTATACATATTCCTACTACATTCATACATCTCTATATAATATTTTCCACTTGACAAAGCACACGGCTCCACCCTTCTTCTACCTAGATATTCCATGTCATAAGAGCACAGCGAAAAGAAATGTTCAACGTCTCCTCTTTTTTTGAATCTACACATTCCTCGGGATAATTTAAAATTCGCGCAGTCGTCTTCCGTTGAGCTGAGACTACTTGAATAAGGACAAAAAACAAGAAGAAGAAGAGGAAAATCAAGTTCTTTCTTTATTTTTGTACTTTTGCAAAAAAAAGAGAGACGATGACGAATCGACGGAATATTAAAAATCTTCGATTAGGGTATGTTTTCAGAAGATTTTTTTTTTGATTTGAAGTCAAAGAATTAGGTCAGGTTCAGTTCTAGTCGATGAAAACGTTTTGAGAGTTTTGATTTATTTGGAAAAAATCTTTTTGTTATCATTCAATTTTTAAATTCAAATTCAGTTTTTCAAAAAAAAATCGCAGAAAAATAATTCAAAATTTTATTTTTTTGCAACCCTTCTATAATCAGACTTACTTTGATCTGATTTTTTCCAAGAATATTTTGAATGAAGAATTACTGAATCTCTAGTCTCATCGAGAAATTTTGAAAGTTAGGCCAGATTAATTGAGACTAGACCAATTTCTTAGATCCAAGTCAAAATTTTTTTGCATAATATTTTTGTGTTTTTTTTTCTGTTAACGCATTGATCACACCGTTCAAAAGTGAATTAAGCAGCAGAAAAATAGGAGAAAAAACAAAAGAATGAACAAAAGAAGTAACTCCCAAAGGGATTATTTATCTATCAATCTGAGCCTTTTTTTTCACTCCTTTTTTGCTTGTCTCCTTCTTCTTCTCAATTTTTAGTTTAGTCATTTCAGATATTTACCACCTATTTATTTATTCCGTTCCCTTATATTCTAAAAAAAGTTTTCTCTTTTTCTTCTTTTTTTTCTCATATCATCTTTGCTTGTTGGTTTCTCATCATTCAAATATTTATTAAAAAATAAGAGAAGAATGGAGAAGAATGATAGTATTTTTACAAAAACATGAGAAAATATTCTGAAGAATTGGAAACCAGATCACCAAAAATTCTATGACTAAGGGGTCAAGCCCAAATAAGGCTGGGCTGGAAATTTTTGAAAAATACTTCAGAACAAATTTACTGTTCATTTATTTATTTGTGATTTTCTGATTACTTTTGATGATTGTTGAAATGAAATTCTGAAAAAATTAAAGCTCTCAAAAAGCAAAGAATAATTTTCCAAACAATTTTTGAAACGAAGATCCATGCTTGTTTGGAAAGTAATTCTATTCCTATTCCTACATGTATCTTCTATCTTCTATGTAGTCATTTTGATATTTGTTTGAATTCAAATGCAAAAAATAGGCGAAGGCGAAGAAATTCAATCTCCGTCTATTTTTCGTGTTTTCTTCTTCTGAAATAAAAAGAAAAAAGCGCGACGAGTCGAAATTGCCTCTTTGAGCTTGTTTTCATTTTTTCATTATTTTCGAGAAAAATGCAACATTTTATGTAGGAGAGGAAGGGAAGGTTTGAAGAATTTTCAGAAATCCTGGGGCTTTTCAAAAATTTTCACAGAAGAGGTTTGACGTGGAAAACTTTTTTGAGTACTGTAACTTTTTCCAAGGGATAAGACGAAAATTGATCCTGTGAAAAACTACAGTACTCAAATTTTTTCTATTTTTCAGGCTATTTTACTCTGAGCAGCGATCTAAAGTAAAAGTTGAAAAATTTTGAGTTTTCGAAAATCCAAGTACTCATTTTTTGACAAGTTCAAGAATTTTCAGAATAATTTTCTTTTATAAAAGATTTTTGCAAGTCTTCTATTTTTTCCAAAACTTCCATGTATCAAAAAACATCATACTGTGGTTTAATGTCCTTTCATTGTTATATTTTTTGTTTTCAAAAAACGAATATACACTTTCATTGTTCTCAATTTCAATTTCTCCAAAACACGTCATTCCACTAAAATCCAGAGATTCCCAATTGTTTTTTTTTATTTAATTGGAAAAAAAAAGTTTATACGAAACAAAATGAAATGAAATGAAATGATTCATCCTTTGCTCAAATAAATTTCCTGATTTAGTTAGTCACATGCTTTTTCTCCTTTTTTGTCGCTTCTTCTTTTTTTCCAACATACACTGTCAAATCTCATTGTGTGAAACGATGTCGTTGCCGTTTTTTCATATCCAATAAAATGAAAAAGGCTACTCTAGAGTACTACTACAACTAGAATAAGTTGATGAAAAGCTTGTCACACACTCTTTTTTCTTCTTCTTTTCACTTCTAACATAAATAAATGCAGCCTTTTCTGGTTTTGTCTCACACTCTCTCACCCTGAAGCCTTCAAAAAAAATAAAATAAAATGGGAGTGTGTTGTTTTTAAATTGCACTTTCCTTGTGGTTTCGGAAGAAAAAGGAAAAAATCGTGACTTTTTTGTCGGACCACGAATATATAATTTGTTGTGTTTGACAAAAGAAGCCTTGAATTTCCAAATTTTTCGCTTTCTTTGCTCACCGAGCAGCTCTTCTTTGTTTGATCAGATGAAAATATTTTTGACAGTTTCACTTTCAAACTTTTTATTTTCTTTTTTTATTTATTTTTCGGAAGAGTTGTTGCCTAGAGAAAATAAAAACAAAACCTGAAAGAAAATAAAAATTGGCTCATAAATTCGTCAAAACCAAACCTAATTACCAAGACAACAAAACCTCATCCTTCATCTTATTTTTCCCCCCAATTTTTCCTGATTTTCAAATGTTCAGAAGGTCTCAGTCAATTGCCGGTGTTCGAGGTGTCTCGCCAAGAATCACTTTGTCAGGAGGATCGCCAAATTTAACACCACGTGCACCATTTATCATGTCAAATACTATTGAGATATCAATTACTATACAGTGAGTTTGTGATTTTTTTTTTGAAAATTAATTGTATTTTTCGAACCCGATCAAAACTCGTCCAAAAAAAACTATATATTTTTATTCCAGCGATTTCTCAACCACAGAATCAGCCAATCAATTAGTATGCGAACTTTATGAAAATGACACGGAGTCTGAAGATAAATGGACCAAAGTTGGATACAGTTCACCTGTTCGATTTTCTCGAAATATCGAGTTTCCTAACAAGTTTACGTATCCTTATATTTTTGAGAAAACTCAATTAATCAAAGTTGTCGTGTGAGTTTTTTAATGACTGAAAAAAGTTCTGCGAATTTTTGATCTAATGAAAACCAAAATTCCAGTGCTCGGTGTCATGAAAACGACAAAGCGTCATGTTCGGACGACGATATTCTCGCCTCAACAATTTTCAAAGTCGACGAACTCATCGGCTCATTCGGTCTACAACTTCGTCAAAGTCTCGATCGAGTTTCGACAATCTCCAACACATTGGGCGGCGCTCAAAGATCAAGTGCCGAATATTTGGGCGGCATCATTATATCAGCCGAAATGCCCGAAAAAGAACAACCGATTGTTGTACAGTTTCACGGCAAGTCGTTGGATCGCAAGGATTTTCTATGGGATGAGACAGCCGTGTTTTTCCGGGTTGGTGTGATTTTTGAGCACTGAGATGTGAAAAAAAAGTGTGGGGAGAAAAATTAATTACTTTTTAGGTTTATCGGTTGGAAGAGGGAAAAGATGATGACTCTTTAATTTTTCTATATGAAAGTGAAGCAATAAAAAATCATTCACATCCTCAATGGTCCGAATTTCGATTAGATACACAAGATGCTGCTGATAATAGAAATCGATTACTTGAAATATGGGTTATGTATCGAGATGTTGATGGAAAAGAGGGTTATATTGGAAAATTCTTGACAACTTATGCTAAAATGAAATATGGACCTGGAAATGATAATGTGTATAATGTTATAAATGATGTCAAAAAAGCGGCAAAGAAAAGTTATGAACATAGTGGGAAGATGGAACTTGTCAAATTCACAGATGTCTCATTTTTCTCGTTTTTAGATTATATTGTTAGCGGGTAAGTGAATATTTCGAGAATAATTACTGTAATGATACCTTTTTTTTAGAACTCAACTTCACTTTGAAATCGGTGTTGATTTCTCAAGCCCTGAACCAGTTCATGAACTTGATCAACGTCGATTTGATGGCGAACTTCATATGGCAATTCGAGCAATTGGAAGTATTATTAGGGATTATACACCAAATCGACTTTTTGCGGCATTTGGAATTGGCGCAAAGATTCCACCAACTTTCCACGAATCAAATGAATTTTTCTTGAACTTCACATTAGATCCAATTTGTCGTGGATTGGATGGTGTGATGGATTCATATCGAAAAGCTCAAACAATGGTAACATCGTTGAAAGAATCGAAATTGTCACCAGTTATAAATTATGTGACAAGAATGTCGCATCGTTCCGGATTCCGCGGTTTACATTATCATGTTCTTGCGTTGTTTACAAGAGGCGAAGTGACAGATTTGAAGGATATTCAACAAGCAATAAATGCTGCATCAGATGCACCACTCTCAATTTTGATTATTGGAATGGGTGATTATGATTTCACATCACTACAAAAATTGTGTGCGAAGAAAAAAGATGGAAAACGGGAATGTTGTCAATTTATTCATCTGAAAACGCTGTTAAATGGAGCTGATGCGCCGTGGAAAAATAAATCGAGAATCGCTGAAACTGCGTTGAAAAGTGTTCCGAATCATATGGTACAATTTATGCATAATGCAAATATTGCTGCAAAACCACCGATTCAGGTTAGTGCGGGGGAGGGGAGAGAAGGTTTCGTGTGAGTCCCCAAAGTTTCTAGGCTGGAATAATTCCGGTTGACAGAAATGAAATATTCTAGATTTGTTGAAGTCTCTTTAATCTGAAAAAGCCTTGAGCTATTAAAATTTAAATAAAAAATTTTCAACCATAAATCACGGACACAAAGTTTTTTCCACCTGCAAATACCTATTTTTCAGGTGTGCCGATCGCCTTTGTTCCATAGTTCATCATTGATTCCTGATAAACCAACTCAATTTGTTTTCGATTCCGGTGAACTCGAAATCCCACATCTTCAAGCAATGATGCCAAATCTGATTTTACCTCCTGATCTTTCACCTCGACCAAGACAAGATCGAAGAGGAAGTGATTCACGTAAGAGACTTCAGAAATTCTACAGTATTTTTAAAAACAATTTATAATTATTCAGAATATTTGGATGTTGAAGTGATGCGTGGATCATTGACAGTTCGAGTTCCGGAAAGATGTCATTCTGTACTTCAGACAAATCGCGAACAATATCAACGTCGATTGAAAGAACGCGGATTGGCGAGAATGAAATTTCCACGTGTTGAATTGAGCACTCTTGAATCGTCTGGTGGATCAACACAAGATAGTTCACTTTAGGGATTTTTGATCCAAATTTTTTTCACTATACAAAATTTTTTAAAAATATTTTTTTCTGAACTCGGGACCATTTTTATTGAAGCCAAATATTTATTTATGTTGCCAACAATGTATATTTCCAAAAAAGAAACTAACATGAGTCATAAAACTTTTTGATATCTATTGTCCCACTGTGCAGCTAGATTTGTGAAATAAGTTTCAGTTTCTGCAGATGTTGTGAGTTTTTGAACTCGCGTTGCTCTGAATTCTGATTCATAACAGCGACCGAAAATTGGATAAACTATCGCATCTGAAATTCAATGTTTGAGGTCTGAATCAGATGCGAAGAGAAAAAAAACTAACAGACGATTGGAATCTTGAAAAAATATTGACGATATAGTTTGACACTTAATAAAAGGAGAATCAGAGTAAGGGCTGAATATCTGGAAAAAAACACAGTGGGAAATTATCTATGTAGATATAACTTATCAAACTAACACAATACTCAGAAAATTGAATGCTAGATGGAAATAAAGTAGACGGAGAAATCTTGATTCCCCATGTTGCTCCATATATTGTCCAATCATAACACCTCCAAAAATTAGGTTCAAAAAACCAGTGAGCAAAACGATATTGCGAAAAAGCTGTAATTGAATGTTGTTTGGTGTTGTTCAGAATTGATAGATCTATTAAAAATAATTTTTTAAAATCAAACCAACAGTCATAACTTGCAAATTCTCATTGAGTTGAAATCGAAAACTTAATGAATATTTTTTGTGATTCATCATTGCAAATTCCGATCGTTTTTTATTTATGTAAAATAAGGCGAGATAAATTATGAATGATATTCCGTTGATCAATTGCCCAATAATTATCATAATATAAATTACAACCAGATCTGAGAAAAAGACTTGATGTTTCTGGAGAAAAGAAATATTTACCGAAAAGTAGGATGATTGCTGTTATTGTTGATCCAAATAACAATTCTAAACACATAAGAAATGATACCCATTTTCGTTTGTTGTACTCATAATTATCCACATGAACTGTGGCTACGAATCTCTCGACAGACAAAGCAAGACCACTAAATACAGTAATCTTATGTTAGTGTCAGGTTATGGTTTTGAGGGGATCCGTTTTTTGAACAGAATTCAGACCAAACCTCGGCTAGACAACACGCCTTTTTCTAATTAAAAAAATAAGCGAAACTCACATTGAACATGCACAAGCCATAAAGAAATATTGTAAACAACTTGAAATCACCAAAAGAGGTGTATTTTCAGGTGATCCCCCATTTATTGAAAATACACCAACTTCATGTAAACCAATAATTAATCTACCACCAAGAAAAGTGAAATAACCGGACAAAATGTATACCCCAATAAATTTCAAATTAAAATGAAATGGCGAACCAATTGCAACATAAATTGTGATTGCATAAAGTGCGAATTGAATATCAATTGCGATCAATTCTAGATAGACTAATTTTCTAGCTAAATCACATTGAAATTCGTATTCGAGGGGACAATCGTATAATTTTACAAATGGTATATTCATGTAGAATAATATGAAATGAAATGAAATGAAACTAAAATGATATTAGCAGCAGCTGAAAATATTTCAGAACTATCGAAAATTTTCAAATAAAATAATGAGTGACGCGGAATTCTAAGAAAATGCTTGAAAGCAAACAAAAAATTGCAATGAACATGATTTTAGCTTTTCTTGATCGTGATAAAAATGAAATGATTCGGGGAGTGAAGAAAATTAATTTTTTGATAAGTATTACTGTAGGTAAATTATTCCGATTTAAAGTTCAGCCAGGTGGAAAAATTCTACACCCAGAAATGTTTTGAAATGATATTTTTGAAAGTAAAAAAAGAGCACGATCTTAAATAAATCTATTTATTCATTTTGATTTTGTACAATTCAACTTTATCCACAGCTTCTGAAAAATCCTAATAATTCCATTGTGCCGCTAAAATTTTGAAATACGTATCTGTGTCATCAGCTATTGAATGTCTCTGAATTTTTGAGGATCGGAATTCTGATTCATAACACCGACCAAATATTGGATAAACTATTGCGTCTGAAAAATCATTACAGTTGGAATTTAGGTGCCAAAAAACAACAAAACAACTCACAAACTATTCGAATTTGGAAAAAATATCGACGATACTGTTTGACACTCAGAAGGAGAATCAAAAGAGTGAATATAGAATATCTGAAATTTATTTTTTACAAAAAAATCACAATTTTTCTCACATTATTGCACAAATATTGAAGGCGGAGTGAAGATATAAAGAGATATGTGGCTGAATTGTTGAACTTTCGGAAAATACTAATATTAATCCCATAATCAAATTACTTATACCAGAAAAGAAAATAACATTTCGAATCAGCTGTATGTTATTTTATTTTTGAAAATTTATTGAACTTATAACTTACTGTTGTTATTTTGAAACTCTCATTCAATTGAAAACGAACACTCAATGAATATTTGTCACTATTTCGCATTGCAAGCTCAAATCTTTTTCGATTTATTGTGAATAGAATACAGTATGCTATAAAAGATGCACAACCAACTAATAAACCAAATATCGCCATGAATATTATTGGAATGATATCTAAAAAAAATAATTTTCTTATGAAAAAAATGTTTGATATACCGAAAAGCAATATTATACCGCATGAGATGCAAGAACATGTAACTTCTAGGCAAATTCCGATTGAGAGATATTTTCTAGTTTTGAACTCATATGTTTCCACATATTTTATTGCGTAAAATCGTTCTACAAAAACCACGAAACTTCTAAAAAAAAGTTTCACTATTATTTAGTATATTTTCAATAACTATTTTTACATTGAACATGCGCAGGCCATAAAAGTATACTGTAATCCACTTGTAATTATTAGAATAATATTTTCATTTGGATCTCCTGAGAATTTGATGATATCTGATTCGTAAAAACAGTTAACTAGGCGGCCACTGAGAAATGTATAATAACCGGAAAGAATAAAAACACCAATAAATCTCAAATTATAGTGAAATGGTGAAGTTATTGTCACATAAATTGTGATGGCATATAAAACAATTTGAATTAAGATTGCGATGATCTCAATAAAAATGAAGCTTTTAATTATCTCACCACAGGCAAATTCAGATGGATACATAATTGATCCATTAATGATACATCATGTCCCCAGTTCAGATGTATACATCGGGTACACATAATGGATCCATCTGAACTCATTTGATTGATACTTGATGGACGCTTGATGTATCCATTTTCTCTTTTTAACTCTTTTTCAAGTAGACAGTTAAAATTAAAGTTTATTCATAGTAAAAATTGAAATATAACAAAATTAGAAGTTAGAAGAACTTGTTTTTCATGGTGTGGGCGCATCTTTTCGGTCATATTAATTGGATTCACGAGGAAGATGGCAGTTGGAGCAGGTTTTGTGGTCATCACGAGCAACGGCGAAGGTTGATTTCCTAGCTCGAGCAGAGCCCGCTTTGCGGAGACTAATGTGGAAGTTTCTTGACCTTCCATATCTTGGTAGCTTCCTTGAATCCGCATCCCTTGGCAACACCCGATGTTGTCGATCATTTCATATTTGGGAGAAGACGGAGCCAATCAGAAGTTGCTTCTCGGTGCTCACAAGCTCAATTGTCCTTGAAAACAGCTTCTTCTCGCCATTGAACTTCATTCCAATATTACGAACCAATTGTCCTTCTAGCCAAACTGATGCATTAGGCAGTCAGTTCGATAACCTTCTTGTACACACTGTAGTGACCTGAAAAGTTGTCTTTATTCACGAAGTTCTTTGAATAATGAATTTACCGCTGTTTGGCAGAGAGTTGATGTCGATTTCGATGTTTGAATGAGAGCGATGTCTGAAAAAACCAGTTGACAAAAGTAGTAAATCAATGTGTGCGAAATTCAAGAAAGTACGATATAGGGTATTTCAATTTTCAGCTCTGATAGGGAATATTCTATTTTATTTCATTTAAATGTTCTTTCAATTGAATGAAACTGAAAAAAATGTCTCGTTTTACTACCTGAAATCGAAAAAAACCAATTTTCAAAGTTTCTGGCCTAAATTCATGTTCAATATGCGAATTTCAAAGTTCTGATGACATTTGCTGCTAGGTCCTAGTCGAGGAACATATTCTATATGTTTTCCGCAGTTTTTAACACTCAATTTCTCTATGAAACGGGAAACACACAAAAAAAACGAAAAAAAAGAAAAAAAATGTGGCGTGCAAATCGTCCGAGAGAAGTACACACACACACATTTCGCTGCAGGATAAATTCATTGAAATGTCTGCGCCTTTAATGTTACACTTTTCCGCACCAATTAAGAGCACTTGAGTGAAAATGATATACACCATTCGATTCAGAATTTCAAGCTGAACAAAATGATTATAAATTCATCCCTTGTTTCGGTCGATTTTCAATTTTTCGGTTTTTGAGAAATGTGAATGTTTATAGTGAACTTCACTCAGTAACAGTATACCATTCGATAGAGTTCTTCCTGCTAAGAAATATCCAGTTATCAGTGTTTGCTGAACGACTCGTAAAAGCTCAAAATTTAGCCCGAAATTGAGCAAATGTTTTTTTTCGCTTTATCAGAAGCTTCTCAACAAAAGAATGTGCATACATGATATCTCATGAGAAGATTGTATAAATCTTTCTTATATATTAAACGGTGATCTGTCTGTCGACCTACTTTTGTGACCTAGATTTAAGTTTAAATAATTTCACGTGAATTGTTTTGCTCATTTCTGATTTTACAAAACGCGTTTGGATTGCAGCATTTAATTTATGCACTATTTTTTGAAATGTAGCAAAGAATGTGAGTTGATTTAAAAAAGTATCGTGAGATTCATCATTTTTATTGATAAAAATGAGCTTGATTTGAAAATCGGAAGTTCGCAATGACTCCGAAACCACGGTTCATTATTTTTATCCATAAAATCGAGCTAGATTTAAAAATCGGGAATTCGTAGTGACTACGAAACCACGATTTATCATTTTTATCTTTAAATAGAATGGATGGAAGAAAACATGTTCAAAAAAACTCTACTGTGAAGGAGGACTTGATGATTTATCAATAAATGGTACATTATGGATCCATCATCCATCATCGATCCATTTTGAATCAATCAACTATCAGCTCAATCAGCTGAGTATCAATCTGAGACCCATCAGCGATACATCAACCCTGATTGATGTCAGATGGATCTTATATGGACCCTTGATGTAACCGAAATGGGTCGATTATGGATGATGGATCCATAATGTATCAATTATGTATCCATATGAATTTGCCTGTGGTACAGTGGAATTTCAAATCATCTAGACAATCGAAAACGGGTCGATACAATAGTTTCATCTGAAAACTTTTTATTTTTGAATTTTAAAAATTTGGAGCCAAACAAAAAATAAAAAGAAATTTCGAAGTGCATGCGGCAAAATTGCAAACAAACGTGCGACGTGTTGCGACACGCCCCATTTTTCATTTCATTTTTTTATTTTCGGAAAAAAATGCGTATAAATTTCGCGATCAGTTCGCTCAAATTAACTGGTTTAAGATGTCCTATTTATGCTACAACTAGTCATTTTCATATTCAAGCACACAACTCGACCAAACTACTTGCAGCTTCTCAAATTTATGATGTAAAATGTAAGGAGCAAAGTTTTTTTAAATCGTAATGTTCAAATTGTTTCAATTTCAGCTGTTCGATATATCAGATCGCGTGTAAATAATGAATCTGGAGAACACCACAAAAACAATGAAGATGGACAAGAGAATAAGGAAAAAGAAACTGGAAAGGAAGGCGAACCAAAGAAAGTAGATCCAGAATTGAGTAAGTGAAACAAAATTTTTCGAAAACATATGAAAATGGAATAGTCAGGAAGCTGAGAATGTATGTATTGGCTGTTGCTGGTTTATCATTTGTTTCCTCATTCTTCCTTCTCTCACAAATGTTCACCGGCGATCGAAATATTGTTGAAGGTGTTAACAATGAAGATTTCACTCGGCCAGGAATTCCATTCAAGAAATTCATTGATAGTTATTTGAAACATGGAGAAGTTAAACGAATTGTTTTTCTGCCAGCAAATCAAAGAGCAGTTGCTATTCTACATCAAGGAGCATTTATTGATGGAAAACCGGTAAGCTTGGGTAGCAAATTCAGTTTATTTTTTTTCATAATAAAAATATATAGAGTGGCGAGCAATCTGTGGTTATTGAATATCAACAAAATGCACAACAATTCTGGGCGGATATAAGAAAATCAGAAGGAGAATTGGGTATTGGATTGTCGCAAGGTGTTCAAATCGATTTGTATCAAGGCATGACCACATTCAAGTGAGTGCAGAATTTAATTTCACCTGTTTTCAACGGAATTGTCTGAAAAAATATAATTGAAATGTCGAAAATAACAAAATGATCAATGATCGCTTCTCGGAACTTAGAAAATTGTTTTTAACCTTCTCAAAAAATCATCTCCTAATTAGACACCCTCGCCCTTTCCAAAAACACACAAGTCTCCTCAAAAAAGGGCAAACGTGCTCTAATGTACAAAAAGTGTTGTTGTTGTCATGCCAATTCATTTTATTTTCCAGGGTAATCGAACTCATTATTGGTGTTGTGATTTTGGCATGGCTTGGAACACAATACGGTCGATTGCTTCGACAAAGATTACTTCAGAATAAACAACAGAATCAGAAGAAATAGATAGATAGATAGTTTGTATTCTTTTTTTTTATATTTTTTTAGCTCATTTTTTGTCTCGATGAAAATTTGATGACACAGACGTTTATTGTTTATTTTGTCTTTTCGACAGTTTTTCGCTGTTTCGTAATATTGCCTAAATATTTATTTGATTGATTCCTTTTTTTAGAAACTTCTGGAAAGATGACTGATCAAATGAGAGATATGATTGCTCAGCTTATGGGAACTGACAATTTGGAAGGAAAAGGTAAACTTTGCCTTTTTTCACAGAAAAATTTTTATTCGAAAAAACTCCCCAAAATTTCTATATCGATTTGTTTTTCCAGAAAGACCTGGTATCCCATACGATCATCCAAATGTATGCCGCGCTTATCTTCTCGGAATATGTCCGCACGATTTAGTACCGGACAGTAGATTACAGGTTAGTTGATTATGTTCTTTCTGAATCTAGACAGAATATTTCAAATCCCATTTTCTCCTAAAAAGCTATCTAATGTTAGGTGCAAAAACAACACGCATTCTTCCGGACTCAGAATGTTTTTTGTGAGTTTTGAAAATAACTTTTTTTACTACATGTTTTCTAAAATCAATCGAAAAATCCCCCAACTTCTTCTCGTTCTTCCTAAAATACGTGAGTTTTGTGCAACAGGCATAAAGTGAGTCAAGGATTTATTAGATCTCAATTAATATTTTTTCGGATTTTCGTTTTAGTAAGGTTTGATTTTTTGCAGAGTGTTGTTTCTTGCCGAAAAGTTCACGAACCTGCGCATAAAGCTGATTTTGTAAGAGCTCAAAGAGTTAAAGATCACTTCTATGATGTTGATGTAAGTTGAAAAGTCTATAGTGAATCCGGAAAAAATGTGATATTTTAGGCTTATGAAATTCTCGAATACGCAGTTCATCAAGTTGATATTGAAGTAGCAAAAGTTCGCGAAAAATTGGAAGATGATGTGAAACTTCAATCGAATGCTGTTGCCGATTCGAAAGCAGCAAAGATTTCAGAATTGGAGGAGAAAATCGCGGCGGTAAGAATTATTTGTTGAATTTTGGAATTTTAAATTCTATTCGTCTTCAGAATGTCATTGATATCGAAAAATTGGGAAATGAGGGAAAAATCGAGGAATCGATGCGTCTCCATAAATTAGTTGAAGAAATGCGTGAACAAGTGAATGATATAATCAATCAAACCGAATTCAAAGTCGCTGGACCGGGATCGAATGCGGCAAAATTGCGAGTTTGTGAGGATTGTGGAGCACAATTGAATATTATGGATCATGAGACTCGAATTGCGGATCATTATAATGGAAAAATGCATATTGGAATGGTTGAGACACGTGAAACATATTTGAGAATGAAGGAGACGATTGAAGATAGAAGAAATGAGAGATCGGAGAAGTTGGGAAGTCGATATTCATCCAATTATAGTTTTAATCGACATGGAGGAGGAGGAGGAAGAAGTGATAGAGATAGGTGAGGTTTTTTGGAGAAATATTTGAATCGGGGTAGATTTGGGTGATATAGTACTAAATTTAAAATTTTTGTTAGAACGATTAGAATTCCGAATTTCAACCCTTTTAACCTGATTTTCTTGGGCCTGATGATAAATAAAAAGGCCCGATATTTGGGACCTAAATCCAGATTTGAGGCCCAAAATTTTTAAAGCTTTAATTCTAGCTTTTCTAGGAATTTCAAGACTTTCCTAATATTGTACAGAAATGTTTTGAACAATTTTTCGCTCCGTGAAAATAAAATCCCTTCATTACACTCTTCAAATATCCGATTTTCAGAAGAGACCGAGGTGATTATAGTCGACGTGGTGGAGGTGATCGTCGTAGAAGCAGATCTCGCTCACGCTCAAGAGATCGTGCAAATAGTTATAGAAGTGGAGGACGTGATGATCGAAGATATAATCGAGATGATAGAAATGGCGGAAGAGATCGGTTTGTTGTTTTTCGAACTTTGTGAATTTTTTTTCAAAAACAAAAATTTAATTGCAGACGTGACGATCGACGTGACCGACGCTATTAAAATAAATCGACATTTAATTTTTTGAATCGAATTGCCACCGGGTTCTGTATCTTCTTTTTTTTCAAATAATTTTAATCAAAAATGGTTTTTTTCAAAAAAATCCTCGTTTTATTTTAATTTTATATCCAATTGGTTTTTTTTCCCAGAAACAATAAAGAGTTTTATGCAACCTACTGTTTTCAGGTGTTGTTGTGTTTGTAGCACTTTTTGAATATTATTTGCATGCTAGTATTTTTTCTTCTTCTTCTAATTATATTTCGGAATAATAATAATTGCCCCGTTGTTTATCAGTGTGTTCTTATTTTTTATTTTCCTCTACTTACCCACTATCTTTTTTATTCTATGTGATGATTGCAAAAAATTGACCTTCGTTTATTTTTTTGCTGTTGTGTTGGGGTGAATTCTAATTTATCTATTCTATTGATGCGAGTTTTTGGCCTTGCTTTTTGTATTGAAATTAATTTTAATCTTTTTTGAGTTTCGAAAAATATTATGAAATTTCTGAAAAAGTTTATAATTTGCCACGTCATAACTATTTTCCAAAAAAATTAATTTTTTCTAGCCTACATTCTCTCCAACTTTCTTGGACACAAAGTTCAATTCAAATGTTTGTTTTCCCATTTTTTTTCTCAAGTGTCAACACAAATTTCTCTCTGTTTGCTGCAACCATTCATTCATTTTCTTTTTTTGTTGTCTGAAAATCGCCCCATTTTCACAAATTTTCAGATGGAAGTTCGCAGACGAAGGAATGAACCAGACAAAAGTTTAGATAGCAATAGTTATTATCAACATGAAATTGATGAGAAAACGAAACGGGCTAAGGATGCAATTGGTTTTAGGCACTGGATTATTTTTATTTTGACCGTAGCTGTTGTTTATGCCGGAGTTGTTTATTTGCACAGGTAAGTACTTTTTGAGATCTCATTTTTGAGTTAGGAAAAGCCCGATCAGTATGAGATTTTTAAAAGGAAATATTTGAATAAAAATCCTGGGTCAGAAGCCCAAAAATTTGTGAATTTAAATTTAAAAAACTGTACCCTGGCCTTATAAAGTTTTGAAAAAAAACTGTAACCAATTTTGGAACTGAATTTCGAAAATCAAAAAAATCTTTGGCCCTTTTCTCTATGAATTCTCCTTTTTCCAGACACATGCCACCAGTTCGCGATGCTTCCTCTTTCGAAAACTTCAGCGAAGATCGTGCTCGTGTGCTTCTCAAACAACTCGTCGGACTCGGACCAAGACCGAGTGGATCGGTGAATTTGGAGAAAAACGCTTTTCAATTTATTCAGGATCGAATTGAGACTGTGAAATCGACAGTGGACGAATTTGGTGTGAATCGAATTGAACACGATGTGCAGGTGAGAGATTTTGATCTTGAAAAAAATAAATTAAAAACAAAATTTTATTCCAGAGACCATCGGGTTGTTTTGATCTCAAATTCTTGAGTTCCTTCACCCTTTGCTATCACAAAATCACAAATATCGCTGTACGCATTGGACCAAAAGCTGGACCATCGGGAAATTCATTGCTTCTCAATTGCCACTTTGATACAATGCCAGATACACCAGGTGCAACTGATGACGCGGTTGCTTGTACGATTCTAATGGATGTTCTCGAAGTTCTCGCTCATTCAGAAACTGAACTTCAAAATGATGTTGTTTTCCTGTTCAATGGAGCTGAAGAGAATTTCCTACAAGCTGCACATGGTTTCATCAATCAACATCCATGGCGACACGATATTCGAGCGTTTATTAATTTGGAAGGAACTGGTTCTGGCGGCCGCGAGATTCTTTTTCAAGCTGGACCCGGGAATTCGTGGCTTCTTCAAACGTATTTGGAAAATGCTCCACATCCATTTTGCAGTGTTCTTGCTCAGGAAATTTTCCAATCTGGAATTATTCCATCTGACACGGATTTCAGAATTTTCCGAGACTACGGTCGAATCTCTGGACTTGATATCGCCTACACGAAAAATGGATGGTTCTATCATACCGAATTCGATGAGGAATGGCGAATCGAAGCTGGAGCAATTCAACGAGCCGGTGAAAATGTGTTGGCTGTTGTGAGAGCCATATTGAAATCACCATATTTGTCACAACCGGCTCGATTTGAAGAGGAAAATCATTGGGTGTTCTACGATGTTGTTGGATTGTTCACGGTTTATTATACGGTTCAAATTGGAAAAATCATCAATTATTCGGCGTGTTTGTTGACGTTTTTGATGGTTTTGAGGAGATTTAGCAAGAAGTTGTATAGTCCAAGTGATTTGATAATTGCATATAAACATCATGTTGTTGCTTTTATTGCGATGCTTATTACAATGTTGGCAACGATTGCATTTGTTATTCAATTTGATTTGGTTATGTGTTGGTCAGTTGATTTTTCAATATGTGTTTGTGGAAGTTTGAATCAGAACAAGAACATGTTAAAAATCTTCAAGAATATACCCGAGCTTATCAATAATTATAATCCAAAAAAACTAGATTTTCCAAGCCAAATTTCAGGTACAAAATGCCGGAATTAGTCGGACCTCTCTATGTTCTTCCAATGTTAATCGCCGGTGCAATCACTCACTCATATTATGCGGATAATAACAAAATCAAAAATGTCGAAATGGTACAATATGACACGATTCTCATCTCGTTCAGTTGTATTCTTTTCGTAATGACACATCTCAATTTGGCTTCCGCTTTTTATGTTCTCAATTATTTGATTCTTCCGTCGTTGAAAGATGTTTTGATCTATTTTTTGGGATTATTTGGAATTGTGAGAAGTTAGTTTTTTTTCGTTAGAATGTGATCTTTAAATTTTCAAAGTTTTGTGTGAAATTGAAGGCATTTTTCAATGAATTACTGAAAATCTGGAGAGTTGAAAATTTCAATTTGATTACTGTAACCGATCTAGCCCCCAGTCCCTCTCAAATCCGATTTTTTCCAGGAGTAACTCCCCGTGTTCTCTTCTACACTCAACTATTTTGCTTCATTCCACCATTTGTATTTGCTGCCTATGCAATCAGTCAATGTGTTGATTTCTTTGTTCCAGTTATGGGAAGATTAGGAAATGCAATCAATCCCGAATTTATTATGGGTCCAATTGGTTTGGTTATTGCTGCAAGTTTTATTCTTTTTGTGGTTAGTTTTCTCTCTCTCTCTTTTTTCGTTTAAGAAACTTCTTAGTTATCAAATTGCAGAATAATTTGTTCTATATTTCTCGCCGTATGAATTATATAATCCGAGTGATGACATGTCTTTTCGCTATTTTCCTTTTGATTCTTCTCACAACCAAAATCGGAAATCCATATGAATATTCACACGAAAATCCGAGACTTCGACGAATTATTGCACTGCATTCGAATCGAACAATCTATGATTTTGATGGAAATCTTGTACAAACCGATAATGCGCTGTTTGTTCATTCGTTGGATTTCAGGTAACATTTTGGGACATTTTTACAAGGGTAACTTGTTGTCGAAAAAAATTGATCCAAATTTTTCGTGAAATTATTTTTCGCGACAAAATTTTGAATGCAATTTTCAAACGCAGAGCCACGTGGCATAATTTTGCAGTCAATGAAGTTTTGGTGCCTAAAATTCACGTGACTAAACTAAATTTTTAAAATAAAATTTAATCGAAAAATCCATGTGTCATAAAAAAATGTTGCAGAGGAGCCTCCGATCTACCGTCTCATTCGTTCCTCCAAGGAAGTATGGCACCAAATTGCACTGGAATTGTTGATGAATATTGTCGAATGCCTTATTATACAGCTATTCATGAATTATTCCCGCCAGAGTATGTTTGTCTGAAATAACAGCTGAAATTAAAATCAGGAATTTTACAGGCACTCTTTATGGGTTCCAGTTCCATCGCCAGTTGTTATGCCAAATCCAATTCATTTGACATTGACTTCTCGACAAATTGTCGGAAATAATAAGCTGAATTTGACTTTTGAGGTTAGTTTCTTTCAACGATTTTGTCATGTTATTATAACTTATTTTTCATTTCTCAGATGCGCGGTGGATTCGATAAAATGTCACTTCACGTAACTCCTCTCAACGGGTTCGAATTATCATCTTGGTCATTCACTGATATTGATATTGAGGAATTCGGAAGACGACAAACATATTTCGTATTTTTGACATATGGCTTCGAAGCGCCAGAAGTTCGTAATTTCTGGATTGTGCTTGAAAATCCAAACGTCGAAAAATTGGCCGATCCAGATGCCCACGAAAATATTGAAATTGCCGCCGCTGCTCATTATGCACATGGACATTGGCAAGATACGGAAACATTGAAACAACTTCGAGCGATGATTGCGACAAGAAGACAGACGCCTGAAGAAGCTGTTGGATGGTGGAGGTTTGTGTGAGGGGGAAATCCACGTGGCTCGAATTTTGAGCTGTTTTTTATTCAAAATTTTCGCTCCGAGAATTCACGTGGCATAAGATGATTTAATTAAAATTTTCTGTCAAAATTCCACATGGCATCATATTTTGAGCCAAATTTTTATGTTTCCAAATTCGAAATTCAATTTTCAAAAATCATTATTTTTAGTACTTCCAGATGGGGAATTACAATGATAGGAGGACGCGCTCAACTTGTCGTCAAAACATTCTAATTTTATTTTTCCCTGCCTCGCGCAGCTTTTTTTCTTTTATCTATCATATTTTTTAGTTTACATTTTTTGCCCCACACATTTTTTACACATTCCAGAAAAAGCTTCTTTAATAATATGGGTCGTTTTTCATTGCCTGTTCTGTTCTATGGATTTTTTTTGTTGAAAAATTATGCATGCCTTATGATGAATTATAAAAAATTCGGTTGTCAAGGTGATATGTTCGCGTGTTTTATATAAATAAATACGAATTCGAATTTGGAGACTCAAAATCTCTCATTTATGTCTGCGCACTTCTAATAACTTTTTCTCGATTTTATTTCATTTTTTTCTTCTCCATAAATGTTTTCACTTATGTTATGTTAAATACGTGAAATTCTTGTTCCTCGCCCGCCTTCTTCTCCTGTTTTTCGTGTTTTTTCTAGCCGCGCAGCTGAGGAAAAAGCCAGCACATGCTCGTTTCCTTTTTTTGCGTTGCTCTCAGAAAAAGGCGGCTGAGAATTTTTTTTTGTTTTTCGTCGTTTTTTTCAACATCTTATGGATTTTTTGCCTTTTTTGAGATGAGCTGACATTAAAAGGTGCTTCTTTCTAGGATTTCTTTATCTGGACTTTTTTCATTTAAAAATCAAAAGTTTCAAGTTTGCTCTATTGCACTCACGTGTAATACTCTGCGATTTTGAATATTTCTAGCAAAAATAAAATTTTAAAATAATTTTGACGGCGCGTGGAGTCGAACCCCTGTTTAGAAATTGAAACGCAGCCGTACAAACCACTCGACCACTTTTATTCAGTTTTCAGATATTCCACATATAAAGTGCGTACTTGAAAAAACCACTAGATTTAGTCTAACTTCATTTTTACCGCTCACGTGCTCATTTTTTCCCTAAATGACCACTAGACTTGTCATGCCTCGTCATTCATTTTTTGCTGTGTTCTCCTCAAATTCAGTCAATATTTGCTGACCAAATTTCCGGTTCTTCTTCCCTCATCCATGTTTTTCTCGTGGTCTTTCATTTGCACATTTCTCTTCATTTTTTTATTCAGTTTTCACTTCAAAAATGCTCGTCTCACGTCATTTCGATAAACCGGCAGATCATGCTGAAAGTATTTTGTCGGGATTCAAATTGAATTGGATGAATTTGCGAGACGCGGAGAATGGCAAAATTCTTTGGCAAAGTGCTGAAGATATGGCTGATCCAAATGCTGAACACGAAGGTGAGCAAAAAAAAACAAGCAAAAAGTCTCGGAATAAACCAATCATCACAAACACTATGCCTGGGGCGGTAAGTAATTTCGTCATCGACGGGGAATCGAACCAGCAAGCCTCGCGCGAAAGGCAAACACATTGCCTGCTGCGCTATGATGTCTTGTTTCTCTCGCCGGTGAAATGGCAAAGATATGAGAAATGAAAATTCAGTGGTTGTGTGTGTGGAGAGAGGGAGAGAAAAAGTTTTTTTTTGCAGCACATGTCCCCAAAAACATTCTGAAGTGTCGTACGGTTTCACGGGAAATCAATTTCACATCGCAGAAAAGAATCGAAAAATTCCGATTGGAACAGCGTGTTTATTTGAAAGGAACGATTATTGAAGGTTGGTTAGATAGACACGCGATCATTTTCTATTCTAATCGTGTGATGAATATTTGATTTTGTGTGTGCGTATTCCTATTTCAGGTGTTGTTCTGAATATTTGAATATTTGATTTTGTAGTGACGCAGATCTTTAAGATACTCTTGACAATTTTTTTTTGTGGTGCGCCTTTAAATTAACTAATTAGCTTTATTCAACTTCATTGAATCAAATAACATTCTGAAAAATCCTGAAAAAATGTTTTGTTTCAGAATGGTTCTTCGACTTCGGTTTCGTAATCCCTGAGTCCACAAATACTTGGCAAAATATGATCGAAGCTGCACCAGAAGCTCAAATGCTTCCACCATCTTTGTTGAGTGGAAATGTTGTTGTCGAAACACTTTTCTATGATGGCGAAGTTCTTGTGAGCACTTCGAAAGTTCGTCTGTTTTATGATTAATCGGAAAAATACATATCCAACATTTTTAAAAGAAAATCAGAGATCTCAACAATTTTCATTTTGTAAAAAAGTATACTTGAATATATATATAAATCAAAGAATAAATAATTATCAATCAACTTTGTTCTGAAACTGAAAATGAAATCATCTGCTTCCGACGCGTGAAATCGTTGGTCCGACACGGGAAATTTGTTGACGACTCATCTCATTGTTTGACTGAAAAATATTTAAATTTTTCTCAGGTTCATTGAATTTTTTATTCTTACGGTGAAGAAAACCGAATTTGGATATTGACATCTGAAAATATCGTGAAGTCTTCTTTTGAATTCGAGGCGGAAGAAATAGAAGATTGGAAGATTGAAACATGATTGAATACCGTAGAGGAGATATGCAATACCTGGAAAGTATAATTTCTGGCTTCGAGATTTAGGACCAGGGCCAGTCAAAATTCAAAATCCAGAGGTTCTCCACTCACCAACAAACAGAACATTGAATCCTTTTCCGTGCCATTCATCAGCGACCAACACAGTATTCGGAAAGCTAACCATAATAACATTGATCCCCGATAAAATCAAAATTGCCATTTGTTTTCGACGTTCGGAAGTGTTCAAAAATTTGCTCTTATGCGATTTCCAAAACAGGTTCAAAGTAACAACAAAAGCAATCAAATATGAGAAAGCGATTAGGATATAATGAGCGGTTCCATAAATAATTCCAGTTGAATCGAAAACGGCACAAATTCGATCACTGTTTCGACTTTCGTCGTGGTATGAAATCCAAATTGCCAACAAGTTCAGTGCCTGAAATATATATTTTTGGAAAGTTATTTCAACTTACAACTAACCACACATCCGGTAATGCCCAAAATAGTCAAATACATTCGATGTCTCCACGACCAATGACTTCGATACCAACTAACTCGATTCACAGCCAACACTCTTTCAACCGTCAAAAGACAATGAAATGTGGCTGGCAATTGTCCGCCAATCAACATAAATATTGGCCACACAAATTGGGTGATACATTCAGATTTGGAAGTTTGAATGTGGAATCGATGTGCCAAGATGAGATTGTATCTTCCCATTCCAGCAAGAATGAAACTGATGCCGTTTATCTGGAAAATTGAGATCAATGGCTTCACAACTACAAACTGTGGAGGTCTGAGAAAAATATATTCTCAAAAAAAATTACCATATCAGAAAGTGACAACATTGTGAAAAACACAAATTTCTGTCGAAACTCTTTTGACGAATTGAAAACAATAATACAAAACGCATTGGGAAGTAATACAAGAAATCCACATCCGATATATAAAAGTGATCGTGCAATGAGTGCTTCATCATCCGTTTCGCTGGTTGACATCTAAAAATAATGAGATGAGATGAGCAACTTTTTTTTCTAGCTTGGATTTAGCATTTTAATGAGGATTTTGTTTATTTGTTTAAGGTCTTCTAAAAGGTCAAAGCCTGATTTCGTTTAATTAAAAAGGTTTTTCCAAACTAAAGTACCTGCAAAACTTCCCAAGCCATTTTATCAAATTATTAGCAAATAATGAATTTATTTGTCTCAAGTTTGAACTAGTGGTCAGTATTTATATGTGATCTCGAGGGAAAAGAGGCGGGACAATGTCACAAGTTCTTTGAGCTTGAGATCAACTACAGTAACCCGAAAGCTCAAACGTGACAAAATCAATTTATCTCATGCTTCTGCAATATTTATATTTATTGGGTCTGATGTGATGCTGTTGTTTATTCTCACGCTTGAAAAAAAACGAAACTATGTGAATATAAACTATATGGGAGTTTTAGTGGAGAAAAAACAAATTCTCAGAGCCACGAGATTTGATACTAGACTTTCCCAGAAAAAAAGAAAATGAACAATGTAGTTTGCAACGAGAAGAATGAAAATCATTGACGCGTCAAAACTCATGACGGAGTAAATATAGTTGTTGTTCAGAGTCCAAATCAGGGTTTAGAGTTCTGAAAATAGTCGTTGCAAAATGTACAGAATATTGGTTTCTCACTAAATTCTTGCCCATTTCTCATATTAAATTTATTCCTAGAGTGATTACAGAATTGCTCATATCAAAGCCAAAAATCCAGAACATCTGAAAATCTACCATTGTAATAAAGACCCGATTGGGTGGTGTCTTGATGGAAGCAGCATTTTTCAATGGGGTCCCCCTTGTTCTCATTTTCGGATGTTCCAACATTTTTGATTTTTGCCGATTTTTTTCCGAAAATAAAATTACATTAAAACTTTGATCCGCAAAATCTCTCTAAATATTTTCGTGTTAAAATTGACTTTTGTTCTATCTACTTCATAATTCTTATATATTTTTGATGACATCGGTGTTGCCTCGTGGTCAGTCTTCGATCCTTTATTCATGCATGGTTTATCTCACATGGCACAATTAGCATATTCGGTTTGATTTGCAATTTGAAAAACAAAATCGAGTTTTGGTCGAAAACAGAAATGACCACAGAAAACGGTCAAAGTTTGAAAGCAAAAATTGAAAAAAAAACAAGTTTTGCAAAAAATATTGGGAATATCTTGGAAATCAACTCGAAATCAACTAGTGTAAATTACTAGTAAAAAACTCGGGCCGATTTTTTTTTTGAAAAAACTCGGGCCGATTTTTTGGAAAAAAACTCGGGCCGATTTTTTTTTTGAAAAAACTCGGGCCGATTTTTTTTTTGAAAAAACTCGGGCCGATTTTTTTTTGAAAAAACTCGGGCCGATTTTTTTTTGAAAAAACTCGGGCCGATTTTTTTTTGAAAAAAACTCGGGCCGATTTTTTGGAAAAAACTCGGGCCGATTTTTTTGAAAAAACTCGGACCGATTTTTTTTTTGAAAAAAAACTCGGGCCGATTTTTTTAAAAAACTCGGACCGATTTTTTTTTGAAAAAAACTCGGGCCGATTTTTTTTTGAAAAAACTCGGGCCGATTTTTTTTGTGAAAAAACTCGGACCGATTTTTTTTCTGAAAAAACTCGGGCCGATTTTTTTGTGAAAAAACTCGGGCCGATTTTTTTTGTGAAAAAACTCGGGCCGATTTTTTTTTGAAAAAACTCGGGCCGATTTTTTTTCATCCAACTAAAAAACTCGGGCCGATTTTTTTTTGAAAAAACTCGGGCCGATTTTTTCATCCAACTAAAAAACTCGGGCCGATTTTTTTCATCAGTTTTTTCAAAAAAAAAATCGGCCCGAGTTTTTTAGTTGGATGAAAAAAAATCGGCCCTTTTTTCATTTAGTGAGCATCTATTGAGTATTGTCTAAAGAAAATTCTATTTTTTTAATCAACTTTTTTTTGGTCAAAAATTTGTAAATCTGGAAGCTCTTCTAGTTTCCACAGAATTTTCCACAGAAAAGTGACAATAATCACAGAAAAAAGTGAAACTGAAATAAATTAGAAGACTGTTACGCCTGGGGGCTAACAGCCCCTAGTCTACCATTTTCTAAAAAAAAAAAGCTTCTCCGGTGGTTAGCGATTTGGAAATATGAAAGTTTCTGAACTATATTTTCTTCATTGAATCTAAGCATCTATTTATAGTTTTTGGTCTTCTTGGAGACATCTGATGTTCTGATCATTTTTTCTTGATTATTCTCTGAATTAATTAAACCACATGAGTTCAATCAACCTGAAAAAATAAAAAAAAAACATCCCGATTTGAATCTAATTATAGATACCTTTTTCACTGGTAGATCAAAATGACTACGGTAATTTAGTTCATACCTTAATTAGTGTCCAGAAAAATTCGAAAACCATCCAGAGAAAATAAACAATATGTTCAATGAACATTGATTTACAAAAAGCAACAAAACAACAAAAATTATATTCTCATGATCTACTTGAGCTTTTTTCTAATTTTTCTTGCTATCAAGTGAAGCTCTGATATTCATATTCTACATCGTCAAACATTCTTTGGAGTGTTATTTTGATCAGGAAGTTGGGGAATAACAAAAATCAAGTTCAAACTTCAATGAAACGTTCAGAGATTGAAATATTTTGAGCATCGGACGCTTGTATCAGATTCCCGCTTTAGGAAAAGTTCGATTTTTTTAATTTAAAATTTTCTTATTTTCAAGGTTCTCTTTTGAAATTTAGAACATTTCAAAAAAAGCTCACAGACTATTACGCAACAACTAGATACGCAATACTTTTTTTTTAAAAATAAATGTAACCTTGAAAAAAAGTTCTACAGTATGAAATTTTTTCCAGCCGGTTTTTACGAGTTCTAATATCTTCAGAAATTAAAATTTCCAAGTTTCCAAAGCTTTGCGGAACAATTCTTTTTTTTTTGAAAATAAAACCTACCTTGAATAAATCTAGAAGCGTCATAGTTGGGAAATGATCTTCGAGAAATGAAAGAAGACCAGGAAACAAGAAAATAATTGAAGTATGTTTAAATTTGCACAATGAGCAAACCAAAAACGAAGTCAGATAAGATCATAAATATTCATTGTAATATGCAAAAAAAAATGATGGAAAGTTTCGCGGTTGGTAAACTTAAGTGATTATGTCCTCAAGAGAAGTGAAATTATTTAAAATTTGAAAAAGGAGTACCCGTCGATGCAGAGACAAACAACCACAAAACATCGAACAAATCCAAAGGAAAAACATATATGATACAAAGGCACGGCCCTAGGGTAGGGTACTAATAAAAGGCAAGGTGGAACAAAATTGGAATCACAGACAAAAAGGCAAGTAAAATTGATAAGGCAAGAAGAAATACAGGAAAATAAGGGTAAGGCAAGACAAATTTTGGGGATAAGGCAAGAAATATATTGATTGAGTGACAATTGAATAGAATAACTAGATTTGTGATAACTATACAAGAGCAAGGCTAACGTGGATAAAATATTGATTGATTGGTTTTTTTTCTAACATTCGATTTTGACGTTGACGTTTGGCACCATTGTTGGAGTGGATTCGAGTTGGATTGGGACTTCTTCGATTTTGGGTTGTTCGACAACTGGTTCCGGTTGCCATCCGCGTTCTTTTGCTCGAACATAATCCGGGAAACATTCGTGAAGAAGAAGATTCCATTCGGCGCGCATTTCATCGGTTCTGAAAAATTATTTTTTTTTAAATTTTATTGGGGTACTGTATTAAAATTGGTTCAACATTGAAAAGGAAAATTTCATATAATTTCAGCATTGAAAATCAATTGACTCAGAATTCAAGCTAAAAGTAGAATTTGAGCTAAAGCTTAACCTTTGGTGATTCAAATAAAATCAAAATATTGAAACTTTTTTTTGAGGGAACCAGGGCTTTCAAGATCTTCTAAACCCAATCACACCATGCCACTACACCGCAAAACTACACTATATTTCAATAATCTGAAAATCAACTTACGTAACATCGTGTGCGTCGTCAGCTCGATGACGGCATTGTCTGGCATGTGAAATGACGTTTGATTTGATGCCAGTGAAATCACAATCCCAACACTACAAACAAACGAGAAATTAAAAAAAAACACCATACAACACACCGTGCAATAGAAAAACCCCATATGAATATATATATAAAACACTTACCTTATATGGTTTACAATCGGAATGAATCATAATAACATGTCGAAGAAGATTCCATCTCGAACCAGTCGAATTCAAAGTTGTTGGTTTACCACAAAGTGCACATTTATATGTAGCTTTACAATGTACACGTCCACAATTTTTACCGCGCGATGATCGACTTTCTTCCAATTCTTCATTCGGTAACCATCGATGTTTTTTGGTTGCCGGTGTATGTCCATCCGCGTTTTTTCGCTTATTTCCAGCTCCACTTCCAGATGCATTTGCAGCCGCTGCAGCTGCTGCCGCAAAAAGATTCTCATCAAACATTTTGAAACCGAAAGGTAGACCGAGGGCGGGATTCAAAAGATGGATCATTGATGCTCGAACTTGTTCATCAGATGGTCCTAATCCAAAATCTAACTCTGGTTTCAAATCTTCGCTGCTCGCTTTTGAAATTGTTTCACTGTGTTGATCATTGAATTCTGGAGTCAATCGATCCATTCCGAATGGCAGATTTGTTTGGGATAAAATGATTCGTTGAATTTCAGCCTGTTGTCGATCTTGCTCTTTTTTCGCCATGCACTGTTCTTCTAATAATTTTGACAAATGATTTAATTGCGGGGTTGAAAATGGTAGAGTTGGTGTGGAAGATGTTGAGGACGATGTTGGTGAACATTTTTTGGATAATGCGTTGGCGATTGAATCGATTGATGCACGCGGTTTATTGTTTGGCTGAAAAAACATGGATAGTTTTTTTTTGGCTAAAAAATTAGCATAGGGTTGACCCTTTAACAGGCCCCCAAATCTTGAAAAAAAACAACTAACCGGTATCGGTGTATTCATCGAAATCGGCGTCGACATCGCTGTTCTCGGCGGTGTGTGCTGTGAATCCGACGCCGAATCCTTCATGTGCTTCAACGATGGATGATCCGTCAAATCGGTGACAACCGCAAATTTGTCGAAGCCATGTGTCACCAAATATTCGACTAATGACATTGTGGATGGGGTGTTACCAATCTCGACGACAACATATTTTTGTTGCATCTACAAAAAACGTGTGGATTAAAGAAGAAAAATCTTCGAAAGAATCTATCGATTCAAAAGTATCACAGAGTAATTAACAACTCTTTGGAAATAGAAAAAAAAAGAAAAATTGAAATTTAGTAAATGTTATGTTATTAAATAGCAATTAAAAATTAATAGAATTGAGATAAATGCAAAATTAAAGATTAGTCATAACATCGTTTTGAAAATGATCTTGGCCAAAACTATCATCGTCATTTTGGACAACAACATGTTGTTGCTGTTGCGGTTGAGGATCTTCTTTGATGTGTTTCCATTTTCGATATGTTACACCGAAACATTGATCTAGTAGAGATGCCCATTCAGCTTCGAGTTCAGGTGATCTGAAATTATTTATTGATTGAGGGAACTTAAAATCAGAGGATCTTTGACAAGATTTATAGAAACTCTTGATGGTTTTTTCGACTTTAAAATCGAAGAATCCCGTCTGATTTTCTAAAAAAAATTCAAATTCAAAGTCCAAACTCACTTCAAATCAATAATCGTGGCATTCTGTTGTTTATGTTGAGTCTCAATATGCTTCCTGACATACGGTTTTATATGCGAATATCCACAAATCGAACATTGACTCGGTTTCGACGATTGATGCATTATCCAAACGTGTCTCATCAGATTCCACGTTCTTTGCGGTGAATACATCACATCGTGCCCGCATATTTTGCAAGTTGCTTTACACGATTCTTCGGGTCGTCGAACAGGCGCTTTTCGGCGGAGAACTTCACCGGGAGACGAGAGATCACCAGTGGGGAAGAGTTCGCGAATGACTTCGAGGTTTTGCATATCATCGAGTTGACCGTGAGCAACTTGATTGACTGTTTGCTCGAAAGAATGGCTGTCGTTTTTCATTCCATATTGTTGTTGTTCTTGTTGCTGTTGCTGTTGTTGTTGACTTTCAGTTTTTAAATACATAAAAGTACTTTGCTGTTGTTGCTGAAAAATAAAAATTTAAATTTTTTTTTTCAAACTGGCCCTCAACAGTTTAGGTTTAAAATAAATTTTAAAAAACAAAAAAAAACTTACATTTCCAAACGAAGAAGTTGACGGCATTGGATGTTGCACTAAATGATGATGTTGTTGTTGCTGATGTTGTTGATGTCCACCTCCGCTAATTATTTTCAACAATCGATTTTTCTCATCATCCGACAAATTGTTCACCGCTCCACCATTTCTAGTTGGCTGTTGTTGCTGTGATAATTCAGATTCATCGCGCAGATAAGGATGATCTTCCAATCTCTGCAGCAATGAGACTCGCTCCAAATTTCGTTTGACCTACAACAAATTCAAATATTCTTTCAATTAAATTTTTAAACAAAAAAAAAGAAAAACAGGAGCCAATGCGCCCGTCTGACACAAACAAAATGAATACGGTAGAAAGTTGAGAGGTGGGCGGGGCTGGCTCGTTTGTGCGCGAGCGAGTACGCACATTAGAGAATATAGGCGGAGTTTATGGAGAGAAAGTGTGTGTGTGTGTGTGGAGATACGCACTTATTGTGTAGAGAGAAAACAGGGAGAGAGAGAAGGGAGATGTGCGCGAGCGATTGGCCTAGATTTTAGGATTTTTGTCGGATACGATTTAATTGTGAGAACACATTAAAGGGCTCAAAGGGAAAAATTTCTGAGAGATTCAAAATTACTCGGTGGTTTTCTACAGTTTCTGAATTTTACATCTTAATTTCGAAGAAGCATAGAAAATCTACTGAGCTTAAAAAACCTCTAGTAATCGCGCCGAGAAAGTTCAACTGTCAAGGATCAGCGCCTTGAGATTCAGGTTTTCAAGAAGGCGCGCCTAGAGATGAGTCATATTCGTCGAATTACTTGAGTAATTATTGTGTAACAATTTTTTTTGGATGAAGATAAAATCTCAAAAAAAAATGAATCAATGAAAAAAATTGTACAATTTTCACAAACCCAGCCCCTAATCTTATCATCTATGCTCTATCGTACTAACAACATAAATACAGTAATCCGAGGGCAACATCATTGGAATGTGTTTACATCAAGAAAAAAGGAGAAGAAGAAGAAGAAGATCGTCTCAACTGCCTGCGCCTTGTACAAAACTCGTTTTTGGCTCTTCGCCGACAACACACGAACAATTTGAGTGCGAAATAGCATTGGAATATGTGGAGAGGCGGCAGACCATCCAACTGTCATTCATTCAGGAAGAAAAAGAAAACGCCCAAAGGCTCTGACTACTGTAGGAGAAGAAAGAAGAGGAGACAGAAGAAATAAATGATGGATGCAAATTATTACAATTTTCTTTGCTGGAAAACGCAAAGAGAAAGCTGGAAGAAAAAAAAGTTTGTGAAGGCGCGCAAGAAAATTGTGATGTGATGAGAAATAAAATGAAAAAGTGCAGGTAAAATCAACCGGCGAAGAGTCAAGGTCATCAAATTGATTGCTCGCCGCCCCCTATCTCTTGCCCCTTTCCATCTATCTACAGTATACCTCGTGAGCCTTATTTTACAAGGCACTAAAAACATAGGGAGCGAATGAGAAAGACCGGTTGGTTTTTGTGATAAGCATTCATTCAAATTGGATGTGTTTTTGAAGAAAAAGAAGACGAAGAAGCAGGAATGTGTAATAGAAAAGAAGAAAAAAGAAGAAGCAGAAGCCGGTTTGGTAGAAGTGTTTGTGTGCTTCTTTTTCTTCTGTATTTCCTTATTCGAAGATGAGTGGCAAGAAGAACAAAATGAAAAAGAAGAAGAGGAACCAAGTTACATTAGGGGGTTGTAACTTGTTATATTTTTAATTTGAAAATGGGAAATGAAAAAATGGCTGACTCAAGTGGTTTCTGATTGGCAAATGTTGAATGGGGCCCTTGGAATTTTTTTCGGATCAAGATCGATTCAGAAAATCCCGAAATTTTGAATTTTTTCTGAATTTCTGGATGTTATGTGGAACATCATGATAAAATCTGAATGCTTGTTCACTCGAGCCAATTTTTAAAACAGGAGGTTTTGAATCAAGTCTGATTTTCTAGACCAGATTATTTTGGACCATCAAAATTTGAAAAAGCCAAAATGGTCTTTTGAAAAAAATCGTGGCTATATTTCTATTCAGAAACTTCAATCAGTGCTCGATTTAGAATTTTCAAACAAAATTTCCAAATTAAAATTTCACTAATATCTCATTTCACACCTTATCAAAAATCATTCGATCAATCAATTCTACGCAACAATTTATCCTCTTTCTCTCTCTCTCTCTCAAATTGTGTCTCCAAAAACAACAAAACTATTCAAAAAATCTCCTCTGAAGGCCATCCGAGCCGTTTTGTTCTGTTATTGTTAGGGTTGCGCATAGGTGAAAAGAAGGAAAACGAATAGCCCTGAATCTCAAGGACGAGTGGTAGCAAGGTTGCTCATATTATATGGCACAACATTTCTGTTTTGGACAAAAAAGAAAAGAAAAGGAGGAAAGAAGGAAGGAAGAATAAGGGACGAATCGAAATATCATAAATAAATGATAATCAGTTGATCACTTTGTTACACTTATGTCTTCTTCTTCTATTTCTTCTCCATTCATTTTCGGCTCGATTCGACTGTTTTTGTCGTCGCCGTCTTCAAAATGACAAACAGTTTTATGTAATTGGTGTCTTCTCTCTTTATTTCCCTTTTTCTTCTTCTCATTTTGAGTCATTTCATACATACATATAAACCAGTTTCGGTGTGGCAGCAAAAAAAAGAGTCAGTCAATCGTTTCACCTTGTCAAAGAAAGACACAAAATAACAACAATAACATTTCAATGGAATGTTTCTTTGTGCATTTTTGGGGCAAAATCATGTGATTTGGGTTTTCGACGAATTTGGAAACATTGATTCTAAATATACTTTTATCAATGTTCAAGGTTGGGAACGAGATTTTCGAAATTGATATGAGCACAGTGTTTTGAGCCTTAGGAGCCCATATAGAAAATGGATTTTTTTCAACAAAGTTTAGTAATCCAGGAAAATTTCTGGGTTTCAAATTTTAAAATCTTCTCAGCAGATTTTTCGAAGCCGAGGACCTTCCAGATTTCAAAATAACAGAGCTCTGCCTAATTACAATTAAAAGTTTCAAAAAATCTTTAAACTATATATTTTCCGACCTACAGTACGCCCCGTAATTAAATGCTCGCAGACCTCTCCCTATAATTACGTCTCGCGCGCACATTTCAATACAAAAACAACAAAATGATGATGAATGAATGGATGAATCGAAAAACCAGCCGTTTGGTAGATCCCTTTTTCTACCGCGCATTTAATTGTTATTGGAGCACTCAACAGAGAAAAAAGAGTATGTGTATGTAACAATTTATTACAATTCGTCTATACCGAAAAAGGGAGGGAGGGAGGGAGGGATAATTGAGTGGCGGTATTCGATGTGTGCGCGTTTTGTGAAGGTCATTCAGATGAGCAACTCTATCTATGCACTATTATATGTGTGTGGTGGTATATTACGGAGATTGATGAGCCGATAGGAATGTTCAGGGAGAGACGAATGGAGAAGAAAATAAGAAGGAATAGAGATGGGGATTTCTAATCTAATCCGATACTTTTCGGATTACCGGACCATAAAACTAATGATTTCAAGGAAGATTTGGAAATATCGAACTCAGAAGATAGAGGAATTGGGGATCAGTTAATCGGAGAAGGAAAAGGGTGGTGAATCGGACAAGGGTGCTCACACTTTCAGGGACCAGAGCATCTTGGAGCTTTCAAACAAAATGGAATCTAATCTAAAGTAGGCTGATTCAAACATCTGACTAAAGTTTGGTCCCATTCAGATATCTTCTAACTTTGGTAGAGCTAAATCTCAAATTTTTTACAAAGAAGATAAGGTGAAAAATAGAGTCCTAACTCAAAAATAAGGAACTTGAACGCCTTTTTTTTACAGATATAGAGAATTTAGAAATGGTCCCATGCACGATGTTTTCTTTGAATAATGGGATGTTCCTGCAGTGAATTCTATGAGCCTCGATGAAAAATACGATGACCGAAAAAAGAGTACACATAATGTCGAAATATCCAACTCAACTCAAAAAACTCGTTTCTCTATCGATTGTCTCCCGATCTCTCAATTCTCTCTCTCTCTCTCCGATATTCTCGCACCCACAATTTTTTATCGTATACGGGATGAGAGCGAAATCAATCAGCAGAGGAGTTTTGCGCACAATTACGACGGCTCGTTTTTATTGGTGGGTGAAAAAAGAAGATGAGAAGAAGAAATGGAAGAGGTCAAGGATTTAGTACGATTTTTGTATGGATGAAATGAAGAAAATGGAAAAATGAGAGGAGATGAGCGAGAAAAGAAGAAGAAGAAGGTGGTGATTATCAACAATTATGCGTGAACAGAATGCGATTGAGATGAGAAGGAAGAAATCGGATTGTGGATTTGCGGCGAGATCGGATAACCAGGGAGAGTGTAAAAATTCAGACTCAAAAATGCACAGAAATTATTTTCTGGTTTTGAGATTCGAAAAGACTTTCTGCGCAAATGAACTCACCGAGCATCAACTTTTCTAGAAGATATCGAGCTTGATAGAAGCGACTGAGTTTTTAGAAATGAGCCTAGGAGCAATTTTTGGAACACGTCATTTCCGGAAAAAATAACGTGATACTTTTTTTTAAAGAAATTTCTGCGTGATTTCTAACATGCTCCATAGAATCGTAAGTATTTAAATAATTAATTCTCAAACTCAAAAATACGTGGCAAAAATCCCAAGCTTCTCTACCAACTTTTCCTCGGCTTTTCACTACTCAAAAAAGCAAAACTTGATAAACAAAAGTTTCCAAAAAGCTTTTCTCTAACCGTAGTCTAAAAAAAGCAAAAACATTTCTCTCCTCTCACAAAAGGCTTTTTTATTCCCCAAAAAAAGTGCATTTTCGCTGTTGCCATTCATTCATTCCCACCACCAAATATGTATCACTCATTGTTTCCCACACACAGCAGCCAACGAAAAAAAAAGAAAGATTGTGCATTTTTTGAGGGAAACGGATAGCGAGAAGGATGCCCGCGCACAGCTGTGGCGCCTTTCAGTGCGAACAAAAAGGAAGGCCGTTCGAACAAAAACTAGTATGTTGCATATGTAAATTTTTCGAATCCTAATTTAGGGATTTGGAACAAAGGATTTGCTCTGCTGGGAGAGGGCTGATCTGTAGAAGGTTAGGATGAATTACGGTAGGCTGGAAACCTGAGCAAGCGGGGATCGGGAAAAAGGGGAACGGGCGTTTTCCAGCCAACATACCAAGTGGGAAACGGGAAAACAGGCCAACACTAGGCGAACTGATTTGCGGGAAAACGGGTACCCAAAAAAATGGATTGTCCCTCCGTTTCCCGAGTACAACCATACATAAACTAGTCGCTCCGGGGTCACTTGAGTTTTCAGGAAATATTTTCAAAAAGTTAACCACCCTAACCAACTATTTGTGGGGTTTTGACCTCTAAAGGCATAAAATTCTCCGAAGTTTTCAAAAGTTAAGGGCCCCACCTCCAAAAATGCACCTAAAGCTAATCCTCCTCCCTCCGAATTCGAAGTGCTAGTTCATCTATGAGTACAACACCCGGGGAAGGTGAACAGACCAACTGGGAAACAGGCAAAAGGCACTAGAACGTCGGATAAACGGGCAGCGGGACGAATGAGATACTGACGGACATCCCATCGGACAAGCTTTCGGGCCACCGAGCCTCGAGCCAATAGACGTCAGATAAACGGAACTTCTCACTTTTCCAGCCTAGCACAACCACCAAGAAATTGTCTCACAATGCAAAACTGGTTTAGTCGAGCTTTTTTTGCCTGTAGGATGAGCGCGGCGAGAAATACAATGCATCTAGGTCACATCGCATCGCGCATTCAAAACGAGCCAACATCCGTTCGTCCTCCAAACACACAACAACAACAATCCGATTCATCCATCCATAGGTATGCGCATATATATATATATATATAAAATCGAGCGATGTGTACGAACGAATAAAGAAGATGAAGAAGAAAATGAAAGTGCAATTTATAATAAGAATAACATATTCGGTGAAGAAAAAAGGAGAAGAAGAAGACGACGATTCAATTAAACGAAACTATGCATGGATTTGTGTAAAAATAGATGAAATAGCAAACTATAAATTGGAAACAAGTGGGAGTTTCTGACAATAAGATGCTGGGGAACTGTTGAGTAACCATTTAAAAAATTCCAGAATACATTTTTGAGCATTGCCACGTCATAACCCACACAAATTTGGAAAACAGTTTGAGTTCAGAATTTCAAAATCTTCATCAAGTGCAAACGAAACAGCAACGTTTAAAATGTTTAAATTTTTAGGATACGATAATGTCGAAACGTAAAAAGTTCAGTTTTATTTTTTTCAGTGAACACATAAAAAATTCCTAGAAAATCTAACTCCAAACCGGTCTAGAGTTTTTTTAACAAACCTAATATAATCTACAGTACTCTTCCTCTCTTTCCAATTTGTCTTCTTCTTTTTGCGCCTTGCCTAAAGCAATCCAATTCTTCAATTATAATTAAAAGCATGTCCATCTTCAAAAACTCGGCCGCCGCCAAAACAGAGAAGAGTCACTCAATTGAAGATGATGCGCAATTCCACTCATTCATCTTTTCATTCTTTTTGCCCATAATTTAGGTCATACGGTAGTGAAAGCTTGGGAGCAGAGATGGTCGGAATTTTGGGATGCTGAATTGGAATTGGAGAACTCGGAGAAACAGATCTAACATTTTTTTGGAAAAAATTTCACAAGGAACTGGATCGAGGATTCCGAACCGGATGAGAAATTTCAGTGAGTTAAGCCTCTAATCACATGATATTCAGCTTTTCAGCTACTAACAAGTCGGGAAAAATCACAACAACAAAAATAACAATAACAACAAAAAACGAAGTGAGAAATGAGTCAGAACACAGGAGACATGTGTCCCAAAAAATGCAAATAACGAAAAAAAAAGAACTTTGTGAGCAGCATATATTTGCATTCGCCAGCCACAGAAATTTTTATGGGAAATCGTTGAAAAATATCAGAAGAAGAAGAAAAAGAAGAGGAGGAGGAGAACAAGAACAAGAATACTGTATTGTTATAATATGTGCATTGTGCACGACAATGATAAATAATAAAAATGACAACAAATAACAATAATTTCGTCTTCTTCGACGTTTTTCATTTTCATTTCTCGTTTCGTCTCTTCTTTTTCTTCTTTTTGCCTTTTGTGGGCTCGAAACATTCGAATGACTGTGTTTCGTCAAAAATTATTTTCTAACAAATTTTATGATGGGAAGGAAGGAAGAAAAAAGGGGGAGAGAGCAACAACAAGAAAAATTGTGATTGAAAGAAGCGAGAAGACATTTCAGAGGCGCGGCGACGAAAAATTACAACGTACAATTTGCACAATCAGAGAAGATGGTTTTTTGGTGAAATTATCAGAGCGATTATTTTCAAGGAGACTGTGGAGAGCATAAAAATCATGAAGATACTCAAAATTGAAACTAAACTTGTAGTGAAGCACCTTGAGAGCTTAAATGCTGAGTAGCAGAGTCTAGAAACTCTAGTTGTCAAGTATCCGATTCTAGAAAGTCAAGCCACCGTGAAAAATAATTCCCGCCAAAATATGTACAAGCAGGCAGCCATTAGAAACTGAAAAAAAAAACTAAATAACGACAAAAAAGGAATGACACGGGGCTCCGCGGTTCCTTCTTCGTTTCTCTCGTCTCTCCATCTATCATTATACTATTTTTTCGAATAGCATAAAAAAGGAGCGCGACCCCAGCCGGGAATAGGAAAAAAGGGCAACAACAACCACAACAACCACTATGACAGAAATGGGAGACAGTAGCAGCACATTTGCACATTTGTAATGTATAATACAAATTTTTTGTGTCTCGCGCTCATGCTAATACGATTCTTTTTTGCATGTTTTGTGGTTATTTGATGCGCCGAAAATGATGAGTTACAAAAATGCTCTTTTAAACAAAACAGGCTTGATTTTGGAGGGAAAAATAGAATTTTTATGTGAAAAAAACATAGATTATGCCCTAAATCTTGAATTTTCCACGTGGACTTTTTATAAAACATTTCTCATTTTTTACACGTGTCTGTTTTTTCTGAAAATAAAAACAAAAAGTTAAAATTTCGTTTTACCACCTGGAATTTTACATGGAAATTTTCAAAAATTTCAAAAATCATCTAATCTGAGCAATGATTTGAATCTACTATTATAGGCTTGAAATGCATTATTTTACACTATCCATTTATCAACAAAAAAACCTAATCTGAGCAATGGTTAGAATAAAAACTTTTTGGAGCCAGATTTATCGAGCTCGCGTGAATCTAAAAATCTAAATGAATAGTTTTAAATATTTCTAGAGAAAATTCCCTTGTTTGAAAAAACCGGCAAAAAATAATTACACCCGAAAACCCTTCCAAAAAAACTCACACAGAAGCTCAATAAATCAATAGTTGACATATCATCGGTGAGTTCGACAACAACAAATTTTGGCATTATATTTTCTGAATTTCCCTTTTTGTTTTGAAATTCCCGAATGATTTTTAAAATAAAACAAAATTGGAGATTAGATAACCATTTCTATAAAAAAAAAATAAAATTCAATACATTTTTTCGAAATTAAAAATAATTTATTTAGTATGATTAGAAGAAAATTATTGACATTTCGAGGCAATTGTATTTTTTCCATATTGATGTTGTGGAAAACATTCGGACATTATTTGAAGCCATTCTTTGCGAATTTCGGGGTTACTGAAAAAATAGATTTTGTGGTAGTTGAATTCGCCTTTTTCTTTAACTCACGTCATATCCAATGGTTCAATTTCCATATTATGTTGAGAAAATGCATGTTGTCGTACTCGAATCTGAGAAAAAATTGAGAAATTTAAATTTGATTTTTTGTTACCTTTCTTGTTGCCTCATAAGAACATTCGGTGCATTTGAAAGGTCGATAAGTTGAATGTTTCAAAATTACGTGTTCATACAAATTCCATTTCGAGCCACCCGTGTTCATTCTTATCACACTTTCACACATCTGCAAAAAATAATCTTATTTTTGAGTGAACCTAATAATAATTGGAGAAAAATTGCGAATGGAAAAAATACGTTTCAAAAATATGATATTGAATATTGCCTCTTGATTCAAAAATATTCTGAAACATTTTTTTTACAAAATATTAATCTGTGAAAAAAAATATTGATAAATTCGCAAACTGAAAAATTACGTTTCAAAAAATTATTATTGAATGGTAAATTTATTTTCTTTATTGATATTTTAGATGTGTTGAAAAATCGAAAAACCACACTAGAATCACACCTGACGAGACGTGTCCAAAATGGACACTGTACAAAAATGTTCAAAAGCCACACTGTACATTTTTTCACGAAAAAGTGTAGTTTTCATTGATTTTCAGCGGTTTTTGATGACAATTTTCAAAAAATTCAATATTTCACGCTGCACAATTTTTTTTGCAAAAATTTCCACGCTGTACAAAAATTTTGGGACAATCTCTCGCCAGGTGTGACTAGAATGTTATTTTAGCAGTAAATCAAATTGATTTTTCAGATTTCTCCTAACAAATTTTATTTTACAGCGACTTAAAAAAATTCCCAACCCCTCCAGTTATACCTCACATTGTGCATTTGTGATAGTCGACGTCGTTTTTTGCCTCTTGGAATTTGGCGGAACAACAGGTTCATCTCTCTTCGATTCAAATAACGATAAAAGTCTCGATTTCACATCTTCCTCTTCATCAATCAAATTATTTTCCACATCTTCTTCATTATTCAATTCTTCCGAATTTCCTTCTCGAACTCCATAATCTTCTTCAAAATCATCTTCCAATTTTATATCCACATTTACTTGCTCAACCGAGCTGAAAACTTTTTTTTTGTTTAACTTTTTTTTCGAATCGAAAATCTGACCTTTTTTGTATTTCTGTGAAAACATCTGGCACACTTTTCTGATCCTGTTTCAAATTCTCAACATGTTGAAAACGATAAAACCCATTGTCGATCTGAAAATATAATTCAATTTGATAATCTCATACCTACTACAGTAGCCCACCCTGAAGGTCTGCGAGAGCGGAGAAAAACTCACCCGATTTGAGCAGCGCACACTCACCACTAAAAACACACACGCAACGCACACGCATCGCTCAAAGTCAGTGCACTCTTCGATTTGCACGCTCTCTCAACAACACACTCATTCATGTGTTTTTTTTTTGTTGGATGAGAAAACGAACAGGAAAAAAAAGAAATATGTATATATATCAAAAAAAAATGGAAAAGAAAAGGAAAAGCTTGGGAGAATCTAAGTCTATAAAAGTTTAGAAGAATTTGAAAATTCAAAAAAAAATGAATAGAAACTTATTTTCAAAGTTCAATATTTAAATTTCAAAATTCTGATTTGCTTTTCAAAAATTCCTTACGTTAGTAACTAAATAAATTCGTTAGTAACTAAATAATTTTCTAACATGAGCAATGAAGAGTTTTTGAGGAATTTCGACCAAAAATCTGAAGGAATACCAGCAGAAATTTTCCAGAACATGTTTCTCTTATCCCAGAATTCCACAAAAAAAAAACTCACAAGAACACACAGCAATCGTTTCAATTCACTATTCGAAGTAACATCAACAATCAAATGTGTCGTCGGTTTTGTGTCAATTCCCCGTTTCCTTGAACTCGTCGGCTCGGCGAGCATTTTCGAAAGAATCGGAGCATCCATTGATAATGGCGATGATATAGTTTGCTCCAATAATCGATTCCACATCGCTGTTTCATCGGATGGCGCATCAATTCGCAATTTTTCCTCTTCTTCAACCTCCAAACAAATTCTAGCCAGTTTCACATCATTTTCATTTTGGAACATTATTTTTCGACAAATCTCTTCCATTTTTTCGTCAATTGACAGGTTTTGACAGAGCCTGTTGGAATAAAAATTGATTTTTTGAACTGGAAAATACACTTACCTCAAAGACTCTTTCATTCTAGCGAGCAGCACTTTTTTCCGATTATGAAAATGCGATTTGACTTTGTCTGCATCGATTGGAATATCGAAATTATTAACAACCTAGAAAATTGGAAGATTTTTGGACGAATGTTGAGAAATGTCAAACCTCTTCTGAAATTTGTTGCCATTGCTCATTACGAGTTTCATTTTCAGCCGTCAATCTTCGATAAGAATTTCGAATTAGAATATCAGCGCGATCCAAGACTTGAGCAACGATGAAATTGCTAACCTGAAAAATAATTCTGTTGGCGGTCAAAAATTATCCATTGCTCATGTTAGAAACTATTTAAAAAAAACTTTTTCAAAACCTGATAAGCCTGAAAATTGCTCATGTCATTCAAACAGTCCCAATAATAGACGAATATTTTTCAGCTAAATTTTTCAGTCAATATTTTGTTCTGAAATTTGTAATTTTTATAGTTTGTAAACTTTTCTTCGAATCTCCTAAATTCGTTTCCAAATTCAGGTCAATTTTAAAATTTACCTGAATTTTCAGGAATTTTTAATCCACAATTCAAGTTACACAGCTTTTTTGAAAAATTAGATTTGGTTTAATTATTGGGATAAAACTTGCATAACAAAATTTTTCGGGACGATTTTTCCCAATAAATGTGACCTAAAATCCAGAATTTGGTTACAATTTCAAAATTTTTTGAAAAACCCAAATTCAAAAATCCCACCCAATAAAAAACCGAACCTCTTTGCTGATTTTGGACAACTTTGAAGACGCCAACATATCTCCTCTTTTTTCGAATCAAGAAAAAAATGGGGAGAAAAAAGAAAGCGAAGCAAAGCAAAGCAAAAAACAGCCGGTCGTTGAACAAGGTCGTCTTTTGCTGTCTACAGCTGCAGCAGAGAATCGAGGACACGCTGACAGGAACACAAAAACAACAACAACAATGTATTGATTTGTTGAGGCGGGAAAAAAAGAAAAGAAAGGAAGCGACCAGAAAAGTAGTAGTTGTTGTTTGTGCTGCAAAAATATTACAGCTGAAAATGCTGACTATTGTGCAAAATATTTGATAACTTTGAAATATTCCATTTATGGATGAAATTGAAAAATTCGAGTATCATAAATATATGAGAATTTCAAAAAAGAATTTACCATATTACAAATTGCTGATTCTGAGAACATTTTAAATTTACAACAAAACCATAAAAAAGAAACCCATAAGTAAAGCCACGGGGAAAAATTAGTAGATGAAGAGATCGTGGAATATCAAAAGGGAGAAAAAAACATGGGATATTTATTCAGTGTCCATCTCTTCCAAAAATTCAACAAGTTGCTCCAAATGATTGATATATTTGTCTTGGTTGATGTCCTCGACAGTGAAAACAGTGAGACGTTGTTTAGCTTCTTCCTGAAAAATGTTAGAGTTTAGAGATATTTTTGAGAATATTATAAATGAAAATTGGAGCTTAGAATTCGAAGAGATTTTGTGAATTCCAAGCTGCCATTTTTTCATCAAATTTTCCATTGAAAACTTACATTATAAGTCTCAATTTTGCATCGAACTCTCCACAATTTCGGTTGGAAAAGAAGACCCTCAAAGACAGAATTGAATTCTTGTTCATCCCCATCACGCAATTCTCCAACTTCTTGTGCAGTTCTTCCAACAATTTTAGCAGCCGTATCACCGAAAGCAGTCACATAAACTTGTCCAGTTTCATCAGCGAGTTCGAATTGCATCATATACAACCATTTGAAAGTGTTGCTTGTCGAATTGCATTTCTCACAACGATATTCTCCATCAGTTTCAACAACCTTCTTCTGACATCCTTCATTCGAACATCCTTTATACATTGTATTCTGTGGATTTATTCTAGTAATCATTGCCTTCAATGTTGCATAATCTCCCTTTTCTGAATTTTCACCGAAACGCATTTCAGTGACACCGGCAATTGTTCGTGGAGCATCTGAACCACCTCCTTGATTGAATTGACTCAATGATTTAATCTCCACAGTTGATCGCTCATTTTCGTACCAATCAAAAAGTTGAGCAACTCCGTGATATTCAGGAACAGTGTAAATACGAGTAGCTTGACCAGTTGATAAAGTGAAGTTTCCGTTGAATTCGCGAGCAGTGACACCTTTGAAGGCAACAACTTTTTTGAAATAATCTTGTGGGTCGAGATTTCGAGCCTCGTTTCCCCAAAGTGTAATTCTGACAATAGCAGCCGATTCGTCGATCAAATCCATTTCCCGTTTCACCAAATCTTTACCGTTTCGTGAAGTAAACTGAAAGAGTAAAAAAAGTTAATTTTTGGGTTCAAAAATCAGGTCACCTCTGTGCAATTCTCATCAATTTTCTCAACAACAACTAAAACATCAATAAGATTTCCAAGATGTGAACCAATTTGAGCTAATTCAACACGTTTCATCGTCAATTTTGGAGCAGGAATCGACGCATTTCCTTGCTCAACTTTTGAATCTGAACGAAGTGTGAGCTCATAATCATGTCCAGTATTATTATATTGTTTGTTAGCCTGGCGAACAGTTCCACCACTAATATAATATCCCATATTTTCAACAACTGTAGTAGCCATCGATTCCGCTGTTTCATTGAATGCAGTTACACGAATTGTGTCACCAAAAGCATCGGTGATTTCGAAATTAAAGATTTTCAAGTTTTTCGCTGGAATCAATCGCATTTCTTCTTTTCTCGTCACAACTCCATGAATTTTAATATTGTTAGCATATGGTGTGATTGCAGCAATTGGCATAATTCCACTTTCAGTCTTACTCGGAGCTTTTCTTGGCAATGGTGCCGCAGCTTTTGGTGCAGGCGCTGGTGTTCGCACAGTTCCATTATCGGTCTTCATCATTTTTGTTGGAGGTGGTTGATTTTCAATGACATCCTTCGAGTATTCGGATGCCTCTTTCCAAGGAAGTTCGAATTTCATTGTTGGTTTGAAATTTCTAAATTGCTCTGCGTTTCCTGGATGACTGAATCCTTTTTTGAAACCTTCATGTGTAACAATTTCGTGACTTTTGGAGAGCAATACGTATCCAGTAATAATAAATGTCTTTTTCTGGTCACTATCCAAAATTTCACAATCAGTCAAAGCAATGACTGATCCTTCAACTAAACCATCCTTTTCATCTCCGACTTGTTGTTGAAGATTTGCATGAATCAAAGTGTCTGAAAATCAAACAAAATCAATGAAAACAAAAAGAGTGTCAGATAACTTACTATATTGGAATGCTCCATCACTTATTCTAACTCGATAACAATACTCCAAAGATCCGGCTTTTGCTAATTCCCATTTTCCTTTCTACAATAAAACTTTGGTTTCGCAATAGTATTTATTTACGTTGAATCAAATTGGGAAAAAAACCTACACAAATTTGCAAAATACCATCATATCCTGGATATCCGTTGGATTCGAAGCATCTCTGAAACAGTACTCGTTGATTTTGTAATGATCATCAAAAACTTGAACTGATTACCTGCAAATATCCAGGAGTCAATGCGATTTTTCCATTGCTATTGTATTTATTGAAAGTTTCTTGTGAAATTTCAATTTCTGCCATTCTGCTTGTCACTGAAAAAATAACTGGGTTATGAAAACGAAGAGTTCTTTTTTTTTTAATCAGGAACGAAATATACACCTTCGTATGGGAGGGGTTGGCGCGCGCGGGAAACAGTTGCGCGTCGAGTGTGCTGTTTTGTGTGCAATGCGGAATGAAGAGAAAATAGTGAAAAAATGAACAAACAAAAGTGAGCAATAGATTGATTGGAATCAAAGTTTGGGGTTTCAAGAGATGTGATAGTTTCAAGAATGAAAATTCATGAAATTTCATTGAATGAAACTTAAATTCAAGGTTTTGCGAACATATCTTTACTTTTGAAACAATTTCTCTACAAAACGTCTATTCAAATTCGTCACAACGAAACATTTCAACAAATGTGATAGTTCTGGGAGAATAAAGAGCATATAACTTAATTATTTTCAGTAATACAAGAGCCCTATGAACTTGCTCCACCGATAATTGTCAACACTGAACTCGAAAGATGAAATTGCACTTTCAAAAAGAAAATGAAAACGGCGCGCGAGAAAAACCAACTGCGCCCGCCGAGAAGCGTCTACCGTACTTTTCAAGGCGCACAAAGCCTGTGCTTGTTTCGCTTCAGGACACGGAAGTTTTGCGTTGTGTTCCTTCAATTGATCAAACGAGTACTGTTTTCATCTTCGTTTTCTTTTTATCACAATCGATTGCAGTCAAGTTTTCAGCTAGAACTCACTTATTTTGTCGGTTTTGAATATAGGAAAAATCACGAATTTCTTTCACAAGTATTTTCCAAAATGAATTGCCCCAATTTGTTGAGAAATATTTAGAATTCCACGTCGTAGATGACGTAGAAAATTATTTTATTTTCAATTTTTAAAATTGACATAAAATTGACGTTGAAAATGCCCTCTGAAAGCCCCAAAACCTATCTAAATTTTGTTACTCTTTCTGTTTTTTTTTGTCTTTTTCTCTCTCAACAACAAAAAACTCATCGATTACTTTCATGTCTCGAAGGCTCATTTTTCAGGCACGGACCAACAAAAAATGGAGTGTTTTTTCGAATTAGAAAAAGAGGACGATGGTTGCGTGAGTACTTTCATTTTTTTTTTGTTTATGTTGATCTTTAACTTCAAATTAGTTGTATTTTTGAAAATTGTTATTTTGAAGTGGCAGCAAAACAATTTTTCAATATCTATTGTTTGTGTCAAAAAATTTTTAATATAGCCAGAAGAAAATTGGCTTCGCCATTTTTAAATGCATTTCAAATGAGTTTATTTTTTTCTCTCTCGAAAAAATTCAATTTTTCCCTTGAACATCTTTATTTTGTTGAAAAAATCATCAATCAAAATTTCGATGATTGCAATAATTGAAAATGATAGTTCTTTTTTCGATTTTTTTTGTGGTTTACTCCACCGCATCCAAATCTTTATATCTCTGCGTCTCTTCCATTCCTCTGCGTCTTGTTTACTTTTTTTACACCCCGACTCATTGTGTTATTCCCTCTCTCCTTGTGTTTTTGTGTTTTTGTTGATTGGTGTTACTAGAACTATGACAACCTAACTTTATTGACAATAATATTCGTAATATTTAAACCATTTATTATATCCAGAATCAATGGATTTATGAACTGGTTTTAGAAAGAAAAAAAAGATAATCGTTTATCCTCTTTTCTGTTTCATTTTTCCCCCGATGATTTTATGTTATAGAAACTTTTTTCCTCAAAAAAACATAATAATGACTCATAGAAGTCTTCCCAAAACAAAACGCCCTTGAAAATGAAATTTTGTGTTGATAAAAAAACACAAATCACTTCTTATCATTTCGCAAAGTTTTTGTACTTGTTTAGTTAGCCAAACTATTTTTCATTTCATCCTAATATTTGTCTACATGTGCTCTCTTTATGAATTGATTTCTTTCCTGTTTACATAACAATGTTCCCTTTCGATTTTCCGGTCATTTTCTCACGAAAATACATTTCTCGTTTTATTCCGAATATTTTTCTTATCATATTTTATTGACAAAAAACCTCGCCTTCTTCATATTTTCATTTTGTTTTGAAACAAATCAAAATAAAATTGAACATTTTTTTCATTTTTTGCAGAGACTTGGGCTTGAATCGGAACAAGGAAACAAAGAAGAAATGAGTGATAATAATACAATTCGACTGAGCCGAGTTTGTTGTGATTTTTTGGTTTTGACTTTGATTGGTGAGTGGTTTTGGTTTTTATTGTAAAATAAAAATAGAAATTTTACCGTGAAAAAAACGTGAACTACTTTTTTTTCATTTCAGTTTTTATCATTTATGATATTTTTCTTATAAAGAAACCGCAGTGAGTTTTCAAAAATTTGAAATTGTAAAAAAAAGTGTCGAAATCAAAAATATTTCCCGCTTCTCACATAAAATGTCAAAAACAAAAATTCAATACAAAAATTTATTATTCACATCTGAAAAATGTGACTGTAACTCAAAATTCGAAAAAAAAATCCACGTGGATAAATGCTTTTTTTGCTCAAGAGAATTGTATTAATTTTCAAAAAAAAAAAAACAGAAAATCAATAATGTCTGAAATTTGCAGCCATTCCATTATACATCTTCCACGAATTCGTTCCGCCCTATAAACGTGGATTCTATTGTGACGATGAAACTATTCGATATCCATTTAGAAGCTCGACTGTTTCTCGACAAATGCTTATTGTCATTGGATTGCTCATTCCAATCATTTTGGTAAGTTTTGGTGTTAAACAGATATAAATTCCATGTTTTTACAGATTTTGGCCACTGAATTGTTCCGAACTTTAGCATGGGAAAAGAAATGTGAACAACAATTCAAAACGTATCAAGTTCGAAATCATTCAGTTCATCGTCTTATTGTTCGATTATATTGTTTCATTGGATATTTCTTTGTTGGTGTTTGTTTCAATCAATTAATGGTTGATATTGCAAAATATACAATTGGTAGACAACGTCCACATTTCATGGATATTTGTAAACCAGACAAAGGTTTTAGCACCTGTCCTAATCCTGATGAATATATCACTGAATTCACGTGTACTGGAGCTGACAAAAAATTGATTCATGAAGCACAACTTTCATTTTATTCCGGACACGCTGCTTTCAGTTTTTATGCCGCCTGGTTCACCTCGGTATGACTAGAAAATTCACAGAGTTTCTTAATAATTCTAGTAATTTTAGCTCTACCTTCAAGCCCGTCTTTTCCGTCCACTTTTCTCCCGTCTTTTGCTTCCAGTCATCCAATTTTTGTTGTTCGGAGGTGCCGCTTATGTTGCATTGACAAGAGTTGGTTTTTTGTTTAAAGAAAATTTGGCAGTGATTTTGAGCACACTATTTATTTATTTTTCAGATCTCTGACTACAAACACCACTGGTCTGATGTTTTGGTTGGTGCAATTATGGGAAGTGCCATTGGTATTTTTGTTGCTGTATTTGTTGCCGAAGTTTTCAAGCGACGTGAAATTCCAACATGTGGACCGGCTAATGAATTTGGATTGATTAGGTGAGTGGAAAAAAAGGAGACAATTTTTTAATACAATGCATGTCTTCAAAGAATTGATTCTTGCATCTATTCATTTGCGAAAAAAACCGAAAAAATGTATTTTTTTACAATTTTTTTCTATTCACCAAAATGCACGAAATAAATGTCAATCGTGACGAGACCCACACACATTTCAAGGAGAAAAACATGCGAGAAAAAAACAAGAAATGAAATTTTCGAAAGCATGCATTTTTCATACTCGTTGCCTTGAAATGAGTGTGGGTCTCGTCACGATTGCATGTATTTCGCGACAATTTGTGATTTTGGTGAATAGAAAAATATTGTAAAAAAATACATTTTTTTCGTGTTTTTTTGCAAATGAATAGATGCATCTGAAAATCAAAATATAATTTATTTATTCTGTGAAACAGTGAAATTTTGAAAATTAAACTGGGTGTTTTTTTAATCCAGTTTAATTTAAACTCATTTCATAAAACAGTGATTTTTTTTTGAATTTGAAAAATAAAGTTTTTAAAATCTAGTTTCAAATATTTTGAGAAGAAAATTTTTCATTCGAAGATCAATATCGCTTTATTTTCAGAGTCGATCGCCAAGATCACAATAACGGAATTCCAACCAACGGCGGTTCAACAGTTGTCTCAACTCAACATGTCGTTGTTTCAGAAGTCGATCCAGCAAATCAAAGACTGTGAGTTTTTCTTTCTCCATTTATTTTACACATGTATTCATTCACTAACATTTTTTCATATACCTACAAAAAATAAAAGCAACTCACGCTTTGTCCGAATGTCAACCAAACAACAAAACTCTTTTCCACAAACACACAACTCACTTATTTCCGGGTTTTATTTATTTTTTATTTGATTCCTTGAATGGTAGTAGAATAGTGCATGCTTTAGAGAAAAATAGAGAAAAACGAAAATATATTGAGAAAATGGCTGATTTTTAGCAACGAGTGGCAGAAAAAACTTGAACATCGCGGAATTTCGCCGACAAACAAGTAATTGTAGAATTATTATGTGTAAAAGTAGAAATAGATCACATTAAAATGTCCATGTTATCCTAACTCACAAGGAGAGTGTTTCAAAAACTCGAGAATCGAACAGTTTCCTTGTCTAAAAATGTTTGAATGTCCGCCAAACTTCTCCGCTTTTACTCATGCTTTTTTCTAACATTTTGTTTCTCAACCGCAGAATGCCGTGTCACTGAAACACACGTTGTAGAAATCATGACGTCGATCACGTGTTTAATCTTGGCCCGCCAAAGACAATTTCGAAACGTAATTTCGAAACAACCGAAATTCGACTCGATCCCGTTATTGTCGTCAACGTCAAATAGATTTTTGCTTTCTTTTTTTTATTTAATTTTTTTTTTGAAATTTGTTATGATTTTTCTTGTATGTAAATATTTTTAGCTTTGATTTGCAGTGTTTTTTCTGTCCTGAAGACGTGTGGGATGTGATTTTGAGACACGTTGGATAAATCCGATTATACTTTGGCCTTTTCGGGATGGTCGGGATTTTAGATTATATGACATGTGGAAAACAACAATTTTTGAGACAGAAAAAATGAACTTCGGTGACGGAAAATTTTCAATAGGATAATTTTTAAATTCAAATTCAGACACTCAAAAAATGGTCCGAATCTGGCCCAGTTAAATTTTGAGACATGATTCCTCCTCATCATAAATATTCTTTGTTTATCAAAATTGTATTATCCCAGAAGATAATTCGATAATAAAATCAGTCTAATCGGATGGTTATCATTTTTTGACCGACCTTATGGCTAGACAGTCTCAAAATCACAATTCCGCTTTTGCCTGATAGTTTCTAGTTGGCTTCCCCCATTCGCTTCTCTTTCTTTTCTCATCCAACTTCTCACTTCAATGTTGTGTTGTACTGCTGTTTTCAGCCTCTGGAATTCGGCTCCTACTTCTCGTGGTTATCAATTGAATCAATCCGATGTTCGATACATGGATCATTATTAATTCTTGCTTATCCTATTCATCTTTTCTTTTTCTCTTCTTATTTTAGAAATCGCATGTTTGAAGATCAATTCCTATTTTGCCCTGGAAAAATCGAAAAATTGATTAGTGTAAACTCTTTCTAGCAAATGTCGTACAAATCAAATCAACACTGTAGATGGGCAAATCGAAGCCACTCAACGACTATAAATTTTGTGTTTTTTTTCGTTTCGTTTTTGTGATTTCATTTCTATCTATCCAAATATTTGTCCATAAATATTAATGAAAACTATCCCATCTTATTATTTTAATTCACAAAATCTGACAAATCCGGAATAAGGTGGGTAGAAAAGACGTATTTAGATCAAGCTAGAATAATTTTGTTGAATTTTTTTTTCTTGAAAATAGGCTTATTTTCGAAATGATGAGATGTCCTTGTTGAATGTCGCAATTGCTTTTGTGTTTTGACGTCTCGATTGTTTTGCGAGTATCAAAACAGTTCCAGCAAACCGACTGCTGCATTATCGGATTTTGATTCGATGTCATTTTATTCGGCAAGAGATGTTCTTTGGACTGATGTTGAATCTGAGATTCGAAGTCAACGAACAACAAATGCTGATTATTTGTCTATACAAAGTGATCCGTCTTGGGTTGTTCCGCTGTTAGCGAAAGATAGAAACTCTTATTTGTATTATTACTCGGATTATGATAATGAATAGAAGATTAGCTTATTCTGACAAGGGAACTGTTTGAACTTTCAACTTTCACTCAAAACCTCAGATGTTTTAGGATTTTCCCTAATGGCCTTATGGCTTTTCTGGATTATGAGGCCTGAAATAAATTCTAGAAGGCTTAGGAGAATTTTCTAAAAATTTTCCTCAGAGTGAGACTTCAAACAGTTCCCTTCTGTATTTTTCCTAGGAAATAACGCCTTTTCAGAATTTGTGCCATTTAATAAATTCTTATTACCATCACGTGTTTTAACCTGATGTTGAAAAATGAGTGAAGATTAAAACCAAAAACGGATTTATTAGTTGATTAGATTATGAGTTTTGTCATAAAAACAGACATCGGACGAAAGTGTGAGGAAAAATAGAACAGTTGTTTATTGTTTACCAATTTTCAGCGTAAAATCGGCAGATGAAGCACGACGCGACTTCTTCCAACAAGCCTAAGCTTCGCTTCTTTTTTGCTTCAAAATGCTTTTTTTTGAAATACAGTTTTATCTGCTAATAACAAATCCTAAGCTCTTGACCAATTGCCAGTTGTTTATTTTTTTTTAAACTTTTCTTTTGGAGATCTCCTATTCTTGATTTTTAAAACTTTTTATCTTTGAACTGTGCTGATGACTAATCTAATAAACGCTGCTTGGAAGTAAAATAAACTTTGTAATTGTTTCCGGTGGCTCTTTTTTTGTTCGTTGGACAGGAAGTGGTAATGATATGACGTAGTGGAAAAGTGAAGTCTGGGAGGTTTCGAAAAATTGGAGCTGCATTTCACGGGCTTCTAAAAGTTTTATTTATTTGGGTAAATTTTGTGTTTTTCCAGGAAAAATTCAGGAAATTTTGAAGAAAAGTTACACTTCTCATTTGAAAGCTAGAAGAAGTCTCCTAATTGTAATTTTGAGGATTAAAAAAATTTTAATCATTTGAAAAGTTCAAAATGACAGGTTTTCCACGTTTTTAGTAGTAGAATTCTCGAAAAAGTGAAAAGCAGTTCGTTACAGTAGAATTTGGAAAATAATTGTCTCACAGTCAATTTTTGATCTTTATTAGATTCTCGAACAGAATCTGATTTTTGAATTTAATTCTTTCATCTCTTATTTTCTCCCCTTAATTTTTTCAAACTCCCCACTTTCTCAAAAAAAATGGGCGGAGCCTAAAAGATAACTGAATATCAGTGAGCGATATAAAAGGAAAAATTTGAATACTTGGAAAACTCATATATTTATCTGACCAAAAAATGTTCCATATTCAACAAGATATATTGTCTGAAGAAGCTGCTCTTTTTCAAGAAATCGCTGAAAAAAGAAGAAGACGATTTCAAAGAAGTTCAACAATTTGATCGATATTTTATCCTAAGCGAAATTTGGATGTCGTAGAAGTTTTGACAATAGAAGCTGGTGCTGGCAGTACGAGTATAGGAATTATTTTTGTGATCTTGATTGTTTTTTTTTTTGAAATGAATGATTTTTGATTTTCAAGTTGATATTTTGTGGGATAACAATTTTCAGATAAAGTTATTTAGTGAAATTTTTTAAAATTCAGGTGTAACATTTTTGGACTAGAGGATTATTAGAGCAGTTAAAGCTTTTAAAGACTTTTTCAGCTGAAATTAGAGTTCTATAAAATTTAGGTGGAAAGCCTAGCTTGTTGGACCTTTCTAAGAACGAGGATTTTCAGGAAAAAATAAATGGAAATTCTGGAAATTTGAAATACTCAAGTTGCTTTTCATCAACTAAATTGAAAATTTGAACTTTAAAAGTTCGAGCTCAGAATTCGTATTGTTGAAAATTGTGTGCAATCAACGGGAATTTTTTGATTGACAAGTTCTGTATAAATTGGTAAAGTTTTCACACATTTTGGAATCTCAATGAAATTTTGAATGTTAAATCGATTTTAAGTACCCAGCAAATTTGAAAAGACAAATTGAAAAATAAAGCGCTTCAAATGTTTTTAGCAAAACCTTCTTATCTATACCGTATTCCAAACCTATCCATCTCTTTTTCAAGCTTCTTTGAATTCTGTTTCATTTATCTCATTTATCTCAGATACTGTAATTTTTCAGAAAATTATTTTCTCGAACTTCATTCGTGCGAAAAAACAACTGACTTTTTGTTCTGAACTTCCCTGTACTTTTAATGAGCAGAATTTTCTCACAATTTGCCATAAAATTGCTGAAATTATCCAATTTTTCCCTCAAATAATTCCGGAAAATGATTCCAATTATCAAAGAGCGAACACAATTATTTCTTATTTTCTTTTCAAATCGCGTAGGTATGTATCTGATTTCATCTTCTTATAGTAAAAAGCCCCCGAGATTATCCGAATATTTGAAAATTAGGGATAAGAAGACATAAAAATACATAAACACAAAAAAATCAAATTTACTTTATTTTATTAAAATGTACCAGTAAATATTTCAAAAATACAGAAAGGCAAGAAATTGAAAATATAGGCTAAGTACACATTGGAAATTCAGACAAAAAACAATTTTAAAAATTGAAATTAAAATTAAACTTCTGATTGAATACTTCCAGATGGATGTCGATGTATTGGATTTTTAAATAATTCAGTGGCATCAATTCTGGAAATATCACTTGAACGAGATGAAAATGCACCAGATGTTGCAAAATAAGCGGCGTTGTTATAGCTGGAAATGAGATGAGATAAGTTAGGATAAATAGAAAAAGGAAAGGGCAAAAACAGAAAAACACGAGTTAATAGAGGTTTGGATTTGGGTATTTAGAAGAAATTATCTGGGATAACTCAGATTATTACGTAAATGAAACTTGAAAATATTTGAGATCTTCGGAAAACAACCAACTGATTAATACCTGAATCATTTGGATGTTTTAGGGAAGAACATAGAACATTTATTTTAACTTTTTAAATTTTAGACAATTTCTTTGTTTGTTTTTTCATCACTTATGATAGATGAAAAATCTGACGGACTTTCAATCCCATTTAATTAGAAAAACCTATAATCCTATTTTATGATGCTTGATCCAATCTCTGGATTTTTATGAAATTGTTTTGTGCTCAGTTCTTTTGTACTTAATTTCGGACCAAAGATTTGTTCTCGAAGTTGGAAATGGTTAGAAAGTGTTAGAGAAAACTGGATTTTTTTGGTGTTAAATGAGAAAACACAAAAAGTGTCACACTTTGGATTATCTACAGTACCCCAGAATACATGTCAGCCTATTTTTTGTTTATTCTCAAATACCAGATTATAAGTAAAATAAAAAATTCACCAAAACTGCTCTTTCATCCTGTTAGATAACCTTGTTTATTTTCCTAGATACCCTCCTACACTTTTCATTTTATTTTTCAAAAGCTTAACAAAATAATTTGAATGTGAATGTGTTAAGATGTTTACCTTATGCTATGATCCATTTGGGCTGGCGATGGAACTGGTGGCAAAGGCGTCGATGTTATTCTGAAACATTCCTCCATTAGATTATTTTATTGTTTTATTCTTTTATTTCTAGCAAATTTTGGAATCTTATTATGTATATTAGGAAGCCGATTTTCAGTCAGAAAATATGAAAAAATGAAATTGACTCATAGAGAGATAAATATTTTTCTGACCACTTGTTGAAATTTCATTAGGCGCCTCGCGAGGCTAAAAATTGGATTTTGCTCACCTGGGTGGAGTTGAGTTAACTCCAAAAGTAGTCGATTTATTCACATGTTCACCATCAAATGTTGTTGTTGTTGTTGGGTTTCGTGGCTGTTTTTTGATGTAGAGTCTGGAATTTAAATTTTCATGAGCGTCTGATGATAATATCCTTACCGTTTTTTGTCAGATTTCCGAAAATTCTCGATAAATTGTGCAATATTTTCTGACAATGGTGTTCTTTTAACAAATAATAAAAGAGCAATGACAATTGGTAGAAGTCGAATAACTAAAAGAGCAATGAGAATGTGAAGAGGGAGGAAAGATGATTCGATTTGAGGATCACATGTATTCTGAAAAAAATCTTATATCAAGAAGTTCCAAATAAATTCAGGTTACATTTGGATTCAATCGTCTTCTATTCGCTGCATATAAATTGTGATCAAAAGTGCAACCCAATCGATTTTCCATTTGTTGAAGACCACCTGGATTGTGTGGAATTGCGTGGTTCAATAGTTTTTCGGTGCTGTTTGGCAAGTGACCAGCGTATGGAATTAGGGAAAAAGTGAAGATGTGGACTTGGATGATTGCGTAGATAACTCCGCAGCCGAGGACGATCTGGATTGTTTTGAGAATGAGGCGGGGTGAGGATTTTTCAAGTTAAGTTCAATCTAAAATTCACCATGAAAATCATACTTACCCAATATACAACATTCTTCGATCCAGCCGAAACATCGCAAGTGAAATACAAGAAGGACGCAATTCCAAGAAACACGAAAATACCAAGTTCAGAGAACAAAAATGCTTGAATGATGTTTTTGTACTGAAAATAGATTTGTTTACTCATTTTTTTGTGAAAAAATCTGTCTGAGCAGTTTTGAAGCAAAACTTTGACAGTAAGCTGATTGAACTGAAAGATTATTGTGATATTTTTCTATTATCTCACGTGTTGTGTTGAAAGTGATCTATCAATTCCCAAATCCATTTTTAATTTTTTTTTTCTAGGGATGTTTGATATTACCGGTCAGAATGAGTTTGCAATCATATTTTTTGCAAAATAAAAAAAAACAAAACATGAATGAATGAAGTATAAACGTGGGATGATTTTGATTTTTCATTTTTTAATCTGCCGCCATGTGAGTAATCAAGAGAAAAAATTAAGTGGAAAAGGATTAGCGTATTTTTGAAGATGTTTCAGATTGAAATGATGTTTCAGATTAAAAACTCACGGAATTTTCTAGGTTGGCGAGTAAACTAGAAAAAAACATCACATCACCCCTTCACCCCTATTTTCTCATTGTGGCATTTCTGAGATAAAATGCGGGGGTTTTTAGGTTTTTCAGGTAGTACATCACCCTTTATTCTATTTGTTTTCTGATCATTTTCCATGAAATCATCTTATCCTTCCGAGATTAGCGTAATTGCTTAACAATACAAATATTTTCTCCTAGATTTTTACTCTACCATTCGATGTTTGGCTTTTTCCGATGAATCAGAAATCGTTCTTGTTCTAAATTATCGCCAGACTCTATTATTACTCGAAAAACACGAGTTGAGCTGAAATGTCCTAGGTGCAAGATATTATTAAATTCGAATTATTCACATGTTCTGCTAACTTCTAATTTCCTAATCAACTTTTGCAAAAACAAATCTTTGCTCAATTAGAAAAAAGTGCGAAAAAACTGAAAAATATTATCAAAATATCTAGTGTGATACATTTTCTTTGTCATTAATCCGTTCGTTACATCATAAATTGGGATTAGACTACACAGGCAATTACAGATCAGCTTATTATTAGTCTATTATTGACTTATTTTGAAAATAGGCGTTATATAGGCTAATACGGTACCTATTATTAGTCAAAATCGATGCAATTTTCTAAATCTGTCCCAAAATTAGCAAAAGCTGCTTTATGATTAATTTGAAAGTAAGAAATAGGAAATTACATTCATCTATCAATTCTAAACTTCCAGAGATCCCTAAAATTCAGATTTATTTTTGACTAATAAGTTACTAATAATTACTAATAAGCTTGTTATTAGTAAAAAATGAGTCTGAAGTTTAGGGATCTCTGGACCTCTGATTGAACTCTAGAATTCTTAGATGAATGTAATTTCCTATTTCTCACTTTCAAATTGATCATAAAACGGCTTTTGCTATTTTTGGGCTAGATTTGAAAAATTGCATCGATTTTTGACTAATAATATGTACCGTATTAGCCTATAATAAGCCAAAATTCAAAATAAGTCAATAATAGACTAATAATAAGCTGATCTGTAATTGCCTGTGTAGAGTCGAAACATTGGGTGGCCAGGCCAAACTCACTGTTTTTTGGCTTCCTAAAACTTCGAGTTCCTTTTCGCTTAACTGATATAAACCAAGAATTGGATTATAGTTGATTTTCGAAATACTGATTGTTTTGTCCAAATAATCCACCAATTCATCATAAACTTGTCTATCTTTCCAAACGTAGACTATCAGAATTATTGAGGAGATCTGGAAAAAATCACATCATTTTTTTGTCTGGGGAGTTTTTCTTTCAATCAAAATTTGAAAAAAAAATTCTTAGCTTTCAACAACCGTCATATTTTACAACAAATATTTTGATAATTCAGAAACATCTCATGATAACATGGATAAGATTTGTGTTAATCATAAAATTTCAAAAATATTATTCATTTTTTCAAAGTCTAAAAGAAACCCTAAATTTAATTTGAAATGTGTTTATCTATCAAAACACATTGAAAACTATTTCCAAATTTCGGGTTACCCTGAAATTGCAAAGTTTTTACAACTCTGCCATTTTTTTCCAAATTTCAGACGCCTGGTCATCAGAAGACATTTGAAAAAAATCTCCAAACGTTCTCTCAGCTGTTCAGATGACCTGATCTTATGAGGTTCTATAACTTCCGATTGAAATTAAAAGAGGAGGACGCTTTTCTTGTTTATGCATTCATTTTCAAGAATTTTGCAAATTTTAATTGAGCTCCAATCGAGCCTAAACCACCGAGCTCAAAAGTTTTCCCTCCACCCGCAACACAAATTTTTCCGTGAAGCCATAAAACCTTGCTTTCTTCCGGCAACCGTTGGTCTTTCTGATACCAATTAATCAACAAAATTTGATTTGAAATGAATCCTCATTTGGATTCCAGGCAAAAAAAAATGATATCAGAGAAGAGTTATCAAAAAAATGGGCGGAGCATATTATTATTATTTGTAGCATAGCATCCATATAAAATGAGGATGGATATTAGATATCTCATTATCATTATCAGCCTTGCTCTCAAATCTCATTTTCTTATTATTTTTCAACTCCAAGTTTTTCGTCAACTTCAAAAAATGTTCCATATTCATCAAGATATTCACTCATTTGTCGATTTATCTCGAACAACTTCAGAAGCTGATGTAAAGATTCAACAATATTGGAAAGATTTACAAGAGAAGAGAAAGTCGTTCAGAAGAAGAAATACTGCAGCTGTTTGAATTTTGACTTTTAAATACTTTCATGTTTCAATTAATTAATTGTCTTCCCATGCCTGTATGTATAGTATGTCTTCCTAGATATTTTTGAAAATATCTGACACCTTCATTTGTATTCGTTTTTGCGAATTATCATGTTTTTTTTTTGGTGATTTCGAAGTTTATTGAAATTATCACAATTTTATTGAAAATAAATTTTTCATTCTGTTGAGATTTAACTGTACCTAAAGAAGAAAAAAGATATGGGCTGGAATATATTTCAAGAAAAATCAGAAACTGAAAACATTTAAAAAAAAGATTCACTAAATTGTCGAAATGTTTCGAGTTTAGAAGCTTCTGAATAACAGTGCCAAATGAAGATTAAAAATTATTTCAGAAATGAACTTCAGGACCTGAACAATTTCAGAATCTTGATATAGTTCCAGCAAATTTTGATTTCAAAAAGTACCGAAATCAAGCTTTTCACTATGTTTCCAATCCAATCTCCAATCTCAAGTCAAATATTTATTTTTTTGGTCTAAATGCCCTTTCAGCAATAAACAGCCAGGTGTCTTTTGCTCTTCAAACTGAATTAGCGAAAAAAAACCCTAACAATGTTAGTGTTTTTCTGTTTGCACATGGCTTACTCATAAAAGGAACAGTTTAACAATAAACACTACAATTATGTAGCCTAAAAAGTTTTGAATTTTCGAAAAAGGTTATTCGAAAATTCAAATTTTGTTCAAAAAATCAAGGAATCTTTGATGCTTGAGGATGAAAATAACCCACCCTCAAAAATGCCGGAAATTGAAAAAATTCCAAAAGCACTATAGTGTTTTTGTTTTTATCATTATTTTTGTGTTCTCGGAAATATGGAGCAAAGTTTGGAGATTCCGAATTTTTTCCGAAAAAAAAAGATAAACGTGGAGGTGGAAGGAGAATGACCAACGGTCAACTGTTGCAATTTCTGATAAAAATTGGATTAAAAAATGATTTCGAGGAATTTACTTATTAATCCAATGAAAATCCAATGCTAATCTTATAATTCAGGTTATTAAACAGCCAAAAATAAAACAGGGGGAGAGATTTTGAAAAAATTCAGATGACAAAAATTCAACTTGAAGTGAAGTTTGTAGATTTATCTATGTTTTGTTTCAATATTGAAAAGTTTCAAGTTCAAACTATAAACAATTAGAAGATTTTCCTGCAAAATTAATAGCTGGAATTTCAGGAGATACTTCCTAGAACTTCAATATTGCAGATACATTTAAAGTTCAAAACACACAATTTCAGAGCTATAATTCAAATTTCAAAACTACAATCTACCAGATTTCTCAAAATTGTAGCCCAGGTTTTAGAAGCTCTTGATTTCCAGATCTCCAAATTGAGCTCTAAACTTTCGGGTTCCGGTTTCAAGATCATCAAAAGTTCTTCAAATCTCAAAGTTCCAGGTTTTCAGTTCTACAGAATTTCAGACGTTCTCATTTTTTTCTCCATTTTCCAGTTTCTTCAGAACTACTCCAAATCCAAATATTTATTATTATTATTATCATTATCATTATTATTAGTCAAAAAAAAAAACAAGAAACACGTATTCAAATTATTAAAATCGAGAAATTAATGACCCTTCGGCGCTGTCTGTGATCAAAAAAACACATCTAGACAATCAACAAATTGCTGCTCTAAATTGGAAGAAGACGATGAAATAGTACCAAAATAAATATATATATATATAAAAATACAAAATGAAGTTTTCAGTCATATAATATCAGTTGATTGAAGAATGGCATCGTCGAAAACCTTTTCGCTTATCTTCCAAACTTCTTTTAATGGCAGTTTGAACGCCTGGCGAATATTTGGAAAGTTCTGGTGAACTTGTAGTATGAATATCAATCGACATGTGGAACATTTTCAGAATTTAGTGTTCAGTTGAAGAGCAAAAGCAAGACTGATCTATCCAAAAGCTTTCCCCTTTTATATGGCTCTATCAGAATTAGCTCCGCCCATTTTCAGAGCTCCGCGCGGCCACCTGATAATTAATTTTTTGACATTTATGTCTGATAATTTTTGAAAACAAAAATGTTTCCACGAGTGGGTTCTGGATCTGGATCACATTTGAACTTTAATCATACAAATTTTCAAAGATGTGAGAAAATTGTGGTTTTCTCGTGTTCAGAAAAATAGAAAATGGAGAAAAAATGGAATGAGAACGGATTACTGTAGTTTTTTGTCTGGAAACTTTGGAACTGTGATGTTTTAAAACAACAAATATCTATTATATCATAAATAATTTGATTTTAATAGTTTTGTTTATCAAAATTTAATCACCTTGCTAATTTTTTGTTTCCCACAAATTAAAAACTTTGCAAAACCCAAAATTATTTAAAAATTGTTTCTGGTCTTCAACAATTTTCACCGCGGAGGTTAAACTTTACTTTGATTTCTTGATATGCACTTCTAATGTACGCCAGGATAATTAAAAAATCCTCTTTTTATCCCAAGAACGGAAACGATCTCTACCTCGTGTTTATTACGGTTACCCCCAGAAGTACATGGAATTTTTTGTTTTGAAATTGTTAATTTTTCAATTTCCGTATGGCGGAAAAGTATACATATTATCCTAGAAAAAAAACTTCCCAGAAAAACTCACAACAACTGCAAATGCTAACATTGCCGCTAGAAACATTCCGATTGATTCTCGCCACGTTTGTGCACCTTTAAATGTGACTTTTGAGGATGTCGTTCGATTTGGAGGCGGTGGCGGAAGACTCGGTGGTATGGTATCATTATCAAATTCCATTTCTGAAATAAAACTTTGGTTTTGTATGTTGAAAAAATGTTTAGAAGTGGAAAAAAGAAAAAATCTGCGTTCGGGGGGAATCGAACCCCCGTCGAATGCTTGGAAGGCATCCATGCTGACCATTACACCACGAACGCGTGATGTTAGGTAGTGAGAAAATTGTCAACAAATGTTTGCATGTTTTTTGTATAAACAGTGTTTTTTGGATGATCAGATAATTATGGACTTTTTTTCAAAGTGAACAGTACTTTAACTTCCAGACATGGAAATGTCTGGAAATGGAAGAACTAGGGGAAAATGACTTCAAATTGTAGTTATACCCGGAAAAATAAAATTTAGATCAAAATGGTTGAATTGAAATGCACTTTTCAGAAGATTTTCAAACTACAAAACTCACCAATAATTTCAAAAGTTCTAAAATATTGGATCATTGAAAAATAATGATTTTTCCCGAAAAAAATCAAAAACACATATTATAAAATTAGATAATTGAATACAATTGGAAGGAAAACGAAAAAAGAAAAGGAAAAATCAACAAAAGGATTTGAAAATCCCAAAAAAGTACATAAAATACAAAAGCCTATTACTTTTTTCGTCGAATCGAATTCAAATGATTCATTTTTACAATATGGCGGATAATAGAGACCACCTATAGGGAGAAAAAAGGAACAGGATTAGTTAGGGGAAAAACGAAAAATCAATAATAACACCAAGGAAACACCCCGAAAAAAGTATTTAATTATTATTAGGCAAAATAATAAAAAGGGAAGCGAACCAACCCAAGGTAAGTAGAATAAGGGTTAATCATGTGTGCCTATTTTCTTTCTCCCTCTTTTTTTGTTGTGTTCGGTTTTTCGAATGCTGCTGGTGGTGACACATTTAAAGGTCATTCAGGAGGCACAACAAAATATTTTGGTTTTTGGTGGAAACAAACTCAAAAACTTGTGAAATGAGCAAAAATGCTCTACTGCACAAAATCATTGTTTTTGAACAATTCAAAACTTTCGCGGGAAATAATATTTAAAAAAAATCGAAATTTCTGCACGTTCTGTGAAAAAAGAGAAAAGTTGCTCTAGTGCACAAAAAAATATTATTTTTTTCAAAAAAAAAAACGCGTATTAAAAAAATAATTTCTGTGCGACGGGCAGACAGGTAGAGGAGAAATTGGTCTCATAGCACGCTAAATAAGATGCAAACGGGGGAGCGGGATCTGTGGAGTGTCGTTGTGTGTTTTTTTTCGTGAATTTTTTTTCATTATTTTTTTCGAAATTTTAGGTACCTACCCAATAAATGTTTCACCAAAAACACCCAATAAAGTTTAAATTATCCTAATAATAACAAAAGAAAAAATGTCAAAACATATTTTTCAAGTGTCTTTTCTCATTTAATTTGACCATTCATTTTCTGACCTTCTTTTTATTTATGGATGGTCAAATACAATTGACTTTTTTTCTATTAAAAGCGGTAAAATAGTGGGGGAAAAGTGAAAATCAAAAAATAAGAAAAGGCATTGGCAGAATTCCAAAACCACCCCAAAATCGAAGAAGATACATTTGATTTATTACCTTTTTGTTTCGAAATTGGGTGATATCAAGGTTTTATATTGGAAAATGAAAATGGGAATGAGAAAAATTGGAAGATTTATCCATGTTGAATTTGAAGTATCCTAAATTTTATCAGTTCTCCCGAATTTTGTAAATTGCAAATTTTATGTGAAACTTCACAGAATTTTGAGTAGATTTCTAAAGTAAATTTTTAAAAAGTTGAACTTTTTGGTATACCCTATTTCTCATCTTTTGTATTTGAATGAGTTTTTAAAGGGTTTCATATTATTTTTTCCTTCTGACAACTTCACTGTATCCTTTCAGATCTCAATAATCAGATCAGAAGAATCTAGTTGTTGTCCTCAAAAACGTATCAAAAATAAACAAAAATAATCTCATAACAATAATTAATAAGATTAAAAAGCAAACAAAATATTGTTGGGATTATCATTAGCAAAAAATGCAGAAAAAAAGAAAATTGTCAAGAAAAGAAATCGAATTATAATAAACCTAGATTATCCGCCAAAATAAAAACTATCCTCGTTTCGCAGCAGACGAAATTCAGAAGTCTCTGTATTCAATTCGTCTAAGTCTCTTCGATGCGATATGATCTTTTACGGTCAGTCAAGGACATCTCAAATTGTCGGCGTCTCTTCATCTCACACACTCTCTCATTTTCTCATAAACGGTTGACAGCGTTTTCTGAAGGAATGGATGGAAAGGTCGAATTGAACGAACTGGTTGGAACCAAGTTGGGTGTGTGGTGAAATAAATATAATTATTGATTGATTGATTGGTGTGAGGAAAAAGATGAAAAGGGTTGGGTTGGGGGTGATAATTAGAAGTGACAGGTCAAAAAATGATAGCGATCAAGAGGATCATAAACAATTGAGATATCATCTGTTTATATGAAAATATTTATGGATTTTTGTAATTTTCTGAATATTAAAATATAAATTTGAAAGTTTTTTGAATCAGATTTATGATTATATTTGAGGCTGGAAATGTTGATCAGTTTTCTTTTTCATACGCGACCTTCTGTGATTCAGAATCACCCAACATTTTTTCCGATTCCAGACAAACTCCAGATATTTTTCTAGCGATCTTTGTACAATTTTTAGTTTGATTTAATCTCTGAAATTTAATAAGGTTTCTTCCAAAAGATCTGATCTCTGTATATTTTGATTCAAAAATGTTTTGGATTCTATTTCAGAAATAGTACATGATTGTTATTTTGAAACGAGATTTAAAAAGGATTTAAATTTTTTCTGAGAAACTAAATTCTTGCAAATTTTTCCGAACATTTCTCTTAACAAACTATGAGGGAATATCAAACTACATTGAATCGAATTAGCCTGACATGAGCAATGTTTATTTCACACCCCCAACTTCCTCATTAAAAATAATGTTTATCTTTTTTATTTTTCAGTGTTCTTAGAAATTTGTCTCGTTGGTTTTTTTTCGAGAAATCAAGAAGTCAAGGGATCTTTCAAAAAAAAGCAACTTTTTTTGAACACCTGAAAAATGTAAATGAAAGGATATAATTTTGTATTGAGAATAATAACAATTATTAGGAATATTCATATGTTTTTCTTTTATTTTTCCAGTTATGTTTGCATAAATCAAAAACTCTTCGAAGAGGGAGGATGTGGGATGAATGGAAGAAACATTGAACAAAATAAAGTTCAAGATAACAACAATGTTCCGTTCCAAAACCATTTCCGAAAAAAAAACCAAAAAAACATCTTGACTAAATTTATCGTTAAGTTTATAGAGATCATTATGTGAGGTAATATAAAATATTCAAATTATTTGAGATTCAAAAAAAAGACTAGATCGGATTGTCAAAAAAAAAGTTGGAAAAAATATAATACAAAAAAATCCCGACAAGCTGAAGAAAGTCGAATCGAAGAAAAAATTAGCGATATAAGGGAAATGCGGCTCTAGTCGAAAGATTATTTGTTGAAGATGTTGTGGAAGCCGCTGAGCCAGCTCCAAATGCTCCATAACCAACTGTTGATGGGTTGAAGATATTTGCACCAGAATTGAAGCCAGTTGGAATCAATGATCGATAATTTGCAGCATTTGTCCAGGAGAAATCAGGTGCAATTCGACTTGAATTAAAATAATCTTGTGGATGAGTTGTTGTTGGTGGCTGGAGAGCTTGCGCAATTCCTTGGAAATCGAATTTATAAGCATATCGTTTTCCGTGAACTTTTGCCATTATATTTTTGTCATAATAATAACGAAGAGCTCTCGACATTTTGTCGTAATTCATGTTTGGTTTCGATTTTCGCTCTCCCCATTTTCGCGCAACTTCATCCGGATCTACCAACTTGAATTCACCGTTCGTTCCTTCCCACGTAATCACTTCTGCATTTCGACTATCCGATAATAATTCCAACAAAAATTGCCATAATTGTGTTTGTCCACTGCCAGAATGTGCCAAACTTCTGCTGGTTGGACCCAAGATTTGATAGGGATCTGGAAAATATAGCATTTTATATGAGGTGATGGTCACAGTTGAAAAATGTGCCACGTGTATTTTTTATCTTCAAAACTTGTTCCAAGTGGAACCACTTTTTCCCCAAAATCCTAAACCCATTTTGCAAATTTTTGAGTAATTTTTAGGTGCGCGAAAGAATTTGTTAGCCATCTTGAGTCAAAGTCTAATTAGATATCGCCAAATGAACACATGTTTTGTCAAGCTCAAGATTTGATGAGTCAACCGGAAAATTTCACAAATATTAGGTTAGCCTACGGTACCTCTCCCTACTTATTTTTTCTCTTCTCTTGAAAAAAGAATAGAAAACCAAACAGTCCATCATATTTCCTCTAATTGCCCAATTTGTTTTCCTATTGTTTTTTTTCGTCTCAAATAATTGCTCAACCATACTTTTTCTTCTTGCTCAATCACCTGGCTTCTCCTTATTTTTTTCGTGCTCTGACAGACACCTGTTTGGCTCAAAATTCCACTAATTTGTCAATGCTTGACTACCTAGAAATTAGGGTTACTGTAGTGGGGGAAATGATTAATGGTGGAAAAATTGGGAGATTTGGAAAAAATCGGAATTTTCTTATGGTAAATATACTTACTTTCTGGATAAAAGGTCTTGAAGTTTGGAAATTTGTGGTTTTCAAAAATTTATAGAGATTTTGAAATTTGTGAGCCATATAAATTTTTACTTTATTTTTTTTATCCCTTCAAACATGGCCTAATTGTCAGCCTTGTTATTATGTAACACATTCAAAAGATCGGCTTGGGTCAAGTGCTTCGACCAATTAAAATAAGACACATGTCTCATTTTTGCTATTCCTCCCCAGGTGACTTCCAAATTTTTTCAAAAAAATAATGCCCCTAAACAAAAATGTCCTTCACGATTCCTCCAAAGACAAAAAAAGTAATGTGATCCATATCACTTTCAGTTTCCTCCCAACATGCTTTTTTCTTTTATTTACTCTTTCTTTACAGTACTTAGTTACTTGCAGATGTCTGTCTTCAAAAGGATCACATCAGATTTGAAACATATGGAGTCGGCTTCTTTTCTGACACCTTACACAAAACAATTATTACTCTTTTTGTTAGGGTCTATTATTTACATAGATTATGACGGATTATTAAATGTATAAATTGAAGAGGGTGGCGGGTTAGTTTCCCGCATAAAAGAGAAAAAATAGGAAACGATTTGGAGGAGGACAGGAAATTGGATGAATTTTTGAGTTATGCAATGATCAAAGGTAATTTTCGAGACAGATGCGTGTTTTAATTTACCGACAGTTAAAATGAGAATTTTGTGCAAGTTTTGAAAAAAATATGTCGATTGAGAAATAATGATTTTTTCTAAAATTGGACTACATAAAAATTAATAATTTGTGATTTTCAAAAATTTCTGAAATCAAATAAAATTTGTAAAACTATGGATATTCTACAGTAAGAACTAGACATTTTTCTAGACCATATCGATTATTTTTACTAGGTACAATATCTATTTGATCCAAAAACCCCTCAAACTTTTTGTTTCCTCTTCACTTCATAAATAAGTATGTATGAGCATATACATATATATGTTACATAACATAATTGCCCATTTTTGGAATCGCTGCTTCTTTTCTTTCTCCGTTTTTCAATGGGACCACAATAAACAAGAAGCCGCCGTCTCACTCTTTTTCTGTATGCAAGCAATTAAAGTATCCTTTCGCTTCTCTTTCAAACTACGGTAACTCGAGCAAAAAAAAAGAAAGAAAACAAAGTTTGTTAGTTAGAAGGCTTTCTTCTATTTTTTTTTCTTGATTGTTTTTGGTGACACGCTACAACTACAGTAGCCAACGGAAATTGAGACGGATATTGAAATATTATTTTGAGAAACTGCGCGTTTTCTAATAATAATTTAACCTGGGTAAACACACAAAAATAGAACTAACCTGGCGCTGAAAAACTTGTAGAATTTGACAATTTAAGTCCAGAATAATACGAGCTCAAAGTGTTGAAATGTGCCTGAATCTGATCGTCAGATTTTGCGGTTGCTGAAGTGCCTGAAGTTGTTGTTGATGATGGAGAATTGAAGGCTTGCATTGAAATATTGAACACATCTGATTTATTATTGTTTGTACTTCCGCCATCGTTGTAAAATTGACGGCGAGACTGAAAATTATACGTTATATTAGAATTGGGGAATTTTTAATGATCTAAAGCTTTCTATCCATTTCCGTCAATTATTGACACCTTTTCTTTTAATTACCTGATCTTTTGATGTTGGCGGTGATGAAGAAGATGTGGCTACTCCAGTTGATGTTGTTGACAAATTCATTCCGATGAAATGATCTGAAAAAAATTCAGAATATATATTCTTCCAAAATTCCAAAAGTTCTATTCATGGGACCACAATTCAAAAAAAAGAATCCAGAGGAAAAAACCGAAGCAAAAATAAAAGTGAAAAGTAAGAAAAGTAAGGAAGGAGAAGGAAAGAATCATCGGCGGAAGGAATCAGCAGGAAATTCAGTTACCCATCGTCGTTTTCAATAGAAATTCCTATTCTCCTCATTTTTCCTCTTGATTTTGTCGCGGACCGCGCAAACGCTCGCAAACGAGAGGAAATTTGAATATTTTAAAATAACTTCTTTTTTTTTTGTTGAGAGAAAGAAAACACGGGAAAACATAATTCTTATTGAAAATGGAACATTTCGGGACTTGCTTACCATTTTCATTTTTTGGCATTGTGTCATAGAACATCCGATTTGGAGAGATATCGTGAGGTATACCATTCTGCAAAAAAATATTGAATTAAAAATGAATTTTGAGATTTGGATTCTATTTTTTCTTGAAGTTTTAAAGATTGGAGATTGGAAATGTTTTATGCATTCGAACAGTCAAATCTGGTGAGATTGGAAGTTCAAAACTAAAATAAAACTTTTAAAGAAGAGTCTTGAAGAGTGTGTGAGTTTATAGAACTCTGATAATTTTTTGAGAGTTTGAGAATTTATTTTTAGAAAATTTGAGGAATGCAAAAAAAATTTCGTGCAAAAATAGTTCAATAAAAATTCTTGATCAGAGCACAACAAACTTCAGAGAAATGCAAAGAAATAAATTTTCAGATTTAACTTTTCCCGGTTTATGCTGAATTACAGCAATTCTTGGAATTCGTCCAAATCTGGGTTCATTTTTTTTGGGATAAAATTCAAAACTTTGAAAAAAGAACATGAAAAATTGAGAAAATTATTCAGATCTTGAATTAAATCGAGAAATTGAATTTGAAAGTTCAGATCCTAAAGGCAGCTTTGATACCTAGGTATAAAGCGTGAAAAATTAAATTTTTAAAATAAAATCTGATTCTGAGCTTTGCTGGAATTTGGACTCATTTTTCAAGACCAAATACAGGTTTCTGAACCACATAAACAAATCATCATCAAAAATTTAACAACTTTTTTTCAGATCTGAAGATCCGTCCAAGCCAAAAATTTTAGACTTCAGTTTTAATTCTCAAGCCCTGCCAAAAATCTAAACAAAATTTTTGTATTTTTGCACCCCAAAAAACTCACAAAAAACGCAAAATTATTGAATGATTGTTCCTGTTTGATATTTGAATATTTAATCATCAGCTCACTTTCATTTCCTCCAGATTGTTGTTGCTGTTGCTGTTGTTGTTGTTGAGATGTTGAAGTTCCACGAACATCTCCCGAAGTTGTAACGACTTGCTGAGGTTGAGAAGGCTGCTGAGGCTGCTGAGGCTGCTGCATATCCGGCTTCCTGTGCTCCTTTTTCCTGTATCTGATCCGGTTGATTCCAGTTCTTTCGAGCCATTTGGGCGTGGCAAAACGGGGGCGGAGTCTAGAGCCATCATTGGATTGTTTTTTTTTTGGGAAATGGTGGATTGAATTCGGGTATGGAGGAGGAAAGGGGGAGAAAAGTAATTATAGAACAAAAAAAATGAGGGGGGGGGGAGGAAAAGGAAACAGATGGCTGGCAGATTTTTACAGATGAACTGAACTAAAGTTGCGATTTTATTTGATAAAGAGAATTCGATCAAGAATTGAAAAATAAAAAATTCTGACAATGAGAAAGGATTTTTTAGTCGAAAGATTTGGAATTTTTAAAAGAAAAATTCACAAATACGATTTCTGGAAATTTGGCTAAAATTTTCGACTAGGATTCAGACCAGCACTAAAAGAATAAATGGTTGTTTTTTCAAAAACCGGTCTAACTTTTTTGAACCAGGCACGATTTAAAAATTGCTGGCCGAGTTGACAGAACTTTTTTCAACCAAAAAAATGTTGCCTATTCAAAAATGCAGATCACTTTCTGAAGTGAACTGATCAATCAGACTTTTCCCGATTCATGGAGTCCTTTTCAAAACCCCCTAAAAATCCTCTCAAATTTCATCTTCATAGTTATTGGATATCATTTCACACCGGAAATCCTGAAAACGAGTTTCAAACAAATGCGAAATTCATAAAAGCTCGCTAAAATTCCTAAAAAAGAAAATGAAAATGTGAAAAATAAGAATATCTAATTAAAATAAGAAAACATCTGTTGCAGCTCAAAAAAAAAAGGCGAGACACCATTTCTGTGTTTTTTTCATACCTTGACGCCATTTAGTTTGACAAGATTTATGAGACTGACATATTGCTTGCTTAATTTGTTTGGGTTGTGAAACGCGGGTTCAAATCGATTTATTTATGATGGGGGCAAGAAAAAATAGCTGGAAATCTGGGATTTATTGAGGAAAAGCTTGAAAAATAGGAAAAGCTTTTGAAGCAAGAATATTCAGGCCCCGGAAAAATATTTTTTTAAAAATATATTTCAAGTTAAATTTTCAGGAGGGACCTTCAAGACCTCGATTAAAAAAGCTAGGGATCTTTTTTGTGCTGAAAATTGCTGAATTTTATGGATCATTAAAAAATTGTCAAAAACTCCTAGATTCAACAGAAATCTGAATTTTTAGGGTGAAATGTAGAGCTCTCCAAAAACTCCCAATTTTTCATACCAAAAATATCCTAACCTTCTTGACAAAACTAAAAGGTGTGAAAATGTGAATAAATAGAACCAAGTTGTAAAACAAAACAAATATTCCGAAGGTGTGAACTGACGCTTCTTTTGGCGCATTCCAAATTCTCAACGGGACTTCCTGTCGGCAGATTGTCTATTATTTATTATTTATTTTGATCATGCACTCTTAGGTAGCCTTTTAACGTTGGGGGAAATCCAACTCGAAAAAAATCAAAACTGATTTTTAATTCAGAACTCTTGTTAATTTCAAATCTCTGATCGACTCTAAAACTTTTTAAAAAATCTCAAGGTCTCTGTAGATTTGGGTAAAAAATGTCTGTTTTCGTTAGGTCAAAGACTCAATTTCATTTTGTATAAAACAACTCCCATAAAATTAAATCTGTTGAAAATTTCGAAAAGAATCACATTCATGTTTGGCGCAAATCATACATAATTAACCAACAACTCGTCTCTCTTTTCTCATAAAATTGAGCAATAAATCAGAGTTGCATGCTCTTTCTTTTTGTTGCTGTCACACCAAAAAACAAGAGACCCCGACAAAAAGCGATACAACAATGAATGGAGGAGTTAATGAGGTTGACATCTATGTATTCTTACCGCATAGAATTGAATACATAAATATCCGAATCCACTTGAAAAGAGAAAAAAGATATACCCGAAAAAGGAGAAGTGACAGACGGAACAAATCAAGAATAAAGAAGCACAACAGATTGGTGTTAGAAAAATAAAGAAGAGGAAGAAAATGAAGGACTACTTTGACTTTGACTCAATTACATACACTATTATTTACATTTATTATTGTTGTTGGGCTTTTATGTTTGAGGAAAGATGAAGAAGGAAATTAACAGTTTCCGTTTGCGAAATCGATTTTTTGATAAAATAGGAAAATGTAGTTTCGAAATGATGAAACTTTAAAAATTTCACATGCAGATTCTGAAAAAAATGCAAAAAAAACAGTGAAAAATTGAGATTTACATAATGAGTTAGGGTGATAAATTGCATACTGTGGAATTTTCTGAATCTTCCCCAATAATTGCTGCAAATTTTTACCCGAATAGTTATTCCTCCATCATAAGTTGTCACAATTAGACTTTTGAAATAAGACATCATAAATTGTATGTTGAACATTCCGAAATTGTCTACTTTCTATTTCTTTCTTTACTCAATTAGAGAATGATGAAGCAAGAAAAACGGTGGAGGTCTGGCTACCGGAAAATGAATAATTTCTTGTAATTGAAATGAATTATGATGATCTGTGTGACTCACAAAACTGAAATGTTCTAATCTACTAGACCAGAGTTATCCGAACTCGTTCTGGAAAATTCAAAACTTTATTGTCAGATACTTTTGATCCTAATCTCATGTTATTCTTTCCATACCTCATTTTCCTCCTCTTTAATTTTCCAAATGTTATAATGAGTGTAATACATAAATAACAGTCATCACAACATTAAAAATAATAACTCATTTTCTATCATCAGATAATGAATTGAATTGTTTCCACCTTATTTCTTCCATCTCATCTGACATGATACTTTGTTTTTTTTTGTCGCCCGATGTTCATTCGTCAAATTATTATTCATTCAAGTGTACAAGCAAGTAATTGTAGCTGTAGTATTAGCCAGTAGTTGTATTATAGCAGAAGAAGACTCATTATTATTATTCTCCGATTTTTTTCCGCCGCGGAAAAGATGACGCAAGTCGCGATTTTATGCCACATTTCATTCGTTTCAGATTTATAGTCTTTCCGGTAAATGCGATGTAATACATTTTTTTTCAACTTGATTTTATTCATCCTCTAGAAGATCAGTGATAAAATTAGAATTTAAATTTTTCTCTGATTCTTAAACCTTCTCAATTCATCAGATATCAATATCAACATTCCAAACTTATCATCAAATAGTTAACCCAATAAACTTGTTTTTCTCAACTTTATAGGTCATTTTTATTATTCTCGATTTTCTTCCAACTCATTCATTCAACGCTTCTCAAATAATGTAATCTTCTGAATTTCGCAGTGATCGGATAGATATTATCAAACAGAAACACCTTTTTTTTCGTTGTTTCAAATCCAGAGACTGGTTATTTTTGTCGAATTGAGATAGATATCTTAAGAAATCCCCCTTGTTTTCGGTTGAAGGTGTTAGCCATTTTCATTTGCATTTCGTTTGTTATTCTAATTTGATGTTTCGTTAAACAGTTTTTCTTTTGCATATTAGATACATGTAATAATTATTTTTTGGTGTTTAGAATTTTGGGTTACTGTAAATGTCATTATTATCTTTAATTATATATAATTTTTTAAGTTTTGCAGAAAATCACTTTTTTTTAAAATAAAAAATAAATGTTCGGGACACTTCATTTACCGTCGTTAAAAATTCTGGACCTTCCAGATAATAGTTTTTTTCCTCATTATATTCTCGCAACCAAAGCGATTTGATATTTTTCAAATATGTTTTTTATTTCCTCATTTTTTCTGCATCTAAATATAAAAAATCTCAAACTGCTTGATATATAATTAGCTTCGCCCCAACCCCAAAATTATATTTAGTTTCTAACTTCATATCAATTTCATGTTCGCTGTATAACTAACATCAGATAGAATTCTGAACAAATGTTTTCCGAAGAACCAAATATAAATATATTTATGAACATTGTTTCACTAATTCCATCAATTTTTGCATATTATGCATTTGCAAAATACTGTGAAACACTTTTCAACGAAGAAACTGAACTACGATCTTTCAAATTGTGGGAAATTAATATAAATTTGTGGAGACCTTTGATAGTAATTGTAACAACACATGGCTTAGCATCAATCTCTTTATTGTTTGCAACAATATTTCAAAATAACAACCAAGTCAAAATAATGTTCTATGACATTTTCGGGCTCTGTATAATAATATCCTATATTTCCATGATATTTTTATTTTTTCTCGCAGTGTTTTGTATTTTCATCAGTTTATCTAGTCGATTATTCCTCAAATTTGGAAATTTGAAATATGCAAGATTATTAGATGATGATAAACTATATGTGTTTATTCATTTCTTTTCAATTATTTATGGAATTTATGTAGTAATTCGTGAAGATATTTTTTGGTTATATTTGCCACAATCCGTTGTATTGTTCCAAATTATTGTTTTTGGATATTCCGTTTTTCGCAGTAAAAACTTGGCGGCTGATGAGAAATATAGAGAATACAGTGTGATTATTCAACAAACATTGATAATTGTAAGAACTAACAATCAAAACTGTCACGATCCCATCAAAATATGAAAAAAAATCATTTTTTGATCAAATCAAAACAATTAGCTCCGTTTTTCAGATTCTGAACAATTTAGCCCTTGTATTACATTACAAACCCAGTTTAAACGTTCTCTTGGCTATAGCAAGTGTACATATTATTCTTATTTCATCAAGCTATATGTTTTCAAGTTGGTTTCATAAATACAAGTTGAAACAATTAAATATTCCCGAAATATCTTTGTCCGATCAACCAAATCATCAATCTGCTAATTATATTTGATTGTAGTTTTCAATGTTGTTTTTAACATGATTCCAATGATTTTTGTTTGCAAACAAAAGTTCGTCAGTCAGTCAATCCAAAATAATAAAAAGTTCCACGTACTTTCAAGTATTCTCGTTGTTCTTCTTCTTCTTCAAAAAAGTATAAAACAAACCCAACAATAAAAATAATATTTATGTTGAATGATTTTCCGCGTCATCTACCAATCATAACCGCAACAAGTTTCGCGCGCATTTTCCTGCCAGCCTGGCTGCCAAGAAAAGTTGGCGAAAAAAACAAGTCCTCTAATTTTTTGTCTCTTCCGTTGTCTGTCTTTTGTTTCGTCCCGAATCAAATTAAATACCTACGATCGAAATTATTATTATTAGCAGAAGCAGAAGCAGCAGCGCCTACTTCTTCACTTTCACATTTTTTTTGGATTTGACAGCTACTTAATTTTGGGGTGAATAGTATGTGTGTGTGTGTTCTGCCCAAGTATTCTTGACAAAATATTTTTTTAGTTGGGAAACTTTCAAATTCAAGTCTGCTTTTCAGAAATTCTGAAATGAGCCAACTTGGATTTTTCAAAATTTTGAGCTTTGAAAAAATTGTAACCCGTACAAGTTTCATTCCAAAATAGTTTATAATTTATACTTCTACACCCACAGTTTTTTTGCTGCTTCCTAATACTACAAAGTAAAAGTAATGCAAAAAAGTAGGGAATAGAACAAGTCTAAGCGACCTTCGTTTATCTAACAGAAGATTTTGTGAACAAGATAAATAATGAAAACATTTTCAACCTTCAATCTCCTCCTTTTTCCTTATTATGTTATGTTCTTTTAATTCCATTTCGAATGGTTTTTTTGCTTTTTCTCACTCTCAATTGTAATAATTTCATTTTACTACGTAATACGATTATCTGTTGATTCATTTAAATTCGTTCGGAAAACTTGGATTTGAAATCATTTCAACTTTGGCAAACCTCTAAAATATTTATGCAAATTTTTCTCTATTATTGTCACATTCCGCTTACCATCACCCAAATTCTAATTGCTTATCTCATCTGCCTAATTTCCTAGTCAAAAAAAAATCCACAAAAAGCAAGTTTTTGGTTGTGACCCAATAGGATTATTTTATCTCTTCCATTTTTCTTGCTGCAAATGTTTTTGTTTTAGTCGTTTTCAACATTGATTTCGCTGATAATTTTCATTTGAGATTTATGTTTACCAAAATGACCTTCGTTTGATTCAAAATAAAATAAAATATCAGTTGGAACCGGTTTTATAGAATTTAGAAGGAAGTTGAACTTGGATGAAATGAAATGAGAGGAAATGATAATTAGAATAACTTTAAACTTTTGGCTAATTAAGATTTAGAGGGTGTTAACCATGTGTTGTAAAATCTGATGTTTGAGAAGTTTATCCTCAATTTCTAGCTGTTAGGGCTGCTGGTTTAGGTTTCACTTTTGCTGCTCCAAGGAAAAACACAGGCTCTGATTTTTTTTTTTGAAAATTTCTAGAATAAAAATTATCCTTTTTCTGCAGCTTCTGCCTTCTTGTTTCCAAAAAAAAAAACATAATCCCAATCTTCTTCGTCAAAAATCTACCTAAAATTATCAATCTTCGTAAAATAATTCATTATTTTGATGATAATCTGTTTTTTTTTGCATTTTCTCAATGCTGATATATCGAGTTTTCTCCCGTCTTTCTTCATTTTTTGGTGTGTGTGTCTCTCCTAAAAAACGTTTCGATTTCATTTCCTGTTTCGAGTGATATTGAAACAAGATTTCATCGATATCGATGAGAAAAAAAACGACGGGGATAATAATAATATCACTTCCAATTTGGGTTACATTTGTTTTATCGGGTCAAGCTTGGGTTTTTTTCAGAATCTTCTCGTATTGTCTCGTGGAACACTTTCTCTCTCCAAAAATCATTATTTTTTCAGCACAATGCGATTGCTCTTAATAACACTTCTAGCTATAGGATATACTTTAGCACAAGAAAAGTGAGCTTCAAAATTGGTTTTCAGAAGAAAACTAATCTTTTTTTTCAGAACTGTTGCTGAAAGAGCAATCAGTGAGCCAGGACAAGGAGGAGATAAATTCAAAATCTGTGAGTTATCACTTTTTGGATTTCAAATAAGCTGAAATTAATTTCAGATGTTGGAACTATTGATGGAGTAAGAAGAGAGATTTTTAATGAAGTTGATGGGGGACAAATTGAAGTTCAACGTAAGTTTGATTTTTTTTGGTTACCACACAAATTTCTCTATTTAGCCGACAACACTCCAAATGCCGCTGATCCTTTCGGCGCCTATGACGACAACAATGTAATCAGCACCGACAACGAGAAAATTCTTTTTGTTCCAAAACCATACCGCCCAGGAGGTGACAAGAAGAAAACCACAAAGAAGCCATTCACCACAACAACCACAACTGCTGCACCAACAACAATCCGAACAATTCCATTTGTTCAAACCACTCCATTTGTGCCAGTCACATTGGCTCCAGTCACACGTCAACCATTCCGGCCAGTTCCTCAACCCCAGCCACTTGCCACAATTGCACCGGCATTCAACAGACCTCCACCAACTGCGCCACCACGTGTTATTCAACCGCAAAGACCGATTCAACCAATTCAACCACAACAACCTTTCAGACCACAAACGTGAGTGTTTTGGGGAGAATTTTTTTGAAAATAAAAATCTTCAATAATCTAATCATTTCATCAAAACCTCCAGAAGTAACACTAACTATTCAAGATGTTATCTCAAAGAATTTCAAGGTTGCCTCAAGAAACCAAACATGTTGTTTTTCTAGAGTTCCACCAGTTCAAACAGCTCCACCGCCAACAACTCCAGCTCCACGACCACCATTCCATCCACAAGGAAACAATTTGCGCTCTGGACGTAAGTGTACTTCCAGATTTAGCCGTTAATTAATTAATTATGTACAATTTGTTTTCAAAATCATTCGAGCGTTTTCGAGACAAATAGTGCTTGAAATTCAATCAAGCAAACTTAATTTTCAGAATGTGCTGCATCGATTTTCTACATCTCAACACCAATCAGCGGACCATCTCGTCTTACATTCACCCATTTCGCTGTTGCTGTCACCGTTGATCAATGTGCCAGAACTTGTCACGAATTCAATTGTGCAATTGCTCACTACAATCCATTAAACGGACATTGTGAATTCAATCCATCAACAGCTTTTGCTATCAGAAATGGACAATGTCCAGCGTGGCCAAGTCTTCATTATAGAAATAATGTTGTGGCAAATGAGCCAGTCAGAATATTCTGTGTTACTTGTCAAAGACCAAGAAGACGACCAGTTGGAGCTGGACAAAGAAGACCATTTAGGGGACAAGCGAGAAGAGGACAAAGACTTGGAAGAAAAACGTGAGCACTTAAACAAAATCATGGGAAAAGCTAAACTTCCGGAAACCTAATTTTTACTTTTTGCAGAAATACACCAGTTCAACGTCAATTGCGAGAAGCTGAAACCGATTCTCAAACATCGCAAAATTCTCCAATCGTAGTTGAAAACACTGACCGATCATCCCAACTTAATTTATTGAAACAACTTGAAGATTTACAATTGTGATTTGATCTCCTTTAATTTCGCCCCCACTTTTTTTCTGCACCCAATTAAATTATTGTGATCCCTAGGCAATATACATACATACATACTATAATAAGGTTTTCATCTGCTGCTCAAACAACACTTTTTTCTATTTGCTAATTGAAAGTTTGTATTCACGTCTTCCTGAATGAAGATTCTACCCCTATTTGCTGGAAAAAATATTCTGAATAATTGAACTTTTCAGAATGAAAAAAACAAAAGTTCTTTTCTCTTCTCAAGTTTTCCCATTTTACAGGATAGAATAAACATTGATCTTCCTGGAAATGACAAGTTTTTGTCACCGGAAATCCCCGTTTCTTCAAAAATTGTGCTTATCGTGTTTTTTTTTCGAGAAGAAAAAAAAACGAAATTGCAGGAAGTTGGGCAAATTAGTCGACGAATCCGTTTTTTTTTGGAGAAATGAATAAAAAAATCAGAAAAGACACTCAATTATATACTAGTGAAAGTATTTATGCCGTAGGGCGAAAAAATGAGTCAGAGAACTCTTCAAAAGGTCTATTTCAGGCATGGTGCACGAAGAACAGAGATCAAAATATTTGCGGAATTTTCGATAAAAATGTGAAGTTCAAAAAAGTTAGAAGCTGTGGAAAAACAGTCAAAATCTCAAAAATTTTCAGAAATATTCTGTAATCTTTGAAAACTCGTTTTTTCTCGGAAAAAATTCGGATAATCTAGAGACTTTTCGAAGATTAAAAAAATCTGGAAATTTCCTGATTTCACTAAAACACCGAAGTGAAAAAATAAACGAGAGAGTGTTGCGTCTAGAAGAGACGAGAAGAGAGAAGGAGAGAAAATGAGAGATAGAAACGCGTAAGAGAGACGCCAGACAACATGACGTTTGTGAATTTTTTCCAACCCCAAAACCATTTTTTGTTTTTTCACAAAAAATGCTAAAATACTTCATACCTAACCAACCTAACCTACCTAACCAAATATTTTTTTCTAATTTTACAGAATTTTTCATCGATTTTTTTTCAATTTTCCCAAAATCCCTCCCCAAAAAACTCACCAATCGCTTCTATTTCCCAAATTACACAAAAATCATTGAAAAGCCGAAAATTCCAATCAAAATCTTTGAGAAAATAATCGTTCTCCTCATATTTAATATCATTTTAACCCTGAAAACGCAAAATTTTCAATCGAAACAGTGTTTCTCTAGAAAAAACCCACTTTTCTTCGATAATCCTCGGATTTTCCGTCCGAAGCGATTATTCCATCCTTGTAGAACATCTAAAAATTCAATTTTTGACTTAAATCCACTGATTTTCCCCGGAACCCTGAAAACCCAGCGAAAAAAACAAAAAATGAAAATATTCTCGTGTTGCGCTAAACAGCGCGCAAGCGGAGTGTCGTTGTAAAAGTCATTCAATAAATTTAATTATTTTCTATTTTTGTGCCAATATTTGGAGATACTTTTTATGTGATCCTTTCTCAAATTCAGAAAAGGGAAAAATTTTTGAAAAAAAGCTTGGCAGTTTGTCAAATCCCCATTCCTATTTTCTGAGACCTCACATAAAGATCTATTTTTATTTTCGTAAATTGAAAAAAAATAAAATAAAATTTTGTTGAACTTTTCTTTCCGCAAAACTCTTCTTCTAGACATCTTCGAATCGACACTTTATTACTTTTTTTCCACAAGTTTTAGTTTTAGTCTTCTTTTTCTCTTTTCAATCCCCCGAAAATTTTTTTATCACTTCAGAATTATGAATAATTCAAGAAAATTCTCGAAAATAATACGATTGTTTATGAGATTTTTTGTTTTTCACAAAACGATTTGTATGTTCCCGAATTTAAGTGAACTCAAAAACCAAACAAAAAATAATAGAGAGAAGAAAAAGGTTGGATGTACTATTTTTAGAGTGCGAAATTTTACTCACATAATGCATTTTTTATGAAAATCTGCTTCTTCTTCGTCTTTTTCATCCATTAGTGGTATCTCATAAACCATCCTCATCCTCATTCTCAGTTCATTTAACCTCTAGCTTTTTCTTTTTTTTTTTTCATCTCTTTGTTTTTTCCGATTTGGCTCCGCCCCCAAAATTGGGCGGGACTAAATTGAGGAGCCTTTTTTGAGGAGGAGAGTTAAAATATAATCAAGCTTCTATTCTTTTTGGACGCGCAGTTCTGTTTTTCATTTTTGGTGTCAAAAGCTTTGGATTTTCAGACGCTTCAACAACAAAAATGCAAAACTCATTGGTTTTTGGATTGGTGAGCTTGGTGGCTTTTTTGATGGCCGAACAAAACTATGGGCAACAATTGTATCAATATCAGGTGAGGATTTTCTAGCTGGTTGAGACAAAAAATTAGTTGTAGTTGTATAGTGAGCCCTAATATGTTTTTTTTTAGAATTCCTACGGTATATACTTTTCTAAAAATCTTGGGTATCAAAAATAATGAGAGGTTATGAGTTCTAAGAAGTACTTATCTAAAGTTTGCATAAGTCTAAACCTGATATTATCAATCACAAAAACAGCCGAAAATTATGAGCTCAAAGTTTCAAAACAAACATTTTGGATTTCTATGACTCAAAAATTTTATATCATCATCATATCCCAAGATTATCACAGAAAACAGGATTAATTATTCCGCTGGTTGAGAAAAAAAAGTTTTATATCTTGCATTTTTGTAGTTGTATAGTTCTAAAAAATGTGTTTTACTTCTTTTTTTTTTAGAATTTTCGAAGCAGTTATATGCACACATTCTAGATAAGGAACATAATAATATAATTATGGGCATCAAAGCATAATAACTGGTTTCAGGTTTCTCAGAAACCTGAAGTTAACACAAGTCTCTAAAAAACTCTAAATTTTCCTCGTCATCCATTTTTGTTCCAAGATGTTTGCACTTTCTCATTTTTGATTTCTAAAAAAAATCTAATTATGAAAACTGAAGAGTGTCATTTTCAGTGAAACTTTCATATTATTTTTTGAATAACAAAAAAGTTGTCGGGAAAAAATCTGAATTTCAGATGACTGCCTCGACATCATTTCCCAAAAGAAAATATGATTAATATTCAGATGATCATCTACTAGAAAACAACAAAAACTTTGAATGGAGAAATGGAGTTTTTGTGAAAATTATTACTCCTTTGGGATAAATTAGGAGGGTAAAAATAGTAACAATGAGAAAGAAACTTTGTTTGACTGACAAGGGAAGATTTCAGAATAATCTTTCTCAGGCTAAAACAGAAGTTTGAATATTTTTTCAGTCAAAATTCTCTCCACTCCAATACAAACGTCACATCTCACCATCATACGACGTTGAAGTCGGAGCCGGAAACATGAAAAATTTGTTCTCAATCGGAAAACGACAACTCTCACCAGCATACGATATGGCTGTAAACGCTGGAAACATGCGGACACTTTTGGATGTCGGAAAACGACAAGTTTCAGTTGCCAATGAGATCGGAGATCAAATCCAGGTTTGAATTTTTGATCGGGGAATATTTATTTATATTTATATTTTTTCTATTTTGATTTGCATTTATTTCATAGAAAATAATATTAATTATTATTATTATTGCAAATTGTGCAGGAAAAAAATAATTATAAAAACCAAGACATCACTAATTAATTTCTAGAATTGTGTAGATTTGAAAAAGGGCAAGTGATTCTTTTCCTGTTTTTGAGATTTTGGAGGTTTTGTTGAAAAGAAGAGAAGTGTAACCTGATTTTCTTTGAATACGAACTTTAAATCTACTTACTTCTTTTATAAAATAAGAATGAGGAATGTTGCAACAAAGGATAAGGGGAAATGTCTGCTTGGCCTGAGCCTTGTTTCAAACCTTTTTTCTACGTGAGAATTCTGAATACTGAAATTCAAATAAGATTGCATTAATTCAATGTTCCCATTTCCTCAATGAAAAAAAAGAGCTCAACAACAATAAAAACAAGCATAAATTACACTTTAAGCACTAAAATTTAATTTTCCTCATCTCATTTTATCTCATTCCATTTCCAGAACCGAAAATAGCAAAGAGATGGGTGATCTTTATTCGCCGCACATAAAACGTACTACAATTATTTTCATAAACAAAGTTGATATCATTTTATTTCTTGAGTTCAAATTGTAGGGTATGGAAATTGATAGTTTTGAGTAAGACAGGAGAAAGGAAGTAAATTATGGTGTGAAAATTGTAATAAAATATGATGTCGTATAGGTGGTAAATAGATATTGTTTTGGGGGAGCTCAAGAACCGGACCAAAGACAGAAGTTTTTAAGTTGTCCGATTTTACACCAAGATCTTAGCAGAAGTGTTTGTCCAGAACTCTCAGCTTACCTTCTCCAAAAAATGCATTTTTCCAGATGTACAACCGACTTTTTGATGCTGGAAAGAAAAGATCAGCAATCTCGCCAGCCTACAACTTCCAATCCTCAATGGGACTTTCGGATGCACTCGAACAAGCTGGACGACGATAAATATTTAATTTATCTTCTAACTATTTTTGATACTTTCTTCTTTTTCTCTTGTCGCTTTAACAATTTCCAGACCAAATAAAATATTTCGTTGATTCTTTATTTTACTAGTATTATATTGCAACATTTTTTTTAGTAGGTTGAAAAGAAAATAATTGGAAATTGTGTGGGTTTGTCAATACTATGCAAATTTGTTTATTTTCAGGAAATGAAAGAAGAAACACTGGAAAAATATTGGGGGAGGAAAATTGAGCGTAAACAAATGAATAAATTTAGAATTTGTGAATTGGAAAATAGATCGGGATGATGATCTTTGTGCACTCAAAAAATGTAGGGAAATTTTTGAAGAACTCAATTTTTTTCAAAATTGGATTAATTAATTTCTCAAATTTTATAGTTTTTTTTTTGTTCAAATTCTTTTTTTGTTTTTGAGAATGAAATTTCGAAAAAAAAATAGCTCGTAAAAAATTTTCAAAAATTGCGTGAACTACTTTTCTAACATGACGTTGCAAAAAAGCCTATAAATTTGGAAAAATCATAAAAAAAATTCATTATTTTTCTATAAAAGGTATCTATTTTCAATTGCTTGCTAAACTAAAGTAAGATCACAATCACCGGATTACGGTATTCAAACATGTTGTTTCCAGCTAACAAAAGCAAATACAATTGCTATGATTACAAAAGATCAAAATACAAAAAACCCTAACTTCCAAGTGTCCTTTTACGCGACTCCTGATGAAACTGCGACGCCTGAAAACAATGCGAGAAAAAATCCGACTCCAGACAAACCATCATCGATTCAAGGATGTGTTACACCACCAGTTAATTCGGCACCAACAGTACCGCAAGCTGAAGAGAATCCACAAATTCTTACGCAAATTCAACCTGCTCCGGAAGCGCCAAAAATGAAGGACAGAGATAAATCGGTAAGGAAATGAGGGGGTTTACTAGCCGGATGCGTGGATTTTTTTTTATTTATAGACAAATGTATGATGAGTTTCAGAGATTCCGATCGAAAAATCGAACAAAGAAAAAGAATAAAAGACCATCGGCATCTACTGAATTTACAGAAAATGATGAAAAAACAAGTGAAGAAAAAGAGCAGACAGAGGTACTGTAGATTATTATCAGAAATGATTATTAAATTTTTCTTAAATTTTTCAGAACGACGATTTTTTCGAGTTGGAAAAGAAACTTCGCGACTTCGATTTTTATCACGGATTTCTTCCTCGAGAAGATCTTTCAACACTTTTAACCAGCAAGGGAGATTTTGTTTTGCGAGTTTCGGAAGTTCAAGAAGACGATAAGCAAAAAGTGAAAAGAGAAGTTATTCTTTCATTGATTCCAGTTGGAAATTCAAAAGCATCCGAAACGAAACCGCACAAAAATGTGATCATAAAACGAGCCGGCAAAATGTTTTTCATTGAAAAAGCGCATCCCTTTGAAGATGTCAAGGAACTCTTGAATTATTATAAAAAGAATCAAGGAACTTGTAACAAAATCACATTTCAATTGAAAAATCCAATTCTTCTTCAACCGTGGGAATTTATGCATAGCGATGTTTTGATTGGAAATGTTTTGGGAGAAGGTGCATTTGGAAAAGTGACATCGGGATGTTTGAAATTGAAAGATGGCACAATGGTAGATGTTGCTGTGAAAATGACAAAAGGAACTGCGTTTTTGAGTAAAGCCAAAATTCGAGAAATGATGAATGAGGCTCGTTTCATTCGAAACTTCAACCATAAAAATGTGGTTAGATTATATGGTGTTGCTCACGATGAACAACCACTTTATATTCTTCTCGAACTTGTAAAAGGTGGAAGTTTGAAATCGCATTTGGCAAAAAATAAAACAACGCTTTCGGAAAAAATGAAACATTGTTTGGGATCGGCGAGAGGAATCGAGTATTTACATGTCAATAAATGTATTCATCGAGATATTGCTGCAAGAAATTGTTTGCTGTCTGATGGAGTTATTAAAATCACAGATTTCGGACTGTCTCGAACTGGGCCAAGCTATAAATTGAGGGTAACTTGATTGAGAGGGATTTTGAAAAAAAAAACAATTTATATTTCAGACTTCGTGCAAACTTCCGACTCGTTGGCTTTCTCCTGAAGTCCTCACTACTTTGACTTTTTCATATGGTTCTGATGTTTATAGTTATGCTGTAATGGTTTATGAAATATTTACTGATGGCGGTGAACCATTTGAAAATCAGAGTAATGCAAATGTTAAAGCTGAAGTTCTAGCTGGAAGATATCTTCAAATGCCGCAAAATTGTCCGGAACCATTGAAAGTTTTGATATCTTCCAAGGTTTTTGTTGAGAATTCGAAAAGAGCATCGATGACTGAAGTGGCGAATGAAGTCGAAAAACTATCGACACAAATTGAAGAAGGGCATGGAAGATTCAATATTACGAAGAATCTTAAGAATTTGAATCTGAAGAAGAAGATTTTCAAAAATGAGGAGAAATGAAGATTTTTGAAGTTCACAAGTTTCAAAAAAAAAAAACTTCAGACCACCCTAGAAAATCATATAGATTAGATTTTTGCAAATCCGAATAATGGCTTTTAGCTAATTGTGATAAATGTTCCCTTGTGATTATTTCTTCCTCGAACGCTAAAAAACTTTGTTATTGCTTCGCTTTCCTTGTAAATCAGAGATACAAAAAGTGCAAAGTAATTAACCCACGTAAATTTTTTAAAATAAATATACGTCACGAACAGTTTTGCTGTTTTTATATATTTTTAATTTACAGACACTTCTGAGTATTTTTCACACGAACTAAATTGTACCTTTTTCAATATTTCATCCATTTGTAGCTATTTTTCACCTCCCCAATTGTCTTTTTTTTCTCATTTTTCAATTCACACAACAGGTGAATTTTTATTGATCGTCTGGCCAAAAAAGTGTGTGAAAGCGGGCGTAAAAACTACTGTAGTTCGGTCAAAGCGCCGAAACATGTAAAACTACACATGTTTCTGAAACATGCGATTTTTTCTGGCACATGTTTAGATCTGACCCATGCGAACTGACAAATGTTTAATGGATCTAACAAATTATGATTTTTCAATAGTCATTTTTTCTTGCGATGAAAAGCTTTCGAGTTATTTTCAATTATCGCCCGCTATAAGTTCCTAGTTTTTGAAAAATTGAGAAAAATAAATAAATCGGCCCAGAGATGTCTGATCTCAAAATCAATAGGATCATCACGAATAAATCATTTCATCTTCGATTTTTTGAAAAAATTCTCAATCTGGCCATTTTTAGCAGTTATCACACGGTTCGACAAACAATATTCATTAATTCCATTAAATATTTGTCAGATCCAAACATGTGCCAGAAAAAATCGCATGTTTCAGAAACATGTGTAGTTTTACATGTTTCAAAGCAATGACCCTGTAGTCCTGTTGAGATTTCGTCGTCAAGGATTTTTTTTTCAAATTAACAAAGTATGAGGGATGATTATCTGAATAGTTTAAGCGTACCAATTGAACTATTCATGATTTATTATTTTTTAATCATAACTCCTTTTTCTTCCCAGACATGTTTTTCGCGCGTGCAAAAATATGGGAATCAATTAATTTTTGAGATTTGCGGGTAATTTTTGGCTTTGGAATAATTGCACAGTAGTTGCTCTTCGAGAATAATAATTTTCCAAGAAATAAAAAAAATAATGCTATTTCGTAATGTGCAATTAATTTTTTGGAACTAAATGGGAGCATGTCTTGGATTTTGTGTTGGACCACAAAGAATTCACAGATCATGGTTATCACAGCTGAAATTTCAGCTGTCATTTCTCTAGATCAACACGAAGTTTTTTTTCATTTGGAGTTTTGCTTGGGAAAAAATTGGGCTGACTCAAAATTTCTATAATTGATTTTGCGAGAAAATAATTCCTGATTGTTTTTCTCTCCATAAATATGCAAGCACATAAATAATAAGTTGATCTCTTATTTTATATTTATTTAAGCTAACTTACAGTATCTCCCCCAGTTATTTTTGTCTTTCATATATCGATGAAGTACTATCAAGGGAAATTAACGCATTTCCTAGCACTTTGTCTTGTGTCTAACTTTATTATCTCTAACAGCTGAAATCACTTCATTTTCACACTTTGTTCCTTTTCTCAAAACCCTATAATTTATTTTTTGTCGAATCGAATCGAATTTTTTCTATTTCATGTTGTCAAATTAATTGATTGTTTTTTTTGTTTCAGATTTTTATCGATTATCCTAAATATTTTAGCCAATTTAATTAACGATGGACACAATTTTATTGTCTATAACGTTGGCTGTTTCAGTCACTGGAATTTATTTGAATTTAGTGTTTCTTCGCGTCACTCATAGAAGTAGTGTTTATGCTCGATTTTTGAGTAGAAATATTCGATTTTTATCAATTTCTCATATTATTTTGGCACTTTCCAATATGGTTTTTGGAGGTTGGTTTTCATTTCTGATTTTGATCGGTCAAATAAGTTCCGCCAAGTCTCATTTCAAAGTTCACCTGCTTCCCAGGAATCTCTAACAGAAATAAAGAAATAAAGTACATTGTCTAGAAATGTTCAAAAAACAAAGAATTGTAAAAAAAATCTGAAATTTCTCAAGGGAGATTTATAGCCAAAAAAAACAAACAAAAACAATTTTCGATTGTCTGGGATAACAAAACAATTCTGAAATTTTCCAGTGTATTTTTATACAACTGCAATTTGTCGAAACAGGAAAACTGAAATGTTTTTATCAACAATTATGCTAATAACACACGCGGTTCCATTTTCTACAGTAATTTGGGTTACTGTGGAACGTGTGATTTATAATCAATCTGTGAAAATTAGGACGTGTACAACTTACAAGCCAATTGCGATATTTAGAGTTGGTTTTTAAGATTTTAAGGTATATGAAATCAAAGAAAACTTGTAGGCTTTGGTGATTGCTATTTCAATTTTTTATGAAATATGTTTGAAACGAATTTATGATGTTCTCGAAATTCCGGATGATGACAATAATCAAAATTTTGAGAAAGGCACAATTCTTTCGAACTTTTATCTCGATTATTTTTATGGAGCAACTTATATTATATCGATTTTTGTTTGTCCAATTATTTTTCAAAATTCTCGCGTTCTATTAAAAGGGGCTGTTATGATGACTGGTGTTCCTAGCGATCAACGAGTGAGTAAACAATAAAACGGCAATTGTGAACGAGTTCTCATGTGTGGGGGTATAGCTCAGTGGTAGAGCGCTCCCTTAGCATGGGAGAGGGCTGGGGTTCAATTCCCCATACCTCCAAGAATTTTTTTTTTCATCAAACAATATTTTGTAGGCAAATCAATTGAAAGGACAAATAAAGTTCTTCTCACAATCCTATCTGCCATTGTATTTTGCCTGTTTTTTTGGATTTTTCATGCAATTTTGTGCCAAACGAATTCTAGAATTTGAAAATATGGACCTTGTTTTCATCACCTCATGCACTTATTTACCTCTAGTTTATCCTATTTCTTTGGTGCTACTTCATGCAGATCTAAGAGGTGTTTCAAAACTGAAAATAGAAGATTTCAAAGTTTTTTTGTTACAGAAGATTTTCTTGCAAATTATTGTTTATGTCGAAAAGTTCGAAAAATCCACAAGGAAAGTAAAGTCAAAGTAATAGCTACAAAGTGAGTTTTCTAGAACCAAATACTGTATCAAATCAATGTTATGATTTCAGAGAATCTCAAGATTCAATTATCGCAAATCTGAAAATGATTGGAATACTTTCGGATATCGATGCAGTTGGAGCTAACAAGACTATTGGAAATAATCAAAATAATGTGACAAATGTGAAAACATCACGAAGAGCAAGTAGTATAACAGCTCCATCTCGAACATCAATTGCAAGAGAAGCATCTTCTGTTGGAAGTGTTACAAGTGTAAATCCAAAAAGGCATAGTAGTAATGGAGGAGATATGATATTCCAAACTAGAAATCATATCAAAAAACCATCGCTTGTTCAACAATAAATTGTTTTTTAGACTAGAAATTGGATAGTGGAGTTGATTTTTTTACAGATATTTGAAATTTATTTTTATAGCCATTTTTATCAAAAGTTTAACTTGAAATATGAAGTCTGAAGAATTCAGAAAATTTCTTGAAAAAAATTGGTTCAAAGTTCAGATGGTCTTGGCTCCCAAAATGTTTTTTATTCATTTTTATTACTCGGAGGTGTTAGAAAAGAAACTGATAAATATCTACGTGTCATTTCATTTTCGATTTTTTGACCGCACTCACATTATTTATCATTGCAAGTTCCTGTTGATAAATAAATTAAATAAATAAATTATAAGTTAGAGATACTTACTTGCAAGCAAGATGAAAAAAAAATTGTGCTGCGAAATTGATGTGAGGAGCTCACGCCTCGATGAATGACGTCAGAGATGAAAGGTAACTACAGCTCTTTTCTTTTTTTTTCGTTTTTCTCTTGTTTTTTCATGTCTGCAAAGTTTTTCTATTTCAGGAAATCCGGTTTTTTGAATGAGTGAACTCGTGAATTTTCATTTTTTTTTTTTGAAAAGAATCTTTGACCTCCGAGAGATTTTTGAAATTCAAGGAAAGTTTTTGGAAAGTTGAAAAGTTCCGAAGCCTGAACTTTTTAGATTAAAAAAAATTGTTCAACAGTTTAAATTTCAGAGCAATTAATTCTTGTAGTTTCACAAAAAAATTATTACACAACCAAAAAATCAAAAAAAAAAACGAACATCTAAAAAAATTCCCTAATCCTCCCCCATCACAAATCCAGCATTCATAAAAAATATATACACTCAAACAATTTTTTTCATTTTCTTCCTCGCCTTCTTCATATATGAAGCTAGATAGATATCTGACATGTTCCTCTTGATTTTTTCTTTTTCTTCATTCTTATTTTCAAATGTTTTTTGTTCTTCGCTTCTTCCCAATGGAAAAGCTTGAAAATATGCACATTTTTTGCGCATTATCGGATTATCCAATCTATTTTTGTTGTGTTGTGTGTGCTCCTCTTTTTTCTACTACTCCTACTTCTTATTCTTCAAATGTTCCATTTTTTTCATTTTAAAATGTTTTTCCCAACAGGTGAAAATTATTCCTCGCTTTCAACAGTCATAAAAAAAAATATGACACATTTTCCCGATTATTTTTTTCGCCTCCAATTTTTTCTCATTTTTTTTTCAACACAACTAGGAGCTCGTAGCTTCTCGAATTTCAAACCAACCAAATGTATCTTCACTTCCATTTTTTCTCATTTTCAAAAAAGTTTTTTTTTCTCTCTGAAGCAATAAAAAGCCAGAAAAATTAGTAGTAGTTAAGTATTCGTTTTCTGCTCATTTTTTCGTCTTCTTCGCCCCGCCTACATTTATTTTTTTCTGATTCCTTAGGTGGCAGAATAAGAAAAACGAAAAGGAGGAGAAGCTGAAGAGTCGACTACTTATTCATTGAAAAGAAATAGACGGAAACAAATTGGACGGACGACGGACGGCTTGAAGAAAAAAATGTCGACACCAAATGGACAACAGGTTGGTGTAAAAAGCATTATTTTTAGATTTTCAGAGAAAACGTGGAGTATTTAGATTTTTTCTAAATTTCCGAATAAAATTCTGAAAGCCTAACAAAAGTTTCCAGAATTAAAACTTTTTTTGGGGCAGGAAAAAAATTCATTTTCAAATTTTCGTGCGATTTTTCGAGTACAATTCTCTCCCTAGCACAACAATTTCCACATATCCTTGTAAATATTTTGCCCAGAATTCCGTAAAGTGGTTTATACTATCATTTCATTTCATTCCACCTAACAAATGTCTAATAAATCAAACACCATCTCGCAAGTCAATTTTCTTTTCTCACACAACAATCACAAGAAAAAAGCCAAAGACTAGTAGTCTTAATTATATGGTGTTTTTTTCCCAAATCCATTTCTCGAAAGAGAGCATGAATCACTATTAAAACTTCCTGGAAAAACAGAGAACATTGATGGGATTATCTCTAGATAGATACGATTTTTGAACATCTTGAATCTTGAATGCAGACAACAGGATGATGTCAAGTTAAGTTAACCTATTTTAATTCTACTTGACAGGCAGACATGTTGTGTATTTCGAATTATCTAACACAAGTCTTTGAGTAAGTACTAAAATTTGTTGTTTTTCCAAATTAACCAAATCAAGTTTTCCAAGTATTTTTCCCATCGGATGTGAAATAAAGAATAAATAAGTATATCCAAATACCAAAGAATATTACTTTTGTTGTTTACTCTTTCTTTCTTTTTTTTTTGAAAAAAAACTACTATTATATATATTCTCTCTGCATATATATGAATATGAAAGACCAATTTTTCATACTTGGTTTGGAAAATCAGAAATTCATGCAACTCGTTAGATCTGCCAGGCAACCAGAATGAAATCTTTTGTCTTTTTTTTGAATGTCAGAAAAAAAAACTACGACTTTTTCAGGAAGAAATTGACATCAACTTGGAGGATCCTCAAGTGAAGGAGGCGGCAAAAAAGATTCAAAGTGTTTTCCGAGTAAAACGAGTGGCTGACAACAAAAAGGCAGCAGCAGCAGCAGCGGCGGCGGCGGCTGAGAATACTGCACCACAGGCTGGAGAAGCCAAATAATTTATTTCGTTCATCATTTTCCATTAAAAATATTAATAAATATGTTATTTTGTGAAAGCTTATGAGATAAGGAACTCTCGAAAAAAAACAAAAACAAATATTTGATATTACCACTACATATTTCAATAGAGCACACATGGTCGAACAAAAAAAACTGATTTTTTTTATTTGCACAACTAGTTGGTCCTATTTTTGATGAGTTAGCCTAACTTTTTTCAATTTTTTTCATGATTTACATATTTATATTTTTCAAATTTTACAGAATTTTTTATCGATTTTTTCAATTTTTCCGCAATCCCTCCCCAAAAAACTCACCAATCGCTTCTATCTTCCTAATCACACAAAAATCATCGAAATACGAAATCCTCCAAGTTTTCCACGGTATTGATAGTGAAATCCAATTGCCCATCAATATTTCGAGCTGAAAACTCAAAATTTCAATCGAAACAGTGTTTCTCTAGAAAAAACCCACCTTTCTTCGATAATTCACGGGTTTTCCATTGATTTTTCAATTCCAGCCCTGTAGAACATCTGAAAATTCAATTTTTGACAGAAATCCACTGATTTTCCCCGGAAACCTGAAAACCCAGCGAAAAAAAAACAAAAAATGAAAATATTCTCGTGTTGCGCTAAACAGCGCGCAAGCGTAGTGTCGTTGTAAAAGTCAAACAATAAATTCAATTAATTTTCTATTTTTTGTCAACTCCGCTCGAAAAGTGAAGCTTGTGAGATTCTCGGGATAATAATTCATAGGAAAACATCTGGGTTCTCTTCAAAAAATCCCGGGGGTTTCCCGTTACAATTTTCCGAGAAGTACTGTAGGGTTTGCGCGTAGTGTTTGCTGTTTAGTGCATTTAGTTTTTTTCAACGTGTTTGCGGATTTTTTCAAGGCACATTTTTTTCTTTGAAGGTTGGGATTTTTTTCGACAAAAATGCTTAATTTCAGACAATTTCTAAGAACTTTTAAAAGTCTAAAATTTTAGACAAAAATATAGGGCATTATCTCTCAATTTTAGCAAAAAATACACGTCACAAAAAATTTGCAAAACTGTAAATGAAATTGAAGATTAAATTATACGAAATCGTATCAGTTAGGAGTCCACGTATATAAGCCACATAAAGTGTTATGATTTTTCGGTTCCCACAATTTCAATAGGGCGCACATGGCCAATAAAAAAAACCAAAAACTTTAGTGAGAGTGAGAGAAAAACATTTGATAATGCCACACAATCCGTTTTATCAATAAAAAATGCATCGAGTTCAATTTAACCATAGAATGTGCAGTGATCACAGATTACACCAATTTTCTATTTTTTCTAGTTCAATGTGAGAGAGAAAAAGAAAGAACACACGTGATAAGATAGATATTATCGAAAATCTCATCGGTACCACGCGCTCCATCGAAATGAACACGCAACGCAGACCGCGCCGCGCCACAACACACACAAATAAGGGAGGGAATTTGAATCGTTCCCTTATTTGTGTGTGTTGTGGCGCGACGCGGTCTGCGTTGCGTGTTTATTTCGGTGGAGCGCGTGACACCGATGGGATTTTCGATAATAAATACAATTTGATGGTCGACTTGTTTTCTTTTTGTTTTCTTGACATTTATTATCATTCTCCGTTTCATTTTAATTTCTATTTCAGATCATGAACACTTTGAGGAAGATAACATCTACAATCCCAAAAAGGTTAGTTTTTTTTATAATCTGATTATAAAAATAACACTAGTTCACAAAGTTATTTCAGGCATTACACATTAGGTCCACGATTGCCAACAAAATTATTGAATCCAAAATTAGGTGCCGCTGAAATCAAATACGTGAGTGCCGATGAAGCGCTCTCAGTTGTCGAATCAAACAATGATATTTATGTGCAAAATCACGCGGGAGCTCCAAATGTTCTTCTCGATGCATTATGTCGCCGAGTAGATTCAGCAAATCTCAACGATATTCGAATGTCTCATTTGATTCTCAGTGGTCGATGTGCTCAATTCGATCCAAAATATCATAATAAAATTCGAAGTAACAGTTTATTCACATGCGGTGGAAATCGAAAAAATGTAAATAGTGGATTTGGTGATTATACGCCTATTTTCCTTTCTGAAACTCCGGCTTTATATAATTCTGGTGCTTTGAATGTTGATGTGGCTTTGATAACTGTTTCTCCACCTGGTGAGTATTTTTGTTCTTGAAAATTGAAAGATGAGCGGCCTATTTTCAGATGAGAGAGGATTCTGTACACTTGGAGTAGATGTTGATTGTTCGCTCGCTGCTGCTTCAAATGCCAAGAAAATCATCGGTTAGTTCAAAATTTTCACTTAAATTTCAAAAAGTAGCCTATTTTTCTCTTTTCAGCTCTTGTAAATTCAACAATGCCTCAAACTTGTGGATATTCAACAATTCATTCGTCGCATTTCGATGCAATGGTAAAAACAGACGAATGGATTGGATTCCGTGGCGGAGACGAGAAAATGTCAGATGTTGAAGTGAAAATCGGAAATATTATCGCCGAAAATCTCGTTGATAATGAGGCAACACTTCAACTTGGAATTGGAGCGATTCCGGATTCCGCTTTAGCAGCGATGAGAAATCACAAGAATCTTGGAATTCACACCGAAATGTTTAGCGATGGAGTTTTGGATTTGATGAAACGAGGAGTGATTAATAATTCGAAGAAGACTTTTATGACTGGAAGAGTTGTGACGTGTTTTGCATTTGGAACTAAAGAATTCTACAAGTATATTGATAATAATCCAGAGTTTTGTGAGTTTTTTTCTAATTCGTGGGATTTCCAAAATGGACTTTATTCAAACAATACAATTCTAGATTCTAAGAAAACCAAAGTTCGTGTTTTGCATACAATAATTTATATTTTTGAAAAGTTGTACAAAATGCAACGTTTCTTAGAAACCAACATTCCAACAATTTATAAATAAACTGGGACTCCGAATTCGGAGGGAGGGGCTTAACTTTTGAAAATTTTAGGGTATTTTATGCTTTTTGTGATAAAAAATCAGCGAAAAATGGGTTAAGGGGGTTAACTCGAGAGTCCCGGCGCGACTAGTTCCTCTTTTTATAAAACTTTCAATAAATCTTCGTATTTTACAGATTTTGCCCCCTGTGATTTCACAAATCACATCGATATTGTCCGCCAAAACAATCGAATGACTTCAATCAACTCGGCTATCGAAATTGATTTGACCGGACAAATTGTGTCGGATTCAATTGGCTCATCAATTTTCTCGGGTTTCGGTGGACAAGTCGATTTTATGGCTGCAAGTCCACATGGATTTGATGGTCTCGGAAAAGCTATTATTGCATTGCCTTCAAGAACAAATAAGGGACAATCGAAAATTGTTCCGTATTTAGCAAAGGTTAGTCGTTTTTCGAATCGGGAGAATTTAAAAACAAATCTCAGGGAAGTGGAGTTGTCACAACTCGTGCTCATGCTCGTTACATTGTAACCGAATACGGTATTGCTAATCTTTGGGGAAAATCAATTCGTCAACGAGCATATGAATTGATCAAAATTTCTCATCCGGATGATAGAGAAAATCTCGAAAAAGCCGCATTTGAACGAATGAAAGTTATGCCATCTCAAAAATAGGTGTTTTGTAAATGTATTTACGAGTAGCTTTAGTCCTGTGAACTTCTACGGTGTTTTCAATTCTGTTTTTGTTTGTTTGTGCCTTCAATGAACTTGGAAAATCTTTATTTTTCTCATGTCCTAAACTTCAACCGATCTTCTTACAAAAGCTTTGACTTTCTGACTGTTCCAGAAAATAGTTCGGACTGAATTCTGAAAAACTTTCTTTTTTGATTTATCAATAACTTCGTTAAAAACTCACCGATATCGATTGATTTGCCATAAAAGATGCGTTCAGACTTTCCAACGATTTAGAATTCTGTAAAAATTGTCTAGCCATCATAAAAATACAGAAATTCAACTTCTATCGAAGTTTCATATCATTTTACAAAACATGAAGATAATAGCCCTCTTTATTTTATTTTATTTTTTCGAGTTATCCCAAGTTTCTGCCAAAAAATGTTGCACAAGAAAAGTCAGTCAACATAAAATTCTAGATTATGTTAGAGCAATTCGAAATAAATCAAGAGAAGATCTTTTTGATGTTCTTTCGGAAGATTTCAAATTGACACTTTGTGATGGAAGAATTCAAACACGTCAACAAATTTATGATGAGATCAAGAAATTCGATGTTTCGGTTCAAACAAATCATTTTATTGTTCAAAATGGATCTCGAAATGATAATGGAACATTGAAGTTTACAATCGATATTTTCAATAATGGAAGTGTTATATCAGAAAACTATTTTGAAGCTCGATTTGTTGGCGAAAAATTGATTTTGATGTCAGAAAAGCAAATGAATTGTTTAGTGGAAAAAACAATAACTACAAATCTTGTCGATGAAAAAAATGTTGGAAAAAGACTTGCACATCGTATAATTTATGATTATTCAACATCATTGAGATCTTTCAACAAATCATATTTTGAACAAACTGTAACATCGGACTTTGCAATTGATTTTTGTAATAAGGAATCATTAAATTCAACAAATTTGATGGATTCGAAAAACCAAATCTATCATCCAAGATATTTTTCACAATCAGATATTCTTCAAGATCAAACCGTAATCCGAGATGATGTTTTGTTTTTTTATATTCTTGATTCAAATATCACCAATATTTTCGAATCTGTTTTTAGTCAAGGAAAATATCGTTTGAAAAAACACCATGTGATGAATTGCACTGATGTTCCGAACAACGATTTAAATTATCGAGAAATTGCAAAAGAAATATTCTACAAATATTGTCTCGCTATAAATTTGACAAGTTTAGGAAGATTCTCAGAAGTTGTTCCAGAAACTTTTTCAGTAACTTATTTGGATGGAAGCATTACAACATTAACTAGAAGAGACTATTTTTACAAGACAATTAGTTATCAATTTTATCAACCTAATTATTTCACACAAGGTTTCCATGTTTTAACAGGATCTAATGAAAAAACTTTCACATTCAAAGCAGCAATAAATGAAGAAAATATAATTGAGTTTGAAGTTGAGAAAATCAACGGAACTTTTTTGATAGTTTCGGAAAATCATCTCACTCAAGATTTTCGTACGCAATTTGTTGATAGAAAAAGTTTGGGAAATATACCGAAATCACAAGCAATGGAAGATTCAGAAGATGTGCTCGCACGATTTCATGAAGCGATTCGCCAAGAAAATTCTGAGAAATTATTTAACGTAATATCTGAATCATATGAAATCAGAGATTCGGATCATAACCTTACGATTATAACTCCGACCACACCAGATATTTTCAAATATTTCCCAGAATCTGTTTTTAATTACAAAGTTGTTGATTTAATTCACGATGGTTTTGAAGTTCAGAATTTCTACGCTGAAGACAATGGAAAAATCAAAGAATTCAAAACAAAATATAACAATGGCATTTTGTATTTGTTATCAGAGGAAGATTATTCGGAGAAAAAGATCAAAGATAATTTCTACGAATCTAACTCTAAACCAGAATTTTACTGATAATAATAAACATGTCGCTGTTCCCTTTTAATTACCGTATACAAAAACTCACTTGAACCAATCCATCAAATTCTCTCAAATGATAATTGATAATTGTTGCAACACAACTATTTTTCACATTATCCATACTAACATCTTTCGAAGAAATCAACATTTCAACTATGAATTCGAGATTTTCGTAGTTCTAAAAACAAACTTTTTGAAATTATTTTCGATTTTTTTCATATTCACCTTCTGAATTTCTTCATAACATTGTCTCTCAACACTTCTTCGAAGCATACTAATTCTTTTGACAGCAAAAAGACACGCAAGACTCAGAATTTCGTTGGCAAGTTTTGGTGTCATTTTTTCAGGAACTTTGTATCGACAAGTGAAAAGATATGTTACTGCCTGCAAATAAACCTTTTTTGTCAAACCAAAAAATATGTAGTGTTAAATAAACTCACAATTTCAATCGCCTCAGGATTTTGAACATCAAGAACGTGGAAGTTTTTGCTAGAGGTTAGATGTGTTCGAAAAAACCGAGAAGATATGAAAAGTAGCTCTTTTCTTGTTCGAAATGCAATTCCATCAATGGTTCGGAGTTCGAAATCGTGACAGTTACTGGAAAAAACTTATTTGAAATCGGGCATAAAGCCCAAGTCTTACTCAGGCTTTTTAAGCTGACCTGTTTTTAAGACTATTGAATTTGAAACCCAGCTCCAATGGAAGTGGAACAGCTTGTCCATCGGTAAAATTATCGACATTACAGAAAGATTTTGTATCAAACTCCAAAGCAATCGCAATTTCAATATACTTTCCTCGATATTGAATATCTGTCAAAGCCAAACTTATCATTTTTGAGAATTCGGAATCTTCAGGAGTTCGGAAATTTCTTCGAAAAATCATATCTTCTGGATCAGGTTGACAAGTTTCATACGTATAAATTTTAGTATTCTCTTTCTCGTCTTCATTCGGCGAATCCAAAATTTTCATTTGAAAAGCAACTCTTTGAATTGGCGGATATTTATCTCGCATTCCAGCTTGTGTCAAAACAATTTGAAATTTTTGTGGTTCAGTTCGTGGAACAAAAAGTGGAATAAATCCATGCATAACTTTTTCGATTTGACATTCCCAATTAATTAGCGATGTTTTATAAATTGTTGAAAAAAGAGATGAACGTTGAAAAGCAACATGAGAAGTTGGATAGCGAAAAATATGAGTAAATGTTATCACATCTGATAATTTCTTCTGATACGATTCTGAAACAAATGTGTTTTTGTTAGTTGTATTAATTTGCTAGACTCACTGTTTTCACTCATATTGAAATAGAAAAATAAATAAAAAAATTAGAACAAAAAATGCCTAGGGAATGACGACGTTCACGTTTTTTTTATTCCCTAGAGATTTTTTTTTGGTGGAACTTTATTTTGTTTTGTTTTGTGTTTTTTTTTCTGGTTGGACCTTTTTTCAAGTTTTTTTTTGAAAACATGCCCAAAGTTTCCAGAAAAATACCAGTCTTCAGAATTCTCCAAAAACCTCTATCTAATCTTTTCCTCTATTTTTCACCCATTTCCATCATTTCCGTCCATTCTTTTTTTTCAAAACCAACAACAATCATAATAATAATTCACCTCCTCTTTTTTTTCCAACCCAAACCGCAAATATTGTCATTTTTTTCAACAAAAAAAAAAGAAATTGTGCATATTCTTTCTTTTTTTCGTATGGCCTTTCCGTTATGCTATGCATTCGAAATACGAAGAAAAAAAACGAGAAAAGAAGAAGTATGTGAGCGCAAAAAAAGAAGGGGCGAAAAAAACTAACCCACGTTTTTTTGTGTATGTTCATTCATCGATTTGCACATTTTTCAAAAAAAAATATTTCGAGTTTTTCTAAAAACTTTGGAATTGTGTTTTTATTATTTGTAGGGCGGCCCAAAAATCCCCCTGGCTTGATTCTTGTTTTTTTTTTGTGGAAGTTGAAAAGCGTTCGGAAAAAAAATTTACCTGAAAGTTTTTCGCCACGTCATTTCATATCTTCCAAGTTATTTCTACTCGTCACACCGTGATTCATAAAAGTTGCCAAAATATTTGAAAACTTTTGGAATTTTTGACGATCTCCCCATTAAATATTTATTCCATCAACATTTTTTTTTCGAAAAACTTTTGCTCTCATCAATTTTTGATGAGGCGAAAGGAAAAAGTTCGAATCTTTTTTTTTCCACATCGAAATTTTTCAGGCGTTTGTTTCTATTTTAAAAAGTGACGTTTACAGATAATTAGTTTAGAAAATGGAAAGAAAAAGCTAAACGTCATTTTTGTTGAATTTCATTTTGTTCTGTTCGTTCGCCGATATTTTTTCCGGCCTTTTTTTGACAGCAACTTTTTTTTTTGAAAAAAAATAGAAAAAACACCCTAAAAATATCCAATTTTCTCACCGAAAAACCCAATAATTTCTAGTTAGTTACATATTATTTTCTTTATTTATTTAGCAAAAAATGTTATTCTTCTTATTTTTTCTTCTAATAATAATAATAATAAAAAAAACATGAAAAAAATAATAATGAAAAAAACAACCCATTTTTCTTCTTCTTCTTCGCTTTTTCTTCCGTTTCTCAATGAATAGATCCCAAATAATGTCTATTGTGTGACTGAAATTCGAAGAAGAAGCAGATGAATTCTATCTATTCACATTTTCTCACCATCAAAAAGTTATATATTCTTTTTTTCCTTTTTCATTCATCAGAATGATTAAGTTCTATGAAAAGATCAATTTTTTAAGGTTCATAGGATCTTCATAGAATCTGACGGGCTGTTCAAGCAACCCTCACCCTGCTTCTCAATAATAATATTATTTTTAAGACAGATCAAAGTTCTAGCAAGTCTTTCAGAATTCAATTATTGACCCTTTTCATATTCAATTTTCCGCATCGCCGAAAATCGACGTCAAAAAAAACGGCTCGCCCACCTTTTTACTTTATTTTACTCACTCAATATATTTTTGTTTGTTTTTTGTTCCTCGAATATTCGGATGTAGAAAAAAGCGAAAAAAAGTATCAGGTTTTGAGTAGGGTGTGGGAATTTCTCATTGAAAAATGATGAAAATAAAATAGGTTTTCTAAATTTGGATAGAATTTATTTCTGGAACTTGAAAGCTATACGAGTTTTTTTCTAATATTTTCAGAGCCCCATTTCCATCCTTGAAACTTTCATTTGATTTCGATCCTATTATAAAAGTGACGAAATCAAAACTTTGTCAATAATATCATAGTTTAACATTTTTAAAATCATCTCCAACTACTTTTTTAATATCATTTTCTCACCGTAGGTTTAGCACTTTTCCGATCTATGTTTTCAGAACTCGTCATTCTTTGTTTCCCCTTAGAATTGATTTCATCAACACACGTCAATTAACAAAGATGTACGATTTTTTTTCACTTTTTTTAGAGATCTATAGTTGAGAAATTTCATGGATTTCATCATTAATTAGATCTAACATTTGTCAATAATATCATACTTTAACATTTTCAAAATCATCACTAATTCTATTTTTTTCAATATCATTGTTTTGTTGTAGGTTAGGTTTAGCACTTTACCTGATCTTTGTTTTTTTTTTCAAATCTCGTCATTCAAAAGTGGATCCCACTAGAATTCATTTCGTTCACACACGTCAATTAACGAAAAAAAATAGGATCCGTCCTCATTTTTCCTAAACGAACGAAATCAGAGAATTTTATTTGAGCCATCCTCGTTATTCGTCGAACATCTATCCATTTTTCGCTCGTATTTCTTTTCTCCTTTTTCAATTCAATTCAATTCCTATGCTATGTGCGGCCTAAACGAAACTAATCTGAAATTGCCCGTTTACATACATAAATACATATAATTGTGCTCTTCTTTTCAGAGAGAGGCACAAAAAAAGAAAAGAAAAATTGTCGTTTTTTTCTATTTTCTTTTTTTTGCTCCCTCCCATCCTTCACTTATGTTTTTTTTGTTTCTATAGTTATTTTTTCTCGCGTTTGTCGAAAAAACTTGACAAAAACTATTAAGTTTCTTTCTTTTCAACGAGCGTAAAAAAGAGCCCCACATTCAATTTTCCATAAGTGTCGATTATTTTTCTTTCTCGATTTTCGTTTGTGTGTTTTTCTAGATACATTTTTTGTAGTTTTAATCCAACAGAAAATAATAAGAAATTTTGAAAAAAACAGAGAATAACATTCTGGCCTAATTCATTATAAGCAGAAAAATGGAGAAAAGGAAGTACGTCATAAAAGTACAATTCTACTTTTCAGAAATTGCAATTTTTCCTTTTTTGGATCCTTCTGTCTTTTTTCTCATTCTCAAAAAACCATTTCCAATTTTTTTCTAGAACCCACATGTCTAAAATATTCTACAGTACCTCTTCAAATTTCCATTTAGATTAAAGTGTTCATTCTCTTCCAAGGCGGGCTGCGGACCTTTTTTTGCTCTGAAAAAAATGAGCCAGAAAAAGGCAGAAGAAAAAACGGGCGGAGATAGAATTGGATTAGTTTTGTTCTGTGCATTTTCTCAGTTTTTCTTGTGTTGTGGTTTTTTTGGGTGCTCACCGAAAATTGAATTTCAAAAAAAAATCGTGGATTTTTCGCGTGTTGTTATTTGCTTCTTCCAATTTTTCGAAACTCTTTGATCTGAGCAATTTCCCGCAGCCGATCTCCCACATTCCCAGTCTCCATACTCAATTCACTTCTCGCCAAAAAATCCACTTCCATTTAATATTTATTAATAATTTTTGTTTCTCTCGACACACAGCCATTTTTTATTCATTCATTTTCCATTTTTTTTTGTGAAACAGCACACAAAAAAAATAATTAAAAGTTGAGGAGCACACGAGGAAATTGGTCTCATTCTCCTCGAGTTTTTTGTGCTCTTTTCTGTTTCTTCCTTGTCGAGAGTAATTAAGAAGTCGAAACATTTAAGTATTTTCAGAGTTTTCATTCTCGGTGCAGTTTTCAGCATTGAGGCAACAGTGTCAAACACGACGGCGGGCACGGTTAGTTCTACAAAAATATTTATTTTCAATTTGAAACAAAATATTTCAGGGTAGCCGTGTAGCCGAGGCATCGACCTCGGATTACCGTGTAGCTGTTTTTGGCGCCGGTGGAGTTGGGAAATCTTCGATCACTCAGCGATTTGTTAAAGGAACTTTCAATGATAATTATGTTCCGACTATTGAAGATACTTATCGTCAGGTGATTTCATGCAATCAAAAAAATGTGTGCACTCTTCAAATCACCGACACAACCGGTTCGCATCAATTTCCTGCAATGCAAAGGTTATCAATGAGCAAAGGAAATGCATTTATTCTAATATATAGCATTACAAGTATGCAATCTTTAGAAGAATTGGGACCAATTATTTTGATGTTGAAAGAGGTTAAACAATCTGCAATTGGAGAGGTTCCAATTATGTTGGTTGGAAATAAAAAAGATGAAGATTCGGTGAGCTTTTTTTAAATTCGAGAAGATCTGTCGATAGGAATAAAATAATTATAACATGAGCAATCAATCTTGTGGGTACTTTAACTCAACTTTACAGCCTTTAAGGTATCCTCAATCAAATTTTTTTTTGCAGAAACGTGAAGTGTCAACTGCAATTGGTCAAAAAATCAGTGGTCAATGGGGAACTGGATTCATCGAAACATCAGCTAAAAACAATGAAAACATAACGGAATTATTCCAAATGTTGTTGGCTCGAGAAAAAAAGCGACAATTGGCTTTAACAATGGATGATCCAGATGGAAAAAATGGAAAGAAAAAAGGTTGCACGGTCATGTGAACTTAACTAATTACTTAATTAATTAACAAAAAACTTATTCACTTTTGCCAAAAATTTAGGGATTTTCCAAATCCACATTTCATTAGTTCCAAACATTTTTTAGCTGAATTTTTCTTGAAGGGTCTGTCTCTTTTGTATACTTTTTTCATTTATTTATTTATTTATTCCTATTTATTATTTATTTCAAAAAATGAATAAACTATAGTTTTTCCAATTATATTTTGCCATAAAAATATGAAGGAAAATGAATGAGTCAACTAAATTGCTGTTATCCGGTCGATGAGAATCCACTTCCAACTTTTTTTTGTTGGTTTGATTTTGGAGAAAGAGACTAACAATCAGATTCGCATAATTCTCGAGGGAAATGGGAAGCAAATTGAGTACAAGAAAAAGGAAGAAGAAAAAACAGAGTGCAAATAAATTAAAATCAAATGATAACATTTTAGAAATTCGAATTGAAATTTGAAGCTCAGAATTATAGAAATCACAAAAAAAAATAAAAATCAATCAGAATCGCATAAGTTTTTCGAGAAAAACAATCATGATATTTTATTGGCACAATTTTTCAGTATAGACAACAAAAAAGGATCAGAAAATCAGATTTTACGTCGCGAACTGGAGTTGTCACAAATATTTATATCAATTAGAATAAAACTCAGAAATTGAGTTCTTGAAGTCGAACGGAACTCTCAAATTACATGTTTAAATTCATAAAATACAATAACTTTCAACAAAATAAAAATAAAAATAAAATGCAAACTTCCACCTAACAACTCACTACGACACTCCACTTTGCCCTTTGTTTAACGGAATACTTGTTTGTTTTTTATTTTATTTATTATCGATTATTCAACGTTTCGGTTTTTCTCCCAAAAATGTATTGGGGTGATTCAGGTCGAAAAAAAAACTAAAAAAAAACATTTTTTTACAAAAAAATTCGATTCAGCAAATGTCAAAAAACTATATTTTTTTTTCTATTTCTCGACATTTTTTGACATTTTTTTCATTGAAACATTTTCGCTGCGAGATATCTTTCATTTTTGTGTGGAAAAAAATATAGTTTTTTGACATTTGCTGAATCGAATTTTTTTGTAAAAAAATGTTTTTTTTTAGTTTTTTTTTTCGACCTGAATCACCCCATATGTTTAACAGCTTTTTTTTAAGTTTTCAAGTTCTATTTTATTTCAACGATCTAAAAAAATTGTCAAGCTATTTTTTATTGATCAAATAATTTCCACAATTTTCTCATTTCGAAAAGCTCTCTGATTTATTTCTAATCAACCCTGACTTTTATTCCAAAAAAATAATATAACCAGTCTCGTAACTATTTCTAATGCAATTTTTCATTTCTTTTTTCTTGTTGTTATATTCCGGTACTCCAAAAAATGTGATTTTAGTTTTTGAAAGAAAAAAGACGTAGTAATCTTTGTGGTTTCTGGTTCGTTATTCACTTTCTCAACCAAAAATAAAAAAATACATCCAAACAAAAGGTCAAAATAATCATTTTCGTGTCATTTTCTTGTGAATTTGAAAAACAAAAATAGAAAAAATATCAAATTTCGATTTTTTCTTGCCATGTTTTGTTTCACGGCACACAACATTTCCCAGCTTTTTCCTTCACGATATCAATTATTTATTCAGAAATTTATATGTATATGTTGATGGTGAGAACTTTGAAATTTTTATTCGAAGAATTTCATACACGACCTTCTTATCGCAAAAAATAATATTAAACAACCTTTTTGGAAAAAATAATTATCACTAATTTTTTATGTTATTTTTGCCGCTGACATTTATTTTATTTTAGTTCTTTATTTTTTATTTTATTTTCATCTAACTTTCATTCAGAAAATCCCATTTTTTGCATTTATTTACATTCTCATTTTTATGAGCATTTCTGGCCAGTTATTTGTTTTGCAAAATCCGTGAGACTCTGGATATTGGACCTTTTTTGATTCTTGTCCATTCAAAGATTTATGTATTCTCAGAAAAATCCACCTTTTTTGATGGACCAACATATCTTCTTTTTTCCAAATTTTATCTGCGCAGTGAAAATGTGCGTCGAGGGACATTTTAGGTGAGAAGAGAAGCGAGCCAAAGATAACGATTTTAAAAAATTGCTCAATGATTTTTGATCACCTAAAAAACAGTTTGAAAAAAAAATAGAGCAGAAGTTAGGTGTCAATCAAAAAGCGGCGAGTGGGTGAATGACCCAAAAAGTGCATTTTAATAATAATGGGTTTATGTTCTGATAACTTTTTATAGAGTTTGCTGAAGGCTCAAAAATCTGCTGATAAAAATAATCGTTCATATTTATTTTCATATAAATTGTATGTTCAATTCTTACGGTATTCTCCCATTTATCTATAAAATTGGAGTCCGTTTTTCAAATGACGCCAAATTTTCGAGTTGATTCATTTTTCTGAAAAAAATTGATGAATGACTAGAAGAATAATTGCTTGTTTTCTTGGTGATCCTAAAAATATTTCCTTGGTTTTTCGAAGAAGAAAAATATTTGTAGAGGAATTTTGAACCACAAAAGCGGGTTCAAATTAGATTTTGCTCCGCAATTCATCCGACAAAAAAATAGATTCCAGTTAACATATGTTTCATTTTTTCTGGAATGCAATTTATGTTGTATTTATGTGAGAAACAAAAGTGTAGTTTGGACTTTTTCTAAATTTTGAAATTGCATGTATTTCCTTTTTCTGAAAAATATTTTTTAATCTGACTGAGAAAGTTTATTGAAGTGATATCACTTTGAGAAAAGTTTTCGAATTGAAACCCAAGACTTGAAATTAATTTTTTTGAATTCATTTTTCTTTATGGTTTTGGTTCATCGTCCTATTTTCTCGTCCTATTATTTTTTTCCCAAAATGAAAATCTCTAGAAATTTCATCTAAAAGCCCATGAAACATGTCGTTAATCGCTTGTTTTTTTGCTCAAATTCACAATTTGTTGACCTAAGAAAGTGTAAAACACACATTCATTTTTTGTTGTCCAATATTATCAACAAGAAATCCTCAAAATATCCAATGGTCCCATCGGAAACCAACCCGAGTTATGTAAACATTGCAAATATTTCCAGACTTCCTCTTCTTTCAGTTATATTTTTCTGCTTTCTTTTTCAATATTTGAGTAAATAGAACATAAAGAAAACAAAAACAGAAACAATTGTAACTTTTAGTCTGACAATGTGTCTTTTTTTCTTTCTGAAAATGAAAAGGGTATGTAAGAGATGTGAAAAAGGTCAGATCTGAATTTATTAGTGTTTTTTTGGGGATGCGAAATTCGTCCGGTTTTTTTTTTCAATTTTGTTAGATGCACTTTTTTATGATCTTCTTCTTGTTCAAAGTTTAAATTTTTGGATTCTGATGATTGAAAAATATTTTGTGCCAGTTTTGTTGAATCATTGATCATAAAGGTTGAAGTTTCGAATAGAGCCATTTAAATTTTACACAACCAAAAAAGTGGGACCACTTTTCGGATAAGTGAAATTTCTGAATGTCTGAATTGAACCACTTGAAAAGAGTGGTGTGACTTTTGTTTTTTGAATTTTAATTCAAATGTTGATCAGGAAGATTTGGAATTTTGGTGTTGGTATAATTTTTTTAAATTTCTCTCGAGAAAAAAGTTTCTTGATAAAAAATTGATAAAAAATTTCCAGTTTTAATATTAAACGGATTTCGATGTTCAAAATTTTTGTCGGTTTTTTTGACAATTTTTTTTGTGTAAGGATGATATGATTGATATTGATAAAAAATTTTCAGAAAAAAATAGTTGACCAATTTTACAGACCCAAGTCTGTACCAGTCTCAAATCTCATATGTTTCTCGCTTTCCGCAAAAACTCAATGAGCAGACAAAAAACAATAGAGAAAACTTCTTCACACAAAAATTGAAGAGCATTCCACTTCGTTTTTTCTATTCATTTTTTTCTTTTCACTTCTTCTGATTCACTAAATTTCATCCAATTAAACTCCGGAAATTTGAAACGTTAAAAAAAAGAAAAATAAAAAAAAGAAGTAGAACAGATCAAAGTAGAAATTTTCAGGCTCGGCCCTATTTCACCTAACAAGCCTGTAAAAACCCATGATACATTATTTTAAAACCCAGAAACCCTTGACACATTCTAATTATGATGCTAATTTGAGAGAAAAGAGGGGGTTCCATTAAATTGATGTTTGAAACGTTTTCATTTTTTTTCCAAGTTTTTTTTTGTTTCTGCTCGATGATTAGACATAGAACTCTTTAATCTAATACACATGTGAGCCCCTCTGATTTCGCGTTTGGTCTCTACATTTTTTCTCTGTGGTGATGATTTACTTTTTATTCGAAAAGTATTCGAAAAGCTATGTGGGAGTTCGAAAAAAATATAATATCATTGGATTAAGAATTTTATTTTTGAAACATTTCCTGAGATTACTGTAGTTTTTCAATATGATCTGAATTTTTTTAAAAATTCAGAACTTTGTAGCTACAATTTCACTTTCCAAAACATTATCAGTGCAAAAATACAATAAAAATTATCATTGCTGGAAAAATCATTCCCAAATATTTTTTCGCTGAAAAATTACCATTTTCCAATATTCTCTGACCTCATTACTCCTCTTTTTCTTCCTTGCATTTTCCTCTCATAAATCTCTTTTTTTTCAAAATACGCGCAAATATTTTCATGTTTTCAGCAAAGAAAAAATAATTGAGTAGTAGTTTTTTTTTGTAGAAGAAAAATGATTGAATTGAGTTGTTCCCCTTGAAGAATCAAAAAGAAAATAAAAGAAGAAAAAAAGGCATCGTGGAAGAATCGCGAGCCCAAAAATCAACAAATTCTATTAGAAACTGTTCTCAAATTTTATTAAACTAAACTTTGTCACATTTTTGTTGCTTTTTTAATTGACTTTATGTACATCGGAAAATCAGAAACTTTTTGCTGTGCTGAAATTTCTTTTATGTAAATTCCATTGTTATTTTTATGCTCGTGTTTTGCATTTTTTTTCTTTATTTCAAAAAGAAAACAAACTCGAACTCATGCTTCTGATTCTTTTTTTTTTCTTTTTTTTCTCTAGAATCAGAGAGAAGAATCAGATTATCGCTGGAATTTTCCAGGTATTTTTAAGGTGGGCGGGTTTTGCGTAACACTGGAATTTCTAGAACTTTTTCTCATTTTGATTTCAAGTTTTCGAGCAGTAGGACTTTTTTGGACCATAACCATAAAAAGGTGGTCCGTGAAAACCAGAAAACAGAAAAGTGTTTCAAAATATTGAAATTCTGAATTCACATCATATTGTTGTTCAATATAAAAAAATCTATGAACCAAATTCATTTCAAAATCAAAAATACAATAATCTTTCGAGAAAAATGATAATCTTTGACTAAGTCTCTGTTTTGATGATGCTTGTTTTTTCTTCTTGTAAATACATATATCTTCCATATTTGATCAATTTCAAGAGCTCCATAAAACTTCAATTTCAGCAACTTTTTTCTCAAATTTTGTATGACTTTCATTTGAAAGTTCTTCCAATTAACTTTTTCTTTTTAAGACACTTTTTCAGCATCTTCCAAAGTTTATGCTGGAAGAAAAAGTTATTTTGAGGTTATATGTAAATTGTGCACTTTTTTGTTCAAAAATATTTAAGATTCATATAAAAAACTTTTCTAGACAAATTCTCAAGAAGTTCACATATTTTTTATTCTTCTCATTGACCTTTTTCCTAATTCCAGCCAGACTTCTTTCACCAGAAAATCTCAAAGAACTCATAACAGAAAAAATATTTTTTTTAATTTCACAAAAATATTATTGTCGATCAACAAAAAGTGCTCTAATATCTATATTTTTCCGCTCAACCCATCCAAATCTATTTTCATTCTTTTTTCATCACCAAAAATCCGCTTACTTTATATTATTATGCTTGTTTTGACAAATAATAGTGCAAATCTGAACTGAGTAAAGAAAAACTTGGGATTCTTGTTGTACAGGGAGGCAGGCAGGTTTCTTGTTAGATTTTATCATCCAGTTATTTTTTGTTTTTATGTGGTAGTCACGTTGACAAAGTTTGGGGCTTCAATCAATTTTTTGGAAAAAAACAGGCTTAATTTTAGATTACTGTAGCTAATGCTAATTTTGAACTTTGAATGTGAAAATAAATTTCAAAATGAAAATAAAATCTATTATTCTATGTTATTTTTTGTGTAAACACCACCCACAAGTAAATAAAAAATTCAATTCTGAATATTTTGGAGTTCACCGATGAACATTTTTTTTTATTTGACACGCTTCGTTTAGTGGGAACATTTGTGTTACTTTTTTATCCCAAAAGTTTTCCAAAATTTTGAACAATTTAAAATTTGTTTGAATTTCTTGGGACTTGGTATGACCAAGATTCAATTTAGGAAAATAATGGTCAATTTTTATATCATCACTAAATTAATCTAGAAATAATTGAACTATTCTATCAAAACTTAAAATGAATTCCAACATCTCATTTTGTATAAAATTTCAATTTCCAACCAACCAGACACTTCACTTTTCTCAGAAAAAAAATCAGGAAAAACACCGTAAAACCTTCAAAATAAATTACAAACCTAATCCTTCTGACATTCGCTCTCTGTTCCTTTTTTGCTTATGCATATTCTTTTTTTTTAATAAAAATGGGTTTCGAACTAACATAAGCTCCGCCTTTCTTGCAAGTTTGCTCCTTTTTCAACTTCTCAAATATTTATTTTTCCATTTTTTTGTTGCTCAGAAAATAATAATTTTTCGTTGCTTCTGAATTCATAATTATGCTGATTGATGTCACATTCGAAAATCGTTTTTTTTCCTTTTTCTTCTCATTTTTTCCTGATTCGAAGTAAATAATCTTCGAAACTTTTGTTCATTTTCTACCTCACACTCCAATGTTTCTTACAATTCAAAAAATTGTTTTCAGATGTCCTCCCCTGAATGGAATTTTCGCCAATATATGTCATTCATCTACCTTCCAGTAATTCTTATTGGAATTATCGGAAACATGCTTTCATTTTACGCATATCGCGGGAAGAATCGCAAATCAATGGTCGCATTTTTGCTGTATTCTTTGTCTCTTTCTGAAATTATTCTACTCGTTCTTGCTTTGCCGCTGTTTTCATTGATGTGGTTACCGATTTGGTGAGTTCTTAAAGTTTTATGTTTTTTTTAATCGAGAAGACATTCCAATTGGATCCAAATTTCAAGACAAAGACATGTGCTAAAAATTTGAAACAAAACACTTTTGAAACATCTCAAAAACCTTTTTTTTCCAAAAAGTTTAAGAGATTACTTCTGTCACAATAAATCATCAAACTAATCTGCGATTTTTCCCCAAAAGAACAAGAATCAAACGGGATGTTTTTATTTTTTGCAGGACACAAGAGGAAAGTGCATATGTAATAAGTTACACGGCAAAATACTTGTATCCAATTTGTATGATCGCCAAAACTTGTAGCCTATACATAATGGTATTGATTACAGTTGAAAGATGGGTTGCTGTTTGTCGACCGCTTGAGGTATGAAATTTGAGAAGATAGTCTTCTTCTATTCATTGAGATCATCTTCGATGAATAGAAAAAAGAAATTGAAAAACATCAAAAAACCAATCGGGTTAAAAATAGAAAGTAAAACCAGGATGAGAAAAATAATATGGAATTTTTTTGTAGATCCAATTATGGTCCGAATATACAACATCAAGTAAATCAATGTTTCTGATCATCGTATTCGCCGTATTATTAAATCTTCCCAGATTTTTCGAGTACAGTTTAGAGTAAGTTCAATTGCGCTCATATATTTAAGTAGATAATGAGTTATTATTTCAGAGAACACGAAGGATTACCAACTTTACGTCCAGTTCTTTTGAACGTAAATAATTGGCTATACTTTTATGTGTATTTTATTGGACTCTCAATTGTTTTTGATTATATGCTTCCATTTATTGTCATGTTCGTTTCAAATATTCTAATTATTCTCGAACTTCGTCGAACTAACATGAAACGAAGTTTGATGACAACTCAACAACAAAAAGAGCAAAATACAACTTTTATGCTGTTAGTTGTCACTGGATTTTTCGGATTTTGCCATTTCTTTTCAATGGGTTTGAAAATTGCCGAAAGTTTTGCTGGAGAATTTTTGACTGTTGGGGTGAGTCTTTTGTTTTCAATTTTTTGTAGACTCTTTCTTCTTTTTTTCTAGAATTATCAAGTTGAAATACTCGGAGAAATGTTCAATTTCCTCATAATTCTTCACACTGCTTCAACATTTTTCATTTATTATATTTTCTCGGAAAGATTCCGAGCAACCATCAAAGGATTGTTGAAGTGAGTTTGAATTTTATTTTCAGGAGAAAATTTACTTTTTTTCAAAAAAAATTTTAGATCCAAAAAATTGAACGGAGAGGTAGGTTAAGTGTGATTCCATTAGATTATTTCTCTCTTTTTGTTCTAGCTTAAAATGTTTTCGCAACAATAAGTTTAACTCGGCTAAAAACCGACAAAAAAATTCCAAAACAACACATGTTTTTATGAGTCCCGATAGAGTAAAAGCTGAAAAAAATAAGATAAAATTCGTATTCTGAAAAATTTATATACATATTTTTGCAGCAGCAAGACAGTTGTGGATCGAGGTGGCACAAGTACACCAGTTACATATTACACCGAAAAAAGATCGTCACTTCACAAAACACTATCGAATAACACAAAATATTCAAGGATATCTTCAGCCTAAAATATTTACATACATCGTGTATTTTTTTGTTGTTGTTGAAATTTTTACAACGATTTTTGAACCAAAGAATTATTTAAACGGGTGTCATTTTTCCCACTAGTTTTCCCATACAAAATAATTAATCTCATCATCTCCTCGTCTTATTTTTTCTCCCCAATTGTCCGGTACAAAAAGAAAAATTGTTTTATTTTGCAATAAATATCACAGCTGGAGTTTTCTACCTTCACTTTTTTTCACAGAGCGGATTGTTTATGAAAATTCACTACAGAATAATAAAAAAAACAACTAGTTTTGCGTTGAACCGTGAAAACTATCCATGACGATTATTATGTTCGGGATGGCGAGCGTATCTACTTTTTTCTATTGATTTTGGACCGATCAAAAATCAACTTGGGGTTCGGTTTTATTTTGATTGATTATATCATATTAGGTTTTCATTTTTCTGTTTAGAACGTAAATGTTATTTTCAAAGTTTCGAGAAATTTTCAGACCTATATTTTCGTACTGTAAAGTTTTTTTCCATAAGCTTCCACCTTGAAACTTTCCAAAGCTGATCTCCAAATTAAAAATGTTTCAATTTCTTTTCCTAATTTCCAGAATCAACTTGTTATCTTGTATAATTGCTGTTTCCATCTCACATTTTCCCTCTTGTTTTTCTATTCCGTTTTCCATTTATTCTGTAACTATTATCTAACTTTCTCTTTACATAATTACCGTTCTTTATTTTATTTTATTTTCTTGATTGTATTTTATTTTATTTAGTCACATACTTTCAAAGGGCGGTTCTTCTTTTTCTTCTAGAATAAAAAAATAATATGGAGAATAATAAAAAAGAGGGCAAATCTTCTTGATTAACGATGTCATCCTGTGAGAAGAAGCGAATAAGAACCTGTCGCTTATTAGCTGCTTCTTATCATTTCATTATTATGTTTTTGGTGTTTCTTTTTTTGTGTTGCGCGCGCAAGGATAGCATAATCAACTGACCAATCCTATATTACGCAAGTTTGATTTTTGAACCTTGCGAAATTTTTTATTGTATAATTTATTTGAAGCCGAGGCCTCAGAGAAGGTCTGGCTTGAACGGCGCGGTTCGCGAAACCCAAAAATCTGCCAATCCGCGGCTGACACAAGAACTTTAGCGAAACGTCCGCGAAATTATACTCCGCTGTTAGCGAAACGTCCGCGCAATGCACTCTCGAGATATAAAAATGCTTCACTACTCCTGATAATTATCAGAAGTTAGCATTGACTTGTAGTTCCAACCCGGCCTCGATCCCAATCCTGTCGTTTTGTAGTCATCCATCTTCCTCGCTGCGCTATCCTCGTTGTCGCGTACGCGATACAATTTATCCTTTTTATACCCTCCCTCTCGAGTCCCTCCGCGGATCCGCGAAAAACTCAAAAAAATCAAATTTCCGAGTCAAAAAATTTCGCGGAATGCGCGAAATGAGACTCTCTTTGGCTGAAGTTTCGCTGTCCGCGAAATTTTTTCGCTGAATCCGCGTAATTATTTTCACTCAAAAATTGGGAAAAAATCGTCCGCGGACCGCGCCGTTCAAGCCAGACTTTCTCTGAGGCTACAAAAACTACAAAAATGTGTTGTTTACCACGAATAACCTTCTCGAAAAATTGTTTAGGGCGATCATATGACGTCGAAAGATATTTTTGGAATTTTTTAGATTTGAAGGAAAATGTAAGGAACAAAGTTATTTTTTATAGCAAGTTATTATAGCAAAAAAAATTTTGAAAAAAGCTCGCTTTTTAAAAATCTTTCTCAAAATGATGCCCTCCCTTTCACTTTTTCTCAAAACTATGATTTTGTCCTTAATTCAACCTAATGACTTACTTAGTTCGATCAAACTCAAAACATAATAATACATATTGTCTGAGTGTGGTCTACAACCTGACAATGTCCTTCAAAAAAATGATCTAATCCGTAGTACTCGGTTTTTAAGCCTTTCGCAAAATTGAATCGAGAATTATTCTTTTTTCGACAATTTTTTTCGTCGCGGTTATGTCGCACCTCTTATGTTAATTTGATGACACAAGTTTCTCGTGAAGGTTGTTGGTTTTTTTTTCTGAACTGATTCCGATTGTTTATTGTAACTTTTTTCACTAATGTATAAATAAGTTGCATTATGTTTATGTTCCCAAAAAACATGAGAAAATCTTGACGCCTAAAAATTGTCTTTTTGAAAAATTTCCATAACTTTATGATGCGTTAAATAAAAATTATGGTAATTTTTTTCCAAAAAAATCTTTCTCCTTGAAGCCGCCTGAACTTCACCTTCGAATTTAGAATTCTAGATCATTCCGATTAAATTTCTGATCCTTGCACCTTACTAATTTGTCAAACTTTTCTCCACAAAAGTTCAATAGACTTTGTCTTTGCAAAATAAGTTCCATGTTCCCTTGAACCCGCCTAAATCTGTAATAATCCTTTTCTTTTCCATGTTTTTTTTGCAATTGACAGTCGAAATTTTCAAAAATGTTCTTAACTACCTCCAATTATGTGTTTTTTCCTATTAGCCATTAGCTAACCTCTTGTTAAACTTTCACCTTTTTTCAAAAAAATGTACAAAAATTAGAAAAAAAAAGTTTAACGAATTTCCTTTTTTTCGTAAAAAGAAATTGGTTGCGATTGATAAAAAACAAGATTATTTCGGATAAATGTGATTTTTTGACGCGTTTAATTTATCGGTCGCAATCGTTTTTTTTTCTTAAAACTTTTCTCGATAATTTTTCCGCCTCAAAACTTTTTCATGGTCAGTTGAAAAATAGGGTTTGGTATCTAACTCTTAATTTTCTTCTCAAGTGTTCGAAATAATTATTTTTCAAGTGCAAACAATTTTAGTGAAACTTTTGAAACTCAAAAAATGTTCCAGATGAGATGCACTTTTCCAACTCTTGATAAAAAGTTGGAGAAATTCTTCGCCTGGTACACTCGAAACTTTTTAGTCGACTATTATTATGTGAGTTTTGATTTTTTTTTATTTTTTTGGGAAACTTTTTGATTTCAGGTTTTTCTAATTGCTCCAATAATATTAACTGGATTTTGCGGTGCTGGATTTTATTGGATAAAAGAATTAACACTTCTAGATGCTAGGAAATTATATACCCCAGTAGCTTCGCCTTCATGGAGAGAGGAAAATGTATTCAGTGAGGTAGGCCTTCATATTTTTATAAAAATGTAATTTCTTCGGACCAATAAAATTATTGCAGCTCTGGCCAGTGAAATCTTTCGAATTTCTGCCTGAACGAACATTTCAATGGAATCGTTATCTGTATCTTGTTGTTCACGGAAGACCGTTTGATAACGGAACTTATCCCAATTTATTAGAAGGAACTTATTTAGATGATATCGCTAAAATCGAAAATGAAGTTGCCGAAAATGTAACATTTATTAGAGAAGCTGCACTTCTTGATAATCCAGCTTTGATGAGAAAAAGGCATACAAATGATACAGATATAGAGTTGATGAATACAACCATGACATTCAAGGTAACCAAAAAATTTAAATTTTTTGTAAACTTGAAATTCTTTAGGATGTTTGTATGAATTGGTATGGTGATTGTTATCGAGAGAAAAATGTGATAGAAATGTTAAAACGTCGACATGAATTAGATGCTCGAGGAATATCTGTCACATTTCCACAAGTAAATCAAGAAGGAACTCCAATTTACATCGCTTTCGTAATTGGAGGCGTCGACACATTTCCAAATGACACAATCAAATCAACAAAAGCAATGAGACTTTGGTATTTTCTGAAATTCGATGATGAAGAACAAGATCAGCTCGCAAAATATTGGGAAGATTCGGCTGAACAATTTGTTCGTGAAAAATATGCGGATCATCCAACAATTCAATGTCATATAAAGCATTCGAGAATTTTGGATCAGGGTTTGACGAGAAACGCTAACCGATTAAAACCATATTTCAATGTCACAATAGCTGTTCTCGTCCTTTTTACAGCCTTTTATTCGGTTAAATGGTATTTCCATACGAAGGATAATAAATGGACAGGTGGGCAAGATCTCTCGAAAATCGGGGAGAAAAAAAAAGTTTCAGTTCATATCGATTGGTTGAGAAGTAAACCAATGTTAGCTCTCGGAGGGGTTCTATCTTCTGTTCTTGCGATTATTTCTGGTATCGGATTGATGCTTTGGTTTGGAATGTTTTTTGCCGAAATTACACTCATCGCTCCATTTTTAGTTCTTTGTAAGTTTTCAATTTTTTTTAGAAAACATCACATTAAAAAATGTTTTATAGCAATCGGAGTGGATGATATGTTCATCGCTGTCGCTGCCTGGCACAACACAGAAATGAAATATCCTGGAAGATCAGAAAAAGTGTTGAAACAACGAATGGTCGAAGCAATGTCCGAATCAGCGGTCGCTATTTTCATCACATCTTTCACTGATGTTTTATCTTTCGGAGTTGGAACAATTACAGATATTATAGCTGTTGAAGGTTTTTGTGCAATGACAGCTGCTTGTATGTTCTTCACATTCCTTTATCAAATAACATTTTTTGCCGCTTTGATGGTAATATCAGCAAAAGCGCAAATGAGCGGAAGAAATTCGTGTATGCCTTGTATTTCGGCAGAAGATATTTATACAATTGAAGATGGATCATTGCAAAAGAAGAAAAAAAGTATCAAAAGTTGAAAAGGAACCCGAAATTGAAAAGAAAGCAGAGGGATCTTTGGATAGTTCCTCTTCAGATCCATCTGAAATTCATATCGCTGTGAAAAGTCGCGGTGCAATGGGACATTTCTTCCGAGATTATTATGTTCCATGGCTTTTGAATTGGAAAACTAAATTAGCAATGTTATTCGTTTTCATTGGTTATTTAGCTATTTCGATTTATGGAATGTGTATTATGGAACAAGGTTTAGATTATGACAAATTATTATTACATTCTGATCCACTTGTTGAGGCACTTCGAAGAGAAATTGATTTGTTCCATGGTGGAGATCAAATCGAAATTGCGATTCAGAATGCACCAAACTTAACAATCGCAGAAAATCGTGATAGAATTGAAACAATTGCACAAGAGTTTGAAAATATTTCTTACGGTAACTAAGATTTTTAGCTCAAGTTTTCAATTACTAAATTTCCAGCACTTGGTGGAAAAGGAACATCATTTTGGTTACGAGAATATATAAAGTATAGCAATGTCACCGGTTCTTATATGAATGATGATCGAGAAAGTTGGGTGATCGGAGTTTATGAATGGTCCCAATTATTTGCATTTTATAAACTTTGGTCGCAAGATTTTGTATGGAAAAATGAAAGTGATTACGATACTTTGGAACTAAAAGCATACCGTTTCCGAATTGGAGTTCATCGATTATCAACACCAACAGATCTTGTATTAGTAACTGATGAATTGCGAGCTGTTGCAGATCGACATTCTGATTTAGATATTGTGACATATCAACAATCAAGAGCAATTGCAGATCAATTAAATGTTATTATCAGTTCAACACTGACCAATGATTTTCTAGCAATGTTCTGCATGTTTTGTGTGGCTCTCATTTTTATTCCAAATCCGATTTGTGCAGTTTTCATCACAATTGCAATGATCACAATTGATGTTGGTGTTGTTGGATTATTATCTTTATGGAGTGTTAAACTCGACCCAATTTCTATGATCACAATTATCATGTCAATTGGTTTCAGTATCGAGTTTTCTGGTAAAAAATATTTTTCAATAATTGAAAAATTGTGAATATTTCAGCTCACATTACTCACGGATTCGTCAGCAATGAGAATAATCTATCAGCGTTTGATCGATGTGTTGATGCTATGGAAAAACTTGCATGGCCAGGTAGAAAAAAACAAAAATTTTGAAAATAATCCAAAATTCTGAATTTCAGTGGTCCATGGAAGTTTGTCAACAATTCTGGGTGTAACAGTTCTTGCATTCATCGATTCTTACATGGTTCTAGTATTCTTCAAAACAATCTTCCTTGTTCTCGTAATCGGTGCCTGGCATGCTTTGATGCTTCTCCCAATTCTTTTATCAATCGTCATTCCATTGTTAGAAAACTTTGCCGAAAAAGCGAGACGTGCCAAACTTCGCCGAAAAAATCAGAATAAAAATAGTGTTTATGCCATCAATTTGCCAGTGAATGTATCATCCTAGATGACTTTGTGAATTGAAATTTTGACGGGTATATTGTTTTTTTCGCTGTTTTTTTTCTTTCACTGATATAACTTCACAGATCAATGAATTCTTGTTATCTTATCAGTTCAACACACACATTTTCTGAGTTAACATGTGTTACGCCTTTATGAGTGCTTCTGAATGGGCTCATTTTTTGGAACATGTCATGATAACAAAAAAATGTTCTAACCTGTTTTATGTATGAAATGGTTTAAATAAAATTTGAAATTTTTTTAGGATTATAATTTTTCGACATTAAAAAAAATTTCGTTCAAAAAATAAATAAGTTCTGAAGTTTCAACATTTTTAAGTCTAAAACTAGCAAGATTTTGGAAATAAAAACAAGATTTATTCTTTGAATACACGTATCAATTATTTCTTTCTGAAAAATGTAAAAATGAGCAATATATTCCTATACAAACTTTGCAAAAATAAAAAAAAAACATTACTGATTAAGAGGGGCTTGACCCATTGGTTTGAGATCCGATGAAACTGTGAAATCAGCAGGTGTCACTTTTCGAATATCTTCAACAGTAAGATCTTCACGAACTTCAATTAAAACAAGGCCGGTTTTAGTAACATCAAATACTGCCTGAAAAAAAATTTGTTTATATTTGTTTTTTTTTCCGCAAAAACAACATACCATATCAGTGATAATTCTTGAGATCACACCTTTTCCAGTTAGCGGTAATTCACATTTTTTGAGAATCTTTGGCTCTCCATTTTTCGAAACATGTTCCATAACAACAATAACTTTAGCTCCAGGAGCTGACACAAGATCCATAGCTCCTCCCATTCCTTTGACCAATTTTCCAGGAATCATCCAATTTGCCAAATCACCATTTTGTGAGCATTGAAGTGCTCCCAAAACAGTAATATCCATATGTGATCCTCTGATCATTGCAAAAGATTCATCACTTCCAACAATCGAAGCACCTTTCAAAAGTGTGATTGGCTCTTTTCCAGCGTTAATCAAATCAGCATCTTCTTGCCCTTTTCTTGGATATGGTCCAACTCCAATAATACCATTTTCACTTTGTAAATGAACAGTGATTCCTTTTGGAATATAATTTGGTGCCAAAGTTGGGATGCCAATTCCGAGATTTGCATACATTCCATCGGTGAATTCAAGAGCCGCTCGAGCAGCGATAATTTCTCTTGATCTTCCAGCTGCAGATGTCGATGGTTCAACTGGTCCTTCTTTCGCAAACATTGGTCGTTCAATTGGTTTCACATAATTACTTCCGAGAACAAGACGATGACAATAAATTGATGGGATATGAACCTGCAAAAATTCATTTTACTTGATTTTTCACGATTGAAAGTCAACTCACATCATTTGGTGCGATTACACCAGGTTCTACAATTTCTTCAACTTCAACAATTGTACATTTACTAGCTTTACACATTGGTGGATTGAAATTTCCAGCCGAATGACGGAATTGAATATTTCCTAATTTATCAGCTCTCCATGCTTTAATTAATGCATAATCTCCCCAAATAGCTTCTTCAAGAACATAGTTGACTCCATTGAATTCGCGAGTTTCTTTTGGTTTGCTGGCAATTTCGATTTCTCCTTTTTTCGTTTTACTATATTTAATTGGAGCACCTCCTTCTTGAATTTGTGTTCCATATCCAGTTGGTGTATAAAATGCGGGAACTCCGGCTCCAGCGGCTCGAATTCTTTCAGCCAATGTTCCTTGTGGTGTGAATTCCAGCTCTAATTCTCCGCTCAAATATTGTCTCGCAAATTCGCCATTTTCTCCAACATACGATGAGATCATTTTTTTTATTTGTCTAGTTTGCAAAAGAAGACCAAGTCCCCATTTATCGACTCCGGCATTATTTGAAACACAAGTTAGCCCAGTTTGACCGGTTTTTGTGAGCGCTGTGATGAGATTTTCAGGAATTCCACATAATCCGAAACCACCGACTAGAAGTTTGGAATTATTTGGAATATCTTTTACTGCTTCTTCTGGCGATGAGAAGATTCTAGCATCATTTCTTGGGGAAAAAGAGAGAAACCGGACGAATTTTGGAGACACCTGAAAAATGTAGTTGAAAAATGATAAGAACTGATAAAAATAATCTTTTAAGAAGAATGTTGCGTAAAATTTGTCTAAAATTGGAATTTTGATTTTATGAGTGCGGATATATTTCAAAAATGTATACAAATCCCATGTAAATTTCCTATAAATCTTCTCAAAATCTCACCTGATTTGGTAACAAAATTTTGGAATAGATAGTCATAGTTTTTAGTTTTTGTGAACTAACCAAATGTTTGATTTTTTGTGTGTGTTTCGCGACCGACCAAAATGTCTCTAAAAAGAGAATTAGAGAAATAAAAGAAAAAAAGGAGGGAGTAGCAGAAACACGTGGTTGTGGTGTGTGAGAATTGAAGTGTGATCATTTTGATTGAGAGCAGAATACACAGACAGAAAGAAAGAAAAGAGAAAAGTTGAAGTTAGGTCATAACAGAGATCAACGATTAGTGAAGACATTTCTTTTCTCACAAGTGCAAGTGCAAATGATATTGAATTTCTTTCAAAAGTTATGAGAAGAAAAGCAACATGAAATAAAATGGAATTCATAACTTACTCGAAAAATCTGCTGCGGGATACGTTATTTGTAAAATTTAAAAATGACTAGAAATGTGGAAGAGCCTAACGTCAATATTTCTGAGTCACGCTCAAAATTCATAAAATTGCGTAATTTAATTTCACGGCGGAAGGAAGAAGCGAACTTTGAAAAAAAAAGAAAAAATTGAAATATTTTGTGACGCACAATTGCACACATTGATAAATTACGGTATGTGTAAACACCGCTTGCGCGCGAATTTTATTTTTTCAAATGTGTTTCTTTGTTTGAGATCGAATTCGATTAATTTTAAATTGAAAAAAAGCCACAAAACAACAATTTGAAACTTCGATAAAAAACGATATCAAGACAAATGTACGAAAAACAAAAAAAGTTCCACGAACAAAATTTTTTTAAATTTAATTAATTCACTTTTCTATTTCAAGAACACGCTTCGTATCAATAATCTTCTTCTTCTTCCTGCTCCACAATCTGATCCACAACTCCATCTTCAATAAATTTGTGTAGGTAAACCAGAGTTTTCAATTTTTGCTCTCCCTCTTCATTAAACTCAAAAATAATCTTATCTTTTTTCAGCTGACATTCCAAATCTGTAGCACCCGGGCTCGCATACACCAATTCAACTTGTTCTATTTTAGATATCAGAAAATCGATGGCTTCTTCATTTCTAAGTTCATTACCACTATTGTGAACTACGAACCCTGCAGGGCCTGGCTCAACAAGTGATTTGATATCATCGCGAAGTCCAAGTTTAGCAGCTTGGCGGAATGCAAGTAATCTATTGTCACCCTTTATTTTATCCGCTGGGTCCATTTTTTTGAATCTTGAATTTCCATAGATTCTTGAAATTGCAAGGAAGACCAATAATATTGAGACATTTGATAACATTTTCTGTTGTTGGAATTATTGATGTTCAGCGGGCGTTTTTAAAACTGAATTTCTTGAGATGGCAAGTCATAAAGTCGAGGAATCAGACATGGTTTTCTGAACTTTGGAATTTTTTTTTTCTGCAAAAAAAAATATTCAAAATTTCTGAAACCAAAAATTCTGAGTCAAAACTTTATTGTTCATATTCAAAACATTGAGCAGAATTCAAAATGTTCCCATCGTTACTAAATTTAAAAACAAGTTTCGTATCGTCAAAACCCTCATTTTCAACAATACCATCTTCAGTAGCACCAATAACGTAAACTCTATCAAAGTAACCCATCAACATATGAATCCCATCATCGTTTTCGTAATCAATGCCTTCACATTCAAATATAAAATCTGGATCTAAAAACTTTCTGATCGGTTCTAGATTATCTACTGATGACGATCTGACAGCTTCAAAAATTGGTCTCAAATTTGCGAATCCTCTGGTCATGTCAATCGGGTGGCTGTTTTCGATGTGAGTATGAGGAGGAGCTGATGAGATGACGGTGAAAATAAGAGGGAAGATTAGGAGATACATTCTTTTGGTTGAAAAAAATGTGGAATAAATTGAAGTTGAAAAAGAATGAAACTTCTGACATAAAGTCTGGGAAGCAGACAAGATTTTTTATTGGGAAAACATTGGAATATTCTATTTTAGTGAATCTTGAAGATTTCAACCATGGAGAGAAGTTTTTGAAGCTTCCAAATCTTGAAATTCTGAAAAAAAATCAAATTTCGCGAAATTCGAAAAAAAATTGTTTTTTTAATTTCAAAAATTTATTCAGTTTTATTCACATGCTCATAATATTCATCCAAAAAATTGTCACTAAAGTCACAACAAAAATTTCAAAAAAAAAAAACCGGAGAAAAACTAAATTAATACGGGTGGTATTTTTAATACAGTAGGAAGGAAGAAAATAAAATAAAGTTCAAAAATATTTACAATGTGGCGTGGATAAGAACCCAATTTTTGCGAATAATTTCAGCTGAAAGCTCGTGATCTTTGAAATATTGTTCTTGTTGGCTGATCGCTTCTTCTGTGACATTTTCGATTTTCAACAATTTGAGACCGTTTTCAGAGAGACGGTGGCGGATTGCATTTTCATCGACAGATTCGACTGGTTCCAAACTGATTAAATTGGCTTCAGGTTTCAAGATTGACTGAAAATATTTAAAAATTATTTGGGGGCAATTTGAAATAACAGCGGCACTGAGTTTGTCTACAGTATTCAAGTAGATCAATAAAATGTCAAAACTTACAGAAAGTGCTGATAATTCATGATCATTAGCAGTTGACAATAATTCAGTTGCAATAAGTGTATCAAAAGATGCCTCTTTTTGTTGCCAATAATTAATTGATGATTGCAAATTGTTATTCCATCCATATCGAACTCGTTGATCTTTCAAAGTTGTCGCTTTTGTCAAAGATGTTCGATAGAATTCAGGAACCAATTCAACATTCCAAACATTACATGTGAATTTTTCAGCCAAAAGATGCGAATTGATATGAACGTATGGTGAAGCAGAACGTGGTGTATAGACGAAAATCGCGGAATTTTGTGGAACTACAGATTCGTTGAGAATTGTTGAGAAGATCGAATCGGTCCACATGTATTTTTCATGATCCAATTTTGCATCCCACGCTTCTTGCTCTTTTTGCCAAGTTACACTGAGCAATTCGACGAGTTCGTTGAATGACGTTTCTTTGGCTCCATCTTCAGCTGCAACTTTTTCAGCCAACCAATGAACTTGTCGCCAATTGTTTGAGATTTTGATATAAGTTGGGACTGAGCAACTCCATTGAACGTTGAAACGCCATAATTTGTTGTCTTCGTCGCGGTAGCGAATGGCACGGAGCAACTGGAAAAAATGAGGGATTTTTTTTGGAACTTCAATTTTCATGGGAGTTAGGCAAGACTTGAGATTTGAACAATACCAAAAGCTTAAGCAAGGCCTCAGGCCAACGCAGGATTTTGAGATTTTTACAGAGTCTTACAATCCGGTAGAGCCTTAGAGTTAGGCAAGGCCTTAGGCTTAGACAGGGCCTCAGGCTTCCAGAGAGCCTCAGGCTAAATTTAGAATGAAAAACCAGGGTGGATTTCATATCCGAAAATATTCTCGAAAATTCCGAAAATTTTCCAAGATTTCAAACTATATTTAGGTCCCGAGTATGCTATTTCAGTGAAGTCTTCCATCCCCCCCCCCCTCTGAAAATCTGAAACTCACATTAATATACAACGATGAGAAACGATAATGAGTTGGATTAGCTTCAGCCGCATTATGCATCGATTTTCCCTTAGATCTTCCAGTACTTGGCTCCGAACAACTTTCACGCAAATGAACAACTCCGTGCGGTCTCAACCATCGGATTGCGTTGAAAATGAATTCGACAGTTTCCGCGTCGGACAAATACATCATGAGCCAATTGGTGAACACCAAATCGACACTGAAAATGATTATGAGGACGATGGGAATCGAAAATTACAGTAATCTACCTGCTATTCTCCATTTTGAGTCCAACAGCATCTCCAACTTGATAATTAATATTTCCCAAATGAGCATTTCTTTCCTGATTCTTCTTGATGAATGATTCAATGAAATCTGTCGACAAAACCCATCTCGCAGTTTCAGCCAAAACAGTTGTAAATCTTCCGATACCGGCTCCAATATCAACCACATCTTTATTTGTCAAAACTGGCAAGCTTGATAGAATGTCAGCACGATCGCTTGATTCAAGATCTTCGGCCGAACTATTCAACATCATTGTGTTGGTGTCGGGTTTGCTTGAGTATTTGTCCCAGAAGTTTTTGAAGTTATCACGACGAACATCGACACTCATTTTTGATGTGCTGAAAAAAAAAACAAATTATTGGTGGACCTGTTACAAAACCAGAAAAATCTTTTAAAATATTTGAAAAATCAATTAGAGATGTGAAAAATGATCAAGAAAATAAGGTAGGTCAAAAAAATTCAAAAAAAAGATCTTTTGGACGATTTTATCTCTTTTATTTATTTTCAATCAAATGGATTAAACTTTCGGGGTTCGAAATTTTAAAAATATTTTTGTGAAACGTATTTTTTGAAGGGTATATTTTATGTGTTTTGAGGGCAGACTTACAAGGTTTAAAAATGAAAATAATTTGTAATCTCCCGGAAAAATGATGTGAAAAATAATTCGCAATCGTCTTTTATATTTGACTAGGCTGGCCAAAAAGAGCCAGTATATTACATCAGAAAACAATATTTACACACTGTTTTTTTTTTTGGGTGGCTGACAAAAAAAATCAATCATGATTTGATTTGTTTTGATTGTTTTTTATGAAGGGACATTCTGGGGTCATAAATTTTTAAGGTCTCTTGAGAATAATTAGGGGCAGAAATTTTATTATTATCCTTATCTTTTTTTTTTAGATGAGATCATCCAAAAAGTACAAGGTCACTTTTTCACAGAACTTATTTTACTTATCATAAATATCTTTGAAAAAAAATTTCTAACTTATAAAAGTTTTTTTTTTGGGAGAAATCACGAGACCAAGAAAAAAAAACGTTGAAATGAAATGGAATGATTGTTTAGTCTTTTGATTCACGTGGTTTTTTATTGGTTCAATCAAATTCAATCACAATGTTTTCATTTTGAGAACAAATTCAAAAAAAAATAACAGATAAAAGTGCTCATTCAATCACGAACGTCAAAACTTGTAAGATCAGACTAAAAATGGTATTCGTCAGTTAGAATCAGATAAAAGAAAAGGCGGTCCATAGAACTTCCATCATTATTTTTTGTATGATAGATCAGGCCATTTTCGATCACCAAAACTCCTCCCATTTATTTGTCAGTGAAAAAACGAGAGAACAAGTGATAAGGTTTAATGCAGTTATGATATGTTGGACAAATATCCGAGAAGAAAATGGGTGATAAAGTTATTTTTGTATCAGGTTGAATTAATTGTTATTCTTATCTTTTTTGAGATACTTAAGATACGTTAAGACTCTTTTAGGGTAATTTTAATGAGATAAGATCTCATTTTATCATCTACTTTTCGAAGCGATTCAAAATGTTCCAAAAATTACTTTCATGCATTTTCATGCAGATCTCAAGCTGATTTTTCGGAATTACCACAAAAGGATTATCATTTTCATTCTGAAAACTGAAAATTTTGTAAAACCAGAAGAATCCATTAAATTTTCCACCATTTTTTGTTACTTCTACATCATATTTTGCCATAAAACCAACCTAGTCACATTTTTTTTTCCTAATGTAAAAGCAATAAAAGGTCGAAATGTTCTCTGATAATAATTAAATAAAGAAAATAAAAAAGAACAATAAAACAATCATAATCAACTACAAAATGTATCAGAAAACTGGCCATTTGGAAAATATTTTGTTCTTCGTTCCCATTTTTGGTGGAAATTTAAATTTTAGATTTGAAAATATTCTGGTGAAATTTGAAACAAATCAAAAACCTTAGAAAGATTTTTGAAACAGTGAACCCAAGTTTTTCCAAACGTGCGGCAAAATTACGTGTGTCTCGTGTACTCTCTTGGGTGTCTTGTATTACACGTTATTATCTAATCAGCCAAAAGTTCAATTAATTTTTTGTTATCGTTTTATGCGTCGAGTACTGTAGCTGATCATTCACAAAAAAACTCACATTTCCTCCTTTGATGTTGTTGAAGATTCAGCCATTCTAGAAATTTTAAGAGAATTTTATTGGAGAAACAGAAAACAATGAAAAAATGAATCAATCAAATGACGTGGCCTTTGTATTCACGTTTTTCAGAGAAAAAAATTAATTTTCAAAAGTTGTCTGTCAGTTTTCTAGATGTCTTGAATGAACTTTTGAATTGAAACAACTGAAAAGATGATGATAAAAATCTATCATCTTGCAAATGTTCTTTTTTGTCTTTTCACAAGGTTAGCATGTTTAGTAAGTTTAATAATAATGAAAATAGATAAGGGTGTAATTGATGTCTCAAAAAGGAAATTTTGAAAATAATATTATTCATTTTGTTTGAGAAAAAACCATTATTTACACAAAATGCTTTAAAAAATTGAGACCATTTAAAATAATGATAATTTACAATAAATACCTGTAAATCTTCAAGAGCACAAAAATTCGATGCGTTTTTTGAATTCAGATTTGAAATGTTGAACCATTTCCAAAAACTTCTCCTCATCTTTGGCATATTTCTTACAAAGTTCCAGAATCTCTTCGAGCTGTTTTTCGTAATCTTTTTGAACATTATCCGGAACTTGCAATTGTATATCTTCACTCAGAATTTGTTTGGCCGTTTCATTCAATTCATCTAGTTTTTCTTGAGCTAATCTATCAATTTCTTCTGCTTCCGCCATTCCAATTTCCTCATTTTCTTCCTTCATATTTCTTAAATAACCAGATAATGGAATGCTTCTGTTCGATACGCCGTATTCTTGAATCCATTTTGTATTGTCCCAATCATCAGAACTGTTAGACTGAAACAAAAAATATAATTTTAGTGAAACAGAATTTGAAAAAAAAACTTACATTTTGCTCCATTTCTCTTTCTTCTTCATCTTCATTTTCAACTTTTTCATTTTCCTCATCTTTCTCATTTTCTCTTCGATTTTCCCTATTTCTTCCATTTTCAGCCGATGAGTTTGTACGCATAGAACTTCTCAAATCTCTTGTTGCACCTCGACTAGTTCCTTGTTCTGATTTTGGATCAAATTCTGGTGAAGAGTCTGGAGTTTGTTGACGAGTTCGTTTTTTGGGTGGACTCAGACATGGAGTTTCGTTGGATTTTTCGACAAATGTCCAGGAAAAAACAAAGTTTCCGACATATTCCACATTTGCTTTGAATTTCTTTTGGAGACTGCAAAAAAAAAACAGGTTTTCAATTGATTTCGAAAATTAATAAACACTTACATTTCTTTAGTTGAATGATCAACTTCAATTTTTAGATGTTTGTATAATTTGAGTATTTTCTCACGTGGCAATTCAACAGTATGAAGGATGCTTTGAAAACTCTTTCGATAACTGCAAAAAATTTTCGGGGTTTCAAAACCTTTTTTTCCAAAAAAAAAACTAACTTTGACGATAAATTAGCAGCCGTTCTGCTGCTCTTATATTTTGTGATATATTTTTTCCATATAGTAAGTCCTTTCGGCTGAATTTCCTTGATTTCATCGTCTTCACCATGAAATATCTCGTCATATAAAAATTTAGCCATTTCTAAACGATCATAGGGGAGGAATGCTGATCTTCCTGTCATTTTTGCTTGAACCTTATAAGTTTCATCTTTATCCTCTTCTTCACTTTCGGAATCATTATCATCTAACAATGAAGGTGTTTTCTCTTTTGTAGCGGGAGATGTTTCAGAACTTGTGGCGTGTTCAGAATTTAAATCAGGTTGATCATTTTCGTCTGATTCATGATCGTAAAAACTTAGAGTTCCCACTGGATAATGCCATCTTCCAATTTTTATTCTTGTTTTTGATGGAGGCAAATTCTGAGTTATTCTTTTACTTGGCGAATCTTGTGTTGCTGGCTCATTTTCTCGAATCAATTTCCATTTTTCAATAAATCCATTATCATCCAAAACAATCTCCACATTATACATTGATAACATTGATTGTCTTATAGTTTCTGACATTCGAAACTTCAGATCAGTCAAAAGTCCCATTTTCAATTTCAAATTCATATTTCGCGACCAGCAACTTCGAAGAAGAACAATAAAATGTTTCGCCATATCGTAGCCAATGAATGTTCGAATTTGCAGTTCATCAGCTAATTTCATCCAGAAAGACACTGTTGCGAAATTGCAGTTTTTGATTTTTCCAAGATTTCTGGAAGATTTGATTATTGAAAAGAATATGTGGAATAAAAACGCACTCATCAACATGTTTCCACATTTTATCTTCCAATTCCTTTGAAATTTCGTAATATTGATCAATTTCTGGAACAATTGTTGTAGATTTCTTCTTTGTTTCTTGAATCACATATGTGCTTGGAAGGCGATAATCGATCAGAATCTCATGTCGGACTTTCAACTTCACACTAACTCTTCTTTCAAAAAATTTCTCCACGTCTTCCGGAAAAGGTATTTTCAACGCTTTGAAAAGCGCTAGAATTTTGTGATCTTCCATGAAAGATTTATGAAGAGTTTTCACCATTTCTGTTTCATAGCTAAAACAAAGAAATGTTTTCATTTCGAGAATTCAAGTAAGACAAAACTAACTGTTCTCGTATATCCGAAACATCCCAATAAATCTTTCCATTTTCTCTAAGATACTCTCCCCAAACTCGATCGGTTACTTCAGTAAACTTGGCTTCTTCAACAATTTTTCTGCAAGAAATCACATTTTATGTTAGTTTTCAAATTGTCGCCTCAAAAAACTCACAAATAAATGAACTCCCAAATGTTTTCCTCATCTTCGAATAATTCTTCTTTGACTCGGTCGGCCATTTTATTCTTTAAATGCCCGAAAAACACGAGAAAAGAGGGAAAACTGCCAGATCGCACGTTTTTTTTCTGGCCGACCAGAAAATAACGCGCGAAATGTGGCCTAGAAAACACACAATTATGGCCTAGTGGCCGACAACCGCGGTTGACAAAAGTTCAAACATAATTTTTTCGCATTCTTTTTTACAAAATTGCAAGTTTGAGAACCATAGCGTATAGATAAAATCTTTCATAACGAATAACATAGAAAAAATCAAAAATCTTCCGCATCACAAAAATTATCGATTTGATATTGAGTATTTGTATCTTCTGTTGCCTCAATCGGCTTCTCATATCCTGGATGTTTAGGCTTCGAATGTTTTTTCCATTTTTTCGTCCTTTTCGACATTTTCTTCGATACTTTCGAAGTGGATTGTGAAAATGAGCTTGATGTTGATTTTTGATGTTTCTTCTTCTTTGGTTTTTTGTTGTTATTTTTATTCGAACACATTGACGAATTCAGAAGAAATGTTATAACCAACAAAAATTGTACGAATTTTTCTGAAAGTTTCAAAATCATTGTATAGTGTAGTGTTAAAATTTGTTTTGATAACCTTGTGATAATATATCGCATACCAATTGGATCATTTTCAGAAAATAGAAAATCAAAAAATGATTATTATTTTTATTTTTATGATTCTTAAACTATGTTTTTCTAGGTCACTTTATATTTGTTTGACGTGAAATCTTCAGTTTTTCTTAAAAGCAAATGTTTTTTTGCAAAAAAACTGACAAGAAACACGAATTCCTGAGGGTTTTGACGAAATGACGTGCATATAAATAGATTCGTTTTTTGTGATGGTCTCTTGTCGAAAACGACTTATTTTCCAATTTTCGTCCAACTTTCCTTCTCATTCGCTGTTCCATTTTGCTGTTCTGTTCACCAAGCAAAGCATTCTATCCACGTCATGTCACTATTCTACCATATTTTCATCATATTCTTTCTCACTGATTTTTCGGAATCACTCGGTGGAAAACCATTCAATAATGCGTTGAGTCGAGATATGACTGGAAAGAATTATGCGATTCTTGTTCTTTGTGATGAAACTATCAAAGGACACGCGATAAATGTGACATTGGCGTTGAGAAATGATTTTGGTGAGGAATTGGAGAGAATTCAATTCAAGAATTCGAGAGAGCCATTGGTTATTGAGGATCATTTGGCATCGAATATCACTGAAGTTGTTCTAACTGCTGATTCATCTGATATTCCATATATTATTCGAAAAGTTTCATTGAGAATTCGAGATACGTAAGTTTCTGAATTCTAAGAATCTCAAAAGTTAGAGCAATATCAAATCCATCATCGTTTCAGATTGTTCAAGTTGCATATAAATCAAGAATGTGATGATGAACCAGAATTTTTGACTTCGAAAACTGAACAAACATATTGGAGCAGAAGAATTGACTGTGAAAGGTTTGATCCCCGAAAATTTTGTCCAAAAATAATATTTTTTCAAAATTTCAGAAAAGATGTTTACTGTGATGATCGACATGACGAATTTATTGGATGTGAAAGTGTTTTTGTTTAGGCGCAGGCTTTCAGACTGCGCCTATTTGGGCTTGGGATAGTTTTTCGAAATTTTTGTTCGGGTAAACACTTTTCCAGTTTGATCTACACCCCAAATGAGAAAAACCTATCATGGGATTTTTTCTGAAATTGCCTCTGACTTACGCTAACTCGCCGAGAAGTCAAAAAAGACCCTTCGCATGTACCACCGTAAAGCAATTTGTACTTCATGAAATTTCAAGCTCTTTTTTTTAAAAGATAGATAATGTGAATACCTCGAGGTGTTTTTCGAGTTAGGTCAATTTGTGATATCTGCGTCGAATGCGGGACCATTGAAAACATGACGATTTTTGAACGCAAGTTTCTACTCTAGGTTGTCTTAATTTTGAAAGTCACTTGATTCATTAAGACGCAGCACATAATTTCGCGTTTTTCAAAAAAAAAGACATTGTAAATTGATGAAGGAGAAGCTGAAAATTTTCAATTTTAGTTTTTTCGATTTTTTGAAACTCCACGGAACCGTAATTTGGTTCAAAATGAACGTAGCGAAATGATTTTTTTTTCAAAATGTAGCGTTTGGCGTGTAGAAAATCAACGAAAAATACTAGAAGTCGCATACCCACTTTTAAGATGAGTTATGATATGATATGACATCTGGAAGATAATTTGAAATTTAAAAAATCGGCTTTTCCGAGAAAACCAGGCCTGCAACCTATTATTTTGACAATAAAATATGAAAGAGCACCTAAAAATACCCCTTAGGACACTTTTACAAAAAAATTGTTCGACTGGATTTTTTGGAATTCGAGGTAGATTCTTTTGACATCTATATTGCCGAGAAAAGTCCGTTTTAAAGACATTTTAGTGTTGTTTTGACAGAACCAGTGTCTTCAGAATCGAAAAATAGACCGAAAACCTTTTTCCCGCGTCGAAAAAGCTCAATTTACAGAAATTTTCAGCCGCGAAAGCTTTTGCGCAATGAAGAAATAATAGGTTTGTCATAACGCATGGCTTTGTCCCATCTGGCAAGATGAGCAACGTTGACACCGGTTAGTCTCGAGTTCGACCCCTGCCGAGTGCAAATATTTGAAAGTTTTTGGAAAATGATGAGACTGTTTTGGAAACATGTTTTTTTGATAGTTTCCGATTTTTAATCATTCTGGATTTTAGTAAGATCTTCGAAGCATCAGAAGGTGACACTGGAAAGATCGATTTTTTTTTTGAAAAATCTCAAAACTTGATGAAAATTCGAAATTTTTCATCTTTACACGGAAATCATTGAATTTTTCATTTTTAATCATCCTGGACTTCAGCAAGATCTTCGGAGCATCAGAAAGATCGAATTTTTTGAAAAATCTCAAATTTTGTTAAAAATCATAAGAAAAAAGACTACATTGGAAACATATTTTTTATGGTTTTCTGAGTTCTGAAACTTCAGTAAGACCTTCGGAAATCTGAAGGTATTACTGGAAACATTTAATTATTTTTACATCTCAAAACTTCTTGAAATTCATAAGATAACTCGAAAAGTATTATTTTCATATAAAAATCTATGCATTTTTTATTTTCATCGTCCCGAACTTTACTGAGATTTTCAGAATATCTGAAAGTGAATTTTATAAAAATTCCTAAAGCTCTTTAAACATTAAGACGGAACTAAAAATGTCTCCTTAACTTGAAATCGACGACGTTGTTATAAATCTGATCATCTTGATCTCTCAATTTTTCATCATAATCAATTTCTAACTTTTTCCCAAAAATTATTTTAAACCGGGCTTGTGGCCATTCTTATGGCCACAATAGAATGTATTTGGGCTTGGGGATATTTTATAACCTGAACTCTAGACGAGAATGGAAATTCCAAGCTTGTCAAATTTTAATTTTTTGCTCAAATACCCGCGATTCGAAAACATAACTCTGATAGTTTGCTGAATTGAAAGAACTACAAAATTAATTTCTTGAATCGCGAGTATTTGAGCAAAAAATTAAAATTTGACAAGCTTGGAATTTCCATTCTCGTCTAGAGTTCAGGTTATAAAATATCCCCAAGCCCAAATACATTCTATTGTGGCCATAAGAATGGCCACAAGCCCGGTTTAAAATAATTTTTGGGAAAAAGTTAGAAATTGATTATGATGAAAAATTGAGAGATCAAGATGATCAGATTTATAACAACGTCGTCGATTTCAAGTTAAGGAGACATTTTTAGTTCCGTCTTAATGTTTAAAGAGCTTTAGGAATTTTTATAAAATTCACTTTCAGATATTCTGAAAATCTCAGTAAAGTTCGGGACGATGAAAATAAAAAATGCATAGATTTTTATATGAAAATAATACTTTTCGAGTTATCTTATGAATTTCAAGAAGTTTTGAGATGTAAAAATAATTAAATGTTTCCAGTAATACCTTCAGATTTCCGAAGGTCTTACTGAAGTTTCAGAACTCAGAAAACCATAAAAAATATGTTTCCAATGTAGTCTTTTTTCTTATGATTTTTAACAAAATTTGAGATTTTTCAAAAAATTCGATCTTTCTGATGCTCCGAAGATCTTGCTGAAGTCCAGGATGATTAAAAATGAAAAATTCAATGATTTCCGTGTAAAGATGAAAAATTTCGAATTTTCATCAAGTTTTGAGATTTTTCAAAAAAAATCGATCTTTCCAGTGTCACCTTCTGATGCTTCGAAGATCTTACTAAAATCCAGAATGATTAAAAATCGGAAACTATCAAAAAAAACATGTTTCCAAAACAGTCTCATCATTTTCCAAAAACTTTCAAATATTTGCACTCGGCAGGGGTCGAACTCGAGACTAACCGGTGTCAACGTTGCTCATCTTGCCAGATGGGACAAAGCCATGCGTTATGACAAACCTATTATTTCTTCATTGCGCAAAAGCTTTCGCGGCTGAAAATTTCTGTAAATTGAGCTTTTTCGACGTTATCATTTGACTTGGAAACGTGGAGCGACCGGAAGAATGAAAATGTCGGATAAATAAATATATGAAACAATTAGGGTTGGAAAAAAATACACGAATACACGCGCTCGATACACGGTACACGAATACACGCGATACACGAATACACGGATACACGAATACACGGATACACGAATACACGAATACACGAATACACGCTTTTTTATAAACTGCTTCAGAAGAGAAGAAAAGCGTGTATTCGTGTACAGTGTATTCGTGTATTGCGTGTATTCGTGTATCCGTGTATTCGTGTATCGCATGTATTCGTGTACCGTGTATTCGTGTATTTGGCTGCGCGTGTATTCGTGTACGCAAATACACTGTTTTTCCAACCCTAGAAACAATAAATTTGTTGTTGCGATTATATGATTTTTCTCGTTTTGTTCATGAGCATAAGCAGCTATTTAGCACAAATAATAAATAGCAGACAATTTCAAAATTCAGAGAAAAAAAGAGAAGCGGACAATATTTAGACAGCTTTTTTATTTGTATTTTTGATTATTTTAAATATGTCATTCAATGCAATTTTTCGGCATGTTAATGTGTTTTGCGCATTTTTTTTTGTTCCTGTTGTTGGGAATTTTTTTGGGTTCTATGTACAGTAATATTTTGGAAATAACGGCATAGAAGTCACATACTGTGTTTCATATATTTTACTTCTACAAAATTGGTTTTAAATATTTTCAGAATACTCTCTCGGGCTGCTGCTTTTTCCTAAAATAATTTTGAAACAGTAAGAGAACAAATATTAATCTGTTATACAAATCAACCAGTTCTTTAAACCTTCGAACCCCCCACTTTTTTGTTGTATTCTCTCTTTACGGGCGGTACGCGAGCACTCCCCTCCTCCCTTTATTCCATCATCTTCTTCTCCTCAAAAAAGAGCAAACTTTTCGTCCTCTACAAGTTAAACACAATCTTTCATTCCTTCCTGTAAAACCTCTCGAAATTCTCTCTTTTCTCTTTTTCCCTCTAAAATGTTTACTGACTGAAGCGGGGGAGCTGCGCGGGATAACAAAAAAGAGGTTGACAAAAAACGAGAGATGAAGAAGAAGACAATTTCTTGTGGGAAGGTAGGTTCCAGATTCATTGAGAGCGAGCACTTATCACAACTATTTGGTTTTTTACGGCACTTTTTACTGGGTTTTCTTTTGGGTTTTTATAGGTTTTATTCGTTTTCGAGAGATTACTGTAATTTTTAAATGATTTTTTTTTACTTTCTTTTTTTCTGATTTTTCTCTGTATTTTTTTCAGAATCACTTTTCTATGAAATTTTTTGCAGCCTATTTTTTTTTGAAAAAAATTTGACTTTCAGTGTTTCTAACTCCAATTCTACTTAAAATTAGTTAACTTTAAAAAATACCGTAAAATTGTCAGGTGTTTCACTTTTTCTGAAACACTTCATGTGTTTTTCTCAAAAGAAAAAAACAACACTTTTATTCATTCATCTTTCAATTCTCCTCTCCGTCTCTATTCCCTTTTTCTTCTTCACACTTTCTGCTACCAACATTATCTCTGCATTGCATTCCATCGTTTTCAACTGGGGGTATAGCTCAGTGGTAGAGCGCTCCCTTAGCATGGGAGAGGGCTGGGGTTCAATTCCCCATACCTCCAAGAACTTTTTTGTTCTTTTTGTTTGCTCATTTTTATTTATAATTTCTTTACTTTATTTACTACATTATTCAATGTTTGCAAATGAAAATCAAGTTTTTTTATTTTTAGGATGAAAGAACCATGCTTCAGGTGTAAGCGACCAACTTATTTTAATGATAAGATGGGTCCATTAAAAGACGGGTCAATGTTTCATAAAGGATGTTTCAAATGTTGGATTTGTGGAACTAGACTCTCGTTGAAAACTTATCATAATAACAGAAACGATAACACTGATCTCGAAGTGAGTTTTGAGTTTGTCAATTATTTTAATTCATTTCAAAATTCAGGTATACTGTGCCGGTCACGTTCCAACTCCAGGACCACACGATCCAATTCCACATCGATCAAATCTTTTATTCTCACCAAAAACCAAAGGTGAATATCCACACAATTTGATGAGACCTGCTGGACCAACATAATAATTCTCCCTTGGAAAAAAAACAGCTCATCGAAAAATTCCACTTTTTTCTTTCAATGTTTTTTTGGGGAGAGATTGTATTATACATTTTGTTTTTTTTTTCTTTTTTTTTCATCATTTCATTAAAATAATAAATTGTATATTGGTGGTGTGGATGAATGAAGGAAGGAAAAACGGGAGGAATAAAGATACTAAATAATGCGAGAAAATAGTGCAAGAATGATAAAATCTACAAATTATTTGGCGGGTGAGTGAGTGAAAAATCGAAGGAGATTGGATCAGATGACAACACATCATTCATATTTGTTTCTTGTAAGTGTTCTCTCTTTTTTGGAATTTTTGTTGTTGAAAAATTGAGAAATTATATCGATTCAATCGTAAGAGAATAACTTCCAAAAAAATTTGAAACTCAGATCTGGAAAAAAATGAAGCAATTCTAGAAAATTCAGAATTCAGATCCCCCCTTTTCTTCACAAAATTTTCCAGAGCTCAAAAGTCAAACCAATATTCTCCTAATATATTTTTAGGTAGTGATTTACAACCAAATAAAAATAAATAATTAAATTTATGTTATTTTCTACCAAATTATATTGCACTAACTGTTTTTCATCATTCTCCACCTTTTTTTGGGGCAGGGGCTTGTCTCAAAACATGTCCTTTTTGTTGTTTTCCAGTTTTCCTCTTCCAAAATTCATGCAAACTTTTTTTTCCTTATTCCAAAAAAAAACAATTTTTCATTTTTCTCAGAATTTGATTTGGTTTCTCCACCCTCCCATTTTTCACCTGTTCTGACTTGTTGAATACATATACAATTATTCAGAAAATAAAATCAATTATAGTTTTTTTCGACTAAAACAAACTAGAGACATTTATGCAAACATTCGTTCGATAACCCCATTTTTTAGTTTAACATCTGTCGAGCATTTTCATTTTTAATATAACATTTTTGAATTGATTTTTTGCTTGTGTTTATGTGAGCAACAATTTTCTCTGTTTCGGTTTCTAGAAAAAACATTATTTCTGAAAATGTATGTGTGAAAAATATTGCAACGTCAATGCTTTTTTTCATTTTTGGCTGCTTTCTGAACACTTGAAAATTAAGAAAGTCAGAAGCAATGGCTAATCATCCAGCAAAATATTAAGTTACAGACAACTGTTTTTTCAATAGAAATTCCTTGCAAAAAATGTTTGTGTTTTGCTCTTTTTCTTTGTCAGTTGTGATGCACTTTTTGATTTATTGTGCTGTTCTTTTTTTTTGAGAGAGAGAGAAGCTGATTCCGAAAATAATAGAATTTTGAAATCAAATTTTATCACCTGCAACAATCATGGGGTTTTCATGATTCATTTTGTTTTTTGGTTTTTTTTCAGTATTTTTTGTTGTTCTATTTTTCTGTAACTTTAGCAGTAAGTTTCAGGGATTGTTCAGAATGAAAGTATGGCATCGCAACATTTTTAGAAAACACAGAAGTTATAATAAAAATTAAAAAAAAATTTTTTTGTGAAATCTTATAGGAAAGGTATCTTGTAAGGTTTGAACATTTTTTCGAAATTATTATTTCTGATTTACAAAATTTCCAAATACTTTAGATTACTGTATCATCGGAAAGTTGCCACTTTTCTTGTTTTTTGATCTACAAAGTTCTCGAACACTTCGGATTACTGTAGCTCAATAATCTTCGAACTTTTCCGAATAAAAAACTTGCATATTGCACAAATAAAATTATTATTATTATTAGTATAATAGCACTTTATATATGTTTGCAGCAGCTTTTCTTCATCCGTTTTGCGAATTTTTCTTCTTCTTCTTCCGATTTTTGCTCATTGAGTTGAGTCGAGTCAGTAGCCCCAAAATTGTGCATGCTGCATTTCTAGCTGCTTCTTCTTCTTCTTCGTCTTCTTCTCTTTTTCCGTCCTGCAAAAAAGTGAATAAACGCAAAGAGAAAATATTCAGCAACGCGTGCAAAAAATGCTTTTTTTCCTTCTTCCCTTCTTCTCTCGCTCTTCTTTATTTTTCACTTCATTACAAATTTTGAAAATTAAATTCTGAAATTTTTTTTTGTAAATATTCTGACATCAGCGGATTCTTAAGTAATTCTAGGCTGCTTTCATGTTTTTTTTTGCAGAAAATCCGAAAATTGCGTCAGTTTTTTATCCGGAGGAGATTATCTTGATTCAAACTATCACTGAAAGCAAAATTTTGGCTGACAATTTTCGAAGAAAAATTTCAGAAAAAAATTTTCCACAAATATTCCAAAAAAAAAACTATGAATATATTCCAAAAAAAAATAGGTTTTTTTTTCAACATGCAAAAAAAACTGCAGTTTTTCTATTTTTCTCACACAACATTTTTTTATTGGTTATAGTCTTATTTTTCATTGATCTCAAGGGAAAATGAACAGAAATATTTCCATTTTTCTAATAAAGTACCCCACAATAAATAGGTTTTTTTGGTTGAAAAAATACATTGCACTTTTTGTTTTTGTCATCCCTCATTTTTTCACACATATCTCCGGTATGTATTTTCTTTTTTTTCTTATTCCAATTTTTTAACACATTTTTTTCTAGAAAGGATTATGAGCTTTCTCAGTAATGAATGAAAAAGGCATACTACTTACTTACATTAAATTAAATTAGAAAAGGTGATTCTTTGAGGGCTACCGTAGTCTTTGAAGTTATGCATTATTTGCAAAATAAAACATGTTCTGAGAATTTTAGGCAAATCGGATTATCGTGATTTTCCTCGTGAAAGGAATAATAAAATTTGCAGTTTTTACGCATGATCTTAAGTTTTTGGAAACATTTTTCTAAAACTCAATGAATGACGTTATTTGAAATTTTACAACAAAAAAAAAGCACGTTTCTGAATTTTTTTTTTCTCCTAACGTGTACTTTTCCCTTCCGAAACCATTTTTAATTTTCTCACAACCTATAATCTGACAGCTACAACATTTTCAAAATTCATGTAAGTTTCAAATATCTTCTCAAAAATTATTGCTCTTTGTCTATGTTGCAAGATTCAAAGTAACAACAGAAAAAAATCAAAAGAAGAAAAAGAAAGAAAAGTTCTTTGGGTGTTTCATGTTTTTTTCGTTCCTTCCGAAAGCCAGCAAATGACACGAAATTGATTGAGAGAAAAATCATTTTTTTTACTAAACGAAGAGATATGTTTTTTTTGAAAATGAAAGGAAAAAGAAATGTGATTTTTTTCGATTCTGTTTCATGTGATTTGCGGTTTCCGTCTTTTTATTTTGCTTTTGTACAAACACAATTTTGCAATATTTCTGCAAGAACTTCTACAAATTTTGTCCGCTTTAAAAATAAGGAACTTATCTTATCATAAATTTGCTCCAGCGGTGAAAATCAATTGTTTATTTTCATAAGTGTGTTTTTTTCGGGGGCTTATCAAATTAGGCAAAGTTGTTTTTCTCCCTCACTCTCTTCTAAAAATAAAATTGAATAATAATATTTTTCGAAAACACTTTTTAATTCTTCAAGAATTATATTCGATCTCAGTTTTTCAGCCGCTTATTCTTCTTCTTATTCGCTTTTTTTTCTTTTTTCTTCATGTGATTTTTTCCTGCTGAAAATGAGAATTCAGTTGTTTTTTCCAATCACCTGGCTTTTTCTCATTTATTTTAATTCTCATTTTTTTTCGATTTGTTTTTTTAAACAAAAGTTTCGGATATTTTTTGCAAAATCTTGAAATTCCGAATTTCGTTCAGCAAGTTTTTCGAACCGCTAATCATGATTCCGTTGTCAAAAACTGTGTAGATCAAAAAATCAAGATGTTGCTTCAAACACAGGTTGTATTTAATTTACTACCCAAAATCTCTAGGCTTCAAAATTTCCAAGAAATTTTCTGGTAGATCAAAAATATTTTTTCTCTAAATCTCTTCGCGTTGAATTTCCTCGCTTCTCAAAAAAAAGCGCGACGTTTAGGTTGCTAAATTTCAAGCACAAGCCTTTTCTGGCAAACCACAGTAATCCTGCAAAAAAAGTTTGGTTTGCAAAAATAGAATAAATTGACTCATGATTAATCTTCACTCTTTCCATGTGAATAATTCAAAAACTTGTCATTTTCTTCCATTTTTGCTGTTGCTTCAAGCTTCTTCTTTTTTTCTCGTCCAGCATCTTCTTCTTCTATTTTCTTCTATTTTCAGCCAGTCTTCTTCTCAACCACTATAGAATTAATCATTCCATTTTTGCTCATTTCTTTTTTTTTTGCTTCGCTTTTCTCTGCCTCTCTATTTTCTCTCATCTATTTTTGGACTCTCTCTCCCACTATTTCTCTCTTCATTTTTTTCCTGTGCTTGTTGCTTCACCTAGTTGAGTTAGATACATTTATATATTAGTTTTTTCTATTCTTTTGTATTTTTTGTCTGTCTGCCATCTATGATTTTCCCGACCCGGCGGTTTCTCTTTTTTCTGTTGGTTCCTTTTTTTAAAATTTTTTTTTTGAAAAGGCCCTATTTTTTCGCGCATATTCTTGTTGTTGTTATTCAATTTTTCGAACTTGTTTTGCTCTTTTTTCTGAAAAATTGAAAGAAAAACAGCTAGAAAAAATATATTTCATATTTTCTTCTGAGAACTACTTACTTCTTCTTCTTCTCCTCTGATCCTCTTTTCCATGAATTTTTAATGGGAATTCTGGTGTGTTTTGTTCTAAGAAAATGGAATTTTGAGATAGGATTTGGGTAGAATTTTATTACCTATTTTCAGAAGTTCAAAAATCTAAGAATTATTCATTTTTTAATCCAATTTGCAATATTTTTATTTGAAAAAAGGGATTTCCGAGAATCCGGATTACGAAAAAAAATATTTTTTTGCACATAAAATATTTTTGAAATGGCAGAGGCAGAAAAAACCAAACTAGAGAAATTTTTGCAGAAAATAAGGCTGAGCCAAAATAATTAAAACTAAAAAAAATATCAGGTTCTTTTTTCAAGAGACTAGAAAAAAAGAAAAACAAACAAAACAATTTTGCGTTTTTTCTCCACTTGAACTATTTAAAACTAAACGTTTTTTGATGTCAAATTAAGTTCATTTTTTCTTGGTTTTTTGAATTCTTATCGTACTCTTCTGTCTCAGACGATCACATTGTATTTTTGTTTTATCAAACACTAGATTATTCTTTTTTTCAGAAAGTTCAATAATAATATAGATATGCGGTGAATTGAATGTTGGTTCGAAACGGATTTCGATTTTTTAATTTCGCATTCTCGCCGCCGACCAAACATAATATTTTATTCATCTCGATTTTTCTATTTATCATCTCATATCATAATGTAAATGCAAATCCGGATCCAGTTCCAATGCCGGAAGCACTTCCGAGTCTTGGAGCTGGTGCTAATCCTGAATTTTTGGATAGATTAAGATCATTTGTAAGTTTTCTTCAACTATGACCAAAAAGCAATAAAAAATTCGGGTTTTCAGGTGCCAAATGGAACAAAACATGATATTTTGATAAGTTATTTAGCGGCGATTCCAACAATTTCGTTGGATGTTCAAAATTTATTACTTTCTGGATCTGTTACTCAAGAGCATAATTATAAATTTGAACTTTTGTCAAATTGTTTGAAAACAAATCATGCATGTGAGTTTGAAATTATTATGTTTCCAAATAAAAAAAAATGATTTTCAGCAAATTATGGATCATCGGGTGCATTGGTTGCTGCAATCGCTGAAATCAATGATGATCCAGATCTGTTACCAAATCATAATATTCGCTGGTTATATGGAAATACGTGTGGAAATGAATCAATTAGTACTCGATTATTTATGCAACATTGGCAAGCGGGAGCACGACTTTTTGTTGGACCAGAAACTCATTGTAAAACAGAAGCAGCGATGGCAACTTCACAGAATCTACCAATGTTGAGTCATGCTTGTAACGATCAAGAAGTTTCGAGAGAAGAGTGAGTTCAATTTATAAAAAAGGTTTTCATATTGTATTGTATTCGAATTCTTTTTAGTTACCACTACAGTACTTTTGCTCGAACTGTTCCACCGGGCGGAGAAATCTTTGAAGCATATTTTTCACTGATGGATCATTTCAAATGGAGGAAGTTTTCGGTGATTTATGTTATTGAAGATGAAAAAACTGAAAATGAAATGATCAATACATTGAGAACTACTCTACAAAAAGTGAATTTGAATCGAACTGGAAATCATTTTGAAATTATGAATGTTTCGAATTTGAAGATCAGAGAGGTTAAGCTGAATGGAATTATTAGAGAGCATCTCAAACAAACGATGGATACAACTAGAAGTAAGTGTTAAAAATTTGTAAAAATTTTGTATTACTGTTTTTTTTCAGTTTACTTGACCTTCGGAGGAATTTCAATCTACCGAATATTTTTGAAAGAAATGGGCGATCTCGGATTATTCGATAAAGGATATGTGTTGATTTATGTTGATGCCGAATATGAATGGCAAGATGTCTATCATGCGATGAATAATGATTTTTATAGAGGTATTTTTCTGATTTTTTGTTTCAAAAATTTACAAACTGACAATACTTTTTTCCAGACACAATGCGAGTTCTTCATGAATTTTGGGATGAGGAATCTGAAAAAATGGTGGAGTATTCGAGAAACTCGCTGGCAATTATACAGACGCCGGTGAAATTGAACTCTGTGAAATTTAATAATTTTTGGAAGAAAGCTGTTAGTCATTTGCATTATTTTGGAGTTGATATCAATGTTAAAAAGGTAAATATTTTCAGGAATCAGAAAAAAATTGGATCTATTGTCCAATTGTTGTGACCCAATGAAAAGTTTTCAGGATCCGAAAGAAAAAACAAATATCTTCAAAGGAACTCGATCAGCTTGTTATCTTTATGACGCGGTTTATTTATATGCACGAGCTGTTGATGAACTTGTAAAAGAAAATGTAAATCGAACTGGATATGATCCAACTGCTGATGGATCAGCGATTATCAAGAAAATTGTCGGGAAAAATTATCGAAGTAGGTTTTCATTATTTTTGTATCTGAGATGACGTGGGAAATAGAAACCATCAATCTCCGGAATAATTAGGGGTGTAGCTGAAAATTTGTTATTTTTGTTATTTTTTTCTCAAAAAAAAATCAGAAGCTCACTTGGAAAAGTTGTTTGATCTTGATCGTCTACCGTAGTCGTGGAAGTTTCATCTTCTTGACAAATTATGAAAAGAATTAGAAGAAATATGAAAAATGTTATTTTCAACATTTAAATTTGTTATCACTTTCAATATTTTATACATTTTATAGCTCAAAACAACTCGTTAAATTTAATAGTTTTTTTTTTGAAAATTGAAAACAAATATCACGCATGAATTTTCGAGTTTTTACTTTTTGGTTTTTGAGTCGCACGTTCGTGTGGTGAAAAAACTGGTGGAATTTTTGTCTGAAAAAAAAACAAATGTTGAAAATTAATATGAGCAACACTCACATTTCTCAAATCTGCCAATAAACCAATATTGAAAATTAGCAATAAAAACACAACAAAACAAGTTGAAAGTTTCATTTTCTTCAAAAAAAAATATTATTAAGTTATCAGTTGTTTTTATACATTTTATACATATTTTAGAGCTTATCATAGAAAATTTGTGCACTTTTATCTTCCACCACCAATTTTGGCGCCAAGAGAAGCGCCTAGAGCTGGAAGAGCAGCATCTTTCACAGCTCGCGCACCTTTGCTAATTGATCGACCGAGTTTTTTGAAAAAACCACGTCGAACTCGCGAAACCTGATTCAAAAAAAAAACAGAAAGTTAAAAAAAATGTTCCAAAAACTTACTGGAACTTCATAATTTGCTAGAATTGTTAGAATGAGAATAGAAAAAAATATGAAGCGGAAAATATTCATTTTGATGATTTCATTCTTATGCTATGGTTTTTATAGGAGATATTGTTTATTTATTTTGTTTCGAGAGCAAAAACACGAACTGATCATCTGAACATTTTTTGTTTGGATAGAACTGGGCTTAGGTTAGAAAGTTTTACAAAACCAAAATTTCGAGCCAATTTATAGCTTCAAAAAAATTCATTCAAAGATTTCATTAATCAGAATCAGCATCAAAATACGAAGTATTTACAACAACTCCGGTTCCAATTCGATATAAATTTTCTTCCGATGTTTGTGGCAAGATTTTTGTATCCGATGAATCTCCGCGACCAACTGGAGAATGTTGACAGAAAACTAGAGTTATGACAAATACCAAAAAGTATAGAATATTGAAAATGTGCATTTTATTTCTAAAACAGTAGAAATGTTATCATTAACAGTAATCATTTTTGTTTATATAAGTTTTAAAAAAAACAAACAGATAAAAACTCTACAAAAATAATAAATAAAAATGATGTTTTGTTCAGGTATTCAAGGATTCGATATGGTTATTGATGAAAAAGGAAATTCGAAGGGAAATTTCACAGTTTTGAGTTGGCAGAATGTAGTTCCAATCACGAATAAGTCAGATACAAAATATTATCCATTAACTCATGCACTTGATGTTAGCGCAACATTTTTGGCAAATCAATCAAGTCTTCCAATTTTATTTATGAAGAAAAATATAACTTGGAAGAATAATGAAATACCATTAGATGAACCAATTTGTGGATTTAATGGAGAAAAATGTGAAAATACAAATTCGTTGACACCAATAACAATGTCAATTCTTGGAATTCTCGCATTTTTCGCTGGAATTGTTGCAATATTTATTTATAGAAGTCAGAAATTTGAAAAAGAATTATCAATGATTTGGAGAATTGATTCAAGTGAAATACAAAGAGTTATTGGAGGTGAATCGACTGTTTCATTAATGGCTCCAACAAAAGCGGATAAGAAAATGAGTTGTAATGCATGGTTTAATGAAGCTGAAGTAAAAGGATCTGGAATGAGAGGAGTTGCTGCATATAAAGGAACATTGGTTGCATTAAAAGAGATTGTTTATTATAGAAAACCGAGGGAGTTGAATCGAGAGACTAAAAAGGAATTAAGAGTTATGAGACAGTTAGCTCATTCAAATATCAATAATTTTTTGGGAATTATAATTTGCCCAACTTCGATTTGTACAGTTAGAGAATTTTGTTCGAAAGGATCACTTTTGGATATTTTGAGAAATACGGATATGAAATTAGATCATTTGTATATTGCATCATTTGTTGAAGATCTTGTTAAAGGAATGATTTATATTCATGATTCCGAATTGAAAGTTCACGGAAATTTAAAATCAACTAATTGTTTGATCACTTCGAGATGGGCACTTCAGGTAATTTTGAAGCTATTTATAAAACATCACCAAAATTAAAAAATTTTCCAGATAGCTGATTATGGCCTCTATGAAATTCGTGATGGAATGCACTGGGATGATAGTCATACAATGTGGGAGAACTTCCTTTGGACAGCTCCTGAATCTATGACTATATCTGGATGTCATGTTACTCGATTGCCACCAACACAAAAATCTGATGTTTATTCATTTGGAATTATTCTTCACGAAATATTCACAAGAGATGGACCTTATCAACTTTGTATAAATAGTGATGAAAATGAGGATGAGAAAATGTTGAAGGAAGATCAATTTGAGAAAATTGTGCGGAGAGTTTATAATGATCCGAAATTCCGGCCAAGTGTGAAAGAAGTTGAGGCACAGAATTATATCAAAGATGTTATGAATGCTTGTTGGAGTCATCAACCACATCAAAGACCTGATTTTAAAAATGGTATTAGAAATCGATTGAAACCTCTTTTCACTCAAATTTATAAACGGAATATTATGGTAAGATTTTTTTTGGAAAATTTGAGGTTCAATTTTTTTCTTGATTTCAGGATCATATGATTTTGATGATGGAAAAATATCAAACCCAATTAGAAGATCTTGTTGAAGAAAGAACCACTGAATTACGAGAAGAACAACAAAGAAGTATGCATTTGTTACAAAGAATGCTTCCACCAACAGTTGCTGAACAACTTCTTGCTGGACGAGATGTTGTTCCTGAAGCATTCCCAGCTGTTACTATCTATTTTTCGGATATCGTTGGTTTCACATCGATTTCTGGAGAATCGACACCAATGCAAGTTGTTGAATTTTTGAATAAATTGTACACTTTATTTGATGGAATTATTCGGAAATATAAGGTTTATAAAGTTGAGACAATTGGTGATGCATATATGGTTGTTTCGGGTTTACCGCAATTTAAATGTAAAGAGTTCCATGCGGAAGAGATGGGTTAGTTTTAGACAAAAAGGAATTCTCGAAATTTTTATATTTTCAGCTATGATGTCACTTCATTTATTATGCGCGGTTAGAAATTTTGTGATTCCCCATCGACCAAAAGAACAATTAATGATTCGAATTGGACTTCACACTGGTCCATGTGTAGCTGGAGTTGTTGGAAAAACAATGCCACGATACACATTATTCGGAGATACTGTAAATACAGCGTCGAGAATGGAGAGCAACGGAGAGGCTCTCAAAATTCATTGTTCACAATCGACGCAAAATGTTTTGAATAGTCTCAAAGGATTCATCCTGGAAGAACGTGGAAATTTGGCAATCAAGGGAAAAGGACAAATGACAACTTATTGGTTGAATGGAAGAAGTGGTTATACATTTGATGATTTGGAAGATATGAAACAGGATAAAGATGCTGAAATATTCCCAAGGCAACATAAAATTCGAATGGATCGCGGATCTAATTGGGGTATGAACTTCAAGTTTTCTAAATATCTAATCTGAACCAGGATCTTCTTTTTTTAAATAGTACAATTCCTGTTTCCGGAATTCTGAAAAGTTTCCAAAAATCAATTTTCTAGGTATAAATCGAGATTCAACTTTATCATTGGCTGGAGAAAAAGGTTCATTTATGAAGCGTGGATCAGGATTAACTAAAAACTTGGATGTTTGTTATTATAATTCGACAAATGGTGGATTTGCTTCGATCGGAACTTCGAATCGAGAAATGCCAAGTGTTTGTGAAGATGATGGAGAAAGTATTCAACAACCGATTAGACAAAACTCGAGAAAAAGGTTGGTTTTTGAGATCTAAATTTACTGCTACAGTAAACTGAATCTGTAATTTTTAGAAGTAGTACTTCTCGAGGCTTCGCGACTTCTCGAAATTTCAATTCAACGATTTCAAATGCACAAATTGAACATGAGCCATTGGTTATGCGAAAAAGGTCAACTTCTCTTCCCGATGGTGAAAAATTGAATCTTGATTTTCTGGAGATTTGCTCAACAAATTGTTCAGTTCCAACAATTCCAACAATTTCTGCAAATGTTCCTATCGCAACTGTTGCTCCACAAAGAGCTGGACATTTAAGAAGAAGTGATACATTTGATGGATCTTCACCTTCAGATTCACCTTCAAATAGTCAATATCCATCTTATCGTGATTTAACAACACCACATCAAAGAAAACGGGGAATTGCAACAGTTTATCCAATGAGAAAACGAAGTTTATCGTGTGGAGATGCTTTGCCACATGTTGGAACACTTTTGGATAAAACAAGTTGTGTTTTAACGACTGCGCAATCACCAAGGAATATATCGAAAAATATAATGAGACCAACAAGTCCGTTAGAGGAATCGTATGATGATGAAAAATCATTGATTGGAATTGAACATCGAAACAACAGTGATATACTTCGAAGTTGTCCACAACATCGGCGAAAAAATAAAAGATCATTTTTGCGAGATCCATCACCATTAGCAAGAAGATTTCGAGAAGCTTCACCATTTGGTAGAAAATCATTTTGGAATTCATCACAAAACAATAACAGCCCATCGAGAGGCGATTCAATAACAAGACTTATTAGAAAATGGAGAGGAGGTAACGAGTATGAAGATCTCAATGAATATTGCGAAGAGAATGGCAGAGTTAATCGATCGATATCTTGTTCACCAATTGAAGGTGGAAATTCGACTGATAATTCTGAACCTCTTCTAATTATCGCAACTAACGAGGATAATTTAACAGAGCGGGTGTGAATATATATAATATATGTTTGAAATGTTGATTTCTGTATAGGGTACTGTAGTTTTTGTATTTTTTGTTTGATCCGAATTGAAACGGGTATAATTTTATTGTTTTTTTTTTGTGCATAAATGTTTTAAACGTGACTGATATTTTTCAGCCAAAAAAAACAATAACAAAATTTTTTGATCATTTTTAACTGTAATGGTTGTTATAACTGATGGTCAATTATATGCTATACATATATTATTTATCAATGGAATGCTCAAAACATTGGCATATTTTATATTGACTACTTTGACAATACTAACTTGCTCCAAGAAAAAATCACCGTAAGATTAGGCCACATTTTTTTATAAAACATAAAAAAAATTCAGAACTGAAAAAACTGGAAGATCAAATAAGAAAACTGCTCGGTCAACACAAAAAGAAGAAACCGCTGGAACAACTGGAACTGCAACTGGAACTGGAACAACAACCACAACAACAACTGGAAGTTCGATGCTTGAAAAACAGGAACAGAAAAAATCGAAAAGTGAAAAAGGATCAGGAAAAAGTCGACGAGCAATGGATTCAATTAAAATAATGAAAGGAAAAGGATTCCGAAAAATGAGACCGATGATTTCGAAAAAAGAAAAGAAACGTGCCGGTGATGATGATTCTCAACACACTGAATTGATTAATGTTCCACTTGGAAAAGCTGGAGAGTGAGTGAATATTTCAATTTTGTTAGCAAATTCGGGCTCAAAATGCTCCAAACCTCTAACATCCTTGTAAAATCAATGATTTTCAGTTGTGAACCAAAACCGACTCAACTTGTCACCAGCAAACAAACCAAAGCCAGAGAAAATGAGGACAAATCGAAGGCAACGCGAAAAGTCTCATTTGCCCCGAATTTGGAACATTATGGAACAAGTGCTGAAATGTGTGAGAATCCTACGCAGAAAGACGAAAAATAAATTATTTTTAGAGAAAAAACATTTTTGATCTATCGTTTTATCGCGCGCGCGAAACTTTTTCGCATTTTTTTTTCAAAAAAAAAGATGACAAATCAGTCAGTCAGTCAGTCCTCGTTTTTTTCAAAGTTTTATCCCAATCTTCTATTCTTTCTCAAAATTTTGTTTTTTTTCAGAATGATACTGTATCTATAATACAGTAATTATATACCAGGTATACTTTGAAACTGTTAGTTTATATTGATATTGTCATTTATTCGTGAAATGGTTATGACACAATGCGATTTTTTTCGAAGAAGAAAAAGTTTATCACAATATGCGATTTTTACCGGAAAAAAATTTTATACATTCTTATTCAATTTTTCGAGGATATGACAATATGACTCTTTTGCCGGTGGTATTGAATTTACCAGTTTTTAACGTCTCTTATCGAATATATAAATCCCAAAAAGTTAAGGTAAGTCCTTATTGTTAGTCCTTAATTTCAAGAAAAGAAAATTATGAAATTTTGGCAGAATAACGAGAACTGTATCTAAAATACAGCACAATTCCAACTATTCTACTAATCAACAATTGTTTATTAATCAATGCACTTTTTACCAAAAAAAAGGTTAGTTCGAATAGGAATTTTATAAGGTTTTAAATCAATAATTTCATTTTTCAGGGTATGGTGAAGCCATCAGAACATAAAATGATTACGGCAACTCCATGTTCTCGTCGTTGTGCGGGCATGAAATCACGAATATTCAAGAAAGTATACCTTGTATGAATACTCAGCGAACCTCAACAACACTGAACAGTCGGTTATAACCGATTTTTGATTTTTTAACAGTTTTAGCATAATAAAAATTAATAACATTTGAAAATTGTACAGATTCATTTGATCTTTTCGGAAAAGATGAGTGATATTCTATTGTTCATATGCGTATTGTGATTGTGTAGTTTGGCCGACTGGTCGAAATGCACTCAATCCATGATATTTGTTGTTGCGGCTTGGTTTATCAGCGGCGCGCTGAAAATTGGATTAATTTTCCACAATATTAGGCCCGGTAAATGAAACATCGTCTAGGCGATCCAGGATGTCTCAAACATGCTCTACCGAACAAAAGACTCCATGATTGATTATTCTCGGAGCGAACTTACTGCTGTATAAGTCGATGTTTCCGCAACCGAATAACCTGATGCACTTTGAAAATCACTTTCAGCCTTTTTCTTCTGTCCATTAACCTCATCAAAATCCTCATTCGACATGATCAAATAATTTGATTTTGGTTGTGGAGCAACTGAAACAACATCCAACGTGTTATAATCTTGTGTATAAAGATTATTTGTGAGAAGAGCATGTTGTTCAGCTTTTTGTGGAGGAGCAAAATATTTATGATCATTCATAATTGATTCATAGTATTCAAAAGTTTTTTGCTCAACAATTGGAGCTGCTTCTGCTTTTTTCTCTTGTTTCTTGGCATTTCTGATTTGCTCGCGATAAATTGGTGGCAAAGCATCTTCCTCAAATCCTAAATACGATGACTCGACAACAGTTTTCTCCTCATCTTCTTCTTTCTCAACGTTTTCAGCGGTGTTTCCTCTCGCCACAATTCTTCCAATTACACTATGTGTCAATGGTTGATTCGATCCAATAATAAGATTCATCAGAATACTATCTTCAGATGGGCCAGCGAGTTGTTGTTGTTGAACACATTCTTCGTTAGAATCAAGATAAAAACTTTGAACGTAGGCCATTTTCAGCTGAAATTGTTTTGATAAATAAAGTGATGGATTGATTTTTGAGGACTTACTTGAGATGAAGATATATAAAAATATTGGCACGACGAGCCTCGAGTCGATAGTAAGTCGGGAATGAAGCCGACATTTTTGATTCTGGTCCAGAGATCCAGAGATAAGATCTTGAGAAAAAATTGGGTCACGTCAAAAATCGAATTTTCTGTTTTTTGTAATTTTTTTTCGAAGGGGGCTCGAAAAAAAAAGGATTTTAGGGATCCGGATTTTTATAAATGTTTTTTCTGCGCAGTGTCCACTGCATAGTTGAGATAAGTCCGTTCTCTTTTTTGCAAAAAATGAACACCCTAAACTATAGTCTATTTTTCAATTTCCAGATTTCCACATAAAATTTTATGCATTTTTTTTCTGATGCTACTCCTCTCTCTTGCTGGTTTTAGGCACCAGTCCCTACGGGGGCGTGGGTTCGAACCCCACTCTCATCAATTTTTTTTGGAAAAAAAAACGAAACGGGGCCCGATTTTTCTCTGAACCGGACAAACCTCGAATTTAAAAAAAAATGAATTTCTAAAATTCTGAAAAAAAATTCAGGATTTTTTTGAAATTTTCTGACGAAGGAAATTTTCAGTCTAAAATTTTTTTGGAACATTTTCCTAGACGATCCAAAATTTTAAAAATCAAATTTTAATTCGGTATCTCATTTCGTGATGATTTACAACGATACAAAAAACCCATCAAAATCATATTTAGAAAAGCACTTTTATTTGAGAAAAAGAGAAAAAAGAACACGTTAATGTTTGTAAAAAAAGGGGGAAATACAAGAAAAAACAAAAAAGTCCTAAAACTTGTAATTATTAAAATGCGGTTCTCAAAAAATGCTGCCAGTTGAGAAGGACATAAAAAAGGTTTTTTATAAAAAGGGGGATTATTATGAAGAAAAATGGGGGAGATGGAAAAAAACACATGGTCATCAACAGCGCCATCGTTTTTGTCTTCGATTAGCTGCGCGTCGACTTCGATCTTCTTCACGTGGTTCACAAGTTTTGAATGAGATTTGTGCCAAACTGCGCTGTTGACGTAGAACTGAAAAAAAATCAATATTGAAATTACGAAACAAGTTTCCTTTCACTTCCAAACTTTCCAAGAAAAATCAAAAACTCACGCGAAAATTCATCGTGGAATTCATTGAAGAAACGTTGATCGTGACAATTCGCAGAACAATTCGAATTCGCTGAATTTCCCGATGAAGTTTGAGCAGATAAAAGAGCACAATTGGTTGGTGGAATTGACGAAGAAGATGGAGAAGAAGTTCCACATGAACCATTTGAAAACGAATTTTGTTGGAAGTCAGACAAATCGGCATTCTGCAAAAAAAACACATTGAAACGTGCCTGTTAGGGGAAAATATTTCAGAATTTTAAGACTTTTCCAAAACATCCCTAAACTTACAATACTTGGAGTAATCAATCGATATTGTACATTATGTGTGTGCGCTCTCATATTTCTCAACATACTTCGTTGACTCTGAAAATTACCAAAAATTATTCCATTTTAGATTGAAAATGAAACTCTTACCAATGAGAAAACATGCATTAAAAACGAATAAAAAAGGGGTGCGGTGATGGAAAGCAAAAACATAAGACACAAGTACAGAAAAAAAAATTAGGGTTACAAAAAGGGGTTTTTCTTCTCATTGTTTTTTGATCGATTCCTTCTTAATTTTCTCGTCCGAATGTTGACATGAGAATTCATTCAAGTTGCCCTAAAAATTAGTGAAAAGCATAAGAAAAAGCATGCGGTGCAAAACACAACAAAAACATAAATTCTTCGTAAAATCTCCTCACCTCACAAGTAGCCCATTCGGTAATATCAAAAACCATATTATCGGTACAAGTCAAATAAATCGATTTGAGTCCGAACAAACGTTTCTCGACCCAAATATCATTTTGTTTTGCCGGATGATTCATGTCACATCTTCTACAATATCTAGCCTCATTTGGACGAATATTTGTCATAAGACGCATGTGACGAGAACCGCAATCGCAGAAGATTGTGCAACGCGTTTCTTCGATGCGCTCTCTCAAATCGTCCCACGCGTTGATGACGCACTTGTGATCATCGTTGTCGTATGCGTTTTCCATTGTATAAGTGATTCTGGCTAATGGATTTCCAATTGCATCGAAAGCGCGATTCAACAAATCAAATGCTTCTTCACATCCATCGATTGTACACTAGAAAAAAAATTAATTTTGTGAAATTTCGGTTTGATTTGAGGTACGGATCTTCCGTTATAGTATTCTTGCGAACCAAAACAAATTCCTCTAAAAAATGCCTACCTTATCTGGCGAGACAAGTGCACAAAGTCTTTTGTAATTTCTCTTGATCTCATCATCGCTGCATTCACTTCGAAGTCCAAAAACAACATAAGCATCATGTGTATTCTCACGAATCAAACGATCAATGTATTCGATTGCTGAAATAATTCAGTGTTTATTGTTTTCAAGTTTCCGATATATTTTCCCCATGCGCTTTGTGCAAAAAATGTGAAGTTGATTAATTCATGATTCATTCAAAACAAACATTAGATAAATAGCAAAATAACAAAATAACAACAACATAATATAAAACCAAATTAATTAAAATATTAACACAACAAAATTAAATAATTAAAATACGGGTAAAACTGGGATATGAGGTAAAGCTACCGGATTAACATGGATAAAGGTTCATTTCGTAAGCTTCGAAATTACACAGAAAATAAGAAATCCAATGAATATATAACAGGCATCAGTTAGAAATTTCAACATTCTTTCAATTGCCATTGGTATTATTTCGTTAACTACTGTTGTCGTATTTGAATTTTGTGTCTTCAATTGTGATTTTTGATTCTTCGATTTTTTATTCTTCGGTTCATTTCCTCGTTTTTTCGCTCGAATTACTGTAGAAAAACTTCAGAAAAACAAAAAAAACACAAAGCACAAATAAAATAAGTAGAAAACATGCAGGTTAGTAAAAAGCGCGCGTGCAAAAAAGACATTTTGGAACTTACCAGAATTCGGAATCGGAATATCTCTTTTCATTCCCCATTCAGTAATTTCTGGTCGATCATCACAAAGTTGTTCGAAAAGACGAGCCATTGCGATAGTTCGAATGAACATCCAAAAAGATAAACCAATGTAGACGAATATCATAAAAATGAAGATGGCACATTTTTTGAGCCCTTGAAGAATTCCTTGGCAAACAGCTTCAGTTCTGAAATTCAAATATTGTTTGATTTTGATCTAACAAAACTGTTTCTTGGGAACTTCAAAGAAAATGAAAAGTCAGAAATTCTTTGAAGTTGATTCTTTCTGAAGACAATTTTCAAAAAAAAAAGAAACTTACGAGACACAAAAAACATCGTATATTTTAACACAAACATCAACAATAAGTTGAAAAGTCCATTGAACCATTGATCCAAAATATCCAGCCATCCATGTTAAAATATCCCAAATCCAAATGAAATTATCATACCATCCAGGTTCAACCTTTCTTCGTTGTCTTCTTCGTTGTGTTGTTTGAACTGCTGCTCGCTTCTTTTTCGATGTTTGATGTCTTGAAGTACTTCTTCGTTTTCCAACTGTTTTCGATACTTCAGTTGTTGGTTCATCATCATCGTCTTCTACTTCTTCAACTTCAGATTCTTGATCATTTTCAGCTCCAGGTGATGAAGATCTTGAGAATACCTGTTCAATGACTGGTGGTGTTCTTTTTGCCGCTTTCGCTGCTGCTTTTTTCGACTGATGTCCATTTCGAGCATTTTTCGAATCAAGACTCAAAACATCATATCTCGATGAAGCAACTGGAGCCACAACATTTTCCGGAGCTGTTATTTTGATATTATTCTGAATTTTTTGGAACTCATCATTTCTCGGTTTATTATTGTTCTTCTTCAGCTCATCCGCAACATTTTTCTTGTTCATAATTTGATGTTGTTTTTGAAGATCATCATTCTTCTTATTATTTTTAACAAGTTTTGTTGGAATCGCTGGAGGTGGTGGACTTCCAGGTGGATTTTCTTTGTTACTTCCACTCGACAATATATTCGCTTCTTTTTCTTCAACTCTTGCTGCAACATCTCGATAACTGAATGGCATTTTAGTAACAACTGGTGCAGAATGCGGTTGTCCATTTACAACAATTCGAGTTGGTACCGAAACCGAAACATTCGATGCTGTTGCTGTCGCCTTCTCTTTTTTAATCGCATTCTCCATTTTCTTCGCAATCTCCTGTTTATGTTTCTTCTCACTTCCAATCGCCTCAGCTTTCTTATTATTATTACTGTTAGATGGATATGTCGCCTCATTCAATTTCTTCACACTTTCTTCTTCCCGTTTCCAATCAGAAAAAGGTATTTGAGTTGGTTGAGTTGCTGGAGCAGCCGCAAGATAATTCCAAGCGGGATCAATAAAATGCGCCGGTTCAGAAGTGCTTGGTGTTGGAACAATTGCAACAGAATCATTTGGTTGTTGTTGTTGTGGGACAGTTGTTGTTGTTGTGAAATAATGATTTTGAACCTGCTAAAAATTTTATGAACATTTGAAAATTGATTAAAATTATAAGGTCAGACGTGAGAAAAAGCTGACAAAGAATATCTTTCTATGAAAACTAACCACATTATGTGTATGCGTATGATGGTGCAAATTATGGTGTATATGATGAACTTGTTGTGAACTTGGTTGAACCAACAAATTATTCAAAAATTGATCAACAGGCGGTGTAGTTCCACTCGTTTTTGTGTCCAACATCGAAAACCAATCGGACGCAGGCTGCGGTTGAGTGGTTGGTGTATTCAACGCTGAGAACCATGATTCCGTAATTGGTGGAGAATATGGCGGAGGTGGTTCGGGCCAATAAGATGATGTTGATGTTATTGGACGAAAAGCAGCTGATATTGTTGATTGGGTTTGTGACGGTGTTGAATCTATAAAATATTTTATAAATATACTGAATTTTTTTTTAGAAAATGTGATGATTAATTTACCATAACTCGAAGTGGATGTTGTTTGATGTTGATCAATTGTTGAATCTGTTGGACCACTATCATCTTCAAGTAAATTGCCCAAAAAATGCTTTTCGGGATCGTCGAAACTTGACATTTTAACGTATTATCATCTGGAAAAGTTTGATTTGAAGAAACGAAATGAAATAAAAGAAACTTTCGAAAATTTAGATCATCAAGATAAAGCGAAAGTTTCCTAGTTTCGCGCCAAAAATGGTCATCTTATAAATTGTTTGAAAAAAAAATAAAAGAAAACTTACAAAGCGGTGAGCAGAATAGATACTAGAATGTTTGGAATGACAAAAAAAAGGTGCGAGCTTTTTATATTGGGAAGAAATGGGCGGAGCCTATGTTTTTTGGTGGGAACGAATAAGAAATGAAAGGAAAACAGATGGTGTTAGATATGTTTGTTATACAATGAAGGCGGAATGGGAAAATGTTGAATGTGAGAAGTATAATTTATGGTGACAAAAGAAACTTTGCCTAATGAGCGTATTCATAAAACTTTTCTATGTTTCGAAATATTCAAAAACTACCGTATATTCGGTTCCCATGACATTTTCGTTAAAAAAGACAAAGAAATTGTTGCGCCAGACTCCCATTACTCACTAAAGAGATGCCGATTTCTCTACTTCTTTTGTTCAAAAAATCACAAAAGTGCATATCTAAAATTAGACAATTCTTACGTTGGATATCGAATGATCAGGCGATGTTTTGTGGAAGACAAAAATGGCTGCACAAAGAGATGAGACATTTTATAATACAAATCGCAGCTATTTAAACAGTTTTTTTGAATTGTTTTTTGTGGGAGAGCTGACTGAGAACAAGATGGAAACTTATGCTAATTTACTCAAATTTACATCAACATTTGAATTGGGTTTTATAAAGAGAGAAGAAATCGGTTGAATATCTGACTAAAAGGCAATTATTGTCTAGATATATGTACATTCAATTTCAAAATTGAATATGTATTTTTGGAGTCAAACAGCGCTAATAAAAATTGTTGAATATTTCGTAATGAAGTTTTTTTTTTTCGAAAGACGGAGCAGATAATTATTGAAACCGAAGGTTCTGTCAAGACAAAAAAGTAAGAATGAGAACTCTCTGTTTTCTCTTCGAATCGAAGTTCTTTCGACAACACATGTTTCATGCGTAGGAAACATAAATAAAAATCAAATGTTGAGCATTTTTGTTTTGAAGACAAAATGACATCATTTATCTGTAAAACAACGGATAACTGAGAAAAGAAAACGGTGCTCTCAATGATAAATCATTTCTCTTTCTTTTAAACGTGCAAAAATCACTTCGGATAGAAAGGTAACCAAAAAAATTATGAGTTTTTCAGAGAAAAGACTATCGAAATTCTGAGAAGAAAAAACTAATAAAATAATATGGGCAGAGCATCGTACACTACAATTTTCTCGTTTTTTTTCGATATATACGAAAAATGAATTCTGGAAAAGTCAACTCACTGATATTTTCACCGATTTTATCGAAAAATAAATTTCTGATTTGAAATCAATGAAAAATGAGATTGACACGTGGAAAGAAACGTTTCACGCAATAAATCAATTTATTTATTGTTTTATTTCTATAAATGTCTCTCTGAAAACATTTGCCATAAATAGTGTTGTACAGCCAAAAAAAGAACAAATTGATGATAACGGAAATAGTTTCGAACAACAACAAAATGCAACAATATAGAAAATCGATGAATGCTCATTATTAGAAGAAGAAAAAGAAAAGATGGAGTTGAAGATGAAAAAGAAGAGTTACGATATAAACAAACATTCAAAACTTTAGCTCAAACTTTATACAAAATGTAAAGTATATGGAAGGAAAAAATGAGAGAAAGAAGTGAGAGATAAAAAGAGACACAGAAAGATGAGGGTCCCAATAACTCCTCTTCTTTTTTGCGAAACGGACCTCTTCGTTTTTGAGCCAAATGGATGTGGAAAAGAAGAAGAAGAAGAAGGAAAAAAAGAGGAAGCAAAGGAAAAAAGAAAAAAATCGGAGAGAAAAGAAATTTGTAGAAGAGACGCAAAGACACAATGTCATGCACCCTCCACACATTACCACACTATTTCCGGTTTATACAAATAGAAAGTGTCTAACTGTCTATTCGACCTTTTTGTTCTTTTCTCCATTTCTTCTTTTCTTCAGGTCGTTCCTCATTGCGCGCCAAAAATTTCGAATTTCAAATAGGCCAAACGGCAAATGTGTTTGGGTTTACTTTTCAATTATTTATTGACACGATGGAGAAAAAAAACGTGGCTCAACTTTTTTTGCACACGAAATTGTGTCATTTGATATTGAGAACACTTGAACTAGGCGGCCTCAACTGAGCGGATCAAAAAATCGAGAAAAAAAACGGAAGAAGAAAAGTTGGTGATTGATGCGAATAAGATATTAAAGAACCGACTACTAAATTCATATCTGTCAATTTACGACGCTTAACCTTACGCTAGAGCTTCCTTATTCGCCTAAGATCTGATTCCAAGCGAAAGACATTTATTCAAAATTACCTGTTCCTTGTTTGACTGGTTATTTCCTAAAATGATGATTTTTTTCGAGGTTATCGAAGAATGACGTTGAACGACCTGGAAAAATACACGTTTCTCATTTTTTTTAAATTTGATTTTTTGAGAGGAAGAAGACAATCTGATTGCAAATTACAAATTTTAGCCCGAAGCAGTTCATATTGAATTCTGTGACTACACAGAATGAGCTTATTTTTGTTAACCTTTGGGCTAGACACGACACTGCAGTGTCATCAGTACTGAAAACAGAAAACAAAAAAAAACCGTTTTCGAATTGAAAAAACACACACAATACTAATTGCTACAGTACCCTCCGTTGCAGGACACACAACTTTTCTGGCGTGATGTTCCTTTCTGTTTGCAAAATTTTACTGTAATATTTGTAACTTTCAAGTCAATAAAACGTGTGAATACGACAAAGTAAACAGGGCAGAAAAATGCCAAAAATATTTTCTATCAAAAAAAAAAACATTCAACAATATAGAATAATTTATCACAATAAAAGAAAGCATAGTAAAAAAGAAAGCACCAACAAAAAATGATATTTTTTCTTTTTTTTTCATCATTATTATTTTTAAAAAAAGACATCAAAAGTACCGGTAAAACAATTGGACTAATATGCACTGGCAAGATAAATACAATCTGTGTTTTTTTTCCTAGGAGGAAAATAATTAACAAAAGAAACCGTGGAAATGAGCAAAAAAAATACAAAGAAAAAAGTTATTAAAATTATTATTTTTTGCCTTTCTTTCCTTTGAATGGAATGGATAATGAGCAACAAGCAAGGGGAATGAGACATTTTGTGAGAACTAATATGAGCAATAATGTGCAAACTGCGATGAGTGCCATATGTAATCCGATTTTGGCCCACTGCAAAAATAAATTGATTAGAGAGATAAATATTTGAAAAAATATTAAAATTACCTCGCCGAAACCAAGATTATGTGATTGTAAATAATCAAAATCAATTAACCAGGGAAACCATTCACTAGCTCCTCTTGTCATTTTATTACATTCCGAACTTGCACAAGGCGAGTGTCCTTCAGACCAACTATTTTCTTGTCGTGGTGTTCTCATCGCTTTTTCCTCGTAAGGAATCCATTTACAAATTTCATTTTTTGTCGCTTGCTCATCCGGAAGAATACAAACAAATTGAGCTTTATCAATTGTTGATGGCAGCGAGATTTTACTTCCATCATCTTTTGTTGATGTTCCAACTGAAAAACGTTTTTTTTTAATTGAAATTGAGCTTAATTTTTTCTACAGTAATCTTACATTGTGCGGTGCATGCAAATGTTGCCACAGTTTTCCGATCATTTTCAAAGAATTTAATATGAACAGTTCCTTTTACTCCATACATTGTCACATTCAACATTCGATTTCCATCGTGATCCAAAGTTATAGTTCCAGTAAAATTTGAAAGTTGTGATTGACTTTTTGTCAAATTCGGACGCGAATCAGTTTTCAGATAAACTGACGCAGTTGTTCCATGTTCATGTGTAATTGTAACAACTCGACTCATCTCATCAACTCGAATACTTTTTACGTAGCTATTTTCAATAACCCGTTTATCATCTGAAAATTAATCAAATAAGTTTTCTTAAAACTTTGGTAAGGTAAGCTTACTTGAAGTGTCATTATATTGAGTTCCCCGCAAAACATAATTATTTGCTCCAGAAAATTGATCAAGATGAAGTTGCTCTTTGCAATTTTTGATGATGAGTTTCTGAAAAAATTTGGAATTTTTTTAATGTTGGATTACTGTATAAACTTACATGTGAATTTCGAACATTCAATCCGTTGGCAGAAGTTTGCCACATATTCCCAATTCTTCTATACCATCCAATTTTTTCCATATTATTCTCCCCAATTCCATTTATCGCACCTTCTCTCAAATCATCATGATCATCCTCGCTAAAATAATACATTCCAGCAGCTAATTGTTGATGTGGTGGTGGAGCAGTTAATCGAACTCCAATTTTATGATGTTCATTTAATTCGAATTCCTCTTTTCCCTTATTAAGAACCACTTTAATATGTTCATTTCCAAATATTCGATTCATTTTTCCCGTATTATTTGCATACACCGAATAACTGATCAACATCACATTCACGGGCTGTGATAATTTCACAGCTCGATAGATTTTATTGTTATATGGTTTCATTTTGATATCACAGCAAGCTTTTGCAGGAATACTTGTGACAACACAATCAATCGGTGCTGCCACTGAATGATATTTTGTGTAACATGTCGGAAAATCGCCATTTGCTGTACAATTTTTATCATCCGAATATTTATCCACGTTGCAGAAATCGTTTCCGCCGATTCCTGTGCAATGACATTTGCAATTTGTATCGATCAAAGGGATCGAAAATGTATAAGATGTTTCGATTGGATAATGTTGTTCTAGTTTTTCATATTTCAAAACATGAACTATATTCTGAAAAAACAAAATTTTTGAAGGAGGAAAAATTAAATAAAAACCAAACCTGTAATTTAATACAAATCGTATTATCCAGCGCTAAATTAAATTGTGTGCTAAAAACTTTCGAAATTGAAGAATCTGAATCTTTTGATTCATCAAATTCCGATTGTAAATTCGCACTTTCTCCACAATATAATCCCTCAAATTCATTTGAAAATCTTCGTTTTCGATGGTGTCGATGTAGTCTCGAAGACACCAAAAATCCACCAATTATCATTAAAATTAATATTGATGTTCTCATTTTATGTCTGGAAAAAACGAATAATGAGCTGATGTATTTCGAAATAAGAGGACGATGATTATGATTATTATGATAAGGTGAAATAGTTTCGAAACTAAAAAAAAAATTACTCAAAAAAAGTGTTTAAAATGATAAGAGGAAATTCCAAAAAAAAGGGGGTGGGTGGGTGGCAAAAATATTCGCTCAAGGCAAATGAATAAATGAAAAATGAAGAATAGAAGAACTGTCTCAGGATGTGTCTACTATATAAACACTTAAAATGTACTTGGTGGTACTATTTGGTGTGAAAAAGGGAGGAAGGTGAAAGACAGGCGGGCGGGAAAAAAAGGTCGAAAGAAGGATTGAGTTGAGTTGATAATGAACGATGGATTATCCGGTTCTGCGGAAAAAATTGGTTGATTTTTTGTTTTGGAAAAAAGTAATAAGTTAACCTAGGTTGTTATGATTTTTTCACACAAAAAGGCTCTGAATTTCGAAAAAAAATTAATTCAACTTTTTCCAAAAAAAAAAACAACAAATCAAAAGTTTTATTTTTGAATCGAAAAAATATTCCAAAAACTTTGATCCATTTTTTTCCAAAATAAAAAAAAACAAGAACACCCATAGATATTTCATAAATAAATAAATATTGCCATTGTTTTATGGTAACATAATACTGAAATCCTCATCCACTTATTTATTATCCCCCGATTTGTTTGGTTACGGTAATTATGACACTTTTTACAAGCGATAAATTTTTTATTTATTATTTCAGGTGTTTTATAACAATTCTTTATTATGGAACATGTTCATATTTTGTAACTCGGAGGAAACTCAAATCATTAAGTGGTTCAGTCAAGTGTTTGGATGAGAAAAAGGTTAGGTACTTAGGTATGTAGTAAAAGAATAAATGAATAAGGAGAATTATAAAAATAAATATATGAATAATGAAAATCTTTTATCTAACATATAACCAAGGATTGTTTTTTTTTCTGAATTCAATTACCTAACAACTTTCCCTCCTGAATAAACATATTTTTCCTGAAACAATTAAAAATTGCAAAAAGTTAGCTAGACACTTCACTCTAATAAAAATGCGGAAGAAATCAAAAAAAAATTTGTCAAATCTTTTTTGCTCTCTTCTTTACAATGTCCGATAATTTGAAGAGCTTCGGTGTATTTGCATTTTCATGAATATCTTTTTATTTTTTCGGGGGGAGTATTTTGCGAGGGTAAATGAATGTTGGCAGCTTGTACAAAGAAACATTAGCGCATTGATATAGAAAAAAACAATTCTGAAAACCAACCACATCAAATCAAAATGCGCAAAAATCCTCGCGTATCGCGTATTTCAATCTACCGACAATTTGCCTCGAAAAAGGTCATGATGATGAACATATAAAAAAAAACTGACATCGGAATGAGAAATGTTTTGTGTCTTTGGAAAAATAAGACAAAAAAAGATAGCACAATTCGGGGTCGATTACTCATTTTTGTATATGTACTACGAAACAAAAACGAACTGAATTGATTGAGAAGAATATAAATATGAATATGATGAATAGAACTTTGAATTGAGAAGAAGACTACAAGAATTGTACTAAAGTTTCGTAGTACAAAAATTTTTCGAAAAAAAAGTTGCGCCCCTATCAAAAATTATGAGTCAACAAATTTTTGCTCAATCAGCTACAGTAACTTCTCCTAATGGAGTCATGTTCTGTTACATTCTTATTTATTGCACACCGTGCACGCGCGGGCGAAAATGAAAAATAAACACAACACAGTTTTTTGACGACCAAGAAAAAATCAGGGCACAAAATAAGTTATTATTATTCATAAGCGACACGGGCGGCAAATAAATTGGGGAAGGAAATTATTTTGGAGGCGGAGTCGAACCCTTTTTTGGGAGACACCACTTTGTGAGAGAATGAATATCTATAGAATCTATGGAGAAAAAAAACATGGTTGAGGCAAAAAAATATGAATAGAAGAGGCGGGTGACTAATTTGTCAAGAAAAAATCACACAAAAAATATTTAGATGGAAGCTGGCACGGTGTCAACCGGTATGAGCCACGGCAAAAATCTATCGGGACAAAAAACCTCTGACATGAAATGGAAAATTTCAGAGAATTTTAATGCGTCAAAATACCTTGTGAGCTGATAAGAAGGTGTGAAATTTCGAAATTTTTCGAAACATCTCAAACCCTGAGAAACTCTTTTTCAATACTTACAGTACCTACTCAAGAAAAAATTTGGAAAAAAAAATCTACAGTAATCCAGACCACCTACTAAACGCCCAAAAGTCTGGGACAAATTGTCTGTAGGGGAAAAAATGAGTAGGACAAAAAAGTGTGATAAGAAAATACCAAGTTGGGGTTGTTTTTATCGGAGAAAAATATGAGTGTCACATTTTTGCCATGAAAAAAATAGAACTTGGGAAGGATCAATGAGTCACGTTTGGAAGGGAACATTCTGGAAGCGATATATTTTGAAAGAGTTGGAAATTTGAATTTTTCGAAGCTACTAAATTTTTCACACTACTAAATTTTTAAAATTTTCCAAAATGTTCAGACTCCCAGAAGATTCCGAAACTTTTTAGAAATAAAATATGCCTCCAAAAGGTTTCGGAGGCGTCAGAACCTTCCTGAGGTCAAAAATGCCTTTCTGAGGCTCCGGCCTTTCAAGAGCCCTCCGAACCTTCAGTTTTCCATTTTGAAACGTTCCAAGTGTCCTCAAAATCTTCCATTAACTCATAAAAAATCGATGAACCTTTATCATCAGAAAAATAAGTTTCATGTTCAATTTTTCATAAACTTCTCAAATTATTCTAAAAAAAAATCAAACACCAAAAATTTTCCAACCAAGTTTTTTATCTTGATCAAAAACTTTTTTTCCCGCACTTTGGAACCACTCAACTTTCATCGATGAATAATTCAAAAAATGCTGATAAGGTTCAATAAAACCAAAAAAACTTAATTTTCATGTTTCTAGTTTCTGTTGGTAAATAAAAATAATATTCAAAAAAGTGTGATTCACATTCGAAAAAAAAATTTCCTCCCCAGACAAGAAATATCGAAAATAAACAAAACAAAAAAGTTTTATCGGATCCGATGTCAAAATTTTACGAATCGACTAATTAACATATGTGCAGAATTTCAGGAAATTGAGAAATAAAAATAAACAACTCTCAACTTTACGGTTTTGAAAAATGGGAAACCGGAAAGAAGAGCAGAAAAAAACTAACAGTCATTTTCTCCCTTTTATGCTTATTCATCCATTCATTTTTCAATCGAATAAAAAAAATGACAAAAGAATGAAAAAGAACATTTTGAGATGCGGTAATCATCAGAAGGCTACCGAATAAAAAACAATTAATTTTTTTATGCAAAAAAAAATCAGCCGGAAATATTGATTGTTGGAGGGTTGGGCTAAAATGGCAAGGTTCCGCACGCTTTTTATGGGTAGATCAAAAAAATATTATGAGCCTGAAACTCACAAAAAGTTTTTTAAAAAAAATTTTCGGGATATTCATACAAAGATGGTTTTCAAAAATCATTTTTTTTTATTATGAAGTTACTAGAAATTCAAAATTATGAGTTTCAGAGACAATTTTAGAAATTTTCTGAAAAGTTCTACGCTCGCAGAATTTTTTAATCTACAAGCTGTTGCCTACAGGGAAATGCGTACCCTTTTTACTCTTGTGTCGAGGCAGTTTTAATAAATAATTTTTTGTTCTGCAAAAAACAACAATCCGCCGGAAAACATAAAAAATAACAAATCGGTGGTCAGTTAATTTATCATAGGTCCTTGAAGATTTGTAATATATGTATTCTAATTTATCAACAAAAATTAAACAAAATATCCAAATGAATGTAAAAGTTGTTCGCTTTTCCGTTTTCTCCACCCTTTTCCTTTTCATATTAAATAATTACCGTAATCAGAGCATACCAAAATGTCTGCGTCTCTTCTCTCTCTTTGACATAGCTGACGACAGATTATAAATTATAATTATTGTTATTATTCAAAAATGTTTCGAAAATGATGAATTTGTCCTTGCCGGAAGGTGCGATGGGATGAATGTAGTAACGGTTCACTGATTAGTAGATTATCCTTTTTATTAGGTTGGATTTATATGGAATTTTGAATTATTATGAACGGAAATGAAATTAAATGAGAGGACTATTTGAAAATTGGTGGATTTTTGAAGTTTGGCACTTCACAGACACAGATAAACTTTTTCCAGTTAGAAATTTTCTGTTCTAGATTTACGAACCTTGGAAATTGATCTAAATTGTTTTTTTCAAATACAAAAAAATACAATTTTTTCTATGTTTCTACATATAAATCCTGTCCCATAAACCACAAATCAAAACGAAAATTGCCGCTAACCAGAAATGCACCATTCAACAACAAAAACCATTTTTTCTACTCTTCTCACATACAATAATATACAGTAACTAGATTCGCCTCATTAAATGTTTTTTCTCTCTTTTTTGGGCCCATTATTTATTGGGAACATTCATTTCGGTTTAATAGTAATAATAATAATATTATTATTCCATATTTGAATATTATTAAATAATCGAAAGTTTTTTTTCGATTGCTGCCTCTTTTTCTCGCTCCTAAAAAGTTTCGGGATGAATATTAATGGAACTAATTGATGAAGGTGAAATGAAATGACCTTTTGACCAAAAAATTGGAATGTTTTATGACGGGAATACTTATTATTTACAAAGTTATTTTTTCTTCTGGAATCGTTTCATGATTTTCTTCACATTTTGAAGGTAGAATTGTTTGGTGTGTGGATGAACAGGAATGTCGAATATTATTGGATCATTCTGCAAAAAAATTTGAGATTTTTGGAGCAAACTCCACTCTTTTTAAATAAAATCCTGAATCTGGCCTACCTTCATTTCTAATTTCTCATTACAAAGACACGAATTGATAAATTTAGTATAACCATCAGTTGTACAACCATATCCTTCATGAATATGTCCAAAAACATGATATTTTGGACGAACTCGTTTAAATACAGTATTCAATAATTCAGCACATCCCATTCTTTGCCCATTCAACATTTGATCTCCGTGTCCTAAAGGTGGAGTATGTGTTAAGAGAACATCAATTCCAGCTGGAATCATATTCCATTTATCCAAAAGTGGTTGACCGCGTGACAAATTGAATGCCCAATTATCAACACGTGGTTGCCACGGTGTTCCGTAAATTGTGATTCCGAATAATTCGATACAACTGTCTTCCAGATAAATCGCATTTGATAATAGATCTTTGGAAGATGTTCCAGCTTTTGCGTCTGAATGAATTGCTGTCAAAAGTGCTTGTTTTAGTGCCATCTCTTTCACATCGGTATTTCCTTTTCCAATTTTTAAGAAAGTTTCATCAAATGTACATTCATGATTTCCGCCGATAACTACTTTGTAGGCAAATTTTGAGCGAGCTGAAAACAGGAGATTTATGTTAGATCAAATCAAAAATTCTGTGTTCCCAACTTACCTAATAACTTATTAAAATGATGAACTTCATTCGGCAAACCACAAGAAGTAAAATCACCAGCCACCAATAAAACATCGCCAGGTGGTAGATTATTGAGATCTAGAGGTTCTCCGTGTGTACATCCAATACAAACAAATCTAACATGATCAGGTTTTACTGGAGTATCAAGACGCATTTGTCGAACTGGTTTTACTGGTCGTTTTTCTTTGAGCATTTCCCAAGCAAGTGTTGGATCTTCTGTGTATTGATGAATTGGAACCTGGAACAGATTTGAGTTTTTTTTTGAAAATTGTCCAAATCATGAAATTTTATGAACTGGTGAGTCAAGTTTAAGAGCTCAGCTTTCGATGCCGCAAAACGGCCCAGAACTACTCACAGTTTTCGCGCCAGGAATATAGGAATCTCTTCGAATCGGCGAAATTCCCCCTAAAACGGCTGGCGTTGAGCTCATATGAAGAACATTTGACTGTCGTCTTCCGCCGATATTTTTGTCTTTTAAAGAATCGCGGGTTATTGAGGAACTTCCGAAATTTCCAAAATTCGAGGATTTAGAAAACATTCTGGAATACTTTTGAGAATGAATCAGATTGCAGAAAACAAGAATCGGAAGAGAATGAAAAAAACACAGATGAACATATGTTTTGATAAATTAGACGGATTACTTCTTCGTTGTTTATTGTTATGGGTTTTAACATTTTTTTCGGAGAAAAGATAAGTTCAAATTTTTCGGTTTTGACCTTTATGTTTACAAAAAAAGTTAACTTTGTCTAGGAATTTTCAGAAGACTATGAACTACAGTAATATTCAAAAGAAAAGAAAAAAGTTTACAGTTAATCATTGAACTTCATCGATGAACTTCTCAATCTTCAAAATGTCAAGAAACTTGGAAGAAAAACACAACAAATGAAAGAAAGTGTTTTGGGAAAAAAGACCAATTGATATAGGCGGCGATATATATTCGAATAAGAAGATGAAGCAGTTGTTTTAGAGAAAAATTGAGGAAAAAAGTGGATTTTCGATCAAATCAACGTTTCCGACAAGGAGAACATTTATCAATTGAAAGCGGCAAAAATCATCAAGTCAAATGATTTTTCTCGCCAAACTTTTTTTTTGAGAGCAAAGCAAAAACAAAGGATTAATTGTTTTGAGACTATAGTTTGATCGAGGAAGTTGTGGGAGTCAAGAAATTGATGCCAGGAAAAAATAGAGTACGAAACGTGAACGCTGATGATTTTCCACGTGGCAATTAGGATTTCATTTCTGATTTTGAAATGATAGAGAAAATTGAAAATTTTGCAAATGAAATAGAAAGCCTAGAATTTGGAGAAAAGTTTTCTGATATCTTGAAAATTGGAGACCTCTTTTTTATCTAGAATTTTTGTTTTCAAAAATTTTATATTTCACCTCCACCCCTCCCGAGTCAAAAAATCCCACTTCTAATCCCCAAATCCGAATTCCCCTACCTCTCTCGAATTTTTTCGCTGTTTCTTCTCATTTGTCGAATATGTTGAAGCTGAAGATGCTCTTCTCGAAGGTGAAGTCGCTAATTCAAATCCATCCATGAGAATTATTGATGAGGTTGAACTTCCACCTGCAGAAAAAATCAATACTAGATTTTTTTCTCAAAACTATTACTAACGTCTTTCGCCAACAAACGCTGCGATTTCTTGATCTTCACACATTGGTTGAAGCGTTGAAACGGCACGATTTCGAGACGGAAAACCCGATTTTTCATCGAAAACTGATGGTGCAGAATTTCTGCGATTCATTGAAACTTTTAAAAGAGCTGGGCTCAACATTTTTGTATTTTTTCTGAAAAAAAGTGATTATCTAGCGGGTGAGTGAATAAAAAAAAACAAAAAAAAATAACACAGGTGTTGGAAGATTTATATATTGAAATAAGTAGAAAAATAGCAATAGGGTGATATGTTTTGTTGATGAGTTATTTCAGAAGAAAAATGGGGAAAAAAGTGTAAAAAAATTGTTGGAAGCTGAAGAAGAAGAATGTGGGAAATGCTGAAAGTAAGTACTCAATCAACAATTTGCTATTATTATTTATGTGAAAATGTTTTAGGATTACTGTAAGTCAAAAATAATAGTTACGTTTTTGAGATTCTTCAGAATTTTTGAAAAGGGGTTTTCAATTTTGGTCTAGTTTTGAAATAAAAAGCATTTAGCTCGAAAAATTTTCAGAAAATCTATAATTTTTTAAATTAAAAACCGGGGTTTTTTCTAGAAAATCAAAAGATATTCGACAAATTCAAAAAAAATTTTAAAATGCAGTAAATATATTTCAGAGCTCTGCAGAGCAAAACACAAACACAAGAACAAGAACAATTTTCAGATTGAGAGAGTCAGATTATTTTTGGGATTTGGCAATTGGCAACAAATCGACCCTCCTCAAGTTGTGTTAACAAGACTCGACAAAAAATAAAAGATTGATTCGACAGATATATTTTCTCAACGCTTCTTTCGAGAAATGTTCAATGAGCAATTTTCAACTGATTTGTCACAATATTTTTGATTTGATCAAAATTCAAAATAAAAAATCAAAGAAAATTGGTATTTCAAGTCCTAGAAACTTCGAATGCAGAAAAGAAAAAAAACAAATCTGTGCCTTGCACAAAAAATGTTGACTCACAATGAGATATTTTCAGTTATCAATCATACGTTGAAAAAAAAAAACAACTTGTCAGAATGTTTTGAAAACTTTTTGTGACCAGAGTTCATGTGTAGGTGTCAGATTGGATTCTTCTTTTTTTGTGTTAGATTTATTATCAGGAACAAATTGCGATTTTCGAGGAAGCGATGATTTTTGATCGAGATCTAGTTGATAATTAATGTGTTTTTGGAAAAACTTTGGTCACAAGATTTTTTTTTGAGTTGAAAGATTTGAAATTGCAAATTGAGCACGAGGAAAATCGTTGGGGGGCTAGATTCTGAATAAAAAACATCTAGAATGTTAATTTCGAACTTGATATTTTCTCATTCCTCTGAAGTTTCAAGTCTGATCCCAGAAGTTTTGAAAAAAATTTCATAACAATGTTGAAATTCTCAGAATAATTTGGGAAAAGCTGAAACTACGCTTTTATTAGAAAAACTCTTTAAAAATGGAATTAATTTGAAAAATCCGCAAAAATTTGACAATCAAATAATTCACAAAGTCTAAAAATCAATCCCGTTGACGTCATCATCTGCAAAAACCCATTCCATAAATCCAATCCCATTAAATGTTAACACCTTTTTTCATGTCTTCCACAAGAATTTATTTGAAACAAAAAATCAACTGATAGTTTTTGTCCAATTTAATTGCGTTAACAGTTGTTCTATCAAATAATTGATACCAGTGTTTTTTATTGTGAGTCAAAAATAATGAAAAAAATCCTGTTTTCAAATCAATCAAGGGATTTTCTGATGAAAAAAACAAGGATCAGAATTTTGAAGAAAATTTCGAAAATCCAACAGGATTTGTTCATTCAAAAAATAAAACAAAACAAGGTACAGAGCTTCGAAAAACAAACCAAATCGAAGTGAGATCAAACAACAACAAATAACATGGATTCCTACCAATTATTTGCATTCCACCCTCTTCCTCTTCCACTATTTCCACGTCCCCCTCGATATCCTCCACCATAATTTCCATTGCCATTTCCTCGATATCCTCCTCCTCCACCTCGATTATTTTGATATCCTTGATTGAAATTCGCATATCCATATGGCTGATTTTGGAATCCAGGTGGACCATTGTAAGGATGTCCGCCGCGAAGAGAATTCCGCGGACTGCTCATTTTCCCGCCTCCTGTAAGAGTTATTGTAAAATATGAACATGGAACAAAACAAAAGTGCAAAAAGGGGAATATTTATACCTCTTCCATTATCGATTTGTTGTCTCGGCGGTGAAGAAAAAGATGTGTTATCCGGATAAAAAGACGGTGGTGCGACTGAAAACATGCAAAGCGTGCGGGTTAGGACAAATAAACGTGGATTTTGGAATTTTTTAGTTGAAAGAAAATTCTAACTAATGGGGTGATTCAATTCGAAAAAAAAATTAAAACACAAAAAATTTAGAAATTTTCAGCAAGCAAATTTCAGCAAATGTCGAAAAACTATATTTTTTCTTATTTTTTGAGATGTTTTTTCATTGAAACATTTTCGCAACGAGATATGTAAAAAAATTGGAAAAAAACATAGTTTTTTGACATTTGCTGACTCGAAATTTTTTGTAAAAAAATGTTTTTTTTAAATTTATTTTTTGGCTTGAAAAACCCAATAAATAACCGTACGAAAAAAACAATAATCAAACTTTCAGACCCCATTTTTTGTGCAAAAAAAAAACGTACCTTTCGAATTTTCCGACATCAGTGAATTATTGAATGCGTATGATGAACCTAAAAATTTCATGCACGTTTTTTTCTCAAAAAAATGTTTCAAAATCGCCCCTACCTTCAGAAAATCCATAGCTATTAAATTCGGAAGCTCCTCTTGGAATTGATGTGTTTGAAACTGAGCCCATTTGTTGTGCTCCATCAGTCAGCAAACTATCTTTCAACGGTGCGGCGGCTGTCATAAAATCTTCGGTCGAAATATCGCGCAAAATTTGGCGAAGTTCAGCGTCTTGCGGTTGGCAAATCGATAGACTTTCGGGATTTTCGCACGATCGAACAAGGAATGCTTCGATGCATGGGCGAAGAGCAACAAGAGCAGCCGCTGTTTTGACGTTCATTCGAATTGTGATACTGCAAATAAAATATGGTTTGAATACGGCCAGATTCAATCAGAGAAAACTTACAAATCATCTAATCTAACAAGATCTTCTCCAATACAATCAACTTTTCGACTTCCAAAAACAAGTAACTGAATTGCAGTAATAACCGACAATTCTTTACAAGAAATACAACGAGTTCGAACTTTTTCAGTGAAAACCAAAATTGGAGAAGGCAAAGTCATATCCATTCTTGTATTTAATGGAATAAGAACCGAATATTTGTTGATTAGAGCACTTGATTGTTCTATTGTCAAAACTTTTCGTTTTCCCGTAAAATACGCGACATTTGGATAAAGAGCCATAACTAATAGCGATTTCATCAGATCCAATTCTCGATCTTTTCCATTTGTATTAACACTTGTATCATATAAGATTTCTTCTGGGAAACAACACTGGTTTCGTAAAACATCAATCAATTGTCGACGAGCTCCGCTGGAAAATTTGCAAAATGTATTTGTCAAAATTTGAAAATCTTACTTACTGTGTCATTTTCAAAATCGGATTACTCATCGAATATCGTTCACAGAACTCTTTTTCAGCCGAAAACGATCCTTGATCACACGTTTCTCGATATCCTTGAGTTACAGCAACCAGCGAACAATGATCGGAAAACTTGTTTCCGGCAAATCTTCGTTGAATTCCGCTGAGTTTTGTGTGATGTTTCTCTTTGGGAACGAATGGAGTCGAAAAGGACATCGCGGCCGCCACGTCACACATAACACTTCCCATTCTGAGGAAAAAATTGATTTTTCAGGGTTGGGTGGTTATAGTCGAAGTCTTTTTTTGTTAATTTTTGGCTTAAAAAACCACATTTTTTTCAAAATATAAATTTTGTCACCATTTTTTGATATAAACATTTTGGAATACAACAAAATAATTTCAAAAATTTCATGAAACGTATATTTTACAGGTTTTCTTTTCTCGATATTCAATTATCCCAAATGTTCCTTTAACTCACCCTAACGCAGTTCCAAGGATCAAAACTTTGGCAATAACCGGTTCAATCGGCATTCGAGCTAACATTCTTCCCAAACTCGTCAATTCCAAATTTCTATCCAATGCTCCCATACTTTGAAGAACAGCTTCACTTTCAACAACCATATCATAAGGAGGCGGTTCTAATGCTTTTCCCAGAAAATCTCCAACCGATCCCAATCTCAATAATTTAATCGTCAATGCGATTTGATGTAATGGAATTCGTAAAATCTCAGCAGTTCCATGTTCATCAAGTGCTTCAAATCGTTTTTTACTACACAATTCAAATGCATATCCAGGTCGAACTCTTCCAGCTCTTCCTCTTCTTTGCACAATATTTGTTCGAGATGCCCAAACTGTTGCAAAATGTACCATATTATTATTTGATGTATACATTCTTTCTTTCGCTTTACAAGAATCAATAACATAAACAACATCATCAATTGTAATACTTGTTTCAGCAATATTCGTCGAAATAATGATTTTTCTTTTTCCCTCATAATGATTGAAAACTTTTCGCTGTTCAACACTTGTTAATTGTGAATGAAGTGGAAGAATTTCGTATTTTTGAGATTGACTGAATTCTGGATGATCATTCAATCGATTGAATAAACTCATAATATCAGACCACCCAGGCAGAAAAATCAAAACAGCTCCATCAACTCCGCGGCACGCGATATCAGACAATATAGCTTCTATAACACCATATGGAATTTCTTTTTCCGACAATCTTGAAAGTGCAATTCTCAAACTTTGATTTGCATTTGGATCATCAATGATATTCATATTTTTTCCTTTATCATCAACTTCTTCTTCTCCTTCATCATCTTCTTGTGGAGCTCCTTTCTTTTTCTTTTTATCTGGTTCTTCTGGCATATATTTCAAATTTTGGAGGATGTCTTCGAGGAAAAATGCTGAAAAACTTTTCGTTTCAGCCAGTTTCAGAATTATCGTAAACTTACATTGAACTGGAAATGCTCTTCCATCCATTTTGATAACTGGAGTTGGCCCAATTGTTGAATTTGACCCGAAAAAGTTTGTGAAAAGCTCAGTATCGATAGTTGCTGACATAAGAACAACTCTTAAATCGTGGTATTCGCTGATCATTTCGCGGAGAACAATCAAAACGAAATCGGTCTGAAATTAATTGTTTTCTTTTTTTTTTAATTATTTTGATAAATAGACAAATTCTGATTTTTTTTGGTCAAAAAATGAGCCGGTGTAAAATACAAATCGATTGGAATCTTGCACTAGATGAGGTTATCCCCCAATTTCTCGAAATAATTCATAGAATTTCTAGTTTTTTGTTACTCACATCACAATCTCTTTCATGAATCTCATCAATAATAACATGTGAAATTCCTCTCAAACCATTTTCCATCATCCGAAGAAGAATACCAACTGTACAAAACATAATCGAACCATATGGACGTGGAGAAACACCATCAAATCTAACATTATATCCAACAGTTTCGCCCAACTCTTCAGCTCTTTCATTCGAAACTCGTTCAGCCAATGAGATTGCAGAAATTCGACGAGGTTGTGAAACGACTGCATTGAATTCGGCTCCACGATTTTGTTCGATATAACTATCTAATAGGAATTGTGAGACTTGTGTACTTTTTCCGCAACCCGTTTCTCCTTTGATTAAAGTTACACGATTTGCATTGACTGTTTCAACAATTTGTTGTCTGAATTTCCAAACTGGAAGTTCTTGTCGACCTTGAAGTCTACTTTCGAATGCTGGATTTCCTTGTTTTACCATTTCTTTTTCGGTGATTTTTCGGGAAATTTCAGAAAGAGGCATCTGAAAAAATAAATAAAGTTTGAAATGATCAACACGGCCATAAATAAATTTCTGGACTAGATTTAAATTTTTTTCGATTTAATCTTTTTTCTTCATTAAATTTTCAGAAGAAAAAAAGAAATGAGAATTTTTGAAACGTGGCCCTTGCTAAATAAATCCCGCGAGAATTTATTTTTTGCGACATGCATTTCTGAATTCAGAATCTAGAATTTACCGTTGCAAGTGGTCCTTCATCAATATTCGATGCTCTCCACGGATTCCAATTTTGTAACGGAGGAGCCCATGAGATATTCATTGGAGGAGATGTATCAGAATCTGGAAATTGTGCCAACTTCCGATCAGCAAGTATAGAAACTGGATTTTCGGAATTGGCCAAACTTGCATCAATATCTCTGATTTCTACACCACTTTCAGTTACAAAACTATGAATTCGAGATGACAAATCATCAGGAAAATCGATAACAGTTTCTGGAAGTGTACTGACAGCACTTTTCTTCAGCGGACCACCATAAGCTTGCATAATATTCATATGAAACATTTGTCGAACAATATTCATAGCACACGCTGATTCTGACACTTTTTTATTCGAACCCGTTCCTTTACCCGTCAAATTTTTGCGCATTTGTGGAACAAAAATGTGTGCTGTGGTTTCCATTGTTCTGAAAGAAACATTGGAATTTTTGAAGATAATTGAAGTTCAAGCTCACTTGACAAAATTCGATTCTTTGACTTGAGTTTGATAAACAACCGAAGGTAGTTTCATTTTTTGAAGATATTCATTCAACGCCTTTTTACTGTTTTCCATTGTCCATCCTCCATGAATTTCAGACTTCAAATCGATAGTTTCAGAAGCGGCAATTTCTTCAGCTTTTTGTGTCATATATTCGGCATGAGTTGTATTATCTCTTCTATATGCATTGTTCCAAGGAAGCTGAAATTTGTAATTAATAATACTTCCAAGGAATCTATATAAACTAACTCTAACTGTGGATGCCTGTTGTGTATTATCACCTCCTCCGCCTTCATTTCCAAAAATTGTCTGTTCTCCATTATCTTGTTGTCCACCTTGCCAACTACTATTTGCTCCATCGAAAGTCGATGAATCGACAACAGGCATTTCATTTTGTTGCATTTTACCTTGTCTGACAAGATATTGACAGAAATCGAGAGCTGCATTTGTGGCGGCATCTTTTTTGTTTGTCGAATTTCCGAAAGCACAGTAAGAAAATCCGGGAACACGAAGTTCGCATTTGAATCGAGTTTTTCCATTTCTCACTTCTTGTTTTGTATCATATGTTGGTGTTGAGAATTTATTTCTACCTAACCAGGCGTATAGCATGGTTTTTACATCTTTTGCATCACCCATCTGCAAAAAAATTGTGAATCTAGTTTTAAAAGTATTAAAAGGTAGCAGATTTGGTTCAATAACCAGTAATTTCAAAACAAACAAAAAAATTCATTTTTTTAAAGTTTATTCATTCAATTTTCCATTAGTGACTAGAGGTTTTAATTGAAAGCCTCGTTCTTCGAGATTTTTCTCGTCGTGCAATTTCAGCATTGTATTCATATCTTTCTGAAAAAGTAATAATATTTCAATGAATAATAGGAAGAGAAAAAACAAACCCGAATAACATCTTTGACTTGTTCAATAGCATCTTCAACAGTTTTCTTGTCACTTTCCAAAATCTCCAGGCTCTTCTTCTGACTTGTTTTGAAAAATGCTGTACCATTGAACACCCAAACTGGATCAATGTTTTTCGATTTTATAGATCTTTCACATTCTCGATATTTTTGTCTTTCATTATCGAGGTCGATTGTCACTTGTTTTGCACTTCTAATCTTATCGGCAAGATATGTTGCTTCTTCCAGCACATTTTCAAAAGAACTCCCCGGTTTGTCCATTTCGGTTTCGCTCTAAATTTGAAAGTGCGTGAAAAAACAAAAAAAAAACAAAAATTCAAAAATAAATGTCGTCAAATAAAATGTTTTGTGTGCATTGCTGTTGTTGTTTTTGTGTGCACCGTAGTGTTTTTTACCATTTTCAAACAAAAACATCAAAGGTGCGAAACAGAAAATTTTCGAAATATTTCGAAGCGATGTTTTTATACCGTAGTTTTATTTCGAATTTGAAAAATGTTTTCAGACCGCCCATTTCACACTTTCTCTCCTAAATCTGTAATTTTCAGCACCTCTAGCTTTTGAGAACCGTATAATTTCAGTTCATATATTTGTTTTCCATGTCGCTATGGGTTTTTTGTACAAAAAAATCCAATAATTTCATAATATAAACTGATTTTCTCGTAGTTTCCTTTTTCCTCCAAGTGTTCAATTTTTTTCATTACATCTAGATTTGTTTTTATCCGAAGGCGTGTCAAATTGATCTTTTTCTATATTTTTGTTAGTTTCCATAATTCATTTCTCTTTTCCACGTTTTCATTTCAATAGTTCTCACAGCCCTTTTTGATGACCTCTTTTCGTCATAATTTTGTCGTAACAACATACAATCGTTTTAACTATAACATTGGTAACAGATCTAATCAATAACAAAAATGGGTGATTGGCTCGCAAGTTTGGATGCTCAGTGCAAAGCAGAAGGTATCGAACAAGTAGAAGGATCGGCAACAAATGAAAAGGTTCTTCATTTATTTGGTGTTTCTCATTTCAATAATAATTAGTGTTTGTCCAGATTGCATGTTTGTCTGTCGCAACTCTTTGTAAATACGCTTTCCGAGTGTTGTTTCGTTTTGTTTTATACCATTTTTCATCGTTCAATTATTGTTTTTTTTCAGGAGCCAACAAAAGCAACTGAAACTTCGGGAATGAATGAAATTGATGAAAAGAAAGGTTTGTTCATGGTCAAAAAATTACATTTTGATGGTCAAAAACTTACATTTTTCATTCACAGATGCTCCAAAAACCACATTTGGTGGATCATTCGGCAGCTCGAAAACAGTTGGGGGTGGTTTTGGAAGTGCGAAACCATTAATGAATCCTCCACCACAGACTTCATTTGGTGCGACTTCTGCAAATCGAATTGGAACTGGTTAGTTTTTTGTGTCAGAAAGATTTTTCTCTCCAATTCAAACCGTAGTGTTTTTGTATTCGTCTTTTCCCTAATGTCTATCCTTTCCTTTTCAGGCTCTGTCAGTCCAAATTCTTCAAGTACACACGATGGTCGTGGACCAGCAATTGGATCACCAGATTTTGAAAATGGAGGAGGTAACATTATATCGGTTGGAGTTCATAAACCCGCTCCTGCATGCAAGCCTGTTGATAATGCTTCTTCCACTAATAATGCACGTGTTACTAGCACTTTAAAGGTTTCAAGATTTGGAGAACTCGCGCATGCTCAAATTGGAAATGAAATTCGAGTTGGAAGTAGAATACCTCGTGTTGGTGGTGGATATGGAACTCCGGAGAGTGTTACAACTAAGAAGATAACACATTTTAGTGAAACTCAAAAAGTTGTAATTGGTGGAGGTTTCGGTTCTAAGAATAGTACTGTCGGTGGAGGATTTGGAACTCGAAAAACGATTCCTGTAGTTGAAACAAAAGAACCAATTATTGAAAATACAGTGAAGCCAGTAGAAGTAACAAAACCTGTTGAGAAATCTAGAGTTATTGGAGGAGGTTTCGGTGGTCGAAATAATGTTGTTCCAAGAACAGAAAATATTTCACCAGTCGTAAATGAATCGGTTTTGCCGGCCAATAATGAAACTTTTGTGATACCTACGAAACAAGTCGAAATTGTTTCTCAGCCAGAGAAAATTGAAGAAAAAGTTGTTCCTCGAATGATTGGTGGTGGATTTGGAAAGGTTACTAGCAACCCAGAATTGAAATGTTCAGGAGGCGGATTTGGCGCGAAAAAACAAGTTATAAGTTCTCAAGAGACCGAACAAACTAAACCTGTTGTTGAAGCGAAAAGGCCTGTTGGTGGAGGTTTTGGAACTCGAAGAATGAACAACACTACAATGACTGTACCACCAAGTCCAATTCCAGACAGTATTCCAAATAGTCCGAGATTTTCACAAGTATCAACACCTCCGCCACAAGCAAGTCCGATCGGAAATCGATTTATGAACGATAGAAGTGAAGATCTGAACAATAAAACGAATTCAAATCAGTTTGATTTTTCAAATTCGAAAGAAGCGTTCAATCCTCCAACCCCTGTGGAAAATCAGAAGTTTAGATTTGGAAGTGGAGATTCGTTCAGAAAAGAAAATGTACCATCAATGGAGAGAAAAGAAAGTTTCAATAATTTGGGAAATTTCAACAAAACATTTACAAAGTTATCAACTGCCGAAACCGAAAAAGAAAATACAGGTTTGCATGCTTTTTTGCTTGATTTATGTTTTTGCATGGCTTTAATTTCAGTTAAAAATTTTTGTTTTCACCTCTATCACTGTCAAAAAAACATGAAAATTGAATAAATTATGTGAAAAATTTATTCAATTTTTCCAACTCGTGATATTTAAAAATAATAAAGTTTCTTTCAAAAATTTGTTTTCCAGGAATGTTTGCTCCAGCTGCTCAGCCATCATTCCAACAATTCAGGTAAATATTTAAATAGTTATCAATATCAAATCTCATAAATTAAATTTTTAGTGGTGGACGAGGAAGAGGAGGACCAATTGATTATGCTGGTCAAGGACAACAACATTGTATGTTTATCACTATTTTTTATTATTTTCAAATCGGTAGATAATATTTTCGTTTAGCAATGAATCAAGTTGGCAGAGGACAATTTGTATCAAGAGGCCCCAATCAATCATTCCAACAAAATTCGGCTCGACCACCATTTGCAAACAACAATGGAATTGCGAATGGGCAAGGTGGTTTTCCACGACACGAATCACCGAAATTTGTTCAAAAATCGGATGAGGCACACGATAAAGCTTCTTTGCCAGCTGATATTGCACTTCTCAATAAATATATTCATCGAGAAGTCAAAATGATGAAGAATGCAAATGTTGATATTCAAAGAAGTGATCCAACTTCACCACTTTATTCCATTGGTTCTTTTAGAGAATTGAGATTGTGAGTTTGAAATATTATTCAATTGTTCTTTAAAAAAAATATTTTTTTTCAGAAAGCCTGAAGTTTTGACTGCTTTGGATTGTCTTGGTTTTGATTTCCCAACAAAAATTCAAGAAACTGCGTTGCCACTTCTTCTCATGGAACCGTAAGAAATCATTTCTCATTACGTTTTCCAAACCAAACTCTAAAAATTCTTTCAGACCATCAAATCTTATCGCTCAAGCTCAATCTGGAACCGGAAAAACTGCTGCATTTGTCCTGACAATGTTGTGTCGAATTGATATGGAAGTGAAATGCCCTCAATGTATTTGCATCGCTCCAACTCTCGAATTGGCAAAACAAATCGGTGAAGTTGTTACAAAAATGGGTCAATTCATTCAAGGTCTTAGTATTCATTATGCTATCAAAGGTGCAAATATGGCAGAAATGCGAAACAAAACAATTCAATCACAAATTGTTATTGGAACACCAGGAATTGTGAGTTTTTTTTTCAAATATTTGGATTCAAAAATTAATATACACAAATTTAGACTCGAGATTATTTGATGAAATATAAATGCATTGATCCATCTCAAATTCGATGTCTCGTTTTGGATGAAGCTGATGTTATGCTCTATCAACAAGGTTTTGCTGATATCAGTACATCAATTTATAAGTGAGTTTTGAATTATCAACTTGTTATTATTAATATCGATTAATTGTTTAGTCTGATCGAGGAAAAATCAAGTAATGTTCAATCAATGTTGTTCTCGGCTACATATGACGCTCCAGTTATTGAATTTGCCACAAAATTAGTCAAAAATGCCATCGTTGTTATGTAAGTTGAAATACTTTTGAGAAATTTTCAAAACAATTTTGGGATAAAAAATAGATGAAGTTTCTAGTTTCGATCCATAAATATTCATTTCTAGAAAAAAATCATAGAATTATGTCACATGGTTTAATTATGGGGTTTGTGTAAATTAACGGGTCAATTTACATGTGTTCCCTCTTTTTTTTTCTCCATAAGTTATTTGAATTTAATCCTCACAGTTGGATATTTTTCAAGTGTCTTTGTTGGTTTTCAGAATATTGACATAGTTTTTTTGCAGGTTGAAAAAAGAAGAACAAGCACTTCCAAATATCAAACAATTTTATGTTGAATGTGCGAATAGAATGTCGAAATTCGAGGCAATTGTTAATTTGTATAGTGGTTTAACTGTGGCTTCATCAGTCATTTTCTGCTACACAAAATCGAGTGTCGCCTGGTTGTGTGAAAATATGCGAATGCGTGGACATCAAGCTGATTGTCTTCATGGAGATATGACTGTTGTTGAACGTGCTGATATCATTACACGATTCAAAAATAACGAATTTCGTGTTCTGATTACAACAAGTGTTTTGTCGCGAGGAATTGATGTGCCACAAGTTTCAGTTGTTATTAATTATGATTTACCTGTGAAGTATGACACAAATAATCAAGAGATTGTTATTGATGGACAAAAACAACCAGATTGTGAAACATATTTGCATAGAATTGGAAGGTAATTTTTTGTTTATTGGCGAGAGATTTCCAACAATTAATTTTTTTGTTCAGAACTGGAAGATTTGGAAAAATGGGTATCGCTATCAATTTTGTCGATGATGCCAATACAAAAAATATGATTGGATTATTGGAAAATCATTTCGGTTAGTTTGAAAAAAAATATTTTCAAGAGACTTGACAAGAAGTTTCTTTTTTTCCAGAAATGAAGATTGGCAAAATGGATCCATCGAATTTGTTGGAATTGGAAGAAATCGAAAAATCGACATACATTCGTTGAAACGTGTTATTTTACTGTAAAATATTTTAGGAAAAAGTTTGTAAGACGGCTTTATTCAGACTGGTAGATATTCAAACTTTTATTTTTTTCCTTGTTAATTTCCTTCTTTTGGGTTGTTTCCTTCGTAAGATATAGTCTAAACTCCTAAATAGAGCTTATACATGACTGATTCGAATTGTCCACATTTGCTCATTTCACTTCTATTGGCTCATATTCTTCTCTTTTTTCTTTCTTTTTCTTTGTTCTCTCATAAATGTCCAACAGTTTTTATTGTCTCATTTTTATTTTATCGGTTTTTTGTTGTTTTCGTTTTTTGAGTAAAAATTAATTTCAAATAAATGAATTAAAACGTGACGTGACACGTTAACCCAATTCTGCCACGCTGGCAAAAATGACGAGGCCACAAATCGGCCAGAAATCGGTATTTTTGATTTCTGCAGATTTTATAAGCTCCATCTATCTATTTTCAATATGAATTCACTTGTAAGTTGGAATCAAGAAATATACTGTAGACATTTTCAAATTTCTTTTTTTCAGCGAAAAATGAAGAAGAAAAAAGAAAAAGGTACAGACAGAACTGGTTCAAAAAGAGTAACTGTGAGTTTAATGAGAAATAAAAATAAAAGTATTGGAAATGTTTGCAGAAAAACAAAAAATCCGAGAAAGGCACCAAGAATGCTAATGAAAAATCGACGAGAAGTGCAAGATCGAGCAGAAGGAAAAAGGTTGGAACAATTTAACGGGTTACTGTAGTTCTTTAAATTTTGTAGCTCAATTTTAGCGTGAAAATTTGATCTACCAAAAATTCGGAGCTTTTTAATATCACGATTTCACGACTGGGTTACTGTAGTTCGATTTTTTGGGAGGAATCAGAATTTCAAAAAAAAATGACAAATTTTACAAATTGTAAAATTTGTCATTTATCCAAAATTTAGTGAATACAAAAAATATTAATTTGGAACGTGACCTTATTCATTTTATTTTGAAAAAATAGAAATTCAAAAATGGAATCTTGAAATAAAATAATTTTTTGCAGAACCAAATGAAAAAAGCTCGAAGCAAGGAATGCGTTGAATCTGATCCGGACATGCTCAAAAACATATTCGACCCAATCACTTTCACATTCAAAAACGAGAAAATAATTGATCCGGGGCGCAATAATCAAACAAGTCTTCAGAGAAAAACGTTTGAAAGTTTTACTCGAAAAATAATTGGATTAGGAGTTGAGGGATTGATCAAAGAATATGAGACGAATATATTAGGATTTATTCCCAATGGTTATTATGCTCGAGTTATTTTTGATCAAAACACTCCACACAAAAAGAATCGATATAAAGATGTGGTTTGCAATGATTTGACACGAGTCATATTGAAAGACGGAAGACCTGGAGATTATATTCATGCCAATTATGTTCGTGGACTTAGCCCCGTATTTATCCTAACTCAAGGACCTGTCAAAGACAGTGTTTTCGATTTTTGGAGAATGATTGTGCAGGAGAATATTCAAATAATTATAATGCTTTGCGAGCATGTTGAAAATGGAAAAAAGAAGTGCAGCGCATATTTTCCACTTCAATCAGGAAAAGGACCGATGGAATTGGGAGATTTTATAATTACAACGGAATCTGTTGAACAACACGATTCGCATACGGTTTTGACAACAATTTCGGTGCAAGATCGATTTTTGAAGAAAACTGCTCGAATTTCTCATTATCGCATTGTGACTTGGTAAGCATTTTTTTTTTGAAAAAAATTGAATTTTCCATCCAAAAACCTTTTCAGGCCCGATAAAACTGTTGCAAAATCGAATTTGTGTCTTCTTCGAACATTACGCATCGCTCGCTCTCAACAAAACCCGGTTGTTGTACATTGTTCGGCTGGAATTGGAAGAACGGGAACATTTGCAGCAATTGAAGTTGGAATTCAAGCGATTTTGAATGGATATTCAGTGCGGCTTACGGATATTGTGCGATCGATTCGACGTGAGTCTTGAATATATGAATCTCGAAAAAAAACGTTTTTTTGCAGACTGTAGAATCAATTGTGTTCAAATGGACACCCAATTCCTTATGCTGGCGGAAACGATTATTGATTGTGCAAAATCATTTCGATACATTGAAGATGCTCAGCTTTTGGAATCAATTCAACAATTCAAATCGGATGTCGCACAATATGTTCAAGAACATCCGCCGCCTCCTGAAAAAGTGCCAGCAAAAGGATCGAAAGAAAATACGACTGGCGATGAATATCCCGATCAACCGCCAAAATTGCCACAAACTCCGCCACCTATAATTGCACAACAACCGCAACAAAATTGTGCGATTCAAACTGTTGCGCAAGCTCAGGCTCAACAACAACAATCTCCAGCACAGCCAGTTCGACTTCAAGTTGTTGCACAAGCTCCTGTGCCAACTCCTCAACCGCCACTTCCAAATGATGTGAAACCTCAAATACTCGTCCCTCCTGCTCCACAACAACAACAACAACAGCAAAATCAAAACGTCGATAAAACTCAAATGACAATTTTGCCTTCGACTACAATGACTAATTTGACTGTCCAGGAAACGTTTCTGTATCCCAAATGAATTGAATAAACTTGTGTGTTTTTGAAATCTGTCTTTGTCATTTTAAAATAAAATACGAAATTCGCCTATTTTCAAAAACCCGGAACCTTTGATTTTCTCCCATAGGAAGCAGGAAAAGAAGCAGAATTTTCAATGGTCATCCACTTTTTTTTATTTCTCAATGATTCATAATATTTGTTTTCAATTCACCCCCATTTTTTTCATCTTCTTCTTATTTACCAACAATTGATAATAAACAAAAGAGCCACCCTCTTCCTTGCTCCAACCAAAATATTTCACATCATTGTCTCTTTTTTATTTTGTTTTATTTATTCTATTTTTTTTTGCTGGCACCATGCTTGACCGTATAATCACAGCTGGGTTTCTGTGTTGAGCAACATGGTAAACTTTTAGTTACTTATCACTAGACTTACTATTTGTTTAGTTGTTGAGCGAATGATTTATTGATTTGCTCCTCCTTCTTCCATTTTTTGTGATTATTTTTGTTCACAAATTAAAAAAAAGAAAAAAAAACGTGAAATTAAATTTTTTGAATTGGCGCGTTGTGCGGTGGAGCGCACTTCCATTTCTCATTTTATTTTCCGTTATTTTTTGATTTTCTTTTTTTTTCGAAAGTGAAAAAACACTTTAATCCCCGAATCTATAGTCATTTTTCTTGTTTTATGCGATTCATTCAATTAAATGTGTTCTGCGCATGCAAATTCTTTGAGCAAAATGTCTTAAGACGCAACCAAAAGTGTTCTTTTGTTTCGAAGAGACAAAAGTTGTGCTATATTTGTTTTGAGAGTTTCATTGCCCCCTTTTGCTTGTAAATATACATTTTTGCTTGGTTTTTTTTGACGATGTTCTTTCTCATAACAAAAAAAAAACAAAGATTTAGGCGGGTGCTGCTTTTTTTTGTTGTTTTGAAAAATGTCATGCCGACAAACGGTTTTTAATTAAATTTGACATTTTCACTCAAGATGAGCGAAAGTTTGATGAGAGAAAAAACGTGTGATTTTTTAAATTTATTTCTGTGGTATTTAGGCTACATAGTTTCATCTTGTCGGTTAATTTACAAAGTATTTATCTATTGTTGATTGATATCTAAATACCATAAAATTTCTCTCTTTCAATCTTTTATTTTTCAAACTGACCACACCTAACTTCATATGTTTTTTCTTCTGCTGTTTCTGCTGCTGTCAATCAGCGTTCTTCTTTTTTTTCCTTATTTCACACACTCCTCGTTTTGCATTTATCGATTTAATGATAATAATATGATCAATTTCGAATAGTTTTTATTGTTTTTGGGTGTGTAATTTCTCACATTTTCTCCTTTCTTCTTTTGTAAATATTTTTATTAAAAAGTGCAAATGAATCACAGTTTTGATGAAATCCAGTTTGCAAAACTGAAGTAATCAATATCAATATTTTGATGCATAACTGTTCGTTTTCTGTCTGTCTTTCTCAGGAAAACTGCCATTTCCACATCAAATGATGATCAAGTGGGTTAAATTAAAGACAAACGCAGTTTGCCGTCGAGTGCTTTTATTTTTTCTCTCCAATTATTCGAAACAAAAAAGAGACACATAGAAAGTGCGCAGGTGGTCGTAGTTCTTTTTTGGCGCCTGCGATTGAATTAGGTTAACTTTCATTTCAGCCTTTAGGTTTTCATCGAGAAAAAACTGCGTTTCTCACTGTTTTGGTATACTTTTTTTTCGAAACTAAATTGCGTTTTATTTTGAATTTATATCTTTTTTCATATACCACAACAATAACAACCAACAAAATAACTTGAAGCTAGAAGTTTTTTTTCAAACAAAAAAATAAACGTGGGAAATAGAGGGTGAATATTTCATACAACTTTCAACTCCCCCATTCTCCTCTATTTTTGCATTTTTCTTTCTGTTGATTTGGTTTTTTGTTGAAAAAAGCGGTGATTCTCTTTGATCATCCTCCGATTTCCTCAATGTATATTTATAGAAAAATATCGCATAATAAATTAATAGAAAAAAATAATAATGACCTTGATCTATACAAATATTGCGCAATGAGTTTAGATAAATGTTTGTGTTTTTGTTGAGGGAAGATGATGGAGGATTGATATCTGACAACAACGGTGACTAATTTGGCCGATTTTTGAAGGTCCCGTTTTTCTACCTCGAAAATTGTAGGTATCGAAAATATGATTAAAGATTTAGGGCAAAACAGCGAAGAGCATTATAGTTTTGCATGTCTTCTCGTAAATTTTGAAATTATTACGACGAACTTCGTTTTTTTACGATGTTTTGTTTTTTATAACATTAAAATGTCTTTCATGCCACATGAATATTTTTACGAGTATTCGTATTTTTCTCAAAAAAATCATATCTGAAAAATCGTCAAAAAATACTAGAAACATAATTTATTTCCTCGTTTTTTGCCACATTTCACATCTGTTCGTTTCATCGAGAATCGATAATCCAAAATTGTTTTAGATATCAGAAAGTTTCCAAGTTTGCATAATTAATTTGTAAATTATATAGGAATAAGAAAAAAGAAGAAGAGCAATTGATACGAGAGGGCTTTTTTGAATAATTTATGAGTCGAAAAATCTTCTTCTTTTTTATTATTCACTTGTGAAACTCTCCAAGTGTATATATTATTTGTATTAGTAGTTTTTCTCCGAGTTTTCGTTTTTCAGAATTTTTTGTTTTTCCAGTATCCTTTCTCAAATACAAATAAACAAAATACGAACTTCTCCTTGGTTTTTTTCCCTTTTTTGTTTTGTTCGAAAGTATAGAATATTCTATGATTTGCTGGTTTCTTTCTATTTTTGCTTTGGAATTCGAGACTTTATCTGTTCTATTCCGGTCATCACATACATACTTACAATTTTCATGTTTTGTTCCCCCTGTTTTTTGGGGCTTCTGTTTCTTTTTTGTGAAAGTATGATTCATTCAATGAATAATCGTGTCTTTTATGTGCGCCGAAAAGTTTTGAATTTTTTGTCGTTTTTCCAATCCAAAAAAATACTACCAAAAAACACATTTTCCACATACATATTAGGACAAAAAAGTCAACCGACTGGAAATGTGCTCAACTTTTTTTCTATGTTGTGTTATTTTCTAAATAAGTAAGTAAGTATTTATTGAGTGAGCAACTTTCCTAACTCGATTATTTATAGAAGAAGCCGTAGGGTAGAAGAATCTTGAGCAGCCATTAATAAAGTTTCATCGGGTCGTCAATGCTATTTTTCATTTCTTCTTCTTTTTTTTACTACTACTTTTTTTGTGTTCGTTTCTTTTGGTTCGCGCGGTTGTACATTTTTATTTTGTTAAATTGGATTTATGAATGGAGGTCCAACCTTTTTTCGTCTCCTTTGCTTTTTTTGGTTTATTGTTGTTGTTCTCAGAGGTCGTGTAGAAAATTCCGTTGTTCATTGAAGAAAATTGGAAGGGTTTTGAATTATTTAGCCAGTTTTCTATACGTTTCAATTAAAATAATTTTTGATAAGTACGAGCATTTTTTGGTTTTGTTTAGTTCTCGATATAGGTGAAAGTTAATTACCTGAAATCACGACGATTTTAGGTTTTTTAAATGTTTTTTGAACCATTCATGGAATATTTTTCAGATACTTTTAGATCTTTCGAGAAAAATTCTCTCTGCTCTTTACTTATCAAGAGGTGTCCTAACTTTAGAGATAATAAAAGTTTTGGGCTCACTCCACCCCTTTAAATTTATAGCTTCTCTAAAATATTCTCGCATCAAAATACATTCCAATTATTTGACAAACATATTCAAATGAGTTTCTCTTTTCAATCACCGTACATTTTCTTTTCATTTTTTTGGCGCCAGTTTCTTTCTTTTGAGTCATGCGGTAGTGGCAACGTGTTGTGATTTATTGTTTTACGATTTCTGTGCGAAGCAATGTATAAATGAAACAAAAGACATTTTCTTTTGAATGCACCAAAAAAGTTTTCATTTTTTTGTTCTCAACAGTGCTAAACAACATTTTGTTGTATATTTTCAATAAATATTCTGTCACAAAAATAGTAAGTAGTAATTTGTTTCGGCTGTCGCGCATCTTTAATAATTCATCAAATTTTCACGACGCTTTGAACACCTCATTCATTTTCCTACGCATGCTCAACTTCCAACTATTCACTACTAGTTTGGTTTGTGAATTGAATGTATTTATTTCTATTCTATTGAGATACGCAAAAACCGTGGGAACGCACACTTCAAAAGGTGTCACATATAATTAGTATAGCGAAATGAAAAAGGAAAAGCGATTTCCTTCCGGAGCAAATGAGCACTAATTCAACGAAATGGTGTTCACTTTTTGTTTCATCTACCAACTAACTAATTTTTCTGAACATTTTCAAAATTTTTCCTTTTTTTTCACAAAAAAATTTACCCGTTTCTTTTTCATGCAAGGATTTGCTGTAAAGTTAATTAAACGGCGTAATAGGAAAAATGACTACATTTTTTGCTGCCAAAGGTTTTTTTATTCCACAAGGATGCACTTTTTTCTTATTTGCTAATTATACATTTTGTTATACGACGAATTAATTGATGCTTCTTTTCGTGTTTTTTCTTTTTCACAAATCACGAATAGTTTGAATTTTATTAGTTGTCAAATTAAATTATTCTAGTAACCCCAAAGTACAAAATTTGAATACTTGGCACTTTCCCATTCATAAAACTGATTCATACATTCTTTCGGTGTTTTCCCACAATCTACAATAACCCATGCACTTTTTCTGCGTCTTGTAAAAAACTTTCTGCCGACATTTTTTGTTTAGTCCACCCACCCATCGACGAGAAAAATTCGCAACTTTTTTTGTGCGCGGTCACCAATACTAATTGAATTGTCCACAAGAAGCCAAAAAAAAGAAAAGGCAGTATTGTTTCGTAGTTTCTTCTTCTCGTTCGTCGCACACTTTTTTGTCCTTTTCCAAATTCATACAAAATGTAATGTGATTCTTTATTTGGTGAGTAGTGAAATGTATTCTTGACACGAGATCGTAAAACGTTGGTTTGTGCGCGACTCAACCAAGAAGAGGTGCATTTGATTGTCATTATTACAACCTAGAAAAAACATAGGCATAAATTATTAGTTTAGCGAGCACAGGTGTTCTTTACCAAAGGCAACTCATCAAGATTAGAAGTAGAAGAAGAATGTTGAGAAATGAACAACTAGTAGAAAAATACGGTAGATGTAATTAGAAGGGGGTATCATGCTGGAAAAGTGTGAATATGTAGATTAGGATTAGTGATAACGAATTTATTTGATTGATAGGTTTTTGGCGGTGGGAAACTATTACGTAATGTAATGTATACTACCAGAATCCAACTCAAGAAATAAATCCACCCACCCAATTGAATACCATTGTCAGAAAAAAAAAACATTTTGCAATTTTACGATCGCATAAAATAAATTTTCAACAACGGCGCCCAGAATAAAAATCAATTCCGCTGGCGGCGGCGCGTAATTTGAGAAAATTGCTCCAAGATTAGAAAAAGGCGCCAAATTGATTTTTATTCTTTGTTTTTTTTCCTAACCCATCCATCGCCCTGTTGCTTATTCGTTTTCTTTCTGATGATGACAGCACCTGTCTTCTAGTCAATCATAAAGTATGTGCTGCTATCTGCTTTTTAGTGTCAATAATAATAATCAAGTATTGCGCATGCATTTACTAATGACCGATTGACACCTGGCAATACTATCATCAAAGTAAACAAAGAAACAACTGTGAATTTTGGATTATTTATTTGATTTTGGCTAAAATTAGCACCTGGCCACAACCAAGTCCAGGAAAATGTAAGAATTTTGTCACTCGAAAATACACATCTATTTATTCAAAAATATCATTTCTTTGCCCAAAAAAGCTGTCGAAAAAGTTAGTGAAAACTAATAAGAAAATACATCTGAATCTGACAGATGTTCATCGTCTCTTCTCTTTTTTTGTGTCCGAAACTGACACATTTTGTATTTATATTTTTGTCAACTAATCCTCTTCTTTTCCTTATACGAGATTAGTTATCTTCATTATTTTTCTTCGTTTTTTTGTGGATATATGGACAGGTATCCATAATTTTTGGTAATAAAAACTAGGCATAAAACAATAATAGTTAGTTATATAATCCGGATAGATGGCTCATCGATCGCGCACTCGTAAATATATTTTTATATCGTATAATAATGTGATTAATCTCAACAGTATAAATCGTGTGGAATATGATATACGATGACTTAAGGCGTTGTAAATGTCGTTTTATTAATTACATGTTTTGGCACCCTTATTCCACAAACGATTCTCACATTTTTAATATTTTATATAGATTTATATTTATATTTATTCCACAAATTGTGGCAGTTTGCATATGTTCAAATAAAAACGAGCAGCCTAATTCGAATGTCAGATCAGTTTATGTCATAAATACGTTTATTAGAAAATCGATAGATGAATCATTCATAAAAATAATATTTTTTTGTTTTTTTTGTCGTTGAACTCCTCCCACTAACAAAAAAATTGAAAATGTTTTGAGAAAATGAATCATTTTCAATCGCGATTTCGTAAAGTATATATTTTTGCTCAATATTATTTTTCCCATACATTCTCTCCATTCCCCTAAACAATATACTCGTTATCAGCACAAATTTCAATGTTATGACTAACGAAAAATTATCGCTTTTCTTTTTGAAATTTCACCCTTTTCACCCGACCGACCGCTCGTCACACTCCAGACTAATTTCCGACCAACCAGTCAGCCACAGTTCTTTTTTTTCGTTTAGTTTTACCGAACAAAGAAGGCGGTGAGGATTTGAGGATACCTCAACTATTTCCCGCTTCGGTTTACAGTCAATTGAACACTTCTTTCCTAAGTACCTCATCCCAAATTTATTTGATTCGTCAAAGAAACAAAAAAACGATTGGTTTGAATCATGTTTTTCTTTCTTATCTTTTTCGAAATTTTCATCGAATCGATTGAAAAATGTTCCGAAATTTGTTGTGTTATTTTGTTTTGAAGAGCACTTTATTTGCTTACCCTCCAAAGTGTTCTAGTTAATTGCTTCTACCAATAATAGTTGAGTTTCTATTACCACTACTGGTTGATATTTTTATCGTTGGGGGTTTTTGTTTATGTTTACCTGGTGAGAATAATCGTACAAAATATATTTAGGTCCAATTTCCACCAGCTGTATTTTCAAAACACCTCTTATTTCGAAAAATGTTGAAATGAATTATTTTTTCAAATTTCGAAACGTGATAAAACTGCCACGTTAACAAAAAACCAATTTTTAAAAATTGTGTCATTTCCCTCTTTTTTGAATCATTCGAAATCAACCGAAAAACAAAAGTGCGGAGAAATCGCGTCAAGTTTTCACGCCTGTTTTGCCTGAACAAAATTCGTCGGTACAGTAATATGACGCCAAAAAATAGGTCTCCATTTGGCGGCGCCGCGTTTTATGTCTTGGGGGCCCCAGAAAAATTTCAAAACTTTCGTACATACGTAATTTCATCTCTTCTCTTCGAATAAGTATAGTAGAAACCTTAAAAATGGCGTTTTCACGTAGAAAAACGTGAAAAACTGGAATCGCTGCGAGACCTCACTCTTTCGAAAGATGTGTGCGCCTTTGATTTGCTCAGAATTTGATTTTCAGCCCATAACTTTTTTAAGAATGCGTTTCAGAAACAAGTAAATAGTTTTTCTGGCTCATCTCGACGAGACGAATCAAATGGTATATTCAGCGTTTTCTGAAAATGCCTCTAACATGCTGAAAATGCTCTGAAATCACTATCTAGTGTGTAAACACCGCGACGCACAAATGCACAAATTGCGTACCGTAGTGAAATTTTTCACCGTCGCAACAAAACAGGCGTGTTTTTGGCTGTTCACCAGGTACGGTATTTTGAAATGTGTGCACTTGCGTACAACACATTTTAAACGACGCCATTGTTTTTTCTTGACTTTTCAATTATTCGAGCTTCTCGCATTTCCCATTCAGAAATTTAATCTCGAAAAGCTATAAATTTCGAAAATCCGCGCTTTTTCGTTTCTCATCTTCGGCCCATCAAAGCTTTTCAATTTCAAAATCATTTTACCATAACATCTTTCTTCTTTTTCATTTTCATTTTCCCCCCGAAAATCCAGTCATTTTTTATTGCGGTAGAATAGTAGGGGGTGCATGTCAACTAACCCCGCTCCACCCCTTTTTTTTCTTCTTCTTCACCCATCCCATCCATCTACCAGCCACCCTTCACCAAACATACAATCATCGCCTAAGCCCCGCCCATTTTTTGTTTTATTCTCGCGCGAAGAGAAAAAAGAGAGAGAAACTGACCAGAAAGTGGACACATATATTTTCGCTTTTTTCTTGATTTATTGTCTATCTTGAGCTTCTCCTGTTAAATTCTTATATATTTACTTTAATCAATTTTTATTTTTCAGCATTTTATCTACTTGTTTATTCGAAACGATTTTGCGGCACCCTTTTTATTATATATTCTTACCTATTTTACACAAATGGTTTAATACCATTCAAACGAGAAAAACAAAGATGCGAGGTTTTATCACCATTTCATTTTTGTTATTGGTTATGACGGTGGCTCGAGGAGTATCGGCCGAAAAACAAACTGTTGATGAGAATGGTGAGTTTTTTTATTTTTGAAAAATATGGGACGAGATCGGTTTTTAAAAATTGTAGTTGACTTGTAGCTCCCAGGCTTCACAGTCTCTTTAAAATTTTGAAATATTTCTTTGTTCGAAATTTTGCAACCGCTTATTTTTTTTCTCGTGTTGCTGTTCTCCTCATCCCATCTCGACTCATAATTCGATTTTTCTCATTTAACAATTCATCTCTTGAAAAACACTCGACTTTTACCCAATCCACCGCCAGTCATCATCCTCTTCTTTCACTAATTGTGCTACTTACAACACCCCGAAAATATGAATAATCTACTGATTGCTCAAAACATAGTCCTTTGGGAATCACAGGAAACTATTGCTTGTCGGGACGCTCTTCTGTCTGTTACGCAACTTTTCGCGTTTCCGGTGCGCACCTCCTTTAGAAGTAGATAGAGAAAAAGTATAGCTGGATTATCTTGTTTGGTTTACAAAACATTTTTGTTGTATAATATCAAAAATGTTTTTTGCTGTGTCCAATTTACGACTGTTTGCACTTCTCCAAAAATCAGGACAATTTCGTTTTCTTATTCTTTTTCTTCTGCGTTTTTCATCAAGGACACTTTGTTGTTTTTCCGAATGAATCACACCTGCATCAGCTTCAACATACTTGTTGCACCTGTTGTTATTCGAACCAGTAGCCAGCTTATCTCTATTCCAAAAATGAGACATCTATAATTGAGCCATGACAATTTGACAAAACAAAACAAAATATGGAATAGGGCAAGGATGTATCAATGAATGAGACTATTGTTTTGTTTAGATGAGAGAAGGGGGTGTCCTCGAATTAATTTGACGCTAATAAAACAATTGGGATTAGAGGAGCAGCAGAAAATGGATTGAATTTGTATGGAAATAACAATAAGGATGGAAAATTAGTTAGGGTTTCGCGCAAAATACATTAATGACACATTTTTATGTTTATAATTTTAACCCTTTCTCAAAAATAGCATTAGATCTAAAAAATATTCAATTCCAGTTTATTCGTATTTTTATCAAGATTTTCTAGTTGCCATATGCCTCCATAAGTTTTCTTATCCAAAAATTTTTGCGCACTTCTTTTTAGCACCCAATTACTCAATGTCTCCCCAGAGAATAGCATTTGTGTGTTTTTTGAATATTGAAAAGGATCATAAAAGGTCGTTTATTACTTATTGTTCTATTCCGCCTTTATTATATCAATGGTCGGATTGATGGCAATCTCGAAGAAGCAGTCACCTTATGCAATTATGGATATCCATTGCCTTGCCTCCTCCCGATTTTCTTCTGTCAGCCTATCAATCAAAGTTTTTAGAGAGAGAGAGAGGCGGTGTCGGCAAAGAATCTTTGAATGGTCCCGTCCATATGGAATCATGCATGTTTCCCCTCTTTTTCTCTCTATTTCCCACTGTGAAAATTATTATCGTTTGACACATTTGTGCGGTCAAGAGGAAGAATAACTTGGGCTCATCTTGTCGGTAAAATAATAATACTACTACAAAAAAGGCAGAAGAAGTTTTGGATGATTTTTATTGTTGACACTTTGGATTAACTGGGATGATTAACCATTCGAGGAATAGGTAAAGGCACTCGAACCACTCGGCGGTAAAGAAACATGATAAAGGAACATGTGTTTACACAATATGAGTTACTGGAGTTCACTTTAATCGAGTTAGTTTGGAATTAGAGTAGAAGGCACTTAGGGATGTAATAAGATCTAATTAATGAATGAATGAATAATTTAGATTTTGAGGAAAAAGAGAACGTGTGGTTGTTGTTGTCAGATGGCACAGAGTTTTGAATTTCTTCCATTTTCCCCTTGGGATATTGGAAGTTCATCTTTTCCTTTCGCCGCTTGAAACGTGAGCTCTTTTTGCGCACGCGCGAGCGTACTTGCATAATAATATAGATAGAAACAAATATATAAATGAAAAGGAAAAGAAGCACTATATTTGTGCTTGTTTTGTTTGTTCTAAATTTGAATATGATTCTTTTTCTTCTTCTTTTCCTATTATATAAATATATAAGATAAAAAGGGATGTTGTCCTTGTGACTCATAATAATTAATTAAGTAACAAATAATAACAATAAATGAGGAGAAAGTGTATTTTTCAGGAACCTATTCTCACACGGTTTGCGATGGAAGTTTGGCTGAATTGAGTTGTCCGACGGGAACTGTTATTTCAATTGTTTTGGGAAATTATGGACGATTCTCGACGCAAGTTTGTCTTGGCGAAAATGATATTCCAACCATCAGCAATTGTCAAAATCATAAAACGAAGTCGATTCTCGAAAAAAAGTGAGTTGCCTTTGTTTTTTTAAAATTAATTTTGCCTCTGCATTTCATTTCCTGACCATGAATTAAAGTGCACCTCATCGAACAACAACAGGTCTTTAATGTTGTTTTTTTCTGCTGCTGCTGCTGCTACATGTAAAAAGTAGTCATGCAGACACGATAAGCAGATGTCCCTATTTCCAGGAGACGAGAATCTGTCCTGTGGAAAGGGGTGGAAGGGAAGTAGAAAACATACAGGAAATCACATTTAGTATTAGAATGATTGAAAAAAGAAGGAGATGATGTTTTGTATAGTTGAGAAAAGATGGATTTAGATAAGTTAGATGGAATGACAAAAATGATAAGAGACTTTTTCGCATAATCCAATTAGAATAATTTTTTCCCCGAATCTGCTCCTTCCGGTTATATAAATTTTTAAAGTGCACTTTGAGTTCTGCTACATCATACATCATAAAACTTTGAAATGCACAGTATTACAACAGTATCTGTCGGCTCGGTTTTTATAGACTCATCGATTTTTTTTGTCTATTTACCATTACACTTTTCCCCCCAATTAAATGTGTTTTTGGTCGAGATAATATGAAAATTGAGAAGGGGTTTTGTTGTTTTTGGAAATTGAATTCTGCAGATGACTAACACATGTCATGTTTTTTTATTATTCAAACCCGAATTCATTTTTCTTTACGGTAGAGCAGCTATGCACACACATAGATTCAGAATAGTAAATCATGGTTGATGAATCGGAGAGCAGTCAATCTCTCCTTCTCGCGCTTTTTTGAGGTCTTCTTAATTAACGGGTGCAAGCAAGCTTTCGCCGTTGTTTTTTGGTGGCAGTCTGTCAGTAGTAAAGTATGGCGGTGCCCTGAACTGACCAAAAAGGGATTATAACGGGATTACTTACCAAGTCGTCTCTTTTTTTTTCTTGATGCGCGAGAAGAATAAGTGAGGGGGTTAAAAGAATAGAAATGCAAAAAAAATGACTGCGAATTTGCATATTTCCATAAAAGAATTGCCGAATGCAGGTGGATACTTGGAAGCTTTAAGAATATTTATGAGGCGGTGAACTTTTTTCTGGATGAAAAATTAGAGGAATATTCCTATGAGCCAGAAGTCAGCAAAACTAATTTTCTCTCTCTGGTACAGTAAGAAAAAAACATTTTAAAATTTTCGCACAAGCTCCATTCTAAGCTTTTTGCCGTATCAATCCGTGTCGTTCCTGTAAATAGATCAAACAATGTTGTTTTGACACGTCAAAGAAAACAATAACTCTTCTTCCTCCGAATTCTTTCTTATTCTTTCTTCGCTCATTATTATTATTATTATTACTATTTATTTGTTATATTAGTTGCAATAAAAAGGTGTACCAGTACCAGTCAAAAAGAAACACAAAAACACAACAATGAATCAAATTACCGTAATAAAATATATGTACAAGTTAGTTGTGTACAAAAAGTTCCGAGATCCTCTCCGAAGTCATCAATTATTTTTTGCCGCGCACAGTAAAAAACTATGGAATTTGACACCATCAACTATGTTTTTTTGTTGTGTTCTCTCATTATCCTTGAAACAAATGCTATACAGGTGTCATTTCCTCTTTTTTCTACAAATTCCCAAAGGAGTTCTTGGTTTCGGTGCCGGTCAAAAAGAGATGTCAGAAGTTGTTAGCATCATGAATAATTGAAAACATTAGCAAAACACTCCTGAGACTTTGCGCAATATCGCGTTGTCCTTTTCCATTCGAAACGTAACAATTAATGGATGTGAAATTTGAGGTATTAAATGGTTGCCTAAACCCCACCATTTTATTGGTAATTTTACACCAAATACAGAACACAACATGCAATATCGTTAAATGGTCAAAGATAATTACCACCATTTACCATTTACTTGTTTTAATGAGCACAGAGCAGAAAAAACAAGTGACATGTGGGAAATACATTATTTATTTAACTCAATTTGGATTAGTAAATTAGGTCTGAAAAAAAGCATAAATTTAAAGAGAAATAGGGGTGTTGATGAGGGAAACTAGCAATTAGCATTAGGCTTACATAACTACCATTTTTGCTGGGCTTATACTGTATTTAATCGGGGGGGGGGCTGACACATCTGCTTGTGCAATTTTTGGTTGACTGGATTAACCTCGAATTAAAAATATCTAAGTAGTCGGTGTGAAACATAAATTATTTGGGGAATTTTTATAGATGTAATGGAAAAGAGAATTGTCGATTTATTGTTGACACTTTTCTATTCGATGATCCTTGTCCAATGATGAGCAAGTATTTGGAAGTTCAACATGAATGTATTAAAGGTATAATATAATACAAGTTGTGAAGACTAGAGTGTAGTGTTGTTAAATATAAAACTCTTGTTGTTGTTGTGTGTTCTTTAGTAATTGTGTGGTGAATTTTCAGATGCAATGGACATAGTTCGTGTGATGTAGAAGTTTCGATTAAGACGTTTATTGAAGATCCATGCCCGTCTACGCCGAAATATCTCGAATATCAATATAGATGTGTTGTTTCTGGTGTGTGCATGATTATTTATATTTTTTATATTGCGAATTTTTTCCAACAAAGTTATTTTTTTTAGTTACAACTTCTACGTCGACTACAACATCAGCGACAACAACTTCAATAGATTCGGAAATTGAAGAAGAAGATGAAGATGCGGTTGGAAATGTTGCGAGAGAAGAGGCAATGCTCACAACACAAGCATATTATTGTGCAGCTCGACAAGAACGAGGTGTTCATTGGGCGAAAACGCGTGGCGGTTTGACAGTTACGACAACTTGTCCAGAAGGAACACGCGGAAAACAGACTTGGCAATGTTTGAAAGAGGGAATTTGGAAAGGTGAACATCCAAATACGGCTGGTTGTGAAAGTGATTGGATCGGAACGAAATCGGCGACGTTCAGCGAAGTAGAATCGTCTGAAGATTCGACTGGAATACCGGAATTGTTGCGAAAAATGGTGGCCGAAACGAGAAGACCGTTGGTTGGAGGAGATTTGCCACAAACGATTTTGTTGTTGGAGAGAATTGGTGATATTGTTGTTGAGGATTTGTGGACAAGGTTTGTGAATTTATTTTGGGTTGAAGGAGCATCACGAATTCAGTTTTACCAAAAACAATACATTTTTTTCAGAAATGTTCAAAAACCGGCCACAAAGGGAATTGTGGAAGTCACGAATTTTTTGGTCAGAAAATCGGAAATTTGGGAAAGCTTCGATGCAACAAAACGACGAGAATTCGCAGCCAGAATTCTATTATTGACAGAAAAAATGATGGTCGCATCGTCTGAAAATATGGCATCAATTGATTCGAATATTATTGCGCAGCCATCGATTAATTGTGAAGTTTCTCACAAGATTAAGGTAATTTTCGAAAGTTTTTCTAGAATCAATCTGATTACATTTATTTGCAGATGTCTTCGCAACCAACTGATTATGTTTTATTTCCATCTTCTGCTGTTTGGGGACCACAAGATGTTGATAATGTGAATATTCCAAGAGAAGCTATCACTCAAATTTCTACTGGTAAGATTCATATTTTTTGAACCTAAAATAAAATATTTACAAATTGATTTTCAGATGAAACACAAGTTTATTTCACATCATTCGATAATCTTGGAACTCAAATGACACCGAAAGATATAATTATTCCGGCACAACTTCCCGAAACTGAACCAATTGTCAAACAACGAAAAATTGTGTCAAAAGTGATTGGAGCAACATTGATTCATCAAGGAAAAGTGAAAAAAGTGGATAAATTGAAGAATCCAATTCGTCTCACATTTTATCATTCACCATCCAAAATTCGACATTTAAGAGAGCCGAAATGTGTTTGGTGGAATTTCCATCAATTAGATTGGTCACCAGAAGGATGTTCAATGAGTCAACACAATTCAAGCATGACAGTTTGTGAATGTAATCATTTGACACATTTTGCTGTTTTGATGGATGTTCATGGAATTGAATTGAATGAAACTGACGAGACAATTCTTATAATGTTGACTTATATTGGATGTGGAATATCGATTGTTTGCCTATTTTTGACATTCTTCGCATATTTGATATTCAGCAAAAACGGAGGAGATCGTGTATTTATTCATGAGAATTTATGTCTATCTTTGGCAATTGCTGAAATCACATTCCTCGCTGGAATAACAAAAACCGACGATTCTCTCCAATGTGGAATTATTGCTGCAACACTTCAATATCTATTTCTTTGCGCATTAACTTGGATGCTCATCGAAGGATATCATATTTATCGAATGTTGGTTGAAGTATTTCCAAGTGATCCACGAAGATTAGTCTATTTCATCATTGGATATTTTGCACCGGCTTTCATTGTTTTGTCTGGATGGATTTATAGTGGAGGAGAGGGATTCGGAAATTCACAATATTGTTGGCTTGACACAAATAATCAATTGATTTGGTTCTTTGTTGGACCAGCGTCGCTTATTTTGTTGATTAATAGTATTGTTTTGATCAAAACACTTTGTACTGTTTATCAACATTCAAGTGGTGGATATATGCCGTGTAGACATGATGTAGATTCAGGAAGACCTATTAGGTATGTTTTAAAATTTTGCAATATTTTTTCATGTTGTTTTTTATTAACTTTCCACGTGAAAATGAATTTTTCAACAAAAAAACTATTTTTTGCAGATCTTGGGTGAAAGGATCAATGGCATTAGGATGTCTTCTTGGTGTCACTTGGTCATTTGGACTTCTCTGGGTCGATGACAATAAATCGGTTCTAATGGCTTATATCTTCACGATCGCCAATTCACTTCAAGGCCTCTTCATTTTCCTTTTCCACGTGATGTTCTCGGATAAAATGCGAAAAGATGCTGAACATTGGTTCTATCGACGTGGTTGCACATCAGTTGGAAGTTCGGCTAATTCGTCACCAAATAAACGTGGAACTCGACAAATTCGAGCGGATCAAATGTCGCCGGGAATGGGAAGCTCTTCAGGAAGCGAATTTTTGGTATGTTTTTTTCCCACGAAGTTTGGAGGGTTTTTATTTTAAAAATTGAAACTTCACCATAGTATCTCTGTAGTCTCATAATTTTGTCAAATCTAGAAAAAACGAACTGCTGCATATTCTCCAGCTCGCGCTGCAAAGCGCAATAAAAGTAAGAAAAGTGTGGAACCTTTTATTAATTTTCTAACTATCTCAAGGGCTGAAAATGTATGCTTCTATCATGGTACAATTCACTAAAATTAAAAAATTAATTTTTCCAAACCCTCTAACTATTTTTTTCCATGAATTTCTTTATAATGTGATTTGTTTACAGTACCCGTCGAGCGAAAAGTATCAAACGAACACCTTGGATACTACGAATCGATTGATATATAATCAAAATCGAACAAATAATTCAATGCTTCCACATCCAAATCAAATTCCACCACAACTTCAACAACAATACTATCAATATCATCAACAACTCAATCAAATGTATGAACCGGGAACCTATGATTACGCAACAATTGCATACGGAGATATGCATCCAGGTACACGAATTGCTGCACCGCCAGCATATCAAAGACTTGCCGCATTTTCACCGGAAATTGCTGCCGCTCGTTATGCTGCCAATCATTATCAACATCATCGTCCGCCACCGGAATTCTCTCCACCTCCACCACCTGCTGGAATTGCGCCAATTCCAAATAACAATAACAATGGTCGTAATTATGGAAGTGCTCAACGTCGTCCGCCATCTTCGAAAATGAGCGACGATTCTGCATATTCTGATGGTGGTTCTTCTTCGATGTTAACAACTGAAGTCACACCACAAGGTCAAACGGTTCTTCGAATTGATTTGAACAAGCCCAATATGTATTGTCAAGAGTTGTAGATTTCCATCTAGATGTTTTTTTTTCCTTTTTTTTATCCCGCCATTATTTTTACCAATCCCTCGGGTTATTTTTTTCTTATCACCAAAAATTGTTGTGTGCTCATTTTTTGTTGCTTTATCCTGTCCTTCTCTCTCTAGATACATTTTTCTCAAAATCCAGGTGCAATTCATTTTTTTTCTCTTTCTTTTTGTTTTTTCTTGTACTTCCATACCGGTAGTTATTTTTTTTTGTTTTTCTCGATCTTTACTGTCGAATAATGTGTATAATATGATTGGTTTTACGATTGATAATAAACATTTTTGAATATAAGAGGCTTTGTTTTTCCAAATAACAATTTTTTGTAGAAAATCAATAATTTATTTGAGATCTCTCTTTTTTTGTATTTCAAAAAATACCCTGCAAAAATGAAACATGAACCAGTGGAAAAATGGAATTGTATGAAGATTATGAACCTATTAACAACAAGGGAAAGGTTTTGGCGAATTTTGAATCGAAATCGAGCCAGATTCAAAGTATTTGAACTAGAGATCAATATGATCGACAGTTTGTCGGCGACGTTGTCGATTGTGATCGAGTAGAGAAGGAGCCGGAGCCGAGATTTTTCGAGTTGCAAGATTTTGTTGTTGAGTTGATGTGTCGTATGGTGAAAGACCGCGAACACTTATACTTCGCTGCTTTTGATTTGTTGATCTGCAAAAAATGTTTATACACATCTCGGAAGTGAGGTTAAAATTCTAGAGAGATTTTTTATGGAAAAAAACATTTGATAAGAAAATTTTGGCCACGTGGCATTATTTTTCTAGCTACCGTAGCCTGGATGATTTCCAAAAATGCATTTGCTTCAGAATTTGAAAAATCGCTGCCAAAAATAGCCGAGTTCAAAAATAAGTGAATTCAGAAAATTATCACATCATAACTGACAATTTTCACTAGATGAATAAAAAAATATGTGAAAACTAACCGCATATAACATGAATAATTAGCACATGTGTTGTTCGGATCGGTTTGAATATTGAAAAATGCGCGAAGAGCCTGCAAAAAAAGTAAAAATACTTCGAACAGAATCTCGAGAAAAGCTCACTTTTTTGAATCCCGGCATTCCGTAGGCATAAATCAATGGATTCAACGCGCAAGACATATGCGATAGGATCACGGTGTATAGTGTGAATTTGCTGATTGAAAAATCGGGTGCAAAATGATCGATTGTGTTGATGATGTAAAGTGGATACCAGCAGATTCCATACGAAACAACGAGAATCAAAAGAATTCGAATGAGTTTTCGACGACCTTGGAGACGTTTTTCACGTTCAGATTGACGCAAAAGACATTTGACCTGAAATTCAATTGTTTCGGAAGGAGATCGGGATTTATTGCGAACCTGTTGTTCTTCAGTTCTGATTCGTTTATAAATGCTCGAATATAGAATTACGATAATAATTGTGGGTGCAACAATTGTGGCGCCAAAAATGATATAAACCAAATATCGATAATCGACAACTTTTGTGAATTCACACGTATTTTCGAAACTCTTCTTTGTTTGTCTGTAAAAAATTGAAAATGTTCCTTTTCTCATTCATTGATCAAATGAAGCAACGACTAAAAAAGTATTTTTGGCGGCGTCCATTCTTTTCTTCTTCTTCAAACACACAAATTAAATTGAATTTGACTATCGGTCCCAATAATTTCCCTTCTTTTTCCTTGCGCCTCACACAAACTCGGAAATTGGAGCTTTAAAAAAGTTCAAAAAACACGTACTCGGCGAATCCAAAGACGTTGAACATTGGAAGAATTGCAATAAAAAATCCGGAAATCCACGATGTTGCCAATAGAAATATTGCACGACGACGTCTGCAAGATTCAGATGGATTTTGAAGTTCTCGGACAGTTTTTGATTTTTAAATTTTTAAAAAAGTTCATTTCAAGCAGAATATTTGCCAAAGTTTGGAATAAGAATTTTTGAAAAACTAAATTAGGAACAATTTATTTGAAAATTACAAACTTTCGCTATTTTCCAAAATAATTTCCTAAAAATGTTTTGGTTTTGAATGATTCAATTATGACTCAGATTATTTGTTATGCTCTACAAAATCAAGTTTAAAAACTTTAATGCGTGAAATGATTAGTGGTGGCATTTCCTTGTTCATTTTCCAACCACGAGAAATATTAACACCCACGTTGAATATTTATATTACGTCTCTACATAATATTTTTCTGTTGACAAATAATTTATGCGACAGATGACTTTTACAATCCAATTATTCATCTATTTTCTTTCATCTCTCTCTCTTCTTTTTTACTCTTCTTTTAACAATAGTAATAATCAAGGTGAGAATATGTATAATTTTGCAACAAACCTCGAACTAAACACTCGATCACGGCAACAAATTGTGACATATTTATCAATTGCAATTGCGAGCATATGAAAAGTTGAGATTGTGCAAAGAATGCAAAGAATAAGATGGACAAAGAGGCAGCCATAAAATGAACCGGGACTTTTTGTGAGCACCGAGATTACTGTCAATGGAATTCCGAGTGAACCTGCAAATATTCGATTGTTTCTTCCAGAGCTTTTTTGCACTTTCGAGAATGAAAACAACTAGAAAATTCTGTTTATTTAGTCATTCGGATAATAATTATTTTATTCTCCAAAAACATTATTTACGGATAGCGAAGATGGAATTCTTGAATTTTTCATGTTTCCACGTAGAAAAATCTTACGGATCAAAAATTGCATTTTTTGCACAAATTATAACAAAAGAAAATTTTTTCTAGACAACTTTGACTTGCAGAAAAATGGATTTTAAATCATATGATTCATTGATCAAGGAAATAACCGGACGTATATCAATTTCCCCCCGTTTTTTCTTCTTAATTCTCGATTCTAGACTCCTACTACTTTTTTTTCAAAGCTTTTAGTTTTGGACAGCAAAGATCAAAAATATATGTGACATTATTGAAATGTAGACTTATTCTATTCCAGGAATTTTCCCCGGAAGAAATTGAATGAGGAGATTTCTCTCTATTTTTCACTGATTTCAAATTACAAATAGTGCAATCTTATTTTTGAGCATTTGAGCAAGTAAACACAAAAGGACATTTGTATATTTGGAAGAAAAAAGAAAACAAATGTATTTAAGAGAGAACCTTCGGCTGAAAAGAAATTTAGGAGAAAATTTCGAATGAATTGTTTGTGGAGCTCGGAAAATTGGAGACTAGAAAATTCTGAAAAAGCTGTCATAAAATTCATTTTAAAATTTTCAGAGTATTTTTTTCAACTTCCAGCCCAAATCATTTTTCCAATAAGCTGCTACAGTATCTCATCCCAACACAAAATTTCTTCTTCGTTTTTCACACGTGCCATTTTTGCACATCTTCCTTTTCTCATCCGGATAAACCAATTGAGTTTGGAGGTTTTTCTTGTGCTGCACTCAAAAATTCATCTTCTCACCAGCAGCAAGCAAAAAAAACTACGCGGATATTCGAAATAAATTCTCATCGTTTTTCTTTTCTTGCGCCACCGCCGAAAACACAACACATAATACATATATTTGAAAAAAAGAAAGAAAGAAGTATTGTCAAGTTTTGACAAATATTGGTTGTTGCGCGGATCGAAAACGTGTCAATTGTAAGATGTTTAGTGAATCAGCTGACAACAAAAAATCCCGCTACTAAATTGTGGGGGTGGTTTTGAATTGGATCAAAATGTGAAATGGGACCAAAGGTCCAAAATCAGGGCTCCCTTAAAACTAACCTGCCAGAAAATCGGTTAATGCCAGCGAGAAAATGTATGTATTTGTGACAGTTCGAACATGTTTTGACCTGAAAAATTCTCTCATTTTTCTCCTCGCATTTATACTGAAAAGTGGTTAACAAACGAATTTGTTTCCGCTTGAAAAAGGTCATTATCATATATATTTTTTCATAATTGCATATTTTGCTCTTTTTTTCTATGGATCAATTAAACAAACCTCGCAGGCAGCTAGGAAACTAAAGAAATTTTGCCATGAAACTTCTCAAATCCCACGTGGTCTTTTTTCATTTTGCTTAATTTTCGAACTTTTTCTCCTCATTTTCTCATCAACCTAAAACAAACAAAATGTGCTTCTTCTTCTTTTCGCTGCTTCTTCAAAATCCTCTGGAGATTTTTGAGACCCAAGAAGTAACCAAGAAGAAAGTTGGTTGCAAAACCCGAACATGTATAACTAGGTGGCACAATTTTTTTTTGGAATTTGGTTAGTTAGAGCAGGACACATGTTTTGTTAGGCCAAAGAACCGAAAAAGTTTGTTTTTTAGGTTAAACAAAAAAAAGTTCAATTTTAGTAGAATGAACTTATCAAAAGCACAAAAAATCATCTGAAATGAAATGTAGACTAATTGATGTCTGATGAGTCGAAGTCATATGATAGTTTTTTATTTTATTTTCTTAGATTTGTACAACAAATTGTTGAATTACGTTTTATTCAGACAAAAGATGAATTCTCAGAATTTGTATCTATAATTTTGAACTACAAATCCCCCTAGAATTTTAATCCCGAGAAAATAGAAAGACTAAAGTTTTCGAATTTATTTTTATCCTCAAATAAGCCTAATCGAAAAAATTTTGGAGCAAACTTGAAAGTAAACAAAATTATACGGTAATTTTTTTGAAACTAAAGACTCACCTTATATAAACCCACAAAACAAGTGCATTTGAAAACGAAATATGAATTGATAACAAAAGTTCAGCAATCGCATAAAAATATATAATATCCATTCCTTCTGTTGTCATCTGGGAACAATTTTTATTTTTTTTTTGTTCAAAGATATAATTTGACGAGGATGAGAAAACGAAAAAAAAGATACGAATTAAAATTAAAATGCGCAACAAGTTGTTGTATGAGCAAAATGACGAAGAGCAACTAGAACAAGCTCCGCCCCTTTTTGAGAAAACTCCGCCTATTAGTTTTTCTACGTCGAGAAATGAAAGTTTGAGTTTGAGATTTGGAATATAATTGAAAACTGATAGGAATTACTTGGGAATACTTAGGTTTTACCTAACTACAATTAGAAAAAAACGTTTTTGATAGATTGGTTGAACGAGATTGAGAAAGTCATAATAAAATGAGATTTCCGAACTTATTTACGAAATTTAAAAAAACTCGAAATTTTGAAATAATGTTCTTACAGTCCGCTATTTCAAAACAACCTATAAATTTCAAAATAATCTCTAGTTAGACTACAGTAACCTAGAGATTTTTTGTTATGTAATCTCAAAGTTTTTCTTGTTATTCAACAAGATCTCAAAGACTCTCAAAACTACAATCATTTCCGGCTTATTACGTATCCACTTTTCTTTTTTCTTTTTCCGTTAGCTTCAAAAGTATCCTAATTAGCAAGTATGTTGTGATCACATGCATTTTGTTGCAAAAATTGAAGAAATGAAGAGAAAAAGTAAGGAAAAATTCAAAAATCAAATTCACACGAAAAATATTGGATGACATATGTCAAAAACAAATAAATTATAATATTCTTGACAAGAGGTTTGTGTTTGTGTTTCTACTGAAAAAAGTTTTGAAAAATTTGGAAACAGTCATAAATCTCTCAAGTATTATATATTTTTTGTTCCTCATAATCCAAAACTAATCTGTTCAATGTTATCATTAATATTTAATGAAATATATAATTTTTGTGTGTTTCTGAGAAAGTCAAAAAAACAAAACTACTTGTTCGAAAATCGTAGAAAAAGAACAACTGACCCGAAAAAATGCAGTTGTTATTTTTTGTGTCAGACAAAACCAAAACCAAAAAAACATAATTATGAAATGATATATTTTCCTTTATGCTTGAATTCAGATTTGATACGAATGAGAAAAAATTAATTTTTTTCTAGCTTGATGTGAGGAAAAAATATCTTTAACCCACACAAAAGAAAAAAACCAATTCCATGCAATAAAAATGGCAGAAAACAACACGAAAGCAATTTAGAAATATTTGATTTTTTCCTCCTATTTTTGGTAGTCGTATCGAATTTAACATGAATTATTTACCTCACATCAGAAAAGTTATAGGAAAAAATTCGAGAATCAAAAATTAGACGATAAGAGCAAAAATAAGCGTATTTTAAAAAGGTTATCAGATTATTGTACTAATTAAGAGAAAGTTTTCAAAAAAAGTAAAAAAAAAGTTTTCAACCAGACATTGTTTGACCTTTTGCTCTTTGCGCCTGCAAATTTCGAGTAGTTCCGGTGCTGGAAAAAAATCTTCCTATGCCACTTTTTTTGCCTTCTAATGAAAGGAAATTGGAGAAAGTTTGTGAGGAAATTCGCTGGAGAGAAAAATCGCACGTTTTTTCGAAGGAAATGTATAAATTTAAAAATAATTTTCAGATGTTTGGAAGTGGAAATTAATTTCTCAGGAATTTTTTTGGAAAGTATTTCACACCTAGATCTAGAATCATTTTTAAAAAACGTGAATTTTCAGAATTTCATAAATATAAAACCATAGTGGCAAAAATGAAAAACCATTTCAATCATCCTTCCAAACTTCAAAGAACATGTCCAAACTAGAATATTTCATGTGAACTTGATGATTATAGACTCTCTCAAAATTTATTCAAAGGTGATATGAACTTTATTTGTTTATGAAAGTATGTCGTCATCACAATCAATTTTCAAAATCTTTGAAAAAAGTCGTTGTTTTGTCAATGTTTTCTTTCTACTCGTTTTGTTGTTTTATTTTGTTTGGTTACAGTTAATGAAATAAAAATCTAATAGTAATAATAATAGAAAAAAGAAAAACACGAAAACTGGTCTGATCCTCTCGAAAAGTGTCACTATTTCCATACGAGTCGATAAGCCAAATTGTAAATCGAAAACAAGTTTGATTGAAATGTGTATAAATATGGGCGGAATGCTTAAAATCGACACTTCATTTCGTCGTCACATATTTTAATTTCAATTAGTCAATTATGTCTGACGAAAAACTCAAACTCGCCGAAATCGAGAATCTGAAGAAAGTCGCTTTCTTCGGTGAGCAATTTTATTTTATTGAAATGTTTTTAATATGAGCAATTGTGTTGTTTTCTAGGTATCTCGGTAGCTACAATTTCAACTTTAATCGCAATTGTTGCTACTCCAATGATGTACAGTTATATGCAACATGTTCAATCTTCACTTCAAAATGAAGTTGAATTCTGTCGTCATCGTACTGATGGACTTTGGGATGAGTTTGGACGATTTGAAATGGTGCGTGGAAAGGGTGTTGCTCCACGAATCAAGAGACGTGCTCGTGCATTCGGAGCTGGTTCATATGCTGGAGGAGCTGGAGGCGGCGGCGGCGGAGGGGGATATGCTGCACCAGCTGGAGGTGGTGGGGGAGGTGGCGAATGCTGCTCATGTGGAATTGGAGCTGCTGGACCACCAGGACCTCCAGGACCAGATGGAAATCCAGGAACTGATGGAGCTCCAGGAAACCCAGGAGCTGCTGGATCTGACGCTGTTCAAGCTACCCCATCTGCTGCTGATTTCTGCTTCGATTGCCCACCGGGACCAGCTGGACCAGCTGGAAATGCAGGAGCTCCAGGGCCAGCCGGAGGACCGGGACCAGCTGGAAACACACCTTCAGGTGGAGCTGCTGGACCACCAGGACCACCAGGACCTCCAGGACCAGCCGGAAACCCAGGAACCGACGGAGCACCAGGAAACCCAGGAGCCCCAGGATCAGTCAATGAAGTTCCAGGAACTCCAGGAGCACCGGGACCAGCTGGACCAGCTGGGCCACCAGGACCAGCCGGAAATCCAGGACAAGCCGGATATCCACAACCAGGACCACCAGGGCCACCAGGAGATGCTGGACCGGATGGAGCACCAGGAAATCCAGGACAAGCTGGGCCACCAGGAGATGCCGGAGCACCAGGAAGCGGAGGAGGATGCGATCATTGTCCACCACCAAGAACCGCACCAGGATATTAGATTTGAACATAATTTGTCAAAGTTTATTTTTTTGTTTATGTGCACCTTTCGCCGTTACGTTTGTGACGGTGTGCTTTAAAGAAACTGCCTCCAAACAATAAAACGGTTTTTCGCTTTTCTCAATTCTATTTGAAACATTCACGTTAAAATTGTTTGCAGAAAAAATACGTTTCAAAAATTTTATTCAAAAAAAAGTACGGTATGATTTTCTACCCCAAAACTGCTAGTCCTCAAAATTTTTTGAAACTTTCTGGTAGATTAAAAACGACAGTTTTATTGTTCCACATTCTTCAAATCTCATTCAGAAACAAGTTCAAAATTTTACAAGATAAAAATTTACATGTTTTGTTTTTCTGCCAAAATAATAAGAAAAACAAAAAGATCATAAAAAGATACAATGAATACTTTCATTTGGAACTAGTTCAATTTTTTTGTTTCCCTTTTCTTTTTTCTAACAAGTTTGTTTTCGCTGATTGGATTAATTAGAAAACGAGGGTCAAAAATTCGGAAGTTTTTAGTTTTTGATTGGGGAAAGCTTTATTGTGAAACGAAAATTTTTGAAATTATCATGTAAAAATAAATGTTGAGCGAACGGATGTGGCACATTACGAAATTAGCTTTTGATTTCTCAAAAAAAAAAGAGTCGAGAAACTTCTGGAATTCAGAATTAGCAACGATTTTGGGAACTATCAATTTTTAAAATAATTCTTTCTCATAATTAAGTAAAACCTTAACCTAAACTATGCGCGAAAAGTGATAAAAAAGGATAAAAATAATAAGGCGACTAAAATAAATAAAATAAATTAAAATATAGGTGAGAGAGTGTGGAAAACGTAGAGAGAATAGTGAGAAAAAATATAAAATGTGGGAATTTTTACAACGACACTCCGCTTGCTCGCTGTTTAGCGCAACACGAGAATATTTTCATTTTTTGTTTTTTTTCGATGGGTTTACAGTTTTCCGGGAAAAATCAGTGGATTTCAGTCAAAAATTGAATTTTTAGATGTTCTACAAAGCTGGAATAATCGATTCGAAACTTGGAGGATTTTGGATTTATCAAGGATTGATTGGATTTTCGAATTTTCGATGATTTTTATGTGATTTGAGAAATAGAAGCGATTGGTGAGTTTTTTGGGGAGGGATTTCGGAAAATTTGAAAAAAAAAACCATAAAAAATTCTGTAAATTTGAAAAATATATGAAAATTATGAAAAAAATCTTCAAAAATTGAAAAAAGTGAGGCTCCGTTGCCGGGCTATTTAATGGTTTGTTGTTCTATTTGTAAAAGTTTGTTGAAATTCATTGTGCATTTAGGAGCTTAATTCTAGTTAAAGCATCATAATAGTAAAAAAAATTGTCAAATATTCTGAGAAGTTCGGTGTGAATTGTATTTTTGGGGGCATATAACTTTCAGCTTTTTGGTATCGTACTATCTCGAATCTTCTAAATCTAGAAATTGTATTTTATTTTTATCTATGTTCAAAGTATCTTTAATCCATCATAATTTCGTGTTTGTTGACTTTATTCTGGTTATTTTTGACGTAATCAAATTCCATCCAAGACAATAAGGTCTGCTTCCACATATATTTAATTTTCCTGTTTCTAAATATTAGTATCATAGTTTTTTCAGAACTTTCTTATCTGAAACCCTCATAAAAATTTTATCAAACACACACTTGAAACCATTTTTTGTCATTCAATTCCACTATACACCTTCTTGTCACCAAAACATCAATCTAATAAGAAAGCTGTCAAAAAGATAGTATATAAATGGGTGGATGATAACAAACTCAACCAATACTGTGTGCTTTTTTCGTTGAGGCAAAAAAAACTCAAATTGCTTCTTATCAGTGTTCATATATTTCTCTTCATATTCGAAAATGTTACTAGTACTTTTTTGAGTTTATAATTGGGTTAGGTAAGGTTAATTGAATTATCCAAGAAGTTCTGGGAACTATGAACTGACGTAATCAAGAATGCGGATTCATCAGGCCATAGTGTCCAGAATTTTGAACTGGGTAAACATTTATTTATTTTTTGGTGAAAAAAAAACAAGTCAAGAAAATTGTGCCGAACTACTAACAAATGAGTTTCTTCGAAACATCACTGAATTATCAATTGTAGATAATTGAAGATCAGGTCGACTTGCATTATAACATCGATTAGATGGATGTGAACATGTCAAAATAAAAATATATGATGAAACAACATTTCGATATGGGGTTATAATAATACAATAAGTTATTGATAAAGATATTCCAAGAATATGAGCTGGCGACATTATTATTGTAAATGTCATACGACCACTGCAAAAATGTAGTTTTTGTACTTATTCCGGAAATTTTCATTATTTAACATCTGCTTTTCTTCCAGAAGAAGAAAAGTTGTTATTTGTTTTCGAACTTACAACAATGGGGTTGTTGAATGAAGAGATATTGTGAAAAGAGTTAGAGGAATTGCAAAAAATATTAGAAAATGTGAAACATATGATATTAACATATATAACATCATTCGATGATTTCGAGAAACTTGTTGAGAAACTGATTGTTTTTGCTTTTCATACTCATTCCAACTTCTGAAATTATGAAATTATTATGAAAATAATTGATGGATTTAAATTGAAGAACACTTACAACATTACCATAATAAAACAAAATAGAAAAGTTAGAAAAGATAAAATGATTGCTTCCAAAGATGCCATAAAAATTGGCCATGAATTAATATCAAATGCGAATGCTCCATAATTTTGGAAAATTTCCACTACTTTTTCACCGTTTTCGATATTTTTGATCAATTGATTTTGAAGATTATGATGATCCATATCAAAAAGTGCCAAAAATAAAATTGTGTTGAAAACAAGCAAAAATAATGTGGAACAGAAAATTAGAATTTTCAAAAGTCTATCGATGGAAATGTTGAATAAACTTGTATGTAGAGTTCTGAGTGAAATGAAATTGTAAATTAATCCGAACGAAAGAAGAAGCATTGTTGGAAAAAAGTATATTGTATAAAGAGTGAAGTTTAGGTATACTGTAAGTAAGAAAGAATTTTTCAATTAGACGAAAACAGGTGGAAATATTATATAAGTAAATAAGTTACCAAAACATAATATTTTGTAGATGAAAAAAAACTTTTGAACTCACATGTGATTTTATGACTAACAACAAAAGGGCCAGTAGTTAGAAGAACTGGATATGGTAAAAGAATGAAGGGTGAAACTAGACACATAAATATTGCACCAGAACCAGCCAATAATAACTGACAGAAGAGAATATTTCGATATCTGAAATTGGGCCACTTTTTTATTTTTTTTTCTTTTATGAACCGAAGTCTTCAAATTTTTGAGCTCAAATTCCTGGTTCAATTTCAAAAAAAAACCCGTGAAAGTTGAAGTTTCTACAGAATCTGTAAATTAGGAAAAAAACTTACTCTGTTTTGAGTTTCGAACTATGTTTCATAACAATAAAACAAGTGAAAAATGAGAAAATACACGAAAAACTTGAGAACAATGTATTCATTCCTCTCGCCTTTTCAATAAATATTGTTGTATTCTCAAAATCTTCCGGAAAAGTCGAGAAAACATGGGGAAACGATAAATTTTTGACAGACTGCATTTTTTTAGAAGAATTGAAGAAGCCGCGTGTTGAAAGAGAAATGAACTGAAAACTGCGAAACAGCTGAAAATTGTGGGTAGAGAAGAATTTGTCATATTGACATTTTATTCGAGAGAACAAAAATAGAAAAATAGAATTCTAATAATAATAATTTTGACCCATTATAGAATCACGCAAGTTTTACTGCGATTTTTCAATTTTCGATTATCCCGATAATTATTTATCGAATTCCCATTTGAAGTTGAACTCGATTCTTCTTTCTCTTTTGGACCCTGAAAACATTTTTTTTTGGATTTCCATAAGTAAAATATTTTCCAAAAAAAAACCTTGGATACTTCTGCTTGAACTTGATATTGAACAATTCGATAAGTTCCAATAATTGAATCGCGCGGTCCTTTTTCTCGAACATCTTCATCTAACATTTCCTTTTGTATTCCGTATGAATTCATAATTCGCCAGACCTGAAAATGTTCTATTGATATGAACTTTTCAAAAAAAAATTCAGGACACCCACTCTAGTGTTAACTTCTGCTTTTTCAGCTTCATCGTTTTCTGGAGAAACATCGGTTTTAATGGATAAATAAGATTTTGTGAATCGACAATCTCTCATCCAATAATTCTTTTTCACATCTTCAATATCTGCCCGTTTGGTTACATCAGTTTGAAGCATTGCAGATAATAAGTGATTTGCCAAAAGTGTTACATATTCCGGAATTTGAAATTGTCCGGTCATTATTATCTGCAAACAATGAATGGAAATTGTGAAAGTCTAGATTCTTTATCCTACCGTTTTGAGTTCTGCAACAGTTTCGCCACGAAATGGCGTGACACCAACGAGCATGAAATATAATAATACACCTAACGCCCAAACATCTACCAATTCTCCAACATATGATTTATCCCTGAATAATTCGGGAGCCGCATATGGCGGACTTCCGCAAAATGTTTCGAGGTTCGTATTTTTCTGAACCAAACATGAAAACCCGAAATCGACAAGTTTCACAGTTCCCGGACCACTGAACATTACATTTTCAGCTTTTATATCACGGTGAACTAGTGAACGAGAATGCTGAAAATATATTTTCGCATTTTTTTTTTCAAAAATAAATTCTTTACCATATGTGCAACAGCTGATACAATTTGTGCAAACAATGGTTTCGCATCAGCTTCCGATAATTTTCCTTTTTCATGAATATAAGCATATAATTCACCACCACTCGCATATTCTATAACCAAATGAACACGTGTCAAAGTTTCAACACATTCAAATATTTTAATTATATTTGGATGATTCATTTTTTCCATTGATTGAATTTCACGAGCCAATAGTTTTTGAGCTTTTTGATCCATTTTTGCTTTATCCATTATTTTAACAGCAACTTTTTCTTTGGTGAGAACATGAATACCAAGCTTGACTTTCGAAAAGTTTCCAGCGCCAAGCTCTTTGCCCAATCGATAGAAACCGATTCGTTTGCCAAGAGCAACCTAGATTTAAAAAAAGGTTATCCCAAAGTTGTGACTTTAATTTACCTCTTTCTGATACATTTGATCATTTGCCAACAAATATAATGTTCTTTCATATGGTGTCATATCAGCCATTTCTTTTAGTTTGCTAACCGGAAGACTTTGAGCAGAAACAGAACGGGAAAGTGTGTCTTCGCGCGACTAAAATAACAACATTTAGAATTATCCAAAAAATTTGCAAAATAAACTAACATGACAAGGTCTACTCTCATCGTGACTTCTTTGGGTGGCTACAAATTTTGGTGGGATTCTAGTCGATTCCGAATCCGATGCATCTGGTTCTTCTTCTTCTTCAACTGTGTCTTCCTGAATTTTCAGACTTTTTCGATACATTTTTTCAGAAAAAGGCAAAAAATGGGGAAAAGGGTTTAAACTTTTGATAAAAGAACAGGATATTGCGTTTTTTTTTCGATTGTTATAAAAAATGAAAAAGATATGAGATGAGATAAAATAAAATAGAATAAAAATGGATGTGGGAGTTAGATTTGCTCTAATCTCTTCGTGTTTTTTGCAATATTCGAATAAAATATTGAGAAAAAGCTAAGAGCATATTGATTTCTTCATGTCTGGATTTATAGATTTGAAAAGTTTTAGAAACTTTTTGAAATCACTCATGAAATTTGTAATAGTCTACAGAAGGAACTTCATGTCTAACTAGAAGAACCAAGATTTTAAAGTTTTAAATTTCAGTGCATAGAATAAAGAAAATTTCATTCAAATTTTTCTACTATTAAAAACTGCCGGAAATTAAACTTGATATAATTTTCCAACTCTATTTTTTCCGGACACATTTTCATTGAACTCACTTGAATTGAAGCATAAGTTGGAGGTTCACTTCGAATTTTTCTAATCGCTTGATCTTTCATATTTCCGTCGATGAGCAAACACTTCCGCAAGAATCTATAAAAAAATTTAATGAAAGAAAAAACCAAGAAATTTGATATTAGTTAGCAAGCAAGCACGAATAAATATTCATATATCGAGCACAAAGAATAAATACTTTCGAGAAAAAAAAGTTATCAGATTTCAAAAAATGAATGCTTGATTAGATATATTCAAGTCAAAAATGCAGTTAATTTTTGTTGAAAAAAAAGAAGTTGAGATTTTATGAAAAGATTGGATTAGGAGAAGTGTAGTTCTTTGAATTTTTCTCAACAAAAAAACGTTTCCGGAAGTTTGAAGTTTTCTTGGATTTGGTTCCGATTTAAAAAAAAATTAAAAGACATCAGATGAAATCAGGACTTCCGGAAACACAATTTAAAAAATTCTGAAATATTTCCATTCTCATGTATTTCAGAAAGCATTCAAAATTAGCGTTTTGAAAAAGAAATGATGAGAAAATAAATGTGGGCGACTTGGGATTCCTAAAAAAAATAAAAATATAATAACATTTTTTTTCTCAAAAAATTTTTTTCAAGCCGAAAAATATCCGTATTAGCAATCAGAGGAAAGCTAATCCTTGCCTGTTCGAATTTGAAAAATAAGAAATTGTCTCGTCATTCAATGAGAATTGAAATATGTTTTGATGAATTTGAAATCTTGATTTTTTATTTCGAAAAGTTCAAGGTGGTCTGGAAATCATATTAATTGTCTCAGAGTTTAGGCTTTTTCTTTCTTAGAAAAAAAACTTAGCAGATAAAAAGATGAGGGTGGTCGTCATGGTGAGAAAAAAAGAAAATAAAAAGAAGAATTATGTTTTCTTATTTTTTTCAGAAAAAATGGGTTCTTTAGATACTGTAATTTTTCTGAAAGAAAATTCAAGTTTTTTAAACACATTGATTTTTGATTTATTAAAACTTTTTTTTCCAAATGAATGAAAATTATGATTTTTTTGAGCAATAATCAGAAAAAACCGCAAATTTCAAAAAATTAGGAGTAAAACTAAATCATATAATTAGAAGTTTTTGGCAAAACAATAATTTTGGGGAAAATAATTATGAGAAGAAGAAAGTTCGCAATTAGAAGAATTCTAAAGAGAATTCGTAGATTTGTGAACAGAGGAAAAACTAATCAACAATTATAATTTTACTACATATGTGTAGAACAAAATCTCAAAAATCGAAAAACTAGAGAATGTTCTGCGTGTTTTTTTCAAAAATCAGTTATTTCAAACATCGAAGTACTCCGCCCAATCCAGGAAATTTGAAATTTCATCCGGAAATCCAAGATTATCTTCACATCTAATCATCCATAGTGATTCACATTTTTTGAAAGTTTTTATTTCAACAACAAAAAATTTTGACCAGTAAAAGGAATACACGAATATTATTTGAAAAAAAACAATGAAAAATGAAAGACATTGGATACCCTAAAACAACCTGAAAATATTAGAAAAAAAACAATAAAAAAAAATAAAATACACGTAATAGTTTGTGACAAACAAAAATAATTTAGAAAAAAGCTATGAGAAATTACAGTAACGAGCAACATTTTGATTTTTTGGGCGATGAAATAACAGTCATTTCTCCAATTTCAATATTCATTGGCTTCGAAGTTTTTAGCTTGATCGATGTTTTTGAATCGATTTCTTCCGATATTTCATTGATTCTATCTCGAGCCGAAAGAACATCTTCAGCAACATCCGAAAGAAGAATTGAGAATACTGAAAAATAAAATTTTAGAATCCAAAAATATTTCTCAAGAAACTTACAATCTGGTTCATCACTCGAAACTTCATAAAATTTGGCATTTATTCTGACAGCTTTTGCTTTTCCTTCAACTGTTGAAATCTCACGTTTCTCAACGAGATCAGTTTTATTACCAATCAAATAAATATTTGTTTGATCTGTTCCACAAGATCTTTCTAATTCATCCATCCATTTATCAACATCTTCGAACGATTCACGATTTGTGACGTCATAAACAATCAAGGCTGCATCAGCATTTCTCATATACATTGGAACCATACATCGGAAACGTTCTTGTCCGGCAGTATCCCAGACTTGAAGACGAATTGATTCATCTCGCTCAGTTTCACTGAAATTTAGGATTTTATTTTAAAAAAATACAATTTATAATTTCTTTCTCATAATTCTGTGTCAGGTATCAAAAAACTCACCAATCACAAGATACAAAACTGGCACCAATTGTCGCGTTCACCGACACAAATTGTGTTCCAAAACGATGTCGATAGATAATTGATGTTTTGCCAACACCCGAATCTCCCAAAACCACAACCTTTGCTCGTTGTTTTGGTGCAATTGGTGTTGTTGTTGTGGAAATAGTTTGCTCATGATCCATAATCGCTTCACGAACTTTTTCGGCTGCGTAAACGATTTTACCGCAAGGCCGAGAGCTAACATCGTTGGTGGATTGACGGCGGAGAAGTTGCATTTCAGTTGATGTGTAAGGAGCCATTCTGAAATCACAAAAATGTTGATCATTGATGTATTAAAGAGAAAAACAAATAATATAAGTTTTATCAATGAAACAATCGAAAATGGGAATTTTCGGGGGATGAATGAAAGAGAAAAAGAACAATGAAGGGAAATAGACGATAAGGCACCAGTTGGACACAAAAATGGCATCGTGTTGACGGACAATTTGAGAAAAGATCAAGGAAAAAAGAAATCGTTTAGAGACCTATAATTAACTCTAAGCTTTTGAAACCTAAAAGTTAATAATTTTTTGAAGAAAACCAATTTATATGAGAAAAAAATTAGTTTTGAAGTTTCAAGAAATTTAGCAAAAAATTATAGTCCATAGAAAATAAAAAGCTAAAATTAAAGAATATAATATATTCCAAATCAAAAAAAATACCGAAAAAATCAACAGATGTTGTTGGGTTGAAAAGCGGAGGCGAAGTGTGCATAAATGATAACAATACCCCACGTTTCTCTTCTTTATAAGCTCCGCCCCCTTTTTGTTGGGGGTTGTCCTTTGACACCGAAAATATCTGGTATTATGGGAAACTAAAGTGTTGTATTGTTTTGAATATGTGAAAACGTGCATCGAAAATGATCTTCGGACGATGGGAAAAAATAAATAGGGATGTTGTTTATTTGTTTGTGACTACTGAAATATGGAATGATAACATGCGGAAATTTTATTATTGTTGATTACTATCAAAGATTGTTTTCAAATTTTTATCCTCAAAAATATTTTTGTTTTTAAAGATAAATTTGTCTGGAAGAAAGCTAGCGATGAAACAAGAAAGTACTTTTGAAATACCGTAACCTGACAATTGTTATTGGATGAGCGTATGTATGTGTAAATAAATATTATTACACAAATGCGAAATTTCATTGAAATATTCTGATTATTCCCTCCCGTTGGACTACGGTATATGTACACTAAAGATCACAACGTGCCAGTGGAAAATTCAAATGTGAAAATTTCATCGAAATGAAATGATGTTTACGACACGGTTTATCGAGAATATTCTTGATTAGAATTTGTTTTTCTTCAAAAAATAAGGAATAACAATTGGAATGTCGATCTTATAGATGCGCAGTGATGATTTCGTCATTATTAGAAATATGCCATTATTCAGATTAGAATAAATATATGTCAAGTGTTTCTGAGAATGATGAAACCCTAGATTTTTTGTTAGAAATTTTGAAGTTCTTTATGATTATTTTTAAAATTCAGAGCCAATCAAAAAAAATTGAAATATGGGGTGAATAATCAATTCCTATTTCGATGAAACAAAATAGTTTAGAAAGTTTACCACGTTTTGATCGATAAAATAATTTTTGAACTTATAGATAAATTAGCGCTGATGTAGCAAAAGGTCATCAAAAAATATGCAAAATAACAAAAACAAAAAAAGCTCCGTTTCCACGTCATACGATCAAACAACCAAACACCACATCTTGGGTGAGAAGAAGAAGTGGACATTGGCTAGCAGCGACGAGGAGACATTTGTATTTTTCGTTGACAAAATATGTATTCAATGGACACAGGAGAGAGAAATGTAACAGATTTATATATGTGTATTATTATTGATGGCGATAGACACCAATGATTGGCGGGGTGCACTTGAAAGAGCACATGAAAATGTATATTGATGTGTCGATTTGATAGTTCTTTTTAGTTTCAACGAAAAATTTTTGAAGAAAATATGATAAGACAAACTTTCGAACACACGATTATTTTGCATTTTCTCCGAAACAAATAGGGAAGTTTAGGGTTTTTTTTTCTCAAATATTATTTAACAAGTTTAAGTTTATAAATTAAAAAAAAGATGAAAGAATTTTTGAATTCGGGGCATTTAACGATTACTGTTTTTTTCAGAGAAAATTCAGAAAAAAGAGCAAAAAAAATTACTATCAAGTTTTTGTGCGAAAATTGTATTCACTTTCTTAGGAGAGAGAAAATGATACGTAATGATGGTCATTGGAAAAATCCAGTGAGGGTCGAACAGGTTGTTATTTTATCAGTTATAATACATATTTTTCTGATGAGGAAACAACGAATAGTTTGCAAGCATTTTGTACGTTTCGTTGAAATCAAAAGAAACGGGGCACTTGATCAGAGAAACTTTGAATGGCCCAGTTTTCACCGTACTCCAGCTGTACACGAATTGGAAATTTTCGACGGAAAATATCATAATCTTGCTTCAGGTCTGGCTGGACATTTTCCCAAAATCCATTTTTCCCGAACAATTTTCCCATAAAATGTTTCCCGGTCATTTCGCACATTCCAACCATATCGATAGGTGACAACATATGTTTCCGACAGTATCTATTTTTAACACATCCCCTTTTTTCTTCGCGAAAATAAATAATTCATGGCAAAATTAGGAAGCATTCCTGATTTTGCCATGCATGAGTCATTTTTCGAACAAAAAACTTGTAATTTTCAATTAATTTTATTTTTATTATTTTTTTAAACATCTTTTGAGTTAATTTAACACAAAAAATAGATTCAAAAAGTTTTTAGAGTATATTTACTAATCGATATCAATACTACCTAGTGTGTAAACACCGCGACGCACAAGTACACAAATTTGCCTATCTACCGTAGTAAAACTTTCGCGAAAAAACATTTTTGCGAAAAGTTTCCGAGCTCTGCAGAAAAATATGCGGATCCGGTTAATTAACCTTACGAATTTCAACCACGTCCTCTGACTTCCTGTCACAATTGCGTTTTCTCCGGCAGGCTTTTGAAATTAGAAATGACATGTTTTTTTAAATGAAAAGAGCACGGTCCAAAATGTATAGAAAATCAATTGTTGCGTGACATTTTCGCACGTCAGACTCCAAATTTAACGTTGAAACAAAATGTTGAACATCGAGTCATTTTCGCTCTATTGCAAACCCAGGAACACATTTGAAATCGTCATCATTTTCTATTTCTCTCACACGCTGACCATGTTCTCACTTTTTTGTCATCATTTATTTTTTCTTAGCTTTTTAGATACTTGCGAAATCTTCACTAAGATTAACCTTTATTAATTTCAGTTTGAACCAAGGAATAATCGAAAATGGCTCAAGTTCCAACGTAAGTTTTTTTAGTAGATGAATTTTCAGTCAATTTTTAATTGTGTTTCAGACACAAAGACGAAAAGGAGAAAAGAAATGATGAGTTATCAACAGCTATTCTGAAGGTGAATATTTTCGAGTACCCTTTCTCACTTAAAAAATTATAATTTTCAGGACAAAGCTCGACCAAACAGATTAATCATTGATCAATCTGAAAATGATGATAATTCAATGATCATGCTTTCACAAACAAAAATGGATGAACTCAGTCTTTTCCGAGGAGATTCAGTCCTTTTGAAAGGCAAAAAACGTCGCGAGACTGTTGCCATCGTTTTATCCTCCGATAATTGTTCGAATGATAAAGTCAAAATGAATCGTGTTGTCAGAAATAATTTGAGAAGTCGTCTTGGAGATGTTGTCAGTGTTACTGGTCATCAACTCGAATACGGTAAAAGAGTTCACGTTTTGCCAATTGATGATACTATCGAAGGACTTACTGGGTTAGCTGTTTTTATACTTCTATTGGAATCGTTTTTTGAACTTTACATATTTCAGAAACGTATTTGATGTTTTCCTTCGCCCATACTTCACTGATGCTTATCGTCCAGTTCACAAAGGTGATATATTCACAGTTCAAGCAGCAATGAGAACCGTGGAATTCAAGGTTGTGGAAACTGATCCATCTCCAGCCTGTATTGTCGCTCCAGACACCGTCATTCACTACGAAGGAGATCCGATTAAACGCGAAGAAGAGGAAGAATCATTGAATGAAATCGGATACGATGATCTTGGTGGAGTTCGCAAACAACTCGCTCAAATCAAAGAAATGGTCGAATTACCATTGAGACATCCTCAATTATTCAAAGCAATTGGTGTCAAACCACCACGTGGAATTCTTCTCTTCGGACCACCGGGAACCGGAAAAACACTCATCGCCCGAGCTGTTGCTAATGAAACTGGTGCATTCTTCTTCCTCATCAATGGTCCAGAAATCATGTCAAAGATGTCGGGAGAATCGGAATCGAATTTGAGAAAAGCATTTGCTGAATGCGAGAAGAATTCACCAGCCATTTTATTCATTGATGAAATTGATGCGATTGCACCAAAAAGAGAGAAGGCTCACGGAGAAGTTGAGAAAAGAATTGTGTCACAATTGTTAACTCTTATGGATGGTTTGAAGACTCGTGCTCATGTTGTTGTTATTGCGGCTACAAATAGACCAAATTCGATTGATGGAGCATTGAGACGTTTTGGTAGATTTGATCGTGAAATCGATATTGGTAAGTTTCAGTTGGCAAAAAAATATGTTAAAATTCGAAAAAATAACAGGGCTAATCAAATATTTTCTCAGTTTTCTTGGATTTTCTTAACCTTTTCAGCGTTGGAAAAATAAGTTGAATAGCCCCTGGTCTAGGGCGGAATTATTAATTATTTTTCTCACAGGAATTCCGGACGCTGTCGGTAGACTTGAAATTCTTCGTATCCACACCAAAAACATGAAATTGGGTGATGATGTTGATTTGGAACAAGTTGCCAACGAATGTCATGGTTATGTTGGTGCTGATTTGGCTTCGCTTTGTTCCGAAGCTGCACTTCAACAAATCCGTGAAAAGATGGAGTTGATCGATTTGGAAGATGATACAATTGATGCGGAAGTTTTGAACTCCTTGGCCGTCACAATGGAAAACTTCCGTTTCGCAATGGGCAAATCATCACCATCTGCACTTCGTGAAGCTGTTGTTGAAACACCAAATACAACATGGAATGATATTGGTGGACTTCAAAATGTTAAACGAGAATTGCAAGAATTGGTTCAATATCCAGTCGAGCATCCTGAAAAATATCTTAAATTCGGAATGCAACCATCAAGAGGTGTTTTGTTTTATGGTCCACCTGGATGTGGTAAAACATTGTTGGCTAAAGCGATTGCCAATGAATGTCAAGCAAATTTCATTTCAATCAAGGGACCTGAATTATTGACAATGTGGTTTGGAGAATCTGAAGCGAATGTGAGAGATGTTTTTGATAAAGCAAGAGCTGCTGCTCCATGTGTTTTGTTCTTTGATGAATTGGATTCGATTGCAAAATCAAGAGGTTCTGGATTGGGTGATGCTGGAGGTGCTTCAGACAGAGTTATTAATCAAGTTCTCACTGAAATGGATGGAATGAATGCGAAGAAAAATGTTTTCATTATTGGAGCTACAAATAGACCGGATATTATTGATCCAGCTGTTCTTCGTCCAGGTCGACTTGATCAATTGATCTATATTCCATTGCCAGATGAAGCATCAAGACTTCAAATTTTCAAGGCTTCGTTGAGAAAAACACCATTGGCAAAGGATTTGGATTTGAACTTTTTGGCTAAAAACACTGTTGGATTCTCTGGAGCTGATTTAACCGAAATTTGTCAAAGGTTTGTAGTAGAGAAACATTGAAGATGTGAATAATTCCAATTTAATTTTTGTTTCTAGAGCATGTAAATTGGCTATTCGTGAATCGATTGAAAAAGAGATTCGTGATGAAAAAGATCGACAAGAACGTCGTGCTCGTGGTGAAGAATTGATGGAAGATGATTTGGCTGATCCAGTTCCGGAAATTACTCGTGCTCATTTTGAAGAAGCTATGAAATTCGCTAGAAGATCTGTTTCTGATAATGATATTAGAAAGTGAGTTTTATTCTTAGCATCGGCTTTTGGATCGAAATATCTCAAATTTTAGACCTAAAAATGGCCATTTTGTGTTCAGAAAAAATTCTAGACCTAAAATCTATACTCATTCTCAAGTTAAAGGTCCAAAACAGAGGCTTATTCAGACTCAAAAAAAACCAAATTTTAGGCCTGCCTTCTAGGCTTATTCAGGCTCTAATACTGACCGAAATTTCAACATCTGAATCTAGGCTTATTTCCTCGAATATTAGGCATAAGATATAGGCTTTGTTAGGCTCAAAAATTCGAGCCGAAAATCTAGGATAATTTAGCCCTAAAAATCCCCGAACGGCATAAGATAGGCCTAATTGGGCTCAAAAAATCTCAAAATCTCGTGCCTGAATTCCACGCTTATTTAATTTATGAACCCCTTCCAATAATTTTTTTCCAGATATGAAATGTTTGCCCAAACTCTTCAACAATCTCGTGGTTTTGGAAACAATTTCAAATTCCCAGGCGAGCCAAATGCAGCTCCAACTTCCGGCGGTCAACCAGTTGGTGGTGGTGCAGCTGGAAACGATGATGATGATTTGTACAGTTAAACAAGTTTTACTTATCTAAAATCCCCCCTTATTTATTATTTATTGTATGTTCAATATGTTTATTTTTCACCCGTTTACTGGTTGGTTTGGCGTTTTGTAAGATCGAAAATAAAATTAATATTTTTGAGAAATTCATCAAGAATTAAAGCGAACCATATTTATCTAGTTCGGATTTCCCGTTATAACAAAATCAGATCAAAGAAAAAAGTAATTATTTAACAAAATACTGCGAATTACTTATGAATTGATATGTGTTCGAGGCCGAATCGAATCACAAATTGTCTGATATATAGTTTGAAACCATGGTTGTCTACATTCATCCCAAACCAATTCAACACTGTTTTCCAAGTTTCTCAAAGCCATTATACAAATTTCACCGTCGAACATTTCAATTCCATCCTGAAAAAAACATGATTTAAAATTTGACATATATTCAACTCCAAGACGAATATCGTGCTGGAATAAATATTATTGTTTTAGATATAGAAGTTGGGTAATTCTGTACTAATCTAGTTTCATGAGATCAAAATCTAAAATTTTTGGATTTCGAAAATTTGCCATCGGAAATCCACGTGAAAACATTTTTTGAACTCGAAATTTTGGCGTTAAAAATCCACTTGGCAATATCCTTTTTTATTAAATTCATACACCTTTTCAATCCTGTATCTATAGGATCTCGAAATGTTTTTTCCCATTAAAATTTAAATTTATTGCCCCTTCCTTTCCTATACAACAAAAATTATTTCATCTGAAAACAAAAATAAAGCAATGAGTCTCTTAGTAACTGCTACGTTTCTTATTTTTTTCGTTGGATTTGGATTCGTTTCATCGAATGCAATTGTTTTCTATGGAACTATAGGTTCAACTCCAAGCTGTAATACAAGCCTGACTCTAACATGGCCGGAATGTGTGACCGAGTGCAATTCAAATACATCAGATTGTATTGTGAGTGAATTATTTGAAAGGGGAAACTTCTGAAAAGCCCGGGAATACTCCTCTATTAGTAAACTCCCCTTTCCAGCTTGCTTTCTACGATTCTTCCAAAAAATGCAATCTTTGCTTGTATGGTCAAATTAGTAATGTGGCTTACACAAATAAACCGACTGATACAGAAATTGCTCTAAAGCTTAGCAATGAGGTCAACTGCAATTCGGTCCAGTCTCAACTGGAAGCTGGAAAAATTGATGAATTCAAACAATGCCAAGATGGTTGGACAAAATATACCCGCGAGAAAACAATATGGTGTGTTATAAGAATTAGAGTATTTAAGACCAGTGGTTTTAATTACACGGATGCTGTTAATTTTTGCAATGAATTGGAGGCAGTCGTTTCTGGAGTGGAGAATTCAGAAGAACTACAACAGTTTACTGTCGGAATGACTAATGGAGCGTGGGTTTCGAATTACAAGAAAATAAATGATGTGAGATTAACTTATGTTTTATTTTAATTTAAATAGTTCTGAATATTTCAGACTTATCAATGGGTCGCTGATACATATGTTTCTGAGTTTAAATCTGCGTTATTTGTAAATCAAAAATTGTCGGATAAATTAAATTGTGCGGCTATCGAATCTAGCTTGTCACAGACCTCGTAAGGAAAAAATGATATGATATTTAAATTTAAAATAATTTTCAGATGTTCTTCTAATCCACAATCATTCGGCGTAATTTGTGGGAAACCAATTTGGTGAATGCAAATTTGAATAAAATCATGTTAAATTACTTACCTCGAGTAGCTTCAGTAAAATTACCTTGATTTCTGGGGCTTTCATGCTAGATTTTATTATTTATCAAATAATTTTCTTCAAAATGTTCTATTGAGTCTCGAAATGGCCAAAAACGACTAGAAAAGTGAAATATAAAAATTTTCGAATTTTTTTTATTTTTCGAAGTGTACGGTAATTTTTCACCCGTTTACTGGTTGGTTTGGCGTTTTGTAAGATCGAAAATAAAATTCATATTTTTGAGAAATTCATCAAAAATTAATGCGAACCATATTTATCTAGTTCGGGTTTCCCGTTATAACAAAATCAGATCAAAGAAAAAATTAAGGAATTATTTAACAAAGTACTGTAGTTATGAATTGAGATGTGTTCGAGGTCGAATCGAATCACAAATTGTCTGATATATAGTTTGAAACCATGGTTGTCTACATTCATCCCAAACCAATTCAACACTGTTTTCCAAGTTTCTCAAAGCCATTATACAAATTTCACCGTCGAACATTTCAATTCCATCCTGAAAAAACATGATTTAAAATTTAATAAAAATTTTGTCACGTACCTGTTTCAATTGTAAATGTGGATCATGTACTTGCATCTCTTCACTCAACTCTTTCCAATTCAACTTTTTCCCGCGAATTATTTGTGAAAGAGATACGGTAATTGGAATCATGTTATTGTCTTCACTTAAATTTATTTCATTATTCACTTCAATTTCCAATTCTTGTGTCTGAAAATAAAAAAAAAATAAATTAGAATTTCAAAAAAAAAACTCACACTTTGATCAAGAACAAATTTACTGTTGAAAGGACATTGTTTTTTCGAAGGATTTGGATCCAAGCTAATGCATTTTTCAATTTTCTGCAAAGAAAATCTCAATTTTTCCCAAATCTACTTCAAAACTTACGTCTTGAGAAATCGGAAGTTCAAAAGTTGGCAATTTCTCAATCGAAACCGTTTCACCATTTGCTGGCATATGAACAGGAATTTTGAACTCTTTCACAACTTTTCCTTTGAGAAATTCCATTTTTGCAGCTTCTCCGTGGACAAACATAACATGTTGTGGTTGACATTGTCGGATTAATTGCATAATTCCTTTTGCATCTGCGTGTGCACTGAATGACATATATTCAACTCCAAGGCGAATATCGTGCTGGAATAAATATTTTTGTTTCAGATATAGAAGTTGGGTAATTCTGTACTAATCTAGTTTCATGAGATCAAAATCTAAAATTTTTGGATTTCGAAAATTTGCCATCAGAAATCCACGTTGCAGAATTTTTTGAACTTTAAATTTTGCGGCCAAATTTCAACATGGCAACATTTTCAAATTTTGAAAATTTACCATCAGAATTCCACGTAGCAAATATTTTTCACTCTTAATTTTTGCCGCCAGAAGTATATTATTCAAATTAGAAATTTTGATGTTAAAAATCCACGTGAAAACATTTTTTGAACTTGAAATTTTGCAGCCAAATTTCCAGATCGGTAAATTTTTGAATTTGAAATTTTGTCCGAAAAATCCACGTGGCAATATTATTTTTATTCGAATTCTCCCGCCAAAAATTCAAAAACATTCCCACCATTTTTCCATCAATCTCAATTCGTTTCTCGCCATTAATAACTCGTGCTCCAACAGTTCCAGCAACACAATAACCAGGCATAATAATCATATTATTCGGATCAGAACACCATTTTTTGAACACTTTCAACGATTGTCCACCGTGCAACATTCCAGGTGTTGAGAAAAGGACTTGTGGTCCCGGCATATCTTCAGCTCCTTTTTCCATTGGTCGAATATGTTTGAATTCGAACATATTTCGTTCAACAAATGTTTTTTTGATGTTTTCATTGGTCCAGGAAATAAAAAGTCGATAATATTGATTTGCTCTTTCGGCAAGACCTTGTGAGAAGAAAATCGGAATTTTCAGCGCCATTCTCTCCCAATACGATTCCAAAAGAATACATAATTCCTGAGCTCGACCAAGTGCAAAAACCGGAATTATGACCTGAAATTTGCTTTTATTTTTTGATGTATCATTTTTTTTGCATTTCCAAATATACATTTCTTCCTGTATCTATAGAATCTCAAAATGTCTTCCCATTACAATTTATTGCTTCTTCCTTTCCTATACAACAAAAAAATATATTTCATCTCAAAACAAAAATAAAGCAATGAGTCTCTTAGTAACTGCTACGTTTCTTATTTTTTGCGTTGGATTTGGATTCGTTTCATCGAATGCAATTGTTTTCTATGGAACTATAGGTTCAACTACAAGCTGCAATACAAGCCTGACTCTAACATGGGCTGAATGTGTGACCGAGTGCAATTCAAATACGTCAGATTGTATTGTAAGTGGAATCAATTTGTGTAAGAATTCAAGTTCTAGTTCTCAAAACTCATTTCTAAATTTAGCCCTCTAGAAAACCCAAGTGGCCCGGGTAACTTCTGAGAAGCCCAGGAACACTTCTCGACTAGTAAATTCCCCTTTTCAGCTGGCTTTCTACGATTCTTCCAAAAAATGCAATCTTTGCTTGTATGGTCAAGTTAGCAATGTGACTTACACAAATGAACCGACAGATTTGGAAATTGCTCTAAAACTGAGCAATGAGGTCGACTGCAAGTCAGTCATGTCACAACTGGAAACTACTGGAAAATTTGATGAATTCAAGCAATGCGAAGATGGTTGGACAAAATATACACGCGAGAAAACAATATGGTGTGTCACGCAAATTAGACCAACAAGAGACAGTGGTTTGAATTACACGGAAGCTGTTAAATTGTGCAATGAATTGGAAGCGGTCGTTTCTGGAGTGGAGAATTCAGACGAACTACAACAGTTTACTGATGAAATGACTGGTGGAGCATGGGTTTCGAACTACACAAAAATAAATGATGTGAGATTAATTTATGTTTTATTTGAATTTGAATATTTCAGACTTATCAATGGGTTGCTGATTCATATGCTTCTGAATTAAAATCTGCGTTATTTGTAAATCAAAATATTTCGGATGACTTAAATTGTGCGACTATAAGTGGATCCAGCATGTCACAGATTGGGTAAGAAAAATGTGAGATTTAAATTCAAAATATTTTTCAGATGTTCTACTAATACAAAATCATTGGGCGCGATTTGTGGGAAACCAATTTGGTAAATGCAAAATTTGAATAAAATCATGTTAAATTACTTGCCTTTCCACCTTTCATAACACATTCGTGAACTTTTCTCAAAAAATCTCGTTCTCTTGCTCGTTTCGAATCTCGAATTGTTGTCGCATAAGTTGATTCGGAGATCAATACAGTTGGCCGAACTCCCGGCAAAACACGTGCTGCGCCAAGATGTCTATCTGGTGTCATGTTATAATCGCCTGAAAAAAAAGAAATTAGAAAATATTATTTATATTTTTATTTCTATAGATGTACCTGTATATAGAACTGATTGATTGTTAACTCGAATTTCAAACATCGCTGCTCCTAACACATGTCCCGCGTAAAATGCGCGAATACTCAATTCCTCATCCACTTTGATAACTTCATGCAATGCAACTCCGATTACTTTCTTCATACAATTTTTGATATTATCAGAAGTGAAAAAATTTGATTCGCCTTTAATATCACATTGAACTTTGCGATAATCTTCCAATAAAACAGGAGCAATTGCTTTTGTTGGATATGTCATATAAATTGGTCCATCGAATCCAACAATTTCACTCATATGTGGAAGTGAGCCACAATGATCCAAATGAAAATGAGAAATAATGACACAATCTAGATAATCTGTCAATCTTCCACCTCCGCCGATATAAGAAAAATCAGGGAATCTTCTGTCGTCTTGATAACCCATGTGCATTCCGCAATCGAGCATTATATTTTTGGAACCAATTGTAACCAAAATACAACTTCTTCCAACATCTTGACCAGCTCCAAGTGGAACAATCTGAAAATTTAATTTTTTATTCATTCAAAAATCCGTTTTTCTCGTGTGATTTCAGTAAAATTACCTTGATTTCTGGGGCTTTCATGCTGGATTTTTTTTATTTATCGAATTATTTTCTTCAAAATGTTCTATTGAGTGTCGAAACGGCCAAAAACGACTCGAAAAGTGAAAAATAAAAATTTTCGAATTTTTTTTATTTTTCAAGCACACCCTCTCAAACAATGAAAAAATTAGCAAAATGCTGTTCTCATTGGCGTACCAATTTTAGTTACCTTAGAGGTCGTTATATGAAAAACTAAAAATACCATTAGAATCAGCGTCTCAAGATCTACATTAAACTATGTTACTCATATTTTTAGGGGTCCTGCGAAGAAAGTTACGATTTGCGTCGAGACCACGCGGTTAAATAAATACGTGTCCCTTTAATCTGCAACGTAAATCAATGAAATAGTTGGCGTACCAATTTTCGTTAGGAAAACATGCGTTAGAGAAAAAATGAAAAATATCACGAGATTCAGCGTGTCGAGATCTACATTAAACCATAAGATTCATAATTCCTAAGAGCCCAGGAAGGCCAGCTTTTCGAGACCCAATAAATTAATAAATGTATGTTCCTTTGAACGAACAAAACAGTGTGAATTCTCGAGAGACGCAGAGACGCGGTGTTTGCACACTTTTCGATTGCGTACTACAGTAGAAAAACAGTCATTTCTCGTTTCAGCGGGGTGTGCAAGGTGTACGGTAAGCAAATGTTCGTCAAATAAAATGTGTACACAAATGCGTACTGCACACATCTGGCGAAATTCCACTTTTCTTTTTCTCTGGCCTAAAATTTTTCCCTGTTTTCCCGAGTTTTGCTGTTGAAATTTTACTTTTCGGTTCAAGTAGGAGTTTTGAATAATGTTGATTACGTTTGTCTTCACTGTTATAAGTTCCAAATCAACACCCGCTTCATTTCTCAATTAAAATTGCATTACGAAATTTGCTCTTTACCCGTTATTCGAAATTTTTCATGTATTTATGATTTTTGTTTCAGACATGGGTAGACGTCCAGCGCGGTGCTACCGCTACATCAAAAACAAGCCATACCCAAAATCCCGATTCTGTCGAGGAGTCCCAGACGCCAAGATCAGAATTTTCGATTTGGGAAAGAAAAGAGCTAATGTTGACGAGTTCCCAGCATGCGTGCACATGATGTCAAACGAGCGTGAGCATCTTTCATCAGAAGCTCTTGAAGCCGCTCGTATTTGCGCTAACAAATACATGGTCAAGAACTGCGGAAAGGTAAATTTTTGTGCAATCCTTTTTAATCCTAATAATAACTTGATTATTTCAGGACGGTTTCCATCTCCGTGTCCGTAAACATCCATACCACGTCACCCGTATCAACAAAATGCTTTCATGCGCCGGCGCTGATCGTCTTCAGACAGGAATGCGTGGAGCTTACGGAAAACCACAAGGATTGGTCGCCCGTGTTGATATCGGAGATATCCTTTTCTCAATGAGAGTTAAGGAAGGAAACGTCAAGCACGCCATTGAGGCCTTCCGTCGTGCCAAGTTCAAGTTCCCAGGACGTCAAATCATCGTCAACTCACGCAAATGGGGATTCACCAAATGGGACAGAGAAGACTACGAACGCATGCGCGCCGAAGGACGACTTGTCTCTGACGGAGTTGGAGTTCAACTTCAACGTGAACACGGACCACTCACCAAGTGGATCAACAACCCAATCTAAATTGTTTTCAATGTATTTGTTGACATGCAAATGAACTCTCGTTGTTTATATCCGTCTTAGTTTGTAAAAGTTTTATATGTAACATGTTTCATATCAGTTTCTTGCCATATTTTATGTAGGTGTTGAATATGGCAAAAATAAATTCAGATGTCGGATCCTATGATGACGAACATTTTGAATTCTCTTCGAACTGGCCAAAACTTGCCACCAGAAATTGTGAATTATATGTATATCCATGGTTCCTTTCTGGTAAATACACTGTTGAAAATCTGAATCAGTGTTTGATTTTCAGCTTTTCCTCGACTTCCCAGAAGGTTCAGAATTCGGAATTGATTACAAATCCTGGAAAACCGGTGATAAATTTCGAGGCCTCAAGATGATTCCTCCCGGTGTTCACTTTGTCTATTGTAGCATAAACTCAACTCCAAGGATAGGATTTTTCCACACCTTCAAAGCTGGAGAAATAGTTGTTAAGAAATGGAACAAACAGACTGAAGATTTTGAAGATCAAGAAGTTCCAGAAGACGTAGGATTTTTATCAGACTTGATAATAAATACTTTGGGAAAATGTTGAACTATTTCCAGCAATTACCAGAAAAACGTCAGCAATTGAAAAATCTCGATTCATGTCTTGCTCCATATCCATTCGAAAACTACAGAAGTTGGTATGCTCTCACAGATTTTGTCACAGAATCAACAGTCAATCGGTAATTTCACTTATTCAATTAGTTAAACTAGATCAACTTGATATTCTCTTCAGAATCAAACCATTAAAAGGTCGAATCACAGCGCAAGCAGAATTAGTCAGTCTTGAAACAGCGTATATGGAAAAACCAGAGGACAATCCTGAAGTCTCGTGTACTCAAACAGTTGATCGAGATCATCCAATCAGAACTCGTTTTGTTGATCAACACGGTTTGCCAGTTATGAAAATTCGCGAAGGATACGAGATTCGTTTTCAAGAAATTCCACAATTGAGGGTGAGTCGAAATATGGGAAATTTAGAAACAAATAAAGCTTTTGAAAAAATATCTAACATAATATAACACATTTATTGATAAATCTCTTCAAATTATACTATTTTTGGGATCAACGTTTTTTTGGTAAAAATTTGTAAATCTGGAAGATCTTCCAGTTTTACAAATTCTGTTTTTTCGAGCCAAAATTCATTATATCAGTCTGAAATTGATATTATTTCATATGTTGAGCATTTATTGATTGCTGTATTCAACTTATATTAACTCACCTAGGAGCGAACAGCTCCTAGTTTCAAATAAATTATCCAAGAACAATTCTGACGTGGAAAACATGATTTATCAAAAAAAAACCTGGAATTTCTCTGAAAAATGTTCCACTAAATTTTTTTATCGTAATTTTTTGGCTGATATTTTTTATTGTTCAAAATAAAAAAAAAACTCAACTCATAATAATTATTTATAGGGAGATATTCCTCGAATTGGAATCGAACATTCTGATAGATTATTTCGCCTAACTCGTTCTCTCAATGGAGATTGGAAACAATTATTAGCCGAGCTTCAAATCGCCTTCGTCTGTTTTTTGATCGGACAAGTTTTCGAAGGATTCGAGCAATGGAAACGAATTATTCATTTATTATGTTGTTGTCCGAATTCATTTGGATCACAGCACGATTTGTTTATCTCATATATACGAGTAAGAAAAATATTCCAAGAATTAAAAAAAAATCTAGAATTTTTTTTAGGTATTATTTTTCCAACTGAAAGAATGTCCTTCGGACTTTTTTGTCGACATCGTTTCCCGTGACAATTTCCTGACTACAACCTTATCAATGCTTTTTGCCAATATTAGAGGTAACTTTGTTTTTCCCGGGAAAAATAAACGAGTAAATAAATAGTACGGAATGTTGATAAGAAGGAGAAAGTTACAGATTCGGCGCACGCAAAAGATGATTTGAAGAAGAAATCTGCACAATTCAAGGCGTATCTCACGAAACAATTCAAATGGGATTTCGAATGCGAGTAATATTTGATGTTCATTTTGCAAAATAAATTTATTGGGACAATCAAATATGGAAAAAAGAACGAAAAAACAAAGCGAAAGTCATGAGTTATATGAAAAATGTGAGATTGAACATTATTTTTCGAGGGAGGAAGGCACTAGAATTGGGGCGGGGATTTATTTATCAATCAAAATAAAATGAAATGCAAAGTGAAAACTGACCCTGAATCTTTTCAGGGCCTAACCAATAATGAACTAAAGCCCTAAAAGGTAGATGATAAAGATTGCGGGATAAACATGTAAGGGTATTAATTTAGAAAAGAGCTGTTTCAACTAGAAATCGGGATTTTTAGACGCGCTGATCAGGATCTCGTAGTAAAAACTGCGAAATTCCACGTCTAGTGGCAAAGTTTCGAAGAGTCGTGATTTTTCTATTCGAAAAAAAATATATCATTAAAAATCGCGGTTTCTAGTTGAAACAATTCTCTTAATTAATTTGTTATATAAAAATTATATTGTTGGAGCATCCAGAACTTGTGAAATATTTAAATGATGTTTGATCAGAACATCATTTTCACCTCCTTCAATTTTCTCATCAACATCAACAATTTCATCGTCGCCACCTCGAATTCCAATCAAATTATCATCATTTGTCGAATTATTATCATTCTTTGATAATTGTGACAATTCTTGTGCATGTGTTGTTGCCAAATGCATAAAAAGTATATCAGTTGCATAGGTTGAAAATGAGCACAAAGTGCATTTCATTGGAGTTGTTGGAGGTGGAAATGGTTGAAGAAATTGGGCATTATTATGAATTGAAGTTGGAAGGAATGAAGAAGCAGATGATGAGGAGGATGAAGAATTTGATGAGGATGAAAGTAGATCAGGAAGATTTGAAGGAATTATTGATGTTGTAGATGTGCACACTTGCTTCTTCCTAGAAAAAAGACCGGATTTAGAATTTCCACGTTATAACTTTATTTTGGGCAATTTGTGAATTCCCTAGAATCTCCCCTCCCATTAATTAATTCACGAAAATTTCTACAACTTTTTTTTCCCGAAGATTTAGCCTTCACAATTAAGGAGCAGGTGCAAATGTTGCGTTCGTTTTTGGAACACAATTCAAATGACCGTGAAACATCGATGTAGGTCCGTCCTTGTAATTTACTTTTCTCATCAAATCGAAACATCGAGAAAAAACAGAAAAATCAGCTGATAAAGAGTATAAATTGCGAGATGAAAACATGGAATAATAGTACAAGAAAAGGTGATAAACATCTTCGTTTCTCTCGAAATTTGTACTTAGCCAGCCAGCAAAGCAAAATTACTAAATAGCAGCAAAGTTTCAATGTTTATGAGAAAAACTTGATTTTCTTTTGAAAAGAATATTTTGATTTGGAAAAAGAAATAAATTACTGCAGAGCTTTTCGGAGAAGAGTTCCAAAAATTTAAAAAAAAGTTATGACGTGGCAAAAAAGATATTTTAATTCTAAATTAAATTCTGAGTTCAAGGAGCTTGAGAAATATTTTGATATTCATTTTTTCTCGGAAAAAGAAAATTTATGGATTACTGTAGTTATGATGTGGCAAATTTAACGTAAATTTTTCCTGATTTTAAAATTCTGAAGAGAACTTCAATTTCTGATCAAAAACAAATTTGCCACGTCTTAACTATCTCTAAAAAAATGTGTTACCTGTGAGCAGATCTTTTCAAACTTCCATTTGTATTTCCTTCATTTTCATGTCTCGCAATATGTTTGTCCAACATTGCTGGACTTTTTGAAACATGTCGACAAAACGGGCATTTTCTCGAACCTGCAAATGTTTTGTGTTGAAAAAATGCCACCTCTCAGCTCTACGAACCTAAATCAATATTTTCTGGAAGTGGAATATGATGTCGATAATATTTATGAAAATGAATATATCTGGCTTCTCTCGTCGAAAAATTGCATCCATTCTCCTCGCATCGAATCGGCGGATTTCGATGATAAATCGTCACATGATACGAAACCGAATTATATCTCCCGTAAATTTTGCGACAAACTGTACACATAAAACCATCCGCCACTTTTTCGATATATTTCTTATTTCTACACCAACCCTCTTTATCATCATTTGGCACAATTTTCTCCATATCCGAACTATTTGGTGGTGTTGCAACCGAATTTGCTCGCGGTGAACTTCCTTCGGATTGTGTTTGACTTTCGTCAGATGATGAAGATGTTAATGCGGCAGCCATTACTGCACTTAAATTTGGTATTATTGAGGAAGCTCCAGATGCATTAGTAGAAGAAGATGATGATGTGCTTGAAAATGATGAGCTGGTTGATGTGGTTTGATGTTGGCATAATGCACCGAATAATGGATTTGTCCATAATTGAAGCATTGTTGAAAGATATTGTTGAACTTCTGATGATCCTGTATAAAAAATGTTGGAATGAATTGAAAAAAATGATTTCAGAAGTTCACGTGATAATTTTTCGAAGCATGAGTTAATTTCAGAAATAAATACAACTTGATAACTATTGAAGCGTGAACAAACTTTGAAGTTTTTTTTTGAAAAAGTGTTTCTCTTGGATTTTTTAACTTCCTAAGAAAACTGTCCTGGATTTTAGAAATTGGTTTTCCAAACTTAGGAAAACTGGTCCCCAAATATCGCTAAATTTTCGTGAAACTCACCATTTTGATCATTTTGATTGAAAATTGTGGAAATATTGAAGTTATTTGGAATTGATACGGCTGACATGATTTTCGATTCCATACTCGAAATTTGACAAAATCGACAAACAGCCAAAGCCTGGAAGAATAAAAAAGAATAAAATAAAATATGTGAACCCTTCTTCCCAGCTCCTTTTCCCTTTCCCCACAAAAAAAACAATAGAAAAACGAGAAAATGGTAGTTTGATTAGATGAATCATTTATCGATATTGTGGGAATTATTTGCCTTGCTTGCCTAAAAACCAAAAAATTCAAATTGTGTATGAAAGGTTTTTAATTGTGTTACAACAGTTACCGTAAACTTTTTGCACCAAGAGTTTTGGCACCAAAATGATGTGCAATTATTTACAAAAAGAAAAGTGAGGTGGAGAGAGAAAAAACAACAAAATATTTTTTGAAGAAAAGAAGGAAGTGCCGGGTACCAAATGGTATTTTTGTGTGTCATTTTGGATTTTTTCAAAAAAAAATGCAATCAAAATCAAACATTGAACAGTGTGGGTCAGGAAAATTGTCAGAATCTTGGATTTGGATTTCTAGGTCACTAGATTCTTGCTTCTGAATTTCTAGGCTTCTTGGATAGATTTTTGAGCTGAGTTTTGAATTTTTGAGCCAGCTAAATGATTTTTCAGAAATCTGGACAAGTTTTCACATTTTGAAAGAATTCTAGGTCCCCTAAAATTTTTTTGGCAATTTTCAAACTTTGGAAAAATCCTAGCTTTTGGAAACCTTCTGAGCCAGCTTGAAAAATTTCAAAACATTTCCCGTTTTCCAAAAATTTCAAAAACCCATCAATGTTTTTCTCAAAGTTCTTCACATACTAAAAATTACCTTTTTCAATTTCAGAAACAATTCTAAAAAATCACAGATCAAAATTTTCAACCTTACCTCTGCCATGCTAACATCATTCAATTTGATTTCACCACTATAAAGTGCATCAACAATACAACGAAATGCGGCCAACGAATTTGGAAATATCGTCAAATCCAAATCAATCGATACAATAACATCATCTGTTGATTTGGAGTCGCTGATTAATTGTCGAAATAATGGTGAAAATGAGGAGAGAACAAGACGATGTGCGAAGACTGGTTCTTCTAAAAGAAAAAAAACACACATATATGAAAAATAAAACATAATACTTAAAACTACAGTAATACTTTTTTGATTCTTTAAAAGTCGGGAAATTTAGGCTAAAAATCGTATGTTTTTTTTCATTTTCCATAAAAATTTTATTCTGAGAATCCAATCACCATTTCAGAAATTTGAAAAATTGAGACAAATTGTGAAAATGAGAAACCAAATAAAAGAAATTACAGAAATTCCAAATCTCATTTTAAAAATCTGTGGGTCTCGAAGCGAAAACCCTTACCTTCTTCTTTTTGCTCCTCTCCGATATATTTTATTCTGACAACTGCATCATAATCAAATTTGAAACTTCCATGTCCAGTTGAATCTGTGTCCGATGTTGAAGATGTCACTTCTGATTTTATACTCATCTGAAAATTCAGATTTCGAAATTCAAAAAAAAGTGATTCAGAAAAATATTCAACTGAATCTAGGTATAATAAAAATCGATCGACAAAAATTAAGATTGTTTTTCAACATTTTCGAATGATAAAAAATTTGACCCAAAATTTCAGAATCCCCTAAAAGAATCAAAGAAAAATGAGTAAAAAAAACTAAAAACTCTGAACTTTTTTCTTCGCAAAGAAAAAAATCTGTTGCGAAGAGGCGTGGCTTCCACCAAAAAACGAGGAGAAAATGGGCGGAGTTTAACGAATAAAACTAACGAAAGTACAGTAATTTCTTTTTATTTGTTCTTTATTTTTCGAACATTTCCATTTCCGATCAAAAAGTAAACCAAATAAAAATAAAAACAAAAAAACAAGTACTCTAGTATTTCCGATAAAAACAAAACTGAAAATAAGTTGGAAAAAAGAGAAAAAATTAAGTTTTTTATTTGTTTGAGAAAAAACATATACTGTAGGTAGGTAGGTAAAAATGGGAATGATAACAGGATGCCTGAAAATTTTGTTTTTCACTTTTTTCTCGGGTTGTTTGACTGAAAAAGTGCGAAATGACGATATTATGAAGAATAATTTTGAAACATTGTTTTCGAACTTGCGAAAAATTCAAGGAATTCTTAATGTTTCTGAAATATATTTACTAAAGTTGTTTTGACATAAAATGGTTATGAAGAAATCTGAACTTTGGACAAAAAACTGTCGAAAAATAAGTTGTTTTTCAAGTTAAAAATATATATGGACAATTCCAAAATATCATGAAGATCTTGAAAAAACTCTTGAACAGTTTCGGAAATATTTGAAAAACAGAAAATATTCTGAACTTTCGTGATTCTGAAAGAATAGTTTTCAATGAAAATTCAAAACAAATGGGTGAAAAATTTTGTCAAGTTATCAAAACTCTGGAGAATTTGAAAATTCAAAAAATAATATTCTGAAACTTTGTAATTTTTCCCATAATTCAAAAATTAACGCTAAAATTGATATCTGTAAGAATTTTGAAAATTTCAAATTCTCAAAAAAAATTCGGTAACTTCATAATTCCCAAAAAAAATACTAAAAATGACCGAATTCAATTCCAAACTTCGAAAAAAGTGGGCGGAGCCAAAACCATACAATGTTTCCTAATTTTATTTATTTTTTCACTAGTTTACTTAACTTATAACGAAAAAAGTGTGTAATTTTCATTTTCAACAAGTGTTTTGACCAATTTTTTAAGAGAAGAAGGTTACAATTTTTCGGGAAAAAAATTCTGGTTTTTTTCTTATAGTAAGAAAGTAAACATGGTCATGATTTAATGAACAGATAAAAAAAAACACTAATTTTTTCTTCACTTCGCGTATTTTTCGGGAAAACGAGAAAAAACAAGAGTGATGGGCACATGGAGGTGGCAAGATTTGGATGAATCATAGAGAATGTCTAGACAATAGAAGTGAAGACCAAAACTATAATTCTGGGAGCTTTTTGGGAGCCCGATTCCAGAGTTCATAGGATACTTCAGAAAAAAGATCCTCTCTGGAAATTAAAAATACGACCCGTTTTAGAATTCACCCAAACTTTAAAATCAAAAACCAGGTTTTTTTCTTCTGAAAAAATCTACTGTTCCAAATCCTTACGAACTCTTTTCGCTTTTTTTCCCATTTTCATCAATTTTCGCCAAAGACAAAGAAAAAAGTTCTCTTTTTTTCAATTTAGTGCAAATCTTAGTTTGAAACATTTTTTTGCGTTGGCTCCAATTTGCGGTTGCCGGCTGCCAGTTGGCAAAATTCGGTTCGAACAACAAATTGGCGGGCTCATTTCAAGGTTTCGGCGAAATTCAATTTCGTGTCTCCAGAAAAAACCTTGTGCACTTTTTTCTGGTATTTTTTTCGGAAGAGAAAATGGACTTTTGGGTTGATGAGTGGGAAAGAGAAGTGTTCGGATTCAAAATTTTCCGATGGAAAATTGGGGCTGGTCCGATTTTGACACGTGGCTTTTTGCCGTTAGAATGAGGTTTTTTACACGTGGCTTTTTGGTGAAAACAAACGAAAACTTTTTGAAAAACTGCTCCTGAACATCTAAATTTTCCCTGTTTCATTTTCAATCTTAAATTATAATTCAAAAAAAAAAAATTTCCTTACAAACTTTGTGTGGAGAGGCAAACAATTTTTGTAAAAGCTCCAAAAAAGTTTGTGTTGTGTTATTGTTTGTGAATGCCATTGTGAATGTCACAATACTTATGTTTTTTCTTCTTTTTTTTGGTTACTGTACTTTTTGCTCTTTGCGCATTGTTTTTTAAGGTGATTCATAAAAAAAGAGAAAAAGGATACGGCAAAAAAAGAAGAAGAAGAAGAAAAAGCAAGACAAATATTAATATTTTTATTTTTTTTTTATCAAAGAGTTTTAGGGAAAATCAAGAATCTCGAATCCGTTTTGCGCCATGCAGGCGTTTTATACGCGAAATCTTTGCCCAGGTGAAAAAACAGCCGCGTGGCTTAGTGGTATGCATGGCTGCCGAGATTTTGCAAAACCAGGGTTCGACCCCCACCCGCAGCAAACTTTTTTTTCTTTTTTTTATCTTGCTAGTCTAGAAAAATAAAATGCAAGCAATAAACCAATTATCAGATATTTATGAAAAGTCAGAAAAATATAAAATGTGGGACCTCCCCTATGTCAAGAAGAGTCGTTTAGTTCTGTGTGTGTGTGTGTTGTAATAATTGGGCTGGCCTCCTGAGATTCCATAAATTAGAGAAATCTGAAAAAAATTGAAGAGAGGAAAACTTTCCGGAAAATGAATGTTTCGCTGAAATTTTCTGTGAGCGAGAGAGAGAAAAGATGAATTGATGTGGCATGTTGAAAGTTTGTGCTGCTCTCTGCTGGAAAAATGCGTTTTTCAACGTGGGTGGTCTTCAGGAGAGCAAAGGTAGATTTGAAACGAAATGAGACGGGAAAATAATTAGAGGGGACTATTGAAAATCTGAAAAATTCCAGATCTTTTCAGAATTTCACTTTCAGTTCCTCCAAAAGCCTGACAAACTCCAAACCAGGCTTACTTGAGCCTGAAAAGTTATGTACTAAACCTGAATTTCAGGTCTATTTTTTCAAGAGTTTTTTTTTCAAATTTTTTCATTCAAACCGGGTTCCTTTAAAAAAAGGTGTAAAAAATAAAATTGTTGCAAAAAACCAATCATTTTTTCTGAAGTAGTAGTTCAAAAACAAATTAGTGTAATCGAAGAAAAAACCGGTTTTGATCCTGGGTCACTAAAAAATTAGAATATTTTTTAATTTCTTACAATTAGGGAGTTGAGTGACTGTGACAATATTAATTTTTCCTTACCTTACAGTAAACTACCACCCAAACCCGCGACACTCTTTCTGATTCATTCGCCTTTTTGTCGGCACCGCGGCAGTGCCGAAAACAAGTACAAAAACAATTACACACCGAGAAAAAGTTTATAGAATAAATGAAATGAAATGTCACGGTATGCACACAGAGAAAATTATCAAGCAAAAAAAAATCACATTTGTTTGGGACCGGAGGGAAAAATATCAACTAAAATATGAACTATTGAAGAAAAAAATAAAATAAAAATAATTGTGAATATTATTGTCAACTTGAAATTTTTTGAACCTTGAGGCCTAGAAAACCGCATATTCCCAGTCTCGAGATCAAAAAGGCTACTGTATTTTGGTTTTCTCTTCCACGGCTCAAGTATTTCAGATTTGACAATATGAATTAAACTAAGTCGATAATTATTCGCATGCAAGTTTTCCATGGAAACTAGTCATTGCGATTCCAAAAGCTTGAAGAGCTGATAAAGGATAACGGAAGTCCATTGAAAAATGTTCGTCAGAAACACGGCCGAATTGCATGATTATGTAGTCAGCTGAAAATTTAAGGTGGAGGTTATGGCTCCTAGGCTAGCACTGAGGACTGTTTATTAGGCTTCAAAAATAAATTTTGAAATTTCACAGAACCTCTATAAATTTATTCCTAGAATGTTTTAGAGCCCAAAAGAAGCTGCATCGGATTTTTTTCCCCAATAATTTCCCTCCAACTCACGATCATTTTCATGAATAATTTGAAAATTCTTAACCGAAGCCTGTGTAACTCTTCCATGAAAATTGAGCACATAAGATTGAGTATCCTCATTCCAAACCGGATTTTTATTGTTCAAAACCACCAAATCACCCAAATTTCTCAATCGATGTCGTTCAACCAAAGTATCTCGATCCTGAATTGTTTGTTGTTCATAAAATTCAAGAAGAAAAAAGGAAGGAAGGTTCTCTTACCACAATTGGTCGAATACTTTTTCTGACAAATGGTTCTTGTTCACTGGGTATGAGTTTGACGTTTTCCAACAACCCAGGCACCAAAATTGTCATTTTTCGAGGGCCTTTGAAACCAAGCACATTTGTTTCCTGAATTTCAAAGTTTAGAGGGATGGTGTTGCTTTCGGGAAATGGGTCTCAAAAGTCTGAGAAGGCCTAATCCTTACATAAACAACAGCAGCCAATTCTTGTCTAATAGCCAAAGTATCATGAGTCTTTCTCGGATTATGTCCCCGATCATAAAGTGTAAACTGTGTTCCCAACGCATTCGATCGAACCTTCGCAATATAATTCTCTCCTTCTCTACTCAAATCCAACGGATCTGAAGAGATCAAATAATTCGCTGTTGTACTCTTCTTCCGTTTCCGCGCGGCAAGCAAAAAACATCGTTTCCGCTCCTCATTTATATGATATTCAAGATGTAGATAATATGTCGGATACATTCCTTTATCCATTCCTCGTTTGTCTCGAGTTATTGAACATTTATAAATTGTGTTTCGAGCTGCAGGTTCTTCCACAAATCTGAAAAGTGAACACAAAATATTATTGATATTATTATTAGAAAATATTTTTATGGAAAACATTGTTACCTCGCTTTATCTTTCTCAATTTCCGCAATATCTGGCAACTTTTCACATGGCAAAGTGTGCTCTTCAATTCCTTCACTCCAATGATCTTTGACCATCGATGCTGAATCTTCATCATCTTCGTCATCAGAAGCAACACATTTACTCAAATCGGCTTTGTTTAGTTTATCAGAAAGTTCGGATTCGTTCTCGAAATCTCTGCAAATGGTTTTTACTGTACTACTCGGAAGAAAAATTGTTCCCAAGTGTTTCCAATTTTAGGCCGATATGGTTGATCTACAGTAACTGGGGGCTACAGTATCTGACTCCAAAGGTGCCTGATCCAGAGTATCTTTAGTCTTCTTGGAGTAATTCCAATACAATATCTCGGGGCTAATATACAGTATCAAATGACCACTCTACAGTACCTTAGGGTTGATCTATGGGTGGCTGAGCTACAGTATACATAGGATCTGCAGAGCTAATTCTAAAAACCATCCCCAATGTTCAAAAAAACAAGCATTCTCACATCAAACTTTTCGAAACAGGAACATGTCTCGGAGGCGGTTCCAATCTTGGAATAGTCGATTGAATAGTCACAACAGTCGGTGTAATTCTCTCGGGTTCAATTGCAAAAGGCATCGAAGCATTGCCACTACTACTGCTATAAAGTGAATAATCAGACATGAAAGATGGCGATTGGCCAAATGTTGGATTTGCTCGAACTCCTCCGCCAACTTGAAAACGCTTTTGACGTTGTTTGTCTTCCAGCATTTTTCGCTGCAAAACAAAATGAATTAGTAGTGCTTTTGGATTTTTTTGAAAGCTATAATTATCCAGGATTACTGTAAGTAGAAATGATAAACTATTCCCAAATGAGAGTTGAGTTATGTGTAAACAAAAAAAACCTGTCTTTGTAAATTTCTTTCAACCCATTGTGCATTTGTATGCGAATTCGGTTCGGATGATGACATCTGGAAATTCTGGAAAATTATTTCCGCAATTCTGAGAAAAGTGCAAAATAATTAGGTGTTTCGAGAAAAACATGAAAATATTTTGATTACAAATTATTATCGCATTACTCATTGAAGGAATACTGTAGGGAATTGTGAGAACATTTTTTCGAGATTTCGAAATACTGTAATTTTTTCAGCATTGAAAAGGGATTTTTGAAAAACTTCTAGTCAATACTCAGAGATTCGCTGGCCAGCTCGCCACCAGATCGCTGCGGCCACCTGGAAACCGCATGGCCGCCAGGTCGCCTTGAGTTTTCCGGCGACGTGGCCTGTGTGTTTGAAATCCTGGAAAGCTGGCAAGATAGTGGTTTGTACTCAAAACACTGCATTTTTTACTGTTTTTTTTCACTTCCTAAGGTTTCAAGTGCTGCGAAAAAACAGAAAATGAGCCAAATTTCTCGAAAATGCCTCAATTCACAAGTTTTTCAGACATTTTCATGAAAATTCATTTTGACGCGGCGAAGTGGCCACCACGTGGTAGCCATGTGGCTGTGACCTAGCCAGAGCCTGGCCACCTTGCCAGCGAAAAAAAACCGGGCGACATGGTTTCCATGTGGTTCCCAGGTCAGCCAGCCTCCCCACCTGGTGGCGAGCTGGCCAGCGAATCTCTGAGTATTTTAGAGCGTGAACTGTGATGTGGCAAGTGGAAAAATCGATTTTTTTTTATTTTCAGTTTTTGTAGAGAATTTTTCGGAAATTTCAGAGCGAAATGTGAAGTGTAAGTTGAAAAAATCAATAGTGCCTGGAGGCTGATCTACAGTACTTCGAGGCTAATCTACAGTATTTGGCTTACCCGAGCTACAGTCTCTGAATAACCTACAGTACTCGACAGTAACTGAAAAAGCCTCGGTACTCAATCTATAGTACTCGAGACATGGTTGATCTACAATTCCTGGTCAAGAGGTCTACAGTGTCTGGGTGTCCCAATCCGCAGTACCTTAAGCTAAACTACAGTACCCAGAGAATTCCTGAGCTACAGTATTTAGATGCCCAATTTTCAATTTCCGATTCTAAAACCAATTTTTGAGTACTGTAGAATTTATTTATTGTTTTTCGAACTTATCAATATTTTCCGCTGTTTACAAAATATTTTCTAACCAACAAATTTTAATTATGTAACTTCTAAGAGATTTCTAAGATGATCTAGGATAATCGGATTCAGCAAATTTGTCTAAAAACAACCCAGAACAAAAATAATACTAATAAAGAAGAAAAAGAAGGCAAAAAAGTAGAAGCGCGAGAAAAGGAGAAGTCGATGTCTTCTTCATGTTGTCATGGTGATTTCGTTTAGTTTTTTCGTGAGTCGAAGGGTTCTCTCTGCTTGTTTCTATAGATACCACCAATTATATTAAGACATGCATACAATCACCTTTTTTGGGGGGAAAACTGAATGATTATGACGTCATAGGAGTGTTTTCTAGACCTAGTTTTTTGCAGATATGGGAAGCAAATATGCGCTAATTCTATACACTCAAATAGCATTGCTCATAATAGACATAATTTTCAATTCGGTTTCAGTTTTGCTGGTTGGAAATAATACGATTCTACTGATGTTATATATGTGAGTTTTTGAAGGAATTTTACGGAATTTGAGAAAATGTATTTAACATTTTTCCAGCCTACAAGATACATTTCTTGTAATGTCTTGCCTTGTTCTGATGATCAGTTTTTCATCAACATTCATTTTTCAAATCGGTCTGATTCCCCTGATCTTCACAACGTTTCTTCCAACTATATTTCTCACCATATTCTACACTTTAATTTCCATTGGTTATCATTATGCAAGTTTGGTGAGTTCAAAGGGAAAACACCTTGTTCATGTGTTTTTTCAGAATGCTAATTGGGATGATCCAAGTGTCAATATTTTTCAATCAATTCCACTCACCGGGTTTTATATTTTTCATAAATTCCGTACGTTTTTCTGCTTTCCAGCGTCTTCTAATGTAAATAAATATAATTTTTTCCAGTCGCGTGTTTTTACTATTCTTTCTACAAACGAGCTGCACTTCACATATCCGATCCAAAATACAATCAAGATTCTGATTGGCTTCGATCGAAATTCATGGAATTGTTCTCGAAGTCGATACCAAATGCTGAAGAAGTTCGAGCATCGGATAATAAAGAAACCCTTAAAACCGAATAAAACTTCACATGTAACAGAAAATAACAAAAAAAAAACAAAATGAGTATCGGGGAATGTTTAGACGACCAATCTATAAGTGATATATCTTCCAGCAGTTTCAGATGGTCTGATAATTTTGACAACTTGTCCACGGCGAAGTCCGAAATAGCGAGCGACTGGGTCGGATTGTTGAATACGTGGGAGTTGAGAATCCTTGAGCTTGCTGAAGAAATTTTTTGATTAAGCTATTTTCAAAGGGAAAAAATTCTTTCTCAAAATTTCCACTCACTATCTGGCAAGAAGTTCAGCTTTCTCTTCACTTGTCATAACAACATGTTCTGGAACCAATTCATGTTCTGTGATGTTGACCATCAATTCGGCTTCCAAAAAGTGTTCCAACATGTATTTCGGTGCCATATCTCCGATAGATTGTTTTGCACTTGGTGTCATACCAGTTTGCACAACAATAATAGCTCTAGAAATATTTTGCTCTTGCATTTGTTGACAAATCGCCTTGATTGTTTTGATACCAATTTTCGGATCATCCGGGAAGAACACGAACATTTGATCTGGAAAAATAGTTGTTGAAGAAAAACAAATCATTGTATAATTTTGCTTACCACTAGCATCATCGTTATGTGCAACAAGAACAGTCAAATCTCCACGACCTGGTTTCTTTTCACTTGGTCGATCACCATATACTTCTTTGAATGTTTCAAGTGGTTGATCCAATTCTTCTTGAGTTACAAGATAACCACGATCGTGTACCATTTGAAGAATTGTTTTGCGAATTCTCCACAATCTGTATGTTTCGAGCTCGTCGTCAGCCATTTTCTGGAAAATTTTGAGGTCAAAACCAAAAAACGGAAATAAACACAACAAATTACGATTTTCTCAGATAAATAAGTATACTTTGTTCTGGAATCAAATTAAAACTCAAAAGAAAAAAAAACACGAAATTTTTTTTCGAAGCCTAAAAAATACGCGCAAAGAACTACTTCACTGGCGTGTTTCTTGCGCGTCGCTTCCGCGAATTCAAAACTGATTTTTTTGTGTGTGAATTTATTTTTTGAAGCTTTTTCGAAGTTAGTTGTTTTGCCTAGTTCAAGAAATGTCAGACACGGATAGCGATTCTCTTCAAATAGAAAAACTATCATTGAGTGATGAAGTCGAAAAAACGTCAAATGCCAACTTTCAAGTGGAAATTCGTTTGAGAAAAACAGTGTGAGTTGTTAATTTTAATTGATTTTCAAAGTTTGTGAGAATTTTCCAGTCCAAAATCAGTTGCTGAAAAAAAGAACGAATGAAATTATTGAATTTGTAAATGGCCTCAAAACTTTGAGAAATTGGAAAGCTTTGGAATTTGAAGAAACAAATGAAGAATCAGTCTCGGATATTTTTGAAAAAATATTAATTGGTAGCTGTCAAATCAAAGACGGGCTCAAATTGAGAAACCTCGATATAAAGAATTCGAAAAATGTTCATTTCTATAAACTAAACACAGATGGTCCTTTATCACAAAGTATCGATGAAGAAGAAAACATCATCGGCTCACAACTTTGGCAACTTCCATGCATCGAATTCGAAAACATCTGGGAAAATCTGATTTATGACACACAATTGAAAAACGATGTAATGTCCTATGTTTACGCGCTTGTCCATTTATCCGAAAAACATGTCAATTCAAAAATCATCAATGTGAATCGATTGATTCTTTTGGTTGGTCCACCTGGAACTGGAAAAACTTCTTTGTGTAAAGGACTTGCGCAACATTTATCGATTCGTTTGAATAATCGATATACACATTCAGTTATGATTGAGATCAATAGTCACAGTTTATTCTCAAAATGGTTCTCAGAGGTACATAAAAAAAATATTTGAAAACTGTCAACCAAATTAAAAATTTCAGAGTGGAAAATTGGTTCAAAAAATGTTCGATCAAATCGACGACCTTGCCGAAGATTCAAAATGCATGGTTTTCGTTCTAATCGACGAAGTTGAATCACTTGGAATGTGTCGAGAATCTTCAAATTCTCGAGCTGAACCAGCTGATGCAATTCGAGCTGTAAATGCACTTCTCACACAAATCGATCGAATTCGAAGACGAGATAATGTATTGATTTTATGCACTTCAAATCTCGAAGATTCACTTGATCGTGCTTTGATTGATCGAGCTGATATTGTGAAAAATGTTGGAGAACCTTCTACACTTGCGCTATATGCAATGTTGAAATCTTGTATTATGGAAATGATCAGAGTATGTCTTTAGTTCAAGTATTTCCAAAAATCCCTATTTTTTTCAGATCGGTGTAGTTGAATTGAAAGATAATGAAAATATCCCCGAAGATATTCAAAGTTACGACGAGATTCCATCATCCTCAAAAACTCTTTTCAAAATCGCTCAACAATCTCACGGCCTAAGTGGTCGTGCAATTTCAATGCTTCCCACTTTGGTCTACTCAAAAAAGTCTTGAAGATAGTCTAACTCTCACGAATTGTCTCAAATTGTTTAATGATGCTGTAAAAGAGCGAAAATTACGTAGAAATAAATCATAAATTCATTTTACACAGTAAATCAATAAATATTATGAATGAGAGCAATATATAATTTACAGTGCATAGAATAAAATAATTATTTACCCGTTTTTCTCACAATTGTACATCAACTTGAATATTTGTTGATGGTTTTGGTGGCGGAATTGTTGAAAGTGGTGCATGAATTTGAGGAACTTCCGGAATCATGAAAGCATCATCAAACGGCTGAAAATCATTGGAATATGATTCTAGATCGAATTTTTCAGAAACTCACAGTTCTCAATGCGCAATTTTTCAAAATCGGTTGACCTTCGTGAGATTGAATATCGATGAACGAGAAGTTCAAATTATCATCCACTTCATAGATTTCTTTTTGAGCTAACATAGTCACAGACATACATTGTCGGATAGTCTGAAAAATGGTAAGGATTTTGAAAATGTGAAAAATATTCACCTCATTGAATGGATCAATTGCAAGAGCTCTGTTGAAGAATTGGGTAGATCGAGAAATCTGGAAAAATATTGAACTTTATTTTTTTTAATTTCTATTGATTTCTGAAAATCAAATTACTATCATTTTTCAATAATCTAAGTTGAAAAATGTATTTTTCTTCCAGAAAGAAGAAATTTAGCCTAACTTACATTTCCTACAAGTGAATAGCAAATCGCAAGTGAAGCAATCGCATCAACGAATTTCGGCTCCATCTTCACAGCTTTTCTGAAAATGGCTCGAATTTGCAATTTTTCGAATTCTTCAAAAAACTTACTCATGGAATAAAATGGCATCTTCTAATCTTCCCATTCTTCTTGAAATATGTCCCAAATTATTGATCATTGGTCTCCAGAAATCCTCGATTTTCCTAAATTATTTGTTTTTTTCTAAATTCATTCTCAGCTTTTTAAAAAACCAACTTTTTCAAAATAACATTCAACGGTGTTTCAATTGTACAACCAGTTACCATCAACAAAACTTGTCTGAATATTTTGTCAGCTTCGGTGAAATGTTTTCCAGCATACGCAATACACGCCTCTTCGTGTCGAATTAGCGGATCTTTTGGAGCACGAGCAACCGCTTCAGCCATGAATTTTCTCGATAATTTTGAGCTGTGTGAACTATATTGAAGAGAAACATAGAGATAAGGTTCGGAACTTCGATCGACTAATTTTGAAGCGCGATAATAGCAACTCATTGATTGCTCATGTTCAACTTCATAATGTAAAATATGTCCAAAAGCGACCCAAGCTTCAGCAAATGTTGTATCCATCATTGTGCATTTACCTATAAAAAAGGATTGAAGGCCTCTGATGATTTTTCGAACTTGACCCAGAAGTTAAAAGTGCGGATCTTCTCAATATTTTTTCCCCCAACTTACTAATATATGAACGAGCTCTCAAATTCGCGCCAACTGTATAATAATACAAAGAAATACAATACCAAGGAAGTGGAACGTGTGGATCATCATTGACCAATTGATGTCCAAGTTCGAGTAATCCACGTGAATCTTTCAACATTGCCATACAATGAATTCGAAGTATCATACAATCCTGAAAATAGAGAAGATTTTTTTATGTGGAAAAAATTGCTATGTACCTTGTGTGGTCCAAAGTTATCAAATACAATTTGAGTGAACTCCTTGGCTTCGCCAAATCTTCCCTGTTCATATGCATTTTGTGCTTTTTCCATCAGAATTTTCGGATCATAATTACCATCGTGCATTTCCAATTGATTATTTCGAATCGATTTGTATTTTTCCAATTCGCTTGGTTCCACTAAATTATATTTTGTCATAAGTCGCTCGACGTGAATTGGAGTGTTGTCGTGTTGAATAGCATAAGAAATACAAATCATAGCCGCATCTCGATTCATCAATTTCAAATAACTTTCTGCAACTGTAAGCATTAGTGCTGAATTCAATTTCAATTTTCTTGCGATTGTATCCAATTCAGCCATGTTTGCAAATGAATATCTCATTCTTTCTTCTTCCACATTTCTTCCAGTTACTTGAGATGGACTTCGCAATGGTAAAATTTGATTGCCATTGTGTGGAATCTAAAAATATAAAATTCAAGTACTCGAAATAAATATATAAACTTACCAAATGTCCAACAGGAAGATCAGTAACTTCTTCATACAATTTTCGATGAAATAATGCGCAAATCGCATAATATGCAAAAACCAAATGTATTTGATGATAATTTTTGCGAGATATGAGATGGCTAATTCTTCTCCATTGTCGCAAAACTGCCAGAATTTTTATATAATCTGCTAATGCGACAATATCAACACTTTCAGTTCCAACAAAATTTGAATAAAGTGTATCAGCATGAGCAATCGCTTCATCGATTCGACCAATTTCCAACATTTCTCTGAAAAATTGAATAAAGAGGTCGAGGTTCAAAATCCAGATACTTACAGAATTCTATCAGTCGAAGATTCATCATAATATTCAGAACCATCTATTCGAGATGCCAAAGTTTTCACTGTTTTGAGTCGAATACTTTCAATTTGTGGAAGTTCTCTGAAAAAATCCGAATATACTTGCATTTTTTCAGAAATGCCTGAAAATTCTCGCGTGAATTTAGTTGGCAAAGTGGGCCACGTTTTTCATTTCAAGAATTTTGTTCTCTTGGAAAATGATGCTTGTGATTGGCAAATGAAAACTTACAATGTATGAGTATTTCCTGAACTACTTGAAGTCGGAGCAATTGGACTTGTAAATTTATCGGCGTCGTTTGCTTTTGGACCGTGAAGCATATGACGACGACCTGCCTTTTTGTATGGATGATCGCGATTCTTTGGCAAATCTGCCGCTGGCGAATATTCGATTGCTGATTTTTCAAGATTCATTGAGATAGTCTTATCTGGAAAATATATGATATATAAATTGAGAAAACACTTTTTTTCAAAAAACACAAGAAAGCGCATCATCATAGCGGAGCATCGTAAGTACACATTTTTGAAAATCATTTTTATCCATCTCTTTATTTATCATCACAGAATTGTGTTAAAATGTTTTTATTATCTAACCGGGAAGTGAAATGTTCTCCAAATCATGTGATAAACCTACTTTACTCTGTTAGTTCCCCTATATTCCCTTTTTGATTACAATTACTGTTACCTTCAAAAATTACTTTTTCAGTTGTTCATTTTTGAAGAATTCAACAAAACAAGTTTTTTTCTAGGAAATAAATCAATTCACTTTCGTTCTAAACCTGATTAAAATTTTTGCCCCCGACTGTGTTCATAACAAAATTGTTTATGAAAATATTTTTCGAAAAATCAACAGCTGATTGCACGATCGTTTTTTGATGTGTTTACATTTTCCCAACTCTTACTATTGATTTTTCGTTTTTCAAAAAATCGGTTTTGAGAGGTATGTAGTACTAAATTTTTTCTCTAATGCCTAACTATTGAAATTCTTCCCTTTACCTGTCGATTTTTGCTATATTTATGAATAACAGGGTTAAAACTAATCCAAGATTTTCCTTAAAGAGAAGAAAACAAAGAAAAGAGAGAAACATGAATTAAAATTAGGGTTTTTTTGAGACGAAAAAACGTTCGCAAAATAAAAAAATTGTGCGTCGTTTAAAATGCAGTATGTGTGGTCGTGTATACACCATTCGCTGCATACCGTACTCCTAGACTAAATTTTATTTTTTTCATTTTCCAAAAAACCTTTCCAATGAGAACTTGTATTTTAAAAAGTTGGAACTATAATAATTTAAAAGGCTAGAAATTTAGAAGATTATTCTTTTTCAATAATCGCATTTCCTTTTACAACAAAGTTTCTCTATTTCCCATGTCTTTTCGAAAAATTCAATATTTTTTATTTGAATTTCTGCCACCAGATGTTTTTCCCTATTCCCTTGCATTAAATTTAACATAATATTGATATTTTCTTAAATGTATAACTATTCCAAAAAAGGTGACTTTATTTTTTCGCATCAAAGAACATCGTTTTTACACAAACAATTGAGAAGTTCATCACGTGAATCGAATACAAATGTTTTCTTTTTTTCAGCATGCAAAGTTGGTAATATTTGTAAACTAATAATGTTGGTTTATCTATTATTTTTGATTAAATGTTCAATATTCATTATTCAACCAGTTGTATCGTTGAATGATTTGGCTTTGTTGAACGAAAATGATCGTTCTTTGGAAATTGTGATTGGTCAGAAAATTGATGTTGAATTTGTGGTAAAGTATGTTTTCTTGTTATAAACTTGAAATTTTCAAAAATATATATCTTCTTTCCAGAAATCATTCATCAGTGGCTTTGAATGATACAATATTATTTTTATCAAATTCTTTAGCTCTTTCTTATGATAATGAGATTGAATTGAAAAATTGGACAGCAAAATTGGAAATAACAGGAGTTCGTGCAACTGCTTCTTCTATTGTGGAAATTGTTAATTGTTCAACTATTTCAGAAGAAACATGTCCACTGAAGTGAGTTTAACGAAATTTCAGCCTGAGACAAATCAGATGAAAAATTCCAGCCTAAAAGAAGCGTATGTGCGTGTCTCCGTGATTCGTTCAAATTTCATGGCAATTCTCATTCAAATAGTCGGCTGGTCATATTTCTTTGCTTGGAGTATCTCATTCTATCCACAAATTTGGCTAAATTTCAAACGAAAAAGTGTAATCGGTCTGAATTTCGATTTTCTTGCTCTCAATTTGTTGGGTTTTGGAGCATATGCTATCTACAATCTTCTTATGTATTTCAATGAACATGTCAAACAAATCTATAATATTGAGAATCCACATTCGCCTCCGCCAGTTCTTTCGAATGATGTCGTTTTTGCGGTTCATGCATTTTTTGCGTGTGCAGTCACTGTGGTTCAATGCTTTATTTATGAGGTTTGGATTTTTTTACAAAATTCTGAAATATGATATTTTTTCACATTTTTTGGATCGAAAATTTTCGGAGCTCACAGTGTTTTTATTAACTTTCAAAATTTCCGAATATTTAACGCTGTGAACTCGGATTTTTTTGAAAATGTTGTGGAACTCGATTAGAGCTCCCCAAAGATGCTGTTTTTTTATTTAAAGTTATTTTTTCCAGCGTGAAAATCAAAAAGTCTCAATTCAATGCATAGTTCTATCAATTGGCCTCATCACATTCGGCTTCTTCTCCGCCGCAGCCACAGTTTTGAACAAAATCTCAATTCTCTCATTTGTCACAAGCCTCTCTTACATAAAAATGGCCGTCACATGCTCAAAATATTTCCCGCAGGCTTATTACAATTTTGTGCGAAAAAGCACTGTCGGTTGGTCAATTGGAAATATTTTGCTTGATTTCACAGGAGGATCTTTGGATATTTTGCAGGTATGAAAAAATAGTAGAAATTTCGAAAATTTCAGAATAAAATTTTTTCAGATGGTTTTCCAAGCCTTGAACGTTGATGATTGGAGTGCCTTTTATGCGAATCCAGTTAAATTCGGGCTGGGTCTCGTTTCAATTGTTTTCGATATTGTTTTCATAATTCAACATTATGTTCTTTACAAAGATGCTGAAGTAAGTTATTTTCGACTAATTTTAATTTTTAAAAACTTATAAAAACCTACAATACAATTCCAGCCAGAAAAAGAAAACCCCATAGAAATGCATAGTAAATTCCACTTTTTTTCTGTTCATAAGTACTAATTCAGCTAACTACAATAACAATTAACCAAATAATTTCTGAAAGAAATTTTCTCAATAATTATTTGTTTGCAGGAGTCTCTGGTTGATTACGAAGACATTGATGAAAACCCAGATGATTACGATAATTCAGATGTTGCTCCAATAATTGGGGAAGCCTAATTTGATGTATATACTTTGTTACAACATATCTCCACACTTGGTGTTTGTTTACCGGTTTCTCAATTTTTCAAATATTGCATGAATATTCCTAATCTTTATTCCTACCAAAAATTTCTATTTTTTATTATTATCTTCACTAATTTTCTTCATTAGTTCAGGATCTTCCACAATTTTTCCAATATCTTTCAACGAAACTGATTGTGATCCACGTTTTGCAGGTTTCGGCATTTTCGGACCAGGTTTCCAGCCGATGAATGAGACGACTTTGAATGTGGCTGGATATATGTCATCTTTTGCGTACATTGACTGAAATTTGGATTTGTTTGTAAAAAGTTCGAGAAATCTTTCAGAAAAAACAACTTTGCCACGTCACAACTCATTTTCAGATGCAGTTTCTGATCTACTAAAACATGTTCTCTTCCCAAATCCAAAAATACCTTATAAATAGATTCTGCCGCAATCAAAACATCTCTCCGAATTGTTGGACTCCTTCTAATTGTACAATTTGATTCTCCCATCAACTGAAGATCATATAATAATGAGAACATATTCGGATATCCAACTTCAATTTCATCCGTATCCAATGTAATCATATCAAAACCAGCTGAAGATAGTAATCCACCAATATCTTGTGCTCGAACAAATGGAGAAATGTGTGAGCCAATTCCACCAAGTCTTTCCATTTCAGCTAATTGAAGAGAACATCGAAGTTCATAAAGAGTATCTTCGCCAAGCATTGAACCAATAAATGGACAATCTGGTTTCAAAATATTGTGACATTTTCGAAACCTGGAAATTTCAAATTTTGAGCACGAAGTCTATGAAAAAACTAAAAAATTACCATTGAGGTAAATGATTGATCCAATGTGCTGACATTGAAGTTAAAAGTAGATCAAATTGATTTTCCTCGAATCCATCAAGTGTTTCCTCATCAACCCTTCTTCTTTCAATTATAACTTCTTCGTCATCACAACCATTACTTTCTTGAACCATTCCTCCGCTCAGATCAACCTGAATTAAAGGAACATAGGGTTACTGTAGGGGTTTTTTTGGGAAAAAAATTTAGTCAGAAAAGCTCAAGATATTTTGAACCAGAAAACTTTATATTCTCAAAAAGTTCAGCTATTTGTGGTTTTCTGATAAATTTTTTCGTATTAATTTAAATTTTTTCTAGAAGTTTTTCTAGAAGGCTGGACAAAGTCAAGAAAATCTAGAGAAATGGAATTTGGACTCTTAAAATTCAAAAAATTCCCGATTTAAAAAAAAAACCCTAAAACCCAAAAAAAATGCAAAACTGAAAATAAAATTTTTAAAAAATTTGCGAATTTTTCCACCCACAAAATAAATTACTTGTATAATTTTTCCAACATTTTCCTTGATCAAATGCGGTGCAATCTGTCCAATTCCACATCCAATATCCAGTACCAAATCGTTGAATTTGGTCAAATCGAAAACTTTATCCGCAACTCTCCAACCAATTTCTTCTTTCAAATATTGCGCAGATTTGAATTCGGTTTGTTGAACAGCCCAATCTCTTTGCATTCGTTTCATATTTCGATCAAAAACTATGGTGGACGAAGTGGATGCGTCGATTTTGCAACTCGAAATACATCTTTTTGCGCATATTCGAAACATTCACCTGTTCAGGAGTTCGTGTAACTTTTATTATTTTTTTTGAACAAAATATATAATGAGGTTCAAAATTACCGAACAAGTTCTACTTTTTAAAGAACAAATAAATAAATAAATATTCATTTTCAAATAAATTATTATTTGTTAGCCAATTTATAAATGGGTCGTTTCTCCTCCGGAATAACTTCACATTCATGTTCCTCGCAATATTTGATAATTTCAGCGAGATTATTATGAAGAGCCTCATCTTCCGGATTGTATCGTTTGAATTTGTTCTTTTTGATTTTCCGATATTTTTTGAGTAAACGAACAACTCGTTTATCAGTTTCATCCTCATAATCATCTGATTCATAATCACAATTTGTTACTCGCAATCCTCCCGTTGGTGTGAACTGGAAAATATATATTGATAATAAAAAGAGAGAAAAGTTCAGTTCAAACTCACATATAACTTTTTAGGATATTTTTTGGAGGTTAGTTCAGGCAAATCTCCTCCAGAATTCCAGGTCAATTTTTTGTCGAGTATATTTTTCCAAATTTTATATTCTTCAGGTGACATGTTGTAATGAATTGGTTCTCGATCTTCCGGTCTGAAATTAGATTTTTCTGGTTTTTGAATCGGAATTTTGAAAGTTTCAGATTTTGGCTGAAAATTTCCTTTTTTGGAAAATTCTGAAGAGGTGCCAAATGTCAGGTTTTTCTCTTTGAATTTTGACGATTCAAGACCAATGTTTCCCCCGATTCAAACAAAACTCACAACAAAATTCTAGTTTTAACAACATATGTCAGAATTCCAGCATGGAGAATATGAAGAAGAAGAGAAGACCACCAAGTTGACGGATAAACATTCCAGCATAATTCGACGAGGAGGAGAACACCACATTTCCAAATAATTGAATTCCAGGGAATTTCTTCTTTTTTGATGTCTCTTGGATAGTTGAAAAATAGCAGGAATGGAAGCTAAAACTTAACTTTCTCTATTCTGTTTTCCCCCTCAAAACAAAAAATTACCTGATGATAATACCAACTATAAAACTGATAATGCAAACTTCTCGAAAACGCGATTCCAATCAGATTAGCCGTACTGAATGCGAAGAATGTCTCAGCAGTTCCAGTAATCGTTCGAATTCTTCCCACCAAATAACCCCATCGAATTCCTCCCGTATTTCGATACCACATATTGAATGCAAAGAGTGCGAGAAGTGTTAAATGTCCAATGAGAAGTGTGGCATGAAAACGTTTGTCGAGAAATATGTCGACTGGAAGGAAACGCCAATTAACAGTCCATTTGAACATGAAAACGCGAGAGAGGTCGAAGGATCGAATTACATAGGATTTCCAATCATACCAGAGGAATGGTAGACCGATGTAGAATTGAACAACACTGCAATGATTTGAGATTGAGGAGATTGTATTTGGGAAGGAAAACTTCGAAGAATCCAGGAATTTAAGAAAAAAAACAAAATGTTTTGAAATCTTTTTTTTTTCAAATTTTAAAGTGTCAGAAAAATGTTGAAACTTTTTTATTTTTTATTTTATCCTATTTTTTTTTATTTTATCCTGGTGGAATGGATTTGAAAACTATTTTCAATAAACATCTAACAATAAATTTGAATTTTTAAAAATATTTTTTTGCAAATTTAGGAGATCCAGTTTTTTTTAAATATATTTTTGAAAGCGGAAATCCGAAGAACTTTGAAGAACTCGGAAACTTCGGAAATTTTTGAATTCAGCTAAAATTAACATGAATATTTTGAAAAAAAATTGAATCTTTGAAAAAATTAAAATTTTCATTGAAAAGTTTACAAGTAAAGTTTTTCTAAACTTAAAAATCAAAAAAAACCTAGAACAATTTTTTCCCTCTAAAAACTCACGCGCACAATGCGATATATCCAAATGTGGTCGCAAATCCAACATTCAGCACAAGCATGAAAAACTTTGCCGGAGCAAATAACAACACGTTCATTTTGATTGAAACCGCAAGACTATAAAGAACACAACCAGGGACCCATTTGTAATCAATAAAGAAATTGAAAGCGGCATAGAAAAGGAGCATCGCGATTGGATCATTGAATAATCGAAGCATAAAAATGGAATGAATACGATAACCAGTAACTGAACAAAGAAGCACAACGAATGGAGGAATCTGAAATATTTTATTTCTAAATAAGTGATCTCTTTCTCAAAAAAACACTCACTCGATTAGTTTTATACAAGATTCGGAAGACTAAAGCCAAATTGATTATATATAAAATCATGAAAATGTACTGTGCAATAAGAATACTTTTGCCGCCATTCGTTAAAAAGTGCAAAACTTGAAAGATGAATAGATGACCAGCCGGATAAACACAAGGACCAGTGTCTCCTCCAATTTGCGAATAATTGAAGATTCCTTTTTGGGAGACACATTCGACTTGTTGCATATATGTGGACCAGTCAATTTCAGTGTCTGGAAAACACATTTTACATTAGAAAAATTAATTTTTGACAGGATGTTCCAATTTTTCCCATTTTCCCGCCAAAAAAACTCACAATTTACAAAATTAATAACAAAAATCGACAAGAAGAATTCGATGATCAAAGTTGCGATGGCAAGAACTCGAAAACCCGTCGCATTATAAATGAAAAACCATTTTCGAATATCATTCCAAATGATATGCGGTGGATCAAACAATATTCTCATATTCGCATTAGATCTATAAAAATTTGAAAAATAAAAACATTTTTGCAATAAATACAACGCAACAAAATATTGATTATTGGTTTTCAAAACCTTTCTATTGAAAAAAAAATTAAAAATTGAAAATAAAATATAAATTTATTACAAACAAAAAATAATCATCGTCTGTAGCGATACTTTTTGAACATGAACCATAATTGAAACACGCCATTTTGAAATTGACATTTATAACCGTTTTTATGCAAAATCTCCCATTCTCGATTCACAACTTTGAACGCAATATCTTCATACGGAGGACCGGCTTTGAATCGAACAACAGCAAAATCTGGATCATCGCAGGGGGTTACGGTGAAGGTTGGAGTTTTTGTTGGATCCAGGAGATCGGGGTAGAAGATCTGGAAAATTGCGAAGGTTGTGTTGATTTGGAAAATGTGTATTTGATAGAAGAAGTTTGAACTACTTCGAAAATTTTTCAGGAATTTTAGGGCAAAAATTTTCTGAAACATTTTTTGTGACGTGGCAAAGCTGCCATTTTTGAGGTCTTGAATTTCTCAGAGGATTAAAAGTAAGCCTGATTGTGAGATATTATTTTCCAAAAAAAAAGTGATGCCGTGGCAAATTCAGAAGCCAAAATAACAGACCGAAATATTTTAAAAGAAGATTTCAGAGTTACACTTTTCTGAATCATTTTTTTAGGCAATGTAAGTGGCAAACCTCTAATTTTCGAGGTCTAGAATTTTCAGTTTTATATCAAAAATCCCTCAAAAAACACTCACATTAAACTTATATCCCTGCACAATTTTCGGTGGCGGATTATCCATATCATAATGTGTCTGATTGTATTTGTTCCAATCGAATCCAGTTTGAACTCGATTCAAATACGTCGGTTTACGCGGTCGATATTTATCCGACCACAAATGTTTTTGCGTTTCAATTTGTTCTTCAACAGAGAATGTCGCCTCGTCGCCTTCCATTCCTTTTCGAGCAATCGCAATCATTTTTGCGTCAGAATCCTGGGAAAACAATGAAATCAAAATTAAATTATATAGAAAATATGGAAACTTACATTTGCTACACCATCCGGTTTTTTCCTATTACTTTCTCGTTTCTCCATCAAAATCTCCATATCAGTTTGTGCATCAATAATCTCAATTCCAGGCATAACATCATCAAAACCACTATAAACCGGACTATAACATCCTAAATTGAATAATTCCAGTGTTGCTTCTTCCAATTGCTCATTTGTCAATGCTCTCCACTGTCTTTCCTTTTGTTCATCATCAAGTTCAGGATTGTCGAGTTCACTAATATCAACTTTTCTTCTCACTTTCTTCGACAATTTTTCATTTTGTTGTTCATCCGATTCATCAACTTCATCATCATCCGATTCTTCTTTTTTCGGCAAAATTCGTTTTTGTGGTCTCGTAGTATCAGCCATTTGAACTTCTTTCATTTGTTCTTCTCGAATTCTTGCCAATTTCAATCGCAACATTTTTCCATGATTTTCACGAAGTCTTTTTCTCGCAATATACACATTTAATTGCTCTTTCAAATCCTGCCAATATCCTTTATTTCCAGAATTACTTCGAAGTTTATCAATGATTTGTCGTTCCAATTTTTCCAATTCATCAATCGATTTGTCCTGAAAAAAAGAAACATAAATAAATGAAAATACGTGGCAAACGTGACACGTGGATTTTGTTGCGTATAAAAGCGAGAAATGTTGTGCAAATCATCATTTTCTGAGCAAGAATTTCGAAAAGATGGCTGATATTCAAGAATCAATTGAGTGCGACGAAATCAACAATAATAATATTGGACCTGCACTTCCACCAAAACAAAAGAAAATTGAAGAAGTCGAAGGAGAGCAATTACCGTATGAGATTGTGAATGAAATTCCGTGTTATCAAGAAAAACATGTTATCGATGGAATTGTTGAGGTAAGAAAGGGAGAGGTTTGACCTATTTTTGACCTCGGTGACGTTGCATTTGATACGTGGCTATTTTATTTCTTGAAAAATATGCTGATGGTTTTCAGCAATATTTTTGGAACTGTGCCAGAGTTATTCATCTGACCGTTTTTCAGATTTTCGAAAGAATCGGATACGACGACAAAGTTGGTGCAACATATTTGGGAATCGGTCCAGACAACAAAGAATTGATAATCCGTGTTGCTCCAAACGAAAAGGCTGCGCATGCTGTTCGCGTTGAAGCTGCATTTTTATGCAAAGTTGAAGCGGAAAATGACTGGCGACACTTTTCACAAGTCCATAAGATATTTCAAACCGACGACGCGTTTCATATGACATTGTATTTTCGCGGTGGACCAACTCTTGAACAATGTTTTCAAGTCAAGAATCAACAATTTACAATTGGAACTGCTGGAAGATTAGCGCATGATGTTTTGACTGTAAGTATTCTGGTAGATAATAGATTTGTTTTAATTATAAATGTTTTACAGATAATTCGATGTGCTCACAAACATGGATATCTTGTCAGAAATGTTGATCTAAATGCTTTCCATTATGATGCAGCAAGTCGTCACTTATTCATGGCTGATATTTCTTCGTTAGTCAAAGATCTATCAAAAACTGATGCTCGAATTGTGGAACCAATTGCATCATATGTTGGAAATCTCGATTTTGCTCCATTGGTACATCATAAAGGTGGAAAGATCACAGCAAGACAAGATCTCGAATCATGGCTTTATCAATTTGTTTTCATGTTGAAAGGTCTACCGTGGTCACCTTTATCACTTGAAGAATCCGGAAAATTGAAGGAAAAATCAGTGGAAAGTGGAGCATTGTTCGATGGTCTTCCAGAGCATTTCAAAGAACTTTCTTCGATTATTTTCACCAAAGATCAAACACAAAAAGTCACTGAAGATGATTATGCCAAACTTTTGGATATCACCGAGAAAATTTATAAAGAAATTGGAAAAGTGAATGATCATGATGAGAATATGGATTTTGAAAGAGAACCAACCGAAGATGAAATTCCACGGTAAGAGTTTTTGAAAATGTGAAAAACAATAACATTTCAAATTTCAGTCTGGTATATTGCCCAAATGAAGAAGTTGAAAAATTGGAAGAAATAAAAGAAGAGGAAGAGGAAAAAGAATGAAACATACCTTGAATAATTGAAGAACTTCTTGTTTAACACTTGCATGAACATCTCCATTATTTTGTGCTTCTTTTTTCGATATTTCTTCCCCAACAATCGTTTGGATATCATTCCAGAAGATATCGGTTTCAAAATTGCTTTCGAGCTCTCGATAAGTCTGAAAAAATTAAAGGTTGGGTAAATTTCGGCAGGTATCTCTCGAACTTACTTTGATATCTTCGAGAAGATCTTCTAAATCATCGATTGTTTTACAATTTGATTTGATATAAAGAATCGGATCTTCAAGTTCAAATTCGGCATCTTTTTCTGAATTAGTTGGATCATTATATCTCGAATATCTAGTCAATAAATCAATAGCTTTTGCTCTTCCTTGCTCAATTCGAATTCTTGTTCTCTCTTTAACCAAATCCAAAGTGAATTGTCTTTCTTTCGAATCTCCACCTCCTCCTCCACCATATGTTTTCAAATCAGCATCTCGTTTCATCATTTCCATATCCTCCTTCGCTGCCATTTTTGCATCGCGAACTTTTTTGAATTCCGCGGCTTCGTGCAAATTTTTCTGCACCCGTTTATGAGTTTCTTTCTGGATTTGTTTCATCGATAAATTCGATTTTCCTTCGCTCTCCAATTTTTTGCCCCAAACAAATGTGTCGGTCAATTTGGTGTCATTGAACGGATTGTTTAGATTTGTATAAGCGAGTTCTGCTGGAATCGCACTTGTACTTCCAGTATCTTTTCGCTTTTCCTCTTTCAGTTTTCGTTTTTCCATTCTTCTTTGTCGTTTTTCTTCAGCTGTTTCGTTTTGTTTCATTCGTTCTTTATCCAATTTTTTCTGCTCCTTTTTTCGTTTTCTTTCCTCTTTCAGCCTTTCCTAAAAAACTTTATTTCAGAATTTTGAGAAAATAAACTAACAAACCTCTAATTGTCGATCTCCTTCATCTTGAGAACTCGATTCGGAAGATGAAGAATGTCTTCTTTTTCTTTCCCGACTTCTCGATCTTTTTCTAGACTTTCCCATTTTTGAATCTGCAAAAAAATGAATAAAATATAATTTTATTAGAATCTGGAAAACACATAAAAAATGTAGTATTCATTGATTTTCTTGAAATTTTTTTTTGGAAAAATATGAGCTTGAGAAACTGAAAAAGTCTTGGAAAAAAAATCACAACAGAATAAAAATGGAGTCATTTTTCAATCGGAAAAAATAGGAAAGAGAAGTTTTACACTTCCCAAATTGTATATTGAAAAATCGAATTTTTTGGACACCTGTAGTGCAGATGTATAAATTTTCGAATGTTTTCTCTGCTCGTTTGTGCAAACACCGCGACGCAGAAATGCAGAAATTAAATTTCTTGGTTTTTGAGAATCGGAAAAGGCTGTGAAAATGTGGGACAAAAAAAATGAAAGAGGATTTTAAACTCTAAAAAAAGTTTTCGAATTATTTTTTCGAAAATCAGAAAACTATGAAATTGGAGTAAATTATGAAATTTGAAACAAATTGGAAAAATGACAGAATCTTGGGAAACTACTGAGCAAAGAAGATGAAAACTGAACAATTAAAAATTAATTCGAGAATGAGAACAACTTCGGATAAGTTGAAAAATTCGGAAGAGCCAGAAAAACTTTATTTTTTATGTTTTCAAAAAAAAACGGAGAATTTCAGAATTTTGGACATCTGAATTTCAGATCAGCCCGAATTTTACAATTTTAATTTCAACTTGAAAATCATAAATCCAAAAAATTCAGTTTTTTTAAATGTTTATTATATGTTTTGTTTGATTTACTGATTACATATTTAATCTATGTCGTCAAAATTTCCTCTCCCGCTGTCTTCTCAAATTACAAATAAAATAGTATTTTTTGTAATTCGAACTGAACTGAGACTGTCTGTCCACTTGACATTTATGTAATATTTATTAATGTGATGTGTGAAATGAGATGTATTAAAAACTGTATATACTTTTTATTTATTTTTATTATTATTTCTAAAGTTAATTCGAGCGATGACGAATATCGATTATTGAATGATTTGCGAGAAGGGTAAGAAACATTGGAAACTTATTTCTACATAAATACATATAACGGCATTTCAGATATGATCCAATCGAAAGGCCAGTTGTGAATCATCACAAACCTATCGAAGTTAAATTTCGACTACTTTTACAACAATTAGTTGATGTTGATGAGAAAAACCAATTGATTACATTAGTTGCGTGGATACAGTATAAATGGAGTGATTATAAATGGAAATGGGATCCGGAAGAATACGGTATTTTATTTATATTCGGAAAAATGACAAGAACAAATTTTGGAATTTATCAAACTTGAAAAATTTAATTTTTTTTTGGAAAAAATTAACCCAATTCTAGGAAATATAACAAAACTTCAAATTCCTCACGGAGTTCTATGGAAGCCAGATATTCTACTTTTCAACAGTGCAAATGAACATTTCGATTCTTCTTTTCCTGTGAACATGGTTGTTTCGAATAATGGAAGTGTTTTATTTGCACCGCCTGGTAAGATTCTCTGAAAATTCTCTAAAAATTCTCTAATAAAAATTCTAGGAATAATGCAAATTTCCTGTTCTCTAACAATGACTTGGTTTCCGTATGATGAACAAGTTTGCTATTTGAAGTTTGGATCGTGGACTTATGCTGATAAAATAGATTTGCAAATTGATGATTTTGGTTTGGACGATATTCATAAGATGGATCTTAGTTATTATGTTCCAAATGGTGAATTCGATTTACTCGCAACTCCAGCCAAACGAATTCAAACAACTTTTGAAAACGAAACATATATTGAATTGTATTTTCATCTACATTTGAAGCGACGAGTTCTCTATTATGGGATTAATTGGATTCTACCATCGGTTTTGATTTCTTTGAGTAATATTCTGGGTTTCACAATGCCACCAGAATGTGGAGAAAAAATTACACTTCGTAAGTTTCAATTTTGAAGGGGTGCTAAATTTGATCTACGGTAATCCAGTTTTTTATGCCGAAAAAATACCAATATTTTTGTTAAACCTAAATTTTCTGGCGCCAATTTTTGAGCTACAGTACCTTAGATTCTTATGCTGGGAAAGGATCTAAAAATTCTGTAGATCATTTTTGGTGCCAAATTTTTGAGCTACAGCACCCCACCCCATGTTTGGGTAGTAAATTACACTCTGCGAACCTCCACACAATATCTGATAAATTTCAGAAATCACGAATCTCTTATCAGTCACTGTATTCCTCGGAATGGTCGCTGAAGTAACACCTCCAACATCAGAATCAATTCCAGTCATCGCCGCATTTTTCTCACTATCAATTGTTATTTTAGGATTATCAATTTTCGCAACTCTAATCATAATCAATATATTTTTCCGACATCCACGTTCACATGTAATGGGAGAATGGACACATTTTATATTTCTAGAATGGCTTCCTTGGTTATTATTAATGAGTCGACCAGAACATACATTTAAGAAACCGAAAAAATCGAAAAGAAATGAAACAGATGAAGAAAATGGAAATGGTGATGAAGAAAAACAAAGTATTTATGAATCAGCAGAAAATCATGTTAGACCAAGATTATTGATAAATAGTCAAGTATTTAATGAGCCAGCAATTCAATGTTTGGAAGATATTATAACTCTTTTGAGGAAATTTCAGGTACGATTTAAAAAAAAAGAAAAAAAAACTTCGAGAATTTAATTTCTTGTCGATCCTGGCACACAAATTCAAATTTCGACACGTGGATTTCCCGAAAATTGGGAAGCCAAAAATTACCTAGTAAAATCAATCACCCAAAAATCTACTAGAAAACTTTTTTCAACAAAAATTCCTAATTTTTCAGACAAAATTAGAAGAAGACGAAGAAGAAGAGGAACAAATAATGAATTGGAGATTTATGGCAATGGTTATCGACAGACTTTCATTATTCCTATTCACCGCTTTGATTTTAGGCACTACTGGTATTGTATTTCTAGCAACACCCAAGCTATTTTCAGCCGATCCAATTATAGATGTTTGAATAGAAATTAATTGAAAAAATAGTTGAACGAATCAAACGTTCTTGTAAAAAAAATAAATTGAATTTTTAATAAGAAAATTTTATTTGACAGCTCTTTTTTCTTTTAGTGATAATTACACTAAAATTCTATTCACAAAGAATAAGACATGCAATTGGTAAGCATAAATAAGTACTTACAATAAATAAATAAAAATAGAATTGCACCTATGTTGAAAATTTGAACGAATTTCGAATGGCAGCTAGACTTCCGGTTAATTTATCCGCATCAATTGGATATTCAGATTGCATTGTTTTTGCGAAACAATGTTGATATCGTCGAGATTTCTTGCGCTCTTCTTGTTCTTTTTCGTCGATTATTGAAAGATAGGGAAGCATTTCCAAATTTATGTTATTTTTCGAGTATCTTCCATTAAATGCTTCATAGGCTGATTTGAGTTGTTTACGAGTATCGGATTGCTGAACGAAAATTTGATTTGGATGAAACTTTGGACATGAGAACTTGTGGAAATCAAGAATTTTCAGATTTTTCGAACCAAAAATTTTTTGACAATTATGTAGAGTTAAAATTTCGATTTTTCCGCATCTTGGCTGGGTTCATGGTGCCAAAAAGTTGAAAAAATCTTAAAGTTTTCCAAGTGGATTTTTTTGTGAATTTCAACGCAAAACATCCTTTGGTTAAAAATGCCGAGTTTGATTGTTTTTTTTTAATTCGTATTTTTGCTCAGATTTTAGCCGAGGTTTAAAAAAGTTTTGGGACTATTTTTGGCTAATTTTTTATTTTTTATTCAAAGTTTTAAATTTCAAAAAATCTCATTTTTGCTCCGAACTCACCCGTTTCATCAGATCCTTATCTCCTGAAATATTCGCAATATTCGGCAAATCCACTTTCAAAAATCCATCCGGAATCATATTTAAAACATCTTGATATTGATATGCTTTTGATTCGATTGTATTCCATTTCGAGGCGGATAAAATATTCTCAATATCTGTGTTCTGTTCCATATCCCAATTAGAATTGAATCCATTTGAACATGAAAAACGATCAGTGAGAGGAAGTGGAAGCTGAAAAACAATAATATTCAGATTCTATATTAATTTATAAATAAAAATTCCAAACCTTCTCATTTAAAGCATAGAAATGAGTTTGATTGATAAGTGCGCGTAAATCATTGTCAACAGAATTTGCCAATTTTCTCATCACATCATCTTCAATCCATTTGCCAGTTGAAATATGAACTAAATGTTGACAATACTTTCGAACTCGACTTCTCTTTTTCTTCAAAGATATTACTAATGGATATTTTTCAAGTTCCGAATTCGATGGATAATCTTCATCACAAGTCCAAATCACAGGAACCATTGCTGTATTTATCATCTCAATTAGAGCTGACGCACCATTTCTATCAAGTGATCCAAACAATAAATCAACATGCTCGAAAACGACTAGAGATTGTTGAAAACCTTTATCGAGAACTGATTTGCGCAGATTCTCATTTTCATTGGATGATTTTGGATTGAATACTGATTTTTGGTTTTGGAATAATCGAACGAGAGATCCAACAGGTTCACTGATGACTCGATGAGATCTCAGTGCTTCAGTCAATTTCATTTTGATTGATGTTCCTTTTCTTTCTTCATCTGGTCCCATTCCAATCATTTTCATATTTTCTTCAGAAGCTAGGGTTGATATCTGGAAATCGATTATCAAGTTTGGGTTTTATAACTGATAGAAGATAGATCACAGAATCGAGAAGAAAATCTGAATCGAGATTCAAAACTAAAACTCACGAAAGCAGTTTTTCCAACACCAGGAGGTCCTCTCAAAATCAAAGGATTTTGCAATTCTTCATCATCTGACACATCATAATCACTATCTTCTTCATCACTCGATGTTGATTTTTTCGATCTCTTTCCTTTCTTTTGTGTCTCAACTAATTCTTGCTTTTTCGCTTCTTTTCTAACTCGTTTCTTCCATTTTTTCAACCATCCTCTAACTTGATCAATATCATCTGCTCCTTCAACAAGTTCTTCGAATTTTTGTGGCTTGAAAGAATGTGCTCCGATTGTTGCAAGTTCTTCCGAATACTTTTTGATGTTATAATCATGGACACGAGGACTGAAAAGGTTTTTTGTATGTTAAAGGGGATGTTTTAAATACTTACCTTGTTGCACCATTCGAACATCCTTCTACAAAATTCTCATCATTTTTAATATTCTTTAATCGAAATTCAAAATCTCTTGCTCCTGATATTTCAAAAGTTGGAGATCTTTCAGATAACCAATCTTTCTGTGATGAAACTTCATATTTTTCAAAAACTGGTGTATTCTCAAAATAGCAATAAGTTGAGGGGATTTTATCACCCCATAGTTTTTCCTTTCTAATTCCAGTTGAAGTAATTGAAGAAGTTGAGCAAACTGAGATATTTATTGGTTTTTCCTCGACTAATTCAACAACACATGTTTCTTTTGGAGGAAGTTTTGGCGAAGGACGTGGAGAAAATAATGAAAACATTTTTTTTGGTTGTGATGGGCTGGAAATTGCAGATACTGATTGAGTAGGTTTCTGTGATGTAGACGGATTTTCAGCTTCAATAGGACCTGTTACAGGGGCGTCTTTTGGTTTTTGACTAGATTTTTTATCCGTATTTGGCTCAATAACTTGCACTTCATCTTGGGAAACTGCGATTTGACGTGGAGCAAAAAAGTTGGATCTTCGTCTATCGGTTTTTGAAGGTTCCGGAACAACCAATCCACTTCTTCGACGGCTACGTGTTTCCTATAAGAAAGCGCGGAGAATTTTTTTCTAAAGTATTTTTTAACATACAACTTTTCCCTTTTCTGGTTCAATTTTCTTTGGCGCTTCTTTTTTCACTTCTTCCTTTTTCGGAACCTGAATCTCTGCAACTTTCAATAATCCACTTCTTCTACGTGTTTTTCTTTCTTCAACCACAGCCACCTCTTTTTGTTCCAACATCAATGATCTTCTACAATTTCTTGGTCTTTTTGACGATTTCTGTTCCTGCTCCTGCTCATTTCCATCCGTTTTTGCATTCGCTTTTGGTAAAGGTGGTGGAGTTGTCATTGGTGAAGCAGCATTTGTTATCAGCGATTTTCTTCGTTTTCTCTTCGTCGAATCCGATGAAAATGATGATTTTCTCGTTTCATTGTTTGAATCGTCTCCAAAAATCATTTGCGCGTGGAATTCAACCTTTGCGTTGTCGTCATCTTTGATATTGTGAAGCTGAAAAACAAAACCGAATTCGAAAATCTGTAAATTCTACACAACTCACATATGCTTGTGATTCAGGAGTGATATCCAATCTCACAGTACTTAACCGTTGTCTATCTGGTTTTCTCGAATCTTCATCGTCCGAAGGTAGACATAAATTATCGGGATCATATTGTGGTCGAGGAGTCATAACTCTAACTGTACAAATCGAATTGAATCGAAGATTTCGTGAACGATTAGTTGGTGTTCTTGAAAGTGATCTACTTCTCCGATACTTTTTCACAATATTCAATGCAGCTTTTTGAGCAGCAGTTGTTGTTGACTTTTTTGTTAAGCACGATTTAATATTAGCTTGTTCACCAACATCCATCTGAAATACGTATTAGTGTTTAACATAACAGAATAGAAAACAAACTCACTGATAATATCGGTGGTTTGTTGTGCATAACTCTGGATTTGAAATCAGCTCGAATCGCAGCTGACCGCCGATTTCGTCGAATATTATGTTCAGGAGTAGTGATTCTTTCCATTTCAGATTCTTTGAAAAACGATTTCATCAAATCTCCTCCAATCGACGATCTTCTTCTATTCTTTTTCACATTTTGTTCGACAGATTGACTCGATGTTGGCATATTCTCATCATTCGTCACCTCTACACAATTCATCTGACTAGGCACCTACAACGTTTTCTATTTACGTCAATATCGAGTTTTCAGCAAAAAAAACGGCAGAAAAAACATAACATTTTCAAACTGGCGGGTTATCCGTAGAGCGCGCTTTGCATACTCAAACTGTCTCTGCTCTCTCAGATGGGCGCACACTCTCGTTTTTTATTTTGAAGCGATTTTTTTTCAGAAAAAATCAGAGAAAAAAGATCATTTTATTGTTTAAGTGACAAATTAATAAATACAAATTTATCATGATTTTTCTGACTTTAGATTGGATGCAACTCCTTTGCTCAACATCTGGAAAAAACGGTTTTTTAGTTTGAAAATTTTATAACAAGAGTTTACTTCTAAAACTTGATCCGGAAATCTTCTTCGTTCTCTCGCAACACACAGTGCACAAAAATTCGAGCCGAAAAACACAGAACAGCCTTTATCGAAACAAACAGCCCGATTACACAATGAACAAGGAGCTCCTAATACAAGAAAATCATCGTGAACTGGTTTTTTGGTTTTGACTCGAGCTGGTGGCACAAATGGATCTCGTATGAAATAAACTGATGAATTATATCTGGAAGAATGGGTTCTTAAAGTTCACGTGGTTAAATAAAAGCGCTGCTGTTTTTTTCCAATATTTTTTGAAACAAACTTTTTCAATATTTTTTGAAACAAAAAAAAAACAAATTTATCAACACCGGCATTAAATTATTCTTTAAAATCAAAATTATATTCTTCTTCTCACAGCTCCAAGTTCATTTTCAGTTTCCAAGCAAGGATCAGGAGAAGTTTCTGAAAATATTCAATTATCATTCCATTTTTGTTGAAAAATTGAACTCACTTATCCCGTTTTTTTCTTTTTCGATGCGAATTTTCAGCAATTCTCCATATAATTTTTCATTTCGAATAAGTTCCGAATAATATTCTTGTTTCAGTTTTTCTGTCTCTTGTTGACTTTGTTCCAAAGTTATACTCTCATTTTTGCTAACTGTGAACTCTGGTTTGCTCGGATGTGGATGTGCTCTTTTTCTCGATGGAGGTTGCGATGGTTTTTCTCTGCTACTAGAAGGAGTTGGAGATATAACACTCTGAAAATGAATTGATATACATAAATTGAAAATAGATATAAGTTACCGTTTCTCTTGTTAAACTATGTGACATTGTTGCTTCGAGTATACTTTGTAAATTTGCCAATGCTTGATCATTTATTGATTCATCATGTTCTACACTTTGTTTATGTTCTGTATTCGATGATTCGAAATCGACTTCAATTTTATCATTTGGATCGCATAAACTATTATATAGAAATATTGTTCCTTGAGAAGCTTTTGGGAAAACTAGAAGATTTCCAATATTTTTTCGAGAACCATTACTCTGTAATTATAATGATTATCCAATTATAAAAATATTTCAGAAAAACCCACTAATTCATTTTTGAATCTCCTTAATTTTTTGAACTCGTCTCTCAATTTTTGTTCAATTTGTTTTGGGGTACGAAAACCATGTCCAAGATTTGTACAATTGTCCGCAATTTGTTGAATCATTATTTTTCGCGTCTAGAAAAAATATATCAATGGAGTTACGATAACTAGCTTACCATAGGTTTACCGCAAGGAGTTTGAGTTGTTTGATTTTTGAAAACATTAATATTATTAATATAGGTTTCCAAAATCAACATAACCTCTTCAGTTTGAAATTGTCTTGTAGCCAAATCACAACTGAAGTCGAAATTAAACTCGTTGTCTTCTCCAAGTTCCGAATTTTCAACTTTTACTTCTTTTGTATCCATCTGCAATTTTTCACTTTGAAGAACTCAAAGAATTATGAAAAAAAAATTGAAAGAAAAGAAAACACAGAAAAAAGCGGGGAGAGCGGGTGTCCTCTAAACCAAATCGATTGGGATGAGGGAGGCAGAGTGGGAAAACATTTACACACAAACACATTTTGCGGAAAAAACGACACTATTTAACCGCCCATGTTTATTCTATTTATTTTTATTTATACGCGCCGCGCGATTGAAATGAAATGAGTAAAACTTACCGTCCATCGGAAATATTCAAATCACCAAATAGACATTTTTCTTTCATGTGACAAATATCGCATTCGAAATCGATGAAAGGATCAATCATTTGATTGTTCACCACATCATTTTCAGTTTCAATCGGCTTCGATTTCTCTTCGGACATTCTGCAAATCTGAATAGAATTTTTCGAAAAAAAACGCACAAACATAAATAGTCAGAAAAATAGTGTGTATAATTGGGAGGGTGTTCAGACAACAGAGATGTTTAAATGACCCGGCAATATAGAAATACTCATGTTCTACTTCAAATTGAATATACAAGTTGTCAATTTCAAAATGCTTCTTGAGGCCAGAAAACTTGAAAAAATCATAAACAAGTGGGGGACTAGGTTTACACGCTAGTCCCCGTGCATTTTTGGAGTTTCGTAATTTCGTAATTCCAAAAAATTTTCTAGAGCATCATAACTTCTATATTTCATAACTTCTAAAACCAAAGAAAAATCAAATAATTTATTGTAGTAATAAATAAATCACATTGTACATTTCATATTAATCAGGAACAAGTTTGGAATAACACCCTCTTTTTTGAAAGCAGTTTCCACTTTTACCACGGTGTCATCAGTCTGCAAAAAATTCGAATATTATTCTTTCTCAAAAATATCTCATCAACAACATACTTCAACATATTGAACTGCCAATTTGTCATCTTTCATATCTCCCTTTTTACGAACAACCACCAAATTTTGTGTGAATCCAGATCCCAGAAATCCCTCGTTTGGCGATGTTGAATAAATCTCATTATTTGTACAAAGAATTTTGTAGGCGAATCGGAATTTGGTCTCGTTTATTATTTTCAGAACACTTTGACCCTCTGGTGCTTTCCATTTGATTTCGGACACTCTGAAACAAAAATACAACATGAATAGTAGATTTCTAGATTGTTCAACTTACGTAAATTTCAATGACATGTCGTGTTTCACTTAATGAGAAATACCGATTATCGTCGATTCCTCATTTTTATATTCGAAAAAACTGGGCCACGTTTTGACGCGGTCGCAATTTTTAAATCAAAATAATGTGTTTTTTTTAATGAAAACAAGAAAAAATTTGAAAACAATTAAACAGGCGAAATAAAAAAAAACATTTTCGACAAAAAATCGTTTTTGACATTTGCTGAATCGAAATTTTTTGTCAGAAAACGTTGTTAATTTTTTTTTTCAACTTGAATCACCCCATTATAAAAAACGAAATCAGTGAAAATTTGGCATCACATAAAATGTTTCTACATGTGCAAACACCGCTTCGATAGAACGAAAAAATAAGAGTGTGTGTCAACACCGAATGCCCGCAAACACAAAATCCTAATTTTGTAAAAAATAAAATAACGACACTCCGCTCAGACAGTGTGTGAAAATTAAACAACAGGCAAGCCGAGTGTCGCCGTTTTATTTTTATTTTTCCCTTTTTTTGTTTTGGAAGCGAATAGTTTATCGAAAAAAACAAAAAATTAATTTTGAAAATGAGAAAAAAACTGGTGCGAACAGTTCGATGGAGCAGACTTTCTTTCTTGGTTTCTCTTCCACAATGAAATTTTTCAAAAATTAAGCTGAAACCTGATTTTTAAATTCATAAATCCTAGACCCGCAAATGTGAATATTGTAGATCACGCGGGATTTCAACAATGTTCCGTTTTATATCGATTGGCAACACATTTTTGAAATAAATTTTTTTGTCGAAAAAACTCACTCTAGATCTCTTTTTTCAGGTTGGACGCTGGTTTCCCACTCCAATTTCAATGATGAAAACAAAAAAAATTGGAGGATTTGGTTCTTAAACAACTGTAACTCATGTCAGGTCAGTTTAATGGGTTTTAGGTTTGGTTTTGGTGAAAGAACACAGTGATTTGTGTTAAATTATATCAGGTAAGTTTGGGGTATAGTTGTATAATGTATAATTTGAGACGAGATATGCACTCTCAGTTGCTCACAAGCCAGGACTTGTGGAAAAAGAGGAAAATCCCTCAAAATCTTATTTTTTTTTTCATTTTTTCTATTATTTTTTTAGTTTTTTTTAAATGTTCCACATTCCGATTTGTTTTCAACTAGCTCTTTAACTTCTATCATACAAGGATTATTCCATTGGTTATCATCATTTTTTCATCAAAAATGCACACAAACTGGTGAGGATACAGTACCATTTTCATCGGTTGATGTTTTCAGGGTAAATCGAAAGAGGCGCAGAAAAAACGAGAGAAAAGCCACACTGTGCACAGTGGGATTCGAAAATTGTCACAAGCAAATGAATTGGATAAAATCCGAAAAATACCGGAAAATTTATTTTTTTAAATACGTGACCTTGTGTCAATTTCTGATTTTCTATTGCCAATTCGCAAAAAAAAGTCCACTGGTGGAAAAAAAAAATATTTAAAAATTCAAATTCCAATTTTTTCCGTGACCTTTTTAAGATGACGTCTCCTAAATGGTCTTTTTGGCCAAGAAGCTCTTCCAATGGTCATTGCTTCCTTGATGCAAAACGCGAAAAGGCATCGAAGGGTGAGTTAATTTATCTTCGACTGTAACGGATCACAGCTTTTTCGTAATTTTTGATCCATTTAAAAAATTTACGAGCCATGTTTTGAAGTCGTGGGGGCATTTTGATAATAGCAAAATATGGTACGCATAAAAGTTAGTCCAGGACAAATTTCAAAATCTCAAATTATGTTACAAAAATTTCAAAATCTCAAATTATGTTACAAAAAATTTTGGAAAAATTCAAAAAGTTTATTTTTCTTCGCTTGTTCCATCAAGCAATACAAAAATTTAACCATGATAAATGTAAAACAGTTTTTTTTTCAGTTATCGAGTATCGTGTTGCTCAAAAGTAACACCAAGTGAAAAATGCGAGTTGCTCTTGAAGGAATATGGCAAAGACTATTATTGGGACAAAATTGATCTGGATGTTCATGTGATTCAGTTTGTGAGTTGTTTTCTTAAAATCTGATTTTAAGTCAAAATGACCGTATTTTTCAGAGATATCAACATGACCAGCTAAAATTCCTTTTGAACAATCCCCAATTCACTCCTCAATATAGCAACAACCTCTTGAAAGTGTCGAACATTCCAATCCATGTTGGACATGATATGATCATCGCCAATTTCAAGCAATTTGGCGATGTTAAACATTGCGAAAGACTAGAAGGTGATGGTTTTGCCACAATTGAGATGGGATGCCATGAAGATTTGAAGAAAACAATTGCGTTTTTCCAACAAAACGCTTGTTTTGTTTTATGTTTAGGTGAGCTTTATTTATTTTTTTTGGATTCGCAGAAATTTATTTCAGCCAACATAACTGGCCAACAATGGTGGAGATAGCGGAACAGAAGGATTTACACTGGTCCTGGGAGGTTGACCAAAAATTGACCAAATTTTGGCCAAAAACGAAAATTGGTCGAATTTTGACCAAAAATTGATCAAAAAAATTTATTGGCCAAAATATGGTCAGAAATTGGCCAAAAAATTGGTAGAAATTTGGCCAAAAATCAGTGAAAATTTTAATTGTGAAAAATTTCGAAAATCTTAATGTTGTTGGGCAGACATGTCGTTTTGCGGCTTTTGGTGAAGTTAGGTTGATGAATTTTGTTGTTTTTCTACTGATGAATCAATAAATAGGAGTAAAATACTTCGTTTGGTGAATTTTGGCGCCACTCACACCAATTTCACCATTGGCGCAAATTTCAGCCCCAAATCTTCAAATAAAATCAGTTTTGACTTATCTTGGAGCTATTTTTACCAAGCAGAGACCTATCTCGAATCTATCAGTTGTATTGATCGATCCTTAATTTATCAAGAACAAGGGCTCAGAGAAATCAGAAGTATTGTGTTCAGGGGCAATAATTTCCATTATTTTTCGAAAGAATATTGTTGTGATAGCCATCAGCTTCGAAAGAAATAACACCAGTGTTCCAAAAATCGTGCATTTTTTCCCAAAAACGTGAACTCAAAAACTTCCACGCATAGAGATGATTTTTATATCATTTTACTCAGCGTGAAATTCTGAATCGAATGGTGCAAACTATTTATCACCAAACACTACTAATTGGTGCGCGAAAACAATAGATTAAAGGCGCACATATTTATGCAATGTGGTCCTGCAGCGAAATGTGTGTGCGTACTTCTCTCGGACGAAATGCACGCCACCAAATTTTTTCTTTTTTTTTTCGTTTTTTTGTGTGTTGCCCTACTTATAGAGAAATTGATTGTTCACGACTGCTAATAAGATATAAAACTTGTTCCCCGACTAGGATCTAGCAGCAAGTTTTACCAGAACTTTGAAATTCACATATTAAACTTGAATTTAGGCCAAAAACAAAAATTGGTTTTTGAGTTTTAGATTTTTATCAGAACGGGGCTGTTTCTCAATTTGACAAGTTTCCAGCAACATTTGCATGAGTTTCTATGTTACAATCAGAAGTGTCTCAACAGCCGGTAGACGGCCGTCGGGGTTTTAAAATTCGATTCTTATCGATCTTATTTCGCAGTATTGATATTTCTGCTGTTTTTAGAAACTACTAACCAAGAAAGAATGACTACTGCTCTTGCTGAGACTACCAACACAATGACCGGAGAAACCACTGTTCCAGTTGAAAATGTCAAGACCACCACTACTGAAGAAGCAACTCGAGTCCAACTACTGATAAAACTTCCACCGCTGCCACCAAAGAGCTCACTGCCGAGGAAAAGTCAGTTTTTTCTTCTGAAGAATTTTAATCAAAGTTGGTTCTTATTTCCAGGACTACATAATTGAAGAACAACTTGACATCTGGAAAGCGATATTTGTTGACAAGCGAATTCAGCATGGCTGCTGATCTCTTGAGTTTGGCTTCTCAACTTGTGTAAGTTTTGAAATTTTCATACATTTTCTATTTCTATGCATTTCAGTGGTAAACTCTTCGGAGACGACAGCGAACAATCATTTGAACCTTACTTCTACTATGGACAAGCCCTTTGGATAACTTGAAGATCAAGTTTTCTCAAATGCAGTGACTAATTGCCAACCGTAGAAGAAGGTGATGCCAACAACGATTCAATCGACGAGGAACAATATGGTAATCCGGATAAATTGTCAGAAAAAGGACGTGAGCAAATCAAGGAACAAGTTGACACTGCTCTTTCTGCTGGTGCAGAGAAAGCAGAAGTATTAGTCGAAACTGATGCAATTTTTATTGTTTGTAAGGTTCACAAACTGTTAGGAGTCTGCGATTGCTCTAAAATTGACTTTCTTAGGGCAAAATTTACATTCTTCCGAGCACAAGCCTCCAACTCTTTTCTCTAATTAGCTAAAAATGTTTTTCAATGAAAATTAAAGTTCATAATATAAGCAGATTCCTAACAGTTAGAACCATTTTTTGTTTCTTTTTTGTTCTTTTCAATAAATTTTTGTGAAAAAAATGTGTTTTTGATTTGAAAAAAGTTGGGAAAAATGATCAAAAAATGGTGAAAAATTGGTGGGAAAAAGTTGAAAAATTGACCAAAAAATGGTGAAAATTTTTTTGGTGCATTTTTGGTCAATTTTTGTTCAAAATTTTTTTGACCAAAAATTGACCAATTTTTGGTCAAACTCCCAGGACCAGTGTAGTTCGAAAGACAAGAGTTTCTGGAGATTATGCGTAAGTTTTTCGTAATATATTATTCATCTAGTCGGGGAAAATACGGCGGAGAGGTGAAATTTTTAAAATCTCAAATTATGTAACCTTTGGAGATAAACACCTCGGAACCTTATATTTCCAAAATATAATATAACAACGTATTCTTTCCGAATTACGATTCTCGTAAATATAATATTACAGGCCAATCATAATTCCACAATGTGACGAAAACTGTCCATTCGAGATCGAAAAACTCAATTTGCGGAAGTCTATGGATATGCGCAAAATCGAAAAAGCTGCAAAAGTTGAGGTAGAAGGGGAAAAGAAATGGGAGAAAATAATGGAACAGCAAAACTGGAAACGCTATTCCGCTGGAGTTCAGCATGGTGAGTAAACTTATCTTCAACTGTAACTCAACAATTGTTCTACAGAAGCTGACCGGCACTTGGCAGATTTATTCGCGAAATGTGGCGATGAAAAGATGGTCGCGGAATGGAAAAGTAAGTTAAATTGGTCCAGACCACGCTCCTAATTTTAAATTTCCAGAGCTGGCGAAAAAATGCAAAAACTTGGAATATCCGGCAACAAGAGATTCAGAAGGTGGAAAAAGAGTTTAAGAGAGAAAGGTTCGTTTTTTGTTGAAATAATATGAAATTCTAACAATTTTTTTACAGAGTCTCCAAGATCAGCTCCATATGGCAAATGAAGGTAGAGTTGGTTGAAGTCCGAGCCGTTTTTTTTTTGCTTTATTTTAATAAAAAATTGACTTACATATTGTTTCTGGGCATTTTTTTTCTATCAGTCTTTGCCATAAGCCAACTATAGCCTCCAATATTTTCTGAACATATATTGAATTTCGCAGTCAAATTATTGATAAAACTCATCCATCAATTTCATCACTTGATTTTTCTTTTTCTCTATATTTCGATATACAAATTGGCAGATTTTTGGTTGAAAAGATGAAAACTGAAAATCTGATTTTAAGAATTCAGCCTGGTTTGACTTTTTTCATGGATCCAAGCATTTTTCTTTATAATTCACTACTCCACTCTCTTCCAGAAAATAATTTTCAAAAAATAAATTCATGAGATCATAAATACAAAAAATTCAAGCATCAATACGATATGGAGACTTCCCGCCCCTCGGTTTTGTCATCAAATAAAAGAACATAAATACACCGAATAGAATCAAAAATAACATCAAACTACACACAATTATTGAGCAAATCACAAATGTAACCGACCATTCTTTATTCACCGAATGCGTCCTGAAATTTTGAATTTTAGTTGAAATAGTTAGAGGTTCAGAATAAAATTCACCAAGACAAAGCAGATTTTGGAACAGTTGTACTGGTAGCCACCGGGTTTACGCCAACAGTATATGCACTCCATGGATGTGGACCTTCTCCTTTTGTAACTCCTTTCGTTTTCGGTTTTTCGGTTGTTGAACGAATTGTTAATTTTGTCACTGGAAATTAGATAAACACTGATTTGGGCTTGGCACAGGCATAAATTCTTGACTTTTTTAATTCAGAAATGCCTGTCGCAGAAAAAACAAATTCTCGCGTGATTCGGGAGGCGGGATTTATTTGGCAAGGTGCGGCACGTTTTTTTTCAATGAATAATTATTTCTGATTTTTTAAATTTCGAAATTTAGTGAAGAAAAAAAGATGAAAACGAAAAAATTATTTTAAAAACGTGAAAAAAAAAAAAAAATCGTGGCAGGGGGCGGAGCCGACAGGAAAAAAAGTCAGAAATTTATGCCTGTGCTTGGAGAGGGTTTTGGAAATAAAAAACATTATCTTAAAATTTAGAGTGCCCTTATAAAATATAGAGTGTCCTAGTTTTTACGGTGATTTCTTCCAAACATAAAACATGAACAATCAAGTTTGCTCTATTGCACAAATCATTTATGCACTTCTTGAGGACATCTATTGTTCACTCAAAGCAAGTACTGGTGCAAAGATCTTTCGGTTCAAAGTTCAAAAGATCACAGAACTTCAAACCTACAGTAATCAAAATTATAAAAATCCTACCAGTTTCTGGAAATTGTGTAACCTCAGCTGGTTGAACACTTGTTGTAGTTGTCCTATTATTCACATTTATTCTCAATTTCGTCGACACCTTTTCCTCCACATAATTATTCTCATAAGCCCGATTTTCAGCATGTTCAGAACTCGTTAGAAATAAGGCCCGTATCAAGCAGCAAGATACATTCTGTGGAATCATCACCTAAAAATTGTTTTGCAATTTTTTTTGCTAATTGAATTATTTTACCTTCAATAAATTTGAGTCATGGAAGTCGAAAGGTCTTCGAATTGTTTGATCAGCCATTTGAAAAGTTATAAATGATGAGTTCAAAGTTTTTATATTTATTTTTAATACTTTTTTTTCTGTTTCTCGACAACTTCCAATTAGTTTTGGCGCTTTTGTTGGTTGTACTGGAATAATTGGGAACTTTTTTCTTGAGTTTCTTGAACCCTCCTACCTGCTCCAAGAGAATCAATATCAATCTTCCTTAGCAGTGAATCATCAAATCGATATCTGAATCGTGTATATTCATTTTCCTCAGTTTTGAAGATTATCGAGAATCTAAAAAAACAAAACAATAAATCAAAACAGCTGTTATCAATCAGTTAGTCTATAAAACCCAACATTTCTCCCAAGAAAAATCATTCAAAATGTTTTCAAAAATATTTCTAACTTTCTTAATTTTGCTCTCATTGCTCGTCGCAGTTCAGGTAACTTTTTTCCTTCGTTTTAGGCTAACTTTTTTTCCAAATTTTTTGTAGTCAATCGAAAAAATGGCAACTTGTCGTTTCAATTGTAACACCTATATCGATGCAAATTCAAGAAAAATTTGTCTCGAGAATTGCGGAATTGTAACTCCCTGATTCACTCACTTTTCACATGTGGCAAATAAATTTAAATCCAGAATTGCTCCTTCCTCTGATATTTCTAGTTTTTCCCATTCATTTATTCGAATCAATTTCTGGAAATAAAATGATTTGGATTTTTTAAATTCAACCTTAAAGCATGTGTCTAGATTGAATTTCAGTTGGAAATTCCATAGTTATGTCATATTCCAGATTTATAACAGTATAGAATCACTTATTGAGAAAAACCTAGAAAAAACACAAATTCAAACCACGCGCGCTCTCGTCAACGCGGAGTATCGTTGTTTACTTTTCATTTTTTTCCATTTTTTTTTTTGAAAAAATGATAAATTGAAAGGGGGATAAATACTAAGATTGAGATTAAAATTCAAATTCACAAATTAAATTAATTTTAAATGAATCGCGCACTTACCGATGAAGTAATATCCAGAAGAACAGCGACAAAAAGAAATAACATTTTATAGAATTAGCATTGTTTTGAGAAGTTAGGTAGCTTTTATTTTCCTTCCTGAAAAAAAGAACAAAACACTATCAAATTCAGAAATCTTCTGTCTTTCTTTCTTTCCTTTTTTTTAGTTATTTGAGTATTTTTCTGGAGAAACACAAAAAAAACGAAAAAAGCAAAAAGGTAAAAACAAATGAATAAAGGTAGACGAAAATTTTGGAGACAGAGAGAATTGAGAATTTTTTTGATGCATTCAACTAGAAAATGTGACTTGGAGTAGAGTTTTAGAGGTTTCGAGTATTTGAGGTTCAAAAATCATGATGAGTTGGTTGATCAGAGATCTTATGGATTTCAAGTTATTTTCAAAAGCGGAAGTAATTTTCTCAAAATTTTTTTATTTTTCAAAACACGTTTTGTCAAAGCTTCAAAAAAGAAACAATTCAAAAAAAAAACTTGATGTTCCATTTTTGGTTTTTTTCATTTGTCTCAAGAGCTCGTAAAGTTTTCGCAAGCTTTCAAATCATCATAAAAAAGTTTACTCCACAAAAAAAATCATAAAATAAAACAAAAAAAAACTTTTCGCACCCTCTTTAAACGGAAGTCGAATTGAATTGGAATTCAACAACAATTACTATTCTTACTTGGTGGGAGAAAAGTGAGAAAAATAGGTACGAGGAAGAGAAAAAACACTTTTTCAAAATGAAAACTATTAAGCTGAGCAATGATCAAGAATATTTCCTGAAGATCAAAAATATTTGAAACATTATTTTATTAGGATTTTAATACGGCTGGTATTTCCTGAGTCAGACCAAGCCTCAACCAGTTAACCCTAACAAGGAAAGGTTTTCAATGTTCCCCCAAGGAAAAAATCGAGAGTATGTGGAATGTTGAGGGTTCCTGTGGGTAAGAAAACCCTAACGGGAATAAGGAGAAAAATGCCTTGTTTTAGAAAATTTTGGTGTTATTGATTTTTGCGATGAAATTTTTTAGAAAAATCGAAACTTTTGTCAAAATTGATGAAAAATGTCAGTCTAAAAATCCATTTGTAGCGCAAACGGCGTACTTTAGTATTACTTCGACTAAAATTAGGAATAAAATAATTTTGGTCCCAAAAGTCCACTAAATCAAAAATCCAGTTTGAAAAATTCATAGAAAATCAACGTTTTCGTTGTGAAGGAGAAGTTTGTGTGAATCGAGACTATGATTTTTGGATTCTACGGACCAAATTACGTCTGTTGACCGTCCTAAATTTTTCAAGTTCCGTTCATTTGAAAATGGAAAAAATTATTTTTTGTGTTTTTTGGTGACCATTTGATCAGAAAAACCCCGACTAAAAAAACCAAATTTCAAAAAATGTCTAATTTTTTGATAAAAAGTTTCACAAACACGTAATCGACCATTCTGAACAACTTCCACGACTCAAAAGTTCATGAAATAGATTCAAAATCGAGTTACAGATGCTCTAAAAATCAAAAAATGGTGTAAAAATCGACCTAAAATACATTTTTTCTCGAGAATAAGGAATTTTTCTCCTTATTCCCGTTAGGGTTTTTCTTACCCACAGGAACCCTCAACATTCCACATACTCTCGATTTTTTCCTTGGGGGAACATTGAAAACCATTCCTTGTAAGGTTAGGTTAAGTTAGGCTAAGTCCCCCTAATTTAATAAAAAATCTAGATAAGTTTTGAAATTCCTAGAAAATCCTGAAAATATCTAGATAAACCCTAATATATTTTAAGAAAATTCAAAAAATTTCTAGATAATTTTAAACATTTCCTAGGCTATTTTTTTCATTCAAAAATATTTTATCCTAAATATTATTATTTTTTCGGGGGAACTACACAATTCCGAACACAAATATACGATTTTGACACAAAAAGTAATTTTTTTTCGAAGCAGGAAAATGTGCGCAGGTGACCGCACCTACTCATGAATTTTTGAATAGTCGAAAAAAATTGCAGACAAAACTGCCCTTTTTACTCTATTTTGAAAAGTTCAATCGCCCACGTTTCGGGAATCAAATTTGAAGTAGATAGGGGAAAAACTGTGAATTATTATTTTTTTTAGAAAAGTCTAGTTTCCGAATGCTTTTGAAAAACCGAACTAAAATATATAAAATTCATAAATTCTGCAAATTCGTACACAAAACAAAAAAACGATCATGAATTTTCAATATTAGCCAAAATATGAGGAACAATCAAACCGCAAGTTGTTGTTGAAATAAAAGCAGTGAATAAATAAAGACATAATCTATCAACAGCCATTGCAGCAAAACGCCATTCAGATCGATTCTGCAAAAAAAAAACAACAAATTGAATAAGAAGGGGATTCTGGAAAAGCCATACAAGTTCATCTTTCAAATCATCATTCATTTTCTGCACCATTTTTCCGATCTCCTTATCCAAGAATTTCAGCTCCTCGCAAAATTTTGTGATATTTTCGATGATTGGCACATTTTTGTCTGAAATTCTGGAGAATTAGGTGATCCTGAAACTATAATTCTATAATTGACTCACAAAAATTATATTTGACTTTAACATTATTTTCCAAACTTGTTTGTGATGGTCGCGGTAAATTCAACATTGGCATAAATGTTGATAATCTATGGATTGGAATTATCGATTTGTCAATTACCTAAAATTGAAATTCAATTTTTGAATCAAGGAAACTATTCCAACTTTTACTGTATTTTAGTGAAAAAAAGTGTTTCTGAAAATTAACATTCAAAGTTCTCAACAGATCAAAATCGACATATTTTTCATGTTTAATCTCAAAGCTCAAACCTTTGGCTTTGGAGTTTTCGGATGATCCGGTTTTCTCATAAAAAGTGCATAAGGCAACCAAACAATAAAAATATTGCGCATCTGAAAAAAATCCAAATTTATGAAAATATTTCAAAACAAACTCACAAGATCGCTCATTTCATGCGTTTCTGGTTTTCTATGATGAAGAGATAATGTGAGGACTGTGAAAACACAAGATAGTGCAACTAACATCAGACAACATGAGAAAAACGCGGCTGAAAAATAAAATATTCACAAGTTTTCTAGAGACCTTACTCAAAATCGGAACAGATTGTGATTGTGGTGGGCTCATATTCGAAACCATTTGTAAAAACATAATAACTGATAGGAGTACGGTAGTTTCTAGTGTCACTTTTTCGCAAGCATCCGGAGGTAATGTAAAACCAAGAATCGTCATCATTGAAATAACCAACGATGGGATTATCAAATTAATTCCTGAAGAAAAACTTTTTGAATTCAAAAATACATTTTTTTTATTTCTCACCATATGCCAAAGTCCTTCTTCTTATATGAATATAAAAATATAATTCATGATATTCATCTGTTCCAAACGCCTGAACAACTCGTTTTCCGGGAGTTCCTTCCAAATCCCATTCACCATTTTGCAGGTAAACTTGGAGATCGATTGATTCATTTACAAAATAACTGGCTGAAGTGTTTGTTGTTCTTTCAGGTTCGACAGTTATCCAATCTCCATTTAAACCTAAAAAAATCCCCAGCATTATAATTTTCAGCCCCCATGCCCACTTGTGGTTCACCTACCCTTTATATCTTGTAATAGAAAATCTAAATTAATATAATTTCCATTATATGTCCAACTTCCCAATTTCAAAAAACACGTTTGCTTGTCAAAGGGATAATAAGTTACATCAATCTGTAATCACATTAATTTCATGCCAGAGCCAACATTGTTTTACCAAACCTGACAAATAAATCTGAAAATGCCTGGAGGATTCTGCTGAATTTCACCATCATATGAAATTATGAATCGAGATGAATATGTGGAGTCAAAAGATTCGGAAACACTGTTGAAAAGTAGAATATCAGGTCGCCATAGTTTGAATGGAGCATCTTTGTCGCCGTGAAAACGCACATTTTTTATCCCACCGAAGTTTTTCGGATCCCATTTGAGTTTGTAATCTGTCCAATGCTGTAATTAATGTTTGGTCTCAAAATTTTCAAAAAAAAAATCTTACATAATCCATATAGGCTAAAATTGACATAGCTTGCGATTTTTCTTGCTGCAAAAATGTGTTTTTCTATTCAAAAATATTTTTTTTTCTCAAAAAAACCTACCACATCCAATATTTGATTAAGAAGAAATCGAACTTTGACATCCAAAGGTTCGGAACTATTTTCCACAGGTCGTTCAAAATGATCATAATTCTAGAAAAAAGGTTTCTAGGAATTAGCGAAAAAGTCAACACACTTTCAGAGTTCTTGCAATTTTTCAGACAAATATTTACTCAAATCCAGTATAAAATGGAGTTTTAAGGAACTAGTTGAGAAAAGATAAAAAACGAGCGAAAAATGTTGAAAATCTTGCTGGTTCTTCTCATATTCTTGGCCTTGTTGGCTAATTCTCAATATTTGTATTATTATGTGAGTTGTATTGATTTTGGGCTTTAGGAATTGGGCCAGGTTTGATCTTCAGAATTTCTGAAGAGAACCATGCGTGTGAAATTTTTTTCAAATGTTTTCCCGCGCACAGTTCCAAAACTAAAGATTTTTATATTGCTCATATTAATAGTTTTAATTTCGAGCGAAACAATTTTTCAAAAAACAATTTTACCGCGCTTACTGTAGTTATATTTCTCATTTTCTCTGCGTCTCTCTCAATTCACCCTGTAGAAGCTTCAAAAAAGATTCTGAATTTTCCAGAGAAACTTTCACTGGTCCGATTCAGAAATCCTTAAATTTCCCCCGATTCCTTGGGTCCCAACTGGAAATTTTTACAGTATCCATACTATTACTACTATCCACAATATTATTATGTTTTGGGCAAACGTGAAATCGGAGAGCAACACAATAACTAACTGGAAACCTTCTTGCTCAAATTTTTTTAAAAACCAACCTCTTTTAAATATTGTAATAATCTGTATTCATCCACACTACATTCTAAAATCCCAATAACATAAAATAAAAATAGAATTTTGAAATATTTATTTTCTGACATTTATTTTCTCAACAATGAACAAAAATAAAAGAAAAAGGAAGAGGGCTTATGAGGTATTCCCAAGAGTGGGATTAGCAATAGAAAAAGAAAAGGACCACCAAAAAGCCTTGCCTCTTTATCAAGATATTTTTCATACATTAACTAAAAATAAGAATTTATATTTATAAATACTATTTTACCCGATTTGAAAATGAAAATTTCTTTAGAATTTAGAAAATTATTAGATTTGTCCGTAGACCGCATATGATTCTTCGTCTGGATAAAGTGTTGCTGTTTGGAAATGTGGAAATTCCTGGAAAAATTTGATCTATAATAATTCTGGAGTGAGGAGTTTTTGGGCTCAGAATTTTTTGAACTTGATTTTCGCTTGAGCCCCAGAATTTTTTATCAAGAAGCTGGATGCTTTTTACTACTTCTAAACTTTATCTCATTTTTAAAAATTTAACAAAAAACATATTTTGATCTGGTAGAAAATTACAAACTCAAATCCTCGAAAGTTTGAGCTCCCCACTGCCCATTCTTGCTATAAAATGTATGTCAAACCTGTTTCGAAAACCTTCTGCCAGCATAATTATCCGCAGCATTCCAATAAAATTCCGAATTCGCTCGATAATAATATTTGACAAGTTTGAACATTGAAAAAACACATGGAAGAATTGAAATCGACAAAAGAAGTGAGGAGAGCAGCAAACTTTGAACTGGAGCTAAAGATCTTGAGCATTGCGCTGAATTCAATCGATAAGCTTCGATTAGATCTGTTTGTGAAGAAGTGTCCACAATTCCCATTGTTTGTTGATTCTGAAAACACAATTTATTTATTTTTTTTGAGTTCAAACTGAAAACAAACCTGTAATTGAACTGCTGCGCAAAGAGTTTCATGAGAATGAGTGTAAACTAGGGCGAAAGATGAAAATATTAAAATAGTTGGAGATCCAAGAAGTAGAATTGAGCAATAAGTTGAAACAATTTGTCCAATCTATGAAAAAAATTAGATTTAGAATTGATACAGAAAAATGGTCTTACTGTATTTGAAATACTTGATCGATTCATTGGATGATCGCTATAAATATAACATCCAGTTCCTGAAATTATGGGAATTCTGAAAAGTTAAGGTATCTTTAAAATTTAGGCAATTTTTCAAAATGTTTCTAGAATTTACAGTTAAGATACCCTAACTTCAAAATTGTGCATTATTCTTGACCCTTCCTAAACCAACCTGCTACAATGAAAAAGAACGCTGGAAGAATAATAAACGCCAGCAGCAAACTTATAAAACAAAAAGTCAACCGGCAAACAAAAATCAAAAGTCGAGAATGAAGATTTTGAAATTGTTGTGTTGGTTCAGTCGGTAGTATTTTTGAGAATTCCAAAACTTTCTGAAAACGAGCATTTTTGAAAATTGGATAATTTTTTATGTTACTGTAGCTTACCTTCGTTGTTGTTTCCACTTTTCTCCATTCAATTTGAGAATAGTCTTTGGTCGTCAGTTCGATAGATTGATCAGTTGAGGCAGATTCAGTTGCCATACTTCTTCCATCAATAATCAAATCTTCGCTGGATTCATATTCTGCTTCGGTAGTTGTTTCGGGTTCAGATTCAGATTCAAGTTCAGATTCCGATTCAGAATCATTTATTGGCTCCTGCAAATCATCTTGGAATCCATGATATATCAATTGAACTTACCTCCAGATTTTTGACAAAAGTAGACATTTGATATCTTGGCTTCTCCTCAAGCTTCTTCTCCACTTCAGGTTTTTTTGTTGTTGTTGAAGTTGTAGTTGTGCTTGATTTTTTAATCACAAACTTGTCTGAATTACCAAGAAAACTTATTTCAGCATCTGGTCGCATTGGAATTTCAATCCGGTGCCTATGGAATTTCCGACTCTGAAAATCAAATAGTATTCTATTATTCTAGATGAATCTTGGAACTTACAATCCACACTCTTTTCAGATTCGATGGCAAAGTTGTTGTGCTCATATCATCTTCCTCCTCACTGATATTTTCAAAGTCTCCATGGTAATCGGGATTCGCGAAAATTTCGGATACACCACGTGAGAATCTCTGAAAATTTATGTGAGAACTTTATTCAATCAGAGACATACCAAACTGCTAGAACTGTTGATAAAATATGGAATCGGCTTTTTCGCATCCAATTTCTCACTCCAAAATCCGGAACCGGCTAATACAAAATAAACGGAAGCAGAAGTGACAATTATCCAGGAAAGGAAAAATAACATGAGATGAAGTGCATAATTATTTGAGTTTGTTGGATATTCCTGAAAGAAATTATGGGAATGATTTTTAAATTTGGAAAAAGAGAAGAGCAGGAAACTTTTTTTGTAACATTTAGATCTTGATACCTGATATTTCTGAGCTCCACAAAACCCACGAAACCGACAAAACAAAAAAATCGCCGAGAACACGAAAAGTGCAATCGATGAGAAAACCAGAAAAAATAAGGAAGCTGCAAGAATTGGCTGACTTGAAATATGCTCTCGAACCAAATCGATATCCAGAAGATTTTGCTGAAAACTTTTTTTTAAATAATTTTTTTTCAGACAAAAACTGACCATAATTAATTAATTAATTAGCTGCGAGAAATAGGAAAGAGAAACTTATTAAAAATGAAAACAAAATTCGATTGAAATCATAGATAAACTTAATTGGGACATTTTTTGTTTCAAAAAACAAACTCACCGATTTCCAAAAATGTGTCAATAATTTTTCAGCTACTTCATGATCATGTTGAAACGTTAAAGCGTTAACAAGATAAGTCGCCATCTGAACATCTGAAAAACCAGGAAAAACTAGACAAAAAATGAGGTGAGAAATCTTATCATCTCTAAAATAATATTACGTCGTTTATTTGATTAATATTAGATATTTGAAGTAATTGAGGAGCTATGTTGGATAATCTAGATTTTCTATTAGATTTTTTTATAGAATCAGGGAAAAAGTTGGGGAAAACAGAAGGTCAAATTATAATAGAAGGTTATGAGAATAAGAAGAATTATAATAATAATTTGAACTAATTCCAACTTTTCTTGGAAATTTGAATGTGAATTTTTATTGGTTTGGAAAATATTTATTTTTCGGGTAAAAGTTGGAAATATTTTGCAGAAACTCAGAAACAGTCCAAAAATACTTCAAAAATTAGGTAATAAAATTTGGAATTCATAAATTAAAGCCAAAAAAAATAGTAAAAACTACAGTAATTTCTATATAAAATTTCGACCAAAACTCATAAAAACAGGGGCGGAAATGGATATTATTGATAAAGTGCTCCAAATAAAGTCTATATTTGCTCTTCTCCAAAACTCGAAAGATTTATTCGTTGTTTATTTATCCGATTTCCAAAATGTGTCAAAAAGACATATATCCGGCCGAAACTTGAATTCAAATTTATATCAAACATATTTTTTCCAAAAAATAATAAAAAACGGAACACAGAAAGTTGTGTTGAAGAAACGTGACCCAAAAGATTTTCCGATCCATTAGTTTTGTCTCGTTTCAAATTGAAATGGTTTAGATTATTTCATGTTATTGTTGAAGACTTGGAGAAAAAACTATTTTGACCTAATAATAGAAAATCAATTTTTAACTCAAGAAACTCACATTTCCCTTAACTTATTTCCCCTATTTCCAGTTTAAAATCTCAAAAACTTGGGATTTTACGGATTCGAAATACAAAAAAATCAAAAAAGTCTTCAGTGTGTTACCATAGTTTTTTGTCCTTCAACATTAATCAGACAGGGATAACTTGTAGTCATCATACGACTTCGAACCCGTGACCTTCTGGACGGAAAACTAACATTTTACCAATAGGCCACAAGTATGCCACAGAAACTATCTCTCTTTCTCTACACATTTCTTCTCGCGTTTTTTTGTTGCAGTAGCAGCTGTGTGTGGAACCTTGTTTCTATCAGAAACACTTTGACTCTTTCTGAAAAAATAAAGCATTTTTATTCAATATTATTACAAATATCATTAAAAATATAAACATCAATCATCAAATAAAAAAAACGAATTCGATAAAGCGTACCTTGTATGACCGGCAAGAAAGGTTAGTAAACTAAATAAATAACATGAAAAAGAGTGGTTATGGTTTAACAATACGACGTTTATCATCATCCTCGAATTCAGTTCCACATGGAGATGGATGGGGAGGACCGAGAAGCATTGTTGAAGAGAGTGGAGTTGGTGGAGGACCTCCAATACCGCCAGTGCCTGCAAAAATCACTTTTTATGTGAAAAAATAGTTTTCACAGTTTTTTAAACTTTCCGTATTTCGCATCAAAATTTTCATAGATTCATTTTGAAACAGTGGAAAATTCCAAAAATTTCGATTTTTTACAGAATATTGGACAAAAACCAAAACAGATTATGTTCAAGACACAAGAAACACTGGAAAAAACAGATTTCCCGCATTTATTTTCAAACGACAAAACCAGCATGTGCGCTCTAGCGACACACTGTGTGCGAACACTTTCGAAATTTCCGTCGGCTGAGCGATTTCAAAAACAATTATTTTATTTTTTCACTTTTGCTAGACTCAAAATTTTTTCTTGATTTTCATGAATTTCGATTACTTGAAAGGTGTTGAGAATGAATAACAAACTCATTTTCTGTTCATTTCTAGTGGATTATGTGTCTTTCAAAATTCAATAATTTCTTTTCATTTAAAAAAATCAGTGTTCCAATCTAGATTTTTTGTGTTAGGTCCAATCCCTGACATTCGTAGTTTCAAAAAGTTCTGACCCGAAAAAACCCACCATTTGTAATACTAGAAGATGTTGTATGAGAAGGCGGTGGTCTTGGTGGATTATTCGACAAATTCGAAAACACATGATATCCCCCTCTTTGCTCGCCATCTCCTCTTTTATTCATCAAATGTCCATTCGAAGTTGTCGGTTTTCCAATCTGACTTTCTCCAACCATCGAAGCATAATCATTTGTCATTGGACTTTCACAATCTCTTCGTCTTCTAAACCACGTCGAATCATGTGCGACTGGACTAAGAGTTGTTGTTTCGAGTCGATGCGGTGGCATTCCAGCTCTTCCAACTGTCATTAATGCTCCCATACGAATTCCATTTGTTGTTGGAGGGATATTACCAGTAGGTGGCATGTGTGGAGCAGGTGAACCGACATACGTCACTTCAGTTGTTGCTTCAGCTCGAACTGTTCCACCACTATTACCCGAATTGTCAGTTGTATTTTGGTTTGAGGGAAGAATTCCGTCTGAAAAGAATTTTTTTGAAAAATTTCAGAGAAATCGGAAAATCTCACCTCCGAAAACATAATAACATTTTTCAGTAAATGTTAGTTTGCTGACAACATGTCGAATTAATCCAGCAGCAAGTAATCGTGAACAATACAATCTTACAGCTTTGCGATCTCGAAGATCGACAACATGTTCAAGTAGCCAATCAACTAGATCTCGACCTAGAATTGGAAAACATTTTGATAAGGAATTTAGGAACTTTTAAAATGAGCCGGCAGATTTTTTGACAAGCCTGAAGCTCCTAGTCTTTCAAATCAGAATCCTCCTTCCCTTGGAAAAAACGAACCTATAAATGACATTGGGACAAGTATTTTCAGCCATTTCCTATTTTTAACCTGCAATCCAGAATCGGGTCTCGCCATTGCTCTCACAACAATCAATGGATCAATAAGTTCGGATAATTGCTCAACTCGTTCATTTTGATCATTTTCTCGACGTCTTTCAGCTTCTTCTAAAAGTGCTCGAGGAACACCATTTCTCCGTTGATCATATAAAACTCGTTCCTAGAAAAATTTAGGTAAAAATTATTATATTATATTTAAAATACCTCTTCATCACTAATAATCGAGGAAAATGGAAGAGTTCCTTCATCAAATGTTGTAGTTGTTTGTTCTTGTGGATCCAAGCCCAATGCTTTCATTTTCTCGGTGTTTTGGCTGAAATTCAGAATATTTTTTCTCAAGAAAACAGGTAGATAAACTTACACAGCAGTTTCCACCCAAACACCAACATCGAGAGGCATTGTTTCTGAAGCAAACGATGTTAATGGATCTTCGTATTCACTTCCAGCAGCTTTTGAAAATTTACTAACATAAAGGGTCATCGGTCTGAAAATATACATATATTTTAGCCAAAAACTGAAAAAAACTTACTTTCTCGAAGCAGCGGCTTCTCGCAACGCACGAACTGCTTGTGGAACACTCAATTCTTCAAATGAAATTCGGTTAACTTGCAATATTTGATCTCCAACATCAATCCGTCCATCACGTTCAACAGCCCCATTTTGCGCGATTTCCGACACAAAAATATGGCCATCAATAGTGCAAACATTCAATCCGAGGTAAGGAACATTTTTCATCGGTAAGAAAACTTCAAGAATTCTGGGAAGACCACTACCGGCACTTGATTCGGTGGCTGAACTTATTGTACTCGGAACATACGGTCGACGATGATGTCTCTCTTTTTTGATTTTCCTTTTTTGTTTTCGATCATCTTCATACATTTTATTCATATCTCTTGTAGCCAGTGGTTCATATAATGATGATTCTCCAGTCAATCTTGTACTATCATCATATTGATATGGATCTTCTGAATTTGAAGTGTATAACTCAGCCAAATGCTCGCCAGCTCTCCGGCTAACAATTGTGCTTGGAGCTAGACTAGCATCTGAATAAGGCACAGCATCAAAATCAGCCGATCTTCTTCGTCGTCTATCCAAAGTTCCCTTTACATTTTTTCTTGTTAATGTTCCACTGTTCCTTGGAAGTGTGCCATAACCAGGAGTGCTCACAAGAAATATTTCGTAAAACCCATTTTGAGATTTTCGTAGTCGATCAGTTCCTTCTGTTAATTCAACTTTTACTTCGCTGAAAATGTGAATATTAGAAAATGCAAGCAAAATTTGAAAATTAACCATTGAATATCCGGATCGAGCTCTTTACAAAAATATTTATAACCTCTTTTTGTGAACGAGTTTTTGAAGTCGTCTAATGTAACAATTCCTCCACGTGATTCAATTACTGAAACGTACGGTGTTGATTCATCGTCCAGAAAATAAAATACTTTAATCTGGTCAGATGAACCTTGCGGTTCCATTGACTTTTTTGATCTGAAAAAACATTTTTTTTTAGAAAACACAAACAATTCGTGAATAAATCAATAAAGTTTCACATATATAATTTTGAAATAATGGGCGATAAATAAAAGGCGAACAGATTATCGAAATCTATAGACCGCAAACGAATTTTATGTCGTTTTTATTGCCCGTCGCGCACCACACACAAAACAAACTCACTCTCGATTAAATCACAATGTCCCTTTAACCAAGCCAACATGTGTCTCACCACGAAAACCCTGCTGTGCGGTTGTAAATACGGTAGACTTTGAATTTTAACGGGAATATTCCTTCGGAAACTCATTTCATGAATTCAAAACTGTTTTCTCGGGCTTCTTCGAAGATTTCAAGATTTCGCAGTATTTTATAAGTGTTTAAGAGTAGTTTTTATGCCATAATAATGTTCTTCTGAGTTTATATTCCCAATAATTTTCGTGAAATCGAGAATCTTCGATATTTTTCAAATTTTCCATATTTCGGTTTTTACAGAATGGCAGCCGCTGGAGACTCAATCTTGGCTCTTACTGGAAAAAGAACAACCGGTCAATCTATCCGAACTCAAAATGGTCAGTTTGATGAATTTCGTGTTGAATTCTTCAATTTTCAAAATTTTAGTTACTGCCGCAGTTGCAATTGCCAATATTGTAAAATCATCGCTCGGACCAGTTGGTCTTGATAAAATGCTTGTTGATGATGTCGGAGATGTTATTGTTACTAATGACGGAGCCACAATTCTCAAACAATTGGAAGTTGAACATCCAGCTGGAAAAGTTCTCGTTGAACTTGCGCAACTTCAAGACGAAGAAGTTGGTGATGGTACAACATCGGTTGTTATTGTTGCTGCTGAGCTTTTGAAAGGAGCTGATGAACTTGTCAAAAACAAATTGCATCCAACAACAGTCATCAATGGATATCGTTTGGCTTGTAAAGAAGCGGTTAAATATATCCAAGAAACTTTATCTTTCACCTCTGATTCTCTTGGACGTCAATCGATCATAAATGCCGCCAAAACATCGATGAGCAGCAAAATTATCGGCCCGTAAGTTTTTCTCACGACTTATTTTTCGAAATGATTTTTTTAAAAATGTTTCACGTTTTCATTTTTTACACTGTTTAACGTTTTTAAAATTAAAATTTCTAATTTTTCCAATTTCAGAGACTCGGACTTTTTCGGAGAGCTCGTCGTTTCTGCTGCTGAAGCTGTCAAAGTTACTGATTCCACTGGAAAAGTTACATACCCAATCAACGCTATCAACGTTTTGAAGGCACACGGTAAAAGTGCTAGAGAATCAGTTTTGGTGAAAGGATATGCTCTTAATTGCACTGTTGCTAGTCAAGGTAAATGATTCTTCTTCGAGATTCAGAACAACAACAATAAACCAATATTTCAGCTATGCCACACCGAATTCAAAACGCTAAAATTGCTTGCCTCGACTTCTCTCTTCAAAAAGCCAAAATGCATCTTGGTATCTCAGTTGTCGTTGAAGATCCAGCCAAACTTGAAGCAATCAGACGTGAGGAATTCGATATCACAAAGCGAAGAATTGAGAAAATTTTGGCTGCTGGAGCTAATGTTGTTTTGACAACCGGTGGAATTGATGATTTATGCTTGAAGCAATTTGTCGAATCTGGAGCAATGGCTGTTCGTCGTTGTAAGAAATCAGATTTGAAAAGAATCGCCAAAGCCACTGGAGGTAAATTGAATTATAAAATTTGTTAAAAAAAAAAGCCAACACCTATATTTGCAGCTACGTTGACTGTTTCATTGGCTACACTTGAAGGAGATGAAGCTTTTGATGCATCACTTCTTGGAAATGCTGAAGAAGTTGTTCAAGAAAGAATCAGTGACGATGAATTGATCCTTGTTAAAGGTCCAAAATCTCGTACCGCCAGTTCAATTATTTTGAGAGGAGCTAATGATGTTATGTTAGATGAAATGGAAAGATCAGTTCATGATGCTTTGTGTGTTGTTCGAAGAGTTTTAGAATCGAAAAAATTAGTCACCGGAGGAGGAGCTGTTGAAACTGCATTGAATGTATGGTTGGAGTCATTTGCAACAACTTTATCATCACGCGAACAATTGGCTGTTGCTGAATTTGCAAACGCTCTTCTTGTTATTCCAAAAGTTTTGTCAGCAAATGCAGCCAAAGACTCGACAGAATTAGTATCGAAATTGCGAGCTTTCCACGCAAAATCTCAAAAACAAGGAGATCTTCAACATTTGAAATGGTATTTTTGATAGGTTCCCTGAATATTAATCAAGTTCTATTTATAGGGCTGGACTTGATTTGGAAAATGGAATTATTCGTGATAACAAGGAAAGCGGTGTTCTCGAGCCAGCACTCAGCAAAGTCAAATCGTTGAAATTCGCCACTGAAGCAGCTATCACTATTTTGAGAATTGATGATTTGATCAAATTGGATAAACAGGAACCAGCTGGTGGACACGGAGACGAATGCGGAGCATAAGTTTCATTTTTTTATTTCAACCCTTTCTCATTTTTTTCTCATCTAATTTGATCTGAAATGCTTATTTTTGTCGGTAAGTTGAGTTTCGAAAAAGCTTTTGTTTATTGACATGCTTGCAATTACTTTAAAAATTGTTATTTTCTTTTGTTTTTTATTGATTGACGATGATATGAAGCTTGTTTTGATTTGACTCAATTGTCATCGAATCCCAGAGAATGAAAATCGCGATTTTTCGGATCACTACTTGCTCTTCTTCTCATACTCAAAGGAGGCAAACGAACACCATTTGGTGTTTGCATCATTCCTTGAGTTTTTGGTGCTCCGGAAGATGACGAATGAGATAATGAAGAGGATGAAGCCCATGGGAAAATACGAGCAGATGTCGAATTATCGTCGATATCAGATGATTGTTGGGGAAGACGAATATTGTTCTGCAAAAATGAATTAGATGAATTGTGAAATTCACTAGTTACAAAAAATCTTACATCTTCAGCTGATGATCTCGAATCATGATACGAAGAATGCTTATCAGCACTTGAAGATGTTCGATTTCCCGAAGCGGATGGAAGTCGATCAGTGATTGAAGAATTTGAATTCAAAGAATTCGAATGCATTGGAGGTTTTCGAGAGAAAATATTGCGAATTTTCTCGCCCATTGTTGAAAAAACACCATGATCTTGTGGAGGAATCGGAATCGAAGGTGTTCCTGGATCAGATCCCTCGATCGATGTTGATTCGACTGAGAAAGTACGTTGAGACATCAAACGAGAATGCGCAGATCTGAAAATAAAATGGGAATAAAAGATATTCAGAAAGCGAGAAGGGAAAAATAGAAAATATGTGTCTAGATAGATATAAATACTAATTAGTTGATCGACGTCGTGAAAATGAACTAACGAAAATAGTAAATGGTTGCTTAGGAGATGCATTTTTTGATTAAATTAATTATAAAAAATGCCCTTTGCTGTCATCAAATAAAACCACGCAATTCAGAAAATCACTGTTTGAATCATGAAGAATTTCGAAAAAGTACAAGTTTTCGTAATAATTATGGGATTTTGAATTTGAAATTTATTGAACATATACATTGACTAAACCGATTCTGGATTCAAAAACTTTGGAAAATTTCACAAACCTGGATCTCTTAACCATTTGTAAATATTCATGGCCTTTCTGTATATTTTTCAAATTATTCGACAATTTCTCCCGATTCAATCTTTTCGGCGGCCCCAAATTAACCATCGAATCCGTCGATTTTTGTTTAATAACATCTCGAACTCCAAATTTATCAACTTCTTTATCGAATTCGGTTCCCATCTCAAAAGTTATATCTTCTTCGTGATTTAATTCTTCGCGAGAACGTGGGCGAGGCTAAAAAAGTTATGCAATCATCAATTATATGTTTTTTTAAAAGCTGCGCAAGCAAATCTAATTGCTTTCGAGGAAAAAATTTTTGCAGAAAAGCAAAAAAAAACTAAAACCTTCAATTTTCCATATTCCCTCATAACTTTTGTGATCAACATTGCACATGTTTCACTATTTGCTCGAACCGCCATTTGAACTGAATTCAAACCTTCGTTGTTTCGCATATCAACAATCTGAAGATATTTATTGAATTTTGAAAGAAGACAGGGGGATTTAAAGGATTTCACATAATTTCCCAGGGAAAATTCAAAAGTTCAATAGAGCAACTTTGCTGATTAAAAACTTTGCTGATTAAATTTCTGTGCATTTTTAAGCCACGGTGTTTGGGGAATAAGAATTTTTTATTTTTAGTTCCCTGTAGATCACACATTTTTTTCAAATGGAAATGCAAATATCAACAGAGAGTTTCAAAACTAAGCGGAAACCCGAAAAAAATTAATTTAACTGCCTTTAAAAAAGTCATCTCACCGTCCAAAATTTTCCGCTTTTAATAGCCATTGTTAAAATTCCTTTGACTTGAAGAATTCGATTTTCTGCAGCCGCAATCATCAAAGCAGTATTACCATGTTCATCTTGCCACGCGATGTCAAGAAATGCCTTTTTTCAAAAAAAAACATCGTTTTGGTCAAATTCTAGAAAACCTACAGTAGTCACAAGAGTTGGATCATCAAATGGATCTTCTAAATTGAAATCCTCAATTCCCCCATTTTTCATTTCTTCCATAATTCGATTCACAACTTCTGCATTTTCCATTTTTTTTCGCTGAAAGTTATATAAATCAATCAAGAAAAACACGAAAAATAAAAAAAAAATGAAGAAACAAAAAAAAGTGTATAATCATGGGATTAGTGAAGACCTAAAAGAAACAAAATTCACTTATATGAGGAATAACAAATTTTGAATTGAATGAATTTCAGTGCGCGAAAATTGTCAAAAAATTTTCAGATTATGTGTGTTTGTAATTTTGAGGTAGTCATGGAAACATCGGTGCTTTTTTGCGTTGAATGAACAAAAAAACCTGATTTGTTAACAATAAGTAAATCACTTTTTTTCTTTCTTTTCTTTTTCGCGAAGGACAAGTGGAGCTGATGCGGTGCGGTTTGACTTTCGCTAACTAGAGAAGTTGAAAAAAATGTTTATTGAGTTTTGAGCAACAAAAAATCATCGGTTCAGAACAAAAATTAATATGTTACAGACAAGGCAAGCGAGAGTTATGACACCTGAAAACAAATTTGGGTTTCTAAAATTTTGCCACGTGGATTTTTGGCACGAAATTTTGAATTTAAAAAATTTGCCACGTGGACTTTCAGCAAGAAATCTCGAATCTCGAAATTTTGCCACACGAAAATTCAAAAAAAAAATTTCAAACCAACCATCTCCAAAAAGTATATAGGACATGTATTTTTGAATTTTCACAGTTTCCAGATTTCCCGAGACTTCACACGATTCTTGAAATATTGTTCGCATTGATTTGTCAACCGTCGAGAAATTCTGAAAAAATAGAATTGAACTGAAAATTTCAAAATAAAAAACGAACCAAAAGTTTGTCAGCTAATTGAATTCCAAGTGAAACAGTGAATGGAATATTCGGATTTTCCCATTTTTTCGTTGTAACTCTTTCAAAAAATAAATGATCGCAATTGATTGTTTCTTTACAACAAGACCATGGAAGTGTCATAATTGGCCTGAATTTTTAATTTGATTTATTGGATATGAAAATTTTGAAATTTAACAAAAACCTGGTTTCTGCAACAAAATTTTCATCAGCTATCAAATTATAATACCAAGACGAAAAGGGATTTGAAGTATCGATTGTAGATTCTGAAACTTTTTTTCAAAAAAATTTTAAATTTAAAATGCAAATTTACCATTCCAGGTGAAATTCTGAGGCAATGGCACTCCACAACATTTGAATTTTTGTTGAAATTTATGAATAGTCTGAAAAAATCATGTACAGAAACAAAAATTCGATTTAGAAACTCACAGTCATTTCATAATTCTTATCCTCTTTCAAAATATCCAAAAAATTCTGAGTGATATCGTTGTTTTCTTGTAAAACTGTGCTGAAATGGCAAAAGCAACCAAGACCTTTTTATAAAAAATTTAAAGATTATTTATTTTTCCTTCCTCATACCTATTAGCCCGATCAATGAAACTCCTTGAAACCCGATTCCAAAACTTTTTGCCATAAAATTTGCGACCACTGACAAACACATGAAAATCAATAAACAACTTGATAAAAGCACCATTTTCCAGCCGAAAATAATTCTGAAAAAAAAACAATTGGAATTTGAAAGCCTTTTGGAACTTACGAGAACTTAAAAACATCATCATTTATGCAAAGTCCAATTAAAATCGGCAAAATTTGAAGTGGAATCAATAATTTCTGAATATCTCTCAAATATTCGCCTTTAGCACCTTCTTCCTCTTCCATTTTCAAGAAATGAACCAAATTCCAAACGTGTTCCAATTTTCCCCGAACCAAATGACGTGTCCAAAAAAATCCGAAAAAAAAAATCGAAAAATCAAAATGCCTTTATTGCTAGCAAAAGAGTCAGTAGTAATTGTGGACAGAGGGAAAAACCTCAAATAGAATCTGTGCTAGAAAAATGATGGCCTCAGTTGAAGATGAGATTAATAACGTTTCGGAATGTTCAGTTTATTCAATTCAACCGTCGGAAACAAATGTGACAATGCACGATGGATTGGATGATGATGATATTCCACCAAATACAGGTTTGTTTGTTAAGACAAGGGGGATGGGTAGTTCAGGAAGGATCGAAGAGCTTTATCTCCCATTTTTCCAGATCCAAGTGATATGATTGCAAGAAATGCCAGTGAAATGATCATAACATTTGCCGACGCAACTCAAAGTGAAAAAACCGCCCATGACATGTCAGTTTATTCTGTTCCAAAATCCGAAACTAATGTGACACTCTCGAATCCATCTGATTATTCGAATTATACCAATATGAAGTCAGAAACCAATGTAACACTTCGAGATGCGTTTAGTCCATGTCATGATTGTAAGTCAGACATCTACAGTAACCGAAAAAATCCGAATTTTTCAAATAATAAAATTTCAGTGCGCGAATTGAATATGTCAATCTACACAACTCCTGCATCCGAAACACATGTAACAATTCCACAAAAAACCGAATATTCGGAATACACTGTTCCAAAATCAGAAACCAATGTGACAATGAATAAAACATCGGCTGTTTCGCAATATACAATTCCGGTTTCGGAAGTTGGTGTAACTATGGCCGATGGATTTGTACCGTGTGATGTTTTACGGAAAATGCAAGATGGAAACTATCCGGATGAAGTTTCGGCTGTTAATGGATGTTGTGAGTTCAAACCTAGAAAGTTCTAATTTGAAATATTCTCTAATATAATTTGCAGTTGACGAGCAAGAATTGATTTTTGAAAAAATCCAACAAAACCTTGATATTTCCGACGAGCGTATTTTTGGAATTGAAAAAAGTGATGGAAGTATTGCAAAATGTGTTGATTCAATTGAATGTCTTGTTAAATTGAATGATTATCAACCAATTCCACTTGATTTTGGTTAGTTTTAGTAACTCCCTGGTAAAAGTTTTAATTTTTTAATAAAAATTTTTTAATTTCAGAATTCTCGTCGAGTGTCAATTTCAACTGCAATCTCATGCAAGGTTTGTCATTTTTTCTTGTGAGAAAAATACAGAAAAAAAATCAATATCATTTTCAGGTCCGGAATCGGTTGAAAGCTATCTTCTGAAAACTGGCTCTTCATCTTATGCGCATCATGAAATTTGATATTTTTCTTCCCGTTTCGTCGTCGTATCCCCCCAATATTTTCTCCTATTTTTTCGCCCACTGATTTCATTTTTTATTCGAAATGAACGGCTTTCTTGACTTTTTCTGTTTTTTGGCTAAATGGAACATTTTTTAGAACTGAAACTTGGCTCAAAGGTTGGCTCTCATGAATTTTGTTCTCATAGAATTTTTTGCTTCTGAAAATTCTGAATCAATTTTCCAGGTTCGTTAGAGAGGAATATTTTTGACCAGAGAAAAATTGAAAAAGGAGTTTTTACTAACTCAAAATTGCTGAAAACGCATTTCTCAGATTGTAAATTTTCAGAGCATTACTCAGGCAAAGACTTAAATTTTCTTGGAGCATTGCTCATATTAAAAAATTTCAAAACTTCGAAATCTTTGATCATTGCTCATGTTAAAACCCTAATCTAAACCGATATCAAATGTATGCGAATACTTAGTTTCAGCTTTTTTTAATTAAATGAGAGCGATCTAACAAAATTGGAAATGCATAGAATAAACCCCAAATTCGTATCCCCCCCCCCCAAAAAAAAATTCAATGTTTTTTTCCAACTGCTTCTCTTTTTTTTATTATGTTTTCATCGTCTTCCACTTTATATTAAAAATAGTCTCGGAATATTTTCTTTTTTTTTCGAAAAATAAACTCGAGTCTATTTTTTTTTGGTTATTGGGTTAGGTGGCTTTTTGGTTAATTGAGGGCTCTCAAGTTAATTAATTTTTTTGAGTTCCTAAAAGTGCTTTCAGTTTTCTTATTTGTGTAAAACATGGCCAACATACAAGTGGATTTCGAGAATACTTCGATGGTTTTTTCTCCCGGACAAATTGTGGCTGGCAATATTACTGTAGATGTTCCCGATGATTTCAAAGCCAGAAAAATATGCGTGGAATTGTGTGGAAAAGCTTATACTTTTTGGGAAGGAGAAGTCAAGAACACCAAAGTCAAGTGAGTTTTTTTGGAAGAAATTTCTGGAATATTTTGATTTTCAGGAATCTGGATATTGTTCGTGTTCGACATAATTGTGCAGACCACAAGGCAAAAATCGTTTATGCCAAAGACGAATTAATTGTATGGAGATCAGAAGATCAAAAGGTAATTCTTAGTCTGAAACAGAATTTTGAGAAATACATAAAATTTCAGAATGAAATTGCGGCTGGCTCCTACGTCTTCAAGTTCTCATTTGCACTTCCGAATTGGTGTCCTCCAAGTTTTGAAGGTGAATAAATGATATCTCGTCCTATTCGAAACCCCAGAAACTATTTTTTTCCAGGTGACATTGGCTTTATACGATACTGCATCAAAGTAGAAATCGACCGACCTTGGAAATTCGACGATAAATTCGTGCGCGGTTTCACAGTGATACCTCGAATTGACTTGGCACAAATTCCAAATTCACAATTCCCATCGAAACGACACATTTGTGAAGAATCCGGTTCAATTCTTTTCAAACGCGGTGTAGTGAGATTAGAGGTGAAACTTCTGCGTCAAGGATTTGTTTGTGGTGAACAAATTCCTGTTGAAATTCAAATCGAAAATGATTCGAACAAGAAATTTGGAAAGGTGGGAGAAAACTATTGAACTTAACAGAATTATTGTAAAATTCCAGATTTTATGGAAATTGGTTCAACGTGTAACTTATACTGGTTTTCGAGATGGATTTGTTGATTCTGAAACATGTCAACAGAGACAAAAAGTGCAATATTCGACAAGGGTAAATGCACAAATTCGAGTTGAGGAGAGAAAGTTTTTCGAAAAACTTCAAGATGTGAAAATTGAGGAAAATACAAAACACACAATTAATGAGAATATGACAATTCCTTCACTTCCACCAACTATTAAATCTTGTGATATTATTTCTGTCGAATATTTTCTAAAGGTATCTACACAAAATTAAAAATATAAACCGAATATTAACTTTTTTAAAGATCAAATTAACATCATCTGGAACATTTTCAAAATCAATCAAAGTCGAATGTCCATTTATTATTGGAACTGAAAACTCTTTGAAAATTCCGGATCCCGAAATTGAGTCAATTCGAAGTTACAAACGATCGATATTTGGATTTAACTCAACAAGACTCAAAAATCGAAGTTTGCAAAAATTCGCCCCGTTTTATCCCGTTTATAACTTAACCTTGTAAAAATGCTTTTTTTTCTAATTTCTGACGGATGTTGAAGCAGTCGAGTGAAAATTTTTTGTGGTGTAACTTTTTTCTAAAATAAAAATGTCGTACTTGAGTCATTATTCAAAGGAAGAATTACTGGAATTATTGTTGATTTGTAATGAAAAAATTAAAAAGTTTCAAAAATCTGAAGCTTCGTCAAGGGTAAGAAAAATACTTTTTTTTTTAAATTTTTCTAGAAATTTTAGGGAAAATTGGCTGCAAAACAAGAGGGAAGAAGAAATGCAATTTTTGAGATATTTTTGAATTTGATTCGACTTTTTAAAAGTGCGGATAAAATGGTGTCAATTGAAAATTCTCAAACGAATTTGAGATGTCTTTTGAGTGAGTTTTTCAGAAATTTCCTGGTTTTATTTTCAAATTCCAGCAAGTGCTAAGATTCTGAATGAATGGTTTGAACAAATGTTTACTAAAATTGGCGCAACTCAAATCGATAAAAATTTTGAGGCATATTTCATATCGAAAAAAATGACACAAAATGATGTGAATTTGAAAATGTCTTCTCAAATGATAAATGAATCACAAAGAAAACGATTTGAACATCATATCGAAGTGAAAAAATCATGTCAAGAGCAAAAAGCATTTCGAGAATCATTTTTGAAATCTCACACTGAATTTGATATTGATTTGGATGATGCTGAAAATGAAGAAGATACTAAACTATTATCGATTGAGGAAGCTGTTTTGATTATTCAAAAACTTGAGAGAAGTGTGTTCAAAAAACTGAATATATCGTTTTTTTTTTGAATTCAGAATACCAAGCAATATCTCGTAGAAACTATGTTCGATTTGTGAGAGAAAGAGCAGCTGAATTACACGGTATCAAAACAGAAATTGATGCAACACAGGCAGCAATTCGAATTCAAGCGGTAATCATTGTTTTTGCGCTAGATATTTTCAGAATGATTTTCAGAGAACTCGTGGTTATTTTGCTCGAAAAATGGTGCGAGAAATGAGAAGTAAAGAATTGGAAGTTCTTCAAATGAAACCGGAAAGTATTATAAAATTAAAATGTGAGAGGAAAACAATTGATATTGTTTCGAAAAATCAACAAATTGATGGATTTGTGAGTTCAAATCAGGGTTCCGAACTAGGTTGGTTCTCGGGTATTTTTGTCAGAAACCAGTTCGGAATCCTGAAGTTTTCCGAAATTCATATTAATTACTCATTTTTCAAGGCCAATGATTTGGAAACAGCTATAAACGAATTGAAAACAAACTTCTATTTAACTTTGGATGATTCTCCATCAGAAACCAAAATTGAGAATAAAATACAAGGGGATACTGTATTTCTGGATGCTTGTTTTCGAGGAATTGTTTCACCTTTACCAAATATTGCTTTTGATCGATTGATTTCACAAAAGGAAACAGTGAAAATTGAGGGGAAAATATTGAATTTCGATTTGAGATCATTTTTCACGCTGGTTTTCTGTATTCCTATGGGTAAGAAAACATAATTATTACAGAGTATTGTTAATTTCTCTTAAAAAATTAAGCTCTGAATACAATAACTCCAAAACAAGGATCTCGACGTTGGATTTTATTAATTGGGGCTCAAGATTCTGGAAAAACTGCCTGGGTAAAAGCAATATCAAAAAGTTGTTCAATAACTCATGTTCATATATCGAAAAATGTAGTGACACAAGGAAAACGGAATATATATTCGGTTGTTAAAAAGGTGAGAATAGATATTTGAGAAAATTTAAAAATCGATGCCACGTGGCATTTTTTTAGTTGGCAAAACAAGAACGTCGTCTGATTGTTAGCATTGATCGAATCGATCTTCTACGAGTAAATCAGAAAAGTAAAGGATACAATCATCGACAAATGTTATTGCGAACATTTTTACTTGATTTGAGTCTGACATCAGCCACTGTTTTTGGAATGGCGAGAACTGAAGAACTCGATAGTGCAACTCGTGAAATGTTTCCAATTCAGGTCAATATTTCGAACCCGGTTGGATCAACTAGATATGGTTTGTTTTTTTATTTCTTTTTTGTTGAGAAACCGATCTTTTTAGATTTGATAGTTGATTGTTTGAGTCGAAATATGGAACAAGATCGTCTACCGAAAGTTCCAAATAGAATATTCGACATAGAAAAGCAGACACGTGGATTTTCAAATGGAAAAGCTTCAAAATTCGTGACAAATCGATGGAGTGCTGCCAATAAAACGAATATTTCAATTGTTTGAGTATTTATTGCTTAGCACCGTATGGATATTAATGCTTTTGTGAAATGAGATAAGTAAATAAAGCTGAAAATGAAAATATGCAACAGGAAGGAAGGAAGGAATCAATAAATATACACGAAATAGTGAAACAAAGTAGTTTGGCCATGTTTTTGAGGATTCAGTCAGTGTTTGGTTTGAGGAATGTTGTTAAAGCATTTGATTCGGTATGAGTTCCATCATCCACAATTTCATCATCTTCTTCATCGATCAATTCTGAAAACCCTCTGCTCAGGTTCGTAGTTCCGAAAACTCAAAATTTTGGCTAAATTTTTAGTGTCAAAATTGTACCCTAAACTTTCAATTTTTTGGACTACCTTCAATTCTAATGTATAAAATCAGATTTTTAAAGAAAAAACCCACGTGAAGCTCCTTTGTAATGTTTGTGAGATGGTGCATACATAGCCAATAACAGAAGAACATAAATATTACACATTCCAAAAGTTCCGGTGAAAAATGCTGAAGTGCTTCCAGTCAGAAAACCGTCACGCGCATCATCTGAATGCAATTGAGCTTCTCCATATTGTTTCATAAAATATGCGAGAATCGTGAACGCCGAACAGAGAAGAGTGAAGAGCATCAAGAATTTGAAACGATAAATTACACCTTCGACCTGAAATTTTGAAATTAAAATGATTTAAAATGTGGAGAAAATAATCACAAACCTTTAGTCGACGATTTTCGCTATTTTGATATAATTGAGCTGCTCGTTTTCGACGAATTGTTGTCCAAACTTTGACGATTTTGTAAAACAAAAATGCAAAATAACAAACTGTACAAATTGCGCCAACGAAAATTGTGAAATACTGAAAGAAAATGTAATTTTGACATGAGATTTAGTGAGATGAAGATAACTTACAGCAATATTTGATCCAGTTTCAGAAGCCCAAACACTGTAAAATGGATTGTATAATTGTACACCTCTTTCAACCAAATCATAGATCAAAAGAGCAAATGAAGCAGTTATGATAAATGAGAGATTGAAACGATATGACATCTAAATATAATCTTTATAAACAGTTTTCAAAAAAAAAAATACAAAACTCACAATGTTATTCCTTGTAGTATCATCAATAAGATGTTCTCCAGCGAAAATAAGCCAAAAAGAGAACAGAATTGTGTAAAACAATCCTTGTCTCAAATCCGAAACTAATAACAAAAATGGAACTCGTAGAGTCAACGAAATCCATTCGATTGGGAAATCAAGAATTGCCAAACTTAGGCCAAGTGCCAAAATTGCTTTTTCGAGGAGAAGTGGATTACGAGCCAATTGATGAATTCTTCGCCAATACCAGTATAAACATCCACTAACAATGGGTGTCAATAAGGTTTTCATCCAGAGCCATATTAATGTGAAACCACCGTTTTGATGGATTTCCTTTAAAAAATTGAATGTTTTAAATTTTAAGGAAAAGTGGACTTACAATAAGTCGAAGCTCTGAGATTTTTCCAATTTGACAATTTGGACTTTTCGGATTATAACGACATGCGGCTTGATTTATTGGAATTCTGATATTTACAAGATAAAATGGATAATTACTCGAGCCAAATTCAAATAGATCTAGCATATCACAATCATAAGATCTTCCTTCTTTTTTCTAAAAAAATATTTTTTGAAGATAAATTTGGAATTGTTACTCACATCTTCATCTTTGATCGAACATTCAAGAATTCTTGATACATTTGTGCTACTCAACTCCTGCCAATCATTTTTTCCAGATTCTTTTGTTCGATATCCCATCCGAACTTCAAGAGATAATGGAGCATGTTCAACATATTTGAAGTGTTCACTATATTCAACATCAACGTGTAAAACACCTAATAAAAATTGGAACCAAGGTGAATATTCGAGTTCAATTCCATCTCGAGCATGCGGCATTTTTGCAACAAATACGATTTCTCTCATATCGAATGAAGATGGAGTGAATTGCGATAAATCGTCGATTAGTTGACAGTTCTCTCTATGAAACCATTCATTAGTGATTCCTTTTGAAGAATCGTGACATTTTATCATTTCAAATTCCATAAAAGTGGATGGAGATGGAGCTGAAATAAGTTTTATTGAAAAAATCAATTCAAAAAATGAAATTCAAAAATATTTACCATAAATTGCTCCAATTAGAAAAAATAAAATTTGAACGCATAATAACACTACAAAAATCCCAAATAATTTTCGATTACTGAGATTTTCGATGACCGCACCATTCATACTGAAAAAATGGAATGTTGAAAGTTTAAAAGAAAAAAAAGAAGAAATAAATTGTAGGCAATAAAATATCTAAGTGTCCGTCGTCAGCATGTGGAACGAATCACACGAGAGAGGAAATTTGATAGTCAGTTGCCCAAAAGAAATGAGAATAAGAATAATAAATAGAAAAAAACGAAGAAGTGACCTTCTGGTGTGAAGAGAAAGAACACTGCGTGTTGTTTTACGACATTCAATCAACCAAAGAGCATACCGCGAAGAGACAAAAAGGAGAACTAACGGATTAGTACAATCATAAACATTTGAGCGGGAAAAAGTAAAAGGATGATATTTGTTATAAAATAACAAGATTCGGAAACTTATAGGTATTTTTCGAAAACGTTAACAATTAACAAAACTCTCAAACTTTTTCAAAAACTACAAAAAACTTCACTAACCTCAAATTTCAATTGAACATTTTCATATTGAAAATTCCCAGTGAAAAAAATAAAATTCAAATTCGTTGCGCTAAACAACACGCAACACGTGTAAACGGTGAAGCCTTGTTGTTTTTTTTCATTTTCTTTTTTTTCGCGACCGAATTTGAGTTCTTTGAATTTTGCTCAAAAAATCAACTAAATTAAACATTTCAGAATGTCGCATATAATTCGATCTTTCAACACAATTCTACATCGTCGACCACTTCTCACACAAATGGTAATTTCCGGAACAGTCAGTGGCGCAGGTGACATGTTCGCACAATACATAACAGGACAAAAAGAATGGGACAAACTTCGAACAGCTCGATTTGTCACACTTGCTGCTGTTTTCATTGCGCCACCATTGAACATCTGGTTTCGTTTATTGGAGAAAATTCAACACAAAAATCGGCATATTTTGGTTGCGAAAAGAATGCTTCCAGATCAACTTGTTTTCAGTCCAGTGTTCAATGCGTTTATTTTAACAAACTTGCGAGTTTTGGAAGGATTTTCAATTGACGAATCAATTTCGAAAATGAAGAATGACTGGTATGATGTTTATACAAATAGTTTGGCTCTTTGGCCCGCTGTACAATTATGTAATTTTTACTTTGTACCTCTACATTATCGTGTTATTGTTATTCAAGTTGTTGCATTTTTCTGGAATTCATATTTATCTTTCAAAACTCAAAAACATTGAACAGATATTTAATAACTATATATTTAGAACTTCACTTATATTTAAATCTACGTGTTTTTTCTAAAGTGCCACATTCCAAATTGACAAATAAATAAAACGTGTTTTGTTCATTTCTTTTTATTTTCTCGAGATTAAAACGTGAAGACATGGGAATTTTGTCAAAATTCAATAGAATTTTGAATAATCATCCCATGATGACTCAAATGATAGTTTCTGGAGGAATCGTCGCAACTGGAGATATTATTGCACAATATATAGAAGAAAAACAAAAATGGGACAAAATTCGAACTTTTCGATTCGCTACTCTTGTTGGATGTTGTATTGTTCCATTTCAAAGTGCTTGGTATAGATATTTACAATGTGTTCAACACTCTAATTTACATTTGAAAGTTGCGAAACGACTAGCCTATGATCAACTTGTGTTCAGTCCACTACTCAATATTCTAATTTTGACTGGTTTGCCATTAGCAGAAGGATATTCGTGGAAACGATCAATTGAAATTATGAAAGAGGAGTGGCTCGATATTTTTATAGATAGTTTGAAACTTTGGCCAGCTGTTCAGATTATTAATTTCTACTTCGTACCCTTGAATTATAGGGTCTTGCTTATTCAATTTGTTGGACTAGTCTGGAGCACATATTTATCATTGAAGACTTCTAGAAAACTGCAATGAATTGTTAATGAACTTTTTTGAGAGGGAAGTGTAGAAAGAAAATTAATTTTCGAAAAAAAAACCTGTTGAAAAATTTGCGGATTTTGTCAATTTTCAAACTAAAGGTTTCCAAAATTTAAATGACAAGACTTGGTAAATGTTCCAAACGGAAAACTGTTAGCTGATCAGCGCTAGCGCTGAAATTTTTTTATTCGCAAAAAAACTTTTTTCGAAATTCGAACATTTCAAACACACAAACGCGCTCCATTGAACATCCGCGAAAATTCAAAAATTCGTACCTGATTTTTTTTCCAAGAAAAAAACATTTTTAGTTTTTTTTTTCGCATTTTCGATTTTGAACACATGCTCGGGTTTTGAAGATGAATTCTAATAGGAAACGAAATTTACCTATCACTCCATCAACTTCTCCTCTGAAGAAGCCAAAAGACGATCCAGATAGTGATGATTCTTTTGAAAATTTTGTAATAAATGTTTCACCAAGATCGAGAAGTGGAAAGATTGAATTGGAAGACTCATTCGATAAACCGATTACTCAAAAAGTTGAAATCAAGAAAAAAGGTAAGCTCTGATTTCAGTTATTTATAAAAAAATATCTCGTATTTCAGAAAGCGGCATCCCTGGATTTCCTTGGATTGGAATTGACAATCGAGTTCGATTAGAAGTTGTGAAATCTGAAAATATTGAAGGAACTTTGCATGTTGAATGTAAAAATGGAAGTATTGTATATTTGCAAGATCAATGGAGTGAAACAAAAATTGAAGGAGGAGATATTCTAAATCTGATAGACCCTAAAAAATGGGCGGAAGATGATTACATAATCGATAGTGAACAAGGTGTTTTGATTGTGAATCCAGATGTTCTCGTACCATGTACTTCAACTGCTAGTTCAACTTGGTGTTCTAGAAAACAAATATTGAATGATCGCTTCAAATTTGGAAATAGTAGCAACAAAGCAATGTTATTAGGAACAATTATTCATGAGATTTTTCAAAGTGCATTAATGATTAAGAAAAGACCGATAAAAGAAGAAGATTTATTAGAAATTTGGAAGAAAGAATCGAAAAACTATATTCAAGAGTTAATCGCGTTGAGTTTCACACCAAATTGTTTCAATGCAGAGATTCAACCATATTTGCCGGTTTGTCGATCAATTTCAAAAATTAATTTCATTATTTTTCACAGATTATCTGCGATTGGATAAACAAAAAACTTCCAAAAGCCTCATTTTTCGAAAAACCAAGCCCACTTCCATCAAAATCAATAATCTCCGAAGTTCATGATATTGAAGATAATATTTGGGAACCATTATTAGGAATGAAAGGAAAAGTTGATGTAACAATTCGAACAAAATCAGGAACTATGGAATCAATTGAATTGAAAACGGGGAAAAGTAGTGGATCAACTGAACATATGGCACAAGTTTTGATGTATTCTATGATGCTATCATCGAAATATGATCAGAAAATTGGATTCGGTAATTTATTGTACCTCAAGGTGAATGTTTTTTACAAGGGAGCGTAAGGTTTTCTGGTAGATCTGGGTTTATCTAGGACTAGAGATTCTAAGCTTCAAGCTCCTAGAATTTGTGAATTTGAAAAGTCAAATGTATTTTTCAGGACGGAGAATCTCGTTCTGTTTCACCACGTGCTCAAGAACTAATTGCCATAATCCAGCAAAGAAACGGGTTGGCAAAATATTTGGAAAATAGTTTTCAAAATCTGTTGCCAGGTAAGTAAAACATCATAGATTTTTTTCTAAAAATAAAACTTCAAAAATACAATATCACATTTTTCAGAACCTCGTTCTGAAAGCCGTTTTTGTGATAAATGTGATCATAAGATGATGTGTAGTTTTTATCAGAAAAACGAGGAGAAATTCGGGTTGACAAAAAATGAGAAAATGCGCGAATTTGCTGAACAAGAAATGGCACATCTCAAAAAGGAACATTTTGGTAAAGATTTTCCAAGAAAATTTTTCATTCGAGATTTTTTTAGATTATGTTTCGAGGTGGATTAAATGGATATTAGCTGAATGGAAATCTGAAAATGATCGAAATAATTTTCAGATCAAAGATTTGTGGCTAACTACTGTAGATCAAAGGTATATTTTCACGGAATTTCTAATTTTCAGTTTTTAAATTAGTTATCTTTCAGAAAAGAACGAGGAACTTGTGTTGCCCAATTATACGTGGAAAATTGCTTCAAAAACATCATCACATTTTCACCAAAAATTGAAATTTCAACAACAACAACAACAAAAAACGCTACAGAATTTCGAAATGGAGATATTTGTGTGATTTCGACTGAAAAACAATTGGCAATTGGAATCGCTGCAATCACCAAAATTCATGAAAAATCTGGGAAAATCGAGTTATCATTTGATAAACCACTGAAAATTGGCTCTGGACCTTATTATTTGGATAAATACACAAGTTATAGTAATTTCTCTACAATTCTCGGAAATTTAACATATTTCATGGGAAATGATGAGATTGGAAAGATGTTGAGAAATACATTGGTCGATTTGATTCCCCCAGAAATTCCGAAAATTGGCGAATTATCACAGAATGTTCGGAAAATTATTGGGAAAGCAAAGTTGAATAATGAACAAAGATTGGCTGTGATAAATGCGTTGGTTATGGAAAATTATTTGATTGTTGAAGGTTTACCTGGTTCAGGTAAATAAAATAAATAATATTTTTTGTTAAACAAAAAACCCCATCTTCTTCCAGGTAAAACCACACTTATCTCAATCCTGATTCAATGTCTAATTGCTACTGGAAAAACTGTATTATTAGCCGCTTTTACTCACTCAGCAGTTGATAATATATTGACAAAACTAACGAATGATATTGAAGATGACAAGATTTTACGGCTTGGAAATTTGTCGTCGATTGGGGAAAATATTCGGAAAGTTGCATTGATGACAAAAATGCAAAATGTTAACAATGATTATGGAGAAGTTAAGAAGATTTTGAAAAATACGGTAGGTTTTTGGGGATTTTTGAAAAAAAACTGAATAAAAATCGAACCGGGAGCTCTAAATATCGAATTTTTCAAAAGTTTCGTCTGATTTTTCAGAAGTTCTGTAAAAAAAAATTGGACTCGGTTCAATTCAGAAATCGTAAATAATCTGAAATTTTCAAAAATCAGGCTCTTTGTGAATTTCTGAATCTTCTCTACAAAAATTCAATTTTCCAGCCAGTTGTTGCCTGTACTTGTCATCATGTTCCACGTGAACTTCTCTTCTCCTATCGAAAATTCGATTTTGTTATTGTTGACGAAGCATCGATGGTTTTGGAACCATTAATTTTACCGGTTTTGGCAACAAGTAGAAAATTTGTGTTGGTTGGAGATTGCAAGCAATTAACACCACTTGTTTTATCCAAAAAAGCCAAGTTTGTTGAAATTTAGTTTTTCATTTTAAAAATATTGTTTCAGAACTGAAGGAGCTGAAATATCAACAATGCAAAAATTGCAAAATTCTCACCCAAAAATTGGGTAGAAACTGAAAGGGTTTTTCTGAAAGGGGGTTGACCCCCTTAAAAGGGGGTCAGAGCAAGAAGTCTGAAAGGGGGTCAAGTATAGTAAAAAGGGTTTTACTGAAAGGGGGTTAATCTGAAAGGGGTTTGACCCATATCACAAAAAGGGTTTTTCTGAAAGGGGTTGACCACTCAAAAGGGGGTCAACTTTTTTTTTTTCAAAAAAGGGGGTCAACTTTTTTTCAAAAAAGGGGGTCAACTTTTTTTTCAAAAAGGGGGTCAACTTTTTTCAAAAAGGGTTTTTCTGAAAGGGGGTCAACTTTTTTTTCAAAAAAGGGGTCAACTTTTTTTCAAAAAGGGAGTCAACTTTTTTTTCAAAAAAGGGGTCAACTTTTTTTCAAAAAAGGGGGTCAACTTTTTTTTCAAAAAGGGTTTTTCTGAAAGGGGGTCAACTTTTTTTCAAAAAGGGTTTTTCTGAAAGGGGGTCAATATTTTTGAAAAAAAGGGGTAATTTTTGGAGGAAAAAAAGAGGGTTTAATGTAAATAATCTGTTATTCAAGGCTTAGGCTTAGTGAACGCCCAGACAACTTAGACACTCAGGACCCGCTTTTCGTCCCAAAAATTTGACCCCCTTATTGAAAAAAAAAATGTTTTGAATAAAAAATTTGACCCCTTTTTGAAAAAAAATTTGACCCCCTTTTTTCCTCCAAATATGACCCCCTTTTTGAAAAAAATGTTAACCCCCTTTTTTGAAAAAAAAGTTGACCCCCTTTTTTGAAAAAAAAAAGTTGACCCCCTTTCAGAAAAACCCTTTTTGAAAAAAAAAAGTTGACCCCTTTTTTGAAAAAAAAGTTGACCCCCTTTTTGAAAAAAATGTTAACCCCCTTTTTTGAAAAAAAAGTTGACCCCCTTTCAGAAAAACCCTTTTTGAAAAAAAAAGTTGACCCCCTTTTTTGAAAAAAAAAGTTGACCCCCTTTCAGAAAAATCCTTTTTGAAAAAAAAAGTTGACCCCCTTTTTTGAAAAAAAAAGTTGACCCCCTTTTTTGAAAAAAAAAGTTGACCCCCTTTTTTGAAAAAAAAGTTGACCCCCTTTCAGAAAAACCCTTTTTTCAAAAAAAAAAATTTGACCCCCTTTTTTGAAAAAAAATGTGACCCCCTTTTTGAGTGGTCAACCCCCTTTCAGAAAAACCCTTTTTGTGATATGGGTCAAACCCCTTTCAGATTAACCCCCTTTCAGTAAAACCCTTTTTACTATACTTGACCCCCTTTCAGACTTCTTGCTCTGACCCCCTTTTAAGGGGGTCAACCCCCTTTCAGAAAAACCCTTTCAGTTTTTGCCCAAAAATTGTTGTCTCACTTACCTCACAATATCGGATGAATAGGTAGGTTTTCAATTGAAAATTCTTCCACAAAACCTTTTTTTTTTCAGCGAGATTTCGAAATTATCGAGTAAATTGTTTTATGAGAATCGATTGATTTGTGGAAATGAATTGGTTTCGCGAAGTTGTTTAGCGAGAAATGGAGAATACACGGTGAAAACCAAGAAAAATGAGGGTTATTTGAATCGTGCTCTCTCACCAAATCTTGAAGATTCTTGTGTTTTCATTGACACGGAGTGCGAGAAAAATGAAAGTATGAAATGTGAAGATTTTGAAAAAGGAGGATGTTTGAATAAAGGAGAAGCTGTGATTATTGAAGAATTGTATAGGAATCTTTTAGAGGTTGGTTTGCTGGGCGAGTTAAAGATTTTGGAATTTTGAAAGTCTGGCTTTCACGTTTTCGTCTTTTCCAAACCCAATTTCCTAATTCCGTCAATAATTAAGAATGGCATAAAACCTGATGAAATTGGAATAATGTCTGCATATCGAAGACAAGTTGATTATATTCAACAACATTATAATCTTCCAATTGAGGTAAGTCTACATGAAATCAAATAAAAAAGTGATTGAAAATGAGTGACAATTAAGGTGAATACAATTGATTCGTATCAAGGACGAGAGAAGCGGGTGATTATTTGGACAATTACTTGGACTAACAACTCTTCGAAGGTAATTTTAGTAATTATTATTTATTATATTTATTTTTTATTTTTCAGAAATCTGAATTACTTCGAGATGAGAGACGTGTTAATGTTGCATTGACACGTGGAAAACAGAAATTAATTATAATTGGATGTCGAAAAAGTTGTGATGAAATTCCGATTCTTTATGAACTCAACAAATTGATCGAAGAGAAAAATGGTTTCGTGAAAATAGAAATATGAATTGAATATTTAATTATTGTTATTTATGCTGTGGATAAAATATCAATTTTGGTTGCCACGGAATTGTTTGAAGTAAGTGATTGAAAATTGAGGGGTTCAGATCGGAAGCATCAACACCATAAATTTATTGAAAAAAATAAAAATAGTTTATCGAAAGTTCTAAAAAAAATCAAATGAAATTACGAGTTATTTCCGGCGTGTTGTTTTCCTTCTGGCTGTTTCCATTGTGGCCGAAGCCCTCAATGGAAACCTCCCGCCTGCCATTTGATTCTTGACCATTTCGCATTCCAATCCAACTAACTTGCTAAACACAACTTGCTCCATAACTGGCACAATTTTCTCGAAATCATATCGTTTCTTTGAATCGAATTCGAAAATGAGTCGGCACACATCAGCTACTGAAAATGTTTCGATAAAAATATGATTCAAGAAAATATTTCAAACTCACATCCTGTTGGTGTTTTTTCTTTCCAATTCCGCCGTGTTGTTTTCCTTCTGGATGTTTCCATTGTGGCCGAAGCCCTCAATGGAAACCTCCCGCCTGCCATTTGATTCTTGACCATTTCGCATTCCAATCCAACTAACTTGCTAAACACAACTTGCTCCATAACTGGCACAATTTTCTCGAAATCATATCGTTTCTTTGAATCGAATTCGAAAATGAGTCGGCACACATCAGCTACTGAAAATGTTTCGATAAAAATATGATTCAAGAAAATATTTCAAACTCACATCCTGTTGGTGTTTTTTCTTTGCAATTACATTGTTTCACATCCAATCGATGTGCATCAAATTGCGCAGGATCTGATAATGCAGTTCTAATTTGTGCATTTGTTAGATTTGGATATGGTAAATCTCCATCATTGAAAATTTCCCAACATGTAATTCCATATGCCCAAACATCAGATTTCAAAGAGAAAAAGATTTTCTCGGAAAATTTCAGGAGCCAACCATCACGTTGGAATGTTGCGAGCAGTTTGAATCTGAAAGAAAGTAGAATTAGCTTGTTGTCGGAACTTTTTCAAAAATCAAAATTTTGTTCTTATACTTCTAAGAAAACACTTACAGCATATGACGTGGCTCTTTTGCACAATCCAAAATCTATCAGTTTTATTACTGAAAAGTTTTTCGAGACTAATAAATTCCTAGCAGCAATGTCTCGATGGATAAATCCTCGGTCATGCAAATATGCCATCGCATACAACAATCCTGCGATAAATGACATTCTATATCCATTCGAAATTTCACAATTTCGTAATAAACTCAAAAGTGATTTCCCATCAATATATTCTATAACCAGAATTATTGGTAATGACTCCGCTACAACTCCGAATATACGAATCACATTTGGATGGTCAAATGTGCGCATGATTCTTGCTTCGTAGAGCGCTTCCGAAATTAGGCATTGATTTGCGTCTGCATTCAATCTTTTAAATTGCCACATGCATATTTATCTTCTTCAATTTTGCAATGAAAACCGTTCCGAATGATCCCTTGCCCAATACTCATTGTTCTTGTGGAAATACAATGTCATCTTTGGACAATTCCCATGATTTTCTTGGTATTTGGCGAATTAGAAAAAGATTATCGATAACCGGGGTTTTGTTGGCAACGAATGAATCGATCAATAAGCGAATAGATCCGAAATTCAACTCATGCCCAGAAAGGGTAATCCACACAGTAATCCAGCCACAAAAGACACACGATATCCGTTTGGGAGGTTTTGCTTCATCAACAGACTCGACATATTCCATGACAATCATGATTGGCAACGAGTCGATAATAACGCCATAAATTCGAATGACATTTTGATGATCGAATGTTCGCATTTTACGAACTTCGTCCCAAGCTTCCGAGATGTTCGCTTCTGTTGCCTTTTCATGTATTCTCTTGATGGCGACATCTATCTTCAATTTCATCAATTTTCCTTTTATCACTGTTCCGAATGATCCTCTTGTTGGCATTCATTTTTTTGGTTTTAAAATTAAGAACTGATCAACACAGAAATTATTTTTTCTCCTGCCGGCCACGTATTTCGCCACGACTACATGTTTCACGTAATATAAATGTTTTTTTCCGATTTCATCTTTTTTTTTCTCTAAATTTCCAAGAAAATACAGACCAGGCGGAATAGTCTCCTTCTTGAAAGGTGGTACGGTCTAATCAAAATTTTATCGGGAAAAAATATACCATCAGAAAGAGGAGGTTTCGTCGTTAAGTGTGTTCCCAGTTTTTTAGAACATTTCTCACAAAATAATTTTCCCTGATGAAATTGGAATAATGTCTGCATATCGAAGACAAGTTGATTATATTCAACAACATTATAATCTTCCAATTGAGGTAAGTCCACATGAAATCAAATAAAAAAAGTGATTGAAAATGAGTGACAATTAAGGTGAATACAATTGATTCGTATCAAGGACGAGAGAAGCGGGTGATTATTTGGACAATTACTTGGACTAACAACTCTTCGAAGGTAATTTTAGTAATTATTATTTACTATCTTTTTTCTTCTTTTTCAGAAATCTGAATTACTTCGAGATGAGAGACGTGTGAATGTTGCATTGACACGTGGAAAACAGAAATTAATTATAATTGGATGTCGAAAAAGTTGTGATGAAATTCCGATTCTTTATGAACTCAACAAATTGATCAAAGAGAAAAATGGTTTCGTGAAAATAGAAATATGAATTGAATATTTGATTATTGTTATTTGTGCTGTGGATAAAATATCAATTTTGGTTGCCACGGAATTGTTTGAAGTAAGTGATTGAAAATTGAGGGGTTCAGATCGGAAGCATCAAAATTTTTGTTATCGAGAACAAGTTGGTTTTTCTACACCTAATTAGGTAGATTAGTGAATAGTGATAAAAAAATATCCTGAGAATATCTCTCTGTGCGTTTTTGGAATTTTAAAAAATGTTTGAGAGAGTTTAGAATATTTTGTTTCTGGAAAATGTTTCAACTGAGAGTATTTCCAAGCAATTCACAGAGAAAAAACTCATCAAATGTTTGAAACATAGCTTGATACACATAATTTATTGAAATTGGAATTTAAAAAAAACAAGTAGATGATAATCATTTTTTGCGCCGTGTTGTTTTTCTTTTGGCGGTTTCCATTGTGTTCCCAGCAGTTTTTGGCGGGAATTGTCCACGTGACATTTGAACATTCACAAGCTCCGATTCCAGCTCAATCAAATTGCGGAAAATTTTTTCCTCCAAAATTGGTACCAATCTAACCGAATCGATTCTTTTATGATGGTTGAATTCGAATATATGTCGAATACATTCAGAAACTGCAAACTTTTCGATAGAAACAGGATTCTTTGTTCAAGAAAATATTTCAAACTCACATCCTGTTGGTGTTTTTTCTTTCCAATTCCGCCGTGTTGTTTTCCTTCTGGATGTTTCCATTGTGGCCGAAGCCATCAATGGAACCCTCCCTCCTGCCATTTGATTCTTGACCATTTCGCATTCCAATCCAACTAACTTGCTCCATAACTGGCACAATTTTCTCGAAATCATATCGTTTCTTTGAATCGAATTCGAAAATGAGTCGGCACACATCAGCTACTGAAAATGTTTCGATAAAAATATGATTTGTTGCTCAAGAAACTTTTTAAAACTCACATCCGGGAGGCTTCTCTTCTCCATTACATTTTTTCAAATTTAATCGGATGGTTCCAAATTTCTCTTCATCTCCTGATGCAGCTCGGACTTCGGGATTTGACAATTTCGGATAAGGCTCCATTCCATTATTATATATTTCCCAACATGTGATTCCAAATGCCCAAATATCCGGCTTTGTTGAGAAAAATCCTCCGTGGCAAACTTCAGGAGCCAGGTTGAATGTTTTCGGGCGGTTGATATCTGCAAAAAAGTAAATTTAGCTGATTGTCGAAAGTTTTTCAAAAAATCAGAATTTCTGTTCTTATTTTTCTAACAAAATACTTACTGAATATGACGTGGCTCTTTTGCACAATCCAAAATCTATCAGTTTTATTACTGAAAAGTTTTTCGAGACTAATAAATTCCTAGCAGCAATGTCTCGATGGATAAATCTTCGGTCATGAAAATATGCCATCGCATACAACAATCCTGCGACAAATGACATTCTATATCCATTCGAAATTTCACGATTTTGTAATAAACTCAAAAGTGATTTCCCATCAATATATTCTATAACCAGAATTATTGGTAATGACTCCGCTACAACTCCGAATATACGAATAACATTTGGATGGTCAAATGTGCGCATGATTCTTGCTTCGTAGTGCGCTTCCGAAATTAGGCATTGATTTGCGTCTGCATTCAATCTTTTAAATTGCCACATGCATATTTATCTTCTTCAATTTTGCAATGAAAACCGTTCCAAATGATCCCTTGCCCAATACTCATTGTTCTTGTGGAAATACAATGTCATCTTTGGACAATTCCCATGATTTTCTTGGTATTTGGCGAATTAGAACAAGATTATCGATAACCGGGGTTTTGTTGGCAACGAATGAATCGATCAATAAGCGAATAGATCCGAAATTCAACTCATGCCCAGAAAGGGTAATCCACACAGTAATCCAGCCACAAAAAACACACGATATCCGTTTGGGAGGTTTTGCTTCATCAACAGACTCGACATATTCCACATCATGATTGGGAACGAGTCGATAATAACGCCATAAATTCGAATGACATTTTGATGATCGAATGTTCGCATTTTACGAACTTCGTCCCAGGCTTCCGAGATGTTCGCTTCTGTTGCCTTTTCATGTATTCTCTTGATGGCGACATCTATCTTCAATTTCATCAATTTTCCTTTTATTACTGTTCCAAATGATCCTCTTCCCAATTCGATTTCTGGTTTTGGGATATCCACATCACTTTGAATGAGTTCCCAAGTTTTTCTTGGTATTGAACGAATCAAGATAACATCATTAATAATGGGTGTTTTTGATGAAACTAATGATTCGATCAATGCTTTAAGTGATGGAAAAAATTCTGTTTCTCCAGAAATTTTGAAAAATCCATTTTTCGATATTATTCCAATTGACTTTATTCGGTTTTGAGTTCCGTTGGTATTGGATGTTTCCGTTGCAACACTAAGGATGCAAAACAAAGGCTCATCACATGTATGTCTCTTTGTTTCAAAAGCATCTCGCAATAAAAAATCACCATTTTCTGGTAATAATTCTCGGCACTCCATTCTGGCAAGAAGCGACACTGAAAAATTGAAAATTTACATATATTATTTTTACTGATCATTTCATGTTATTCATTTCTGACTTACTTTGTCGCTTGCTTGTCCATTTCTAGCCACATCTCGCAAATTGTTGACATTTATTTTTTTGGTTTTAAAATTAAGAACTGATGAACACAGAGATTATTTTTTCTCCTGCCGGCCACGTATTCCACCACGACTACATGTTTCACGTAATTTAAATGTTTTTCCGATTTCATCTTTTTTTTTTCTCTAAATTTCCAAGAAAATACAGACCAGGCGGAACAGTCTCCTTCTTGAAAGGGGGTACGGTATAATCAAAATTTTATCGAGAAAAAATATACCAGAAAGAGGAGGTTTTATTTAGTGTGTTCCCAGTTTTTTAGAACATTTCTCACAAAATAATTTTCCCTGATGAAATTGGAATAATGACTGCATATCGAAGACAAGTTGATTATATTCAACAACATTATAATCTTTCAATTGAGGTAAGTCTACATGAAATCAAATAAAATTGATTGAAAATAAGTGACAATTAAGGTGAATACAATTGATTCGTATCAAGGACGAGAGAAGCGGGTGATTATTTGGACAATTACTTGGACTAACAACTCTTCGAAGGTAATTTTAGTAATTATTATTTACTATCTTTTTTCTTCTTTTTCAGAAATCTGAATTACTTCGAGATGAGAGACGTGTGAATGTTGCATTGACACGTGGAAAACAGAAATTAATTATAATTGGATGTCGAAAAAGTTGTGATGAAATTCCGATTCTTTATGAACTCAACAAATTGATCGAAGAGAAAAATGGTTTCGTGAAAATAGAAATATGAATTGAATATTTGATTATTGTTATTTGTGCTGTGGATAAAATATCAATTTTGGTTGCCACGGAATTGTTTGAAGTAAGTGATTGAAAGCCGCGAAACGTTGATTTCTGCCTGCAAAAATTGAGGGGTCCTGTTTAACAAATGTGTCATAAGGTCGAATATCTCATTTTCCCACATAAAATCTCTCGAAATATTCAGATTTTTAACAATTTTCAGACCAATGAAAACACTACAGTAATATTTTTTGTCATCGAAAAATGGAAATAGAATTCGCTGAATCTTTATCATTTCATTACTTTTTTTGATTTTTTCTCCTCGGCGTTTTTCCACACCAAAATTTAAGTTAGAAAGTTTTAGGTGTGGAAAATTTGCTAGCTCAAAATTACGCGCTGATCTCAAAAATCACCGTTTTTTCCTTGTTTTCCCTTCACTTTCATGAATCTTTCAGAACTCAAAATGCTCATTTTAATTTTCATATCATTGCTCATATTACACGTGGCATCTGAATCAAATAAAAATGAGCCAGTGATTTATAACCTGTCTCCTTCTACAATTCTAAGTGGATTTAATGAAAATGTGACAACAAAATTCATGAATCAAATGAATATTTTGCTCTACAACACAAAAATCCAGCCAAACCCGAAGAAAAATCACCGAATCCTGGTATCTACTCAATATTTCCTGGCATTCGAAACTGAGGTTAATGGGACCATTGAATTCCAGGCTAAACATTCAGCAATTGATCCAGACACGTGTCAAATAGAAATCCACATGTTATCCAATAAAAGCTCCGAAACTCTCCGCGATCCTTTGACAGGTTTTATTTGGCGAACTTTAGTCGAAAAAATTCAGAAAAATTACTGTAGCGAAATAGAGAAGATAAAAAATTCTTTGAAATTTTTGGATATTTCTAATGGTAATCGAACTTCTGAACATTTCGTTAGAATACGGTATATTGGTCAAAACGAGGAGGAAAATATTGAGATTTCACGGGATTTTATAAATTCCGAGCTCTCCAATCTCTACAAATTTGCTAATACAGTAATCCGTTACCCTGAGGGTTTTGGCGCCAAATCGACATTGGCAAATAAACCGAAATTTGAAATTCTAGCAGATTCTCAAGAAGTTAGGCTAACTACTGTATTTACTACTGTATTTTCATCGTTGGAGGGCGACCGAGTTGTAGAAATATTGACTAAAATTGAGGCTATGCTTCAGGATATTCAAATTTGGCAGCATAATTTGGAGGGGGAATTGATGTGGAGTGCGAAATATGAGGTTTTGAATCAGCCTAATATTGGCTTCAATATTTCGAGTGCTAAATTAGAGGTGAGCACGGGGTTTTGATGGATTTCAGTGTGAAAATTCGAAACGAGTGTGAAGTTCTGACCCGGAAACCTATGTCATTGAAATCTTGGCGAAATTTTGATCTAGATGAATATTTTCAAATTTCCACACCAAGTTTTGTACTTCTCACGGAGAAAAAAAAATTCTAAGATTTTTTCCACATCCGTAGATTTCAAAAATCGCACGCATTTCCCCCCCAAACCTTGCCATTTTTCCAGAAATTTCTTCACAAAAACTTTTGCGGGTATCTGCCGATTCAACTCGTTCCAACTGCTCCAAAATGGCTTTTGCCACACGTCAGTATAGCTGTGCCACGTGGCAATTCGCTATTTCTCCCAATTTCTCATGAGCTCTAATTTTTGCAGGGTGGAACATTTTTGAACTAAATTATAAAATTCTCTGATCTCGCTCTCAGATTTTTTCCCGGCCTTCTAGAAAAATTCAATAAAATCCCCAAGGTTTTCCCAATTAACACTACCTTTCACTTTGAAAGTTTGATACGAATACACAGAAGTTATAATAAATAGGAATATGAAAAGTCGAGAAAGTTTCATTTCAAAATTTGCGACAAAACACTTATCACCTTTGATCATTTGTCCTCGTCTTTTCGTTTATTTTTTGTGTTTTGTTTACTTTGAGAAAGTCGCACGATTTTTGCGCGATTAAAATGTCTAATACTACTAATTTCTTCAAATACTGTTTCCTGTAACCTTCCCTGAAAAAAACACTGACTTCGAACAGAAAAAGAGGAAAAAAGAACTAGAACCTGTCAAAAAATGCGCCAAATTAAACGGTAATGTGGTATTGTCGTCATCTGTCGGCAAACTTTTTTTTTGTCAACCCGACAAACTACAGTATCTTGTCTTGTCTCCAAAAAAGTGGCTAATTATAAGTTGAGGAATTTATTGAGGTTAACCGATTGGAAGGAAAAACGATGAGATGACAACATATTTTGAAAAAAAATCATTGAAAATAGAATGAAATGAAATGAAATGACAATAAAGTTGACGAGAATTACCTGGGAACCAAGGAGAATTGGAATGAATGGGACATCTGTACAGTTTTGAATTTATGAAGAATAGTTGATGGAATTCAGAACACAAATCAACATTTGGGTATTAAAATTGAACATTTTGAAATTGTGAGAACTTGGATCAAAATTATCAAAAATTGTTATTCACAAAGCTTGGAAGTCTCGAATCACCTGCTTAAATTCATAAAACACAATAACTTTCAATAAAATAAAATCCCAACCTTCAGAGAAAAAAATATGCTTTGAAAAAATCCGCTACGACACTCCACTTTGCCCGTTGTTTAACGGAAAATGTGTTAGTTTTTTATTTTATTTATCGATTTTTCAACTTTTCGTTTTTTCTCCCAAAAATGTATGTTTCACAGCGTTTTTAAAAAAAGTTTTTAAGTTCTTCACTCTCTTTTAAAAATCGAAAATAGAATTCAGAAACCTTTTTTGAGAATCTGGAAAAAATTGATCAAAATTATTTGAAATTTATGCTGTTTGATTGGTTCTCAAATTCGATTAATTCGAAATTTTCATTATTTTCAAATTTTTCTATTTCTATTTTTTAAGAATAAAAAACTAAGGAGCTGATAAAAAACTGAGGAGCTCAGAAATCTATTTTGAAAGATTTTTCTCCATTTTCCTTCCTAATCCCGTTCTCATTTCACCCAACTCTCCTCTTAAATTAAAAAAAAGAAGCTAACTTTTTTCTTTCATCTCATTTGGTAGTATGTTTAGGGCCTGAGAAGATGGCAAAGAAGACAAATAAAAAATCTAATTAAATTCCTTTTTTTTCGAAAGTAGTACGGTATGACATATATTCTTCCATCATTCAAAAAAAATGGCAAAACAAAACCAAAAGTTAATTTTGTGATTGTGTTTGACACAAAATGACTCATCCAAAAACACACAAATACTTGTTGTATCTCTCTCTCTCTTCGTTAATAATTGCTCACTGATTGTAGTTTTTATATAATATTTATAGTAAGAATGTGTCACTGTCATTAAAGTTTACTTTTTTTTTAGAATTTAAAGTTTTCAAATTAAAATCCCCGACTTCGAGGGTTACCTTTTTTGTTAATAATAGTAATTTTCACCGTCTGCTTCCATTTCTGGTATCTGTCAAAATATTTGACATAACATAATTATTTATAGACCCCCTCTAAATCTCAATATTCAAACTCCGCCCATTTTCTGCCACACTCTCTCTCTTTTTCCCCAACTACTTATGTTAGACTAGACTACTGTACCCTTCTCCTCCTAAAATAAGCTCCGCCCACTTTTGGGTGTCCATTCGGAGAACGAAAAGAACCGATTCTTCTTGTTTTTTTTTGGGAAGTTATTATGGAATTCTAGGATTTTTGGAACTATTTAGTTCATTTTTGAAACACTTCAATGAAAACATTTCTCTGAATCATTCTTTTCTTTGAAAATTTTTGTGACAAACATTATTGATAAGTTTCAGATTGAAAATGTCACTTCCACAACGTCCACTACTTCCAACTTCACGTAAGTTCCGTTCTTATTTGAAAGAAGAAAAAAAATGGAAAATGAGAAAAAAATCTATATCAAAACATTACGGTCTGCTGGCTCTCATTTTGAAATTGTCTCTTATCATTTCGCAAAACTCATATATTTTTCTTCTCGCGATTTATATAAAAAATTTTTATCGGGAAGAATTTATAATAACTTGCTTTTGAAAATTAATTCAATTTTTTTTTTCAATAGTTTCTTCCGAAATCTGAAACTTCACCTGAATCATAGAACAATTTTTATTAACAATTATTTTTAATAAAAAATTATCCGAACCTTTAACAAGAATTGTGTTTCGGAATCCTAGATTTTTCAAAAGTATGATTATAAGTTTCTGAATTAAAAAAAATCTGAAACTCTACTCACCTAACCTAATTTTTAGCCCCAAAAATAGCTTTGCCAAAAAGATTTTCCATTTTTTTCTGGTTGATAAATACATACATTCAAAATAAAAAAACACATTATTATTATTATAACCCCCGTTATTTTGTTCTCTTTTCTTTTTTCGGCGAATCATACAAAACGGAGGCTCTTTTTTTTCGCCTGTTTATTTCGTTTCTCAATGATAATGTTGTTGATAATGTTGTGATGATGAAGAGGAAGATGCTGCTGCTGCTTTGCTTTCTGGCTGGCTGATGGTGTTGGTTAGTACGACACGATGAAATAGAGACACAAAGTGTCTTTTCGTCGTCGCGCCTCTTCTACTATCATATATATGTGTTTTTTAGTTGCTTCGCTTTTTTCGCGATTTGGAAGCAGCATGTTTACTGTATTTTTCTCGGAACATTATCTAGCTAAAATCTGTGACCGCTAGAAATTTTTGAACCATCTAACTATGAAAAGTGATCCTCAAACTTTTTCTGGTAGATCAAAAATATCTTTCTCTAAATCTCTCACTTTCTAGTTTAATTTAGCCTAAGATTTTGTCAGGCCTCAAAAACCGCTAAAAAATTTCGATTAGACTCTGTGATCCCAGATCCAATTTAGAACCTCCCGAAATATTTTCCTCTGGCAGTTTGACAGTTACATTTTTTTCTAATCATATGATACTGTCAGGCCTCGAAAAAACATTTTCGACTACACTTCAAGATCACATCTAAAAATTTCCTCTGACAGTTTAATGTGAATCACCATAATAAATATTTCTTCGTCTCATTTTCCCTACAATCATGAGATAATATGAGTCATTTCAAAAAATATTGTGTGTTCACAAAAAAGTTTGGCCCTTGCACACTTCCTCCACACATCATTAAATCCACTTGTTGTTAATCTTCATTGTTCCATATTTAAGTTGACATTATTTGACAGGTGTCTATCAAACTTTGTCAATTTCAAGCACCACTTACTCAAAAATCAACCAAAAACCTATTATTTCAGATATGGATGATAAATCGCCTCGTCTTCCAGGTGGTCCAGGCCCCAACAGCTATCCATTTGCCCCATTCTGTGCCACCTCATCACCATCCACAACAACAGCCAGTGTCTTCCCACAAATGCCCATATTTCCGCCGAATTTCCAGCAAGTCTATCAGAATTTATTGCAAGCTCATTTTGTGCAAATGGCTTCGGCGCAAGCACAAGCTCATGCTCAAGCGCAAGCTCGATTGAGTGCTGGAACATCGCCAGTGAATTCGGATCAGGCATCTTCGAGAAGTGAATCACCGCAAATTGCGAAAAGTTAGTTTGAATTTTATTTTGAAGGGGGGGATTGATTGATGGAACGGGGTTGTATTTATTTTATTTTATTTTTCCTATAAGAAGACTGTTCAACTGTGACTACAGTATACTGTGAATGTTGTGAGAAGAAGAAAAGAAAAGCAATTAGGATCTCCGGACCGTCTAACTTCCGGTCACGATTCATCGACAATGACCTCGTTGACAACATGGAATGTTTGAGGAAGTCAGTTAGTGACAAGTTAACTTTTTGCTGCCCCGGTATTTTATGAGTGTCTTCCTCTTCTTCACTTTTCACATCAGATACTGTAGTCGAAGAAGGACAAACATTCATTGTTGATTTAAATAACAATAGCAACAAGTTTATACACCACAAACTTAACTTGGTCTCTCTTTCCTATGTATTCTACAATATAGAAAAGAAGGAAAGGGGACTGTGCATGCATGGCAGGTGTCTTTTTTCTTTTCTCGAATCTTGAATAGAGAAAAACCTTGTCAAGCTTTTATGCGCAATATTTTGAGGGACATGCTTTCAGAAAAGCCTTTTCAGTGAGGAGAAACATGCATAGAAATCTTTAATTAGTCTAGTATTCGCAACATTTTTGAAAGAAGTATACTTTGTCGAAGAGTCCTTGGGCAGGTGAAAAGGGGGGGGGGTTGAATCGAACTCGGATAGCCATTAGGTCCGATTCATAATTTTGAAATTAGGGATTGTACATAGATATGGGATTTGAATTCAAATGTTAAATTTCTACTTCAGGCCGAAGCCCAGATTCAAAAGTGTAGACCTGAACCTTACTCTAGGATTATCGATAGCTTGGGCTTAGGCTTTGGACTGCAACCGGGGTTTCAGAAACAATTTTTTGTACTCCCCCACAACCGCCAGCTGTGTGACCTATCCAGCGGTTGTCCTGATCCCTTTCCAGCCGGGAAGATCATTTTTCAGAAATAAGAATTTCTTTTCTTGCAAACAAAAAAAAACAACAACTTTTTTTGTCTCATTCCCAAAATCCCATGAGGCGTCATGTCGGTCGGCGAACTTCAAAACCAAAGCATTTTTCAATTAAGCCAGTCGTGTGTGCTAACTTTTTTTTTCGCGCATTTCTCTCCTCGCTTCCCAACACATTTTTGTTTGCCAATTTTTCATTTCTGGCGCCAACACCAAGTAAAGTGTTTTATTAGTGGACTGGGAACATAGGAAGGCTTGGCTTGGCTTGAAATGAAATATGACTAGAAAAAAACTAACGGAAGGAAAATGTATTATATTTTTCGGGAAACAATTGAGAGTTTTTTTTTGAATTGGGAGGGATTTTCAGAATTTTTGGGAGCACAATCTGATTTCAACAATTTTGAAAAGGTCCAACAAAAATGGACTTGGTCCAAACTTTTGGAATCATAATTGGACCACTAAACATTTTTCCAAAAAAAATTGGACCAGTTTTAATTCTGACTCTTGTCACCCTGGTCTCACTTATAAATCCTGAAAATCAAGTTCCTCTAATCAGACCTGACCCACTTCTAAATCAACAAAAAACCAAATTTCTTCTCGGAATTTTCGAACCCAATGCCTTCTAAAAATTCAAATATCCTCAGCCCATTTATTTCTCTTTCTTGTCTTTTTCTCATAGCCTCAAAATTGACCCTAAATAAAATTTATCGTCGTGTAAATACCAATAAAAAGGTTGTGCAGCTTTCCTCTTCTTGGTTCTCCCATCGGGATTAGCGGTTTTTATCACCCCTCATAATAATAATAATAACAAGAACACAAAACAAACATGATGAGCAAAAGACGGAGACAAAAAGTCATAAAATGCCATACATCTGCACAGCATCTTTGTTTTGCTCATTTGACACCTTTTTTATTGGTGGCTTGTAACAAGCTTATAAGAGGGGTTTCAATTATTTGAAAATAATGACACCTAGCTAGACCTAGATACTTCCGGATTTCCAAAAAAGGAAAAGATTTTTTTTGAAAACAGCAATTGGTGTTGAATTAATGACAGACAGGAGGAAGGGAGAACAGGAGGCGTCAAATCAATTAATCATTTCATTTTGGGGATTGAATGAGTCGGTCGGCGGGCCGCCCTTTGAACAATCAGCACCAATTTATCATCAACTATATATACAAATAGTGGATAAATAGAATAATAACTCATTTGTGATTGTTATCTCAGAATTCGAGACAATCTGATAATTATGTGTCATCTTTTTGTTTATGTTGTTGTGTGTTTTTGGGGGGAATCGTGGAAAATTTGGAAAAAATATGAGCAATGTTTTGATTGTAGAATTTTGTTTTTGGGAATTTTTAGAAAAAAATCACACTACAGTATGCCGTGATTCGAAATTGTATTTCGAATTTCAGAAACATTCAAGAATTATGGGAATCAGGAGAATAACATGAGCAATGTAAAATTAGTTTCAACAGAATTTTTTGGACTCACAATTTTCCTAGAGGGCAGCTCAGTGGCAGTAGGCAATCTTGGGGTCAAGGGTTTGATTCTCATTTTTTTTTCAAAAATACATCGTGCTCTACAGTATCCATCGAGTACACAGTAGTAGTCTAACTTAATTATAAAATCATAAATGCCGCCAAAGAAGAAAAAGAAGAAGATGGTCATTTTCTCAGGTGTCCGTCTCAATGTGTACTTATGCTAATTTATGACGAACAACACCCCAACACTACTTCTCCTTTTCTCTGTTTTGTATATGCCCGAAATTGATTTTGAATGAGAAGGAGAAGGCAAATAGTCGTAAAATTAAAAGAAGGTCATTTTTGTTTGAGGGGTATCTAGTAACTACAGATAAATAATTCAATTGTTCTTTTCAGAAACTCTGATTTTGGATGAAGATGGTTTTGCAACTTGCCCGGCTTGCGGTGATAAATTAGCCGAATCACAATGGAATTCACATATTGAAGAGGAGAAAACAAAATTGATTAGTCATATTCGAAGTGTGAAAGAGAATGGGCAAAGTTCATCGAATGGTGAACATCAGATTCATAAAAGAGAAAATGAATTATTGAGAATTAGAAATAATCAACAGAAAAGACAGATTCGTAAGTTCATAGCTTTGAAACATTTTTGAAAATTCAAATTCTTTCAGTGAAACGTGGCACAAATTCCTTGATTCGAGATTGTTTAACTCCATTTAGTAGACAATCAAATGATGAGACTGGATCGAGTGAATCACCAGATACAAAGAAAATGGATGAGGATTTTAATAATATGATGAAGTGCACATCTTGCCAGGTAATCTATCAATAAGTACTAGTTATTTTTCAAAATAGCTCAGTCTGAAGCATGTATCTGATCCAGAAAACATTTTTCAACTTTTCAATTTCCAGCAACCCTGTGCATATGGAATAATAATGTCAAGCTACGATCGTCCAAAATGCCAAATGTGCTTCGATATAATCCGCACTCAATCGTGTATTCTCACCTCGGTAAGAACTAGAACTAAATATTCAAAAAAAGCGGGCGAAAATCCAAGAGACAGGTGTGATTGTCGGCACAACATCAAATGTGCTAATGAGGTTGTGTAATATCTCGGGGGATGTTGATTGATTACTGTATATAGTAGGATTAGTTACTAGCACTTGGCACTTGAAAACAAATCGGGTCAGGGGGTTTTTGAAAAGCAAATAATAATAATAATTTCCCCCAATTTTTGCAGACATCTCCTGCTCAAAATGATGATGAAAATGATGAGCCAAGTTTGAAGAAAATGAAATTTGAAGATGAAGAAGAAGCAATCATAAAAAGAGAAGAAGACGACGAAAATATTGTAGATCAATAGTTGAATTTCACCAATGTTCTCTTTGTATTTCAGGGTATATGATTAGATTGTTTTAATATTTGAGCGCCGCGTCGCTTTCTATTTTATTTCACAAAGTGACTAGTCATTTTTGTTCCCCCCATTTTTTTTTCTAAAATTTGTAATTTTTTGAAACTTCTATTATTTATATATATATTTACCGTGTGAAATGAAGATTTGTAAACAACTTTTTTTCTTATCATTTTTGCACGTGTTTAGGTATTAGAATTTATGGTGTAATTATTATTTTAATTTTTTTTCAAGGCATATGGCCTTTCTCTACAGATGAGCCCTCTACAGATGACCCCTTAACACCAAAAGCTAATTGTCGCCTTAGCGTATGCAAACGAAAACTTCAGAACTCGAAATGATCAGTGTCAATTAAGAACTGTTCGCGACGAAAAAAAAATTTGAAAAAATGGTGAAGTTTCCGCCAAATTGAAAAAAATGGAAAAAACACTGTTTGAATTTTGTTCTTTCAGCGGACTCAGAGCGTGTGCAAACACCGTCACGTCAGAATGCACGAAAAAAATTATTTTTTTATTTTTTGTTTTTTTCAGGAGTTTTTGCTTGTTTTTCATTTTTCCACGATAAATTCCTATAATTTTCAGTAAGATGATGTTGGCAATCCTTCTCCGGACTATTTGTGTTATGTTTTTGACGGAGGAATGCGATATTTCATCATTTTTCAGTAAAAAGGTGAGTATACTCAGAGAAAGTATGGCTTGAACGGCGCGGTCCGCGGACGATTTTTCACCGATTTTTGGGTGAAAATCATTAGGCGGATTCCGCGAAAAAATTTCGCGGACAGCGAAACTTCAGCCAATGAGAGTCTAATTTCGCGCATTCCGCGAAATTTTTTGACTCGGAAATTTGATTTTTCGCGTTTTTCGCGGATTCGCGGATGGACTCGAGAGGGAGGGTATAAAAAGGATAAATTGTATCGCGTACGCGACAACGAGGATAGCGCAGCGAGGAAGATGGATGACTACAAAACGACAGGATTGGGATCGAGGCCGGGTTGGAACTACGAGTCAATACTAACTTCTGATAATTATCAGGGGTAGTGAAGCATTTTTATATTTCGAGAGTGCATTGCGCGGACGTTTCGCTAACAGCGGAGTATAATTTCGCGGACGTTTCGCTAAAGTTCTTGTGTCAGCCGCGGATTGGCAGATTTTTGGGTTTCGCGAACCGCGCCGTTCCAGCCAGACCTTCTCTGAGTAGAGCTTTTGGTGTTCCTTTGGAACTTGAAGTAGAAAATCAATGAGAATACTTCGAATACCTATCTTTTAGTGTTTGAGAGCTTTTAAATATTCTACAGCACCTCTAGACATGAGTGGTATCTAAAATTTTGAATAATTTGTATCTGAAAATCCACACGTGACACGTTGCGGCCCCATTTAATCCGTACTTAAACGGACCACTCAGAGATTTTGGCATTATTTTCTATCATTTGCTATCAATTCATTTACTATAAATCATATTCTATTCGTGGTAATGGATCCTCAGCAAGAAATTTGAATGGAAAGAAGCCGACTCAATAAATAGTTTCTGTTCTTTTCGTTTAGTTTATTCATTATTCACAATTAGGTAGAAAAGTTTTGGCGAAGATTTAGGAATTTCGCAAAGGGTTTATCCATGAAGCATTTACATAAGATCAAAAATATGTAATTCTAAAAATATTTCCTTGGAAGCTGAAGGTTCAGAAAAAAATCTAGGTAATTTTTTACTACTGAAAAGCTCACATATCTTGTAAGGCTGATTTTCCGATGGAAAAACTAACAGATTATCTTTGGTAAAACTAGTTTGCTGGTCGGTCACATGAATTTTACATATTTTTCCACTGAATTTTTACATATTTTTCACAAATTTTTATCCTGTTCCATGTTTTTTTTCAAAAAATCTTTTTGGAAATTATATTACTCTTGTTCAGAAAATAATTCAAAACACGATTATTTTTCAAAAAACATTTATTGGAGCTCTCATTTCGTATCGCCTTCCAATTCCCAATCATATGGCGCGTCGATTTTTCCACCCGATGAAATACAAGCCTAAAATAAATACAGTACTTAGATTTGGCTCATAAAAAAATATAGCAAAAATTACCTCCTCGAGCATTTTGTAAATGTAATCATAATCAACTCGATCGTGATATTGTTGTTTGTCAATATAATCAAGAATACGATTGAGTTCAGTTGTATGCGGCAAACCGCTTAACATCGCCTCTCGTTTATCTTTTCGACATTCTTCTTTACATTTCAAAACATCATTTTTATCACTGATTTTCCTCCATGGTAATCCTTGTGTCAAAATCAAATCGAGAAGTAGGTAAAACCAACTCTCACAATCATCTTTTGGTCCCATTTCAGTTCCTTTGTGACATGCTAATGGTGCAAATCGAACAGTTCCTTTAAATCCAACACTTTCTCGTGGAGTCTTCAATTCATTTTTTGTATTCAAAAATTTGCGAGCAATTCCGAAATCGAGAATGTAAATCAGATGTTTCTGCTTTTCCAATCCACACGCATAATTCTGCGGCTTCAAATCTCGATGAATGAAACCATGTTTATGCAAAGCTTCACAAGCTTCCAAACATTGCTGCGCAACTCCCAATCCAGTTGTAAATGAGAAAACTTTCAAATCCCTTTCGAGTTTCAAATCCGCTAAACTTTTACCAACGAGTTCCATCACCAAAAAGAAATATCCTTCTTTATCTTTCTTTCCTCGATCAACAATTTGTGTGAAATGTTTTCCATTTCCAATCAACTTCAAAATCGCGATTTCCATTTTCAGTTTCGAATGTTTTCTTTTCTCCAATTTTCTCTCCACTTTCATCGCATATTGTTTTTCCGTTTTCACATCTTTCACTCGATAAACTGCCCCGAATCCACCTTCGCCTAATAATTTGCTCACTACATAAGTTGCTTTGCTGCTTGAAATTTCTGTTCCCTGCAAAATCACTACTGGAAGTGGAATTCGAGAGATCGAGGAAAACTAACTGGTTTGAAGTTAAGATCATCATCATCTTCATCCGACATTTTCCCAAATATAAAACCTCGAAAATAACGGTTCTCTTTTTAATTTTGGATCCGCTCCTATCTGAATTCTAGAACACGTCACGTTTTTTTTTTCAAAATGTCCCAATTTTTTTGTTGTTGTTTTATTTTCATTTCGAAAACGTTCAACAAACCGAAAATTATTCTTTTGTCTATCAATTTTTGACATTGATTGGGAGTGTCAAATAGGAAGTACCACCCATTTAATTTGATACGGGTTTTACTTAGTTGGTTTTAGAATGAAGAGAAATAATTGTACCGACGACAATTCTGATAATAACAGGTCTAAGACCAGAAAGATGTAAGTTCTATGTTTTTTTTAATTTCAACCAGGCTTCAAACTTTTCGGGGTAGATAAAAAATATGGGGAGAGTGGGAGATTTAGAGAAAAATATTTTTGATCTACCAAATAACGTATTTAGGGCTTGGGGAGTCATTTGTTTTTTTTGACACTCTGTGAATTTATTCTTCATGTATTTTTCTTTTCAAGTTTTTAATATTTCAGAATGTCACGCCCATTTGGATATGTTTATGATCCTCGAATGCTTCTTCATGATTGTGGCTACGATAAAACGATGGCTGAAAACCCACAAAGAATCCGATTGATTCATGAAAGACTACAACAAGATGGATTATTGAATGCTGAAAAAGCAATAAAAATCGAAGCAAGAGAAGCGAGTGATGAAGAACTTATGTTAAATCATCCAAAAGCATTAATTGATGAAATCGCTGCATTGAATAATGATAAATTATGCGAAGAATATTGCAAAGATAAGGAAATCCTTTGGACATGTGAAAATACATTGGAAGCTGCGAGAGTTGCATCAGGTGCAACTATTGAGATTGTTAAAGCTGCGATTGAAAATAGAATTGATAATGGATTTGCGATTATTCGACCACCTGGACATCATTCTTATGGAAAAACTCCACGAGGTTACTGTATTTTTAATAATGCTGTTATTGGAGCAAAATATGCGCTGGAATATTTAGGAATCAAAAAGGTGGGTTGGGAACTAGTTACAATTGGATTAGGATCGATGTTCCAATTTTCAAAGAGAGAACTTTATTTGAAATTTTTTGTTTTTCAAAATTTTCTTTAATTTTGGAGCCCTATTTCTATCAGCTTCAGAATTTTTCAAATTTTTTCCAAAAGTTTATTTCCAGGTGGCAATAGTCGATTTCGATTACCACGCTGGAAATGGAACTTATGAATCTGTCAAAAACGATAATCGCATCCACCTGACTTCAATTCACGCTCATCATCATGGCGCATTTTGGCCATTCACCAGAGAATTCGATTATGCTACTTGTAATCGTAAGTGTTCTATTGAGATCTCTCTGAAATTCTTGATTTTTTTCAGCTCACACACTTTTTGTCCCTTTGAATGGTTCAATGAATACAGAAGCTGATTATCTTGGGATTTTTCATCATGTGGTTTTGCCACAACTTCGTCAAATTAAACCTGAGGTATTTAAGAATTCTCAAATTTACAAAATTTCAAAAAACTTTCCTATTTATGTTAGTTGATCATAATTTCTGCTGGTTTCGATGCTGGATATTTCGATATAATGGGACCTGTTGGACAAGGTGTTAAAGCACATGGATACGGTCATATGGCTCGATTATTAGCCGAAGTTTGTCCGGGAAAAACGATTGCTGTTTTGGAAGGCGGATATTTTCCGAAAAATTATACGGAATCTGCAAGTATGTTGGTGAGAGGACTTCAGGTTGGTTGAATTGGAAAAAAAACAGACGGGGTGGGCTCAGCCCAAAGTTAATACAAAAAATCGGGCCTTTCTGGATCAGGCCTAATTTTGGGGCCCGCCGTCACTGTAATTTCAGCAAACCCGACATTTCGGAATAAATATTATTTTTTTTAGGGATTAGAACTTCCACGAATCGAATTTCCAAAAAGATTATCTGGTGCACTAGTTGAAACATTATGGAATGTTTTATATCATCATCAAGAATGGTATCCAGAATTAAAAACAAAGTTGGACAAATTGATTGAACAACAAAAAGTTTTGAAGCTCAAGGAATTTGTTCCAGATCAGATTTTATTTTTTGGTGACAGTAAGTTCTTATAGCTTTGTTTTTCTTCTCAATCAAGATTTGATTTTCACTTACATAGGAATGCGAAAAATATACGACGACATGATAAAACATGGAATATGTAGAACTAAAGAATGGTTCCCTGAAGTTTCTGCTGAACAAGAGAAAGATATGAATTCGAAAATTGACAAATATATCAGTGAATACAAATTTAGTGCCAATCACGATTTACCAAACGAGCAACAACTTTTGGCTCAATTAGTTTGGGATGAACAAACTCGATCGGATGCATTTATCCAATCTGCTCCATTTACAACTGCACTTATCACTGAATATAATGCATTTGTTGATGGTAAGTGAAGTGGTTTTGAGATGTTTTGAGATAATTATTTCTCAGGGAAAATTGATAATATGATGATTTGTGATCGAGAATTAGTTAGAAATGCTGTTCAGAATGGATCATTTGATAAACACGAAAAATATGAGCATCCGTTTTGATCAATTGAAAAAGGTATACTGTAGTTTAGAAAAGGTATACTGTAGTTTCTATTAAAAAGTAACTATAATGTACAATGAAAAAATTATTTAAAAAATCAGAATGAATAAAATTCCGGTTACTCAAATGTCTTCATAAAAAAATTTGGAATATTCATTCAAATAAAACCCTTTATCAAAAGAAAAAAAAATAATTCAAAATCCAACAACCACCTTATTTCTTGTATGGAGCTGATTTCGATGGCTCTGTAAAAAAACATTTTTAGAATTTCATATTAATTCAACTAAAAACAAACGTCTCTTTTTCGTCATCTTGCCACCGCCGTCTGACTGTTTTGTCGACGAAAATTCGCTTTTTCTTAATTTTTCGGCAAGACCTGGAAATTTAAAATTAGGGACGTTGTCTGGACCAATTAAACTTACTCTTCCATTCGACAGCCAACTCCACATCACCACATTTGGCAAAATGTTCGGTCAGTTTTTGGTCCACCTCTGTAGAATAAGTGTTTTACTTACAGTCGAAGATAAGTCATACATAAAATAGGTCTCCCGAGTCAGTTTTTAAAGTTAGGATCCCTCCTTGAAAATTTTCCAAAGTTAAACACCTGTCTCAGATTTTTGAGCAAATTTTGATAAATTATCAGCAGAAAATTGGCCAAGTTAGACACCCTTCCCTTCAGATTTTTGCAAAAAGTTAAGCCCCTCACCCCGATTCTGGGGACCCATTTTATGTATGAGATAAGTTTACTCACCATCTAAAATTTTAATTCTGAATTGCTTCCAATTTTCCCCTTCCTCAATTTTTTCGAGTTGTTGGTTCATCTTTTCCACAACGTTCCGAAACGCAATTGGGTGAGAGGAGAGAGATTCTAGAGAAAACATACGTTTTTAGTGGGCAAACGTGCTCAAATGAGAACAAAAACTCAATTTTTTCGAACATTTTCTGAGAGGTCGTTCAAACGTATTGCCGACATTGATCAAACAAATGGTCAAGCGCTATACACACGTGTATTATTTTTCTTTGTTTTTTTGAAAAATGAAGCGAGGCGACAAGAGTTCACGCGAATAATCAACAAAACGTGAATTCTTTTATGTTTTTCTCTAATTCTCTCCCTCTCACCCTATTGCATTTTATCATTAGCCTAAAATGTTGTGTTTCCGAGCAGTTTTCACTTGGCAAAAAGCTGGGAGTGAGGTTGGCTACCCAACTCGTTTTGAAAATCCTGTTGAAAAAAATAGGTCACGTTCACGTATTCTTTTGATTTGTAGCTTTTTCCAGTATAACCTTAAAAAGTCTGCTCATTTTTTTGCCAACATTTGGAAATGACAAAAAAGAAACCGAAATTCTTCTCTTGGGACGAGCAAACTCTATTTGATTTCCGGGAAAAAATAACACTGTATTTTATTTTCACATTTTTATTAAAATTAAGTAACCGGGATGTACAATAAATAATTCAACAACAAAATCAAATCTCAACAAAAAAAACTCAAAAATCATTAGAATAACCAGTGGAATCAGTTGAAGTTGTCGAAATTGAATCATAATTATATTCCTCATTTTCATAATGACTAACATCAAAACCAATTTTGCTAACAGTTTGTGATTTCAATCGATATCCATAAGTGACATTTGTCTCATCAATAATATCTTCATAGCGAGATGATGTAAATGTTGGAATTCGTCGAAGTTTTGCGAGTTTTGCTGATTGATTTGTGACAGCAATTGGTTTTTGTGGATGTTGGAAGATGATATCAGAGGTTGAAGAATTGGATTTGCGGCCATAAACAAATTGGCAAAGAATAAGAAGAACTGTGATTGATGCAAGGCAAGCAATTAAAAGAACCATATTGATTGTTTGAAGATCGTAGTCTTTCATTTTCAATTCGAGAGTTTGCATAAATCCTTGCTCATTTTCAATTGGTGTTTGAATTTGTTTTGGACAATGTGGACATTCATCATCGATTCGGATTAAAAAACGAGCATTGAAACATTGAGAATCAATGTGAGCAACTCGAGTTTTCATTGTTTGACCAGGCTTGAGAATCTGGAAAAATTGCAATTTACCACAAATCGTTCGAAATCTTCTTTGAAAAGTCCATAATAATTCGGAAAAAAAACTAACCAATTTCTCATCAAAAACCATCGAAGCATATCCATGATCACATTTTGGCATCAAGCCAAATGGATTCAACAAATTTTCTCCTTCAATTTGCGATGAAACCAAAATCTTATCGATTTTTGTTGACCATTGAGTTGTGAAGAAAAGTCGTTGCTCTTGAATTAATTTCGAATTAATTGGCCAAGATGCAGAAGCGATTCTGTTGTCGCCAAGATCTGCGATCACCTGAAAAAATGAAAATGAATTTCGAGGTCTCTTAACAAAAAATAATAAAAACTTACTCTCAACGAAGGATTTTGACAATTCTGATGCTCATTCCAAAATTGAGCACATTTATCTCGAAGTTGAAAATCGACGAGAACTACAGTAACCCAAGAATAGGTACAATTGGAGAGTCCAATGAAAATCGATAGAAGACAGAGAATATTGGACATATTGTTATGATAACAGTTATGTTTTGATATCATTTGAATCCACCTAGCACTATTTATACACCCAAGAAAATGGGCGTGGCTTAGATTTGGTGGGCGGGGATCGGGAGCGGGAGAGTATGAGAATGGGGAAGAATTCCCATCAAGAAATGTGTGAAAAATTATAGAGTACTACTGTAGAGAGGTGTGAAAAAGTGACAAGTTATCGGAAATTGAATAAAATTTGCTTGGCTGTAAAAATTAATTTTGAAGTTCTGAAATTCAATTCCGGTTTGAATGAAAAACATTCCTGTTAAATTCGGGATTTTGAAAATCAGACCTTGAAAATGAGCCAGAACATGATTTATTTTTTTCATTTTCAGACTTGTGGCCCAACTTTGGTTCACTGAAGTTTTTCAAGCCCCAGAATTTCATATCTTATTTTTTACTTCGAGCTAGGATTTTGTAGAATAAATCGAAATTCTAGTTTGAAATATTTTATAATAGAACTTCAGTTCTCTATTTCCACCTCGTGAATTTTTTTTCCATAATCTAAGGTGTGAATTTCTCACACCTAAAAAATCCTAACATGTTTTTTACATAAAACAAATTCCATGTGACACCGAAATGTTGACACATTGGTGATATTTTAGCTTGTGAGAAATATTCGGAACCTAAATCAGGCCCTAGTCTCAAGCCCAGTTCTAAACAATGCCAGGTTCAATAATTCCCAATTTCATCTCTGTTTTTTCTCAGCTTGTAAATTTTCTATCCAGATGTTTCTAAATTCCATCAAAGAAAAAAATGAGCAAAAAATAAACAAGTTGTAAAATAAACACCTGTACTAATGTGCTCTTAGCAATTTACATCATAGCGACCTGTCAAAAAGTTGATAGCAAATTTTCAACATTTTAAGAATACTTCACACTTTCAGCAATTTTGAAGTGTTATTTATCAATTACTTTTTCACACTTCAAAAAGTATGGGTGAATTGTTTCCGGGTGGAAATTGACAGGATATATGTAAACTGTTAAATGGGAAGTATATTTGATAAGGGAACTTTTTGGGTCACAAATTAATGGAACATTTTTACAGATAAACTTTTTTCAGCAAGAATTGAAAACAATTCAGAAGCACTTATAAGTTTTCAGAATCTTACTGTAACTATATTCCAATTTCTCTATTTCAAAAAAAATTCACATTCTCACAAGAACACATTTCAAAGGATGTGATACCGACATTTTCACACTTTGGTGAGAATGAAGCTGGTGAGAAGAATTTTGACAAAAAATAATTTTTCAAAAAATATCTGACAAAACGTGACCCAGATAAATAGATGACGTGTATGATGAGAAGGACTCGACTATTTCTCAAAGCAATCAGTATTCAAAAATGTCTTTATCACAATTATCAGTTCTTTCTGCTCACACAGCTGTTTCTTTCGACGATGGAGATCTTCAAAAATTGCAACCAACTCCACCAATTTCAATCTTCCTTGCAATCGATGATCAAAATCTGCCAAATGCAGCCGAATCTCGAAATGTTTTCAATTTCGAGAACAAATTATATTTTGAAGTTGCTGAAGTGATTGAGATGGGAGTCAAACGTGTCTATTTGAATGTTTCAACTATAAATCCGGCTGAATGGAATATTTTGGTTCAAATGAGAATCAAAACTGGAGGTGGAAATAATGCGAGCGGATTGCATGTGGTTGATAAAGATGTCTTCAAATTCGACACTTTTTCATATCCTTTAAGTGTTGAAGTTCAAACAGATGAGGTCAGATTCATCAAATTCGAAATGCGAGTTCTAAACTTCGTGAGTTTTGCAACTTTTTTCGTTTAATAAAAACAATTCTGATTTTCTTTGCAGATGCATCTAGAACTCCCAAAATTCAATGAAGGAGATGAAGTTATTGAATTTGATAATGGCTCAACAATCCGCGTTCATTCAAATATTCTAGGCCTTTTGTCTCAATACATGGGTAAAAAGAAAACTGGAGAAATTTTTTAATGTTATTTTTTTTCAAATTTCAGCAACATCTGAGAAAATTGCCGCTGAACGTCAAGCTATGATCAAAGCAACATCGACTGATAAATCAGCCTTTCTCGAATTATTGTACCAAGTCTATCCAACTCGTCGTCCAATTTATTCATCTTTTCGTGCACTTTGTGCAGCGGCAGTTGGATATAAATGTGATCAATTGATCAATAAATTATCGATTCATCTCATTAATTATAATCATCGAGCTGTGAGTTTGCATAGGGATCTTTAGAATTCTAGACTGCATTAAAGTTTTTTCAAAATATTTCAGATGACATTTCAACAACGTTTCCAAGCAGCCATTGAAAATCGTTTGGAACCAGCAATTCGCGAGTTGGCTTTTCGTGCATCGAGAGATGGAACTTGGAGCAGAATGATTTTGCAAGGTTTTGAACCGGAAAATTTCTGCGGAAAAGATGTTTATACCAAAATTGTTTGTCCAGCTGTCTTCCTTGGTAAAAATGCGCCAGCCGATGTAACAACTTTGACTGAAACAAATGATTATCCAAACTTTTTGGATAAAAATGTATGTTGCTATGATTATAAAGCGAAGTCATATTTTTAATAATTTTCAGGAAAATGATACGAGCAAATCTGTCATCATGTTCCGCGGCACTCCATTTTACATCAATAGTGGACTTCTCACCGCCTATGGTTCTTCACAATTTTGTATTGGTGCAAATGGTGAATTTGTTGCTAGATATACAACTGATTTCCAACGTGAATGTTCAAGAGAGAATTTGTTGCCTGGTGAAGTTTTATTGCAATTACTTGCGTATATGCATCCATTTGGCGCGGTTCCAAATTATAATATGATTCGAGCTTGTATTGTATTTGCACACGATCACGGATGGAATGTTTTGAAAGAAAATTTGGAGCAAGAAATGGAGCCGCCAACAACAGCTGATGAATATATGTCACAATTGGTTTTTGGCGAGAAATATGGGTTGATGAATTTGATGAGAGTCAATATTCAAAGAGCTGAGTCAAGGTATTATTTTTTTTTAACCCATAAAAAATACTCATAAAATATATTTTCAGCTGCAAAGATCTGGCAGAACAACTAGAACGTCACGGAGTTCTTCGTAGACTCTCTGAAAAAACTCACGAATCAATTATGGATCGAATGTGTAGTGGATGGGGATTGAATCCGCTTGTGAATCGTCTTGCAACTCGAATTCCAACAACATTCAATAATCGTTTGGTCAATCTTCAAAGAGGAAGAGCAATTGTGATTGGAGAAGGAAGAGCTATCGATACTTTGAACTCAATTCAATCTGATTATGCTTTTGGAGAAATTAACGAATTGGTTGTCGTTGATTGAAAAAATCGTCTCTTTTTGTGTAGAATTTTTGTGTAGGTATAAATTATTGGTTTCTGAATTGGCAATCTTTCTCAGAAAAATTTGGAAAGTGAATGATTTTCTAAATGTCTGAGCAATCAAAAACCAGCAATAAAACTTTACGAAAAAGATAAAAAATAAAATTATAATGGTTCGCTATAAAATTAGCGCAAATTCAAATTAAAAAGTTTATGATCGATTTTTCTTGTATTTAAGAAACTTCAGGAACACTCTTAGCACAACAAAAACAAAAAATGAATCGAGTTATTCTTTTGTTGTTCGCATTCTGTGTTACTGTATCGTGTTTGGCTCTCAACAATAATAAGAAGAAGGATCATATCGATATCGACATCAATATTGATGTTGAAGGTGGAAAGAAGCATCAAGGAGGACATGGATCGCATAATGATGAGCAATGTAAAGAGCACACCAAAAAACCAACGCCCAAAGCAACTAAGAAGCCAACAACTGCCAAACCGAAAACAACTAAAAAGCTCCTTCCTGTATATGTATGCCCAAAAGGATTCACAAAATTCAACAGAGCTACTCCGTGGTGTTTGAGGGTGATCCATATTTTTTTTTTACTTTGAAAAAAAATTTTCAAATTTCAGACGGTAACCAGTAAGACATCAATTGCAAGTAAAGATGCTCAGAAACTCTGCGCTTCTGTCAAATCCAGTCTTTCAAACTTTGAAAATCAACACGAGACAGATACAATTCTTGCGCCATTATATAAATTGAAATCGAATTTTTCGTTGACAGTTGATGGTCGACGAGTTAAGCAATGTATGAAAATCAAAACGAACGATCATAAAAGTCCGTGCACAAGGGAGAAAGTTAGTAATAAAATAGAAATCAACTGAAAATCGATATTTTTCAGACATTCTCATTCCCAAATGCAAAAAAACATACAAATACAGCTTTTACAATTAAAAACCTCAATTCTGGTCAACCAGATTCACAACAAAGAACAATCAAGTACCGTAGTTTCTCTAGTTTACTTAATTCTTAAAATTAATTTCATGTTTCATTTTCAGAGGAAAGTTCTATATTGAGGATTGCTTATCGATTTATATTGCCAAAGGAACTTCAATGGATAAAAAATATAATGATATTTTCTGCGACTTCGCTGTTTCTCCAGTTTCGAACCTCCCAATCTATCAAAGTCGTGGTGCACTTTGTGGAGTTGCTGCAACAAGAAAACGATAATTTAATTTAGTTTTAAAGGGATGGGGTTGTAACTTGGAATAAATATTTGTAATGGAATTTTTTTGTTGAAGGCAGTTGTGGAAAGATAGGATTAATCTAGAACTACAAACTTCAGAAGTTCTCTGAAAAATAATTTTCTTCAAATTTGAGGCATCGTGGGTGTTGGACAATTTTTCCGAATAAAATTTCGAAGAAGATCCAAAATTGATTATTTGCCTGAACTTACCAGTAAAGGATCAGGAAATTTAAAAAAAATCCTGACGACCAATTTTTTTTAGGAAGATTAGAACTCGGTTTCAAAATGTTGGGATTTTCAGACCTGCAACCTTCAATTTTTCGTTGATCTTTTTCTCTCCAAATCTTGCCAAAAATTTATCCGCTGATTCATTTTCTTAAAAGAAAAATCCCATTTATCCCTCTCCAAGTACCACAAAAAATATTTGATCATTTTTTTTGGAAATCAAAGACCTTACAGTAACCCGATCAAAATATCAAAAACCGCCCACATTTTTTCGCGCGCAAAAGAAATATTAAATTGTTATGGCTCGTTATAAAATGCCGATTCAAAAACGCTAATTAAAAAGTTATGGCAGAATTTTTCTACTATTTAAGAAACTGAAAAATTATCCAAACACACAAGCAAAGATGAATCGAAGTGTGATTTTGTTGTTGTTCGCATTCTGTATTACTGTATCCTGTTTGGATCTGAATAATAAGAACAAGAAGGATCACATCGACGTGGATATCGATATCGATATTGATGTTGAGGATGGAAAACGTGGCCACAAAAAACACAGCGGAGGAAAGAAGCATCACAGATCAGAACATGATGAAGAATGTAGAGATGAACCTCGAAAACATAGGAAACCAAAACATCGACGTGCTAAACAATATGAATGTCCAGCTGGATTCATATTGTTCAACAGAACTGTTCCATGGTGTTTGAAGGTAATTTTAATTTCAATAGCAGAAAGCTACAACACTTTTTCAGGCCGTAACCTCTTCTGAATCAATCGCAAGTGGTGGAGCTCAAAATCTATGTCCCTTAGACTCAAGTCTTTCAAACTTTGAAAATCAAAACGAAACAGATGTCATTATTAATCCCTTGTACTCTCAAATCAATGGTGTTTCTCTAACTGTTGGTGGTCGAAGAATCGAACAATGTATGGGAATCAAACCGAACAATCATGATAGTCCGTGCACAGTTGATGGAGTGAGTCAATTCTAAATACATATTTCTAGACGAATTGGAATGTTTTTGCAGACCTTCAGGTTCCCTGACAATCACACAAATCCAGCATTCACCGTTGCGAATTATTATGTCTCTCAACCAGATTCACAACAAAGAACAATCAAGTACCGTAGTTTTTCTAGTTTTCTTAATATTAATTTCATGTTTCATTTTCAGCGGAAAACTATACATTGAGGATTGCTTGACAATTTATATTTCCAAAGGAACTGCAGTGGACAAAAAATATAATGATATTTTCTGCGATTTTGCTGTTTCTCCAGTTGATGCTGGTTTAATCTATCAAAGTCGGGGTGCACTTTGTGGAGTTGCTGCTACAAGGAAAAGATGATTTGAAATTTTTCTGATCCAAAAATAAAATATTTGCAATCAAATTTTTAGGTTGAACAGAAAAACTCTAAATCTAAAATGTTCCCAAAACCGTCGTGGAAATTTTATTTACAAAAATTCATTTATTATTAATTCATCAAAAATTCAAAATTTATCACCATCCAAGTTTGTTGATCTGAAATTGTTATAGTTTAAAAACATTTTCTCAAAAAAAAAAAAAAAAATTAAGCCATGCAGAAACAAAATGTTTTCATTACCAGTATATCAAACTAAAAATCGCGAAACTTAAAAAAAGAAAAAAAATCAGTGAAAGTTTATAATTCGACCAACTTTGTGTTTCTTTCTTTTGGTGTATAGACATTTTGAGTTGGGAATGGCACTCTGCAAATTCTGTTTTTTTTAAGAGAAAAACAAATTATTTCAAACTCACCTTCTTGAATTATTAACTTGAACTCTTGTTCTAGCTTCTTTCACAAAATTGCTGTTTTTAATCCACGCCGACCAAGCAAAAACGAAAAGACCAAACAAGAATGGGAAGATGTCGATGAAAATGAGAAGAAGAGTGGAGTAAGTTGGCAAAAGTGAATTTTTCATTTTTGGAATGCATGGCACTTGAAGATTGAGTTGAACCAACGTTTCGTGAGGTTTGAATTCGCACGCAAATCGATCTTGAATACTGTTGATTTGATATTGATCTCTTGGATAGGCTTCGAGGAAAAGGCGATCAAGCATTCCTGGAAATTTGGCGGCTCCCCAGAAAATTGGATGAACCAAATAGAGAAATTGGGCAACCAGGAATAGAAGACCGATTAAAAGAACAATCTAAAAAAAATTTTAAATGAAAGTAAATTGAAGACAAATAAAAAAAATTCTTACACGATATGCCAGTTTTGCTCCATTTCCACTGATCCATTCAAGATGAACAGCGAGAACAACTGGCAACAAAAGAATTGAGAGAATCAGATTCCACCAGAAAAGACTCCAAAGTGTTGAATTTGTCTGGAAAGAATAGGAGTTTTGGCGGCCAAAAATCCACGTGGTTAAAAAATATCTTAAAGTTCATAAACCTCAAGTAATTAAATTCAGGGCTAAAAATGATTCTTTGGGGGATCCTATATTTAAATGTGGGATCTCATCTTCTTTTAAAAATTTTGATGGAAAAGTGGCTTCAGGCGTTCAAGAGAAAATTGAAGGTCTGGAAATAATTTCAAAAAAAAATATTGAAAAGAAATTGTCTATGGAGCGCGTTTTCTCGCCTCACAGTTAAATTTTGTCAGATTTTGTCAGAAACCACCCCATTTAAAGCTACTGATTCTACCTCCCACCAACCTTCTCAATAAGATAAGCATAATCTTCAAGTTCTTCAACAGTCATCCAAGATCTTCCATGTTTGTCAATATTCGTTTGATTGTCTTTCGGATAATTTTCGTCCATTGCATTTTTTGAGTTCCTACAAAAAATCAGACTTTTGTATTTATTTACACACAAAAAAAAACAAACAGTGGCAATTTGATGTGTTCGATTGACATAAGTTGTAAGCTCGTCGTGAACTGAAGAATGCATTCCACCGTAGATTCCTGAGAATTTATTTCAAGGTTCATTGAAATCGGGGGAAAAATTAATGATACCTAGAATTACGGTGATAGTAATGAGACATAAGAGAAGAACTATTCCAAGTCTCGAGTCCAGCTTTTGCTTGTATTTTTTCATGTCCTGAAAAAAAGGAGTTGGGGATTTTTTTTGGAAAAAAAAACTGATTTTGAAGTTTTAAATTAAAACTGCCCAATCAATTTTTTCTACAGTAAAATTCGGAATCCCGAAAGGTCCATTGATGAGATTTTAAAATTTCTAAAAATTTAAAAAATAAATTTTTGGTAAATTTTTTTACAAATGGGTCACAAAATTTTTTTTTTCAACTATCAAATTTTCTCTCCAAACAAAAAAACTCACAACTCTTTGGTAAACCATCGTTGTCAAAAATCTTCAATTTTAAAAGTAAGTAGTTAACAAGTTCTCTCGGGTCGTCGCAATAATATTACAGTGAACGGTTTGGTTAACTAACAAGAACAAATATTAAAAACGAAGAAGAGAAAAAATGATAGGAGAAGAAAATGATGAAAAATAGCTATGACTTTCAAGTGGGAACGAACAAATCTCTCATATTTTTGTTTGGTTTCAGATTTTTTCGGGGTCGTTTTTAAAACAACAACTGACTTGCTAACACGACAAAAATCAATTTTTGTGGAACTAACCTTTTTTGCCATTTTCTGTTATCAAATAACTTTGTTTTACAAAAGGTAAAAATAAAAATAAAATAGAAAACATTTTCGGCAAATCGATCCATATCAAATTAAAAAGTTAGAAATTTTTTAATGAAATAGAAATTACTTACAACTGGATTGCTTGATAGAACTTCGGCTCCGCCTCCTCGCAAACTTCCCGAACCTACAAAATATTTTATTTTACATACTTATTTACATGAAGTTCTATTTTTTCCAAAAAAATCAAACTTTGCAGTTGAATAGTTGTTGGTCATGTTACAACCAATTTACTCGACCTGCTACTTTCACTATTTTTGAATTGACAAAAATGGATTTATTTCATTTTTTTTGGAATTAAAAAGTTTTGTGAACGGTCTAAACTTCCCTAGGCTTAACTTATGTTCTTGAAGCCTGAGCCTAAGTCTCAAAAAATAAAAGCAGGCCTAAGTCTGAACAAGGCCTAAGGCCTGAGCCTAAAGCCTCCCCCAACCAACCTCCTCTGTGATAATCTCTCAACGATTTCGGCGATTCACTTCCATCTGATCTGCAATTAATCAATTTTCAGAATCTCTAAGTTACAGATAGTTTATAGTTTCAGACAGTCATGCAAACCCAGGGAACTCAGGAAATTTCAGAAAAAGTGAGAGGGGGTGTGTCTAAAACTTTTTACAAATATGTCAATGTGTACTTGGAGATGTCCTCGATGATGCTGACACTTCGAGCAGCTGAAGATGATCGTCGACTTTGGTCCGCTGCTGACATTGTTTTACCCGTTGTCTGGAAAAATAGATATTTATCACAACTCCCAAAAACAACAAAAAAAGAAAAAGAAAAACAATTTGTCAGAAGTGATAAAAAAGTGATACAGCAAAGAAAGAAGCCAAAAACCGAGAAGTGACCTCGATTTTCGATGGAATAGGAAGGAAATGGAAGAAATGAGAGATGAACCGCTGAATGATCAATAATACTATATTTTTGGGTGGTGGTTGGTTAAAAAAAATGAAATCACATGCAAAACTAGTTAATATATTTATTTTTGTGTACTTTTTCATTATTGTGTTTATGAATTGTGAAATTCAGAGAAAAAGAAATTTGATAAATCAAGAAAAGGAAACAAGTTAGGTTGGGAAATTGATTTTTATTGCCTGAAAAATCAAAGTTCAAACGGTTTCTCAAAATAGTTACAGTAAATCAGATAACCCAACAATATTTTTTCAGTCAAAACTATCAGGTAGAAAATTTTTTTCCTGAAAATTTCAAAATCATTTTTTTGGGTAACAATCAAATTTCCAAATATGAGCAATGAAATGAATTTCTGATTTAAATATGAGCAATACTTTTCAGCCTGTTAACATGAGCAATATCATATTTAGTCTCAAAATAACACACCAAACTTCAGAATTCAATTTTTGAATTAAGAAAACTTGACTGAATCTTTTTAACAGAAAAATCTGAAACTTTCGGTAAAAATTTGAAAATAATGGGAAAATTCCATATTTTTTATTTTTTCTGAAATTTCAAGAACATTAGAAGAAGCCCAAAGCCTAAGTTTGAAAGAAGACTAGGGCCTAAGTCTAGGCTCAAAGCCTAAAAACTAAGCCTAAGCTCGGACCCAAAATTCCAGTTCAACCAAAAAAAATCAATTTTCAGCAAAACAAGAACAACTTGAATAAAACTACAGTACCACAATTTTCCAAAAACATAAGAACTTATCATTTTTTCTGAATTGGTTACACCCAACCCAAAAAATGAATTATGTCTGACACTTAATAAAATTATTTATTAATCTCAAAAATAATTTGAACTTCCTAAAAAAATGTGAGCAAAAAATTCAGAAAAATTATTTACAAAGGAGATCCATTTTCGACTAGACGTAGAATTCACCTGAAACTTTTTTCATTGATGTTTTTTTTGTTGATGATCACATAAAATGAAGAAACTACACATTTCCATGCAACACACACTTTATTTTTGCTATTTTATTGATCGACAAGAACAAGTACACTAAAAAAAGGCACTGGTTAGACGAGAAAAAAGAAAAAACAATAATATAAAAGACAAAATACGAGAGAGAGAGAGAAAAGCGTTAGAAGACGGTATTTGAAAATGTGGCAAGTTTCGAAGGAGAATATTTCAAAATGGCAAGAATCAATCAAGAGAAAACCTAAATATGAGGAACATAAAAATGCAGTGAACGAACGAAGAACGAAGATAAAATAAAGAATTGATGAAAATGGCACAAAAAGGACATTTTTTTGAACAAGAAATGCACAAAGGACATATGTAAATGAAAACGTGCGCGCAGTGAACAATTTGTAAAAAAAAATGGATGAATATGTGAGTTTTTGATGTACCTAACGATTATATGGATTTCCTCGATCCACTTTCAATTGCACTTTTAGACGTTTCGACCCGATTTGAAAACCATTCATTGCTTGAATCGCGTTTGCAGCAGATGTTGGATTATCAAACGAAACAAAACCTACAAATTTGAATTTTCGAAAAAAAATTATTTTTATGAAAAAAAACATACCAAAACATTTCGATAAATTCGTCACTTTATCAATAAACACTTTGGCTGAAAGAACACTTCCAAATGGTGCAAAAGTATTCAACAAATCAGCATCACCAAAATCTTGAGGAAGATGATAAATAAATAGGTTCGATCCATCAGGTCCTTTGACATCACCGTTTCCAACAATTGAATTGGCGGCAGCGGCGGCTACGGTGTTTGCAGTTTGTAAATTGGCAAGCACTGGAAAAAATTAGAAATTTTAAGTCGGTAGGAAAAAATTAGTACAGACATAAGTCGTTCAGAAAATTATTCCAGAAAATTTAGCGTTGAAATTTTTTTTTAAATAAAATGTTCAAACAAAATTTCGGTTTTTGTTGAATTTTTTCAACGAAAATCAAAATTTCGGTTTTTGTTGAAAATACAATTTTCGAAGTTTCCCGGTTATTTCAGGTTCTAAATTTGTGAAATTTAATTCTGTGATAATTTTTCAAGTTTCCGGCTACAGTCTATTTTTAATACCCAAACCTCCAGGAAACTTTTTATTTGAAATAAAATTTGTTGATTTTTCAAAAAAAAAAATGGCTGAAAGTTTCATGGAATGAGATTTTGAAATCAAATTAATTTTTTTTTAAATATTCAACCCCCCCAAAAAACTCACATGCATATGGATTTTGTTGTTGATGAAGAGCAGCCGCAGCCGCCGCTTGATATGGATCAATAACTGCACCAGGATACGGTGCCAAAGTTAGCGATGTGTGTGGTGGAAGGGTGGCAGCAACTGGTGACGTTGTTTTAGCTCCAGCAAGACCTCCCGGGTAACCTTCAAACATAAAAGATGAAATCTAAGAAGAACAGTAGGATAAAGGGAACATGCGGTTATGATATTTCAAAGGGTAAGCTTTTTAGGGATAAAAAACCATGCATACCGTAAGCGGCATTGAGAATAGCGAGTGAATTATTAACTTGTTGTTGTTGTGCAACAGCTTGTGCAACTGCAAGTTTCTGCTGCTGCTGCTGATATAAATACCAATCATCAGTCCCATTCATATTTGTGCCAGATGTTGAAGAATTCGAAGATGAATCCGGTGAACCACCAATTGATGAATATGAGCGATGCGGAAAAGCTGAAAAGGGTTAGAAGCGATATGAAAAATGGAGAATTCGTGCAGAACACAACAAATAACACATTTGGTGAAGGTTTCGAAAAAAAAAATGGAAAGAAAAAATTACCAGCTTGATGTTGCACACTTTGCTGCTGTTGCTGTTGTTGCTGTTGTTGTTGAACTGCAAAACCTTGAAGTGCAAGAATCTGATTTTGTTGAGCAATTTGTTGTGCCATCAAAGCATCCAAATGTGTTGGTTGTTGGGGGATAAATTGATGAGCTAAATGTGGAAAAAATTATTGAAATTTTAATAATTTATGATAAATCACACTAGGCCTGCGACGGAAAAAGGTGGAAGCCGGAAAATCTGAATTTCGGGTCTCAAAACTTCTGAGATTCCGAATTTTCCGTGAGTCCGGAATTTTTCCTCCACAGGCCTGAATCACACAAAACTCATGCTAAAGGTTAGAAAAACTCAAAAACCTGTTTTTCGTAGAAAAAAAATAGTTTCACCCCAATTTCAAAATTTTTTTGTGAATAACCGAAAAATCATCTAAAGCCATATCACACCATGCTAAGTTTTTCAATCAAAAGGAAATCAATCACAACATTCAATCGAACCTATGCTGTTTGAATTTGATGTTGGAACCCCTTGTGAAGTGGAAGAAGAAGAACATTCTTTTTTATTCGAATTTGAAACTGCACAAGAAGATGAGGGAGTTTCTTCATTTTCAGTCAATTTTCCAAGAGCCGATAAAACTACAATTCCATGTTTGAATGTTTTTCAAATTTAACTAGAGAATAACACAAATAAAATAAAAACCAACCACTTCCTAATAATCCTAAAACATTTCCTTGTTGATTAATCGCAGCTCCACCTTGTTGACCTCCTGCTCCTAATAATGATAAAAGAGAAGCGACCGCTTGAATATTTTGTCCGCCAGCCGCGCCACCAAGCTGTATTAGTAACAAATAATTGTTGGTGTTGTTAAAAAATATTGGCGAATTCAACTAACCTGTTGTAACAATCCGGGATTCAGAGCTCCTAATAGACCAGGTGATCCAGATGAATTTTGAATACTTCCATTTTTCGATGTCTTCACATCTTTATCTTTTTGTGTATCGGCGAATTTGACAACAAGTGGAGCAGCGCAACCCTAGAAACAATGATGATGATTTGTAGAATTCAATAAAATGGTCCAGAAATGTAGATTATGAGCAAATTCTAAAATTTTGACAAAAAAGCTTGTAACTTTCAGAAAAATAAACACTTTTTTCTGAAAATTTTAATAAATACTCATAATCTGCATTTTTTAAAGGCACTTGCACAATAATTGGTTTTTGATCCGAAATTTTCTCATTGAAAAGCGGTAGATTTGAAAATGATTTTTCCGAACCAGCCGCCTTTAAAATAAAACTATCCCAACAATATGATCTAATCCAGCTTTTACTTAAAATTATACAAAGAATAAAAACATGAAACATTGAAACATAAATGAATGAAATTTGTAAATAAAAAGAAATAAATACCTCCATAGTTTGTGAATGGTGCATTTCTTTGGTGGCAATCATAGCGCAACTTCGATTGATGAACGTCACAAATGCACAACCTTAAACACAGTTTTTAAGAGAAAAATCACGTTCAAAATATGTTGAGAAAAGACATGCGCCGAAACAAGGACAACATGAAAAAGGAGCCAAAACCTTTGAACAACGAAATTCAATTAAATACCTTTTGATTTTCCATCTGCATCACGAAGAACACTTGCATCCTCGATTTGACCAAATTTTGAAAATATTTGACGCAAATCTTCCTCATCGTGTTTTTTCGAAAGCTGCCCAATAAACAGTTTTCTTTCTGCAAAATTTTGAAATTTCAGTTGAAAATTCATTATTTAAAAAATGTTAACCAACCATTGCGATTTTCAGCGTCAGCTGGTTTCATTTGAATCGGATGATGCATTCCATCAATTGTTTTTATATTATGAAGTGCACCTTGTGCTTCAATCGCGTCTTTTCGATGAAAATATGTGACGAAACAACATCCTTTGCTGATTTGCGTTGGCTTTTCTCGAAGAATATTACACGAATAAACTGGGCCGAAAGCTTCGAACAATTTTCGACATTCTGGTTCGTTCCAATGGCGAGGAATCTGGCAAATTCGAAATTATTGAAATGAAAATATCATGAACTAGTTTTTCATTTAGAAAATGTAATTTTTTTTAAACTTTTTTTTCGGATTTTTGCACTTTGGAATGTTGTACGGAAAAAATGTAATTCGAAAATGTCTTTTCAATTTCTTTTATTGTACTACAATCACACAATTTTCCTCTCTTTTCCACTAAACCGAAACGAAACAAAATACAAATACACAAAAAACTGAACTGTCTTTCTGTCTTTCTGACCCATTTTTCCTTTGTCAATTTTTTTCGAATAAGAAGAAACATGTACGATTGTTGTGAATATAATCACTTTTGTTTGTGAATTTGAGTGAAAAAACATCTAATTTAAATGCAAATTCCTGGCAACGAAGGAAAAGAGAGAAGGATAATGAAAGTGGAATAAATCGAATTTGAGAAAAGGCAGTAAATAAATTTAGTTAAAATAAAATAGAAGTAGAATAAAAGTAAGAAGTACTCAAATTTTCTTTTTTTTTTCAAAAATAAAACACTAACCTGTCCAACAAACATCTTAATTGCATCTAAATCTGGTTCAAATTGTGTTGCTGCAGTTGTCGCCATTGATAAATCCAAATCCGATTTGTCTTGTTGTTGAGGCTGAGCATGTTGTGGTTGATCTTCACCATTCATTTTCAACGGATCGAGATTTGGAGCAACTATCAGACTACCAATTTCAGCTGCTGCAAAAATACAAATAATTATTGCTCAATAAATAAAAAAAGGATTATTTGGAGAAATAACGAAACATTTCTTATCATTGCAAGCACAGCAGCTACGCACAAAAATTTATCGATCGATAAATTTTTTATGATAAAAATATGGGGTTTTAAACTATAATTTTTTGATGAAATTGAACTTACCACTCATTTTAATTTATATACAAAACTCCAATAAATATGATTTTCTTGATATACCGTTTCTTTATTACAATTGTTGTTATTACTAATGACACCAATCTGTAAGAAAAAAAAATCAATAAATTTTTATATTTGGTGATAAAAATAAAGCGTGAGAACTTTTTTTTTCAAAAAAAAAAATGAGAAAGGAACGTGTTTAGAGCATATTGGAGGAAAAAGCGACAGGTGATTTTTTGAATTCAATTGGGTTTTCAATGTCACTTGATTTACATTTACGTCGTCGTAAAAAAGACCTCAAAAATCCATGTCAAAAAAACAAAAAAAGGAAAAATAAATCTTGGCATGTCATCCAGGCAGTAAATATAAAAAAAAGAAAGAGAAAAACACCCATTCTCGACCTATCAATCATAGCGAAAAACTGAACCAGAAGACTAAAGATAGTGCGCAATAGTACGAAATTGCAATTATCATCAACCGTACCGTACATTTTCTCGTCCTTCTATCATTTTTCGGCGGAATGGAACAAGAGATGTATTCAAATACTTTTTATTTATTTATTATATCTATTACCATAGATTACCATCAATTGAAAAATAAGACGAAAAGAGGGTGCGACGAATGTCGAGATAGATAATTGATCTAATTTTAAATGGAGAATTGAGGACACCATTGATGAACCCAATTGAAATAATATAAGAAAGTATAAAATATGTTATGAGACAGTTGATATCAGGGTCATTCAACCCGATTTCCCCCCAAATGAAATAAAATGAATTTTTTGTGGCTCCTGGACGCACACACATCTCCGCCCTTTTTTGGCAGCCATTTCAAAACCGAATTAATGGGGTTTGAAAGGAAAAAAGAAAGGATGAGGCGGATGAACAAATGAAAAAAATAACAAAAACATAAATTGCAATTGGGGCAGCTAACAAGTGACATAGAAAAAATAGTGAACATCTATCAAATGATAGGTGACTCCGAGAAACTTAGCTCAACTCGACAGGATTAAGGCTATCCTGAAACGTCGAATTTTTAAAAAATAATTTTAGTATGAGTAATCACCATGTTTTTCGTATTGTTGTTATAATTTATAAATTTTGAGGTTTCGTTAGAGCATTACAGAAACACTTTTCAGTATTTTCAGAACTTTATTTTTTAATCAAGGAAGAGTTCTCTGATAAGATGAAAGGTTATATCTAATAAAAATCAATCAACGTCCGAAGAAACAATTTTTCCCGTGCACGTAAAAGCAAAGATATCTAGCAAAGACATGGGTCTGGTTCAATGCTAAACAGCTGTGGATGAATAGTGTAATAGCACAAAGATGTGCAGGTTTTCGTTTTGTACAGCAAAAATTTGCAAGAAAAAAAATGTAGACGAACGTAATAATTTATATCAGGGAAAATCGAACTACCATGGAAACAAAATATTATGGGAAACTCGAAAGAAACTCAATTAGGTATTGCGTTGTTTTTTTTTCTAAGAAAAGAACAAAAAAACAGATGTTGAAATACTCCAGATGTGATTTCGACTCAACTTCTTTTTGTTTGAGAAGACAACTGAAAAATTTTGCTCTACTCTTGAGACTTTTTGCCGAGAAAGCAGGATAATTTGATTATTTGAAAACAACAAGGATGTGAACAAATTCACTACCTAAATATGTAGAGAAGAAAGAAAAAGAATTTCGACCTCAAAAAAAGTTGATCCGAAAAACAGAATAAACGCATCGGATTATGAGACAAAGTTGGAACGAAATGACATACTTTTGGATAAAATAAAAATAAGAAAATATTTTTGGAAGGACGAAGATGAAGAATCGTGAGACTGGATTAATTAAACACATTTTTAGTTGTTTTTGAGAGAGAGAGCGAGAATTTGATTGGCTAGAATAAAATAAACAAACAAATTCCAAAATGACTGACAAAACACATTTAAAAGTTATGAGAGCACATTAAGCGGAGAAGTAAACTCAAAAATGACTTGGGCTAAGTGCATTTCGGATAATATTATTATTTCCTTCGTTTTTGAAGGTGCCGAACATTGAATAGACCAAAAGATTTTCAGAAATGGGATTATACGGCGATGTTCTTTTGTAAGCATTTGAATATCACCTAATTTCGAGAAAAAATAAATAAACAAGATTATTCGAGCTGCCTATTCGAGCTATTTACACGGTCAGTTGTTTGCTCACCGACAGTAGACCTATTGGCCAATCAGAAAAGGCGAAACTACTTGAAACTAATACCAAATAGAGAAATCGGAACTTGGCAACATCTAACTAGAAAAACAGAAAAAGCGCGAGAAAATCGTGAAAATGAAAAGGAGAAAAAGGGGCAAAATCGAAGACACCATCACATATGTAAGGGGAAACGACGAAATAGTACACAAGATGTGGAGGGTCGAATCAATCGATGAATATATTGTGGAGAGAATTGGAGACGTAGAGAAGATAGCAAAGAATTGCTTGCTGCTTGGCTGTTGTGCAATGTTTTGTGTTCAAAAAAAGAAGGAAAAGGTGAGAAAAAAGATGAAGACGAAAAAAGAATGACAGGTGTATTATCAGAAATGGATGGGAAGGAAGAATGTAGGTTAGCTCGAGTGAAAGTATTCTCGTTTGTCCGGCAAATGTCTCCCAAATAATTAACGAACTTTTTAAAAGATAATTTGATACATTAATTAATTTCTTCGAGAAAAATCTGACATTTATTGTTAGATAGATACCTTTTTCATTTTCATTTTAGAAGATTTATTAGACATTTTCATTGCAATAAAAAACGTACAGTTAGAGGGGTAAACATTATTCTCACTTGGCTAAACATTGAAACTATTTTTATTTTGAAATACGATGGATGCGCCACACCTCATAAGGAAGACAACAAACAAAATGTCTAATTCAAGAATACCAGTTCCTAGTTATTATTTTCAAATTCGGAAAAAACATCTTGAAAATTTGTCGAGAAGACACCAAATTTATGCATATTTACAAATATAGGAAACAAAAGTGTGTGAAATCCGAAATATTCTTTTTGAAAAAAAACTAAAAACAAATAACTATTAAAAATAGCTTGTCTATAAAAAGCCTTTCCACAAAAACAATATTATCCTCTCTGTTCCTTTCCCGACTGGTTTTCGGATGCCAAAAACAACGAGTTACATAACTAAGATAATCTTACTAGATGGCAAGCATAATTATTGTAAAATCTTGCGAAAAACAGACCATAGTGTAATTAAAAACATACGATGCTTGCATAATGCATTCTTGACAGTTTGCAAGATGGATCCGACAGGATAAAATGTAGGAAATGAGATTCTAGAATGATATCACGACAGAAGAAGAAAACTTTCGCGAAACAAAAAAAATATTTTTTACGAAATGAAGAGTACTGTGTGCACGCGGTGTTTGCAGATTTGTTCGCGCGAACAGATTCATTTCAAAAGTAATTAAAATTAATTATTTTTGAAAGGTTTACTTCCAAGAAACACCTAGTTGTCAATCGAACTGGAAACTGCTAATTAATGAAAAAACGATACGGTATTCATTAATTCTGATTCCTCATGAAAAAACAATTGAATAAAATTTTTTTATTTGTGTATTTGTATAATGTGTACAAATGGCAAAATGTATTTTATCAACTAGGTCGCTTTCAAGACCAAAATAATTTCACCTTGTTGAGCGCCAGCTTTGAATGGTGCTTGTGGATCTGATTCATCAGCTGGAACTTCAGCGTATTGTACAACAATTTTGTCTTCTTTTGCTGGTCCTTCAAGACGAACAATGTCCAATTTCGCTTTTCCTTTAGGATCGACAAAACCGAAAACTGGACGAACACGATAATGCTCGTTATTGGATGATTTAACCTGCAAATATATGGAGATGTCTCATGAAGATTTCGATGAGAATACAGAATACACTTACCTTAAAGGCTAATCTACCTTCGCTTTCACTAACAATGTTATGAGAAGTATTTCCACCGGTGGCTGGAAATGCGGCAGCTGGTGGTTCAATGTTGATCATATTTGGGTTCGAATCGAAGTGTGTAACCGATAGGATAGTAGGAGAGATCAATTACAAACTGAACCCATTGTATTCTTAAATAGGCAAAACGTGAAGATCTTATCTTTTTGCACAAATTGTTGACCTATTTTCAAACGTGTCAACGTGTTATAAAATTGGCTAAATGTAGCCATTTATTGATTTGGCGACCATCAGAATATATCGCTTTTTTTGACAAGTCTAATCGGTTCCTAATTGAATCGTGCACAAAACAAAAAAGAAATATGGCTGAAAAAGATACACAAAAGAAGGAGAGCGCGGAGTTTGTGCTGAAATTGGATGTCGAAAAAGTCGTTTTTGCTGGCAAAAAATTGGGTGAAGAAATGGTGTCGGCTCCGATTAAAATGTCTAACCCGACAAAAGATAGATATGCGTTCAAGGTGAAATGTACATCGAATGATATGTTTAGAATAAGACCACCGGTTGGAGCAATTCAACCTGGAGAAGATACATTGATTACGGTAGGTTAAATGACACGGAAACTGAGAAATAATTGATAGACTAGAAATTACAAACGCGCTCTACCGAACAAATTCATTTTGAAAAAAATGGCTTGTTCGATGGAGCGCGTTTGCTTTTTCTAGTCCATTTCAAAATTGAAAATAAAATTTCAGGTGGCATTCAATGCTGGAAAATCGATTCCGGAAAGTGGAAAACATTATTTCGCAATTTATTACATCAAAACAGCGGATAAAGAAAAACCAGCAAGAACTGTTTGGGGAGAACATAAAGGAGATGCTGAAGGAACCAAAAGAGTTTATGTAGATTTCAATAAGGAAAAGAAGAGTACTGCAGAAAAGAGTAGCAGTAAAAATGATGATAAGAAAGAGGAAAAGAAAGAAGAAAAGAAGGATGAGAAAAAAGAAGAAAAGAAGGAGGATGAGAAGAAAGAAGAGAAAAAAAGAGGAAGAAAAGAAAGAAGAAAAGAAAGAGGAAAAGAAAGAGGAAAAGAAGGAAGAAAAGAAGGAAGAAGAGAAAAAGGAAGAAAAGAAAGAGGAGGAAAAGAAAGAATGATTATGAAATAAAAATTTTACTAGATTTCAAAACCCATTAATTTATTTTTCGAAATATGGCACAAGAAAATTTAAAATAAAAAAATATTGGGTGCATTAAAATATTTACAAAAATAACAATTAGTATCCAAAACTGCGCAAATGTTTTTGCTCGGGGCTGCTCAATGTCTTTTCATGGGATTCGTTCAGAATTCTAGTCACTGAATTATTCCCCTCAAATTCTTCAATTGAAATATCAACTTGTGATTGTTCAAGCATTTTCATTGGTGGAAGATGTGAAGTCGAAACTTGGAATGGAGCTGGTTTGCTCAAAATATCATTCAATTGCTCGTTCAAATCTCTCCATTGTTTTTCCATATCTTCGTCTGCTTTTGTGAAAATTGGAGTTGATTTTGGATCTTCCTCAAAACATGGTTCTGGAACATTTACACGAAGCACTGATTTCTCTACCGAATTTGGAACATCAACAGCCATTTCCTAAAAAAATCATGATTTTTTTAATTTTCTTCAAAAACAGATAAAAATGTTCGTACATTACACAATTCGATGTTTTCATCTTCATCTTCTTGTGTAGTATCAGTTGAATATTCCGAGTCAGATGAAGTCTTTTTGGAAATTGGCAAAACTGTTGATCCAGCTAAACTTGCGTTTGAAGTTGCTTCGGCTTTTAATGAAGGAGCTGCATCAGAAGAACGAGCACTTGGAAATTCTGAAAAATGTTTTTTTGAAAATAAATAGCTGGTTTCAAAAAAAACATACTTTCACTTTGTTCTCCACAAGAAACCGAATCAGTTTTTTGTGAACTTCCAACAGTTTCTTCTCCACCAATCACCAATTCATTTGATTGTTGGAAACTGCTATGAACAACTTCTATGTCTTGTTTTTGCAATGATTTCTCGGCTTCTTTTTCTTGCTCCGCTGCTAATTTCTTCTGTTGTTTTTTCGTCATTTTTCGACTTGAAGTAGAAAGAACACTTCCATCAGCTGGCGAAACTTCATTGTTTGGGAAATAGGCTCCGCGAGACTGCAAAACACTTTGAATTTTAAGATTAAAATTGTGCATAAAATAAAAACTCACCGAAAATCCGAATAATTTTTTGATTCTTCTGAGCATATTGAACGCAAATAAATTGAACTGAACTGATTTTCATTTTTTTTTTGAAAAAACATGGATCAGTTGATTTTTGAATTTTAGCGGGTAGGTCAATTATAATTGACCATATTTATGATCTTGCAGGTCTTTTTTTAAAGATATAAATGGCAATTTAACATTTCATGAAAATAAACTGAAAAACAGAAAACAAATTTATTTGACAAAAATTAAAAAATTGGAACATTCCTATAAAACATTTGTTAAAGTTTATTCATCTAGAGGGTGGCCTAAAAAATTTTGAGACCAAAATAAATTAAATTATAAATTTTCTGAAACTCACATCATCTTCAGTTGTGCATTTTGACATGAGCAAATTGAGGAAATCTACATTCTCTTTCGTATTTCATTTTTTCAAAACTCATCAGAAACTCGCAAAATTTGTATTTTCCTTGGTATTCTTTTTTATTTGAGTTATCAACTTTGGATTTGTAAATCTTTTGTTGAATATTATATGTTGAACCGGGTTCTGATAATTCTGCAAAAACAATATTTTGTTGAAAAAATGTTCTAGTAAACTGACCGTTTTCAATTTCTTTTTTATTGACAAACGAATGTTTGATTTCGGTGTCAACAATTGATTCATCAATATAACCATAATCAGCATCAATATTTCCATATTCTACTGGAAAACGTAAAACAACAAATGGCAAATATCTTTGTGATATTGGAAAAGCTTGTTCGATTACTGTTTTGGCTACAGTCATATCATTCATTGGTTCACTCTTTAAAAGGAAAATCATGAAGGATTTTCAACGAAAAAGCTTACCTCGATAATTATTGGAACAGTTCCAAATTCTTTTTCAAAATATACAAATGTGATAATTGGATTGATCAAAGGATGTGGATGATTGGCGCGTAAAATGGGAACAATTAGCAATTTTGATTCTTTGTTAGCATTCAGAATTTCAGAAAAACAAGCTCCACTTTCAACATAAGTAATAAGACCTTGCTCAGTGAAATTCGGCAAAAAAAGTGCTTGATAATAAACATCATCAGTTTCCTCGAAATATAATTGAACTATACGATCAATGACTGTTTTTACTTCTTCATTCTCATTGTAAAATAACACTTCTTCCTGAAAAAATACCTAGAAACTCAAATTAGAAAATAGAAACTCACAATGGGATAAGATAAATATGAAGCGAGGAAATGGCATTTTGTGAAATTCGAAAATTCATTTTTCGAAATCCATGGATGTTTCAACAATGATTTAGCTGAGAATCGATATTTTGGGAGTTTTTTCACGTGAATATTTTCACTGCAATTCAAAATTGTTGAAATAATCGATTTCTCGGGCTCATCAAGACTCGAAAATTTCTGAAAAAAAATGTATAGATTGAAATTTAAAAAAAATTAAATTTTTGTACCGCTTCAATTTCATGTTCAATAATTGTGCCATTCTCCATATTTTTCACAGTTGATCCTGTTATTGATTCCAATAAAACAACAGCGAGTGCATTAATATCAAGCTGAAAATAACATTTGTTTTTTTTATAAAATGTGAATACTTCAAAAATCTCACCGAAACTTCATCCAATTCTCCATAATTTTTCAATGGTTTATACACACGCGAATAACATCTTTTATTATTTATTTCTTTCGGATCACTGTAGAAATGAAAATTCTTGAAATAACCCAATTTATAATCATCGCCTTTTTTGAAAATATGATTGGCTGAAATATTTTGATGAATTCCATAATCATGTAAAAGTGAGAGAATCGATAAAATATCCGAGAACATTCTGAAAAACGATGAATAAATCATTAGAAAAATATAAGGATAACCAACTTTTTCGATGTTTCCACAGTCATTTCGTCTTCGAAAATTTGATCTTCCAAACTCTTCTCAAGCCATTCATAAACATAACAATAAGAGATATTGTAATTTTCACCCAATTTTTCGTGTTTGTAATAATATTCCAACATTTTCACACAATTCGGATGTCTGTAATTAATTATTATTATTACAATCTCAATTTTGTGCAGCAAATACTCACTGAATAATAGAAGAAATATACGATTTATCATACATTTGAGCTTCTTGTTGCCATTTTTCAAATTCAGAATAATTGTTGACAGACGTACACGGTAAAAATGACATGTCACATTCAAAAACAGCATATTTGTGGGAATTGTGTTTTTTGAGCCAAATTTTGAGATCATTCTGAAATTTTAAGTTATATATGAAACATCAAATTGAAAATTAGTTTACCGAATTTTTTAATTTTGTAGAATTTTTAAGGATATTATGTGGCAACATTCCAAACTTTTCGTTATAATTTGTATTTTCTGGATAGAAACCAAATGGTTTATTGTTCATATTATCATCTCCCTTTCTATCTACAAATTCATTATACACTTCAACTTTGCCATTCTTCACATTTCCTCTGATTTGAATACATTCTTCCGGCAATCCATTAATCTGTTTATAGGATCTCAAATTATCCATTGATAAACAATTTGCTTCGCTTTCCCAAGTTGCGTCTTTTTCGTCATAATGTTTCCATTTGATCTGAAAAACTCAAAAATAGTTGGAACTTGATTGATTTTACGAATTCGATACAAATTCACTTACCAAAAAATAGAATTTGTAAGTATCAATTCGAGAACAACCTGTTGATTCGCTGAACATGTTTTCATATCGTTTATTTTTGTTGATGTAATACTGATTATAAGCATGCTCGAATCTGAAAAATGAGATAAATTATTATGAATTTCCAAAAAGAAAACTTACGTGACATGATCCAGAATTCGTTCTACTTCAAAATCACCGTCATTTGATGATTTTATCTTTTTCTTCTTCTTTATTCGCATAGATTCGCTTTCACGTCTCAGCGTTCTTTTGTTCATCTAGAAACATTTTTTAGAATTCTTTTGTCCAAAAAAACAAATACATAAACTATTTAATTCGCAAATTTCGGATAAAACTACTATAGTTAACTTCGGAGTTCGGAAAACTTTCCGAAAAAAAACAAAAAAATGTGCGCGTCAATTTAAATGCAATTGCGGTGTTTGTGTGTGCACATCAACATACCGTATACAAACGCAAGATTTTTTTTTCATTTTTTGAATTTTGGCTCTAAAAATTACTTTTCACTTTCACAGATGTATTTTCTGATTTCTGAGTTTTTCTATTTATTATTGTACCGTTTCTGTGAAATATTTTTCAAATTTTGAACTTGTTCCGAAAATCTCGTATTCTTGTTACTTTTCTCTCTACACTTCGTTTCAACCCTGTGTTGGGACGAACAAATAGAGAAAACGCGACGCAGACACAAAAAACCCCGAAAAATTTTTAAAAATGAGAATTCATGGACCATCGCTTCAAGACCCAACAGTTGGCTGATTGCCAGCCTTATAAAATTTCGCGGTATTTTCAGTTTCGCGGGTTTTTCTTTCGCACTCTGCACGCTCTCTCTGTCTCTATTTGTTCGCCCTGAAACGAAGTGATCTAACTAAAAATTTATTTTGGCAAATAATTCCGATATACCAAATTTCAATAAACTATAGTTTTCTGTTTATTGTTTTTTTTCAAAAGAAAAATGAAAACACCTCGCCACAAAAATATTCAGATGGAAAAAATTTCAAAAATTAGGAATAAACCTTTTGACATTTGGTGAATAGAATTTTTATTGTTAAAATTTTGTTCAATTCCTTATCGATTTGGATACTTTCTTCAAATCAAAAAATTCCCGCGGAAAAGATATTTGATAGAGCAAACGCGCCCCAAAACAAATTATTTGTGTACTTCTCGAGGAGAATTCCCTGTTTTCCTTTTCCGCGGTCCAGTGCTCGTTTTATTGCGTTTGTTTGTTTCCCCAAAATTATATAAATGTAAAAATTTTGTTTCAGAATGGCTTCGCTGACGAAGAACTTAACAAACTTGACGCCGAACATCAGAAAAGCGGTAGTTTCCTGGGACAAGGCTGCAAGAATCCAAAGAAATGAAGAAATTTTCAAAAATCCGGATTCTGTTGTTCATCGGCTTCCTGAACATTATAAGCAAAGATATTGGGAAAATATACTTGCAGATCGTGAGCCTGTGCATTACAGGTTTGTGTTTCATTTTTATTTTTATTTCACAAAAATCGTTCTGCTTTGTTTAGAATTCCAACAACACGTTTTGCATGGGATTCAATGAAACAAATAGAACTTGAAGTTGAAGATAATCCAATAGTTGGAATTCATCCTCCAGAAGCTGATCAAGGACTTTGGGGTGGCGAAAGAATTGTGAAAGGATGGATTGAATCAGCGCCTTATACTAAAAAGAAGGTTCTTCCAAGATATTGGGTTCCAAAACTATTTTTCCCAACACTCAAAAGTGTTGTTTTATATTCTGAAATTCTAGACAAATATATTAAAGTGACAGTTACGGAAAGAGCAATGAGATTGATTGATAATCATTTTGGTTTGGATTATTATATTTTGCAAACAAATGAATTGAATTTGGATTCGAAGTTTGCGAATAATCTTAAAAGAGAAATGCTTCTAATTCTTGCGGAACAATCTTATTATCCAGAAGACGAAGAAAAACATGATTATATTAAAGAAAAGTAAGTATATCTGCACAAAAAATAGATTCAATGAATTCAATTTCAGATACGCTGAATTTGTTATCCCTGCTGAAGAAGCTGAATGGATTGGTTTGGATTTGAATGAAGCAGCCAGAAAACAACAAGATATTGAAGATTCAACGCAACCAATTCCACTCAAATATCGATTGGAACAACAACTTGTTCGACGTCTTGTTGATGGAACTGATGAAATAAGTAAAGAGCTCGAAAATCCTGAAACTCCAGTGAAATCCGAAAGTCAATTCGGAGAGAAAATGCTTGGAAAATATTTGAATCCAATTGGCCAGAAATTGAGAAACGCCACAAGGTAAATTAGTTTTTGTTGGTTCATTCCGTAGCTTTTTGTTATCTGTTTTGTTTTTATTTTAGGTAAACTATAAATAATCTTCATATTATGCAAATACATTATGAGTAGTTGAGAGTTTAGGGTTTATCAGCGGCTTCAGAAACAACAGAATCATATGTGGAACTTTTCGAGAATTTTTCAGCATTCTTGACTTCCTCTTTTGAGTTTCTAATTCCATACGAAAAATAGATTGCAAATCCAATCGCCATCCAAACAAATAATCGAACCCAAGTAATTGGTGCCAAATGTACCATCATTAAAGTGTTGATTAATAGACTCAAACTTGGAATAAAAGGAACCATTGGAACCTGAAAAATCAAATATTTTGGATAGAAGTTAAAGTTATTCAAAAAAAAATGAACCTTGAAATCCAAAAATGTAGAATTTTGATAATGCGCACAGATGAATAGAAAAGACAAAATTGAGATCAGAATATTGAAGACTAGAAATAGTTGAGAGCAAAAAGATCCATTCCATAGTTCATAGGTAAATCCAAGAGAAGTCATGAAAAATGAAGAAATCATAACCGATATTCCATAATAAATTGATTGTCCGGGCTCCAAATCATCTAAGAATTTCAAAAATGGAATGCTGAATCGAAGTTTTCCACCATTATCGAAATGTCCTTCATCGACATTATAATTTGGTTGATAACGAAGAACAATAACACAAGCAGAAACAATTGAGTAAGCAAGAAGAGTTCCAATTGACAGAAATTCAACCTAAAGGAAATCTTTGAAAAAGTAATTTTTCAAGAGTTTAAATACAAACCAATGTTTCAATATCAAAAAGTAATGCAATAACAGCTGTAATTGATCCAAATATCAAAAGAGCTTGAATTGGTACTTGAGTTTTTGGATTAATTGTCGCCAAACTTCCAAATATCAAACCATCTTCAGCCATAGCAAAAACACATCTCGGAAGAGCAAACATTCCACCAACAAGACTTGTTGTCATCCCAAACAATGCTCCTAATGAAACTATATATCTCGCAAAATCAGCACCTTTCAAAGCAAAAGCATCTGAAAATGCTGCAGTTGGATGAACTTGATCGTATGGAATCATAAGAGTAAGAGACGCAGACATAAGAACATATGAGAATGTGACAATTGACATTGATGCAAATGTTGCTATTGGTATTGATTTTGATGGATCTGGGATAGAAAATTATTTTTTATTTTTTTTAAATTTGAAACTAACTTTTGGCTTCTTCTCCAGCTGTTGCTAAACCATCAAATCCAATATAAGCGAAAAAACAAGATGCAGCTCCAGCAAACATTCCACTAACTCCATATGGGAAAAAGTTGCTGACCCCAGTCACCGGATTATTCCCACTCCACAAATTAAAATCAGCAAAAGTGATTCCATAACCAACAACAATCACAATAACTCCCATATTCAGAATAGTCAAAAATGAGTTGAAATTTGTCGAAACCTTGGATCCCATTGCAACAAAAATCGCAACAATGACAATTAAAATGAAAGCGAGAAGATCTGGATAATCTCCGAAAAATGAGGAAGTTTCACGGAGATTTCCAACTCGAGCAATTGTAGAATTTGAGATGACATTTCCCATCAACGAATCTAAATATCCAGACCAACTTCGAGCTACAGCGGCAGCTCCTAACATATGTTCGAGAATAATATTCCAGCCAATTATAAATGCCCAAATTTCTCCAACACCTACATAGGTGTAAGTATAAGCACTTCCAGCTTTTGGAAAACGAGCTCCAAATTCAGCATAACAAAGAGCTGAGAGTAAAGAAGCGAAACCAGCGAGTAGAAATGAAATCACAATTGATGGACCTGCTGTATTTCGAACAACCGAGCCTGTAGAAAAAAAATGATAAATAAAAATCCACGTGGCAAAATTTGAATTTAATATTTTTGGTGCCACGTGGAAAAATTTGAATTTTAAAATTTTTCACTTGAAATCCCTAATTTTGCGCCAAAATCTGAGAAATTGTGATTTTGGGAAAAAAAAATTCAAAATTGAAAATCATCAATAAAAAACTATGGGATTTTATTCAAACGTGAACTTTAATTTATTTTTGAAATTTTATATTTCATTTCTAATTTTATCTCCGAATGCTCTCACCTGTCAAAACATAAATCCCAGCTCCAATCATATGTCCAACTCCTAACAATGTAATATCAAATGTGCTCAAACATCTTCGAAGTGCCGTGTTCAACTCGCCAGCCGGCAGATTTTTCAGCCGAAATATTCGTTCACGAAATCGCATTTCCTTCTTCTATTTAAATTTTTGAATTATATATTGAATTTCTCCTAGAACTAGAGAAAAACAAAAGCAAACAGAAGAATCCAAAAACGCAAATAAAACCTAGTATTGATTTTCTTTTTCGGGCGCCGTGTCCAAAATTAAATTCAAATCCGTTTTATTGTTGTTGTTGATGTTGAAACTTATTTTTAATTAAAAGTGTACCAGACAAAAATACTCACGAGACTTGATTAAAAAATGTTTTTAGAAAGAAAAATGTATGCATTTTTTAGTCATATCAGATTCGTGGACTGGTTTTTTTGGATAAATGTTCACATCTCGAAAAAATAGAAGAAAAAGAGAAAATATTGATGACTTGTTTATTCGTGCTCACAAAACGTGTCGGACTGAAAAGAAGGCAAGAAAAAAACAAAATATGAAAACGAGAGACATAGAGAAATTAGAGAGCAATGAGCCATAGATGGATAAATGGAAATGGAAATGGAAAGGCAGCACGAGAATAATTATTTGGGAACTGGCGATAGTTGTTTTAAAGTTAATTGACTTGGACGTTTTGACAATTGGATTTCGGTCTGAAAAAACTATTTTAATCCAAAATTTTGGAATTTCTGATCTACTAAATCAAATGCTCTGATCCTTTTCTAGAACTCGGTTTCTCACGCGATCTTCTCTGAACCGAGTTACACATAGACACAGGGCCCAGAAGCACTGTAATCCTTACCATAATTGCATCCAATGCATCTTTTGTCTTCGGACGAATCAGAACTAATTCACTAATCCCTTTTCGATTCAATCCATTCATCAATTCTTTCCGACATCTGATTTTATCCTCAACAACAATATTATCAATTGATACTATTTGATCGCCAACTTTCAATATTCCACAAACAAGTGAATCTGCAAACAAATTTTGTAAATTTTCAAAAGAAAAATCTACAAACCATCATCAACCTTGCAAACCAGAATCCTATTATGCACCAAAATAACGCCTAGACCAAACTTTTTGCCTTTCACCATTTTCAAAGTGAGTTTGAGTCTCTCAAATTTCTGCTCCACATTTCCTGAACTATTATCATTTTGATCATCTTCGGCAATTGTTCTATCAGGATCTGTTGCTTCTGCTGACATGACTGATTTCATTGGAAGCGTTAAATGAGCCGGTGTTACTTTTTTCTTCAAAGAAAATTATTGATTGAAAAATATTTCCAATTCCGAAAATATTTCAGTTTCTTACTGTATTATTGTCCATGATTATCTGAATAGTGCAAAAAGAAATTGAAATTCCGTTAAAAATGAAGGCATGTGAAATTATATGCCCTTTTATATTGAAAAATTAGTTCACGTTTTTTATGAAAAAAATTGTTATGATTTTTTGAGATATGAGAAGTGAAAATTTTCATGAAAATTTCACAATCAGAAACTCGGGAAAAAAGTTCCAAAACTGTGGATCACGTATTAATTGTAGACCTCACAAGAAGCTGTGCCTTAAAAGTTCTATCGTCAAGTATTAGAACCTAGAGGTTCTAGTTATCAAGGATCGGCGCCTAGACTCCCACTCTAGCAAGGAGTCGTGCCTTGAGAGATTCTATGTCAAGAAGCTAAGCCTAGAGAGTTCAATTGACAAGGATCATTGCCTGGGATTTTCCAAATTGATCTATAAAATTTTGTCAATTCTTCCGAAGAACAAACTATACTCTGTGAACATCATTATTGTTGATATTTACATTTTTGAAACAGTTTCCCTGTGTGACGTCAAACCAATTTTGTTTTGTTCTTTTCATTTCAAAATTATCATCCGCCCTCCTCCCTCAATTAATTCTTTTGTCTTTTTACTTGTATTTTGAGTTGATCTTCTTATCTACTGATAAAAACAAAGAAAAACACATTCAAATTATCATTTTTTGTTCGAAAACACTAAAAAGTAACAAAATGAACAATTTATTGTTATTTCTTGGTTTTTCGATTCTTTTTATTTCACCAGTGTTAACAGCAGCTACAAAACCAACAACTTCACCTAAAAAGACATCTGGAGGAAATGGGGTGAGTTAAATAGAAAACATTTTGAAATTTAATTTTGGCATAATTTTTAAGCTTGACGAAATTAGTGGAGATACAAATTTGGAATTATTCAAAAAGTATAGATGTCGTGTTTGTGAAGATATTATGGTTGATAATTTGGAACTTGTAGATGGAGAATTGGTAAGTATTCTAAATTCAGAATGATCTAGAGATTCCAAATGTTTTTAGATAATTAATGAAAAAGTTGCTGTGAAAATCTGCGAGACTTTCATGACAAAAGTGCTTCATAATCAACTTGGAGGAGTAGTTTGCAAAACAGTTGTTCGATCGAAACTCGATGAAATTATTCGAGGACTGGTTTCAACAGAATCTGAAGTTAAGATGGGTAAACTCATATGTACAAGAGCGCATCTTTGTGAAAAATAATTGGAATAAAACTCGTTTATTTTTATACACAATTTTTGTTGAAAAACATTTTCTAAATTTTTGTCTATTTTAATATCCCGGCGCAGTTCTTGGTGGTGGACAATGATCGCATCCTCCGCTTGTTCCAGGCAATCCTGGTGCTCCTGGTTCACCAGGTGCTCCCGGGTTTCCTGGATTTCCATCAATTCCTGCATCTCCCGGTGGTCCTTGTGGGCCGGGTTGTGAACTTCCTGGTGGTCCAGGTTGTCCTGGTGGCCCAATCGGCCCTGGCGGACCTGGAGGTCCTGCAGGCCCAGGAGTTCCGGGAACATCAACAACTTGTCCAGGTTGTCCTGGAGCACCTGGGCTACCTGGAAGTCCATCAGATCCTGGTTGACCTGGAGGACCTGGAGGTCCTGGTGGCCCGGGAAGAGCATTTGCCCCTGGGTTTCCTGGTTGTCCTGGATTGCCGGGTGGCCCTTTTGGTCCAGGTCTTCCTGGTGTTCCCGGGGGTCCGGCTGGACAATCAAAGCAGAAATCAGCAGCAGTTGGTGCTTCATCACTTGCAGCATCTTGTCCAGGATTTCCTGGATTTCCCGGTTGACCATCTTGCCCAGGATTTCCATCAAGACCTGGTGGACCAGGTGGTCCAGCTGCTCCAACACCGCAAGAACAACAAGATCCACCGCCGCCTCCCCCAACAACCGGAAGATCATAAGCTTCATTGTTATAATTATTCGCTCCTCTTGCGATTGCTCTTTTCTTTGAAATTGCCTGTCTTGGACCAGTTCGACCGTTCGATCTTTGATATGTAGATCGTTTGATTCTTCCCTGAACTCCAGCAACCGATTCGAACTGTAAAATTTTTTTTCACAAATGTAAATAATTTGTAGTGACCCATTCCTATAATTACACCTAAAGTGATCCTGTCCAAAAAAAAACACTCAAGTGAAAAAAAGAACAAACAACAAGGAGGTTACCTTATTATATTCATCCCATAATCCATTAGTTCGATGTCGACAAAAATCGACCTCAGCTTGTAAAGTCGATTGAACATGTTGCATATAATTATATAACATTGGTACTGCAATAATAGCTGTCAATGTGGCCACAGTTGAGATTGCGATTCCGAAAAATGCGAGTTTTCGTAGAGATTCTGCTTCATAAGCGTCTGATTTTGGATCAGACATTTTATTTTGTTGGGGCTGAAAAATAGAAATGAAATTTAGTTTTAAATTTTAGAAAATAAAAAAAAGAAACAGCATTTGGGTAACTTGATATAGATAGGAAAAACGAACTTTTTGTTTTTCAAAAAAAAATCCTAATCAATTGCACTACTGATTTATAGTTGTAAAATGGGTTGAAAGCTAGAGAAAGAAATGTGAACAAAAGTTTTGGATGTCTGAATTAAACCAAATCCCTTAAAAATTTCTGAAATTCCAGATTCCATTTTTTGGAGTTCAGCCCAAAATTCCAGATATTTTTAATCCTAAAAGCGGGCCTGATTTTCAGAATGTCTCGTATTTAGAACCACTAGAAAGCATAAAAAATAAATGGAAAAATTCTAGATTCAGAAAAATTGGACTACATTTCGAAATTCAGATTTTCAAAAAATTAAGTACGATTCAAAAGTTCCAAGAAAAAAAATTTTCTAACAAAAAAAGAACAAAAATCAAAAGACGAAACTACAGTATGAAACGCATAGGTCTGTCTTGATTTATGGTTATATTCTATTCCGCATAATAATTATAATTACCTTTTTCCAATCCGGGATCACCCAAAAAACTAGTCAAAAAAGAGAACAGAACAAAAAAAGAAAGTGTCTGAAACACAAAATGCCTTTTATATTTATATATGCATGCAATATAAGTATAGATAATGGGCGGTGCTTATACGGTAAGCAACAAAATGAAGATTGAAAGGCATAGGGAAAAAAAAGAAAATATTAAAGATATGACTAAAGGAAGGAAGGAAGAGTAATAGTAAATGAAATGAGTGAATTAGTTGAGAGGTAAAACTAGGATACATAGGAAAAAAAGAGAAAATGGCTACTTATTATGACATTATTTACATCTTGTTATTTTTATATGCGGATAGATTGATTTAGCGAAAGTTTTTTGGTTGGAATTATTTTTTTATTAATTTGTTGGATAGGGTGTTTTCTTGAAACTGTTCAGAGTTAGCTTAGTTTCATTGTTTTCTAGTTCGGAGCAAAAATTCAGACAAGTATTCGAATAAATATGGAAGCCTGAAAAAAATTCGAACGACCCGCGCACACGCGGCATGCCGTACGCGCGGACTCTCGTTGTTTTCTTTTTATTCTTTGCTATTTATTTTTCGCAAAAAAGTGTCTGTGAAAGTGTGTGAACTCTCAGAAATTTTGTAGATTTGCGTTTCTGCCTTCGAAATTCAAAAAAACCTTGAAAATCCTATACAAACTAAATTACAGCATAGTTTTTTTGTTGCAAATTCACTCTGCCAATTATTTACAGTTTAATTTGTAACCATCAATTTGCCACTTTTTTTTCAAATTATAGGTATATCCAAACCAGGTAATTGTGAACAGTTTTTGGAAAAATTGTCACACCGACTTTGCCGAAAAAAAACACAGTTCGGAAAGTTATTCGCGTAGAAAGTATCCACTTGATCAAGTCGATACTTGAAACGGTGTCATCGTTTTGAAAATAAAATGAAAAGAATTGGAATAATAGTAATTAAAAAACGAAATGGAAATAAATATGCATAAGAATAAATGAGAGAAGGAAGTGATTTGATTGGTTTTTGAGATTTATTAAGAGGAGTATTTTGTTGTTGGTTGGAACTTGTGTTCAATAAAATAAAATAAATATATTTCCAAACACTTTCACTTTTGACTCGATAACTAATTGACTAATTCTTTTCACTCTTAAATTATATATTACTATTCTATTTTACCTATCGTTCACAGCAGGAAGCACAATGTTTTCAAGTGTTTAATTGTTTTGGTTTCGGTTTCATTCTTTCGAGAAAAACACAATAAAATTAAATGAGATCAATTGTTCCGTCTGGGTGTGTGGATTCCAATTTTTTCTTTTTCTTTGTCAAGATCTCCACCAATTCCATAGCGAGATTTGACACTTTCGAGTTGAACGCGAGCCTGGAAAATTTTCAAAATAGAATCAAAATCTTATAGTGGCTGGGGTGGGGAAATTTATTGAAAATTTTTCTTCAAAGGGGGCTTGACTCCAAATTTACCTTTTCAGTGTCCATTCTTTTCCATGCTTTTGTTGCTTGATAATACAGAACAACTAAATAACGATTGGAGACATTGAAACCGGATAAATGCTCGCAGGCAGTTTTAGCGTCGAAAATATCCTCGTAAACAACAAAAGCAGTTCCTCTGGTTTCTGGTGTGTTTCCGCTGAAAAAAAGAAATGTGAAAATTAAAAAAAAGAAATTATTTTTTTTATGAAACGTGAAAAAGTTTGCGTGAAATATTTCATTTCTCGATTTTCACTTTAAATAAGTCCTTTGATGTTTGCTGAAATGAACTCACACTCGAATTTGTCGGACAGCTCCAAATTTGCCAAAAATATCATACATTTCTTCAGTTGTGATTTTGTATGGCAAGTTTTTGATATATAACATTCTATTAACCTCTGGGGGCAACTTTGTGCCCCTTTGTTGTCTGCTTGCCATCGCCATCTTTGTGCTGGAATTTTGAATTTTATTGTAAATTTACAGTTACCAGAAAAGTTAGAAAAAACCTGAAAAATTATGAAACGAAAAAAAAATGCGAAATAAAAGTAAAACAACGACACTCCGCGTTCACCGCGTGCATGTTGTTTAGCCGCACAAAATTGAATTTTTTATTTTTTCTTTTTTGTTCGAGTTTTTAATTGTTTCCTAGCTCCGTGGGCTCTGTGTTTTATTGATTTGAAAAAGTAAGTTTTCAGTAGAAATGTCAGCGCGAGATGCAATGGCAGCGATGCTCGATGAGCTGATGGGACCAAAACGAAATGTGAAACTCGGAGAAGACACTAAAGTAACTTTTGATGATCCAGAAATTTGTGCATATTATTTGGTAGGATTTTGTCCTCATGAGATGTTTGTTAATACAAAAGCTGATCTTGGTGAGTCATTCAATATTTTTCGACTCCAAGTTTTTCAAAATCCAGGTGCATGTACCCTTGTGCACGATGATAATCTTCGAAGAATGTATCCAACATCTGAGGAATTCAGAAAAATTGGATTTGAAAAACGACTTCTTCGATATCTGGTGCATTTGGAAGAAGATAATAATCGTCGAATTCGAAAAAACAAAGAAAAGTTGATGGGAATGGATCATTTGGGAAAGAATAAGAACAATGAAGAGCAAACGAGAACCAAGAAAGATATTGAATTGATTGAGGCAGATTTGAAAATTATAATTCGAGAAGCAGAAGAGGTACCTAAATTCTTTTCTTATCAATAGTTTTTTTTCTTGAAAACATTAACACTAATCGAATTATAAAAAAAAGAGAACCAGTTTTAGGTCAATAAATAAATTGATCAATTTTTTCAGGCCGGTAATAATGGAAACGTGACAAAATGTCAAGAATTAGTTGCAAAATGTGAAGAATATCAAACGATTAAAGCTCAACTTTCTGCTAAATTGGAACAACTCATTGCTGATGCAAATCCTAGCCTTCAACCACAAAATAATGATGAGATGTCAATTAAACCAATGGAAGTGTGTGAGATTTGTGGAAGTATGTTGATTGTAAATGATGCACAAAATCGAATTGACGAACATTTGACTGGAAAAATGCACACAGGTTTTCAAAAAATCCGAACAATGATTGAAGAATTGAGAGTAAGTGTTTAATTTTTGATTATTTATTCATTACCATTTGAAATCTTTGAAAAAATATACATAAGTTCTCCTGTAGATCGTACAACAATCAAAATCCTCGAGGTCTCTCGTCACATTGACAGGTATTCTTAAAATATTTTCCCTTTCTTTTCCAATTCTTGTCAGGTTTTTCTTGAACAAAAAACACGCCCATCGCGTACCTTTCCAAGGTTGGTTTTGATGTGTTTGTTAAAAAGATTATTTTCTTATTTTTTTGATAAACAACAAACACATTGAAATAATGGTACGAGCTGCTATTTACGTTCACAGGTATCATTCAAATATTTTTTTCATAAATTTCAAAATTCATTTTAATAATATCTGAATTTTCAGAATATTTTGAAGAAACAAGAAGAGGAAGATGATTCGAAACGAGAAGAGCGAAGAAGGTAGGATTTTTTTCAGAAAAAAAAGAAATAAATTGAATTTTTACAGAGATCGCAAAAGATCAAGTTCTCGCGAAAGAAATCGAGAGAAACGGCGAAGAAGTAGAAGTAGAAGTCGTTCCAGAAGTCCAAATCGAAACAGATATGATAGAGATCGACGTGATCGTCGAGGTTATGAATCTTCATCCTCATCATATAGAAAAAGAAGATATTAATTAAAGCCAACAAATTCAAAAAATCTCCAAGTCTTTACTGGTATCCATAAGCTTATATTTTTTCATATATCCTCATTTTATTTTTTACTTAATAAATCAAAATGATATTTTTTACATGTTTATACACGAGGTCGAATCCTCTTGTTATCTTTGTGAATTCTAACATGAGCAATGCTTTTTTTTTAGTTTCAGAATGTGGCTGGAATCTTTGATTCCATCGATTTTTTCACACAGGCATAGATTATTGCATTTATCATTGTTGTTTTTTATAATCCCATATTGGTATAGGTGAGTTTTGTACTTTGCAAATTTAACAAAATTCCAAAAATGAGCATTTTTCAGTTATTACAATGAGCATAATCGAATGTCATCATATTCAGTGGAAACAGCCATGTTTATGTCTTGGGAACGGGCGATTCAAAAACCAGGAGCAATGTTCAAAAAAGCAGTCATAGGATTCAATTGCAATGTGGATTTGATTGTAAATGGTGTGAAAGTAGTCGAATCTTTGAATACAACTTGCGAAGAGGGAAAAGATCAAGAAACCCTTGAAAATCTGGGAGATCTTCATCAAACATTTGCACATTTTTTCCAACGTGGAGCTGCTGCTGAAAGATATATGTCTTCTGAAGATCAATTTAATATTCTTGTTAGAGAATCTGAATCATCACCCCGTGCACATTATCATATTGGTGGCAATGCTGCTTTGATGGCTGATCGAATTGCTGCGAATTTTCCAAGCACTGAAGTATATTTGGTTGGTCCGATTGGTCCAAGAAGTCAAGCATTGATTCATCCATCAGTTAAACGAACTAATTCGACAAGAATTGTCAAAGATGAATTGCATGTGATTCTGGAGTATAAACAAGGAGAGATTCTGGATGATTGGGTTGCTCCAAGTAGTAGTCGATTTATTACAAGTCATGATCATTTCAGTGGAAGTATGGTTGTTATTGAAATGTTTTTCAAAGCTGTCTCACAATTCAAACCCGATTTAGTTATTGTAACTGGTGTTCATTTACTTGAATTTCAAAGTAAAGAAATGAGAAAGGAGAAAATACGACTCATCAAAAGAAATTTGTTGCAAATAAATCCGAAAATTCCGATTCATTTGGAATTAGGAAGTTTAGGAGACGCTTTATTCACCGCCGATGTTATGAACAAGGTAACTTTGTCTTATTTTTCTCATAATTCTCTAAAATTGTAGATCATTCCGTATGTCGATTCTTTGGGAATAAATGAGCAGGAATTAACATTTCTATCGCATATTTCAAATGGTCCACACATGGAAGAATATCCTGTTCAAGCCGGAACTGTTCATGTCTACAAAGTTGTCGAGATGTTGAATTGGCTTTTGAAAAAATTCGGGCGCGATCCAACCAACACCGATTCAATAAAAACCGGCTATCGATTATCAAGAATTCATTTCCATTGCTTGACTTATCATATAATTGTGAGTTCTGGAACAGATTGGTCGAATTTAGCAGCTGGATTGGCTGCTGGTGCAAGAATTGCTGGAAGATTATCATGTAATATTGGACAGAATACGATGGATTCGGAATTGTTGGAAATGAGAACTGCTGCGAATTTTGTATTGGATAAGAAAATTGGAAAGAATTATCGATTTGAAGCACATAAGTGAGATTTTGAATAAAAGTTTAATATCAAAATAATAATAATTGTTTTCAGCCCGATCGCTTCTTGGATGCGCGAAGATGTTCTTTTCGTCTTCACACCAGTTCTCGTTTGCCGCCTTCCATCAAAAACCGTCGGAGTCGATGATGCAATTTCAGCAACCGGCCTTTTATATTCTCAATTTTTCCGACTCGGTCGACCAACTCATTGGTAGAAAATATGTGCCTTTTTTTTCAATTTTTCTTCTTAGTTCGGGTTTCATTTTGCCAATTTGCTCCTGCCATAATTAAGAACATGTAATAATAAATGTAAATAGATATAAATTTTGATTCAAAGTTTTTGAAGAAAAAAATACGTCGTTTGAAATCGCGATTACTTGGATTGAAAGATTTATATTTTCGGGCCCAATTCAAAATTCCTTTTGAGATGTTGCGAAGAAGCCAATCAGGTTTTGAAATTTGTCGAAGACTTATCAGAAAACGAAGAACTCCAGACGAAGCAAGTTCGAGTATTTTAGAAGAAGGAACTACATTTTCAGATGTTCACAATGTTATTTTGAATCCGACTACGAAGTTACCGTATCCAGAAAAGGTACTTTTTCTTGATTCAATTTTGAAAAAAAAATGAATTTCCAGCAACTTCGCGAACATCTCGAGAAAACATCAACCGATCTTTTGCGAGAAAGAAATAAGCAAAAATACGGGGGAAAGAAGAAATTGAGCAGTGAAATCGATTTCAGTCATATTCCAATCGTAGAACATGTTGTTCTTTTGTTTCCCGGACAAGGTGCACAATTTGTTGGAATGGGGAAGAAGTTGATGGAAATTGCGGCGGCGAAAGCGATTTTTGATGAAGCATCTGAAGTGTTGGGTTATGATATGTTGAAACTGTGTTTGGATGGACCGAAAGACAAGTATGTTTTTTGAAGTGGGCTCCGATTTTTTGAGGGCTTTATTTGGGGATAGAGGGCCGTAGGAATTGGACCAGATTAGATTTTTTGAGAATATTCTGTATTGAACAATGAAAAAAAAAGTTTTTGTGAAACATTTTTGAGAAAAATATTGCCACGTGGATTTTTCACTCAAAAATCACATTTTTCAAAATTTTCAAATTAAAATTTTACAGAATCAAAAGAATTTCAACAAAATTTCAGAATTTTTATCAAAAAAATCTGGTCTGTTTTCCTGAAAACCAGGCCTAATATTTGAAAAAACATTTTTTGTTTTCCTATAACGTTTCTATTATCAGCCCAATTATCAAAAATAATTTTCAAAAAATTTTGAAACAGTGAATTTTTTTCACAAAAATATCCCCCACTCAAATATTTTCTCCACTTATTTTTTCCAGAATCGAACAAACCCTTTATTGTCAACCAGCTGTAGTCACTTCTTCTGTTGCTGCTTTCGAAGCTTTGAAATCACAAGATGATTCGATTGAAGAGAATCTAACAGACACTGCTGGCTTTTCAGTTGGTGAATATTCTGCAATGGTTGCCGGTGGAATTATTTCCTTCAGCGACGCCATAAAAATTGTGAAAACTAGGGCTGAAGCAATGTCAGAATGCTCGAAACTTGTGAAAAGTGGAATGGTGACTGTTCGAGTTAAAGGATCTTCGCGCATTGAGAAAGCTATAAACGATGCGAGAAATGTTGCGAGAGAAGCTGGAGAGTTGGACATTTGCGAAGTTGCTAATTATTTATATTGTGGGACAAGGGTTATTGGAGCATCAGAAACTTGTTTGAGATTTTTGGAGCAAAATCAAGAAAAATATAATATTCAAGTTTTGAAAAAGATTACAAGTTTCTTCTGCGTTTCATACGAGACAAATGGAACCAGCTGTTGAAAAGGTTGTTTTTTTTTATTAAATTTAAATAATTAATAAATTTCTGAAAATAAATTACGAATTTCAGGTTATGCAAGCGTTATATCAAGCTGATATTCAAAGAGCTGTTTGTAATGTATATTCGAATTATACAGGACATATTTTACCAGCGAAGAAGGTTTGTTGTTTCCAATTTTCAAATAAAGAAAAATGTTTTTAGGCTGAAATTCGTGGAGCTTTGTCAAAGCAAGTGAATAATCCGGTTAAATGGGAGCAAATTCAACAATTACTTTTCAGGAAACATGAGGTTAGTTTTTTATTTTTTTCATGTGAGCCTATTAAATCTACGTGGTAATTTGAAAAAAAAACTATTAAAATAAAAAAAAATAATCTTGAAGGCATTTTGTTTTAAAAATACTAATTTTAAAGGGTTGGTGCCAGGGTTCCGAACTGGGTCGGTTCTTGGGGCAGATCGGGTCTGGTTCGAGTGGGTTGGACTCAGATCCAGAACAAAAAAATGGATGAACTACCCAGAAGGTTTTTGTTGAATTTTTTCAACGAGAACCGAAATTTAGTTTTTTGTTGAATTTTTTCAACGAGAACCGAAATTTAGTTTTTTGTTGAATTTTTTCAACGAGAACCGAAATTTAGTTTTTTGTTGAATTTTTTCAACGAGAACCGAAATTTAGTTTTTTGTTGAATTTTTCTGAATAATTTTTTATTCCAGAATGAAAAATTTCCTCGATTCTACGAAGTTGGACCCGGCAGACAACTTGGTGCAATGCTTCTTCAAACCAGCAAAAAAGCATACAAAACATATCAACAATATTCGTGTTAGAACAATTTATGTTTATGTTGATCAAGTTAGTTTTTTTTTGCAAAAATATAGGTTTACATCAGATATACATTTTTTGGTTGGAATTTGTTAGAAACCCGTTGTTAAGTAGAGAAAAATGAAAAAAAAACCTAATAAAAATATTTGAAAATGAGAAGAATCGCAAAATGTAAATGTAATTTGAAATTGGAGGCAGTGCTACTGAAAACACTGTATTCTGAATTCCATTTCAAAATATTCGAATTTGTTGGAAGTGTACTTCGACGTTGAAGACTTAGAAGAGATTTACAAGCATTTGGCAGCTGATCTGATATTCCAAGTTGAGAATAAAGTTGTTCGAAGCTGCAAAATAGATTTATTTTGAAGTCTCTCTTCAGAATATTATATTTTGCGTTTTCGAGTTCAAAAACTGAATAGAATTTCCCGCATTCATTCAAGGCTAACAATAAGAATTCGGCATCTAAATAGATTTTCGGAAAGATTGAGAAAAATAAAATGAATAGAATGTTGATCTGATTCGGCACAAGACCCTAAAAAGTTTTAGACCCGGTGTATCACGATCTACAGCTCAGTAGAAAAAACCAGAATTACTGTAGTTCCAACCGCTTCGCGGAAGCTTGCGGTATACACTTGCGTTTCCCCGTTTGATCTACCAAACCTAACCTTGCAAATCCAACAGTTATAAATCGTAGCATCATTTTCGCCGCTTGCTCTCCACATCCGGCACGAGTCACTGGCTCCACACAATCTATCATTGTTCCCAATTTATTGCATAAAACCTCGAATTGTGGACGTAGATTGTGCGAATCTTTTCGCAAAACTGTCATTGAGAATCTAAAAAACATAAGGGGTTTTGAAAAATTATTTCCATCTGTTCTCACTTATTTGAGGCGGTTAATGAGTCATTGATTTGAGGACGGCATTGTTGAAGTGCAATCTTTTCGTGCCTAGAAAAGATTGGCTAATTTGTGTGGGAGAATATTGGATAACTTACTCGGCTAAGCATGGAAGTGAACGGAAGAATTCTAGAAAAATAACTTGTTAAAATTTGAAAACTTTCCAAAAGTTTTGACTGCACAAAAATTGAAAATTTTGAAAAATATTTTTTTCGTAAAATTTTTAATTTATAATTTCAAAACTTATTTGTTGGCGCCAAAAATTGCCACGTGATGATTTTTGGTTTCAGAACCATTAGGCCCCCAGAAGAGGAAAAATTTCATGACCCATTTTTATTATACCCCCCCCCCCCTCTCTCTCTCTCTTCTTTATCTCTCTCTCTCTCTGACTCCATTCTCGTATTTTTTATGTCACCTCAAGAGATTTATGATATTTTGGTTAGTTGGTAGTATGCTAGTGCTCAACGACAATTAGTCACCTCTTTGTCAATTCCCATCTGAATTCATTCCCCCCACACACATTTTTTTTGTATCTAAAGAGCAGAGCAAAAAGTGCTAATAAATCGTGACAGCCATAAATAGAGCGAAAAAGGAGAAGCTGGAAGAAGAAATCGTAAGAAAAATTTCATTGTGCGGAAGTTGGGAAATTTATTTATGAGAGCGGAATGAAAACAGGATATTTTTTAAAATCTCATTACATTTGATGTGACCAATGACTTCTTGAAGTTAATAGTAAAAATTGCCAAATGAAAAAAATCTTAAATACATATTTAAAAAAAATTTAATTGCCTCCAAGCCACACGATGTGTGCAGACACCGAAACGCATTTTCGCGTACTTACAGTAAGATTTTAAATTTCATATTTCGATTTCTTCATTAGCCTAATTTTAGAATACGCAAAATTGCGTGACAGTGTTTGCAGACAATAATTTTTCAAATTCAATTCTCGTACTTAATTCAGTTCCTCACAATCAGCAAGTTAGAAAAAAGTTAGCCCAACTCGCAACGTTCTTTCCCTCCCCCCAAATAGCCACCCTCCTTCAAATGTTCGGTTCCCAAAATGCTCAAATTTCACAATATTCCCAATTCTTCTCATTTTCTCACCATCTCTGTGCTCAACACAAATGAAACGTATGCCAGCATAGGTTTTCCGTATACTCGCCGAATGTTTTGAGACCTTTTCGCATGAATGAAGACATAAATCGACACGTGTGTAGGCCCTATAACAAAAGTTTCTTTTCACTTCAACAAAAAACATATGTAGATGTATGTAGATAGCGTGCTCTTTAGGACTTGAGTTTTTTATTAAGGCACTTGAAAAAAAAATGTGGAATTTAGGTCAAATGATGTTTGATTTATGGAAGGGGATTGTGAGATCAGAATGGACTTTTGTCAAATTTTTTTTCAAAAAATTCCAAATTGATTTTTCGGACCTAGGAAAGTTAAATTTATAAAACTAAAAAAAAATTCTGAATCCTAGCCGATTTCCCAAACTTTAGAAATCTATAAATCGGCTCAGGAAACTTTGTTTCTTCTAAAATTCTCCCACCAATTTTCCTGCCTCTTCCAAAAAATCCCAAAAACTCACTGGCAAATATCATGAAAACTCTTCTCGGTAACCTCTCGATTCGACGACGACACCAACGTATTAATCGACAATTGTCCCATTTGTTCGCTCTGTAGCAGAGGAGTTGATTCGAGTGACTGAAACAAGTGGCACAACACATAAAAAGACACACAAGAAAAACGAAAAAAGCAACAGTTTTTTGGGAGGTGAAACAGATTTTTGTGATTTGAAAATGAAATTTGTGCGAACACTGGTGAACTTTGTGAGTGAGTGAGTGAGTGAGTGACAAAAAAACAAGAAACATGTGAAGCTCCATTTATTTTTGGTCAAACCTGTTGCATTTCTGCTATACATGGCTCAATACAATCTCCTCCATTTGGCAATGAACTTCGGACCGAATCTGGAAAAAAAAATGGATCAGGCACTTTTTTTGTGAGCTTTTTTAACGAGCCTTGTTTGAATCAGGCCAGGCCCTAAAAAGTTTTTTGAAAAAGTCTAATTTTTAGAATTGTACCAAAAAATCTCAAAAAAAAACTAACCTGCTAAAAATAAGCATAGCGAAATGTATAATAAAATGATCATAGCATTTGGCAGAAAATCTGGAAAAATTAATATTTCCCTTTTTATCCAAAGAGTTAATGCGATTATCTAAAAATAAGACGGCGGAAAAAAAACATGGGAACTTTTTTTTCGCGAATGCTCTCGAGAGCTATTGTCGAAAATAAAAAAGGTAATTGCTCTCTCTCCTCGAAAATTTTCGGAAGTCAAAAAAATTATTTTAAAAAAATGGTGTGAAAATATACGAGATACTTTTTCACATATATTTTTTTTTTATATGCAGTGTAATTATTTTTAGTCTCGCTTGAAAACTTCTCTGAAAGAGACTGAAAAGATTTTTATTTTTCTGGAAAACAACAAAGTAAGAAAAAAACGCTGATAGTATATTTATTTAATTGTTCTGTTTCTTCCGTTGACAATTAGAGTGAGCAAAACCTTTTTTCTGAAAAAAATAAGGAGATATACATAGAGCTGAAAATAAAATATTTTTGATCCACAAAACATCTGAAAGTAAAGTGCAAATTAATTTATCAAACTTGATAAATTATGTTTCATAAAAAATTTGCAAGAAAAATGTTTCGACTTGAAAAAGGGATTATCTTTTTTTCTCCCCGCTGGCAAAAAAGTTTGGAAAAAAAATTAGGGGACGTGTGGAGTCGAACCCTGGTTTCACAAATTGAAACTCGGCCACGCGGCTTAAAATTTGCGCTGGAGAAAAAAGAACATTTTTTTCAGAATTCAAGTTTTCCAAAGAAAATATATCTTCTAGGTTATTATAAATGGCCCGGGGTAACCGAGAAAAAAAACTTTTTTTTTATTTCAATATGAGAAAAATAGCCAAAATATTTTGGCTCTTGAGAAAAAATGTGGGGCGGAGTCGCGTCGAGTTCGAAAAAGGCATAGTTGATATAATATTCGAGTGTGTTGTGCTTCCTCTTTTATTTTCTCAAGAAGAAGAAGAAGACATGCACAAAAGGTGAAAGAAAAAATGAAAGAAAGTTTTTGGTTAGATTGAGTTTGACTCAAAAGTAAATTGAACATGACACACTAATTTTTAATGGACTACAAAATTTAAATTAATTGAGGAGAAGAGGAGAAGCTCAATTTTTATTGCGAATTTTATTTTGTTTTATTGTTTTGTGGTTGGGTGGGGGCTAATTTGAAAATTTTCTATTTTTTTTGTCAAAGTAAAATTATTTTAAAATTTGTTAATTCTGAATGAAGCGATTTCTCATTTCTTATAGAAAAACCAACACATGCAAGCTTCTGAAACTAACATCTACAAAATGAACTACAGTATTCTGAAAAAAAGATAAATTCTAAAAAAAAATTAAAACGTGACATTTACTCAAAATTTTTTCCACGTTTGTCAACGTGTCTCCCAGTCTCCAAATGCTCCCCCCAAATTCAGTTTGAAATTTAAAAGCCATGGAAACATTGGACATCGACTCTGATTATGTATGTTTCACCGCTCACATCAAATGAAATTCTCATTCAAAAGAAGTTTCCAGGGTGTTCACAAAGATCAATTGAGACGTAGTATAAATGCAACTGAAAAAGCGATTGATGTTATTCGAGATGGCGATTTGGCGAGACGCCAAGTCAGTTTGGAGTTGAGAGATTTGCAATTGACGATGCACGAGGATTTGGAGAGAGTGAGTTGTTTGGAAGTTGAGAAAATGCCACGTGACAAAATTATGTTTTGAACTCTTAAATTCCTTTTTCTTTTCAGATTCGTGGTGAGATGAGCGAATTCGATAACAAATTGAACTCGGAACGTATTGAAAGTGCAAAATGGATGGATAAAAAAGTGAAAGAAGCGAAGAAAACAGCTGACGAGGCTCTAAGATCGAGCACACTTCTCAAAGATGTTCAACTTCTTGAAAAGAAAGTTGATATTCTCAAGGTAATTTTATCATAGTCTTCCATATTCAAATAATTGTTTGTTTTCCAGGAATCGGTCATCAATGTCAATCGCGCTTATTTCAAATATCAAAAGAATGTGGATATGAAAGATTTGAAAAATCAAATAACTGAAATGGTATATCGCACCGAGAAAAAAGAGCGAGACTTGTTGAATCAATTTGATGGAACAAATTTGGAAGAGAAAAGTGAAGTCATTCTTCGAGGAGCAATTGAAGGTTTATTGGGATTGCAGGCAACTAATCCACAATTTCTCAAAGAAGCTAGAAGTTTGGCTGCTGAATTGAGAGTTTATCGTGATGCGGCGGCTAATAATGTTAGTTGAATATCTATCCCTTAAAATTCATTTCATTTTTCAGAACTTGTTCAATTTGATCTCAAAAGAAGATAATGAATCGGTTCAAAGTGAATCCACCTCGGAATCTGCGAGTTCGGTTCCATTCTCGAATTCAACATCTTTCAAATCATCTGAAGATAAATCTGAAACAACAAGTTCGGCAGCTTCATCAGCTTCAACAAGTTCTTATACAACTGCATCGGCTTCGACAAGCAAATCATCAAAAGCTTCGAAGAAAAAATCGTCGAAAAAATCGACTTCGAGTAATGTGACTATTTAAATAGCACCTAGAATGAACAGTATCCATTTTGCGTTTTTTTACAGAAAAAAAATAATGCACACAAATTTGAACTGCCGCCTATGGCTGTCTCCGCCGCGAGACCTGTTTGTGTACTGTAGCCGGAAAATTTCATTTTAATTTTTTTTCTTTTTTTTGCTCGCCCAAGATTGTTCGCTTTCATGCGTTTTGCAAAGTTTTGAGCTTGTTTTCTTTTTCTCTAGGTTTACTTTTTATTTGGCCATTTACTTTTTATTTGGCCATGATGTTTTTCGCTGAAAAACTCATTCAATTGATTGATTTATCAAAAATTTCCAGGATCTCATCAAAAATGGAAATCGAAGAGAAACCAGTCACACAGCCAATCAGAAGAAGAAGCGCTTCAAAAGCTGACCGGAATCTATCCGATCCAATTGAGTATACAGTGGGAAGTGCCGAGGAAATGGTGGACAAATTGATGAAATCAGAGATCACAGCGGAAGAAACGAGGTGGCCAAAAGAAGTCGACATGTATAAGCGGAGAATCAACGCAGACTTCAAATTCGAAGGAAAACTATGCGGCGAAATGACGTTCAACGAAAGCGCTGAGAAATGCATCATTTGCGGTAAAAACGATGATCACGTATTGTATTCTTGTCAAGGATTGATGAATGGTTTCACCAACAACACGATTTCCGTTCCACTCTGCAAGTCAAAGTTTCATTATGAATGCATCAAGGATTACAATGCTTCTGATTATCATATTCGTTATATTGCTTTGCCAGAATGTCAAAACAAACTCCTGTGCCCTCTTCATTTTTGTGATGTCTGCTATTTGGAGAGGAACAAGCAAACTGCATTTAAGGGAGATTTGGTTGAATGTGCTTTATGTTTTCGTGCTTATCATGCTGAACAATGTACACCGATTGGATCGCAGAGTGTGGATGTTACTATGAAGCTGGATGAAGTGAGTATTTTGTTACTAGATGATGAATTTAGAATGATTATTTTTCTAGAATTTCAAAACTCGAATGCTCATTTGCTCTGCACATCGTCCGAAAAAAGAAGTTCATTCCCATATCGCAGAATGTTGCGAGTGCAAAGACAAAGAAAAGCTCACACGTTGTCCAACTTGCATTCGCTCATTTCACAAAGAATGTCGAGTTACTAAATCAATCGGTGGCGTGCCTATCGACACCAACTCTTGCGAATATTGTTTGACTGGAGAAACTGTTGGAATGAACTCGAAAGTGACAGCAAAGTGGCGCGGTAAATTTTACGAGGGAATCGTTCGAGATTGGAGCTGGGCACCGGAGAAATTGAAAAAATCGACGTTGTTTGGAGAGCTCGGTTATTGTTTGATTCAATGGAGCGGTTCTTCGGTTCAATATTCGATCGCCGTTGTCGATCATTGTGCACCAATGTCTGTTGGATGGTCGAAGTTGTCCGGAGAAAATCGAAATGCGAGAGAACTTCGCGATGTGACATTCCCATCAATGCTTAAACCCGTTGGAAGAAGATTAGATGTTGGTTTTTGATAAATGGATTCAAAATTTCTGTATTTGTTTTTTACAGACCGCGAAATATTTGGAAAAAGGCGATGAAAAAGTGTATATCAAAGCCGAATCTGACACATACGCTTGCACATGCGCTACTAAAATCGGAAATCATTGCACAACTGCTTCTTGTTCGAATGTAAGAGACAATTATGAGTGCTCTCCTCATTGTTCAGAAGAAAACGCCAAATGTATGAATCGTGGTATCTCGGAAAAAAGACCGCATCCACTCATCGAAAGAAAAGAGACAGCAACCAAGGGATATGGTGTTTTTGCAAATGGGCATATTTCGAAGGGAGAATTCATCGCCGAATATTCCGGAGAGATTTTAAATAGAAAAGAGTTTGAAAAACGCAACAAATTGGTTTCGGCTGCTCGAGACGATGAGGCGAATTTGTATATGGTTCAAATGTCGCACGGTCGCGTGGTTGATGCTGCTCGCGCTGGAAACATTGCTCGCTACATCAATCACAGTTGCGATCCGAATTGCAGAATCGAGTGTCGACAGGTGATCGTCAAACAGTCACGCAAACAGTTTTTCTATGATGAACGTGTTGCTGTTGTTGCGATTCGAGATATTGAACCGGGCGAGGAAATCAGTTTTGAATATCTAATGCAATCCCAGTATGGAACAAAAGCACCTGTTTGTAAATGTGGTGCACCAAATTGTAAACGAACTCTTGGAGAAGTCAAAGACGGCGATATTGTTGAAATTTGTGACGAGGATGAGAAAGAAAAGGAGAATTTGGCAAAGAAGAACGAAAAGAAAAGAGGAACGAAGAGAAAGGCTCAACAACAACAACAAGTCGAAACGGCATCAAAGGTGAGATTTTCAAATGGAATTCTTCGAAAAAATATATTATTTTTTCTCAGAGGCGTCCATCAGAACAAGCTTCACTCAATATTCCCGAGGTTTTCCAAAAATTTGCTGATTCTTTTGATGGAAATTCAGCGGAGAAGAAAAAGTTGATTGCCACTGGAAAACAATTTGAAAGTCTCGAATACCAGGCACAATTTCTGAACAACGCTTTTCTCACTCTGATCAAATGTGAGTTTTTTTTTTGAAATTGTGAATTTATAAATATTTCATTCTTCTGAATTTCAGATGACGACGAGAAAATGCCAAAATTAGAAGTCGAAGAAATTCCAGAAGAAATTCCAGATGTGAAACCGAGTGTGAAGAAACGCGGTCGGGCTCTTTCGGCCAAAAATCCACCGAATCTCACCGTCTCACTTCGTAAAACCAGATCCAGATCCAGAACAATTCCCGCTCCACCAGCTTTGGATTCTGAAATTCTTTCGGATCCAAACGAACCAGGACCATCACCATATTCAAATCCAGATGCTCTTCCACCAGGCCCATCAACATCTTTCCAATTCTAATTAATTAAATTTTACGGCCTTTTTTATCGTTTTTTTGACTGTACCATATCTTCACCCAATTTTTTAATAATCTATTGTAATGTCTAATTTTATCCAAATTTTTTCTTTATCTTTCTTGTTTTTGTTAAGTTTTTTTTATATAAGTAAACTTGTTGGGAAAAAGCGAGATTTTGTATGGTGAAAATTGAGTCTGATCTCAATATATAATATCTAACTTTTCAAAATTTTGAATTTCAAATCTTTTGGAGCTAAAAAAAATTGAGAAAAAAATCATTATAAAAATTTACTTTTTTTCTGAAAGTAATAAAAATGTACAGTATTTAACAATAATTATTTAACAACCCGTAATCTTAACAAAAGAAATGATTAGTCATTTAATAGAGGTTCAGTTGATAGATGTTCCAATGATGAATTATGAATTGGAGCATAATTTTGAAATTCTTCGGGAATACTGTAGAGTGGAGAACCGACAATTGAAGAATGAGAAATTGAAACTCGACGTATCATTGGAGCTGATGAAACTGATCGAAGTCTGCAAAAATTGAAAAGACTATCCAAAACTGAGAGATTTAGAGAAATATTGTTGATCGTTCCAGAAAAGATTTGGGTAGTAAAATGTGAAATTTCAGAAAAAAGCCAACCTTTGTCCAACAGGATTATTAATCGGCGTTGCATTTGCTCGTTGCTGTCTCCATTGTGAATGCAAAACAGGCCGTTCATTAATCGACGGTTGTGTCAACGGTCGATATCTTCTTCTCCAATTCCGAACAGTCACAACATCAGCAATCCGAACATTTCTCGAATGCGATGAGGATCGAGTTGAGGCGGTCGATCCGGTTTCTGTTTCACTATCCGATCGAGTTTTGATTTTTGTGCGGAAAACGTATAAAACCGCCCAGACTGGCATTATAAAATTGATAAGATCGTAGGGCCCTTTGAGAATTGAGTAGCGAATTTGATCGTGGTCCTAGAATATTCTTATGAATATTGGGAGAAAATAGAGGGAAAACTTACAAAAAGAGCACTACAACTATTTGCATTGTCGCCATCGGCTAACATAAAAAGAGCAATATGATAAGCTAAATCGGTGAGAGTTGCAGTCTCAAAAGTCCACATTAATCTGAAAAATATACAATATTTATTTTAAAAATTCAGAGAAAAAAGGAAAAAACATACACAAAAACATCTCTCCGTTGATTTGCTCTCATTTGAACTGGCGCTGATATCCGATTCATTCTTCCAAGAATCATACAAAATGAGGCAACCATTAATTGAACTATAAAACATTGTCCCACGGAAAACCAAATCCAATAGGGTGCTCGACAATCCAATCTTGGTTCAATCGATGATAAAACAAAGCCCATAACAAGAAACGCGGTAAAATATGTGAAGAGCAAAAAAAGTGCGACAAAACACAATCGTTTCCCAGCCGTACTACTCCAATGCATCATCGACGAAGCAATATCCAAATAAAAATAACAGACGACAAGAAGAATAATCGCTTTTGTATAGGATATAAAAAGTGATGTTTGAGTCGTCCATCCGATTAACCATTCAAATGATCCAGCAAAACAATGAACTGTCAGAATATAATATAATAGAAGTTTGAGATGCGATTGTGATGTTGAATGGAGTTTGGATATCCGGGCGAGACAAATTACAGCGGTGCAGATTCCGAGTAAAGCGATTGCACTTGAGCGGACACAGGCTATGATATTTCGATGGCCTATGCAATTGGCGCAAAGAACGTCTGTTTCATTTGATGGAGTTAGATTCCCATATTTTGGTGATACTGTAAAATTGTATTGAATTTTGGGCCAACAAAAAATTAACTCACAAAACCAATCATAAAACGCCGGATCTTCCACAGTATTTTGTTCATTGAAAAAATCTGCTGACGAAGAAGGTTGATCTGTTCGATACATCAAACTTCTGAAATTCAGAATCATTCAGAGCAAAAATCGTTCGATTGATAAATTATTCTTAAATCTGTCAGGTGACAATCAAAAGAAACGAAGAAGACAATGCAAATAGAACAAAAAAAGGTTGTATAGAAAAAAATAACTGATAATGTGGGGTAGAAAGTGAGGTATTAATTGATAGGTGAAAAAAAGTTCGCTTACGTCACAAAAAAAGAGGCAAAAATAAATAAATGGCTGAAATATTGATTTACATAGTTTTGGTTCAAGTGAGAGAGAAGGAGCAAAACTGGTTTACAGTGTAAATGAATAAACACTTTGAGAATTTTTGGAAAATATTTTAGAAATAGAAAAAAATGGATCAAAGTTTTGAAATTTGGAAAAATGATGAATGATTTCAAAATATTTCTGATCTTGCAAGAAAAAAAAATGTGACCATCGAAAAAGAAAACAGAAATATGACTCATCCAATTTTTTTGATTGAAAAATTCTCCAATTTTCAGAAAATGGGATTTTCGTGTTCAAACTGAATCTATAAATTATTAAATTTAAATTGTTTTTTTCTTTTAATCGAAACTTATTCAGTTTTCAGCGCAAAAATTAATTAAACTTTAAAAAAAATGATCCAAAAATTCTTGAGTTCTAGTTTCAGCGCAAAATTTCATAAATAAAACCCAAAAATTTTGAAATATTTCTAATAACACAGAAAAAAACATAACATTTCTCGAAAACTTTCCCAAAACCACGAGAAAAGCGACAAATAAAAAAGAGTGCACGTGAACTTGAGAGAATCTCGAGAGACGCAGACAGCAAAAACACATGATTGGCAAGTTGCCAGAGAAGAGGAGACTTCTTGTAAATATCTATCTATTGACAAAAAACAATATTGCGCAATGAAGGTTAAAAAAGAGGAATTTGAAAAGTATTTCTTTATTTAATTATTAATTAGTACAAAAATCTGAGATCAACAAAAACGGGGAAAATGCATTATAATTTCAATAAATAATTTTTAAAGTTACCCTAAATTCTTGGGAGCAAAAAAACATTTGGCATTTGAAAGGCGAACTAGAAAAAGGGTCAGGTAGAATTATTGAGTTATGCTAACTACTGTAGCTTAGGCTACAAATAAATATATCATGAAAAATAAATAGTACTAGTCTCCAAAAGTTCAATTGTGCACCAATAAAAAAAGTTTTCGGTGAAATGTGATAACAGGAAAAATGATGATAAAGAAAACCCGGAGCAAAAAGAAAAAAGAAACGACTATATCTATTCAGAATGTATTTTCAATACAGTTTTTCGGAATTCGATGAAATGAACAACGAAAGAAACGATGAAAACATAGGCAAGAATTATAGGAATAGCCAAATGATCAGGAGTTTTGTGTGCGGGAATTGACATATTGACAAGACCAGTTAAAATGTTGCTCAAGATGAAGAAGAGGAGCGAGTGACGATTGATTGATTCGGTTAGGCAGGGAGAAATTGGAGAAAATGGATGGTCGCCTGGAAAAAAAAGCCGTTTGGTGGGGTTCGAAACGGGCCTGAACCGGAAGTTTTTCCGATTTTCTAGAAAATCCGGAGAAGGATTTTGATATAGAAGAAATGTCTTAAAGATCTTCCTTTTTTTGGAAAAAAAAACTTTTAGAATTTTTTTCCGAACAGAAAATGCTTGAAAAGTCTATTTTCTGCAAAAAAAATTATCAGAAAAAATTTCAGTCAAAAAGTTTTAAAATTCGAACAATAAGTTTGCTGGGATTTTTTTCAGAAAAAAAATTTGAAAATTATTCTACCAAACTTTGTTTAGTACCAGAAAATTCTTGAATTTGAGCTGGAACCTTTTTTTTGAAATTTTAATTTGTGTGATGGTTTTTTTTCAGAAAAACCGATTTTTAAATTTCTAGAAAAACTTTTTTTGCAAAATTAGACGAATTTCCAGTTTTTCTTGTACCGTGAAATTCTCAAATTTCAATTTTTCTTTTTTAAAAAAATCCCTTAGGACCGTGAAACCCTCAAAAATCACCAACCATTTGAAAAATGTGGAATCGAAGCAGTCCATAGAACAATATTGAACATTTGAGCAGCCAAACAAATCATTGTTATGAAACAGAACACGCTCAGCTGAAAAATAAATAAATTTTTTTGAAAAAAAAACCGAAAATTTCCCCTTACCTGTGCAAAAATATATGTGATATTAACAACTCTTCTCGATGGTCGATCAATAAAATATTCACAAATCGCTTGGAGAAAATAGAAAATAGCGGCGAGGAAAACGAGTTGAAGACATCTTCGAATCCAAGATTTGACTCGAAATCCAGTATGTGATAGGAATTCTCCAATTGCCAAACTCCCATAGAATAGTGTCAAATATCCCAATAAACTAACAATTCCTTCAGCATTTGCAGATAATAAATTATCTCGATTATTCTGTCCTTCAACCAAAATCCAATCTTGATATCCAGATTTCAGAATTGTTTGATGAAATAATCCCAAAAGAATTGCCGTCAAATATGGAAAATGTTTGGGAAGAATTCGATAAACAATTCGAACACTCGCAAGGGTAAAGAAGAAATTCCAATGAACACCGTATTCCGAAACATGTTTGGGATAATCGAGAATTTCGAGGAATATTGTTCGAGCCATTCCAATTATGAAAAGAAATAGAGTTGATGATAAATACCATTTCCTCTGATCTGATCCAATATTTTCATTGTTTCGTGATTGAGACATTTTCGAACTAAGGCCTGACATACAAATGAACACCGAAACACCAAGATCCATAACAGAATGACCAAAATATTCTGGGAAAAAATTGAATTAATTATTAAATTATAATGCAGATGTTTTTGTTTCAAAAACTCACCAGTCTTTGCATATTTCCTCGGAAAAACCGGAAAATCAACGGCTAAAATCGAAATAGCCACCAAAACCATAACTCCACTCCTCAAATACGTCACAAACATTGTTGTTTTATGTTGTTCGTCGACAATCGAATTCCAAGTTTGTTTGATTGGTGGACCAAAAGAATGATGAGATGCTTCGAAGAATACCAGACCAAGTAGCAATCCATAAATGATTATTAGAACTAAAAGATAGACGGCTAAATGATTCGAAAATATTGTGACTGCTAGAAATGATGGAATCACCAAGAATGAGGCATCGACTAGGAATTTTGACCTGCAAAATTTTTAAATTTGAAAAACTTGAGAAGCCAATTTCGGCTGCTCATTTTCTTTGTAGAAGCCTTTATTACCCCCTCCCTTGTAAAAAACCCACCAATACGCAATCCAACTAGTGTTATAAGTTCTTCCCAGAAAAATCCACGGCAAAATCGAATTTCTGATCAATATTCCTAGATATCCAATAAAAACTACAATAAATATTTCCCTTTGACTGCATCCCGTTTTAGTGCCGACGAATTCCGAATGATCGATTTCTATTGGATCATCTGGCATAATATTCTGAAATATTATCGTAGAAGGGGAAAATGCAGAAAAAAAAACAAGTAAGGAATAGGTTTTCGGGAGATCTACCCTTTAGAAATCAGAAAAAAAACAAGTTGGATAGCAATTATTTATCAGAAGAGTAATGGATAAATAAATAAAATAAATAAGATCAATTGAAAATGAGAACATTTTAAGCAACTCGATAAATGATGTGAATTCCGGAAGCAGTGTCAACAATTCCGCTCATCTCTCCAACGTCCAAAGCAAATGACGCGTCTTCGAATGGTTTTTGCATTTGGCGACGTTCGAAGAACTGAATTAGGAGAAAAATCAATGCATATAATTCATTTTAATTAATTGAATTATAATAACGAAGAACTAATATATTTCATTATAGTCTTAGGGGGGCTATTTAGATTTAGCATAACTTCCCAAAACGTGGCGTCCCAATTTGTGAGAAGGTGGAATAAACATGTTAATTTTGAATTTAGATAGTACAAATGCTAAAAAGGGAGCATTTTCAGAAAAGGTAGTTTTTCGTCAAATTTCGGATTCCTGCACATCAATTTCCAAAACTTCACGTAATTCTTGATTTTCTAATACTAATACTCGGAAATTAAAAAATTACGGGGTTTGAACTGCTAAATTAGAATTACGGGGTTTGAACTGCTAAATTAGAATCAGTGCTAATCAATAGCTAACTAAACGTCATGTTAAACCGAATTATTTGGGAACACCCTTCAAAAAACTATCCTTATTTTCAAAAACACCCGGATCACGATGTTCAGAAAATAAATACAACTAACAATACATTTTCCAAGGAAAAGTGCAATTCATCGATTTTTTTGCGGCGTGTGAAAATTATTGAAAAATTGTCCATTTTTCTCAACAATAAAATTTGGAATAATTTTGTGTTCCTATGGAAAAAAGCCGGAATTTTCACCTGTTCAAAATTCCCAAAAGGTTTTTTTTTAAATAGATCAAAACCAACCCCTAAATCTCCTCCGCGTTTCGCCGAACTACAATCGCTAAACTCCTTGGCAATATTGCGGAATTGTTCCTCCAAATTCGACGCATCTTTCAATTGTTCAATATATCCATTGATAATATTAATCGCATCATCTTTCGATCTTGTTATATTATCCGATCTCCAACTCGACGGATTTCTGCTTCCGGCATGTTTCACCAATATATGCAAAGCTCTCACTTTTTGCAAATCGCTTCCTTTTCCAAATGCCGAATCTTCTGGTCTTTCCCATTGACTTCTTCCAGTTGCGCTGTTGTAATAATATGCGTGATCTGTGAAACAAAACTTTTTTTTTCGAAAAAAAAAACAAAAAAGAAAAATTTACCGCTAGTTCGACTCATTCGTTTTTCCCACCCAGCAGGCAAAGGATGATCAGACATTCTGAAAAACCCTGTGAAAAACTGATATGAATCAATAAAAAGAGATATTTAGAATTGATCAATAAACAAATTTGAACGTTTAAAAACTGATAATTAAAACTCTTTATGCAAATATATTATGTTCAACTCGTATTTCAAAAGAAAGACAACAAAATGCGGAAAAAATTGTGGCAAGATGAAGAATAAGAAGAGGAAAAGTGACTAGGGAATACTCGATCCATTTATACGTGTACAACATTCACTCGGAGGTTTTGAGAAATCATATACATACGAAGGTCGTTTTCTGTGAAAAAAAAACTTGTAAAATTAAAGTTCGGAGGGTTTTGGGAGTTTTTGAATCGGGTTCAGAATAATCTGGTAATCTGGTAGAAAATCTCCAAATTTCGGAAATTATATTTCACGTGGGATTCTAATTCAGTCAGATTTTAGGGCTCAAAATTCCAGAGCCGAGATTTCATGATTTTTTGTAGATTAATTTGTCTCTGCTCAAAAAACATTGAGCTCAAAATTCAAAATTCAACTTTGAAGGAATCAGACACATTTTTATAAATTTTTGGATTCGCACACCAAAAATATTTTTAAAATCAGATTCTGACTAAAAATTGTTCCCCCTTTTCCAGAAAAAAACTCACTGATATTGTTTCGTACATAAAAACTTCTTATTTTTCAGATTCTCAAACATTTCAATCATTTCCGCACTCGTCTTTTTATGCAAAACCAAATACTCATTATTACATCCTCTCGAAGTCCATTCCGTATCGAATCTCGGATCATGCACATATTTCACATCTAATCCAGCTAACCAAGCACCAACCGACACATCTTCATTTTTATACATTCGGAATAGTCTCGAATTGACAGCAAGATATTTGACCAATTCATACGATAATACATATCCACCTCCTAATTGATAAGGCAAATATCGATCGCATAAATTCCATTCGGGTTCTTTCCATTTTCCTTTTCTAAATGGTTTTGCTCGCCCATCCAAAAATCCCCAATACAACATCGGATGTTGGACTGTTTTGAGAGCGGTTAAAAATGGAGTTATTCGAACAAATGTATCAACATCGACTTTGAGAAGATATTGGAAGCGGAAATTTTCGAAAGCAAATTGCATTGCAGACAATGTTTTTCGAGCTAATCCACTGTATCCTTCTTCAAGTTTTTCAAGTAGAACGAGATCATTGAATTGCTCGTTTTCCGATTTTAATTTTGAAATTATTTCGGTGTCGAGACCAGCAGTGCCAATTACAAATTTATGAATATAAACAGATGGTCCCTGGAAAAATGTTTTTTATTTGAAAAAATGTTATTCAATGTAATTTTTTGCTCATAAAATCATTTCTCTACCCCAAAACAGCCTCATTTCAAAAAAACTAACCTTTTTCGATAACTCCAACCACGTATTCCTCACATTCTGTCGTTCTTCATATTCTTTTGGTGCAGATATAATACAAATCAATAAATATGTCTCATCCAAAACTTTTTCTCGTTTTCTCTCCAATTTCTCATAACTCGGTTGATCAAAACTCGAAGTTCCACATCCGATTGTCAAAATGATTGTGCAAATTGTACAAATGCTAACTGCAGCTATCAAATAAATCTAAAAATCATTACAGGATATCCACAACTACAGTTTCACTCACTTTCAAAAATCGCATATCATTCCTAAAAAAATATGAATGAATTGTAAAATCTTTGATAAATTTCTGAAATATTCGTGTAAAGTGAATAAACTTTCTGTGAAAATCATAGGAAAAAATTCAGAATTCTCGAGAATAAAATTCATGTAGGTGAAGAAAAAAAGAAACAAGAAGAGAGGAAAAATATGTTCAAAATATATCACATGGACTTGTTGTAAAAAGAGGAAAAATATGATTATTATTCTAATGAAATGTCTAGACCAGGAAAATATGGAAAATGTACAAAAACTGGGGGAGATTCTAGTGATATTCTTGTTCGGCGGCTGATTGAATAACATATTTAACTGCAAATGCAAGTATGACCACGCCTGCAAGCACCATTAGATTGGAAACCAGTGAACTGATTCCTGATGAGCTTTCTTGTTTCCTGAATTTGAAAAACCTAATTAACAGATTTCCAGAGATAACGTTAAGCACACTGAAACATTGTTAGAACATAAAAAGGCCAGCACAAGAACACAAGAAAGCACATCAAGACAGGAAAACACAACACATTTTGTGACAATCACAAGACTCACTTCAATTTGGCTTTTTCTTCCTGTTCTCTAATACTCGCTTCTTCTGTACTACTCATTTCTGCCAATTCTTTCTTGATTTTTTCAGCTTCTTCAGCGAACACAGTGCAGAATGTTTTGTCGCGTAGATTGAAGCCCTTACTTCGCAATGCTAGAATTCTTCGCTCTTCCTCGCTTGTACTAATACTTCCTAATGTTGGTTGATTATCATTCATGAAGGACATTAATCCGGTGATGATTGTGGATACCTGGAAATAGTTTTATTGGGAGAAGGTTAAGAAATGGGATTCAATTTTAAGGATCTACCAACAAAGAAACATTTTCAAAAATGTCTCACCGTCCACGCTGGATTCCACGTATCCGGATGATAATCCGAAATCGAAAGACATAATCGTGTATTGGTTTGAAATCTTCCAGACGGTGTTATCATATAAATCGATGGTGGTTTGAAGGGAAAATCTTTGGGAAACACCAATTTCCCATGATAAATTCCACCTTCGTATGGAGTTTTTGGCGCTCCATAGATAATGTATCTCCATTCGAGAATATTTGAATCAAGGGGAGCGGCTTGCATAAATGGAACTGGCTCTCTGAAGATAATTTACATTCACTTTCTGCTTTAAAAAAATATTTAAATAACTCACTTTAGTAGTCTCTGATAATCTTTTTTCAATCTCATTGTTGCTGTAACTGAAGCGTCTGGCATTTTTCTGAAAACTCCCACCAATATATTTTTTTTTCAAATGCAATTTCAAATAAATATGTATTCAGCGGTCAATAAACCATTAACTAACCAAGTTTTGAAATAAAAAATAAAATAGAAAAAATATGTTTATTGTTAAGGGAAAAATGCAAAATGAAAGAAAATCGAATGGGAAACCGAAATGGAAGATAAACTGGAACACGCTCAATCGGGAAAAAAAATCGGGGGTCGATATAAATATTGGAATCGGAATTGGAGTAGGAATAAAATAAACATGACGAGTTGTATTGAAGAAATAAATATCATTGGTGAACAAAAAAAGATAAAAGAAGAAGAAGAGGGCGGTGGTTTAAGATCAGACTAAAGCATGAGGAAAATGTATATTTATATACAGAGATGGATGGAACTAAACGACACTACGAGAATACTTTGATGTTGATGCTGAAGGGAGGGCAAATACATAAACAAATACTTTTGTAAGAATCAATCTAGAACAATAACATCTTCTTGTTTTTTGCCCAATGAATTCATATTATTATTCGTTGCTGCTGCAACACGTTGTCTTTTCTCTGGGATAACTGGATTGTTAGAAGAAGAATTAGTTGGAAGGGTTCGTTTGATGTGATTAGTTACCTATAAAAATAATTCGTGATATTTCCAATTGATTGATATTTTACCCACGTACAATAGTTGGAGCTGCTGTTTTGCTGGAATTCCATTCGGCAACAAGACTTGGGAAGAATTTGCAGAATTTTGCATCCTGAAAAAAATCGATGTTTTTTTTAGGTTGCTAGAGTGTTTTGAACCTACGGTAAGATTGAACTTCTTACTGTCCTTAGCCAATTGTTTTTTGGTTTCAGGTGTTGTTGAAACAACACCAGCAGCATGTGAATTTTCATTCATAAAACTCAACAAACCAACGAGAATCGATGCAACTGTCCATCCTGGATTCCACGATTCTGGATGATAGTCAGAGATTGACAAGCACAAACGAACATTCACATCGAATCTTCCATTTGGAGTTGTCATATAAATAGATGGTGGAGACCAAGGGAAATCGGGTTTGAAAATGATTTGTCCCCAGTAATAGCCGCCCTCATAAACTGTATCTGGTGATCCTCTCATACAATAGTGCCATTCGAGAATATTTGCGTCGTTTGGAAGTGCAATGATTCCATCGACTGGATCTTGTTGAAGTTTTGCATAGTCTTTTTGAAGACGACGAACTGCACCAGGAGAAGCTTCGTGAGCTGGAGCAACTATGATTCTTTGCATTTCGTTTTCTAATTTACAACCCGAACGATGACCCTGGAAAAAAAACGAGATAGATGAAAAAAGTTAAAATTACAATTTAAAATACTTGATTCGAAATCAACGAATAAAAAATTCAAATTTGAAAAAAAAATCAATAAATCAAACAAATTTATTCAATAAATTATGTATTTATACATACACCAATTGCTTCTAGAAGTCTCTGTAAAAAAAACATATGAAATTGAGTAAATGTTGATTTAACTTACAGTAAATTACCAGACAAATCATTTTTTGCTGGTGTTGGAGCAGTGGGAGTTATTGAACCAGCTGGTCGAGTACTTCGAATCTGCAACAAAATCGATCAATATATAAAACACACCAGGTAAATTCAATTCTTACCACAGATCCAGAAGATGGCGGTGGTGGAAGAAGAGGAACAAATCCATTATTGGAAGATTGAACTGGTCTAGGTCTTGCTGGTCCACTTCCATCTTTCTTTCCGATGTTTATTGAAATAGTTTGACCTTCTTTGAATGCAAGATCAAGACTTGGACCAGCTGAAGCATCTTGTTTTTCGAGTTCTTCGCTTCGATTTAAATAACGGAAATGATCCTGAAATGCGATACGAAATATACTCATAAAATAATGTGAGAAGAGATTTATGAGAATATTAATTTAAGTACAAATCATAGGAAAATGTATCAGAGTTACCATGGTGATTTTAGGGGTGTGATTTGACAGATTTCGGTAGTTTTATGAACACTTTATAAAGCGTTATACATTTTTTTTTAGATAAGAAAGATTTCTCAATAACCGCAATGAACAAATAGATTTAGAAATCATGCATGAGAAATGTTGCGAAATATTAATTTTTTTTTCTAGAGAACATACCTGTAGGGCAACATTCAAATCGAAAGCATCACTTCTTTCTTGAAAACCACATCCAACAAACGCAACTTGCCCATTATCATTTTGTAATCTTATCACAAAATATCGTGAACTGTCAGAAACTGATTCGAGCGCCTGACCAGGATGTGTTTCGATTGGACATTTTGCATATAAATCACCAGAATCACCATCTTCCAGGCGAATCTCTACTTTATTTCCAATTGAAATCAATCGCATACGACCAGTCCAAGCAGGATTGTCCAAACTCCATTCACCAGCTCTGAAAATGAAAGCATACACTATTGAAAATATGTTTTGCGACTAACTTGTGGCCTCCTGTTCCCAAAGGCGGAATGCGATATACAAAAATCTTCGGTTTCACTAGAAGTACACGTTCATAATCGGCCATTTTTTAGGAATATAAGTTGATGAAACACAAAAAACAAAACAAAAAAAACAGAAAGGAAACTGAGTATCGATTTGTTGTTTTCGGCCAACTAGAAAAACTCGGCCACGGCCATTTTTCAAAAAAATAAAATTTCGGCGCGAAATTAAAGATTTTGAGCGTTCTAGAAGTTAGATAACTCAGAGAAATGGGCTGGAGAACCGACGGAGAAAACGACCTGTCGGCGAACTTTCGGACAACCGGTGGACAAAAGTTTCGGCGAAATAGTGTAGGTGAGACACTCCGCCGGTTGTCCGAGAGTTCGCCGACATGTCGTTTTCTCCGCCGGTTCTCCAGCCTGTTTCTCTGAGAATTTTCAATCTGATCATTTAGATTTGGAAATGAAAATACTCAAACGTTTTCCACCCTCCCAAAATGGATTTTGGGTTTCTAATGTAAGAAATAATTGATTTTTGGTGTTTAATTTTTTCGAATATCTTCTTTCTGCATAAATACTAAGGAAATGCACATTTCACTTACGAACTTTCGCGCAAAACTTGGGAAAATATTCTAGGAATGGAAATTTTGAGGTAAAAAATTCCAGACTTTTGGTTTTGCGTGGGCTTAAATTTCAAGTTTTATTATCTATAAAAATGGCTTCTACTTCTGATTTTCCTAGATTACACCAAAATCTCAAAAAAATCTACCAGGTCCAAAAGCGACAGCAAAAAAATTTCGAAATGAAACATTTTTCAAAATTTAAATAAACATTTTCCCGCGCAGGTACGGTATCCATCTGTGTTTGCATCCGCGCCAACATTTTAAATGACGCGAATTCGCGAATTTAATTTCATTTTTTTTTCGAAAAGTTGTTCAGCTGAATTCATTCATGAATTTATGTCAAGAGGACGGAATCACTGTGTCCTACCCGCTGAAGAAAACTGAAATGCCTGTTTTTCTATTTTGCTCATTTTTTGAATTCCGTCCTCGTATTTATGCTTGTGTTCAGAGCAACATTTCGAAATTCGTTTATACTTAGAAATTAGATAAGAATCAAATATTTATATTGCATCCAACGAAATATTTTCATTTCAGAAATGTCGTTCATCATAAACGGTTTATCAAAACTGATTGGAACAGCTTTACCATGTTTTTATTCTTATAAATTGCTGAAGAAACCAACTAACGAAAAACTGGTGAGTTTTTCCTAATTCTTTACAGAGCTCTGAAATTAAATATCAATAAAAATAACTTAAAGAAACAAGTTACACAATATTGGACTGTTTATGGAGCTTATTCGACAATCGATTGGATAGCGAAAACATTTTTCATCGCATGTCTCATTCCATTTTATGATGTTTTATCGTTAATGTTTGTACTATATATCACGATTCCCCAAACTGGCGGATCAAATTTTGTATATAAAAAGGTTGGAAGTTTTGAATTCCTTTCAATTTCTATAAAAATATTGTGTTTTCAGATTCTTGCTCCCTTCATTCGTCAAAAAGAACGTGCCATCGACAAATGTTTGAATACTGTTTATCAAAAAATCTGGGATTTTGCCCCGTCTCTTTTATCGAATGCTGCCAATTCAATTTTTACAATGCTTGGTTCAATGACAACAACAACTTTCCAACAATCGATTGTACAATCTGCAGAAGAAGTTCAAGAAGATGAACTGAATATTTCCGTGGATGAAAGTGTAAGTTCGGGTTTTTGATATTGTAATAGAATTTTTTCTACTTAATCTCATGTTAGTCCTAATCCTCTAACTATACTCTTTTCAGGATAATGTCGTCGAAGTTAAACTGGAGCCAATTGACTACACATATGGAGATGATGATGAAGTTATTGTAAGTTTATTTTGAATTTTTAAAATGATAATTTTCTTAATCCCCAAATTTTGAAACGTGAACTTTTGCGTGGATTTAATGAAAAATGCAATTTTCATAATTTCTGAATAGTTTTCAAAAATCACAAACAACATTTCTACCAAAGTTTTAGTTTTCAAATCTTATTTTTCAGATTGTCGAGAAGCGTGGCCGTGGAAAATCACGTAGAACATCCGCAATTCCAAATGTAACTTGTCGTCGTTCGTCTCGAGTTGCTTCCAAATCACCTCCAATTGATTCGAATTGAAATTATTCCGAAATAAACGATTAGGTCCCCGATCAACCAAGAAAAATACATCTTCTTCGTCAGGAAAAAAAACGAAGAGAAAATATGTCTGCGTCTCGTTCACTCTCGCTCGTCCATTTAATCAATAGGGAACAGCGACGGCGGCGCGGCGCCCTCAGCCAAATGTTTCTTCTTTTTTTTTCGTTTTTCTCTTTCTTTTTTTCGTCTTCTTCTTCTCCTTCTTTTCAAAACCTTTCCATACATACACACAAATAGTGCTAGAGAAAAAGAACAAATACAGAAAGAAAAACGAAAAACGAAAGAAGAAAAAAGGTATACATAATATTATGTAGAAACACGAATATATACATTTTAGGTAGGTGATTCGAGAGCGCCACCCCCACTTAACCAAACTAAATCTTTTTTTGATGGAGAAAAATGGAAAGAGGTTGGCCTTTAGCATAATTAAAGAAAACTTGATTTGACTTGAAAAAAGTCTCGTTTACGACTACTAAATTAGATCGGGTATGAAAAAAGATTAGAAAATAAGAAACATGTCGAAGAGTTTAAGGAACAAGATTCCAGTTTTCAAAAATTCTAGAGCTTTTCAACTCTAGTTTTAACCCCGATAATTCCTCGAGATATATCCACGATTGTGTGCGATAGGGCAAATTTGATTGCCTATGTGTTATGTTCTAACTTTTTTTGAAATATGGAAACTTTCGGGAGCATTTTAGTCCTATAGATTTATCACAAGTTCCCCTAGAGAAACACAATCCCTTTAAACTAATTGACATTTTCTAATCTTGATAAATCCCTTAACTTTGAGGCTTCACTGAAAACATAATTCGATCATGGATAATTTTAGAAATATCTAATCCAATCCAATTTTATTCTCTCGAAAATGTGTTATTTTTATAGCCCTTTTTCCTCCATGTGTCCCCGTTTTTTTTTTTCAGATTTCATTTTTTCATTGAGAATTTGAAAACAAGCGATAAATAATTGCACCCATTCGAAGATTGAAGAAATTTAAATCCTCTTAAAAATCGACCCTTTTCAATATTTTCTTTTCAAAATTTGTTTTTATTTATTTATTTGTACATAGTATGGACTATATGTATGTACATTTTGAACTGATGAATAGTGGCGAGCGAGCGAAGCAAAATAAAATGTCAACACATCGAAATTTGAGATGATGGAGAATAGAAGGAAAGAAAAGTACTAAAATACTTATTTGTCTGTTCGTTTTTTTTAATTTTATTCGAAAATGGATTTCAGAGACATTGGGTACAAATTAATTGTAGGTACACTATATTTTATCAAGATTATTTGTATTTTAAATCTGATTAATGAGAAGAAAAATTTAGTACATGTGTACCCAAAAGCTCCGCCTTTTTCTCGATGAATAGGTGCAAAATTTTACCTTGGAATTTTTTTGGGTTTTTTAATTTTAAGTCTGATTTTAGGAATTTTGGAATCGTGTAGCGGTAAATTTATCAATGAAAATTGTTTTTCTTGAAATCAGGAATAGAGTATGAAATATCTGAAACCTCAGAATTTCGGACCACAAAATTAAATAATTTTTTTTTCATTTTTAAAACTACTTGTCTTCGAAAATCAAAAAATAAAACCTGGATAATTTGGAATTTTTTTAAAAAGTTTTTGCTCACATTTTCTAGTCTTAAAATCTTTCCCCAAACTTTTCACCGGAAATCGAGGCAAGCAATTTCAGATCAAAACAAAATATGTTTACCCTAAAACCTCTCTCTCTCTCTCTTTCAAAAAAATATAAAAAAATAGATTTTCCTCAATAAATCTACAGTACTCCCACTCATTCGGTGTTGTTCCGGAAGCCACAAAAAACAAAACAAAAATATTATTTTGTTAGATACCTCCCTGTATCAAACAAAAAATTGGTTAACCCCCCTGCCGGGGGCAAAAACAGTCACCTGTCGTCGCAGTTTTTTTTCATTTATTTTCAATATCTCTTTTTCTCTCTCTCTCTCTCTCTCTCCTTTTTTTTCTTCGTTTTTTTTTTCACAATTCGTTCGTTTTCCCTCAAACAGTGTAAACACTCTCTCTCTATGTCTCTCTCTCTCTCTCTCTCTCTCTCTCTCTCTCTCTCTCTCTCTCTACGTCTCTCTCTCTCTCTCTCTCTCTTCTTCTGTTTTTCTATTTTTGAATATCTCTCGCTTGCCAATTTCTCCAACCACCCGACCGTCTCCAATTTTTCGCATCTCTCCACGTTTTCCCATCACAGTCTGCAATGTTTTCCCTCATTTTTTCCTCGTTTCCTGCGTTTCAGAATCTCTAGTTTTCTCTATGACTTCGTTTTGTGTGTGTGTGTGTGTTTGTATGTGACACTGAAAATTGTAACTATTTTTGTGGTTGGAATTTTTTTTGGGAGTTTTTAATTTAAATCTGAAATTTTTTTTTCTGAAATTTAATACCGAGAGCTTCTTATCTGTGATTATCTCTTCCCTCGAAATATTTTTCAAAAAATCTTCTTAAATCTTCTAAAAAAAATTTCATTTTCCTGTCAGTTTTATTTTTTTTTTATTTATTCATTTATTTTTTTCGGAAAATTTTGTTTGAATTAAGTTTCAAATTTCATTTTGAGTTTTAAATTTTTTTAGAGAAATTCAAGAAGGTCTTACAGTACCTTTAATTATCCTAAATTAATTAGCCTAAATTACAGTAACCCGAAACAGTACGAAAATCCGCATTTTTTAAAATTTGAAACATTTTTAAAATTCCTACGATTGAAAAAATTAATTTTGAATAGACCTAGAGAAATTTCCAATTTTGTAGCAAAAATTGTACTCGCAACATTTTTTGATTGAATACGATTTGAAGTCCAAACTAGATATTTTTAGTTCTGAATTGTTTGTTTTGTAGATAAAATCAAGAATTGTGTTTTCATCTACAGTAATATTCTGCATATTTCGAAACCTGAGTCAGTCACCTGATAGAATTTTTTTGGAGTGAAAATGAAAACTGTCAAACCAAAAACTGGCAACATTTTTTAATTGACGGATTTTTTTTTCAAAATTATCAAATTTTAATTTTAAAATTAATAATCTTATTTTTCACCTACAGTAATTCAATTTTCATAGTTCAAAAAGATCTAGAGACCTTGAAGTTTCAAAAATTTTAATTATTTCATATTTTCTGAAAATATTCAAGTTTTTCCAAAAAAATAAATAATTGATTTATTTTGTCATCTTTTTCCTAATCATCTTCTTCATCATCAAAAAAAAAACTCTATAAAATAGTAATCAAATTAATTTGTGAATGACTGAAAGTGTCGAGTTTTCATCATCATCATCATCATCATCACATCTTCCTATTTCTTCTTCTTTCTATTTTTTTTGCGCTCCGCCCATTATTTGTGCTCAAATTGGGTGCGCGAATTCTGGCCGTCTCAGTCTCTTATTCTCTCACGCACACATACACACTGACTGACTGAAAAAAAGACTCACGTGGCGAGAGCTCCTTCTTCCACTGGCAGCTCCCTCCACTTTTTTTTTCTTCGCCGTTTTTTTCCGTCCAATTTTTTTCTCGCGCGCTCTCAATGCTAAATGATGTGAGGAAAATTGGACGGGGAATTTTTTTGTTTGGTTTGAAAAATCGAGAAGGACCCAAAAATTCTGAATTTCGGATCTCCAAAAAATTTTCTTTTGAAATGTGGTTCAAGAATTCTGAAATTCAGAAGAGAAACATTTCTATCGTAATTTTTATGGAATAAATTTTGCATCATTTTTCAGCTCTGAGTTTCTGGGTCGAAAAAATGTTTTGATTTTTTGTGGGCCTGTTTTTGATCTACTCTAAAAAATGTGGAGACCTAACGATTTAACGCTGTGACAAAAAATTATGGACCGACATTTGAACGGGACAAGCCACGAGCTATATTTTGTAGATAAAAATTTTCCAGAGCAATAGATTTTTCTGACTGTGTCCGTGAAATTTGAGCCAAAACTTTAGGTATTCTAAATTACGATCCTCACATTTTTTTTATTTTTAAAAATCTATTTTTTTTTCCTGTGTCCTCCACATTCAATATAAAAATGTTCCCCACATTCAATTCCATTTTATTTTTTTTTATAATTGCAAATGAAGTTGTGATTGGGTGAAAAGAAAAACACATTTTGTTGATATCTTATCAGTAACTATCGACACATTCATACAGTCTTTTCTTTTTCTCTTCGATTTTTCATTTTTCTTTTAAAAAAACATAGATACATCAAGTGATATCATAGAAACACCTGAAAATTTATTGTCTGAAAAATTTTTGAAAACAATTAAAAGTTTTGGAATTGAGACTGAACTTGAATTTGAATATTGTGGAAGTTCAAAAAAAATTCTGAGAATCATTTACGTTTTCTGAAAAAATTTCAAACTCAAATTTTTTTTCAAAAAAAAAAAAAAATAGGATACTGTAAGATTTTTGAAAGTTTTCATCATTTCTCTCATTTTTTCATTCAAGTCATTCATTTTCGAAAAAATACAAGTTTGGAAAAAACCTGTTCTAAAAAAATTGATTCAAAAACCCATCAATTTTTTCATCTTATCTTTTTTTCGAACATTTTTAATGGCTGTCTCTCTTTTTTTCTCATCAAAATGTGTTTTTTTCGGATATTCTAATCTACCGTAATCTTCCTCTGATAAACTTTAATTCTCTTAAATATATATAATTATTTTTTTTTCTTAGAGCAACGCGTTGATGTTTGCTCCTTCATCGGTATATGCCTATTCTTCACATTCACAAAATGACGAAGATGTTGCGGAAAATGGGTTGAATAATTTGGATGGGCAAACTGAGGGACAATGTATGGTTTGTGGTGATAGATCGGCTGGAAAACATTATGGAGTTATGGCATGTTATGGATGTAAAGGATTTTTTCGCAGAACAATTCGATCGAATCAAAATTATTCGTGTCGATTTCAACAGAAATGTTCGATTGATAAAGATCAAAGAAATGCGTGTAGATATTGTCGATTTCAGCGATGCTTGAATGTTGGAATGGAACCAGATGGTAAGGATCTGTTTTGAATTTTTCGGAAAATAAAAAGGTTTAGAGGTGGAGTTTAGAATGAGTCACCTAGGCAGTTTTGGGGGATTTTTGTTTTTTCATAAGATTTTCCGAGAAGGTCTGGGTGAATTGTGGAACAGGCCCCACCTCAAGTTGGGTCCTCAATCCAACCATAAGATATCTTAATTAAAACCTGCGCCTAATTTCTGGACTTACACGAACTCTGAAAATTTGTAGGCATTTTTGGACCTTTTTTTCTAGAAACCAGCATATTTATGAGAACTCTCAATTTTTCCGAACTGAACCAAAACACAAATCAACCACAACCCCAAATATTCTATCTATATATCCTATAATTTAAAATTTATAGCAATTCGCCCTGATCGTGACGTCATTGGAAAACAAAAGAACCCCCGAAAAAAGAAGATAAAAAGTGAAGATTCTTCATTGCCATCACCTGGATGTGAATCGCCAGTTTCGAACAACGAAGATGTTATTATGACGTTTTTGTTAGAAGTTGAAGAACAAGCGTCGTGTGGAAGTCATTCGGATATTCCAATTGGAATTGCGATGAAACCCGATCCTGATCTTGATGCATCCACACTTTTTCACAGTCAATTTACAAGAAATCAAGAATCCTTTCCAGTAAGATCGCTTGAATTAGCATCTCAACAAATCTATTAAAAAAAAATATTTCAGATTCATTACGGTGTTGGTCGTTCGGCATCTGTTGAAAAATTAATAATCGCCCTTCGCCGATATGTTTTATCCGCAGTTCATTGGATCGACGCACTTTTCGGAATGATTCATCTCAACGACAGTGTTCCCGAAAAAGTCGCACTTCTCAAATCAATCATCGGACCATTCACAGTGTTTCATATTGCTGCGAGAACAGCTCAATTCTCAGACACTGATATTATTTGCCTATGCAACAAAAGTACAGTATCCCGACAGCCAGCAAGACATCTTCTTGACACAAAGTACGGTTTTTGATGAATTAATTTTAATTTGCAAAAAAAAACATTTTCTAGCTTGGTTGGCAATAATTTTGTTGGTCGAGTCATTGATGATCTTGTACTTCCTACAAAGAAATTGAATTTGACAACTCATGAAATCACAATTCTAACAGCATTAATTGTTTTGGATCCAGATGCACGGGGTGTGTCTTTGGATACATCAATGGCACTTTCTGGTCTTCGAGATAGAGTTCAAAATGCATTATTCAACGTGAGTTTTTTCATCTGAAAATAATCTAATGTAAAATATATTTTATGGTTTCAGTTAATCCGCGATACTTCATCAAATATGCAAACAGTGACAAGCAGATTTGGCAATCTCTTATTATTATTCCCTCCTTTGGCAAAACTCAGTTCCTTGATTGGTGAAAATGTTCAACTGGCAAAAATGTTTGGCATTCAAATCGATCCACTTCTCGTTGAACTTTATGCTGAAATCGATTCGCCGGAAGTTATCTCGAATACCCGGGAGAAGAGTGATGTTTCAACTCAAACTTCATGCGATTCGGATGATTCGAATGCAACTTCTAGTTCGGGAGTTGTTAATGAATGTGATAGGATTGAAGAACAATTGAGAATGATGCAAGAGAATATGGTCGTGAGGGGTGATATTTCGGGATTATTACCAAATTTTGATGGTTAGTTGGGTCAAAATTTTGAATGTAGCTAGAATTTTTTGAGTCAAGAGTCTCGACAAAGCTTAGCGAAAAATTGAAATATTTTTGATCTACCAGAAAAAAATTGGATCAATTTTTTTAGGTTCAATGCTGCCACCATCAGTAAATCCATCAACATCATCCTCCTCAGCAACAGTTTCAAATCCCTCATTCAATCCCTTCTACTTTCCAAACATTCCAAATCTCTCAACACCCAACAATTCATCATCATCCTCCTCAACAATCGATTTTCAACCTCATTCCGCTCCACCAACCGCCGCCTATCATCCACACCAAACATTTTTCGATAGCGCACCATCGACCGGAATGATTCACAATCAACCATTTCGGTTTGTTTGACCGCGCCACCCAAATTCCTTGTCGCATAATTTCTACTAGTTTCTTCTTGTAAAATTCAAATCTATGTATCGAATGTGTGTTTTTTTTCTGTGTGTTCCCCCCAATTCAAAATTTTTTCAACAAAAAAATCCCCGATATTCAGGAATTTTTGTAGGAATCGATTCGACTATCCCTGTCCCCCTCCCTATTTTTTTGCCACAAAGTCCTAGATTTATTGTTTTATTATTGCCACGTGTCGTTGTTTTTTGGTTCATTTTGTTCCCCTCGAAAATGTAACCTATTTAGTTTTTTATCAGTGTATATATTTTATTTTTAAGTCCAAAGAGAAGAGTTTTCGGCATTTTTTGTGTGTTTTTTTTCAATTTTTTTTTGGTTAGATGATTCGTTCAACAAAAATCCGAGTGAGATAAATATATAAGTACCCGCCCCTCCCTTATTTTCAAATGTACAATGATTATTATTAAAAATAAAATGAATAAATAAATATTTTTGAAAATTAAACGTGACACAATTCTAAATATCAAAGCTGATTTTCCCCCAGAATCCCCATTTTTAACAACTGTTTAAATTCAAACCGGTGAGTTTTAAAAGAAATTCAGTCTAGAATTTTGCAAATGTAAAAAAAACGAATGTTTTCAGAATGTTTTCATATTTTTTATTATTTCATTTTATTTTTTGCATCAGCTCTCAGGATATCGAAATTTACGGAATCGATGATAGTCGCAGGTAATCAGGGTTACTGTAATTCAAAAATTTGTGGAACATTTTTTGGTGAGACTGAAAAATTTAGGGTACCTAAAGTTAGGCCAAAAGGAAACTACAGTAATCTGGAAACTTTCAAAGTCTGATTTTAGGAAAAATTTCAAGATTTTTATTTTTTATCCAAAATTACAGTAATCCTCAAAATATTGAATTTCAATATCAACATTTTCAGAAAAGAAATTTTCCATAGCGCATCAAAAGTGGATGTTTTTGGAGAAGATGTTTCGATGATCGAAAAAGCCTTTCTCTCATCATCTCCAGCGTGTACTTCTCAAGATATCATTCTTCAAAAAGTGGATTCCGATAATAGCACTCAAATTTTCAATACACTTCCGCATGTGGCAACATTTCAACTTGACACAGAAAAATCCAAAAAAATCGATCAAACAACAACAGAAATCTTCTTCTTCTGCACAAATCCGGCGAGTTTTGAGTTCAATTCGGTGATTGCGATTGAAAGTGAATCAAGTGAGACGGGAAAAGGAATTTGTGAGAAATTTCGAAAAGATTTTCAGATCATCCATGGCTTCCAATATTGATTGCTGTTTTCGTTGCTCTCTTGATCATGTCAGCGTTGTTTTCAGGATTGAATTTGGCGATCATGTCATTTAGTATACAAGATCTAGTGGTAAGTTTTGCCAGGAAAATTGGGAGTTTTTTTTAAAGAAATTTTCGATTTCATGAATTGCAAAACGCGGAGCCTCGTTGTTTTCTTTTATTTCTTTAAAAATTTTTTCCGGGAAGATGACTATTTGTATAAAAATACTATTTTCAGCTGATTGAAGAATATGATACATCAATAGTGAATCGAAAAAGAGCCACAGATGTTCTTCTTGTTCGCCGACACACCAACTTCGTATTATGCTCAATAATCACTGGAAATGTTTTATGTAACACACTTATTACACTTCTTCTCGATTATTTTGCTGAAGCTGCAAATTTCAAAGATTCGATTGTTGTTGAAGTGACATCGACTGCTTTTCAATTGATATTCACAGAAATTCTTCCAGCATTGGTTTGCACAAAGTGGGTTGGCTTTGGCCAAGTTCATTCCATTTTTCTTTTTTTTTTCAGAAAAGCATTATACGTTGCGAGCAAACTGCATTATCTCGTCATATTTTTCATGGTCTTCACATTTCCTTTAACTTGGCCGATATCGAAACTATTAGATATAATGGTTGGAAAAGATGATAGTGATTCGAAAAATGTGGATGCTGATGTTTTGATGGGATTGCAAGGAGAGGAAAATTATGCGAGTAAAGATTTTAATGAAGTTGTCACACTTGTTCGAAACACTTTGAAATTGAGAAGAAAAAAGGCGTCGGATATTATGACACCAATTGAGAAGGTATTTATGATAAGTGATCGACAAGTTATAACGAGACGATTTTTGAATGCGATTGTTTCGAAAGGACATACGAGATTGCCAGTTTGTGCTGCTGATGATGCGAATACGGTAAGTGGGATTTTGTTTTTGATCTACAAGAAAGTTTCGAAAATTTCCGGAAAAGTAAATATTTTTCAGATTCGTGGTGTTTTGAATGTGAAAGATCTAGTTTTGATGTTAGCTGATGATGTTTCGGCAACAAAATTAACAGCTGGAACACTTTTGAGTGTATTGTCGAAAAGCATGATTGTAAGAATATTTTCTTGCAAACAAAAGTAATCCACTTCCTTTTTTCCAGTATCGTTTTGTTTTGAGTACAATGCCTGTCCCAAATTTGATGGTTGAATTAGAATCGGGTTGTCCAATGGCAATTGTTGTTGAATATCCCCCGAAACCTCCACTTGTCTCACAAAACTCTCCATGCAAAAATGGCTCGGCTGGTGCCATCAATTTACCATATCGTGTTGTTGGAATCGTAACTTTGGAGGATAATATTGAGGAAGTTGTTGGCGAGATTCTTGATGAAAAGGATATTCAAATGCCCACTTCGCATTCGCATGAGATCTCGAAACCTGAGACAACTTATCATAACAAAAGTGAGGTTTCCAGGTCAAAGCTTAGTGTTCTTAGTAAATGTCATCCGAATAAATGATTCCTCGAAACATGAAAAAGAAAATATAATATTTTTCTTTGAAAACAAGAATTTATTAATTAATACCATCTTCTTTGCTCATTTGGAGACCAATACGCTGTTGATGGATTATTTGAAGGACTTGCATATGATGGATAATCATTTCTACTATACTGATCTGGTAGAGATCGACGTTCTGTTCGAATTCGATCACGGCGATTACGATAACCTGCGGGAAGACCATAATCGGGTCCCATAGATCTACAAAATATTTAAAATAAAAATGGGCATTCTAGAAAAAACTCACTGTGATTCTTCTCTTGGTTGCGCAATACTTAGACCAACTGAAACGCCATTTACTACAAGAGTTCCTTGTCTGGAAAACATTGTTTTGGATTACGACCTGCGCGAATTCCTGAAAATTTTTTGAAAACTAACCGAACAATTTTCTCAGCTGCTTCAACACTTGATAATGTGACAAAAGCAAATCCTCGAAATGGTTTTGGAATAAATACATCAGTTACAACTGCAGTTTCAATAAGTCTTTTAGCTTCATCTCCAAACACGGTTCGAAGTGAATTTTCGTCAACTTTATCCGTCAATCTTCCAACAAAAATTCGACTGATTTTTCCGGTTCGGTCTTTTCCTTCAGGAACTTTGACATCACATCGTCGACCATCGATCATATGTTGAGGAATACTTATTACTTTACTTTGCTCTTCAACAGTAGCCATTCGAACAAATCCAAAACCTTTCGAATTTCCATCATTCTTACGTTTAATCTGTATATTAGTGAGATTATTAGAGTTAACATCTGAAAAAAATGCTACGCTTAATTGTAAGTGTTAAATTTGATCTAGAATCCTCTCATCAAAACACACACAACTAACAAACCTCGCAGAACACGACACTTCCCAATTTCTCGAAATACTCTCTGAATTTCTCGTCACTCGTATTGAAGTCCACTCCAAGAACAATCAAATCAACCGGCGGTTGCACTTCTCCGCAATCGGCATTTGTAGCCGACGACGAATGAGTGTCACGCGACGGATGATTATCATAGTCTTGTGGTAACGCACGCTTTCTTCCCGATCTTCCCGATGAGGCATCTCTTCCGTTTCCGCCGCCACCGTCATCAGAATCCGACTCTTCACTCGAACCCACTTTTCGTCTCTTCGCACTCGAAACATCTCCTACAACTCAACTCACACTCACCAGTCAAATAACAGTGGGCACACAACAATTTTTCAAATTTTGTTTTGTTGGGAAAATGATTTTTTGAAATAGAAAAAAACTAACTTGGCGCAACAATAACCGCAAATGTTTTATTTTCCCAACCATCCGCAGGGGCGAGAAGTTTGATTCCAGTTGGATCGACTCTGAAAATAAGTGTTTTTAGGATAATTCAATTTTTTTTTTGAAAAGAAAAACATTACTGCACAGCACGATTGGCTCCAGTTTTCGGATTCTTGAATTTGAGCCCAGTAGCTCCGGGAAAAGAAGATTGTAGCGTGGTTATCAGAACATTCCCTTCAGAAGTAGGCAATTCGATAACTTCATCACTATTCGGATCTTGAACAATAATATAATCCACAATCTCGGGCGCTATTTCTGGCTAAATAATTTTCAATTTTGATTTTTAAAACAATTTCAGAAAAATTCACAAACCTCAGTTTTCGCTTCATTTTCATTTTCAACAACAGGTTTTTCTCCATCTGAAACTACTGTTTCAACTTGTCCATCCTCAGCCATTTTCCAAATCCCTCGGTGTAAAGAGTTTTCGTGGTCGAAAAGTGTAAAACTCCGAAAATTGATGCTTTTTTTGCCAGTGTGTGCAAACACCGCAATGCACACATGTTGACCGTAGTCTTTTTTAATATTTTTTTTTTCATTTCACGTCAAGAAGTGCATTTTAGTGTTTGTTGATGCTAGGTAATGTCGGATAGGGAAAAAATTGAATTCAAGCAAACTGGAACATCGAGTTGGAAGTTAAGGTAAGTATATATTTCTTGAAAAACCAAAATAATCAGGTTTTTTTCAGATTGCATCAACTTTTACGACTTCCTGTAACTAGAACGGGTCCCGCAATTGTTGTAACAGCAATTTTATATTTGACTGCATATAATGTTGGTGTTCGATATTGGAAAGGTGAGAATCATCCAATAAATCGATTTGGTTGGCGGTTACAAGAACAAAATGGTCAATTAGATCCTCTTCTGGTCGCCAAAAAAGAAAAGGTAAACTTTTGATCAGCCGTATTCTTCATACGAATTCTGAAATTTTCAGGTGCTCGCTTATCACAATTCTCGATTTTATAATGCCCGTGATACTCCTCCAAATTTGCAATATTAGGAAATTTTTTAGATTCATATTCAAAAAAATAAAAGTTAAAAATTATTTATCTCTACATCTTCGAAAAAAAAAACAAAACTCAAAGTTTAGTTTCTACGCAAAAAAGTTTATCGATAGGTTCCATATTGCTTCTTGTGGTTTCCCCAATATTCCGGATCCGGAGCCGATGCTGGAGGAATTCCGAGTTCCTCGTCGGTGAATTCAGACAAATATGGCATGTACCAATGACCCTGGAAAATTAGTGGGATAAATTAAATCAGAAATATTTTTTCGGGGGAAAACTTACAAGAATATGTCCAGAGTGGTAGTACATGTGATAAGAAAACCAAGCCCAAATAACAGCCGAAATGAAGTATGAGAGAACTCGATCAATGTAAGTACGGCCAGTAGTTGGAGTACGGTAGAAATAACTGAAAATATTTTAGAATTACGATAAGTTTGAAAGTGTTTAGACAGCTATTTTTTGAGCAAAGACCACCCACGAAGCCTTAACAAAAAATGAAAATCACTCACTCTGGAATTGGTTTATCTCCCTTTGAAATTGTACCACGATAATCTCCATCATAAGTGTGCAATTCGGGATTTTCCGATGCTCCCATTCTTCCTCCAACAGGAACATTCGGTCCAACCGCATCACTTCCCCAAGCGAAACGATTTCTCGAGATAACGATTCCACGAGAGCGAAGTTGGCGAAGAGCCAATTGGGCTACAAATCGATTTCCACCCAACATCTGAAATTCGGCATTGGGGAGATTTAGTGAAACTTGAAAAATATATGGAGCCCGATGAAAACGGGTGAAAAATATATTGAAAAATGAGCGATTTTAAACGGAACAATTTTGTATCAACAAATAAATCAACAAAAAACAGAAAAAAAAATTAAAGGAAGAATCGTCGTCGAGAAGTTTCCATTTCGTGACGCTGAAAAATAGGAATTTCAATACATAATCTGATTCCAAAGGTCAAACTAACTTTAAGAACCCATTCGAATTCTCCCCATTTCGCATCAAATGTTCCCTTTTGCAACCATTTTAATCTCAATGTGAAACGAGGTCCCAATTCCAAAAGCGCCGCTTTTTCTCCTTCTTTTTTGAATTCGTATCGATGATGTCGGAAGAAGATGTAATCTCGTTGATTGTGGAATGTGACAACTCGACGGCCGGTGAATTTTGGATCGTGTGGGAATAGACAAGCCAACATTCGAGCGATGCTAAGAAAATTATTTTATTTTGAAATGTATGTGGTTCAGGATGAAAAAAAACTCACTTGTGACCAAGTCTGGTGTTGAAATTGTTCAAAATAATTTCCGGGAAATGAGAAGTCGACTCTCCGAATTTCTAAATCACAATTAATTTCAATATTATTTTTTTTTCGAAAATTATCTCAAAAATACCTTCAAATCTTGTGTGAATGTAAGACTATTGATTTTGAAATATGCAGTTGGCCCTTCTGGTAAATGACAAAGAATGATTCCAGCTGAAAAATGTTTTTTATTTTTTTTCAAGTTCGAAATTTTCTTACTTGGTTTTTTGCGATCCTCGTGGACAATTAGGAGATCAGTGAATTCTCGTTCCTTAGCTTGTTCGATGATTTTTTTCAACAAAACATTTTTTCTTGAATAAATTTCTGCGTTTGGAATACACTTTTGAAGTTCATAGCAGAATTTCCATGTTGTCTGAAAGAACAAGAAGAATTTCAGATTTACATTAGTTTTGATTAACTAACCAATTTAGATTTCGGAGACATAGTTATCATAACTTTTGGCGATGTTTCTCTTTTAAAATACGATGAAAATTCATCATTTGCCTCATCATGTTCAACTTCATCATCATCTTCATTCACCATAGTTGCATCGTATTCTCTTGTACTTTCAATTGTTTTTGGAACTTCTTTTTGAGGTGCCGAACCACCAAGTTCATCACGAATTTTCTGTCTTTCTTCTTGACGAGCTCTTTTGTCCTGAAAATATTGAAATTTATAAAAATAATATATTTATGAATAAGGCATCTTACCTTTTTCAATGCTTTTTTCAACGCTTTTCCTCTCTCATTTTTCGGCAAATGTTTGAAATCATCCTTGTTTTTTGTTGCCGCAAGTTTTGACTCTTCATATTTCTTCAATAATTCCTGAATTTTCTCATCAGTCAACTCGTCTTCTTCTTCTTTAACTTCAGTTTTTCTTTTTCTTTTTTCGGGATCTCTTCCTCTTCATCTTCTTCTGGAAAGTCTTCGGTCACTTCTTCTTCAACAAAATCGAACATTGGACCATCTTCATCTTTTTTCGATTTCTTTGCTTTCGATTTATTAATTTTGCCCATCTAAAAAAAATTGATATGAAAAAGCAAAAAACGTTGTGTCAAAGATAAATTATCTGGTTTTTGAAACCACGGAAGAAAAAAAAATCACAATAAAAAAGGCAAGCGCTATATTCAGATACCGGTAAAATGAAAATGTAAATAACCGAAAAAAATTATCATAGATCTTCTTTTGTTGAGCGTCGTATTTCATAATTCCGTTCAATTTCTAGATCAGTTTTTGCATCGACACGTTTACAACCAGAAGAAGAGAAGGCTTTTGAAGTCGGTGGATAATACTGAAAATTATGGACTTAGAAAAAATACTATCTAGAAAAATTACCTGCAAGCCATTCAAAATCTTCGTGATAACTTCAACATTATGAATCAAATCTTGTCTATTTCGTTTTATCAAATACGCTTCAATACATTTTTTGACATGTTCTTGTTGAAGTGGTAAAAATGGGACAAAATGATCAATAAGTTGTCGTTTTATCAATTCACTCATTTGTAGTCCACCTTCTTCATTAAATGAATAATCCATTAGATCTTTTTCAAATTGTTCGAGTTTCAATTCTTCTCGTGGTTTTTCTGATTCATATTGTTCAAGTGTCAAAGCTGCAATACGACTTCCACCTTTGTTACTGGAATAAAATGAGTATTAATTTAACTTTGTGAATAAACAAACCTCAGAAAAATGAAAATACTTCTCCGCGAATCTAATTCATCTGACGCATGATAATCGAGATATGGTTTTATAATTTGCAACAATTGAACTGGTAACTTATCAGTTTCATCAAAAATGAACAAAGTTCTTGCACACTTCGCTAAAGCATTCTCAATTATTTCTGATAATTTAGTTTGATAATCATCCATTCTTGTTTTATCTGGGAAATCTTTTGTTGCAACAATATGCTTGACATATTGACTTTTCAGACCATATTTATATGTGTTATTCGCAATGATTTCAGAAACATAATTTTTGCCTGAACCTGTAGAACCGTGGAATGATAGAACTAACGGCTTTGTTGGATTCGGATTTTTCCAATGAGCACGAATTGAATTGACTACAATATCTTTGACAAGATGTTGGCCAAACAAATATTTTTCGATATCTTGCTCGAGTTCTGAATAACAGGAACATTTTTTGAAAGAATAAAAACAATGATTGTACATTTCAAAAATAACTCACTGTAACTTTTCAGAAAAACATCCGGCTCTTGACAACATTCATAAAACTTGCACTTCACTGTGTTTTTCCATATCCACATTCCACCCAATCCAGCTGAAGCTACCGCACCTAAAAATAATTGATGTCTTGCATTTTGAAACATGAAAAAATTACCTACTGCTAAACTGATTGGATCCGCAGACACATTCAATAACAATAACAATAATCCAAAGAGGAAATATCGAACTATCATTGTTTCTGAAATCAGGGATTTTGTGAGAAGAGCGAAGTTATCAAAACAAGGATCCATATTAATTGAGTCGTTTTTCTCAAATTCATTAAATTCGGATCAAAATCAACTAAGAAACTTTTTCTGAAACCAAACCAAAAAATAAAAAAAAATTGTCCGGCGAGATGTTGTGCGTTTGTGCGTCGCTGTGTTTACACACTTTTGAACACACAACTACCGTACTCCAATATATAAAATAATTTTCAACCAGTTGCTCACTTTTTGCAACTTTGGAAAAAGAGGAAACATTATTTGATCAAAGAAATTAATAACAAGTGAATTTAAAATTGGAATATTTATTTGTCAGAAGTTAAAAAAATGAAGTTTTTTTCAAATAATTGGGAAACATTTTTTGAAAGTTCAGACTAAAAGTCACTCGCTGCTTTATCGAGATTCCATATAAATAAATTCAAATATGAGCAATAAATATTTTCTGATGTATTTCACATTTTTTGAATAATTTTCAGATTTCATGAGACTTTGGAAAAATGTTCAATAATGAAAAAAATTCACCGTGAAAAAATTTAACGTGACATGTTGTTTTTGGCCATTTCTGGTTTTTGGGCTTCTGAAAACGACGAAAGATGCTGAAAGAAATTGTAATATTCGTTGCACTTATTTGTGGACTTGTATTGTGCGCCAATCGAAATCCAAATCCGACTTGCAACGCTGCCCCGGAATCGACAGATTTGACATATCGCAGAATCCCAAGACTTGTCATTTTTTTGATTTCAGCGGGAAATGATGGAAACAAAGTTAGTTTGAGACGAAAAATTTCATTCGAATAGTTTTGTTTCAGAAACCTAAAATGAATTATATCATGAAACAAATAGCCTGTTCTATTCCAAACGATGCCCATTTGAAATTGTCTTATTTGTATTACTCAATATTAACATCTAGAACATATTCCTTGTTAAAATATGATTTCGCTCTATTGCGCACGTTGATTGATGAAATATTTAATGGTAAGTTTGAATTTTCCCCAAACATACATTCATTTTAATACTTTTAATCGAAAGTTTTCAAGGCGTCGAGGTTCCAACATGTGATACTTATAAATCAGCTTTGACATTTTTGAAGAACACATATGAGTTAGAGGCATTCCCCGATGTTGATTTGATTGTTCAACGAGCCCCTGGATTAACTGGTTGCGACCTATATGCGGAATTCATTGCGACGAAATTGCCAGCCGAAGTCAAGATGTTCGAAGTTTCCTTCGACGAACAACCAAAATCCCCAGTCAATATGAAATACGACTTGAACTCAATCAATACAGCAGAAGCGAATGATCCAGTGTTGAAAGAAGCTACTGATAAATTGTAAGAAACAATCACCTTCACTACTTCACTTCAATTCTCGATTTTTCAGTGTCAATTCCATCAAATTGGCTCGTTATCCATCTGGATCTGTTGGAAATACAACTTCGCCAAGTTGTCAAGTTAATGGCGGGATCCGTCTCGGAATTTTGTTTGGGGGTCTCGGGTTTGCTTTGATTCTCGGAATATTTTTGGGAATCATAGGAGTTTTCCTTTACTTTATGATTAGAAAACAAATGTAAAAAATGAATGAAAATTGATTACTTGTTATTGAAATTATAGTTGATTTGTTGGATTTTTTGCAGAAAAATAGAGAACAAAATTCCTCACAATTTTCTCCAGTCTCGGAATCGGTGCTGTTCCTGAGGTACTGTAGTTCTGAAAAATTTCGGGTTTTCAGACATGGTTCAAAATTCCGAATTTCAAATACAGTTTTTTCTCATAGATTACATTTTTTGTTGTTGTTTTGAATTCAAATCAAAAATTTCTTTAAAAATTAATTATTTCGGCGTGAAACATCAGAAAAAAAAAAGCCAGAAAATAACAATTTTCATTTTTTTTCAATTTTGAACGTGACCCAATTTTTTTCTGCCCTAGTTCTGTGGCTATTTAAAGGCGGCGCACAATACGTTGCCTCATTGTTCATAGCACCTGCAAGGAAAGGGATCTAAAAAATCTCTTAAAAATCAAGACAAAAGATGCTGAAAGAATTTGTAACATTCGTTGCAATTATTTGTGGACTTGTATTATGCGCCAATCAAAATCCAAACCCAAATCCGACTTGCCAAGCTGCACCAGCATCGACAGATTTGAAGTATCTTAGAACTACGAGACTTGTCATTTTTGTAGTTGGTCCTGGAAAAGATGATGCAAAGGTTAGTTCGTCCGGTAATCCTAATTTTACAATTCGATGTTTTTTTTCAGAGAGAAAAGATTCGCTATGTGATGAAACAGATATCTTGTTCTGTACCCGACAGTATGGCTACTAAGTTCTTAGGTATGCTATATAATGTGGCACCTTCAACTGGAACTAGAGTAACCTATATGCAACTTTCTGATTTGCACACCAGCTTTGTCGCCGACTTCGGAGGTAATTTCGTGATAAATACATATATTATTGAATTAAAAAGACGTGAAAAATAAAAGAACATGAGTGCCTTTACTTTTTTCTACATAAATCCACATCACTTTGTTTATTTCTCACGTTTTTGATTCAAAAATATATTTTTTTTTATTTGCACATTTTTTTGGAAAGTTTCGTGGAACGATAATTATGTGAATATGAGAAGGGCTTTCTAATGAGGAGAGAAGGGCTTTCTAATCAGGTCGAAAAAACTTTAAAGGGGGGGGTAAGACGACAAAATTTTATTTGCTCAATGAATCGGGCTCCTTTGAATAGTAAAAGCCCCGAGGGATTTTTTTTCGAAAGGCCTAAAGGTCCGAAAAAAATATTCCATGAACTTTTTCAACGTATACCTTACGTGGTACCTAGTTTATGGAACATTTTTTCTGGACGTTTCCAGAAAAATCCCTTGGAGGTTTTACTACTTTTGGGGAGCCTTTAACTTTGCGACAAAAAAATTTTGTCGTCTTACCCCCCCCCCCCTCCCCCCCCCCTTTAAAAAAAGCGTTTTTCAACAAAAATTTTTGATTCAGAAAATCTCAAAAAACCGTGTTTTTTCCACACAAAAATGAAAAATATCTCGCAACGAAAATGTGTCAATGAAAAAAATGTCAAAAAATACAACATTCTTTCAGCCAGCGAAATACCATCATGCGAAACATATAAATCAGTTTTGAAATTTTTGAGTAGCAAAACTGATTCATATTCTGGTTTTACCGATGTTGATTTAATTGTTCAACGAGCTCCTGAATTAACTGGTTGCGACTTATATGCGGAATTCAAGGCTGCAAAGTTGCCAGCCGAAGTCAAGATGTTTGAAGTTTCCTTCGACGAACAACCAAAATCCCCAGTCAATATGAAGTACGACTTGAGCGCAATCAATATAAACGCAGACAAGGATCCAGTGTTGAAAAACGCTACAGATACATTGTAAGAAGCAATCACCTTCACTTCAATTCTCGATTTTTCCAGTGTCAATTCCATCAAATCGTCTCGCTATCCATCTGGATCTGCTGAAACCACAACAAAACCTGTGGAAACTGGCGGATACTCTGAATCTGTTTTTTATGGTTTTGTTGCGGGTGCTGGCATTGGCGGATTTCTTTTAGGTGTGGGCCTACTCGTTGCCATATGTTTGATTAAAAATCGCAAAAAGGATGGAAAAGGTGGAAAGAAGGAGGACAAAAAAGCGAAGAAAAAAGACAAGAAAGATAAAAAAGGAAAGAAGGCCGACAAGAAGGGAACCTCTAGTGGTTCAGGAACGAGCACCGGAGCCGATGTCACAGTTTCGGATGTCCATGACATTCCTGCTCCAACCTACAAAGTCTAGAAAATAAATAATTGTGATTGAAATGATGGTCGATTTGTTTGCTTTTTTTTAGAGAATATATTGCATGGGGAAAAATAGATCAAAATTTTCTCTAAATGGCATAGTTTTTTGGAGATTAGACGTAAAATACTGTAGTTTTTTCGATTTTCGGCGGTGTTGAGAAATTTGTTAACTATTTCAAGACGGAAAATAATTCAATTGGTCCTTCCCTAATTTAGTTTTCATCTGATTGTGAGGTCTCAAAAATTTTCCTAACAAATAATTTCGGGTGGAAAAAGAATCAAAATGAGAATTTTATTATGTTTTGGATATCATTTTTTGCGTGGACCTTTAAAAATGCATTTCAATGATGGATACTGTAGTTGTTCTTCAATTTTTGTTTGATGATTTCAATTCAAAAAATATTTTTGAATGCAAATTTTGTGATGTGTTGATAAATATCATTTTTTGCGTGAACCCTCTAAAAATTCATTTAAAAGACGAAAATCAATAGGTTTTTGACACTTATGGTTTTTTCATTTATTCCCAATTTTTTATCCAATTACGCAACTTCAATTTTTCATAATCACCTTATCATTTCTTTCGCATTTTCGCTAATTTCTCCGCGAGACAATTAGCCATCAAAACTAGAAATATCTCGTTTATTATCCTTGAAATTTCGAGTTTTTTCTCCTCCCATCTCTCTTTTTTTCGTCTGTTTTGTTTCGTAATCCGAACAAAACCCGCCTAGGTACTGTGTTTTTTGTATTATCCAACAATATATCCCGTTATTCCTTTTATGAATAATAATAATATTATTATGCGATTTTCAATTTTCTACTTCTGCTTATTGTTTTTACTAATTAATGAAATTAGTAGTTCAGGTGAGAAAAAACTATGAAGTTTTGTTTGCCGGAAAATTTTTTGGGGTTTTCGGCTTTCACAGAAAATTCGAGTTGTTTGAAATTTGAAAAAAAAAACAGATTTTTGTCAAAATTGTGCTGAAATTGATAATTTAGGGAATTTTCCAGTAAAAAAAAATCAGGGAATGTCCGATTTTCAGTCACAAATCAGGCTCGGCCCCATTTAAAAAAAAACTTGAATTCCAAAAAAATTCCAAATGTTTCAATAGTTTTGTTTTAGTGATTCACCGTCGATTACGACGAGATTCTCCACCGGTTTTTGCGCGTCCATTAGGAGAGATACGACGAAAACCACCGGCAATTCTTCAGCTGATTGGTAAGTTTTGACATGTTTTTTTCATCCTTTTTCCTTTTATCAATTCCGCTTTAAAAAACAATAATTTTCTAGGTCCATTAGCTTTTGGGCGAAAAGATGGAGATGACGCGAAAATGAATATTCCGATGATGGGCAATTTTGGAGTTGGAGATGTGACACAAACAATTGCTAAATTCACACCAGAAGGAACACAGGGACAGAAAGCAAATGGTGGAACTTTTGATTTGAGTGATAAAGGGCCCCAGTTAGGATATATGGATAGAGAAACTACGATGGGAGAGAGATCTGGAAGTACAAGTAAAATGTCATTTGGTGGATTAGGACAAATTGAATTGGGAGAAGTGAAAGAGCAGGGCACGGGACTTTTGGATTTTTCAAAAGCACTTTTCCCGTTTTTGGAATTACCTGCACTGAAAAATGAAACAGATCATTTACCAGAAGAGCATTCGCAAGTAGATCAAAGTTACACGGATTATTATTATCCGAAGCCAAGAAGTTATATTGGATCAGTTTATGATGTTACACGAACTGAAGCAACAAATGGAAAAAATCAGGATGATATTGAATTTCCGAAATTGGTGAATACAAAAGATATTATTCTTGAAGAACAACCGAGACATTATAAAAATCCATTTGATAGTATAAAACTTCGCCCGAAAATGCAAGCTTCTGTCACAAAACATATTGATGATGCGAAAAAAGAAGAGGGATTTATTCAACAAAAAGGGCGACAGGTTGATCCGGATGAGGAAAAAGAAACTGTTAATCCAAACTTACTGACAGCTGAGCAGAAAGTATCGACAATTACTGAAAGGAAATCAATTCATGATGCTGGTTTGAATACAAATGAGATCTTTGCATTATGCGCAAAGTTTTCACCAATTGCAAATCAACATTGTTACAAACCGAAAGTTGAATCACAATATTTGGAAAAATGCAGAGGTTATATGACTGATTGTTCGGAATTTATTGTGAAAGCGAAGCCATTGGGAGCAATCGCAAACTCTTTTTCATCTGGAGTTGGACTAACTTATTATGATTGGAATGTGAATGGAATACCGTATTATCCAATTAATGAAGAGGGTTCTGTTGGAAATGGACATCACGGAAAAGTTGATTTTGGATCGTGGGGTGGTGGATATTCAGATAATTTGGGAGTTAGAGATTTCTGGTCACAAACTCAAGAATATGGAGCAAACTGGTATGAAGGTTAGTTTTTTGTGGAGGACGGGGTCAATGATGAAATAAGCTTAGGCCTAGGGAAAAGGTTCTAACATGCGTTTTTAATAAAAAAAAAGCTAACATGCGTTTTTAATAAAATGGTGACCTCAAATTCGCTTGCCAGCGCCTAATCATATCTCGGGGAAAAAGTAGCAAGTTTTGCTTTTTAAATTTTTTTAAAAACAATGTTGAAAAACTCACTTTTCCTCCAGTTTTCCTCGTTTTCCAAAATCATTCAATTAAAATTCGCTTCGTTTCGATATTTTCACCAATTTGCTGTCGTTTTTCCTGTAAAATAGAAATGCATCGAATTTAGATAAGTACTTTAAACGGAAGAAAAATTCAAGAATGTACATTTTTTCATAAAATTACTTTTTGAGCACCAGTTTTGGTATAAAACTATCGAAAATCAACTAAACTTGTGTTACGTGTACTAGAAAAATAGATAAATATAAATTTAACAACAAGTTTCATTCAAATTCGTGGAAAAACAACAAAAATAAAAAATGTTTGAAAAACAAAAACAGGAAAATAAAAGTAAGAATGGAAATGCGCCCCATTGATAAAAATTGAATTTCTCGCACACTTTCAAAAATTTGTGTGTGTCGTTGCTGTTTTATTATCAGACTAAAAGGATGTGCTATCTAACAAAAAGAACTATTGTTTTTTAGGATTGTATGGATACAAAACTGGATGGAGTATTCCAATTGTTCAAGGAGTTGGTGTTGAAGGAGGCCAAGGAGCACAAGTTTCAGTTCCAATAAAAGAAGGAGAACTTGGAAGACCAATTAGTGTAACAAATGGATATCACGTTGGACCATATCTTGGATTAGCTGATCGTGTTGGAGTTGATTGGTTGAATGGTGGAGTTTCGTATAATAAGGGATTTGCGGTGCCTTTTGTTGGAGTTGGTGTGAATACTGGAACAGCTGTTGGTTTCCCTTCAGTTGGAACAATTATGAATCGAATGGGATTGGATTCTGTTGAAACATTGAATTATATGACGAGAGCTGCTGCTGACAAAGTACAAGCGGATAATATAAGAGAAGCAAAAATTAGAAATAGAAACATTCATTAATATTATATTTTCATAGTTTTAAAAAGTGCAATATGTAAATATTTTGAAAAAAAAACAAAACAACTATTTTCACCGGTATTTTTTGAATGAAATGCAAAATTAATAAAGACTGAGAATGACAAAAAATTTCGACCACGGCAGGACTCGAACCTACAATCCCCAGATTCGAAGTCTGGTGCCTTATCCATTAGGCCACGCGGCCACATTTTTTGGCAATGTAATTTCCCGTTATGTGTATGCAAAAAAAAGAGTGTGAGACAGACGGCGAGACAAAAATAATGAATTAGCGTTCTCTTCGAGCATGTGCGACTGCTATTTGAAGACATTGAAGCCATTCTTCCGCATTTTTCTCGTCTTTCGCTTTCAGAATCACAGACGTGTTGTCTGCTGTGAAAATCTCAAACGCTTTTCTGAGCGATTTTCTAGCTTTTTTCCCTCGCCCAAGTGATCGAACAGATCGAATTGATCTCAAATCAATTGATGGAAGAAGTGCACGAGAATCAGTCTGAAAACAAAAAAAAAAGATTTCTAGTTTTAATTGCGAATGGAATAATTAAATAATTACCGGCATCTGTTGTGTACTGTAATTCAGAGCAGCTGAAGACAATGTGAAATATTTGGTATTCCATCGTTTCAAGAATCTCCATCTGCCTTTTTTCTCCTTCAATTGTCCCTCGAAAACCTTTTCAGCACCGCCTTCTTCAACAAAATACCGTACTTTTTCTGGATTTGAACAACTTATACAATTCCAAGCATTCGAATTTGGATCCATTGAGAAGCAAGCATAAAATCCAGCTTCATCCATCTCTTTCACAAGTTTATCTTGATCCTGAAAATTAATATTATTTTGGAGAGAACAATGTTCATGAAATGTCTCACTTTCTGATTTGGAAAAGCTGCAGTAATCATTGTATCAAAAGGAATTGATTTTGTAATCGTAACAGGTAAACACTTCCAACAATGTTCAAGCGTCTGATATTGTTGCGAATCCTTTCCAGCAACTTCTCCATATTGGCTGATCGCAGAACATTCCATTTGTAAAAACATTAAATGAAGCCAAAATGCTGGATATTTTGTTTTGAATGCGAAAAGGTCATCACTTGTGAAAACACAACAAGGAGAAGAGCGAGTTTGGCAGGAAAAATGAATTACCATTCGATGTTTTGAGCCTGAAAACACCAAGCTACAGTAACCCATTTGAAAACCCATACTTACTCTTTGATCCTTCTACAGTACACTGAACTGGAACTGGGAACTTCGATGATATTTCTCCAATAAATCTTCTGATTTTATTTTTCCGATGTTCCACGAATTTATAAACAACATCATTTCTATCATTCTAAAAATACATTTTTTCAAAAAAAAATTTCCAAAAAAAATACTCACATTCAACCATTTCTCTTCTTCTTCATTCAACGCACACATTTTCGAAGTTGTAATTGGTCCAAGATTTGCTGGAAATGTGGTTTCAGTACTTCCAGCTGGCCATTGAACAGGTCTTCTTCCACCTCCAATCGGTCGAACTCTTCCATCTTTTCCCATTTGAATTTGTGTTGGAGCGAAAGATTGTGGAAGTGTTTGAGTGGATGTTGGAAGTATATTTGTGCGAGAACTTGACGGAGCTGATAGCAATGATAAATCTCTAGATTCTCCAATTTCGCTATGTGGACAATGACTTCTGCGACTCAAAGATCCACTTGATCTATTATTTTGATATTGCATTGCCAAAGAATGAGTATTTCTGTCAAGTTCGCATAATTGAACAGTTGGCGATTCACAAACTTCGAATACAGTTCTTCCACCGCTTGTTATAAGATTTCCAAAAACTTTTGAATTTTTCGAAAGAAGTGAATCCATCGAATTTTGAATTCTCTCTTGCGAAACTTGTCTAGAATTATTCATCAAAATCCGATCAATAGTTCGATTTGGCAAAAGAGTTTGGAAATATTCGAGATGGTTTTGAAGACATTTTGGATAAATTGAACCAACAGCCTCAATCTCATTGAAAATAGTCTGTCGAAGTTGTTGATCTTCTGATTCTGAATTGTTTCGGGACATTAAAACCAACTCATCAATAGCTTCAGCAGCAAGATTTGCAGATACTTTTCCAATATTTGCAATTATCTGGAAGAAAAATAATATTTTTATGAACTCCCAAATAAACTAACCTTGCAAATAGTTGGCCGATTACTAACATAATCATTTGACTGCGCAGCAAGTTTCAATTCCGGTAAAAATTGTGCTAGACATTTTGTTCTATTTTGAGATATCAATGACATATAAATATTGAGTAAAGCAGTTGACATTTGAGGAGATAATAGATAAACATCGAATTTTGAAAGATAAGGTATCAAGACATCTGGCTTGGTGTTAGCAACCATTGAAGCGAGTTGGAGTAAGCTTAGTTTCTCACTACATTCAACGTTTTCATTTTGAAGAATCTGAAAAATATGAAACTGTTGTTTAGCTTTGCTAAAATAAATAATTACCTCGATGAGTTGCGATAACTGTGCATGAAATGGCTCTTTGTTATCAGCATAAATATGCGGTAAAACTCGAATCAGCGAAAAATTGCCACGCAAAACATGTCCAATAATTTCAAGAGCATACGACGACAAAGCTTTTCCATTATGAATTGCAGCTAATGAAATATAACTTGTTGTATTTTTAACTAATTCCGCATTTGTTGAGTGAAGACTTTTCAATGCGACTGGCAATGTTAAAGTCATTACAGGCTTATTTCCATAATGTAAAAATAGACTACTCAAAAGGTCAGACGCAATTTTACAATGTGGTGAATCGACAATATTTCCGGTTTCATCATCTCGAATACTCATTCGATGTTTGAGAACATCATCAAGTAGATCAACGAGTTCAGCTGCATAGCTTTCGACACTTCCAGTTTCTCGAATTGCTGATGTTATTCTAGCAATCACGATTTCAACAACACTTTGATCTACACGATTTGTTGAATAATTTGCAGAATTTACTAATTCTTTTAATTTTGCAAATGTTGTGGTCTGAAAATGATTTGATGTTTTTGAAATATTTTGACACCGTGTGTTTTAGCATCTCAAATTATTGGGTTACAAAAGATCTTGAAAAAAAATCATTTTTGAGTAGAAGATGATTTTAGTGACACCCCTAATTTGTTTCAGGTCTCGAAGGAGGTCTACACCTCGTTTCTGGAAACATACCAAATCAATAATGATATCATAGTGTGAAACATTGAAAAGCTGAGAAGCAACATTGAGTTGTCTTTGATGAAGAAGACGAATAATCAATTGGTGCATTGCACACCCAAGTTTTTTTTCTGCAACAAAAAAATCTTTATCAATATTTCCGGAAACATTAAAATCGATTCACTGCAATTTTTTTTATATATTATAAAAGTGATAATAAATGAATAAGCAAGCATTCAACAAAAATTGACTGGTCTATCGTGTGTCGTTTGATTGTGTAAATATTGAAAAAAAAGAGAAAAGTTGAAATGTGACAAGAAATCCGGATTGATATATTTTTATTTGGAGTTTGGCCCCGAATTTGGGGGGAATTATTGGGGTTGGAAACATTTTGATCAGGATTTTTTTTGAGGGAAAAAAAAATCGGTCAACATGAAAATTTCGAAACCTAAAATGAGTCAAAATAAACAAATAAAAAAAGAGGAAAAATTGGATCATTTTGAAAACCTGAAATTTTTTTGAAATTTGTTAAATTTCAGCAAAGAGTTTCCTTTGGTCAAAAAAAAGAAAAATTAAAATTTGTGAATTTTTAAAATAATTTCAGATTTTTTTTGGTTGAGGTTGAAAACAAAAAATTAAAATTTGGAATTAAATTGGAAAAGTAAAAATATTTTTAATGGGGAAAGCAAAAAAAAAATCGGGCAAGAAACCATATGAAAAATTTCAAAACCTAAAATGACTCGAAATAAACACATGACTGAAAAACTTCAAAAAAAAATTGAACTCAACGTCACAAAAAATGAGGTCAAAATAACCAATCACATTTTTTCGATTTTCTATTCGCCCACCGTCAAATACAAATACATACAAATAGAAACCTTGGACGGTATACATACAAATGACGAAATACTGTAAAAGAACAATAGACGCAGACAAAACGAACACTCATACAAATAATGAGGGAGAATAAAATGGTAGATTGAATAGGTGAGGAGAGGTGGAAATAGTATGAGAATTTGAGAGATTTAGAGATGACTATGGATGATAAGAGGAAAAAGAAGACATTGATGGAATAAAATATGTAATTTGAAATAATGAACAGAAGAAGAAGAAGAAGAAGAAGAAGAAAATGGAGAAGAAGACATCTTCGGTATGAATATTATTATTTTTATTGTTATGGGGCGATGCGCATTTTTTGAAGAAATGATTTTTATCTGATTGGTTATCATCGGAAGTAGATTTACGACATCAATCATAACCCCCATATCTGGGAATTTTTGCAGAGATTGAGAAGCTTTTGATTTTATTAGTCGGATTATCAAAAGCCCACTCAAGAGTGATTTTCAGCGGTTCCATGAGTCTTGGCGCAAAATTCAGAGCCTTTGGAAAAACAAAGTTTTGCTTTATCCTGCCTTGGAACTATTTCTGAGAAACCCGTTGTTGGAATGTGAAAAATGGAAAGAAAAATCAATCAGTTTCACTTTGAGAAATATGCTAATTCAAAAACCTGAATGACACATAAAAAAAGAACACATACATATCAATTTCTCGCGAGACTTGCACTTGAAATAAAGCAGAGCAGATGCTTTTTCGTTGGATTGTTTGCACAGTTTTCTAACCAACCCAAAATGAAGAAACACGATATCGATATTTGCTTCTTTAATTGAGATGTATTCTTCTTTCACATCACATAAAAGTTTTCAAAAAAAAAAGACAAGAAAAATATTTCGTCGCCCGCTGCGCGCTAATCAAAACTTTTGCATTTTTTAGTTGTGTATAATGATATTGTGACGTCGGCAGAAAGCTGCTAAATAACTACCATTTTTGGTAAACGAGATAGTGTGTGCGAAATGAGAGACTTTGATAAATTACAAAACGGGGGAACGAGTTCTTTTTGTTTCTCGCCATTCGCCGCTTTTACGTCATAATTGGAATAAAGGACAAAAAGTTCCAAGGGAGATATTTATTAAAATATACTGCGAAATATCTAGTAAAAAAACTTTAAATTTAAATTCAATTAAATTCAAAAAAAGACTACTGTATTAAAAAAAAAACATTTAATTCAAGTTTTTCAATGATTTAGCGTTGCCAGCAATTTACGCAATTGAAAATGTACTTGAATATCATCTCGGCCAGCACATCAAATGACCTTCGTATTACAATTACCCCAAATAATACGCATAATACGGAAAAGTCCTTGAAATTCAATTTCCCGCTCTGGCAACTACGACACTCCGCTGTTGCATTTGCCCGTTGTTTAGCCGAGCTGCGAATTTTCTTTTTGTTTTTTTTTGCGTTCGGTTTTTTTCGTCTTTTTCGGGGATTTTACAAGTTTTTGATGTATTTTTCAGCTAATTTTATCAATTTTATGATAATCAGCTATTTGAATATGTCTATAAAACATTATCACCTTTGAAAATACCTGTGAAATAAGATTGCATCACTTTTAGGAGAAGATTAGAAAATAATTGATAATTCTAGACAATGGCCGCACCACCATCAGCAGAACCTGATTTTTCGTCACCAATTGCTCAAACAAATCCTGGGTCTTATGAAGAATTACACCGTAAAGCCAGAGATGTCTTTCCAACATGTTTCGAAGGTGCCAAACTTATGGTTAACAAAGGATTAAGCCCACATTTTCAAGTAAGTAGTAGCATTTGATGATAGAAAATGATCTGAATTCATTTTTAGGTCTCTCACACATTGTCGCTTTCTTCAATGAATACTGGTTATCGATTCGGAGCCACTTATGTTGGAAATAATCAAATCGGACAAAGCGAAGCTTATCCAATTTTGCTCGGTGACACTGATATCAGTGGAAATACGACCGCGACTATTTTGCATCAAGTTGGAATTTATAGAACAAAACTGCAAGGACAAGTTCAACAAGGAAAATTGGCGGGAGCACAAGCGACTATTGAAAGAAAGTTAGTTTTGGATTGAGCGAATTTGAGTAAAAATAATGATGTTTTTCAGAGGCCGTCTCACTACTTTGGGTTTAACTCTAGCTAATATTGATCTCGTAAATGAAGGAGGTATTCTTGTTGGTCAATTATTGCGACGACTTACTCCTCGTCTTGATGTTGGTTCGGAAATAGTCTATCAATACGGCAAAAACATTCCAGGTTTGTTATAAATAAGTATATATATATTTATTTATTATTAAAAATTTCAGGTGGTCAGATCTCTGTTCTTTCATATGCTGCTAGATATACAGCAAATCATTTTACTGCTGCGGCAACACTTGGAGCCTCGGGTAAGTGAATAAAATCCAGAATTTTTTAATGAAGATTGTTTCAGGAGCGCATTTAACGTATTATCACAAACAACAAGAAAACTTGGCATTTGGTGTAGAGTTCGAGTGTAATGCAAATGTTGGAGAAGCAGTGACAACAATTGCCTATCAAGCCGAATTACCGGAAGAAGGTGTTACTATGCGGGCTAGTGTGGATACAAACTGGTTAGTGTTTAGAGAAATTTTCTAGTTTACTAGAGAAATTTTTGAATAATGTTGAATATTATTGAATTAAAAACACGTGAGAAATAAAAAAGTAGGTCAAGTGACGTGGATTTAAAAACAGTATAGGTAGCCATGTCGTCAATTGCGACGCGGTTCTGCGATGCGTGTTGACCTCGATATTTTCCGTTGGATTTTCCAAATTTTCATTTCTAAAAACGTGTCGCTCACACGCATCGCAACTGACGACATGGCTACCTATACTGTTTTTTAATCCACGTCACTTGACCTACTTTTTTATTTCTCACGTTTTTTTAATTCAATAATATATTTTTTCAAATTCACGTCACGTTTTTTTTCAAAATAAACAAATGCTTATCTGTTCTGAACTTGGTTTTTCAAATAAAATGTTTGCAGGTCAGTTGGTGGAGTTTTCGAAAAACGTCTCAGCCAACAACTTCCATTTACATTGGCTCTTTCTGGTACATTCAACCATGTGAAAGCTGCTGGTAAATTCGGAATTGGTCTCATTATCGGTTAAATCATAGTTTGTTGCAACTTTTAAAATTATTTTTATTTATCTCTTCATTTTTTGTTGAAAAAACGTGAGTTGAATATCTATCAAATTCCCTATTAATTCCGCCCCAAATCCCTTCCCAAAGTATCTTTTTTAGTATGACTTTTGTTATCACCATGTCTTCTCTTTTTTGTTTTAGATGTTAGGTTTTTCAAATAGTCCACTTAATAGGCTCAATTTCTGTTTACTGTTTCTTTTTTTTGGCTCATTTTAGTATCATGAATTTTTGTTGTTTTTTTGATTCTGATTAGTTTTGGAAAGTTTTTTTTTCATTTCAATGATTAGATTCACACGACTCTAATTATTTTTTGTTTTACAAAATCATGGAATTGTTTTCTCCAAAAAAAAAAAACTCATTTTTCTAAAATTCATGCCTATCCTATTTTTCATTTTTTTTCTTTCTCCATTTTGGTCTTCGATAGACTATCTCTCAAATTTCAACAGCAAATACAAACAAATAACTTGAAATTCATTATGTTTTTGACATTCTCAGCTGTGCCTTTAGCAGACGAGTTGTTGTTTTTTGATCCAAATGTTTTTTGCTCGTTGCTTTCAACAAATTTGTCGCATTTTGTTTTTCGGACAAATAAAAATGCTCGATTTTTGAAAATTAAGTAGATGATTTAGTTATCTCGTTCAAATTGTTGTTAGTTTTTTCAAGAATTTTCAGCCAAAAATTGAGTTTTCTCAAGAGATTCTAGAATTCTAGAATTTCTTGTCACAATTCCAACTTTTGTTTTTTCTTTTTGTGAAAAAATATTTTGTGCAGTGTAAATTTTTCAAAAAAAAAAGATAGCACGCAAGTGGATTTGAACCCTGGTCTCATGCAGCGCGGGCAAAACCTCTACCACTGAGCCACGCGCACACTTGTCCTTGTAAGTTAAATGTTGGTGAAAATTAACCATTTCAAAAGTTTCCTGGAAATCCGATTAAAATCCTAACAAAATTTTATGGCAACATTCCGGAAAAAACCACATAAAATGTGCATGTCTGACAGAGTGTGAAAAAATCCGGAAGTTGTTCAATATTTTTTTTTATTTCAGTGAGATCAATTTTTTGAGATGAAATTAGAAAATTTCTGATTTTTGATTATTTGAAGATACGCATTTTTCAAAAAAAAAAAAACAACAAAATAATCACTTTTTGAGTTGATACCCTGAAGTTTTTTTTCGAATGAATAAAATATTACCTTTCGTATTTTTCAGAGCTTTTTTTGGCCAAACTTGAAATGAAAATTTATTCAGTTATCTAAATAGTTTTCCAAAGAGATCTTTGAAAAACTTTTCCAAAACACACATTTTTTACAACTCTTTTTTTATTTGTTTCATTTTAGCTCTGACGTATTTTATTTTTTGTTTCCTGAAAATTTGACATTTTCAATATGGGTGGGCTGGATTACAAAAATTATAGAGAATACTGTGATATGAAATCACTCTCTAAAAATTTATTTATAAATTTTGCTTCTGATCTTTTCGAATCTGAAAAATTTGGTTCTGAAAATTCTCGTCTGAAAAAATTCATCCCCAGAAAAATAAGGGTTTTTCATCACAAATTTTTCCTCTAAAGTTAGATGTTCAAATTATTTTTCACTTAAAATGTTATGATTTTTTGGATGACAAACCAAAGTTCCCTCATTTTCTCCTGAAATCTTGACATTTGCAATATGGGTGGGCTGGATTACAAAAATTATCAAAAATTACTGTGATATGGAATCATTGTCTAGAAATTTATTATTTAATTAATTTCGCTTCGGCTTTGGAACGTTCATTTTCAAATCCAACTCGAGTTTCTGAAGCTCTATATCCAAATTTCAACTTTCACCACGTGGCAAAATTCTTCAAGTTTTCAGGAAATTTCTTAAAGCTCCTCCTGCATTTTCTGATTTTTTCATTAATTTTTAAAGATATCCTCGATTCCTTTGTTGTTTTTTTCCCCAAAACTTGGATTCAAACAGGAACTTTCTTTTCCTCACCAAAAATCTGAAATTTCGTGTTAATTAGCTTTGGTTTTTGACCAAAACAACAAATTTGCCACGTCATACATTTTTGATATTTTTTCCTTATTATTTTGATCATTTTTTTACTTGAACTACTGTACTTTGAGATTTCAGATGTTTAACTTGAAAAAAGCAAACATCAGAAACCACGACAATTTTTCCCAAGAAACAAAAATATTCGAGGATCTCTATTTTTCATATTTTTTTCAGACCCTATATTTTTAAAAATACACCTTTTTCTTATTTTTTTTCAAAAATTGGAAAAAGTGCCAAAGGACGAACAAAAAAAAAATGAAATTATAGTTGTAGCGGCAGCCTTTTGTTGTCCTTTGACTTTTGACCGGCCAAAATTCAAAAGAAACTTTTTTCGGCGATCAAAATTGAATTTGAGATTTGAGATTTTCGGCCGGTTTGGTATTTGAAACTACAGACTAGTTTTTGGATTTTGCAGAACTTTTAGCAGAGAGTGGATTTCAAAATGTTGGCTTAATTTTCTTCAAAATTATTTCAGGTTTCTAGATTTTCAGACTTTTGAAAATAATTTTCATGAAAATCCAAAAGCCTAGAATTATTCAGAATGCCGATTACATAAGCTCAATTAATTTTTTTCAATTTATATTCAATTTCGCATAATTATTTTTGCATATTGGAAAAAGTTCATAGAGGTCATGATTTCCAGCTATTTTTTGCTGCTTTTTTATCCGAAATTCACCCAAAATAGAAACTTTGGTCGAAAGTTTTTCGGACATTGAAACAAAAAAAAAACTCTCCGTCGTAAATGTATCTTTTTGTTTGTGTTCTGTTAATTGCATTTTTCTCACTCGTTTTTTTTCGAATCCTAGGATTTTCGAGAAACCACATAAATATTTTTCGGATCTCACTTGTCACCAAAAATTTCTCAAAATTTTTTTTTTGAAGAATTGTCATCTTCTTTTGAAAACAAAACTTTTTTCGAGTGAATATTTATTAGTTTTCTTATTTCATTTCAATTTTATCAAATTTCAAAATCTTCTCACATCACAAAACATTTTTGTTTTTTGCTCCTCACCGAGGCACAAAATTGTTCATTTCTCGTTTTTTCCTTCTTCAATTTATTTTCTATTTTCTTGAATGAGAACTCAGTTTTTATATTATATTACTTACTTTTTTAAAGAAAATTTTTTGAAGTAGCAAATTTTTTTTTTCGAAAAAATTTCAAGATCTGGAAAATATCTAGAAACATTCAGATTTTCTAATTTTAATTTGCAAATTGATTCCAGAAAATATTCCAAGCTACAGTAGTATTAAAGGGGTAGACACGAAGTAATAATATAAAAATCAAAAAATTATGAACATTTTTCCCCAAAAAGTTCCTGGCAAAAAAGAAATATCTGAAAAGTGTCTGTATCCTGTTTATTTTTTGTTCTTCCGTTCAGACGAATGGATATCTGAATAGATATATGTGCGAAAAAAGAAACCCTTCTAATTCTCTCTTTATTATTTTTAAAAGAAAGCGAGATATTCTATTTTTCGGGTGATTTGTGATGTTCTATTTTCTGCAATCTCTGAATAACTTATTTCGAAAAGTTTATAACAATCATGAGGGAAATTTGCAGGTTTGTTTTTGTTTTTTCTCTAATTTCGTAAATTTTGGTATCTGTTTAGTATTCTTCTTTGCAGATATTTGACATCATAAATTTTCCAGCCAGGGTTTTGCATTCTGAAGTTACGCCATAGTAATTTTTGTCATCCTGAATATGATCATTGGAAAATTGTTATTTCAGTCCTGATTTTTTGGTCTGAAATTTTTTTGAACGTTTTGAGAAACTTTAAGGCCTAGAAATCATTCCCATTAAGATCAATAGCCTTTGACCAAACTGCAATATATTTATTTCAGTCCTCTCATTTTTTGGCCTCACATGTAATTATTTTTTTTCATTTCCAGCTGACAGTTGTGAGATCACAACAATTTGCACATTTTGCACATCCACTTTTTTTAATATATTTTGGTCAAATGAAAAAAAAATGGAAAAAATATGGTGGTTCCATAGCGACATGTAATAAATTGGAAAAAAACATTGTTTGACTTCCGTCATTTTTGGAAAAATACTTTTTTCCTGTGACTTTCTGTTTTTCTTGTTTACCTAATAATATTATGCAAAAAATTTTTCAGATGTTTTTTTTCTGGAACCGATATAGTTATAAATAGTTCGAAACTTTGATTTTCCCAATTTTCAGATGGGCGACGACGTTTGCGATGTGAATTATACAGTGAAAAATATATCGGAATATGTTATAGGAAATCTTGGTGAACGATGTCAATCTGTAAGTTTTTGCAGAACTTTTTTGCTGATCAGAATTCTATTCAGATATCGATAATTCTTCCAACAATTGTGATTTACCTCGCAATTTTTCTAGTTGGTTTATTCGGAAATATTTGTACTTGCATTGTTATTGTTGCAAATAAGGTTTGAAACTCTAAATTTATTTTTGGACATGAAAAAAAATCGAAAATAAAACTTTTTTAGTCAATGCACAATCCAACCAACTTTTATTTATTTAGTCTTGCAGTTTCGGATATAATTATTCTTGTTTTGGGTGAGTTTAGGAAGGCCTGAAGTTGAGCTTGTGATCTAGGACCTAGTTGACCTAGATTCTAGGTCAACATGACCTCAAGAATACTTGTATTATAGGTTTGCCAATGGAATTATATCAATCATTAGATTTCGCATATCCATATCGTTTCGGTATCGAAGTTTGTAAAGCTCGCGCATTTCTCATCGAATTCACTTCATACGCATCAATTATGATAATTTGCTGTTTTTCATTTGAGCGATGGCTCGCAATATGGTTTGTTCATTTTTCACTTCACTTCACCGTTTAATTAAAAAGTTCTAACTGAACTTTCCAGTTTTCCACTACGTGTCAAAATCTTCTCAACATTATGGCGAGCCAATGTTTTGATTGTGTTAGCCTGGTCAATTTCATTTTTCGCTGCTCTTCCAATGGCATTCATTGTAGTGGTTAATAAACTGCCATTACCAAATGAGATTTTCGGGAATGAAACGTGGATCTCAGATGTTTCAGCAGATAGAATTCATGTGGATCGAACTGAATATTGTGGAATGGCATCGACTAAAGGGGATGAGCAGAAGAAATTGATTTATATCGCATTTTTCGCGTTTTTTGTGATTCCAGCGATTTTGATCATATTAATGTATAGTCATATCGCAGTTCGATTGAATGAGACAAAATTGGACAAATCAATAAATAAACACAAGAGTTTAGTTGAAAGAAGGAATCGATCGAATAAAACTGTGCTCAAGATGTTATGTGAGTTCAGTGGCAGTTTTCAGTAATTGATACTTGAAATTTTCAGTTTCTGTTGTTATCACGTTTTTTCTCTGCTGGCTTCCATTTCACATTCAACGATTATTATCAGTTTATATGATGAATATAGATCCAACAACTTCACTTTCACCATCAGTTCAATTTCTCAGCATGATTGTTTATTATATTTCTGGTGAGCTATTTGAACTTTCTCAGAAGGGATTTATTCATAAGTCGTGTCTTTAGGTTTTTGTTATTATTCAAACTCAGCTGCCAATCCAATTCTTTATAACATTTTATCACAAAAATATCGCAAAGCTTTTTGTCGAACAATTCTTGGAAGAAAAATAACAAGTGTTTTGATTAATCGGTAAGATATTTTTTGAACTTGGAATTTGAACTTGTAATAATTTTCAGAACTTCAAATTCCACATTTGCTCATCGATCTTCTTATGATAAAATGTCACAGAAAACACGACATATTTCGATTCGAAGTAATATTTCGAAAAAAGCTTCGAATAGTCCAAGTATGGTATAATTTTATTTTCGGGTTGTTATATTTTGTTTATACGTGTTTCTTGAAAAAATGAATTGTTGAGTTGGGTTTTCAATTTCAAAATACATATTTATTAATATGAAAAATAAAAAAACAATGAGCTTGTTTGGCACAGGAAAAACAAAAAAAAACGAAAGAAAGACGGAACATTTTGAGACCCATAATAAATTATTCAAGAAAGGAGATGAAATCACTCGGTTTTTTCTTGTCAGAATACTGTTTCAAGATTTGTTTTTGCTAGAGAAGGAAAATTAAAAGAAAGGAGAAGGATGATATTAAAAGTGTGAATGGTTGTAGATTTGATGATGATTTTCTTCGTCGACCACTGCAACCATTTAAATACATGTGGCAAGGGAAACGACGATCTGAAAAGAAAATTGAATTTGGTTGAAAATTTAGTCGGCAGAAATACTATGCGCTTGAAAAACGAGAAGCAAATTTGTTCCACTGAAAATTATTTTTCAAAAATGAAATTTTCTTTTCTAGCTCTAACCTCAATTTCTTCAAAAATTCCGGACCACTAAAAAACCCACCATCTTCCTCTTCCTCTTCTTCACCACCACCTTCTTCATCATTCTTCGCATATCCCTCAATTCGTCCCCAATCAGTTTCCATCGCCACTTTTGTATCCGTATACATGCGAATCTTCACTCGATAATCTGTATTTGCTCTCAAAATTCCATTGCAATATGGTTCGTCAAGATTTCTTTTCACACAATCATCAGTTCCAACAGTGAATGAAGCACGTCGAATTCGTTCGTTATCAAATGGATTCCACGTCGATGGAGAGGCTCGATATGAACCCCAAACATCTTCATCTTTCACTTCGAACCATGATTTTGATTCATAATTGTCGTCGTTGAGCTAAATATTGAAGAATGAGATGAGAAACATCTACAGATATTTGGAACTTACTGAAATATCATCCGAAACAATAACAGCAAAATTATCTGGAGATCCATTTAATAATGAGAAAACACTTTGATCATTATCAAACCCAACAACTAATTCTCTACTTCCTTGTCTGGATACTGTAGGTGTTAGACGACCTTTTGGAATTGCTACAGTAATCATTTCAGATTCAGATTCAGCTGCAGCTTGTCCAATTCCCATGATAACTGTGATAGTAAATGTATAATAAACTTCAGATTGAAGATTTGAAAATCGATGTCTTGAAGCACCTTTCAGTTCTACAGATACAGTATCCACATTATCCGCGTTATAACTAAAAAAAATGGTTAACTGAGAAAAATATTCATAATTGAAAGATACCTTAATCTGAAACGACAATCAGAATCTGCAAAATTCTCGATATCCCAATATAAAATCACATAATCTTTACCAACAACCGGGAATAATTGATTCACTTTCACAGGATCTGCAAAAATAAATTGATCTGAGTTCAAATCAAAAAACTTACAAGTCGTGATATCTGAAGACACTGGTCTACTTCGAACACCTTTATAAACCGTATAAACCGAAAATTGATAAGTTTTACCAGGAATCAGTTTTGTGAATGTGAACGATTTTCTGAAAAAAAAAATAAAATCAAATATAAAATAATTCGGATAACTTACTCATGTTCCAGTTCCACTTTTTTCGAAATATTTTTATTATTTCCAGAAAATGTGAGAAGATAATAATCGAATTTACCATCCGAATCTCCAAAATTAATGTTTATTGAATTCGATGAAATTTGTCCCGGATAGACAGTTGATGAGATAATTGGTGCTGTTACTTGTTGTAATTGAACAGCTTTTGAACTCAAAGACAATTCTGTTGATGCATTTCGAATTGAAATTGTATAAAGTTGAGAGGGATCCAAATCACTAATTGTCACATTATCCGATCCATATTTAACAATTTCCAATTCTTTCTGTCCATCTGTCGATTTTCCAGCAGTTCCATAAGAAATCACAATTTTATAATAATTGAAATCATGATAAGGCCATTCCCATTGAAAAGTTATTGAAGCCACGTAAAAATCATCAGTCAATACTTGCACTATTTTTGCATTCTCGATTTGACGAGGTTCTGAATTTTTTGGTGAGTAGGAGTTTTTGAAAAAACGAGAGAAAACTTACTGGAAAGATGTGCAATTCGATGAGCCCACCAAGTTTTTGATAAAGCGCCAGCTAACATACAGAACACTCGAATATCCAAAGTGTGTTCGGGGAACATCTGAAATAAGGTTTTGGGAGAAGCTTAGGAAGTTCAAAAAATTTTGAAAATTAACTTTTCAGAAAAGTTTTTAAGATATTTTTTTGTCAAGAGATCTGACATACCTTTATATTTGCATGTTGATCTGAAGTTGCAACACTAAAAGACTTAGGATGATTCAATGTCAGAATAGTATAATTCACAAAAAATGCTTCACAATCAGCATGATCTGGAACATCCCAATCCATTCTTAACATCTCATTTTCATCGCTCAAAACAATTTCAGCCGGCTCGCCATATTCTTCAGTCATTTTATTGATTCCAGTTAGTGTTGAAGATGCAAGTTCAGTTGGATATTCATCTCCCATATCTCCGGAATTCACTTCAATTGCTGTCATTTTCTTGGCTGATGTTGTTGTGGTTGTTATCAGTTTTGTTTTTGTTGTTGTTGATTTTTTAGTTGTAGTTGTAGTTGAAGTTGGAGTAGATGTTGTCTCGATCTTTGTTTTCACTTCAGTCGTACTGTATTCTTCATCATCAATATAATTTGGAGTTGTACTCGGAACAAACGAAAAAGTGAATCGATTAGTTGTTGATTCTGTATCCTCTTCTTCAGTCGAATAATATTCCGAACTCGGATTCGAAGGCGAAGTTGTTGTTGGCAAATTGAAACTTGGAGGTAATGTTTTAACACTAAAACTTTCAGCAGAATTCGACGAATAATCATAATTCGGTTGTCCTTGTGTTTGAAATGTCGTATCAATAATCTCATTTGAATACACATTTTTATATAAACTTCGAATTTTTAATCGAAATACTGTACCCGAATCTAATCCACGTAATCGAACAAGCGCTGCTTTTGTATCGATTGAATTCGCGTATTCTTGATGATCTTCTGGATAATATTCTAATTGGAATGTGATGTTTTGACCTTGTGGCGGAAAATATGAAATTGTTGCTTCATGTTCAGTTGTCTCGATTGAATCCAATTTTGGAGGATCGGGACCTGCAATTTTTTTTGAATGAAATTAACTAAGGCCTCAAATTGTAAAAAAAAATCTGGTAGATCAAAAATTTCAGAGAAAAAACTTACTACTGAAAACACTCAAATCAGCTAAATTTTTTCTAGTTCCATCGCCTAAAATTGCACTTATAGACACCGTATACTCTGTAGCTGAAATAGTTCCATTAATATTTGTGAAATGTGTTGTTCCTTCGACTGCTGAACCAGTTGGAGGATAACCGACAGGCGGCGAATACTCGATTATATATGCTTGAGGATTTGGAGAAGATAATGCGAATGAGGAATAATCAATGTGTATTGTGGAAGTGGCTTGAATCGAATGACAATTAAACGCTGTCAGCAGGAATATAGCTACTGGTGTCAACAAAAACATTCATTCATTCAAATCTGAAAATTGAAGGTGTTGTTTTTTTTTTTTGAAAAAATTGGAAATTTTCAAAAAAAAATGAGACAAATTACAGAAATTAAAACTCAGGGGGGGAGGTTAAAACTTAAACCTCACGGGTGCCTTATTTAGGATGAGTTGATTGAAAAGGATAAGTTGATTGAAAAAAAAATACATAGGCTAATTTGGGACCTAAAGCGAAGTTATAGGCTTGGGCCTGATCTCAGCTGTATCTAGTCCTAGTCCACATTTAAGCCTGTACCTTAAAGCTTTACTACTGTATAAATCAGGAAAAAGTGCATAGATGAGCGGATTTCAAATAATGTTTGTACATGTTTTTTTTTTGCTTGTCAAGTGTGTTTACATTATTTTTGTATGTATTCAATGCCATCAGGATTTTTCGAGATTTTTTGTTTCGACACTGTTTCAACGTCATCATAAGTGGAATCATTTTTTGGATTCTTGATTGTGAGGTTTCACTTTGGAATTAAAAAAAAATATTTAGAATACAGAAAGAGAAAGGTCAACGGAAAAGTTTTCAAAAATATAAATTTGAAGAAAAGTTTTACAGAGAATAAAATACAACTGAAAATGAAAAGTTTTGTGGAAAAATATAAAGAAAAAGCCAAAGAATGAATGCAACACTTATAATAAATAAAGAAATATTATTGACTAAATATAGAAAATCGGAGGATCGAGGATATCTTGATTAAATAAATAAATATGATTGTCTGAAGTGGTGTGCAAAATCAAAATGAAAGAGTTATTAAATGCGATAAATAATAACTGAGAATTGAGAATCAATCTATGTGTGTGTGGTTATGCTTGCTTATTACGCAAGCGGCTCGCAGTCACCGCAAAACAGGTTCCGTAAGCAATTACGCGCAAAAATATGTGCGCGAAGGCAGCATATGAAGCATATATACACAACATGCACACTTGAGAGCATACATGCGTTTGACACCTTTTTGTAACAACAACAATGTCTAATAAATCCGGATTTTTTGCGAACGAAAAATAAATGATACGTTGTTGCTAAATATTTCGAAATTTTAAAGATCAGAGGGAGTAATCTCTCTAAATTTTTTCCTAGGTTTAGTCAAAATTCAAAGTCCTTAAAAATTGTATTTTTTGCAGATTCCAGAAATAAATGTTACACATGCAGAGAAAATCTTGTTTTGATTTTTTTTTCTAGAATTACTTTGAAATCAGCGGTTTATTTTTTGAAAATATACAGAAATTACCAAATTTTACTAGAAAAAGTACTGTTTCACAAAAATTTTGTAAAAAACAGTTCAGAACATTCACTAGTTGAAAATTTTCCATTCGAAACAAAGTATTCTGAAAGTTTCAAAAACTAACTTCGAAGCAGAAAATTGTGGATGGAAACTTTTTTTTTAAATAAAAATTTCACAGTGTTTATTTCAATACTCATCGCTAGACCTCAAACTTTTTCTGGAAGATCAAAAATATTTTTCTCTAAATTATTCAATTTCGTCGGTTTGATCACACCTCTGAGATGAGATTGTGCTAGGTCTCAAAACAAACAAAATTTTCAGAAATGTGCTACCAGAAAAATGAACTTATGAATTGAATTCTAAAAAAACTGCCATTGGAATGAAATTTCTAGAAAACTTAGAAAATAATTCCAAAAAATACTTTTTTTCTATATTAACTATGATAAAAAATAAAACAGGATAACGGAAAACAAGATCAAACAATCATCTGTTGGGGGGAAATGTCTCAATTTCCTGAAAGTGTCAAAGTGTCATAAAATCTCGGGAGCCTAAACGAGCCAAAAGAAAACACAAAACAAGCCGGACATAAGTGAGAAAAAAACGAAATAAATAAACATTGTCGTCGTCGATTGCGAATGAGTCGCCCCAAATTAGCCGAATCGACTCGACATACCGTGTTAAACTTAGATGTAATTCGAAGCCGAAAAGAGAGAAAGAGGTGAAATGAGAAAAGAAAAACGAGCACGAACATGAAAAGAACAACAAATATATACGTATTATAGCTGCAAAATGAAAGGAAATAAACATCATCAAAGTACATACAATTTGTGGAATAGAACCGTCTTTACAATTTCAAATTGAGTAAATTATTATGATTATACAAAAAAATCAAGTTATCTCAAATATTTTCGAGCACTCAGCGAAAAAAATAATAACATAACTAGATACAAAATGTACAATGTGATTTTTGAGAGCTTTCAAATTCATTCATCAAGAATGTTATAGTTCAACGAGATAATTTGAAATGATTGTGCCAAAAAATCCGGAAAGAAATAAATTCACAATGTTTGTTTGCTTTTGAGATTAAATTTTCGAAACTTTTTCAGCGTAGTTTGATGAATGAAATCGTAATGATTTGATTTATCGGAGAAAAGTTCTAGTTGACGAACGTGGTAAGGACAAGTTTTGAAAATTTTTTCAAATTTGATCTGATTGTGTGTGAGAAAGGGAGAGATCAGAGAAATCAAGAAGTTAGTTAGGAAAAAAATCTAAAACAGAGGTTTTCAAAGTGATGGTACTCTTTTTGAAAAAAATTAAATCAGAGGACCACCTTCTCTGAAAAGTCAGAAGTGACTGATCTTTAAAGTTCAAAATTAAAAATTTAGAGATCAGTTCTACTTTGAAAAACCACGATTCAGACAATCCAGAACTGGGATCAACATAAAACAAAAAAAGAACAACTATTCAAAAAAAAAAGAAAAAGTTTTAACACGGAGCATAATCCTCGCAAAAACGCGATCAACAAATTGTCACAAAATATGCTTCTCCATCTTCTTCTTCATTTCTTTTCCCAACAACAACACAACAAATAAATGGGATAGATTGAAATATGGAAAGAGAGAGAGAAAACAGTCCCTCAGTGGTCATTTCCATTATTTGTTTTGTGCTCTCCTTCTTTTGCTCCAAAGTATTTTCGGATTATCGACTGCGAACGAAAAACGCGACGAACAACCAGCATATTTTGATTTGCACAGAAAAAAGAAGAAGAAGAAGAAGAAGAAGCAGAAACGAACACAGTGAGAAAGATACAACGACAACTTAATTCCATCTTGTTGTTTGGGGTGAAAAAAGTGGAAGAAAACGAGGATGACAGATTAAAATTGAGCATAAACAATGAATTGAGGTGAACAAGCAAAAAAAATAATAAAGGAGAAAAATTAGAACAACAGTGATGATTGACTGTCTAGATGAAAATAAATTAGGGTTTGGAAAAGAATCTGGTGAGACTGGTCGGAATAGATTTTTCAATTCTGAATTGAAGGAAGATTTGGACTTTTAGAACCTTAAAAAATAATTTGTCCGGTATTTTCAGAATTTTGGAATTCTGCATTCTTCTTCCTATACTAGTGGTTCCTGGGTGCAATGTTTCCCTTATTCATTCACCACCGGCCAAAACCATCTTTTCACTTGATGCAGAATTTGAAAACAATATTCATTCAGATGAATCGTTTCATTAACTGAGCAGACTACTCGGCTACCTTGCGTATCTAACTGAATCATTCCGGGTTACCACATAAAATAATATTTAATAATATTATTATTATTTAATAATATTATAATATTTAATAATATTATAATAATAATATTATTATTATTATTAAAAAAAAACAAAACAAAAATATTAAAAAATAAACAAAAAATAAATTAAAAAATAAATTACCAAAATGTTGCAGTAGCTAAATCATAGAATACAACGTATGTATACGTTGAAAAAAGTTCATGGAATATTTTTCGGACCTTTTTTTTAGGCATTTTGAGAAAAAAATCCCCTGGGGCTTTTACTATTCAAAGGGGGTTTCAAAATTCACATCGCCAATTTTCATAGTTAATTTGCACAAAGCTGGGCGTGGTATGCAACGATCTCGCAAAAAAAGTTCTTTCCTTAGAAAGCGACTAACTTTTTTTTCTTCAAAATTTGGATCAGAAATTGAGTATGAACTGAACAATTAAATCTATTGAAACTGAACAATTAAATCTATTGAGTTAGAAATGGTATTGTTTTGAAGATTTCCTGACTTTACAAATTTATTTCGCTTAATGACGTTAGATTTTCAATATTTTGAAAATAATCTTACATTCATTTTTCATATTTTGAAGTTTTGAATTTGAATGTTTTTTGGATGTGTTGTGAAAATCTCGTTTTATTGTTTGTTTTATTTTAATTTTTGGCGTTCAAAACTAATTTCTCAGTTTGACAGTCAACTTTGACCCAATTTTTAACAGGATTTATAAATTCTGAATATAAGCTGATAATTTTCTAAATTCGAAAAAGGATAGACTAAATATTTACGTTAAGAGAAATTTCAAAGAGTTATTATTATTTTTTCTTGCAAAACGACTCACTTTCTTCTTGCAAAACGACTCTTCCGGTTCCGGTGTCCTGTAGCGGCACTCGCATTCTCGTCCATTTTTCTTTGCGCCTGAAAAATTGTAAGTTATTTTCGAAATTGAAAAATGAGGCCGCCGTAAAAAAAGAAGACCAGTGCAGAACTGAATGAATGAAAACAACTGGACTTCGTCAGCCGCGTGCGGTTGTGCGACGCGGTCTGAAGAGAAATGGGGCGTCCAAAAATCAAAAAAAAATGAAATTTTGACAATATTGACGTGTACACACAAATAAAAAACTAAATAATTGAATTTATTGAATGACTTTTACAACGATACTCCGCTTGCCCGCTTGCCCACTGTTTAGCGCAACACGAGAATATTTTCATTTTTCGTTTTTTTTTCGCAGGGTTTTCAGATTTCCGGGGGAAAATCAGTAGATTTCAATCAAAAATTGAATTTTTAGATGTTCTACAATGCTGGAATTATCGCTTCCAACGGAAAATCCGAGGATTATCGAAGAAAAGTGGGTTTTTTTCTAGAGAAACACTTTTTAATTGAAATTTTTTATTTTTAGAGTCAAAAATGATTTTAAATGTGAGGAGAACAATTATTGGCTAAATTTGAAGCGACTTTTTCATGAAAACTGAGGATTTCGGATTTCTAAAGGATTTTGATTGGGGTTTTCGAATTATCGATGATTTTTGTGGAATTTGAGAAATAGAAGCGATTGGTGAGTTTTTTGGGTAGGGATTTCGGAAAATTGAAAAATTCGATAAAAAATTCTGTAAAATTTGAAAATATAGGAAAATTATGAAAAGAATCTTTAAACATTGAAAAAAGTTAGGCTAACTCATCAAAATCTAGGCGCAAAAATCTAGTAATAGATGGTTGAGCTTAACTTACGTAACTTTCAATTCAAAAAAGCGGCGAAAAAATGATGAAAAAAAAACACACGCCACTCATGTGTTACAGTACTCTAGCGCGACAAGAGACAACAAGAAAATCATTTTCTGTCCCTTTGTTCGACCAAACCAGCCGTTTTCGGTTTTTTTTATGTAAAGAAGATTTGTGTATTGAATTTTTGAAAATCCATGATAACTCCAAAATGTTCCTTATTCACAAAATTTATTCATTTCCCACCCGTATTCATTAAAGATTAAAAAATAACATACATTCAAAAATATATACAGAATATTATATACATTTTACATGATGAAAATTAACAAATTATCATTATTGAGGTTGTAGTTGCCTTAATCTTTGCATTCTTATTCCAATATGTGGACTTGGACATCTCGAATCTTCACCAGGAACATCAGAAACAAGTGTCCTGTTTCGTGAACGAGACATTTTTGAGAATACACCTTTACGACAGTGAATAACATCGGAAACCGCGTCACGGAAACGTTTTGAAAGTAGAGCATAGAGAATTGGATTGATCGCAGAAGAGACGAAGAGAAGAATGTATGAGACTGGTTGAAGGAAAAATGTCCATTGATGAAGGAAAAGCTGATTACTTGACCAACTCTGAAAGAAAAATATTTATAATGATGCATTGGCCTGAGAACTTACTGTATACAATAATCTTGCGTGTTGTGGTAATGTCAAAATTGCAAATGATAAAACCACAGCAAATAATAATCGAACAACTTTCCGTCTTCCTTCTGTATCTTTTGGTCTTTTATTTGTTGATTTTCTTTCATTATTTTGTGGAACATTCAACAAACTTTCTTGTTGAAAAACAATCACTCGACCATTTGCCAATTTCAAAGATTTGCCTAGACTTCCTTGCGAATCAGAACTTTGTCTTGTACTTGTTCGGTTACTTCCAGTTATCCATAACAATCTACCAATTCTCAAATAAATTCCAGCCAAGACAAAGACAGGAATTGTGTACCAAATGAAGAATGAAACTGTTACCCAAACTGGCATTTTTTCACGATAACAAGCATTCGAACCATCTGGATATTCGATCAATTTTGCATAAAGGAAAAACGGCGAATTCAGAAGGATACTTCCAATCCAAATTGAGATTGTTACAGTAACCCGAAGACGATGTGTGAGAATTTTGAGAGCCGTCAATGGATGAAGAACAGCTGAAAATATTGCGCTTAAAAAATATTTGAGAAAATTCCATTACCGATATATTTTTCAAGTGAAACACATAAAAGAATCCCAACACTCGTGCAAGGAACCATGTGTAAAACGGAAAGATACAGTTTGCAAAGGACTTCTCCAAGTGGCCAATGTCCATAATTGAATCCGACGATATGAATCATATTTTGAAGGATGCAAAAAATCGCGACTAGCAGATCAGCAGCTGCCAGATTGGCCAAGAAAAAATTGGTTGCCGTTTTCATGAGAGGGTGTGTTGTTATCACCAGAATTGTGAGAAGATTACCTGGAACTTTTTTTGAATTTTCACAATATTTTGGGGTCGTGGAGGCTGCTTGGTCGTCTTCATTTTTTTCGGTCTCTAATTTAAAATATTCAGATTTTACTAAGCTTTTCTGCATATTAATTTTCGCACATTATTTTACCCATTTCCAGTTTTATTCCATTCCTAATCACTCACCAAAAAGGCAAACAACAAAAACAAAAATATAGGCAATGATAATCGGATATCGAATAAATGTTTCGTCAATCAATGAATATGCATCAGGATCATCAACAGCAATATATGTAGAATTTTCAGTTGAATTAAATGACATCTGAAGTAATTATAAAAATGAACAAAAAATAATAGGAAAGGGATTGTGGCGGCAAAAAAACAGAATAGAATAGAATAGAGAATAACATTGCTGTTTCAGATGACATGAGAATTTGCAGAAAAGATTCATTCGTTGTGGAAAAAGTGAAAAACACATGGAGAATATATATATATGTAATAAGTCGGTTTTCACTCAAATTAATAAATAAGTACATAAATAATTCAGAAAGGTCAATTTTCTCATTTTTTTGCAATGAAAAGAATGAAAAAAATACTGTGGATTTTAAGGAAAAACAATTAAAATGAGAAGCATGACTTTTGAATTTTCATTAGATTGGATTTGGACCTATTTTTCGGAAGAATTAAATGAAAAAAGTGAGGTCACGTTCTCTGAAAGTCGATACATGTGTAGAAATTGTATACTTTTTGCAGCGGAATTAATTTTTAAATAAATTTCTCTCCGTGATCTCAAAAATCTCAAAAATTGTCACTCTTGAACAAATATACAACCGAAAAAATCTAGAAAATGTCTATTTACATCAAACAAAAAAAAAAGAAAAAAAAACAGATATTTAGTAGACGTGGAAAAATAAATTACATATTCCTATTTTCTAGAGAAAAAGGCGAAAATCTTCGTGACTAACTCATAATTATGGAATCATGTGATAAATATTTTTGTGAGATGATATGGTTTGGAAAGCCATAATTGGGAGAAGCAGCACGAGACTAGACAATTAAAATAACGATAATGCGAAAAAAGTTGATTACTTGATCATTATGCATTTTGGGTTCAATTTTTATTTATTATCTTCTGTTTCGATTGACATTTTATGGACTAATCTGTTACATTGGTTTATTTTAATACTAATTGATTAATTGGGAACAAAAATCATGGAAATTTTGAGAATGTGAAAATTTGGAGCTCAAATAGAAATTTGAAATTTTGGCTCTACCAAATTTAAAAATAGAAGTTTCCCACCCGTTTCCCACAAGAAAACCACAATTCAAAAGAAAACGATTTACGAACAGATAAAACTTGGTCATATAATTACCAAATCAAATAAAAAAGGTTGTAAATGTTATTTTTTATTTCCCGCTATAAAAAAATGATAAGAACCAGGCAGGCGGACAAAAACCGAATTTTGGAAGCCATTTTTTTCCTCGAAATGAAATGCAAAAAAAAACAGGTTAAGTTTTGAATGGAATGGGCAAGGAAAAGCTCGAAGAATTTTAATTATTTTTTGGTTTTTTTTTTCAAGAGCAAAAAGCGGCGAGCTTGTCTCATTTTGGATTTTTTGCCATGTTGCCATCAGAAAGGCGTTCGTGTACTAATTATAAAATAAACATTGAAGTTTTGTTGGGTGACGTACGGGCTCCGAGAATGGAAATGACGAATTTTTAGGTTAAGAGGAGAGCTGGAATTTGAACCTATCTCAAGGGGTCCCCCCACCTATAAGACTGATCTACTATTTTTTTCATATCACTTTTTATTCTAGACAAAAGAAGACATGTGCATTTTATTCCGAGAAACAAAAACAACAATGAAAAACAAAAAATGAGACTAAAAAAACTAGAAAAATGGTAATTCTTAGTTTGGTTCAATATTTTAAAAAGCCTGCTCGCCTCTTTATGCTCTCAAATATCTGATTTCAACAAACCAATTGGAAGCACCAAGAAGAACCTGAGACCGCACCTAATTTGGTGTCGAATTTCATAAAATTTTTTGACTTTTTAGTCTTTTTGCTGACAAGGCTCTATTAAAATGAATTGGACTTCAAACAAAAACGAGAAGAAAGAAATGAAAAGAGGAAATTGAGTTCAGCAAAACTAGAATTTCGCAGAAAATACAAAATATTGTGGTGTGCACAAAGAATGCTCAATTGAATCAGGCAAAGGAATTCTAACGTCATTTATTCTGAAAAATACTGAAAAAAACAATTGCGTGACACGGGTTCAAATACTAATATTGAGAAAAAAAATGAATTTTTGGTGAATATATCTATGAGATGTTTGATAAAAAGCCGAAAATCAGACAATGAATTTTTATATAGAAAATATTCCATGAACGATTAAATTGTGTTATTCAAAAAAAAACCTTTTCAATAATTCATTTATAATCTGTGGATGTGAATTGGTAGCTGGATATTTTCGAAGACTTTCAGAAAAGTTAAAATGTCAGAAATTGTTATCTATTCTAACGTTTCGACGTGTAACGTCATCATCGGGAATAATACTGAAAAATAAAATAGGTTATTCTACGAATTATAAGTTACAAATTTTGAAATAAACTTAAAATGAACAAAAAATCTTCAGAAAACCAAAATTTCGAAAAATCAATAAAATGAATCTGCTAAAGTGCGGGTAGGTGGAGTGTTGTTAGTACTTTAGCTAAATTTAGGAGCATTTCATTTTTTATTTATTTTTGTTGTGAAATTAAATTTAAATGAATTTAAATGAGTATTCGTGTTTTTTGAGTGTTTGTTAGAAAGAATTTTGTATTTGGATTGTTCCAAGCCTCTAGTTTGATTCCTATAATAACTTTTACTAATGCAATTGCTATCAGAAATCAGCAAACTTATAATTATATTTCCGCCTTGTCACATGGCTATTTTGTCTATTTACTAGAATAAGAAATCACAATCGACTAATGTCGAATTTTGTGCAGAATCGTATTCAAGATATTTCAGCAACTATTTCAGTTCTACTGAATATAATCTTGATCTTTCTAATACTAACCAAATCACCAAAAAAGCTTGGTTCATACAAATATTTGATGCTTTATATTTCATTGTTTGAAATATTATATTCAATTTTGGATGTAGTTGTTTCTCCAGTTATAATATCAAAAGGTTCCGCTTGTTTGGTGATATCTTATATAAAAAATTCGATGTTGAGTCAGACGATCAATATTGTTTTACATACATCTTACTGTGGTTCATTTGGCACATCAATGGGTATTTTTGCACTGCATTTTATATATCGGTATTTGACTGCAACTGGTTCAAAATATATTTCAACATTCGAAAGTTGGAAAATGATTTGTTGGATGTTGATTCCAATAACTTATGGAATAATTTGGGGTTTAATTGGTTATACATTTATTGGCCCAAATGCCTACACAAACGATTTCATGAAAAATGATATAGAATATGTTTTTGGTTGGGACATCAGAGATACTATCTATATCGGTCCACATTTCTACAAAACTGATAGTTTGAATTTCACTTGGATTGATAAAAACGCTTTCATTGCTGCTGGTGGAATGTGCATAATTCTAGTAAGTTAATCCACGAATCCAAATTGCACATAGAGTTTTTTAAAAAAATTTTAAGTTGTCTTCAATAATTACAATTTTGTATTTTGGTGTAAAATGTTACAAATCGATAAATAATATGGTCAAAGATAGAGTATCTACTTCATCTTCAAATTTTAAAAATGTTCAAACTCAATTGTTCTACGCTTTGGTGATTCAAACAATAATTCCAGTTCTTTTCCTACATATTCCTGTTAGTGTTATTTTTATTTGCACATTTCTCGAATTAAATATCGGATTATTCGGCGGAATTGTAACTATTAGTATTGCATTATTTCCGGCAATTGATCCACTTCCTACAATGTTCATTATCAAAATATACAGAGATGCTATAATTGGTATATTCTGATTAATTATGTCGTCAAAGTTTAAATTATAATTTTCAGGATATGTTCGAAGTTTCCTGCACTACACAAAAATATTTCCTAATAAAAACTGCGCAATTCAATCAATTTCAAATCATCCAAAAGATATATCTACTCCGAATAGTTAATTTTAATAATAACAATAAAAACTTTTTCAATTTCCTAAAAACACTATCAAATTTCAGAACCACATTCTAATCCCCGTCCATTCTTTTTTGTCCTTTTCAATTCTTCGTTTGCTTCTTCCATTTTAATTTGTGCTCAACAAAATGTTGGCCTTTTTTCATTTGAGCACGGATAATTTATTATTATCCACCTCATTCTTTTGCTTTTGAAATTGACAACACGAAAAAAAAAACGAGAAGAAGGAAAAATATCTGGCACTTTTATTGAATTTTTTACTCTGTTTTCTCTTCGTTCACACATTCTTTATATCCTAATCTTTTTTGTTGAATCTTTTGGTGCAATTCGTATACATGAGGTGAACAGAACTTTTGAACATCAGGAGCAAAGCATTCGATTCTCTTTGTAAGTTCATTACAATCGCTTGGTTCAGGGTCAGTCTGAAACTTTTTATTGATCCAAAAAATATTCCATGAAAACTCACCGAACTCAAATATTCTTTTACGCAAAACGACATTTTCTGTGTTTCTGTATTGTTTTTCATCATTTCTCGAAGCTAAAAAATCAAAAAAGTTCAGATAAATTCAGACTATTATCATACCTTATCCTCGCAAGGAGAAAAAGGTCCTAGCACGAAGGCTGCATATGAGCAGCGATCCAATAGACGGATATTGATTCTTTCAGCATAACATCCAGTATTTTGAAGACAAGCCTGTTATTGAAAATTAATTTCAAAAAAATATTTTGTAAAAAGATCTTACATATTTTTGATCACAAGTTGATGTCAATTCTTCAGCTGTAGTGTTAGAATAATCTAATGTAGTGAAAAGTGTTTTGAAACTCGTCCATGTTTCTTGCAGGGTGTACTATAAAATTATAGATAGCTTACTATTTTCAAAACAATGAAAAAAAAACAACTTACCCATCCACATGCGCTGACTTGAAACTTTCCAAATGGTCCACACGTTTCTAAATGTGGATTGAATCCTCGTTCAGATAGTAGAAACTTTTCCGCAGATACAAAATGAATTAAAAGAAAAACGGTGAATTTGAACATTTTTCTTGTTTGAACTGGATTTTTCTTCTTCCTTCTTCTTTTTTATTACACTTTTTGTGTTCGAAAAATCAACCAATGGTCTTGAGATCAATCATTTTGTTAACTTTTTTCATTGTGTTTGAAATGTTTTATAGACTTTTGAGCTCACTTCCTGTTTCATAGCCTGACACATGGCGAGATCACAAAAGATGAAAATTAGACGAACAATATCTGAAAAGCAGAATTTGGGAGACCTTGAAAAAAAAAAGCCAAGAAGAGAAACAGTTATGATCTTTGAAAACAATTGAAGGCAGATTGGATTAGTGGTAAACCCCTGCGTCACACATCTGAGTACAGTAAAATTACATTTTTTTTTACTTCGAATAAATTCAAGTCTAGGCCAATCTAAGTCAAAGGCTTCGCGGGTGGTCTCTGTTTAACCAGAAAAAAAACTGGCAAGTTTTCTAAATTATTCGGTTTCACTATTTTTCCAGCTTGTTCTGATGAATCATTCACACGAAAATCTGAAGCTTGAACACAATTTTGTTTTTCGTGCATATTTTTCCCAGCGTACTTAATTTCTTTCGTCTGAAAAAATGTCAAATTTTTTGGTCGACGTTGTTTACTAATCCACATTTAATCCAGAAAAAGCTGTTTTTGGATATATATGTTCTCTTCTTGTTAGAAGCAGCTATAGCAGCCGTATAAATTCATACTTTCCATATTTTTTGATAATCGTGTTGTTTTGTGCTTTTGTTTTGTTGCTATGAGACGGCCGGTGATGAATTTCGTGTCTGACTATTATCAAATATGTTTTTCATTAAAATTTGAAAATCAATCAGTGTTACATTTTCGTTGAATATTTTCAGTCTTCTGTTTTCAATGTTATTTTTTTCCGTAGTCTAACTTTTGTTTTGAACCCATTTCAACACTAGAGTGAGTTGGGCTAAATATAATTGTTTTTACTAAAAAAAAGAGATGCAGACATAGACATATGTATGTACATATATTCAGCTTTTTTGTTTATGATGCTGAGTGCTCTTCTCAACTTTTCTCCTTTCTTCTTCTTCTTCTTTTTCTTCTTTTTCTCTTTTTTCGGGTTATGGAATTGCAACTCATTTATTTATTCATTGGTTTTTCATGTTTCTTTCAGAAATGGTCACAGTTATTCCGAAAGTAGTCAATTCTCAATACCATCGAACAAAATTTCCACCAACACTTTATATTATGTCAATGGTAAGTTTCCAACAAGATCCAAAATTAGGAAGACTGATTATAGATTATGTCAACCTGTTTATTTTTACTCAAACCAATTTTTTGTTCTTTTCAACAATGTAAACCTATGCCAAGTATTCTAGAAGATCCATTACCCGTAAGTTATAAATAATATTCTGAGAATAACTCAATCAATTGAATATTTCAGTATGTTTCTGTGATAACAGCTCCAATAATTTTTATCATTTCATTAATATGGCTTGGGACGGCATGTACTTATCCGAGCAATAACTGTACCCAATCATACAATTTTATGGTGAGTTTAGCTTTTCTCCGACCCTTTCTCAATCAAACATGAAAGTTTTGCAGGAGATGCCAAGTGCTGTGTTTTGTTCATTGATAGCTGGAATTAGTGCAGTTGTAGAAGTTCATTTTTCTGTTATAAATCGAATAACAAATGATCATTTAACAGAACAATGGTTTTTCTCTGCGGTTCGTTTTTTACCGTTTCTCAAAATATAGAGTATCTTTAGAATAGTAAAAACCGGGAAGATTTTTTTAAATCACAAAATATGGAACTTTGAAAAAACAATTATTACGGTGATGTTCTTGATCACGTATTCGTTAGGAATAGTTCATGTAAAAAGAGTTGTGCATTAGAGCGCAGTTTATTTTTATGTGTTGTGTCTTTCTTAAAGGTCCCAAACAACATTTTCTTACAGATGATATCTCTTGCGTTATGCCTACTACATGCATTGGTCGCCTTTGCCCTCCAATAACAAATCATGCATATTCTTATTCAAAACATTTACTTATTGTTAAGTACAGATCGGCTGCCCACGGGTGTTATTTGCAATCTCGAATTCTCAGAAATTTCTCAAAGTTCATTTACAACAGTTGTTGTTTTTGTCAATGCATTCCTTTTTTCTAAATATAAACAAACAGTGATAGTTTTTTGCCTTCTTTGTTTTTTATAAACAAAATAAACTCTTTTTTACTAACAAATTCACATTTTTTGAAAAAAATGTCAGCTTCAGAAAAAATAAAATTTGATGAACAAGTTTTGGTTCGGAATTTTCGGAATCGTTCATGCAAATGCATATTTTTATATACAAATTGATTGAGAATAGATTGCATCATAGATTTTAGAAACTTATTATATTTTTACAAATAAATTCCAGAGTTAAAAAAAGGCAGATAAGCTGCAACTCCTGAATTTCTTCAATCGATATTCCAAATTTTAAATTTTATTAATAAGAAAAATTAAATTTTCCATCCATCTTTTTTTTCTCCAAAACCAGCTGTGTTGTCAAAAACTGTCCGTCCACCCTCCAAGAGTGACCTTCTATGCAAATTCTCTTTTCCATCTGCCGTCTCCTCCTTTTTCATACTCTTCACTTCCTCTTCTTTCTCTCTTTTGGCGTCTTGCCAGCTAAGTATACGACTTGCGAAAAAAAAGAATTTCCAATATTTTCCGTGTTTTTTTCGATGATTTTTTTCCACTCATATTATTTAGTTTTTTTTTGAACTATAGTGTATAGTCTTGCAATATATACACTTTGCGGAATTTTGTTTTCAACAAATATTTTGAAAATGAATAATAGGTCAAGATTTTTAATAAAAAAATTTGTTCGATTGTTATTTTTTATAACAGTTGTGTAAACAGGGGTCCATATCATCAACCAGAACTTACTACGTTTTATTATCAGTCAATACTTTAAGCATAACGTTCCGCAATCGATCATATAGCTACGTCATCCACAAACTTTGCGTAATTCCATAAAATCTGTCAAATCGTGTTTCCACGGGATTTCTTGCTTTCAAATTATTTCTTTTTAATCAACTGATATATATTGATTGAAAATACAGGAATTTGCGGTATGCATATATCGAATTATTGTTATTATGCGGCATTTCATTGTGTCACCGCGGCCGCCGCGCGCCCTCTCTTTCTCTTTTTCCGATCATTTATCGCCAATTTCATTCTCGATTTCAATTGCATATGAATAAACCAATGCGATGAGAAGAAGAAGCTTTTTGTTTTTTATTCTCATGCATTTTTGCATCTCCCGCCAGTCGCTTTTCACTAGTTTATTTATTATATTATTATTATTTGTTTGTTTTCAGCAAATGCGGACTTGTTGGTTTATTGATTTTTCGATGTAATATGATGTTTTCATTTTAATATCTAGACTTATCAAACTATAAACCCACATTTCACTTTCTCTTTTTTTTTTTTGAAAACTGTGTGTTACGAGTTTGGCACCACTGTATTGACCTTTTTCGTGTTCGTTTGCTGAAGGGATTATTTTTGCCTCGAGGGAATACAGAAAAAGAATCGAAAAAGAGAATGACTCATGTGATTGTTATTGTTGTTGGTGTGAGAGCGGTGTCTCCTTTGTTTTTTCCATAATGTATTCACACTTCTTCTGTTTTGCTCTCTTATTCATTTTTGTTTTGTTTCATTCGAGTTATGTTACTATATAACTCTTTTGTCATTTGTAAAGAAAGTTTTCTTGTTTCTTCAAAAATATACCGTGTTATTTTTCGTGTAATTCACATTTGTTTAAATTACTGATTTCCAAACCAATGATTAGGATTTAAAAAACAAAAAAAAACTTAGATGAACATCGCCACCCAAACCAAAACCAAAAAAAAACAAAACAAAACAAAAATGTTCTTTTTAAAAAGGAAACAAAGTAATTTCGCCTACACTTTCTCCAGCGAATATTACAAGTGTCGTTTTTCTCTTCGCTGACATCTAGATATTTTTGTGGTTTAGTAGTTTTTAGCCAAAGAATCTTCTCACTTTTCTTTTTTCGTATAACCCTGTTCAGAGTTACACAGGCGCATTCTTTTGGTTAAGATAGATAAAAATCTTCAAAAAACTGGACATTGTGTAATTTATAAAGCAATCTTTTTCCTTTCAAGCTGACCCGTAGTTATTTTTTCAAACAAAAAACTGAAAATAATTTTCCCTTCACCAACCGTAAGTTTGAAATTAGAATAGTGCTTAGAAAAATGTGAAAATTAAAAATGAAGAATTTGAATTGATTTTGAATGAAAACTAAACCGTGTACGTGTACTTTCAAAACACGTCACATGTTTTTTTTAATGTAATAATCATTTCGCAAAATTGTTTCTGTCAAGAACAAAGCTTATCGTAAGTTCAGCTTCCTACTAGGCTGGTTATAGTACCTTTCTCCCACATTTTCCCCGGGCACCCTGAAAAAACGTGAAAAAAATAATAAAAATGTCGTGAAATCAAGTGTGTGTGTTTTCCGGTGTTTGCAGAAAGTGCACAAATTTGAAGTTACAGTACATGACGATTTGGAAAAATTTATTTTTTTCTTTTTTTTCTTTGGGACACGGAATCCCCTAGATGTTCTTAACTATAAATCCATATTTTCTTATTTCATGCAATGTCTAGTCTCTATTTATGTCTCTTGATATTTTCTTCCTGGTTCCACTTGACTGACACACCTATACTTATAAATGATCAAAGCTTATCGTTTTTTCTATTTCGAACGAATCATTTTTTGCAATATTTGTGCACATCCACACCTTTCGTCAAAACAACATTAAAACCAAGAACATGAACACATTAGGCAAATAAAATCGGAAAAACCAAAAACTTCCGTCACTTTAGTAGTAGTACAATATGTCGAGGCAAACATTGCCGCAAATAACAAACATACAAAATATCATTGATTTCCCAGAAAAACTTTATTACTTACATTCATGTTTTCAACTTGTTCTGTTCCTATAATATTTAGATTTCCACATTTTTTTTTCATTTTTGCATACGTCTTGTTGGTTATTGATCATTGGTAGAAAAATCACAGCTTGACGCATTTCACATGATATTTATTTAGTTTCTTTTTTGTATTATCATCGATCTTCTAAATTACAACATTATTGTACAATATTTTAGATATGATTACATAGAAAAAAGTTATTCTGAAAAATTTGAAGCCAACCTTGATTGGCCGAAAAGAAACGCGTGCCAGCATTAGCATACTTGGTCTTTTTTGACGAGGTCACACTTTTTTTCCTCTTCATAGTTTTTTTTTTGTGAACAATTCTCTTGTCATCTCTGATTTTTCTAAATATCCTCAATTTTTTCCCAAGCGATAAAATTCAACTCATAAATTCAGCCTTGTCGAAATAAAAAAAAATGATTCTGAAGTGCTTTTTTTCTATTTGTTTCTCACAATATTGAATGTCTATAGACATTTGATATTATTTATGTATTTCTTCTTGTTTTTCTCGATTTGCCTGAAAATTGTGCCAATTCGTTTTGTTTTTTTCAGGAGTCGCCGTGCAAAACATCGACATATGACATCATGGTGGAAATGGTGTCTAATGTGAGATTGCACCCGGATATTGGCGAAGTCACACATCTCAAGCGAAATGAAGGTGTCAGGTTAGTGATTTTTCAATATTTTCACGGAATGAATGCATAACATTCCTACGCAACGAATAACAGTGCAAACATTCCATTCTTATCATTTTCCTATTCGAAAAAAAAACCAATTCCCTTTTTCAGATGCTCCAAACGTGTTCTAGACGGAATGTGTTTGCAAATGGCTACAACATCAGCTTGTTCATCGACTTCGTCAATTTTGAATAATAACAATAAATCAGCATCGAAATATTATCCTCAAGGTGAGCATTTTCTTAGAAATATCAAATGGGACCTTTCAAATTTCTTTTTTTTTCAGAAAATGAGAAAGTATTTTTTTTTCAGAAAATGAGAAAGTATCGTGTAATCATGATCCTTGTTCGTCAAACTATTCGTCATATGATCATCATCCGGTTATTTCGATAATTGGTCCTTTGTATGCGCCAGATGATTTTGATGTTCTTGAGCCGCTTGGTGAAGGATTCTTCAGCAAAGTTTACAAGGTTTTGTTTTGTTGTCCTTGGTCATTGAAGAAGTTAAGCCGATAATTGAGGATTGTTTTCTTTTTTTTGCAGGTTAAACATGTGATGACTGGCGAAATATTTGTGTTGAAGAAGAATAAACCGACAGGTGGATCTAGAAGGGCATCGCATGCTGACGCGGCAAGAGAAGCTGCTATGATGAGAAAATTGAAACATGAAAATATTTTGGAATTGAGAGGAATTTGTATTTCGCGCGATGAAACGGGAAAATGGGATGCGAATTTGTTGGTTTCGTATTGTCAAGGGGGAAGTTTGTCGAGTCTGATTCTTGATAAACAAGTTCAATTGACATGGGCGAAACGAGTGAAATATGCGAAAGATATTGCGTGTGCAATGGAATATATTCATGGACAGCAAATTATTCATCGAGATTTGACATCTTCGGTAATTTTTTGAATGAAAAATAAAAAGCAATATACAAGTCCGATTCTCTTCTTTTCAGAACGTCCTAATTTGTAACGATAATCGCGCAGTTGTTGCTGATTTCGGTTTATCTTGCCCATTCCCAGAACAAGGTGAAAAACTCGCACAAGTCGGAACAACATATTTCATGAGTCCCGAATGTCTCAAAGAAGAATTCTATGATGAAAAATCCGATGTTTTTTCGTTCGGAATTATTCTGTGTCAAATGATTGCTCGTGTTGATGCGGATCCGGATGGCGGTTTGCCAAGAACAAGTAAATTTGGTTTCGATTATATGCTTTTCACTCCTCTTTGCCCATTGGATACTCCTATTGAGTTGTTGAAATTGGCATTCAATTCGTGTGTTATGGATCCGACGGCTAGACCGAGATTTGTGGATGCAAATCATAAATTGTCGGAAATTATGACACTTTTACCACAAATTGTTGCAAATTCGAAAAATGTTGATGGATTGTTAAGAGATGGTGAGTTTTTTTTCGGAAATTTTTTTTCATGAACTAATGTTTTTTGATTTTCCAGGCAAAGAATCTCGTTTGGGTCGAAGTCGTTCTGATGCTGCACTCAAACGCCCAAAATCTCTAGCATCAACAACACGAAAACTTTCAACAAACTGGAATACAATGACAGTTCGACCAGTAATTGAAGGAGAAGTCATTGAAGAAACATCAACGATGGCAAATCGAATGGAAGAATTAGCGAGACACGTGGCAAGAGATGAACCCGAATTCAGGCATATCAATCCATTTGTTGGCCATGAAAGATTCCGAAATGAACGGAAAATTTTGCCACCAACGAGAATATTCGAAACGCCGAGAAGAAGAAGTGAAACGAAACCGGATGGATGTTCGAGTAAAATAAAGAATGATAATGATTCAATTTCAAATACAAGTACAATAAATACACCACGTAGAAGATGTCTTTCAATGCCATGTTCTATCAATGATACATTTGAAAATGGACATTATACATCATTTTCATATGACGGAACGTTTAATTCTGGCGGAGTTGAAGACGATGATTCCGAATATATTGATGCTAATTCATCTCCAGCAAGTGGAATTCCAATGGCATATCGAGATTTTGACAGGGTGAGTTGAGGTTTTCCAAAAATAAATTGGCCCAAACTTGAGATTATCCTAGACTGTATTTTTCAGAAATTCCTCAAACAAATGATCCGTTTTCCATCTCGTCGCCATACAATGCATCCAGATATTGTCCAAAATTCAACAAATTCAAGTTTCGAACTTTCAAATTGTCAATGTCCATCACCAACAGTTTCAAAGTCTTCAGTTCGTAGATTTGTTGGAGGAAAAGACTCACAAGTTCAAGAATGTTAGTTTTTTCTAATTTTTGGAAATTTAGACATTTTTTTTCATTAAAAATATTATAGAAATTTTTTTGAGAAAATATCTCCCGAATTTCAGACGTGAAGCGTCCATCAACTTTTCCAAATCGCCAAGTTTCAATAATTTCTGAAGAATCAATTGAAAAACAAAACTCGATTGTTACATTCAATGAAAAAACACCAAAACGAAAAGGACGTCGTGTTTGTACTCGGAGCTCACAAGAATGCTCAATTTTATAATTTCAATTAGATCTCAACCTTACTCTCTCTCTCTCTCCCCAAATATTATCATAATTATGTTTTTTTCTCCAAATCTTGCTCATTCCTACCAAAATGTTCCTTCTTATTACTTGAAAATGGGTATTATACATTTCTTTTCAGTACTATTTCTTTTTTGTTTGTTATTTCATGATGTATGCTTTACAATTCTTTTTTGTCTCGTTTTCATATTTATTTGAATCATTTAAATGAATGTCTATTTTTATTAAAGTAGCGGAAATTTGCCCACCGGATGTTGTCTTTTCAAGAAAAATTAATAAACTTGTTGATTTTTCAAGATTTTTAAATCAATATTTATTTCTCAAATTTTGACGCGACCCGAAATCAATAAATTAAATTAAAATTACATTTTCTAACCCGAGTTTGCTATAAAACTATTTCTTAATTTTTGAGCACTTCAAGTAAATCTTTTCGTCTCAAAACTCTTCCAAATTCAACATCCTCAATTTCTTGCTCATCATCGGTAATTGTTGAACTTGTAGAAATATGATCACTTTCATCTGAATCCTCATCTTCTTCCTCAGATTCTTCCTCCTTTTCATTCTTCATTTTTTCTTGTTTATCAATTCGTTTTCTCATTCGATAATCCACCACATCTTCCTCATCCGAATCATTTTCTTGTGCCAAAACATTTGGAACATCGAGAATAATTGGTTCAATTGAGAGTTCTCTTTGCATTTTGTCGAATTTTGAAGTTGAGCGACAAAATGCTTCGTGGAAGGCTAATTCTTGTTGGGGTAGAAAATGACGAAAGTTATAGGAACATCTGAAAGATTTTGGAAAATTATGAATTTAATTTCAAGTTGAAATCGAGATAGTTTTGGACCTGCTGTCAAAAACACAGCGTGTAATTTATTACACTAAATCGCTAAATAGACCTCAAAATTTTTCTGGTAGATCAAAAATGTTTTTCTCTAACGTCCTTAAATCTCTCACTTTTTTATTGATTTTTAGTCCCCTTTCAAAAAATGTGGGAAATTTTTTTGGTAGTAATTTACACGCTGTGAAAAACTGCAAACCTCAACTTCTAAATGAATTATGACGTGGCGAGGTCTAAAAATCGTGACTTTCCTAGCTTCTAATATTATTTTCATAAAAACTAGGAAATGTACGATTTTTCAGACTTTGCCACGTCATAGCTCATATTCAAAGTTTATTTTTGCAGTTTTTGACAACGCGATCGTGTTCAGCGGGTCCAAAACTACCAGAAAACATGTTTTTTGCAAGTTGAAAAAATTCTCTTAGATATAAATTTAGAAAATTAAATTAGTACCTGACAAATTTCAATGAATGTGGATGATATTTCATTGTTTCCATACGACATTGTAAAATATGAGTGTTGAAATCGATAATTGAAATCTAAAAAAAAATGCATTATTTTTCATGATCCTAAAGATATTTTCCCTTACCTTGTGATTTTTATTATATGGACAATTGATGTCAGGATTTGTATCTTCTTGTTTCCTGCAAAAAACGTTGTGTCTTTCTTATCAATTGATTTCTTGTTTCTTTTTTATTTTTATATTCATATTTATTTCTCTAAAGTTTTAGGATGAATTCAAAAGATGAAGAAATATTGAAAATTGTTCGAGAAAAAATACAATATTTCGAGAATTTGGATAGTGAACCGTGTGAGCCAAGACCGCAAGAATGTTGTGGTCAAAGTTGCAAACCGTGTGTTTTTGATATTCATCGGAATGATTTGATTCGATGGGCGAAAGATTGTGCGAGGAAAATGAAATTTGATGGTGTGTTTTAATTTTTTCTGTTTGAGTTGATCTTGAAATCTTCATTTTTTCTAGATACAACAACAATATATTTCCATATTTTCGGTGAAGATTCTATTGATCCAAATGTTATTAGAGAAAATTTTCAATTAGATGAATATTTGTAAGTTTGACTGAAATTTATGTTTTGGTCCCCAAGTTCATTTTTCAGATCCTTCGATGTAATTCAAAGTGAAAATTTGACTAGCGACACAAAACTTTTCCGCTTTCAAAACAAATCAATCAAAAATATGAATATGTTACCTATCGGAACTCATTTGCGCGCAAGGTGGGTTTTCTTCTGTAAAAAATATGCGTTGGGTGAAATCTTGAAAAAAAAAATGAATATAAAAAATACCTTGTTCTGAAAAGCTCGCCGATGCTTCTTCTTCCATTCTGAAGTTTTCTATTTTGTTTTTGAATTTTTTTTTGTTTTTTTTTCAAAATAAATCAATCGTAAACAACGATTCTATCGAGTATATATTTTTTATTAAAAAATTTCAAAAATGTTTTTTTTCATATTAATTAACTCCAACAACCCGAGTTCAATAACAATGATTGGGCAAACAGACAACAAATAATAATGACATTTTGCGAATATCTTTTATGAATTAACTTCTTCACCTTCGCCTGATATCAGTTCATTTTCGGCACTTTCTGCTTCAACATTTTCATCTTCTGGTTTCAGCTGAAAATATTTCGTTTATTGATAAACAAAACAAATTTTGAAATCAAAACGTACCCCTTTTTTGTACAATTCGGCATTATACAAGGATTTCTTGTATTTTGGTCGTTCCATCTCATGACCACGATAGTACTCAAATTCTGGAACCGATATTCGCTTGCAAACGGTTTCTGTTATCAGTTAACTTACTGGAGATCGCATCGGCAGCAGTGGAACCATCCACATCAATCATATATCGACAGATTAGATAACCTGTGCGATTCAAACCATGTGTACAATGGACGCCAATCAGTTTTCCATCTGAAACATTTCATCTTAAAATAGAGAAAAATAATGAAAATGTTACCGTTCTGTGGATCCTCTATGAAATCTTTACAAATTTTGATGAATTCTTCGACCAAATCTTCGCGTTCATTTACTTCGTGACCAGGACAATTGAGTTTTCTGTATACATTTTCTTAGATTCTACGAGAATTTGAAAAAAAAACTTACATATAACCGACATCATAATCTGCCCATTCACTCTTTTTATAATATCGATCAGTGTTGGTCAAATCAATAACTAAGCCCAATTGTTTTCCAGCGCGTTGTGCCATATTTATCAGACTAGCAACATCGAATTGTAATTCTTGTGGCATATTTTTACCAGCGAAAAATGAACTGTCGAGAGGAGTTTTGAATGGGACAAATCGTGTGCCTTCTATGTCTCGCCCAACATTGTCATATCTTTCCCATCTGAAAAAAAATGATTGGGAATTTTGCTTTTAAAAAATCAAGTAATTACCTGTCTGGAAATCGTCTACCTTGATATCTAGGCCTATCGTTGTATGATCTTCTCCTATTATAGTTATCTCCGTGAGACATTTCTGAAATTAATGACTTTTTATCGATGAATAGATTCTTGAACAAATAAAATAAAAAAAGAGGCGTGGCCAAGCGCGCTGCCTGCCGCACACATTTCTCGCAATGTCGCGGCACACATTTTGGTTTTTCTTTTTATTATTTTAATTTTTTTAAGATCTTGGGTTACTGTAACTAGATTTTAAAGTTGAAGCGCTGTTTTTTTTAGAAATTTAATGTGAATACTTCAAATTTATCGTAAGTGCAAGTAAACAAAATCCACAGATTCGCTCATCAAAGCCACAAAATTGAAATTTGCTCTGAACCAATTAAAATTTTTTTTAATTCAATTTTTATTGTTTTAAAATTATAATAATACTAATAATAGAATAATGATCAAGTGTTTGCCCAAAATCGGACCACAAACCAAAGTTTTGTTTTTGTATTTAATCTCTCCTGGTATAACGTACAAGGTCAAATGAAAGGACAATTACACGACATGTAGGCAGAATAACAATTTGGTACTTTTTTTTCTGTGTTCGTTGGATACAAACCGGTTGCCTTATCTTTCCTTGATTTTTTTCACACTTTTCTTCATATTTAATCCATCCACGGCAATATTTTTATCAATTCAAATCGGTTTCGGTAACCGGACTTTTTGGTTTGGGTTTGTTAAGGTGGTCTTATGCTATATCGCTAGGAATACAATATATCTAGAATGTTTTCTTTTAAAGTAGCCTATCCTTGAGTATTCTACTGTCAAGGATTCGTGCCTAGAGAGCCTAGTTTTTCAGTAGCCAGTTTAGTTTTGTTTATAGTTTGATCGAAAATGATGACACAGAATTGCGGACTTGATTTTTTTCCACAAGGAAGTACAACCTCCTAAATTATATTTTTTGTTTCTTTTGACATTGACAACTTTTTTTAAATTTTCTGATAAAACAATACCAATTTGAAATAACAAGAATTTTCAAATATAAATGAATAACAAGAAATTTCTATTGTTTTATTTATTTTCACTTCAAGTTCCTCTATTCAAAAATTCTCCAATCACTTCTCTCAAATTCCTCTCATTCATCACACACTATTTCGCCCATCATACCTCCGGTCATATCGAGGTCAATCGCAATCCCTTCTCTGGTCTGGCCACTAATCTTTTTTACGTTTTCATCATGACTGATTTTTTCGTTCGGTGTCAGGTAGAGAAACATTAAAAGAGGATAATAGTTTTTTTTCTTTTTTTTTTTGGAAAAAACCAACAGGTCTCTTTTGTTTTCTCATTTTTGGTGAAAGTTTTTTTTTTCGTGTGATGTGAACCTGAAATTTCGAAAGCCAAAGATAAAAATTGCCCAATGGTATTATGATAAAATCTGATCTACTTGGTTTTTATCTGATTTTTTTGGGAAAGGCCACTTTGCACTTTTACATAGAATTTCTCAAGTATTTAGTTTTCTGAAGTACAAGTTGGTCATAGTTGTGTTGTGAAATTCATCTAGTCTAACTAACCTATGCAAATTCCGACCTACTTTACTCGCCGAAAATCGAATGGGCGTTTTTTTTCTTATTTTTATGTTGTATTCTCTCGTTTCTCTCCCAGTCAAATGTATCATTTTCAGCCAGCCATGGAGGCAGAAATTAGACTTCGGAAATCAGCGAAAAATGCTAATCAAGAAGAAATCCGTGACGCCAAGAAGAAGAAGAAGGAAGGTTCCAGCATTGAAAACTTTCTTTTCCGCTCACTTTTCTCTCGAATCGCTCTAATATTATTCTATTCCTTCTGGTTTTTGTTTGGTGTTTTGGTTTTGCGAAAAACTCAGAACGCAATAGCCGCTGTCAGATATGTGAAATCGAATTCCGAATCAGTTTCTTTGCGACTCATCGAAGAATCTCGCGAATTCGCGGATCTCATTAGAATTCTCGACAAAAAGTTTCCACGTCCTCCAGCACTATTTTTGCTCAATCAACACGCATTGAATATGACTGACAATTTCCTGTGTAACACCGCAACTTTTCCCGGGGCACACGATCGCTTCATTTTCGTCACCCTGGATACTGTGGCTCGTGATACAATCAAGAAAAGATGGCCGAATATTCAACAATTCCATTGGCCAACTCCTTCACTTTACGTAAGTCTTGTCTCCAATTTCATTTCATTTATAATAGTCATGTTTTCGTCAACCACGAAATAAAAAGAACCTGTTTCTTGTTTTTTTTTGTGGTTGAAAAAAGTGGTTAATTAACTAGAGTACTGTAGCTGTTTTCTAATTAACTTTTTTTCAGAAACCATTTTCATTTGCTGAAGGAGCTTATCAAACAATTTATCTACTTCGATCGAATATTGCATTAGCTCTAATTAAAAAGTGAGTTACTTTAAATTGTTAGTTGAGAATAATTTCATTTTTTTCAGAGGAAAATCATTTTGGATGATGCAACAAGATACATTTTGGCGTAAAAGTATTTTCGATTTAAATTTCGAAGATGATATGAGTTACGACGCTATTTTCGATCAATTAGGAGAAGAAGATTCATTGAGAACTGAATGGGTTAATGGTGCTAACTTCTTTATTCGTGCCAATAATGATACTCAATTATTTTTCGAAAGATTGTCTGATAAATTGGCACATTGGTATACTCCAGATATGGGAGTAATGATTCATCAATGTCATACGTGGAAAAAACCAACTTGTGCCTATGTTCCACATAAGTGAGTTGAAATGAGACCTAGATAAAAACACAACGAAAGAATATTTCAGATTCATTTACTCTTGGGAATGGATGTACACCGGTCAGAAGAATCCACCATACTTAATGCAACTCGATTGTGAAACCGATGGTGGATCAAAATTGATGCAATTGGGAAGATACGGTTTTCATTTTGTGAATCAAGATGGAACTTGTAATAATGAGAAAATTGAATTGGCGAAACAAAGAATGGAAAATGGAACTGTTGAAGTGAAAATGTCACAAAACCTTCCATCCTGGGGTCGACTTCAATTCAAGGCTTATTGGTGGATTGTTGAATACATGTTATCGACTCCTATTATTGGCCATTATCTAAAACCATATTTAGCTATGGTTGGATTCATTTTAATGATCACAATTTGAGATTTTTCTCGACTGGAAAATAATTGATTGAATACGGGTTTTAGTTCATTCGAATAAATAATTTTTATATTGTTTGTCAAACAAGAAATAACCGATTTTCGATTCAAGAAACTTATAGACGTGAGCTATGGCGTTGCAGTTTGAATATACCGCCTACAGTAACCTCTCAAAAATTTTGAAATTATATCAAAATTTTATTCAGATCTTCAGATGGTTTTTCTCGTCAGTATACTCCGACTGCAGTTGGCCCAAATTGGTTTGAAGTTCCAATTAAGGTTCAAAGTTTCTCACTTTTTCTCCAGCAAAAACAAATTTTTCAGATTTATCCAATGGGAAGGTTCACCTCAAAACTAGACGGAATAAAATCTCTCGAATTCCGAGGACCCTATGGAATATCAGAAGCCGCGAGAATTCGCAAAGTTCGAAGGCCAATGTTCATCGCAGCTGGAACTGGAATTGCACCGTTTATCAGGATTATTGAATATTTATTAGAGAAAGATGATGATGATTTGATGATTTTGTTAGTTTATACAGTTCGATCATTTTCAGATGTATTGTTTTTGGAAAATCTCAAGAATTTCGGAAAGTTTTGGAATTTTCAAATCCGAATTTTGCTAACAAAAGAAGAGGAGAAAAACAATTCACACCCATTGATGAAAATTGAAAATGGAAGACTGGGAATCGAGAATTTCAACAAAATATTTGACGAGTTCAATGCTTTAGAAGTTGTTGTTTGTGGTCCAACAGCATTTGAAAAAGATATTTGTAATTTTTGCTCAGCTTTTGATGTTGAATTTATACGTTTTCCACCATAAAACTATTTTAAATCGAATAATTTATTGAGAAATGAAACGAATTTTAAAAACCGATGGGATCTTGTTGAAAGAAATCAGGATCAAATGGAAGTACAATCATCATTTCAGCCTTTCTTTCTTTATCAACAGGCGTATATTCTTCTTTTTCTTTCGATGGATTTGATCCAACAATTTCAGTGCTCATTTTTTCCTTGCTAAATGATTCTCCTTTTGCCGGTGTACTCGCATTCTCTTTACTTTTATTCGTTGTCTCCTTACTTTGATTTGTCATTTCTTTACTCATAGTTGATCGATTCGGCGATGGACCAGTTAGTTTTCGAGGAGTCCTCGTTTTGTTTGGTGTCAATGATTTAGTTGTTGTCCCAAATTCCCAATCAAACGGATCATCCCATTCGAATCTTCCCTTTTCCATCACAGCCATTATCAACATATAGATTTTGAAGTAATCCGGACGATGGAAATATGTCAAAGTTCGAAGATGCGCAGCAATTTCGAGAAACTCTGTGGGACTATTTTGCAAAATCACCTCATCCGTGTGCAATCTCTTCATCTCTCCAACAATTCTCTTATCACTTTGTGTTGCCCACGGCAAAGGTCCTCGCAATTCAGCCAACAAATAAATCATACTCCATAAATCGTCAACTCTTCCTTGCTCAGCTCGATCATGCATTCGAATCGAACAATATCTTGTTGTTCCTCGGAAAAGTGCACGATCTCTTGGTCTTCGCATTTTCATTCGATTCGGATCATTGTTACTTGGAACAGCGTATTGGCGAGCTAAACCGAAATCGAGGATATGAAAGAAACGACATTCTGATGTTCCTTTTTTACCCAACGCCATATTTGCCGGCTTCAAATCACGATGGATGAAGCCGATCTGGAAATAAGATTTATTCGCTTCTGGAATTCAAAAAATAAACCCACATCATGAATTTGTTTCATACAAAACAACATATTTGCAGCAATTCTACATTGCGTTGAAACAGTCACCGCACGATTCAATCTCTTCACAATTTTATTCATCGATTCACCCAACAATGTCATCACAACATAGCTATATTGTGTAACTCGCGCTGCTCCCAATAATTGTGCCACGTGTTTTTTATTCGCAAGTTTTTTGAGAATCGCCACTTCCAACTTCAAAACACATCCACCAGATGCGAAATTTGATTCACATTTCATTGCGGCCTCCGAGTCATCTTCTAATGATTTTACCAAGTATACACTTCCACATCCACCTTCGCCCAATTTTTTCACCACCAGCCAATTGCACCCAACAAGTTTTCCTTTTGGAATTTCGATTGTTCCGTTATCTATAAAGCAGATTGTTTTTTTTTTGAGTTTCGAAATTTCAGTTATAAACCTTCCATAGTAATTTTTATATTTGTCTACTGATTGAATTTATAAACCAAGGGTTTCTAAAAATTCAGAGTACTAGAAATAACCATTTTGAAGCTCCATTTTCTAATTTTCACGTTTTTCGAGAAATTAGAACACGTTTTTTTAGATTTCGAAATCAATTTCACAATATTTTTTTAAAAGTGTTTGTAGTTTGAACTTTCACAGGAATTTTTAATTTCACAACATTTCACAAGCGTTTCTGGAACTCTGCCGAACTCCAAAAAAAACTCGAAAAATCACTATATTTTCTAGATTACTGTAGATAATCTAGAGTACTGCGTTCCAAATTTTCTAGATTCTGAAAGCTTACTTAGAATCTACAGTACTCTCAAAAAAAAGAGAAGCTACAGTACTCTCAAAAATAAGAGAAGCTACTCTCCAAAAATAAGAGAAACTACAGTACTCTCAAAAATAAGAGAGGCTACAGTACTCTCAAAAATAAGAGAAGCTACAGTAATCTCAAAAACAAGAGAATCTACAGTACTCTCAAAAATCAGAGAAGCTACAGTACTCTCAAAAACAAGAGAATCTACAGTACTCTCAAAAATAAGAGAAGCTACAGTACTCTCAACAGAATTTCAAATGTTTTTAACACTATTCACGATAAATATTTATTAAGAGCCGACTGTATTTAACAAGTATTTTCTCAAATTTTATTCTAAAAATCAAAAAAGATGATTTATCCAGTAGTTCCACTTGTTGTTCCAGTTGTTCCTCCCGATGTTGAATTACTCTTCTTTCCCTTCTTCCCCTTCTTTCCCTTCTTTCCTTTCTTTCCCTTCTTGGCTTTTCTTGCTCGCGGTATATGTTTGAGACGTTGTTTGACAAGATTTTTGACAAGAATCACATGAACAATCAGTGCAACAAAACCAAGAACAGCGCCTATTCCCAAACCAATCAACAAAGGCGTCGGAATCGATTCAGATGGAATACCATTCCCTACTTGAGGCATGTTTGTTTAACACCTGAAAACATCAATGAATTTTCATAGCTAGAATAGAACTCACTTTCAATGTGGCTAATAAGTTTCCGTAAGGTAAAACAATTGACGAATTGAGATTCTGATGAATTATTGCTCCTTTTAAACACAATAACACGTCAATTAGAACACGTTTCTTATCTGATTTTAAAGGTTCACGTAGAAATTCCAAATTTTCCCACATTTTTTTATAGATTGGCTGCTGAGCTCCAGCTATGAATATGAGTTGGCAAAGTTCAACATTTGAAAAACTTTAAATCAAAATTTTCCCAAATACAGTAACACACTCGAAAAGTTGCATTTCGTTAAATAAACAAGTTATAAAAAGTAATGTGACTCATTGATACAAATTTCATTGTGCCCTCACTTTTCCCAAAAAATGCCACCCCACCTCTGCAGAAAACTTGAGTCATCACAAACTTATGCAGAATGATATCACAATTTTTGTGTCTTATCTGAAAATTTTCATCATTCACTGATAAGCCTAATATTTAAGACACCTCGCATAATGAAACTCATCATTTTTGTAAATTTGCAAAAATGGCAATCACCAACTCTTATGATATCAATTTACAGTCCGAAATGGCGTCGTCACCCAAAAATAATAAATTGTTTGGACGTTTCGATCCGATTCATATTGGATTAGCTGTTATATCAATCATTTTCATTATTTTATCCATTGTTTTTATTATTTTATTTGCCACAAAACATGGTGAGTTCTAGAGGAAAATTGAGATCTTATAAGACAAATTTAGACACTTCTTCATCGTTTTTGACCACTGGATTTACAATGAACTCAAAATCAGAACTCGAAAATGATGTGAGTTTCAGCCCTTGGAAGAATTGAGATTCTAAACATTTTTTTTCCAGTTCAAATCAAGACTTCAACAAAAATACACTCTCAATTCGTTTGGCTTAGATGTTCAGTAAGTGGTATTTGAGCGAGAGATCTCAAACCTCATTTCCCAAAATTTTCCAGAAACAATCAAGTGAATGCAGTTTACTCGTTACGTGGCTCCGTTTCTGTCGACGAAGCGAAAAACGCGTTATCGGGATCGAAAATGGTGACACAAATGGAAACCACTTGTAAGCTGCCTAAAGAATTCGACTATGCCCTTAAGGCGCTTAATGTCACACCTTATCAACAAAATTCTTTTGTTTTCAGACGGTGATAATGCGTACAGTGTTTGCCATCAAACTCAAACTATTTCAACATCTCAGCAACCTGCCACAAATACGCCCACAACTCCATCTACTCCAAAACCTCCTTCACAATGTAGGCTTGAAAATTTTTGGGGGAAACTTGAACAATATATATTTTTTAGATTGCAATGGATCTCCACAACGTGATATTTTACTTGTCATTGATATGAATGACTTGCAAAAAACCAACAAAACATTAAAAATCTCAAGCTTGGACACAATCAAGAATAAGATCGCCTCAAATGTCAATTTCGCCTCGACACAAATTTTCATCGGAGCAACCGCTGGAAATCAAATCGTTGATATCTCCACAAGCTTCGCTGATACAAAAGACAAATTCTTGAATGATTTCAATAATGTTTACAATGTTCAAAATACAACAATTCGTCAATCATTGGATTTTGGAACTTTGAAAACTTATGCATTCAACAAGTTTCCCGCTAGATCTTCAACTCCAGATGAAGTTATTTTATTGACTGATAAACCAGTTTCAAGTCAATCTGTTGATAAATCGAATACTGGAATTTATTTCACAATCGCCGGTGTCAATAAAAATTAGTAAGTTCTTATCTAATCAACTCTCATCTTATTTTTTTTTCTAGTGTTAAACAATATTCAACTTATATTGATGAATCATTGAGTTATGACTCATGGACCGATCTTGCCAATAATGATCCATTCTCACAACTTGTTTGCTCGTGTAAGTTATCAAAAAATTTCATTTTTATTTCCATATATTTCAATTTCCACATTTCAGTCTTCAAAAAACCAGTCACAACAGCATCTCAAAGATATTTATTGGATTATCTCAACGCTGATGACACAACCAACTCTCCAAAATGCGAAGTTTTGGATATGATCTTACTCTTTGATACATCAGAATCGCTCTCAAGAATTCTTCTCGAAGACTACAAGAATTTCGCAACAAAGTTCGTGAAACAATATAAGACTTCTGATGATTTGACAAGAATTGGGGTTATGTTTTTCAAGTGAGTCACCGAAAGAACATAAATTTTTTTTGAAAGCTACAATTCTTCAAATTCAAACTTTTAGCTCGGAGACATCAGAAATTTTAAAACTCGTCCAAGGAACAAATTTGGATAACGTTCTTCAAGCCATTCAAAGTGTTCAATATACCGCTGGATTAACTGATATCACAAAAGCCTTGAATGCCGCATTCGCCGCTTTCCAAGTTGAATCCCGTGCTGCAAGTGGAAAAGTTCTTGTTGTTCTTTCTGATGCCATGTAAGTTTTGAACTCTCGAATCAAAATCAATTTTGAATTCCATATTTTCAGACCAACCGTTGACACGTATGCAAATGAAATCATTGCTGGCAAACAATTGAGTGACTTCGGAGTTCAAACTTTGATTGTTGGATATGAAGCATTTTCTGCTGATGTTCTTCAACAACTTGATCAAATCACCAAACCAGAATATATCTATCAATCACTTGATGATACCACTTTGAATGGTGTTACTGCAAATATTCTTGCCAATTATCCATGTCCAGCTCCACGTATGTTTCTGGGAGAAAAAATCAAAATCAAATTAAGTTTTTTCAGAATGTGTCACTGCTTATTATGCCGTTGAAGTTTCTGAAGCAACAAATGATGTTGTTGTTGATAATTTGAAATCAGTAATTCAACTTGTTGATGCAAGTTCAGCACTTCAAACTGGAACAGAACTCTATCAACTTATCACATACTCCGAAGGTCTCACAAAATTCACACCAGCCAATGCTGTTGATGCAAAAGGTTTCAAGACATATCTTCAAACATTGATTGATGATTCAACAAAATTGGATGCACTTCGAGGTGGAAATACACGACTTGATACTTCGATGAATGATATTACTGCACAACTTGCATTGATTTCCAAGAAGAATAACAGATTCTCTGCGGATCTTTTATTCTTTGGAGAAGCAAATGATGCTGTTCTTGATCCAGATGTCACCACAGATGAAAAACGCAATCAATTGAAAACTGCTGCATTGAATCTTCAAAGTCAAACTGGTGGAAGAATTTATGTCGTCGATGTTTCTCGACCAGTCAATTTATATGGAACAGTTCTTTGGGATAGTGTTACACCATCCGATCATATTGTTAATTCAACACAATATCTTTCAACCACAAATTATTTCACTGAATGGTCATCTTTGTCTTGTCAATTACCTGCTTATTCGTATTGTTATGATACACAAGTTGATATCGCAATTATTCTGGATCTTCAGAAACAAGATTACGATTTTATCAACTATATTCAAAACTTTGTCGAAAAATTCAGTGCTCAAGACGATGCTCATATCTCAATGTTTGCTTATGGTGCACAAAAAACAATGTTGTTAACAGATCTTGCAGTTCATAGCTATGCTGATCTTCAAAATTCGATTGTTACTTATGAAGAATGGAGAAATGGATCATTGTTTATCACAACCACAACAACTCCAGCACCAACATCCTCAACCGTCAAACCAAAATTATTCGAAGATTTATATACCGTGCAAACAACTACAGTAACTCAATTATTTGACGCAATTCGAACACAATTTGGATGTTCACATTATTCAGATGATACTGACAGAGTATTTGCACCAAATGTATTTATAATTGCTTCAGATAATCTTGCTAGTTATACTGATGCAGTTTGGAATCAATTCCAAACTGAACTTCACAGTCGATTTGGATGTTGGGATTGTGCTGGAACACCAACATTCTTGTTCCTTTCACGAACTGATGCAAAAGCTCCAACTTCACTTGGCTCAACAATTAATATTGCAACAAGTGATTTGGATATTGATAGAGATGATGATACTTCAACTCAAGCAAATATTAATAAATTTAATGGTATTGTTAATTCAGTTTGCTCAACATCCATGAGAGGTGAGTTAGAAAAAATTTTTTCATATTTTTTTTGATAAAAAAAAATAATTTTCAGCTTGCTCATCATACTTCAGCTGTACATCTGCATAAATTTTCTATTTTATTTTTTGTTATATTTTTTTACTAATAAATTTTTCAATTTTTATTTTTGACGTGACCTATTTTATACTGGGTATTTTTTCCGTGAAGTTTAACTCGAAATCATTTCAAATAATAATTTACTATTCAATAAATGGGAAAAACAGAAATTCACGAAGCGGAAAATGCAAAATCATGTTCAAATCTCGATAATTCTTGTCCAAAACAAAAAATAAAAAATAAAAAAAGAAAGAATATAAGTCCAATTCTACCGAAAATCAAAAAATTTGAAACGGAAACTGGAACGGAATCTTTATTGAAAATCGATGAGATGTTCAGAAATAGATGGCACATTGAAGGTATTTTTCAAATAATTTGAATATTTCAAAAACAAAACAAAATTTTGTAGGTTTAATTGGCAAAGGTGGATACGGTGAAATATATCTCGCAATTGATATGAATCGAGCTGAAGAAGTTGCGATAAAAGTTGAACCACAAAAGAGACAAGGAAAACTAGCGAGAAGAATGATTCTTGAGCAGAAAATTCTGGTAACTATGCAAGGAAAACCACATGTTCCAATGATTTTTGCGTCAGGAAGGACTGACAAGAATAATTTTATAGGCAAGTTTTTTTTTGCACTTCTGAGAATGAGTTTTTAAAAAACACCCTGAATCTACAGTAATGCAGTTGTTGAGTATAAATTTGGGAGAAATACGAAAAGCAAGTCCAGTCGAGAATGTAAGTAGAGGTACAACTGGTCGAATATTATTACAAGCAATTGGAGCTCTTCGTGATTTGCATGAAATTGGATATGTTCATCGAGATGTCAAACCAGCGAATATGTGTTTTGGAATCAATCGGAAAAATCGGCATGTTTTATATCTTCTCGATTTCGGTCTCATTCGTCGATTCAAAACAGAAACTGGTGAAAGAAGAAGGGCCAGGGAAAAAGCGGGGTTTCGAGGAACAAATCGATATGTGTCACTTCGAGTTCATTCTCGATTAGAGCAAACTCCTGCAGATGATATGGAATCACTTTTATATACGGCTCATGAACTTTTGATTGGAGATTTACCTTGGAAATATTTGGAATCGAATATTGAAATAAAACAAAATAAGATTCTAATGGTAAGCGTGGGATTACTGTAATATTTTTGCTGTAATAAAATATTTTAGCGATTCGAACCATCCAAATATTTTACAAATCCCGATTTGTTGAATTTCGCCGAAGCAATTTATAGCCTTGATCCACAAATTGATCCACCTTATACTAAATTACAAGAAATTTTGACACCTTTGATTGGTGATAAAAAATTAGATGATCCCTATGATTGGGAAGAACAATATTATGAAGCAATTGATGAATATCAACTATCTGATGAAAGCAGCGAATAGTATATTCTACTTTTAAAAAATCAATAAATTTTCGATGACGAATTCTTAAGATACATTATAAATATCACAAACAAACAATAATTATAGGATACAATACAAAATTATAAAACCTGTTCAAGTTTGTTTTAAAATCAAATTAAATTTTTTTCCATTAAATCGCACAATCCTCAATATTAATTGCTGATTTTCCTTGTTTTGGATGTGAAATTGTTGTTTGATCAAAACGCAAAGAAATTATGCAACCATGTAAACCAGTTGTTTCTGCGTTTCGAAGAACACGTAATTGTGGAGTGTTTCCTGAAAAAAATATACACATTTTTTTTCAAAAAAAGTTTTTCAAACTGACCAACAAAAACATTCCGATATACATTCAATAATTCTTGTCCAGCTGGCGCGAATCCAACAATCGGATCTTCCCCATTTACTGATAATGTAATTTCAAGTTTTGTGCGAATCACTTCAACTGTGGTCCATCTTTCATCTTCGATTTTCTTCGGATGTGTGAGAACAACTGGATCAGATCCCAAATTAATCACAAATCTTGCGAGTTTATTTTGATCAATTGATAACTCGAAATAATCTTCAAAATCGCTTTCAACGCTTGAAACTAGAATTTGTCTTGCATTTGATGTGAAATTGTGAAGTTTGAAGTTGATAGCAAGATCAAGAGATTCCCCAGTTATGCTGAAAAATATACATGAAGTACATATAAATAAATATTTCATAAAGAAAAACTCACTGCTTCATTACTGATTCATCATCTAGTTCCAGGTAAGAATTCCCACCAAATGACATTGATGATAAATCTGAATCTGATCTTTGCCCACATTTCGCTCCAGTTTTTGGCCATTCACACGCACAAACAGCTTCTGAATTATGCGCAAAACAATGCCCCGGACACCCGAAATTTGCACATGGATCACTTTTACATTCAGTTACTCCAATAGAATTTGAAGGATTTGATAGAAGAATAACATGTCCGTTGATATGAACTCGCTTGATACATCCCTTGAATCCAGTCATAGTTGTGAGATGGGAATTTATCGCTTTGCCGTATGATCCAATGAGAACTTCTCCAGAATTTCCATTTGAATCCAAAAGATATCCACTCATTTCTAACTCCTTCCAACGTTGTTTATCAACCTAAAAATAACTAATCTGAGCAATTCACTAATCAACCGAACAAACCTTCATCAATAATCCTTTTCCAGTTCTCCATACTTCAACTTTATGCCAATGATTCAAACTAATCAAAGTGTCAGCTTCAAGATTAAACATATTCCCATCTCCCAAACTTGCTGACAATTTAACAATTCCATTTTCAATCAAAAGTGACATATAAGCTTGTCCACTATTCCAATAATACAGTACACCATCCAATTGTTCTGGTCTGAATTGAATCATCACTTCTACATAATCCAGAATACTTTGATGCGCTTCAAATTGTATTTTCGATTCTCCATTGAAGTGTGCAATTTTCCAGCTTGGAATTGTATTTGTTGTCTCATTTTTGATTGTCGGTTGTTCTGAAATCAGAGATTCATATTTCTATGGTAACAGTTTTTCTTTTTCCTAATAATAATTATTTGTTATTCGTCAGTTTTTTTTGAAAAGAAAAGAAAAGGAGAGGAGAGGAAAGCAAAAAAAATAAAAGAAAAACTTGGTTTTTTTGACAGCTACCCTAATGAATATTATATATTTGGAAACTAGAAAATGAAAAGTGCCCTCATAAAACTTTTTCTTGAGCAAACAAAAACAATTTTCTGATTTCTATTCGTGGCAAGACCCAAGGTAACTCACCGATTTCGACTAAAATTGGATGTCCAAATATATTTTCGTTCTCATTCTGAGTTGTTGTTGGAACTTGTGTAGATGTTACTTGAACAACTGAAAGATTTTTAATTCTCGTTTCATTTTTCACAAGTTCAGCCAATTGTTCAGCCAACATTTGTTCAATAAACATTCCATAATAATCAAATGGAAGAGTTTGAAAATTTGGAAAATATAATATCATTAGCTGTAGAAACAGTAAATTGTTCATATTGCAAGACTGAATGAATAAGGAGGAAAATAATCAAAGAGAAGAGGGAAAGCGGAGCAAAACTTGGCTCCGCCCATATTTTTTTTTTCTTCTTTTTTACTTCTCCTCTGTTTTTCTCATGCAAGTTTTATAAGGGGGATTGGGGTGGGGTAGAAAATAGAGAAACGAACCAAAACAAAAATAAAACCCGGTTATTTTTTGGGGCTTCTGGAAAACAATTTCCTGGTTCTCTCTGGAAAGTGGGATGAACTATTTTTTTCAAAGGCTACAGTAATCATAATTTTGAAAAACGGTAGATCAAAAACTTCGCGTGGTTTCAATTACAGTAAGAATTTTGGCGCCAATTTTCAGAGACTAACTTTATTATCAATTCGAGCAATTCGAAACCTATTTTCAAACTATTGCTCATTTTATAACAATCTTCTACTCTAAAAATCTCAAATGCGGCAATTTTCACACAATTCCTCTCTCATTCCATTCCGCCTCAATAATTTATGTTCAAACAAATTTCCATAATCCTAATTCATTTTCTTATTCAATGGGAAAAAAAAGAGCAGCAGTAACATGTTTCCGAAAAAAATGTGGAGCAACAATTTTTCAAACCCTCTCTCGAGAAGCACCTAATTACACATAATAGCCATCTTCTTCTTTTTTTTTTTGAATAACGATTTAAGGAAATGTGAGGAAAATTGGGAAGAAAAAATAGAGGGAGGGAGATAGATGTTTTGAGTTTCAGAAGTGAAATTCAATTTTTCAGAAAGTTCGTGAGTACATTTTCAGTACTCAATTTGTTTTAGCTTTAAGATTCTAGGTTTATTCTAGTAACGGCCTTGGCAGGCTTCAGACCGACTCAGAGGGCCAAGGATTTAGGAAATTTTGATGCAGACAAACATTTTTCGGGCCCAGTTTTTTTTCCAAAGCTGCTCTACAGAAAATCTACTTCTATTTCAGTCAGTACATTTCCAGTACTCAATTATTTTTCCCTAATTGTTTTCTCATGTTCTCTAATCCTTACCTTTTAGCGTCGTCGGTTCTTTAATCTGTGGAATTCCTCTTTGAGTTAAGTCAAACATCTCAATCTGATCTGTTGATGTTTTCGATGATTCTCGACAATAGACTGTAATTATTATTATTGTGATTTTTATGAATTCTCAAAATATAAATAAATAAATAAAAACTCACAAATTGTGTGTGAATCATAAGCTTGATTGATATGTTCTTTTGTATTTAACAAAACTTCTCCATTGATAATCAATTTCCGAATACATCCTCTAAATCCTTCAGATGTTCCAGTTTTTTCGGATAAATATTCGATGTTATTTGGAGCACCGCCAAGGAATACACCTTCATCGATTGTAATCCCTTTGTAGTTCTGCAAAAAACATCAGATTTTTTTTTGAAATTTATCTTGCAATTAATTTTCTAACCTTGAATTCTTCAGCATTATCGATAAGTTTTCTTCCTTTATCAACTCTCATTTGTGTTTGATCACAATTTTGCCGCCAAACATTGACTTCGTGCCATTCTCCAATTCCAAATGTTCCATGATACATATCTTCAATTGTTCCTTCTCCACAATCGTGTCTCATGATTATATTTGGACCATCTAAGGTTATCGAGATGAAATCATCACCAATCAATTGTCCGGCAAATAATATAATTCCATCTTTTTGCTCTTCAAGTCTGGAAAATAGTTTTGCTGGATTATTTTCAAAAATCGAAACGGTTACTGTAGCTTCAGAAAAAAAATAATTTTTAAAAATAAATTCACAAGTTGTGCTTTCTGAATATTTGAAGTAAACTTTTTCAACAAAAATTCCGATTTTTCCAAAAATCTGAAATGTTCCCTTCGCACTTACTTGAATTCAATTGTGATATTAGTTTCCAGATATGTATTCTCATTAACAGGAAATTCTGCATAGTTATTTCCTTTGAACGACAATGGTTTCTTTTCCAATTTCTTGATTGGAATCAATCGAGTTGCTGGTCGATTTGAACTTGTTGTACTTGCAATACTTTTATAATTCACTCTTGTGTCAACTGGAAATAAAATAAATATTCATTTGGAGTTTAGGAAAAGGTTGGGAAAAATTGGACCATCCGGATCTTGGGATTCGAAAAATTGGGTTTTGTTTCAAAATGTAGAATCAATTTTATAGTGAATCAAAATTTTAGAATTTAAACCGGACCATTTCAAAAAAGAATGATCCAATTTTTTAAAATTTTCTAAAACAAAAAATCAAATTTTGGTAAATCCTTTCTGGTTTTTCAATAATTGTCTGCCCCATTTCTCTTCAAAAATTTTCCAAAAATGTTCCCGCTCATACCTTTACAAGATAATCCATCATCTTGTAAAACATGTTCATCATAGCAAGAACATTCATAAGTTTCCGGTGATATTGTTATACAAAGTTGTTCACACAGCACTTTTTTCGATGAGCAATCGCCTGCAAAATTCCATGTTTTGTGTGAAAAAATGCCTAAAAGTCAGTACTGCTCATGATTTATTTATGATTCCAATTCCATTGGTCAATTCCAAAAGTCCCTCTAGTTTTTTATGGTGCCATGCTCCAATAATTTTCCATCTTTTTCTCTTTTCTCAGCGAAAAAACCACAAATCTCAAAATTATGTAAATTACTTCCGTTGGTTTCTCATTTCAAAAAGAAAAAAGAAAAAAAGTAATTAATTTTGTTTGAAGAAGAAAGGTCTCGAAACGAACGAAACAAAAATTTAATTAGGATGATGAGAAGAGAAAAAGAAAAAGAATGATGAGAATCGGAAATTAAATAAAATTAGAATATGCATGTCTAAGAAAGAACACTAATATGATTTTATGCTCAATGCTCTTGGAAAATATAAACAAGCAACAAACATTGGAAATCAAGGAATTGGATTCCAAATTTTGGTCCAAAATATTTTAAAAATCAATTTGCAGTTGAATTTTACTTTCCGATAATAATTCTTATTTTTGATAACTTTAATAAAAATTACTGCGAATTTTCAAATCCAAAATTCCTGACAAGATATTGTTCAAAATTAAAAACTGAAAATAATTTAAAATTTATTCCGATTCCAAGAAAACCAGTCAGAAGTTGTTCAAACGTGGGTTCTAGAGGGAGTTTTGGAATTCCTATCAGATCTCCCCACCTCCGAATTCCAAACTATCATCAATCGCTCTTTTTTCTGAATCCTATATAATTCTTCTCACTAATCTTACGTTGTGAATTTCCACTTCTCCTCTCAAACAAACAAAAAAGTGGTCTAATTTTTTTGTTTCCACAAAGGTAGAAAAAGTGAAATTTTGTGTTAATTAAATTAAAAATCGATCGATCGAGGATCACATGCTTTTAAGCAGTTCTTACCTTGAAATACATTTTTCGAAGTGCAAATTGCGATGAGAAATGTTGAAGACAGAAGGAGTTGTAATTTCAACATTTCTATCTTGTCAAGACATGAACCTGAAAACAATTAATTGATTAGAGAAAGAAAAAAAGCTTGTAAAAAATAGGGGAAAAGGATAGAATCCGGGTTTGCGCGATTTTTATAGACACTTTAGTTGGACAATAACTCTTTTTATGGGTAGGAGAGGCAAAAAAACGGGAAAAATATTTTGGTTTTTCCGGAAAATTAGAACTCAAAATGATTTCTGAGAAAACTGTGATCCTATCAATTTCAGAATTTCCGGAATTTAAAAAAAAAACTGAAAAAATTAGTGGGCAGGCAAAAAAAGATTGTGGTTGGTCGAATTTGGACACGGTCGAAAGAAGACACTGAATGTCATCAAGGATGAGGAAAAAAGAAAGAAGTGAGTGAGAGAGAGAGAGAGAATAGGGAGAGAGGTGGATGAGAAAATAAATATATTTATTGAAATAATTGGTATTGTTGAAGGAAGACAAGAAGACAAGACAGGAAAAATTGAGTGAAAAATAAAATGGAAAGTGTTTAGGAATCAAATTATTTGAGCTTGGGAAATAAATAATGGCGCCAGGATTTTTTTTTGGAAATCGGCGCCCTTTCTGAAAGTTCATATCAAATTTTGATTTTTAAAAATCGGACTTCGCTTCCAAAGGTACCAAAAAGGTTCCAATTTTTCCAGACAGGAAATCTCAGCTTTTTTAAAAATAGAACAGCTTTTTTCTTCTCTCTCCTCTTTCTCCAGAAAAAAAAATTATGCGGAAATCATATTTCTTTCATTTCACTTCAAAAGAGCAAAACCACTCGAACAGAAAAAAAACGCATTCCATGGAGCAAAAAAGTTTTCAAATTGAGCTTGAGAGAAACAAATTTAGCAATTTGTTTCTCTCAAGCTCAATCTATCCGAAGCGGCTTTTCAGCAGCGAACTTTGGAGGAGAAAACAGATTTTTCAAATCAATTTTTTTTTGAAATTGGAATGTTATGTGGATTTTTAAATGAGTCAGAGTCAGGAGCAGATGTTCGGACTTTGATTTATTGCTGCTCGCAAGGTTTTTTGGGAGCAAAAGTTTTCAGAAACCAAGAGATATTTCCGGTCTGAAATCGCATTTTTTAGAGCCGTACCACCTGTCGAATTCAATTTATGTTTTCTGAAACTCCAACTGAAAAAATATTTCAGTCATGTCAACTTTAAGCATTTCTGACGATAGCTAACCTAACACAAAGACGGACGGAAATAATTGTTTTTCTAGTAAGCAAAATATATTTATAGGAAAAAAAAAGTAGTACGCTTGAATAGATGAAAACGGAGAGTATTTAATGAGGAAAAAAGGAGTAGTAGTACTTGATGAGAAAAGACAAATAAGGTAATTTTTCCGTAGCTTCTTCTTTTTTATGTTGGAAAAAAAGAGGTAGAGAAAATAAAAAAAAAGTGCACTGGAGTAAATTGATTTGAAAAAATTATGAAGAGACATAAAGATAGTGGAATTCCGCGTGATCTACAGCGAGTTACGGATTTGTTAAATCTAAAAATAAACTTCTGCTTGATTTTTGAAAATTTTAGGGAACCTTAGGTTATCTTGGTCCATCTGAACATAAATTTCTCTGAGTTGGTTTTTTTTAATTTTAGAAAGCCTAAAACAAAATTGGAAGATGGGTACAAAAATTTTTGTACCACGAATAAAATGCAGAAAAGGTTCCCAAACAGAGTGAGGCCCTATCTACGAAAAAAAACGTTGAGCGAGAAAAGAGTGCAGGCTTTCAAAAAAAAATATTCAAAAAAATTTATGAATAGATCGCATAAATCCTATTTCACAACAACAAAAAAGCGATTTCAAAAGTATCTATTCTTTTTCAACAGAACAAAAAACAAATTGGATCAGAGAAATGCAACAAATTGTTTTGTCTGAAATTTTTTATTGGAAAAAAGTCTTGTGACTGAAACCGGTTAACCACACAACAAAACCGAATTCCTTGAAATCAAAAATAAAACATTTTTGACTTCAAAAATGTTATCATCAATTTGGGTTTCAGAAAAAAAAGGAATTTCGAAAAAGAATTTTCTACGTGGAATAGGGGGTCAAAAGTCGGAAAGCTGTCAAACATCCATAAATTTTTCATTCATTCGAGCGCGGTTTCCAATAGCAACCAAAAAAATAGTTGTTGTTGTTGTCCTTTGCAGGAAAAAAAAACAATAAATCGATTTATAACCTATGCTATTTATATTTATATTTTGAAATGAAAAGGACCAACAAGGACACAAAAACAAATAATATCGAAAAGAAGGAGAAAAAATAATAATAATGGTGTGCATGAAATTTAATATGAGCCAATGTGTTTCTATTTGACACCACCACACTATTTTTAGTTTTGATTAATAAGAAACATGCATTGCAAAATACATATGTTGTGTTTCATATTTCAGCCTCGAAGAAAAGGCTCAAAATTCTGAATATATTAATTTTTGGATTAGGGAAACTACTTACGTATTTTATGAAAACTCGAGAATTTTTTATTTCTTAAATGCTCACTTAATGAATTTCAATAATTTTAAGCCTAAAATCTTGAAATTTGGCTCGATAATTATGCATTTGTAAAACTGGAAGCTCTTCCAGATTTACAAATTTTTGACCAAAAAAAAGTTGATCAAAAAAATATAATTTTCTTTAGACAGTACTCAATAAATGCTCACTTAATGAATTTCAATAATTTTAAGCCTAAAATCTTGAAATTTGGCTCGATAATTATGCATTTGTAAAACTGGAAGCTCTTCCAGATTTACAAATTTTTGACCAAAAAAAAAAGTTGATCAAAAAAATATAATTTTCTTTAGACAGTACTCAATAAATGCTCACTTAATGAATTTCAATAATTTTAAGCCTAAAATCTTGAAATTTGGCTCGATAATTATGCATTTGTAAAGCTTCCAGAGAAAAATTTAAAAAAAAGGTAGACTTTTTTCTCACGTCAAAATTTTTCTTCGAGCATTTCTAAGCAAATTGATGGTTATTTCTTGTGTCAGATCGGGATTTTATTAAAAAGGTAGATTTGTGGATCAAACTGGAAAATGTCCGAAATCTTTTTGGTGTCCTGATTCCGATTTAAAAATTTCGAAAAATATTCCTGCTTCGATGTTTTTGTTTTTGGTCACGAAGTTTGATTTTTCTGATTTCTATTCCAAACCACGCAATTTTTATGAGGAATAAAATTTCGTCAGCAAACCGTAAAAATATTCACAAATGATTCCTATAAAAGCTCAGCGCATTGAACAGAAAACATACAAAATCATGAAATTTGTTCTGATCGTTTTCGCCCTATTCTTCGTTCTCACTAATTCTGTAAGTTTTCGTTCAAAAATGAAATTATGTGTAAAAAAAATTTCAGCTAACTCCAAGAGAAGGAAAATTCCCAAGACGTCCAGATGGACCTCGTCATAACTTGACTCATCTCTTCTTCAATCACAGAAATAAGAACCATACAAGACTTCATAAGCTCCACAAGGGATCTACCAGATAATTAATTATCGGTTAATAAATCTTGCATCAAAACTTGAAACCCACACACACCCTTCCGCAACGACAACAACAAAATATTTGAGAGACGGTTAGAGAAAAAACATTTGTCAATAGGGCGAACATGCGTTGTTTAATAAAACACCTCAAACTCGCTTGCCAGCGCCTAATCATGTCTCGGGGAAAAAGTAACAAGTTTTGCTTTTTCAAAATTTTAGAAACAATGTTGAAAAACTCACATTTCCTCCAGTTTTCCTCGTTTTTGAATATCATTCAACTTAATTTCGCTTCATACATTGTTTCAATATTTCCATCATTTTGCTGACGTTTTTTTCCTGTAAAATAGAAATAAATCGAATTTGAATAAGTACTTTAAACGGAAGAAAAATTCAAGAATGAATTACTTTTTGAGCACCATTTTTCGAAAAACAAAAACAAGGTGTGCCACACTGGTGTACGCTTTTAGTCTGATAATAAAACAGCAGCGACACACACAAATTTTTGAATGAGTGCGAGACATGCAATTTTTATCAATAGGGCGCACTTCCATTTTTACTTTTATTTTCTTGTTTTTATTTTTCAAACATTTTTTATTTTTGTTGTTTTTCCATGAATTTGAATGAAACTTGTTGTAAAATTCAAATTTATCAATTTTCATAGTACAAGTACCACAAGTTTAGTTGATTTTCGATAGTTTTATACTAAAACTGTTGCTCAAAAAGTAATTTTATGAAAAATGTACATTCTTGAATTTTTCTTCCGTTTAAAGTACTTGTTTAAATTCGATTCATTTCTATTTTACAGGAAAAACGACAGCAAAATAATGGAAATATTGAAACAATGTATGATGCGAATTTCAGTTGAATGATTGTGAAAAACGAGGAAAACTGGAGAAAAAGTGAGTTTTTCAACATTGTTTTTAAAAAAATTTTAAAGCAAAACTTGCTACTTTTTTCCCGAGATTAGGCGCTGGCAAGCGAGTTTGAGGTTACTATTTTATTAAAGAACGCCTGTTCGCCCTATTGACAAATTTTATTTCTCTAACCGTCTCTCAAATATTTTGAGAGACGTTGCGGAAGGGTGTGTAACCTGTTTGAAAGTATTCGGTTTTATCATCCGGAAAGAATGTTCATCGAATTAAAATTGAAAATTTTGGGAAACAAGAATGAACTTTTTTCAAATTAAATAAAGTTCAGCAAGATACTGTAGAAGAATTGAAGGGTTTTGAAAAAAACATGAATTGGGATTGACGTTCAGAGAGTCTCTCACTTCTAATTCTAGATCTGGTTTAATCAAATAATTCCACTGCTGCAACCACCAACAAAAAAAAAATAAAAGTTGTTCCTCATTTTTCATGTCGAAAAAAAGGAACATACACATGATTGAATTTGTTGTGGTCGGCCGAGTATTTATTAGGTCAAAAAAAGTTTGGCAAAAATGTGATTTGAAAAAAAAGGAAGTTGTGTGAAAGCAAAAAAAAAATAAATAAGTAGAAAAAGATCAGGAAATTATTGGAATGTGATGATGGCAACGACAATGAGAAGAATAATGAAGACCTTGTGCATTGGAATTGGTGAACTGCTTGCCAAAGCATCGCGGACCATCTTTTCTTGAAGAAGAACAGCGTGTTGATTTTCACCCCAGGATTCACTGATTTTGAATGAAACTTGCTCGTTTATTGTCTCATTTCCATCCTGAAACTGTTAAAATCAGCAAAAAAGGGGCTTCATGTTGATAAACTCACATGAATAGTTGCATTACATGAATAGAGACCACTGTGTTCAGAAACATTGAAATGTTTGATCAAAACATCATTGAAGATTGGAGATGGGAACGCGTTATTCTACAAATAAAAAATCTTAACTACATATTTTTTCGCTTTTTGTTGTAAATTTACCATTTTGATATCGACTGGAACATCATTGACTAAGCATTTGACATCGGTCACATTTTCATCAAAAACTTTCAAAAAGTAGATGCTATCTGGTTGACAGTTGATTTCATCGCCTTCTTCAACAATCAGATTCCAAGCTGGAGGAAGAGGGGCTTCTGAAATAATATTTTTGGAAAAAATTTGCAACGAGAATCTGCAAATTTCTCTTACCTGTCGAAGAAATTGCATCCAATGCATCTTCATTCACAATAACAAGTTGAGTACTGTAGCAAACATACGATTGATATGCCAATTGAACATCTCGAGTACAACACATATAATTTCCCGAATCTTCTTCTGTCAACACTTGGAATTCGAGGCTTCGGTTACTGTCAATGAAAGTTTTGTCATCGGCGGAGAACATTGCAGATCCATTGAACTTCCAGACTTTTTCCAATCCTCGGAAAGTTGGGAGAGACATTGTGTCCGCATCAGCGCAATCAATTCGACATTTTGAAGTTGTTGAGTTGTAAGTGACTGAAAATTGGGAGGGTGGCTTAGAGGTTTACTTTTGCTATCTAGGATACATGTCTAGAGATCTACTCGTCACGTAGCCACGCCTAGAAAGTTCAATCATCAAGGATCAGCGCCGAGAGAGCATAGTTGTCAAGTAGCTGAGCCTACAGCCACTTCTTAATGTCAAGTTGACAAGTATGGAAACCCCATTTGTCAAGCATCAGCTCCTAAAGAGCCTGGTTTCCAGGAACATTTTTCTGGGTCTCTTGAAACTGAATGATGGCAAAAAATTCGGAAATATTTCAAATTTCAAAAAAATGCACTTACCGAATGATGTTTCATTCAATGTGATGATTTTGGCAATTTGATCTTCCCTAATAACTGATTGACAGTTAGAAACCAAGAAAATGGCAGCAAATATGAAGAGAATCATAGTTGGTTTTAGCCTGGAGAAAAAGAATGAAAAATACCTCCAGCCAAGATATTATAAAGAAGAAATTGTATTCTACAAAAGTGCTATACGAATTCTCCCCATTTTTTCGATGAAATATAACGGAGAAGGGAGGATTATCTAGTACAAATCTCAAGATTTTCACATTTTTTGCGTTATTAGTTTTCAAAGTTTTTTTGAAAACTTTTTACTGATTACTGTAGATCTATACGACTACAATAATCATTATTTTTGTGGCGAAAAATATCCGAAAAACCAAAAAAATATAGAAGAAGGAGAAGGAAAAAAAACAGAAAATCGAATAAAATAAAATAAAAAAGATAGGTAATCCTGAATGTATTCATTTCTATTATGTGCGAATTTTTCTATAGAATCTCTTGATTTTTATGTTATATTTTATTCGTTTCTTATTGTGTTATTGGCTTTTTTCGTCGAGAGAGAAAAATTGAAATTGGGATTTGATAATCCGTGTTGGTGAGACGAAAAAAGGTGCTTATATGAGATTAGGTGAATTATTTATCACATAGATTACTCATTTTGAAAAAAAGTACCGTTGAACTCTGAGAAAGTTTTAAATCCAAAATATTTATTGACACATTTTTGAAAATAAAAGTTTCATCATGCCCACATCGATTTCAAACTATGCATATGCGAATCGACATTATGTGAAGTTGTTGTCATTGATCCAATTGATTTTCGACGATTTTCGATAACTTGATTTGTTTTGTATATAATCAAACATGGAATCGATAGATTTCCATAAACAACTCCAATTATAAAAGGAACAAATTCGTGAAATGTTTGTTCGGACATTGAAGATTCGAAGTGTCGGATCAGAGAAGCTAAGAAAAGTAAAGAAAATTAAGTAGTAAAAATATGATTTACCTGAGATTGAGAGTAAACTCAAAAATAAAAACTGTGTGAATATCATGGTACAAATTGATTTGGTTGTTTGCAAACTTTCGAATGATTGATATTTGCTTTTTGTGTCAAATGAGGTTGTTCGAATTCTGAAAATCCCTCTCTTTTTTTTCGATTTCACTTTTTCTGAAACCCACAATCTATCTTTTCTTAAATTCCCACAAAGAATTGATAAAGTTATAAATAAATTGAACATAATAAAGATAATTGTGTAATTATTAATATCATCGAAACGATTGAGACCCAATTGAGGAGAATAGAAACATTGGGGAACATATCCGACTAGTGGAATATCAGAAAATTGCCAGATATTTATCAAAATTGCAGTGATGATCTTCAAGAAAATTTGAAATTTCAAAAAAAAAACAAATTGAAAAGCTCACCGAAAGAAGAACACAAAAAATAGCCAAGCTTTCATTGATTTTTTCATAGAATTTTGAAAATTGTAATGAAATAAATCGATCGATTGTGAGACAAAATATTAGAAGAGCATATAAAACATTTGTAAAAGAATATATAGTTTGATCGAGAAAACATTCGGAAGAATGAAATTCGATTTGACAAGGTTCGTTGGAATAAACAAACGATCGATAAAAACTTCTTGTTCGAATCTCAAACATATTTAATTGGTATAAATTTGCATTGAATAGTATTGAAAGTAGCAAAATCCTGGTGGAATTTGAAAAAATGTTGCGTTTTATCAAAAGTTTGACAGCTTTGAAACTCATGAAAATTGTGAGGAAAATAATTGAGAAAGTGAAAATATAGTTGAATCGCATTAGAAATGAAGTGAGAGCTAGAAATTTGCCTTGAGAAGTGCATCGCTGCTTATCCAATTCTTCAGCAGTTTGATTAGTGTACATTATATTGCAGACTAAGCTCATTGTTTTTCTTGCGGTAACTTTGTCTAACTGGTAAATAACAATTATTCTGTTATTATTTAATATAAATATTAGGGACAAGTAGAAAATTGGTTTTTTATGTTAGGAGCACTTTTTCATTCTCAAGAGAATGAGCAGGTTGTTTTTATGATTCTTATGAGTTATGAAAATTTGCAATTTAACTAGGAAATAAGTGGATTACTGTAGCTCGAAACTAGAAAAAATAGGGTTTCTTCCAGAATTGATTTTGATAAAAAATCTGAAGCCTTGGATGAAAAATAATCAAGGAATGAAAGTAGTCACAGGGAAGTGCGTGGATTACTGTAGCTTCACGAATTTGGGTACTTTTTTTTAGAATTTCAAAATGGGTTGCTAATTTTTTGAGCTTGAACTTTAAACCTAAATTGATCTGTTGACTTTTTTGCAAAACAAAAACATTTATTACTCCAACAAAATTTAGAATCTAGGTGTTTGCTTAACCATAATAGTTCCTTTGATAGCTTGACCTCGTGATGCATTTGAAACTGACGCTTTTCCTATTTTCTTAAAAACAACCGATATTTTCTTCGGAAAAAAATTTCGCAATATGATTCATCAATTCGCGATGTCGAACGGTGTGAATGAAAAAGCTAACAATTTTCTGAAAGTAAATATAAATGGTTTTTTCACGATCAACTAACTGACTTTGAACAAAATAAGTATAAAATAAGTGTTGGCATCAAAACCACCAAAAAGTTTGAAAAAAGACCAAGCTTCAGGTGCAAACACTAAAAATACAGCAACTAATGTTGTATAAGTTACAGTCATTGTCAAATGTTTCATGCCTTTTCCCATTTTCACAGAATTCGAGTGTCTCGACCATCTCTGAAAATTTCAGATAAACAGGATCTCTTTGAAATATATATTTTTTATAAACAAACCATTCGAAGTCGGATGAAAATAAAAAAATAAATAAGAATTGGAATTGCTACACATAACATTCTTTGAAGTGATAAGAAATTCAGAAATTTTGGGAGAAAACTCTGGAAACAAGTGTTTTATAAATGAACATAAGTGAAAATTCTTACTGCAACAAAAAAACATATTTCATCAATATAAACTGGTGGTTGGCTATAAACAATCAGTAGATGTACCAAGTATCCGACAAATGCGAGAATGAAGGGAGCTGTAAAATTTAGATCTCAAAGTTCATGGAACAGTTTTCTATAGATTCTACCGTAACCCAGGTTAATTTGGACTCAGAATGCTCTGAATTCCGCACCGAGAGCCAAAATCTACAGTATCTAATCAAATGAATACTGTAGATATCCCCGAAAAAATTTAATGTTTTGTGATGTTTGATTACACAAGCTCATAAGAAAAAAAAATATGATTATTAGTGATGTTTGAACATGTCTACTTACTCGAAATCAATAAATAAGTATAACAAGTTCCCATTTTGCCATATCTAATTGGAAATAACACAGCATATAAACGATCTAACGCAATTACTAGATAGAATAAATTATCTGTCTGAAAAAAATAAAAAAGTTGAAAATTTGGTTGGAAAAATGAACCTGAATACAGATTAAATAAGAGGTGAGAATAATTCCAGAATCGCATGAAAATCTCGAAATAAAATGGACTTCTGAAAAAATTAGGGACGTGAAAGTGCTTTTTTTGTTTTGTTTAGAAATCATTTCTGAAAATATTTCAGCTTTAAAAATCGTGAGTTTGGGAAAAAGGATTGTTCAAAATTCAAAATTTAGTTCCAATTTTTTCATTTACCATCAAACCATATCAAATATCGATGTATTCCCATAGTCATAAATTGTGCACCACTCAAAAGATCCGAAACAGATAAAGCAATGATTAAAATTAATTCTTTTTGATTCCTATTCACCGTTGATAGTAGATAAATTGCTAATGGTAAATTAAGAATTAAAACAATCGCTCCAAATATTCCATAAATATAAGTTAGAAAAAAGAATGCTTCAGTTCTCACATAATCTACACTTGGTGTAACCAATTCGACCATTTTTGCTGGAAAAATTGCAAATGCATGCAAAATCAAAAAAGTTAATAAAAAATGGAAAATAAATCATGAAGAAATAAAATTATATTTATTTATCGACGGCTATTAGATTTTGATTATATTCGGTTTTTTTTGTTAGTTTGGTGAAGTTTGTGGGGGCAAAATAAAAAAGTAAACCAGTGAATGAAAATGAAAAAAAAAGTTGATTGATAAAATTGTGGCATAGTCAGAAAACTTAAAGTACTTCCCGGAAATCCAATTAAGCTTTTATTCATATTTGGAAGATAGAAGAGAAACATGATTTTTTAGAAATTATCCTTAGCAAGGTTAAATGAATCATAATTTCTGGGTATTTATTTGGAAAAAGATAAATTCGGAAAATGAGTTTTCTATGGATGACAATTTCTATCATTATCACGAGACTTTCAGTAATTAGTTTGAAAGTGAAAGAAATCCTCCAAAATTATACGTGTTTTCAAAAAATGCTGGAAAAAAATATAATTTGGTAAATGTTTCAGAAAATATTAGAAATTTATGATTTTCTGATTGTGAAGAAAAAATAAATCAAATTGCAGTTAAAGTTTTGAATAAGATTAAGTTAGTTATTTATAATGCTATAAAATGCGGAAGTCTGATTTGCAGACAATAAGAGTCCAATCAAGAAAATTCAGACATCAACTGAAAGCGTGGAAATTATTATATGGAGTGTATGGGGATTTCTTTTTTTCAGGAAAATACATCATACGGTGTATTTTTAGAATCTCATTCTGTAAATAATAGAAAACTAAAACTAGAAATTTTACAAAACCTCTCATTCACATGGTTTATGATATAGGTTGAAAATGGAATGATTATTGGAATGTACGTTTAGCTTGAACGTCTTTCAACACTTCGTCGAGTTCAGCGTCTTCGATTTTATTTTCAAGAGATGGAATGAGTGCCTGAAGAAATATTGAAAATATATATTTAATTTGATTTTCAAAATACCTTTGCTTCTTCTGCACTTTCTGGACACAAATTAGCAATCTGTGCAACTTCGAACTTGTGAAAATGTTTTTCAGCAAAAACACCGCGGACTGATCTGATAGTTTCACGATTTTTGAATCTTGCCATTCGCCGAGCGTAGTTCAATGTTTTGATGAAAACCTTGAAAATTTTATGATTTTTTAGAAAGAAAAAGAAAAACCAACTTCGCTCATCTCTTCGATTTCGTCTTTTGATTCACTTTGAAGTCGACGATGCTCTAATAATAAGAAAACTTCGGCAGTAAGAAGTGCATCACAAGTAGACACTTCGAATTCTGAAAAAAATCAAATGCTTTTGCGAGAAAAATGTAAAACAAGCAAACCTTTTGGGAAACGGCATTCTGCGGCATCTTCTTCGACAACTGCATCAGCTGGTTGATTTCCACCACCAGACATTGTGATCTTCAAGAAAAAATAAATGGAAAACTAATTTTTTGCAGGTTCGCTATCATTTTTGAATAAAAAACGGATAGTGCCGATTTCCCCGGAAATTTATTTACACAAAAAATACGTTTGATGCAAACTTTTTGGCTTTAAAAAACAGAAAACTTCAAGCGAAAATTTTAAAATTTTGAAACGCCGAATTGTGAAAAGGGGCGTGTCGAGAAGTGTGCGGCAGGTGCATAAAAAGCCCCGCCCATATGTTGTGTGCCGCAGCCATTTTTTTATTTTTCTCAATAACGTCTTGTTTACCAGAGTTTTTTTCGTGTTTTCGGGCGTTTTGAAAAAGTTTCATTGTTTTCATTAGTTTCTTGAATACTTTTCTTATGAATAATCAATTTTCAGCGAGAATGGCGGAGCAAAATCAACCACAAAATGACGATCCATTCCTTGGACTTGCGCCAGAAGAGGTGAGTTTCTTTCTTCTAACAAAAAAATACTTATATTTGAAAAAAAATGATTTGTTTTAGGAGAAATTTGCGAAGAACTTGACAGCCAAATGTGTTTTGGGAGCTATCTCACAACCATTGACTGTTACTCGAATTTTGATTCAATTGGGACATGAACCTTTCGCACTTTCGACTGGAAAAACATTGATTGTTGCTGGAAGAAATGCATATTTCTTGCCAAATGCTTTCAGTTATAGTAAGTTTTATTTCAAAATTATTATTTTCAATGAAACAAAACAAATATTTTAAGTGCGCCAACTTGCCAATACCCAAGGTCTTGGAGTTCTTTGGACTGGTCTTGATTCGGCTATCATTTCTTTGATTGCCCAAGGAATTGCGTCACATAATACAGAAAGAGTGAGTTGTAAATTGAATTGAAAATTATTCATAAGAAGTGTTTTTCAGTACATCGATGAATATTATCCAAACATCGGTGGAGCTCCAGAAAACATCGATAAAGAAGAAGATGTTTTATCTGATCATGAATCATTCAAGCGTGTTCTTCGCTCCGCAATTCGTGATTCAGTTGTTCGTGTAGCTGCTATCACCGCTTCTCGCCCATTCACTGTTGTTTTGATTCGTCAAATCGCACAACTTATTGGAAAAGAAGTCAAATACACAACAACTTTCAAATCTTTGGGTCTTATTGGATCTCAAGAAGGACCAGCTGGTCTTTTCAGTGGTTTGGCTCCTCAAATTCTTGGTGAACTTGTTGTTATTTGGGGTGTTCATTCATTGACATATGCACTTCAACGAACACTTCTTCGAACTGAAATTGGAAACACTAAACAAGCTGATGAAAATGCAGTCAAATCGGCGAAAGATGTTCAAAAGTTTGTCAAGACCGCTGTTCCATTTGTTGTCAATTCGTTCGGATATCCATACGGCGTTGTTTCGTGTGTTATGGCTGTTGCTGGATCAGGACTCGCTGTCTCATTCCTTCCATATTCGCCATCGTTTGTTACATGGCATAATGCATGGGATTATTTGAGACCAAATGGATTGAAACGAGGAGCCAGATTGTTCCTTCGTGAACAGGTGAGCATTGGGGGAATTTTTGAGACTTAAAAAAAATGTTCCGGTTCAAAAAAAGCTCACGTTTTTTACAAGGGAACCTTTTTTACTCAACACTTCAAATCTTGGTGAAATTTTGTCCATGGACAGCTTTTGGGGTCATAAGAACACCCTGAAAATTTTAGTTACCCAATGGATCTCTGAGCCAAGTTCTGGGCTCTCAAAAGTTCGAAAATTCCCAAAGTTTGGAATCCAAACACATCATAATTCAATTCTCGATCATTTTTATGAAAAACTGAGTAGCAGATGATTATCAGTGTTTTATGGACCAATTTTTGGTATTTTGAGAGCCCAGAACTTGGCTCAGAGATCCATTGGGTAACTAAAATTTTCAGGGTGTTCTTAGGTTCCCTTGTCAGTCCCAAAAATGTTTTCAACTATTTTTCTCAAATTTCAAAATTCGAATTTCAGGTCGGAGCTGTCACTGTTGGAACCGACTCTCAATTGTATGCTAGCAATTCGTATTTCGCCTAAACCGTCGCATTTTACGAATGATTTTCGAAACTAAATTAATCTCTGCTCTTTTTAACTATTATTTTTGCAATTAGCATGATATTTTTTCATGAGTTCGGTGAACGAAAGTGTATCTCGTAGATCAATGTGTATTTTTTTTAAATTTAAAATAAATTAGCCAAATTCGAAACAACCTTTACTATTAGTAATTGTTTATGAATAACTAAATGGGATTTTTTATCCATTTTTTGTTACCTTGACAACATATATATTTTTGGTCAAAATGTGATCTTGTAATTGTCATCATCATACATATTTTTTCTAGTTTCTCTCTCATTTTATCACTATCTATCTGTTTGACTGATGCAACCCATTTTTGACCACAATCACACATGCTTTACTATTTAAACCCGTGTGTTGTTGTACAGTTTTCATTCATTTTGATTATATTTCAGCAATGGCGTATTTGGAGCGAGCATATTTTGGACTTCAATGCTTTTGGGGTGAATCGGCATGGGCGAAATTGAAAGGTGTTCGTGTGACTCGAGTTGGATATGCTGGTGGTGTCAAACCGAATCCGACTTATAAAAATATCAAGGATCACACTGAAATCACCGAAATCACATTTGACCCAAAAATTGTGGGATATCAAAAATTGTTGGATTTCTTCTGGTCTCATCATAATCCAGCTGAAAGACGCAAGAAACAATATCAATCGGCGATTTTGTATTTGAACGATGTTCAGAAAGAGCAATCATTGAAATCGTATGAAGTTGCCAAGGTTTGTCAAATTTTTGAAGGTTTTCATTTCAAAAAGTTCATTTTTCCAGGAAAAATTCGGCGATATCGAAACATACGTGGAACCTCTCGATAAATTCTACCAAGCCGAAGATTACCATCAAAAATATTGGTTGAGAAACAAAAAGGAAATCTTCGATGATTTGAAACTTTTGGACACACAAATTGCCGAAGGAGAACTTGCCACAAAACTCAACGCCTATGCTGCCGGATATCAAGATTTCAGCGAACTCACCAAATTGGCTCAAGAATACGAGTTATCAACGGAAACTGTCGATAAGATCAAGGCATATGCGTTGTCAGGTGGAGATCCGAGAAATTGTCATTGAATGCGAAGTTGAGGTTATATTTATTTTGATACATTCCGAGAAATTACTTTTATGCACATATAAAAAATTATCACAGATCAAAAAAAGCAAAAATTAATTGTCTCTTATTTATTATACAGCACTTTCTGATTGATATTTTGATTCCAAACGATTCCGAATATTATTACAAATCATATTGAAAGGATTACTAACATTGTTGTCATCGTAAAGAACATTACTCAGAATTGCATAGGCTAAAAACTTTCTCGTCAAATATTTACAAAAATCCATAAATACTCACCATTGTTATCATACAATGATTTTAATCCAATTTCACTGTTCGCCAAAGTTCCAATACAAACCGCTGCCTTATACCGTATCCGTCTACAGTAATCCGCATGAATTGGATGTGTTAGAGAAAGGAATTCGAGAAGAACTGGAACTGCTTTTTGCTCAACAAGTTGTCTTTCGTAATGACGCGATGCTAGTCGAGAAAATGCGGTGACGATTTGTTCTTGAACGAATATTGTGGCACAATTTTCGCGGTTGTGAGCGTTTATGAAACGGCGAATTGCAGAGTTTCTGGAAGTAATTAAATCATTGGAATTTAGAAGCGTGACTTACTTGTACATAATATCAACGCCACTTGGATGTTGAAGTGTCACATTGTTCAAAGCGGCCGATGCAAGAAGAAGCGAATCGCCAGTTGTACATTGATCTATCAAATCTGCAAAGAAGGGATCAATAGAACCAGAAAGATCGCCCAGGAAAAAAGTTTCGATAAAGATTTTTCGAAATCTTCTGTGGTCCAAAAATTTGGAACTCAGTCTTACCAAGTAGTCTTGAAATAATCGGCTGAACATGATTCAATCGAATAAATGCTGATTGTGGATTTGTTAATTGAGTCAGAATCCCAGCTGCTTCGATTGAACAAACTGATGAAGATTTTGAAAGAAGCCGATCTATTACTAATTCGAGACCTCCTTGCTGAAAATTTAAAAATGTTCTCGATGTTAGCTGCTTTTCTAGTTACCGTTAAAAGAGCCAAAGATCCTTTTGAAACTCCGCATAAGACTGCCAATGTTCGCAATAAAAAGCGATTTGTGTTCTCTGGATTTCCGGGACATTTCAATAGTCGAATTGTATATGTTATGCAATTTTTCTGGATGGCCTCGATACATAATTCGTCGCCAAAAAGACAAATATGAATAAGATGTTCGAGAGAAATACTCAATAATCGATCTTTCGAATTACAATCTTGCATATATTTACAGATTATTCTTACGAATATTTGAAGCACTGATTCGATGGTTTTCCGGAGGAGAATTGCAAAAAAGTTGGTCATATTATTCATATCAATTTGACCAGTTTCTCGATTTTTTTGCAATTCTGCCACATTTAATTTCAATTGAGAAATCTCATTTTTTGGCAAAACATTTTGACATGGCGAAGTCTCCAATAATTGCAAAAATACTGAAGATTTCGCCAAAATATCGCGAGATATTGTTGGATCTAAAGTCGTTGACAACAATGTGAAAAGTGCTGAAGATGTTCGAAGAACATGATCCATTGTGCTTGCCATTCTTGCATAACTTGGCATTCCATTTTCATCTTCGTCTTTACTTTCTTGTCGAAATGAACATAATGATCGTTTTTCTGGTTGATCTGATGAACATTGACCGGAATCGACTGATGTTATACTATCTGATCGATTACTTTTTGGTGATCGAAGAATTGTATTTGTACTTTCATTGCTGGATTCCATTCTGAAAATATTTTTTTTGGAATACCTATTGTTTTATAAAAGCTACAGTATACTACAAAAATTTCAAAAAAACCTTGTTAGTGCTTGTTGAACATGTTCTCCATTCACAGTTACAGTATGCCTTTTAATTGGTGTAGCATTTCCAGATTTTATCGAATTCTTTCTCATAACTTGAAATTGTTCGTATGACGGTGGCGGACGATTTGGTGCAACAACAACCACAGACGGATGACTCTGATATTTCGAAAGCGATTTCTTCAAGTCACCACGAAATCCAGGCAATTTGATCTGAAGAAAAATGTAAAATTATATTTGAGAAGGCATGTGGAAACAATTAGAAAAGCTCCTCACATTTCTGACTCGAGCATCTTCAATTGACGGATCTGCAACAAAAACGAATTAAGATTAGAGAGAAAAAATTGGAGGAAATGGGAAATGAGGCTATTTGAGAGCTTGATTTATGGAAGGTTAGATTTTTGCGAAAAATGAGAATTTTTTCCAAAAAATTCTGAATTTACTCACCATCTCTATAACCATTAGAACATAACGTGGAATTGCTTTCTGAAGTATTCCGAATCATATCTAAAGTTGTTGTATGTTCCAATAATTGAGGAAGGCTTGCTACAAAAAATTCTTCATTCAAAAATTCCAATAAAAAAATGTACCTGCGAAATCATTAGCGGAACTTCTCATCCTTGCAATTCTTCTCTGAGGTTTTGGAGGAGCCGACAAGTTTCCGAGTGAAGTTGAAATCATATTATTTTTACTGGAAAAATGCAATTTGGAATTTCAGAAAATCTAGGAACTGGTATAAATTACCGCATCACCATTATTATATTCACGAAATTATAATAAATTTTTAAAACAAACAAGAAGTGTCAATGACACTGGATTCTTTTTCTTTTTTATTTACATTTTGGATAATAATGGAAAGAACAAAAAGAAAAAGAGGGAAAGCTTCTGATAGACAAAAAGTAACAATAAATGTGAGAGGAAAAAGATTGAAGATATCATTAATTATTATCAACAGTCACCTGTTTTCAAAAAAAAAATTCAAGCGTTCAGAGGTTTATTTTGAGAATTTTTGATCATCTCTGATCTTTTGAATAACAAATAAATTTGCAAATGAGGTAATAAATAATAAATATTATTTGTAAAATACGATTGAAGAAACTAAAAACTATGTCAATACTTGAATCTTGAATGTTTTGACAGCGGCAGCTCTCTTGCTTATTATTAAGAAACAATATTGTTTGCTTATACAGTTGACAGATTCGAAAATGAATGTAAATTTTACTTTCAATTACACATGAACTGTAGGGTATACTGTAGTTTTTTTTTATAATTTTGGTTTCATTCATAATCAAAATTCAGGGAAATTCAAATTTTCTGAAGCGGAAAATTCACTGTTTCAAGAATTTCACAAAAATTTCGGTACAATTTTTAAATGTTCTCAAATGTGAGTTTATTGTTCAAAAGAGATAACTAACTTTGTATTATTTCCAATTGATATCTTTTTAGTAGAATAATAATTATCTTTTCCATCATCTTTCATTTTTTCATCTCCATAATAATGTCGAAGTTTATCAATTCCATATAATGGTTTTGCATACAAAATTGTCGATAATTCATCGTCCCGTGAAAATTGTAAACTCGAAAGCCATTGTTGATTATATTTGGTGAGAGAATGTTTTGGTGGACACGCAACTATATCGAAAAAATTATCATTTTCCAATGAATCCCAAAATCGGGCCAAGCGAGACATTCTTTTCTACAGTACACAGTATTTTAAAACTAATTGATCATCAGCTGAAAAAATTTGGAAAAATAAGTAGGATAATAGAAAAACGGAAAGATAAACAAAGCAAATTTTCAAAATCTATGTATTATCGAAAAACGGAGAAGAAAAAGAAAATGTCAAAAATCCGGAAAAAAGCGAGAGTTGGTTGAATGATATACATATTTTTCGTTGCGCGAGAAAATGAACAACTTGGATAGTTTAAACTGACAAGCTAAGCTGGTTGAGAAAATGAGCAAAGATATGCAAAGAATTGGAAGAGGAAGAAGATATTACACAAACAATTGTTGTTAATTAGATGTATATACCGACAACTTGTAGGTAGAAGTTGAAGAGGTTCATTATTAGTGTAATATAATGTTTTGTGAGAAAACCGACAAATTTTTTGAGTTGAGGTGACTTGACTAACAGAAAACCTTAAAACTCAGATATTTTATTGAAAAGTTTATTCCGGAAAATAGAAAAATTGAAGATATCTTTTTCGAAAAGAAACTGAATTTTTTATAGTTTTTGAAAACGATTTTTTAAACAAAGAAAGTTTCAAAAAATTACCACTAAAATTAAAAATTATAGAAACAATGAAAAGTGATGAAAAGTACATCACATCAATTAGCTCTTTCTAAGCTGGCAACAACAAAAAAAAGAGAGAAAAAGTGAGAAATAAATCAACCAAAATCTATCCTGGACCCAAAAACTCAAATTGATGATTGATAAAAAGATAAATGAGTGTGTCTCTAGTGGTGAAAAAAACACAGATAATAACATCTGTTATCCTGAAAATAAAATAAGAAAAAATATCTGAAAATCTTCGACGAGAGACAATAGGAGACGAAGAGGCGCAGACAACGAGTGTGCAACGTTGCTCCACCGCACTGAATAAAATTTTTCTTTTTGTTTTTTATTTTTTGTTTTTTTTGTAAGTTTTCTTAGAGAATGCTCAAAAAGTGTCAATTTTCACAAGAATGGTGCTGTGTTCGCTAACGAAAAAGTGTAAAAGTGTTAGGTTATCAATTATATGTTCTTTGATCTTCCTCTGGTTTTTTCAAAAAATGAGAAAAATCATGATTTAGGAGGGATTTTTGTATTTTTCAATTATGTAAAACTTTTCCAATATTGTTAAGGTCATTTGCTCAGTTTTTCATGAATCATCAAACTATTTCGAAATTTCAAACATCTGCTATCAAGAAATGTTCTCTAGAAATCATCAAAATAATTTCGCAATGGTTTTTTTATGTGATTGCTAGGCCATTTTTCTCTCCTTCTCTTTTCAATTTGTGCGTTTTTTGAACATAGACCTACAAATATTTGTTTTTATGTTATATTTTTCGAATTTTTAACAAACCTGTCCCGGTTTATCTAATTTTTTAACTTATATTTTTTTCAGAATGCGTCGGATATCGCTTTTATTGGTGGTATACGAAATATTCGACTGGGTGATAACTTTAACATCATTCGGATTTTTCGCTCCTTCTTTTGTTTTCAATTCAACGCAAATTATTTCTACAATCACTTTCGAAGAACAATATCATTTTACTACCTCACCATTCGATTTTTTTATTCTACTTCTGATTCGACAACTTCTTATTTTTGTTGCTGTCATTCTTCAAATCTTCAATAATGATCAAGCAGTCAAAAAATTGTTTATAATCGTTTCATTCAGTTCAATTTTCACCTATTCATTTTCACTCGTCAAATTCCTGGCGTTCAGTGAAGATACTGAATTCTTATATTATCCTGGAGTTTGGAGTTCAGTTGGATGGGCTTTGATTTCATCAACAAGTCTTGTTGGATTATGGTATTTCATATTATCGAATAATCAATTCAATTATCAAAGGTTGATCAACAATGTTACACCCGAATATTCTTCTGAATCTGAAAATTCGAATTCGAATTCTGAAAATGTTGAAAACGGAACATCAACTCCTCCACGAGTTCCATTACATAAACATCTAATGAAACTATTTTCATATTGTGGACAACAATGGCAATGGTTCCTATTAGGATTTATCTTTTTGAATATTTATGCAGTCGGTAAGATTTTCTTTTTTGAATATCTATTCTCAAAAAAATGTCATATTTCAGCCAGAGTATTTATCCCAAGTTATACTGCTCAAGTTATTGCTGATATTGTGAATAAACGAGGATTATCTGCATTGATTCATTCGGTATTGGTTTTATGTGTTTTAACTGGAACAAGGTTTGATAATTATTTATTTTTGTATTTATTTTTAACAGGAGTTGTTTTCAGTTCATTTTTCGGTGGACTTCGTGGAGGAAGTTTTGATTATGCGACTGCATTGGTTAGCAATCGAGTTCGACTTGATCTTTTCACATCTTTGGTGAATCAAGATATTTCATTTTTTGATACTACAAAAACTGGAGAAACAATGTCGAGATTAACATCGGATTGTCAAACGATTTCTTCAACTGTTTCAACAAATGTCAATGTTTTCTTGAGAAATGGAGTTATGTTAATCGGAGCATTGGTTTTCATGTTTGTTATGTCTTGGAGATTGGCTATGGTCACTTTTATTGCTGTTCCATTTGTAGCATTTATCACAAAAGTTTACAGCAGTTTTTATGATTTAAGAATTTATTTTGTTTTATTTTCGATATTTCATTTTTTTCGAAAATTTTCAGAAAATATCGGAAAAATTACAAGAAACTATTGCAAATGCGAATCAAATGGCTGAAGAAATTCTATCAACAATGAGAACTGTTCGAAGTTTTGCATGTGAAAAACGAGAAGTCAACAGATTCCACAATCATTTGGATAGTACATTGAGTGTTAACAGAAAAAGAGCAATTGCTTATATGGGATACACGTGGAATAATGAGTTTTGTGATAACGCGATTCTTGTAGCCGTTTTGTTTTATGGTGGACATTTGGTTATGACTGACAAAATGGCCAAAGAAGAGTTGATCACATTTTTGTTGTATCAAATGCAGTTGGGTGAAAATTTATATGTGAGTTCAAATTATTTTTCTCATTTTCACTAACAAATATTCAGAATTTGTCCTATGTCATTTCCGGATTGATGGAAGCAGTTGGAGCATCAAGAAAAGTATTCGAATTAATGAATCGTCAACCACAATTCGCTTTGGATGGTTTAGAAAAACCAATTGTTAATGGAAACATTCGATTTGAAAATGTTTCATTTAATTATCCCTCCAGACCCAATAATCCAGTTCTCAAAGATTTGACACTAAATATAAATGCTGGAGAAACTGTTGCACTTGTTGGACCAAGTGGAGGTGGAAAATCATCGATTGTTTCGCTTATTGAACATTTCTATGAGCCGAACAGCGGTAAAATTACTCTTGATAATATTGAAGTTCGAGATATCAATCATGTATATTATCATCAAAAGATTGCTCTCGTTGCTCAAGAGCCAATTTTATATGAAGGATCTGTTCGTCATAATATTCTTTATGGATGCGATTTTGCAACTGAAGATGATATGTTGAAAGCTGCTGAAATGGCAAATGTTCATGAATTTGTGAAAGATTTAGAGAAAGGATATGACACAAATTGTGGAGAAAAGGGAGTACAAATGAGTGGAGGACAAAAACAACGAATTGCTATTGCAAGAGCATTGGTTAGAAATCCAGCTGTTTTGATTTTGGATGAAGCAACGAGTGCTTTAGATGCCGAATCTGAAGCTTTAGTGCAACAGGCTTTGAATAGGTTCGTAATTTTTTTATTCCTGATCATGAAAAAATATTTTCAGATGTGCAAAAGAGCGTACTGTTCTCATCATTGCTCACCGCCTTTCAACCATCGAAAAAGCGGATAAAATTGCTGTTATCAGCAAAGGAACACTTGTTCAAACTGGGTCTCATCGCGAATTGATGAATGATCAAGAAGGTCTTTATTATTCTCTTGTATCTCGTCAAATTCTCAACGCCAAAGTTGATGGAGACGATGCGATGTAGTTTTTTATTCAATTTTTTAATTTATTGGGATGATAATCTTTTCATGTTGCATACTGTAATTAAAACGTGTATTTTTTCCCGTGTGTTTTTTTCAAAGTTTCAATAAATTTGTTGTGAAGTTAGTGAAACAATGAGATGAATATGAAAAACACAAAAAAACAACAGTAAACTCACAAAAAATACAATTTTAAAAAGGCTCCAAAATGCAAACACACAAACGCGCTCCATCGCACACGACGCGGAATTTTTGAAATGCCAACCGGCCGGCGGGGGCGCATAATTTTTATCGTTTTTCCGCGTGTTTTTTGGGCCAGGTGACGTGGATTTTGTTTTTAGATTTTCACAAATCGAGTAGTCTTTCAATTCTAGATTTTGACTACTAACTAAATACTAGGTTTGTAGAGAAAGATTAGCAGAAGTACATGTCTAGAGAATTTCAAGTTTTTTGTCGATTTTGGTCATTTTTAGATGGGAAATACTATAGACTTCTCGCAAAAACCGAAAAAAAAACTTTTCATTGAAAGTTTGGACATTTATTTCTGCTAATCTTCTAGAGAAATCCTTGTGTTGAATCGCTATTGTTTTCGACACCGCCACCCAGTAACTGTTATTTTTTTTCAGTTAACTAACTCAACATGATAAGAGCTCAATTCAGAAAAGTGAAAGATGCGGTGGAAAACAACCTTGATAAGGCAGCTACAAAGGTAAACAATGAAGTCAGTTCAATCTTCAATTTGTGTTTTCAGACTGGTCTAACTTTGCACAGAAACGAGCCATTGAAGCAAATCAACAATGCAAAGAAGTCTCAAATCGAGAAACCGGCTGGAGATGCTGTTGTTATCGCAAATGCCAAACCACAAGCCGAACGAGTCGTTCTTGATGACGCTGAAGTGAGATATCTTATCTAAAGTCTCGAAGTTTATAAAATAATCACTGAAATTTCAGCTCAAGTGCTCTGAAATGGCAAGCGACATCTACAAATATCTCGTGAATCACGAGAAAAAATACGTTCTTCATCCAGAATTTATGAATGGTGGCGAGCCAACAAGCAAAATGCGAAAGATTCTCATCGATTGGCTGTTGCAAGTTCATCTTCGATTCCATTTACTTCCGGAAACTTTGCATCTCGCTGTCTTCCTTTTGGATCACATGTTGGCTAAAAAATTGGTGAAGAAAACCGAGTTGCAATTGTTGGGTGTTTCGTGTATGTTCGTTGCATCCAAATTTGAGGAAGTCTTTCTTCCGGACGTATACGACTATGAATATATCACTGAAAATTCATTCAACAAGAAGCAAATTTTACAAATGGAACAATTGATTTTGAACACTATTCAGTAGGTTTTTTTCTAAGATATTTATAAAGGAAATACATTTTTTTTTCAGATTCGATTTGTCGTGTCCATCGTCGCTTATTTTCGCAAGAAGTATTTCAAGACTTCTGTCTGAAGATAATGCTGGAAAAATCGACGAACAAGCTTTCTTCGTTGCTTACAATATGAGCAAGTACATGGGTGAATTGGCTCTTCTCGATTCAACAATGTCTTCAGTTCCAAAATCGCACATTGCAATGGCATCCATGTCAATTTCGTTGAAATTGTGCCCAGTTGACGGTATCAACAACGAACAAGCCGAAAACTTGATGATGTAGGTTATAAATATCTTTCAAGGAGGAAATATATATTTATTTTTAGGCAAAATATGGATTGCAAGAGATCAGAATTGGAGCACGCATCAGTTCTATTGGCTCAAGCGGCACTCAAAATGCTCAAGCAAGAAAAGTTGTTTGCTTGCAAGCAAAAGTATCAATCTGCAAAAATGGCACAAGTCGCCAATTTGATCACCACTGAAGCCAAACAGAAACTCGAAAAAATGAGCGAAATTTTATAAAAAATGAAAATGTTTGTACATTGCGTTGTCTTCAAAAAATTGGAAGACCCTAACTTATTATTCTTTTTTGAAAAAAAACCCATTTTCTTTCGCTAGCCGTTTTTTCCATCGTTTTTTCTCTTTTCAAAACCGATACTCACGAAATGGCCTTTTTCCATGAAAAACACCAAAAAATTTCTATCATTTATTTGCAAACACACCTTTTTTGCTGCTTTGTACTATAATATTTATGTTAAATGAACATTTATGATATTCTTTATTTATTTTTGCTCAAATTCCGGTCGATCTTCTGGAACTATTATTATCTCTCTCTTTGAATATACATGTTATTTTCTTTTTTGAAACCGAACATTTTGAAATATTGTATAAAAACTAAAAAATGCAAATATTCCATATTTTTATTTTTGAAAATGAGAAATTTTTAGTCGACGTGTTGTTACACGTTTATAATAATAATTTCTGTTTTGTTCTCGAAGCTTCGCGAAGAAAAAAGCGGGCAAACAAAAGAGACGCAGACACTCTAAGCTGACGTCATCTTTGTTCGAAAGACACGTTGACTACGGGGTATAAATAGGGGCGATTTCAGTTGTCAAAACATCGTCAGACAAAAAATTTTGAATTCTAGTAATTCTAATCTGAAACTGTCTTATCCTAGTAAGTTTTTTTCTATTGTTGCATTTCTTGCAAGTTTTATGAGAGCGAGAGAGTGTGTTTGTCTTCTTTTTTAAAAATGAACTTTCAGAAATTTTTTGTTGAGGTTTCAGTCTATTTTCAGCTTTTCTCGATAGACCTCATAGATTATTCTGAATAGACGAAACAGTTATATTTTTCAGAACTGGAAATGAAAAAAGTGTTTTCAATTCTACTTCTTGCCGTCGTGGCATTGTCGCGCGCTGAAGAAGCAACCGAAGAGAAAAAAGAGGATCTTGGAACAATTATTGGTATTGATTTGGGAACAACGTATTCATGTGTTGGAGTTTTCAAAAATGGAAGAGTTGAAATCATCGCCAATGACCAAGGAAATCGTATCACACCATCTTATGTCGCTTTCACTGGTGAACAAGGAGAACGATTGATTGGTGATGCCGCCAAGAATCAATTGACTATCAATCCAGAAAACACAATTTTTGACATCAAACGTTTGGTTGGAAGACAATACAAGGAAAAAGTTGTGCAAGAAGATGTTAAATTGTGGCCTTTCAAGGTAATTTATTCAAACTTACGTAGATTTATTGAAATCAAATATTTTTTATAGATTGTTGACCGTGGAAACAAACCACATGTCGAAGTCAAAGTTGGTTCCGAAAAGAAACAATTCTCTCCAGAAGAAGTGTCAGCGATGGTTCTTTCAAAGATGAAGCAAATTGCCGAATCTTACCTTGGCCACGAGGTGAAAAACGCAGTCGTCACTGTTCCAGCATATTTCAACGATGCTCAAAGACAAGCGACTAAGGATGCTGGAACAATTGCTGGTCTCAATGTTGTTCGAATCATCAACGAACCAACTGCTGCCGCAATTGCCTATGGTCTTGACAAGAAAGATGGGGAAAGAAATATTCTTGTTTTCGATTTGGGAGGTGGTACTTTCGATGTTTCTCTTCTTACAATTGATAATGGAGTATTCGAAGTATTGGCAACGAATGGAGATACTCATTTGGGAGGAGAAGATTTCGATCAAAGAGTTATGGAATACTTCATCAAATTGTATAAGAAGAAAACTGGTAAAGACTTGAGAAAAGATAACAGAGCTGTTCAAAAGTTGAGAAGAGAAGTTGAAAAAGCCAAGAGAGCATTGTCAACACAACATCAAACTAAGATTGAGGTTTGTTGGAAACTGAATAGCTTGGAATTTCCAAAAATGTATTTTTCAGGTTGAATCATTGTTTGATGGTGAAGATTTCTCCGAAACTCTTACCCGTGCCAAATTCGAAGAACTCAACATGGATCTTTTCCGCGCTACATTGAAGCCAGTTCAAAAAGTTTTGGAGGACGCTGATATGAAGAAAACCGAAGTGCATGAAATTGTTTTGGTTGGAGGATCGACAAGAATTCCAAAGGTTCAACAATTGATCAAAGACTTTTTCGGAGGAAAAGAACCATCACGCGGTGAGTTTATAGTTTTGTTCTTCTAAAAATTATAGTTTCTCAATGTTTTGTTTTTCAGGAATCAATCCAGATGAAGCTGTTGCCTATGGTGCTGCGGTTCAAGGAGGTGTTATTGGAGGAGTTGATAATACCGGAGATGTTGTTCTTCTTGATGTCAATCCACTCACTCTTGGTATCGAAACTGTTGGAGGAGTCATGACCAAATTGATCACCAGAAACACTGTCATCCCAACCAAAAAGAGTCAAGTCTTCTCGACTGCTGCCGATAACCAAAAAGCTGTTACCATTGTTGTTTACGAAGGAGAACGGCCAATGGTCAAAGACAATCATCAATTGGGAAGCTTTGATCTCACTGGAATTCCACCAGCTCCACGAGGAACACCACAAATTGAGGTGACCTTTGAAATTGATGTTAGCGGTATTTTGCATGTTAGCGCTGAAGATAAGGGAACTGGAAATAAGAATAAGATCACCATCACGAATGATAAGAACAGATTGAGTCCGGAAGAGATTGAGAGAATGGTCAATGATGCGGATAAGTTTGCTGAGGAGGATAAGAAGACAAGAGAGAAGGTTGAGGCTAGAAATGAGTTGGAGCAATATATTTGGAGATTGAAAGCTTTGCTCAAGGATGAAAATGGTCAAGCCAACGATTTGAGCGAAGAACAAAAGAAGGATTTGGATGAGGAACTTGATAAGGCAAACGAATGGCTCGGAGAGAATCAAGATGTTTCGCCAGAAGAGTATGCTGACAAAAAGAAGGTTGGTTTGACTTGTTATATTTTTCTGCAAATTCAATACTGTATATATTTTTTTTAGGAACTTGAAACTTTGTTCGAATCCATCGCCACTCCATCGTCATCTTCTTCAGCCGAACCCGAATCAGCCGATCATGAAGAACTATAAATTGTTGTGATTTAGGTTTTTTGTTGTTCTCTCCGGGTTTGCGATCTCCGCCTTTATTACTCGTTTCGGGTCACCCCCTCTATTTATTCGCTTTATATTTTTATTTGTTTTCAGATTTTTTATTGATTTTAATAAATCATAATTAGTATGTACATTTCGCTGTCAGTGTGATCAACCGCAGAATAGTCGGCTAAACTAATATTTTTAAAAGAATTTCGAATTTCAATATACGTAATCTACAGTAATCCTTGCTATCTCCAATATTCAACCCCTTGGAAATTGATTTTCGAAATTCCAAATTGTTTTCTGGCCTACAGTAATCTTAAAATGAAGTTCTAGCTGAAAATTGTTGAAATTTCCCTCGAAACCGAATTATCGACAAAATTTTCTCAAATTTTTATTCAATTTCTACAAATAAACCCGTAATTCCTTTCATTTTACATATTTTAATCTCCAAAAATGTTTGGATTGTAGAATTGATAATCTCGATAACACCCTTTTATTGTTTCGAATACCTGTAAAATATTTCTATGATTTTTTTGTCAAATAATTTTTGAAACTAACCTGAAGACATACAAAATAATCAAGAACATTTGAAGGCGTTGCCAAATGAGTTCTACAAAATGGCATACATTTTCCATTTTGGAAACTCGATATTCCAGATCTCTCACAACATTGAGAATGATCAGCTTTTGAAGAAGCACAATCATAGGCTTGTCCTAATTGAGGACCTGGACATTGAGCTGTGATAAATGCACTTACAAGCTGCAAAATTATGCATTTTTGTTTTTAGAATATGATTTGACTCACTGTTTTATCATTGAAAGTTTCGAAGTTACACATTGTTTGGCAGAATGGACTGACTCCTTGTTTTCTACAACAAAGATCGAGTTTTTGATTCGGGTTCATTAGTGGAACATAGGTTTGAGAATGTGAGATTGATTGGACTGGGGTTGGAGGTTGAGTTGGTGCAATGAATGGGGGATTTGTGACATTGAACATCTGCAAAATCAAATTTGAACAGGGTTTTCGGAATTCTCGTTTCCGAAAAAAAGTTTGGAACAAAAATTCTGAATTTCGAAATCTCCGCTTACTTTTGGAATAATCATTTCTTTTCCACGATAAACCAATGGTTTTTGCATATTCGACATAACATGTGGATGTTCTTTAACGAAAGATTTCAATTGTGTCGATGGTGGAGGTGGTGCAATATCTTTTGTGATTCTTGCAACACTGTCAACAGAATAATCAATTGGTATTTGTGGTTTTTTGGCGAGCGGATTGATCAATGATTGTTCGATTTCTCTATTCAAAGGTGTATCGATTTGTGTTTGAGTTGGGAGAGGAATTGGATTTGGGGATTGGCCAAAAGTTCGAGCAAAGCTACCATGACGAATTGGAGTCTGCAGAAAACTATCGTTTTTTGATTCAGAAATTTCCAGGAACTTACCCTATGTTGTGGTGCAGTTTGGAAGTTTTGCGGTATTGGTTGAGATGTTGCAATTGGAATAAATTGTTCTGCTGGAGGTTGAGTGAATTGTTGTGGAGGTGGTAAAGTCCACAATTGAAATGGGTTCAGTGGTTGAATCGTCGGTTGGAAGAATGGACTCAAAGTTGTTGTTTGGAATTGTTGATTTGGTGGAATTTGCCAAGCTTGAGCTGGGAATCGAATTGATCTCGGCTTTGAATGAAATTGTCGATTATGTTTGAATGGTGCTACTGTATTTGGAATTGGTGGTGGAAGAGTCACCAATTTCAAATCACTTGGACGCTTTGGTTTTCGAACAATTTCCTCTTCTTTCACACTTCCGTCGGATACTTTTGATAGTTCTGGAAGATCAAGATCTCCTTCTCTTTTTGGTGATAATGTTGTTCGACTTGGTGGTGGAGTTACGAAAAATGCGTCGATATCATTTATTGATCCTTTTCCATCCATTAACATGCTTTCGTAAACAAGAGCTTCTTTTTCTTTTGGAAGGATGGCATTTATGTAGAAGCTGAAGTTTGAAAATTGAATATTTTAAAGTTCTGAACATTCAGAAACTCATAACCTACCAGTTTCGAAATTTTTATCAAAAAGTTACGGTATCTCATTAAAATATTTCCTGGGTTTAATACTCACTTATCCTTTGTGAATATCCTTTTATTCTCAATTGGCGTATGAATAACATTATCCATCAAAGAATCTCGATGAAATCCAGAATTCACTCTTCGAGCAAAAGGGCGAGGCGACCTTCGAGGAACATGATTTCTTTCAACTCGAAATAGCTGAAAACTTTAGAATTTGAAAATGAAAATTGAATTTTTCTAATCTATCCAAAAATAAAACTCACTTCCTGTCCGAACACATAATAATCCAACAATAAAAAAACTATAAAAATAAAATTCCGGAAAATCATCAATTGGCAGCAGGCAAGCAGGCTGAAGAAAGAACTGTCAAATAATTATTGTTGCATGGAACCTATCGAGTAGTTTAGGAGAAGAAGTGAGACCGATTTGACTAATGAGCGTGCAGCTTTTTATAGGTATTATTATTATTATACCGAGAAACTGGTTGAGTTTTGTTTTATTGGATTTCATTTTCGACAACTCGGTTTTTTTTGGAGGAAGAAGAATGGAATTGGAATTTTTTAAAACATTTGTGAATAATTTCTGGATTACTGTATTGAAAGGTTGCCTAGTGAATCATAGAACAGACCCCACCATGCCAGGCATAATATATCCTCGATTACTGTATGTCCCTTTAAACAATACCTCGAGAGATGTTGTCCCAACCTCAAAATTAGGCCCCCACTCTTCTAGATACAGCTTACCCGAATAAAAAACTAATTACAGTTAACTTCCTTAACCTTTCAAAAAAAATTCCCAAAAATTTGAAAAAAAAATTAATGAAAGAAAGTATTGAAGCAATTAAAAGAATCGAATCGAAATGGCAGGTTGATTACGTTACGCAAAAAAAAGAAAGAGATTTGTGGCTGCCCGAAAAATGGACATTCATCCACAAACTTGTGTCTGCGCGTCTCATTTTCTCACGCTATTTTTTCTTGGATTCCTGTTGCTTCTTCATTGTCTTCGATCGAATCGAAACGCAAGGAAATTTTTTTCACACATCGGGTTTTATTACGCAATTCAATATTGTTGCCTGGCTGCCTTGGGAATTAGAGATCAGGTATTTTGGAAAACGATTTTATTTTTTGAGAGAAAAAGAGCATGCAAGTTTGAGAATCTAAAATTGATCTCATTTTTCTATAGTTTTGTAATTAATTTTTGAATACTTCCTGAGGCGCTCCAGAATATTTGAAGAGCTCATAGTTTGATTTCTGATCTACGTACATCTTAACAAAATGTTCTCACGAAAACTAATTCTAAACAGTTTCAGAATTTTTTGAGATCCATTATTTCCTACCGTAATATTTTCATCTTCTTCAATTTTATCAATTTTTCCAAAAAACCTCCTAAAAAATAATAACATGTTTTTTTTTCTATCCAAATCATTTTTTTCATTCACATTCACATTTCAAACAATTTATGTACAATATAAAATAAATGTATTGTTATTGTTTTATCAAAACTTGATTTTCAAATCGTTAACTTTGCCCAACGCATCTTCAAGGGTCGAAATATCACTTCGAATATCTCTGGCCAATCGTTGTAATGCCAAAACTTTGTCGAGAATTTCAACGCGTTGAGTATATGCGTTGTAGCGGATTTGGAATGGGCGAGAAATTGTGGATGCCCATGACCTGGAAAAATGAATAGACAATGGAACAGAATGATTAGGGAGGGGGAGTAAGAATTTCGAGATTTCCCATTGTTGAAATTGTTCCAGACTTACTTCAATTTGGTTTTGGCACTTGCAAATGATTCGGCCAAGAAATATTTCGGTTGATATTCAGTGATTGGATATTTGGTAACACAAACAACTGCTGGATCAAAATCAGCAACCACAGGCTTATCACTTAATGCATATTGAAGTTCACCAAATGAACTCAGAAGTCCAGCACCGTATGCTTTTACTTTTCCGTCTTGTTGACATAATCCAAATTCAATTGTGAACCAGTACAACTAAATGATTATTATTATAATCTGGATAATTTAGGATCTACTCACTGTGGCGAGTTTTTCGATGACGTCATCAGATGCTCCAAGAGAAGCTAGACCGATTTCTTGAGAAAATTGTGCGAATTCAACATCGGCGAAAAGTGGGACATGTCCAAGAAGTTCGTGACAAATATCACTGAAAATTCAAAAGTTTTCAAAATATTTTTTAGCGGTGAACTTACGGTTCTGGTGTGTATTTTGGATCAGAATGATGTCGAATATATTGTGTAGAATGAAAAACGCGGAAGGCTAAACCGGCAAGAAAATCGCGAGACGACAACAAGCCGGCGACTGGTCGAATTGTATAACCTGTGCAATCTTTCAAGAAATCCGAAATATCTTGAAGTTGAGGGATTTTGTCGGGACCAAATCCACAATTTTGTTGTAAAAGTGGGAAAATGTAGTTGAACTCTTGGCAAGCGTATTGGGGATAAAGACTTGTTAGGGAAGTGTAGACTGTTTTCCAAGTCTCAACTTCTTGTGGAGTGTATTCGATTGTTGGGATTTTTTCGCCACTGGAAAATAATTATTTTGGAAAAAAATCTGAATTTCTGAATGGCCCTAGACTATTTTTCAATTTTTTCCCGCTTCTAATCCCAAATTTTCCACTAACTGTTTGTAATTAAAAGCAATATCAGCGAAAAACTTTCTTCTCTCGCGATATTCTTGATCTTTGAATCCTGGATGATCAGCATCCAATTCAGCACCATACGACAAAATACGATTGGCGAATTGATCAATATCCGAAATCTTTTGTGGGAACCAAGGAACCGAATCCTTATTCTGTTTGTTTTTCGTATTCCAATCTTGCACCAACACATTTTTTCCGGTTCGTTTTTGGCAATGTTCAATAACCTCTTCAATTTTCTTATGATCTTCTGCTTCAGCGAATTCCACCAAGATCTCATAACAACCTTCGTGTGTTTTTGAAGGACGAGATTCGATATGAGAAAGGTTTACATCATGAGCCTGTAATGATTTTGCTTTTGCTTCACTAGATAATTCAATTATCTCTTCTCATAAAATGTCTAGCGAGTTTTTTGCAATTAAAAACTATTAAGTGATGCGTGAAATTTGATTGATAAACAAAAAAATGTTGCGAATCAAAATTTTTATGTTCCAAACATCTCAAAAAAATCTTAATAGTTTGATTCTTTTCACTTTTATGCGTGGTGGCAATAAAAGAAAAAAAAACGGATTTGCAAAAATTGGTTTATTGGTATCATCAAGGACAAAATGATACGGGGCTGATATGAGTTTAATCTACCAACGTCGAACAAAAGATCAACTGTCTATAGAAATTGGGTGGAAGGTTTTCAAGATTACTGTAGCTTTAATATTTGATTACTGTGGGGAAAATCAATATTTCAGATTTTATTGTTCAAAATTGAATCTGTCTTCCAGACTTTGCTCATTTTAGTTTTATCTGGAAAAGTTTCTGAAATTCTAATTTTCTACGTGGCAGTTTAAGTTTTGGCCCTGAAGCTTATTATATTTGGTGTCAAAATGTGTCAACTATTTTTTTTCAAAATTTCAATTTTTACCTGGAAAAGTTTGAGAGTTTCAGCCAAAGCACCGGCTTTTTCTTTCAACGTGAAAACAATAGTCGTTTTTCCGAAGTCGGTGTTAACATCAGCCACGTATGATTCCATGGCGTATTTCTGAAATCAAAAATTATTAATTCAATTTTAATTATGACAAGAGCTATCGATTGATAATTATTTACCAAAAAATCTTCGTCGTGGGTAAATGCTGGAGGCATTTTTTTAGTCAGTCAGTCAGTTTTTTGTAGAATCACAGAAAAAGTTGGGCGAGACAATTTATAGAATTTGAGAGGGGCGGAGTGAGAAGAGGCGTTGCGCGAAGACAAGCACGTGGGGACAAATTAGAGTGTGGAACATGTGAGAATATTGTGAAGTTTTTGGAATTTCGAGAAGAATTCGACGCATGGAACATTAACTTACATTAATGTGTACCGGTTTGCGAGAAAAAATGATGGGTTTTTTTGAAGAAAATTTTATGTGTTCAAAGATTATTGTTCGCCTTCATGGCTATCAATGAAAATTCGATTTTTTTTTGAGATCAAACAGTGAAACTTTTTTTTGTTGAAAAAATTAAACTTCTAGACAAAAAACATGAGTGAACACTTATTTGTTCCAGTGATAAAACATTGATAAGGTTTCAAGATTTGTAGAACTACAACAACCTAGAACCTAGGCTTAGACTGAAAAGCTGCTGGGAGCTTGCGGTCTAAACTCGCGCAAAGCTCTTGGCTTTCTAGGATAGGCTTCTATCGATCTGGCTTGGCTCAAACATGAGATCGGTCATATAACGTGGCAGGGCTCCTGGTTAACTAGCGTACACCTACGGTAACTCATAAAAAATCAATCAATAATTAATAAACCCCAAGAATCCTGCAGCTCATATTCTAGAAAAAAGCATGTTACAGTAACCTTACAACTTTAGGTATTACTAACGCTTTAATTTTGCCTAAAATTTTTTTTTACATAAACAAAATCTGAAACAATCTTGAAATTAAAAGTACAAGATAAACTAACTACAAAAACCATATGTGTGAAAATAAATGACTTTGGTTGTCTAATCATTTTATCAATCGGTTTCGAAGAAATCGTAACTTTCTTTCTTGCAGAGAAAAAACATTTAAAAAAAAAGAGAAGGAAGGGACAAAAGATGAAACACGTGGAATAAAATTCTCAAATTCAAACTGGAAAAATCGAAGATCTCTAATTTTTGAACAAAGGGAAATGTTTGTCATTTGATTTGTCATCATATGATTACTGTAGTTTCTTGGAATTTTTTTTTTTTGGTAATTACAAGTTATCAAACACTGGCTGGTACAATATCACTTTGACCTAAATATACATATATTTTTGAAGATCAAGGTATAGATGCACCTATAGTTTGGCCTTTTTTGAAAAGGAAAATGAACACTAAACTTTATTTGTTTGCGAGACAGAAAAGATTTCATTGAAACGATCAAATAAAGGTACTGTAGAGCTATAAACTTTGAAAAAAATCAACAAAACTTGTTTGGAATGGAAATTGATGGAATAGAAAAAAAAAGAATTATGAGGGAATAATAGACTGATAAATTAAAACCGGGTTGGAAGAAAGAGAAAAAAAGAGGGGGATGTGGAGAATGATATGATCAGATCAATTGTATTGATTAGCACGTTCCATTTAAGATTATCGGAGATTAAAGGTTGTGTCTAATTAGTTTTTTGATACTTGTTTGATCATCTGGTAATTTGAAAATAAAATAGAATTGAAAATAGAATTACAAAAACATGTGATTTATGATTACAATGTTAAATGTGAAGAAGACGATAGTTTTTAAAATTTTAATTGTATTCCAGATTTCTGATGTTCTAAAAAGATTTTTGGCTGTCAGCAGAAAATCCTGGCATGATCTCAAATCAATTGCAGAACACATCAAAAACAAACCTTTCGAATTTCTTCCAAATTCAAATCTATAATAACCATTTTCTTAGTAGAGTATAATACAAATACTTCTAATAATCAACAATGATACCTTTTTCCTGATAATAATCTTCCCGAATATTTCTTCCGTCAATTGATTCAACCTTCCTGCAATCCATCAAACATTTTACAAACCATGTGATGATAAAATAACTTTGGCTTTGGCATTATGAAAAAAATTTTGAAAATTGAATTTAAAAATACAATTGTTTCAACGTGGATTACTGTGCACACACACACATGTGTCTCTTCGAAGTTCCAAAAAAAAATCTGAAAAAAAATGAAAAAAAAAAAATATAATATACTGTACCTCAAGGACTGTCTCTCAAATACGTGTTTGGGTCTTGTCGCGACGACCTACAGTAGGACATTTCGAAGGCGCGTTTGAATTTGTTTCGTTTTCTTTTTGTTTTCGACGCTTTTCGCTCCTAAAATTTGCGATTTCCACGTTTCCTGCGCGCACTTGATGAATCTGAACATGAAGCTCTATTTTCAGGCACATATGTATGGTCATCAAGATCGATGCGACCGTACAGCGTACGTGGCCGGGTTGCAACCGTCAATTTCGGATATTGAACTTTTCGAAGTTTTCAACAAAGTATCACACGTAGAAAAAGTTATTGTTCGCAATGCTTCTACTCGACACGCATTGGTTGTCTTCAAGTGAGTAACAATTCATAGTGCTTTTCAAATAAATGTGTTTCAGATCTGTTGAAGGTTTGTATCTAGCTTTGGTACATTTTCAAGGGATTGTGCTTCATGGAAGACAGCTTCATATTCGCCCTCTACGGGAAAGTTCGCACAAATCATTGAACGAAAACGGCGGCAATCAAATGATGTATGATCAAAGACGTAGACCACAGTCTGTTCAAGAAAAGTTTCATCCGAACAGTCTTTATACATACAGTAACAATCGAAACAATTCATCTGGTCGTAATGGTTCTTCTCGTCGTCGTGCATCATACAATCGGAATGCGCAGCCAATTCAACACTCAATGAGAGACAATTTATCTCCACCACAATATCTTTCTTTCAATAATGATATACAATTTGATGACTATTCGGAAAGCGCTCAGAGGTTAGAATTTTCTCCGTTTTCCTGCATTCTGCTTTTTAATCTTACGATTTAGATTCGATAGCTTGGCTAATTTGATACGAGGACCACATCCAGGAAATCCATATACAAACAAACCAGCACAGTATGTCAAGATCGTGTTATACTTTTTGTTTTTTATTACAAGTTTATTTTCAGAATACCTGATGGTCAAAAATCTCGCTCAAACTCTGCCAAAGAATGTTCAAAACCAGCACCGCCGACGTGGAAAATGGAATTGCAGATCAAAAAAGAAAACGAAGTTCAGCAAAATGGGCCTGCGGCCGCCCAAGTTTATCGTAAAAATCCCGAGCAACCTGAAAAAATGACAGCTCAAGAATTGTTGGCCAAATTTTCTTCGTTTGGAACCGAGAAGGAGAACTCAAATGAAAATTCAAAGAAGAAGCGCCCAAATTTGTCAGTCATCAATCCTTCGCTTTTTTACGAACAATATCCACGTACTTCATCACCATTGGCATTGGTCAATACCGGTGAGTTTATCAGTTTACTTGAAGATAAAAAAGTTGTTTATTTTCAGATGTGGTTGATAAAGCTGTATCTCCACACGATCCAGCAGTTCTTGCATATCGCCGTGCTCGTGCTCCAACTATAATCGCTGATCTTTCTCCAATCGATATTCGTAATTGCTCATATGTAACCAAACATTTTGCCGAAAATTCCAAGGAAATGGCTTTGCAGCCAACTTTGAATCGACGAGAAATGACAAATGAAGAGTTATCGGATATGATTGTTTCTACCGGAAATCTTCGGATCGATTTACCGTTCTCGGTAATCGGCAAACAATGTAAGTTTATCCATCGGAACTCAAATATCTAATATTATTTCTCAATTCAGCCAATGACGAACCTGCTCCATGGTCTCCAGTGAAAAGAGTTCGTGCAGAGAGCGGTTCCTTGTCCTTGATGCACATAAATAGTCCACATTTCTCACCAATAAAATTAGAATTCGATGATGATGTTTTCTGCTTTGAAAACAATGGAAAACTCGTCGATGATTCGCCCAAAAAATCTGGCGAAAATAAGAACGATGTTGTTGTTGATGGTAATAATGTGGAACAGAAACTGAAAAGTTATCAAGATATTACCAACAGCCGACTTCCATCAAACTGTCATTCAGCGAATCCGTCATCTGACAAACGTTCTTTCGTATTTCCAGTATGTTTTTTTTATCTGAAGCTAAGTATTTATATAATTATTGTTTTTGTTTTTTCAGGAATACTCGCCAATATTCCGTCACGTATCTGTTCCTTCATTGACAAATTTCGTGTCGGATATCACAGATTTTGGAATTGGTCTCCATTCGCAACATGTTTCGATTGGTGAAAAACTTGTTTGCAGTTCTTCGAGTTCAGCTGAGGTCTCTGCATCTCACTCAAAATCCTCGTTAGAATCTGATCAAAAAATCAACGAATTTGTCGAAAGTGAGAAACCATTGGCAATGATTTGATGAAAAGTAAAATATTTGTTTCATTCTGTAAAATACGTTTCCATTTATCGCATATTTCTTTCCTTCCCCCTACATTCCTTCGTCTTCTTCTTCATTTTTTTTCTAAATTTCTGTTACATAATTATATAATCAAAATATATAACTTTTTCGTGTATGTTTTATAAGATTTTTCCTCCCTTTTACCATTTTCCTCATAGTTCATTTTTTTTCATGTTTTATAGAAATATTTATAGAGTGAGAGAGAGAAAGAGAAAACCAAAGCAATATTCTTCTGTTCTATATTTTCCCAGTTTTATGACTTTCACATTTTTCCATTTAAATTTTATTTATGATAAAATGAATAGTTTTCGTTTGGAAATTTTCAAATTTTTTTTAAAAATCTGAAATTGCGTTGACGTGACCGCATTTTTTCTTTGAAATTATCGAACTATGATTACTATTTACTCGCATTTCTATTAATTTATAATACTAAAAATAAGGGTTCAAATTTAGAGGAGAATGGTAAGTTGCAATTTTAGACGATTCACTACGGTACGCAAATGTGTGCATTTGTGCGTCGCATTGTTAGATAGTGATTCCAGCGTTTTAGAGAATTTTTCTCAAAAACCTGAGCACATCAAAAGCGCACACATTTTTGGTCTCGTAGCGATTCCAGTTTTTTCTTCCAATTAATTTTACCCAAAAATTTGAAGGGTAACATTGATGACGTGTGGACATATCAAAAAGTCGGCACACCATTTCCTTCAAATGTTCAAAAAGCTCCTGGACAAGCGAATAAATACATAGCACTCTGGTATAAACACGGTAAACCCGTAATGGGAAAAGCCTGGAATGATAGCGGTGTTGTAAAATGTGCATTTGTATATGATTCAAAAGTGTATACAAGTTCCGAAATTGGCGGACAAATACAATTGTTGGTTCATGATTCGAACAACAAAACATTTTATTATGATTGGATTTTATACGAAGAAGCGAAAAAGCAAACTAAACCGGGTGTTTTTGAGATGGTTCGATGTGGCATAAGTTGTGCAGTTTTTTGGCCAGAAGAAGAATTGCTCGGAAATCTTGATATTGAAAAACACATCTCGAGTTTTGCTGATGATAAAGATTCGTTGCGAACAAATAGTGCGAATTTGGAGAAAATGCTTGTTTTGTGCAAAATTTTGGGACAGGCTCCAGTTGCACTTCACGGACTCAAAACATTGAATAAGGTTGGGGGGTTTTTTTTTCAAAAATAATAAATTTTTATTCTTATTAATTTATTTTCATAGAAAGCAACTCTTCGTATGCCATTGATTGTAAATGATTGGGAAGATTTTAATTGGGGAAGTGAATGGCCAACATCGAAGCCAGTGATGAGTGCGCCGAAAAAATCGGAAAAAGATCCCGAACAATACGTGGCATTATGGTATAGACATGGGAAACCAGTTATGGGAAGAGCGTGGAATTCGAAGAATCGCATTGATGCTTCGTTTGTTGAGTAAGTTACAGTACTACAGTATTTAAAGGAGGGAAGTGAAAATATATTTGGAAAGGTCCCAAATGTTTGGAATATTTTCTCCAAATTCATATTTTCCAGCTCAAACCGTGAGTTCAGCGGTGCAACTGTCGGCTCCCTTCAACTTCTTATGCGTCTTCCTCCAACTTCAGTTGGATACGATTATGTTTGGCTACCGTATGATCAAGCAATGGATTATCGTGATAAAGATTTTCTACCAGTTCATTTGAGTTATACATGTCCTGCGATTATACCAGTCAATGGAGTTCCTTATTTAGGTATTTTGTTTTTGAGAAAATTTCTATTCACAAAATAAAATTTTTTAGGTCAAGTTGATATGAAGTTGGAAAAAGCAACAGTGGCATGTTATGGTACTGTAACAAGTTTGGAAGGTGGACAAGTCAAATCAATTTTGGTTTTGTGTCGAAAAGAGCATGAAGAAACGATGCTCGTTTAACAAACAAATAAATAAATAAATATTTATAATTATTTTAAACGACTCTGTTTTGAGTAGCCAGTGGTGTTGGTTTTTTTCCCAATTCTTTCCTTCTTTTTCTTCACCACCTTTTCCTTCTTTTACTAGATACACACACATATAAATATAAAAGAGTGAGAGAGAGACAGATTGATCGACCGCGTCGCCGCACCCACTCGTCTTCTCTCGTTTTTTTGTTCTTGGAGACGCAGACATTCAGTTCGCTTTCTTGGTTTTGCTGTGTGTGAGGAGAAGAGATGCAGGGCGAGTTGAGGCTGTCTCTATCTATTGCATACACGAAAAAATATTGTATGTGTCTATTATATGAGTGTTTTTCTTTTTTTTAACTTTCGAAAATTTTTTTGAAAAATTCATGCTGAAATTTTTTTCAAATCGCGATGCGTTTTTTAAAAAAATCCAGTGGTACTGTATGTTATCCGTGTTTGCGTACTTTATTTTTTTTCGCACAATTTTTGTTTGTTCGAAAAATTGTTTCTTTTTTTGCAGTTTAATGGTCCAGTAATATAAATAATGTCAAAGGAAGGCGAAAAATCAGATCCACCGCGGAAAGCCAAAAGTTCGAAATCGAACGGAACAAATTTCAATGGTGGAAGTTTGGAGGATTGTTTCACGAATGTTTTTGCCTTGACAGAAATCAATGGGCTGAAATGGAAGTGTTATCGGACGCCACGAAATGCGGCGCGTGGAGTTCCGCTAACTTCCGATCCAATATTGATAGCGTATAGTAAATGTGTGAGAGATGGGATACTTTGCGCGTGGCGGAGGAAACAGTTGAATATTTCATCGACACATGAAACATTACCATTACCACATTTTTCACACGATATGCCGAAGGAATTGTGGGTTTTCTGGTATAATGAGGAAAGTGAAAAAATGCAACAATATTGTAAGGATCTCGGTGAGCGATTTTTATTGGGGAAAAATAAGTTTAAAAATTATTTTTGTTTCTAGAAGAAGACGAGGAAGTCAGTTCAAATGCGGCATTTTCGAATATTGTTAGCTATGAAGTTCGAATATTATATTTCAAATCGATTCATATAATTCTAGAAAGATCTTTGATGAAATTAGGATATGTCAGATTCGGAAGATGGTTCACGAAACCTTTGAAATCTATGCCCAAACAAATGCAATACATGTATCCAACTTATACAATTGCGATTCGATTTAATTTTTTTATTCATGGCGGGAATACTGTTTGTTTGGTGATGAATTCTCAAAGACAACCAACTTTAATACAGTTGCAGAAGAGGTATTTCGAAGATTTGTTATCAATTTTTAAAAAAATAAATTAATTAATTAATTTTCAGACATCTTGAACACAATTCGATGAAACGATTTGCTGTAATTATTGGACCTTGGTCAATGCGTGGTATGTTAGTACAAAATCAGTTTGCAATGCTTTCGGAAGCAAAAATGCAAGCGAATATCGATAGAGAATATAATAATTGGAAGTCTTTTGTTGTTTTGGAAGATGAAGTAGAAAATGAGGAAGAGGTTAAAAAGGAAGATGAGGAAGAGAAAGAGAAAGATAAGGAAAATGACGAGCAGAAACCGAGTACTTCAACTTCGTCTCAGGAAGATTCGAGTGATGAGGAAGGAATTCAGAAGGATGATACTACAAAGAAACCCACCGAAGCTGCTAAAAATGAAGTTCCAAAAATGGTTCTTGTTGATATTGATGGAGTTCGAATGTTATATCCCTCGAAATATCTTTGTGTAACTCTTGAAGATGATCGACATGTTTGGGATGCTCTTGGATATCGAGTTACTACGGTTCCTGAAGAATTGTTAGTTCAAGGAAGACGGCCGAGGAATAAATTTGTTGTTCAATCAACCAACTCGCATATTCAATTTCAAGGAGTTATTCAGCAGGTTTTTGGACCAAGGACTAGATTCATCCCGAAACCTCCTCTTACACATGGCGGGTTTGCTCAACCATTTCCACCGATGAATGATGAGAAATGGCTGAAATGGAAGTTTTCGGAAGTTTATGAATCGAGTTGTGAAAAGTGTTATGGCGCGAAAATGAGATGTGAAGCGTGCAGGTTTGCGGATCGAAGATTGCGAGCTAAAAGTGAGTGAAATTTAAACTGATGAAATTATTTTTAAAAAAAATTAAAATTTCAGATACTTTAACACTGTCGAAAAATGAATGTATTCATGTAAATGAGGAGATTTTCGAACACATGAAACTGAAACCTGATTCTTCTGCTTATCATCGAACTAAAAATGCAAAAACTGCTCAAATGATAAAATTCATCGGTAAGTTGTAATGAAAAAATTGATTTCCAAAAAATTCAATGTTTTTTCCAGAAAGGCAAAGAACTCTATCCGAAAGTTCATCGATAGCAACTCCATCGAAAACCAAAAAAGAAAAGGAGAAGCCAAAGAAAAAAGATAATGGAGAAAATGCGGAAGATGAAGAAGAAGATGAATTAGAGGAAGTTGAAGATGGTACCATATTCAGAAAAAGAGATGATAATCCATGGTTGCTTGATGATGAGGATATGGCTGATTGGATTAATTTGGAAAAAGAGTCATTTCCGATTTTGGAAAAAGCAGAGTTAGTTTTTTTAAACCAGAAACCTGGAATTTTTTATTTGAAAAAAAGTCTTGGAACAAAATTGTGAACATGATTTTTGAAAATTTTCCTTTGATTTCATCGCCAAAACCTGGCTTAAAAGTTCTCCCAAATTTTTATACTCAATTTTTAGTGCCAAAAAATATAAATGCTGAAAAATCAAAGGATTTTTGAGAAATGGATTTTTTTTTTTTGAATTTTCCTCTGGCCGAAAACGTGACCGTGACGTTTCTCATTTCCAGGGAAGATTTCATCGGCGAGGATAGTGGTGGAACATCAGAAGACGACGATATTGCGCCCACATTTTCACCATTCACGCCAGTAACTTCTGTTTCGCCGTGTGGAGAGGAATGTAATTGGCCGGCCAGCACATTGGAAAATATGAGCGAAAATGTTTTTGATCAAATTTTCCGGCAGAACAATGCACGGCCAGTGAAAGAGAATGCGACAAGAGAGGAGAAATATGCAGAATTTGATAGTTTTTATGATCCAACATTGCCGCAAATTCGGGAATCTCCACAATTTCAACCATATCATAAGAAAAGACGAGCAAAAAGACAGCCAGAAAAAGGAAAATGCCCTCCTGAAACACAATTTTCAGTTCATTCAACAATTTTTAAAGGAGAAATGTGTGAACATGGACCATTTGGATATCAGAAATATCGGAAAAAGATGGATGAAGTTGAAGCGACAAAAGAGGCCGAAGAGCAAGCGAAAAAACCAGTTGTAATAAGAAAAGAGACATTAGAATTATTTGAGGATAATGTTAAAATGGCTGAAAAATTGGAAGAGAAAAAATCGATAAAAAGATGTATTAATTCACTTGTTCAAATTGTAAGTTTTATATTTATATTCAAAATTTAGTTTTGTTTTTGCAGAAAGATGAAATGGCTCATGATTGTAAACAATGGAAAAAGAACAATTATCGTAGATTAATAAATACTGAAGATAATGATGAATTGGATTTATTGGATATCAAAAAATTTAATGAAAATTTTGACGAAGAATTTAGAACGAGCATTGATAAAAAGGTTGGTTATATATCGCCATATTATCAATCTTCGCCGTCTTATTCGAATTATGAAGAATTGTCAGAATCTGAAGATTTGGAGACAGGAAAAGAGAATGATGTTCAAATGAAAGAGATTGAGGAACAAAGTGAGGAAATGAAAGGATTAGGAGAAGGAACTTCGACACAACAATTTAGTCAAAATGAAAATGAAATGATGGAATGTGATATTCAAGCAACAGAAGGAATTACACAAACCAATAATGGTGTTGAATATGGTCCCGATGGTTTATTATCACCGCCAGCGAGTAATGAAATGCCGAAAGGAGCTGATGATTTATTCCCAAGAGGAGTTCCATCAATTGAGGCGCCTGGAATGAATCAAATATATCCGACACCGCCTTCTGTTCAAATGCTACATTCTGATCCACAACAAATGCATTCGCCGATTGCGCAGAAGATTATGAAGAATACGGTAGGCTTTTTTTGGAAAATATTTTTGGATTTTTTAAATTTTTCTTCGTTAATAAAAAAAAATGAAATCTTCCATTATAATTTAAAAATTTTGCAGGTTCCTAACATTGTGGAAGAAGTTGAAAGAGTAAAAGTGGTTGGAGATCCAGCAAAAATCGAAGAATTCTCATCAGATGACGAGGAAGAGAATCTGAAAGAATGGAATGATCAAATTGAAAGCGAATCGATGAAAAATCTATTGACTGCTTTCAAATGTGCACCATTATCGAAGTACAAGCGGAAATCAGCTATTCCATTATCGGAGAAATTCGCGTTGAATTCTGAAGTGAGTTGTTCAAATTTTTAAAAATGAGTTTTGTGTTTTTTGCAGAAGACCAAAGAGAAAGGGAAGAAAAATGGAGTTTATCAAAAAATGGTTGACAATGCTTTCGAAAATCCGCCTTTCGATTCGTTTGGAAAATTGTTGACACAAAATCCCTACCCGCCACAACCACCTCAACCACCGCAACCGAATCTGGCGAGAGAACAATTTCAAATGCAGCAATATCAGATGCAACTTCAGCAGCAACAACAACTTCAGCAGCAGCAATATCAGCAACAGCAACAACAGCAGCAGATGAATATGAATATGACGTATAATCCGATGCAGCAACAACATCCACAAATGAATCAACAATTTGGGAATCCGTATCAACAGCAACCAATGTTCAATCAACAACCTTTTCCTGGCCAATATCAATCACCTATGCAACAACAATATCCGATGGGTGCTGGTTTTGGTCGAGGCCGAATGATTGGACCCCCGCCAATGATGGCCGGCCGACCACCACCAGCTTATGCTGCATCTGGTCCTGGACCATACGGTTCTTCTGTACAGCAATTGAATAATTTTGTGAATCAACCAAGATTTGGTGGTCCACAACAACAACCATCGCCGTATTCGAATTTTGCGCAGGGTTATCCTCCGCAAGGGTTTCCGCCTCAACGATTGCCTCCTCCAATGTATTCGCAACCATCGATGCCTCCGCCACAAGGATATCCATTTCAATCGCAACATTTTCAACAAAATCAATTTCTTCAACAACAACAACAGCATTCACAACTTCAACAACATTTACAAAAACCAAAAGATCATCAACAACAAGTTCCAGAAGGTGAAAGTATTGTTATTGCGCTTATCATGTCGGATACAATTCTTGATTTGCATTTTGACACATCACTTGATTCGTGTCCGATTTGTTCGTGCACATCTTCGATTCGAGCAAGAGAGTTGGGATTGTATATCACACCTCATGATGTACTTCGATCCACGTCGAATCCAATGTTGAATCATCATCAAATTGGACCGTGGAGTGGATTTAATGTGAATGGATCAACAACCTGTACTTGTGGTTTTAGGTAAGATTTTTATTTTTTTGAAAAAGGGGAATCTTTTAATTGTAAGCTAAAAATCTATAATTTCAGTGCGATTCGTCATCGATATTTATCATTTTGTTCTGGTCTATTTCCCGAAGATTCAAATGAAGCAACAGCTTTGGATAATTCAGTTGCAAGTGTTGCACCTCCTCTTGATCTTCAATTGCCTGGAATTGAAGTATCCAAAAAGATCACATGGATTGACTCAAAGCAAGCAGCTGATCTTGCTGTTATTGACACGATTCGAAGTCTTGCACAATCTCATAGTTATGGAAAAGCTGTGTCACAAATGGCTGCTTTATCTGAACATGTTGATCGAGTGTCCAAAGCGATGGAAATTGGATTGGATGTTCAATCGGCTTCGGAATATGTGATTTCACATGTTGATTCAATGGAATTGTTGATGCTTGGAAATTCGGCTATTGATATGTGCATGAAATCGAGTGAGTTGAATATTAGAAAAATTACTTACATTAAATACGTTTTTCGCGCTAAAAAACAACGTGGAATAGTATTATTTTGGCTAAAAAAAAATTCACACAGAGTTTAAAATTTTTTAAAGACCAATTTTAAAAATTGAATTTTTTGCGCTAGAAATCGAAGTAATTTCTCAATTTTTTCATGTTTTTTGCGATCAAATTCAATAACTAAATTGAATTTTATTGCGCTGAAAATCCACATGGCAATTGAACTGTTTTCATGTTTTCCCCAAAATTCAAAAATTCATTTTTTACGCCAGAAATCCACGTGGAAATTTAAAATGGTTCATTTCGCGCCCGAATCTGAAAATTTCAAAATTATCCACGTGGAAAGGCTATTTTTCATGATTTTTCGGCACCAAAATTGGAAAATTTAATTTTTGTCACCAAAAATCCACGTGGCAATTCAAATTTTGAAAAACCTTTTCGACGCCGGAATTCTATCTAAATGAAGATGTTCAAACTTCGATAAAATTAAGAATTAAAGAAAAACCATTTTTTCTACATTTTCTGAATCAAATTTTTCAATCCATATTTTTTGCAGTGTCGGTGAACCGAAATCAAACAATATCTGCTCAAAAGTTTTTGACCTATTTCCATCCTTGGGGTCTTCAAACAGCAAATGAGATTCGCGATCCAAATATGACAGAATGGCGAATGACATTGAGTACAATTCTACCATCTATTGAAAATTCAATCAAAATTGCTAGAAGTATGGATGTTGAGGGAAGTGGAAATATTGTTGAAGGACCATTAACATGGAGAAAATTCGTGCAAAAAAGTTCGAAGAATCGGCAAAATGAACAACAGGAAAATGAGAGTTTGAGCGGTGCCGAACCAATTCCAGCTGTTATGTTTTCAACGGCAAATGAATCAATAAAAGCATCGCCAATGTTGAGAACAATGTGGAATCATGCAATGTTGGCACCAATTGATCAACCAAAAGATGTTATGTATATGACAATTATACCAGATGATGATGTAACTTATGCGAAAACCGTCAAATTTATGGAGAAATTGTCGAAACAATATGAAAAAATGAAACTTGGTCGACATATTCCATTTCCCGTTTCGTCGGGAGCTGCACAAGCTCGAAAAGACACTCATTTTTCGAATATGCGAAGATCGGCAATGGGAACACCGATGCAATCGAATGCAGCTGAACCGATGGAAGTTGATTCGGTTGGAGGAACAACTGTTGGAACATCGACACCAACCAAAACAAATGAGGGAAAAACGGAGGAAAATGAAGGATCGCCGATGAATACTTTCGATGGAAATATTAAATGGAATGAACAATTGGAAGCCCCGAAAAATTGGGATGAAATGAAGAAATTCTCCTCGGAAAAACCCGATGTTCCATCAGATTTTTATGATCGAGAAGGAATTTTGAGATGTAGAGGATCGGTTACACTTCCCGTAAAAGTTCGTGCACATTCTGCAGCAACTTCAGTGGAATTTGCGAATATGGTGAAACACTTTAATGATCGAACTGGTTTTATCGTAAGATTAAAAAATTATCTGGAACAAATGGAAGATCTTGTGTTCAATGCGTTGAATGATAATCCGGTAGCATTTGATCGATATGGATTTAAATATCAAAATGCGGTTGAAGTTCGATTGAAAAGAGATAAAGAAGCTGGATTATATGCGTCAACGAAGGAGAGGATGAATGCGACTGAAGATGAGTCGAATGAAACAACAACGACACCAACACAAGAAACATCGGCTACACCAACAACTACAAATGAAACAAATTCACAAGCGAATCCAGTTGCCAATTCAACTGCTCTGACAAATCAAATACCATCACCGATTCCTGCTGGAATGGTTCATATTCCGGAAACATTACCCGAAAATGAGCGAAATCAACAACCAACGTTGACTGAATTATTGTCGGAGCCATCGTCTTTGTTGCCGATTGGAGCGGCGACAATGCAATGGGTTCAAAGGGATACAACACTGCCGAATCCGTTTATAACATCGAATCAGCCGCCAGTTGAATATGAAGAAGTTGGAGCGAAAGATAGAGATGATCCGGCTGTTCTTCCACATGTTATTGTTATTTATATTGTGGGTTTTTTATTGAAGTTTTGGCAGGATTTTGGACCTTATTTTGAGAAATCTGGGGCCGAATTCATAAAAATGGTATACAGAATATGAGCAATACCCTGGGCTCATTTTGAGTCCAAATTAAACTAAGGAAAATTTTCTAACATGAGAAATGCTCTAGAGCTCGAAAATCTGATTTTTAGAGTCCAAATTTGTTATGGGAGAATTTTCTAATATTAGAAATGCTCTAGAGCTTAAACATCTGGTTTTTAGAGTCCAAATTTGTTATGGGAGAATTTTCTATTACATAGTGCCAAAAATTAAAGAAGAAAAATTTTGTTCAGCAATTTTTGGTGTACTGTTTTTATGAATTCGGCTTCGGATGTTTCGATGCAAATCCTGAATCGCCTGATTTTCGAAATCTAATTTCATTTTTTTTTCAGGTGAATCCATTTACATGGGGAACCAATCAACATACCGCGTTGCACATGCGTGTTTCTATTTTGGGATTCATCCGAGCTTTCAACTCGATTGTCCTGAAACTCGCAACAAAACGACGGCCCCAACTTCAAATGGAAATCATCAATTTGGATCAATTGGAAGATCAAGGACAAGCGTTCCCTGATTATTTGAATGATCCAAAGATTCCGATGGATTTGTTTGCCAAAACTGGAAATAAGAGTTGTAAGTTAAAAGTGCAAAAATTTTTGAAATTCTTAAAAACATGATTTTTTTAGATTCGAAAACTGATGACAGAGAACCACCTGAAAGTACTCTTCTTGTCGAAACTGCGAAATCTTTGGCTGTTGCCGTCTATCAACATCCACGTGTATTTTTCCCTGATGTTTATAAAATCACTCAACCAAGATGTATGACTGCGTAAGTTGAATTTTTTCATAAGTGTTCAAAAACAAGGGGGTTTTGAGATTTTTTTTTTATGAGAAAAATGGATTTTCGGCGATTTTTTTGATAAAAAATTTTGAAACCATAAATTTTTCAATCAAAAATCCACAATTTACAAAATTATTGGAAGCTCAAAAATTTTATTTGGAAAAAAGTTTACTGTTTCAAAAATTCATTTGAAAAGTTCCGAAAACACGGGTTTTGAGATATTTTTCATGAGAAAAATGGTATTTCAATGGATTTCCGGCAATTAAAAAAAAAATTCTGAAAACATAAAATTTCACATCGCGTAAATTTTCCAATCAAAAATTACACAATTTACAAAATTATTGAATTTTTGGCATTTTTTGAATTGGAAAAAAACAACTGTTTCAAAAATTAATTTTAAAAATTTTTCTAACATCGAAAACTAATAATTTAATTGTTTCAGATTTGGCCCCGCAAGTCAATTATTGCGAACTGTCAATGAAATGGAAAGAATGAATTATGAGTATTTCAAAGAGATTCGATGTCGAGGACAAGCCACAATCAATGGAATGATTCCACAACCACCTCGCAAAAACCATGCCTCCTACAAAATTTCATCGAATTTGATGTGTCTGGCACCGGCTCCATCTCTACAACAACCTGATCCAGAAGTGAATGCAGTTTTGACGCCCACTGAAGAACAAGTGCTATTTGTGACGTATTGTTTGGTTGGATCGGATTATTTGGTTGCTGCTGTCACTGATCAACAAGGAAAATTGATTGATAATTGTGTTATTAATATGAAGCCAAGAAATGAACCGCATCAGTGAGTTTTTCTAGATGTTTTTGGCAGATTTCCGAAAAATGCTGGTTTTTTAGACTTTATCGATACAAATTACGAACACAAATACTTGATGCGATGGGTCGACTCTGGACATTTATTCTCGGAGTTATGGCAAGTGATATTAAAAATTGGAGATTAGTTGTTGGAAGATTGGGAAGAATTGGACATGGAGAATTTCGAGCATGGACACATTTGCTCAATAAAACATCGCTGTTAAAATATTCATCACGTCTCAAAGATATTTGTAATGCATGCAGTCAAATGCCGGGAGTTGTTGGAACACCATCAATATTATCAGCTTGTTTGGTTACAATTGAACCGGAAGCGAATTTGCGAGTGATTCCGGATTATATCGATCCTGAAGCAAATGTGAAGAAAAATTCGAAACAATTGCATACACCGGAGGATTTGTCGACAACTCATATTATAACATTTCCTGTTGGAGCTGAAATTAATTATGAAACACAGGATCCGTCAAATGATACAAAAGCTGAAGAAAATTGGGAATTTGGAGATTTGGATATGATGGCTGGATTAGATGATGGAGATACGGAATTGTTGAAAGATGTTGGTTTGACTGAAACACCGATGAGTGCTGCGATTCGAGTTGGAGGAATTCAATCATTTTTCTCGGATGAAGCATCGATTGAGATACAAAATCAACCATTAGCTGCTGGCTTTTATATATCAACTGCTCCGGCGCCCGAATTACCTGATTGGTTTTGGGCGGCTTGTCCTTCGGCAAAACGAAGTGTTCCAGTTCATTTGAAATCTTCACTTCATATTAATATTACTGAGGTTAAGGTGAGTTGTTTTGGGGGATTTTTTTGAAAAATTGATCCGAAAAACTCAAAATTTTAAAATTTTCCACTTTTTGTGCCAAAAATCCACTTTTTTATGCCAAATTGGCAAAATTTTTGAATTTTCGCTTCAGGAAATCCACATTTTTAAAATTTCACATTCTCAAAAATCACATGATTCGAATTGTTTGCCACGTGGCATTTTTAGCGCCAAAAATCCAGGTTTTTCGACATCAAAAGTGCTTGAGCTAAATTACTGTAGATTTTGCCGCAAAAATTTGAAAAATCAAAAATTTCCAATTTTTCTAGTCAAAAATTTTCGAATTTTCGCACCGGGAAATCCACGTGCCAAAAAAACCGTAGAAAATTTCAAAAATCAATTTTTTCAGAATGATGATTTATTGGAAGCACCTTCAAAAGAAAAAGAGAAGGACAAAGAAGAAGAAAAAGGTTTCAGTCATCCACTAGAATCTCATCAAACTGAAGAAGTTCTTCGACATGTTCTCGAATCGTATAATGCTCTCTCATGGCTCAATGTTCATCCGGTGACTGGTGAAAGATATAGTTGTATGCCGATTCATATTCAACATTTGTTACGTTTATATCATAGTATTGTCAGGCTGATTATGTAAATTTTATCAAATTCTGGTTGTGTTTTTTTTCCTTCTCCCCCATTTTTTCTTTTGATATCATTTTCTAATTAACACCTCACACATTCTTGTTACTTTTTTACAATTGAATTCGGGTATTTTTTATCATTCTTCGTCAAAGTATTTTTTTTTGAATAGCAACATTTTTCTTGTTACATAAAATATTAATTTTAGCATTTTTTTGAAGACTTTGGAAATATTTGAACTTGGCAGGATTAAAAAGAACACATTTCTACATCATCAAAACTGATAAGATAAGTATGATGTGAGTGTACTTTAACACAAAATCGCTGAGGTGATATTTTTGTGGTTAATTTTCTAAAAATTAATCTTAAAAATTTGATGATCGCGCAAAAAAAAACTGAAATCGCTGCGAGACCACAAATTTTCTGAGAGCACGTTTCAGAAAACATTAAATAATTCAGCTGATCCATCTTGACGCGACGAATCAGATGATATATTCAGAATTTCTTGAAAACGCCTCAAACGTGCTGAAAACGGCTGAAAACGAATAATCTAGTCCAGTGTGTAAACACAGCGACGCACAAATGCACAAACTAACGTCTCTACCGTAGTGAAAAAAATTAAAATATTTTTTATATTTTTTCCATGAAAAAAAATTAATCCTCCATTATCAGTTATCAAAGAACAAAATGATACACTCCCAAATAATTTCTAATTCGTGTTTTTTTTTTTTGAGAATCGGCGGTGGCGCGAGTTTTTTTTGCGAATGATCAAATGAAAGATAGGGAAAACAGGAAAACTATTTATTTTGCAGTTTTATCAGATCTTTAATAATATTTTCCTTGTTTCTGTCATTGATTTAGTGCCGATTTTAGATATATTGCTCGTAAATCTTCTATATTTGCTCATTTTCTCGAGTGTTTTTTTGTAAAGTGTTTTCTTCCCATTTTCTTATCTTGATCATTTTTTGTGTTGAATAGACAATGTTTTTGTATACGTGACATTTATAAGAAAGTGTTTTTTTGTAGAAAATAATAGGCGGAGCCCGCCGGAAAATATTACATCATGTTATGGTTTTCTTTACAATTGTTAGATCGTTAGATATAATGGGCATATTCGGATTTATTTTGCAAAAACTTTCGAAAACTACTTTTTCTCAGAAATTTATAACAAAATATTTTATGTCTGCTATTTAAATCTGTATATTTGTTTTTTCAGTGAAAAAATTTTCACACATATAAACTAAAAATAATTTTTCAGATGTCCCTTCAAATTAACTCTGTCCTCATTGCTGATGATATCGAACAAGAATGTGTTGATATTTTGCAGAATAATGGAATTAAGGTTGGTCCAAAAATTCTTCGAAATTCTATTTATCTTTAAATTTCAGGTGACTGTTCAAACAAAACAAACAAAGGAACAACTTCTTGTTTCTCTTCCACAACACGATGCTGTTATTGTTCGAAGTGCTACAAAGGTAAAATTTGGAACTGAGTTGTGAGCCAAACTGAAAATTTCCAGATCACTGCTGATTTGTTGAACGCATCTGCTGGAAAATTAAAACTTGTCGGAAGAGCTGGAACTGGAGTTGATAATATTGATGTGCCAGCTGCAACTCAGAATAAAGTCTTGGTTATGAACACTCCACGTAAGTACACTAGATAATTCCACTCCATGATTGAGTCCCGATTCCTCAATTTTCTTTTCAGAAGCGAATTCTCGCTCGGCCGCGGAATTGACTTGCACATTAATCTTATCATTAGCTCGACATGTTCCACAAGCAGCTGCTTCACTTCGAAATGGAAAATGGGCACGAAAAGATTATATGGGAGAGGAGGTTTATGGCAGAACTTTGGCTGTTCTTGGTTTGGGAAGAATTGGTTCAGAAGTTGCTGTTAGATTGCAAGCTTTTGGGATGAGAGTTGTTGGATATGATCCAATTGTGACGAAAGAGCAAGCGGCGGCGAAGAATATCGAATTATTGAGTTTGGAAGAAATTTGGCCACAAGCTGATTATATTACTGTACATGTTCCATTGATTAAACAAACTGAGAATTTGATCAATAAAGAAAGTGAGTTGTGTGAAAATTGTTTAGATTTTGGAAATTTTAAAAAATTTTGAAAATTGTCTAATTCTTGAGTTTCAAACAATTTTTTTTCAAGTGAAAAATTTATTTGAAAATTTTCTATTGTCGAATTAAAAAATGTGGCAACTGTAAAAAATAAAAACGAGTGCAGAGGTGACTTCGTCAGTCGCGCGCGGTTCTGCGTCGCGGTCGGAAAAGAAAGGAAAAATTGGTTATTGATCGTTTTCCGACCGCGACGCAGAGCCGCGCGCGACTGACGAAGTAATGACTTTGTCATTCATTCACCTCTGCACTCGTTTTTATTTTTCACAGTTTCCACATTTCGACAATACCTTCAAAAATTAAAATCAACATTTTTTTCAAAAAGGTTCGGATCAGAGATTCTAAATACCCCACCCCACCCCAATTCTTCCTCTTCCAAACAATTCAAATCAAAAAATGTTTCCAGCTCTGGCGAAATGCAAAAAAGGAGTTCGAATCGTCAATGTCGCAAGAGGTGGAATTGTAAACGAAGTCGATTTGGTCGAAAGTTTGAACGCCGGACACGCAAAAGGCGCCGCCTTCGATGTTTTCGAACAAGAACCACCAACCTATCGCGAACTCATTGAACATCCAGCTGTCATTAGCACACCACATTTGGGCGCGTCCACAATCGACGCTCAACTTCGTGTTGCCTCAGAAATTGCCGAGAATATTGTGCAATTGAATAAGGGAACTGTTTTGGGTGTTCTCAATGCCAAGGAAATTCTTTGAACAAATTTTTTATTTATTTATTTATTTCTCACGTTTTCATAAAAAAATAAAATAGGTCACGTGTTTTTCGTGTATAAAAGGGCGATTCCAACCAGATTTGGGGTATTTTCTGTTATTATGGCTGGAACAACTACCACTACAACAGTTGTCACTTTAGAACAAGAGGAAAATGTGGAACAAGATCAAGTGGAGCAATTGGTTTTGCGATTGAGACCACCAAGTAGTCCACCGCATGTTACTTGGGCGGCTGATGTTGTTGGTAAGCTAATTGGGCGTTTCGAGACCGGTTTTTCTTGTTGTGTGCAATTGTGCGTCACGGTGTATCCCCGCGCTGTTCACGATTTTTGAATTTTTTCCAGACAATGAACATATGGGTCGGCTCAAATCGAATTGCTGTTGTATTTATACTCCACCACGTAAATGGGATGATCCAAGTACTTGGGAACCGGATGAGCACGAAACCGAACATTGTCGTGGGCACACTCTTCCCGAAAGAAAACCGAAAGATCAAGAACCAAAGTAGGTTTTTTATATTTTTATTTTTCGTATACATCGTTTATGTATATTTTTTTCCAGATCTGGTGGATGTGGATCGTCAGGATGCGGTTGCTAAACAACACTTTTATTTGTGTTTTCTTTCTTTTTTCTAATAAATTTTGGGATACTGTAGTTTCCATGGATTGAGGAATTTACGGCGTAGAAATTTTTATACATTTCATTCATTTTTTTGAGAAACGAAAAATGAGAAGAAGATTTTTCCTACTCTTCTTATTTTTTTTATTCGCGAACTGTTTGGATTATGAGATCAAGGATGGGAAAGCTGTTTTTGATGTTTTCGATGATGGTATGTTGAGAAACTAGATTTAATTTTGGAAATGTTAGAAATGAGATGTGGATTTTATAGGTCACGTAAAACACGTATTTATTAATTTATTTTTTCCAGACACTTCGATAAATGACATCCAAAGAGATTGGAACAATCAAATCGAAATCGATCTCAAATGCGGTGTCAATAATCTTCGTATATCAAATGATGTTTTGATGTCATCAAGAATTCAGAAAGTTTACAATTGTGAAATTGAATCGATTTATATTGTGGCCCTTTTCTCGAACTCCAGTTATGTTCCAATTGAGTCAGTCAATAATGGAGATTTGGTTTCATTGGTTATTGCAACGAAATACAAACCGTGTGATACTAATCCTGATAAATGTGACTCGAATCTTGAATGGATTCGAATGGGAGATTCTGAAGTTGCAAATGTTGAAGATGGAAAATGTGAAAGTGGAGTGATAATTGAAACAAATGGAAAGACACAGTGCAAACGGGAGAAAATTCAAAAAAGTGAATATTATATAATTGACAAGACTAATTATGATTATTATGATGGACAAGTTTTGCAGGTTAAAATTCATTTTGGTTCTACTTACAGTAACAATATTTTCCAGGGTTTTGAAGTGCGAAATTATGAAATTCAAAAAACTGAAGTGACATTGGAGCGGACTAGAAAGAAGCGTGCAACTTTGGAGAATAATCGATGTGATTATACATTGGATACAACAACAACATCTACGACGACGACGACAAAAACAACTAGTAAGTTTTGGGGGGAAAATTGGAATTTAGAAATTCCGAGAGCCACAGGTTAATTTTGGAAAGGGAACATCATCGCAATTTTTTATGGTATAGTTACCGTATCCGGACTGCAAAATATTTCGAGTTTGGTCATTGTAAAATCGAGTATTTTGCAGTTCTGGTTACGGTAAGCTTGAAGTTATTTTGTCTTGGGTTTTGCAGTTCGAAGTACTGTACCTTCTAGACAAAATAATTATTGGGTTTTGCAGTTAGGAGTACTGTACCTTCTAGAATCTTGTAGTTCTTCAGTTTGTCAAAGATTTCTGGTAGAATTTTGCAGCCCGGTTACTGTAGCTCAATATGTTTTTCGAGATTTTTTGGAATTCTGGTTTTGGGGATCAACATGAAGCCAACCAAAAACAAAATTCCGAATTGACTTTCCTGAACTAGGCTTCCTGATCTTTTCGAAAACCACACCATCTTCACTTTTCCGTTTTTTCACTTTCACAAATTTGAGTTTTCTATTTTTTTTTGAGTTCTAATCACATTTAGCTAAAACCACAACCACGAAAGCCACAACTACAAAAGCCACAACCACTACCACTGTTCCTACAACTACTCAAGAAGTCGCAACTACTACTTTGGTTGATAATGAAGATGACACAACTCTAAAAGCTACCACAGTTGCCGAATCGACTGCAAAAGGTTCATCGTAATTTCAGTTTTTTGTCACTCAAAGATTTTTTTTTAGAATCTGCAACAACATTTGAAGATACTCCTATTGCTCAAAGTATTTTTATTTTTTTGAGTTTTAGAATTAGATTTTTTGTTTAGCCTCAACTTCAGTGCCAACAACTACGGAAATAGAAGCAACTGCTGCTATACAAACTACATCTCCTGCAGAAACTACAGAAGCTGCTCAAGCTACAACTTCTGCACAAATTGCTGCGCAAACCACAGCTGCTGCAGAAACTACAGTTGCTGCTGTAACTACAGTACCTGCAGAAACTACACTTTCAGTTCAAACCACAACCACAATCACACCTACCACTAAAGTTGTCACAACTCAAAAGGCAACAACACAAACCACTACAAGTAATTGCAATCTGTGTAGATTCCCAATGTGATATATATGTTTTCTAGTAGTTACTGATTATGATTTCGGGGGAATGATTTATGACGTGGCGTTTGAAACATCTAACCTTGCTTCGTCATAGCTTAAATCAAACAAACAAAAATCCTAATAATCATTTTTTAGCAACAGTTTCGCCTGATGGAATTTGCTCATATTTGGATGTCACCACAACAACTCTTACAACAACTGGTACTGTATCACAATTTTGATTAGAGCCGTGGAAGAGAACACCAAACTACAGTAACCTTCGCGACTGATTTTGGTTTTCTAGGCCGTATCGGTTCTCTTCCAAGGGCCGCAAACTGAATGGCAAATTTTTGAAGTTTCCAAAAATCGAATAGAATTTCCAGATTTTTCAGATTTTAATGAAATCTTTGCCACGTCATAACTTCGCGATTCGAAAATTACTAGAAAACATATATTCCATTGGAAATCCCATCCTATAAATCCAACAGTAATCATAATTTTTCAGCAACTCCAACAACAACTACAGAAGTTCCAACAAGTAAGTTGTACCATAAAAAAATCGGAAAAACCCGAACCCTTGATTTTCAGCAACACTTTCACCCGATGCAATTTGTTCATATTTGGATATCACCACAACAACTCTCACAACCACAATTGGTACTGTATCACAATTTTGGGCATAATTTCATGTGGGACCTTCCTTTTTGGTGAACATATTTCATTGATAAATCGTTGAAGAGAATGAAATTATGAATTTTGAATTTCAGAAAAATTTAGAAATGAAGTATGTTCACCAGCCCTAATAGAATAGAATTCTGAGATGAGGGAAAACCAGATCTTGGTCTGAAAAATGAGATTTGGCCTAAATGGCCCCATTCTGAAAATGATCTATTTCTAGCAACCACAACAACACCCACGACAACAACTGTAACCACGACGTTACCAACCACATCCACATCTACTAGCACATCAACGTCTACCTCAACGTCTACATCTACGTCAACATCTACGTCCACGTCTACATCCACATCGACACCCACAACCACATCTACCAAAACTTCAACCTCAACGCCAACATCTACAGTCACATCTACATCGAGCTCTACCTCGACCTCGACCACTTCGCCATCAACAACTTCGTCGTCTTCTTCGATCACAACATCGACGCCAACTTCAACCACAACATTATTGACCTCGACTTCTTCACCATCTACAACTTCTTTGGGTTCATCAACATCGACGACCTCGACAACATCTCTAGCGAGTACATCGACGTTGGGAACTTCGAGTATCAAAACGACAGAATCTCCAACTACAACAAAAGAATCTAGCACTATCGAATCAACCACTGAACTAAAATCAACAACAGAAGTCGTCACAACATCGACGTTTGACTTCACTCTAGATGGGATGGATTGGAATGTTACGAAAATATATTCAACTGATGCCATAAACATTATTCCTGTATCTTCTACAGGTTCTACGATGGTAAACAATTTATTTCTTTTTGCAACCTAAAAGCTCTTTTTTTTCAGACTATGAGCTATCAATGTCGATCTGATTCTTCGTCTGAATACATCACTGCAAAATCTTCAACTTGTTTCAAAACCGATTCGAGTCTTGTCAAAGCCTTGAGTTTCACCAAGACTGTTGAGTTTGATCCAGCTTCATCGGGTTTTGTTGGTGTTGGAACATATGAAATTCTTATCAATGCTACTGAAAGAGATACTGGCAGAACAGCATCGCATCTTCTAACTGTCAATTTGATTGAAGAATCAACAACAACATCGTCGACTTCAACGCAAACCAGTTCCGAAGCGACGACTTCGACAACAAGTTCAGAAGGAACTTCAGAAGAAAGTTCAAGTACAATCGAATCTACGAGTTCGTTATCAACAACTTCGGAGAATGCTGAATCAACGACATCAAATTTAATCTATGATTTCACTTTGGATGGTCTTAGTTGGGATGTGACTATTAATTTATCAGATGAAACTTTCACAATTGATCCAGTTCCAAACAAAGATATCTCATATGTAGGTTTGGGCTTTGAGGGCTTTAGAGGCTTCTACTTTCAAGAATTTCTCGAAAGTCCCTGAAACTTCATCAAAGAATTTTGAGCTTCCAAAAAATCAAAACCCTCTATTTTCCAGAGAACGATGAGCTATGAATGTCGAACAAGTTCGACTGATGAATTTGTTTCCGCAAAATCTTCATCCTGTTTCCTATCCGATAATTCATTGATAAAAGCAATCTCATTCACAAGTTCTGTAACCTTGTCACCTGTTTCGTCGGGTTTTTCTGGCGTTGGAACGTACGAAATTCGAATAAATTTGACAGATACTATTACAAATGAACTTGCTTCACATATCTTGACTGTTACTGTAATTGAAACAACATCGACAAGTTCATCCTCAACTTCCGCTTCTACAACTTCTGAATATATTTCCTCTTCAACAATTCTCACAACATCCAGTCAAACTTCAACTTCAGCTTCATCTTCTTCCACCTCAACAACAGGAAGATCTGAAATTGCAACCGAATCATCCGAATCTACAACAACATTTCTTATCTATGATTTCTATTTGGAAGATATTGATGGCTGGAGTCAAACAATTTCTCTATATGACGCTACTTTTGTTCTGCAACCAGTTCCCAACAAAGATATTTATTATGTGAGTTGAGATTTGAAAAATAATAATTCCAGACAATTTATTTTCAGAGAAGTATTTCATTTGAGTGTCGAAGTGATTCAACATCAGCATTTGTTTCAGCGAAACAAGCAACTAATTGTTTCAAATTCGGTTTGTTTTGAAAAATGCATAATTTTTTCATTAAAAAAAAAATTTCAGAAACCGCAGCCATGAAAAGTTTGACATTCACCACAACTATAAGTATGTCTCCAGTTGCAACTGGATTTGTTGGTGTTGGAATTTATGAGATTCGGATAAATATGACAGATACGGTCACGAATGAATTTGCCAGTCATATTTTTACATTGACGGTTACGGATACAACAACATCTACAACTTCGAAAACTGGATTGAGCTCAACAAGTTCTGGAAGTAAGTTCAGGGCTTAGATTCGAGGTTCGAGCGAGGTTTCCTAATTCTATTTTCAGATTCCAATTCCGACGCCGCTTCAAATTCAAATGCATCGGGATCCGGTTCAACATCATCTGGTTCTAGTTCGAACTCAAATTCTGGTAGTTCTTCTGGCTCTGGAAGCTCAAGTGATACTTCTGGCGCTTCTACAAGTTCGGGCTCGAAATCCAGTACAACCACAACTTCAAAAGTCTCATCTTCGACTGCAACTACTAAAAGTTCTACTAGTTCAAAATCGGGATCAGATTCTTCTAGTTCGGGTTCGGGTTCGGGCTCCGGTTCAGATTCAGATTCAAATTCAAATTCAAGCTCCGGTTCAGATTCAAGCTCAAGCCCCGGTTCAGATTCAAATTCAAGCTCTGGTTCTGGTACCGGCTCTGGCTCAGATGGAAGTTCAGGAACGAAATCTACGAGTTCATCAGGTTCGGGTTCGGGTTCAGGTTCAGATTCTGAATCTGGATCGGGATCGGGATCGGGAACAGGATCTGGAAGTGGAAGTGCAACTGGCTCAACAAGTTCTGGAACCAATTCCGGAAGCGGCTCAGGCGACTCCGGCTCAGGATCTTCGACAAATTCAGCGAATTCTGGAACTGGGAATTCTCAAAGCTCTACAACTTCGGGACCATCAACCACTAAAACTTTGGTAGATTAATTTTCTCACCGCCAGAAGTCTAACATAAAATTTTCAGATCCCACTTTCCACCCAAACTCCATTGACATCAGAAGAACAGGCAGCAATTGACAGCGAAAAAGCAAAAACTGATTCAACTATCGAAGCTATCTTCAATTCATCAAGTTCAATAACAGCAATGAATACATCTAGCGCATTATTGAATGCGATCTCAACATTATCAGCTTCAGAACTTGCCGAAGTTGCACAAAGTATCATTGCTGGAACACTCACAGTTTCAGATAGTAATGGTTTAACAAGTGCTGAAGTTTTACAGTCCCTTCAGGATAATATCGCAGAGACGAATTCTGAATTGGCTTCTCAATTGACTAGTGTAATTCAGAAATTGGCTTCAACAAATATGACATCAGCAAGTTCGATGAATTCTGTTTTATCAAGTTTGAGTTTAGCATTAGCTGGGAGTACTGTATATACACTTGGAGTTAGTAGTACGGTTAGTTTTGAAGTTTGAAAAAATCGAAGATTCTGAAATTCAGGGATCTACTGATGGAAGTTACAATGTTATTTATGGTTATCTTCAATCATCTGGTTATACAATTGTTTCTCCTCGTTCAACTTTAAGTGTTTATGGATCAACGGTTTATTTGACAGGAGATACACGTGGAAGTTATCTGCAAGAAGATTCAGATACTTTTAAAACCGATGATTTGACAACAACAATTGGAGCAACTGGAATATATAATAGTATGGCAAGAACAGCTCAAATTGAAGATGGAACAGTTATTGAAAGTGATGATTTATTAAATGAAAAGGTAGTGGCTATACTTTCTGGAGCTGCAACTGTTTCTGGAGGGGAATATTCTTATGATACAATGTATACGAATGCGTGGAACATTTCATATGATCAATATGGACTTGGCGAAACTTCACAAATCAATACATCAATTTCATTTTGGATACCAGTTACATCGGCGAAATTATCGATGAGTATAGTTACGGGAACTTTGCTTAAATTGCAAGCAACGAAATCAATGGACGCAACAGCTTTCGAATATGCCGCAACTTATGGGGGAATTAGCTATACAATATCTGCGGGAAAAGGAACTGCAAGATTTATTGATGTTACTACTACTAATTGTATTTTTATGTATGATTCGACTAGTTTTAATGTTACTGCGTCAGATGGATCTTCGACAACATCGTTTGGAGCAATGCTTCAGAGTCCATTGATTATAGAGAGTTGGTTGAACTAATTTTGGGGGAAACTTTGGGAAAAAATTTAATTTTTAGATATTGATGCTGCTCTTTTCAATACAACATTGGCTACAAGTCCTCTCACATTCACAAAATATGGTTCTAATTCAATGAGAACTGTTTTAACACCAACCGATATTAGTTTACCACAAATTTCTACAATTGCTGCGAGTATTTCAATTTCAACATTTCAACCAACAAATTCTTATTCATCTTCATCTGATCTACAATCAGCAATTGATGATGGAGTATTGGTAGAAGTATCTGGTCAAATATTATTCCCATCAAGTTCTTCGATTGATGTCACTGGATATAAATTAACTATTGATTCAAATGCGGCATATTTTACAACAAGTTCCGCAACTGTTGTTATCAATTCACCATCCTATAAAATTGTTTCATTGGCTCTTGGAGGATACGGTATTCAAATTACGGCTGGAACTTATACGGCTGGAACTTTGACACATGTCACGTGAGTTATCCAGAAGAAACTAAAAGACTTTTTGAATTTTTTGCAGGACGGTTATGGAGTTTTCTGATACCCAAAAAATGAGAATTGATGGTGGAATTGTAATTCGAAATGGATCACATGGTTATGTTATTCAAAATGGAGAAATAACAACGGAAGGAGAAGTTAGTGGAACTAAAATAGGTACGAAGCTCTTCCCATTTTTGCTCAAGCCATAAATAAGTTTATTTAGATATTGTTGCTCAAAGTTTGTTGAATCAAGACTCTCAAAAATTGATTGGAACTGTTCTGAACAACAGTCAAACATATTTGGAAGAAAATGGATTGACAATGACAGACTCGGAAATAAATCAGACAGCAACTAGTTTATTATCAATTGCATCGTCTTTGACAAGCTCATTAGTCACTGCGTTGAATAATCCACTTTCTTCTGATTTGGCCAGTAATTTGGCATACGCAACAAATAATTATGATGATCTTTATAATGTTCTACCAAGTGATCCAGATAATATTGTTTATGTTGAAGAAATGACATCTGAAGAATGGGCGAGTTATGTGACATCAATGATGCAGAAAAGTATTGCGAAAAGTCTTGCGACACAACTCGCTTCAACTCTTGACACATTGGAAGATACACTTGCAGCAAGAGCGATTGCGCAGGGAAATCTACCGTATACTTATTCGGTTAGTTTCTAGAGTCTGGATAACAGGAAAAAACGTGTTTTTTTCAGAAACAAGAAGATGGAGCAGGAATGAGTATTTCAATTGATAAAGCATCTAATTTAGTTGATGTTCCACAGACTTGTGATGAATGGATTGTGACACTTCCATCACCGGTTTCTTCTTTGAATAATGCGAATATCACAGACAGCACTTATATTCAAATTGGAATGGTTTGCTATCAAACAAATCCGAGAGCCTATGTTGATAATTTTGATCTTCTAATAACTTCTGGAGCTGTTGAAGCGCATGTTAAAGATGTTAATCAGAATTTGTTGACGTATGTTTTAGCTGAAAATTATTTCTTTTAAGCATGGCTTTCAGAATCAATGACACTTCAAAATCGATAAAAATCAGTGGACGAGCATCGAATGATTCGGCTGAACCAACAATTATGCAACAAAGTACTTTTGAAAGTTATCAGATTTTGGATCTGCACTCATTCCAAACATCGAATTGGAATAATTCTATTCAGATTCAATTTGTGGCCTCTGAAGACTATGTGATTCCAGCAGATGATGATTCGTATATTTTCTCCTCTTATCAAGGATTACCTGGACCTTATGAGTTGGATAATGAGTGGATGTTTAATTTGAAAACTTTGAATGGTAAGTAATCTTGATTGTTTTACAGTAATTTGATCTTTCTTTTCTTTTTCAGTTACCACAACATATTATATTTCTGCGAGTGATTTGTTGAATAGCACTGGTCTATTCTATGTTGGAGTTGGAAAGCGATTAGATACAACAAATTCTTCTTTGGTCGTTGATTATGGAAAATATAAAAATGAGCAATGGTCATTTGACAAAGAAATGGAAATGGATTATTCAATTACTGCTATTTCAAAAGGATGTTATTTTTATAAAACTGAAAGTGATGAATTCAATTCGGAAGGAATGGAACCAGATCAAACAGAGAGTTTTCAACTTGTGAATTGCTCGTCAAATCATTTGACTTTGTTTTCGATTGGAAGTTTTAATCCAACTATTCCAGCTGATTTTACATATACTTATTCGCTTCTTAATGTTGAGGTATTTATTGCGGGAAGGGAAGAGATGTAGAAAAATTTAAATTTTTCAGAAAAACATTCGAGCGATGATGACAGCTATTTTCCTCCTGATTTTGTATTGTTGTATAATGCTAGTTGATATGTTAGCAGAGAGAAAGGATTTATCAAAAGGTCGACTTCGTTTTCTATCCGATAATGAGCCATACGATGGATATATGTATATTATTGTAGTTGAAACTGGATATCGAATGTTTGCAACAACTGACAGTAGTATTTCTTTTAATCTAACTGGTTCAGATGGTGATGAAATATTCCGATCTTTTAAATCTGATGAAGATCGAATTTATGAATATCCTTTTACTTGGGGAACTGCTTCCAGATTTTTAATGACAACTTCTTTGTTAGTTTTATTTTTTTTATATTTGTGAAGAGTTTCTGAAATTTTTCAGCCCGTTGGGAGAACTGGAATATATGAGAGTTTGGATCGAAGATGCAGGTCTAGAACATCGTGAATCCTGGTACTGTAATCGAATAATTGTGAAAGATTTGCAAACCCAAAAGATCACCTATTTCCCGTTTTATAATTGGTTAGGCACAAAAAATGGAGATGGAGAGGTTTGAAAGATCAAAAAAATAAATTCAAAAATGAAATAAAATTTTCCAGACAGAAAGATTGTCACGAGCCGATCCGAAGCGAAGAATGTTTGATGAATCAATGAGTATGCATATGCTTGGCGAAACTATTTCATGGTTTTCGGCTTTTACTGGAGGTGGAAATCGAACACGATCAAGAGTTTGTCGATATGAATATTCAACATCGATTATCTCCGCGTTGACATTGACCAATATGATCAATGTTATTATTTGTAGAACTGTAAGGCTAAAATTAAAGAGTCTTATCATTTCTTAAACTATTTATTTTCAGTGGGCTACAGAAACTGAAGCGACTAGCAAATTCTCGGATTTGACTTTGAGTGGAATTGATGTGAGTTTAAGACTTTCCGAATTTGTTCTCGGAATTTTAGGTTCCAAAAAAATTTCCGGGATCCAATTTTCCAGAACTATTCCGCAAACTTTTTTTTCAGATTGGAATGGGATTTGTTTATGGAATTCTCACAACTTTGATCGCTCTCATCCATATTTTAATCGCCAAAAAATCCCATTCTGGATTCGAGGAAAAGTTCTTGGAAAAATATCGGAAAAAGGACGAAACTTTCAGTGATCCTGAAAAATCCTGGTCGAATTTCGTTGTTTTCATCTCTCGATCAATTTGTATCACATTAATTCTTGCTGGAAATATTGTCATAATTACGGTAACATTTCAGGGAGGAACTTTTGTAGTCAACGAAAAAAAAAATCTTTTCAGCTGGGAATGAGTTTGTCAGCCGACGCTGTTAATTCATTTTTCAATCGATTTTTGATTGGATTAATTCTTTGGGTTTTTGTTTTCGAGCCGATTAAGGGAATTATAATGGCTTTTATTATTATGAAAACAAATGAGAATCATAAAATAGCCAACAAATTGGAGGAGAAATTTTTGCAAATTAAACCACTTGAAGCATTCAAAAGTGAGTTTTTTTGAAAGAGGGGGGAGTTAAGCTAAGTTAAACGGAAAATACTATTAAAAGAGAAGACGATCGATTTGAAATTCTGCACAAAATTATATACAATTTTTATGAAACGTATTTTTTTGGGGTTTAAAGAAACCGAAATAAAAACTTTGAAAATTCAGAAAATCCCTATGGAAGAGCTGAGAAGAACATTGGAAACGAGATAGCAGATGTTACAAAACTTCAAGACACAGAAGATCGAAAAATGCGAGATGAACAATTATTCACAACAATTCGCGATATAATTTGCTTCTTCTTATCACTTTATATAATGGTTGCTCTAACATATTATTGTAGAGATCGACAAGCATTTTATTATCAACAACAAATGAGTGACACTTTGAATATTCCAATGAATCAATATGCGGATGGATCTTTTATGGCAATTCGATCAGCTGATGATTTTTATAGTTGGGCAAATGATTCGCTGTCTGTGGCTTTGCGAGCTACTTGGTATGATGGAAATCCAGCTTATGGAATGAGAGCATATTTGAATGATATGGTATCGAGAAGTATGGGAATCGGAAAAATCAGACAAATTCGAACAAAGAAATCAGCTGAATGTGAAATCGCAAAACAATTTAGACCGTATATTAATCATTGTGGAAAAGAAGTTGATGATCACAACGAGGAAACTACTGAATATATGGCACCTGGGTGGATTGATTATAATGGAAGTGATACATCGGATGTTCAAGATGGTTATGCTTACGAAACACAATCAGAATTGAATAGTGAACTTTTATTAAATTTGTTTCATAAAAAAATAATAAATTTTTCAGCTCAAACAGTATCTGGAATTCTAGCATCTTATAGTGGAGGAGGATATACAATGAGTTTGTCTGGAACAACAAAAGAACTTCAGAGAGCCTTCCAAACTCTTCAAAATAATGGATGGATTGATGAATATACGCGAGCAATTATTATTGAATTTTCACAATATAATGCACAAATCAATTATTTTTCAGTGGTTCAACTTTTGATTGAAATTCCAAGATCTGGAATATATCTGCCGAATTCGTGGGTCGAATCAGTTAGATTGATAAAGAGTGAGGGAGCTGATGGTAGTGTTGTCAAATATTATGAGGTAGCTTTTTAGAATCTCAAACTGAAATTGAGATTCCAAAAAAAATTCAATTTTTTCAGTACATGTATATAATATTCTCATGTTTCCTGTTTTTGAAAGAAATATTCTATTTTATCTATGGAAGATATAAAGCAATCAAAAACACTCCAAAATCAACAGGAATTGTGAAAAAAGTTGGCAACTTTTTCTTCAAAGATTTTTCGCCGTGGAATTTGATGGATTTGATAGTTGGAATTTTAGCGATTGCTTCAGTTGTTGCTTATTTATTGAGACAAGTTTATACGAATCAAGCAATGGAAGAGTTCAATGCGAATAATGGAAATTCATATATAAATCTATCGAAACAACGAAATGTTGAACTTGCTTTCACATATTGTTTGGCTGGCGCAGTATTCTTCACATCTTGTAAAATGATACGAATTTTGAAGTTCAACAGAAGAATTGGTGTATTAGCAGCAACATTGGACAGTGCACTTGGTGCAATTGTTTCATTTGGTGTTGCATTCTTCATATTTTGTTTTGCATTTAATGGAATACTTTATGTATCATTGGGAAATAAGATGAATGGTTATCGGAGTATTATAACGACATTTGAGACAAGTTTGGCTGGAATGCTTGGAAAATTGGATATTACTTCGATACAGGCTGTTAGCGAATTTGGTGAGGTTTTTGAAAATTTTGGCAAATTTTGGATATTCAATTTTTTAGTCAGAACTTACCGAAATTTTAAAATTTCATATTTTTGGGGAATCCCTTCTAACTGTTTTTGACTTTTGCAAATCGATATTTGAAGACAGATATTCCGAAGTTCCAATACCTTTATTTCAGCATCGGTGGTTGAGATGTTCTTCATGATGATTGGTTCAAAACTCCTACTCCAATTATATGTAACAATTATCATGTTCGAATTTGAAGAAATCAGAAATGATAGTGAAAGACAAACAAATGATTATGAAATCCTGGATCATATTCGTTACAAAACAAAAAGACGATTAGGATTGATTCAACCAAAAGATTCAAATCCAGTTTCAATTCAAGATACTCAAAAAGATTTCAGATTGTTGAATTCAGCCGTTGCAAAGGTTTCTATTTCTATTTTTTCTTGAATTTTATTTAATAATTTTTTTTCAAAGGTAAACCTTCTACATCATCGTGTCAATAGAATTGTTCAAGAAAAAGATCAATACGAAACTACAGTACCCGTCAAATATTGTGTGATTTTTGATCCAACAGATGCAATCGATAAGAAAAGAGTTGAAGGATACAGTGAAAAACTTCGTTTGAAAGATCTCAAAAATAATTAATTGGTAAAGGACCAATAAATATTTATGTTAACAACGTGACCTGTTTTTTATACCGTGAACTGGAAAAAAAAAGAAATTTGCTCATTTCTATCTTGGTTATTTATAAAAACTAAAATCGAATAATAATGTGTAAAAGTAAAAAAATCTAGCAAAAACTCAAAAACTCAACCCGACAAAAAGCCTGAAGAAGTCAAGGAAAATCATGGATCGAAAAAACGGTTGCTGGCACCGGATCCTCTTCTTGATTTGGAGAAATATTCACCAAAAACCGGAAAAATCCTACGAATTATTGGACACATTTTATTTTTCATATTTCTAGTTGTTCTCTTCATATCGTGTACACCACTATTCGAATCAGTTTTGTTTCCAGAAACATTTTTATCGAAATTTGATGCGTTATGTGAGTTGAAACATCTAACAATAACATTTAATTATGAAATGGGGGAATACTTTCAGTGTGGCACAAACAACCAGAATCAAATGTCGATTTAGTTCCGTATTTGGATGTTAATCTTCATTATGATGATGTTGTTTTCAATTTAAAGTGAGTGAATTTCAGAGAACTTTCAGAAAAACATCAATTTTTCTTGAAGTTCAACTTATTTTTTCATAGACTCTACAAAACTAACCAAACTCCTCTTCACAAAATTCAACAAATCATATTTTACATCGATACTGGAGAAATACCTCATACAAGTTCTGATTTCGTTTTATGTAGACCATCGTGTAAGTCCCCCACAGTTTTTTCTCAATTACAATCAACCCTCAAATTTTCAGCCAATATTCAACCATCGTTTCAAAATTATGTGAAAATCGTGAAGTTATGCTATATTTACATTCGTCAAATAGTTTGGAAAGCGAAAATAAAAGGATACGGTCGTGGAATTGGAGCAAAGTAAGAAGAGTGAAGAATTTTAGCTAATGTATGTAAATAATTATTTTATTTTTCAGTATTCTAATATCGGCAGCGAATTCACTTTGGAATGAACATTGTTATTCATTTGATAGAATCATAATTAACGAACCTATAATTGAAATAGAAAAAGTGGTCAGAGATAAATTGTATTATTTTCCATTTGTCAATATAATTGAGCAAAATATAATTCGAACTTTGCGATTTCAAAAATATCAATTTATCAGTGAAGCTAAACAAATCAATTCGAAAATTGATGATGTTAGTAGATCTTCGGAAGATTCGCATTATTTGGAACAACAATTAAAACCATATGGAAAATATACAAGAATTGAGCATTTCGATTTCGGGTAACTTTGAGAAAATTTTTATTTTAGCATAACAATCTGTATTTTTTGCAGTTCGAAAGATCAAAATACGAAAATAGATGAATGGTTGAGTTCGAGATATAAAAACGAAAAACAGTGTATGAAAAAGAAATCAGTGAAAAATATCGATCCCAAATTATTCTGACTCGTAACGTGACCTTTTTTTGTTGAATAAATAAAAAAATCCACGAATAAATTGATTTATTTCTAATTTCTCCACAATTCATAATGATGATTAATAATAAAATTCTCTTATTGATTCTTGCGACTTTCATGTATGTGAAACTTTTCGGATCTTACCCGAAATCGAAAAAATCAAATATTTCAGCGTTCAAACATTATCGAAATGTTTTACAAATAAAGAGACAAAATCGTGTTTATCATCAGATGTATGTTATTCTCATTATTATATTCATCAAGAAGGATTTTTGGAAGGATTTGATTGTAATTCAACATCTTCTTTACCACAATCTGATTGTATTCGAATTCTTCAAAATTCATCGATGGGAACATCGCTTTGTGTAATTCAAAGTTAGTTTTTTTTTAAATATTCTTGATCATCGGAAAATTAAAAAAGAACCCTTAAAATTCCAGACGAAAACGAGCGACATTGTTGTTGTCTCTCAACTGAATCTGAATCAATATGTGCAGCGGAAAATCGGAAAACCGAAGAATTTTTCGATTTATGGAATGGTCTTCAAGTTCTATATTTCTTTATGGCCATTTTAATGACTTCGCTAGTTGCATCTTTGGCTCACACGTTTTACGATTATGCATTTAATAAGTGGAGCAAAGATAATTCAGATTTCAGTGAGCACAACACAATTTATGCTCTTTTTATTTCAAGGGCAAGTTTTTCTAGATATCTAACAGGTAGACTAAAATGGAACGTTTTTTCAGATCACAATTTTATTTGTTATCTCTGTATTATTGGATATTCCATTCCAAATGGATTGTTCAGCTCATGAAAATGGTCGATTCTTCAATCCGCGCACATTTCTCTACACAAAATTCTCGGATAATATGCTGAATTCAGTATATTTCACGATTAATTTCGTTTTTTGTTACTTCGAATATGGATTATGGAAAAAATATGTGAGTCAGCCCCCCCCCCAAAAAATATTAAATCAACCAAAAAACCTATCAGACATCGTCGAAAAAAATCAACAGAACAGCTTCAATCACAATAAGTCTATTCATATTTCTCACAATTCCATTAATTATAATTCAACCGATTCGAGAAACCTATCAACTATTGGAAAAGGAAAATGAAGGAGGTTATTGTAAATTGGGATATGTTATGCATATTCTAAACTTCTGTCATTTTCTATATATTTTATACGATATAATTGTTCTTGTGCATATTCGTGAAATATTCAAATTGGATAAGGAATTGATGATTGAATCGGACATAATTGAAGAAGTTATCGAGAATAATTTGTTATCTGTGGAAAAAGCAGCATCTACAGTTGAAACTAGTCAAGTTTCAACAGAAAATATACTGGAATTTGAGCCAAGGGTGATTTTTGGATACAAAAAAAAATTCAATAATAAAAAAAACATATTTCAGCCCTTTGATGTTTCCCGAAATTCAAAATCAATTCTAAAAATAAAAAGTAACAGTAAATTTCAATGGATTGCACTACGAGCACTTCTTTCAACTACGGGATTTTATAAAATTCATCCAACGAAATTTCTCATTCCGCCTGGCAGAGAAATATCGGTCAGTTATCATTTCAAGATTTCAAAAAATATTTTAAACCTACAATTTACAGATCGAAGTCTCGCAAATTTCTCAAAACGAAAAGAATGAGGCAGCTTACCAGCACAACATTTTAATCGAATGGTTTTTCATTGGCTCAGTTGCGCCGGCAATTGATGTTAACAAATTCTGGATTCGGCCATATATTGTTCCACAGTAAGTGCTCCCCTAACATTTTTCCTTTCAAATTTTCACTGTTTCAGATCAAATTGGAACATTTTCGTATTACCAATTTATTTGGAATCAGCAACTTGAATTTATTTATGTCTAAAACTTATCACAATAAAATTTGGCACTTGAGAACTCGTTATCTGAAATTTAATCAGATTCAGTTTTAAATTTAAAACATATTAAAAAAAATAAAAATAAAATTAAGCTTGATACCTGAATAAAAGATCATGCATAACAGAATCACACGACACAACATCGAAAAAAGTTATCATAATATAAGAAGATGTCATCGCGTGAACTTGTTCCTGAAATTATTGAAAATTAGAAGTGAATTCAAAATAAAAAAAAGAAATTTGATTACCATAATATAACTCATACTTAATAATAATTGTCCAACTCGAATTGCTGGATCTTCATCTCCTCGTTCTTCAACAATTCGATGAAGAGCTCGAACAATTTCATCTTTTTGTCTTGCACAAATCGATCGACCATCATCCATCAATTTATAATTACTTACTTGCCAAATAGTCAACGCTTTTAGCAATACAAATTCTTCGAATGAGACTTCTAATTTTGAAAATGGAACTGCCATTTCGAAATATTGTTGCAGTTTTAATGGCATTATTGTTCTAAAAATTTTTCATTATCGTTTTAAAAATGTTTCCAAATCGTACTTGTATTTTGTATGCTCTTCATCATTCTCGAATTGTTGTTCAGCATTTGGTTCATCTCCACTTATTGGCTTCGGATTCATTTTGATAAAATCTCCATTGAAAAGAACAAGAAAATCTTCGTCGATTCCAGTTCTGAAATTAATATAAGTTTTTTTTTAATTTGAAAAAAATCCAAACCTATAAGTATAATATGCACTTGAGATCATTGAATCAACAGCACAAGCCATTCGATAAAACGCATATTTGTCGGATTTTGAAAGACGCGAAAATTCGGGAAATTGTGAGACAAAGTCGAGAATCATGATGAAATCGTGTTTGACGAATCCGCAAAATGTTCGAAAGTTGAAGGGTTTCAAATCGCATCGTTGGTAGGGCTGAATATGATTGTAAATTATATTTTTGGGTTTCTAGGCCACCAAAATTAGGTGTTCGGCTTCCTAGGCCACCAGAATCAAACTTTTGGGTTTCTAGTCCATCTCAAAAGTTTCTAGGCCCCCAAAATCAACACTTAGCGTTTCTAGGCCCCCAAAATCATAATTTTGGGTTTCTAGGCCATTTTGAGGGTTTCTAGGCCTTCAAAATCATATTTTTGGGTTTCTAGGCCACCACAAGAATTTCTAGGCCACCAGAATCATGATTTTGGGTTTCTAGGTCATCTCAAAGGTTTCTAAGCCTCCAAAATCACATTTTCGGGTTTCTAGGCAATCTCAAGGGTTTCTAGGCCATCTTGAGGGTTTATAGGCCTCAAAAATCACATTTTTGGGTTTCTGGGCCATCTCAAAGATTTCTAGGCCACCAAAATCACATTGTTTGGTTTCTAGGCCATCTCAAAAGTTCAAAAGTTTCTAGGCCACCAAAATAAAACTGTAGGGATTCTAGGCCACCACAAGGATTTCTAGGCCATCGGTATCATGATTTGTGTATCTAGGCTTCCAGATGCATATTTTTTGGAAAATAATGTCAGGCAAAAAATTAGGTGAAAGTTATTCTCCAGAAAAATTCCAGAAATTCAATTTTTCAACTGAAAAAAAACTCACACAATCACAATAAACATCAAAAATGTCTCCAATTTTCGTATTCGTATACATAATTCTCCTTCGATCATTCAACGATGTTTCACTTCTCACATAACTATCCAAAAGTTCGAAAACTTTCGAATCATCTAATAATTTTCTATCGACATACGGTGATTGAATATATTGGACACTTGGATTATAACTTGAAGTGCTCGCTTGAAGTGGATCAATTGGAGGAACTGAAGTCACAACCGGAACCATATTTGGTATAAATATATTTGCTGGTTGAGAATAATCAATTATTGTTGTGATTGTTGTTTGTTGTGGAGATGGTTCACGTGTGAAAGTCGACTCAACTTTTATATTGATTTCTGGCTCACTTTTTGGGCTATCTGAAAAAATCGATATTTGGAAAAGTTTTCTCTACGAGAAAACTTACCTTTATTAAGTTTTCTTTTCAAATAACTATGTACACATTCATCATATTTTGCTGATGGATTGTTTCGAACCAATCCACGTGATCTTCTTTTTGCAACTCGAATTTCTTCTTTTTTCGCTTGGACAGCTGAAAAATGGAATTCTTCAACTCTCCCAATAAAAACTTATTTATTTACATTCAGGTTTCATTCCAGCAGTTAGACATTTTCCAAATCTACAATGTCTACATAACATTCGTAATTCGTGATGAATTTTACAAGTTTTGTATTCATCTCGACTTCCAATACATTCATAAGTCATTGACATTGAGACCGTACGACGGAAAAATGCAGCACATGCCTGGAAAAAAAATCTTTTTGAAAAAAGCTCCTGGGGACTCAAGGGGATCCCCCCTAAAAAATCAACATACTTTACAACTTCTTCCTCCAAAATGCAGTGTATTAGCAGTGGGTGAATCGCAAACATGACAACAAAGACTGGAATTTTTCGAAGTTGTCGGTTTATCTTCTTCCATTCGGGAATCTCTCAAATCTTCTTCTTTTTCTACTCGATTCTTATCTTCTCTCGATCTTTCAATATCCCTAAACTCATCTGGATGATAAAAATAGTCATACAATTCCATGAGACAAATGATTTTTGAGGTATTTAATGAGTGAAGGACAAGACAAGATAACAGTAAAATGTTGAGAATTAGAAAGTTAGAAAGAAAGGGAAAAAGAGAGAAGATAAGGCGAAAAAGGAATTGATTATTGATGGAAACAAATTTGAGGGTAATGTTAAGAGATAAGAGATTCTGAGACACAACAAATTATCATCAAAAAATACATTTAGGATGATTTTTGAAGAAAATAATCATTAGAATTTTGTGTTTTGATTGAGAACTTATTTTTCATAGAACAAATTCCAGTGTGAAATTTTTTTAAAAATAGAAACAGCGCTGAATTGAGAGAATCTAGACAATAAAGTTCATTTTCTGTCTAACCTCTCCTAATTTTACAGATTTCAAAATAAGTTCGGAAATCTAACCGAAATAAACTACAAAAAATCACTCCAGCCAAAATTTAAAAATCTTTACTTTTATTATACAAAATATACAAGAAGTGAGAATTTATGCACATAAAGTAAGTGAGAATAAATCAATTTGAGGAAGAAAAAAGGAAAGGAAAAAAAACTATCTCCAGAGTGAGCAAGTTTTTTGCTTATCACAAGCCAAAAGTCCACGGCCAGATTGATTCCATGACAACGAAAGAATTGAGTTTCCGCTGAAAAAATAATGAGACTAGATTAATTCGCAAATAGACAAGACTAGAGAATTATAATGGGGCTATTCAAGTTATTTTCACAGCGCTGAGATAACAGGAGAAAACCTATTCAGGTAGGCTGAGAAAATACGAAAAAAGTGAAGAAAATGTATTTTCTCCGCATTTCTCCTGTTTTCTCAGCGTGTTGAGAAAATACTTGAATAGCCCCATAATATTTTTGAATAGAAAAAAATCTATTGAAAAATATAAAGATCTTTTTTTTGAAAATGGCTTTGTTTAATTTAAAAATATTTTTTTAATAAATAAAAATTTGATTAGAAATTTCGAAACTGTACAAATTTTAATTGTTAAAAATTTTTTTTTCAAATTTTGTTTTCAGATTTTTCTAAAATTTGCTATAAATTCCTGAGAATCAATAAATTTTAGGATTTTTGAATTTTCAGAAAAATAAGATTTTTAAACATCTGAGGATAGGAAAAACGGGGTCAAATTTTTTTCCAGATGAAAAAATTAGAAAAAAAAAATTATTCTTGAGAAGGTTACTGGATTTTTGAAATCAAACTCACTCAGGTGCTCTTGGTGCTCGCAGAACTTTTTCCAATCTTGTTGTTTTCGTATTCCATATGAAAATTGAACCATTAGCTGCTCCAGATGCAATATAATCACCAGTTGACGAAAATATCGCACGATTATTATCACAAGCTGTTCGATAATTCTCCGCTGAATATGTGTGAACTGTGAAATATGTTCGAATATCGATCACATGAAGTGTATCATCCCGACAGGATGCAAGTAAATGAGATCCATCAATTGCAATATCCAACGATGTTATTTTTTGATCAAGTTCCAGAATTTTTGTAGGATCATTTTGTCGAGAATCCCAAAACCGCAGTTTTTTATCGAAATGACCAGAAGCAAATGAAGAATGACAGCCTCCACATTTCGCAATAATATCATAAACAATCGAACCAACCATGCAAGTCTTCAAACAACGCAAACTAGCAACATCCCATAATTTAATAGTTCTATCAGATGAACCAGAAACAACATTATGTGTTTGATGAAGACGTGCAGAAGATACTTTATCAGTGTGTCCACTGAAAGTTGCAAGAAGTCTTTGACTATCAACATTCCAAAGTCGACAAGTTTTATCATTGCTTGCAGCTAGACAAACTCTTCTTTCTGGTTCATAATCTAATCGAGTTACAGATCCATTACTTCCAATTAGTGAAGCTATTTTTGTAGCTCCAGATTTATTCGGAGTCAAACTCCAAATCCGAACTTTATTATCATTTCCAGCTGTAGCAAATGTATCTTCTGTGAACCACTCAATATCATTAACATCTCCATCGTGAGCTGATATTCGAAATTTCTGGGTGTTTGGAATAACATCAGTCATCATAAATTCATCCGATGTTTCGGGAGAATTGCCAAATGCAGAGCTCGCTCTTTCGTCATAGCTTATATCCTAAAAATAAATAACATGAAATTCAGAATTACTTGGAAAAATATTAAACCTGTGCTGCTTTTGCTATTTGTTCCATTAGTAATTTTTGAGCTCGTTCTTCTTGTAAAGCAATTTCAGCATTCATAAATTCGGCTCTTTTCTCTTGTAATTCCCGTATTTTATCGATTAATTGTACCCGTTCCATCTCTAATTGTGTTTTTTTCTCCGATAATTCTTGACAAGCATTGGCTAATGCAACTCGTTCAACTGTAACCACATTATTATCATCTTTCAATTGTACCATATCATTTTCCAATCTTTCAATGTTTTCAGCAAGCTTTTCGGCCAGTTTATCAGCTTGTTCTTTTTGTGACTGCATTTGAGCATATTTCGATTCGAGATCGGCAAACTTTCGATTGGAATTGATTAAATCTTGATCATTCTTATTCTTCATACGATAAACAGTTGCAACTTCTTCCTTGAGTGCGGCAATTTGATCAGCACCACTGACCGATTGCATTTTCTTATTCCTTTTCACTTGTTCAGCCATAGTTGCATAATGCCGAAACATTGTTTGAATTGGCTTTTGCTGCTGCTCTCGAGCATCTAATTGATTTAATATATCTAACCGGTAAGAAGAAGATGGCTCCATTATTCTGAAAACATTATTTCTTTGGTTTAACGTAAAAATGTGAAGGTAAAAGTACAAAAACCAAGAAGTATATCGAATTTCAGATATTTAAGAATCTAATGATCTTTTTTCACAATATTAAAACTAAAAATTTCTTGTGTTTACCCGCGTTTTGCAAAAAAACAGAAAAATAAAAAGCGAAAAATAAAAGCAGCTGACTGCAGCTGTCAAATCATCAAATGCGCCCCAGCGAACAAAGGAGGAAGTTTGAAATTTATTTTTTTTTGTTTGGTGTTTGCGATTTTTCATTTTTGTACTTAGTTCAGGGGATTTATCTTAGAAAACTCAAATCAATAAAATTCTTTTTATTATTTATCTTTCTAAAAAAATTCGTGTTGTTTCTTCTTTTATGCTCGTTTTTCTTCATCCACTCTCATAATATAAAAAATCATTCATTCACAAAATTACTATTCACACGAATTTGGAGACCTCTTCTTTCACTGTTTCTGAATTTTTCGAAGTTTTTTGATTTCTATCGATTTTGGCGTCTTTTTGAATCCAATTTCATTGAACAATCCACTCAGCACTTTTTCGATTTGCTCTGTAAAACATGGTTTTTGCTGATAACTTTAGACAATCTTACCATTAGAGTTGTTTACCATACATGAGTCGCCGAATCTTCTGAGAAGATTTACCAATTCTTCACATGTATACAAGTCTGTGATGACAATGGAATTTTGTCGCATAAACTGTTTTGTGTCAGGTTTAAAATGATTGAAATTCATTAAGTGAGCATTTATTGAGTACTGTCTAAACAAAAAACCTTCCAAATTTACAAATTTTTGACCCAAAAAAAAGTTGATCAAAAAAATATAATTTTGTTTAGACAGTAAAAAACTCAAAGCAAAATTATGAAATAAAAAAAATCAACAATTTGACCTAGCGATAAAAAATAAAAAAATATCAAAAATTTTGACGTGATAGCCTCTATGTGTCAATATAAAAAGGAACGGTGATGAGCCTCCAGTTTTTATTCCTAATTAGTTTGAGTTCGGTGAATTTCGAATATAGTATATCAATGGATGGATCTCAAAGAAGCGCGAGAAAGAAGAAGGAAAAAAAGAAGAAAGAGAAAGAGGAGAAGGAAAATTTGAGTGCAAGACTGAAAAGAACATTGAATAAAAGTAAAAGAAAGAAGAAGGAGAAAAAGGTGAAAGATGGTTCGATTCGAGCTGTGAAAAAGAAGAAAAGTCCAACTGTAAGTGAAATATAAAATAAATCCAATGAGCTAATTCAGCATTTTTCAGAATGTTCCTACTAGACCACCAACTAAAGATAAACTGACTGCGCAAGAATTGAAAGATCCGAGAAACGTTGACATTTTTATGAATGACGTGGGAGATGATGATGTCAAAAGAGCAATGAAACAATACAAACAAAGAAAAACATATGTTAATCCGACACCGTTTACTGAAAAAGAAGAATTGATTTTGGATCGTGTTGACAAGAAGCAATCGAAAATGATGATTCCGACTTTGAATTCATCGAAATCTGAACTCAGCGAATCTTTGAAAAGTAAGAATACACCAGTGGATTGCAAACAATCTGAAGATAATATGAATAAGAAAGGGAATAAGAAAGCTGCAGAACAAACTGAAAGACAAGAACCAACTATGGTCGAAAAGAATAATGAAACATCAAAACATGAAGGACCAATGGGAAATCGCGCGGACAATTTGTACTTGCCGAATGGCAAATTTTTCTGGCAGGAAGTTTTGGTGCCAAATGATGATGATTTGAAAGATGTTGAAGCTGTTTTCTCAATTGGTAGTGAGCACATCGAAATGTATTATGAAAGAAAATTGCGCTTGATTAGTCCACCAGAATCAACGTATTTAATTATTAAAAATTATTTTTTTTACAAAAACTGGAATTTTTTACAGAGTCGTCTTGGATCAATGGGAAATTCTGAAAGTTCTTATGAAAAGAGACAGAATTTTCTTCACCCCCGAGTTAATTTTCAGTAACACACTTCGAAGTGTAATTAGTGCCAATCCGAAGGAAGAGCTCAAACAACAAGTTCAAGCACAATCATTGGAAAATGACACTCTTCGTCAAACGCAATGTGATGATACTCATCCTCTTATATTTCTTGATTTTCCAACTCAAGGATTTACCTATGAGGTGGGGGTTTTTTTCAGAGTAGTGTATGGTTGAAATGTAATTTTTTCAGAAAAGCGATCCAATTGGTTCGAGTAGTAAGAGAATGATGGTATCTAAACAAGAGCTCAATTGTCAACAAGTAAAAACTGTGCGCGTTTCTCGATAATAAACTTTTCCTATTCTCGGAGGTTTTGGAACATTCTGACAAATAGAAAAACTTGGTTGGAATTTTTTTAAGGGGTCTGTGATTTCAAGAATAATTTTGGAATATTTTTTTGAAATCCAGGCCCATTTTCTCAACACTAGCAAACTCAGGGCCCATTTTGGAAACTTATTTCCTATACTTTTCCAATATTTTATTAGTATTTCTTAATCTCATCCTTATTTCTCTCTTTCTCTCTTTCTCCCCTCAAATATGTCTTTTTCCATAAGTAAAAAGAGCAATTAAATATGCAAAAAATAGATTGAAGATGACACACTCACAGAAAAATAATAAGAAGGGCGAGAAAATATTAATTTTAACCGGATTACTGTAGGCCGGCATGCCTCAACTTAATCCAATAGCTCCGCCACTACAGTAATCCGATGGAAAATGGGAGGCCTTCTCTAAAAAGCTCTCACGATTATTATTCATTCATTTTTCAGTGTTTACTTTTCTTTTGGATGAGTTTTTGAGATTTATTTTCTAGAAGAGATGTTCAACCGACGGCTTCTGATGTGTAAATCTGAAGATGAATACAATCGAGCTTCTCAATGTGGAGAAGAAGAAGAAGAAGAGGAAGAAGAAGATGATGATGAGGATTATGAGGATGAAGAAGAGGATCTGAATCCACCACCGCCACAGCAAAGAGTTTCAACAAATGTTCCAACAGTTGCGCAAAATCAACCTCCTCAACAATTTGTGAGTTCTGAAAAGAGCGTGACTTTATTCGAAAAATGAAACTGGAGCTTGTGATCTTTTAGATTTTTTTAAATTCAATGTTTATCCCGGTTTTAGCTTGACCTCTACATGTTTTTTTCAATTTTTTTTTCAATTTCCAAAAATTTGAATTTCAAAATTTGAGCTTTCTAAAAACTTGCCCCAATTTTCAGCCCAGATTCCGATGTATCCTATAACAATCTAAAGATCATTACAGTATGAAAGTGTTCGAACATTTGTTCCATCTCACATGCACATTTCTTGCCATTATGATATCCCGTATCCACCACATATTATTCAACCACCTGTTTTCACCTATTCTCAACAGCCATTTTTTTCCGGACAATCGAATGATGAGGCTCTACAAGTTCAACATCAATCCTCGCAATATTGTCAAAATTTGTTGAAAAATGAAGGAAAACCAGACAGAGCTCCATTTTTATTCTTCAACAATGATCAGCAGGAGATTGTTGGTGATATTTATTGCACAGTTCCGGGGCGAACTTCTCTTCTGAGTTCAACCACAAAATATCGGGTTACTGTGGCGGAAATTCAGCGAAGAATTTCACCGCCAGAATGTTTGAATGCTTCGCTGTTGGGTGGCATTTTGAGAAAAGCAAAATCTAAAGATGGCGGAAAAACATTGAGAGATTCCCTGAAAAAATTGGGATTAACTTTGCCGGCGGGAAGGAGAAAACAAGCAAATGTAACTGCGTGGACGGCATTGGTTGAAGGTGGAATGAATAAATTCTTGATGTAAAATATAAAAAATTTATTTTTTTTTGCAGAGGAAGCCATTCATATGGCGAAAGATTTCTCGACAGTTTGTGAAAAAGAGTTTCATTCAAGAGAAATTGGAATTTATTTAACAAAAACTGGACTTGGAATTGATCCAGATGTTGTAAAACGTCGAAATGCGTTGGAAAATAGTCGGAAAGTTATAAGTGAACTGACTGATTTGCTATCGTGTGATCGGACACCATTGACACCATATTTTCCGAGGAATATGGTTCCATTGGATCCTGGAGTTCAACAACATTTGTCACATTTTACGTTGGTGAGTTGGAGAGGGAATTGTAGGTTTAAGAGCTGATACTGATTGGAGATTTTGTATATCTCTAGACGCTGCTCCTTGACATTTGAACGTTATAGGTACGGCTACTTGATAACTACTGTAGTCTTTCTAGGATCGGTTACTTGGCATAGATGTTCTCAAGGCGTGACTCCTTGTGAGAGTGAATCTCTAGGCGCTGATTCTTGGCTATTGAACTTCCTAGGCTACTTGGCAACCAAAGCTCGCCTGCTTTCCATAAAAGCTTCCAAGGCAAAACTACTATAAATCCTTATCAGGGTGAATCTCTAGGCGCCGGTTCGAGACAATCGAATTCTTTATGCGTGGCTACTTCAAAAATATGATTTCTAGGCGTCTCGAGAACATTTTAAATTTTTTTCCAAGTTGCTACGTCAGAGTTTGCGTTTTTATTAAAAAGAGAAGAATATTTTCCAATTTTCATCAAGTTTTTTTTCGCAGCTACAGTAATCCAGCCATTCACAATTTTTTCTTTCTAGATGACTCATGGATTTGGAAACGTTGCAATGGGAGCAGTTCTCGAATCAGTTAAACTAATGATTGATGAAAGTATCAAATATATCGACAGATGTTGTCAACAACAACAATGGAGATGATCACAGAGTTAAAAAATTATCAAATAATTTATTCATTCATTTTATTAGAGAGAGATCTGTGACACAGTATTTATATTTTGAACATTTTTTTGCAAAAATAAAAAAGACAACATTTTTCTTTAAAAAAAAGGTTTTCGTTTCCTAACAAAACTACTATAAATGTGTTTCTTGTGCATCTGAACTCAACACAATTCGAAGCGTTTCTGATATTCGACGGGATTTATGATAAGTTGGCGGGTTGGCGTTGTTTGAAGTTGAAGCTGTTGTTGTGCTTAAAAAGTTTGGTTTTCAAGAATAATCCTTTTCAGAAGTAGCTAAGGTTCTAAGAAAACTAACATGATTGGTTGAAAAAGTTCGACAGCTTCTCGATCAGTAATGGAAGGAAAAGCGTGATCAAGAATCAAGAGACATTCATCGGTATTGCAAACATCGCTGACACTTTGAACTTGTTCTTGTTGACGAGATACTCGGAATGTTCCCTCTTCGGCATTCGAAACATCTGAAGAAAATTGATTTGAGTTAAAATTAAAATTCTATATTAATTGAACAGGAAAAACTAACAATCAAGGAATCTCCAATTTTTGTCAGGTTCATAGGGAAGTGAATTATGCTCAACTAACAAACGTTGAATAAGAACTCTTGCTGAATCAAGTTCAGCTTCCGATTCAATATTAACAATTCCAATTTCATAAGCAGTATCCTTTAGACGCTCAAAACAATCCTTATAAGTATCATAATCAGCTCTTCCAACAACAATAACTGGTAATTGAATAATAAGCGAAGTTGATTGAATCAATGAATCTCGATGTCCTCTTGTATTTCTTCTCATCAAATTCGGTGTGCAAGGCGTCTTCTTCTCACGTTTCAACATTGGAACCTTACTATGAAACCCGAGTGATATAACAGACGGTGCAAGAAGACATGGTTCACCATCGACTTGCATCGGAATCGCTTTACTCGTTACTACCCGTACTCTTGAGCATTGTGCAATTCGTTCGCCTTTTCCTCCCATTTGAAGAGCTGCTAGGGTGGCTGTGGTGAAGCCGAGAACTTCAACTTTTCCATCACAACAACTTGTTTTTGCGTCAGATGATTCGCCCCATGGAATTGTTCCACCAGCATAATAGGTTATATTGTGGAATAAAATACAATGTAATTTTAATTCTTTGATTCTTGGAGTTACATCAACTCCATCACATTCCAAACTGATATAATCAGATAAATCTTTCCAACTTCTTTTGAACAAATCAATTGTTCCGAGGCCACCATAAGCTATTCGATTTTTCAATCGACTATTCAACATCTGCGGGTTGGCACCTGCAATAAATTTTTTAAATAGAAATCTGGTCCGATTCAAAAGAAAAAACCAACTTCTAGAATGATGAAACTGCAAAGCAACATGTGCATCAGCTCCAATCGAAAAATAATTATTCATAACAGTCAAAGGCAAAGCAGATTGTAAACTATCATCTTCATCAGCTTCCATCATACAATGTGTATTTGGCTCTACAGTAATCCTCCATCTATCCAAATGTGTTACAGTAGTCTCATGAAGAATTGCTTGTAATAATTGACTCATTGGTTCATCAGTGAATTGTCCACCCCAACCCATACATCTTGCTAAATCATTGCCAGTTCCAAGTGGCATTATAGCCATTGGTGGATAAGTTGGCCAATTTAGCTGGAAGATTTTATTTCATAAAAAAACACATGGGCTTCTATAAGCTTACATTATCCATTGTCGACAAAACCCATCCAACAGTTCCATCTCCACCACAAACAAGAATTCGCAATTGTGTCACAACTTTTCGAAACATCTCCAAACCAAATTTAGGTCCCTTCAAACTTGTGATATCAAATACTTGTCGCGGATTTAATAACCAACATAATGTATGCAAAGCTTTTGCCCCCTTATTGCCCCCGGATTTCGGATTAACAAAAACCAAAAGTGGTTGAGAAGGACCGGCACTCCACAAATCGGTGGGTTTCACAACAAATTGTCTCGACGCTTTTTTGTGTTTTCCATTGTTGCGGTGTCTATGATTACTTCTTTTTCGGTTGGCTAATCGAAGAATCCAAGTTGGCGGAACAATCATTTCTTTCAAATTTCCACGACAGCATCTGAATTCAAGATAGTTTCAGAGTTTTTCAGACGCTGGTCCCGAACATACCTTTCTTCCAACTTTTCCCTCACAAAACAATTTTTGAGATGATAAGATTCTTTGCACCAAGAACATGCCACTGCAATTGTTTCCTTCTTCTCTTTTCCTTGGAAAAACATCTTCTGTTGGAATGATTTTCCACAAGTATTGCATCTTCCTTCGTGACGCCACTGCAAAAAAAAGTACTGTACCGTATTTTTCTAAATAGAAAATATTACCTTATGAACCCAATGATGCGATGTTAATCCATCTTGAGTTTCTTTCGACGACGGTTTTCGAGCGGCGTAATCGCGGAACGTCGTTTTGCAGCATAGGTTGAGTTTGGCGAGAAGGGGAAAACATGCGACGTGTGCAACAATATGACATGCAGCACATCGTCGTTTTTCTCCCTGTCTTCGACAATCTTTTTCTCCGACATAACATTCAGAATCAGCGGATGCTGATGAACCGGAAGAAGATGGGAGCCAGATATGTTCACCTGCCAGAATCTGGAAGAGTTTTTGATTTGAAAAATAAATAAATTGGATCACTATCTGAACTTCTAAAGTAAGTCTGCTTCAAAACCAAATTTCTACCAGGCGTCGGGAACCTTGAGACCAGGTTCCCCCGTCACGCCTCTATCCTACTAACCGCAGTCCACACCTCTTCTTCAATCCAATATCGACTGCTCCGATGTTTATTCAAAGTACTTGTACTCTCTTGATCAGCTGCACTTCGTCGAACAACAGGACTTTTTGCCAAAGCTTTTCTGAAAAAAATAATTAATCATGTTTTTTTTCATATCATGTGAATAATGATGTTATCAGCGGAAATAAAAAAAATGTTGCTTTTTTGCGCGCGAATGTACTTTTATGTATATGTTTTTCTTGCCTGAACAATTCTGATAAATGTTCTATTCGACTGGGTCTTCTAAGCATACTATCTGCTGTTGCTGTCGGATCATGACTTTTTGATCTAAACGTTCTAACAGATTCAGCTGGTGTCGGAGGTTCAAAATCATTATCTGAAGCTCCATCTGAATCTCCAGATGAAACAGATAATAATTCAATGTCTCTTCGTAACGTGGACAAATCGACGGAATTTGATCGAGGAGGAGAAGCTGAATCGGGATAAGGAGAAAGAAGCGAGGGAGGTTGTAATCGAAGTGGAGAAGGCGAGGGAGGTGTTACATCTATTGAACCACTGGGACTATCAAATGTTATTTCATTTCCATTTCGAAGTAATCGAGGAGATGTGCAAGATGATGAGCAAGGAGAACTGGAAAAAATATGTTAGAGAGGAAGAGAGAGAGAGAGAGAGATTAGAGAAATTAAGAGAATTACGATTAATTTTGATATTGAATATGTATGTGTACTAACTAAACTAATCCATTACATCTTATCATGAAATATTTGTGGATGATGAAATACTTTGGATTTAGCCTAATTCGGTGATCTGGGTAAAACATTTTGACGTTTTGGAAAATGAAAAAAATAAGATCACATGAGTACAGTAACCTTAAATACTATTAAAAACTGAAATTAAATTATGGGTTCTTCTATATAATTATAGAAATTGAGGTGGGCGATTTTGAGAAATGATGTTTTTTTTTTTGAAAAAAAATGAACTATAAGATTTTTTTTGAATTAGGAAATTATTATTTAAGTTTAAAAAAATATTTTCCAAGAAAAAATCACTGACCTTCCTTCAGATGTTTGAAGCGAATTACCAAATTCAGAACTCGTATATTTATCAACACTTTGATGATCCTCTTCATCTGAACTGATACTTGAGACAACAATATCTGGAGTTGTTCCTCGATGATGTGAAGATATTGTATGTCGATGATGTGGCAGATTATTTGAGGAAGATGTCGATGGCGACGAATCATCTCTCCAGCCACTTCGACCATTTCCCAGCCGCCTGGCGAGTCGCATGACAGCAGTTTCAATTTCAGACTGGAACATAAGAAAATTTGAGAATGAAATGAAATACACACTATATTTAATTCGAAACCTTGATCAATACAACTAAATTATGGGGTTTCCGACATTCAAAACTTTGATAATAAAAAAAATCCGGAAATTATGAAAAAAATTGCACATACACATGGAGAGAGTTGGATTAAAAGCTCATCTCGAATTTTTTTTGTTCATGTGTGTGTGTTTGCGAAAATTTGATGAGGTGGAAACGAATTCACAGCAGCAGCAGCAGGTATTTATGTTTATTTTTATGACAAAAATATATGTGCACTCTGCACCACAAAAAAACTGAGAAAAAAAAGACAAACTAAAATATTTGGGGTGAGTTGAAAGTAAAGTATCGAATAAAACAAAACGAGCTTGTTTTTGAAGGAACTCGACCTTTTTGGTTGAAAACTAAAAAACTATATTTATTTTAGATTCCATATTTTCTGGCTAAAAATAGACTTTGGAACCTGCACGATTCCGGAAATTTGCTCTAATCTATTTCGAATTCAATTTCTAGTTTTCAGTTTCCGAAAAAGGTTTGCATTTTTAACAATTCTAGTCTATTTTTAGATTTCTAATGGATTGAACTTTTTTTTTTGAAGAAAATTCATTGATGTGAACAGAAAATTAATGGGTTGATTATTATTAGAGTGTGAAAAAGAGTGTACTTTTAATTTTAGAAAATTCTGAATTATCATATAGGAGCTGAAATTGCTACAAGTTATCTAGAAAAAATTTGAAATCTGAATTAAAACAATTATGAAATTCTACAAAACACCGACAGAGATTTGAATTCGAAATTCATCAATTTGAAATGACTCAATTAAAAAAAAATGCAATACAGTTTTAATAAATTCCATATCTACAGTAACCTTTAGACAAAAACAGAACTAACATATCCAGACTCAATTCCAATTCCACCTCATCAATTTTTTAAACGATTCAAAAAAAAATTCTCTAATCAATAATTTATATCACATCCCCTCCCCCTCATCTGAACTAACCTTTAACATTCTTCTCCGATATTCTGCTGCCATTGCACAATGTATACACGTAACTTCAAGCTCAAATCGTGGTTCTTCAACAATTCCAGCACAATCCCCTTGCTCTTCATCCGCTCCTTTCTCACTACTTCCATCCGAATGCACACGACTTCTAGTTGTTGTCGACGATGCCGATCTGCTTCGATGTTCGGGATCCCAACTTAAACTTGGACCAAGTGGTTTTTTAGTCCTTCTGAGAATTTGTGTTGGACTTCGAAGTGCCGCCGGCAATGCTTCGCTCAACTTTCTCGCCGCATTCTCACCCCTCCATTTCTTTTTCGCTCGTTTTTTTGCGACTTCTCCACCAACCGGTGGACCTATCACAAAAATCGGATTACTTTGTGCCTCCTGAATTGATTTCTTCTTTTTCCGATGCAACTTTTTATTTTGTTGCGGTGAGGGTTGCGGGGAATAGTTCTCCTCATCATGCGCCGATTTCCGACGTAAACTGTACATTTTTGAAGGGGAGTTGGAGAATTCAATTAATTATAGACATATAAAACAAGTCGAGAATAGATGGGAGAGATGAGAAGAAGAAGTAGTAGGATTATGATTTTTTCATATAATATATATTATTTTTTTAAAGAAGGACATCACGATGGATGAATATGTGGTGGTGACACAGAGAAAAAGACACCTATTCGCTTTAATCCCCGTTGTCAACGAGCTGAAGAAAAGCAATGAAGGAAAACGAGAAAAGAAGGCGAAGAAACTCGACTATTGACTCCGCCCCGCCCCTCGATTTTTGTTCCCGTTCTAGATAATGATTTTTTGTCTTGTTTTGAACTTTTGAATTCGAGAGATGGTCAAACTTTTAAAATTATGCGAGCGAGACAACTTGATTTACATAATTCTCACAATTGGGAAATTCTGAAAAATTTATCCAAAAAATGTTCTAAAATTATTTCGGAATTCTAAATGAATTCTAAAAAAATTGATCATGAAATTCAAAGTTCTGAAAATTTATCAAAAACATTTGAAGTTCTCAAAAATTATTTCAGCAAGTTTTGCTTCCGAAGTCAAAAACACCCAAATTCTTCTAGGTGATCAGAAATTATTTCTGAAAATTTGATCCAAAAAATTTCCGCATTGTAAAATTATTTCGGAATTCTAAAGTTTAAAAAAATTGATCCATAAAATTTAAACTTCTGAAAATTATTTCAGCAAGCTTTGCCACGTCATAACTATATTTTCAGCAAGCTGTACACACTTCGATTTTCAAAAAAGTTACTCTTTGGATTGCCAAAGTTTTTTGTCTTCTTCTCTTTCCGAATTTTAAGAGTTATAACCACTTTTTTTTTCCAAACTTTTCCTAATTTTTAGCTTGTCCTCCAATTACTTTTTCGACTGCAAAACAAAACAAAAAACCAATTTTTCTCCGTTTTTTCCCTGCACACGCCGCCATTAACACACCCAATCATTTTTTATGCATTGCTCCTTTTTTCTTGTGCTCCATCGTTTTGTTTCAGCCGCGCGAAACAAATCGAGAAAGAAAAAAAAGCAAGCACTACAAGAAAACTTAATCTAATCTATTCGAATGTATCAGGTGTGTTAATCTAATCTTTCTCTTTTTTTCAGCTCTGCGTCTTTCTCTTCAGAAGATTTAATCCCTTTTTTGCCTCTCCGGAACATCGAAATTTCCGGTGATGAGAGAGACGAGAAAAGGGCAAAAGTTTTTTTGTTGATTACCTCCAATGATCCGCCATTTCGGGAAACATTTGTTTGATTTGACAATTTGTCAGATCTGGATTCGAAATTGAAAAACGAGCAGATGACACTGATAATCGATTTGCAGTTGGCTCTAAAAACAATATTTTTTGTACGAGTTTGCATTTCCAGCTTGGAGCGGGAAAAAGGGAGCTTTGAAATTTATTAGAACTTGAACTTCTGAACTTTTTCGAATTCTGAACCTTTCAAAACCATTTTTTCCCGTTCCGCGCCAAAACCTCTACCATTTTTATCATCATCGTCGTCTTCCGAATCACTCGAATAACTTGAAGAAGATGCATTATAATTGTCTTCTTCTGATGATCGATCTGAAACTTTTTTTTCCAATTTTCCAAAAAACTTTTCAATGATTCACTCATATGAAATATTCACATGAAAAAACATATAAAAATCTTGTGTTATTTAATTAGCTAATGTTCATGTACTTTTCCTTCTTTGCTCATTTTCAACATCTCTTTCTTTTTCATAATATAAAAATGCGCATTGAAAATGAGGTCAACTTTTATTGGAAGAAAGAGATGAAACCAAGCAAAAAAAGGAGAAGTAAAAAAGGAAAACTTGTGGGGTAATAATTTTGCAGTTAATTTTGTTCTGAGAACATTTTTATTCAGATCAATGATCAAGTGATGTGCGGGAATTCGGAATTTTTCGGGATTTGAATTTGGAATTCCAAAATTTTACTTCCTCAAATCCTTGATCACCAAAGTACATACAAAGCAGAAAAAATTGCAGAAGCACAGGAAAAAATATGATTTTTCGGAAATTGAAAATCAGAATTTGCCAAATTTTTGGAAAATTTTACTCTGGGGTGGATAAAAATTTTTTCCGAGTGTTCAAAAGTTCCGGAAAATAATTTGAAAAAAATTCCGACTTACCTAACGACAATCTCAAAAGCGACGAATGAATATCGTGCCAAGTTGTAATAGCTGCCACCAATTTTTTTGTAAACTCATCGCAAACAACTTCTTGGGATCCACTTCGACTTTCCATGCCATCTGTTCCTGAAAAAAATTTTGAATTTATTTCAGAATTCACCCTAACCTTCGTTTAAATCTCAAAAAAAAAAATTCAAAAAGATAAACCTGATATATTTTGCTTCGATCTGAACCACTTTTTTCGTGGCGGCGCTGACACTGAACGAGCTGGAAATCTGGCGAATTGCGATCTTCTTTCGGCAGCTTCTCGTAGGGAAACAGCCTCTTGAGCACTCTGAAAACAATTACTTGAATATAATTAATTACAGAATTCTTTTCATTTTTTGAAAAACTTTCCTTGACTTTACGGATTTTTAAAACTGAAGGAAACCCAATTGGAAATATCATTTTCGATTTGAAAAATAAAAAATACAGAATATTCGTTCTCAAAAATACATTTTGAGAGGCAGAAAGGAGAGAATAACACGATGAAATTTATTCAAAAAACCGGTTAGTTATAAAAAACTCACAACAGTACTCATTTTATTGAATGCTCCTAGTGACATTTTTTGCAGTTTAGTTAGTTGAATGATTCTACACAGAAAAATGAGGAAGAAAAATAGTTGCTCGATTTTTGTTGGTGCTAATTGGTTAATGGAACTTTGTGTCGCCAATCAGGGTCGATTAGGTTGCTAGAGAATTATTGGACTGCTCTTTCTTCCTCCAAAAAAACAATCGAAGACTTTTCATTTATAATGAAAAGGTAATCGTGTGGAAACAGCAGAAAAATTAATTGACGAATTTTTTCTAGGAAGAAAGATTGGTGGTTGAATGAACTCAACATGACCTCGACAAAAATTATTTTTTGGTTGGAAAATTTGAAAAAAACGCTAGAATCTATTTAGACTCACAGATTTGAGGACACGTTGTGAAAAATTTGAAAAGTTATAATTTTTCACGTGAACTCTGGAAATTTTTGCAATTTTTTAGAAATTAAAATCCAAAAGCCACGTAGAATAAAATCCAAGTTCACGTGAAAATTTCAATTTATTTTCAGAAATTCAATTTTAATTTTATCTCATTTTTACATTCTCAAAATCTCTGATAAGAAAATAGAGAGTATTACATTATCACAAAAAAAAACACAGACAATCACTCAAAAAAAATTTTTGTTGGCTCACCGCATCACTTTGATTTCTCCTATTTTTTCTTGAACAAATCCAGCATTTCAAAAAATCAGGAGACATTTTCTTTTCTCAATATCGATTTTGACTATTAACACACACACAACACGGAAAAATATTGTTCTTATCAAAGTGTAATCGCAAAAAAAATACGAATTTTCATTGATTTTTTTCGCGTTTGGAAATGGATTCTTTATTGTTGTTCAATTCACAGCAAAATAATTTTTAGTACAAAATAGGAAAAAAACATAAAATGTGAAAAAAAATCTGACACCTCCTCCTCCGTTTCCCCATAAAAAACCATCTTCCATAAAAAAAATTATATGATTGAATTTTAGAAAAAAAAGAGCATTTGACAACCTAAAAAAAATGAAAAAGTGACTCGAAAACACCCACACACGGGGGATAAAAATCAATGAAACATGATACATATTCGGGAGGACCCACACGAGAACACCTGTTTGATTTTGTGTTTTTTTTTTTGAAAAAAAATCGGGGTTATGCAATTTTCGGAGCCAAGGAGTTGGAGCTTCTGAAATTCCTGTGGCCCGATTCCTATTGAAAATATGGTCGCCTGGGCCCATTTCGAGAATACTTTAGAAAATTTTTAACTAGAAAAATACGAGCTTGAAAATCATACAACTTTTTTTTTCTCCAAAAAAAATTCCCTAGAAAAAAGTTTTCCACTCAATTCCCAATGAATATTATTATTGCACTTTTGGAATGACAAAAATTAAAATAAACTAACCCCTGGATTGGAATGAAGTGCAAGAACAGTATCGATGAGATCCGAACATGATGCAGTCAGAGCAGAGTGACACTGAAATACTTATCTTATATTATTTAATAATTTAAAATTCTAGCTGAATATAACTCACATTGTGAACAGTAGGAAGTGGTAAGAATGTATATTTTTCATAAAGTGTTTGACTGACCATTGAATGTCGCGCTTCACAGCAGTTTCTAAAAAAAAATGAAAAATTGAAATGTGTTTTAGTTATGCTGTTTACGTTGGAATAGTTAATCGATTTGTTATTAATTATCGTGTTATTTGGAAAATGAATCACATGAAATTTCCAGTTCTTAAATAGAAAATAAGCGAGTTATCTCAAGTCAAATGCTCGATTTCCGAATTTAAAAATTATTTTATTTACTCTCAGTTTTTAGACAATAATTATGCGAAAAAAATCACGAAATTTTCAGAAAGTTTCCATTTAAAACTACAGTAACCACCAGATTTTTTAGAACTACAGTAGTTCTTACAAGATTACTGTACATTATTGATACTCAAAACGTAACTTTTTTATTTTCCAAAAATTCACCTCATTTTAATCACCAAAAATGTTTTGCAGAAATATTCTAGAATAAAATAGAAAAGTTCAAAAAAAGTAAGAAATTAAAAATCATGGATTTTAATTAGGGTTTATCCCAATTAAAAAGAATCTCGAGTTGTTTTTGTTTTCAAGAAACAGAAACATGTGGGAGTTCTGGATCTGTTTTTGATTTTAGAAAATTTTTTTTCCAAAACTAATAAACTTACAGAAGCGAAATCGTTGACCAAGAACGCATAACTTCTTTTTTATGTATGTTTTTTTTTCACAAAACAATGAAATAAAATAAAATAAAAGAAATATTGAATTTATAGAACAGCTGAAATTATTCGAATGCCTACATTTATTTCATTTTATCAGCATTCGTCGATCGAAAAAACTTGTTAACAGAAAAAAAGTTTCTTCGTTGCTATAGAGTATCGAAATTGTACTCAAATTTCTCGTTTTTTTTATTCTTGGGAAGAAAAAGAAGAAGGAGCAAAAAAAGGAAAATGAGCAGCAGATTGAAAAAAAAGTTTTTTTTTTGAAAAGAAGAGCAAATTATTGTGATTGAAAAGAAATTATGAATGTTTGATGGACTATGTGAATTGAAAAATTAATGGCTGAAAATAAGTTGAATGAGTTTCAGATGAACTTGGGCTAAATCGGGAAGAATAGAACACTTGGGAAAGCAAGTTCGCTCCATCGCACACAAAATTGCGCACTGGCTTTTTTACCGGGAAAAAACCTCTCTAGAATAAAATAAATGAAACTCTAAAGTAATTTTGTTCTAATGGAGCTATGTATAATTAGAAAGCCCATAATAATAATTACTTTTCTCATAATTTCACGAACCTCTGTGTTTTTTAACGAAAGAAAAACAAAAAGGAAGTCAGAATGCATAAAAATATGACATAAAAGTAAAAGTAAATTTTTTCTGCAAATCACAAATCTAGGTATTTTCTCATGGGAACTTCAATTATTTTGTATATGGAAAATAATAATGAACAGAAATCCCAAAAAATTGAAATAAGAAGAAGAAGAAGAAAAACATATAGACATGTGAGCAGTTATGAATTAATGATCGAATCTGGCATACTTTATATTTATCCATATATTTTCAGCTGTTTGGCACTTTTTTAGCTTCTTCGTTAGCTAACATAAGAAAATAAGAAAAATATATGTGAAATTTTATAATGAGGGAAAGAGGTTTCAGATAGATTCGTGGAAAAAAATGTTTTTTTTTGCGAAAGAAGGAAGAGGAGAACAATTAAATATTTATGGAAATATGAAGATCGCAATGTTTCTTGAAGAACTAAATGAACCAACACACAAAAAAGTAAAAATGAAAAACCGCTGCTGCGAAAAAAAAAATCAATAATCAATCAAAGTTGATGGGCTGGACCTAAATGGCAAGGTTCCGCACGTTTTTTGTGAGTAGATCAAAAAATATTTTTTGATCTACTCATAAAAAATTTTTAAATTTCAAGATTTTCATGCAAGTTTGTAGAAAGTTCACAAGAGATTTTGAAAATTTTAAAAATTATTTTTTTTAGAATTTCTGAAATTTACATACAAGCCAAAAATTTTAAAAATTATTTATTCAGAATTTTTTTCAGGAGCCTGGATTACTGTAGGCACACGTCACCTAAAGGGAAATTTTCACCTGTTTTTTTTTCCATTCCAACTAAGAGCCTTGTCTAGAAGAGTTACTGTACTTGTACCTACAGATGCGAAACTATTGAAGATCATCCTTAATCCAATTTTTTACCAAAGACATCCAAATCGTACGAACATGCACTTTCCATTTTTTTCTACTCATTTTTTTTGCATGCAGAATACAATTTCCGTTCACTTCCATATCACCTAGCTTTATATATATATTTCCATGAATATAATATTTATTTCAATTAATTAGTTCATATATTTTTACACGTATGATTGTTTATCCTTTTTTTCGTGAATTCAACTTTGGAGTTCTAAAAAGTTGTGGCATATTTGTTTCCGAAATTTCTGAAATTGAAAGCGGTTCAGTTTCAGGATCGATTTCTTCTGGTTTATAAGACGGAGGTGGCTGAAAAAAATATTTTATTGATTTTTCAGGTGCTACTCATTCAAACCTTCATGAAATCTTCCGAATGATAGTCTAAAGTATCTTCATTTCGATTATCCGAAGTTCGAGGATCAAGCCTGAAAATAATACAAAATTCAATTGAACTTCAAAAATTAATTCAAATACCTGTTATCTAATTCCGTTGTTGGTGTTTCGTCTTCGTGATAGAAATCTGAAAAATGGTGATTTATATTTCTAGAATTATTATTATTTATCTATTTTTTTCAGGACAACATAACATCAATAAGATATTACAAGTTGTACACGACTTTGTTACAAGCTTATAACACAATTATTTTTGTTGGGGCAATTGATAGAACTACCACATTCTTTTTCAGTTTCATGATTTTCTTGGCACTTATCTTCGAATATTTCAGATGTTCTTATCTTTTACGAAAAAGATATAGAAAATCTGTCAGAAATCTTATGATTGTCTCATTTATTATTGTATTCGCGAAACTTCCAGTTCTTTTTTATTCACACCAACGAATTATTGGTTCAGAGACTTCAAAACTATTTGTATCTGCTGTTAACTCAATGTTGATTTGTGCTAGATATACGCATTTTTGTAATGTATACTTGCGCCGACAATAAATAATTTTTTTATGAAAAGTGGTACTGTAGCTGTGTGAGAAAGTGTGTGTTTGTGCGTCGCTGTGTACGCACAATTTTTAGGCGTTTTTTTTTTCTTCGAGAAAAAAAGTTTTTCATTTCAAAGTTTTTAACGTTTCAGAGTCTCGGAAGAGTATTTTGGTTGTTTAAAGTTATCAACAAATATTTGATTCTGCTTTTTCGTGGGCGAAAAACACTTTATAATAACTTTTCTGGCTTATTTTATCGAATTATTCAAATCCTTTTCTTGAAATATTGTAATATCAATTTTCTTCTCTATTTATCACTTATATTTACAGAAAATGGTCAATCTCAACATCTCTCCATTCAAATTGTCAATGCTTCTTCTTCGTCAAGGAACAGCACCGTTCCATAGTAAGTTTTTCATCGAACTTGACTTCTTTGACTTTGATACTTTGATCAAAGTCAAAGAAGTCTCAATCCACTTACAATTCCTCAAACGCATTATTCCAGCTTTGAGCAGCCACGAAGTTACGAAGGTTCTCAACAAGATTGGTCATTTTTGCCTCAATTTGCTCATCTCAATCACATTCTTTCTTGTTTCAATCAACATAACTTCAATCATATTTGTCGAACACAAAGGCATTCATATTCTCTTTGATGGACTTCTCGTTGCATGTATTTGGTTGGAACTCGCTGCTGTTCGTAGTCGCACCCCAGGATCCTTGATTTTCTCTGCGATTTTCCAAATTTTCGCGATCGGCTGGTACATTTTCCTTCTTGTTAATCAACTCGCCGACATCTTTGCTAATTTCTACAATTTCGACTACCCAGCCATAATCAACATTTTCACTTTCGCAACTATCATTCTTTACATTACCCGTCTTTTCTTCCTTTTCATTCTCTATAAGGCAATCAGTGTAAAATCAACCAATTTTTCCATCACTAACACTGTTTTCCTCAAACCAACCAACACCCCAGTTACTTTCAACTCTGTTCTTGCCCCAGAACCATTGGATCCAACCAATCCATATCATACCAAAGCAGTCTACAATCTCAACAAATCTGTCTGCTAGATTCATTCACCTTTTGTTAAATCGTTGTTTTTTTTTATCTGTTTCCATGTTGTGCAAATCTTTTTTGTTATGTTTCTTTTTCTTAATAAACTATCAAGTTAATGATTTCTCATTCCTTTTCTTATTTAAAATTGTAAAAAAGCAATTTCTCCTTATTTTTATAATTTAAAATTCAAAATTCTTTCAGTGCGTGGCTGCCACGCCGTGGCAAAAAAATCGGTTCTCAACACATTTTGCTCATTTCTCAATATTTTCAAACTACTAACCTTCTTCATATTTCGGAGGATTCGAACTTCTCTGCACTTGGTCCAAAAAATAGGTGAGCTGTAATTTTTTGGGATTCGGGGAAAATTTAAAAAAAAACAATATTTACGAACCTCTGATTGGCTCATCGAATCTCTTGGAGATTCTCTCCAGATATTCTTCTTCTTCGAATCTCCACTAACAGTTCTTGATCGATATTTCTCATTTTCATCGATATTTTGATCTGAAGTTGTATATCGTCGCTGATAACTTTGACTTCGTTTTTGATATAATCTTGGTTTTGTCGATATTTGTTTTCGACAACAATCACAAACTACAATGTCGTGAAGTTTGTCTTTGAAAGTTTCTCTGTAGAAAAATGTTTGATTAGAAATGTGAAAAAAACCAAATTTTGAGCTCACAGTGGAATACATTGTAGATTTTTTGCTCGTTTTCCACAAATTCCATATTGAATGCATAAATAAACAATTTCAATGATCGTCAAAAGAGATGTTCCCAAGAATAATCCAAGTGCTCCTCCAATATCACAAGCCAAACTCCAAAAACCATAAGTTCTATCTTGACTCCATGTTTCAAGATGCATTTTATGTAGGAAAATATTGACCATTGCAAAGTTTTCATTGACAAATTTCGAACCGAAGTCAAAGTTTTTAATATATCCATTGAGATCATTTTCAAAAAGTCCTTTGTAAGCGAGTTTCAATTGTCCATATTGCGATCTCAATCTTGCTTCGTGTTTTTTAATTTCAAGTGATACATTATTTTTAACACATTCATACATTTCAATGATCATTTTCTCAAAACGTATTTGATTTTCTCTTTTTTCATCTCCAAATATTGTAATTGCTCCAGTTTTTCCAGCAGTTCCTCTTTTGATAAACATCTCAATTTCTTCCCAAAGTTCCATCACATCAATTATATTCTTATTCATTGTTTGAAAATCTTTTGTGATTGGTGTATAGAAATTATTGTGAAATTCATCTTCATAAAAGAATCGCATTTTAGCGGATTGCATTTTCTCAGCCCAATTTTTACGGTCAAGCTTCTTCTGATCATATTGATTCATAAGTTCGATAATTTTATCCATTCTCCAAAAATCTTTAGTTATTGTATCGATATATTCTTCAGTGTTAAATATATTCCACAAAGCATCGGTGACTTTTGTGATCGCTGAAACTTCTTCTTGTATTTCATCAATTCGATCACTTCCATATCTTGATTTTAAATCACCGATTGATTTGAATGAATAACTTTTGTAGTTTGATTCATCGACCAACTGAATTCAATTTTTATTTTTTTTTTTGAAGAAAAAAGTGGGACAGAACTCACATAGGATATTTGCTTCGCTCTTTTTTCCTCACTGCTATCACGCAAAGATAAAATTTGACTGATATCTTCATATCGGTCGCTGAAATTGAGATTTTCCTTTGAAACACCCTCCTGTAAACTCACGTAAAGTTAGCATAACATTCCAAATGCGCTAATCTCTGCGGAATTCCATTAAAATCTTCCGGTTTCCAACCCCATTTATGCTCTTTGATTTTGCTCACCAATGAATTAATATAATCAATTTGTTTCTTGGTCCGATAAAATATATCATGTTGATGTCTAGATTGTGCTTCATAGGCAAGATAAGCTAGTCGTTTTATTTTTTCAGCTTTTCCCTTATCCAATATTTCATAAGGTTCGCATAAGTTTATATCCTCCTCTTTGACAACGCTCTCGTTCTTTAAAGAATTTCTCATTCGTAATATTTTTCTTTCAAAAAAACCTTTTTCTCACCTTATTCCGTAATTCAAATTCTTCTTCAGTTTCTTGCTCATTTTCATATTCATTCACAGTTTGTTCAATCGCAATATCTTCTTGATTTGGCATAATATTTAATGGAAGTAACATCATATCTTGCCACGCTGTATAATCGATAGATTTACAAGGTGGTAGACATTTATTAGATGTTCCCTTGTTTCCAAGTTCTTTGATAACTTTTTGAGCGCAGGAGAAATATTGATCGACATTGCAAGCCTCGATATTATAGTCTGAAATTGAATTTAAGAAAAAATAATTTTAATTTCATTTTATAAAAAATCACCAGATTTTTTGTATTCATTATCAGCATCGGTGAATTGTCTTCTCATCGAACATCCACATTCATTTTCAACTTTTTCCATATAATATCGCAATGAGCAAGTTCGAATATTTAATGGGTCATTGAAATTTGTACTTGCTTCTTTGTGAAATTCATTTTCTTCAATGCACTGACTTCCAGCTAACTTTTTTCTCTGAAAACTTATTTTTTCTTCAAATCAAGTATTTCAAAGTCACTTACATGATGCATTTTGAATGGTATGTCCATTGAATAACCAGGTGGAACATTAACACCAGTCTGACTGCTTTCCGGAACATCTGTTTGATTGTAGATCATAATTTTCATACCTGGTAAACTATCAGTTCGAAAGTGGTCGTTACAAGCATCAACCCGTTCATAACTTTCAACATTTAACAGAAGTTTCAAACCATGATTTGGGCCACTTCCATAAACTTCCACTGGATTTTGTGGATCTGTGTTGATTGCCCAACATAATCCTGTTGTTGTCCAAACTGCCTTGAAGTCTTTTTCATTACACGATGTCCCGTTTGGCCAAGTGCATCCGAGTACCATTCGAGATTTCCAATGAGATGCGAGTCGAAGGAATTTAACTGCATCCATATCGTAGACTTTTCGAAGAACGTCGTCAAATATTGTATCATTTCTATGTTTATCTTTGTTTAGATCCGATTTTAAATCTACGTACGGTGTTTTTCGATTCAGAATTCCACCCGTCAAATATGTTAGCCTAAAATCAATTTTATATATTATCAAAAAAAATATTTCGCAAAAATTACCTGAATTGATTGTTATTACAAACTGCTACAGTAGGAAAGGCAATCTTTTTCGGATATTCTGCTTCAATATTTGTAGCTACTGGTTCGCTCAAATATAGACTTATTTGATAGGAACATTGAATTAATACAAGAACAACAAAAATGATAATAATTGCACACCAAAGTGCTCGTGTAATTGGATTTGGTGCACTCAAATGATGAACTGCATCCATATTTGCATCTTTGAATGCGTCGAGAAATTCTTTATCATCCTGGATTTCAATTAATCCACTATCTGTTTCAACTAGTGTTACTCTTCGGCCAAGTGATCCTATTGAACCTCGAGAATTCAATCTGTTTTTTCGATATCTAGAAATGATCATTGAAGATTCATTAGACACAGTCTGATTAATCTCACCTGTACTTCTGATATAATTGTTCGCTTTCGGTTCGTTCTTTATCTGGAATAAAATTCTCGGCCAACCTTTCCGCCATACGAACCATTTTGGCAGAAAAACCTGGAATTTGAGCGATAGATAAATGTAGAAAGAGAAAACTCATTATCACTGCTAACATAATAAATCAGAAGAAATGTGCAGAGATGAGAAGAGTGTGGTCTATTTATTTGAAAACTAATTGTGAACTTCGTATGATCAGAGTTTGGGTTCTCAGATTTCAAGAAAACACTTGGAATGACCAAAGATTGATATTTTAAAGAGAAATGATATCACTTGTCAGCTATATATTTTTCAAAAATATATGGATTTACGATCTATACATCGAAAACTTCGATTAATATCACGGACTTTTATTATCTACACGTACAGTAGAATTTTCAAAAATCGCTGAATTCAAGTCCGAAAAATTCTATAATACAAAATAATCAAAAAAAAATGAGTCAACTTGTCGTTGTGTCTCTTTTCATCAGTTGTCTATGAAAATTTGTAACACACACTCACACCGAAGGTGCAAACTGGAATAAGAAGAAGAAACAAAGAGAAACAGCACAAAAAAAAGTGCAGAGGAAAGAATGAAAAGGCAGCTGTGTATGTGCAACAAGCCACAATAATTGATAGAATATCAATCTTGATTTAATCACTCACAGCAAAAAAAAGTTCGGCTTTTCATTAGTCTGAGTTTAGAGCTGCAGATTATAAAAAAACAATTCATTTTCAATAAATAAATAAATAGGGAAAGGAATCTCATATCACTTTTCCTCGGGCAGATAACTTTGACTGGTAGCTGGTGTTAAATAGAGTTGTGACATCTCGCTCCCACAAATTGAAATTATTTCCAAGTCGCGATCAACTCTGAAGGAATTTTGAAATTTTAGAAAACATAAATAAACATACTTTTCTTGGAATTCAACAGCATCGAGGAAATCTGTAAAAATTAATTTCTGATTAACGAAAAAAAATTGTAATTTCATGCTAACCTTCGTGATTTTCTTCGGAATTACTAGAAGTGGTATCACAAACACATTGGTTTTCATCGCCTGATTTCCATCTGTAATTTTTTTCAAAGTCTCGATCCCCCGTAGAAACTCACAATTCAAACACACGTTTGATTTTCTTCCTTTTTAATCCGAATACTCCGTGCCTCATTAGAATATAAAACACCTCCATCATCGTTAACAATGAAGCACCAAGAAATAAATCGAGAGCTCCTCCAATATCAGATGCTAGACTCCAAAAACTATAATCCTCATTTTGTGTCCATTTTTCAATGCTTGTTCTATGCAGAAATATGTGAACCAAAGAGAAATCACCACTAACATCTTCTAAAGTTGGTTGAAATGGATGCATGTTTTTGGATAGGGTTTCGTAATTTATATGAGATAAGTCGAAGATGTGTTTTAGTTTCGCATATTTATTTTTGAGAAATGGATAAACTTCATTTATTGCACATTTTTTCATATCTTCGAAGATATCCCAAACAACTTCAGAATCCAAGTTGAAAATGTTTTTGAATAATAACATCGTAATATCCATGTGATCCACTAATGTTTGATTCCAAGAATTTTCAATTGTTTTCTTGTTACTTATTATTGATATCAAATTATTCACAATTCCTTCGAAATAATCGATAAAAAGTTCATCGTGGATGTTTAATTTGAACAATTTTTCAAGAAATTCTTTATTCGATGTGTTATTGTGATATCTTCCAATAAGTTCCATGAAATCTTCTCTTTTCTCGAATAGTCTGGTTCGATAAGATGTTTCCGAGAAAAATGAAGCCAAATCGTTCAAAATGTAAAATATTCTATCAATATCATCTCGATTCATTTGAGTTATCGTAGTTTTGTCACTTTCTGAACTTTTTTCCAGTAACTAAAAAATTTTTAAATTTTTTTTCATAGAAACAAATCACTCACATTTTGAATGAAATTCGATTTCATTTCCATCTCCTCCGCAAATTTAGAAATAATTAGTTGATGATGTTTTCTGAAATTCATTCTTGACAGTTTTCTGACATGAGTTATCTTACATTATTTCTGAAAAGCAGGGAACATCTTTCAATTGCTCGAAAATAATAGTTGAATTCTCGATATTTCTCATCCATCCTTGTTCATCGATACTGAATTTCAATGGAAGTGGAATATTTCAAAAAATATCCTTACCTTTTGATAGAATTCACAAATTTTTCGACATTTCTTGATGTTTTTCCTAAATAGACATCATTAATTTCTTCCATCATAGTCCATAAATTTATAGATTGAGCAATTTTTTCTTTTCCCTGTGTATAAGAGAAATACGTGCTTTCTCCACACTGCTGTTGTTTTCCGGAATCTTTCTGAAAAACGAAATTGTGAATGTTAACATTGCGTTAATTTGAATAAAGCTCACATCCAAAACATCATTGTCAACATAATTAATATCTTCATAATAATAGTCACCGCTTTCTTCTTCTTCTAATGCTTTCAAATGATCATATTTTTCCTCCTCTTCTATCGGAAAAACATTAGTGAGATAACCTAAATCATCTTGCCATGCTGTATATTCGGTTGTATCGCAAGATGGTTTACAATCCGATGGAATATCCCTTTCGTATATTCGTTTCAAGTGTTTTTGCACACATCCGAAGTATTCATCAACATTGCATCTTTTATCGGGATCTAGAAGTTTATATTTTTAATTTCGGAAAAAAATCCTCACACTTATTTAAGATTACTTGTCACTTCATTTTTCACAAAAAATCCGTGAAGTGAACATTTGCAGTTCTTGTAAATATGTTGGTGGAAACTTTGTAGAATACATGATGTATAATTGTATTTATTGCTCATTATATTCTCACTCGAGCAACCTCGTCCTTCAAGGCGTGTTTTCTAGAATAGAAAATATTTTTAGGTTGAGAATCAATAGCTTTTTATACTCACACGAACCATCCAAAATGGAATATCGATATTTTTTCCCATAGGAATATTTACTCCACTTGTAATCATTAATGGTTCTTCTGATTGATTGTAAAGAAACAATTTCAATCCACCGGTCTTTTTCATTCCGAAAAATGTGTTGCACATGTTGATTTGCTCCAAAAATTGTACGCTGAGCAATAGGGTTAGAGCATTCGAAGAGCCGCTTCCAGACTCTGTGAGTATGTTGTTTCTATCAGTGTTGATAGCATAGCATAATCCATTGATTGTCCAGATCGGCTCGAAGTTACTTGAATCACATTTTGTGCCATTTGGCCACCAGCAACCATGAATTGATTCTGATAACTTTGGTGCAGCTTCTTTCAAAAATTCAACTGCATCCATATCCCAATATTTTTCAAAAATATCGTCAAAAGGTTTCGGATTATTTGGATCAATTGAAAGTAACGTGTAATTTTCATTGGAAATTTTTCCATTTCTCAGCGCATACAAATAAGAAAGTCTGAAAATTTAACTCACTTATTTTTCCGATGGAAACATTTACCTAAAGATATTATTGTTACATATAGCTATGACTGGAAATTCAACTTCTGTGGGATATTCTATCTCGTGATTTGTTGAAACTCGATTCTCCGCATATCTTTGAATTTGAGTTGTACATAAAACTGTCACTAAAACTATAAAGGATAGTATGATGAATCTCCAAATTATTTTTGTAATGATATTTTCGTCGTTGAGATGAGTTACGGCTTCAATATTAGATTCTAGAAATGCTCGAACAAATGTTTTCTTCTGGGGTGCTTTTGGAGCGGATTCATCATATCTGAAAATAAAAAATTGGAACGCTGTGAAACAGTTCCAAAACTGGTTCTCCTCTTAACTACTTTACATACCTGTATATAAGTTCTTGCGGCTCTGATAATCGATCAATCATAGATCTGAAATGAAGATATATCAAGTATTTATATTTTCAAAAAAAAAAACACAGAGCAGCTGTGTAGATTTCAAATTTTTGATAAAGAAAATTTTCATATTAGTAAAAAAATATTTTTCTAGAAAAATTTGAGCTATAAGAAAACACAAAAAAATTTCGGAGAGCAATTGAAACGTTTTGTTGCACTCACTGCAAAAAAGTGATGGGATATCTATGTTTTTTTCAAAATTGTGATAAGTTTTCGAGAAATCTTGAAAAGCTCGAAAAAAGCCTGTGAAAATATTTCGGGGATTTATTGTGAAGATTCTTCGTTCCAAGTTCAAACTACTTTCATTACTTCATATACTTCATTCCGATAATTGTAAATCGACAATAATCAGGTTGTTTCATCTTTTTGTTCAAATTGAGCATCAAAAAAGAATACCGCTAATCTCGAGATAATTATAGTACTATTGTTTATGATTTTCTCACATTGGTGTCAAAACAGTTTTGGCGTCAAAGCCACGCCCACAAACACCACCTTCACCAATTTTTTTTCATTTTTGTTAGTTTTCCTGCAAATATGATTAAACTTATTGTTTTTTCTTGTTTTTTGGTTTCTTGTATTCTTTCGAAACCTACAGATGGTTTACAAAACTATCAATTATTATCCTATCTTCCACTTCAAATCTCAATGAGTTTGGATAAAGAAGAATTAACAAATGGTCCACCAAAATGTTTGGAAAATGATATTCACTCTATCGATTTTTCGGCTTACTCAAGGTTTGTTTTTTACATTAGATGTTTTTCAAAAACAAATTTATAATAACAAATGAAATCTTCAGAAATTTCTCACTCCGCCTTCAAAAAGTCTGCCAAAGTGTGGAAGAAGGAGAGGAACTTCTATCTTCAAGTGGTGATTTTCTGGAAATCGATGAGATGACTAAAACTATCACATACTTTCAAGGATTTCTTGAGGGAGAGAAAAATTCAACTGTTGATGGAACAATTGAAAATGGGGTTTTTGAAGGTGTTATCATTTCCGAAGATCATCAGAAATATCTTGTTGAAAGATTGAACCCGTAAGTTTTGATCTCTTATTATATAATATTATTTGTGTTGTTTTACAGAAGTATCAATGGATCACACTCGCTGATTTATCATGTTCAATCGAAGAAACAGATAATCGCCACTTTGTTTTCCGAAGGAGGATCATCTGGTGAATTACCATCGGATTTGGTTGTCAACGAGGGAAGTGGACTAAATTGATTGCAGGCTTGCGCCTATTTTTATTTAATCAGTCGAAATAAACTATTTACAATAATTGAGTTTTGAACACTGAAGCTGTTGATGCTTTTCGTTGTTGAGAGAAATCTACACTTCCACGTTTTGATCTGAAATTCATGTTAGGTAAATTTTAAACTAACGTATTTCGAACTCACTTGCTATATGTTGGTGGGTTCACCGTACTACTCCTTCTCATTGGTGGATGTACTACGGAAGTTGACATGTTAGAATTGAATGGTACTCCAGAGTTTCGTCTTTCAAGTTGCGCAATACTTAATGATTTTCTAAACATTAGATTGAGAGAAGTTTTCGTATTTCCAATTAACTTGCCTATGATTTGACAAAGGTGATAATAGTTGTGATGGAATGCTAACTGATCCACGAGGAGCTGAATATAGATCACCTCCTCTGAGAACTCGTGTATTTCTTTGATCTAAATGTATGTGTAATGGGGTTGTTGATAGTTTTCGACCAAATCCTCGAGTCGTTTGTATCTGAAAAAAGTTCTTATCACTATTTGAATTGAAATAAAATTTCCAATCTACTAACATCATCCTCAATTTCTTCATTTTGATCGTCTTCAGCATCTTGTATTATCACAACACTCTGTGATCTTTCTCGCTCTTCTTCTGCAACAGCTTCCATAAATTGTTTCTGTCTTGCTGAATTAACTGTTCCCCAAACTGATTTGAAAAGATAAATAAATATCTCCAACAGAGTTACAGTACTCATTCCTAAAAATAGACCCATACTTCCGGCGATATTTGATAAAAGATCAGCTGTTTGCAATTGTTTTTGTTGTTCATGACGTTCGTAGGCGATTTGTCGGAAAAATACAGTTGCAGCTGATATGTTCTCGTTCAAATAGGTTTTTGTGTGATTCAATTGTTTTCTTGAGACTGATGAATAACTTGAAGTTGTGTCAAATTCCAAAAAATCACACTCAGAATCACAAATCCAAGATGAACTCGAATTCGAATTCGAATTGATTTTGGCTTCGCATTCAAACATTTCTTCTGGTTTACAGATTCTCATATTCTGAGGAAATCTTGCTTTTAAATATAATGGTGCACAACCACATTCCTCTAATGTACGATTTAGTTTCACAAAGTTCTGACAATGAGTAGAAGTGTATTTCAAATGTGAACTCATTTCCAAATCGTCTTCTGTCAATTTCAATTCGCCTTTCATTGTTTTCACATCACTCCAGTCATTCATACAAACTCCCCAATTTGTTCTATGCAAAAGTGTTATCTTTTTAAAAAAATAATTAGGAGGAATTCAGAAAAATCAAGTATCTTACATTTTTCAAATGTATTGATGAATGGAGCATTGCTCCGGGAGGAACTGACAAAGAATTTGCATCTATACTCGGATATTTTCCTTTTTCGTGAATCAAGATCAAAAATCCTTTCGCATCTTCATCCCCATAGTTTCTGCCGTCCATCACAAATTCCCACCCGAATTTTTCACCGCTTAAAAATTGTTTCCGACCAGCACCGGGGAATCTAATAAAATGAATGGAACCTTTTAAAAGAAAGAAAAAAGGATACCTGTAGCATAATCCGAAGTCAGTGAATTCGGGAATTGCGATATTACAACAGGAATGGGATTCTTGATTGAATTTGCACGAGACAAAAGTTTCTTCGCATGTTTTTGAATTTTTCTTGAGGAAGTCCAGTATTTCGAAATTTTCTGTTTTTTGTGAGTTGAACTCCGCCAGCATTTCGGAAGAAACTTCGGCAAAATTTTCCTGCAAAAATTCAATTTTTGAATCTGAGTTACTATAATCAGGCAAATGTTAAATCGCACCAGGATGATTATTTTTAACCTGGCTGCATTACGTTTTGCTGTTCCGATTACTATTAAAACCAGTAATCATTTTTCGATTCGATTACTATAATCATTTAACTTACTTGATAATAATGCATAATATATTCACTGGCTTTTTTGCTGAAATTTGTCTTTCCGAAATCCATAAAATTCAAATTGCAAATCGTGACTTCAGGAAACTCAATACCATTTTTAGCAATGTGCGTATTTATTTGGAAAAGTGTCGGTTTCGCATGATATCCTAATAAAAGATAGCCACTCTGTTTAAAAATTGGAATTTAAGTAAAATATCTGACTGTATATCTGTGCTCATAAAACATACGTGAATCATAAAAAGAGCAAGACACGAAAGAACCACAACAGACCAGAATATTCGGCTTGGCCAAGTATTTGAATTGAAAATTCTGACAAGTCCATGATAGGTTGTCAAACCAGAAAACTCCTAGAAATTTTATTTTTGAAATTATTTTTTGAAAGAAAAGAACCTTAGTTTCATAGTCATAAATTTGTAAATATACTCTTTTAGCAGAGTTTTCTTCATTCATCGATTAATTCAATAAAAAACTGATAACACATTTTTTTCTGCGATAAGAATTGAAACCCCCTGATACTTCAAAGCTTCATGTATGAATTGTTGAAATTTCAAAAAAAAAACCACACCCAAATAAATATACGAAAAAACTTGTTTTTTGGAATTTCTGTATTTTTTGGGTGTAGTAATATACTTTTCAAATAAATTAGAGAAGTTTCCTGATGATCAAAGTACATGTATTTTTTAAAAATTGAAAAATTTTGCAAATAACTTTGTAACTTTTTTGTACGAGGTTTGTCAATTAAAAAAATTAAATTTTGTATTACACGAACTTCTAGGACCACAGTGTTTTACAAAAATTGTTCCAATAAATAATTCCCCACTCTGTTTTTTTCTTCCTTAACATGAAAAATTGTTGATTTGTCGGGTCGAATCAAGAGAAATTGAGAGAAATTCGGGTCTGTGACGTAGTTTTTGTGGAAACTTTGACTTGTTATTTATTAGCGATAAGAAAAAAAATGATTTTTGCACGACGAAATTTTTTATTGTTGTAGTTGGAATTGAAACAAACAATTTGTTGATAGCAAATGAGATTGTAGACCAAATGGCTAGAAACTAGGAATACAACCGATTGATGTGAAATTTTTGAAAAACTAATATGAGCAATGTTTTTAACATCGTTTTTGGAAATAACGTGTTATAAGAATTGAAAACGTTTGAAGGAGCTTTTCTTAGACCTTTAAAACTATAAAAACTTTGAGAATTTATTTTTCTATATCAAAAACATTGTGCTACAAATAATGACTACAGTAACAACCTCTCTACACTTCAGCCTTTTAAAAATCGCATTTACCCAATTAGGTTCGGTTTGTTCCTCTATCTATTCTAAGCTGATCTAACAACACATTTGTATTTAGTGATTTAGATTTGATCTAACATTTGATTCGTCGAATGTGTGTTCTTATCATTTTGTTGTTTATCTTTAACTTACGTCAAAAGGACATAGCAAAAATATCTAGATTAGCTACAAGACTCAAAATATGAATTGGCATATGCTGGGGCCCAATTCAAAAAATTGGATCACCAGAAATCAGTGAATATCAACTTGGGCGTACCAAAAAATTAGTTCAGCATTTTTTTGGTACGCCAAATGTTTGCTTCACTGATTATTGGTATACCACTTTTGAATTCGGCTACTGGTTACTGTATTGTTGCTAGTAAGGTGAAAAGGCCTGCTATCAAAAAAAAAAAAAATTTGTACCGAAAAGTTTGGTGGAATCTGGCATCCCATAACAATTTCATCCCAACCGCCGATATCTCCAAAGTTTTCAAATTCATTTCAAGTTCCTGATATTCGTGATCGCACAGTGTGTTTTGTTGAAAAAATCAAATTATCTTTTTTTTCCAAACTTTGACCGATTTGATTAAAAACTAATTAGGCGCAAATTATCGATTGACCACACCTCAATTGTTTTTTTTGTTTCAATCTCAAGATTTTTCGAGTTTTGATATGGCATAAGACAATCCGGGAATGTATTTTGAATCCACTATTGTTTTTGGGAAGAACCCTTCAATTTTGTGGAACTTATTGTTAAAATAAGTCCAGAATTTTGTTTTTGAAAGTGATTGTTCCAACATATTCTCTGTTCTACTTTTGATAGGAAAATTATTGTGTAAAATTGTCTCTCTCTCTCGAAATGGGGTATTTCCCATAGATGTAAATACAAGGAACACGCATATTAGTGTAGAAAAATGGAGAAAAAAACGACGATTGTGTTATATTTATTTTTCCTAATTTAATTTGCAATGGAATGTGATCGGACGACCGCGCGAGGCGACGACGACGCAAGATTATGGTAGTTTGTCTTTTTTTGTCATTGTGACGTAGAAAATTGTGCGAATCGAATCGAGTGAGATGAAATCGTTGCTGTTGTTGTTGTTACTTTGTGTGGTTTTGTTCGACAAAACTTCGAAGAGCATAAGAGTGATAGAGATGCAGATCTCAAAACTTTTGTGGTAGATCCACTGTTTGAATTTTTGATCTACCAAATGTTTGAGCCCGAAATATGAGAAGGGCTGATTCACAAACGAAAAAATGTCGAAAAAAACATTGTAAATCAAAATTAGTTTTTCAGCTAAAAATGATGAAAAATCGAGATTTTTAAAGCTTCTGGGGTGATTTCTGATGAGAATAAGCTTCGAGAACCCTACTTTAACTCATTTTATTAATTTCCTCGAAGTTCATCGAAGTTTGACATTTTTTATTTCACGAATAATCAACAAAAACTTCTGAAAAGTGAATTCCAAGGTCAATTTTCATCAGAAATCACTCCAGAAGCTTCAAAAATCTCAATTTGTTGTCATTTTTGGCTGAAAAACTAATTTTGACTGTACAATGTTTTTTCGACGTTTTGACTTTTCGTGAATTGATCTTTCAACGTTAAAAAACGGTTTTTTTCGTTCGTGAATCAGCCGTTGAGAAAGTAGATAGGAACCAAGCTCGGAAAATTTCAATTCAGAAAAATTTCTAACTCTCACCGATCAGAAATCTTCATAGAGCTGACATGTTCTGTTAAATAAAATCCCTTGAAAAGTTGTCGATTCGATATTTCTTCCCTTACTGAATTGTATTGTCATACGATGTTTATTTTGACAATACACTAATGACAAAAACAATGATTGTCCTTTGAATTTAACGAGTTTTCATTTAAATTGTAGTGTACTTTTGGATTTTTTGAGATCAGTTTTTGATTTCGCATTCTCTGAACTTGATCTCCATTCATCCAGTCTACAGTAATCCCTCTCTCATTCTCCTTTTCAAACAAAAAAAAGGCGAATCGAATCATATCATAGATCAATGTGATTGAACATGACAGGGCGACCAAATGTCTCTATTTTTGGACATGAAATTTTCGTTGACGTCGTCTGCAATTGCATTTCCAACACACAAATACTATGATTTTTTGATTCAACTTATTTATTTTTGTGTAGTACTTTTGTGTATTTTTACACTTTGGTTTGGTACGATTGGAATTTCACATACCAAAATAACTAACCATTTTTTGCAAATATACAATTGTTTTTATTTATGAGAAAACATTTTTTGATGATAAAAATAGATGATATTTTGGCTAACTTGATTGGTCAAAATTTCATAAACCCATGTACGTAATAAACTAAAAATGAATCATCATTGTGTCAAATTCGTCGAAAAGCTGTTTCAGAGGTCACTTTGAACAATGAAAATTCTTCGAGTTTTATTTTGCCGCCGCCGCCGCAAAGGAAAATTGAAAGACGTTCATCAATTAGTTGGGTGTGGTAAAAATAAGTTGTGACGTAGAAATGTGTAGAAAACGATTGGGATTGTTTGGAAATTGAAGAAGCTGTGAGAGAAATTTATCAGAGAAATGAGGAAGTGGAAAAATATCTGGTCCTCTGGTCCAATTTGATATTTTCCCGTTGGGTTACCTCTAAAAATATTATGATCCCGGAGTATCAAAAATCACAATCACATGCATAAAATTAACCTCTCTTATCGGTTTCTTTCTAAAATTACAAACCAAACCATAATCCTCTGATTTTTCGTAGGAAAATTATCAGTTGTGGTACAAAAAACGGAGATTATTTTTGAATTTCCTGAAAAGTTTTTTGCCTCGAATTCGAGAATGAATTTTGATGACTTGTTGTTTACCAGATTTGAATTGGTATCACGTGAAAAAACAATTTGATCATATGGAAAATTGTATACTTTTAAAGGTTGTGAGATCAGAGACGTATCAATCATTTGTCGAGTTCTTCTAAAAATAGACGCGAATCAGTCAAGTTTTTTTTTTCTGAACAAGTTTTTGAAATTTGTATAAATTTTTTGAGGCCCCAAAAATGTTTTATTTTTAACAACAACAAAAAAATACATTTTCTATAATAAAAGTACAATTTTCAGATTTTTGAACTGTTGAAATTTTGCAAAAATCTAAGCACCGCCTGTTTTTTTTCTTTCCTACTCACTCAAAATACCAAGCAAAGTATACTGTAGGCAAATGGGGGCGGAGTCCGTAGAAAAATATCTGAAAAGTGTGGGAAGAAAAAATGGGGGCGGAGCTTCGTGTGAAAGCAACTATATAATCTCAAACAAACGCATTTATCATTCCGAATTATTATTTTCGAAACAAAAGAAATGCCCACATGCTTACCACCATGGCGATATTCAATGGAAGATTGCGCCGATTTGTATTAGAATACTACTGTAAATATTTTTGAATATATTTACAGTACTCTCTATTATTTTTTGATATTTATTTATCAAACTTCGCCTATATTTAATTATTCATTCAAACTAGATGATGATTGTTATTTTTATTATTTTTTTCTGTTTCATGGCAATGGATATATCTATACCTCATTTTGTTTATTACTGTCTGTAATCGAGCTTTACTTCGAATATCTACGGGACACCAGTTCACTTCTTCGATATGTTAACTTTTTCATCAACTGGAAGCTTTATCTTTTCAATCAATGATCTCGACAAAACACACCAAGGTGCATCATAATTGTATATTTTTCACATTAATAAAAAATTTAAATTATTATGTTTGTTCTTTGACTTCAAAAACGAAAAAATTGAAAAATGGACATGAACTTTGGTCAGCCAGACCCGAAAATTAAAGTTTGTGAGATTCTCATCGTCAGGAAAATCTCGGAGTTCCCATTAAAAATACCAGGGATGTTCCGGTAACTCAATAAATACTTTTTGCGCGTATTTTTCAATACATTCATTTTAAAAAATGTTCGTATTTTTTCAGTTTTCTAATTAAGGTTTCTCAAAATAAAATGTAAAATATTCCATTCGATAAGAAAAAAAGATCGAAAGAATAATTTTATGACAAATTTTGATAATTAAATAGAAAATTCCTCACATTCCACATTCTTTATCCGGGTTTTTTATTCATTCGATAAAATTATTTTATTATCTTTTGAGAATAAGGAGAATATTATGGAGATATTTGTCATAAGCTAATTTATGGGTGTGATTGAAAATTTCAGACGAAAATCATGAATAAATTCTGAACTTGCTCTTTGAACATACTAATTTTTGCATCATCGTGGAACAGCTGACCTTTCATTGTTGAACTTGTTCTACTTGGTATTTGCAAAATTTTTTAAAACAAATTCAGGATTTCTGGAACTAGAACTAAAAACTTCTAGGAATGCCTGCAAACTTTTACTAAGATCCGGAAATTCTGGTATTTATAAATATATCTTCAGGTCATCAGGAAAGCAGATGTTTTTGTCCTCTTTGTTCCATCTGCCTCCGTGCTTTTTCTCAATAATATTTACCTAGACTTAAAAAATATGACGTGACCTGGTTCTTCTTGCAAAAAAAGAAAACACGTGTCGTGTTCCAGGAAAACGAAAAAAATACGAGCAATTTGAAAACTTATTTTGATTTTATTGTCGTCAGTTATTTGCGTCATATGTGAATGTATCGAGTTACGAAAAAATGAGTGAAGAAGTTATTTTGAGGTCAGATTTTTAAAGTTTAACAAAAGCGCTGGATAGTTTGGGAAACCCTGTAGTACATTTTTTGCTGAGATTCACTTATTTTGAGCACGATGTCTCAGAATTCTCGATAGCGAAAAAACAAAAATTCAAAATTTGCAATAGAGCGCACTTTGTTGTTTGAGTTAACAAACGCGCAAAGCGTTACTTGGCTGACGCATTTTGTGTGAATAATTTTTGAAAACCAAAGGCGTCGAAAGGTTCAATTGACATCGAATTTCTGAATTTTAGGCATGAATGAAGGGAATTGGCGACATCAAGATAGCTGGAAAAATGAAAACGATGGACCGATTCCACCACAAGGTTAGTTTTTTTTTAAAATAACACCTAGAAAATAATATTTATAAAAAACGATATTGTTTAGATGCAGAATTGCGGGAGTCTATTGAGAGAACTGCAATGGCATGTGCAAAAAATGGACCACAATTTGAAAGTATGATGAGAGAAAAACAACGAAATAATCCGAAATTTGCATTTATGATGAAAGATGGTCATTATTTCGATTATTATCAATTTGTTCTAAGACAGAATATACAAAATCTACATGGTTCTGGTCCTCCACCAAATTTATTACCTCCATCTACGTCGAATTTCGCACCTCCACGACAAACAATTCCATCTTTGATGGATATAGATTCACCAGAAATTTCGGAAATAAAAACACAAATTCAAGAACTAAATCAGAAAATATCAGACAGCGAAAATAATTTGAAAGCTCACGAAGATGGATTAGAAACTATTCTACAGGTAAAAAATATTCAAGATTTCGAGCATTTTCCATCTATATTTATTTTCAGAGTCATTTCTTGGCTACTGTGAGATCTGCAGAAACAGAAAAAATCGAGAAACTATTGCGAGTGCAGAATTTCGATCGTCATGAATTATCTTCGCTAGTTGAACATATGTCAAATCCAAAATGTTCGAAAGATTCAATTTCGGTTAGAGAATATTTAGATTTTTTATTGAAAAAGATAAAATGATGAGAAAATTTTGCAGAACACTAAAAAATGGATTTTCGAAAATTGCACCACCGATCAATTGCGAGAAATTATTCTGACATATTTATTGAACACTGTGAAAAGTCTGGAATCTAGTGAATATATGCGATTACATATTCTTTATCTCATCAACGATTGGGCTTTTCATTGGTTGGTAAATATTTATTTTGATTTATTTCAATTTTTCTGAATTTTTTAGTCAACGAAAAAAAGAGGATAATCAAATGAAAATGCTGGCGAGATATGTCCCAAAAATGTATGCATATTGTTGGGAACTATCAAATTCCAGTGATATGCGTGAAAAGTTGGAAGGAAAATTGTTGGGCGAATGGGAGGGTCGCGGGTATTTTCCGGTGACTGTTTTCAAACAACTCAGGAACACGGGGCAAATTGTGCAATCGGATCGAGATATTGAATTGGCATCGTATGGAAGTGTTAAGGAATCGATTAGAACGAATTTGATGGCAACGTATGCGGGGTATGAACAACAGCATTTGTCGTATTCGCAACATATTCGGAAACAGATTGAGGAACTTCAGAAAAAAATTGAAGGTGAATACATAATTTGTAGTCACTTCACAACATTTTTCAAAGCCACTCTTCACATTTTTAATCGAAAAAGTGTGGTTTTCATTGATTTTCAGCAATTTTTTTATAGAAAATTCCACTTTACTATTTTTTTTCAAAATCCTGTGGTCTCAGTTGCGAGGACACAAAAAATTATCGATTTATTTTTTCGGAAAAAAACGTGACCTTGATTTTTGTTCGACGTGTCATTATTTTTCATTTCGTGAAAAAACCATTTTGTGTTTTTTCTTCCTAATTTGTTGGTTTTCAGAATTAAAATACGGACCTTCGACATCTCAAATCAATCTTCCTCCAGCTATTGCAAGTTCCAGAAGATCAAGATTTGATCAAACTCCGCAAGAACGACAAACTGCAAGGAATCAGTGGAAACAAGGTTTGTCCTCATTATTTTTGAGGAAATTTCATCTAAATTTACTTTTTTCCAGATTCTCATGAAAAGCCCAGTATAGATGGAGATGATATTGATGGAACACCATTTGATGAAACTACACTGAAACCTAAAAAATCCTATATGGCACTTCCGGCTGGAATAATGGTTCCTCTTGTGCCAATCAATGAGTTTGGTGTGAGTCTGAGAAGTTATGATACATTCTGAAATGTGTTTTTCAGTATAAACCGATTGATCCAACGAAACTTGAGATGCCTCCACAAGTACCGCCATCACAATCACTTTTAGCTGCAAAAGATGCATTTTATAAATGTTTGAATTTGGATTCGATTGTGAATATTGAAGGAGGGTAGGTTTTTGTTTTCAAAATTTTTTCGAATCCCAATAATATAATTTCAGATCAGATGATTGGGATATTCAAAATTATCCGACAGAATTTCTTGATCGAAAAGCTGCGCTGAAAAAAATTCATTTGGCACAATTAAAAGCGGAAAATGTTGATTATGAAGATACGATTCTAAATAAACCGACGAAGGTGGAAGAAGAAATAATGGAGAAGGAAAAACGAGAAAAATGGACGAAAATGATTGATTCGATCAATCAAAAAGTGGAAGAATATTATGCTGATCAACCGATTGAAGAAGAAAATTATAGAAATGAGAAGAGACAAAGTCGAAGTCCAACAAGAAGTAGATCGAGAAGTTCGGAAAGTCGAAGTTCTAGCAGTGATAGTAGTGGAAGTAGTGATAATGAAAGAAGATCAAGTCGCAGAAAACAATCGAGGAGTAGAAGTAGAACACCGCCAAGAACAAAGTTCAATCGATCGCCATCTCCAGAAACGTGAGTTCAGGAATTTTTTTTTGGATTTTTAGCATATGTTTTTCAGACATGTATCTTTTGGCTCATCAAGTTTCCGTGCTCCAAATGCTCCATTATCATATGACAACAAAGGTGCACAACTTATGGCGAAAATGGGTTGGAGTGGCAGAGGATTAGGAGCTAATGAATCAGTAAGGTTTTAGTTTAATTAATAAATTTCAAATAGATTTTTAGGGTATTGTTGAGCCGGTTGAAGGTGGTGAAGTTCGAGACAGAACAGATCAATTTAAAGGATTGGGAAAATCAAATGATGCTTATGAACAATTCAGAAAACAACGTTCTGGAAGTTATCACGAACGTGGATCAATGTTTCGAAAAGGATTTTGAATACATATTTATTATTTTTTTGTTTTTTTTGTGAGAACTGACTGGTATTTTGTTTTTGTTTTTTATCAGTGAATAAGTCATATTTTTTAATTTTTAAAAAATTATTTTGGTTTTTCACAAATTGGTCAATTTAACCAATAATTACTTTTAGCCAAAAAAAATTTTTTCTACCAAATATTCAGATTTTTCTAGAGAAATGACACGGTTGATTTGGTTATTATGGCTAACTTTGATCAGTGGGAGTTTGGCGATATTTGAAGATCAAGTTGGAAAATTGGATTGGAGAAAGGAATTGGTCGGATGTCCGAATAATGTGGTATTCGATAAAGTTGAACGGTTGGTTTGAAATATTGTTTTTTTTTTTTTGAAACTGAAATTAAAAATGTTGGTTGGTTTCAGGGGATCGGATCGTATTATTTTGACAACGGATGAGGATATTTTATCGGCTCTTTCGCTGAATACTGGTGAAATTGGTGGGTTTTTGTGCTTGGGAGATGGAAAAGGATTTGGGCAGAAAATTGCTCCAGCGACTCGGGAGAGACCTTTTTTGAATTACATTAATGCCCCTAAAATTAAATATTCGTGAAAAATTCCAATTTAAATTTGAAAAAAAATTTAACCAAAAAAGTGTCCAAAAAATCTGTACAGCTACCGAGTTCCTTTAAATTCAAAATTCTGTCGATTTTTCAGCTTGGCGACGAATTCTGGAAAAACGAACAAATCCATCGTACACTCCAGTTGTCTCCACTTCTGATCAAGATTATATTTACACAGTTTCCGATGAAGGAAGAAGTATTCGAGTGTTCAGAAAAGCAGATGGAGTTCTCAATTGGCAATATTTGTTGGATGAGGAAAAATCTGAGATGTAAGTTTGAACAAATTTTTTAATTGCAATAAATTTTTCCAGTGCTGATATAATTACAACAAGTACAAATATTTTTGTGACGAATTCGAGGAAAATTGCGATTTTCGAAAAGAATCGCGAGACTCCGATCGGTGTTCATAATTTGCCAGCTGGTGTCAGGTTTTCGAAATTTGTCAGATCGGCTGATGAAATTTTGAACCTGGTGATCCGAGAAAATTCGCAATCTATCGATGTTCGAAGTGTTTCGCCGGAAAATGTTGAAGTTGTCAGAAGCATCCAGGGAAATGTGAAAAATATTGAGAAATGTGAAATTGTTGGAGAAAATCTCGTATGCTATCACAGCGATAGTTTAACAGTTTTCAATGTGCAGTCGGGTACTTCAAAAGATATTTCAACTGCATTGACAATCACACAAATTGGAGGAAATTCGAAATATTTGATTGTTCGCAGTCAAAGTAGTGTGAAAATCTATGGCGAGAATTTATTGGAAGTCGCGAAAATTGATGGAAAATATGATGCGTTTAGTTTATCCAATGATTATTTGATTTTGGCAAGCAAGGGTGAAATTCGAGTTGTTTCGTTGCAAAATGGAAATGTTTTATTCAAGGTTTGTCTGAATTAAAAACAATTTGGCTCATAAAATGTATTTTTTCAGACAAATTTGGCTTCATCTGAAACACGTGTTTCTCCTCGGCGAATTTATGCATCTTCAACAAAAGATATCGAATTAATTGTAATTGGAGAAGATTGTAAAATCGAAATGATTGTTATTGAAATTGGAAAACAAGCAATAATTGAATGGAAAAGAGAAGAATCTCTTATGAGAATATCAGCCGTTGAAATGGTTGATCTACCATTATCCGAAAGTCAACAATTAATTGAGGATGAATTCGATGAGCAACAACATAATATTATCAGCGCATTTATTCGTCGTATTGTTGTTCAAATTGGACAAATTCGTCGATGGGCAATTCGAAGTGTTGAACAATTATTCGCAATAACTGCCACGTTTTCGAGTAAAAATGGAAATGGATTTTCGGATTTTGTGAAAAGCGTGAAACAATCTGCATCAACTTCATTTTCAAAAGATGGACCATTTGAAAGAGATTTATTCAATATTCGAAAATTAATCATTGTTTCCACTCTTGATGGTGTGATTTTCGGTTTAGACAGCGCTGGTGGTGATATTTTATGGAGATTTTATCTTGGTGAGAATTTTTCGCCACTCAAATCTGAAATTTCTGGAAATTCTCAATTGCCATTATTTGTTCAACGAACAACTGCACATTATCAATTAAATGGTCAAGCTTCTGTTATATTTTCGGATTCAGTAACTTCAAATGGTATTATTGTTTCGTTCAATCCAATTACCGGTGAAATTGTTTCGCGAGAAGTTTTGGGAGGAAAAATCAAACGAGTTTCGCTGTTACCAAATATCGATAAATCCACGCATGTTCATCCATTGATTATTCTACAAACTAATGGAGCTATCAAATATTTCCCAGAAATTGAAGAGGTTCAAGGAAGTTTGCATATGTTGGATGTTGAAAAAGATAATCGAATTGTTGGAGGACTCAAAATCAATCTGGCTAAGAAAACTATCAAAAAAGTTTGGAGTGGAAATCTTGGTTTGAGTCAAAATGATCAAATTATTGCGATCAAAGGAAAACCATATAATCGTGTGTTTTTATTTCAGAATTCTAAAATTATAAAAATACAAATTTTCCAGAAAAAGTGCATTCACAAGGTCGTGTTTTGATTGATCGAAATGTTCAATACAAATACATCAATCCAAATTTGGCCGCAATTGCTGCAATCAATCCAACATCACAAATTCTAACAATTATTTTGGTTGATGTTGTGTCGGGTCAAATTGTTCATTCAGCGTCGATTGGAAAAGCCGCTGGACCTGTGCATTTTGTACATTCGGAGAATTGGTTGGCTGTAAGTTTTTGATTATTTTGTTAGGGTAGTTTTTACTCAACACTTCAAATTTTTATGAAATTTTGTCCATGGACAGCTTTTGGGGTCAAAAGAACACTTAAAAAATTTTAGTGGATCTCTGAGCCAAGTTCTGGCCTCTCAAAAATTGCCAAAATTGACTCATAGCTATTTTTGGGAGAAACAAAGTTTCAGATATTAATCAGCATAGTCGATTTACTAAAAGTACGCCAATAAAAAACATTTTTTCAAAAAAATTTGAAGTTGTTTCATTTTTCGGCTGAAAATTCATGTGCTCTTTTTTCCAAAATCAAAATTTTTCTGACAATTTTAATTTGATGAGAATTTGATTTATCGATGCTTTTTGAACAATTTTTGAACTTTTGTTGACCCCAAAAGTTGTCCCTGGACAAAATTTCATCAAGATTTGAAGTGTTGAGTAGAAAAAGGTTCCCTCGTTTGATTTATCCAAAAATTTAATATATTTACAGTACTCGTATTGGTCCGAAAAAGGAAGAAGAACTGAACTTGGAATAATTGAACTTTATGAATCATCTGATTCACCATCTCAAAAAGAAACATTCAATTCATTGATTCCAACTGAACATGCTCCTGTTGTTATGACTCAAGCATATATTTATGCAAATGGTGTTGAAGCGATGTCGGTTTCAGAAACTGGTGAGATATTTTTTCTATTTTTTCCCCATTTTTATATTGATGCAAACCTCACCCAATACCTGGAATTCCAGGTGGGCAATTTTTTTTCGAAAAACCTAGGTGGGCAAATTTTTTTAGGGTCTTTAAGGCGAGCCTCAGCTGGGCAAAATTTTTTTAGGGTCTTTAAGGCCAGCCTCAGCTGGGCAAAATTTTTTAGGGTCTTTAAGGCGAGCCTCAGCTGGGCAAAATTTTTTTAGGGTCTTTAAGGCGAGCCTCAGCTGGGCAAAATTTTTTTAGGGTCTTTAAGGCGAGCCTCAGCTGGGCAAAATTTTTTTAGGGTCTTTAAGGCGAGCCTCAGCTGGGCAAAATTTTTTAGGGTCTTTAAGGCGAGCCTCAGCTGGGCAAAATTTTTTAGGGTCTTTAAGGCGAGCCTCAGCTGGGCAAAATTTTTTAGGGTCTTTAAGGCGAGCCTCAGCTGGGCAAAATTTTTTAGGGTCTTTAAGGCGAGCCTCAGCTGGGCAATATTTTTTAGGGTCTTTAAGGCGAGCCTCAGCTGGGCAAAATTTTTTAGGGTCTTTAAGGCGAGCCTCAGCTGGGCAAAATTTTTTAGGGTCTTTAAGGCGAGCCTCAGCTGGGCAAAATTTTTTAGGGTCTTTAAGGCGAGCCTCAGCTGGGCAAAATTTTTTTACTAGGTGGGCAAATTTGGTAAATAAACCCAGGTGGGCAATTTTTTACCCACTTCTCCAGGTTCTTGGGTGAGGTTTGTATTGATGTTTAGAGCAAGGTTTAACTACACGATCAATTCTTCTCGCTTTGCCATGTGGAAATATTCACGAAGTTTCGAAGAGAATATTAGACGCAACACGACCATTTGAAGTGACACAGGCGATGAGAGAAGAAATGATTATTGGATATATGCCTGAAATTCCGATTGCAACTGAAGAAATGATCAATTATAATCAAACGATTCATCGAGTTCGAGGAATTAAAGCAGCGTATGTGTCTTTTTGGAAATAATGATAAATGGTTATCCATTTTCAGACCCGCGGGATTAGAATCAACTAGTCTTGTTTTGGCATATGGAACTGATCTCTTCTTCACTCGATTGACTCCGTCAGGAACTTTTGATATACTCAAGGTATGGTTTTTTTCAGAAAACCTATTGAAAATTGATTTGAAAACATTTTTTGTTAATTTATTCCCAAAGCCTGATTTCAGGCAGAAAATAAGGATTTTTTTTTTCAAAATTTAGTTTCACCGCCAATTTAAAATTTAAAAAAAATTGGTCCACAAATAAGAAAATCAGTTCAATTTTTTGGCCCGAGCTCATTTTCAGATTCCCAAAAATTAATTTCTGAAAATAAAATTCAACAGTTTAGAATTTTTTCTGAAAAATGTTAATTTATTCCCAAAGCCTGGTATCAGGCAGAAAGTAATGGGGTGATTCAGGTCGAAAAAAAAAACTAAAAAAAAAAAACATTTTTTTTACAAAAAAATTCGATTCAGCAAATGTCAAAAAACTATATTTTTTTCCACACAAAAATGAGATATATCTCGCAGCGAAAATGTTTCAATGAAAAACAATGTCAAAAAATGTCGAGAAATAGAAAAAAAATATAGTTTTTTGACATTTGCTGAATCGAATTTTTTTGTAAAAAAATGTTTTTTTTTAGTTTTTTTTTCGACCTGAATCACCCCATAAGGAATTTTTTAAAAATTTTCCCAAATTTAATTTTACCCCAATTTAAAATTTGATAAAATATTCATTTTGGAGAAATTTTGTCTATAAAGAAAAAAAGTTCAATTTTGCCGCGAGCTTATTTTAAGATTCCCAAAAATTCTTAACTTCTGAAAATAAGATTTGAGAAAAATAGCCTTCTGAAAGTGCTATTTTTAAAATACAGTTCCTTCAACAAATCAAATTTACAGGACGATTTTGATCACGTGTTGATATCTCTAGTCTTAACTGCTCTCGTCGTTGGTTCATATGTCGCAAAACGTTGGGCCAGAGCGAATGCATTAGCCGCTCAATGGGCATGAAAAACCTCCTCTACAAAAAATCGCCTAATTTTCAAATTGATTCCGGGTTTCATCTCTTTCCCGTCTATTTGTTTCAAATAATTAATTTATTATCGCCATTAGACCATGTTTTTGGAGCTTTATTGGTCCCCTGTGTTTTTTTTTATTTATAACTTGTGATGTTTCGTTTTAAAAGTATTCCATTTTATTATCTTAGTTTTTTTTTTTGATAATAAATCATTTTGCTTTTTTTTATCAGTTTTGTTGAAAATGGAAAATGATGTAGGTTTTGAAGAGATTTCGAAACAGCCTGAACTTCGAAATAATAAGATAATATTTGGAATTCAGTGGATTGTGACTGATTTATATTCTCGAATCATATTCTTGAATTCAAATTCGAAAAATAGTATTTTGTATTTCTTGGAATTTCAAAATTATTCACAAAATCAATCAATAATTTGCACTTATGAATGGAATTTGAACTTCGAGTAAGTTTTGAATTTTTTCTTCTAACTTGTAAATAAAAATGTGGATTTTCAGAAATTCCAAAAATATTATAAAAATGTTGATTGTTGAAGATGGAAAGCAGAAAGAAGTTTCGCTGAAATACTTCAAAGAATATTTGGAAAAATATAGGAACATTTTGAGAAGTGTTATGATAAGTGTGGTTTGTTTTTCAGTAGACTTTGAGAGAAAAAATAAAATTTTTTGTGCAAAAATATAAAATAAGATAATTTCTCAATATTATTACAGTATGATTTCTCCTTCACTGAATTCAATCTAAAAAACCTGCCAAACTTGGACGAAATCAAAATTCAAAGATCATCGCATGAAATTGATCTTCTAGATTCCGAATTTCTTACAACAAATCAGGTGATATCAAAATATACAATTTTCAAAATAAATTGTTTTTTTCTAGATTTTCAAAGCTCAAGATATTGTTTCACTTCCTGCTACAAAAATAACTTTCGATCAATTATTGAATTTTCGAGCTCGAGAAATATTGATTGATTTTATTGGGATCAATGCATATGAAATCAAAAAATACCTTGAACTTTGGAAAAATGGAAATTTACATCGAAATCTTCAATTATTGCATATTAATTTTATGAAAACTTCGAGGAAAATTAATATAAGTTTGGTTCAACGAAACTTGGAAGTTTTTGAATATAAATCAGATGAACAAGGATTTACTACATTCAAAATTAAGAATAATAATAATTGTTCAGCAACCATCGAGTTTTCAAAAAATTCATATTTTGTCGCACGATTTGATGTGAGCTGAATATTTAGATTTTATGAAATTTTTTTTTCGAATTTGTTCAAAAACTAAAATGTAAATAAATTTATCACAAAAAAACGTGTCACATTGAAAAAAAGCACCCGGGATTGATCAAAAACACAACAAATTTGGTAGCAATTTGCAAAAAAAGGCACATGAAAAATCACAAGAAAGAATTTTTGGGAGAAAAAAGAGAGCACCCGGTTTGACAAAAATAACCCGCGAGGTTGAAAATTTGGGGGGAAAAATTAGGAAAATTATTAAATATAATCACCATCGTAATGATGAGGATTTCGTTTCGAATCGATATATCTGGCTCGGCTTTGATACTGCTCTTCCGGCGGCGAAAGTGAACGCTGGCGGCGTTGGTTTCTGGATTTTTTGGAGGACTTGGAGGAACTCGAAGAAGAGCAACAGAAAGACATCGGGCAAACCCAGCAGCGAATAAGTGGGATGATTAATTTGGTGATAAGGAGGTAGAGAATAATGAGGACACCGAGATAGACGACCAAATCTGTGACTAGCATTACACCATCGCCAAGTGAACTGATTCCTTTGATCCAATGAGCTGGGTTGAGGAATCTGGAAAAAAAACGGGTTTGAAAAAATTCACTGTTTCAAAAAATCGGTAAATAATGAATGGGACCCCAAACGGGACTCCAAATGACTGAATGGGACCCCTGTTTTGAAAAATCGTCGTGATGAATGGGCCCCCAAAATAATAAAATGGGACCACAGAATTTTTTTAAATTGTCTAAATGGGACCCCGCAAAAAAGGGACCCCGTTAAATTTTTGTGTTAGTACGAATGGGACCCCCATTGAAATTTTTTCAGAATGGGACCACATGTAGGCTTAAACTTAGACGTATTCTCAGCACTGGGGTTAGGCTTAGGCTTAGGCTTAGTTAGGCCTTTAGGCTTAGGCTTAGTTAGGATTTTTAGCTTAAGCTTAGGCTTCAACCTTTGTATCCCTTTCAGTATAAAATTTCAGTGGGGTCCCATTCGTACTAGTAAAAAATTCAACGGGGTCTCTTTTTTTACGGGGTCCCATTCAGACAATTCAAAAAAATGCTGTGGTCCCATTCGTCACGACGATTGTTAAACACCGGGGTCCCATTCAGTCATTTGGGGTCCCATTCATTATTTGCCCAAAAAAATCTGCATCCCAAAAACAAAACTAACTTCATAACTCCATTAAAATTAACTTGATTACAAGTTGGACAGGTTCCAATCATTTCATGCCATTTTCCTTCAATCAAATCGATTTCCAGCGGACTTTCATGATATTGAATAACTCGACAAATCGCATCTCGATCCGACATTTCATCCGCTTTCATACAAATCATTCGAGGGCCATGTTCGACAATTGCCGGAAGTGGGATTATCATTGAACGATTTGCAGCCGTCAAATCACTCACATATGTTGTGAATGTATGGATATTTGTGGCCGTGTTTTCAGTCGAATATTTCACCATTCCATCGATTTTTCCAGATGCTCCATAAACTGTGACATTGAAGAAACGATTTGATCGAGAATCAACGATGATTGTTCCCGAAAAATCGCGAATTTTTGATGAATTGTGGAAAAATACCAGATTTTGACCATCCTCTTCGTCCACTGCAAAAAATTCAATCAGAATTTCTGAATTTCAGAAAAATTCCACAGATTCCCCGCAAAAACTCACAATGCAACGTAATATGCAAACTAGTTCCCTCAGCATGTGTAACAATCGCCTGTCTCGCAGTATTATCATAAATCCTTGCAGATTGAATCCAAGGTAGAATAACTTCCAGCGGTCTCGATAAATTGAAATGTCCTGGCATATAATTATTGGCCGATAGAATACTTCGATACGTTTGCTCTTTGCAATTTTTCACTTTCGCTTTGTGAATATCATCGATTTTTACCACTCCGTTGTTCACGTGGAATTTGCCATTTTCATCCATTCGGTACCATCCAAGACGATCGAAACTGGAAAAAAATCGGATTGTTTGGGGACTTTTTTGGAAATCCAAAAATTAAATGGGTTGTCCTTCTACGTGAAAAACCAATTCCGCAATTGTCCGTCAGGTTTTTTAACTAATTTTAATTGAGTCTATTGATTGGGGATACCTAATTAGTTTTTTGCGACGGTGAAAAATTTCACTACGGTACGCTATTTGTGCATTTGTACGTCGCGGTGTTTACACACTAGATAGTAATTTCAGAGAATTTTCAGCATCTTAGAATCAATTTCGGAAAACGCTGAATATACTATCTTATTCGTCTCCGCGAGATGAGCCAGGAAAACTATTTACTTGTTTCTGAAACGCATTCTCAAAAAAGTTATGGGCTGAAAATCAAAGCAAATCAAAGGCGCATACATTTTTCGAAAGAGTGAGGTTTGATCCCAGTTTTTCACGTTTTTCTACGTGAAAACGACATTTTTAAGGTGTGAACTCCGAGAGAAGTACACACAAATATCTAAATCATGTATGCGATAGAGCAAACTTTCTTTCCTACCCAAATGACTCACTTATTATCAGATCTCTCATTCAATGGTTGTCTTCTCAATTCTTCCATTTCACCTCCAACACTTGTTCTCGTAAAATACATTCCAGTTTCCAATTGATGCGATGCTCTTCCGCCTGCGGTAACCGCAAGTGAAATACGTTTCGCGGAATCCAAATGTGTATCTTGAGTTCCGCCATCCAATTGACTTCGGATTGTTGTTTTATCTTTTTCGACCCATCTTCCATTCACAAAATCATAAGCTGTGTAGACAAATGTGGCATACGTTGAGGGTTGTTCGAGTTTGACTGCGGTGAATGTGAGATTTCTAGAAAAAAATTGTTAGAAAAATTTTTCCTGATAAGAAAAACGCGGAAAAAACTCACTTATACGGTTTGAATTTGACATCACAGCACAATTTCGGACTATCATCTTCGCTACATCCAATCGGTGTTTGATTTGGGAAAAAAGTTCGATAACACGATGTGGATTCGTCAATTTTATCCGATTCTGGACAAGCTGTGAATTGATGTGATTCAGCTGTACATGTGCTCGATGTTGAATCGCATTCACAAATACAATCGGCGTGAACTTCGGGAATTCCAAAAGTGTAACTTTGAGTGATCTGGAAAAACGTCTACGTTTCGGAAAAGTCTGAAATTTTTTGCACTAACCGGATGATGATGTTCCAATTTCTCCAATCGAATTGTGTGCAATAAACTCGTCTGATTTTCAGCCGGCTCAACGCCATCTAAAAAATTCGAAGCCAAAGGCAAGCCTTCATGAAGCCGAAAACAGACAGCCGTGTGAAGTCCGATGTAGAATTGCATTTGCATTCCTCGGCCAACTTGAGATCTGGTGTCTGGAAACATATCATTTCAGATGGACTTTGTCTGAAAATTCCAGTCTTTTTTCGAAAAAAAACACATATGATTCATCAATTTGATTTGATTTGATATGATATGATGAATCATTGACTAAGTCTTTTCCGAAAAACGATAAAAATTTTCGATTTCGAAATTTTGTTTGAGGATTTCCGGTGGGTTTTGAGTTGCAAAATTTTTGATCTACCAGAAATCTACAGTACTTTTTTTGAAGAAAAATTTATTTTCTAGAAATTTCTTGAGTTCAGTAACTAATTCTTATGGATTTTGAACTACGTAAAAAATATGAAAAAATTACTGTGGATAAAATTTCCCAAGAAAAACTACAGTACCTCAAAAATCTTCTAGATTTTTATCTACCTAATGAAATAGGAACAAATTACAGCTTTTCAATCTACAGTACCCTAATCATCTTCTAGATTTTGATCTACCCAAAAACCCCTACTCACTTTGCGATGTGTGTGCCGTGACAATCGGTGTTTTAGTGCAATGCGGCGGCTGAACTGGAAATAATCCTCGAAAAATTTCCTCGGTCGGATAAGCGGCCAAAACATGAAAAATAATGGTGAAAATCCACCATTTCGGAGTCATTTCTGATCTGGAAAAAATGGGGAAATGAAGCTGTACTTTTCGAAAAATGAAAAAAGCGAAAAGAACAGTGTTCTCACTAATTAAATCATCATATTTGGGTGAAATTGAAATTGATACTTTTTTGTGGAACACACAAAAAATTTTATCAACCACAACATTTTGACAAGAGAAAAAATGAAGAAATTTTGGGGGAGGCAGATTGTTTTTTGATTGATTAGTTGTGAAGAAACTAATCTGATCCTAATCGAATTTTTTAGTTGTCACTAAATTTCGACATGCATCATTATTCATCTTCATTTTGTGGTTGTTGAATATCAAATTGATAGGGGCGAAAAATCAAGAAGATTTTGATTAATTAGGTAGAGGGAGAAGCTGAGCGAGAAGGCGGGATGTGACCTTTTTTGATGGGGAGAAACCGGTTTTTTGAAATGGATTATGACATTTTGGAATTTTCAAGAGATTTGGGGAAAAAAATCACATGAGAAAGATAACATGAGCAATTATTTTTGAAATTCAAAAACATTTTTGAAGGCATGAAAAAATTCACTGTTTCAAATTTAGCCTAATTGATTTCCGGGATCCTAGATTCAATAATCGGATATTCCGCTAATTATTTAAAATCCACGTGACAAGAATTATTTGAAAAAAACTGAATTAAACTCAAAATTCCACGTGGCAAGCCAGAAAAATTTGGCGCATAGAACATTTTCAAAAAATTAACTGTTTCAAATTTTTCATATCTGTTTTTTTTTGAATTGTATGAGCTGCTGGGCTTGTTTCTAATCCAAACGGCAAAATTTTGAATTCAAAAAGTTTTTCTTTTGATTTTTCAGCAAGTTTTACTTGCCAATTTTGAAGCCATAATTGAATTTGGTATATGGAAATTCCACGTGGCAAATACTACCTTGAAAATGACGTGACAAATTAAATTAATTTTAAAAATTAACATTTTAAATTTCCTACGCTAGTATAAAAATTTGGGCCTTAAGGCTTACTAGTAGCTTTCAAAACTTTCGTAACACAAAGAAAATTTTATGAAATATTACAAATCCTTAACAGTTCACTTAACATTTCAGCCCGAGAGAAAAATCAATAAAAGTGTCCAAGTTAACCGAAAAAATGAGAAGAAAAAGAATGGAAATAAAAATATATATAATCATAAAAAAACAGGAAACTATGACTAATGAAAAAAAAACATTTTTTCTCTAGAAAAATATTTTACTGTTTCAAAAATCAATGATTCATCCAAAATATCCCATAAATTTTATTCCCCCAACAAAAAAAAACATTAAACTTTGTGTTCCAGAAAAGTTTAAAAATAAACAACAAAACTTATGATTAATGGGCCCTACAGTAGCTATTCGCGCAAAGGGAAACTATGTCAAGATTAGATCAAAATTCGAGATAAAATACCCAAATTTTAACCACACCCAATTAATTAATCAATCAATTCAACGTAAAAAATATATGATAATTTTTGTTGGCAACGGGAAAAAAAATATTCGAAAAAGATATGATCGAGTTATCATAATTCGAAGTGACAGGAAATAACCCAATTTTCGTTGTGGGGGAAAAAGTGGGCGGGGTTTGAGAGAGGAAACAGATAAGAGAGACTGTCAGTGCTCAATTTAAATTAACAGTGTGAAATATAGTGTACCCAAGTTTTCGAAATATTTCCTGATTACGTGGCTACAGTAATTTAATATGAGCAATTCTGGGGAATATCTAAAAACTTCTAGAGACGCAGAGAAACCTGAGTCAACCTGGGAAACAACTACAGTATCCCAATATTTTTGAAACGCAAAATTTCTCGAAACCGTATAAGTCTATCTTTTCTCCCTGCGAGATATCGTGCAAACCCGAAGAGACGCAGAGAAAATCCCTATCATTCATCAAAAAACCCAAACCCAAACCCAATAAATCATTCGCGCACCAAACCGTAATTGACACCTAGGAAATAGAGAAGTGATCCAAAATTCCTCTAATCTTGATAAATCATCTATTTTTGCATCTCAAGATTAATTATCCTCATCTCATTTTACCTCATTTCCTCGAGTTAGGCTAAACTAAATAAACATCGATAACATCTACAGTAAGCGAGCGATACAACCTCCAATTTTTACACGGTTCATAGGCTGGCATGATCTAATCGACAAGTGTTGATTACTCAATTTGGGATGAGGTGGGGAAGAAGAAAAACCGGATTGAGTTAGGATAACTCAATTTTTTGCCCAGTGATGAAGATGGATTATGTGTGATTGGCAAAAGCCGACCTAATTTATTGTAGTTGAAAAAAATCACTGTTTCAAAGAATTAATTTAGATTTTTTCGTGAGGGGATTCAAAATTCAAATATAATGATGAGAAAAATATTCCATACTAACCAAAATGTTTGAAAAAAGTTCAATTTCTCGAAAGTCTTATGCGAAAAAAAGAAAAAAAAAACATTTTTAATCAGGTCACCAACAAAGTGTCAAGAAAAGAAAGAAAATTGATGAGAAAACTGTTTTTTCTCTCGCTTCTTCTTCTTTTTTTTATTTAACAACTATTGTTAACTAAATAAATAATAATGAAAAAAGGAGGAAAAATTGGGTGTAATTATGAATATTTTTATATTATTGTATTATGAAAAACAGCCCAAAGCAAAACAATAATAACAGAAAGTCGAGAAGTGGTTCGGATTAATTTTATGTCAAGTGTTTTGAAGTTAGGTTAGGTGTAAAGTAATATTGCTCAGGTTAGGAAGAGGGGGGTTTAAAATTAGAAAATTCAGAATTTCCAAGCTCAAAGTTTTGATCTACATTTTATTTTTTTATTCGAGGAACTTTGAGTCCCAAAAAATTTAGTCACCAAAATTCCAAAGGGTCCTTTAATATTTAAAAAATACTGTAGCTCCTAAAACTCATTTTTTTCAAAAAAAATTCAAGATAAAATCTACCTAAAAAATTCATACAAAATTTGTAGATCAAAAAATCCCGGACCTGTACAAAATCCGTTATTCTAGCCCAAAAAGTCTCCCAATTTCAATGAATATAAATTCAAAAGTGACGAAATTTTTGAATAAGCAAACAACAAATGAATAAAAGTTGCATATTCGATGAATAAATATATGAATACAGTAAACAAACAAGTAAATTAAGTGCTTTTAGGGTGAATTTCCTCTATTTACTTACATTAGGGACTTTAGGGTAGTCAGAAATCCAAGATTTTTAAGCCACATTCAGAAAAAAAGAGAAAAGAAAGAATATACAAAACAAATACAATAAAGCGAAAAAAGATAGAGAGAATCTCGTTGGCGAAAAAAAAAACATCGAATGGCAGGAAGAATGTAAAGTGATAATAAAAGTAGCAAGAATGAGAAGAAATTTGTGGGGGGATTTTTCGGTTCACTTATTCTTTTTAAACATTTACATATCTATATGTACATAGATTTTGATTTTAATTGGCTTTACGGTTTGTTTTCTTGAAGGAGAAGGCAAAAAAGTTAGATTTCGAGATTAAAAAAATCCAGAATCTGGAATTCTAAATTAATTACAGAACAAAAATACAGTAGTTAAATTTTTGATATTTTTTCTAGATCATTTATCAAAACCTTTCTTCTACAGTATACTGTCTTATAAGCCAGAATTTTGTAGATCTTTTTCAAATTTCAGCTATGGATACTGTAGGTTTCGAAAAATACTGTAGGTCAATTTTCCGGAACTATTTTTTCAAGGTTACTGTATCCAAATCCAAAATTTTGAAACTAAAAATTTCGCAATTCTGTAAATTCTTGAAAGAAGCTTTCTCTACAGTATCCCTTAACCTACAGTACCTCTAAAAACCTACGGATACCCCAAGTACTTCCCCCAGAAAATCAATAAAAAAAACGATTACGAAATATTTTTCCAACAACTAAAAAACTTCTTGGGTTACTGTACTTAACTCTAAAATTTTATGACTTTTTTTTATTTTTCACTAATAAAATCGGGTTATTTTTAGTACTGTAGGTAGGTAGGTCAAATCAATTTTTGGAAAACTTTTTTTGAGCAAAAAAACAGAGAAGCTAAGCTAAGTTAATTAGGCCCAGCTTTTTTGAGGGATAGCAAAGCGAAAAAAGGGATAGGGAAAATTGATTTTTTTCAGAATTGCAATGTTACAAATTTTTCGAAATTAAACTTCGGGCGGTAAGATGAATGAGAGGGACACAAAATTTAATAAAAACAAATTTTTTTCGAACACAAAAATTTATCAAAAATTAAAAATGACTAATAGTTTTTTTTTTCTTCAAAAAATATCACATAAAATTTTTTCTCATGAACAGAAAAATGTCAATTTTTTCTGTTTTCACAACAAAAAAACTACATTTTTTTAATTGCGGTTTTCGACTAGTTTTTTCAATGTTTTGAGACACAAAAAAATCGATGCGCGGTCACAGATTTTTTGTCAAAAAATCTCGAAAAAACAGTGAGCACAGAAAACAATTTCTGAGAAAATAAGAAATACAGAAAAAAAAATATTTTGGCCTCTAAATAAATAAAAAGATGGGTAGGAAGAAAAGAGACAAAAAAACATAACATTTTTTTTCTAAAAAAAAAAGATAGAAAAGTTACAAGTTGTTTGGTAGAAAAATGAGAGAAAAAGAGAAAGTTTTCTAGAATGAGAGAACGACAAAAAATGTATGAAACTCTGGGGATTTTTGCGCGGGATTTCAAAATTTCTAGTTTAGTCTAAGTTTTTTTTGAATTTTAGGCCTGAAAATTGAATTTTTAAACTTTGAAAATTTCACTGTTTCAAAAAATTTATTTAATTTTCTAGAACATTTGGATAGACATTAAAACAAAGTTGATTGTGTTCTGAAAAAAATTGTTAATTTCTGACTCAAAAACACATAAATTTCAGAAAATGGGAGAGTTTCAGATAAATTTTGAAACAAAATCTTGAAAAATTCACTGTTTCAAAAAAATGATACAATTTGAAAATAATTTGTGAAAATTGATAGGAATATCTTAGAAAGCTTCA